CTGCTGAGGTTGGGTAGTGTGGGAAAAATGGTTTTGATTGGTGCTAACTTGAGGTCGTTGACCAAATCGAGAGGCTTTTTGCACGTTTTGCAAGTTGGTGGTTTGTTGCGCCAAAGCCGCCTGAAAATCGTCAACAGGCATAATGTAAGTATGCTGTGACGACGGGTTAGTAGAAGAGAAATGAGGGTTAATAGCTTGAAAAGCAATTGTCTTTCGCATTTCCGTCATTTCCGAGGTTAAGTTTAAAAGTAAAGAACGACAGTCGTTAAGCATATGTAAGTAACGTTGAACGTTAGGATTAGTATTGTCGTTACTAAGTTCCAAGGCCAATACATCCAAAGGTCTGAATGTGGCCGAAGCAAGGTACTGTAGCCGTTTTAAAGAACGATCCTGCTTCGTGAGATGTGGCTTCATGGTACGAGCTGCGAGAGGTACGGTATCAGGAGGTTGATAATCCATATCCTTCTGCCCAGGATACTGTTCGATGATCGCTTTACGTTTGTCATCGGTTAAAGTGTTCGTGGTGAACAAAGGTTGGTTGAATTGCATTACTTCAGATAAAAAGGGCGAAGGTTTCCAGGTGTAATCAGGACGAATGTCCAAGGAGTGAAGTTGAGAGACCAGTTGTTCTTCCTCCATTTGCTGTTGCTGTTGTTGTTGATTAGGGGGCTCTGCTGAAGGTTGAGCATTGGTTTGAGTGAGGAGTAATTGTTCAAGGCGATTGATTTGTGCCTGTTGATTGGCGAGAAGTTGTTCAAGTTGTTCGGAACTCATTTATATGGTACTGACCAGCGAAAAAGAAGATCAATTACTATATGTTATATCAAAAAATTTATTATACTATTTTCGCTGACCAATAAAAAAGAAAGATTAAGCAATCATATGACTTATTTTGTATTCGAGTGTCTCATTCAATTCTAGAAGAATTTCATTCGTCACTTGAATATTATTTAGTAGATGTTGTAATACTTCATATTCAAGTTTTTATCTTTTATCCTTTATTACGTAATTCATTTATTACACTATTACTTATGCTCATGTTATCCAGGGCTTGTTCTATAGTAATTATTAGTTTGTTGTCTAACAGTATGTTATATTATTTTGCATCATATACTTTCTCTTTCTTTCGTAAATTGTTATACCAAGTTAATACAGTATTTGCTCTTGTCGTAGGCCAGTATACTCCTACTGTGTCTATCTTCTTTTCATTTCTTCTAATTTTTTACCTTTTGACTCAAAGAGGCTTTCATTACGTTTCTTTTTTGAATTAGCTAGGGAAGTACAGTATGATTATTAAATTACTATGTGCTCATTAGCTCATTAGTCATTTATATTTTATTTAATTTAATTTAATCATAAAAAGAAAAAAAAAAAAAAAAAAAAATCGAAATCAATAAAGTGCTAACTCATCCAACCTATGGAGGCAAATAGTTTTTAAAAACTTCACATGTAGGAGGAATGATCTAGTATACAAAAAAATGAATCCTTTTTATTATATGAAATAAACTTACGCTTCTTTAAATCACATTCAGATAATTTTATTTTAAACATTCAAAAACATCATGTAATGCGTTAATTTATTAATTTGCTTTAAATTCGAAGGTATGAAAAAAAAAAATATTAATGTCGATTAAAGTAATTCCATTGTTAATAATTCTATACTTCTATTAATTATCAATAAATTCAAAGAAGAAGAAAAAATAAAATTTAGTAATTTTACAAATAATGTAATTATGATTGTAATAATAATTTATTAATTTTTAATAAAATGACTTCATGCATTTAAATTTACCCCGAACACAGTTTTTTTATAATTTTTACTCTTTATTTAACAGTGACTATCATTAATAACGTTTGCAAATTCACATATCCTATGATCCATTTAAAAAACCCTAAAGGCTTTGATACAGTTTCAAAAGTTAGTTATTACAGCAACCACATGGATAAAGTCATTCTTTTGTCTAATGATGACAACAATGGTATATGCTTTACTCTTATCAAATTCAGTTAATTTAATACTTTCAATTAATATTTCCTACTTTTTTAATTTATTTTTATTATCTAAAATACTTATATACAAAAGTACACTGTTGTTGATAATTATGGTACTGGTGTCGACAACTTTGGTAATTCCATTTCTCTCATTTTAAGGATGATGTCCCTAAAGAAGAGGAATCGAATCAAGATTAAACAATAGAGCTTTAAAAATGGAGGAGTATAATAGATAATATATTATAATAATGTTCTTAGATGACTCCTTCATGAGTTTCACAGGTACATCGCGTTATCTTAAAGAGCCATTAGTCTAATCGGTGACAAAGTATCTATCTATAAGCAAGCCCTTCTTTGGAAAAATGCAAGATCGTCAACAGAACGTAAAATGATTGAAAAAAAAAATATGGTGTCCGCTGGAGTGAGCTCTATAAATTTGGTTATTTTGATATTGTTAAATGTTCCATAATCGATGGGCTCCATAATCGTTACCTTCGTACTGCCAAATGATTGGTAGATTTTTGGAAGTCTGAACATAAGCCCAACAGTTCGCGATGTTACTTGACAAACAAAGATTTAGCAGATATGGCTGTAGATGCAAAAAAAGCTGTTTGTTCCTCCTCAGTTTACAGCCATAAGCTCTAAAATATCTGCTAATTTCTCTGGCCTCAAAGGTGATGAATTTCGTTCATGGACAATAATCTATTCATCTGTGGTTCTAAAAGGGCGTTTAATTGACGAACATATGATGAACTGGTTACGCTTTGTAATGGCTAATCAGATACTTGCATCATCATTTATAACTGTATCTGAAGTCAATGAAGCTCATACTTTACTTGTAGAATTTATTAAAAATAATGTCGACCTCTATGAGCCCGATTTCATAATACCAAATATGCATATGCATTTACATCTACAACAAACAATCTATGATTTTGGGCCACTTTATTCTACTTGGTTGTATAGCTTTGAACGTATGAATGGTGATATCAAAAAAATTGATATTAATTTTAAAGAAGGACCCGAGTTCACTTATATGGAAAAGTTTCTTCAGCAAGTCCATGTTCAAGATTACTTACAAATGCTTCCTAATTCATTAAAAGGCAATACAATTGTAATGAATGTATTGAAACATTTGATCCCAAATGAACAATTTAAGCAAGGTGAACTGATTTTGGATGATGGAGATATGGAGGATTTGGTAGAATTAAATAGCAATGATAATAATTCATTACGCCAAAAAAGGAGCAGCGACTCAAATTATATGTTTGATTTAGAAACTTTTCTAACCAACCTAATCAATACAAATGCCGTCTTAACTGGTAGTGAGCCTTTACCTCCTTCAGCATTGCCATTAAAGACTAGAAAAGCCATATTTATGAATAATCATCATTATAATCGTTTATATGAATTCTACCGATCTGTATATGATGCCTGCTTTACTATTAAGAAGATTACTGATAATGCTTTCTCATCACATTTCACAGCCATTATTAGTGATCAAATTTAAAAGTTCAATAGAGTCAATTTGGCAGGTCAACTTTTCAGATGTGTGGCGTGTAGAACGGATAGAGCTGCTTATATTCAAGCAATGGTTCCTCAAAGAAACGGATGCTTTAGAGTTGGAAAAATACTTTATTTTTTTTTTTTTTTTACAAATGAGGTATTTCTTCCTAATAATGATAATCTTTTTGGACCTCCTGTTGCTAAAAAACATGTCTTTGCTTTTGTTCGCTGGTATAAGCCTTCCGATAATTCGTTCTCCTCTTTTGATGCACATAATGTTGAAGTGTGGAAAAATGAATTTGAAGCAGATAGCAGTTTGTCCATTTTACCGCTTCATCAAATACATACTTGTGTCGCACTTGCTCCATATATTGATAGCAATGTTTTAGTACTTCCTTTGCCTCGAAGAATAATTGGCGTGTAAATCTTTTTTTTTTTTTTTTTGTATGCATATTTATATATTGTTACATTTTTTATTTATATGACTATAACACTTTTTAAACACATAACATTAAATTAATTCTTATTGTTAACGTCCTATTTTTGTTTTATTTGTTTGATTATTAAAGAAAAAGATATAATCAAGCTAAGGGTAAAAGAGAGTAATATGTAAAATAAAATGAATAGAATAATTTTCTTCGATAACTGCTCATCAATTATTTATTGATAATAATCATTTTCAGTTTATAGCTCTCCTTATACACATATAAAATATGTGTATATATATAAAATAAGAGTGTTTCAAGTCTCACTTATATATCGCGTCAGTGATCATCTTATGACAAGCCCTTTAGAGTTTTACTATTATAAAGGTATATTTCATATCTTCAATACTAGAATGATTATTAACGTCAAAACTTTTATTATTATTACTCGGAATTAGATGGACACTTGCCTATTTGAAACTATAAAAGCTGGAGTATTTGGGAAGACTTGTATTGTTTTATTCAGCGATATATATACATATATATATATATATGTATATGATGACGATCTCAAATTGGATGGATGTACACGCTTATTTATTTTTAAAATTAGTCATTCTCTTACTATTAAATATTATACAGATATTAAAAAAAAATGCTGTATCTTCTTCCTCTCCCCCCCCACATTTCTGGAGAGGACAGAGTTTTTGAATAAATATTTGTAAAAGTTGACGACTCAAAAGATAACAACAGTCGTCTTCGTTTAGGAGATAACGTATCTAATGAAAGTGATTATCCAAGTTGACATCCATGACTGAGTAATAATTCCCGTATTTAATTGATTGCTTCCCATTCACCATGGGCGACACACAGCGTAAACATTTTTGGCTTGACAAAATTATAAAACGATACAATTTCATTTAACGAAGAATGGAAAGAAAAAGGTAAAAGCAATATGATTGATAATTAGTACTTTTGTTTTTCTTCTCCCCCTTCCCTCTCCCTATTTTAATGGCATTATTAAATATAATTTATCCATTGACTATGTGGTTTACATTGATAAGGTAAATTAGATTGAATAAGGTCTTTCACATGTTTTGAATCTATATAATGAATAGCTTGGTTATTAATACTTTGTATAGGATAAATACTAATTAAGTTGCAGCTATAATCAGAACATGAATAATCAAAGTCGCATGGATGGAATTGTGTATTCTCTAAAGAAGTATTTCAAATATTTCATATAATTTGGATTAGCCGTACAATACAAATCATAACGATATACTAGTACATGTGTTTTTTAATCAAATGTATCTGTTGTTGTTGTTTCTTTTTAAATATTTATATACTTACAGAGAAGATACAATAGAATGATTAGCAGGAAGAAATGTTAGTCTAAGTGAACCATATTCTGACATTTCAATAAGAATAGATGTATGATATGGTATAGGAGCTAATAAATCATCAACATGACTTTATTTAGGTCGTTTTGTATGTTGAGTTATGGTCTTCGGGTATAATCTTTGCTGTCTGTTCTGAACAATATATTTTACATTGAAAGAAAGTTTTTTTCAATACCATCCAAGTGATCTAAATAAAGATAGTTCAATAATTAGAGCAGCTTCGAAGTATTATATGCGTGTATCCATTTGACTTGAATGAACGTGGCTAATGGTAAAATATATAAAGCGGATCAATTTTCGACAAATTTGTCAACAGCCAATGCGGGGTACTCTCTAATATATGACCATCAAATATACTCATCTTATTTTATTATACCACGTGTTTAATAGAAAAAGTTGATTTTGATAATGTAATAAAAATGAATTTTACGTAGAAATGAAGCTGTGATCTTTGAAACAAGTTTTTTTTTTTTTTTTTTTTTTTTTTTTTTTTTTTTTTTTTTTTCTAATTAAAGCCCTTTACAAACCAGTCAATAAATCAAAGATAAATATCATTTTTGCATAACTATAATTTATGCAAAAATGGATAAGCTCATTCGAAATATCATAAAAAAAAAAGGGAAACTAGTTATTGCTCTATTAAGGTAAAGAATTATACAATTGACAAGAACATTTCCACTTTAGTAACATCTTTGCTATAAGCTCTACATTACATTATTAATGACAATCTACAATTATTTTTCTTTTAATTTTGCTTACTTGCTTGCTTGCTTGTTTGTTTGTTTACTTTATGATAGCTAATTATAGACGATGTCAATACCAGCTATTTATACATATGAATTAATAAAAAAATAGTTTTCTATTTATTAATTTCCCTTCAGTTATAAATTAATTAATCATATATACTGAATTAATGAAATAGATCATCCTATCTAAATTAGAGACTGTCTTCTTTTATATAAATATATAAGATTTAGTAAGAGTCATCATATAAATATAATTTTAACAACATATCAATATTAATACACACATCTGTAATTATTAAAAGAAATCTTTAAATTTGTATATCATAGCTATGTTTTATTATTATATTAGGGGATGGGGAAGCAAAAGAACGTAATAAAGTAAATAAGTGTATTAATAAAATCAAGAAAAAAAAAATAAAACTGCAGATTATTGTATATTATAATATATATTTTTTTAAAGTGAAAATGTGTGTGTAAAGAAAAAATTGAGTAAGGTATCTTTTTTTTTTGTTTTGTTGTTTTGTTTTGTTTTTGTTTTTTTTTTTTGTTATTGTTGTAATAATCTTTAATGTAAATAGTATTACTATTTACCAACCACCTTCTTTGAAAGCAAGAATATACATGATCAAAACCAAGACAAAGAAGATAAGATTACAAATACCACGAATTATCTTGTGATCAATGAACAAAAGACCAAGGCCATAAATAACATTAATGATAAAGTAAATCCAAGAAAGAATACTGAGTGCCTTGGTAGAACCCATACCGAAACTATTCAAACAAAGAGCAATCAAATGATAGAAGGCGTTATCTTTCATAGCATTATAGGAAGTATTAATACGTGACTATAATGTTAAAAATGGAAAAAAAAATTAATACATTTCCAGTAAATAAATATATATTCATATAAACTTACCAAGAAACCACCACCAGATCTCTTATCAGCAGCTTCGATGTCACTAACATCAGAGTCATCACTAACAAGAGGTCTAATCACGTAAAGGACACCCAAAATAATAGCAGTGATGAAAAGAGTAACCCAGGCACTCTTAACAGAACCATAAGCGAGATAGTGTTCAATATTTCCTTGCATGTTGTTTTATTGTATTTAATATAAAGTGAATAAAATAATAATGATGATAAAAAAAAACTTTTGACCTGAAAATAGTTTGCCTTTTTATATGTAATTCTAAGACATTTTATTCAAAGGTTAGAGTAGAAACCTTGTTGTTGATATTTACTAAAGTTAGAATATCGGATCCCTTCACAAATATGTTTCCTAGAGATATATAGCTGACTTTGAACAAACCCTTCTCCGCATCATAATGTCTATCATGTTTAACAACACAAAAAAACAGATCGTTTTGTTTATCTCTAACTGATCAAAATTCAGGTCCAAAAAAATTATCACGGAAAATAAAAAGCATACAAAAAGAAATGTATAAGAAAATAAAAAAAGGGTGACTTTAGTTTCTTTTTCTTCTACTTTTTCTTTTTCACATTAATGTCTAACACTATTTCAATAAAGGAAACCTTCTAAATTTTATATTTTCTTTTCCACAGATCAAAAAAAAAAAAAAAAAAAAAAAAAATAAAAAGAAATGCTGAGCTATTAACATCTTGGTCGGTAACATCGACCGCAGCGGTGACTATATCCGCTGTCTTTCATTTCTAATTACCGAAAGAATATAAGTGTCGGTAAGATTGACCGCATAAAATATACAGTCTATTTATTATTGCATCATACTTTTTTTTTTTTTTCAAATAAACTTAAAGAAAAAAAAGGCAATGGTTGTTTACATTTGAAGAGAAAGTTATGTATGATTCAACCATTGTACGCGTATGTATTGACATTTATATTTTATAAATGCAGTAATACATGTAATTAGTATCAGCTATTCATAATAAGAAAGAAACATACGTTATAAATGTAGGAAACAGTTTAATATTGATATTAAATCAACAAGGAACACAAATTTATTAATTCCTTTTTTATATCAGATCAAATTTATTGTATTATAGACCATGATTTATACGAGTCATATATCCCTTTTTTTTTTTCTTTTCTTGTAATAATAGAATAGGGTAATATGATATGATTTTCCTCTTTTTCAGCCTTTTTTTTTCCTTTTTTTTCTGCTTAATCTATTATAAAATAAATATATCCTAGTTTGTTTTTTGTTGTAAGTTTGTCTAGTTTATAGAAACTGATATATTCAAATATGGTATGTTACTTTCTGTATTTTACTCCTTATTCCTAAATAGGACAATTATGACATCATGTATTATATACAAATATGTACATATTTTGATCCAAAACATAGACATTAGTAGTTTCACTCATTTACCAAGTAATTATATGCTTACTATTTCCTAGTATTGTAGTTTTTTTAACAAATTGTTTAGAAACCAATTTCATATGATAAATATATGCTGCATGTTTATCCCTTCATTCCCCCACACATAAACACGTTTTTTTTTTAAGTTATCTCTGACAACTGGCGGGGAGGGGAGAGTGAGAGAGAAGAAAGAAGATAGAGGGTGAAACCTTGGTAATAAATCTACAATATATTCCATACATAAAAATAAATTATTAAACTAATAAAATAATCAAGCAAGCAAGCAAGCAAGCAAACAAAAAAGAAAGAATATATCTCAAATTTTATTTTCTTTTTTTTTTTTTTTTTTTTCTAAAAGAGAAAACTAATCACTACACTTTTTTTCTTTGTTTAAAAATCAGGAAATAAATGTCTATAAGGATCTGGTTGCTCAGTAATACCGTATTGTTCTTGTGTTTCTGGATATTTGTCAAAATGACTTGCATCTCCTTCACCTCTTATTTGAGGTACATAAGGTGCACGAATTTGTCTCGCTAATATACGATTAAAGTCGACGCCTGTAAACCAACTATGACGTTTAATATCATCACTTCCTGCTTTTAAATTACCATAGCGTTTAGTAAGATCAGGTGTTAAAAGACGTTTAAGTAGATCTTTTCCATTTGGATCAAAATAGGCAGGCCATTTCACTTTACATGCTAGAATTTTTTCATAGAGTTTTAAATGATCATCATCAAAAAAAGGTGGATATCTATACGATTCGATAGGGAATAAATGAATTGCTTATTATATGTATATTATAAATTCGCTTACCCTGCTAACATTTCATAAATAAGTACACCTAAACTCCACCAATCAACTGCTTTACCATATCCTTTTGATTGAATGATTTCTGGTGCTATATAAATATAAATTCTCATATATGAATATATGGTTGTATTATAACATAAAATCCTAACTTACCTAAATAATCGGGTGTACCGCACAATGTCCATGTAATATCTGGCACATATTTTGCAAATCCAAAATCAGTAATTTTAATATGTCCTTGAGCATCTAATAATAAGTTCTCTGGCTTCAAATCCCTATAAATCATATCCTTTGCATGCAAATATTCGATAGCTAATATAACTTCTGCCGCATAAAATTTGGCTACATGATCAGGAAATCTTTGTGATCGTCTCAGGACACTAAAAAGTTCGCCACCAGGCACATAATCCATTACCATATAAAGATTCATTGAATCTTGAAAGGTCCCCCACATATTCACTAAAAATGGATGAGCTACAGATTCTAAAATATGCTTTTCATTGTTGGTATGCTCAACTTGTTTAAGTCGGATGACTTCTGTCTTCTTAAGTACTTTCATGGCATAAAAACGATGATTGACTTTTGATTGAATAAGATGAACGCGGCCAAAGGAGCCAGTACCCAATGTGCGGGAGATGTGAAAATCATCAAGTTTGAGTTTGGGTCTATTGAGACGTTGTTGAATGATAGCTTGGTCATTATAAATGGTTGTATAAGGTTGTCGAGTAAAGGAAGTGGGTTGTGATGTAAGTTGTGATATTTTCATTTGTTGTGGCTGTTGTTGTTGTTGTTGTTGTTGCTGTTGCTGTTGTTGTTGCTGTTGCTGTTGTTGTTGCTGTTGCTGTTGTTGAATGCCCATGCCTTTATCTTTTTTAAAAAAATAAAAATAATGTTAACATGTCAAAAAATAAATGAATAAAATAAAAATAAAAGGCAAATCATTCAAATTACCACCAATGGTTTTATTTTCCTCGGTCTTTGGAGTCTTGGGTTCTCTATGACTTTCCTCTAACCATGGGACAGTTCTTTTTTGACCTACATCCAAGTTATTAGTTGATGTATAATAAGCTTCTTCTTTTTGCTGTTCCTTCTTCTCTCCAGAATTAAAATAATTAGACATTGTAAGTAGTAATAAAAAAAAAAAAAAAAAAAGAACGCGCGATTCAAAAAATTATTTTATGTGCATAGTATTGTGTGTACAATATAATAAAATACATTTTTTTTTTTTTTTTTTTTTTGTTAGGAGCAGCATATGGGTTGTCAGTAGGGGAGAAAAATATACAATGATTTTGCAAAATTTAAAAATGATACACAATAAAGAGCCACACAACAACAGCATCAAGATACTTTATAAACTTTATCAGCATTATACAATTGAATAAATGAAAACACAAGTTTTAAGCTGGTTTAATTATATTCATGAATTAATTAAGTTAATTTCCATAAAAAGTCTATTCAACTAATTAACAAAAAAATAAACAAAAACTACTCGTAACAATTTGCACGCTAAAATGTAGAGCAAAATTATTATTTTTTTTTTTTTTTATTTTTTTATTTTTTTATTTTTTTTTTTTTTTTTTTTTTTTTTTTTTTTTTTTTTTTTTTTTTTGTTCTAAAAAAAAAATGCTGGTGTAAGTCCTGTTCCTTAAAATATTTAATGTACAGTGCATCGAAAATAAAATGGAATATTCAACCAATTAAATTCAAACAAAATTTGAACTTAATTTGGAAGTTAATATGGAGCATTTTATTTAAATAGGCACTTTGTTTAAGCATTTTTGGAAATGATTTTTAGAGTGTTGAGTAATGTTGACAAGGTGAGATAAAGAGACATCATTACATGCTTCAGTTATTCTTTGTGCAAGTGTTTCAGACTCCATAAGCTGATTACACTTTTCTTCATGCTAAACTATAGTCTAGAATTGTTCAATTGGATTCAATTCTGGAGAGTTTGGAGGAAGATATACGCATTTATAGTCTTTGTTTCTATTCTCCACCATATGGTTTACTTCAATTGAGCACTGGTATCAGTGGTGATGAAATTTAGCCTAAATACAGCATAGTTTCAAATCAAGTGTACCTCCAAGTATTTGAAACCAATTGCTGCTCATCCGAGTTAGGTCAAGATAGTTTTTGGTGATAAGAATGCTCCTATTGAACCCGCTGATTTCATTGCTAGAATGATCCATGTACTTGATCATCTTGCACTTTTATTGATTTCTGTTATAAGCTGACTTATAATGTCATGTTTCTTAACTAAACATGTAGGTCATAAATTTATTTAGGGAACTCTATCTAAATTCTCCTGAAACTCTCTTGATCCACTCCATCAAACAATATTAAAGCTTCTAAGATTTCATTATCTATAACATATCTTATTCAGTCGTAACTAACACTTTTCTGATTCACATCTTATCTCAAGCCTCTTTAACAATTCTTATAAATACCCCCATCAATTCAATTCATAAATAAAATGAACTATTATTCAGTCACGTTGACTCTTTTATCTTTATATTATTTGATATTTTACAAGAAATATCAAAATTTTCAAGAAAATAAGCTCAAATGGTGATGAATGCAATAAAATAATAATATGAATCTTTTATGTAGGAAAAAAATGTATAGTATCAAACCCAGTGGTCTATAGTATGATACAGTACAGCGATGTTCAATGATGAGGTGGGGAATACATGGGTCCAAGATCACCCATACCAGTGCTATCTTCTTCTTTGGTCAATTTTACTATCACAGGGTTTACAATGCTGCTTAGTTGGGTATAGCTTTCAGGATTATATCGGAACTTTGAACTATTTTCTTGATGTTCCTTTTTGATATCTATAATATTCTTTACTGCTTGTTCTAAGAGACACTATTTAAAAAGTCATTTAGTATGTCTAATTTATTCAAGTACGCCTATTATTATTACCTTTGTATTCCAACAAAATTTGATCAACTGTGGTAAAAATATTGCTCTATCTTCAAAGTGTGGTTTGACTTCCAAGCATAACTCTCTCCAAAGGTCAAATAGCCCATCGGGTTGATAACGCATGCTCCACAAGTGCAATTTGGTTTCTAAATACAAATATTAGAATTCAATACTATCTGACAAAATAATACATTACCAGCTGCGTGTAAAAAAAATACTTTTACTTGACTAAACTTGGCAACAGAAGCGAAAGAGTATTCATCAGCAATGCACTTGAGCATTGCTAGGATGCCATACACCCCTTTGTGATGGTCTAGACTGATTTTTACCTTATCATTATTTTCGAAATGCCCAGAAGTTTCAAGTAAAAGGAGTTCAAGGTCCTTCAAATTAAGAAGCTTTACTAATCCATCCGACTTATATTGGGATCTTTTATCCGCAAAAATACCTACTTCCTTCAACTGCCGACTCATACTTTGCAAGACAGGCTGCCCTTGAATAAAATATCCCTTACATTCATCAGTGTTGACACTCCTGCCAATTAAACCAAGGTATGGCCATGTATATAGTTGATTAAAGGCGTCTTCATTGGAATTATATTTAACTGGTGATGTATACATCTTATGCCTAGAAAAAATATAGTCAATTGGTGCAAATGGAAGCAAAAAGATAAATATAGTTTACACTTGATTGAGAAATTCTTCAAGAAATTCCAAGCATTCATTTTCATTTTGTGCTCTTTCTTCTTCTTTTAATATTAAAACCGATAATTTTCTGATTTCTTTCTTAAACTCAACCAAATCAGTCTAAATAAAAAAAAAATATATTAAGTATGTTTACACTATTTAAAATGTACATAGTTACAGCATCAATGGCAGGATCAAGATGATCACATAATACAGTCGGGAGTGTATATTGCTCTACATCGTGACTTTCCATATGCTTTTCATATAAGCTCCTATCCAAGTAAGGTCTTGGGGAAATTCCATCACCAGATCTAATGATATTATTGGCTACAGGACTAATGTAAAGAAAAGTATATTCATTAGTTTATATACAACAATGCTGTACGCTAAATATTTACCTAAATGGATGAAATAACAATTGATGCTTCTTAATAAATCTGAGCCATTCAGTTCCAATGCTGGGTTCCTAAATCAAGTGGAGAAAAGAAATATATAAGGCCTTTATTTATAAAGATTTTTTGGGCCAGCTACATACGTGTTCGTCAAGGTTTTCTTGATTATTTGCACTTGACTCTTGTTCATCAAATCTTTCTACAGAATTTTGCTGTTCTTCATAAATTCTCTTAAAAAAATTTTAATTATATATTGACCTGTATCACTGTATCAAACAAACCTTATCATCACTTGAATTATTGACAGTTGCATTAATAGTTCCACCGTTAATTGGACCATTGAAAATAATTCCCATACTTGATATTCTCCTTTTTTTTGTAGCTCTGGTCTTTAACTGGGCTTTGCTGGGCTAAAACTCAATATTATTACTTTAATGTTTTACGTAAATAATATTTAGTCACTCACTTTTATTTTATTTAGTAAATGAATAGCATATTCTTTGATGATATTTGGAACCTCCTTTGATTGAGAGATCAAATTGAGATCGTCGTTATAATCTTTTACAATTTTTTTGAAGTTCTTGTACTTATTAAGATTAGAGTGTGTTTGACTAAAATACGATTCAAAATCCCAATTGCTTGCACTATTGATAGAAAAAAAATGAATAGGAATTTCATTCACAGTAGACAATTTGTAGTTTCTGTATTCTTCAGGTAAATGCATGTTGCTATGAAACGGATTTTATTATTAGGAATACTAAAAAAGCCAAAGAGTAATTCTTGATACTTACTGTATTTTTCAAATATTTTTTTTTTGAAATAAAAATAAATTTTAGTTGAAATATCAATTAGAAGAAATTATTTGAAAAAGAAAAAAAGGTAAAATGAAAAGGTTAGCGAGAGTGATAGATAATAATATAATACATACAAACCTGTTATAGAGATTGAAGATCTCTGAAATTCAGGAGGTCTTTTATTTTTATGTTGTGACACGTACGTAGAAATGTAGTTTATGTTTTTAGCATCCATCACATCACGATTCCATACCGTACTGCAAGAGTTGCACTTGAGTACAGCATGAAGTTTACGCTTCGATTCGGTTGTAGTAATATTAGTCAAGTTTCAATTTTTACAATGGTTACATGCTTGACTAGTCAAATATTCATCAACATAGATAAAAGTGTTTCCTTTTAATTCTTTAGACATTTTCTTAATTGCGCCCATTATCCGTCTAGTAGAATCAGGAAGTTTTCCTTTTACAGAGCTACCAAATTTAGCATTACCAAAGGCAATAATTCTTTTCTTAGATAAGTCGGTGGTCTGGTTATCTTTGGGAGCAGTAGAGATCCTTTTCTTCTTGTCAGAAGTACCAGAGTCAACAGCAGTATAAATATCAGTTTGTTCAGGATCTATAGCCCAAATAAGTGCATCATCAGCAAAATACATAGGAGTCAATTCATCAGCAGTAGTATTCTTTTCTGACTTTTTGGATTTCTTTTTAAAGTGAAATTCAAAAGAATAATCATTTGTTTGAATTAAAAGTCTATGTTGATCTATTTGAACAGACTTGGCTTTGCAATCATATAGTGGGAGTAGACCTTACCTTTTTCTTTGGTAGTAGGAGCTATATCAATTGTCTTTCCTTTACCTTTGTCTTTTTTAACATGAGTAGTTTTAACTGATAAAGCTGTGAGTGTTATTGTCAAAAAAAAAATAAAGGATTATCTTGTTCAGTCGATTGTTTTTATTGGACAGTGGTACGCTCTGTTTCTTCATATTCTTTATAGTTCTTGAATGATAAGTTTTCTTGACCTTAATTTCCATTTATCAGTTTTTACTTTGTTAGTTCAATATAATGAAGCTTACTTGTTCTCTTGCGAAGTTTTATTTGTGGTAGAAAATTATCGTCAGAGTCTTCTAGGAGTTCATCATAGTTGGTAGTAGCAGCAGCAGGTTTGGGAAGAGTTTTACTCGCTATTACAAAGACACTATGAGTGTGCATACTATTAGGTAATCCTTTCCTTATTCTGTTACATACCTCTTTTTTTATGAGTGACCCTCTCTTCTTTAGGGTCAAGGGGAATTTCCCTTTACGTTTCATACTATGAAAGCTGTAATAAGTAGAGAAAAGGAAAGAAGAAGTGATAAGAATAAAAGCTATGCGGTTTTTATAATCAGGGTTTGATATATTCTGATATATTAAATGTTATCTGTTGTAATTATTATAAATATAAGACCAAAACAAACTCTTTCGATAATGAATAATTACATAAGAAACGCATAAAACAGTTTCAACTGTATTATTACGCAATCGGTTTTATTCTTTGAGTGAAGAAAGTATGTGGTTATAGTATCTTTAGAAAATAAACGAATATCTTGTTATTTAACTTGTCTTTAATTTTTTTTTCCAATTAATTACATTTATCTTTGAAAATGAATGGAATTTCTATTTCAAATAATTTGAATTTGTATTTCAAAAAAATCGAATTCATGTTTCAAATAATTTGGAAAACACAGTACAAAACCAATGTGTGACTTTTTTTTCTTCAACACGTCAACAATTATTTTTTTTTTTTTTATCCAAGACTTTTTTCCTCCATTTCCATAAACACGTAAGCATTTAACAAATTTGATGGAAATTTTAATTGCTTAAAACTAAAATTGAACAATTGTTGAAGCTAAGTATTTATTTATTTCTAAAGCCCTTTTTTCTTCATAAACAAACACAGTTACGCAGATACCATATATCTCTTCGATATCTCTGTGATATCTAAGTCCATGCTGTAGGATTGCACAGGGCATGGAAGTAGTGTTAACTGTGAACGTTCTCCGTAGGCTAGGCAGATATCCTTAGCTGCGACGCAACTAAATGAAAAAAAGAGTTGACTTATTTGCTTGTCAAGTAAGGTGTCTATCGAGAACGTTATGAAGACAAATTGTAAATCTTGAATGACATCAAGGACGCAGTTACGCAGATACCATATATCTCTTTGATATCTCTGTGATATCTAAGTCCATGCTGTAGGATTGCACAGGGCATGGAAGTAGTGTTAACTGTGAACGTTCTCCGTAGGCTAGGCAGATATCCTTAGCTGCGACGCAACTAAATGAAAAAAAGAGTTGACTTATTTGCTTGTCAAGTAAGGTGTCTATCGAGAACGTTTGCCTTGGTGTTATTCTGGTTGACGCTTGCAAATTTATACTTTCAGTATACTAATTTTATACTTTTTATAGAAGCAAAATCAAGCAATATGGGTTAAAGCCTTCAGGCGTAATCGAATCATTCGCTTTGGGTAAAGGTTATGTAGGTCCTCTGGCTGTAGGGGTGTAGAAGATGTTGATTGTCTGTGTTTATGTTTGTGTTCAAGTGGGGTAGATGCCCACATCCGGTTTCACCATGTCCGTTCAAATTATTGTATGATCCGCTTGGACATTCTGTTTCTCGTTCTGGTGCCTAAAATTGTTCAGTAGATTAGCGCCTTTTATTTCCTTAATTCATTTATAATTTATCCTCTTCCTCTCCACTCACTCCACTAGACTTTTAAGCGAAAATAATAATCCAAAAAACTTTCCTTATAAATGTTAAGATCATGAGCCACTACGCCTAATTATTTATAATAAAAACTTAGGGGGGTCATAACGACCTCCCATATATATATAAATGGAATAAACATGTGGTAACAGCGTAATAACTTATAATGTATCGAACTATGCTGTGCATAAAATAGAAAATCATGTGGATAACACAAAAATAAAGACCACAAGTTAAATCATGATAATTGGGCGCCTGCAAAATTTTATGTCAAAAGAGAAAGTTGGTTCAGAAGACATTGTTGATAAAAAATCAAATAGCAACTATTCAGAAAGTGTGCGATTTTTTTCTGAAATAGTGTACACTATTTTCACAAATTATTCGTGCACCTTCAGGAAAAAAATCTGTGCAGTTTAAAAATAAAAATTGATTTAGGCTCAGGAATAAACTTCGGCCATTAAAAGGAAATAGTTTCGTGCAATTAAAGAAAAAAATTTCGCGCAGTATCAGGAGCCTTTCTTTCTCACTTTATATTCAATTCAGTATGGACTCTTTTATTCACGAAGACGGAAAAGGAAACATGTTAGATGACCAGGGAAATGAAGTTTTTACGATTGATATGGAAGTGGATGATGAAACTTATCCGCTTGAAAATGTAACGGATTTGAACCAGTACTTCGACGTAAAGCCACCTGAGAGAATGGAACATGAAAAAGAAGAGAAGCTGTCTGAGGAGTCCAATACTAATGACCAAACATCTGAAAAGGGCAAGAGAACCTACAGACGCTACAAACCTGAAGATAAGGAGCGATTTTTTTTTCTTATTTATGAGAAAAACATGGGCATAAGAGAAGCAGCTAGAGCCCTTAAAATGCCAGAGACCACTGCTCAAAGTTGGTACAAAAAAGAAAGCCAGAATCCAGAGGAAGTGATTGAAAGAAAAAAGGGTAGTGGCAGACCTGTGGGAAGACCACCTATCTTGAAAGAAGAGCATGAACAATTCTTGAAAGAGCTTATTGATGATAAGTCAAGTTTAGTTTTGGAGGAGATGATGGACAATTTGACAAGCAAGTTTGAGGACCTATCTATTTCAAAAACTGCTCTTTACAACTTTGTGACCAAAAAGTGCAGAATTAGTTTGAAGAAAGCACACTTCCACTCAGTAGAGCGAAACAGCCCTGAAAAAATTCAGGAGAGACATGATTGGGTAGTAAGATGGAATGAAACAGACCTTGATTTCACGAGTAACTGCGTCTTTATTGACGAGGCAGCTTTCCATATCAACATGAAGCGCTCTGTAGCATGGTCAAAAAAAGGAAGCCGTGCTGTTGTAGTTGTACCCAAGACAAAAGCCAAAACAACAACTATTTTGGGTGTTATCTCTCCTTATGGTGTAGTAAACATCAAAGTAAGAAGACCAAGAGCACCTGTCCCTTTGAAGAAGAGAAAGACAGCAGGTAGTACTCAGGCTACTGGAAATACCAAAGGCGGAACTGTCACTGGGCACTACTTCAATTTCATTACAAGTACCCTTGATATTTTGGATCAGCATGAGCAATTTAAGGACAATTACATTGTTATGGACAATGCTCCTATTCACAAGCATGCTGATATCAGAAAATACATTGAGCAACGCGGCTACGGCTGTGTTTATCTTCCAGCTTACTCCCCTGAGCTCAACCCAATTGAACAATTTTGGTCAGTATGTAAAAGCAAGCTTAAAAGAGAAGAGCTTTTGCAGGAAGAGACATTGTCGTCTAGAATTGGGGATGCATGCAACAGAATCCTTTTGAGTGATCTTCAAGGATTCTGCAGATACTCAGCTGCTAAATTCGAAGACTGTTTGAACTGTAAGCCAATGTAGTTTTCTTGTTTTTTTTTCGTGCACTTCATGCAATAATAAATCATGAATTTTTAAAATTAATTTGAATGAATTTTTTTTCTGAGCCTAAATCAATTTTTATTTTTAAACTACACAAATTTTTTTCCTGAAGGTGCACGAATAATTTGTGAAAATAGTGTATAATTATCTATTATAGTAATTCATTGTACAACGTGTATATTATCAATCCATGATATGTTGACTGCACAATGTTATCCAGTAAGAACAGTAAATTTTGTCACTTTGAGAAAATTGAAGGTCTGTAACCAAAGAATAAATGTCAATTTCCAAAAAAAAAAAAAAAAACCTCTCTTGTATTATCGTTATAATCATTATACATAATTCTGCTTCAGTTTGGGTTTATCGTTTTTCTTAACATTTTTTTTAATAGATTTGCGAGCTTCTAAATATGAGCTCTGTGTGGCTATAGTTTCGTAGAGGACAATGTTAGGGTCTGTGATTTGCGTTAGAACATCATTCATTGGGTCAAAAACTTTTATCCCTAGATCGTTGTAAACATTCTCCTGTCCATCTCTGTAATATATATATTTATTTATATATATTTGCCATTAGTTTCAAAATAAAAGTATAAAAGCTGTTTAGAATTTGAATTTAATAAAAAAAAGAAGTATTATTTAGGTCAATTTTTGACTTATTAGAGACGGTATTGACTAACAGAAACGTTTATATTACTTAAAGAGCAGTCAAACCGTGATAAGGTGACAGTGATCAGATGAGAGGATAAAACCTGGTCCAGGAACCTAAATTGTGGAAGTGATACAAGTGTACTAGTGTTATCACGAGTAAACTAGAAATTAGGAATAATAATCAAAATAATAAAACATCCTCTCTTCCCTGTTCTTCTTTGAGTGATTAGTTATAACTCCTTCGTGTTTTGAGAGCCTTAATTATACTCAAGAATTTAGCAAGGATAGAATTTTATAAATTAGTGGGTAAATTACGATCCTGATACAACAAGCCATACAAAGTCTAGAAACGTAATTTACCTTGGATCTCACCCTGATCTGAAACTCAGCTTAATCATAAGAAATACCACTTCTTTATTTGAGTAATAGAAAATAAATATAATATAATTTCATTTGGTTGCTGCAACGCCTACTCCTCGTTTTCATTCTGATAATACTCATGAGGTGTTTTCCTTTTATTAGGTCTTGTTGGTGTGAAAAAAGGTGTTATCATAAGTTTTGGTGATCGCGGTGGGCTATAGACAATTTCACGATGGGAAGTAGAAATATCCACTGCCATATATTCTCGCTGCTCTTCAAAAGCCACTAGTTTTATTTCATTGCTAATTTTTATTTTCATCTCTTTCCATGCGTAAAGCCGTTTCAAAGTTGATCGAAAATTATCCAGTTTCAATAACAATTTTGGTATATATAATGAATCAACTTGATGTACAATCACCACACCTTGGAAAAAAAAATAGTTGCGTCATATATCCAATTCGTCCTTTCCAGTCCGTATATTCTATGGTGAGTTTTTTTTTTTTTTTTTTTTTTTTTTGGAAATTGACATTTATTCTTTGGTTACAGACCTTCAATTTTCTCAAAGTGACCGTTTTACTGTACTACAGTTAATCCATTAAATTTTGTCACTGCTACAGAATAACTGTCATTTTTTATAGTCCAACAAAATTTATTGGATGAATTGCACTGATAACATCACACGGCTATTATTATTTACCGTTTGTGTACAGAGATGTGATAAACAATAATGTATATTAACAACACCTATGGCCGAGATTGCTCCAATAACAGTATGTGATACTGCTCTAGTACCTGAAGTAGGAATTATAGCTTCGGTACCCTTTTTAAACCATGCTCTACTGCGTCTCATATTTATGTCAAAACTGGACTCGTCAATAAAAACACAGTTTTTTGTAAAGTCCATGTCTGTGTCCAACCACACTTGTGCCTACTTCAATCTTTTTTCGATATGTCTTTCATCGTTACGAGGGTCTGGATGCAACGTTGCGACTCTTAAAGAGGGTTTACATTCGTCTTTCATAAACTCATGAACTCTTGACTTCTTAATATTAAGCCCTTCAAAAGCAGTTGTCAAACTTTCTACAGCATCAGTTATAGCAGCAAATGAATTTTCATCAAAAAAATCGATCAAATGTCGTTTGTGCGGTTCCTTAAGTTTAGAAACGGGTCTACTGCTACTACGGTTGGTCTTTTTTTTTTCATTTCATAATTATCAGGGTCGCTTGGGTACTTCTGATACCAGTTATTTACTGTACTATGGCTCATATTGGCTCTTAAAGCCGCGGCATGAACAGATAGGCCTTCTTGTAGCCCCCAATAAAAAACAATAACAACCCACGGGTAGTTCCATCGTGAAACATATATTTCTGGCCTTTATCTGAACCAGTAACTCTTATGCTATTACTAATACCAGCTTCTATACTGTTGTTATCAGACATTTCGACGTCCAAAGGTTTGTTTTTTCAGGTACTCCTCGAAATCAGTCAGTTTATTTAAATTGTAAGGATTGTCTTCAATCTCAAAATCCATAGCCTCAGTTTCATCTTCATTAGTAATGTTACCGGACCCGTCTTCATGTTAAAAAAAAAAATAAGCTTATTATAAAGGTAAAGATAATGTTCAGACTTAGGTCCAAATTAAGTTCAAACTTTGTTCGAATTTAATTGGTTAAATGTTCCATTTTGTTTTCTAAAAATGTACCACTGAGTTCAAAAAATGTTCGATTTGAGAGTGGATATACTTTAATTAATTATTGCGGTCACACACCACTAAATGCTTGCACATGCACACTCGTTTATTCTTGCCACAATCCGTCGCAGATCTTCTTTCCTTTATTTTAAATCATCTCCCTCAGCACAAGTACTGAAATTCTCAGGAAATTTCTGCCTGGCTCTATCGTTGGCCAGATATGTGCACTATTCTACAGGAAATGGGTTACCTATTACACGATAAACTATCTCCTCTACTTCTTGCCTCAGACAGGAAATTACTCAACTGGTTTTCCCTTTAAACTTGTTAGCAATATTTCCCCTTTCTTTCTCACCTTCTCTTCTTCCTTTCCTTTACCTTTTTACCTCTTGTCCCGTAAGAGGTTTTTTATATACTTTTTTTTTTCCACATAATTTGAACTGACCTGGGAAATCCAATATAACAAACATATTATGTGCTCATAGGTCGCTTTATAAATTTTAATTTATAAAAAATAATAAAAATAAAAATGATTGATCGTAATTAATTATTGCGTTACGCATGTAAGATCATGTTAGTTCATTTTTAGTCTTTTATCATCCTATTTTCAGTAACATACTGTGTAAGTGCATTTTATACTACCTCTATTAAATGTTTACATTATCATTTTATTGCTCTTATTTTTTTTTTCTTTTAAAGAAGAATACGTTAAGGGAATATGTCTCTAGATAAATGTGTGTGTACGTTTTTTCTGGGTAACTTGATTCCTTGGCAAAAAATTAGGCTTTGTAAATTTCATCATCCGCTAGTGTTGTTGTCCGTTCTCCTCCTTCCTTCATCACTATTAAGCTACTAAAAAAAAAAAAAAGGAAAAAAAAATTCTTCTTTCTTTTCTTTATTTTTAGTTTTTGTTTTATAGAAAAAAAAATGAAATTTTTATCTATTGCCATTTTGCTATTAACAACAGCTACCATCACACAGGCACAACAACTATGCAATGGTTATGCAGAATTCTGTTCAAAACAGTATCAAACACTGACTTACTTGATGACTCATAATTCTTATAGTTACATAGCTAACCCAGCTGCTAATCAAGCTTGCCCAGTTAATATTCAACTAGATGATGGTGTTCGAGGCCTAAAGTTATCGGCTATCAAGATGACTAATTCATCTTCTATTCAACTCTGTCATACATCCTGCACTATCCTTAACGCTGGTCCTGCTGTTGATACGCTTTCTACCATCACTAACTGGCTTAAAGCAAACCCGAATGAAGTAATCACTATTATGTGGAATAATTTAGGGTCCTTTGGTACAGACGCTTTCAAGACAGCTTATACAAATAGTGGATTGATCGATTATGTTTATACACAACCATTTGAAAATTTTACATGGCCTACGTTAGGAGAATTGATAGCATCCGGTAAACGAGTTATCAACTTTATAGATGAAGGAGCTAATAGTAAAGAGTTACCATGGTAAAAAAAAAAAAAAGAATACATTTATCTATCAATTAAACAATTTTTTCTTGTAGGTTAATGAGAGAGTGGGATTTTGTGTTTGAAACACCTTATAATAATCGTAATGAATCATCTTTTGAGTGTATTATCGACCGACCTAATCCACCCGAGAATCCAACTAAAGTGATGTATGTCATGAATCACTTTTTATATGGTACCTTAACTTTAGGCTCGACCACAATTGAAATACCTCAGAAGGGCACTTCGGATGTTACAAATGGAGATGGTTCGCTACTAAAACAGGCAGAACAATGCACTCATGTCTTTGGCAGACAACCTAACTTTTTAGAAGTGGATTTCTATAATAACGGAGATGCTTTACAAATTACGGCTCAGTTAAATAACGTCACCTATCATGAAAAGCAGTTGCAATGTAATGTATATGAATCAACAGCGTCAACATCATCTACAACAACAGGTGGTTCCATATCGGAAGCAACAAGTAATATCATGGTATCATTAACAGCAGCACCTATTTTGTTATCTTTAGTTGCGGTCATGTTCTCGGCTTTTCTTTAGATTTTAATAATAATTTCTATTTTTATACATGTATATTTTTTTTAGGCTTAACAAAAAAAAAAAAAAGCTCATTTGTTAATGTAATACATATCCTATTTATATTTATAAACATAATTTGGCTTATAAAATAATTATTTTGCTTTTTGTTTTTTTTTTTTTTGTTTTTTTTTTTTTTTTGGTTTTGTTGTATTTCATTGTATCATTTTGTTGTTATAGTTTCAATTACCCCTTAAAATAATAGAATACAGTGCGTCTGGTAAATTTTGTCACTTTATGAAAAATAAATGTCGTTGAGCCAAAAACAAATGGCAATTATTAAAATGTAGTTGTCAGTTTGAGCAAAAATAATAGCCGCTTTTGAAAAATCATATCGTCCATTACTTAAAAAACATAATGTCCACTTAGGCAAATATGGTTGTCAATTTCAAAAAAAAACACACGCACACACATTACAGCTTTTATTAAAAGTGAATAGCAATTTTTATAGTAGAATATCAGCTTTATTATCATCAATGAAAAAATTAAAAAAAGTAAAAAACTTCACTCGACTGAATCAATAACAGCTTGGCGCCAAGAAAGCACAGTTGGTAGGAGGGCAGCAAACGATTTAAGACCTCTAGGATTTTGAGGCATAGATAATTCTAGATGTCTTTTTCTTACATAGTATTCATTATGGATTGTTAAGCTCTCAAAGAAAATAGTATTATCTATTTATTGCGATTTTAGTTCATACATTTGCATTTTATTAGCATAGTATTTTTACTTACTGTAATAAAGAACTGTAAACAAACGCTTTTTTTTAACATCGTTTTTTAAACTTTTAATTGCATTTTTGTAAATTTTAATACAATCACTCTCCAATTTTGTTTCTGTATGTGTGTTAGAGCCTCCTGCAAACTCTATAATAATGACCATTGACTTGCTTTTTCTTTCAATTGCTAATCCATCAATCTTGCTGTTGTCTAAATCCAAATGAAGAACCTCAATCCTAAATGATAACATGAGTCAGATAGCAAATGCAGGAAAAAACTGATAATTACCATTTAAATTCGATTATGTCTTGGAATTGTAAAAAAAGCGAATTAATTATTGGAAACGAAATCCAAGTAGCAGCGGTGCGTTCTTTCAAAGTTTGAGAGATAGGGTTCATTGGGCTTTCGCATAATTTTAAGCTAGGAGAATGTATAATCAGAATGAATTAGTGTTATATATAAAAGGTGAACAACTCTATAATAAAACTTACAAATGAAATACGATGTCATGAATAAATTCATAATCATTATGAAGATAAGGATCAAATTTACTATTATTGGAAAACTCAACATAATTCATTAGCAATTTTCTAATTGGCGAAAGAGCGGGTGGACAACTAGATATCCTTTCTAAAAGATCCCTACATTCGTTGGTTAGGGGATAAGCTTTGAGGATACAATCATTATTAATCTCATCATAGGTGGCTTTGTTAAGGGTTTGCTCTAACACATTTACAGTTACAGTATCACTTAAATCTATGATATACATACTTAACAAACTATAAAAAACTTACTTAGCAATATTTACAGAAATACAACTAGGACAAACTTACTCATTCTCAAGATCTTCACTATACTCCAGAAAACTTTGTAAGTTATCTGGGTTGTTTGTAGACGATATTGGTGGGGAGCTTGAGGCCGTTGACGGGTAATTTGAGTCTGTTGGTGAAAGGTCTGAGGCTGTTTGTAAGGGGTTTGTGACTACTGTTTGACCAAATGTCTAGTTGATAAATTAGAAAAGAATTATTAATACAGACGAAACGCATACTTCTCAATTTATCAGACTTACTCTTCTCGTATTGTCTTCAATATAGCTCCATGTGATTTCGCTTAATGATAAAGCGGCATTTGAGGCAATATCACTGAGTTTTTGGTTTAAATCCTGAGCAGTGTATTGAGTCCAATACCTTTTGTATTCTGACGCAAAGTCAGAATTCTCTTTTTTTCGTTCCTATAAATGCCAGTGAGAATTACATTACTTCGATTATTAAAAAAAGATGCAACAACTAACGCTAAATAAATCTTTTTGCTTTTTTGCGATCTTTTTTTGCTTTTGGGTACCATTCTTGATTACTCTTTCGAGTATGATTGAATACGTTAAATTGGTCCTTGACATGTTTCTATTTTTAGCTTTTGCGAAGCTAAAGTAGTCTAAGGATGGATTCTTTTTAAGCTCTTGAATAACTGCAGAATTTAAAGATTTTTTTACCATCCTCAATTGAAAAAAAGAGTAAGGTGCTGAGGGAAGTAATTTGTGGTTACTAAAAAGCATGAATTTTATTTTTTATTTTGAATGTCCGGCATATAAGTGCGTACGCTGTATTTGATGACGTCTGCTCCATATGATGCATGCGTCAACCCCAACTCTTTCTTTTTTTCTTTTTCCCTCTCTTCCTCTTCTATTCTTCACAGCTCTCATATAATGACGTCTACTCATCTGCTGGTTCTTCATTAAGGATTCTCAAGAATTAAAGGTAATTGTCACTAATTTTACTGACAACTTGATCTAATATTTATTTGATGGTACAGCCGTGATGCTATGAATAAATTGTGAGCACGGAATGCGTAAACTAGGACCTGTAGCTCCAACAGCTCAGGCTTTACGCATTTTGGTCCCTGCCTTCTTACTTCCCTTATTTGCTACTTAAAGTATTTGCTACTTAAAGAATGGCTGCTATCAGTAAGGGTAAGGACAAGACTTTTGTTCGGTTCAACCCGCCTGTTTATGGTGAAATCAAAATGTACCGAGGGTGGCCGCTCGCAATTCCTATGTGTACAAGGATTATGTTACTCTTTGAGGTGATTGAGTCGATGATAACAGAATGCGCAAACTAGGACCTGTAGCTCCAACAGCTCAGGCTTTACGCATTTTGGTCCCTGCCTTCTTACTTCCCTTATTTGCTACTTAAAGTATTTGCTACTTAAAAAATGGCTGCTATCAGTAAGGGTAAGGACAAGACTTTTGTTCGGTTCAACCCGCCTGTTTATGGTGAAATCAAAATGTACCGAGGGTGGACGGTCATCGATCTTGTGCGCATGGTTTGCATCAATATTGCTTACAAAATTTCCGTACTCAAATATGCATTAAAGAAGTTAAGTTTATTATTTACAAATCATGTAAAACTTTTTCAGTAACATCTTTATTTATAATTATCAAATAGTCTTACATTGTGGTTGAATTTTGGTTCTTTTTCATATACCTATCGTTATGTCTAGCAAGAAACCGGTTACTGTTATCATCTCTGTACTTATTTCTGGACTTAAACACTTTGACCAACCTTCAACGAACAAGTTTAGTATTCGCTATACGAAAAAACAGAATCAAACTGAACATAATACTGGTTTTGTTGGATCAAATTATAATGATAAACATTCTTCTAGTTGATAGTCTAAATTGCACCAGAGATTCTAAATATCTATTAATTAAAATACTTCCGTTTTGTAAAATTCGTAAATTTGCTGCTAAATATTATTTATTTTATGGTCACAAAAGAAGTCTTCAAATGTGTACGATATTCTTTAAAATTAATTATAAAAATTTGTAAAACTTTTTTTTTATAAAACAAATATAATAAGAGTTACTAAAGGATCACCAAATTATATATATTGTAAATTATCAAAGAATTACTTTTATCGATAGATTTTAATAAAATTATTATTTACATCATTTAAAATATTATATCTATTGAATTATTAAAATGATAGAAATAATTTGTCCTCATTGAGCAAAATCAGGGGATGTTCGCCAATCTCATAAGGATTGTACTGCTCATATTGAGCGTTCGACTGTTATCAATCAGCCTACATGCAGTAGTTGTGACCAGTCAGACCATAGACGATCAAATTATCACTCCTGTCCCATGTGTTTTGATTAGCAAAAAGATAGAGAAAGAGAAATAAACAAAAGACAAGTCTGTGAAAACTTTGTATAGTTTATCAATAATACAAAAATTGTACAATTAAAAATTATATGGAAAAATCAACGGCTATTTATATGTTTTTACAAGGTAAGTGTTATCAATGGAAATATGATTTAGATAAGCAAGTTTACTATAATAAAGTGTTTTACATAAAACATTGTCTCCGAATAATTCTGCGATCAATAAGATATATCTTTATTCCTTTTTTCTCCCTGAGTTGTCGCTGTTCCTAGAAACATAACGAATCATTATTATTGAACTGCGACACATCAATATTAATTCTCAGTGAATATGTCTAGCTGCAGCAATACCAATTATTTATGAGTTACTATCATTATCATTGTATAAGATTTCATTACTTAACAATATTCAATATTATCAATGTATATATGATATGTATCACTCAAGAACAATTATGTAATTGAATACACCAGTCATAATCCTGTTTGAATTATGTATATAATTATTATTATTGCTCGAACATTCTAACAATGTCTATTATTAAAACTGAATGTAGAATAAATATTATGCTGTGAAGTTCAATATACTAGTTTTATGTGAATAACCTCTTTATTATGTAATAAATGATGGTTTATTTCTGTTAATTTAGTTATAAAGACGACTGCAATCATAACAATGTTTTATGATCAAACATGCGGATCATAAATTCATTTAAGAAATTCTATCCTAACTCTCTCTTAATCCGCTCCATCTAATAATATTAAAATCACTAACACTTCGTTGTCAACAATATACCTAATTCGGTCGTAACTAACACTTTTCTGATTCACATCTTATCCTCAGACCTCTATAACAATTCTTATAAATACCTCATCAATTTAAATTCATAAAAAAAAATAATTGACTATAGAATTATTGTTCAGTCTCGTTGACTCTTTTTGTCTTGATATTATTTTTTATTTGATATTTTAAAAAAAAATATCACGGTGCGCTTAAAAAAGACGAGGTTCACTAAATGTGCGTATAAAAAAGACGAGGTTCACTAAATATGCACTCAAAAAAGACGAGGTTCACTAAATGTGCGCATAAAAAAGACGAGGTTCACTAAATGTACACTCAAAAAAGACGAGGTAAAATAAATATGCACTCAAAAAAGACGAGGTAAAATAAATATGCACTCAAAAAAGACGAGGTTCACTAAATGTGCGCATAAAAAAGACGAGGTAAAATAAATATGCACTCAAAAAAGACGAGGTTCACTAAATATGCACTCAAAAAAGACGAGGTTCACTAAATGTGCGCATAAAAAAGACGAGGTTCACTAAATATGCACTTAAAAAAGACGAGGTATCGTGATGGAACGTAATACTTTAAAGAAAAACAAAAAGAGAAGAGAAAGAAAAAGGAGAGAGGAAGGAAGCTAAAGAAAGTATACTTTGAGCCTGTTTTTATTCAATCAAAGAAAAATAAAAATAAAAAATAAGAATTTAAAGTTAAAGGTTGTTTTGTGTCTACACAACTGCTTGTATATATATTAATGAATCCTGAATCAAAGAAATAAAAATAACCGTCAAAGAACATTGTTGTGGTTTAAGTAAATTTAAGAATTAAAATATAAATAAAAGAAAACAGACGGGAGACGTACGTTGAGACTTGTCAATAAGTTTTTATTAAGAGTTAAGTTCAATTACGATCCAAGTATATTATATAAAATAAGAGTTATTAGTGTAAGAGTATTTATATATTTTGTAGATAAGGATGATGAGTAATTAGAAGAAAAAAAATATAACAGATTGTATTTGATAATACAGTTATAGAAAGAGAATGATTACTAAGATTGTTATAGATCTGCATCCATGTCTTTTGTATATATTTATTTTATAACTAGTATGTGCTCTCTGAGTAAAATCAATTATTACGCGTACTTGCATTATTCTTGATTTACTCCAGTTTAACTTGGAAAGTTATTTTTATAAATCAATATTCAGCAAAAGAAGATATATTTTTAGATGTAGGACTTTTATTAATTATTTTTTCTACACAAGAGTAAAAATACTTAATATGTCTATAGACATAATTATCATACAAGTGCACTATATGTACTATTATGACTATTTATCTTATTGAATTAAGTTATAAATCTTACAACCATGACATCAACAAGTTTTTAATGTACTTACTTAACAATATATTGTTCTCGACTTTATTGGTTTTTGGTTGAGCTGGTGAAAGATACTTTTTGTAGATGAAGGGATTATAGTTAATTCTTTCCTTTGGAACCAGTATGGGATTTTTTTCTGATAAATCATAACAGATTTCTAAGTCACCATAGCTTTCTAATTTACTTCTTGCTTTTATAACATTATTATCAGTAAATTCCAAACCAAATAAAACGCATAATGCATAATCGCGAGAAACATTCATTTTTAATTGAAAGAAAATGGATTCTGCAAGTTTACCTCGTTTTTATTTAAGCGTATATTTGGCTTACCTCCTTTTTTTAAGCTGAGGCTTGGTTTACCTCCTTTTTTTTTTTTTTTTTTTTTTTTTTTTTTTTTTTTTTTTTTAAGCTGAGGCTTGGTTTACTTCGTTTTTTTTTTTTTAAGCTGAGGCTTAGTTTTGTTATAGAACAAGTTCTGGATATAAGCATAAGTAATATTATAATAGATGAATTACATAATAGAGGATAAACTATAAGCCTGAATATGAAATAAAACTCTGTACATAACATCTTGTAAATAATATAAAACTTATTGACATCCAATTGTCTAAATGTATCAATTATAAGACATCATTGTAATGGAATGTAATATAATAAAGAAAAATAAGAAGAGGAAGAAAAATGAAAAGAAAAAGAGAACGAAAGAAAGTATAGTTTGAGACTGTTTTTATTCAATGTAAAGAAAAGATAAAATAAAAATGAAATAGAAGAATTAAAGGTTAAAGATTGTTTTGTGTCTACACAACTGCTTGTATTTATATTAATAAATCCTAAATCAAAGAAATAAAAAATAACCATCAAAGAACATGAGTCATGAAACAGTGTTAGTATTCATATATACGTCTTGTTGATTCAAGAGACTGATTTATGGATTATCTATTGGGTGTTATAATGATCTGATTGAGATTTTAAATAAAAACTTTTTTGTTTGATCTGAGTATATGTTCCTGATATCTTTTATGTTTTATTTTATTGGATCAAAGAAGACCTGAATCCTTTGTCAAGGTTATAAAAATAAATATGTAGAAATGATATGATGTCTTATAATTGACACATCTAGACAATTGGATGTCAATAAGTTTTATATTATTTACAAGATGTTATGTACAGAGTTTTATTTCATATTCAGGCTTATAGTTTATCCTTTATCATGTAATTCATCTATTATAATATTACTTATGATTATATTCAGAGCTTGTTCTATAACAAAGAGGTCTACTATTTTTATAGGGTTTATAATCTTTCCCTAACTTACGTCTCCAATATGTTTGAATAGTAGATTCATGTACAATTTGATCAGGGGTAGCCCAAGAATCGTCATCCTTGCTATAACCCTTCCATCGTACTTTATATTTTATGTTTTTACTGGTACCCTTATGATCTAATATACCTTCTATTTCATATATTTCTTCATCTTTATTATTATCGTCAATACAATCTTGACTAATTTCTTTTAATTCAGAAGGTGAATAATTCCTGGACATTAACATTCCAGTTTCGTCTTGAAGTACGTAAGAGCCACCTCTTGTTTTGCGCACAACAGAGTAGGGGCCTTCGTAACTTGGTGCTAAGGATCCTTTTAAAGTTGGTATTTTTATCATTACTGGTGTACCAGGTTTAAAATCTTTAATAATATTTATGTATTTATCGTATTTTTCTTTCATGTTATTTATATATTTGTCAGTTATGTCTTTTATAACAGGGAATACTACTTCTGACATATGATCTATTCGATCTATTAGTTGCTCATATGTTATTGGTTTACTATTTTCATTTTTATCTTTACTATAATCTTCAAAGGGATTCATTTTTCGAGCAAACATTAAATTGAATGGAGGCGTATTTAATCTTTTTGATACTTTATTATTCATGGCTAGCTGTACCCCGGGAACAAATAAATCCCATTCAGGTCCAGCGCCCTCAACTGCCTTTACCAAAGCTAATTTTACAGTTTGAATATATCTTTCACTAGGCCCATTGCTTCTGCTATTATATGGAGTAATTAAATTGTGATCTATGTGCATACTTTCTTTTAACAGTTGCATTATCATAGTATCAAATTCATTATCAGAACTTATAGTTCTAGGGTAACCGAAGTCACTAAACACTTTTACTAATGTATCAACAATTGTAGCAGCTTTTTTATCTTTTAGACATCGAAGAATACAAAATCTAGTGCAAATGTCTATCATGACGAGTAAATGTTTATAGCCATTTTTAGATTGTGGTAGCTCGGCCAAATCAATGGACCAATGGTCGCCCGGTATGTAACTATATATGGGACGTAATCCATGGAAACCACGCTTTATAATATTATGCTTTTGGCAAGGTTTACAAGATTTTACTAATTCAACAGCATCTTCTAATAAATGCGGCCAATGTAAGCCATCGTTGTGAATAGCTTTTACTATACTTTCGGCACCAAAATGTCCGAATACATGAGCTTTTGTTAGAATAGCTCTTCTTTCACTTTCTGGTGGTGTCATATAATCCCCACTTTTATATTCTGTATAGTTTATTTTAAATTTCTCATTTTGCTTTTTGATGTTTCTAATCTTTTTACAGCTATCCATTTTATTTTTCTTTTTATATTTTATTTTATTATATTTATCGAGGGTCATATCCTCCCCCAGTTTTTCCATAGGTGGAAATAAACGGCTTAATCGATCCGCCAGAACATTATCTATGCCTGGTAAGTGAATAACTTCAAAATCATAATCTAATATATCATCAAGCCAGTTTAACATCATGCTGTTAGCATATTTTTGTGTATGTAGATATGTTAATGCTCTATGATCAGAAAATATTGTGAATTTAGTGCCATATAGAAACTTTCAGAACTTCCTTAAGGCAAATACAATAGCTAAAAGTTCTCGTTTCGTAGTGCTGTAATTTCTTTCTGATTTAGACAAAGAGCGAGCCATAAAACCAATATATTTTATTACTTTTTTTGTACCAGTAATAATGGTATTTTGAGACACTTTATTATTAAGATTGTTATTTTGACTATTACACTTTAGTGTCTTGTTATTATCGTCATTATCATCCTTATTATTTGTATCTTTGTGAGTTATATATTCCTGACAAAGTACTGCGCCAATACCGTATGCTGAAGCATCGGTATAAACCGTGAATGGATGATTTAAATCAGGAGGGCTTAGAATTATGTTAGATTGTAAGATATTTTTTATGGCTTCAAAATGTTTCTTATGGATCGGTGTCCATTCTTTGTTAGTTATATTTTTTGCATTTCGCAACTGATCTAAAGGTGCCATCAAGGCTGCAGCATTAGGAATATGATCTCGTAAATAATTAACTAAACCTAAAAATTGCTGCATTTCTTGACCCGTTTGAGGTGTTTTCCATTCCTGAATATTAGATAGTTTTCTCGTATCTATCTTTTTTCCTTCACTAGACACTGTAAAACCCAACAGATTAATGCTTCTTTGAGCAAAATGACACTTCTCGATGTTTAAAATCAAGTTTACTTTATTTAATGTTTTTAGTACTTGTTTTACATGGATAATATGTTCTTCCATATTTTTCGAAAAGCAAACAAGATCATCAACAAAGAAGGCTACATTTTCATTATTCTCAAAGATGCGTGTCATGACTCTTTGATATACATTACTAAGGTATTTTATCCCAAAAGGACTACCTACAAACATGTATTGTACGCCATCAAAAGTAAATGCTGTTTTTTGTTGATCAGCATCATGAATTTTAAATCTATGGAAAGCACTCATGGCATCAAAGGTGCTGAAGACAGCGTTACCAGCTAACTTATGAAAAATATCAGGTATATGTGGTAGACTTTGCGCATCGTCATCAATAAGGATACGATTTAGAGCACGGGTGTCTAAACATACACGTTTATTTTCATCTGTTTTATTACCTTGGCTATCCTTTTTTGCAGCAAGTGTTAAAGGTAAGTTCCAAGAAGTATTAACAGGAGCTTTTTTTATTGTACCATTTGCTAACCATTCATTAATACTTTCACGCAATTTAGGCATTAATTTATAAGGTATTGGGTATTGTCTAATATTGACAATTTTATTAGGTGGTGTATTTAAATGTACAATTGATTCAGGAATTGTGCATAAATTTTTTACTAACTACAGATACTTCACTACCAGTATCAATTAAACCAATTGCTCTAATCTTTTGAATTAACAAGGGAGTATATAGAGAAAATGGATTATTAGTTAACAAGTTATTAAAATCTTGTTTTATACTGAAGATTTTTTTACCTTCTGTTTCATCCATGGCGTCGTCTAATAACTGATCGACGTCTTTTGCCCATTTAGATTTATTTAGATCTTTAGATGCTTTTATGGAACGAATTTTCATATTATTTTGTTTTTGTTCTTGTTTATCAGTTTCTTTAGGTCTTTTCTTGTGTTCCATAAATTCCTTGCATCTGTGACCTTTAAACCATGGCTTGTTACAGAATTTACAGTTTTCATATTTTTGCTTTTTATGGTTTTCATAAGATGGCTTACTTCTATTTGTAATTTCACGTTTGACAGAAGTGTTTTTAGAGCGTTTACCATTACCATTTATTTGATCTTCGTAGGAGCCTTTGTTGTTAACTTCTAAACCTACAACAAGATTCTCCACGTCATGGAATGATTTCACAGCAGAAAAGTAAGAAGAGCCATAAAGACTTGTTAAGCTTGTATTTATACCGATTTGTAGATAAGGTAACAAACCGTTTATATACATTCGTGCTAGCATCACATCATCCTTGGCTTGAGCTGCTTTGCAAATTTGGACGAAACTTTTGCCATAATCTATGACAGGCTCATGTGGGTACTGACGTAAGTTTGTTAATGCTCTAAACATTTCTGTAGCTCGTGCAGGCGATTCAAAATGATGCTTTATCTGTTCTTTGGCTTCTTCGTAGGTAATGTCTATTCTTTTTTCGATGGTTTCAGTATACCAATCAAAGTTCTCATTACCTATACACATAGCAAGACTATCCTTCCATTTACTGTGAATGTTTGCATTGCACATTCTGAAGACTCGTTCAAAATTGACAAAAAAGGAATCCACATTTTGGAAGGCATCTTTATCATTACCACTTTTACCATTATTATCATAGGACAATAATTTAAATTTTGGGAGCAGTTTTAATAAAGAATGGTCATTATTCTCGTAGGTGGTACTATATTTATCACCTTTGGGAATATTAACGATATAGTCTTTAGAATTATAATTATTATTATTATTATTATTATTAATATTGTATTTACTTTGATCTATTTCAGCTTTAGATGCAGTAGGTTGTTGATTTAGAGTTTTATGATATAGCTCTTTTATACGCACAAAGACTTGTTCAGCTTTGTTATGCTGTTCACGGATTTCATTGACTTGCTCTTCTGTAGTATTAGCATTTAATAAGAGTTCACTTTCTTTTACTCTTAATGCTTCAACTTTATCATAGGCAATTTTACATTTTTTGTATAAGCCAGTTATAGAGTCGAAAGTCATAGCTTTCTTCTTGACAATAGAAGGAGAAGGTTCAGAAACAGGATGCTTATTTGCGGTAGTAGAGGTACTTTTCTCATCATCCGTGTCCATCCTTTCATATGAAGGTAGACCCAGACGTAGGTTATCAGCTTCATTTATTGCTTCCTTGACACCATTCTTTACGTTCTGTCCCTTTGTGTCTTTAGGCTTGGTAGGGCCCATAGGAGTATAAGCAGTGTATACACCCTCAGTATCAAAAGTAGGAGTTGTTTTAGGATTAATCATGTTCGACCAGATAGCAGTTTGAATTCACAAAAAAAAAAAAAAGTTGTATAGTTAAGAATATAAAAAGACAAAATAAATCGTGAGACACAAGCACAAGTGAGAATAATTTTATTAGAAAACGCTACTATATACAGACTAATTTTAATATGAACTATCAACTGTTGGAGCATTTCAAACTAATCCGCTTATTTTTAGGGGATTTTAAATGTTTTTTTTTTTTTTTTTTTTTTTTTTTTTTTTTTTTTTATTTTAGCTTTCGTTCTTGCAATAGTTGATTTGGATGTTATTTTTAAGCAAAATCTTTTACGGAAATTTAGTCATGTTACTTGCAAAAGAACCTAATAAAAACCAGAATTGTTTGTTTTTAGCGTTCAAGTTATAGGAATTAGTTGGGTAAAAACAATAAATAATTAATAACTAAAATAAGAGTTTATGCCTGTTTACTTTTTATGTATTTCTCCCAATGCTTTATAAATAAATGTGTTACTATCTAAATACAAACTTTTATTTTATTCATTTTTAAGATAATGCTTTTTAAACAAGTACGCTATTATCATTAATAATTTTATCTAATCTAATCAAACATTTTCAGTAAAAATATATAAATCACAAACTACATTTATGTGTGATTAAGAATTTAAACCAACATTATTATTGAAGAATGCACATGTACATTTCTTGGTAATTGTGACTATGAAGGATATGAGTTTTTTTTTTTTTTTTTTTTTTTTTTTTTTTTTTTTTTTTCTTATTTTATCAAAGATATCAAGCATTCTTAATACTATAAATTAATAATATAGGTATTAGGATGGATATATACAATTGTCATTTAATTTCCAAATGATATGCACAAGTGCACTATTTTTCAGTTGTCAAAATAAATTATTGTTACTGTTTTGTTTAAACCTTAAATAAAAATAGATTAGATAAAACTGGAGAAAAAAGGTTTTTCTCCTCAAACCCGAAAATAATTTTCACTTACTTTGTAAAGAAAAAGAAATCATAGTAAAAGCAATTTTTTCGGAAATCTTTTCTAGTTTATAATAGAAAAAAAAAAAAAAAAAAAAAAAAAGAACAATATAAATCTGTATACACATAAATAGGAAGACCAACAAAAAAATTAATAAAATAAAATAAAAGGTGAGAAAATACGGTCTCAATAAATAGATAATTGAATTCTTATATTATTTTTGACTTTTTTTTTTTTTTTTTTTTATTAATTAGTCAATCATAAATTCATACTAATTTTGGAACAGAAAGAAAGAAAGAAAGAAAGAAAGAAAAAAAAAAGAAAGCTATAAGGATTGAACCCATAAACCACATAGAGAGAAAAGTATTTTATCATATTTAAAAAGAATGAAAAAAATAGGCCTTCCTAAAGTAACATAAAGTTAGAGAGAAAAAGAGGTATTTCTTCATTTGTGCAGTATATCAAACAATGATAAAAGGAAGAAAGGTTTATTATATTAGACAGTATGTGCCTTTTCTTTTTTTTTTTTTTTTTTTTTTTTTTTTTTTTTTAGTATATTTCAAACTCCAAATAATAATAATAAATAAAGAAAGACGTTATTGTCGGAATCTCTTCTTGACATACAGATGTTAATAATATTAAATTGTGTTATATATAGATATATTTATAAATATTTATTTCTTTTTTCTTCGCTCTCTCTCTCTCTCTTTTTTTTTTTTTTTTTTTTTTTTTTTTTTTTTTGAATTTGTTCCTATAAATTTAACTTTGATTCTATAGACGACTTCAACAATTAAGTGTATATATCTTCATTTTATTTAATGAAATCAACTTTATTTTATCTTGCAACACTTTTATTAACATCAGTTGCTACTGCCGATACAATCCAAAAAATCCCTTTATATTATAAACGATCCAGTAAACCCGATTATGCACTAGGCGAGGCCGAAAATTTACAAAATGGAATGCTAGGTGGCGTTGTTGAGATTGGTAACCCACCTCAAAAGCTTATCATGGCATTTGATACTTCCTCTGGATTTTCTTGGGTACGCGATATTCATTGTGACACTAAAGACTGTCGATGTCGTGAAGCATATAATCCTAGAAACTCAACGACATCTATCTCTACTGGTCGATCATTTGAAATGGATTATGGTAAAGGCATCGTTCGTACAACCCTCTATAAAGATACCTTTAGGTTTGCAGGATTAACTGTGAAGCATATGCCCTTTGGTGGTGCGTACGATATGAAACATTTTAATAAAGGATTTGATGGCTATCTTGGTCTCGGTAGAAATGTTGACCTTGATCCACCACATAAACATCATTCAAAGCGTGATCTTAGCGATTCTGGCTTTATTCCTAATGCTTATCAACAAAGTACTGGGTTAACAAGTGCACAGTTTGGTATGTACACTACTATTTCAAGTGGTAGTGGCTTCTCTGATTCTGGCTTCTCTGATTCTGGTTCTTCATCATCCAATTCTGGTCCTACATCATCTAATTCTGGCTCTGTGTCATCCAATTCTGGTTCATCCAGTTCTGGTTCATCCAATGTAACACCAGGTGGTTTTGGTGTTTTAAAGCGTTGTGTAAATCAGCCTGCTGGTTATCTTGTTATTGGTAATATAAACTAATTATGTCACTTATATTAAATACAACTAACCTAACTTATAATATATTTATATATATTAGGTGGTGTTGATTATAATGCTATCAAAGGAGATTTGTATTATGTCAACATTGACGATAAGAAATCTAAGACTGGTAGTTGGGAAGTTCCTGTAACAGCTTTCAAGTTCAAAAATGACCTTCGTTTCAATGTGAGTCATAACGCAAAGGCTGTTTTCAGTTCATCTACAGATGTTATTGGATTACCAAATAAGCAAGGTAAATTCTTAGAAGAAAGATACATAATTATGTTTATATCTCAAACATTGTTTTTTTTTTCTTTTTTTTTAATTATTTTAGCCGAGATATTTAGAAAGCATTGGTATGCTGAATACGATGAACCAGATAATACTTTTAAAATCCCTTGCTGCTTAATGGATCACCTCACTTCTCTCCAGATTACATTTGGTAATGTAAAAGCGACTGTTCCTCCTGGATATTGGAGTAGACCTCGTAAAGTGAACACTTGTTGCGAAATGTGCCGTACTCATATTGGTAAGAGTGACTCGGACACTGATTATGTCATTGGATCAGCTTTCACCAATGCTTTTTATACACAATTTGATATGAGCGACAATAAAATTGGCTTGGCTATTAAGAAGCATCAAGCTAATAATGGACTTAAACTATGTAAAGTTTAAAATAAAATCGCATGATATAAAAACAAAACCAATATAGGTATATATACACATATAAAAATCTATCTATTTCCACTCTCACTATAGATCATTAAAGATGCATACTTCCAATGTTGAAAGAGTTACATTATTTAATTCCTTTTGTTTTGTACTACTCAACTATTCTACAAAGATAACAATATATAATAATAATAAAAATATGTACTCTTCCCATAAAAAGTAAATTATTTATTATTTTTATTTGAAACAACTGAACATTCGAACTTGGAAATTTAATTAAGTCTAATAAAATAACGAAGATAAAATAGATGAGCTTATAAAAGTGTAAAATTACAGTAGGAGAAATATATACAAATATGCAAATATGCATCTACATACACATATACATATACATACACATATGCAAATATACATCTATATACACATACTATTTATATACAGCTATATACATATAATATACTAATGCTATCGACTTTAGTCATTGCTATAATAATATTTATCCGCTGTTGAACGATAATAGTTATTTTTATAAAATAAAATTAGAAGCAATAGTTTCTGTCTTATTACTTTTAGTTTAAGAAAATCTCTCAAATAGTTTGCTGACCAATCCAATAAATGTTTGTGGCTTTTAGCTGATGTAGAAAAAAAAAATTTTTTTTTTTTATTGTGTATATAATTTTTAAATCTTGTGGCTTTTTGTTTATTTATTTTTCTTTCATCTTTTCTTTATTATACGCATATTGAAATGGTTGCCTAGTAAGTTTCTTTTATTATTAAAAAAAAAAAAATAACCATTCAAGAGCGTTATTCTTTTCTTTTCTTTTTTTTTTTAAAAAAAACATATAAAGATGGGAAATAAGTATGCAATTGTAATTCTTTATTTTAAAACCTAAAAGAAAGATTCTTTTGTCTACTTTTTTTTTCTATCTTTTACAAAAAAAATGTTGACACTTCATCTCCATTTTACTGGAAATTGACACCTTCCTGGAGTTATGAAGGAGCTGAGGTTTAGTGTTTTTTTTTTCATTAGACCTTTAATATTATTATGTTCGTGTTTTACATTCAGGAACTTCTTTATTTTTTTCAAACAGTTCTTTCTGAATGACACGCAACTAAATTTGTATAGCTATTATCTATACATCACTTATATATATGTATAAGGATATGTAGCTTGCTTTTTTTTGTTTTTCTTCACTGAAAAAAAAAGAGAAGCAGGCTATTAAATTTATAGTCGTCAATTATACGCTTTTGTGGGAATTATTTTAACGACGTTTTTTTTTTGTTTAAAAAAAACAGTGTCACTTAGAATTATTCCATTAAGTGTGTGTATGTTTGTTTATTAACCTTTATAACTTTTTTTTATAATAGTAACATTCCTACAGTTAATGATGTTCTTATTCCTGAAACTCTTTTAAAGAAGAGAAAAACTATGGTTGCTTCTGAGGCTGCTACTGCTGCTCAAAAGACAGAACTTAGAAAGGCAAGTATTTATTCTTTTTTTTTAAAAAAAAATTAAAAGAATAGCAAATATGATGAATTGGGTCTACACCCATTTTATTTGGCTAGATTGCACTCGATGCTGCCTAAATTAGTTAACCATCTTTCGGGGCTGATTTTGTTTAATTCTTTTAAATTTTCTATTCTTTTTCTTTTTTTTTAGTATATAATAACTAACTTGTCTTTTTTTCGTTATTGATTAATAGGCCAAGGTAGCCAAGAGACGTGAAATCTTTAAGCGTGCCTCCAAATATCAAGCTGAATATAAGGCTGCTGAACGTAACGAAATTCGTCTTCGTCGTCAAGCTAAGGCTCAAGGTAATTATTATGTTCCTGCTCAAGAAAGACTTGTTTTCATTGTTCGTGTTCGAGGTATCAACAATATTGCACCCAAGCCTCGTAAAGTTCTTCAATTGTTGCGTCTCTTGCAAATTAATAATGGTGTCTTTGTTCGTCTTAATAAGGCTACCTCTGAAATGCTCCAATTGATCCAACCCTATGTTGCTTATGGTTATCCCAACATGAAGACCATCCGTCAATTGATTTACAAGCGTGGTTATGCTAAGGTAAATAAGCAACGTATCCCTATTCATGATAATTCTATTATCGAAAAGGCCCTTGGTAAGTACAACATCATTTGTGTTGAAGATCTTATCCATGAAATTGCCACTGTCGGTCCTCATTTTAAGGAAGCCTCCAACTTCCTTTGGCCCTTCAAGCTCTCTAATCCCAATAACATGTGGAGAGAACGCAAATTCCTCAACTTTATTGAAGGTGGTGATACTGGTAACCGTGAACAATTTATTAACAAATTGGTTCAATCTATGCTTTAAATTATTTTATCTGTAAATATACTCGCTTTATTTTTTTTTGTATGGTAATAAAATCATATTATTACTGTATAATGTATATATGTTATTATTTTTTTTTTTATAAATATCAATAAAATATGAATGTTATACAATTTAAGGAGTGAATCAAATTATAAGCTATTTTTATTCTTTTTTTCTTTTGTATAAATGTATAAAAAAAAAAAAAAAAAAAAAGACCATATAAAGAATGAATTAAAAGAATGGAATGCAAGAAAGAAAGAAAGAAAGAAAAAAGGAAAAAAAAAAAAAAAAAAAAGTCCAGTAAAGAGAGATATACTAAAATAAAATAAAAGGAATGAATGGTGTGTGTGTGTGTGGTATATAAATTAATTTAAATCCATTTGCTGTGGTTGAGTAGAAGAAACTCGATGTCCTGCAACACCAACAACACGAAGACGCTCCAACCATAATTCAGCACGTTCAATGGTATCAGAAAAAACATTAGATACAGAATGTATCATTTCAATCGATTCACCACCAAAATTCAATAATTTGATTGAAGTCTCTTGAACATTTGTGTTTACGGGCTTTATAGAGGGAGAGGTGGAAGGAGAAGTTGTGTTTGATGAAGTCGTACTATTATTTAAAATCGCCCAACGTGTTGGTAGTGCAAGAATAAATCCACGTACAGCTGCTTTAGCTTGCTCAGGTAATCCTGTACCAGCATATTTAGATATCACATCAACTACTTTACGAAGTGTATCCACTATTTCCTTTTTTATTTTTGTTAATGTCGAAGATGGGTTATTATCATAAGTCGTTACTTCCTTTGTAGTGTTGGATGTTAAAGAGACTAAAAAATCACGAAGTAAAGTCATCTGCTGATCAATATGTTGTGAAGCATACTAATAACATTTATAGTTGGGGTTAACTAAAATAATAAATATGTGTGCATAGAATGGGAATTTACCTGTAGCCAACTAAGACAATACTTTAAACATTTCATACTTTCTTCACTTATAACTGCAGCCGTTGTTCCTGCAGCAGAAGAAGCATGCATAACAATTTGATGCCATTTACTACGTACAAGGGGTTGTTGACGATATCTATAAGGCATAGCTTTTGTAATACCATGAGGTCTATGAGGAGATGTAGATCGGGAAGCATTACGAGATCGAGCTTTGTCTATTTTATTTTATTTTTCAAGTGTTAAACAAATAAATAAATAAATAAAAATATATTACTATTATCATTTTTTACTTACATTCTTCATTTTCTCTTCTTCTACGGATTCCTCCTTCTATATTATCATCAACTAATGTAGCTCTAGAAAGAGCAAAAGTAGCAGATCTTGCGTCATCATCATCTTCATCTTCCTCAGTATCCATATCTTCCTTTTTCATTTCTTCCTTTGGATTAACATAATGAGGATATTTTTCTCCTAACTATATTTACAAGTGTTTAATGAAAAAAAAAAAAGAAAAGAACTGAGTACTAATTTATTACCCTATCCAGTTGTTTGCAACCCCATTCATCAACTCCAGATAAAGCATGTTTACCAAACTTGTCATAAATAGGGGCTGCAAATGATTCAACCATTTCAGCACCATATTTCATGACAGAACTTGAATTCTTTGAATTTTCATAAGCCTTTAAAGCGCTGTTAACAATTGGAATATTAGAGACTCGATGGATAAAATTTGAAGATTGTCGCTGTTGACTATCTTCGTTCATAGTAGAGTCACTTGAAAATGATAATCGTTGTTCATTCATTGAGGAAGTAGTAGGTGTAGGTAAAGGTGAGCTAGGCGTGGTAGAAGGTGTTGAAATGGGTGGTAAATTAATAACATTTTTATGTTTTAATCTTGCCATATCACCTAATACTTCTGCTGCTAATTTTACATCTGGATCTTCTATATCGTTATTATGAACAAGTTGTGTAATTGACATAGGTGAAGTTTGACGTTGTTGCGTCATTTTTATTTAAGAAATTAGAAAAAAAAAAAAATAAAATAAAGAAAAGGAAAAGGGAAAAAATAAATAAATAAATATTTTTCTTTTTTTTTTTTCTTTATTTTTTTTTTTTTTTTTTGGGGAGAAATCAGAAAACAGGTATTAGCAGTGTCGTGATTTTTATTTGTTTATATTATTTTGAATATGTGTACATATTTTTGCACGTGAAAATAATACAATTTTTTACACTTAGAATTCAGATGATGTTAGTTTTTTTTTAGACGAATCAAAATTAAAATTTAAATAATACATTTACCTTTTTTAGACAGAACAAGGAAATTCAGACAGGAAAATGTTAGCTTTCGAACTTTTTATTATCTATAATAACCTAAATCTATAATGTTCATAATGAAAAAAAAAAAAAGTCAATCTAACAAGATGCTTAGATCCATCACTTCATCAACAATAATATGATCACTTCTTTATTGTATTCATATTAGATTCTCTTAACAAATGTACAAGTATATTATACGTAACAAAAAAGAAGAAATTTTAAAAAAAGTGAGATGCAATCGAATCAGAAAATATAAGTAGGTCATATATAACAGAGATGAGGTTAAAAGCTCTCCCTAATCCATTAAAATAGAAATGACGTGTGTGGATTGAAGAGAGCAGGCCACTCGCTCAACAATAAACACATAAATAAAGGAAATAAGAATCACAAAGAAAGTTTGCCAGAACAAAGTAATCAATACATTTAACTATTGGTTTTGACAAGCAGGGCCGATTTTATTATTCTTATCTTCAAAGAAACCAAAAGTAGAAGCTTGCCAAATTCTAAATGGGCAGAGAGAAAAAACCTCTTATAGTCCTTGGCTTTGGGATGTTTGAAAAAAAGACCTAGTAAAGCTCAAAGGCAACATATATGATATCACAGGTATGTTCTAGTGAACTCTTAAAAAAAAAAGAAAAGAGAGAGAAACAGTTGTAGACTTGATTGCTGCCATAATTGATGAATATAAAACGTCTAAAATATGCAATCAGTACAGTAACAACGACCCTTTAACACATTTTCATATGTCAAAAGATGGCATTTTTTTTTTTTGCTTTACAACTACCTGCAAGAGACGGTGACAAGGCTATGTCAACACGTCCAAAAAAAAATATGCTTTCTGTATGGAATGCAAGAGGACATTCTTCCATTCATAGAAGGAATTAAAATAGCATCTTTGATCACGATTCCCTTTTAGAATAAATAGTTTTTACAAGTATGATCTATAATTCATCCATAAAAACTGTATCTCTCAAGAAACCTAATAAGGTTTTATCATCATTTTTGACCTGATTAAGGTAATTCATCATATCTCTCAAGCATGGTTTCACATGGTAGAAAATAAATCCCTATAGACATCCTTAAGCACACTTGATTACCCCATACAATTTTTTGTATTATTCTCCTTATGCAGAGTAAAAGTTACTTGAAAATAAAGATAGTAAAGGTTTCATGTTCTATGAGAATATAACGAGTGTTTTATTATTATATTTTGTTTTGTTTTTTTTGAATTCAAATTTTTTAACAGATACATTATTTACAGTATTCACTTTTCTTCATTTAGCCCATGATCCGTATCACAAGGTTATACACATAAATCCCCTTTTATAAAAACACCTAAAGATGCATTCTAACACTTTTATTTTCTTTTCTATTATTATTAATAACAATATGCAACAGTATGATGTATCATCATCACAACATAATACGGCATCTCTGAATACTAAACATGTATCTAATATGGATAACATAATGATAAATTCAGCTCAACAGCAGACTTATCATACTAGTCCTCTTGATAGCTTAGAGGAAGAAGAAGACGTTGCTCAAAGAAAGTAATATTATATACATATCTACTAAATAAATGAATAAAAGTAACTCAATAGCCACTATTGTATAGTATACAAATGATGTTTGAAAAGAAAAAATATCGAAGAGAGTCACACAATGCAATTGAGAGAAGAAGAAGAGATGATATTAATGAACGTATCAATGATCTACTATTTCTTTTACCGAATAATAATCAAGACCTGAAATTAAGCAAAGGTACAATTTTAAAGAAATCCGTCGATCATATCCACTCTTTACACGATAATTTAAGACTACAACAACAAAGAATCAAAGAGCTTGAAGCGTTAATAGAAATGCATCAACAACAAAGTATAATGTCAAATGTAATTAACCTAACCTCAATTGCAGATTCTTCCTTACTAAATAAAAGACTAAATTATAAATAAGTCGTTCCTTGAAATATGTAAATAAAATATATAATATGTAATATATTCATATAGCTTTTTTTTTTTTCCTTTCATTCATTCTTTACAAATATAAAATAATGGCTGGACTCTTTTCAATACTATTATCAATAACTATGGTGATAGGCCCTATTGTGGGCTATATCGACCAAGTAATAATAATTACAATAAAAATGCTTTAATTAAATGTTATAAACATTAATATTTACATGTAAAAGTATTTTTAATTAGACGAAAGCAATCAAGTGCTGGTTTCAATATTATAACTTGTGCTATCCTTCTTTTCGCAAAGTAAATATATCATACATATTACATGTCTTTTATTTAAATTAATTTAAATGTATATAGTATTCTTCGAATCTTTTTTTGGTAAAAATAACTATTATTATTTAAATGAATACAATGTGTATATGTATTGAATATAATATAATACATAGGTTAGGAAAACGATTTGAAGTAACACTACTTTTACAGTCTATTGCAATTATTTTGGCAATGTTAGTGTTATTAGAAATTGTAATACGCTATAAACATGATTCCAGTTTTGCAGTTCTTTATAATGAATTGCATCACTCATTTTCTTCACTTGAAGAAGAAGAAGAAGAAGAATGGTTAATAGGACAAGAGGAAGAAAGACAATCCAATTCTATCAGCAAATCTTGTTGGCGTATGCCATTTTGGAACTGGGATCATTATTTGGATTACATCAATTGCTTATTAGTCTTTACTACATTAATTGCACTCCTTTATTTATTATTACGTCGATATTCAACTTTTATTGAAATTTTGGGATTTCTTAGTTTAGGTATTGAGTCTACACTTCCACTTCCTCAGTGTATTTCAAATTTTAAGCGTAAATCGACTTCAGGATTCAGTTTATTAGTCTTATTAACTTGGGTAAATACGAGTTCGATATACAAACACTATCATGTATTATTCAAACTTTTTTTTTTTCTTCTTCTCTTCTCTTAGTTTCTGGGTGATGGGTTTAAGTTGTTTTATTTCATTTTCAATAAATCACCACTCCAGTTTATTATTTGTGGTGCAATACAACTTACCATTGATACATTAATTGTGTTTGAATTTATCCTTTTTTCGTCATTTGTCAAAAGTAGACTTAGTAAAGAAAATTGGATCAATAGAACAGGCAATAATAATGAATGTAAGTTATTATTTTATATACGCATGTTACTTGATATCCATTTTTATTTTGTAGTAGAATACGTTGAAGCCTAAAAAAAACAAAAGACAGAACAAGTTGTAAATATGTTACAAAAAATAAACCTTGTTTTTGTGTGTGTGTGTGTGTATGTGGGTAGATTATTTAAAAAAAAAAAAAAATGTTTGTTTTCAGTTTTTTTCTTTTTTTTTTTTTTTTTTTTTTTTTTTTTTTAAATTATTGTATTTTTATCTCTTTTATATATATAAATATATCTTTTTCTCTTGTTTCAATAATTACAGGAATTTAACATGGGCTGCTGTTCATCAGTACCTTCTAATGATGATAATCGAGAAACAACTAATTGCACATCAGAGCAATCTCAATCACAACCACAACAAACTACAGAAAGTATATACATATATAATAAAACTCATACATGATATTTGCTAATATATATATATATATATATATATATATAGTACAGCAACATCAAAGTTCATTATCAACTAAAGAACTATCAATACATTCAATAGAAAAACAAGAAAATATAACGACTACAGAATGGCCAATATGTGTTCGACTTTCAAATAATGGACAAGATATTCATATAAAAGTTCCTACTCAACCTCCTTATTTAACTCTTGCTGGACTTCGACGTACATTATTACCTCACTTGGAAAGTATAAAATACACTCGTGTCAAATTTATTTATTTAGGTCGTATCTTAACTGACCAATATGTTATTGTACCTACTCAGCAATCTGATCCTGACTCACCTTTACCCCCTCCAAAAAATCGTACTATTCAAATACAAAAAGAAGGCGTCATTCAAGCTATGATTTTAACAAAATAATTCCCTTTTATTTTATTTATTTTTTCTTTCTTTTTCTTTTTTTTTTCATTTTTTCATTTTTTCATTTTTATGCAAGTTGCATTTCATGAAAATCTTCTGGTACAGCTTCTAGTTCGATACCTGCCATTTCCTTAAATTTCTCAATATCTAATAAATAATAGAAGTGAATAATCATAAACTAATTTACACTAATTCTTCATACCTAATGGCTTTCGTTTCTTGATTAAATATTCTGTTATTTTCATAGGATTTAATCTCTCTTCCTTATTAAATTTAGTTCGAATTTGTCCTCTCGTTCTACCAGGCATCATTTGTGATATCATTTCAAAGTCTGTGCCAAATTGTGACAAACACTTGATGACATAATAAACGAATGAATGAGTACATAATATAAATAGTATTCCTATTTATTTATCTTTTTTTTTACCTCATAAAATAATTCAGTTTCTAATGCATCCCATTTAGAAGACTGCTTTTTTTTACCATAGGTTTGACTATTCACTTTTCTTGACATACTATTTTCTTCAACTATTTCTCTAGGCTCTCCATCATAGTCGTCTGTTGCTTGTCTTCTCTCTACTACTAATGTATCTGTATCCAGTACAATTTCACCATTCACAATTCGTACTTGAACAGCATTCGATCTATATATACAAATGAGTTTAATATATATATATATAACAAACTTAAATAAAATAAACTACTTTACGTTTCTGTTAAAACATTCCTTTCTGCTTCACGCCGTCTTCTTTCTTCTTCTTTTGCCTTTTCTGCTAATTCTTTCTTTCTAGCTGCTTCCCTTTCTTCTTCTTCTTCCTTTTTCCTTAACTCTTCCAATTCTTCCTGACTCATGTTCTTCTTAGCTTCCTCTTTCTTTAAAGCCGCCTGTCGTTGAATTTCCATTTCTTTAAATGTCTTTGAAACAATACCATCAATGTCCTTTGTGAATTCAGACATGGGCTTATCAAGGTATTCAATCTTTGCTGGATCTTCATGAATATCATCCAATGTTCTCATATTTTCAACAAGACGAAAGTCATCCTCATCTCTACCACCTTTACGTCCCCTTTTCTTTTTACCGCCTTCATCCTCTCCTGATTCACTTTGAGCTCTCCCTTGTGCTGAATCAGATCCTGCTGATGAAGAGGAAGCGACTGCTGGTATTGAGATACCTACTGAAATGGCTGTTGCTTTTCTTTTCGTTGATTTTCTATTATTATTATTATTTGAAGAAGATTGAGACTTTCTTGTCTTTTCTTTCCCTTTGCTATTCTTTTTCTTCCTTGTCACCTTTGCTTTTCCTTTCTTTCGCGATGTTTGACTTTCATCATAATTGCCATCACTGTCATGATCTGTTTCTTCTAGTTGATACTCTTCTTCGTCATCATCATCATCATCATCTTGTATTTCTGATTCTTCTCTCATTCTTTGGCTTGGTTTAGCTGTTTCTTTTCTTCTTAGCCTTTGTCTTCGTTCGACTGTAATAATATTTACTTCTTCTTCTTCTTCTTCTTCTGATGTGTTCTGTGTCTCTTCTTGTCGTTCAGTCGAAATCTCTCGTTCATTGGGAACAATTCGTTGTTGTTGTTGCTGCTGCTGCTGCTGTTTTCGATCTATATCTATATCAAAGTCTTCATGATCATCATCCCCTAATAAATCAGCATAATCCATATCATCATCTGATGATTTGATAGGTGTCTGTATTCTGCTGCTACTACTACTATATAATTTTGACCTCATATCAGGCGTAAGACGCTCTACTTTTAAATTAGGTGCCTGTTCGTCTTCATGATAAACACAATCCGATTTTTCTGTAATAGGTGCAACAGGTGAAGGTGCATTGGTTGGAGACGTGGGTTGATTTAGAAATGAGGGAGTAGGTAAGGTATTACTATAATTAGACACTGTATGTGAGGGTCGACGACGACGATGGACTGGTCCAGATGCATTGATGGCCATTTCTTCTTCTGTCAGTGGTTCCTTTTTAGCATTCACAAGTCCAGGAGAGAGTGCAGTAGTAGGTGATGATGGTGGTGGTGGTGGCGCATCCACAGTGTGTGAAGTTGTATTAAGCGAGGAAGGTATAAGAGTAGGAGCTGGAGCAATAGGAGTGGGTGTCATAATAGGGGTTTTAACATTGGTAGAAGATGATTGTGTCTGTTGTTGTGATGGAATGGCTGATTCTGAAACATGATGGACTGCATCCTTATTACTGTTTACAGCCTTTGGCGCTGTAGATTTAGATGATGAACTATTAGATTTATTTCCGCTATTACGATCTTTACGTTTAGCAATCTTGGGTGCAAAGCCTTTTTATTTTTATCTAAAGAAAAAAGAAAAAAAAAAAAAAAAAGACAATTTAATAAAGCATGTACATGCACATGCACTTTTTTTTTATTTTATTTATATAGTTTATAGATATTCATAACTCAAAAGAAAAAAAAAGTACAACTTACTAACTGCAATGCTTGTTAGAGAAGACATTATTTATTATAATCTTAAAATAATTGAAGAAAAAAAAAAAAAAAAAAAGGATCAAATGAGTAGCTTCATACATTTTTTTTTTTTTTTTTGAATATAAAATTATAAAACATTTATACGTACACCCCTTCGCCATATAAATTTATGCATCATAGACATGATTTATTCAAATCGAACCAAGCTTCAAAAAATATGTATATGTGTATATCTATTTGTATACATATACATTTATACATGTATATCTCAAACTTGGAGACACATTATGCTCCTGTAATAGTAACAATTAAAGGTTTTCATGAACACTTTCAAAAAATAGAAAAAAAAAAGAATTTTCAATAGTAAATTTTGAATCTTAAAGCGCAAAGATAAAATGATGTAGTTTAGTTTATTAACTAAATACTATACATTTCGCTGATAAAAAGGAATCATGTCTGTCTTTAAAGAAGAAACCTTTATTTGAACTTTTATATTAGCTCTCTTCAGAATAATGAAAAGGGGGTGGCTTAGCTTTATTGATTTTTATTTTTATTTTTTGACCCTTTTTTTTTTTTTTTTTTTTTTTTTTTTTTTTTTTTTTTTTTTTTTTTTTTTTTTTACACTGAGTTCGTATTGATCTAGAGACAGTATTCAACAAACAAAAGTTTGACACATTATCAATCAATCTATTTATTCTTTAACATGATCATCTTTAATTAAGCTGAAAATTGAAGAGTAGTAAAAGTACAGTTTCTTCTTATTCATTGTTGTTTAAATAAGCACTCGTTGATGTAATAAACCTATTGAGATAGATATGAAGTCTATCGTGATCAAATACGTCTGATAAAGAACACGTTTATCAAAACTCAAATTCATGTGAACAAACCCTTCCTCAAGAGCATAAGGATACTTTTTTTTTTAATTCTAAAGATGAGTTCCTTTGATATTTATGGTGGAGCAGGGCTTTCATAAAAGTAACTGATTCAGAGACAATACTTTCTCTGCCAAGTGTAAGATATCAGTTATCTGAATGTATATGATTTGCTAGTTCCTGGAGAGAGTGAGAGAAAAGAGTTCTAGTGATAGCGATAAGTGGAAAAAACGCTATTATCAAGACTCTTACAAAAAAAAAATATATATATATATTTATATATATACAAAATAGAGTACTTTATCTTGTTACAGCTTTTATAAAAGTTAAATACAAAGTGCAAATAAAATAAGTAATTATGAAAGATAATAATAGGCATAAAAAGTAGTCAGTAAAGATGTATTAGAAGAAGAAATAAATTCATTCTACAAGTTTAAAGAGAGCCATAATAGTATAGTATACAAAATTTAATGATAATAAAAAAAAAAAAAGGTTCTCCTGTTGTGTTTATTGACTTGCATATACATATAAATATATGATATTCCTTTCTATTTTGACTTTAATTAACAATAACAGGATTGAAGCCGGACACCAATAATAACAATAAAAGGGAACCTGCGTACAAAAGTATGACTATCATATTATTGCTGTCTGTTTTCCCGGTAACTTATTATTTAAGCTTAATCTTGAAATAGTAGCTCCTTTCAATTTACAATGTCACTCTAAATCATACTTTTTAATTATGTCTTATTTACTACTTTCCGCTATCCTTGATAAGTATGATAAATGATAATATTATATACATAAATATGTGTTGACTACAATAATATGCTTATTATTATCTACTGTGTACACTCTTTAATAAATTGTTAACCAATTGTAATGCTCCTATGACGTAAAGAAAAAATAACCTATTATTTTTTTTATTTTATTTTATTTTATTTTTTTTAGCACAATAAGTCTAGATTTATACTATTATTATCCTTTTATTTTCCAATATTAAAGATTTAGTTTAACCAGCCTAATCCATTCTTAATCCATGTACCATTTTGAGTTGAGAATAAATTTAAAATATTAACTATTTCCAAACAAGAATGTTCGACGAATTGAAAGGAGGAAGAGAACTGTTGTCGGAGTTTAATAATAGAGGCTAAGGTAAGGATTAATTTTGGATCATCCAACGAATTTTGTATGACATTAGAAATACATGTATTCCAACAACAACAACAACAATTATTATTCATGATGAAAGTTGGACGTCCTTGAGCTATAAATGTACAGAGCATTGTAAGGAATTGTAAATGAAGCCAATTCTCAAGATATTTCTCGGGAATGATTTGTTTGATAGCGAGGATGGAAGAAATGAGATGATCTCCTGCTAGAAACCAATCTAATTGATAACTAGTTAAAGAAGAAGACGCTTTAAATAAGGAAAATGTAGAATAAACTAATGCTTCAAGTCTTTCTTCTACTGTCATGGATTGATTTATCCATTCCTTCATATAGGATTTAATGAGATCTGTTTTGCTTTTCAATAAAAGCCTGAGGGTGGATTGAAATGTATCATTTCCTTGAATTTTACCATCAAAACGTGGATCTACTGAAATGAAATCGAATAAAATATGATCTCCAAATCTTTCCTGTTTGTCATTACACCTAAACAAAGAAGAAGATGAAGAAATAGGATCCGTGTCAAGAAGAATAAAAGAGACATCAAGATAAGAAGACGCATGATATGCAAGTGCCTGGGTGATTATTTCTGGAAGATCATTCTCAATTCCAAAGGCTAATTGAACTAAAGGCTGAAGTTGAGATCCAATAGAAGTTTGTATAGAATAAAAATACGTGTTTAATGTCTCCTCTAGTCCTAATAAAGATAATTGTCGATCAAAGAATATCAAGTAATCACCATAATATCTTTAATCCTATTAGCTGCTGAACTTTTATTATCGTTACACTACTACTCCTACTATTGACTTACGATGATAGGCCGAGAAATTCCTGCCAATTATCTTGATGAATCACCACGTTCTTATTTTGTTGTCTATAAAGACTATGTTCTACATTCAGTAATGCCCTTTGATATGCAAAAGAGAGTTGTTCCTGTGTTGCTAACAGTGGCAGTAATGACAATGAAGAATCAAATTCATATTTATTATGTATGTAACTATGGCTTTTATTTTATTTTATTTTTTATTTTTTTTACTCATTTTTACCTCCTAATTTATGAAGTTCAACTAAAATTCGAACTAAATTATTAGGTCGATCTCTTTTTTCCATCTGATACAATACATGATTTTCATGTACAATATTATTGAATACATTTTTTTGAACATCCAATGTTATTTCCTTTGAAGCCTGAAATACATGATATTGAAGAATAAATTGACGTTGTAACATTTAACTATTTAGAATAGATAAACAGATTAAAAAAAAAAGAAAAAGAAAAAGAAAAAAGTATAAATATGTATACATAAGTGGCAGCAGCCCTTTTTATATGCAAAAATCATCATAAGAGGCAAATGTATTTTTTTTTTTTCAATTTCAGCATGAAGAAATAAAATTCATTTAACTTCAATAAATGATGAAATGGAAAAAAAAAAAAAAAAAGATTTGACTTTAGAAATGAAAATACGTAACTCTGTAAACCTGATTATGTTGCTCAAGTTACACTTTTCACTTGAGGAAAAAAAAAAAAGATTCAATTTGTATACAAAGTGACCAACTTAATGAAGGCAACACTATTGGCAGAAAATAATACTTCAAGAAGTCTACATTCAGAATAAATACAATTTCTTCTTTAAAATAAAACTTCATGCACCATAGATAAGATTTCAAAAAGACCTTATATATTATAAGAACTTTTCCAAAGAAAAAAAAAAAAAAAACTCCCCACTTTATCTCATCTCTATGATTTATGTCAGAAAATAAAATTGTTTATTGTTAAAAGGATATTATAAGAAGTGATCTAATAGAGACAACTAAATTGGTATATGATAGTCTCGCTTGATAAAAAGGTAGTAGATCGATAGAGTTAACTGCTACAACATATATAAGTAAAGGAGTGTCCTGTCAAGATTATATTTTTATTCAATTCCTTAAAGATAAGAGGATGGTAATCATACTATGACCTCAAGAAGTACACTACTTTTTATAGTTGCCCCCATTTAAATGCTACAGATAAATCTTATCCTTGCTATGATTGGCTAAAAAATAAAATAGGGTGTGACTAGCATTACTACAAACTGGACAAATACTTTATTCAACTCAAATAGTTATCCCTTCGCCTTCTTCTATATGACTTTTTATTTTCATTACCCAAAGAAGTTGTCAGTCATTCCCTCTTTTCTTAATTTAATAAATCCAATCCATCTTTTATTTTTTCCTTTTTTTTTTTAAAAAAAAAAAGAAGGATCTTTCTATTTGCTTATTCTATTGTAATTTGCATATAAAATATACTATCCATGACATAATAAAAAGGTGAATTATTATTGGCTGCTATGTTGTCTAAGAGCAGTATATAATTTATTTATTTTTTTCTGACATGTTGATTAATCGTTATTTGAGATGAAGATTTTACTTGTTCATGTAACCAATAAACAAAAATAAAAAAAGAGAGTCTATTCTCATCTTCCCTTCTTGTCTTGGAAATAAATAAAATAAAAAAAAAATAAAATAAAATAAAATAAAAATAAAATAAAATAAAATAAAATAAAATAAAATAAAATAAAAAAAGAGTGCGCGGCAATACGGAAGGAGGAGGAACCTTGATGAACTGATTGGAATGAAATAAATAAAAATACTAAATATCAGCTAGCCATGATGAATAAACATACTCTTTTATGCACATGTATATGTTTACTGGTTTGTTTGTTTGTTTTTCTCTTTTTATTCTAATAAATACACATGTTATATATTCTGTTGATTACAAATCCACATTTGAAGGAAGTTTTTTTTTTCTTTTTTAATTCTTGCGTGGAACTTCAACAACCAAATGTTCACCCTTGGTATACATTTGACTAATAGTAGCTTGACGTTTAAGGATAGCTAATTCATTTTCAGCCTTTTCGATAAAAGCAGCAATCTTTTCTGGTGAAGTTTCTTTCATATTATCTCTAAAAGCATCTCTTGAGCGACGATTGGCATAATCTCTAAAGTTATATGAAGCAAATTTGTGGCCATAACGAATGAAATTACGATAAAGAGAAAGCACTTTTGTTGAGGTAGAGGCAGCCATATTAAGTTATAATAGAAAGAAAGTTTAAAAAAAAACAAAACAAAACAAAAAAAAATGGATTTGAGTAGACTACTTTAATATTAGTAATAAAGCATGCCCAATACAATTAAATTCTGACTTGTAAAAAGGAAAAAAAAAAACATGGAGTCACTCTTTTTTTTTTTTTTTTTTTTTTTAACAACAATTTTTCTAAATTTTATTATTATCATCGTTGTTGTAATCATCCTTTATAATTTTTTTTTTCTTTTCTTACTTATTTTATATTGCTTTTATTAATGAATAGAGAAAGTAATTTGATTATTTATTTTATCGTGTTTACTTTTTTTTGTTTTAATTCAAGTCTATTCTACTATTTTGTTGTTAAAGAAAGTAAGTTTTTTTTTTTATATATATTTATATATTTATTCACTCAAAAAAAAAAGGGGGATAAATATTGTGTATTATTTTTATTTTGTATTTTTCACACACACATTAAAAAAAAAAATAACGTTTTTTAAAAATAGTGACTTAAAGTTAAAACCTATCAAATAAAATCTAGGTAAATTATAACAAATATGTATTTTTTTTTTTTTTTTTAAATTTTATTCAGTTATATACTAGTGTGAATAATCTATTTATTTATTTATTTTCTTTCTTTTTTTTTCTCTCTCTTTTTTTTTATTTATTTATTTTATTTTGTATATTTTGTAAATAGTTATCATTCATGAAAGATACTTTATTTGAACTGAAAGAAACATCAAAAAGGGAGAACGTTACTTACCATTTTCAACCTAATCAACATTTTAATGCTATCAAACATGTCATTATTAAACGTTGTAAACAAAAATTACCTCGCATTAGCCCTCCACCACCTCTTCCACAACATGTAGGTGGATTACCTTCACCTCCTGCAGAAGAAAAGAAAGAAATGATAGAGGAAGAACGATCACGATCACCTATAATAATTGAAGAAAAAAAGAGTTTGAGTAGTCATGAAATTAAAGAAAAAATCGAACTTTTAAAAGAAGAGAAACACAAGTTATTCCAACTTATAAAAAGAATGATGATAGAAGAGGAAGAAAATAAAAAACGAGAACGATATTTAAAGCAACAAGAAGAAGAAGAAGAGAATAGAAAACGATTAATAGAAGAACAACAAAAAAATGAAAAGCCTTCAAAAAAGAAGAGTAGATGGGCTCCTATTTCATCATCAACAGATAATTCATTTTATAATAACAGTCATCATCATCATTCAGCAACTTCCTCCTATTTCTATTCTTCTACTCGTTTACCTGCTCCAACAAACAGATATAATAATAATACGCCAAATGTAATAAATTTATAGTGAAAAAAAAAATTTTTTTTTTATTTTTTTATTTTATTTTTATTTTATTTTATATTTTTTTTTCGTTATACTGATTTTATTTTATATTATATAGCCAAGGATAAGACATTATCATATTCCATCAAGGTCTCCGTATTCAAGATGAAAGCTTATTACTTTTCTTTTCTTTTTTTTTTTTTTTTTTTTTTTTTTTTTTTTTTTTGTATATATAAATAGGATTTTTGTATATATTTTTATGTGGTTTGACATTTTATTATCATTTAGATATAATAATATCATTATTATGTAATCATTCATTTATTCATGTATGCATAAAAGTTTATATTTTTTAATTTACTACAACTACAATTACTACTACTACTACTACTACTAACTAACTACACTAACTACACTACTCCTCCTCCTCCTCCTCCTCTATACTCTATTAACAATAATAATAAAGCATGGTTATTTTTATTATATAATAAAATTGTATACATATGAATGAAAGGAATCGTATTATATACATACATGTATATATTTATATATACATGTATATGTTTAAAGCATAGTAGTAATAATAAAGTGTCTATAATAAATCATATAAATTAGTTTGATGGTTTCTTTACAATCCAACAATTAAAACGTGAAAATCCATGATAATCATCAAATTCCAATAATACTTCTTTAACAGCTATTTCGTAGTCCTCTGGTGTAATTCCCCATTTTGATACATAAAAACCTTTTCTATTTCGAAGTGATGCTTTTTGAATTTCTTTATTGATAAAACCAAACTGTTTCAATTCTATCGCATTTATAAGATGATTTATTGTAAGAGTAAATATATATATATATACATGAATAAATACAAAAGAGTTACCTGATTCTTGTGGCCATTCACCAATGGGTATATCTAATGTGCGATGATCTATTTCTTCAAAGCCATTTGATTCAAGTTCTTTTTGAATGATTGTTTCTGTAAAAGTAAAGTCTAAATTATTTTCTGTACATTGAGATTGATAAAATTCATCGAATGCCTTTTGAACTGGTCCGGGATTATGATGCCATAAATCAGCTTCAAGTAATTCAATTGTACCACCTGGCTTAAGGACTCGAAACATTTCATGAAATACATGTCTCCATTGATCTTTTTGTATATTTTGTCCCATATTTCTTTGAAATACACTAATAAAAATAAAAATGAATGAATTCATGTAATGATAATTCCGTTTTTTTTTCTTTTTTCTTTTACAAGTCAACCGAATTAGAGTCTAAAGGCCACATTTTTGTAATATCTGCTTCATAGAAATGTAAATTTTTTGGTTTCCCTTGTTGATGTTCAGAAGGAGGTCGTAAATCAAAGCCAACGACTTTTGAATTCATATATTCTGAAGCTATCTCCAGGGCCCAAATACCATTCCCAGTACCAGCATCTACAATCGTCATATCATCATGTAATTGAGCCCATGTATTTGATTTACGAGCACTTTTTAATAAATAATGCTATTCATATTTCATTATTATCCTATTCTCTTCTTTTTTTTCTTTTCTTATTTTACCTGTCTTTGAAGTCGATCATATTCTCTAAAATCATCTTGTACAAGACTCTTTTTACGACCTGAAAAGAATTCACTAATCGATTGTCTTCTTGACTTGGGCTGCGGTGGTGGTGGCATTAATTGGATAGCGTTATGTTCATCCACCCAATCATAGTTGGCTATCGTCGTCTTTTGCCCTTTAATCATAATACCATGTGTTGCTGACGAGTGTGGTTTCCCTCCTAAAGTAATCGTACTTCGTCTTCGATTGCTTTTCGTTGTATGCTTTCGTTCTTTGGTTTTTTCAATTACTTTACTAGCTTGATTTCCCATTTAAAAAAAAAAAAAAAAAAAAAGATAATGTTTAAGGAAAGGATTTGAAATATATGTATGAAAAAGTTTTTTTTTTCCTCACTATTTTCTATGATATATGTGTATATATAAAAGAAATGAAGTTTATAGATAGAAAGAGGGAAAAATATTATAAATAAATACATATTTTTAACTAAATAAATTACTATCGGAATAACCAATCCGGATAATGGAGCTTAACGTTGTACAAGTTGGAAACCATAGAAATAAATTTACTTTTATATCATAGAAAATACAAGAATAATAAAAAAAAAAAAATAAAGGTGATAAATATATAGTTTTAATTTAATTTAATTGATAAAAGAGAGACATCTTTATACACATGAATATTTGTAAAGGAAGAATAGAGTAGAGTACAGTATACTATTTCTTGATTCGTTTTATATGAATCCCATCTCCTTGTTTAATGTTACTCTCATTATTTTATATTTGTTAACATATTTATGGCAAAATGAAATAAGTTTCCAAGTCTATATAAGGAAACTGTCCCCCCCTTTTTTTTTTGTTTATAATAAAAAGGAAAATTAGCTCATAAAGTTATATATATTTAATGGAATAACACTAATAAGCTCTTCACTGCCAAAACGAGATTGATTTTCATTAGGAAAGGGGCTCTTTTTTTTTTCTTTTTTTTTTTTCCGAATAGATCCTTTTCTCTTATTATTAATATTATGTCATCACCTTTCTCTACTTTTTTTTTCCTATGATGCAAAAGAAAAATAATTATTTATCCTAAAATAGAGAAGGTCAACAAGAGTTTAACCTTGTTATGTACAGCAGTCATAATAATCCGTTAAAATAAATGTACTTTATTTCTAATTTACTATTAAAAAAAAAAGGCTGTTATTTTAAGCATTGCTAAAGTTTCCCTTCCCCTTTATAAAAGAAAGAAAGAAAAAAAAAAAAAAAAAAAAAAAAAAAAGAGGGAAGGGGTAGTAGGAGGAGATAAAGTTGTATAATAAAACAAAATTTTATTCTGTACTAAAATGAAAAAAAAAAAGTCGTACTACATAAGCGTATTAAATAACAAATCACTACTTTAGCAGCAATAATAGAATCGATATTATTAAAAATTAAACTCCTGGTTAAATAACTTTTCTAAAAGGTCTTTATACTGTCTTTGCCATGTATTATTTGAATATTCTTCAATGATATTAGCTCTAAATTCATCCAGTTTTTTAGGGTTTTTGACAAATAATTCCTTTTTAAAAAATAAAGTTAATATATCATGTATTGTAGTGAGGAATAGATACAAATTACCATAAATTGTTCTGATAAATCTTGACTGTTTTGAAATACAAGACCGTTTTTACCATCATGAACTAATTCATCCAAACTAAAATAAAAGACAATAAGTGATTTCAAGTATAAAATAAACTGGGCATGTTATTTTTTTTTTTACCATGGAAATGTAATAGCACAAACAGGTAAACCACATCCAAACATATCTACTACTTTCATAGGTAAATCCAGACCACTTGAACTTGTATGTAATGAAACACCTAAATCTGCACTTCCAAGTAATAAAGGATAATCTACCGTCTCCAACCAAGCTGTAATAATTCGGGTCTTTTTCAATGCCATCCCTTTTATCTTTTCTTGATAAAATTTCTTTTGAGGCCCATGACCGGTGATGACAAATAATAAGCGAGGATCAGTTGGTTTTGCATTGGCTTCATATAATTCAATGGCCTTTAACAAGATTGAAAAATCTTCATCTTCTGTCCAAGAGGTAGAGGAGACGATTAATTTCGGTCGTTCTTGTCTCCAAACCAATTGATTTTCCTCAATGTCAGTCAATAAGGTCCCCCTTTTCGGATCATTGTAATTTCCTAAAAACTTTTCTCCATCGTCTGTAGTCTCCTTTACAAGTTGTTCAATGAAGCCAAGCGATCCACTAAAATGGCGATGAATGTGTTGAATATCAAGTCGTCTAAAATCAGATTGAGGTTTATCACGCACCGTCAAGATCTTTCCTTGTACTTGCCAGTGTTCTTCAAGTTCTCGATGCATTGCATCTGTGACAGTTAAATGGGCAAAGGCAGATTTACCGTATCTTTGTTCATACCATCTTGCTAAACGTACTATCTTATGTTCCATACCAAATTTTAGACCTAAAATCGAGTAACCAAAATTATGCCAATCAATAATAAACCATGATTTACGTAAAATGGCAACCAATTTGCCAATGATTAATGTAGGTATTGAAGGTGGATTCTATAGAAACACAAAAGGGAAAACGTTACACGTATATTTCTTTTTTTTTTTCCCTCTTTCTTACCTGAATAATAATAAAATCAGGCTTTTGAGAAATACAAGCCATTACCCAAAAGAGTTGTAGAGTTAAAAAGATGGCCTTAAAGGGAGCCCATATTAAATAACATAATTTAGGATATCCTTCAGGAATAGACCATGCTTGTCGAATACGTCTTATACGAATGTGTCGATTCACAGTAACTCTTGCTCCAGGATTGGTTTCTATAATAATAATATGTTAATTTATATATATACAATTGACTCTTTCAAATTTTATTTTTATTTTTATTTATTTTTTTCCTTTACCTGTATAACCAATCAAGTCAACTGTACATCCTGATTCTGCTAATGATGTAGCATGATAACGCATTCGCGGTGAACGACCAATATCACCCAACACGACTACTTGCACCATCAATCTTCTTCGTAAACCTGTACTTCCTGTACGATCAAATACATACATTCCTATTAATCGTCCCAAAAGAACATAAACACAAAGAACTGCCATTAAGGCACCCGTTAATGTAAAATATTTTGAATCTTCATCATTATTATTCATGATGAAAAAAAAAAAGAAAAGAAAAAAAAAACAATAAAAATAAAAGTAAACACACAAATTATTATGTTTTATAAGAATTTTACAACAGCGTTGTTGTCAGACTTAAAGTATACAAATATACATTTATATGCGTATGTGTGTGTGTTGTGTGTTTCTAGCGGAAATTTTTTATTTTTAATTACAATAAAATATTTACAAATTATTTATTTGAATAAATAAATGGTAAATATTACAAATGATCTATAATTTTACCATCGTAATATCATCGTAAAAAAAGGGATGTTCTTCCGCCTTACCAGCACTTATTCTTAATGATGGATCATATTGAAGCAAAGACTAGTTAAAAAATAAAAAATAAAAAAAATTAGCTGCAAAATAAATAAATACACATATCATGATCATGATTACTTTTAAAAGATCATATGCTGTATCAGAAAAGTCTAGACAATCTTTATATCGTTCTAATGATTTCCTAATATCTTTGCCCTTGAATGCTATATAAAACATAAAGTTGAATAAAATGGATACATTTTTAAAAGGGATGAATACTTACTTGGAAAATGCTCATTATAATCTGGTAGAGCAGAAACACCGGGCCAAACTTCTTCAGTAGGTGTACCTAATTGTTCAAAGATTCGAAACAAGGCATCAATCTGGGATGCGCCTATATATACATATAAATACATGTTAGATTGATATCAATAGAAACCAACACAGCTATTTTTTATATACCAGGAAAAAGGGGTGATAGTGTCATCATTTCTGCCATAATACATCCTGCACTCCACATATCTACAGCAGTTGAATAATGAGGGCTCCCTAACAAGATCTCTGGTGCACGATACCAAAGTGTCACAACCTATTTCAATGATTCATTTATATACAAAGTAATTAATTAAAAAAAAAAAAAAAAAAAAGGCCAAGTTAGTTACTTACATTATGGGTATAGGTTCTCAAAGGAATGTTGAATGATCTAGCTAAACCAAGATCTGCAATCATTAACCTTCCTTGTCGGTCAATTAAAAGATTTTGTGGTTTTAAATCACGATGAAGGACACGATGAGCATGACAATAATGAATTCCTTTAAATAACTGATGCATAAAACTCTACAATGAAATAAAATAAGATAAAATAAAAATAAAATCATATTCCTCTATTACTTTTATATGATTCTTTGTTAGGCCCGGTCTTTGCATTGTATCCATATAGCGTCGTAAATCCATGTCAGCATATTCAAATACCATAAATAATTTTGTTTCTTTATGAATCAAGTCCTTTAATCTATACATAACAAAAAAAAACTTGCTATTTTAATTTTTTTTTTTTTAACAAGAAAAAGAGAGGGAGAGGACCTACTTGATGATATTTTCATGATTTAATGATTTTAGAATGGCTATTTCGCGCAAGGTTGTAGTAGGAACACCTTCATAGGCACACATCTTTAATTTCTTTAATGCAACAGGTTCATTGGTCTTGATTTCACGCGCTTTAAATACAACACCATAAGTGCCTTCACCAATTTTTCTAATCTTTTTAAAACCTTCTACATCGTATGGATCGTCCAGCTCATCCTCATTGACATTACGTTTTCGTTTTTCAATCTTTGGAGGAGGTCCATTTTCTTTATTTGTTTCTTGTTGTTGTCGATCAACTTGTTGTTTCGTGATCAACACCTCAGTTTGCTGCTGATCTTTTTTGGTCATGGCCATTTCATTTTTTTGATCTTTCAGTACCATCACTTCATTTATTTGATTCATTTTTTTTGTAGCAAGTATATTTTTTTCTAAAGTTGGATTAGTACGACGATGATAATCAGTAAGCGCCATTTGACTAGAGGATGTACTTGATTGAGACAAAGTTTGTTGAACATTGGGTGGTGGTTTGTCTAATGTTGGATTAGGAAAAGTAGTCTGTTGATTATTCTTCAACACATCCTTAGACATTTTTATTATTATGTAGTGTAAGGAATAAAATTTCTTTCCCTTTTGTTGTTATTTGATTTGTAGTCAATGGATATAAATAAAATACGTGAATCTAACTTGAATAATTAATCTATCTATCTATCTTTCTGTTTCTTTAATAGCCTAAATAAGCTTTAAATCAACCAGAATAATAATACGTCTATCGAAGGAAAAAAAAAAAAATTATAATAATGAAAAGAGGATTTTTTTTTTTTGTTGATTTCTTTTTATTATAATGATTTATATTCCCGACATTTGTAGCAAATAAATCTTCTTCTTGCATCAGAAATAAGGAGAGAGAGAGAAAGAGTCTTAAATTAGAAACATATGCGAATGTTCTATAAGGAATCAGTTAGTAGAGCGTATTATAAAGTAGACTTACTTACTTAATACAAGACAATGGCTTTTCTCTCTCTCTCTTCATAACAAGACATATTGAATTCCAAATATGTATATAAATATATCGAGATAGTGAGTGGGTGTGTATGTATGTATGTAATTAGGGAATAGTCTGAGTGGTGCACATCTTTGTTTTAATTTTAATAGTTTTGCTGTTGTGATTGTAATGAAAACAATCATAAATGTATACACACGCACATATGCAGAATATAAATACTATTTTTTTTTCTTCCTACTATCTTTGTTGAGCAATAACATTTATGTTAGTTTGAAAAACCATTTGTTTCTTAATTTCTTTTTTTTTTTTTGCTTCTTCTTCAATTCTTAAATAAATAACTAAAAAAAGGGTAGAAAGGATCTTATAGTCAGTCTTTACATATGTAATAATAATATCCAAAGCCTAACCTATATTTTTAAAGAACAACGCTTCCCTCAATCGAATAGTTATTATTATTATTCAAAATAAAAAGTAGGTTATATATTCGGATTGTACGAGTGGAATGATTGTAGCATATTTGTTTAACAAAGGATCCGCTTTTAATACCTCTGCACATTTTTTGCTCTATCGTCAGCAAGATGGAAACATCTCCTGTCTCTTTATCTCATGTCATCGTACAAAATCTAGATGTGGATTCATGACCAGTGCTAGCTGTTACTATAAAAAAAATATTAGAGGCAATGCATTCAGATAAAAGTTGTTGATTTAAACTAGTTCAAATGGTGAAAGCAAGACGAGAGGCTACTTTAGATGACGGAAGATAATAAATCAAGACGAGGAACGGTAGCATTCCAAAAGGGTTTTAAAAGTTATTCAAAGCATTGCCCATTCGATATCTTCTTTTGAGCTAAAAATCTCTCTTGACCATCAGCAGCCATTGCAATGATCTCCGTTTGGAGACTCTAGAACGGAATATTCCCTCTAATCTTTGCTACATTGGTCTTTTCGCGTGCTCATATGATGATACCAGAAAGAAAGAGAAACTAGCGCATTATCATTACGAAGAATCCAGATTTATAAACGGCAGGTGAGAAGTCACTTTCCATTCGCTCCCATATCATTTTTAGTAAACTTCCATCTTGAAATGGAGGAAGGTACTAATAAACAAGGTGGAGAAGGAGGTGGGGGAAATGGAGCCCAGTTGCAGGGACAGAAAGAAATTTAAATGGTGGAGTAAGTGATGGTGGTGGTTGTGCTACAGAGATATCTCCTTTTGATGGTCTAGAAAGAAAAAAAAAACAACTAGGATTACGTGACACATCTTTTAGCAAATTTCTCAATTCTATCTTTTCTCTTCGAACAAGCTTAGCCTACACTTTAAGAAAATAGAGATAACCAGTTAAATCAGTCACTTGGTGATTGATAGACGTTACTATCGCTATAGTTCCACAAGAGGACTAGTAGAGATTTGATGATGAATATCAAGATAAAATAAAATAAAAAAAAAGAAAAGAGTGATAATAGTATCACTCTACCTTGACTGCTTTAACTGCTAATATACTTGATGATCGAGGTTATCACCCTACCAGTTCGTGAAGATAAATCTTATGAATCACGAATATATGGTGTATCTTTTATGTCGACTAAAAAAAAAAAAAATAGTATACCTATTCTATATGTATTATCTAATGCGATACAGAGCTCACCATCTTCACTAGTTTTTTTTCTGTACTATTACAGTCCCCATAACTGGTGAATATAGCTTGAGGGCCTTAGCAAGGGAGGATTTTAATTTATCTATGATACATATTATATCAACAGTATCATAATAATAAAATCGATGATTATGCATGTCGATAGGAGCTCCAAATAGATATAAACTATGTAATTGTATTATTAATGGTGGAGATAAACCATTATACTTGTTAGTAGGACGGACAATGTAACTCTCAACAGTCATTTTAGTTCAATGACAAAAAAAAAAAGTCAAAATCAACACTTAGGGGCTATAATAACCTCATATTCCTTTTATATATATCTATATATATCTATGTATATATATTTAACACTATCATTATTCAAGTTATATGACTATTAGAAATAATAGCATAAAGTTTATTTTCAATACAAGGAAAATGCTACTATACATATACATGTATGTATGTATGTATGCATGTATGTATGTATGTATGCATGTATGTATGCATGAATATTTATCCATATTTGCTTACATAAAATTTTTCTCATGTAAAAAGGGTCATAATAGGGGTTATGTAGCAGTAGTAGTAAATGTTTGCATTTTCAGTATCCGCAAAAAAAAAAGAAAAAAATATGCAATGATAAATATAATAATATTTTATTAAAATAATAATTTAATAAAAAAAAAAAAAATAAAAAATGAAAAGAAATTTCAATGAAATTGATAAGAGTAGTCTAAACTACAATTATTTCATATATAGAAAGGTGGAGGTAATGGTGGTATGTATATAGGACATATATAAACATATAAATATACATGTTTATATATAAAACGAAGAAGAAGGAAAAAAAAAAAAAGAGAGAGTTGAAAAATAAAGAAATGAATTAGTCTGTATAAAAAGAAAGTTTTTTCTTTCTTTTTTTTTTTTGCACATATAAGAGGTTGAAAGATTACATATAAAATGAACATAATTAAATTGAAGATGGCAAGACTTGATTTAAGAATCGAACCATATCTTGTGCATTTGAGCAAGGTAAAAGATTTGATTGAATATGAACTTCAATCTCTAAAAGAGCATCTTGAGCCGTAGGTCTTGTTTCAGGTTCTTCATCTAATAACCATGCAACTAAGCCTCTCATGTACATACTAGGATAACTGTATGTAAATGTAGGACTAGGCTCAGTGGCAATAATATCAAATAATTCTTCTTCATCTTTAATTGAATAGTGAGGTGGTACACGATCCATCATTTCAATAACTGTTATACCGAGAGACCACATATCAATCTTTTCATTGTAGTATTCTTCTCTAATGACTTCAGGTGCCATCCTAATGATTTTGTAGTTTAATATCATAAATATCAAGTAATAAGCTAGTATAAATTACCATTTAGTAGTTCCTAATCTTTCATGATTCGGACGATCAATACGTGCAGATAAGCCAAAATCAGCTATATAAAGGTTAAGTTTATTTGATTTGATTTTATTTGATTTTTTTTTTCAATTTACCTAATTTAACTTCACCATGCCAGCCTAATAAAAGGTTTTCACATTTTACATCACGATGAAATATACCTTGTGAGTGTAAATGAACTAAACCTTTTAATGTTTCACAAGTCATATAAATAGTATATTCTTCAGGAACTCCTCTCTGACAGAGAACAGCAAAAACTGAACAACGCATCAAATCCATTGTCATCCAGATGTTATCTTGAGCTAATGCTACTTCACGTAATTTAATTAAATTATGATGACCAGATGCCATGATTTTTAATTCTCTTAAAATGGCTGCACGATATTCACGATCAGGGTCAAGTTTACAGCGTTTAATAGCTACTATCACTTTAGGTTTTCTACGATAAGCAGCTCTAACAACAGCACCATTCACACTATAACAAAAAAAAAAAAAGAGTAAATAATTCATCCAGTCAAGTTCATATAAATTTATACATATATGTGTATATCTATTTTACCCTGTACCAATTTCCTTAAAGTTAATAAAACGAGTATTAGGATCAGATGAACGAATTATAACTTTTGGTAAAAGCTTTCGAAGTTTTGTTTCAAGTTTATTTTCAGTACGCACAAGTGGCGGAAGATCGGGAATTTTACAGCGTGGACTAGGGGGATACCACGGACGCTATTACCAAATACAAACGTTAGAACAAAAAAAGTAATTTCTCTCTCTCTCTCTCTCTCCTTCCACAAGATATAAACATAATAAACGTGCACACACACACACACATCTCATTTGTTTGTATGAATTACCTTTGAAATTTGTTTAGAAATATCTGTTGGACGTAAGTCAAATGCGACAGGAGGGCTTGGCTTAAGATAAGCATTTCCTAAAATATCAGGAATCTCACAATATCCGGGTGGACGCCAAATCTATGTATATAAATTGAATAAAATACATAAAGTTATTTGTATTGTAAAAAAAAAAATTCATTTATTTTACTTTGTTTGTTGATGATCGAGAATTAGATGATGATGATAATTGACTTATAGATTGTTTCATATTTCCAGTTGATTTTCGTTTAGGATAATTTGAATAATGATGAAAGCTTGAAGCTGTTTTACTTTTACAATTTGGCTCTGATCTAGATTTTTGCATAGAAGCCATTGTTGTCTATTATTTAATTATTAGAATAAATTGTTATTTCTTATTTTATTCTAATTTACTTTTTGCGAAGAGCGAATACGTTTATTAGTAGTAGATAAAACAACTGTCATTGTCCAATGTATATATAAAGAGTGAAAAAAGAAAATGAAATTTAAAAATGTAAAGGGATAATAAGTTATATTTTTTTTTTCGAGAATAAAACAAAAAAGGAGAGTGAACTGGCTGTTGTGAAGAAAGGAGAGTATATAAAAAAAAAGGGGAGGGGAGAGTGAATGAAAAGAAGAAAAAGGTGGTAGTAGTTTTTGATTTAATATAAAGGAATGTAAACTAATAAAAAACTATTAGAAAAGAAAAAAAAGAATGTAAGCCTTTTTATATATCTTTTTTTTTCCTTGAAGGAAAATAATCTAGAGAAGAAAAAAAAAATGCAAAATGAATGAAAAAAGAAATTGAATTGTAGTTTTTTTTCCTCCCTTTTTTTATATTCAATTTTTTTTTTTTTTTTTTTTTTTTAAAAAAATAAAATAAAATAAAGATCTGATTCGTTTATTCAAATTATCCAAAAAAAGAAAAAGAAAAAAACCGAATAACTAATAATTATAATCTTTTACGTAAATAATACGGCAATGAATGAAGGAGTTTATGTATAAAATAAGCCGATAAAATGAAAAAAAAATTTAATTACCTTCGTTATCTTTTTGGAACAAACAGTAAATTATTAAAGTAAAACTATAGTAAGTTCTCTTTTGAGCCTAATTAAGGTATTTTCTTTTTTTAAAAAAAAAGTTACCCAATCATGTTCTTCTTATTTACGTGAATATTATATGTCTTCTGTTCTAGAATAGAGTAGTTTATCCAAGAGTTTCATTTACAATTGTTACACATTTACTTATAAAATTAAAAGTTAGGTCATGGTCTAAAAACTATTCTTTATTTTTAGTCATTATTTGAATTATAGTCTCCTTCACTTTCCCTCCCTTTTCTTTTCTTTTTTTTTTTTTTATTGTAAGATAGTCATATTACCTGATCTCTTCATTTTATTACTTATTCTCCCTCTTTTCCTTTAAAAGCAGTCAAAATGAACAGATTTAAGTAATTTAAATCTTGACTTGGTATACTTTACCGACTTTTTCTTCCTTAAGAAATTACGTGTATTTGCTCTATCATGTTTATCAGTAATTCATAATTTCCTTTTAGATGATTTTGTTTCTTCTTTTCTCTCTATTTAATTAACTATTTTCCATTCATTTCTACCTTTGGTAATCATGAAATCAGAAAAACAAAAAAGGAATGCATTTCATCGACAATAATTCTATGTTGCTATCCCTATTTGTATTTGTTGTTAAAAAAAAAAGGTATATTAGAGAAAGTTTCTTTGATATATATACTTCTTAGTATTCATTGAGTCTTGCTCATAAATTCATAGAGCTTATTTCTACTAGTAGACAATTGGGGGGTTTTTTTTTCTTTTTTACATGTTCATACCATAAAATATCAAAAAAAAAAAAACTCATGTACACTTCTATATAAATTACCCCTGAGTATAGAACAAAGTCAGTCATCCAATCACATCACGCGATATTAAATAATAAAAACAAATATACTCATTTGTTATTAACTTAAAATACAGGATTGACACTATTTTATAAGAATATGGAGCGCTCAAGATAAGGTAACTAGTAAAGTAGCAGCATCTTTTTAAATTCTTATGAAAAGTATTTACTTTAGTAAACTGTATCTATTTGATTTGAACTAAAGGATTCTTCTCGATAGCCCGCTATTATAATAGAAAATCTTTATTAAAGGGGAAAGTTTTTTTTTTTCTTTAACTTTGATGAACATAGTAAAATATAACACGTCAAATAATTGACCTCTATTCTTCTTTTAATGATGTTTCTATACAAAAAAAAACAGCGAGATGATCATATGTAAGAAACACATTTGAGAGCCTTTAATACATCAATCCTCCTTTTATCTTTTCATTTCTTCATGTCTATCTCTTCCTTGGTTAATAATAATAATAATAATAAAGATCCCAGGTAGTCCTGTGTTGAGCATTAACTGTTACAATTGAGAGTGTAACCACCTGATTTTTGTCCTTCTTTCCCTGCAACAATGTCTAAAATGACAAAATAGATCTGTGTATAAATGATATAAACTTGGTAATCGACATTCGTTATGATCTATTCTAATACAGTTTCTTTTAAAATAGAGAGCAGTAGTTAGTAAAGATAAAATAGAAAAGCAACTTTGAATGAGAATGGATATCAGGTAATGCGTGAATTCATAAAAACTAAAGAAATTCAATGCTAACCAGTAGTTTTTGATTTCAAGGAAAGAAGAAAAAAAAATTACGCTACGTATAAACAATTATCTTTACACAAAAAAATTAGTTTCTATTAATTCATCTGACATCCAGCAGCAGCACAACAATATGAAACATATTCCAAAATACTTATCTTAGTACGGTTAAAAATTGCTACTTCAAGAAAAAGGAAACATCCAACTTGATAAGTAATGATCATCGATACTCTACGTGTTAATTTTTTCTTCTTCTTTCTAAAAAAAAAAAAAAAAAAAATGAATAGTAAATGTCATATTCAAATGTTTTAATGATATTTTTTTTTCTTAAAAGAAAAGAAACAGAAAGTAATCACTTTATTTTATTTTCGAATTCTTCGAGCTTTATATAAAAAGAAAAAAAAAATACTAAATAATATATTATGTACACCAGTTCAGATAGTTTAAATCAATTTTTGTAATAAGATTCAGTTATAGGCAGATTTGTGATTACATTTTAGATATATTTAATATAAGGAAATCGTATCTGTTATTATATAGCTAAAGAGTTATTAGTAGATCAAATACTGTGTATAAGATACAAGTATCGCGTTTTTTTTTTCCTGCTTTCTTCAAAATTTTAAAATTCCCAGTGAGATTGATGCTATAGGAATAATATTATGTATGTAAGAAAATAAAATAAATACATGGTAAAAAGGCACATGTACATTTATAATGCCGACTAAATATGTAGCAGTGTAGGAAAAGGAGAGATTGTTAAAATACATTACATTATAATAATATCAATAGATACAACCAATAAAAAAAAATATACAATAAACTTAGAAGAGAAGGGAAATCAGAATAAACCTAATCATTAATCAGCTCGATTTATTGATACAAGAAAAATTTATAACATATCAATAACAGGATCTGGAAGTGGAAAATTTCGTATTTATGATGTATTGAAAATAGCCGTATCAATATCAAGCAATAGTATTAAGGAAGGTATTTAATTATTATATCAACCTAACTCTTCAATAGTTTTATTTGAATTGGCTATATCGCGTGGTTGATATGTGTAACTTTTTTTTTTCTTTTAGTAAATAATTTTAACGTTTTATACTTGTTTAGGGGGAGGGGGGTGAAGATAAATACGTATAAAGTTTTGTTGCAGTTTGGCGTTTAAAAGGTTAACTATATAAAGCTGCTTCAATTTTTTTTCCCTTTTACTATTTTTTTTTTAAATTATATACTTTTTATAATAATAATATTTAATGACTATAGTATCAAATCCTTTATTTTATATGTACAGTAATAATGTGGAATTAAATGATTATAATAACAATGATAATAATAAAGAAGTGACTCTATATAAGACTGAGTTTTGTAGAAATTGGGCTGAACTGGGTTATTGCAGGTATATAATATACATATATTCATCTATGCATATATAAATATATAATATACCTCTTCTTATGCATTCAATTTAGATATGGTAGTAAATGCCGTTATGCTCATGGTAAAACTGAGCTACGTCCAGCTCCGAGACACACATTATATAAAACACAAATATGTCGCGCGTATCATATCGATGGATCATGCCCCTATGGCATTCGATGTACTTTTGTTCATGACCCAATTGATGATGCAGTCGTTGTATCAACTGAAAAAAAGACAAATAACAGGAATAGAATTCGACAACAGCCTACTTTATCGTCTAATAGAAGAGTTAGCTATGATACTGTACTATCGTCTTCTTCTTCAACCACTAGTGATAGTAGCTTCGGTGAATATACATCTATGATGAATTCATCACACCAAATACCAAACAGTACTACAATAATGAACAACCATTATTATATGAAACAGCAACAGCAGCAACAGTCTATTGAAACCTTCTATTACCATAATAATAGTGCTTTAATTGTAAATAATAACAATAGAAGGACAATATGGTTGTAGTACAGTTTGAGCCATTTATATGTTTTTTTTTCTTTTGTTTCTTATTGTATTAATTTAAGGGAAAAATAAATTTATTTGCTAGAAATATGGCTTGAAGCTATCTATCTATAGATGTATATGTATACATATATGTATACATATTATGTTTACGAGTAAAATAGCTTTTCTTTTTTTTTTTTTTTTTTTTAAAAAAAAAGGTCTTCAGTTTGATATGAATAGCACAGCACATTCAAGTATTACAACGGTGATATGTTTCCGTTGTATCTGTTTCGTAATTTCATTGGCGAGTAATAAAGCAACTTAAATTCATTGGTAAACTTTTTCTTTTTGTCAAATGTACAAATGAATGACCAAATTGAATAGGAACACTCATAAAAGATGATACTTGTAATAGTATGTCCGGTTCAGATCAAGTTATTTTTTTTTTTTTTTTTTGCAAGAATGTTCTTTGTCGATTTGACTATTTGAATACTCGCTTAAAAAGAAAAAAGGAGCTGTGTTAAACTTATAAAGTGAAAAGGTATAATATATCATGATTTCCAACTGTCAGTTTTATACTGACATTTTTTCTTTAAACTTTTATAGCAGTAATAATATTTGTTTTTAAGTCCAACTTTACATACAATCACTTGTTTTCTTTTGGGTAAATATATAATAAACTCTTATTTTATTCTTCCTTCATACATACTTGAGTGAATAAGGGAAACAAAATTGTGAAGGATTTTCATTCCTTCTTTAATGAGCATTAAGACCTTAATATATATATGTATATTATCATGATTAAAGTTAAAGCTACTATTATTTTCGTCTTCTTTCCTAGGGCTTTGTTGGCTTTTCTGGAATAAAATAGAGTAAAGGATATGACTACCGTAATTAGTACTTGGCCAAGTCTATGGTTCTTGTTAATTAGATGGCAAAAGCATGTTAGTCTCTCTCTCTCTCCCCCTCCCGAAATGAACAGCACACTTGATATGATTCCCGTGAAACGAATCAAACAAAGTATGACAGTTTCGCTTTGGAAATTTTACCACAGGAAAAAAAAAACAAGCTAATTTTAATATAACCATCTTTTAAAAGCGATACTATCACAACAATCCGTAGTGTCCCAGTTATTATAATAGTTATCTTGAGATCCTCCTCCTCCCGATAGCTTCTTTTAAAACTTATATTTCGAATATCTTACACAAGCAAAATCCTGGTGATCATCCATTTTGTAACAGACACGAGCCACTTTCTCGAGATGTATAACGCAATACTAGGAGATTATGACGTATCTACGTAAACGAAACAAACAGATTAATAGAAAACAAAATAATTAACGATTCATATATATTATATAATTTCAAATTATTTATTAAATATGCAGCATTACAATATTCTGCTGCTCAGAAATTATTAAGCTTAAGGTATATTAAATGGCAGCTTTATCTATTAAAAAAAAAGTCTTTTGTTCAAAGCGTAAAAATAGATAGTTATACATGTATTTATAAATTAAACAAATACAAAAGATTTTGTTCACTTTTATTCTGTATATGAAATTATAAATATAATTATTGCATACGTTCAGTCTTTGTTAGTGCCAAAAGTCGACGATCTGTATATCCGGACTAAAAAAAGAAATATAATTTTTTTTTAACTCGTTTCTTTTTTTTTTTTTTTAAAAAAAAAAAAAAAGAAAAACTTACACTTAATAAATCTTGTTCGCGGGGTATTCTCATTTGCAATATTGTGTTTCCCTTCATACTTTGCCTTAAAATTCGTCTTAAAGAATCATCACCTTTTTAAATAAAATAGTATAAATAAACTAATTCATTCATGAATTGTTAAACTTACGATTTAATAAACATTTCCATAATCCATCAAATCCCTTATATTGAAGTACCATTCCAGAAATACCAGCATCTTGATAAGAAAGACGTAACCAAGCTACCATAGGTTCAATAGTTGCATCCTCTAAGTAACAATTAAGTTAATACATGTATATTTAATTGCAGATTATACATGATTTATTTACCTGTTAATTGGAAATATAAAACACTGTTAAAAGTTAAATGAGTTACCTCACAAATGACGCCATTAGGAGGAATGATAGGATTACTATAAAAATAAAATGAATAAAAAAAGATAGTTCTATTATTAAAAAAAAATCTTTACTGATATGGAGGTAAATTTGTTTGTTGAGTATTAGCAGCAGTAGAAGTGGTTGTCATAGTAGTTGCAGCATTGTTTTCGCTATTAGTTACAGTAGTATTAGTCGTGGAATCAGTTTTTAATGAAGTAGTAGGGGCAGTAGTCGAATGAATTTGAGTAGGTGGAATGTTTGCTTCCATAGTAGCTGGTTGTTCTTGTTTTTGTTGTTGTGAATGTGTTTGTTGTTGTGGTTGTGGTTGAGGCTGCTGTTGAGGCTGCTGTTGTGGATGAGGCTGTTGTTGTGAATGAGGCTGTTGTTGTGGTTGCTGTTGCTGTTGTGGTTGTAATTGGTGCCTCTGTTGTTGTTGTTGTTGTTGTTGTTGTTCTTGCTGTTGTTCTTGCTGTTGTTGTTGTAAATTAGGATGTTGTTGGGGGGAAGCAGAAGGGGAGGGGTATTCTTTTGGCTTTTGTTGTTCTGTTTGTTGCTGCTTTTGAAGTTGTTGCTGTTGTTCGAGTTGTTGCTGTTGTTGCTGAAGTTGTTGAATCTGTTGTTGTTGTTGTTGAATTTGGCTATGAACAAGAGCATTCATTCCTTCAATAAGTTTTCGAACCTCAGCGAGGTCATTTGCTGCTGCTTCAGAAGCTCTATCCATTAAAAGATAGTTCATTGAACGAAACTGATTATTTATTAATAAATAGAAAGAAATAAAAAGAAAAGTTTTTATTTTTACACAATTATATTTCCCGCCTACAGCTATATTTTTTTTTTTCTTTATCATTTTTTTTTTTTTAAGAGGGGCATTTGCTAAGGACTTTTTTTTTTTTATTATTATTATTAGATAATAAAAAATCCTTACATTAATAAAGCTCTTTCTCTTATACACCTCGAGCCCATCTCTTCCCATTCTATATTTCCTATCCACATGTCTTTGGAGGAATCTAATTTGGCTACAACAGATGCTCCTTTCCAAACTAAAACTTCAGGATCTAAATCTCTTGGTGGAGGTAATACTTCAACTTTATCTATATTTAATTTTTGTGCAATGATAGTAGATAATACACTTGAAAGAAAAGTTAGAATAAGAATGAATAGAATAAAAGACAATGTATACATAAGAGACTTACCGATCTTCTAATACTTTACTGAAATTCACTATCTTTCCTCCTCCTCCTACTAAAATTATGCTTGTGAAATATCTTTTCAATTTTTCTTCTGATCCATTTGCTGCTATTTCAATAGATTGAGCAATAGCAGTATCAATAGGATGTGTATCATATTCTTGTGCTTTATTATTGATATTATTCTATTATAGATACATAAGTTTACCTGTATATATATATATACATGTCTGATATACATATATGTGAACTTACATTATCATCTACAATAACATCATCTGTAACATCTTTATGTGACCATAATGTATTTTTACTTCTAGGTTCCAATATATCAGGATATACAAGACATAAAGGTGCTAAAAATACTTCTTCATACACTTTACATTGATATTTAAGTGTCGGTTTAAAAGGTGTACGAGCAAAGAAATCATATACTTGAACACTAATATCTGCTTCATTCATTGTACACCATTTCTGCTTTAATGTCTCTGCTAATCTCCAATCGTATGTTGTGTTTAAATCTATATCTGCATAAGGGAATTGGCTACTTAACAAAAAGGATGTAAATGTTCTTGTTACATCATCTCCTCCAACTCGAATCAATATTCTTGAATCTACTTGACATACTCCATCTTCAATACAACTAATATTTGTAGTTTGTGCTCCAATATCAACTACAACTGCACTTGATACTCCTGCACCATAGGTAGCGCATGCAGACTCTTGTTGAATAATAACTGCTTTAAATTTCATATAACGTAGCATCATTCTAACTAAATCACAAAGATACTCATGATCTAACATGTCTGGAATTACTAAAATTGCATTATAATTCTACATGTAGAATATGAATATACATGTATACGATAGGCTATGCATTTATTATACCTTAAAGTCATTCCTTTCAATCTCCAATTCATTTACAATCGATTCTGTCCAAATAACTTCAAGATCCTCCAATACTTCATTAATTGAATTATAATCTTGATTATTAATAGTACCATATTTCCAAGGATAATTAATACGATATTCAGAATTATCTGCAATGGGTACATTAAGGGCCTATACATATTCATAATGAAACTGTCATTTTTGTCTCTCCTTTTTCTCCCTCTGTTAAATATGTATGTATGTATTTATATGTATATACCTTTTCTCCTACAAAGAAATCGGCTCTAGTCGATACATCAGTCCACTCCACTTTATAAGGATCATTATGATCAGGAATAGTTTCTTTAGGTGCATTTGTATTAAAGCCAATAACCTGACCTTCTGCATTAGGTACTGCTCTACGTTTAGCATTCTTCATTCGCCATTTGAGTTCACCTCTAATCTCGTTTAAAGCTTCATCATATTTCTCTTTATCCATACTAGTCTCATCTACTTGTGTTGTATTAGTAAATAATGATGTGTTATATCTTCTTGCGATGACATGAGGTATAGAAATAGGGAAAGCTTCAGAAGCAAGTCCGATTCTTAAATTTCGTGAACCTGGATGAATAACAATAATGTCGCTATATTCTTCTTCAGGCTAAAGAAAAAAATAAAATAAATAAAGATTGATGCATGTAATAATGTCGTACATATAACTTACATTAGGTGAAATTTCTTCAGCTCCTGCTTTACTTCCAGAAAAATAAGAAATATCACCTCTAGCATAAGTACTTGTAATATTACGAGTAGGAAGAATATTATATCCTTTTACAGGAAATGTTGTATATTTGAAAAGTGGCTGTTGCTTTGGCTTAGATTCTTTTACAGCAACATTATAGTCTGTTGGTGTTTGTACTATGGATTCAATATCTTCTGTTTTAGGCACAGTCATTGGACTAGGAGAAGTCTTTGGTTGTTTTAAAACCTTGTTAGGTTTTTTATCAATAGATAATTTTTGTTTTTTATTCTTTTTTGAAGATGAGGGGGTGACTGTTGATGTTGGACTACTAATGTTTGTGGTTGATGCAATTGCTTCTTCCATCCATGCATATTTTTTCTGTGACAAGTTTTTAAGAAAAGCATTTGTATGTGAATTGTTACTGCTGTTATTTTTATCAGCCATGGTTGGTATATATTAAGTTTAAAAGAAAGAAAAGTGAAAAAGGAAATAAAAGTTTTCAATTTAAAGCTGAGTTACATACAAACATACATCATCATATAAATATGTACAAACATGTATAAAAATATATGTATAAAAAAAAAAAAAAGCGTTTCATGTAAAATACCACTTTTTATTATACATGATACTAATCTATTACGAGTGTTTTAAAATACTACAATTCACTACTTTAAGAATGGAGTTAAATCTATATTAATTTCTGTACTCTATATTTTGAAGTTATTTTCTGTACAGGTTATTTGACATGTATAGATCGTTCCTGAAAACGTTGTATTTAAAAGTAAAATGTACAATACTATTATTGTGTCATTTAGTTTGTTAATTAAAAATATGTGTTGAAATAATAGTTTTATACAATAATTATATTTAACCTTACGTGGTAGATACAGTAAAATTGCAAGAGAATAATGTTATCGATTGAGCAATTTTCTATAATTCTTAATAGATCGTAAAGTTAAAAGCACATACACACACACACAGACACATATATACACACATAGACAATTAAGCAAATGTGATACAGTACAACATATTAATACCTCATCCTTTTGCTTTTTTTTTTTTTTTTTTTGTCTGTCTCTTATATTATTGTTATAATAAAAAAGAGTAGCAAAGGTATTTTCAAACTATTAACTGAACAGCCAAATAAAATTAAATTTATTTATTGTCATCATGTATATTTTTTGCATGTGCGTAAAATATAATGTAATATATATATATATATATATATATATGTATATTGGCAATGAGATAACAACAGTGTCAAATGAACAATGGTTTAAATCTATTTGAAATGTAGTAAAATTAGCAATTTTTTTTTCCCTCAAATGTATAAGCAGTGATAAAATAACTTGAATAAAATGTTATTGCCGCAGAAATTAAATCGTACAACAGCAGCTATCCCTTATTTTATTTCGTTTAATTTATTTATTTATTTATTTATTTATTTTTTATTTCAATACTAGTAAATTTAAATGGAAATTAACTACATTTCAATCTATGATAATACTGCAGAAGCAAAGTTTTTATTTGTATCTGAAAGTGTTACTGATGTATTAGGCTTTTTACCTGAAGAATTAGTAGGGATGGGTGGTTACGAATTAACTCATCCTGATGAACGAATTGCAATTAATCTAATTCATTCAGGTAATGTTAAGAATGAGCGCCTATCAACTGTTGTTACTTGTCGCTCACGCCATAAGGATGGTCATTATATCCAATGTGATGTGGTTATTCACTATTGCTACGATACACTTGTTTGTACTAACTTTGCTATTATATCGCCCAATTGCATAAAACACACAATGAGAATGAATTCAGCAGATACAGCCTTTTCAATTCAGCCAGATGGATCCTTACAACTTAAAGGTGCCTGGAATATCGAACAAAAGAGAATAAAAGTATTTTAGTAGAAGATAACTTTTCTTGGGATAATGAGACTGATTTAGCACAAAAGGAGCCTCGCTTTTGTCTCTTCTTGAATCGATATACCACACAGTCTATCATTGTCTTTGCAACACGAATGAGTAAAGCTCTTGTAGGTTTAGATCCTATTGAATGTATTGGAAATTCTCTTTATGATTATATTGATCCAAAAGATAAGAAGAATGTGATGAGTCAGGTAGAACTATCTAAATCTAGTGATGTTATTGCTAGAGTAAGATTTGGTTGGGTCAAGCCGAATAGTGAATTGGTTCTAATAGAGGCTGTTATAAGTTGTACTTATGATGGCTTAGTATTTGTAGCTAGACTTGCAACTACAGTGTCTGCATAACATTCATTATACACTTACCTACCGCATGATGCATTCTATTTGATTCTCTCTTTTTTCATAATGCATGTATATTAATTATTATTATGAGAAATGATGCATACACGTGATCATATTATATAATTTTACAACTATTGATCTATTTTATACATGTATGTACATAATTATATTTTACAATCTGAATGAATAATACACATATTTACATCTTGTAAACTTGCCTAAATAAATGTTATATAGACTACTTTTCTTCTTCCCCCTTTTTCTTTCTTGAAACTATTATAGAATAACATCTTATGAATACTACAGTACTAGTAAAAGTGAATAATACGCTATCTACCTATTTCAATTGATTAGCATCATGTACCAAAAGTAATATCTCACTATGATGTATATACATATGATATATCATTCTTTTAATACTTATAAAGCTAAATAAATTATTCATTGTGATGCATACAAACTATGCTAGAGAATTGAGCAAATCGAATTAGCAGTGTGTAACATTTCTAATCATAGTAGTATGCGTTCATAAAAGTGTTACAACATCATAAAATACAAGAGTCTTACTAGAAAATCTACACTCGTAAGAAAGAAACTTTTCACACGTTGCAAGCCCTCTTTTTTTTTATTGCATGTGTATAAATAAATATTTTTTTTTCTTTTTTTTTTTTTTTTTTTTTGCTTTCTGGAAAATATTCTACCTTTTATTTGTTTTAAATCAACTCTATTTATGGCACTAAAACCACCTCTAGTAGAAGAATTTATACAACATGCTGTAATTGAAGTATCTTCCGTCAATGACGGTAAACAATCTATTGAACAACAGATAGAAGTTTATGGTAAAATATTAAATCTTAAACATAAAAGAAAAGAAATAATACTAATATTCAAATGTATTTATTTATTTATGTATTTATTTATTTATTTTTTTTTTAAAAAAAAAAAAAAAAAAAAAAAGTCAATGATCTTTTTAATGTACAAGATAATAAACATATTTCTATTGAAGAAATTCTAGAGGGCCTTCGCTATGTCATGGACTTTAGAATAAAGAATGGTAGCCAACCTCATCTTGAAAAAAGTCTTATGAAACGTTTGTCAGAGGGCCTATTCCTAAACATGACACATACGGAGGGTCACTTGTTAAGGAAGAAAGCAACAGAGGCGGCCGATATGGCCTTTTTCTTGTTTATCGATTTCTTGGAAGAAGTTGAAGAATTTCGAACGGTGGTGAATGAAATGGATGTCTCTGATCTTCGACATCAACTCAAACTTCATTATCGATGTCAGCCCAATTCATCTACGACTATCCAGAAAAGAGGTGCCTTAGCTGTTGTGTTCAAACTCGCTCATTATTTCCCAAACCAGTTTGGTGATTGGCGTGATTTAATCAAGGAAAGTGAGCAAAGTGATCTAGAACGTCTCTTAAATTCATCTCTAGCCTCTGAAGTGAAAGCCAGCGAAGAAAAGGCAAGAGTGGCTGCTACTACTACTACTACCTCTCAAATATCTCCTCATCATCATCATCAGTCAATTTTATTACCACCACAGGCCCTTTATTTTGATAGGCCACTTGACAAGCTCATAGGCATGTTTTCCTATACTCATACAGAGAATGGATTACCTGAGGATCTTGTACCTAGCTTACGAGAACACTATGGAACGAACCAATTGCCAAAGCCTCCTCGGCCCAACCCTTTCAAGATGCTATGGTTACAACTCACAGACTTTATGGTTCTCATCTTGATCATTGCTGCCATCGTGGAAGCCGCCGAGCGTGAATTTAATAGCATGATCGTTCTTTTAGTTGTCGTTGTCCTCAATACAATCATTGGTTTTAGTCAAGAATGGAAGGCAAGTAAAACACTCAATGCTCTTATGAATTTATCTGTACCTCAGGCAAGAGTGATTCGTGGTAGTGAGCAAAAGTTGATTAATTCAGAAGAATTGGTTCCTGGTGATCTTGTTATTTTGGAAGAAGGTGATGCAGTTCCAGCTGATATTAGATTAATAGATGTGGCGCAGTTAAGTGTGGTTGAAGGTGTTTTGACAGGTGAAAGTCTTCCTGTCCAGAAAAACATAGAAGCAATAAAAGCAAAAGTATGCTTCATTTCATATATATATATATATATACATATTTGTTTATGATATTAAATTTTAACCCTCCTTTTATCTCTCTACTCACTCTTTTCTTTTTTTTTTTAGACTCGCAAAATTCCTCTTGGTGATTGTAAAGGAAATGCATTTATGGCTACAACTGTGGCACGAGGAAGAGCGAAGGGTATTGTTGTTAGAACTGGATTAAAAACAGAAGTAAAAGCTTATAATACTAGTTTATATATCTGTAAACATTTATTTATTGATTTTAACTATTTTTATATATTATAGATTGGTAAAATTAGTGCTGCTATTCAAAGTGGTACTAAACATAAAGTGAAAACCCCTATTCAAAAAAAACTTGGTAAATTGGGTATTTATTTAGTCGCATTAGCTATATTTCTTTGCGCTTTAGTTGTCGTTATTGGTGTTATTTGGAAACGAAATGCAAAAGAAATGGTGAATATTGGTTTAAGGTAATATAATAATTATAGTTCTCAACTCATTTATTAAAAAAAAAATTTTTTTTTAATGGATATATAGTTTAGCAGTTTCTGTTATACCTGAAGGTTTAGTCGCAGTAACAACTGTTACTATGGCGATTGGTGTAAGACGCATGGCAGCAAAGTAATAAAATATCATAATGACTCTTTTGTTTATTTTATTTACGTTTGTTTATAAATAGTAAATGCATCGTGAGAACATTACCTGCTGTCGAATCCTTGGGTGGTGTTACAGTCATATGTTCAGATAAGGTATTATCTGCATTGAATAAATAAATAAATAAACAAAGATTTAATTTATTATTATTATTATTATTACAAAAAAATGTCAGACGGGTACTCTAACTGAGGGTAAAATGAGTACAACTGAATTATGGACCTCCGACAACTCTCTTTATCGATTTATGGGTACTAATTCTATGGATGTAAAGCAAGGAGAAATTATTCGTGAGCATGAAGAATTACGTCGACGTATGATTCATCATCGAAGTACGGTTCCCAACAAGTTTTCATCACCACCACTTGCTTATTCTAGTACTAAGCCTAATTTAGAAGATCATTCCTCTTCTATCAATGATTATGCAACGATGAAACCTAAACCTATTGATAGGGATCACATCGAAAGTTATACTCAACACTTGTATTATGCTCTCATGATCGCTAGTCTCTGTAATAATTCAGATGTTCGACACAACGAGGAAACCGGTGAATTTGAAACAGTAGGTGATCCTACTGAAGTCGCTCTCACTGTTGCTACGCAAAAGGCTAGATTAGATCGCAAGTACTGGGAAAGCCAAGGCTTTGTTAAATATTTTGAACATGCCTTTGATAGTGAACGCAAATTGATGAGTTGTGTATTTAAACAACAAAACGAGGAAGCCATCATCACCATGGTTTGTAAAGGTGCACCAGAAGAGTTATTAAACAAATGCAGTCACTTTTTGATGAAAGATGATACACTATCCGAAATGACAGAAGAGTTTGCTTCTCTTGTATACGATGAAAATGTCAGGATGGCATCTCAAGGTTTGCGTGTACTTGGCTTGGCTTACAAGAAGATTATTAAAACGGATGACAATGAGGATCATTTTTCTGAATCTGAACTTGTGTTTGTTGGCCTTGTAGGCCTTATTGATCCTCCTAAAGTAGGTGTCAAAGAAGCCATTGAAACATGTCAACAAGCGGGTATTCATGTGATGATGATCACTGGTGATCATATAGAGACTGCTACTGCTATTGCAGCTCAGTTGGGTATATTTAAAAGAGATCATCCTAAAATGGTAAATTTGACATTGTGTGTGTAAGTTAAATCTATATGATTTATATTTAACAAACATTTCCAAAAAAAAAAATAGAACAGGGCTATTCTTGGTCGTGAATTAGATTTACTTTCTGATGATGCTATTATGGAATTAGATCCATTTCCAAGTGTATTTGCACGCGTCAGTCCGGATAATAAATTATCTATTGTTCGTTCTTTGCAACAAAGAGGCGAATTAGTTGCTATGACAGGAGATGGCGTTAATGGTATGTACCCTCCCCCACAAAAAAAAAATCAAATCAAAATCAAAATTTAAAATTAAAGTTAAAATTAAAATCAAAAATTAATATGAAACATATTTCGTTACTATAGATGCACCTGCAATTAAGCGTGCTGATGTTGGAGTTGCAATGGGACAGGCTGGTACAGAGATTACTAAGCAAGCAGCTGATATTGTTCTTGCTGACGATAATTTCACTAGTATTGTTCATGCAGTTGAAGAAGGAAGACACGTCTTTGATAATATTCTCAAATTTATTGTTTATTTATTAAGCTGTAATGGTGCTGAAATATTCTTAATGTTAATTTGTACCATAGCGAATATCGAATCCCCTTTAACTGTCATGATGATTTTATGGGCCAACATTATTGGTAAATAATTATATTATATAAATCATAAGTCTCAGTTTGATAACAATTTGTTTCATTAGCTGATATCCCTCCTGCTATGGCTCTTGGTGTTGAACCAAATGAAAAAGATTTAATGAATAGAAAACCTCGAAATCCTAAAACAGAAGTGATTACGAAAGCAACGTGGCTCATTATATTTACGAACTCTATGTTAATTGCCTCCTTGGCAATAGCTACTTATACTATTAGTCTTTATATTTTAAAATTTGATTTAGAAATTGCAAGATCAATGGTAACTACTACTACTACTACTACTACTTTTTTTTTAAAAATTTCTCTATACAAAATAATTGACAAAATTCTTCTAGACTTTTACAACCTTAACAACGTTGCAGCTCATTCATTCATTTAATGCAAGAAGTGTTCACCAATCAATTTTCAAGACAGGTATTACAAGTAATTGCTGGATGATTGGAAGCTTTATTTTAGCTTTTTCATTGATGATTTTAGGCATCTATGCACCAGGTAATATCTTTTTATTTTAAAGGAAGAAAAACCACTTTATATTTAATAAATCGATGTTTATTAGGCATCTCTTCCTGGCTTGAATTAACGTCTGTTGGTTGGCAATCTTGGGTAATGACTATTATCTGTGTTATATTTTTGATCTCCTTTGTTGAAATTGAAAAATTTGTTATCCGAAGAATGATAAACAAAATATAATATTCTCTACAACATATTATCTCTCTTCATTCTTAACATAACTAATAAAAAAAAAGTAATATCTTTTTTTAATGTGACTTTTTAATGGTGTTATTTTAGTAGGTTATTTTAGTATTTATATCTACTATATTTAACAACGTTAAAAGAAGTAGTAGAATTCTTTAATCTAGTATATGTCTTTTTTTTATCTCCTTTTAAAAATGAGGATTGTCATTTCATGCCCTACTCTTTTTTCTTTTTTCTTTTTTTTCTTTTTTTCTTTTTTTTTTTTTTTTTTTTTTTTTTTTTTTTTTTTTTACAGGCAATCTTGTGCCCAATAAGTCAACAGGAAAATCTCTTCAAGTGTTAGCCCATCGAAAGGCAAGAAAATAAAATGACGAGATCATCTGATTTCTTTTTTTTTTTAAGCAACAATGAGAATGATAATAATAATAAAAATGCTGATATTAGTAAGCTTATCATTAAAATGCGCTTTTTACATGTGAGCATCTTTTTCTTTTCCAAAATAATATATATAACTTCAAGTGATGTCATATTAGGAAAAAGAAAAGTTTCAATTATATTTTTAGAAATATACAGAATATGTAATAAGCTAGTTTTGTTTAAAGGAGATATAATGAGGGGAAATACTAAAAAAAGAGAGAGATAAGAAAAAAAAAAAAAAAAAAAAAAAAAAAAAAAAAGAGAATAAGGGCGGAAGGAGCAAATCCGAATAAGGGAATTATTATATTACAATTTTTTTTTTTTGTTTCCCTATTTTATTGTTATAAATAATATGTTTCAGCAGACTTATCATTATTATTTTGATGAATCTTCATGTGTCGACGCATATTACTTTGGACACTAAAGCTTCTATTACATGAAGGATAACTGCAGGTATAAGGTTTTTCTCCTGTGTGAGAAAAAATATGTGTCTTCAAGGAGGAAGGCCGCGAAAAACCCTTCTGACAATATGGGCAATTATACTTGTAACCTTGTAATGATAATAGTCGAGCACGACGATAAATAGCAGGAGATGATGATGATGATAAGGATGTCTGACTACCAGAGTCTACAGAATCATTAATGTCTTCAGAATAATATGCTTGGGTATATTCAAATGTATGATCTGATTGAGTTCGTTTATGAAGATGATAGCTTGTTGTTGTTGTTGTTGACGGAATACGTGACTGTGTTAGTGTATGAGTATGAGTATGAGTATGACCGATAATTGTTGACTGTTTAATATTAAACTTAGGGGCTATGTCAATAGATGTACAAAAAGTAGGTTCAAGAGGTTTTAGATGAATAGGCTGACGAAAGAAGCTATCTTCTAGAAGAATATTACGTTTCGCTTAATAGCATGAATATTTCGTTAATTTTACTGCTTTATTTTGTATATCTATACATTAAAGAAATACTAGTCTATTAATACCTTGAACCCCATTTAACATACATTGTATTGATGGTAAAGTATTAGTTAATGATTGATAGCTCATAAATAAATTCTTATTCAATTAAAATTAAAATTAAAAAAAAAAAAGGAGAAAAGAAAAAAAGAATAATTCTTTATTTATATAACAGTAGCTTGTTGATAAAGTTCAATTAATGAAGAATTGTTACAGTCAAACATTTCTCCTTTTTATAAACATTATTGTGTCATTTTAAATAACCGAAGAAGATCTAAGGGAAAAAATAAACAAAAAAAAAAAAAAAAAAAGGAGCAGTAATCCTTCTGTATGCTAAAACACGAGTAGAAGTCTTCTTACAAAAAAAAAAAAACCCCTCTAGAAACAAAACAAGTATAAAAGAGTCTTTTAAGCTTTTTAATTCACTTTCTTTTTCCTAAAATACACAGTGTTTATTTTAAATTAATAACTATGAAGTTTCTTATAATTATTTCATGTCTTGGCTTTCTCTTTCTGGAAAAAATAAATGCTAAACCTGCCGAAGGCTGCCTTAGAAATTATACAGGTAAATATTTCTTTTTTTGTAACTGTCATTTTTTCTTTTCTTTTTTTTTTTTTTTTTTTTTTTTTTTTTTTTTTCCTGATCCGTCCTATTCTATATTCTATATAGTTGTAGAAACTGATAGCTGCACGTCAGTTGCTGCACAATTTAATCTTACAGAAATTAGCTTTTATACTATGGTATAATATTCATTTTTTACTTTTACTATTTTCTCTAATTAAATAATATGTATAGAATCCTGGTCTTCATCACAGCGTTAAACATGTAAATATCTTTGTACATGATAAAGGCATTCAACTCATATTTTTTTTTATAGGATTGCGATAATCTTGATACTGGGAAACCATACTGTGTTTGTATGGTAGAACCTTGTGTAAGTATACATACATACATACATACATACATATATATAAAATGATAGGATATGAATTATTCATTTTATGGGTAAATATAGGCTATTCGTACTTCTATTGTTTCTTCTAATATAACAAAAGTAAACATTACCGCTAACACAACCATTAACAACTCGGTGAATACTCTCTCACCTTCATCTTCTTCAGATACCAAAACTTTACTTACAGCTTCAACTTCTATGAGTAACAATACAAATATCCCTTTACTTGCTTCTTCTACTGCTGTTACTCATATTTCTCAAAAAAATAGTTTAGGTACAATAACCAAAGCCATGAATGGCTTAATAACTATGAGTAGTCTTTTTATATCATTATACTTTCTTTAAATAATAATAATAAAGACAGGTTTTAATCTAATCAAAGCTCTGCTATTTTCTCCCTTGATAAAATGTACATCCTCCTTAGTAAAAATTTTATTTTATTTTTTTATTGAATAGAATGATCCATTCTTGTTTCAGCACCAGTAATTTTATGATCAGCAGGATTAGCATTTGCTTCATATACTACAATAAAGTAAAAATAAGCATATTTTATTTTTAAATAAATAAAACTATATCCTTTACCTGTAATAATAGGATCACGCTTAACCTAGTAAACAAAACAAAAATACATTATTATTTATTTATTCGTTCATTTATTTACTTTTTTTTTTTTTTTTTTTTTTTACCTCTTTCCATTCACCCTTAAAACCAATGTATCGTATAATACTTGAATCATTTCCAAAGTTTTCAGGGAAAAATAGAGTTATATTTCGGACACTTGCAAATTTTGTGGCTTTAGTTCCATATTCAATAACTTCATTTGAACCTTCTATAAGTTCAAATTCTTGTATAGGCGTATAACTTTCTGCTGCATCAAAGTCAACATCATCACGATTAATAAATCTATCAATAGACATTCTTGTAAATATTTGTATATACATATATACTACACAGAAATGAATAAAGACTTACACTTTCATTTTTGATGGAGCTGCATCAGTTCGATCTGTACGAAGACAAATTGAACGCAACTTAATACTTCCTGTAAAACTACCAATACACGTTGAAAAAAAAACACACACATACACAACAAAAATCAAATTAGTACATTACTTACGGAACAAAGATAATAAGTTGTTCATCAGCATCACTTTCTACAAACTAAGCAAACTGTTAAGAAAAAAAAAAAAAGGAAATTTCACATTTCCTTAAGCTAACCTTTGTATCATCCATTCGTTCATTCCATGGTCGAATAACTTTTTTACCACTGTCTGGTTCTGATTCATTCAGACAACGTACATTGTCAAGATCAATTTTTGAATAGAGTAAAAATTGATCCCCAGATCCTGGTAAATCATCATGATCATGATCGCAATGCTCATCATGGCAGTGATGGCTCATTGTGTTTATTATTATTTCAAGATAGCAGAGTAATAAAAAAAAATTTTTTTTTCCTAACAAAGCATACAAGAATTCGCATAAATAACTGAGTTTGAAGCAAGGTAATAATCTCTTGTTTTAACCAAGTTATTTGCATATTAATCCTTATTCATGATTCAATAAACATGTGATATTATTTCCTATCCTTTGTATGAGAGATATTTTCATTTTTCTTCGTTTCATATATTTCAGTATAAACTTGTAAGTATACATGTATATACTCGATAGAAAAAAAGCCGAAGAAAGCCTAGGATGTTTATAAACTGCTTTTCAAGTGAAAAAAAAAAAAAAAAAAAAAGCTGTCTTCAATAAATAAAAAAAAAAAAAACAGTTCTAGATATTAACATTACATTTATTATTTAAGCCTCAGTTATCAACTTATACCCCCACAACAGAGCAATTATTGAATCTAATACTAGGGAGTCCGACTTAATAATACAACAGAATAATTAGCTTGTCCTTAGTTTTAGTATGTTACTCTGTTAACTTTTATTACAAAAATCTCGTGTTTGTAAACCATTCATAATATCTCAAAATTGTGTAAAATATTAAATTTCAATGAATGGATACATACATCCATTATTATTATTATTATTCTTTTCTTTGTTTTACTTGTAGTATCTCCAATATATAATTATTATTTAAATATGTACTATAGTTCTTACTACACAAGTAGAGACGTGTAAGAGTATTATTTATTCAATTTTCGACGTAATAATTTTGCATCTTTTGGTCCAACTTGCATACCATCTTGGGAAAAGTCTTGCTTCCAGAGCACTTCCTCAGCATAGACACCATTTCCAAGAGTACAATTCTCTTTACAACTATAAATAAATAATGATCCCCAATCCAAGGAGTCTACAGCAACATGATTCACTCCAATGTAATTCAATAAAGTCGATAGAATTTGAAATTCAAAGGTACGAGGGCCCTTGCAACGTTCACAGTTCGGTATCGATTCTGGTTTATAGTTCTCTTGTACCCATAATGGTTCGCGTGGAGGCATATCATATTCAACACGATCATATCGGATGACTTGATCAGGGTTTTGCTGAATTTTTAATTGAAAGCTTAAAAAGACATCATCTACCGGTACCTCTGTCTCTTCCTCTGCCTCGTCACCAGCAAGGACAAGGGCCTTTGAATCGGATCGCTCTTCAGGATTATTTTCCTTAAAGAATGCCGCTTGTTCTTCCTCTTCCTCTTCATCCTTATCTTTACCTTCTGGTTCACTCACAATCTCCTTTTCTATAAAAATACGTGCAGCACGTAATTGATCCACAGTAGCTTGCTCTTCTTTTGTTAGTGTTGGTTTGTTGCAAAATTCCTTATGTCGACACATATTCCAATCCTGCATTTGATGTTCACGAGAACAGTAGGCTGCTTTCCCGCACTTGCCACAAAATTTGGATCCGCCAATACCACAAATCACGCATTCTGTAGGTGCTTTGAAAGTTTTAGGTGTAAAATGGTGTATATCATCATCTTCATTATCTGATTCTACAGGTTGTGGATAATAAGGATTATCACGTGGTAATTGAGATCTAAAAACTCGAAAACTACATAACAAATATAAATATACATGTATACATATAACGATGAAACGTTTTCTTATCTTTACCTTTTAGTCCAATCTTGTTTTACACAACTACCCTTTTTACAGCAAAATACATAAACAGTTCTATGAAAAGCATCATCAGGATGATCTTCAGGTGTATACATCTAGTTTAAAAGAAAGAAAAAAAAAGAAACTGAATTTGTAAACAAAAAAATAAATAAATGAATTGCATGAGTTGTTCATACTTGTAATAATAGAGGCATAGGTTGTTCACAGTTTCCACAAGTGACATGTTCTGCTGACAGAATATATTCAGGATTTAACCATGCCTAATAATAAAGAATGTTTAAAAAAAAAGCAATAGACAAGTTTATGAACTCTTTATATTTACAGGTTTTCCACCTGTTTTACTAGGAAAAGTATCGGCTGTCAATGGCGTTTCCGGATCTTCAATATAGCCAAGTTGGCATGCATATTTATCATAAGTAGTGGTTTGACTTAATTCTTTTGGATCGAGCTCAGACACATCACTGTCAGTGTCATTTAATGTTTTACTATTCATTTTTTTTTTTTCTATACTTGATCAGCAATTAATAATAATAATTATAATAATAATGAAAAAGAAAAACGGAAAGAAAATCTTATGAATTTTTCTTGTATGCAATTTTTTTTTTCTTTCGGTGGCTTAAGTTGAAAATATGTACATAATATGACGGATTTTAATGCAGAGTATGAAGAGTACATCTAATTAGATACTACGTTGAACTTCTCACTCTATAAAGCATGTCTTCTAATTTTAAATGAATTGTAATATTTAAAGAGATGTATTTTAAAATATAAAGGAATAATTTATTTTGTTGCAAACAGAGACAGAAATAAAAAAGAATGGGACAAAAAGCTTTTTTTGTTTTATCCTAACATAAGCTATAATACGCAAATCGATAGCTTTGGTTATCAGTACAATACAATCAAAAAAAAAAAAAAAAAAAAAAAAAAAAGTTTATATACCCTTCTTATTTAAGTTCAATATCTATAGTACTCTCAGCGCATGTGCTGTTGATATCATTATTTCTCTTCTTTTAAAATTAAGCTTAACCTTAGCCTTTAGAATTGTTGTAATTTTGAAGCAGTACTCAGTTTCAGAATGATAAGACAATTGAAAGACTTTGTCATACGGTTTATTGAAATTGGTATGGAGAAGTTTTTCTTTCTTTATATACAAAAAGACTTTCATTAGTTGTGTTTATATATCCTTGTGAAGAACTCTCTGCACAACTAAATCTATTCATTTCCTTTAACACTCATAGTTTTATAAGGGTGGCTAGTGCTCGTTTCTATTTGTAGGTCTTTCCTTTAAACGGCTTAACTAACAAGACAGTATTTATTTTCATATTAGATAATCAGATACCCTCTACCTACCTACCGCCACTACCGATCCACTTTTATTATCAAAAGAGGCTAAAATTAATTTAAAAAAAAAGTATTAATTTAACACTGGAACTAGCAAAATACAAAAGTATAATTTCATGTTCTAACTGCTATTTTCTCCTTTTATATATATAAATATATTTATACATATATAAATATGCTCGAAGTTAATACATATAATTTTGATTACAATTCTAACAATGAAATACAATTAGTAAAACAATTCAAATCATTTCAACGACAATATTTAGTAGTCTATTTAACAGTTATGGGTATAGAAAATAATAATAATAACAAAAAAAAAAGGACTGATATACTAAAAAGTTTAAACGCGTTATAAAGGCTCTGACTGGCTTCAGGGACCTTATCTTTATAAACTTTACGACTCTTATGGTCTCAAATTAACACAAATTGCAATGCTCTTTTTAACTGGATTCATTAGTAGTGCATTTGCAGGGACTGTAGTTGGTGGTTTAGCAGACACATGGTAGAATTCACTTTATTATTGCTCTTCATCTCAGTTATATTAACATTATTATTTTTATAAAGGGGACGTAAACGTGTTTGTCTAGTATTTTGTTGGACAATGCTAGTATCACTCACAATACGGTTAATTAACATATATCCTATTTTATGTATCTCGCACGCGTTATCTGGACTTTCTACTGCTTTATTATATAGTGTATTTGAGTCATGGTATGTTTCAGAACATACCTCTAGAGGATTCCCTGCTGATTGGCGAGCACGTACTTTTGGTTTGGGTACATTATTAAATAGTATCGTTGCTATTTTAGCGGGTATTACAGCCAATGTATTAGTAGAATTATGGGGGTTTAGAGCACCTTATATTGGTTCGATGATTTTAATCTCTTTAGTAGCTACTATGGTAATGACGACTTGGACAGAAAACTATGGAAGTAATCAAACTGTAAAGTATATTGTATTATTATTTATGATTACAGTCTATTAATATACATCTACATATATACATGTGTATATGTATATATATATTTTTTTTTAAAAAAAAAGGATATCAAATTAGTAGATACATTAAGCGTAGGAATAGCAACTCTTTTAAAGAATAGAAACATTATAATTATTGGTATTGCTCAAACACTCTTTGAATGTGCCATGTATATTTTTGTATTATTGTATACACCTGCTTTAGAAAACGCAATTTCAAACACGATGGAATTGTCTATAGGTGTTCCTTTGGGATATCTATTTTCAACAATGATGTTAGCTGTTATGGCAGGTTCTCTTACTTTTCAAGTCATTGAAATACAAGCAATAAGAAGGACTCGATTTTGGTTAAAATTTAATGAAGCCAAATTATTATCATTGAGTCTAGGATTAGCTTTCTGCTCATTTATGCTGATGGCATATCATGGAAATACTCCAGTAATTTTTTTTTTTTTTTCATTGAGTTATGTATTATGAACTAACGTCTTTTATTATTATTTTAGGTAACATTATTGTTAACAGCTTATCATATCTTTGAGTTTACAACTGGTTTGTATTATCCCTCAGTTTCATCTTTAAAAGCTAATGTTATCCCTGAAGAAACAAGAGCAGCTGTTATGGCATTATTAAGAATCCCAATGAATCTTGCTGTAGGTGTTCTTATGTGGCATGTAAGTTGAATAGATCTATATAAAAAAAAACAACAAGTATTCAAGTGCCTTATATGTCATGTATAAATAGGTTGATGATATGTCTAGTGAAATGCTATTTTCAATTTGTGGTGTTATGACATGTGTTGGCTGTCTTCTTCTTGTTACTTTTTACCGTTAATTATACCATGATATTTACAAACATTTTATTTTATTTTATTTTTTTATATGAAACAACGACTATATTTTATTGTCTTTTTGAAAGTTGTACACGTTTACTATAAGGAGATAATGAACGCTGTGGGGATAAAGAATGACGGCTTTTACTTTTCCTAATTTCATCATCACGGTTAATGGATGATTCACGATGATAATGTCTACTTGTTCTTTCATTAGATCTACGTCGTTTACGGTAATAATCATCGTCTTCATCTCGTCCTCGACTGCTCCTTTTATGACTATTATACTGAGAGCTTGATCTATCACTTCTATTTTCATCACGTCGACCTCTTTTATGTTCATCATGATGATGACGATGGTGATGTTTTGAAGATCGTTTTCTTTCTCTTTCCACACTCTCATCATCGTTATGACGACTATGTTTCTTTTTCTTATCACTTTTATGGTGTTTATGACGAGATTTAGATTTCTTGGGGTTATTACTATGCTCATCATCTGTATTGTGATCATCCTTTGATTGTGTAGAAATAGGATAAGAATGGCTATCCATATTCATAATTTCAACAGGTCTACCATCACTTGGCATATGTTGTTGAGTAGGGAAACGATTTAATAATTTACCATATCCTAAACCCTTTTCTACTGTATCTGCCTGACTTATTTCATCAATGGCATCATCATCGTCCTTACTCAAAGCATGTTTTAAATCTTCTTCTGTAACATTGCTTTCTAATTTCTTTTTCTTTTTTACACCACTACATATATAAAAAGTAAGTATATTTAAATATAGGTAAAAATTAAAATTTACAGTGCAATTGCCATAGCTTCAGCCTCAGCTTCTTTAATTCTTGCTAATTCTTCAGCATCTGCTTTAGCTTTATTTTCATCTTTACTTTCTTTGGCATACCAAGTAAGATCCTTTCCTAATGTTTTATGATTAGAGAAAAAAGAAGAAGAAAAAATTATGCGTAAAAATAAAATAATGAAAATGTTAATCTACCTTTTTGCCAACGACCTACAGGGGCCATTAAAGAATGACCAAGATAATTTTCTCGATGTTTATCCTCTTTTACTGCTTCCCAGCTAAACTATTAATTTTAAAGGGGTTATTTTAATTGTAAATATATTAAATTTATTTGTTGTGTATCTGGGTATGCTGTTTACCTGATCTCTACCTCCACGTACACCTATATAATAGACAAATAAGATAGTTAGCTTCCAGCACCAATATATACATCTATAAAATAGAAAAGCATTACCTCCTCTTGTTGGATGAAACATGTTAATTAATGTAAAAGAAGAATAATAAAAATACTGAAAAAAAAAAGGAAAAGAAAAAAAAACGGACTTTTAATTATGTTTAAGTGTTTTTTTATAAAAATCAATGTCATATTTGTTCTTTCTTTTTTTTTTAAAAAAAAAAAATATGTGTATATAATCTTTAATTCTGATTAAATAATGAAGACAATCTAATAGTTTACAGCCGTTTTAATAGCATCAAAGCACCTAATCATACTAGGTACATATAATTTTTCAAAGACTAATGGAAATGGAGTATCCCAGCCACAAACACGTTGAATAGGTGCTTCTAAATTCAAAAAGCAATGCTCCATCACAGTAGTAGCAATTTCAGCAGCCACACCAGCATTCTTAGGAGCCTCATGGGCAATAACTAATCTACCTGTCTTTTTCACAGATTGGACAACAGTTTCAACATCCCAAGGCATGATGGTTCGTAAATCAATCAACTCACAACTTAAACCAGGCATTTTCTTTTCGGCCAGTTGTATAGCATTTTCCAAAACATAGATTTGTGAGCCATAACCTAAAACAGTGACATCATTTCCCTTTTTTAGTACTTCCGCCTTTCCTAATGGTAATTCATAATCTGCAACAGGTACTTCTTCCACTGCTGCTCTATAAAGAATTTTTGGTTCAAAGAAAATAATTGGATTTCTATCACGAATTGAAGCCAACAATAGACCCTTTGCTTGAATAGGGCTTCTAGGAGTCACTATCTATTGTGTAACTCAATGTCAATTCATCGTGAGAAAAAAAGACATTTCTGTGAGAAAAAAAAAACAAATACCTTTAAACCAGGACAATGTGTAAAGAAAGCCTCGGGACTTTGTGAATGATAATGGCCACCATGTCCAACAGCTGAAGAAGGGGAACGAATAGTTAAACCACCTACATTAAATTGATTACCAGATCTATATCTAAACTTGGCGGCTTCATTGACAATCTAAGAAAAGAAAAGAAAATAAATAAATAAACAAACATAAGAGTATATAAATGTCTATATTTACTTGGTCAAATGCAGGAAAGATATAGTCAGCAAATTGAATTTCTGCAATTGCAGTATGTCCTACTGAGGCCATACCTACAGCAAAACCTGCAATACCTTGTTCTGTTAATGGTGTATTAAATACTCGGTCACGACCAAACTGTTCAGCTAAACCTGATGTAGCTCTAAATACACCACCAAATGAAACATCTTCACCAAATACAACTGAATACAATGTAATATAAGTAAATCAATAATAATAAAAAAAAGGCATTTACTTTTTGTTTGGTTCTACCTGCTTTTTCATCTGTAGTCAAAGCCAAGAGCATAGCATCATTTACAGCCTGAAATAAATTCATTTTCCTTGTTTCGCCTAGATCAGTTTTATAAGGGAAAAATCAGTTTATATAGACTAAAACAGGAAGAAAAAAAAAAGATAAATTATACAAACTATTAATGGCACTCATATGAGCTAACTCAGGGGAACGAAACGAATCTTCAGGTTTCCTTTTAAGAAGTTGAGAATAAGCAACACCTTGTTGAATCCCATCATTCACTTGTTGTGTTGTTGCATAACTTCGTCGCTGCAGAAAAATGTCAATAACAAAAAAAAAAAATAACCATGAATGGAATAAAACTTACCAAAACTGGTGTAATGACTTTAGCCGTTTTATTTAATGAAGACAGCATATCTATTATTTGTTTGATTTAGTGTATAAAAAAAAAGAAATGAAAGTTAAAAAAATAAAATAAAATAAAATAAAATAAATAAAATTATTATATTTACGAAAAAAATAAAGCGTGGGAAGAAGTTCTTCATTTTTGTTGCACGCATTTATTGCTATAAAAAAAAAATTTCTTATTCACAAAAGACAGTAGTGTGTTTGTTAATAAAGGATTTAGATCTGATAATATACGTTATTTCTTTATTTTCAGAAAGTACTGAGATTGTCTTTTTATGAAAACAAGCTTTATTTAAAGGGCCTTATCATATCTGTTTTGAGTAGCAAAAAGATAAAGAAGAAAGAGAATGTAAAGGTCAAATCTGTATAATTTATTAAGAAAAAAAATGTATTTATATGGGGGAAAATGAAGAGGGTTATTTATACAAGTGTTTATATGTTTTCACCAGGTAAATGATATTTTAGTATCTTGATAACAAACAAAGACTGGAAAATTAAAGATTGTTTGTCTCCGAATAATTTTGCATTTATCCCTGAACTGTCGCTATTGCTACTAAATTTATTATTTCTAGAGTAAGCGACACGTCATAATGAATATGATTTCAGCTATAATTAACGATACCAATTATTCATATGCTCCCATCTTATGAGATATCATTTGTAAATGATTATGTAATTGAATATAACAGTTATAATCCTATAGAATCCCTGTTATTACATAATACAATGTATGTAATTATTATTATTAGTATCAATGCTTGGATACTCTGACAATAACCTATTATTAAAACTGAATGAATATATCATGTTGTGAAATACGACATATTAGTTTTACTATAGAAACAACCCTTTTACTTTATGTGATGAATGATAGTTTATTTCTATTAGCTTGTCGTTTCATAGATTCTATTACAATCATAATAATATCAAATCAAAACCGAAAAGATGTTAGATTGTTTAAACTACGAATCATATGAAAGAATTATTGTTGCATAGTCGCCTATTTCCTTGAAGTAAATTAAAAACTAGACTCTACTCCTCAAAGAAGACTTTATGTATATGTACGCATTTTATTATCATTTTAATGCCTTCTTCCATTTGGAATAAAATGACAAGCAAATTTTATCATTTATTATTTTCATTTGGCGCGGAGAATTTATTTCAAGAAAACGCGCACAAAATCATTTTATTCTATTTTATTTATTTATTTTTATTTTTATTTTTATTTTTTTTTTTTATTTTTTTTTTTTTTTTTTTTTTTTTTTATTTTTTTTTTTTTTTTTTTTTGCCTTTCATTTTTGCAGGAAAAGAAAAAAAAATGAGTCAGTTATTTTCTGCTTCAATAGGGTCAGCAATAGGATTGACAAGTGTAGCTTGTTTAAGTTCAATTGCAATATCTATCCAACGTAGATTTTATCACGATACATCATCAACTCAGTTTGGAAAAGACCCTTCACCTTTAAAATATGATCATGTTCGAGACTATACAGTGCCATTCTCTGATGAAAATCGTTTAATTAGAATCCTTTTTAATACACTTGTGATGACAATAATGAGTTTTTATGATCTTTACAACTCTGTTAGTCAGTTTTCTCAAAATAAAGTTGATTCTGATACAGCCACTTTGAATATTATATCAAAATCATTAGTATGTATCTCATGGATGTATGCACTCACCCTTACTGTCATTTCTCGAAGGTATAAGCTTCCTAATAAATGGGGCTTTATTCTTAATATTCATTTATTTGTATATTATACGACATCACTTATAGTATCACTTTACTCTCTATGGGAGGTCTTTATTTTACGTCACGAAAGTCATCTATCACTCGCAGAGGGTTTACCTTTGATACTTGCAACCCTCTTTTCTTTCGATCTCTTTTATACTACTGGTTCCGCTGAACAAGGCCCTCCCTTTTTAGATGTACATGGTGATAATGAAGAGAAAGAAGGTGAACCAGCGCCGGTTGTTGGAGTTACGGTAGCTTCTATTTTTAGCTTTTTATACTTCAATTGGGGGACACCAGTTGTGATGAGCGTCTATCGAAACGCAAAGGAGATTCATTTACCTAGTTTGCCTCCTGATTATCGTGGCTATAATCTATTTTATCTATTTGGTGAAGAACGAGGTCGTTCCTTGGTTTATCGTCTTATTCATGCCAATTTATTAGCTATTCTATTTCAATCAATCACAACCGCCATCTCTGCTAGTCTTTACTATGCTCCAGCTTTCTTTTTAAATAAATTACTCGAACTTATTCAAGCAATTGATGCTGGAAGACCCATTGATTTTTATTTTGTTAAAGGTCTCCTTATTGTATCTGGATTATCTTTATCATTGATGATTTTAAGTATAGTTGTTGGACAAGTCTATTACTGGAGTAAGTAATAAATATTTATTAGAAAAAAAAAACTAGCTTTGATGACTAAAACCCCCATTTCTCTTTTAAATAATATATCGTTATTTATTATGATAGGTTCATCATCATTGCGTATTCGAGTGAAGGCTATGTTAAATATTGAACTTTATCGTAAAACACTTCGTCGAGTATGTTCAGCAGATATCAATCGAGAAATGAAAGATGACGAAAAAGGGAAAGGGAAAGGAAAAGAGAATAATGATAAAAAGGCTATACATTCAACAGCTACAACTACAAATACAGATGATAATAATCAAAGCAACTCAGTGGGTACCATTGTCAACTTGATGAGTACTGATTCGCAACGTATATCTGATTTTACTACTTCCTGGTTTGTCATTATTGAAGCACCTATTGAATTGATTGTTGGGATATCATTTCTTTATTCATTGCTTGGATCCTCATGTTTGTTGGGTTTATGCGTCATGATTATCACGCTTCCTTTGAATCATTACAACTCCATTATGTTGGCAAGGACTCAAGAAAAATTAATGGAAGCTCGTGATAAGCGTGTATCTTTAATGAACGAAGTACTGCAAGGCATTCGTCAAATTAAATTTTTTGCTTGGGAAACAAATTGGGAAAAACACATACTGGAAGCTAGAGATGTTGAAATTAAGCACTTGAAAACAACATTCGTTAGTGAAGTTTTATTCAACTTTTTATGGCAAGGGTTAGTGGGGAGGATGGTTTATTATAGAATTGCTAACACACATCCTAATTTTTTAATCCTTTTTTTTTTATTTATTCATTTTATATATAATATTTTTTTTTTCTTTAGAACACCTTTGCTAGTAACGATTGTTTCATTCTTTACGTTTACTAAACTTCAAGGGCAAGTGTTAACAGCTCCGATTGCATTTACAGCCATTACAGTTTTCACAGAACTCAGATCTGCTTTAAATAGTTTACCTGAAACATTTGTTGACATCTTACAAGCCCTTATTAGGTAAGTAAAAAAAAAAAAAAAAATCTTGAGATTAAAAACTTAAATATTATTATTATTTTTTTTTCTTTTTGCCTAGTGTAAGACGTATTGAATCTTATTTAAATGAGGATGAAGTATCTCCACCTACAACCAATTTAGATCCTAACTGTCGAGTTCATATTGGATTCAGAAATGCAACAGTTGCTTGGTCAGAGTTACCAAATTCACTATCGGACGATGAGTCTACTACAACAGGGACCTCAGCGAATAATAACTTGTTATCTCAACCATCCTTAAATTCAACTACTACATCATCAACTACCAACATGATGAATAGCTTAGAAGAACCGGATACGATATTCATGCTTCATGATTTGAACTGTCATTTCCCGAATGGTCAATTAAGTATCATCTCTGGCGCAACTGGCTCCGGTAAAACATTAATGATGCTCAGTTTATTAGGAGAGACGACTCTGATTAAAGGTGAAAGCTTTTGTCCGCGTGCCCCTATAGCAGAGGACCTTGACTCTAAGTTAGATCAAGTTCCACGCAATATCACTAGAAAGGACTGGATTTTAGATCATGCTGTTGCTTATGTTTCACAAACAGCATGGTTACAAAACGCCACCATTCGTGAAAATATTTTATTTGGATTACCTTATATGGAAAAGCGTTATAAGGAAACATTATATGCGTGTGCCTTGCATAAGGATTTAGAAATTTTAGAAGATGGTGATGCAACTGAAATTGGTGAAAAAGGAATTACTCTTTCAGGGGGTCAAAGAGCTAGAGTAGCTCTTGCAAGAGCTGTATATTCGAGAGCAAAAAACGTTTTAATGGATGATATCCTTAGTGCTGTAGATGGTAAAAAAAAAAAAAAAAAAAAAAAAAAAAAGAGAGAGAGAGAGAGAGAGAAAGATAAAAAAGAATGCATAGAAAACTCATATATCTATTGAATAGCTCATACTGCTCGGCATCTTCATGATAAATGTCTTGTTGGACCATTAATGGTGGGTCGTACTCGAATTCTAATTACACATCATGTTGGCTTATGTATATCAGAGGCATCCTATATTGTTCATCTTGAAAACGGTCGGATTCATCTTTGTGGATCACCTGAAGAATTAGAGGCTGAAGGAGTATTAAATTTAATTCTGGATGATGTGGTTGCTCCCGCAGAAGACGAACAAAAAGAGACAATAGAGAAGGAGATTGAAATGATTGATCCAGATGTGACCATTCATACGGTAATGGCTGATTCGAAAAAGGCGGACCATTCTTCACCTCGAGTATTAGTTAAAGAAGAGAGTAAGTATTATATATAAATGCCTATATATATATATATATATATATATATATTACTGCAAAGAGTTATTCAATTAACACTATATACTCATATATTTATCATTATTATTACTGTTATTATTATTATTTCATAGCAAGAGCCATTGGTCGTGTTAAAACAAGGATGTATAAGACTTATTTAAAGGCATTAGGTGGTCCTCTTTTTTGGGTTATTGTATGTGGGGTTATTCTTGGCTCTCGTAGTTTAGATGTTGCAGAAAGTTGGTGGATTAAGAAATGGGTACATTCTAATGAATCTAATATGACAGCTTCAAATGCTTCATTTTTTAAAAGAGTTCAATATACATTCATGGGACAGCAATTATCTACTATCACAGGTTCTACTTTAATAGATAATGAAGGCGGATCCTTAGAATTTATACCTACTGGCAACAAAAATTTTGGTTTATTTTCTACAAGTATCACAGAAAACTCTGATCAGCTCAACATGTATTTAACGATATATATAATCATCACTACCACTAATATTATTGTTGGTGCTTCTCGTTTTGCTGTATTATATTATGGCTCACTAAAAGCAAGTAAAAACTTGTATCAAGATCTTTTAAAGCGTATCTTACATGCCCCTATGCGATACTTTGACACAACACCTATTGGTCGTATTCTTAATCGATTTTCAAAGGATTTTGAATTTATTGATTCAGGTGTTCCAAATGATTTGATGTATTTCTTAATTCAATGGATTATCATGATTTCAGCTGTCTTGACTGTTTGTTTCGTTCTACCTGCCTTTATAATACCTATGGCCGTTGTTACGTTCCTTAATATAATGGTTGGAAAGCGATTCACGGCCGCCTCGAGGGAATTAAGACGTATGGATTCTGTCACTCGATCTCCATTATTTACTCACTTTGGTGAGACATTAGTTGGTGCTGCTACGATTCGTGCTTATGGTGTCACTAGACAATTCATGAATGAGTTTTTAAGAAGAGTAGACACTAATTCTAGACCATTTTATTATGTATGGATAGCAAATCGTTGGGTTGGAGTTCGTTTCTCCTTTTTGGGCGCTGCAGTTAACTTTTGTACTGGTGTCTTTATCTTGCTTAGTCTAAATTATATGGATGCTTCGCTTGCAGGTTTTTGTTTGAGTTTTGTATTGACTTATACTTCACAGGTAGGTTATATTTATTAATTTTTTCAGACTATTGTATTTAGGCTTTTTCTTTTTTTTTTTTTTTCCTTTTTTTTAGATGACAATGGCTATTAAGAGATATACTCGATTAGAAATGAGTTTTAATGCTGTTGAAAGAATAGTAGAATTAATGGAAATTGAGCAAGAACCTCCAGCTATAACTAACTTAAGACCACCAACGGAGGTATGTATATATATATTTATATATATATATGTATTGTTCGATTGGTTGATAATTGAATATTAATTACATGTAAAACAGTGGCCACTTGAGGGTAAAATCGAAGTCAAAGATCTTGAAGTGCGTTATGCTCCAGACTTAGACCCAGTTTTAAAGGGCTTGACATTTTCAATAAAAGCCAAAGAAAAGATTGGTGTTGTTGGAAGAACTGGCAGTGGAAAATCCACTTTAGCTCTCTCATTCTTTAGATTTGTTGAGCCTTCGGCTGGAACTATTTTTATCGATGGCATTGATATATGTCAAATTGGTACTAAAGATCTTCGAAGTAATTTGACAATCATTCCACAAGGTAAATAAATAAAATAAGAAATAATAATAATAATAATAATAAAAAGGGCTATCATGTTTTCTCAAAAATATCTTTTAATAGATCCTATATTATTCTCTGGAAGTTTAAGATCCAATTTAGATCCTTTTGATGAATTTGATGACGATGATATTTTAGCAGCATTGAGAAGAGTAGAGTTAATTCCTTCTGAGGACGATGTTGATGTTCCTGAAGCAAGTGATCAACACAGCCATGAAGAATTAAATGCGAATATTTTTACAGATCTCGAAACACCTGTCAGTGAAGGTGGTTTAAATTTTTCACAAGGTCAAAGACAACTTATTTGTCTTGCTCGTGCATTGTTAAAACGAAACCGTATTGTATTTATGGATGAAGCCACAGCCAGTGTTGATTTCGAAACCGATGAAGCTATACAAAAGACGATTGCATCTGAGTTTGCTGATTGTACCATCCTATGTATCGCTCATAGATTACGAACTATTATGGAATATGATAAGATCTTAGTACTCGATCAGGGAGAAATCATAGAATTTGCAAACCCCTTAGAATTATTAAATATACCTGACTCTATATTCAATAAGATGTGTGAAAATTCAGGCGAATATGAAACACTTGTTGCATTAGCTAAACGAAAACATCAACTTGTTGATGTATTATAGTAAATAAATACACTTGCTATCATGTTTTGTAGATTTCAATAAAAAATAATACTCTTCGTACAATTCTATATCTGTTATTATAGAGATTTTTTTTTTTGAGTTAATGCTTTAGCCAATTATAATAAGGTTAGTATTTACGAATAATAGCATTTACATCATAGTTTCAAATATGGTTCTTTTTTTTTTATTTTTCTATTCATAAACACGCTGACTGAAAGTTTGAATGCAAATGCTTAATAGTTAGGCTATATGAAAATATACAGTTTAAATCTTGTCTTAAAAATATGATAATTTACATGAAGTATTATTTCTATTATTAGACACATAGTAGCATAATGCTTTTAGTTGAAATAGGACGATTATCAATATTTTACTTAATGTTCAATAAATAAATATTACCTAGTTACATATTAGCTATATACATATATTTATAAGTATAAAAGGATCTATTCGTGGAAGTATAATAACATTTGTAGTAGACTTACTTTAGTATTTATGAAAATAATAAATAACATTACTTTGCATATCCATTAAAAAGTATATGTCTTCTAAACAAATAAGACGGCTAAAAAAAAAAAAAAAAAAAAAAAAAAAAAAAAAAAAAAAAAAGGCACAAAAATATTTAATAACATGTGTTCACTTTTTTTTACATCATAAAATAAGGTAGATCAGCAGAAAACAGGTATAATATATAATTGTAAGCTGGGTTATTATTACTCTTGACAGATTTTATCGAAATCTTTTTTTTTTCCGGTATTAATGCATATCATTTTCTCTCTTCTATTTTAAACTTTCTACTACTACAATCGACAGTCAGTATTAATTCGTAACAATAAGATAAATAAGTTTGTATATATGTTTTCCTTCAATTAGTGTATCACTAACTACCATGTTGATGAGTGACCTTCTAAAATAAAACATTGCTGATCGATATAAATTATGTTTTCAGTACAACAATTATGTTACCTTACTATTATATAATATTGCCTATTACAAATACATATTTAAGATTCAAGATACTCTTCTTTTCTTTTTATTAGGTCTTTTAACGCATTGATTTATTTTATCAAATTATGGTTATAAAAATTTGATGGAAAAGAAATTAAGATACCAAAGTTATACAGGAAAATTAAAAATAATGGCGTCATTATCTTTGGTGCGCACGGTCATTTATGTAATATTATATAACAAAAGTTTCTTTTTAATTTTTTTTTTAATTTTTTTTAATTTTTTTTTTTAATTTTTTTGCAAATTACCTTATATTTGTTTTGTTGACTGACTATAAAAATTACCAAATAAGGATAAAAAAAAACTTGTTCGCAAATGGAAAAACAAAATACTTAATTTTTTTAGCCAATGATCATTCAATAATACTCATAAAAGTAGAACTATAAACAAGTTCAAAGGAAAATGTCAACAAGAACTTGTAAAAGAAAGAAACAAAAGAAGTAGGACAAAACATAAATATTCGGAAAACCTCATTCCGTAATGGATTTCACGAGAATTAACCGTGTGTTCCCACATGATTTGCTTTGTTAAAAAATATTTTCTTACACTAAAAGACGACTTGAAAAGCTTCATTCTTCACGAGGCATATAGCCATGCGTAATGAATAAATCAAAATAAACACAAGAAGATTGTTTTATTTTATTTTTTTTGTTATTAAAATTATAAAACAAAAAGATTATTTTTTTTTATTCTCCTTTCTTCTTCTTTTTTATTCTTTCACTTTTTTTTTTAAATTTTTTATTTATATAAATATATCCTTTAAAACAATCCCTCTCCTTTAATGACTTCAACTCCATTATCATATTTTATGTTTGCTTCACGGCGTATGTTTACAAAGTTCAATCGAAAATATTTTTCATATCAACAAAAAAATAAAAGCGATAATCAAAATGAAAATCAAAACAGCAGTAACAATCATCGTAGCAAATTATCTGCTTCTCCAAAATTTTTTACAAAAGTTTCATTTTCATCTTCATCTATTTGTAAATCCAATTCTTTTACTATTCATCATAAACAACGTGATTCTGTTATATCTCTAACAACTAGTATAAACTCTTTACAACAACAACATCAATCTACTCTTATCACTTCTTCACCTCAATATACTATGGATGAACTCCTTCAAACAGCAGAGGAACATTTATATGGACGTAATGATAAAACAAAAGATCAAAGCCTTGCTGTTCTTTATCTTCAAGAAGCTGCCAACAAAGGTAATCACTCAGGTGCACAAGCTGTCCTTGGATTTTGTTACGAGTTCGGTCTTGGAATTCCTATCGATTTTAAATTAGCAGAGCGTTATTACATCATGTCTGTCAAGTCAGCTTTAACAGCAAACAGTGCAAAATTTAGTCAGGAAGCCATTGATCAATTAGATTTAAGTGATGCTACTCTTTTAGGTATCACACGATTAGCCTTCTTGAGAAAGTATGGTCGTCCCGGCGTTCAAATTAATCGTGTTGAAGCAGAATATTGGGAAACAAAAGTAAATGCGAGAGGACCCAAGGCTATTGAATGGATTCGACGTGCTGCTGAAATAGATCATTGTTCAGCTAGTCAATATTGTTTGGGTGTTTGTTATCATGATGGTATTGCTGTTTCAAAGGATGAACAGTTGGCATTTAAATGGTATAAACTTAGTGCAGAGCAAGGTAATTGTCGTGGTCAAGGTATCCTTGGTTATTGTTATGGTGAAGGCTTTGGTGTTGAGAAATCTGAAAAGGCAGCCTTGGAATGGTATCATCGTGCTGCTATTCAAGGTGAAACTGTGGCCATTTATAATATTGGTTATTGTTTTGAAGATGGTATTGGTGTTCCTAAGAATCCTATCGAAGCCGTTAAATGGTATCTGCTAGCTGCTGAGAAAGGAAATGCATTCGCTCAGAATTCATTAGGTTATTGTTATGAAGATGGTATTGGTGTTGCTCAAAATAAACAAATTGCTGCCGTATGGTATCGTCGATCTGCAGAGCAAGGTTATCCTTGGGCTCAATGTAATTTGGGTTATTGCTATCAAAATGGTATTGGAGTTGAGAAGGATGCTGCAGAGGGAGCTTATTGGTATGGGCAAGCTGCACGTCAAGGACATGGTCGCGCTCAACATAATCTTGGTTTCTGTTATCAAAATGGTATCGGCGTGGTTAAGAATTTAAAATTGGCTGTTGCTTGGTATAAAAAATCTGCTCAACAAGGTAATGTGTTTGCCTTCCATTCTTTAGGCTACTGCTATCAAAATGGATTAGGTGTTGAAGTTAATTTACGTGAATCCGTATATTGGTACCTGCGTAGCGCTGAGCATAACCATGCCCCCGCACAACTTTCCTTGGGCTTTTGTTATAGAAATGGTATGGGTGTAGAAAAAAATGAAGAAGAAGCTGTTAAATGGTTTAGACTATCTGCTATACAAGGAAATCCATTAGCACAAAACACACTTGGCTTTTGTTATGAAGAAGGTTTAGGTGTTAAAAAGGACCCAAAATTTGCAGTTCATTGGTATATGAAGGCAGCTAAACAGGGTAATCCATGGGCTCAATGTAACCTCGGATACTGCTATGCGAGTGGTATTGGTGTCGCAGAGAATCCAACAAAAGCGATTTATTGGTATCGTAGAGCAGCTCAACAAAATCATGCTCGTGCACAAGATAAACTTGGTGTCCACCTTCAAGCTGGTATTGGGTGTCGACAAAATCTTGAAAAGGCAGTGGTCTATTTTAAACTCGCTGCTCAACAAGGTCAAATTACTGCACAATATCATTTAGGTCTCTGCTATGAAAAAGGTTTAGGTACACCCGTTAATTTACGAGAAGCTATGGCATGGTACGAACGAGCGGCTACAGTAAGTATTCATTATTGTTAATATGTATCTTTTTATTTATATTCGTTATCTATTGTAGGCTGGCTGTAGAAACTCATATCATCGTCTTCGTCAACTTTTATTGCGTTACTGCCTTGAAAATGCTTCTGCCGCTGAAATTGTCCAAAGAGTTGGTAATATAAACGATTGCTGGTCAACTAATTCGAACTCTTTGGGTTGGGTTTCTGGTTTTGCTGCACCTGCAGCTTAGAAACAAAACAAAACAAAAAATTGTAATTTACATCTGTACACATTTATTATGACTGTATTCGTCTTTATAACCAAGTTAATAGAAATAAACCGTTATTTATTAAAAAAGTTATTCAAATAAAGCTAGTATATTGTACTTCATAGCACAATATTCATTCTACATTCAATTTTAATAATAGTCCTTATTAGAGTATTCGAGCACTAATGATAATTATATACATTAATAATGTTGAATATTGTTATGTAATAAGATCTCATAGGATGATAATAATAGTATTTCATAAATAATTAGTGTTGTTATAGCTAATATCTTCACTACAAATCAATATTGACGCGTCACTTACTCCAGAAATAATAATTTCTTATATTTCTAATAACAGCAGCAAATCAGGATAAAAATATATCCTATTATATGCATAATTATTCGGAGACAATATTTTATGTAAAACGCTTTATTCTAATAATATTTGCTTATCTAAATCACATTTCTATTCTTCCCACTCACCTTACAAAAACATATAAATAGCTCTCGATATTTTCCACATTAATTTTTCTTTGTACAATTTCTGTATTTTTTTTTTCTTTCAATAAATATACAAAGTTTTCACAGACTTGTCTTTTTTGTTTCCATATTCTTTTTCTCATCTTTTTGCATCAAAACAATATTACAAAAAAATATCCAGAAGTATTTATAATCTAACATACGATTAAGAATTATTTTATTTATAACAAAAATTTTTATAACAAAAATTTAAACAACCCATGTGAGCACATAATACTGGTGTATTGGATTGCCCGGGTCAGTTCAAAAAAGGATAAAAGTGTACTAAAAAAACCTTTTGATAGGCAAAAGGGTAAAAAAGAAAGAGAAGGGAAGAGGAAAAGTAAGATATATCAATAAATACTAGATTCAGAGTTACGTAACCAGTTTACAAGTTTTGTACCAGGGGGGACAGTTTCTGGAGGAAGTTTGTCATGATGAAGATAGTCAAGTTCAAAAAGTATACGGCACATAGCAGGCCAACGAATCGTCCAGGCGGGAAAGACAGATGTGTTGAAAGCTGATGAGATTGGTGGCATGCGTTTTTGTTTATTTGGCAGCTTATTCAAGAGAAAGGACAAAGGGTCGGGTTCGGTCAAAGGCATTTGTAATCGTCGATGCATATGTAGACACCATATAGCATAAGATCTTGTGAACAAGGCATTAGGGTGATAGATGCACGGTTTAGGGGCACTGCCAGGTAACCAACCTAGACGCCAGCGGACTATTCGGCTGCGTTCTACATTTGACATAGGTAACCAGAGGTTAGGATCGATATCTAGGATAGGATGGCAGACAGACAAGAGAACAGCATTGTTACTATTTCGTCGATCACCAAGATTATCTTTTAGGTATGCTTTACAGATACCAGCAAAAGCACGAGGATCATAAATATTATCGTCAAAAGAAGCAGTATACCGTTGCCAGATAGGTGTTTTCGAAAGCTTATACCATTGAGAATGGCTTGAAGAGGGACGTATATGTGGTAAAAACTTGGAAACAAGAATATCGTCCGGAGAGTAGATAGACCGAAGTAAGAATTTAGCTTGCAGGAGGTGAATACGTTCCTTCATTGTGGGCAGGTTGACCAAGTGCAACATAACTTTAATTGAGCACCGAGTACTACCGCCAAAAATTTTTCGGATACATTGTGTTTGACATGCTTCTAATTTTGTGATTTGAGTAGCAGAGACCGAGTTAATAACGAGGCTATATTCAAGCTGAGCACGTACTATTTGAGTGTAAAAACGGACAGAGAGAAGCCGATCAAATCCTTTGTGATTCACACCGAGGGATGTCATTTGATTCATAGTTTAAAGCGCCTTATTAATATTATTCTGTGCTAATTCAGCTGTGTTCAAGAGACCACCAGGGCTAATAGAGATACCCAAGTAGGAAAAGGATGTCTGACGAGGTAGTGTAGTGCCATACAGAGAATAAGAACGGTTATCAGAACTAGGAGCCAGTATAGCGCATTTCAGTGGATTCCAGCGATAACCTAAGCGTTGACTATGCTCCTCACATTTCTGCAGCAGGTCCTCAAGGTCAGTAGGGTCAGTTATGAGTACAACATCAGCAGCATATAGGAGACAATTGATGGATCGAGCAAATCGGCAGACATCTGTTGGAGGCACGTCATCAAGCGGTTGACGACGAAGTAGAGAGAGTAACTGGTTAATGTAAATGGAATACAAAAAAGGTGATAGAATGGAACCCTGTAGGACGCCAGTGGTAGGTTATAATCTTACATACAGTGCATCCACCGTCAATTAGACATATTTTTGAAAACGTTGGTCAGAGAAAATTTAGTCAATTATTTGAAGCCCAATCGACCAATTATCCGAAATCCAATTGGACAAAATTTCTATCTGACCAATCAAGAGCATTTTGAAGTATTCCAACTATCTTGGATCATTCAACCTTTTGTGAGATGGAACAATTTTTTTAGAGAGTTTCTTTCAATAAAAATGAAGGAAACTATTGAATATTTTTGTTTACAGTATGAATGTCACGTATGTTTTCTTCAATTTACAGAAATGAGAAGCTTAAGACGACATTATATTGATACTGAAGGTATTGTTTTATCCTTTTTTTTTTCTCATTAACTTGCTTACCATTTATGAATTAGGGCTTTCATATCCAAACTGTACATCCAAATTCTATAATAAGAAATAGTAAGTAATAAATCTTACATATTCTACTACTCTTCTTTAAGTAATTTTGTATTATGTCACATTCCTAGTAAGAAATATATATCGAAGGCGTTTTCCAAAAACAGAGTAAGTATAACGTATATTTAACTTATTTAATTTGTTAGCTAATCTTCTCTTTTATATTTAGAATGATGTGAAATTTGTTAAGGCTTGCTTGAGTTGCACTACCCATTATGAAACTATAGAAGAGCTTGGTTTACATTTAAAGATGCATCATGGTAAATAAATATTAGATCGCTTTATCTGTTATTAAAATATATTTTCAGAACCCGCAAGCCATCCTGAATTTGAGAAAAGTTACTCAAAATTGAATAATGCATACAAGTGGATGCTTTCAACTGGAAAGATAGTAGAAGACGCTTTGTATAATTTTAGTAAAAAGTTACTAGTAGATCATCCATCGAACTCTTTTATCATAGACGTTGATGATCAAACATATTTGAAACATAATATTTTTACTGAAAAAGAGTTAGAGGAGATAAAGAAAGAAAACGTGATAAGCACAACAATACCAATTCCAAGTAAATTACGCGATTATATGAATTCATTCAACTGTACCACTACCGAAAAAATCCGCCAAAGTCTTGTTAAAAGACAACACTGGGAAACTGAATACAATATACGCAAACACCATGATTTTGATTGGTTAAAGTTTGCAGTACATGCATTATTAAGAGAATATGAAAGTGGATCATTAAGCGCTTCAAAGAAAGAACTGTGGTACAATATTCATATCTGGTCGTTTATCGATCGTATTTTTGATGATGTACCTTCACTTGAAGTAGTAAGGCAAGTTATAGAAGCGATTGTTAAACACGTATAGATTTAACCTCTATTTTTCACCATAGAAGTGAAGCCATGAGTATTTCAAGCGCAAACAGAAAAAATGCAAATAGAGTTATTGGATCAGTATCACCAATTGAAAGAAAACAAATTGGGTATAAATGTGACTTTCTCATTAGAGATACTACTTCAGATCATGAAGAGAGTCTAGAGTACGGAGCAGACGAAGTGGGAATTCGTTATGAACAAAAGGGAACCAAATTAATGACAGAAGGATCTGCCAAATTACCTAAGGTTCTAAAAGATATGTTAGATCATTTAATCTTAAAAAATAAAGATTTTATAGGAATGAAAGCATTTGGAATTATTCATTCCGGGTTAACTATGCAACTAATTACTGCTGACCGACCACATCGATATATTACAAGAATATCACGAGGAAAAGAGCTAAGTATTCCTTCTAATGTAGAGAAGTTCGGCGCTAAAGTCCTCCCTGTTATAATTGTAGTAGCCTTTATAATCAAGTTAATAGAAATAAACCATCATTTATTACATAATAAAAAGGTTATTCAAATAAAACTAATATATCGCGTTTCACAGCATAATATTCATTCTACTCTCAGTTTTGATAATAGTCATTGTTTGAGTATTCGAGCATTAAAAATAATTATATATTGTATTTTTCAGCAAATAAGAGAAAATTTCAGAAAAAATAAGAGAAAATTATTGGACAAATAAGAGAAAATTATTGAACAAATAAGAGAAAATTTTAGGTCAATTAAGAGAAAGTCCAAGAAAAATTAAGAGAAAAAAAAAATGGCAATTAGTAGAAAGCACTTTTCTCACTATTATTAACAAAAAATGGATATTGACTTTGATATGAACGAAATTTCTCTACGCGACGATGACATTGAAGCTGTACCTAAAATCATTGTCAGCGTAATGTCAATGATGAGAAAGAAGTGGGAGTACAACATCACTGCATCAGCCATGGAGTTAGATGAAGATGCGACGATGGAGCTGAAGGAAGGGTACGAGGGTGATGAGGCCAGCAATAGCTCGGATAAGGAGGAAAATGAAGCTGATGTACAGGGTAGTGAGAGCGATTTGAAAGAAGAGAAGCCTCTCAGAGATCTGGCCGAAAAAAAAGACGCCGCTAGCAATGCTAGACGTGTGTACACTCAGCAAGATATCAACAAGCTTATTTCCCTGTTAATTGAACAGGTTCCTGTAAAAGATGCAGCTTTAAAAACAGGAATAAATGAGAAATCAGCTTACCGTTTCAAATCGCAATGGCAGAAAACAGGGGAAATACCTCAACAGAAAAAAAGAGGGCGCAAAATGGGAACTGTCTCTGAGCTTACTGAAAAACACACAAAGTTTATTACCGACATTGTTGATGAGTGTTCAACTGCAACTGTAGCTGGAATACACGAGTTGTTGCTCAAAGAATTTCCAAGTCTCTCCGTGAGCCCATCCGCAGTATACAGACATCTTAGAACCAGCTGTGCACTATCTATGAAGAAGTTGGAGAAAATTTCATCTGCTAGAAACTCGGAAGAAACTCTTAAGAAGAGAAAGGAGACCATCCTTCAATGGCTAGCTGATAAAAATATGGACTTTGAGAATAATTGCGTTTTTTTGGATGAAGCAGGGTTCAATTTACACATGACACGCACTCGTGGCTGGTCCAAGATAGGAGAACCTGCTAAAACAACTGTCCCTGCTTCAAAAGGCACCACAATAACCATTCTTGGTGCCATCTCTAGCGCCGGCATTATTGACATCTCTTTGAGAAAGCCAATATTAGTTTCGGGAGCTAAGAAGAGAAGAATAGATGGGAAGGTTGTTACAACGACAGCTAAGGTTGGAACTAGGACTGAGCACTATTTAAATTACTTGAGTAATGTGATGGATGTTCTTGACCGAAATAATATGAAGGGCTTTTACTTGGTAATGGATAATGCTCCCATACATAAGCCAGCTACAGTAAGAAACTTAATAGAAAGCAGAGGCTATAAGTGTGCATATCTTCCGCCGTACTCACCATTCCTAAACCCAATTGAGCTATTCTGGTCGAAGGTGAAGTATGGCGTCAAAAGAAGCCCTTTCGAAACTGGTGAGACACTCACACCCAGAATAATGGATGCCTGCTCCAAAGTAACTAAGAAAGACTGCCAGGGCTGGATTCGCCATTCTCTCAGATTCTTTGAAAAGTGTTTAGCCCTGGAGAAAAACTTATGAGATTTAAGTATAAGTAAATTTTTTGCTAATTGCCATTTTTTTTTCTCTTAATTGACCTAAAATTTTCTCTTATTTGTTCAATAATTTTCTCTTATTTGTCCAATAATTTTCTCTTATTTTTTCTGAAATTTTCTCTTATTTGCTGAAAAATACAATACATTATATTATGTAATAATAATAATTCAATAGGATTATGACTGTTATATTCAATTACAATTATTTATAAGCCATACATATTATATATAGATAGCTATAAAGATGAGTATTGTTATGTAATAATATCTTAGAGGATAATAATAATAGTAGCATATAAATAATTGGTATTGCTATAGCTGACATATTCACTGTGAATTAATATTGACGCGTCGCTTACCCCAGAAATAATAATTTAATATTTTTAGTAACAGCGACAGCTCAAGCAGAAAAGAATAAAAATAGATCTTATTGTAGGCAGAATTATTCGGAGAAAATATGTATGACTAATGCTTTATTATAGCAATATTTGCTTATCCAAATCGTAGTTCTATTAATATCACTTACCTTGCAAAAACATATAAATAACCCTTTACCTTTTACATAATTTTTCCTGGTACAATTTTTGTATTATTCTTCTAAATAAAAACTACACGAAGTTTTCACAGACTTGTCTTTTGTCTTTTTCTCTTTCTTTAACTTTTTGCTTATCAAAACACTCCCTGTTCTTGTTCAAGTTTGGCAACTAAAACAACAAATATTAAGTATAAGAAATATGATTATGTCACCAGTAAATAACGAAAGACAAAATGATAGCCAATGGCTTGATGCTTGCTTAACAAAAGATGATGATTGCATAATTCCAGTAACATCAAATTCCCAAGAATATAAGCACGTATAACATCATCTATAAAAAAAGCCTAAATTGACAGAGTTAACATAATTACCTTAATACTTTAAGTAGAAATTGAAAGATGCCTTTTTTAAATCTAATTTGAAAAAAAAAATATACATATTAGCATAGGTCTCAACAAGATTTTTTTATTATTATCATCATTATTTTTTTTTTTTTTTTTTGACACTATTAAGTTTTTAAAAAAGCACAAATTTCAACCAATAGAGTGAGCCATAGAGTGAGCCATAAAGTGAACCATAGAGTGAGCCATAGAGTGAGCCGTAAAGAAAATTATTCCATCTTATAAAAAATTAAATGATCCGAAGATAGTTGGAATACTTCAAAGGGCTGACCAAATAAAACTCTAAAAGTGACTAAATTTTCTCTGACCAATGTTTTCAAAAATGTGTCTAATTGACGGTGGATGCACTGTATTATATACAGGTTGGACACTCCGATGGCCAGCCGTCTGCCACACTCTATTTGAACTCGATTATCTCCATCATCATCAACTTACTCTTGAAACTCCCCCTTCTTCGTACCCAGCTGTTAACTTGGATATGTAGTTCCTTAACTGGTATATGCTGATATATTTTCTTTTTCATCTTCCCTTCTTTTCCTTTTTTACCCTTTTGACTGTCAAAAGGTTTAGCAACCTTCCCTCTTTCTAGATCTGACCCAGGCAATACAATACGTGCTCATTTTAGGTCATTAAAAAAATTATAAATAAAATTATTCTTTAATCGTATATATACAGATTTAAAAAAAAATTCCTTAATGCACTAATTCAGATTATACAATAAATATTACATAATAAATAAAGCTGAAATAAAAAAAAAAAAAAAAAAAAAAAAAAAAAAAAAAAAAAAGAGTCAGGGTAGCCTATTGTACGTTTATTTATTTATTTTATAAGAAATGGCTTTATTTGCTCCCCTAATCATTAGCATCCCTATTGGATATTTTACATGGACAAAGGTTTTTGATATAGTTGATAATGGTGTTTATCAAATTACTCAATCTAATGCATTCGATGAAGGTACCTAAATGACATTTGAACAATGTAACTGATTGTAAAGAGGCATTGCATGTTTAGATTATTTATCGTAATACATTATAGTTAAACAACAATTGAAAAAACCACCTATTTCATTCGCAGCGGCTACTATAGGCACAGTGACATCTATTGGAGTTTTAGGCAAATTGGCTTTTACAGCAAACACAAGACATAGACTTTTTTTCGCTAAAGCTCCAGCTAATAGTAATATTCGCATAGAAACATTAAAGTTAGGTATTGAGCTCTTAATTCGATCTAGTATTGTGTTCTATGGTAGTGCTATTGGAGGAGCAGTAACGGGAAGGATTATATCTAAATCATAATCTCTTAATCACTTACAAAAGATTTGTAATAATTAACATTAAGCGTTAAGTTTATAATTAAAAAAAAAAAAAAAAAAAAAAAAAAAAAAAGAAAAAAAGATTATTTTGTTCACAATAAATTTTTTTGTTATTGCAAGTCCGCATTTTTTTTTTCTTTTATTCATATAAATAAATATTTGTATATATCATATACATATCATACATGTATATTTATTTGACAGATATATTTATAATACATATGTATTTATAAAATTTTATTCTTTTTTATCTTACTTTTTACTTGCTATATAATGTATTTACCTATAGAGATTCTTAAAGAAGTTGGCAGTTATTTATCTTTATCTGATAAAAATGCTTGCATACGTGTTTGTTATGACTGGTACGAGCCTTTTTTACACTTATTGTATACTCGAATTATTATTCGATCTCGACATCAATTTCGATTATTTTATCAAACTATCCAACAATCTGCCAACATTCGTGAACCACTCGGTTATTTTGTGAAAGAACTCTTTTTTGAGCACAGCGATAACAATCGACGACATCCAGTGGGGCTAACACGCGATGAGCTTGAAAGTTTTCCTAAATATTTTAAGAATTTACAAGTCTTAGATTTCGATCCTAAACTTTGGCAATATATGCGATATTCTGACATATTTGCTCAAATGAAATGCATCCAACAACTACCAACATTTAATCGCAACATAATTTTTCAACCCTTTTTAGAAAAAAATATAAATGTAGATCTAATATCACAACTTACTTATTTATCGATTAGCGGTGAAGCAACTGAATACCTAGCCCAAAATAATCTCATTACATCTGTTTGGTCTCGGATGCCTAAATTAGAACATTTAATAATTAGAGGAGCAAATTATACACAATTAAACATTAAAATGATAATAGCTCTCGGAGCACAACTACCCCAATTAAAACATTTAACCTTAGGCTGCATCACTCTTCCACTTGATGAAAATGACATGTGTTCTACAACACGATTTCCTTTATTTACTTCTGCACTTTCCTTAACTCTAGATGATGTTCACTTACAAAATTGGCGACTGATCACTTTCCTTAGTTTAGCCTTTTATCACATTGAAATGCTTGATTTTGATGTGACATTTGATTGGTTTTATAATGACAATGTCACAATAGATTTATATGAACAATCAATGGATGCTTGTATGGGTTTTGCACAACTTTGTCTTTATTTAAAGAAAATTAGATTTAGAAGAGTAAATACATCTGTCTTTCCTTTCCCTTATGATGCCTTCTTTCATGAAATTGCTGATATTCATTCTGATCTTGTTAAAGTAGAAATGATTGATTATGCTTGGTGGTCTACAATCAATCCTTCTTCATCCTTTAAAGCGGCTACGGTACAAACTGGCCTTTTATCTAAAGCCGATCTTAAATTTTCTTGGACAGGTAAAAAGACAGACATGGCTTTATTTAAAAACTTAAGATCTTGTCCCAACTTGACAAAGTTGGATTTGGATTGCGATATTCCTTTAAAAAATGGACTCAGATTGGATTTGTTGTTGGATAATTGTCAAGCTTTAGAGGCCCTCAGTCTGTCTCATACACTTATCACAATTGGAAAACCAATTGAAAAGGCATCAGAAAACAGACATGGTATTAAGAGTCTAAAATTTGAAGAATCTGTATTAGGTAACCATTTAATGGATTACATTTCTCGGAGCTGTATAAAATTAGATAAGCTCTGGATTACCAAATGTGTACAAGAAAAGCCTCGACGATCTGCTTTTATTGTAATAAGTATGCCAGAACACAACTTTAAATCGATACGACTGAATTCACTTCACTTAAATCCAGGCGGCTCCAATGGAAAATGTGAAGCAAGTATTGCTATATTATCATTTTATGAATCAACACGATATGAAAGCCAAACAGAAAGAAAGAAGAAGTCGGAAACAAAGGATATTTATAAGAAAAATAATGGGATGCCAGTAGCAGCACCAGAAATGTGGAGATTTTATCATGTTCATAAATCAGAGTCTACTAACACAAATAGTAAACAACTTAGACGACTTAGTACAGAGGAAGCAGTTAGAATAGCAAATTTTGAAATGAATGAAAAGAAATGGAAAGCAATTAAAAATGCACCAAGACGTAAATCATTTACAGATAAACAATTATGGGAGAAAGATATTCAATTTGGTGCTGTACTATTACTATGCAAATCAGTCGATCATCTTAGATTTAATGAATTAACTGTCTAACACAATTGCATATATGCATTTGTATTATTATTAATGTACATTACATGTTACCCATAATTTCTTTTTTTTTTGTAAAAAAAAATATATACATATAGATGTATATTTGTATATATAATACAATACTATTTGTCTATACTAATGTATATGTAAATGTCCTTTATATTATATATAGTTATTATCATTTCAACTTTAGTAAATAGCTTTTATAATTTATAGAATAATCACTTAGAACTTACTTTCTCTGCATTTAATCTTACTAACCTGTCTATTAGTAAATGTCCTTCTACTTTGTATCTATTACTATTCACAAAATCTACTATAACTAGAGATCCTTAGTCTATGTAAAAATGGAATTTTTTATTTTTTTATTTATTTTTTTATTTTTTGCAATAGAAAAGAAGCTCTAAAGCTTGTTTGTAGAATTTATTCTTTTCTATGAATTTGTTATAGTATGCATAAAAAGGGAAAATCGAAATTAATCTTTAGTATTTGCTTAACTTCTTTTTTTTTTACTTCGCTATACGTAAGTTTCACTACATACATTTAGAATATACAAATGATAAGCCTCTTAAATAAAATTTGCTATAAAAGTCTTTGATTTTTTTTTTATTGCACATAGTAAAAAACATAGACAATGATCTGATACTTGAAGTTATAGCAGTTTTTATTTTTAGTTTGTTAATTTGCTGTACCAAATCGTACATTAATATTGAATTGTCAGGAGAAATAAGATATTTCTATTGTAAAATTATTTACCTTCTAAATATAAGCTTTCGATATTTTGTAACTGGGTATGATTTATCTGAGAGCTTTTATAACTTTCAAGTTTACGTATATAGTTTATCAAACAGGACAAAATTAATTTATGTATCATATGTACAGCATATTTTGTCACCATTATCAAACTTGTTATTAGCTAAAATTGCTAAAAAAAAAAAAAAAAAAAAAAAAAAAAAAAAAAAAAAAGAGTGTACAATTTAATTGTATGCATTTACTTTATATGTGATAATGATTGAAGTAAAAGAAAAAAAAAAAGAAGGGATTAAATAAGATAAAACACGGAGAGAATGAAATATATAAAGGAAAGAAATACAACTTATAAAAGACTGATAATATATAGGAATGTATGTATTTCATACATGTTGAGAAAGATAAGATATATATAAATAAATAAATAAATATAAAAGCATAGAAATACATATTATAAATCAAAAGTGCCCTTTAAAATTTGTGTGGTTTTTGAATGTAAAAATTGTCTTACACTACTACCCATATTTGATGTTGGACCATGATTTGTGCTATCACCACTTAGACTACTTTCACCACTAAATACACTGCTGTTACTGCTATAAACTCTCTGACTATAATTACTGTTTGTACTTCCCATTCGATTTGATTTTTCCATTTCCTTTGTAGTCTTAGCACCTGCACTTTTAAGATATTCCATAATTGTCTTGAGCCCCCCAGATTTAGCGAGATCTAAAGGGGTAGGAACCTGTTTTGGAACATAGGGATTCGGATATACACCTAATTCACCGACAAGCTTGATCACAACCTTCAATTTTCGATTACGTACAGCATAATGAAGTGGAGTTTCACCTTTATTATCTTTTGAATCGGGTTGACATTGATAATCTCGAATAAATAATGTCAAAATTCGTGTTTTACCAGTAATGCAAGCATAATGAAGAGGCGTTGCTCCTAATTTTAAATATATTAACAAAAAAAACTGTTCCAATGTAATTGATAACACGCATACCATTGTCATCAGCAAGATCAAGTAGATGATTATCAGTTATTCTTAATAAATAACTAACCATCTCCTCTGAACCTCCTTGTACTGCAGCATGAAGCGCGTTTTCGCCATATGGGCCACGATCATGCATCCAGATTTTTGAACCAGCCGCTTCAATCAAGAGTCGAGCTCCAGTCGTATAACCTAATTTGGCAGCAAGCACTAAAGGGGCAATCCTGTCCTCCTTCCTTGATGCAAGTGGAATTGCACTTGTCTTTGCTCCAGCTGCTATCACCTTTTGTAAAGCGGAAGTATTCTTGATAGCTATTAAGGCGTGTATGAGGCCATATCCTTCTTTGACATTTCTTATTGTTTCAGAGTTTTTTGCAACATTTGGATTACCTCCTCGACGTAAATAGTTACTGTTATATGCATTTTGTGTATGTGTGTATGTATGTATGTGTGTGTGTGTATGTGTGTGTGTGTGTGTGTGTGTGTGTGTGTGTGTGTGTGTGTGTGTATGTGTTAATAAAAATTAAAACATGTTATGTGCTAGTACAGTTACCTAATTAATGTGTCTACATCTGTCTTATTATTCTTTCCTCGAGCAATTGTATTCCAAAAGCCATCACCACAAGCAAAAGTCAAAGCATCTTCTTCTCTTTCCTTTTTCGCAGTTGTTATTGTTACCTCACTATTATTATTTTCGAATTTGGTTTTAGAAATGCTTATTTCATTATTAGTATTTAATTCATTGTCATCAACAGTTGGTGATTGTACTAGAGATGATAAGGTATGATCACCTTTAGAAGAATCAGTTGTATTAGAAGGATCATGACCAGCTTCTGAATCAGATAAGACTGAATAAATATCAATTTCATTAGGATGATGTTGATTTTCTTCTTTTTCTAACAAAATTGAATCTTCACGTATCATGGTAGGGTCAATCATTTCATCCATTAAATGAGAAAATGATGTCCGCATTGAAGATGAGCAGGAAGAAGATCGTGCTGAGGAAGATGACATATAACTTCTACCCGATATACAGCTTACATTACTAGGTAACAGTATTGAGGAAGCCGTTGATCGACGACTACCATGCTGCTGAAATAGCATATTAGGATTGTTTTCGTATTGGATTTTATAAAATTGTTGTATTTCTTTTAATGAACGTTCATGATGTTTAGACTGAATATGAAGGCGGTATTCAAGTTCATTTTTGGTATGTTCAAGCTCATAAAATTCATCAATTAAAGTATCGTAGTTTTCTGTAAAAAAGGTTATAATATCATCTATTGCTTGCTTGAGACGATTCTGAAGGTCAACACACTCAACCTCAGTAACAAGAGCTCGTAAAAGTCGTTCTGCTTTAGTCTCTTTATATTTCTTAAGTCGACACACAGTTGACTTCTTTTTCGATAGTTTGTTTTTTCTTAAGGATAGTGGTGGCAAAGGTGGAAGAGATAAACTCGCATAATAGTCTTCTTCATTAATAATTTCCATATAAAGAAGCAGGTATGAATTATATATTAAAATGAAAAAGAAAAGAAAAGGAAAGAAAAGATAGAAAATAAAATGAAAATAAAAATAAAAATAAAAATGCATTTTTTTTTTTTTTTGTTCAATAAGCATACTCAGTTGTTTTAATATCCTATTCTTTTGACTCCTAATCCACTTAGATACTACTTGTTCAGAAAAAAAAAAGGATCGCTCGGTCATTTTAATTGGTTGAAGTATCCATTCTATGATTACTTCCTCCCCCCTTAAGTTTATTATTACTGATCCTTCCTTTGACTTTATTCGTCTTTTTTGCTGTCTAACTTGCGGCTATTGAAATAAGGATTTCATCCTTGGATCTTTGTGTTTGCAATCATTGACAGATAACTAACAGTGACAAGCGCAGATTATTTTGTTTATTATTATTATTAGAATATATGACTACATGAAATAATTGACATTTTGTTTTTTTTTTTTTTTTCAAAATGGATATCTAATGATTGAGCATAAATAGAAAGTAATAGGAAAAAAAAAGCTTTCTATATTGAGACAGTATATGATAAATGAAATGGAATGCTTGATTATTATACTTTAGTATGTTGTATCCAGATTATAAACATAAAGAAAGTAACCTTAACAGGTCTCCTGCTATGCTTGAAGTTGTACACCTACGATACGCATAAATCCCTAAGAATTAAGCAGATATTAACGTTATTAGGGAGTTGATAAATACTATTACATAATATGTTTGAACTCAGATATATGGACACGGAATTTTGGAATCTATGGATCTTATCTTTTTTCATAGATACATAACTTCCACTTTATAGATTGATTAAAATAAAATATAGGACTCTGTAGTTACACTCCTTATTTACTTCAGTATTTCCTTTGTGCTAGGCTTTTTTTTTCCCATATGAAATTATACTTTAGTAAAAGCAATGATCCAAAAAACTACATGAGTATCATATAGCCCTTAGTTTTATCAAGAGTGCTATTTAAGTCTAAAGCACATCTATCTGTTTTCTATAATATTTTAGCCTGATTTTTGAATCAGTCTTCAAAACTTTTGAAGATAAGAGTCTCTTATATATTTTTTTAAAAAAAAAGCAAAAAAGTTTCTAATTATATGTATGCATAATACACATGTATTTGCATTAATTTGGTAAATATAATAATGGTATTAGTCGGTTTCTGTCATTTCCATCCCTTGATAACCACGATTGCTTCTATAGTTATTCTTGATACGATTTGTAATATCTATATTAAACATTTTTTATTTATTTATTAGTATATGTGTCTATGTATATTCATCTTCCTCCTTTGTTTTTATTCTTTTATATGGATCGAATTCATGTAATTATTATTCAAAACACCTCTTTTTTTATTTTTCCTTTTTTATATTTTAATGATAACTTACAGTTCCAGCACCTAAAAATCAATGGCTTGAGTTTGACATGAATAAACCAGATGGGTATAGCTAGTAGTACGATTCCCAGAGCAATTAGGCTTTGAATTGGCGCCTCTATAAATGGTGTTGTACATAAAAATAATGCTACTATACAAAACAAAATAGGTGTTGAAAGCCATACACGATATGGACGTTTTAAACCTGGTTCAGTGTATCTAAAAACAAGTAGTGATAAAACTGCCAAAAAATAAAATCTACGTATAAATTATATACACATATATGCATAGGTATACATTAGTGCTTTTTTTTTTAATGTTATTCATTCTTGATATACGTTACATCCATGCACAAAAAGAATAAAAATTGACCAACATCCTAAAGGATCCAACCATAATCATAATAGTGGTTAGAATAGCTTGGAGGGCTAATGCTAAAATAGGTGTTTGTCGTGTCTGACTCAGTTTTCCAAAAATGTTTGGTATATGCCCCTGTTTTGCAGAAACATAAATAATACGAGCTCCTGTAAAGACACTTGCATTTGCAGACTAACAGTAAATCGAACAACAATGAATATACAAATATAAATACACTCTAAATATTTAAAACTAGTTACCCCAAAGCAGCTTAAAGCTACACAGACGGCAAAAATAATACCTCCTGCTGCACCAAATATCTTTTTTCCAAAGTCCATAGAAACTGTATTTGTATGCATAACAACTTCGGGCCTAAGTGCAGCCAAGTACGCAAGATTGGATAGTATATAACAAACAATAACAAGTGGAATACCAAAGATAATAACTCGAGGTAGATCTCGATGAGGATCTTTCATTTCTCCAGATACATAGTTTAAATTATTCCAACCATCATATGCCCAGAGACCTATATATAATTTATATCTAGTTACAAAATGAAAAAAAAAACCAGAACAAATGTATGTTTAAATTTACCTGAATAGAAAGCAAAGGTAAATTGACCAAAACTAATAGAATCAAATCCAGCAAAAGGTTCACCTTGAAAACTATCACCAACTACTAATTCTTTATTTGACAGTACAACTATACCAGCTATGGAAATAACAACTGCTGTTAAAATTTTAACAATTGATAATATATCTTGGACACGAATACCAGCTTTTACTGAAAAAGCATTCACCACAGTCAAAGCTAATAAACAAGTTACAGCTAATATTTTTGGTAAAAATGGAGGAATAATAGAATCTGCCAATTCAACAGATGCGTCTGAGTCATGTGGAACATTGAAAAAATACGTATGATAGGCAATACGAGAAACATATTCACCGAATACGATACAAACAATGGCTAGACTACCAGGCTTTTGAACGATAATTGAGACAAATTCAAACATAAAGGATACAAGACTACCAAATGCTCGACCCAAATAGATAGATTCTCCGCCATTCATAGGAAGCATTGTACCTAATTCTGCATAACATAGAGCACCACAAAGTGCTATTAAACCTGAAATAAACCATACTACTAATGCAGTGCCATATGCGCCCGATGACTCTAAAACAGGACCTAATATAAACATAGTTGCATATATATACATATATATATAGATTTAGTTTATTAAACTTCTATATAGCTAATTACAATCTAGACAAGTACCTGGTGAACTGAACAACCCACTACCTACCATCATTCCAACGACTAAACCTAATCCATTTATAAAAGAAACCTTTTTCTGTAATTCAGGACCTCTTGCTTGCGTTTGAGAAAGAGGGATCATGGGTATCGTTTCAAAAGAAAACATAGAAGAAGTAGAAGATGAACGGGATCGGTGATGAGTTAAAGGTAAAAGGGTTTGATGATCATCATCATTATTATTATTATTGTCATCATCGTCTATACTAAGTCGGTGTGATCCTGCACTGAATAAAGAGTCAGAATCAGATTCTGTGATTCTAAAAGTTGTATTGAAATCTCCTGCATTTTCATAAATGCTATCATCTACTGTATTACTAGTGATTGGCATCTTTTCTCTTTTCGTTCATGATTTGATGAAAAAAAAGAAAGAAAAGTTAATAATAATGAAATAGAAAAAGTTTTGTTTTAAAAAAGAAGTTTAGGTGCGAGTCGGAGATACTTTGTTGCTGCTGCATCAATTCTTTTCTAACCATCGTTTGAAAGAGCTTTTTATTTGTAAATATGTATACATGTATACATATAAATATATTTTTTTATTTTTCATTTGTCCAACTCGGTACTTCCTTTCAAAATATTTAACAGCCATATTATTGAAGAGTTTATACACTGTTTTAAGATTTTAGATGAATTCTATCGAAACTTGGGAAACACAACAAGTTTTATACCGAGTAGCTAGTCCAAAGTGACACTATTAGTAACTAGGCACCAGTCTTGAATTTCAGAAGAAAAATCGGGAACAAGAACCTAATATCAACAAATACTTGACTTTCATTATTTAATCAAACTTCTATGAAAAAATAAGGATCACTTTGCTAAGTTAATCTATCAATCAGTTATTCCCTACTATATACATATACATATGGAAAAGAAATGCAAGCAATTTGATTTTTTTTTTTTTTTTTTTTTTTTTTTTTTACTTAGATGAAGGGTACCGGTATAGATTTAATTAGAAAAAAGCAAGTTTTCGATAATTTAAAATGAATATATGCTAGAATGTACATGCTTGTCATAGCAACAAATTACTTTTATCTCTGTGCATTCCTGTCAAATAAACCACGATATAAAAAACAGATATACTTTTCACGAAATTAGATATTAAACTCTCCCCCTCTTTTTTTTTTTACTGACTGATAAAGGTCAATCTTATTTCTTGAATTGCAGAATTATTATTTCAGTTACTATGCTTCCAAATGGCATTAAGAAGAGCTTTTTATATCTAGAACTAATATTGTAATCTAAGCTTTGATACAAATATCACTTTTGAAAGTAAGAATAATAAAACTTAAACAAACAAACAAACAAAAAAAAAAAAAAAAAAAAAAAAAAAAGTGGGAGGGACGAAATAATTGCATTTTTTTTTCTTCCACTAATTATCCTCCATAAATTTTACTGCTTGAATATCAAGATTTTTTTGTATTCAGTAACACCAAAATTTTGTACTTTTAAACGCGAAACAATGTATATATAAAGGAGGACTTACTACTGTGTATTATATCCTACAAGGAAATATAACTTGCATTGGAGTCAATATACAGTATGTACATGTATATGCATATATGTATATATATATATATTTATTATACAGAATAGATTATTATTATCTATTATAATGGTTTTATGCGATTCTGAATATTTTTTGAAAAGTCTATACCATAAAGATAGGATGAAATCATTACAATGAATGCACCTATAATAAATACACTTGAAGGTTGGAAATTAAATAAGTAAATACTGATTACACCAGAAACTATAATTGATAAACTAGTAGCAAATCCTTTCAAAATATTATCAGCATATTTCACTACAATCGCTACTAATAATCCTCCTAATGCTTGATTTGCAACGACTACCCAAGTGAGCCAATCATAACCTTGCAATAACCCACCTTCCATAATGGGTTGCATATCATAAGCAAGCATTCCAACTAGTGAAAAAAAAGAACCTGATATTCCTAACTGTATATTGCGAACCCACATAGATGTATCTGATGTCTTTAAAATCTTTTCAAAATAACATCCTGCAAATCCTGAAGAAATACAGCTTGTAATGACTGCTAAAAATCCAATCAGTGGATTCTGTGGCACCAATACAATTTTATCTGTCGTTGTACTAGATGCATTTGTAGTTGCCATACTTTGAGATTGAACAAGTGTGACACCAATCATTAATAAAAATAAAGCAAACCATTTATCACGACTCAGACTTTTTCCTAAAAGAATAACACTAAATACAGCGGTCGACATAATTTTCATTTGATAAGTCACTTGAAAAGTAGCTGCTTCCAAATTACTTAATGCAACATAGAGCAAATTATTTTGTAATGCATAGAGTCCTGAAGGAATTAACATCTTTAATGTCTCACTCGGTTTTCCCAAAATCTCTCTTCGAACCATCAACATAAATTTTTCCCAAGTCCTTTGTTGATATCTTATTACCACTAAACAAGCAATAATTTTTAAAACTTCGGCAAGAAACACTGCTGTAGATGCAATATACATAATCTGTCCAGGTTTTTGCACAATTCGAGAATACCTCATCATTAGCACAAGTGTACTATTTTGAACAACAAGAACAATTAATGATAATTGTTTCCGAGTCAAACCAAAAATTAAGTTTTGTTCTAGTAAGGAAACAATAAACATCTAAAGATCTAATCTACGTATAATTTGGTTGCAATGTTTTTTATTTTATTTACCTAAATTTTTGTTATTATTAGTACTAGATAATGGTAAGACATTCTTACTTCCAAATGTCCGTCTTGAATGTTGATAGACGGACATTAGTATTCAATAATAAACTTTTATAACAAGAAAAATGTATCTTTAACTTAGAGGAAAAAAAAAGGAAAAAGGAAATAAAATAAAACATAAATTTTTTTTTTTTTTTTTTTTTAGAAAAAATGGCGAAGTTTTAAACTGCCCTTTATTTTTTTTATATTCCCATTTATGGTGAAAAATTAAGTAGTATACTTAAGCAGCCGTAGCATTTTTTTTTCATTTTTTTTTTCTTTTTCTTTAAAAATATATTGTCAAATTCTTCTTGATTTAATTACTTTATAATGAGCACTAAAAGAAGAATTGATGGTACTATAATCTTGATCTATATATACACGTATATTTTATAAAAATAGTTATTTTAATAAATGTCTTCATTGAATAGAAATCTTGAGTGATGAAGAAGAGGAAGACGATGTTCAATTAGACGATAAACTACAATCAAAATTATATGGTAATCGTCGATGAATTAAAAAACTCTCTTCAAGTCCAAGTGATTATTGATTTGATTATTATTATTATTATTATTTAGTGCCTAAAAATGCAACCCTTGAGATCAATTCATTAAAGCCACGTAATGAAACTATAAACGAATTAAATAAATCTGATTTTATTTCACATATATTTGGTCGCGAGGATTATACACATCTTCCTTTGAAACAAGATCATGCTTCTAGACCATTATGGATTAGTCCTGAAGATGGTCATATTATTTTAGAAGGATTTTCACCCATTGCTGAGCAAGCACAGGATTTTTTAGTTGCCATTAGTGAACCAGTTAGTCGGTAATAATGGTTCTTCTAATTTATATATATATATATATATATATATACACTACAGTCAACTAATTTCATATTCATTATTGACCTTACAGACCTGCTCATATTCACGAATATAAATTAACCCCTTATTCTTTATATGCTGCTGTATCAGTTGGCCTTGAAACAGAAGATATCATTGAAGTTTTAAACCGTCTTTGTAAAGTACCTGTACCCGATTCAATTACACAATTTATTCGCCAGTGTACTTTATCGTATGGCAAGGTTAAGCTTGTCTTGAAACATAATCGATATTTTGTTGAATCATCTCATCCAGAGACTCTTCAAATGTTATTAAAAGATTCAGTTATTAGCGCAGGACGTATTGTACGTGATGAAAATGATCAAGTTATCAGTGCACCTCCTGGTTCCGCAGCACTTTTGGTCAATGCGAAACCTACAGGAAAGGATTTAACTATTCCGGGTATTTCAAAACCTAAACCTGCTGAAGATAACAAAAGCGAAAAACCTAAAGAGTTAACAGCAGAGGAAATTGAACGACAAAAAGAGGAAGAAAAATATTTTGGTGCTGTTGTAGGTATTGATAAAGAAGATGAGGAAGATGATATTGGCGATGAACAAGTTCACTCTTTCGAAATTGCTGCAGAACATGTAGAGGTAAATAGGTTCCAAGTACCTACATATTCATATATTTATAGAAACTAACTATGTAATAATTTTAGAATGTTAAAAAAAGATGTAATGATATTGATTATCCAATGTTGGAAGAATATGACTTTCGTAATGATTCAATTAACGCAAACCTTGACATTGATTTGAAGCCTACAACTACCATTCGTCCTTATCAAGAAAAGAGTCTTTCAAAAATGTTTGGTAATGGCCGTGCTCGTTCTGGTATTATTGTGTTACCTTGTGGTGCAGGTAAAACACTTGTAGGTATTACTGCTGCCTGTACTATTAAAAAGAGTTGTTTAGTTTTATGTACATCATCGTAAGTATACTTCAATATATAGTCTATAATAATCATATTTATTTACTTTTTTTTTATTAGTGTATCTGTTATGCAATGGAAGCAGCAATTTTTACAATGGAGCAGTATTAAAGAAAATCAAGTAGCTGTGTTTACATCTGATTGTAAAGAAAAATTTTCCGGCGCATCAGGTATTGTTATTTCAACATACTCTATGGTAGCAAATAAGCGTAAGCGTTCATATGATGCTCAGAAAATGATGGATTTCTTGGAATCTCGCGAATGGGGCTTTTTACTTTTAGATGAAGTTCATGTGGTCCCTGCCAATATGTTTCGTACTGTTGTTACTACAATTGCTGCTCATGCTAAATTAGGTCTTACTGCTACTCTTGTACGTGAAGATGAAAAGATTGATGATCTAAACTTTTTGATTGGTCCCAAATTATATGAAGCTAATTGGATGGACTTGGCTAGTCGAGGTCATATTGCAAATGTACAATGTGCTGAAGTATGGTGTCCTATGACACCCGAATTTTATAAAGAGTATTTATATGAAAATTCTCGTAAACGTATGTTGCTTTATGTCATGAACCCTAAGAAATTCCAAGCTTGTCAATACCTGATCAATTATCATGAAAGACGTGGTGATAAAATTATTGTCTTTTCTGATAACGTTTATGCACTGGTCGTAAGTTGAGCCTTTTTTTTTTATTTTATTTTATTTTATTTATAAATACTAATTTATTTTTATAGGAATATGCAAAAAAACTTGGAAAGCCTTACATTTATGGTGGTACAGGCCAACAAGAACGTATGCGTATTTTACAAAACTTCCAATATAATCCTGCTGTCAATACAATTTTCCTATCCAAAGTAGGTGATACAAGTATTGATTTACCTGAAGCCACTTGTTTAATTCAAATTTCATCCCATTATGGTTCAAGACGTCAAGAAGCGCAACGATTAGGACGTATTTTAAGAGCCAAAAGACGTAATGATGAGGGTTTTAATGCATTTTTTTATTCTCTTGTATCACGAGATACACAAGAAATGTATTACTCTACCAAACGTCAACAATTTTTGATCGATCAAGGTTATGCCTTTAAGGTTATTACTAATCTAGAAGGTATGGATAGTGATCCAAATATTGTTTTTAGAACACATCAAGAACAAATGGATCTTTTGAAAGCAGTATTATTGACAAATGATGTAAGTTAATTAATTAATATTCTGAAAATTTCTCGTATGCTCATGCTCCTACGTTGTTTTTGTTTTAGGCTGATTTAAGAGATGAAGATATCTCTATTGCTGACGATGTTGGTAAAATTACAGATCGTAAAGTTGCAGCAAAGAATCGGGCTTCAGGACTTGTTAGAAGACAAACTACTACTACTAAAACATTAGCTGGAGGTGATAACATGGCCTATATTGAATATAATCGTAATGCTAATGGGCAATTTGCTGGTCGTGGTCGTGGTAATGGTAACTCCTCAGCTAAAGAACATCATCAATTATTTAAGAAGTATTTAGGAAGAAGATAATAGCTTTATTTAAATGCAATATATTGTATATATAATTTTACATTTACAAAACAGAAAAAAAAACTTTATCATAAAAAAAAAAGATATCAAAATATTCCCTATCTAATAAAGTTTCTTTTATATACATATATATATATGTATACATATATACATGTATATAAATATAAAATGGAATAATAAACAGTAGCTTTACAGTCGGAAGTCTTGTTCTGATAGTAGTTATGTTTAACAACCAAGTGAATAGGAATAAACCGTCATTTATTAAATAATAAAGAGGTTATTCAAATAAAACTAGCATAATATATTCATTCTACACTCAGTTTTAATAATAGTCATTGTTAGAGTGTTTAAGCATTAACAACGATTATATTATGTAATAATAAGGATTCAATAGGATTTATTACTGCTATATTTAATTACATCATTATTTATACAAGTCATACAGATTAAGTGTATACGTGTCTATACATATATCAATGATGTAGTAATATCTCAGCGGATAACAATAATAGTTGCATATTAATAATTAATATGGTTATAGCTAGAATATTCACTGTGAATGCGTTGCTTTCCCCAGAAATAATAAATTGTTATATTTTTAGTAACAGCGACAACCCAGGGAGAATAAAGATAAAAATATATCTTATTACATGCAGAATTATTCGGAGACACTATTTCTTACATGATTCTTGACTACGCCAGCAGTATTTGCTTGTCCAAGTTATATTTCTATAATGTCATTTACCTTGTTAAACAAAAAACCATCGTACAAATAGTTCTTGGCATTTTTACATATTCTTTTTTTTTTTTTTTTTTTGAGTAAACGATACAAAGCTTTCATCGACTTGTCTTTTGTTTTTATATTTATCTTTTTCGACAGACAAAACAAACTTTGTAAAAGGGACCGAGGTATAAAGATATGCGTACGTTACAATAGTGTGGGGATAATTCTATTGTTTTGACTGAAGATCAAGTACAGATTGTTTATCTAAAGAAGTGTGTAACAGCATTTTCTATTTATTTATTTATTTATTTTTTTAATTTTTAGGAACATTAGTAGCTTTATAAAAGATAGAACTCTGTTTGAGAATTAAGCTTTTAAACCAATTTTTATAAGATAAAAAGCTGAGATTTAGAAATAAATTTAAAGTATAAATTATTGATTTAGCTCAGCAACTTTAAGTTTATTTCTTTACAATTTAAGGTAATTGTTACCTAATCAAATAAGATGCAGAATTTTATATATATCCACGAATTACATAATCATATAAGGATGATTATAAACTTTATCAAGTATACAACTATTTACTATCTTCATTCCACAATGAAGCCATAAAAATCTTAGAATTAAGCATCTTGACTAAACTCATCCGACAATAAATAGTCCATTTAATATGTTTCATGTCATTTATTTTAATCTTTTGATCCAAACACATTTTAATCGTGAGTATGGATAAGATTAATGTTAAATTTTTAATTTATTCAATTTTCACACTTTTGGATATCTATCTTTAAACCATTTATTTACAAGTATGGTTCTATTCCTTAATACATTATGGGATCTATGAAATTCACTTAATTGATAGGTTAAATAGTACAGTCGCTCATAGGTAACTACTATACGTTGACTGTACACCTATTCCAAACACAGTAAGCAAAAACAGCAAGTATAACCTTTAACTGTTTGTATACAATTCGAAAAAAAAAATAGTAAGTCTTATTATTATCATTTAAATGAACTCTATATTATGCCGTTTGGATCTGTTAGTATTGTATTAAACTTTATTTTATTTTATTTAAAAAAAACAAAAAAAAAACAAATGCATGTATTATTGCCAATTCCTTTCATTAATAATATGTATATACAAATAAACAAGTTTATAGCCTTTCCCCCTCTTCGTTTTCACTTCTTTCTCTTAAACACATTATTTTTAAAGATTGACTTTTATATCCATGTAAAGAAGATTTATTGTCTTTAAAAATGAAAGAGGACCTATACATATTTTAGATACATATAAATATATACATATATAAAGGTACACACCTGGTAAAAAGTTAGAAATAAGCATTTATTTATGAGAACTATTATAAACATATACAAATATACAAATATAGGGTAATGTTAATGAATATACATGTGCATATGTGCGCATATATCCTATAGACAACGAAAGTAAGAGTTCTTTTCAAAGCCTTTGACGATGTCTTCAAGAGAGCGATGATCCCTGGTTTCAGGGACTCTAGGGTAAGTGAAATAAAAAGTAAGTACAGCAATACTCGCAAAGATAGCGAAAGAGTAACCTTTAATGCCTTCAAAGACAAGAGGGAAACACTGACCCAATGACAAAGTCAGTAGCCCAGTTGACTGCTTGCAGTGGCAACAGCACCAACAGCAGAAGAGACATAGGTAGGTGTCACTTCAGAAGTAACCATCCATGGGATAATAGCAAATGAAACAACATAACTAAAGACGGCGACGACTCCAAAAGAGGTCCCAAGAAGCTATAGACATAACCAATGATTAACAAGACACAAAAAAAGATACAGGCACCTGTTTCAGCAATCAGCAAAAGAGAACGGCGACCCATATGATCAATCAAGGATTAAAGAAAGAATAGTAGTGGCAAAGTTGACAACGGTAATGACAATAGCCATGCACTTGGACATTTCAGCAGAGAAGGACATACATATTATTGATAGTCGTAGAGTAATACATGACAGCATTAATACCATTCATTTGTTGAATGACATGAAGAGCAAGAATAGTGAAGGCAATATGACGAATAAGGGGATTAGTAAAGATATGGATCATGTTCATGGATTCATGAGCACCTTTATCAGTAGCAACGAACACCATCTTCAATTTGATCACCAACACAGCACAGAAAGAAGAGACAGTATAGCTCTCTTCCCTCCCCCTCCCCTCTCTCCCAAAGACTAGTATTCATAGGGAGACAATCATAATAGAAAAAAAATTTTTTTTTTTGACTATTTGTAACCATTTGTTAATAAACGTAATAAATGATTATATAAGAAAGATAATAGCAGGAGGAAATATAAAATAGTTCTTTCCTTTCATGTTCATGCCCATAATACTAATGATATAACTATTACTTTATTTGTTTTCTATAATGCATTCCGTTTTCTTTTTCCTTTCCTTTCCTTTCCTTTTTTTTTAATTTTCTATATTTTGACAAGGAAAATAGCAGCGGCATTGTGAGTGTTTCATGTCTGTTCTAATAGACTTGTTCTGGAATTTTTATTCTTTTTTAGAAAAATGGAAAAATATATACATAAATATGAGTAAATCATGTAGTCGTAACTTTTGACTTGTATCAGTTTATTCATCTTTATTATTGACCCAAAATCAGTTGCTTTATTATTATTTATTTAACCTTAATAGCGTAAAAAACAAAACAAAAAGTGAGCTAATGCAGCAATAGGAAATCAAAGCTTTTGTAATACATATCATAGAGTCTCTCTTTATCCATGTATCCGTATTACTTGTAATAGTATAACAATCAAGTCATATTTTATCAATCATGATAATAACTGCCAACAGCAAGCGTCCATAGTAGCATAGCTTCATTAAATACAAGCAGATCCGCTAATAAACTAATACTGTTGCTGCCGGTCTTTTTTTTTTTTTTTTTTTCTTTTAAGAGATAAACAACTCTATCTTTTATATTCCATCTAGATTTATTGATGGGAATATCCTAAAGAATTACTTGTAAATAAATAAGTTTTACAAAAAGGAAAAAAAAAAGAAGTATGCATAAACAATTATCTGTGTAACTATAACGATTCTTACTACTTTACACAGATGCATTTTTGCTGTTAAGCAAAATTTTCTTAATTTGCCTATGAGTTTGCTGGTATATCTTATATTTTGTAAAAGGGAACTACACGCATACACGTTTATGTAATGTTATATCTAGAAGCCATCCTTCTCTCTTTTTTTTTTTTTTTTTTTATTATTATTAGTAATAGTATTATCAAAATATGTTTAAATCATAATTTCAATGTAATAATGATTTCACTAATTCAATTACACAAGATATACATTTTATCTTTCCAATGGATAAAAGTAACTATTTATTTTGAATATGTACAAATAAGTATATTTCATAAACAGTTGTATAAAATAGGATTTTGAGGTATTTTCCTATTATTTGCATGAAAACTTGTTCAGACGATGATATCTTAGAATTCAATTCTCCTTTTAAAATAATCAAGTCTATTTTTAAATTGTACATAATACATCATTCAAACAAAACAGCAGAAAGTGTATCACTTACTCTTTTGTTTTTTTTTTTTAAAAAAAAAAAAAAAAAAAAAAATATGAATATTTTACTACTGATATGCATGCATTTTTTTTTTATCGCGTTATAAACTATCCTCATATTTTCCTTTATATATACATCTATCTGTTTATTGTATATGTTATTAACACTAATATTATCAGATATAGCTTAATTATAATAGACGCGTATGTCATAATGGTATAGCAGAATATATTCATAGTGTCATAATTAATTTACATAATTGTTTATTACACTCATGATCTTTATTACTATCATCATTGAAAAAAAAAAAAAAGAAAAAAAAATTTTTTTGTTCCCAGAAAAATAAAAAATAATCATTTAAATTATTTGGTTTAATCAGGAACCTTATTCTATACAATGCTTTTTTTTTTAAGAAAACAAAAACAAAAAACAAAAAAAGAAATAGTTTAACATTGATATTAAATATAATATGCATCTTAATAGGTAAAATAAATAATGATCATAATAATTGTTATCAATACAACAATGTCAATTTCTTCTTTAAATTTGAATAAATTTCGGGATAGAAAAAAAAAAAAAAAAGGCCATATATCTGACACAAATAAAAAAAAAAGGATAATATATCTATATATTACATTTATTTATATTTTTTAATTACATATAGTAGAAAGATAATATAATGTACATAATAGCAATTACGTAACTTGTCATAGTGACAGAATTAAATATAAACTTTGTTATAGTAACAAAATTACTGTTGTAGAAAATTACAGAATTAAAAAAAAAAATCGCACTGACGAAAACTAAAGTTTATATTGGCACGAGGTAGTAACAAAAATAAAGTCAGCTATCATAATTCAAAAAAAAAAAAAAAAAAGTTTCAAATGTATAAAACCCTGAAATCATCCTTTTTTTCTTTTTTTTTTTTTTTAAAAAAAAATAAAAAGTAGTTCAAGCTTTTCTATTTCTTTTTCTTTAATACATATACAAAAAAAAAAAATGAAGTTTACTACTGCTGCTATTTTCGCTGCCTTGGCTACTGCAGTTTCTGCTAGTTTTACTGTATAGTGTAGTTTAATTTTATTTAAAGGTACATGTCTAACGCACAAGCATTATTTATATAGATTCTTGAACCTTGGAGTGCAACTACTTGGGAATCTGGTAAAAGTGGTACCGTTTCTTGGACCTCTACTCCTGATGAAGCAGGCAAGAAGTGTGAAATCCACTTGTTAACTGGTCCTAGCGATAATGCTATGTAAGTAAAACACACACACACACACACACACACACCTTATATATCTGTCTTAGTATGTTATACTTATGCCTTTTTTTTTTTTTTCATCAAGTTTCGTAGCTAACTTGACTGCCAATGGTAACTTGGTTCCTTGTGAATTCATTGCAGCTACTGTAAGTTATATATAAATATATAATTGATTTATAAATTGCATTTTATTTATTTATTTTTTTTTCGATTTCCTTTTTGTTAATTAGTTCTATCCCCTTCCTGATTATGCCACTGGTAACTACTTTGTTCGTCTTGGTGAGAACGGTGCCAGCTACGAATATTATGCTTATTCTGCTAATTTCCATTTTATCGGTAATGGTACTGTTACCTCTGGACTCTAAGAAAAATGATTTTTCTTTTTTTTTAAAAAAAAAAAAATTATATGTACATATTATATTTTCATAATTCTCGCTCTATCTCGTTTTTGTATATTATATTCTTTTTTATTGTTATTAATATAGTATAGTATGTAAAGAAAGATTTTTTTTCTTTTATGGTTTTGAATAAGAGTTATGTGTATACACAAGTTATAATTGTTTTCTCGAGCACGTAACAAAAAAAAAAGAGGAATAATTAGGTTAAAGCTTTATAAATATCATGTATATATATGTATGTATTTATATAAAACGAATGTATAGATGGAGGAGGGAAAGGATAACATAAAGAGAGAATAATACGAGGAGGTGATTAGTTTCCCCCCCCCTCTCCTTTTCTCTCGTAAAAGGCTCTAAAGAACATACATACATATGTGTTATCCATGTTATGTTATTATTGTATATAATATCACTAAAATGCACGCAATCATCTATATGTATATAAATTATCAAATGGATATTATAGAAAGATCATGTTTATGCTATCAATGCAAATGATATCATTCAAATTATTATTATTTTCATGCCGCTAGAGTTGTGTGTTTATATATATATGTGTGTATCTTTATTTTACATGATGTGTGTAGTAGTGGTAGTCCTATTTACAAGAGTTATATAATATTGGAATATATAAAACCAATTCATTCAGGAATTTCAAACTTGTTCGTATATTTTATAGACACTTTTTCAAGCTCTTTTGTAATATTAGCCATATATCTTGACTTGACAATCTCTTCATCTGTCCAACCTTTAAACCCATCCTCATAGAAATCACTTTCATCATCACTTTCAAATTCATCAGTAGATTCAAAACTAATGCTACTAGAGGAAGAGGAAGTTTCGGGTGGATGATGATAATGATGAACACTGCTTCGACGACGACCATTATTACCTATTCCAGTATGGTAATGATCACAACTATTTGAATCATCATCATCTTCAAAGTAACCAAAGATTTGATCATGATCGGAGGAAGAAGAGACTACAGAAGAAGTAGCAGAGGACTTACGCTGTGTTGACTGAGTAGTAGTGTTATAAGGAGGTGACTGAGTATCACTACGTACCGGTAGAGGGAAGGTATTCGTCGTTGTTGTTGTTTTAGGTGATTGTGATAGTTGTGTAAAACTACTGTTTCGACTGGCTGTAGAAGAAAAGGATGTTTTACTTTGGTTACGAGCAGCATGCGATTCAACAACAGCAAACGATTTTTGTCTTTCACGTTTATTCCAATGAAGACAATTTTGAAGTGAATTAAACCAATCCGTTGCTTGATCCTCTTTACAAACGGTTGGGAATGGATATCTCGAAGCTGTTACTTTAATATGATCTCCTTGTTTTAATTCAATTCTTCCACGACCATCAAAACTTGCCCAAGCTGTATTTCGAGAATTAAAAGGTACACATATACGCAATTCCATTGAATCAGGTACAAGAGTAGGACGAAAAGAAAGTGTATGAGGACAAATAGGTGTAATTAATATAGCTTGAATATCTGGATGAGTAAGCGAACCACCTGCTGAAAGCTTTTTTAATAATAATAATAAAAAAAAATTAGTTTTATGATATTTATACAAACACATATAGTATAAATAAATATTTTACAGAATAGGCAGTACTGCCAGTAGGAGTAGAAATAGCTAATCCATCCGCTTGCACTGTTGTTAAATGCTTATCATCGCCAAATAATTCTAATAGACTCACATAAGGACTGGGCCCACGATCAACAACTAAATCATTAATGACATGATATTTTTCAACTGGAATTGTAGTATAACAAGGTACTTGACGATGTTCACCAATCAAGATAGCATCAGGCTGCTGCTGTTGATTAGATAAATCTTGAGATGCTAACCATCTTTCTTCTTCTTCATCAATATCGTCACCATCTACTTCACCAAATTTCTTCTTCTTTTGACGATGCTTTTTAATTTCTTGACACCAGCCCCCAATAGAAATTTTACCTGTTACAGGATCTCGCACAACGTTACGTAATGGAATTGATTTCGCTTCCTCAGGTGATTTACAATCTGAATGAAGAACTCGACGATACACTGTACAAGTCAAACGACCTCTCAAATTAATTCGAACACCACGATCAATAGCGTTGTGTAAATGAAGTTTATAGCGATCAAAATCGAATGGAGTTAAAAATCCAAGTGAACCTAAGTGAAAGGGAATAACAGGAGGAATATAATTTTGAAATAACCAAGAAGAGAATAAGACAGTACCATCGCCACCAAGCTAATATATATTTGTATATTTGAGTATTATGTATGTGTGTGTATGTATATGTACATGTGCGTGTATATATGTATATATATATAAATATTATATTATATACTTTACTGTAATGATGAAATCAAAGGATTTTGGTTGTAAAGCACATAACTCAGGTGTCCAAAATTTAAGTTTATCTTGAGCTTTTGGATGATTTTTAATAATTTTATCGTATTTAAATCGTTTTGAATTTTTCAACTTTTCATCCACGAAACTATATGAGTAATAACAGTAATAAAATAAGTAAATAAATAAATAAAAATATGAATGATCTTACCAAGTGATGCCACAATTATCTTCACGAGGCATTTCAATTAAATACAAAGCCATATCACGGGTCATTTTGATGAGTGAACAATCACCAGGCTTTGTGATGATCATGACACTCTTGGGATTATCCCATTTTAATCGTGTTTTGCCTATAAAACAGGTACGTAATTGTAAATAAGAAAGAAAGAAAGAAAGAAAAAAAGAAAGAGAGAAAAAAAAAAGCTGAAAACAGATTGTTTGATTTTACCCATTTTTCTAGCTACTTCTCTGACAGCATCTGCAGTGTCAGTTAGATAGGAAGTATGCTGTGCACGAGGAATAGTTTTTACAGTTGAATTTCTTTTCCCTGGTTGAGTGTTTGTAGCTAAAGCTGTTAAAGCATCAGTTAATGCAGAACATGGTATGTTAGATAGTGATTCCATTCTTCTATTATTATTATTTTTGAATAAATAAAATAAGCTTATAAAAAATAAATAAATAAATAAAAATAAAAATAAAAATACGTAAGCGAGTGAAACCAGCACTTTTTATGCTAGTAAATTTGTTCTGTCATCAAAACAAACTTTTGAATGTTAAATTGGAAAAAAAAAAAAAATTAAAGTTCAGGCGTTCTTGTTGCAAAACAAATTTAATTAGTTTTGATGAATATGAATATCAATCAATAATAAGAGAATCACTGCTGATCATTAACTACAGTAACTAGAAGATAGATTTTCAATAGACTATGGTCCTTTTCTAACAGAAAGAGTGTATTTATAGCTACAAATAGTATTCCCATTAAGACGCTATAATTCAAAGATACAATCAAAGACATAAGACTACTTTTATTCAAAGCAACTAAAATGCATCAAGCGCTGTAATTCAACAAAGCTTTTAACTGTTCAAAAAATAAATAAAATAAACTGAATCTTGCAGTAGATAATATTATATATGTATTCCATGAAAGAAAAAAAAAAGCAAATAGTTAAAGCTGATACACATTTAACGTGCTCTGATCACCTTTTCTTTTAGGTAAAATTATACGTTTTTCAAACTTGAATGGAAGCAGATCTTAACGACGATATTCTTGTAGAGAACATGGCATGTATTGCAGTTTCTAATTGAAAAAAAAGGCAGATAGATACATTATTGTTAACTTGAATCTTCTTTATCGCTTGCATCATCTTCATATTGCAAGTTGTCTAAAATTATAAATAAATATCGTCCTACATTATCAAAATCTGGCTATTTGCAAGATGACTTTAACCATTTACAGGTTATACTAATAAAAAGATGTTGATACCTATTTTATTATATGGGCTGAGTAAACTTGTCAGTAGTGATGGTGCTATCATCCTGTCTACGAGGACACTGGTTCCTAGCTTATTTGTATTTTTGATTTTCATCGTGTTACTCAAAGGCCTTTTTTTTTTCTTGATCTAACTTTAACAATATACCAAATGTTTGAATAATAAACCTATAAATAGAATAGATTTTTTCTTATTTTCCTCCTAAATAATAGACGGCTAGTCAAGTTTATTAAATAGATGTTATAAAATAAGAATAACCCCCTTATTTAAATAATAACATGCATGTCTTATTATTAAAAGAAAGTAGTTGGGAAGGAAGAATTAATAATTGTCTCAAAAAAAAGTCACATTGAATGAATTCCTCTAAAAATAGATAAAACCAGGGGGATTTACCTCTTTTTTTCCCTTTCCTCCTCCTCCTCACCCCCCCACACAGACATACAATAATAATCCGTCAAAATTTTTACAGCGGCGACATAGAAAAAAAAAATGACATGTAATATAATAACCTCACCTTGACTGGTTCAAAAAATCAATACTATGAAGAAAATAAAATCATCAAAAGGAACAAGATAACCTTAATATTTTAACAACAGGCTTTAAGATAAGTATTTATTTTAAAGTTATATAATACGATTATAGAAACAAGAAGACGCAAGATATAAGTTGTATAAGGATTTTATATTACTTGATATCTCAATAGACAAAAAAAAAAAAAAAAAAAGACTTCAGCCACACAGGCACTTTTTTTTTCTCCTTTCATATATGCATATTTATATTTATATATTTCAAAATATAAATGACTTTTAGTTCGTATAATTTCAATAGAATAGGTAGTGAAGAAAGGCGGTTTCAACTTCATATATTAAAACGACCAGAAACTGTTGTTATTTCCGATATTTTTATCCCGATGATACTATTTTATTTTTAGTGACAGCCATATTTGATAAAAGTTTTTTCCTTTTTAAATCATGTAGCACAAGACGCGTGAAAGTGATTATGATTATAGATGGATTGATTGAAAAAGAAACAAAAATCTTTTTGTTTATCAATATAAATAGATGCATCTATTCAAATATAAACGTCTATTTTTCTGAATCTGAGCTTTTTTTTTTTCTTTTTGTTATAATACCATCGTCTGAATTTCAAGTCAAGTCATTCAAAAAAAAAAAAAAAAAAGATTAGTAGGACATGTGAATCAACAGCAGGAATATACACACAAAACATCTTTTATTGTTTACGATTTACTATACAAGCAGTAGATTTTAAACTACAATGTACATGTTAATACTATTTGAATATATTATTTCACGTGTTTTCTTTTTTAAAAATACTTAGTACTATGTATAATTTTTGTTTCTATGACGTGCAAAAAAACTTTTTTATTTATATGTTTATGTATTTTTTTTTAAAAAAAAATATACATGTATATTTATATAAAAAAATAAGAATTTCATTTCTATTATTTTTTTTAACTTAATATCTCTCCTCCCTCTCTCACTCTCTCTCACTCTCTCTCACTCTCTCTCACTCACTCTCTCTCACTCACTCTCTCTCTCTCTCTCCCTTTTCTTTTTATTTATTCTATTGTGACATTATCATTTGTTTGAGATTTTACCGAGAAACTTTGTACAGATCTTCGGTGTTTATAATTCATATATTGGGATCTGCAGAGCCCTCCAATTTTAGGTGATTATTATTATTTAATGAAAAAAAAAAAAAAAAAAAAAGAAAAAAGAAAAAAGAAAAAAAAAGCCATGCTTCTTCAGCTATTTAAAACAGAAATATATTCTATTTATAATGTAGCACTTGCTATTATCCTTTAATGAAATTAAATATAGACCAAACCATAGATAGAAAAAGATAGATAAATTTGTTTTATAAGAGTACCTTTAATATACATATGTTTTGCGTATGGTAATACAAATAAGATACAAGAAAAAGGGAAAAGATATTCATTCGTACCACTAATACCTAATAATAATAAATAGAAAAAAAAAAGTCTAACTACAAACATGTATAAAAACAAAATCAATTTTTTTTTATTATTATATACAACGATAACAAAAAAAATAAATAAATAGAGTATTGGCTAATTATAGCCAAAGTTCTACATTATATTCTGTATTATATAAATAGTATAAATGTATTATTAGAATAAAACAAAACGATAATTAGTAATAATAGTAAATAGTAATCAAGAAAAGAAAGAGAAGAAGGTGAGGGATAAGTTACTAATGTTAAATGATATGACAAGAAATAAAAAGAGAACGAATGCTTAATAAGAAAATGTAGTTGCTACAGCTGGAGCAGTCATTGGCACAAGATAATCATTTGAGTAATCTTCTTCTTCAATCGTTGAATGTCTGTAATGATTTGTTGATAATTTTGTAAAAAAGAGTGGACCTTCTGTAGATAGACTTGTTGTATTAATCGTAAGCTTGGGTCTCTTTTTATTATTTTTCTTATTTATAATAAACTCTGTTGTTGTTGTTGCTATAGGTGTTTCTATATCAGGACTGCTTGCTTCAGAATCAAATGCAGAAGGAGAAGAAGGTATTTCCAATGATAGCTTGGGTATAGCAGGGTTTATTTTATATTGGATAGGCGGTAAAGAAAAAGGAGAGCCACGATCATAGTCGGATGCTGAATAAGTGTCGATAATAACTATATGTTCAACATCAAATCTAACTGTCTTTTCACTTCTTTTCCTTTTTCGTGTTATTAAACATGATGACGTTGATTTCATTGTTAAAGCCATTTTTACAAGTGTATATTGATATGTATATATATATAAGTGAATGTGTGTATGAGTGTGTGTATATATGAATGCCTCTCTATATATGTATATGTGTGTATGTATGTATGTGAAATAATACTTGTAAATAAATAAATAAATAAATAAAAAGAAGAGAGGAAAAAAAGATACTTGATATGTGTTTATATATAAACTAATAAAAAATAAAAATAAAATATAAACTCAATTTATTATTATTTTTTCTTTTAAAAATAGTATCAAAAAGTGTAAAAATATAAACTTTTTTTTTTTTTTTTTTCTTAGCTTCTCACGTGCCTTACCAACCAGCATGAAATTAAAAGGAGTCGCCTTTTTAAATAATAATAATTCAGACTACTTCAAATTCAGACAATGTAAGTTTTTTTTTTTTTTTGGGCGAATCAAAATTAATTTTCAGACGTCTTGTTTATCTTTTTTGGGAAATGTAAAAACGGAAATCAGAGACAAGTTCAAAGTAAAAATTTAAATTTGGCTTTACCTGTAAGATCTTCAAGTCGACACCCCACCGAGATGGGATGTAACAACCACATTCGAGATAGCGCTTTGTCTTTTGAAGACATTGGGATGATCATTTCCGCTTCAGATTGATGTAGTAATGGTTAACATGTTCTTTGCAGCCATCACATCTCGATTCCAATAAATATAGCAACTTTTGCAGATGAATATTTGATGGATTCTATGTGCATCATCTCCCTTTCCACATGCGAGGTTTTGAAGCTTGGTTTCAAGACAGGAATTGCATGTCTATACAATACAGGTGTAATATATTGTATTAGTACGCTTATTATATCCACATGTATGTATTTTTCTACCTTGGATATTTTGTATTCGTCTATGTCTAGAAGCAACAATTCTCCAAGCTTTTCTCGTATTTTCAGCTGCCTGTATATCTTTTCTGATATACCATGCTTTAGCCCTTTAAATTTTACCTGGCTTTTGTTTTTAAGTCCATTGCCAAATACAACTAACGGCATCTTGCGGCGGTTGCCCTCCTCAAACTTCTCCTTGTGTGTTCTTTTTTTTTTTTTTCGTCTTTCCTCTTCTTTTTTTGTTGTATTTTTTTGGGACATTAATAAGAATGTTGCCTGTATTTTTCTACAGAATGATATCCTGCACGTATATCCGTCTGTATATATGCTATTTAAAAAGCATCTTTCCTTTTCGATGAGGCAAGTCTATTAAGCCTTCAAGACTATTCAAATTTAAAATTAGTGTGCTTATTTCTTGTAAACAATGTTAACATTTGCCTGTTAATGTTTAATTTCGAAAAATCAAAGTAGACAAAGAAACATCTTTGTATCCGTTGGAAAGGAGTCTCTTCATCTTGTTTTTCCAAAAAAAAAAAGCCCCAGGAAATATGCCATCTAAATTTTGGCTATCGATCTTTATAAAACGCCAACGAAGACTTGGTTTTGGAAACAAACTAAAGGGCCTGGGTGGAACGAACTTCTTTTCATTGTCTTTGCTTGTCTTTTTATTCTTCTTAACCTTCTTCTTTTTTGATCTTTTTCTATTTGGTGGATTTGTCTGCTCTGATTGTTCTAGTAAACCAGGCTGTGTTTGTGGGTTTTCCTCAATTAAGGCTTCGTATTTAACCAGAATATGCCTTAATGCTGGTATTATACCAAAAGGTGCTTTATTGAGAGTTTCTTTTTGTCATCGGAAACGAAGGTAATCGGTTTCTAATTTCTAAAATCAATGGTTTTGAGAGGGCACGGATGTTACCTTGGGCTTCTTCACTTAATGAAAAAGCAATGTTGCCATTCATAGCTGGTTGTATCTCATAGGAAAGCACTGCATCTGAGACATGTTTGAATACTATATGTTTTATAATAGATATCTTCACCTCCTTTTGATAAAAAAAAAAAATCTCACTTACGGGAAATTTTGCATGTAGACATTTTGATTTGTTGCGGACACAAACTATTTCAGCGGTAGAGAAACAGTGTATCTTTGATAATTGAGTCCAAGATTTCTGTTTAGTAACTCTTTCAATGTAAAGTTATGGTTTGGGCATTCTTTAGTCCTTGCTGAAGAATGACCCATATTGTTGCAAGATTTATAGGGTAAGTTTTGATTGCTTGAAGAAGTAGAGCTTCTTGCCCTTTTTGCATTTGCTTTATCTTTCTTTTCTTTATAAGTATCCTTTCTTTTGACACCTTTTAATAGTTTGAGTAAGTTTGGTTTATCAAACAATATAGTTTATATTACCCTTTTTCATAAATTGTTTGTTTGTGTTATCATTAACAGCTTTTGCTTGTACGCTTTCATACTTGTGCTGTTTCTTAGCCTGTATAAAAGCCTCAACATTAGCATAGATGGGTGTACACATTTTGTTTAAAATAAAAAGAAAGAAGAAGATTTGCGGACAAACCAGGCATACAAAAGTATTGGCTTGCTAATTGGTATTTCACAAGTCTCGAATATATCAATTCAATATAGCACGTCTACACACTAGCCTCCCAAAGTGTTTTATTTTTATTATTCATTAATCTCTACATTCAGTTACAGGGCAGTATCTATTGTCTTTTGTATTGGATCTTTTCATACTTTAATGTTATTGTATTGCCTCACTTTATTATTGTAGGTGGATCAGTCATTTAAATTAGGTTGATTTCATCACAGTTTTCCTTTACAAACGACATTTATTCCAGCATATATATCACAATAGATAACATGATTGTAGGTCATCATACTCTAAGAGAAAAAAAAAAAAGAACAAGGTTTTTCCTATGTATAGGTTGTTATACACGCTGTTCATTTTGATCTCCCCCTTTTTTTTTTTCAGAATTGAGCAGAATTGCTTCCGCTTTCATTAAACAATAGAAACTTTGTTGGCCAAGTAAAAAGTTATATACAAATAAATTTTGAGTTCCATTCTTAGTTCGTGTAGTGCTCTAGTGGTACAAGTGCTAGAGAAGCTGACTATCTTTAAGAATTCACTCCCATAATCCCCATATTTTCTCTGTCGTAAATTGGTTTCCCATTGTATAGTTAAATCAACACCAAAAGATGGACTTCTCTTATAATGCGCTAGCTAAACCTTCTTAAGGTTGTTTGTAAGTAGCATCCATGTAAGAGGTAAAAAAAAAAAAATAGTTGACCTGTTAGCCTACAGTTGCATTTTAGTTCGACCAACATTTTGTCTCAACAAGACTTCTGAAAATTAATTATGATTCGCCCAGAAAAAAAACTAACATTGTCTGAATTTGAAGTAATAGTGGTCGTTGTTGATAAAAATGAACAATAATATAAAAATAGCTTTTTTTCTTTTATTTTTTTTCTAACTTTCACTTTTTTGGGTCTAGAATTTTTTAATTTTTTTTTTCTTTTTCTTCTTTTTTTTAATATATAAATATATAAATAATTATAATTATATCTTCTTATTAGTAATTCTATAATAATAACAAGTGTTGAGCACACACGTATTTTTATATACAAAACTTGTCTAAATATAGCTTAATTATGATAATGATGATGATAATAATGACAATAAAAAATCTATTAATAATAGAATTCTTCTATTATTATATTGCCCTGAATTATTAACAAGTAGTACAAACTCAAACACTATCAAGTAATACAAATACAACAAAAACAAAAAAAAGTCTTTTATTAATAAGTGGTAGTAGTAGTAGTAGTAGTTGTTGTTGTTGTTGTTGGGAATAATGCGCTAAAGTTTTTTAACATATTCTTGTATTTGAATTCGATCTTGTTCGCGAATTGGACCTACACGTTTTAGTACAAGTTGTAAATAAGACACATAATTTTCGATATCATTTATAGGCGAAGGCACATTAGATCCTTGAAGTGGTACATTTAATCCTTGAAATATATCTGATACTGATTTCTTGAATCCATTCAATCTTTTAACTTCTTCTCTTAATTTTAATAATTCTTCTGAATTATTATCTACTGATTTACTACTATTACGTTGACTTGTATGAAACATATTAATATTTAGTATTTATTCGTCTTTTCCTTTTTTTTTTTCTTCTACCTTTTCATAAGTTCATAATTATCAAAAAATGAAGCGTTATTTCCATAAGGTGTCATAGGTTGTTGATGACTGCTATTCCAACGTTGCTGAGAATTTTGAATCTAAAATGAAATAGGAATTCATTACTATTATGAAAGAATAAGAATCATAATAAATACTTACTTCAATATCTTTAATAATACTCGGTCCTTTATATTTTTTAATAGGTGATGTCATCATAGTTGGATTGTTGTTATTTGTTCTTATTATGCCATTATTATTTGGTAATTTTTGTTTACCACTACTACCCAATAATTTAATTTCTTCTATTGATTTTATATTCATTCTTTTCGCTTCTAACCTTTCTCTATGTGACGTATCTTCTGTTCGGTTATTGAGAATAGCCAATGAATTCACTTTACTCATATTAGATGATTTTGATTTACTACTTGATGATGTACCCATATCATCGTCACTACTACTGCTACTATTACCACTACCATTATTACTATTACTACTACTACTACTACTACTACCGTCTACTTTTTCTTCTTCTTCTTCCTCTTTTTCAAAAAATAAATTTCTATTCGAGTTTTCTTTTTTAATAGGTGACGATAATAGTGATGGTAATGATAACTTTTGCTTCTTTCTAGGCATCATGATTTGTTTCTTTTTTATTTCTTCTTCACTATTCTCGGATTCATCGTCTGATAAATCTCTAGAAGGACGAAGACGTCTTCCCTTTTTCATGCCTATTGATTTGTTTTGAGCCTGATGTTGACCACATCTAGGAGAGAAATGAGGAGGAACAAAGGCAGCAGGTGTAATAAGACTATTATTAATTGCACAAGTAGCATGAAAATAACTTGAAATGCATCAACATATATAGGTTAATATGAGTTATATGTGTATACATATACAAAAAAAAAAAAAGGCTTACATTTGACAACCGGGCTCCTCACATTGAATACATAATCCTTTGTTTTGATGACAATATTTACATTCCTATAATGAAGGTTAATTTATTCATTCATTCATTCGTTTCCTTGTAAATAATAAAAGTATTAAAATAATTACATGTATATTTAACAATGATCGAGGGACAGAATAAGGAAGTTTTCCTTCATCAATTAATTTATTCCACATTGCACAAACGACATGCATAAATTCGCCCGCTACATCAGTCTTCTTGACTGCACCTGTTTGCATTGGACAACAAATAATATTCTATACATAAAGTTATTTTTTTTTAACATTATTTTTTTTTTTTTTTTTTTTTTTTTTTTTTTTTTTGAATCATGATTCACATTCATATATTTACAGTAGCTTTCTTTTTTCTCTTATTATCACATCTGTCACAAAACCAATCATCATCAGGAATTTCTTCAACATTATAACAACCTATCATATACAAGTAAGTAAGAAAGTACTAGATAAAGATATATTCTTCTACTTTACGTTTATGTACAGGCATATTACATCCTTTAAATTCAATTAGTTTTATTAAATATATTGTCTAGTAAATAAAATTTTACCTTTTCCATCACAGAAAATGATTGGATTTTTTGAAGTAGATCGATCTCCTTCACAAATATAGCAAGCATCCTATAAACAAGGTTAACAATGAAAATACATATTGGTTTCTTTAAAATAATCAAACCTCATCTGATGGCATCTATAAGAACAAGAATGATTATTATTATTTTCTATAATTATTATTATTATTATTTTTTTTTTGCATAATTTATTACCTTGAATCTATATAAAAAAAATTAGTTTGAAAAAAAAAAAAAAAAGATATATAAATCAACCAAATTTTGCATACAAATATGAGTTTATATAGAATGTATTTTATCATGACAAATACATACATACATAAAATTGATTTAATTTTGATTTTAATTTGATTTATTCTATTCTATTCTTCTCCTTAGCTGTATTTTACAGTTTTTTTTAAAAAAAAAAAAAAAAAATATTTATGTATATTAATTTCTCGATTGTTATATCTTTTATACGATAAATATTTTTTTTTCTTACAAAAAAAAAATACACACGTACATACACACACACACGCACACACACACACACACACGCACGCACACACTCGTATATACACACACAGAGAGAGAGAGAGCCGGGTAAAAAAAATATTAATAACTGTGTAGAGAAAAATAAAATAAAATAAAAATAAATAAAATAAAAAAAAAAGGTACAAGAAATAATGAAATAATAAAAAAAAAAATAAAATAAAAATAAGAAGAAAAAAAAAATATTTTTTTTTTTTTTTTTTTGAAGAGTGGCGCCTTTTTTTTATTATTTATTCATTCATTCAAAATGTCGATTTTCATTAAATGTATACATACACATATTAAAAAAAAAAAGGGTCACACTGTTCTGTGACGTAATTTTTTATTTATTTTATTTTTACTTCTTTTGTTAATATTCTTGATATATTTGATCTTCTAAAAGAGAAGCAAGTTGATCTAATGTAGAAGACGAAGGTCCAATTTTACATTGTTTAAAGAATGGAAAATAATTTAATTCAGTAGAAAATGAATAGTTTTCAGTAGTATAGCCTAGTACAGTATGAATGAATTGAATGAGGATTCGAAACTTTGTAAAGTTAATCAAGCCATCTTTTCGCTTTGTCTCATTTCCTTCAAGTATAAAAGTGAGATCTTTAAGGATGATAGGAAAGAAAGGTATACAGGGTATTTTGATAGAAGAGGATACTATTTTCTTCAAGGCTGTTCGATAATAGTTCATATTGTGACATACATTCAAATATTTTAATAGTTGTTTATAAGCCAACATATCACGAGTAGAAATAGACGGCTGATGATCATCCTGACCTTCCTTTGTTATCTCCTCTCTAAATTCTTTTAATTGAGTTAAACCCATAGTAATGATCATACAAGTATGAAAATTATTCCAATGGAGACAATACTAGAAATTTTGTATTAGTTTGTTGGTTATGCTAATAAAAGAGATGATACAAATTACCTTGGCTATTTCAATCATCTTGTGTATCATGCTTCTTCTTCGTTTACTATTTATTGTATATAGACTAATTTCTGAAATAATCCATTGCGTTAGTTTATTGGCTCTTTCTGTCATTAGACTAATCGAATTCACTTCTTTTACTTTGCTTAACTTTAAATAATCTTGAACTGTAATCGATTTAAAGATATAGAAATCAGCGAGTGTTAGATATTTTGCAATATCTTTAGAGTTTAAAGTGAACAAGATAGAAGAAGGAGGAGGAGGAGAAGCCTCTGTGGATGATGTAGGTGATTCAGGAGGTGATGGAGTAGTTTGAATAGAGGAAGTAAATGATAGAAAGCTAGGTGTAATAGAAGGTTTTCTTCCTGTTGTAGTCGTAATATGACTATTACATAAATACGGTTGAGTTAACTTTGATTTCTAAATATAAGAAATAAATAAGAAATAATAATAAAAAAGATTTAATATGGGTAGTATTAGCATGTATTTACTTGTTGATTGAATTCTCTTTGAATCATATCAGCTTCAATCGTGAACCCAGCACGTAATACATTACCCATTAAAAAGGCCTTTAATCTAGAAATTAATATTGGATAATTCATAAAATCTTGAAATTGTAAGTTGATCCATCTTAGAATGACGTTTAAAATTCTATATATAGATGTATATAAAAAGAGTAAGTCAAGTCCAGTTCATTCCATTCCATTCATCTTTCTCTCTTTTATATGATATATTGAATACTTTACTTGACTTGAATACATCTTTCCCGTATTTTAAATTGTGGTGGGGATAATAAAGTAGCTTCTAAATAAAATCTTTCCATCAAGTTTTCTAGTAATTCACAAGGATTGGTAAAGAAATGATGACACAAGATAAAGGTATCAATGTAATCAACATCTTGAGGTCTTTCATCATCAACTGCTAATCTTTGAAATAACTTTTCAAATGTGCCTGCCACAATTTGTAATTTATAATTGGATACAATTTCCATAATTAAAACATGATTTCCATTTTCAGATATATAAATTCGAGACCCTTCTTTAACCTCCTTTTCTTCTTTAACAACATATCGAAGTAATTCATCCTCAAATAGCATCATTGATTCTCGTCTTTTCTTATTCTGTTCTTCTACTAATAAGAGTGTAAATGGCTGCAAAATGCTTTCTTGTAATCTTTTCATCCTTTTATTGATCCTGAGCCAATTTAAATATCTTTTCCCTTGTTTCAATTTCTTGCTTGTATTTAATTCTTCCTTTCCCCTTTGAAAAGAAGTAGCAGAGTCTGTAATAGAGACCAGCTTTACTTACTTTATTTAATATAATCACAATCTATCATAAAAGACATTATATAGAAATGTATGTCTGTATACATACCTCATGTAAAGGGACTGTTTGTATACAATTAATATTATTTAAATCTTCTATTTCTCCTCTTTCTTTATCGTCATCCTTTTCATTATTGTTAAAAATAGAAAGATGACGAATCCATCTTTTACCAACTAATCATAGCATTTATTATCAGTACTGTACTACAGCCAATCTTTTATATAAAGATACATGTATATAATTATTTACCCGTATTATTCTTTTCACTATAATAAACAAATCATTTATTTGAATTAAGAATAAAATAAAATAAATACATACATACATACCTTCTTCTTATCAAGTGTTGTTCATCATTATTAGTAGTATAACAAAATAGGTTCAAATTGCTGTCGTCATCATAGTCTCCTATATACATCATTAAATACATCTTTTCTATTTAATATATTTATATACATTTATACATATTTTTTTTTCATTTTCACCTGGTTGATCCAATGAATTAGGTGTTAAAGGAGGTGTTGTCAATAATTTATTAGTAGGGAAAGGACGCGATCTACTTTTCTTATTATGATAACAAGTGCTGGTTGTTGACATGACTAATGAAACAAATAATAAAGACCTTATCATTTGATTTAGTTGTGACATAATCAATATCTTATTACATAATATAAATGTTAATTATAAACTTTTTTTTTTTTTTTTTTTTTTTTTTTTTTTTTTTTTTTTTTACTTTCTTCTATCATCATCCTCATTTACCTTGTCATTTCTTTTTTCTTCTATTGTCAAGCAAGAGGACTGTTCAGTTTTCATTCTTTGAATTGTATCCATGAAATGTTGAATAAATATAAACGTATCTAAACCATGTGCATGGTTATCATTATATATTTTAGAAAGAATAATTTTGATAATAGAACATGTTAAAGTAGCTGCATTCATGATTGTTGTGAAATGATCTTCTTCCAACAAAATAAGAGATACGTTATTTTCATTGTCAATAAATAACTTGGGTATAAAAATAAATAAAATATCTAGAGTTGAATCTAATGTTTCCCATAAACAAATATCTAACTAAATAGTATATTTAGAGTGTATTGTTGTTTATACATCAATTATTATTATTACATTTTTATTTCTGTTTAAAATAATGCATTTTATTTGCTTTAGAATCTGCTTTGTTTCATTTATATAATCATTTAATTCTTTCATTATAAATTTAAAAAAGAAAACAAGTAAGTAAAACAAAGAACAAAAAAAGGGGGGGGGATACTAACAGATAATAAAACTTGACAAATAAGGAGAAGAAGAAATAGGCTATTTTGTCTTGCAAACAAAGTTTACGTGCATATCATATATGCAAACTTTTTTTTTTTTTTTTTTTTTTTTTTTTTTTTTTTGCCTTTACTATTTTAATCGGAGATATAATTATTTTTAATATAGCAATAGCCATCTACAAATGATAGATGCTACTCTATTCTCTTTCCTTGTTTTTATTTTCCTACTTTTATTGTATTGACCTAACTTTAAGTTTTGTCTTTACTACTACTAATAATAATAAAAGAAGTCTTTTTTTTTTCTTTTTGTTAACTTGTACCGACTAATAGGGTAAATCAGCTTTTATAGCTGTGTGCTTATTGGTCACTCTATTATTGTTATACAACTCCATGCTTTTTCATGTTTTCATATTCCATCATCTTTTTAACACAATCTACTAAATTAGATCCAATTAAATCGGGTTTATGATGATCATCATACAACGGGCGGATATAAATCTTTTCTGTCGTATTTAGAAAAACTGTTTTCAAGGACATATTCTTTGCTCCAGCTAAATCATAAGCATGAGATCCAATCAAGTAAAAGCTCTATTATTTTACAGTGTTAAAATAAGATGAAACTACTACTGCTGCTGCTCCTACTACTACTGCTACTACTACTACTACTACACTACCACATAACTATCAACTGTCTTTTATATATATATATATACCTCTATCCTTTTTGTTTTATGTACGGCCGTTCTCATTAACTCGGAATATACTTTTGGATGTGGCTTTGAGATCTTCAAGTCATCACAGCTAATTATATTTTCTTCTTCAATAAATGCTGATAGACCCGTTCTTTTTAATAATTCTATCGTCTCTTTTAATCCACTATAAGAAGATAAAATCCAAATATCCCATCCATACTCTCGTCCTTCATTCTCCTTTAATAATAAATTTAAAGCTTCTATAGCATCTACAGCCAACTCCATATCATCAAAGGCTGCTTGCATAATGGAATCTATCCATCTACTAGGTTCATCCAGGATGGTCTCTATTTCATTTACATCAAAATAGCATACGAATGCGCGTGCAAGTGTGGCGTTCATGACGTTTCTTAATGATTCATAAGTCCCTGCTTGTGAACATGCTATATATTCACATAATGCACTATAATACCAATATTCAAAAAACCTTTTGGCGGTTTGTTGTTGTTGTGATGATGTTATTATATCAGGAACCTTTGTGTTCTTTAATGTCTCTTGTATTTTATCGATTACTTTATTAAAAGTAAATAAAGTACCTAATCTTGATATTATCAAATGAGGGCCCTTTTATTATTATTGCTATTATTATTTATAATTAAAACAAACCTTGTAGATCAAATGCAACAAAAGGCATATCTGCTTATGATAAAAATAAAATAAATAAAAATATAAAAAGTATAAAAAGTATAAAAATAAAAAAAGTTGATAATTTATTATGCATGACGATAAAATTAGTCTTAAAAATCACCGGAGTACAAAAAAAAGCTGGTTTTCTTCTTCTTCATTTTCACTATTACTACTACTACTACTACTACTACTACTACTGCTGCTGCTGCTGCTACTGCTACCAGCCAAACTGAAGCAGAGTATCATGAATAGCTTTCGCAATTAGAGAATGAGTATATGTAGTAGGATGTAATTTATCCCACCAAATGTAACTATATACAAATATATATAAAAGAGAGGAAAAAAAAATTAAATGTAAGCCACATGTGTTGACTGATAGTTTAATTTTTTTTTTTTACTCTCCACACTGAATGGCTGAGTGACAGTAAAATTCAGAATTAAATTGTAATCGTTCTTTAGAAAATGATTCTTTAAAGAGTTTATATATATCAAAAAAGTAGGCTGAAGAATGTCCTGTCGAAATGATATTAGCAAGTCGGAAATTATAGTCATCTACAAGATATTTTAATTCTGTTCTTATTTCTTGAGTGACATTATGATACAAGGGTAATTCTTCTAAAGGAATTAAACCAAGTAACATGACATATTTTGCACCAGCAATATTATATAATTGATCCTATACAAATATAGGAATATGTATACATATATGTATTGTTAAACATATACATGCATATATACGTATATACCATATACATGTATAGGGTATTACCATGCCAAATGTAATTGATTTAATAACGCCATCTAATATATTTCTTCGTGCTTGACTATCTGTTTTATATTTTATAAAAATGTCATTTATATCATTTACACCTGACCATAAAAAGTAAATAGAATCATTCTTTGATATTGAAATAGTACTATTGAGATAATATTTCACTTGGCTGTTTATGTCTTGTGTTAGACGAGGAGTTAAAGTCTATCATAGTATTATTATTATATAAGAGATAGTATCACTCTTCATTCTATTACATACATTGTTAACAGCCGCTCCAGATCTTGCAAAATCATAGAGTGCTGCATCATTCATATCCATTGATAAATATTCAATCCATAGAGGTCCATTAGAAGCCCTTCTAATCTTTTATATAAATGTATATAATACATAAAATGAATGAATATATAGTCTATAAATAGAGTAAGAGAAGAATAGGATATAAATAATATCTTATGTACCAACTTAGTAGTTTGAGGATGTAGGCTTGTATACATGTTAATATCGGTTGCTTTACAATTGTATAAATTACAAACCTGCTCTCATCAATTTTACTTTTCGGATCTGCATATAATCCTGCTAAAGATTCATTATCAGTATACGAGTCTCCAAAAGCAATGATGGTCTTAAAATGAGCCACTCTATCTTGACTTTTGCTTCTAGGCAACACATAACATTCGACTAAAATCAATAAAAAGCATAACTTTAAAATGAATAATAAAACAGACATGAAATAGAATGTTTATATATGTTTATATATATTTATATAAAAAGGAAAAAAAAAAAGAAAAAAAAAAGATTATTTAATGATGATGATTACTTTTATATATCTATAGCGCGTCAGAAACATAGCCCATCAGGGCCATACTAGTTCTCCTTTCTATTATACTTTATTTCATTTATCCCTTTGAATCTTCTTTCACCCCCTGCCCTTTAATATATGCATATAAAATGGAGTCTTTGTAAATTAGCATTTTTATCTTACTCAATGAATAGAAAATATATAATATGACGTTATGATTACAGACTTCTATTCTCTTCTTACATTTGAAGTCTATATTATCTTTACACGTTCTCTTTCTCTCTCTCTCTTTTTTTCCCTCTAGCAATGACTAAAAATTGTCTAGTAGGATGAAGCTCTTGATAGATAGGAAAATAAAACAAAATAAACGCGTTGACAGATGACTCCTTTATTTTTAATCAAATTCAAGAGGAGGCGCATTATTCATAACTAAATAATAATAAAAGTTTATCAAGCAAATTATTTGCATAACTTGATCGTTTGGAATGTAAGTTTATTATGATAATTATTTACAGCACTTTTTTTTTTTTTTTTTTTTTTTTTTTTTTTTTTCGGTGTTGGATCTTTAGGCTTGTTTACCCCTCTTCCCTTCTTCCCCTCCTCCCTCCCCTCTCCCTTTAATTTCTCTGCTGTTAGATGTATTAGTCTGTCTACTCCAAAGTTTAAATTATACATTTGGAGAATAGGTACAAGTGGTGTAGTATTAAAGATACTGACGTTTATTCATTTTACTTTATTTTATTTTATTTGTTTTTTTTTCTTCTTTTTGGATTTCGTTCACTATACTCGTCGTCTTTCTTCTTTCATGTTTAATCGATCCCCAATCAACACCAGAGTTAGCTCTTTGTTTTAATCTTAATGTTGCAGGTGAAGTCATCACAGCTGTCGATTTCTTTTCCTTCAACTGTTCTTGTTGTTGTTGAAGAAGTCTTGCATGCTCTGCTCTTGCTCTCACAGCTGCATTTTCACGAGGTTGCTTCAACATGACTGATGCAGAACGTCTTGGTGGTTTATCATCTGTTATAACTGGATAATAATACCAATGTTACTTTTTTTTTTCTTTTTTTTTATAATACATTGTGTATATGGATTGTTGTTTTTCCTCTTTAAAGAAAGAAGGAATAGATATTATACCTGAAGCAGGATGGGTAGTAGTCTTATTCTCTTTACTTCCTATTGTATGGTTAACTTGTGCAGCTATGTGTTTTTTAGTATCACTATCAAAGGGCAAGGTAGGTCTTGTTACTGTAGTTATGTTTAGCATAGAATGTCGTTTTTTATGTGTAGGAGTTGGTTCAATAGGAGGATGATTAAGATAAGACCTTAAATCGGGTATAATCTGACTATATAAATATGGATATAAATATTCATATTCGACTCGATGCATACTAATCTGCTTTTTTATTATTATTTTACCTTCTTGCTCTTTCCATTCGATACGTATTTTGATTTGTCTTTGATACGTCGTTGTTGTCTACTAGTGTTATATACAATAAATAACAAGAAAATGCAAATAGGTGTTAATCAAATGCTATATTTACAAGGTAACCATATCGGATTTTGTAGCTTTATGACTTCTTTCTTTTTATGAGATTTCACTGGTAACTCTGCTTCATGATGACCCCACCATTCAGGGAAAGTATAAGGCATGGTAGATGTCTTTTTCTGATCCATTTGTTGTTGGTCATTATTATAATTACTAGATTCAACCTTTTGATTACTCTCAATTGTTGAAGTATTATTTTCTTTTATTGTCATCATTTCATCAGGCGCTTTATTTACTTTTTGCTTATTTTTTTTTTTAAAAAAAAAATAATATACATGTGTTACTTTTAGGAAAGAGGAGAGGGAAAAGAGGTGAATGATACCTTTGTCTGTTCTCTTCTCTCTTTTAAGAATTCAACTGTCGACTGCTGAAGCCTTTCACGGTTCTCTGTATATAAAACCGCAAAACATACAAGTTCTTTTAACAAATTAAAAACATCTGTAGGTGGATATTTATCCAAGTATTCATGAACATAAGGTGGCAATGTAGAAAGAAAGGATTCCATATTCAAAAAGAAAGAAAATAGGCTCAATTCAATTCAAAAAAAAATAGAATAAAATAAAGGACATGCGATTATTCATACATGTTGCACAACATTAAATATTCCCCTCTCCTCCTCCTCCTCCTCCTCCTTCTTCTTCTTCATTCCAAGCCTCATAAAAGAAACAAAATAAAGATTTTTTTTTTTTCATTTTTCATTTTTCATTTTTCGTTTTATTAATAATCTTTAGCCAGGGCATGAAGCCTTAGACAAACTGAATAAATTGTCCTCGGTGATTAATCTGGCCTATTCGGTTTATTTTTACCTGTTCTTTTGTACATTAAAAAAGAACCCCTTATTAGTTATGAAAATTCAACTTATAAGTAAGGCGGTAGCAGGTGTGGATTATATAAAGAAAAAAAAAAAATCAAAAAAAAAATTTTTTTAAAGGCTTTTTATATTTTTTTTTTTTTTTTTTTTAATGATAGCTTTACAGTCACTGTAGTAAATCCTTTTTCTCCGATTTACTTCCCTTTCTCTCTCCTCCCGAAAAAAAAAAAATAAAATAAAAAAAATAAAAAGCAATCATGAACACATAATCTTTCTTTAAGAATGAAAGAGACTATCAACTCAAATAAACAAAGAGCTTCATTTATTTCATTTCTGTCACTATTTATGCAGTAAATAAGAGAGAGAGAAAAAAAAAAGAGAGCGGGACTATCATTTGCTGCTACTGCTAACAAAAAAAAAAGTCGCGACTGATGAATTTATACAACTTTAGGTTCGGTTGGCACACATTTGAGATAAAGACGTCAAAAATAGTCTTGCCAATCATCAAAGGTTTTACACTCTGATTCTGTTCTTTTGCTATGATTGATTCGTTATGTATATTTCTTTGTTTATCTTCTTGGCTTATTTTTACTTTTTACTATTTAAAAAAAAAACAATATCATTCAATTGGATATAAACCGTTTCTTATCATCTTCATAGGAGATGGTTTCTTCTGTTCCCCTCCTCATGACATGGTATAATTGATAATAATCGAATTCCCCTCCCCTCCCCTTCTTTCTTTTGTCAAAAAAAAAAAGCATCAAACCATTATTGTATTCAAAACATGAAAAGACTTGCTTTTCACATGTTTTTGTATTTACAGTTACTACTACTAATTCAGAGTCGCGTTTTCATACTAGTAGTGAAAAAAAAAGAAGAAGGAAAGAAAGAAAGAAAGAAAGTCAAGTTTGAACAATTAAAATTGTAGTGCTTCAACACATCATATGTCAAATTTGTTCGTGAGCCAATCGAATCTAGTATTTTTACCTCAAAACTGCTGTGTATATCTGTATATCCATATATTTATTTTTTTTTTCTATAAAATCAAGTTAAAGTGAAAATAACTCTTTTATTATTGTTGCTTTATTTTGCCGTATTATTATTTGTATAAGAGAAAGAGTATATACATATAAAAAGTAGAAGAAGAAGTAAGTGAATTATAAAATTCATTTTATTATTATTTCAAGAAATGGAGGACAATTATACCATAGCTCGAGATCAATCAGAAGGACATAAGGCTTTATTAGAATTAGAAAAAAAATTTAATAAAAAGGCACGGTCAGCAGCTCTCAACATTCAAGGATCCCAAATTCAAGCTTTGACTGGCTTTATTCATATTTTTGAACAATACCCATATCCTGTTGTTATCAATGCTGCTATACTTAAATTAGCTGATTGGTTTCGTACATAGTAAGCCTATTTACAGTTTTGACTTTTCTTTTTTTTTCATGTACTCTCTAACATCTTATTATTTATGTACATATAAAGCAATAATAGTGTTAAATATTACATTTATAAAGTATTCAAAGAGGCATCTGATCTTCATTTGGCAAAAGTGATTAATGTAGAAGAAACTGTAAGACGTATTTTACCTGTACTTGGTAGTAATGATCCTATTGCTCGCTCCATTACACTTCGGTAAACATATATACATATGTATATAAAGATGTTATAAAATTAACTTGATTTGAATAATTATAGTGTATTGGGTTGTATGTCAATGATTATCAGTGAAAAGCTCGATGTTCAATATGGGTAAATATTTACAAAAAAAAAAGAGAGAGTGTGTGTGTGTGTGTGAAAGAGAGAAACAAAACAACTCCATTTTAATAATTTATACAAGTATCCTTCAACAACTTGAATTAGCAAAAGATAGAATTGAACTTGAAGCAGCTATTTGGGCAGGAGACCAGATATGTGCGAAATCAAATAGATTTCCTTCAGTTATTTTTTCAAAGATTGTAGATAAATTAGCAAGTAACTAGCTTTCATAATAATGTTAGATAATAAAAAACTAATTTACGTCACATAGATCCAGATACACAATTTGATATCAAACTAAGACTTGTGAAAATATTTCGACATATGCATCAAGATATTAGTATGGCAAGACATGCAAAGTCGACCTGTTTATCCTTACTAGAAAATCCGAATACAGATAGTAGACTTATCATCATTACTTTAAGAACATTAACATTATTACTGAATGAAGCTCTGATTGATAGAAAAGAACAAGTAAGTACTATATAACTATGTATGCATGTATGTGCTTGTATTCCTACATTCGTTCTTATATAACTATTTTTTTATAAAAAAAAAAAGATGGATCGACTGTTGAATTATGCATTAAACGATAAAAGAAAAGACATTTGTTATAATGTATTATACGACTTGGTTTTACTTGGAAAAAGTGATATTATGTTAGATGAGTCCCATATTCTTCTACTCTTACAAGTTATCATTTCATCTAATCATAATTTCAAGATTCAACAAAGAGCCTTTCAATCTGCACAACGTTTAATTGAAACCCATCAAAAACTTATTATACACATCATTACTTTAAATCCTACTTCAGACACATTGAGATCATTCATGAACTATATTATAGAATGTGAACGGATTATGAATGAAGCTATCAAAGATCAACGTTATACTATCATTATAGCAAGTGCTCGATTTTTATATAGTATTCTTCATATTATTTTAAACTTTTGTAACACTACACAAGACAATAATAAGATGGATTTAGATATACCTATATTAGTACATATGAAAGAATTAGGGAAAAGAGTAACGGAAGCAGCTACTTTATTAGATATAAAATTAATTGAACAAGATAACAAACAAAAGGTAAGTTTGAAAGATTACAACTAAAATAATACAAAAAAATAAGAATAAAAATAAACCATTCTATCATGGTTAGTTGCGAGAATTATTGAAAATTAAAGCTGGCTTTTGTCTATTACTTGATGACTGGGATTATGATGCAACGTTTAAAAATGCGTATAGGCTTTTGACTGAGGCAGATGGTAGTTACTATTTACTTTTCGCATGCTTCCAAAAAAAATTAATACGTTTGATTAGATAATATTGCTGCTATATTACTTCCTTATTTATCAACTATATCGAAAAGATGCCATCAATTACTCTCCTGGTTCCCTACTGAGGCATTAATAGAATTAAAAAAGAGAATAAAACAACCTTTTGTTTTCGTAAGAATCTTTGACTTTAGACGAATAAGGAGGATATCATATCATTTTCTCATTTTTTTTTAATAGGTTGACTTGATTCGACTTTTACTAAGAATAACGCCTAGTCAATCCGATTTAACACATCAGTTGATAGAACTTTTATATGAATTTGGTGAATGGGATCAAGCAACTGGAAAATTTGTGAAAAATGGTTGGAATTTGTATTTGATGGGTATAGAAGCAGGCATTTGTGGATGGTACGAGTTCATGTATTTGATTATGAGAGACTTGTGTAAAAAAGTGGAAACAGAAGCTTCATTTTATTGGTTAGGCTCATTATCTTCATTAGCTTATGCAGAATGGTCTTTAAGTCAAAACAATTATTCTGCTCAACATTATATTATTTCATTAAATGAATTAAAGGTTTGTGAAATATAAGAATGCTGTATATAATAGACATTAAACAATAAATACAAAAAAAAATGAATAGGCCTTACAAGCATTTGATCAACCTCATACCTATCAATATTGGTTTATTCAACTAAGAATGGAATTAATTGAATGTATTCAACATACATTATTAACATTAGATGATATACGTGAAATGGAAAATTGTGCATTCCAGTTTCGTAAAATTGCTTTTCGATATGATTTTCTAGCTCAATCACAATTTGGTGTAGACAAGGAAATGTTGGATGTGATTGAGTCATACAAAATGGGTGCACTTGTATGCGAGCATGCAACTCGTGCCTATATTGGAACTGGACAACTCTTTTTCTCTATTGATCCCTCATTAATACCATTAATGACTTCATCAAGTCCGTTGAAAGGTGGGAAATTCTTGGATTTGTGTAAAGACTTTATGAATAAAATTACAAGTTGGGAAGAGCAATTATCGCATTTAGAAGACATGGATAGACGATCTGTAAGTTTAAATGTTTGTGTATCTACCGGTCTTTCTTTATTTTAATTATTATTATTTTGTAACAGAATTGTAGAGAAGATATCAAGACAATTTTAAACACAATATTAACTGTACCTTTAGTATTGTCGAAAACTTTTTTTAAAATACGTAAACATGTGAATATCCAATTAACAACTGAACCTATGCTTAATGAAAAGAAGCCTATTACACTTGCCTCTAATGAAGATTTGATTATTAAATTTGAAGGTCTAATTGAAGTCAATCCACATGTTAAACGTAAGTTGTATATATATATAAAAAAAAAAAAAAGGAAAATGGTTAGAAAATAAACTAAAATATATTATATACATCTATAGATCTAGAAAAGAAAATCAATAAGGCAATCATTGTATGCTTTATTACAAAAGAAAAAATGTTACACTTTGATGATAGATTAGGTGTACACATGATATTTTCAGAGCCTACTCAAATTCGAGACATGGAAGGAAATCAGGTAAGATAAAAGGGGATAGAAGGGAGATTATTCGTGCTCATCCCCCGTATACATAACATAATAGTCTACACTGCTACAACCACCCACTATTTATATGGCCAATGTTCGAAATTCTTATTTCACTTATACTGGATTATTAAGTTTACCTAAATCAAATCTATCCAGAATATCACCTTTAAATAGAAATGAAGCATGGATTAATGTATTTATTAAGATTCTCGATGATAATTCAAGGATATGGTCTATAGGTCCATTACAATGGGGTAAAGTGATATGGCAATAATAATTATTTTGAATAAAAAAAAGAAAAAAAGGGGTGTATATATATGTGTGTGTATGTAGTAAGACTATTAAATTAAGCTGGTGGATATGAAATGGTTATCTCCTTTCTATATATCATGGTTTTCTTTATTAACAGATAATGCATTTCCCGTCTTTATTATTATCATTTTTCATTGACAAAAGTTTTGCTAATTGTACTTGTTCATTATCTGTAATTGTTCCTTGTTTTACTTTTTGCTGTAAACGAGCAATCTCCTGCTTTTGTTTATGAACTCTTGATAGTCTTTGTCTTTCCATTTCAACTCTTGAAGTGGATTGTGGTTTCGAGGAGGATAGCTTATGGTTTGTCGATGATAATAATTTACTGTTATTCACAAGAGTGGCTCCTTTCCCTTTGCATTGATGATCTATTGCAAGTCGATGCTTTACACAGAAAGAGAGTCCACATTCAGGGCATTGCATAGGTACTAACATTTTTGTAGTACAGCCTTTTTTTCTACATGTGTTGTCATTTTTAGACCTTAAGTCTGAACAATTATTTTGAATATGCTCATTCATCTATTCTTTCACTTTAATTACTATTATTGAACAATTTACTTTACAAAAAAAAATAAATAAATAAAACTTACCCTAATATTTGGATCCTCTCCTCTATTTGCTGGTACTGGTTTCTGACAAATAGGACATACTGGTACCCTATAGAGACAATAATAGCGTCAGTATTTGAAGATAAGTTTTGAGTTTGAAGGAGGGGGTTAAGAAAATTACCGAACATCCATGCTTGGATCATTTAGACTTGGACAATGATGAGCCTGTAATTTAAAATGGTCTTGACTAATTAATTTTATATGAGTACAGAGAATTACTTGTGTAGAATTACGGCCTATACATATAAATACATACCAAAATATTTTCTTACAATTAACACATGTATAGGGTAAAAAGTCTAAAAATAAAAATAAAAATCATAATCTATGTTATATTCTTTGAATGTATTTTCTTTCTTTTTTTTTTTTGATCAATTACCATGAATATTACAGCCTTCTGCTGTACATTTTTTACCGAGTTCAGGGAATTCCATTATTAACTATAGAAACAAAAAAAATAACTTACGTATAAAGAAAAGATAAATAGAAAAAAAAAAAAAAAAAAGGTACTCAATATATATTCCCTTTTCTGGAATATGATGATGAATCAGCAAACTGTCGCAGTCAGAAAACGAAACTATACGATTTTTTTTTTTTTTTTTTTTTCGAGATGGTAATAGATCTTGCCGGAAACTAATTTAGTTCTACTTTCTCTCTCCCCCTCCTCTCTCTTTTTTTTTAATTTATAATCACTGTAAAAAGATGTCTTCCTTGTCTGATGACACCATCCGCAGAGTAAACAAGAAGAAAATAAATAAATAAAGATTTATTTTTTAAAGGATGATATTTATTTTTTAGAATTTATATGTCCTTAGGTATTTGTAGAATTACAAAATAGATATGTTCAGAGTCAACAACAAGTGAACACGATCAAAACCCAAATTGCTGGAAAACAGCGTGAACGTAAATTAGCTGAATTAACAAGACGTGAATTAGATGGATTAGATGCTGATACAAAGACTTATAAACCAATTGGAAAAATGTAAAAAAAAAAAAAAAAAAAAAGAATTTTAATTAATTAAAAAAAAAAAATAGTAAAAACTCATATATATGCATCTTGTTAGGTTTATACAAAGTCCCTTGAGTGAAATGAAGCAGCAATACGTTGATTCGGTGGTTGCTGCTGATGAAGAGATCAAGAAATTAGAAAAGACGCAAAAATATTGGGAACGTTCAGCATCAGATGCTGAAGGCAACCTTAAAGACATTCTTCAAGGTCCTAGAACTTAGTGGGTAGAGTCATGCAAAAAAGAGAGAAAAAAAAAAGTACATGTTTACTTGGTAATAATAAAAGATATTCAACGCGTATATCAATCAACTATACAGAATATTATGTTTTTAAAAATATATAAAATAACATACAAGGATAGAAAGTTTATTTTAATGTATTCTTTAACAGTATTAGATGTCATTATTATTTTTGTATGCTAATATTATTGAATTATTACAAGTAATACGGATACATGGATAAAGAGAGACTCTATGATATGTATTACAAAAGCTTTGATTTCCTATTGCTGCATTAGCTCACTTTTTGTTTTGTTTTTTACGCTATTAAGGTTAAATAAATAATAATAAAGCAACTGATTTTGGGTCAATAATAAAGATGAATAAACTGATACAAGTCAAAAGTTACGACTACATGATTTACTCATATTTATGTATATATTTTTCCATTTTTCTAAAAAAGAATAAAAATTCCAGAACAAGTATACTAGAATAGACATGAAACACTCACAATGCCGCTGCTATTTTCCTTGTCAAAATATAGAAAATTAAAAAAAAAAGGAAAGGAAAGGAAAGGAAAAAGAAAACGGAATGCATTATAGAAAACAAATAAAGTAATAGTTATATCATTAGTATTATGGGCATGAACATGAAAGGAAAGAACTATTTTATATTTCCTCCTGCTATTATCTTTCTTATATAATCATTTATTACGTTTATTAACAAATGGTTACAAATAGTCAAAAAAAAAATTTTTTTTTCTATTATGATTGTCTCCCTATGAATACTAGTCTTTGGGAGAGAGGGGAGGGGGAGGGAAGAGAGCTATACTGTCTCTTCTTTCTGTGCTGTGTTGGTGATCAAATTGAAGATGGTGTTCGTTGCTACTGATAAAGGTGCTCATGAATCCATGAACATGATCCATATCTTTACTAATCCCCTTATTCGTCATATTGCCTTCACTATTCTTGCTCTTCATGTCATTCAACAAATGAATGGTATTAATGCTGTCATGTATTACTCTACGACTATCAATAATATGTATGTCCTTCTCTGCTGAAATGTCCAAGTGCATGGCTATTGTCATTACCGTTGTCAACTTTGCCACTACTATTCTTTCTTTAATCCTTGATTGATCATATGGGTCGCCGTTCTCTTTTGCTGATTGCTGAAACAGGTGCCTGTATCTTTTTTTGTGTCTTGTTAATCATTGGTTATGTCTATAGCTTCTTGGGACCTCTTTTGGAGTCGTCGCCGTCTTTAGTTATGTTGTTTCATTTGCTATTATCCCATGGATGGTTACTTCTGAAGTGACACCTACCTATGTCTCTTCTGCTGTTGGTGCTGTTGCCACTGCAAGCAGTCAACTGGGCTACTGACTTTGTCATTGGGTCAGTGTTTCCCTCTTGTCTTTGAAGGCATTAAAGGTTACTCTTTCGCTATCTTTGCGAGTATTGCTGTACTTACTTTTTATTTCACTTACCCTAGAGTCCCTGAAACCAAGGATCATTGCTCTCTTGAAGACATCGTCAAAGGCTTTGAAAAGAACTCTTAATTTCGTCCGTATACCTTATTTGCTTTTTATTTTATTTTATTTTATTTTTCTTGTACTTTTATAATTTTTTTTTCCCTTTCTTCATTACATCTCTTTATGTATAAATAAATAATGACACTTTATTATAAAATGACGGTTAAAAATTGGTTAATGGCATTGTTTATTTGTTTTTCCTATACATAATAATCATAATGCTTTATTTTATTGCTTGTTTATAGTCAACCATCATATATAAAATTTATTAATAAAATACATATTATCTTAATATATTATATTGTGCATTAAAACAAAAAAAAATATGTACATTTAGACATACTCAATACTACTTTTAGGAAAAAGTTTAATAAAGATATTCTCAAAAGCTTTAACCCTTCACTCGTTCCTCATACTTCCTCTTTTTTTTTTTTCTAAAAAAAAAAGATATATGTTTATACATTAAAAAAAAGGGTAAAAAAAAAATTTTTTTTTGATATGCAAATGGTGTAAAACTTAATCCTTTAATTCATTTAAAATCAAAAATTTTAAGCAACGAGTTCAACAACACCACCAGCAGCCTTGATCTTCTTTTCAGCAAGAGCAGAGACGAAACGAGTACGGACAATGACAGGTTGAGAGATCTTACCCTTAGCCAAAACCTTACCGTAACCCTAAAATAATCATAAAAAATAGGATTATTCAATTTAGTATTCACTCATACATGTGTGTGTCCATCATTACCTTTTCAAGGACATCAATAACAGGAACCTTTTCAGTATTCTTATACTTTTCACGAACACCTTCACCAGCAAGAGTCCAGATTTGATCGAGGTTGACAACAGGACGCCAGTTAGGGTTCTTCTTCAAGTGGAAGTGACGCATACCGACCTTACCAAAGTAACCAGGATGGTACTTATCCATGTTGGTACGATGATGGTGTTGACCACCAGCAAGACCACGACCACCAGGGTGCTTTCTGTGCTTGCCAATACGACCGTGACCGGCTGAGACGTGTCCACGCTTCTTTCTGTTGTGGTGAAGTCTGGTAGGCTATAATAAGGATAAGATATGTTAATATTTATTTCTGTCTCCTTTTTTTTTAAAAAAAAAAGATAATCTTGCTTTATAAAGGATGATGAAATAAGATTGAAGTTAAGTATTTGACTTTTTTTTTTACTATTGAAAATAAAGCAAGCTGAAAATGTTATATCGTTTATCTTTAGTTTAGAAATTGTTGTTGTTGTTGTTGTTGTTGTTGTTGTTGTTGTTGTTGTTGTTGTTGTTGTTGTTGTTTTTCTTCAAGTTGTAAATTATTGATTTTGTTGTAATTTATACATATTTTTTTTTTTTACTTCAAGTCAAAATAATATGCATATCCATCCATCCATCCATCCATGTACTTTTTTTTTTGAACACCATTTGAATAATAGAGATAGTATACACATGCTGTTTAATTTGCTTCTACTCTCATTTCATCATCCTCTATTATGTGCACTCACCATTTCGGTTTTAAAAAGAGAAAGATTCACTTATTCTGCTATGCTGTAATCCTTTACCTTTCATCAATTTGTTAGAGCCGTCGAACAACAAAAAATTAAACTCCGATTATCTATTTTGTCGTCCGGTCGGACACAAGAACACCTTCAGCTTATCAGAAGAACAACAACAACTATAGCAGCAGCAGCAGCAGCAGCAGCAGAAGCAAGTGGTACTCTTGTTATCAATGTCATTCTATTATAATAACAAGACTTTAAAGGAAATATACCAAAAAAAAATTAAATAAATATGTACATATATGCTTAATATAGTAATAAATAAAAGTGAATAATATTTACTATTTCCTTTTAAGAATCTAAATTGGTTAGAAGACGTATAAGAATAACATGATGATGTCTATTGTTATCAAAATAATCATTTACAAAATAGTCAATCGTATGCAGCGTGGGATAATTTCCGTAATTCGTGAGAATTCAATGTTTGACATGATGAACATGATTTATAAACCCCCTCCCTTTTATGCTGTTATGTTGTAAGACATATATGAATATTTATATGCACTTTTTTCTTTCCTCTTTTCTTTCTCCTTTTCTTTTATTCCTCCCTTTTTTTCTTTATAGTAAAATGTTGGATGTAGACGAAATACGTGAGTTGATTGACGATGACTTTGTTTCACTTTTATGATATCTAAATTCTATAATTATAGCTGAAAGACCTAATGTAAAAACGTTTGATAGTTTTTTATCAGGATTAGTTGGTGGTTAGTATGTAAACCAGATAATAAAGTATATAATTCATAGAGTATTCAATTATCATATAGGTTTAGCAGGTTTAGCCGTGGGCCATCCTTTTGGTATATATGCATATAGATAACGTAGCATTATAAATATATATTTACTTTTATATACATAGATACAGGTTTTATATACACACATATATATGTAAAAAAAAAGAAAAAAAGGTGATAAATAGATCTAATCTATTGATATATACTTTATACAGTAAAAGTTAGATTACAATCTCGTGAGTTGGCTTCTCGATATAAAGGCACATGGAATTGCTTTATAACAACTATTAAACAAGAAAAAGTAATACTCTATCTATTTAATCATTATTTATACATGAATGCTAACCAATCTGTATAGTTTATTGGATTGTATAAAGGAATGGTAAAAAAGAAACATTACATATATATATACAAATTTTAATATGAACTTGTATAATTGTATCGTTTTCTATATAGGCTACTCCTGCTGTAAGTGAGAATCAATCATGTTCTTTTTCTTTTTCTCTCTTCTTTACACACATATGTATATAATTTGTATTATGTAGGTTGCTGTAGCAGGTGTTAATGCTTTAGTATTTGGATCTTATACTTGGCTAATTAACTTTCAAGAAAATTATAATTCAACTATAAACGAAAAGAAGGAAAATAATATAACTTCTTTAAAGCATGTATTTATTGCTGGAATGGGTGCTGGTGTAATAACAAGGTACATATGAATAGGAATCGTTTAGCTTTCTTTTTTTTTTGACTTTTTTTTTTTTTTTTTTTTTTTTTTTTTTTTTTGTTTAAAGTCTTATTACTTGTCCAATGGAATTAGTAAAAGTGCAACTACAAAATCAAACAAAAGTAATGACGATAAAAGGTCCTATTGATTGTTTAAAGAAATTATACGGAACAGGTGGAATAAGTTATTGCTTTAAAGGAATGATACCCACCATGTTACGTGAACTTAGCTTTGGCCCCTATTTTTTGACTTATGAATTTATTTGCAGAGCTCTGACTCCAGCTTCAGAATTAAAGAATGGTCACGTTGATCATGAACTTACGGGCCCAAAAATTATTTTAGCAGGTGGATCAGCTGGTATCATTGCTTGGTGTTCTACTTATTTTGCTGGTAAACTAATTTTACTCTTTTTTTTTTTTCTTTTTTTTTTTTTTTTTTTTAATATACACATATCTATTTTGTTAATAGATGTGGTAAAAACAAGAGTTCAAACAGAACCTGAAAGATATAAGGGCTTTATGGATTGTATTATACGATCTTATAGAACTGAGGGATGGCGTATATTTTTTAGAGGTTTGACACCTACTATCTTAAGAGCTTTCCCTTCCAATGCTGCAACTTTTTTTGCGTATACATGGACAATGAAATTCTATCAAACAAATCAATTAACCACATTGAAGAAACAAGATGAAGCAATTATTTTATGAAGAAAAAAAGAAAGAAAGAACCATGTAAATAAAGTTTTATAAACGAGTCATCCTTCTCCTCCTTTATATAGTTCTGTTTATTAAGAGACATATATGCACACATATATACACTCACTCACTCACTCACTCACTCAGACACACATATACATTTATTGTTGATTGCCAACTAAATAGGATTGAATAGTATTAGCAACTAAATTATGGTCATCCTATGATTAATAAATGATTAGACTCGATATTTTATTTATTTATTTATTGATTGTTACCTGCTGGGCAAGACCAGAAACGGTAATTGTGCCAACGACACCTACATTTTTAATCTTTAAGGGAAATCCACCACCATGAGTAGCATAATCCTTTTCACTGACCTAAAAGAAAGGGACATGCATGTTAAAATGTTTTTTTTTTCTTTTAAAAAAAAAAAAAAAAAAAAAAAAAAAAAAAAAAAAAAGACCTATCTCCTCTAAATTTTACTTACAAAATATTTCTCTTCGATTGTTTTACCTAAACTAGCAAGATAACGACCGATATAATAACTTGAATGACCAAAACGATATACAGTATTGCTAAATACATGTTGTATATGATTAGTATTAAGTTGACTATCTTCTATGTTTCTAAATACGATGTGGGGCTTACTTTACTTTTTACGACGGACCCATTCATCATTATCCTTGTATGTATCATTCATAGCATAATGGAAGAGTTGATGACCATTTAAGGTAATATCAACTACAATGGACCTTTTATAAGGCTTAATATTATCTATAAGCTTTAATCCTAACGCAAGCGCGTCCTCCGAGGTAAATGAACTGAATTGACAAGCTTCTTCTTGTTCGAGGATTTTTTGAAGTTCGTTGTTATTTGCTGCCGTCATTAGTTCAAAAAATATATATATATATATATATATATGCGTGTATATATTCTTATAAAATAAAAGAAAAAAAAAAGAAAAAGAAAAAGAAAAAGAAAGAAAAAGAAAAAGAAAAAGAAAATTATTACATCCCAACAAGTTGGCAGTAGCATAAAAAAAAAAAAAAAAAGGACGGAGTTATCGTTGGATGAATATTTTCGTAAGCATTTAACCTAATAATTGGTAAACAGCCTTCTTCTTTTGAACACACCCGTTATCCTCCTAAACAGCAGTAGTAGTCATGCTTTGCTCCCTCTTTTTTTTTTTTAGTTTATTTCTCCAGTTTTAGCAACAAGTTTATTACTTTTAGTAGTTCTTAACTTTACCCCTCTCCAAAAAAAAAAAATAGTTTCATTTACTCACTATGGATACTTTTTTATTACGTAATTAATATTTGGAGACAGAAAAAAAAAAAAAAAAAAAAAAGGCAGCAGCAGGGAAGAAGTCAGGCTAATCTTTTTTTTTTATTCACTTCTTTGTATTATTGAATTCATGAATTGAATATGGATTCATAGATTGTAAAGAAATATGATGAATAATCCTAGATTGCATACTAGTTGTTAGGGGTAGTAGTAGTGATGGTGGGTGGAATATGAATGGCTCACTAGTAGTGATTGTGTTTCGTTAGGTAAAGGTACAAACTCTTTATTAGGATGACTGCTGTCGTTTATCATGGATGATATTGGCGGTAAAGTTTTCAAGTGGTAATGATAAAGAGTTATCATATTGATCCATACACTCTTTTCTATCTCTTAAATGAAGTAGTGTAGGTTGTTGTTGTGATGATGCATAGTGATGAATAGATCTTGACGATGGATCGTGAGGATATTCTTCTAAATGAGTTGAAACTGTTAATAAATTATCTTCACTTGTTCGTTGTAGTCTCCTTTTATCTTTTTTGTTAAGTCGATGTCGTTTCTTTGCCAATACGACTGTTTCTTCACCACATCTAAAGACTTTCATAAGAAATTGAGGGATATAAGCCAAGAATCCATCTTTAAGTGCTTCAAAGTAACCATCTTCATCCAAGTTATGTTCATATTCTTTAGCATCAACACCGAAATAGATTTGCATTAAAATAGCTACAGCTGTCATACAAACACAAATGATGAGGACATAGTAACCATTTTTGATCGCAGCAGCTGTCCAATAGGTCCCACCTGGTGTTCCCGCTGGTTTATCCTTGATGATATTAAAATAACTTAAAATAGCGAGTAAAATATCTCCAAAATAAAATATAACCATAATCGGCCCCTTAACACACCAAAACATACCATGTGCTCTAATCTGTCCTTCTTTCCATTCATCATTATAAACAGAAAGATAAGTAAATAGAGCCATAAGAATAATAGATAATGAAATGAATTGAATTATGGATAAATAGACATAAGCTCCATGTGGACTAAATTGTCCGTCACAATAAATTCCCTTGATTTGAGTAAAGATAGATATTAAAGCTGCTAAAATATTCCTATGAAGGTAGCATCATCAATATCTTTTAACTGTACAAGTTAAATATCTGCATTACCAAATTGGAAATTGTAGTACGAGCACATCTGTAATGACTCTAAAATGAAGTCCCCATTTGGATTTTCTTTTTCAAAAAAAAAAAAAAAAAATGAGATACATAAATTTGAATAAGAATAGAATCAATTATATTTACAAATTTAAGGTATATACACCAAGCACCTTTGTTTTCATTGATTCTTTAATACCTTCATTTTTGATTCTGAATGGTTCAAGATAGGCCTGTAAACACATATAAAGGTTATAGACAGCAAAAGATTCAAATAGACGAGCAAAGAATAAGATGACAGTTTCATAATCATATTTTAAATAAGAAAGCCAAGCTAAAATTGAATAGGCTGCAGGATAAGCTATGACTCTTACTTTATGTCTTTGAATATTGGGTGTATAGTAATAATGAAGGTGTTCATTGATTGTATGTGAAGCTATTGTGATTGTACATAAAACAAGAAATCCTGAAGTTAACCAACCCCATACATGCATAGAATTACTTTAAGCAGGAAAAGGAGAAGTATATAGGTAGGTGTGTGTGTAGGGGAAATATAAAATTAATATGCATTTGAAATATCCCCCTACTTTTATCCCTCTTTTATATTTATTTATTTATTTATTTACCTTGGGTTTAATACAAGTTGTTTCAAGTCAAATTCTGGATTACTACAAGAAAAATGGTTTTAATATATAAAGCTAAAATTCAGACTTGTTTTTTGTTTTTTGTTTAAAAGAGAATTTTTTTTTTTTTTTTTTTTTACAATCCATTTTCGCTTAATCCACCTAATGTAGGGCAATGCTCATCCATTAGATCTATAAAATAAAAATAAAAATGTGGAAATAAAGGCAAAATAATACTAATAAATAAATAAATAAAAGGGAGGTGTAACCTTGAATTTTAATATTTAATGCTATCCTTTTTTTTTTTTTTGAGTCTCATTAACATAGACAGAAAAAAAAAATATGAAAAGATGGACTAAAGTAAAAAGCATTTCTAATGAGACTAGTACATTCAATTCTTTTATTTACTGTAAAACTTCATGTTTTTTTTTTTTTTTTGCTAGTGATTAATATTTATATATAAAGTATGTGTGTCTATTTTATTTATATACAAGAGATTATTAGATCTTTAAATCAGTAGTGAAGAGATCCATCATAAAAGCAGATGCTATTAATTCTTGTTGTCGTCCTTATTATGACATTGTTCTTTTTTTCCTCAAATTTATTATAATTCAGCAGTGAGTGAGTGAGTGAGTGAGTGGTGGTGGTGGTCAATAATAAATTGTTTTGACGTCGACGTCACGTTCTCTCCCCACTTTCTTCTCTACAGGGCTGGGATAGATTTTTTTGGTCAAACATTTCCCCATATTAATAATAATTATACTACACAACTTTCAAATATTACTTTATTCTACATAGTATATACATACATATATAAAAAAAAAAGGGATCATGGTTCAAGAAGTACCTCCTCCTCAAGGATTTTCTGAAGTTAAATATAGACGTTATTTACCCAAACGTGGACCTTCTGGTCTTGTTCTTCTTGCAAGTATTGCTGCCATTTCAGCATTTGGGTTTTATAGAGTAGGTCAAAACAATTTAGAAAGAAGGTATGTTTAAAACCTATCAAGTATAAACAAATTATGTATACAAAAAAAAAAAAAAAAAAAAAAAGAAATCAGCTTATAAAGTAGTTAAAAAAAAACACACACACACACACATTAGAGAATTAAAACGAGAAAATCTTTGGTCTCGAATTCATTTGATTCCACTTTTAACAGCTGAAGCAGATCGTGACATGTACCGCCGTATGGAAGCTGCAAGAGGACATGAAGAAGAAATTATGAAAGATGTTAAAGACTGGAAAGTTGGAGAATCAGTTTATAATAATACAAGCTATTTTACTCCACCAAGCTATGTACTTGTTCCTGAAAATGAGAAATAATCTTCCAAATGATAATAAATTGTCAAAACATACATTCATACAACAGTAGTCTTGTATAATATATTCTATTTATTTATTTTTATCATGTCATAAACAATAAAAGAAAGGGAGAGGGGAAAAAAAAAAGAAGAAGTTATAACTGCATAAAAAGAAAGAATTGCATAAGTAAAATTGTATATGCTTCGTATACAATAAACATGTGTGTGTGTGTAATAGGTTTTATCTTGGAACATAATAAAAAGGCTTCTCTCTTTTTTTTTTTTTTTTCTTTTTTTTTTCTTTTTTTTTTTTTAGTGATTTAATTTAAATGATTATTTGTGTACAAATATGTATATAAATATGGTATATGTATGTATGTAGGTAGGTAAGTATGTATATATTAACTCTTTCCAATATCTTCTTCTTCTTCTTCTTCTCCATCATCAAAGTCAATATCTTCATCATATCTTTTCTTAAATGTGTTTAATGATATTTGTCGAGTCTTTTCTTGATTAAAATAATAATCATTATAAGATGACGGCTGTTTATTGTTAACTGTTTGTGTCATTTCATTATCATCTTGCTGTGATGGTGGATGACCTAATAACTTTTTCAACATCTTTTCTGCAAGTATTTTACCTCGAAGTCGATCACATGTTGCCTTTAAACGATTATTTTCTTGTCGAGCATTCTCTAATTGTCTTTGTAAAAGATCATTTTCTTTTGTTAAAGACGAAATCAGTGTACGCATCTCACCATGCTGTTGATTCTTTTTAGCTCGATATTTGGCTGATGCTGCCTTGTTACGCTGCCGACGTTCTTGCAAGGATAAGGGCGCTGAAAAGGAAGGTGATGTGACCGTGTTGGATGCGGTTAATAATCGACTTGGAGTGTAAGGCATGATACGATGATGACTAGTACTGATAGGAGTGGTTTCAAACGGATAGTGAAAATGACGGTGATGATTATTGTTATATGTTTGAGGTCGTTGAAAATAAAAGTGCCTGTTTTCCTCTAATGAATGATTATCAGGCGATGAGTTAGGTGATGATGATGAAGTAGGGTAAGGAGGTGAAAATGACTTTTGTGAGTTGGTGGTGCTACTAGGTGAGGATGTTTTTATTCTATCCGTATTTATATGCTGGTTATGAGTTAAAGAAGGTGACGAAGTAGATGAGCCTGTTGTATCAGAAGGAGATGCAACGACCAGATTTGGATCTGGTAATGTTGAAGAAGTAATGGATGAAATAGCCATAGGCTTTGATTGATAATGTGTTTGTTGCTGTTGCTGTTGCTGCTGCTGCTGTTGCTGTTGCTGTTGCTGCTGCTGCTGCTGCTGTTGCTGTTGTTGTAAATGGTTAGATGGAGCCATATTTATAGATAAAGACATGATGACGAATAAAGAATAAAGTCATATATATATATAAAAAAAAAGATATGCTTTAGAAATTTATTTCTCTATAATGTCTTTGTTTAAGAAAGAAAGGTCTTTCTTTTTTTTTCTTTTCCTTTTTTTTTTTTCTTCTTTAAAAGAAATACTTTTATAGTTTTAACTTGATTGCTCGGTTTAGTTTTCTGTCATGATTTGAACGGGGTCTTATGCATATTAAATAATTAAGAAAACGCCACTATACACTATATTCTCCATACATATACATATATATTTGATACATGACCATCCAACCCTTATATATTTAAACAGCTGGCCCAATTAATAATGCTGCTGGATTTTGCTTAAATATTTGCATTTAAAAAAAATATATATCCTTAAAAAAAATATTTGGCTTTATATATACATTATCCTTAATCTATACTTCTTTTGCTACTACTATTACTACTTTACATGAGTTAAGTCTGTATATAAATACATATATATATATGAAATTCATGCAACAAATACCAACTTTTATATTGCTTTTATCTATCTTATTAAAAATAGGATATAAACTACACAGATTAGTGAGATCATAATTCATCATTAGCATATAAAATACTCTTATTTCATCATTATGTCCCTATTATTCGTGTTGCTATTCTATGATAATCAAAGAGAATAATAAGAAAGGAGGTAAATATAGAGTTTGTAGTATTATTATTATATTTTGGGAGAATAGTATCTTAAATATATTATTCATACGTGAAGGAAAATAATAATAAAAAAAAGGAACTATAAAATATATTTTTTTTATGTCAGTACATGTTTTTACAATTTGTCTAGAGTTGATAATAAGTCACGGCTTTGAATGCATACATGCAGTTACATATGAGAAGAAGAGGAGATAAGGTGGACAAGATGATTCTTTTAACTTTTTTTTTCGGTTACTCATTATATATAAATTAATTTAACATACATGAACAATTTTTATATAAAAATTCGTTGTATAATAATAATATAGAGAAGACCTCGGCACTATAAGAAAAGTATGGCTAGCTAATTTACAATTGAGCTTATACATGTTTTTTTGTTTATTTATTTATTATTATTTAGATAAGTTAGAAATTATTCATCACTTTGGGTGAAATAAGTTGATACGAAACAAGCCCTTATTGACATGTTTTCAAAAAAAAAAAAAATACTTAAAATGTATACAGTAATAATAATAATAATAATATAGGAGAATTACTACTCCTCGTGCATTATAGTTATTTCAGGGAATATCTTCAAATAAGAAGATACTACACATTAGCAGCAGAATATGAATAATTATAATACCGTGATACAAATTTTTTAATTTTACTCGTCCTACTACTATATAACGTTATCAACGAATAATGAATATTAATATCCTGATAGCAAATGTGTTATCTTAATACATATCTACATATGTGTATGTATGTATATATAATACTGTTATAAAATAGTGCTTCTATTATAAATCAAATAATAGATGTATATTTACAGTTTGTTTAATCCTTTATGATGATGACATATATATAAAGTAGTGATATAATATTATTTATTTTCTTCCTTTGAAATAATAATAATAATTCGGTAAAATGTTGAATAAAACCTAATAATGTTACCATAGAATAATATTTAACAAATTCTAGATCGATACATTCATTTAATATTTAGCTATTAGTTAAATGATGTCGAATGATAGGGTATACAATCAATTGTGCTACATTATTTATTATCGTGTTGACCGCGTCATGAGCTGATAAAAGAAGAATCAGATACCACATTTTACGAAGGATCTGAATTTTGATGTAACATTATAAATATTATGTGTAAGTTATAGCATCTGTCATCCTATTCCCTCCTCCTTTTTTTTTCATATCATGATGATTCATTATAAGCTTTAATGAAACTTTTTTTTTTTTGACTGAGAGGTTCTGAAGCTATTGTGTAACTTTTTATTTTTTCTTTCATGAAATTAATTCTGTACAATCATGAAAAGACTTATATAAAGGATTCAATCATTCATGTCTTTTAATATTTATTTAAAATCTCTCTCTCTCTCTCTCTTTATATTTACATAAATGAAGTTCACTTTTGTTATTACATCTATTGCTGCTGCACTCACTGTTACCTCAGCTGCTAATGCTTGTAGTCCTGTTTGGGGACAATGTGGTGGTAAGAAACAAACGATCAAATTAAATAATAGATTCTCTGTATTAATTGATTTATTTTGAAGGCGTATCTTGGACTGGTCCTACTTGCTGTCAAACAGGATCAACCTGTGTTTCTCAAGAAAATAATATTTACTATTCACAATGTCTTCCTGCTTGTAAAATATTAAAAAAAAAGTGAAACATTAGTTATAATGTCAATTAACATCCCCTTCTATTTTTTTTTTCTGGTATCTATATTGCGTATAATAATCTCATACAGCCTCCAATAATCATAACACAGGTAAGCTTACATCAAAGAAAACTAAAATTACAAAAAAAGAAATCATCAACTAAAAAAACTCTACTATTTTTTTTTTTTTTTAAAAAAAAAAAAAAAAAAAAAAAAAAAAAAAAGCTACCACTAAAAAAGCCAAAACATCTACAACAACTACAACTACAAAGATGGCCTCTACCACTACTATGAAGATCAAAACAACAACAACAAGCAAAACTACTACTACTACTACTACTACAACAGAGGCTGCTACTGCTACTAACGGCTATTCAGTGATGCCTGGTGGTCAATCAGGATCTGGTACTACGACACGTTATTGGGATTGTTGTAAATCCTCTTGTAGTTGGCCCGGTAAAGCATCTGTATCAGCTCCTGTAGATGTCTGTGCTGCCAATGGTATTTCTATATTAGACTCTAATGCAGTCAGTGGTTGTAACGGAGGAAGTAACGTATATAATATATATATATATATATATATATATATACTCCTATTAATATACATGTATAATTTTATATAGATGGTTTCATGTGTAATAATAATCAACCTTGGGCTGTAAATGAACATCTTTCTTATGGTTTTGCCGCTGCCTCTGTTGCTGGTTCCAATGAAGCAGGTTGGTGTTGTAGTTGTTATGAACTTACTTTCACTTCTGGACCTGTCTCTGGAAAGAAAATGGTAGTCCAAGTGACAAATACAGGTGGAGATTTAGGTTCAAATCACTTTGATTTACAAATCCCTGGTGGAGGCGTTGGTTACTTTAATGGTTGTTCTGCTCAATGGGGGGCTCCTCAGGATGGTTGGGGAGCTAGATATGGTGGTCTTAGTTCTGCCTCTGATTGTGCTTCTCTTCCTTCTCAACTTCAAGCTGGCTGTGAATGGAGGTAATGATAATAATATAGACCATTCCTCATTTTTTATAAAAAAAAAATAATTAATTCATTGTATTATTCTTATATTAGATTTAAATGGTTTAAAAATGCTGATAATCCATCTATGACTTTCAAGCAAGTAACTTGTCCAGCTGAATTAACTATTCGTACAGGATGTGAAAGAAAATAATAATAATAATAATAATAATAATAAAAAAGATTTTGTTTTTATTATTATAAAATCCATTACACATATTTGCATAAAATGATAAAGAATAAAAGTCTCATACATTTGTAAAAAAAAATTATTGTTCTTTTGTAAAAGCGTCTTTCTCAACACTAATATATATATATATATAAAGGTGAGGAACTTGATAACTTGTAATAAAAAAGAATTATTTTTAAAAAAAAGAATTGCTTACTTTTGTCCATCAACTATTTTAACAAAGAAATTATCTTTATCTTGATGATTATTGACAAAATGCTTATTTACTTTAATTGAGCCATCGGAAGTATCTTGATGAGCAAGTAATTCCTCGGGATTAGCTGATACTCTTGTATGTGGTGAAATATGATCAGGTATAACACATAAAGCTGAGCTAATTGCAAGTGTCAATGTTAAAAAAAATAATGTTACACGCATTTCGATAAAAGTTAAAAGAAAAAAAAAATTGAAATATGAGGAAGATACATATTATATTTGTTATTTATATAAAAAAAAAGATTAAATCTCAGCTATGATGATAAATTCATTACGATATGGTACATCACCAGTGGTTTCTTCCTATTGCATGAAAAGAAAAAGAAAAAAAAAGAAGCTCTATAAATATATTATATTAATATTTTGAAACATACTACTACGAAATTAATAATTAGGTATATTTTTATATACACATACACACACACACACACAAACATGTACACTATTTTTTTTTCTTGCTTTTATTTCCTCTTGTATTATACACCTTCTTTAAGCATACATATAAAAGTACTTTACAAAGGGGAGTGATATCTTGATTTATATAAATAACAATTGTGTTGGAGATCATTAATAAACGATATACATAAATCAAATGGAATTAATTAATACCTTCTTTATAAAGCATATATATGATCGTTATTACTACAAAGGGAGTCCTCTAATTTCTATACGCTCTAGGATTGCTCGATAAAATATCCTTTTTTTTATTATTATTAAAAGCTTTTCCACTTTACTGAGCAATTAGAACTGACAAGTCCAAATATCTTCTCTTAATAATTTCACCTTGGTAGTATAGCAGACCAGTTATTACCAATAAAGTATTTGTTTTCTTTTTTTTAAAAAAAAATATATATGTATACATATATGTGTATACATGTACATACATATACATATATTTGTATTTATATATATATATATGCCACACTTATTACTAGATCTTGATTGGCAATCTATTTTTGACTATAGACTACCGTGAGTTTTAGTCTGTAAGAAACACATGTGCTGTATTGAATTCAATAATAATAGAATAAATTCCAAAAAAAAAAAAAAAAAAAAAAAAAAAAAAAAAAGTAAATACGAATATACTATATATAGAGATGCTTTATTTTGTATTTTATCTTATTTTTTCCCAATAACTTTTAAAGTGCCATTAGGCAAAATTTCGCCAAGATAACCGGTTGTATACCAACCGTCTGTATCAAGCACATCAGTAGTAGCTGAACTATTATTATAATAACCTGCAAAGACATTGTTACCACGAACCCAGATTTCACCACGAGGATTAGGTTGATCTTCAGCTGTCAATGAAAGCTCTTTAACATCCACTAGCTTTATTTCATTGCATGGTAAAGGAGCACCCGTTGCTTTTGGATCAGCATTATAATCGTAAAACATGGATGCTGTAATAGATGATACTGTCTCTGTCAAGTTGAAAGTTTGAAGGACTTGTGTAGAAAGAATAATCCGAAGGAAGGTTGCTAAGGAAGGATCCATATTGTCATCTTTTGTAGGAAAAAGGAATAAGTAGATGATAGCAAATGATATAAACATCCATATAGACTTACCGTTATCAATATAAATTAATCTTAAATTTCCTCCAAACATTTTTTGACGAATGTCTCTGAACACTAACATATCATATTTACAATCATTTACTAAACGACCTTCTTCAAGATATTCCTTCTTAACACTGTATCCGCGTTTGAATAAGAATGATTTATTATAGCGTGATTCAATAAGATGTTTGACTTGACGAAGGAAAATAGGACCACTAAAAAAGAACCATAGTTCATATTTATCATGCATTTATATATATATAAATATATTATTTTACCTGACAAAAATAGTGGGCTTAACAGTTGCAATATGTGTAAGATAGGTACCAACATCAATATTCTCATCATCTGTTTCTTGTTCATTAAAAGCAATTGAACCTCCTAGCAAACTAACAGCGGCAGTTAAAACATATCTAAACACATTATCTATAAAGAACAGTTCTTAATATCTTATTAACTATAGAAAATAATGCTTACCAATAGGCAAATTTAATAATAAACGATCTTTAGAACTAAATCTTTGTTGAGGAGGGATAACTAATAGATAAGAAGCTATTTTTGATTTTGTTTAGTGAATACATATATATTTTTCATTCTCTCTCTATTTAGGTAAATCACTTACAGATGCTAGACAAAAGATTCTAATAATTAAAGCTATTAATATAAATAGGTTGATTCAAGTCATATCTTACCTTATGAGTCAAAATAACACCATTCTTAGATTCCTGATGATTATAATTTAGTTATACAACCTTTATATATAGGATATCTTATAATTTCATACCTTCAAAGCAGACGAACTAAAGTAAATAGTAGCAAAATCATTTGGAACTAAAAGAGAATTAATTCATTTTTTTTTCAAGGTAATGAAAAAGAAACATGTATTTATATTTTACCAACAGTAATAGTATCAAATACAGCTGATTTTCCTTTTGCTTCCATTTCATCAAATGAGAACAATTGAATACCGATTTGATTAGCCTTTTCTTGATTTATATCAGAGATTTCTCCTAAAACAACAACTTGCTTTAACGAAGTATCTTGAGCAAGAGATAGAATGTGATCTACAAGATCTGATTCTGCGATCAAAACTTTTAAAGCAGTCTTTTGAATAATGTATGATAAATGTGATGATGAAGCATAAGAAGATATAGGAATGGTTACAAGTCCATTACAATGACAAGCTATATTATTTATTTTTAATTATTACTTTCAGCCTTTTTTTTTGTGCTTAAATATATAGTTTACCAATTTCTGTAAGAACAGTATCTGTAAATTAAAGTAAGGAGAAGAAGAAAAAAAAAGGGTTAGTTTTTTTTTTTTTTTTTTTTTTCAACTGAATAAATACAATATGCAGGTAACAATAAACTTACATTGAGAGTTTTTTGCATAAATACCGACAAATGAATTTTCATTCTGGGTTTGAGGCTCTAAACCAGCAATGATTCGAAGACCTTGATAAATAGGCTTAATCTTCTTACCAACAGTGCCTATAATTAAATATCATTAAAAGAGGAGGAAAAAAAAAAGAAAGAAAGAAAGAAAGGAATAGTTTCAATTATTAAAGAATAATTTATTATACCATAATCCAGCTATTAAGAGAAAAAAAAAAAGGCAGTTAGCTTCTTTTATTACTATAACTAGCATATATAATCTTACATATCCACCACTTTGTTGATATAAAAAATCAGAATTAGTGTTTTTCTCCAATCCACCTGCTTTATAGAAATCAGCCATTGTTCGAATAGCACGATCAAATGTGGAGCAGAGTGGCGTACCCATGGGATACATTCTTGAGCGATAGACTGCACTTTCTTCAGGATGACGAAGACGCGATACATCTGACTGAGTATTCAATAATAAAGGATGAATATCGGGTGACTTGGAATTACGAACAGATAATAGGGCAGCAGCACCAATAATAGAAGTGATTAGAGCATAACTTAAGGTATCTAATTCGAAGTTCATTACAAATTGTTTAATTGACTAAAAGTTTAATTGTGAAAAAAATAAAAATAAAATAAAACAAAGAAAAAAAAAACCACAATTGTTTTCCCGACAATGATAAAAAAAAAAAATAGCTCAATGCTACATTGATCATGATATTCAAAATCAGCCATTTAGGCACCATAATACAAAAGAAACAGAAACCTCGTACCTGAATTCAGGTAGAAGAAAGGAAAAGGACGTTTTAAAGTAATAATAAAAGTCAAGCATATAAGTAACTTTGGTAAAGCAAAATTTATCATTTTATACACGACATTTTATTTTTAGCTTTTAATTTCTCATTAATATCTTTGCTGTATTTCAAAGAAAACCACAAAAAAAAAAAAAAAAAGAGAGAGAGAGAGAGTTTTATTGGGCGTGATAAATCTTCATAAATTGACTTGCTGCTGCTGTATGACGTGTTACTTAATATACTAGATCTAAAAGGGTGCCTGAAACAGTAGTAGTTTATATGACAGGGTTAATATATTATAGTAAATAAGTTCTATTCTATTTTATTTTATTTTAAAGAAATTTGTATGTATAAAATAGATGAAGGAATAATGATAAAGACAATTCCTTTTATATATTAAACATTAGCCGTGTACTAGACAGAGTAAGTGTAGTTAATATATAATAATTCTTTATTAAAGTAAGTAATAAATCTTATCAGAAAAAAAAAACTCCTGGAATAAAATTGAAAGTGTGACGTAGATCTTTTTTTTTTGTTGTGCTGTAAAAAAACAAACAAATTATATGATCCCCTTGAACTGAAAATGTTGCTTCCTTATTTCTCTTTTCTCTCTCTCTCTCTCTTTCTTCTTCTTTTCAATAATTTTATTCTATTTTTTTCTTTAAAGTATATTATTTTATCTATTAAAAGAAGGAGATTAAGATATCCTAGATAAAATACTTTCCTAAATATCAAGAAACTAGATTCTCTGCTTAAAATTTATGTTACAGAATTTCATGTAGCTATCTAGCTGTGCTTAATTAATATATGGTAATATCTTTTTATTCAAAAAAAAAAAAAAAAAAAAAAAAAAAAAAAAAAGAAAAGATAAATATGCTTATATTATTAAATGATTAATAAAACTTTTTTTTTATTATGATTACTATTGATATTTTACAGGAAGAGGGAGAAAGAGATATAAAAGAAATGCGAATAAATATGTATTAAAAGTAGATTTGCTTATAATGGTATATGTATATACAACATGAATTTAAAATTAAATAGGATTTTTGTTTAAATATGAAACAATTGACTCATAAGTGGATCATCTTCAGTTTTAGTATAATCAGATTGTTCAAAATCTACGTTAATAGATGGTAATTGAATAGAGTCTGCTGTATACAAGTCAAAGATGGCAGTATGATCCTTAAATAAAGTGTCATCCATATGTTCGGTCTTGATGTAAGGAGAGGGAGCCAAGTCAGAACGACTACTACAGCTACTACTGATACTAAGACAACATGAATCATAGTTTTCCCCAAATAACGGATAACTACCAAATAATAAGTCATCAGAGGATGTGGGAGCAGAGAGCATTAAATCATGATTGATAGATAAAGAGGAATCAGAGGTAGAAGGTGAGTTACACATATCATGAGGAGAAAAGCAATCATGGAAATCAAGCGAATCAGTTGTACCACTATAAAGAGATTCATTATCATCATGACCTTCACCACGACGAATGACTTTTGCTTGTTGTTCTTGAACAGAGATAAGAGCATCGACAGTTAAAGAAGTTGTTGTTGAAGATGCTTTTAACATATCGGTATCAATAGAAAGATGATTAGGAGGATTAGGAATACGAATTGAATTCTTACGAGGATTCAGTTCAGGCATAAATTTAGAACGGTAAACATCAAGGACACGTTGAAGTAAATTTTTACGGTTAGCAAGATGTTTAGAATTTAACCAAGCCAATTTCCAACCTAATTCATTGCATTTAGCTTCTTCTAATTGGCGTTGAGAGGCAAAAGGTGAAGAAGTATTGATATTCATGGCACGAGGATAAACACAATTAGCTTTACGGAACTCCATATCAATTGAGTTGAGAGCAACGGAATCAATATTAATACGAATACGATACTTGGTACCTTGACCATCGTCAATAGAAACAGTCTTGGGTAATGATGATTCATGATGTGACACTACTACTGTCTCCTCCTGTTTTGTAGTCTTGGAAGGTCTTTGTTGATCATTCAGTTCTTCAGATTCACGTTGTTTACGCTTACGAAGAGTACCCTTTAAGAGTTTTTCTTGACGAGCTACTCGACGAGAACGCATACTTGGATAACGATTACGATAAGAATCAACTGCACGTTGAATTAAACCACGTTTACCGGCAATTTCAGATGAATTAAGAAAAGCAAGTTTCCAACCTAAAGTATTACATTCAGTTTCATATGCCCATCTATTTCCTTTATATTCCTCATGAGGGAGATTTGCACGAGGATATACCTAAAGTAAAGAAAAAGAAAAAAAAAAAAAGTTAGTACGAAAAGAAAAAAAAAATACATATATAAATACAGCAACCCCGCAATTTTTTTTTTTTTAGACCTGCAAGGACGCTGTATTTTTAAGCGGATAAAAAAAATCTGAAACTTACGCAATTTTCGCTTTTGAATTTATCATCTAAAAGACTGATATCCACTTGCTCAACATCAGTTCGAATAGAATAACGACGTAAGACACGATGATGAGAGTAAACAAAGCTAACCCATTCAATACCATCACGAACTTCAGTGCGAGGTTCATGGTTTGGAACCACTGAACCAGCAGTAGCGGCAGTATTATTATCAATATTTGAATTAGATGTGCATTTAGTAGCTATAGGAGAACATGATTCAGAAGAAGACGGTGTTATTGTTGTTGATGATGGTGATGTTGAGGGCTTATCGGATGTAGCTCCGGTAATAGATGTAGAGGATACAAGTGGCTTAGCATTATGATTCGATGTAGACTTTACTATAAAAGATGAAGGAGGATTATTATTTGTAGCTGTAGTAATACTATCAGCTAAAGCTTTTGCTATTTGTGCCGCCACAGCAGACCAATCATGATGTAAAGAAGAAGGATTTGCTGTTTCTGTTGCAATAGGAGAAGGTGAACCTAAAATACATTTATAAAAAAAAAAAAAAAAAAAAAAAAAAAAAAAAAAAGATCAATATATGGGGTAAAAAAAACAACACACACACAAATCAAAATTACATGTATCTTCTTTATTGAGCTTTTGTTGTGGAGATGATGATGATGATGATGATTGTTTCTTTTCTTTAATTTTAGATAAAGTTCTTTCAATTTCTTCAAGTTGTGAAGATGTAAGTGCTTCGAGTAATAATTCTGATTTTTCTGTAGGATGAAGTAAATCATTGACACATAACTGAAGATGTGGGTGAGTTGAAAGCTGTGACATGTTTTTTTTCTTTCCTTTCAATTTAATATAAGAAATATGTAAATACTATATATTCTACAGAAAACAGTTACAATAAAAAACGCGTTATATATCAATTTAAAAAAAAAAAGAAAGAGAAAAGAAAAGAGAAAGAAGAGAGAAGGAGTAGCAAAAGGGAAATCTAACTTGTTATTTAAAGGTTTTTAATAGAAAAAAAGAGGAGATGGAAAAATAAAATAAAAACTATTAGTTTAAAGGGCCGAATAAAAAATATAAAAAAAAAGAAGTTTTTTTGTTTAAAGCGAAAAAAAAAACCCCTTCAGGATACGATAAATGTACCGTTTTTATCATCTTTTTTTCCTTTCTTTTCCCCTCTTCCCCCCCCAAGTTTCATATTATGCTTAATTCTATTCTAAAAAAAAAAATGTTTGAATAAAGGCCTTGAGAAGAATAGAGTTACTTATTTTTCTTTAATACTTTGCAATAGTAACGTATGTTACACTGCTCCAAAGTAAATAACATATAATTGGATATTCCTTAATTTGTTATGGTAGATATTTTAAGAAGAATTCTCTTAATAGGATAGCCGGAGTCTATTATATAAGAAAAATAATGTTAGTAAGTAAATAGGGTCTTTTTCTTTTAATTTAGTGGCATTTATTTTATAAAAAAGAAAAAATAATAGTATATCTTTTCTTGTTGTTGTTGGTTTACTTTTTCATATATCTACACTATCATGTGAGTTTATTACAATTTTGAAAGAAAAAAAAAAAAAAAAAAAGAAGAAAAGAACGTTTTTGGTTTGTATTTTTTTTTTGGTCGTCGGTGATGAAAACTTATTTCGTATTACTAAAGACCGTAAAGAGATTCTCAACAAATTATTTTATTTTATTTTGGCACTACTTTAACTTCTTCTTTTAAAATAACGTTACCTAATATGATGATGGGTAAAAGTTTAATAATAAGTTGAACAACTCATTTTCCTTTATAAATATGACAGATATTAACCACTACTATCGTTGTCTAATATAGTAGTAGTATTAAAATACTTTCATTTGACTTTGAAATTTTGGAAAGCTTAATATATAAGTATTCTAGACTCAAGAAGAGTTGTATATATAAATACATATATGTAATATGTTACATGTGATTATTGGGCAGTAGATAAGTAGAATGAGCATAAAATAGAAAAAGGAAAAAATAGTGTACTGTTTAAAAAAAAAAAAAAAGAAGAAGAATAACAACTCAATGATGACGCTTCTACTGTCCATAATTATACTTTGAATAATACAGGTTATTTATCATCTAATCATACAATCTTGGTATTATATGAAATTAAATCTCCGTTTAAATGCCCTTGATCCTGATTAGATTTTTTTTTTTTCAGTATTTATGTAACCAATTATTGATTGTCCTAACATTTTTATAATGACTTTGTAATCTATTTTTACCAATCATTTTCGTTATTATTATATTTTTTTTATTCCCCACATTTTTGAATAAAATATCATGCTATTTCATACGACTACCTAATATTATTTGAATTGGAGTTTAATTCAAAAATGGACAAAATGAATCATTGTCTCTCTTTCATTTGTTACTAGTATAATCCATATATAAGCAAGCATCTATATGTAATGTATCCATAGCAACGCATAATATAGATGCATTATTTACATAGGTGGATCCATCATCTTCCTTTTATAGTATAGAACAATGATTTAGTTAGAGGTTTTTTTTTGTTTGTTTGTTTGATTTTGAAGTATATGGTGATAAGTAGATCTACTACTAATAAGAAAATAATGATTAGACTCTTATATGTATTATACACTAGTAAAATACGTTTTCAAGAAAATAATTTTCTTTATTAACAATAAGAAAATTTTCGATCCTTTGGGGTTCATTTAGTTTAAATCAATGGATTAAAAAGGTTGTACAAAGGATGATCGATTTTCGGTGCCTATAGATAATATTATGTTGTTGTATAATATATAAATACATATACACACACACATATATGTATATATAAAGAGACAATACGTCATATAGAATAGCGGATCATTTTTACTCTTTATTTCATATGAAGATATTAGTTTAATTTAATATATCTGTATAAGTTAAAAAAATTAATTTTAACTTGAAAAGAAGGACATAAGAATAGGATGTATATATTTTTATTACTAAAGAAATTATAAACCATATTATTTAGTAGTAGTAAAATAGTATAACAAAGGTAATCAAATTCAGTTTATTTTATTTTTATTTATTACTAGAATATGGGCTCTTGCTTTAAGATAAAACAGAGATTCTCCAATTTTTATTTTTATTTTTCAAGATCTACATTATTGTTATAAATAACGACAAGATCCAAACAAACTTTTATCGTTTTTTTTTTAATCAAACATAATTATCCTAGCAGTGATAGTAATGATAATAGGCATATTTTAATCTCCGTCGTCGATCCCTTTTTTCTTTTTTCTTTGTTAACAATTAAATTTCTAGAACATTAAAACTCAATTCTGCACAAATGTAGCAGTGGTATGCATGTGTATTATACAAAAAAAAATTATTTAAAGTCACAAATATTCCGCATCAAATTATTTTCTTAAGCTTCATCAAACGCTCTTTTAAAAAAAAAAAAAAGAAAAGAAAAGAAAAGAAAAACATTTAATATTATTTACTACTTACTCTTCAAGTCTCTTCAAAAGTATTAATAATAAAATAAGATTCATATTATATTATACTATATTATATAATGACACGTATTATAATAGTAGTTATGTATACCTATTTTTCTATATGTTATGAAAGGAAAAGAAACTTTTTATTTATTTATTTATTTATTACTATAAAGAATAGTAAGTGTAACGTATGTTTTAACATTTACAGGAATTATAATTATAAAAATTCTATAAATGTTATTATTAATAGAGTTAAGGATTTATTTCTTTTCCCTTTTTTTTTTCAAAAATTACGTTATCATAGTAGTTTCACTACTGAATCGATATCAAAATAATGACGATAAGTGAAATAAGTGAAAAATTATTATTTTATTTTATTTATTTATTTATTTTTTTTTTTTTTTTTTTTTTTTTTTTTGAAAAGCCGTAAGTTCTCCCCCAAAAAAAAAAGTTATTCTATCGAGCATTATAATAGTTGCAATATTTATATCGATTTGTTTTTTTTTCTTTTGTATTTTGCTGAGTTATTTATTTTTTTTACAAGTACGTTTATCTTGTTAATATAAAAAGCCCTGTATTTTGTTCAAGATAGAAAAAATAAATAAATAAAAAAGAACAATGTAATAAAGTTGAATTTTATTATTTTATCGGAACTTTTTTTCCATTTAAGAGTAAAATACGAAACAAGATTTGTTAATAACCCTATTTCATTTTTTTTAAAAAAAAAAAAAAAAAAAAAAAAAAAAAAAAAAAAGTTTGATTTTATTTATATTATGATGTAAAAGGCTTATCTTTTTTTTTATTAAGCATTGAATAATTCATATACATTTATATGATTAATATATAATGACTGTATATAAATGAGTATCTATTTATATACAAGAAAAAAAAATATATATTATAGAATAAAATGAATTTTTACTTATATTACAAAATGTACCAAAGTGTGTTAATGAGGCCGTAAAAGTGGTGGTAACGGTGGTAACGGTGGTAACGGTGGTAATGGGGGTAGTAATGGTGATGGAAGGAGTAACAGCTCTTTTTCCGAGTTTATAGTAGAGTCAATGTGCTCTGGATGTAAGAATATCTCCCTACTAAATGTATTATGATGGTTTATGTATGTATGATGACTACATTAAAAATATTATACCTAACTGTATTAGGAAAATTCAAGTCTTCCTCCTGAGCATAAATTGGAGCAGATGTAACAATTTGTATCATGACTACTAAAAAATAGTAAGAGAAAAACAAGACAGATGTTTTCATTACTATTATTATTAAATCAAATAGAATAGAATAAAATAAAATAAAATAAAAAAGGCACTAATTTGCATTTTTATATATTCATGCTTGAATCAGTTTTGTTTTCTACTTTAATCATAAATGAAGTTTATGTTCACTAAAATTATAATTTATCAATATGCATTATAAAAATGATTAGATATAATAATTACGTTCTGATGAGACATGCAACAGTAATCTTAACTGTGTTCTCACAGACGTTGAATCAAAACAAAAATGCAGGGAACACTTTATTATTATATGACTGATACAAATAAATATCACTAAATACACACACACACATTTGTATATTATTTATTCTCTCCATGTAAGTTTATATCCTGCACAAATACAATCATTTATTTATTTTAGATACTTCGGGATACAATTCCGATATATGCATACTATACGGTTTACAACTTAATTATGCACGTATAAAGATGCAGTTTATCCTTTTTTTATTGTGATTATTATTGTTGTTGTTGTTGTTGTATAATATATATGTGTATGGGTGTGTATGGGTGTGTATGGGTGTGTATGGGTGTGTATGGGTGTGTATGGGTGTGTACGTAAAGTAGAATAATGTAAATCAAATATACATATATTCATACGTATTAATGAGTACTACTTTTTGAACTCAAAATGGCAGCTTCATATTCTAAACGTTCAAGTCTAGCTTTATATTCTGATAATTGATCGTTTAACATATGAATATAAATAACAGAGCCTTTTAAAATGGTGCCCTTATTTAATTTTCCTTGACATAAATTCTCTGGTAACAATTGTCCTAAACACTTGATATTATCATTGATATTGTTACGTCTTCTCCTTTCAACTATATACAATAATAATAAATTTAACTTTTTTTTTTTTTTTATAAAAGTGTTTCAAACTATATACCTTCATTATGTGATATTCTACGATATTTTCTTCTTTCAGAAATAACTGGTATGCTGTAATCTTGTTCGTTTATAAAACTATTCATTCATTCGTAATAAAAAGAAGAAGAAGAAGAAAAAAAAAAAAAGGAGGGAGGAGGTGAGGAGAAAGGGAGGTAGAGAGTAGAGTAAAAGATGATTTAATAAGAGAGGTCTATAACTTATTTTTTTTTCCTTCTTTTTACCTTTGTTCCATTTCATCATCATATGCCATTCGTTTTTGAAACTCTCTTTCTTTTTCTTCTTCTTCTTCTCTCATCATCTTCAATCTACTCGTTGAATCTTCTTGTAACATATGAGGATAATCTGTTTGCAATGAGTTACCCATGAATAATAATGAATTTGTAATTGAATTATTATTATTTTCAAGTTTCACCATACCTTGATGATAGTCGAAAGTGGAGGATATCTTTGACGTTGTGCCAAGATATAATTCGGGTAGATAAGAAGCAGCAGTAGCAGCAGTAGTAGTAGTATGTTGTTGTTGTTGTTGTTGCAGTAAATGAATATTATTGTTAAGAAAAGACATATTATTAGTATGAGTAGGTTGTTGTAATGTAGAAGCAGCAATAATCATTGTTGTAGTAGAGGGTTCATGTTGTAATAATGATTTTGATCCTTGATGTTGTGTTGAACTATTATTATTATACAAGTATAATGAATCAGGCGAGGTAGTAAAAGAAGTTAAATCCATTTTATATATATACAGATATATGTATATATTATATAAAAGAAAGAAAGTATTATATTGTTTGGAATGAAATAAATTACTAAAGTAGACACACATACACAAAAGTAATGATTCGAAACATATAAAAAGCAGCCTAGATTATAATAATTCAGGAGCTAAGACTCTACATTGTTTATATGTATTTATATACATGTATATATTTATATAATGTTTCAAAATAATATTATTTATAGTAGGGAATTATTTGAAAATGGTGTCACTATACAATGAATTAAAAAAAAAAAAAATAGAACAACAACGAATTCTGTTATTATTGACACTAATAATAAAGAGCTTAAAATTCGGTACCAAAAATTAAAGCAGAAGCTGCTCCAGCAACGGCCCCTACATTTTCTGATTCAGCTTGATTATTACCACTAGAAAGAGGAGTAGAAGGGTTATTACTTGAGTCCCCACCAATAGGTTGATTTCTATATCCATATTCATCTTCTAATTCATAAGGTCTTCTTGTTTTTATGCCTTCTAATCCATGGCCAGCCTTGGAACCCATATTATACACCTCTGGAGGAGCATCATTTGGTTTATTACCACTACTATTCGCTTCAGAGGAAGGTTCAGACGGTGCTGTGTAATTAATCTCAAGACGTTCACACTCTTCCTTGAGTTCATACATAAAATTATTATGGCGTAACCATCGTCCTCCAGAATCTTGCCAATTTTGGATATGTTCAAAGTAAAAACTAAGTGAAATTGTATTTTCATTTGGATAAGAGACTATATTAGTGGATGTTGCATTTGTTGTATAAAGTTTAGGGTATTGATTACACCATTGAACCATGTGTTCTGTAAGTTGTTTGATCTTCCATGAAGGTGTTGAGAAACTGACTTGTAAATCTATCATCACATCATTATTTAATTATAACAATTCCAAAAAAAACATATAAATATGTATTTACCAATTGTTTCACCCGTTCTGCCTGATCTTCTGATATTAATAATATATTGAGTTGAAAGAGTTGAATTTTTAGCATATACAATGGATCCATCCCATTTACTATTTATATCAAATTAGATACCTATTTTTTTTCCCTCTTTTTTCTTTTTCCTTTTTTTTTTTTTTTTTTTTTTTTTTTTTTTTTTTTTTTTTTTTTTTTTTTTTTTTTTTTTTTTTTGTTAGCAAATAGCTTACACAAATGTAGTAACTAATAATCCAACATTTTGAACAACCCAATTTTCATTTTGAATCATTACTCTATCTCCAGAATCAAAAGGATGCTAATATATATACATATATATATATGTATTAGTTAAATATACAAATATACATATTATTTTTTAGCTTACTGTAACAAAGACAAAAATAATGGATTCAAAGGCATCCTTTGCAGAGGTACCAAAAATAAAGCTGGCTGCTACAAAGGCACTCCAGAGAGGCATCAAGTCTGTACCCACATTGACACCAAAGGCAGCACAGACGATAATAACCCACACAACAGTAAAGATGATCATCAAGATGATATCTAATTTACCTGTCGCTTGTGACAGGTCACGCATGGATCGACTCAAGTTCTTACGTTCACGATAAATACGAACACAACCTGCTCTTAATTCACGTTTACTAATATCTCCATTCCCATCTGCATCAAATAAACTAAAGGCATAACTAGCTTCCTTGGTCGTCTTGAAAAAGGGGTAAAAATCAGCCTCTACAATCGTATCCCGATTATTATCAGGTCCCATAAGATTATTATAAATTTTTTTAGCCAAATATTTTGCCTGTTGAATCGAGTTAGTTGCATTATTATTATTATGATTATTATTACTGCCACTATTATTATGATTGTAATTGGCTTGTGTAATAAATTTATGATAACTGTCCTTAAACAATTTCCCCTTTAGAGCATTGGCCCCTCCTAAAAACCCTTTCTCTTCTTGACTTTTACGTGAGTGACACATGTTTTCCCTTGATATAGTAATAGGAGATGGTGTAGATGACGTAGAGGATATAAAATCACTTCCGGAAGATGAGCTATTATCATGCATTTCAATCTTCTTCACTCTACTCGTCAATTTATTAAAGAATTTCTTCTTCTTCTTCTTATGAATGATATCGTTTGGCTTATCGGTCGTGTTGACGTTCTCTTGACAGTGGTAATCTTGCTTTTCATCATCCGATCTAGGATGTCTATCCTCTAAAGGAGGAATCGCGATTAAGGTATCCATGTTATGAGTAGGGAACTTGACATTGGATTTATTAGGTTGCTGATTGCCATCCATGGCTATAATAGACTTTGTTGCCGTTGTACGTGAAGGAGGTTGATAATTAAAATAATGTTGATCATTTGAGTTTGTTTCATCTAATGAGTGTGTTCTTGTTGTTGTAGTAGTGCCATTAGGTGTATTGTTATTGCTGCTTGTCTTGTTCTTGTTTCGTCGAATACGTTTCAAAAGAAATTCTTGTGGATTCTTTCTTTTCACTTTTTTGAGTTTATCCAAGATATGAAGTGCTCGATCATTTTCTTTAATTCTATCTTCATATGCTTTCCTATAAAAAAAAAAAATGTTAGTTAATTCTCTTACTAAGAATCAAGTAGTAAATTAATATGATATTTATTTATTTACTTGTGAAAAGAAGTTACTAAGAGTATAATTAAAGTTAGTATATATACAAAAAAAAATCATTATCTTTTTTTTTTTTTTTTACCTATCAATTGTAAAATAAACTTTTCAATGAAAAGAAATAATGTTGCAAAGAATACAGCTTCCCAGACACTATAAAAAACACCGGCATATTTAGGTTGTGCTTCATATTGTAGCTTTCCATTTAAAGGTAATGCAATACGATCTTTAATAAAGGCCCAAGATCCCCAAGCCCACGCGGAGATAATGAATAATTTAATATAGACACGCAATGCCATATAATACTATAACATTCTATGAGTGATTTTTTTTTGTAAAAAAAAAAAAAAAAAAAAAAAAAAAAAAAAAGCATGTAAAATAATTATTAGTACAACTTACAGATAATCTCATTCTTAATACTTCAGTGGATTGAGATCCAAAAAATCCAACACCCTTTTTAATTGCCCAAGGCACCAACTCTACAAAAATTTGTGACATAAATCCAATACACCACATAAAGGTGATCCAGGTAAACCATAATTGTAAACCATAAGATGTGATATTAACGCGATGACGATAAACAACAAAGACTGCGACATCGATAGCAATAAAGATAAGGGCAAATAAGATGATACAAGCCCAAGCAATATGTGAAGCGTTTTGATTAAGACAAATGATAACACCACTTCGCGCCAAGGTATTACGTCTACTGGACGTACTATTCTCTTTCTTTTCATCATCCTCTTCTTCGTCATCATCCTTCCCTTCCCAATCAAATTCTTCATTCAACGTACGGCCATCGAGGTCTGTATTATTGGGAAGGAGATCATTAGCAGGCAAGATAAGAGCAGGGCCTGCAAGTGCCTCTAGAGGTATTTCAGATGGAATACCATCATCAATATAAATAGGTTCGTCACGATAATCCTCATCATCAGTTGTACTTAGGACGGATACACTTGATGGCTGATTCTCTGTCGTTGGTTGTTGAGATAGTGTGGTACTTTCATTATTATCTAATTTCTTACTAGTATCTTCAATTTTAGTTTCATACATAATTTATTTATACAAAAGTATGTAATAAAAAAAAGAGAGAGAGAGAAATGGAGAAAAAAGAAAGAACTATATATATATATATATATATATGCGTGTGTGTATCTGAATAGCTTTGTTTTGTTTTTTTGATTCAACTTTGTTTAGAAGAGAAGAGAAAATATTAAAAAAAAAAAAAAAAAAAATAGAATCCTTTTACTTGTAGTAATAATGCTTATTTCGGACAATAAAGCGGAAACAATAGTTTTTTTTTTTTTTTACAAGTGGAAAAAAATTTTTTTTTATTTATTGCAAGTAATATTAACAGTTGTTCCACAACTGTATTACTACTATTATAAAGGAATAGTGTGATGTATAACAGAATAGGAAACTAATCCAAGTCAATATTCATTTTATAAGATCAAGAAATATACCTTTGTTTGCTAAACACATCATATAAACAATTCTTTTACTATCATTAGGGAGGGGAAAAATATGAATGTAAGACAGTTTCATGAACCTTAAAATTTGTGTCAATAAAATGAATACCATAAAAAAAGATCTCTCTCTTTTTTTTTAAAAAAAAAAAAACATTCAAGTAAAACGTAACAAATAAAAAACTAATAGTTCCTATTAGTATAATAAACATTTGACTTGTCGTTTATTAAAAGATTTATTACCAAATGACTTCATGCTGTCACTAACATAATAGTATATCTGAGTCTATTATCTATAAATATATGTTATTCTCATGATAAATATATATATAGCCATTCTATTTTAATATAGTAACAATACTATTCTATTGTTATAACAGTATAGGTATATATTATGCTTATATCTTGGCGTTATACCTATTATCATAGCTTTTTTTTTTATTTTTTAACTTTTTTCCCCTTTTTTTTTTAAAAAAAAAAGTCAAATTTATGATGTCATTGATTTGTTGTGTTGCTATAGTTTTATTAAAATTACTCCTACTAACTATTTCCATATCTAGAATTTTATATGAATTTAACCTTGCATATCCATAGAAATAAATACAAAAAAAAAAAAAAAAAAAAAGGGAGGGAGAAAGAGCGAAAATAAAGATCCTTATTTCTACAACGTCTCTTCTGCTATTATGTATATACGACTTGGCTGTTACTTTATATCTATCTACTACATTGTGTTTTTTTTTGACACTTTATGATTAAGCAGTAGTAGTCACTTTTTGATAAAAACAAACAAACTTTAAAACTTGTCATTCACATAGACAAATGAACAAGATTCAATTAATATCACTATGAATACTATCCAAATAGATATACATATTTGTCTTCTATTACAAGAGTAATCTGCTTACAGTTGTCAATGTGTTATGTATACATATATACATATATATATATATATATACATAATCATACTATATGATAGGAATAGTTTATTTATTTATAAAGATCTCTTCTCATTTGTTAATCTCGATAAAGTCATTTCGCATTCTGTATCTCGTAATAAAAATCTATAAAATAAAGGAACCAAAGGGATTGTAGCAGCATGCCACAATGAATGTGCATCAAAGATTTGATAAAAAGGTGGGAAATCAAAGATTTCAAGACACATAGCGCAACTTACGAGGATCACTGATAGACCCGCCATCCAAGCAAATGGTCTTCTCTCAACTCTTCCCCATTTCTCTGTATATTGCATAATAGACCAAATTAACCAAAGCTGCGTCTGACAGGATCCTACAATAATACACGCCAACATATTATAACTATAATCAAATCGCTGCAAGCTTGAAAGATAACTGACGTGTGCTATATACAACAGGAGACAAAAGATGGACCAAATCAAGACGGATGCGCCCTTTAAATAAAAGATTCGTATCGTGGCTACGCAAAAACTATAAAGAATGTAAAGTCCTGCACTGAAATAATCAAGCTTTTCTGTGAATGGTGTATCACGCATATGAAAGATAGTACTCCAAAGCCAGGCATTCATTCCTATAATAGCAATACCTAAATAAAAGTGTCTTAAACGATAACTCTGAGGAATGTGTCGTTTAATCTGTTTGAAATAATGAAAATGCATAAGCCCATTAAGGATGGAAAAGACAACAGATGCAGGTTCTTGAATACCGAATACACGATGAAAAGGCCATTTACCATAATATTGATGGATAACTTGATTGTTAGCCATGGCATACTGTGTAATGGTTTGCATGCAATGATAGCCACAATCCTGACGTACAGTCCAACGTAATAATTGTAAATAAAAAGGCAATTGTGAAATATCTGTATTAGCTGTACATCTTTCTACGCAATTAATGTACTCTATTTGTCGATCACCACTTGAAGCATAACATGTAGTGATTATTGTAACAAGAGCAACAAGAAGCAATGAAGGTTTCACCATGGCTGTTTTCCTCATCGTCCTCTTTTCCCTTTTTACAAAAAAAAAAAAAAAAAAAAAAAAAAAAAAAAAAAAAAAAGGTCTACTTCTTGAATAAATTTAATAGGATATAAAAAAAAAATATAAACATTTATTCTATTTTTTTTTTTTCTTTTTTTTTTGCTGCTGTAATAAAATATAATCTTCTTCTTTGAAGGATTATTATTGCCATGGAATTTCAATATGAATGTTTTCAGCAACAGCAATTCCTTTTGTAACAACATACTCTGCACTTGCTACACAGCCTTCTAATAAGGGAATGCCTTTCCAACAATAAGATCCTATAAACCAAATACCATTTTGAAATCCTTGACAAGATCCCAATTGAACTTGATCACCATGATCAGTAAATAATCTTCTTAAAGCCCTTTTCGATTCAAGTGTCACAGTTGCACGCTCAAACCATGCAACTGACAAAAGTTTATCAGGATCAACGGCAATACATGGATTTGTTGTTTGAAGATAGCAAGTAGAGTTATTATCCATCATTGTTTTATGTGTCATATGAAGGATATGAGTTGCCATTGTTGTATTATGAGGGTAAGGTATGATCAGATCACTTTCACCCGGATTTACACTTTGATCAACAGTAGCCAAGTTTAAGGCTTTCCAATTCAAAGGATTTGATGGTAATAGACGAGTATCTGTATGATTGATAACCATGGCTTTATCATATGGAAAGGTCTTTAAGGTTTCGATTTGTTCTTTTACTACTTTATTTGCGGTTGTCATCGTATTGTTATCTAATGTGTCGTCTAAATAGCTCTTTAAGATTTGATGAGCTTGATTCCCTTGAGTAGCGAAAATGATATGATCTATGAAATACGTTTGATCATATTCATCTATTAACTTGAAACGACCCTGTTGATCATTTGTGACTGATCGAATAGCAGCTATTTGAGTATTCAAATGAACATGTTTAAATGACTTTGAGATATTTGTAACTACTTGTTGTACACCACATGCTACAACATAGGATTCTTGAAAGAAACCTACGGCCATATACTCTAACACGTCAGATGCAGGATAGTTCAACATAGACTCATATGTATTTGTGCAAACAGCAGCAAATAAAGGAACAAAGACATCATAAGCAAAATAAGGATGAATATGATATCTTTTAAAGAACTGATCCAGAGTCATGTTAGTGATAGCATGATGAGGGTCTCTCAGATGACCCTGATAATGATGCCATAGTGAAATAAATAAAAGCCATAAATAAGAGAGGGCAACGATCATTGATTGCCAAAGGAATATAAATATATCTTTTGATGACATGATTGATTTCTTTACTCTGCTCAAATGACCTACAGTACGTGCACCACTATAGATTAAATAAGACTCATTTTTTGTATAAGATGCAACTTGAGATGCAGTTAATGACTTCTTAATAGTACAGGATGGCTGCATCATGATTCTATACCAACCAAAACTAAATTTAGCTTTTTTGATAGGTATTTTAAGGTACTTGTACAACTTGAATAAATGTGTATAATAGCCTATTAAAAAAAAAGTCAAGTCTTTGTATAAGAAATGTAATTGAAATTTACCAGACATAAAGGAACGCATTGGTACCTAATAATATAATTGATTAGAGATGCATGCTTAACAATCAAATAGACATATTATTTACGTCAATTCTAAAATCATTTTTCGGTCCAACAGATATAGAAGCAGCATCCATACCAAGAGAATCATTCTTTTCAAATAAATGAACTTCAACATCATCACTATTATTTAATAAATAAGTTGCTGTTAATCCTGCTAATCCGGAGCCTATCACAGCTACTTTAATGGGTTTTTTCGTTGGCATATTTCTGAGGAAAAAAAAAATAATCCAGGAGAAAAAAAAAAAAAAAAAAAAAAAAAAAAAAAAAAAAAAAAAAAAAGGAAAAAAGAAAAAAAAATGCACTTACATAATTCTTTTTTTTATTATTATTATTACCGAGGAGCTATAATATTTTATTTTATTTTTTTCGGTGAGCTTCCAAAAAAATTAAATATGTCCTACATAATGATCAAAAAAAAAAAAAAAAAACGATTGATCAGCTTTTTTATTATTATTTGAAAAGAAAAAGAAAAAGCTGCTTCTTGATGTATCCTTTTATTTTACTGCAATTTCCTTTATGGTTACAATCTTAAATGAGATCATAGAGACTAATAATAACGACGAAAAAAAGCATATAATAATGATATTATTTAAAAAAAAAAAAAAAAAAAAATAGTATAGAATAAGAATAGGCTATTATAGGAAGAAGAGTATGATAAAGTTATTGTTTAATTTTTGACAGGAACTAATCATAATAAGATTTTATTGGAATAAAGAGCTCTGATTGGATAAAGGATTTTAGCTGTATATATCCTTATTGTTATGATAGAATAGCTCACCAACCTGATAAAATATCATCATTCTTTAGGGTCAAGTCATGCATCCATATTAACTCATGATGAAGACTCCAACTATAAGTCTTAACAATGTACATGTCTTAAGCTTATCTTTTATAAATGTGTTATATTGAATTTATGATTTGGTTATGAAGATAATCAAAATATCACGTTTATTAACATGATGCGGCCATATTCTAATTTCGCTGGAAGTAGGAGTAAAAACAACACGTCACGTTTACTACCAGTAAGAGGAAGAAGATATTATTATCCTAATATATTTAACAAGAATAATTGAGCATACAGCATATATTTATAAGGGTTCCTTCTCCCCTTCCAAGGCAGTTCTCTTTTAAGTCCTGTATCATTTATTTATTTATTTTTTGCGAAAATAAATAATATTTGTATTAATTAGTCTCTGTCAATATTTATATTATAAATAATGTACAAGATTCTTTCGATGTTATAGTTTGATTTGTGCAAAAAAAAAAAAAAAAAAAAATTATTAGATAAAAATATGTATTATGTAATAGAACCAAAAAATAGAATTTAGTTAATAATAAACAGCAGACAAAATAAAAAGAAAATCGATGGACTTTCCTTATACGGACTTGTCCCCCCCACCACCACCACCACCAGCAGCAGCAGTAATAGTAGCATGGTATAATAGATGTATAAGGTTGTTTACAGTGACGGTAAGTCGGGGTATCAAATTTAAAAGTTAGTTGTTTATTCTGATGGGACCTAAACGTCATGAAAAAAAAAAAATAACAATGAAAAGAATAGAGCAACAAATAACTGAAGAAATACGCTAACAGTAATAACTATTAATCGTTTACTACTACTATTATCATTTGCTCAATATGTTACATTTGTTTTATTTAATAGAAACATTATCATCCTAGAATGGATCAAATACTATTGTAGTTAGACTTTGTTGTTGTTGTTAACAAGATATTTAACGAACTAGGCGAAAATTAGTTATGCAATTCCGAAAAAAAAAAGAAAAAAAAGAAAAGGAAAAGAATAGAAAAGAAAAATGACGTAGAGAACAAATAAAAATGGGAATCCACTATACAATTCATAATAATATTATAATTCTTTGTAAAGTGAATCAAGCAGTAAATGTGGAACACTATCAACATTTTATCAACTCCCAATTATAGTTTCTGGAAACAGAATATCCAATTAAAGACATTATTATTGTTTAAAGAAATAATCTGATCAACTTACAGTGAAGAACTAGACACGAATGCGGAGTTTGATTGTTGTAGTTACTGCTGCTGTGAATGATAGAAGTAAATTGTATCCTAATCTGTTAAAGCTATAGAAAAAACTATGGAAATATAGTTATAGTGTTGTCAAAAATGTTTATCAAATCTCTCAGGAGATACTGGTGGGCCGAGATTATCCTTCTTCATCTAAAGATGCTTTTATCTGATATTGTCTCTTAGTATTCTTCAAAGTTCAATCATTTTATCTATATTAATAGTCTTGCCATTAAACATTCAAAATTTGATTTTGTTTATAAGGGATATATTTAGTTAACGAACCATGCAGCATTCAGTTACCTCTTGTAACGATCAATAGTTTTTTTTTTATGTATATGTAATCAAGTTCCTTGAAAGAAAAAAAAAATGTGTATAAAATAAGCAGTCAAACAAATTGACCAATCATACGTGTCCTCACTGTCAAAATGAAGAAAAAAAAATATGAGCCCGCGTATGCACATTCAACAGTTATTAATAGTATTATTTTATTTTATTTTTATTTTTTTTTACTTTGCATGGTATATTAATTATTATTTAATATGCTTGAATCACCTATATTTAAGGTCAATTATGGCACAATTTCATTTGATTTTGAAGAATTTATTAAAAATGAGTTAGGATTAAAGCTTAATGATCAAGTTAAAAAAGAAGGCAAAAAAAAAAAAAAGTACAATATTAATATTATTCAAATTTGCTTACATGTTTTATATATATATATTCATACAGATGAACCTATTTGTAAATATTATTTAAAGGGTACTTGTACAAAAGGAAATAATTGTCAATTTAAACATAAAGGATATGATAGAGATAAATCAGTCGTTTGTAAACATTGGTTACGTGGATTATGTAAAAAGGGAGACAGTTGTGAATTTTTACATGTCTTTAACATGAAGAAGATGCCTGAATGTTGGTTCTATTCCAAGTATGGGGAATGTTGTAATGGAGATGAATGTATGTATCTTCATATTGATCCTGAAAGTAAACAAAAGGAATGTCCTTGGTATGCTCGAGGATTTTGTAAACATGGTATATAATTTGATTACAAGTCATGTATAAAGTAAATGTTAATGGTGGGAGTTTTTTTTTTTTTTCTTAGGACCTAATTGTCGTAATAAGCATGTGAGAAAACTAGTTTGTCAAAATTATTTAACTGGTTTTTGTCCTGATGGTCTTAATTGTCCCAATGGTCATCCAAAATATGAATTACCTGTAATGTATACTCTACAACAAAATGATCCTTCTGATCAGCAACAGCAACAAAAACAACAACAGCAGCAGCAACAACAGCAACATCCACAACAACAACAGCAGCAGCAACATCAACAACAACAACAACAGCAGCAGCAGCAGCAGCAACAACAAACATATAGAAGACTAGAAGACGTGACATGCTTCAAATGTGGGCAACAAGGACATTATGCAAATCGATGTCCACAAGGTAAATTTGGATTTCTAAAGCAACAACAACAACAACAATAGTAATAAACTTGTAAATATTCTAATTATGTCACTTTTATATATATATTATACACATTAAACAAACAAATGAGTGAATATTACATAATACACAAATTAAGCTTTTAAATTATCCAATTATATAGTTTTCATAGAAATTAGTACAGTTTATATTTAAAATGAAATACATTACTGAATAGAAAAAAAAAAAAAAAAAAAAAAAAAAAAAGGAAAAAAAAATAGTTCAAAATCTTGCCAAGTATAAGCAGGCAATTATTATGAACGTAATCCATATATAAAAATAATAGACTTGACTATTAGAATTTCTTTATGTATGAAACATATCAGTAAAGCTGATGTTTAATCTTATTTATTTGTTCTCGACCAAAAAAAAAAAAAAAAAAAAAAAAAAAAAAAAAAAAAAAAAAAAAGATTCTATGTGTACACTTTTGATTTGATTTTTATCTTTTATATAAATATTGTTTCTATATTTAAAATAACAGAAAATTTATTTTTAAAGAGTATTATTGAAAATAAAAAAAAAGAAAATATTAAGCTTTTTTTTTTTTGATATATGAGACATGCTTTGTACTTGTTTGATAGCGAATGATCTACAAATGTAAAATGTATCAAACCAAAATAAACTTAAATGCAGCAAAATAGAAAAAAGTTTTGCATACATAAAATAAAATGTGATTTTTTTTTGTTTTTTTACTCTTTTATTTTTCACTTTTTTTTTTTTTTTCCTTTGTAAATATTAAATGATGGACACTTTTCCTTCAATCAATTTTATTATCTTTAACAAATTAGCTAAAAAGAAAGCAACACATTATATTTTAGGTAAATATATGTGTTTTTACATATTATTAATTTTAAAATCGTTATCATAGATTTTGTTACAAGGGAATTTGAATCCATCATTTCTTGTTATCCTTCTTCTATAGAAGTAACTCATATATCAATGATACCATATAAAAAGAATAAATATCAACATAGTAAAAATGGATCTAATTTTGATCATTCTGGTTTACCCTCTCCACCTTCTTCCTCTCCTCTTAGGAAAAAATCTTATATCACATTACCTCCTTCACCACCATTACCAACACAACATACTAATACTACGAAAGCACCTATGTCATTACGTGAATATATTGAATATGTGATGGAAAGGTCACATTTGGATACTGGCACTTTATTAACTTCGCTTTGTTATGCACGTCGACTAAAAACAAAGCTATTCCATACTTCAAAAGGTAAATAAATATATACACGTGTATAATAAAAAGGTCATTATTATCTCATACTTTTTTTTTTAATTTGTAAATAAATAAAGGTATGGGATGTACACATCATCGTATCTTTCTAGCTACACTTATTATAGCATCAAAATATATTCATGACTCTGCTATCAAAAATAAATATTGGATCGAATATGCATTAAACCTATTTTCTGGTGCAGAAATTAATTTAATGGAGAAACAATTATTACAATTATTGGAATACAAATTAGAAATTGCACAATCTGAATTTGAAGATATAACAAGTGACATAGCCGATCTTTATCTTGAACAACAAACAGAAGATAATCATTCTTCTCCATTTGATTATTGGTATCAACATTATTATTATGCACATAAACAACAAGACAGTGCTTATGAATCTTCTTCTTCTTCTTCACTATCATCTCCTATTATAAAACTATAATAATAATAAACCACTCTCCCCTCCTTCTGCCCCCTTTTTTTTATTTTTTTAATTCTTGTATATGTCTATCTTTTATTATTATTGTTATGGTTACAAAATATATAATATGTATATAAATAATTAAATATCTACAGAAGGGTAAACAATTATATATATGTGTATATATATATAATTAACAAAAATTGTTATATAAAAAAAAGTCTTGTGGTGGTTGTTGGTTTAATGTTGTTACGTAACTATTGAATGTTGTTGGTTCATTACAATAATAGTCAACTAACCCTTGTTGTTGTGGTAACATCATTGGTTGCTGTGATTGTGTAAAATCAAATAAACTTGTTTGTGGTGGTGGTGGTGGTGCATCCCAATATTCTATTGGATCATAAAATGATGTTGTAGTTGTATCTATCATCGAGTCTAAAAAGCAATTCTGAGTTCGATTTGTATTGGGTTGTTGTGTTAATAGTAAATCATCAGGAACGAACATTGAATTTTCCATAAATAGTGAATTCAATGATGCTTGATTTTGTATGGAGGAGGGTGGTATTGACATTCCTTCCTTTTTTGGTAATACTTCACAATTAAGATCTACACCACTATCACAATCTGAATCATATATGGGGTCCTGTTGTTCTATTGGTTGTTCTTGCTTTTGTTCTTCTTGTTCCTTTTTCATTTTCTTATTTGTTCTTTGCTTTTTACTATTTTCTGTTGCTGTTGCTGTAGTAGTAGTAGTAGTAGTAGTAGTAGTAGGATTCATACGAAATATGGTAAATAAATGATTATTATTGGAAATGGTTGCATCAATAAATTTTCGAAATTGCTTATGAGAAGTATAACTGTTGCCATCATCGTTTCCGTTTTCATTATGTTTTCTACCTGAAGTCGTTGTACCATTACTGCCTCCCATACCACGTTTCATAAGATTATCAATAAAAGGTTGTTCATAACCGGGTAAAATAGTCCAATAACAACCTTTTCCAGAAGGTGTATTTGTATCTCTTTCCAACTTGACAAAAGCTTTTTGTAAAGATAAATTATGACGAATAGAGTTCTTTAAATAAAAAAAAAAATAAAAAAATGAATAAAATGAATGAAAAAAAAAACCCTGTTTTCATATAATATAAGCTTTTATTGTCTGTACCTGCCAACGATGATCTTTCATTGAATAACATGGATAATGTTTAGATATCCATTGGTATATTTCACTTAAAGTTAAACGACGATTTTCACTTGATAAAATAGCATGAGCAATTAAGGTAGCATATGAAAATGGTGGTTTTTCGTCTAATCTAACTGGTTTCCATGTTGGCTTTATATGAATAACACCAGGTGGGACTTGCTTTGTTATCTTATCTTTTTGCTCTGAATGGTTTGTTGGTAAATGAAGACTGTGACGATGTTTTAATTTATTACTAGTTGTAGACTCTACTATATCTGTTGGTCCATCATTAATAAATGGATATGAATGCATTACACTAAATCCTTGTGTTTGGTTATTATTTTCCATCTTAAATAAATTGGGGGACTCTTTTTTTTATTCTTCCCCCTTTTTATATCTTGAAGGGAAACCTCAACAAAAAAAAAAAAAAAAAAAAAAAAAAAAAAAAAAACAAAACGTAACTCATAAACATGTTTGAAAGACCTACAAATTTTATTTTTTTTTTTTGTTTTTGTTTATTTTTTCTCTTTTTCTTTTATCTGGTGTTTTGTTTTTTACTATTCTAGTAATATATTTATTTTGTTTCCATCTATTTTCCTCTCCTCTCCCCCCATTCTCTCTTTTTTTTTATCCCGTTATATAACACTTGTTTTATTGTTGTCATGGTAATTTTACAACGCGTTTTCATCTTGCCATAACAACTTATTTTGTTTTTCTTTTACAACATTGTCATGTAGCTATTATTATTCTTATTTTTAATCACATGAAAAGCGGTCTGCTTTTTCGCGTGTAAAATTATAAATCTTCAATTTTTTTATTTATTTTTTGATTGCCGACAAAAACATTGTTCCTTTTTTATGTAAAAAAAAAAAAAAAAATTATAGTTTATTAATGCAAGTTACAAACATTTTTTTTTTTTATGATTTACGTAATATACATAATTGATAAAAAATATTAGCCGTTATTATTGTTGTTGTTGTTGTTGTTGTTGTTGTTGTTGTTGTTGCTGTTGTTGCTGTTGTTGCTGTTGTTGCTGTTGTTGCTGTTGTTGGAAATAACAACATAACTCTACATGATAGATATAACATGCTTCCATGTGTATTCAAATTGACAACATTTATAGAATAGATTTATTTATATTTATACATATATGATTTTATTTTATTTTATTTTGTTTACATATCCTCCTATTTAAAGCAGTCCTGTTATATATTTATATATGTGTGTATTTATATATTTATTTATTTATTTATTTTGATTTTTACTTTAATAGACTTTTCATAACATTTATTCCTTTTCCATTGTTGTCTTGGTAGATTGTTTTGTTGCTGCTGTTGTTGTTGAATTAATATTAAGCAACAAAGTGTCAGAATCCAACATAACTTTATTTCCGGAACGAGAAATAATACTGGCAATCTCGCGAGCTGCTTCAATACGCTTTAATTCTAAAAATCCAGGTTTATCTTTAATAGCTTCACCAATCAATTCTGCTGACTTTGCTTCACCTTGTGCACGAACAATGATCGACTGCTTCTCTTGACGTGCCTTATCAACGATAAATGCTGCTCTCTGTGCTTCTTGTTGAGCAATTTGTTTAGCTTCAACTGCACTCTCAAAGACAGGTGAGAATCCAACGTGAGTAATAGAAACATCATCAAGAATGATATTAAATCTGAGAGCACGACGCACAAGATTTTCTCGTACAAGACGAGAGACACGTTCACGTTGTGTAATAAGTTGAGAAGCAGTGAATTGTGCAACTACTGACTTGAGGATCTCATTCACAATAGAAGGTAAAATGCGTTCATCATAATCTTGACCCAAAGTACGATACACAGTTGCCAAGTTATCAACACGAGGTTTAGAAAGAACACGACAAGTGATGTTGACCATTTGTAAATCTAAAAAAATAAAAATAATGTGTAATGTTGAATTATTAATGCTTCACATTCTCTCTCTTTTAGTATCAATTCTTTAATCAATTTACCTTTAGTTCCAGTTAGTGATCCAATGTTACGAGGCTTTGCACGTACATCATAAATGACGGGTGTTTCAAACCAAGGAATCATAAAATGAGTACCTTCATTATAAACCTTATTTTGAACACCAAAAAGACGAGTATATTTAATAGCTCTATGACCACCATCAACTATAAATAATATTTTGAGTTAAAATCATGTCGCATGAGAATCCATGTTTTTTTTTTTTTTTCATTTATTTATTTATTTATTAGAGAAAAAAAATACCGTTGAAAAGTGAAGCGTTGACACCATAACCTAAAGCACCCAAGACAATGAGGGCACTTGCTGTAGAACCTACTCCTTTACCAGATCCCTTTGGGAACATGCCTCCTAATCGTTGTGCAGCTTGTTTTGCTTGTTGTGCCATAATGTTGAATCAAATTGTAATAAAAGGCCTCCCTCACTTGGAAAAAATAAAATAAAATAAAAGAAACTCTTACTTCTGTCGTTCGTAGTTCATTATGACAACCATGCCCACCCCAGCTTAAATGAAAGGGTACTTTACACCAATAAAAAATGAGCGGAGACAATAAATAATGAAGATTTTTTTTTATTTTTTATTTTTTAATGTGAACAGCGTTTAAGTAACAAAAAGAAGACATGTTGGTAAAAAAAAAAAATACATTGTAGTTTTAATGTTCAAGAGGTATAATTTATATTCAAATTATCATCTAAAATAGAACATTATATATGAATTGATGTGTTGTATAGTAAAGCCCTGTTGATTTTCTTTTTTATAATATAAAGTTTACTGAATTATATTCCCGTCATTTATTTATGCTACATTTAAACAAGAATTTAACCTTTTTTTTTTATACATATAAATTATTACAGTAATTACTTGAATAAGAAACTAATAGATAAAATGCTATCATCATTTTATAAACTTGTTTATTTTATTTTATTGTTTGGATATTCACAATACAGTAATAAAGGAGTTTGATCAAGCATATTATGGAATATTAAGAATTGAACAGAGCAAAAAGGAAGATGTACATGTATGAAGAGATGTACATGTATGAAGATCAAATGTTATGAAATGTCAGTTTTAATTTCTAAATGTGCTAAAAGTGGCCTCAGTGTAAAATTTAAAAAAAAAATCGATGATCTAGTATGAGATTACGTAATATAATGAGAAAAGTATGTCATCACAAGAAAATGAACAAGTCCTCCCCCTCCTATGATATCAAATTATTCCCATTTTTTCATATTTGATTTGACAGTGTTTTTAATATATCAGCTCAACACAATAGAAATAGTTCTAGATTCAATCTCATATTTCCTTCTCTTTTAATTTACTTTTATCGGTAAAGCTGTTTTTATCTAACAATCACTAGATAAATGTATTTATAATTTCTTTATTAAATGTACTTCTTTTTCGATTATTATCGAGTATTTTATAGATTTGATTATGATTGAAACAATATATTCATATCATTCTTATTTCTAAAGAGAGAGAGAGAGAAAAAAAGACGAAGTTTAATATGATAAATTTGAAAAATGTATAACAGTAATTTATGATCTGTTTTTATTGAACACAGAATAAGCTTCACTATTTTTTGTCATTATTATCATTGGTTTATACATTTAATTACTACAGAAGAGCATTTAGTAATGCTTATTATCCTGAATTACCGGTTCATAATTCCATAAAAAAAAAAAAAAAAAAAAAAAAAAAAAAAAAAAAGACTAAATGGGTTTGATAAAAGAATCGCACCACTGATAATCTGTTTATATTTGATTGGATCCACTATGGTATAATAATAATAAAAAAATATTTATATATATTTTTTATCATTATTGTTATCATTATTCTTTCTTCTCTTCTTCTTTTGTATTTGTTTTATAATGCTTATATTTATTTAAATTTCTCATTATTAAGAACAAAGTAATAAGCTTACAGAATGGAATGTGCAATAAAAAGTTTTAATGGAGGAATTATATTTGTTAGTTATATCATTTCAGTTATTGGCGCACAAACAACATTAGAATTATTATCAAGAAGAACTCATATTAAAGGCATTTACAATTGGTATACAAATATATTCATTTGTTTTATTTTATTTTATTTTATTTATTTTTTTTGCTCATAAATATATCTTAGGTTTTTATTAATGTCATCGGCTTTTACTATGGGAGCAGTTGGTGTCTGGTCAATGCATTTTATTGGAAATAATAGTATGACATTAATCATTAAAGGGGAAACATACCAATTGGCTTATCGTACTGGTTATACATTTGGTAGTCTTGCTGTTGCCGTTGTTTGTATGTTTTTAGCTTTTACTTTTGTTGGTGTCACTGAAGAAGCTAAAATCTCTAGAATTATTCCAAGTGGTATATTTGCGGGTGTAAAACATAATAGATTATGATATATTTTTGACTTATAAAAAAAAAATCTAAATCTTCTTTTTTTATTATTTATAGTTAGGAATTGTTTGTATGCATTATATGGGTATATACAAATATTATATATCTATATGATAGGATTAATGTATATATATATATTCATACATATAGGCCAGTTTGCTATCAATTATTTTGTATTGACTTATAAAACAGCTTATGTTATTGGTGCTGTCATTATTGCTTGTGCAGCTGTTAGTTTAGCTTTATGTATCTTTTTCAAGTTACGTGAGAAATGGACTAATTTATGGTATAAACGTCTTGGATGTTCCATGCTAATGGCTATTGCCGTTTGTGGTATGCATTATGTGGCCCTGATCGGCACAGATTTTTATCTCCCAACTTATCCTAGTATGATTCCTGTCCCAAAGTTACAAGCACCTGCCTTAATTGGTATAATCACGGCTATCATCATTGCTGCTTGTCTTGCTTTATTTTATATTAGCGTGATAACGGGAATTAAGAAATTCCCATTATATATTAAGAATACACAGAGTCGATTTATTTTGAACGCAGTCATATTCGATCCCAAGGGTCGTATACTTGTTAAAGTGGATGGTACTTTACCAACGTCAGAAATACTTGAAAGTTTGGTATATATAAAAGACCATTATTTTTATTTTTATTTTATTCAACTAAATCTTTCTTTATAAATATTTATGTATATATATATGTGTGTGTGTGTTATCAGGACATAAAAAGGGAATTCACTTCAAGTCATCCATTATTCATTCATTTATTTGAAACATCAATTAAAAATGCATCACAACGATTTGATAGTAAATACATAAAGAGGTTTTCAAATGTATCAAATACGTCTACTGTTGAAGTTTTCAATACTGTTGAATCTCAATTTTTGAATAGTTGTAGTGAATTATGTCAAGAACTTAGGTTAGATAATTTAACTGATTTAGGTATCCTGAGTGATATTGTTGTCTCGACTGATACCATTTATAAATTCTCTTCTTTATTTAACACTACTACTATACAAAAACACCAAAGATTTACTTTCCTTAGAAACTTGTTTACCTCCAGCAGATTCTCCTCCGACAAAATAAGTACGAATGATTGTGCTAAACTAAATGTACAATCACATGTACTACATCACTCTGCTAAAGAAAAAGAAGCATCAAATGGAAAGAAAAAATATTTTATTAACAAGAAATACACAAGAGGAAGAGCAGTAGATGATGAAGAAGCAGTAGAAGCAGCAGCAGCAGCAGCAGCAGCAGCAGCAGCTGTTAGTAATAACAGTCATTCACAATGCAGCCCACCCATTCCAAGTGGAACAACTACGATTATGATGATGGATATGATCAGCGGCTGTCGTTCCTCAATTTCATCAGATACCTATTATAGCTTATGTCACAATCTTCGTCAATCTTCTATTTTTGAAAATCTGAATCATAGTGAAGATAAGCATATCTTTTATGTCTCTAAACTCTTTCAAGAAAAGGATGTCACAGCTCTTTTATCTCATGGTTTTCGATTTTCTGATCCTATCTTTATCGCCAAGACAATGGCAGCCAAGTTATCTATTCCTGTCGATCATATGAGGCTTTATTTTAATGATATGCAGCAAATGATTGATTCTGTCTATGCTCTTACACAACAACATAATCAGAGTTTACCCTCATCCGCCACCTTATTCAATGCCTCTATACAAAGTTCTGTACAAGTGGGTGCATTTGTGCTTGTAAATGAAATGATGGTAACAGAGTCTACTGAGATGCATATCTTGGTAGACAAGTCAAAACAGTTTAGCTTACCTCTAGTCCAATTGACCTTTGACAATTCTTTGTCACCAACACAACTTGAGCCTGATGAAATCCATTTTCTGCATTCTCTTCAGGGGTCCTCTCTCTTTGATATTGCGTATCATATGCCTAAACTCCTTGATCAGTTTAAAGACAACTTCACAACAGAAGAGGCTCCATTATTCTCTGGAGGATTACCCAGGTCTCAATTCTTGAAGGCGCTTGAACATGCTGCTCAACACATTTTAAATGAAACCTCTTTTAGTAAAGTGCTCTATCAGGGTTCTAAATTACATAGTCCCGTTTTGGACTTGACCCCCTTTACCTTAACTACGGGGCCCTGCCAACTCATTGTATTTAAATCCTATGTCAGTACCCAGGATATCATGGCTACCATCAATCATACCTTCTCTGAATCTCTTAAATGTATCCCCTTATCAATCTACAAGGCCCTTTCTGGTTATTTAACTGATCAAGCTGCCAATATCTATTATCAAGCGAATCTCAAAACCCTTTCACCACCTGTTTATCTTCTTCGACAACAGCAAATATATCGCCATGATAACAATCAAAAAGACACTTCTTCCTCTTCTTCTCCTGCTACTACTACTGTTACTGCTACTGCTACTGCTGATGCTGATGTTGATGCCGATGCTGCTGATGCCGATGCCGATGCTGCTGATGCCGATGCCGATGCTGATGCTGCTGATACTGCTGTTGCTGTCATCCCCATGGTAATGGAAGAAGCTGCTGCTGCTACCGTTGCTGCTTCGTTTTCATTACCTCCACCTCCAAGGGTGAAGAGGGACTACCACCGTCGTCTAGCAATTAATACGTTAACAACAGATATCTTGTTCTCTACACCACTTCAAAGTGGAACTACAACCGTCATCCCTATGAAAAAAAGAACGGTAAACTTGTTAAGAGAGTCACCATTAACGGTGTTACCTACACAAGATCGATTTTGGTGGATTAATTCTATTGTAGATGAAACAATCCATAGCAACATGATGTAAATAGAGTATATACGTTTTACTTATAGAATACCTTTAACCCCCTTCTCTCTCTCTCTCTCTCCTCTTGTTTTTACATGTATAAATTTATATATTTTTTTTAAAAAAATAAAATAAATAAATAAATGCTATTTTATTATTATTATTATTCTTTCATTTCTAACGCTTTACAGAAACAGACACCTGTCTCATTGAGAAATTCTAACATACTTGCTTCTACTGAATCTGTAGTATGATTTAATGACTGATGAAAATGATGAAATAATTCGAAATTAGATTTCAAGTCACTATTATTGAGTTTTTGCCACTGCTTTTTTACTTGTAATAAATCAAGCTTACTAAGTTGTGAAAATTTGCTTTGATCTAAAGTAAAGTTTAATACTTTTTTTTTCTTTATATATTTATATATATATACCTTCAAGGAACTGTAATCCTTGCCAAAGAATCAAAGGTAATAAAGAGATAGGCGTGCAGTCATCATGTATCAATTCTTTAAATAACTCAACCGCAATGTTGTCTAGTTCGAGGGATTGCATATGCCATAAATAACGATAGACTTTATAACATATACCTTTGCATATATTCAAATCACTTAAATCAAACAGTGTTTGTGTCTTGGTATAATCTTCTATGATGGCATAAAACACATGATCAATTTCATTTGAGCTTTTTATTTGCTGATAGTAGTTAATGGCGGCTTTATAATCCTTTGTCTCAAGACAGGAATTTGCTTTTTTCTATAATTATATTATAAAAATTAGATTTTATGATTCATTCCCCCCCCCTTTTTTTTTTCTTACCTCAAGCAATCCCAAACCTATTTCTTCCAAATTATGTTTCATACAAAACTGAACAATGGCTTGAAAAATAGTGTTTTCAGTATTCAAATCTGTTTCTTTCAAATGCTAAAATAGATTAAATTTAATACAGATACTATACTTTTAAATCTGGTAAGATTTTTTTTTTTACCTCAACTAGTGCTTCTCTTCCCCATTCATCACATGTTAGCATGTAATTAAATGCTGTCTCCCATAGTCCAAAATTATTCTTAATGAAGGATGCATAAAATAATATAAAATGATATTGGACAGGTACAGTCACTATTGAACCATCACTAACGTGCACATTGACTGTCTTCATTTCCAACTTGTTTTTTAGGACGAATAAATCAACCAAATGTGCTAAAAAGCACCAATCATAATTAATACTTTCCTGAATGGCTTGTGTTAGATTGCCTACTAAAAGTGATTTGTAAATGTCTTGAGGTACTTTATCAAATTCCTTAATAGCCATTTCATAAATAGAAGTTGTGGATGTGTATCGATCTGGATTAAAATAGAAACAACAAATAAAAGCATGTAATTCATCTTGTGCATGTTGCTTGATGATTGATTCATCATTGCCTGTCAAGATAGCAAGTAATGTCCAGAATTGCTTTGAGTGGTTAGAGTCCTTTGATAATGCTTGCATCCATTGCAATAGTCGAGTTCTGTCAATTTTGTTTCGAGATGTAATGGTGCTATAGTCAGTATCACGTAACATTTCACGTAGCTCCCTGAAATAACTATACAGATTAGTATCATCTTCCTTTTGGCAAAGAGAAAGCACACGATGTAATGTATTGGCAATGATTTGCAATTCGCCTAATGTGGCCATACGTATGAGATAGGGCCAAAAGTCTGGATGATCCAAGGGATGTTGTGTGAAAATATTGACTGTGTTGTATTCATAAAAGGCACCTTTAAAAATAAAACAAAAAACCGCAATGTTATATACATGAAATTATAAAGGTTGCATTCATGTTCTTACGTCTGTTTGTTTTATTATACCATTGCATGAGCGCTACTGACAATTCATGATTATTTTCAAAAGAGTCAAAAAATAATAAATTGCAGAAACTCCAAATTGAGTAAAGCTGTAAATATTCTTCACGCTCTGCCCTATATATGGGAATAGAATATAACTGAAAAAAAAAAGGCAGAATTGATAGATTAATTAAAGCTATCCAATGACAACAAATAATAATTTACTTGGTCAACTAATTGAATTTGATCTTTTATAGCTTGCTCATATTCTTTAGCTGCTGCATCAACCGTCAATTCAGATGGACTATTTTTTTTTTTCAAATAAAAAAATCTTCTTAGTGAATTTCCTCTTATACATTTAAAAACACTTAGGTGTAATATATGCTAAATATCTTTACTTTTGATGTAATTTTTGGTAAAATTCAAATAAACGTTTATATAACTAAGAAGAATAAAAAAGGTTATCGCCTGTCTTTTCTACAAAAATTATTGTTTTTTTTTCTTATTAAATGTACTTTAGATCGTATTTCAGGTATGTGTTTTTCTTGTTGTAAATTAGATTTGCAAGCATCTTTAATATATAATTTCACAGTCATCAATAAAGAGTAATAAAATAAAAGGGATATGCAGAAGTTTTTTTTTTTTTTTTGACACGAGATAAAAAAAATAAAAAAAAAATCCTCCAATGAACACAACAAGTGATTATTTAATATGTCAAATTTGCCCGAGTCGGTTCAAAATCTCCTTTAAAAAAAATCAAGGAAAAAAAAAAGAGTACGAAGGAATTTAGTAACTGAAATAATTAGCTGTGTGTGTGTGTGTGTGTGGAGGATAAAGTCTGTTACTATATCTCCATAATGTTTAGAACAATTGATATTCTTTTTTAGATGTATAAAATAAAATTGTAACACGAAAGTAAAAAATGGAAATTAGGAGCTTTTTGGAAGAAAAGTCAACGCCCTACTTGTAAATATATAAATTTTTTGTTGAGAAGAGAATCGTAATTTGATACAGCAATGGCTATTGTAATAAAATTAGAATACCTTTCTGGAGAATATGTGTAGTCTTCTATAATTAGAGAAAATATTATGGGCAATCTTGTATATGTTTTTTCTTTTGCTTTTTTACTATATTATTTCACAACTTTAGCTAGAAAAAAAAAAATAATTATTTGGCCAGAGTTGTAGACCTTAAAAAAAAGAAAGGGGGAAGTTTATTCTGACTCCTTCATTTGATGAAAATAATTTGATCAAACAGGCCAACAACACAAATCGTCCAGTTCTTTAAAATAAAATTTACTACTAAAAATTTGAGATATATTCGTTCATTTAATCTGAATTATTTCCCTTTTCTCTTTTTCACAAGGGCGATAGTGATAGTATCCAAAGTAAAGATAATAATAAAGCAAGCTTTTATTAAAAAAAAAAAAAAAAAAATTGAGATTAAAAGACAGATGTACATTTCTATTGGATAGATCACGTGACTTCATAGTGACAAAAAAGAATATATATTTAATTTTATTCAAAATCAAGAGCTCCTCATTGGTCCAACGGCTAGGATTTGTCGCTTTCACCGACACGGCCGGGGTTCGACTCCCCGATGGGGAACATTTTTTATATTTTTTTGTGTCGTCTTTTATAAAGACTTTATATATTAAAATAACATGATCATATAGATAATTTAGAATATCCGAAAGAAGGATACTTTATTTATGTTTTTAATTTATATCTCATTTCTTTTGTAGTATGACACATAATTGATAACTCGTTATTGTCGTTTTCTTTACGACGAGACAATAGTAGTACTAATTGATTATTGCAGTTATTAGTCTAACGATTATTTATTAAGTTTGATGCATTCTTTTCATACAATTCTGTAGTATATTATATTATAATTTTTGTTTATTTTTTCTATTATTGTTGGTAATTATTAATCTATTCTTTATCAATCATTTGTTACATTCAAGAAGTATCATAAATATATTTGAGACTTGAAAATAGTGAGATAGTTTATTAAACAAAACATTTTTCAAAAAGTAATAAAAATAGAGATGAAATAAGTATTTTAGATAAGAGAAGAAAAAAAAAATTATAATGGTAATATGTATACAAAATATAACTATATAAAATACAGATTTGCAGCTAAATCAACTAATTAACAAAAAAAAAAAAAAAATCCATATCATTATCTCTTTTTTTTTATTGTTTCTCCATACTTTGGATATTAGATGCATTTATGCTTTTATTTTGATTAGTATTTTCAGACGAAGATCCTGTTTGTGTTTCTGTTAATTCTGTTTTAGGTGTCTCGACTTCTGTAGACTTTGCATCTGATGCTGTATTTCTATTATCTTCTTGCTTTTTTAATGTGGAATGTAATGTGGAACTAAGCTGTGTAGCAAGTTCGGATGGTAATTGCGCAATTGCCTGTGGTAATAACTGAGCGATAGAAGGAGGTAAAGGATAACGAATGGGATCTAAGAGGTGTTGTCGTATGGTGTTTTGTAATTGTAATTGTAGTTGTGCCTGCACTTCTGCATTATTAGGTTGATTCATATTTCTTGTAGTTGTCAATTCATTTGTTAGTTGAGGTATATCTGAAGTAATAGAATTATTCATTGTTGTCTTTGCTGAGGAGCCGCTATGATTAATTTTGGAAATCGTAGTTTGATCTTGATTTTTGTTTGACGTATTTGATTTTTTTTCATCAGTGATTATCATATCTTCAATGGTAACTTTTGATTTAGCCGATGATACATCAATATCATTGTTATGAAGAGGAGATATTGACAGTGAATCTACTGCTATCTCATCTACTCTCCCTTTTCTAACTCTCACTCCTTGTATTATTTCTGCGGGTGAAGGTAAGTTTTCAACTGTTTCCTTTTTGTTATTATTTAGCTCAGTCTCTTTTTCTATACTATTTACCAACACTTTCTCAGTTCTTATTGAAGAGTTTATTACCGACAAATCATCCTCGTTTTCATATTTATGGCAAATAGAATCTTTCACTACATGCTCCTTTTTAACTTTTTTTCTTGCGCTTTCTATTACTGGCTTTGTTGGATAATGCTGATGTGTAGTAATATGAGACGATAATGTTGAAGAAGAAGACACGATTGTTCTTTTGTTCCGTTTATATACACTCTTTAAGAACAGAGGTGTTGCATCAGGGCTGATTGTCCAAAATGCACCCTTTCCTGGCTCTGATTCACTTCGTGGTACTTTTACAAATGCTTTATTTAATGATAAATTATGTCGAATTGAGTTCTAAACAAGAGTATAAGTTAAGTTATATCATGATTGTTCTAAAGATATGTCAGTTACCTGCCAACCATTTTGTGACATTTGATAATAGGGGTAATTTGTGGTTATATAATTATAAATTCCATTAAGAGTCATACGTTTTGCATTGGTTGAATTAATAGCTTGAGCAATCAATGTAGCATATGAATAAGGTGGTTTACTATCTTTGTTTTGATATGTATCTATCTCTGATATTTCATTACGATCATCGTCTCCCGCACTATTATCTCTCAAGTCATAATCCTCATATGCAGCTGTAGAGGTTTCAGACAAATGCAATTTATTCGATGAATTAGTAGTCGATGTTACGTTTTTTTCCAATTGATGTGGTGTTGATATATAACCAAAGTCATCGATATTATGCTGTGGCACATTATTGGTTGAATTTACGTTGACCGATTCTCGTTTTGGTAGTAAAAAGACAAAAGCCATTTCACCTATTTGTATTTTAGTTCTATAGTGGGCAAACCAATCAATTCTCTATTTATATAATGTCTATTTTCCTTTCCTTTCCTTTCCTTTCCTTTCCTTTTCTTTTTCTTTCTTTTTTTTTTTATTATTATCATTATCATTATTTTACCTATTTTCCAAAGGAACAGTTACTCCTTTTTCTACAAATTGTTCATTAACAAAGGCGCCATTTTTTCCAAATATCATTAATTCAAAACGTTGTGTTGAAAAATTATAAAACAATCTTGCATGTTGTCGAGAGACTGATTTTGTATTTCCCAAAGGAATGTCCACATTGTCTGGATTAGAGACTTTCCTACCTAATGACACTTGAAGTGTACGAATGTAATAACAAAAATCTTCACCTTCAAGTTTTGCATATGCTTGAACAGGATCTGAATCTATTGAAGCAGCTATAGGACCTTGTAATGAATTACGCTCTTCTACTGCCGGATTAACAAGATCTGACACGGTCAAAGGTGTTGCAGCAGCAGAGTTAAATGAAGTCATTGTGTAGTTAAATTGTTCCTCTCTTTCTCTCTCTCTCTCTTTCTTTTTCTTTTTTTTTTATTCTATTAATTTGAGTAATAATTTAAATACATGAAATATCCCTTCTCACCTCTATTTGACTAGAGCTGTTTTAAAGAGAGATAAATAACTTAAAAAGTGTAAATAAATTAACTAGGAAAGAACGAACGTGTTGTATATATAAAAGGCGACATCCCTGGTATATTTATACTCCAAGACTATTGTCCGAGCCGGATATAATAATATTGTGGGGAACTTTCAGGTTCATTATGTAGTGAAATAATATTCAATTCCAGATTATGATCAATTTACGCATATGCATATGCACATGCATATTCATACATATTCATACATATATACATACATTTATATATGAATATATAAATGTATATATGTATATGTATATATAATATATATATTATACATACAATTTTGATATGTAATAGCACAGCCGATCTTCTGGAGAAACAGGGTTTAGAAAGGAAGAGGGTAGGTGAGGGAGATTATATTTATTAGTTTGTATTTTTAATTAATTTAAGCGTCGAATAAAATTGAGTACGACCAACAAATACAAAACAAGAAGCATGATTTGCTAATATAGAGAGTATAAGCATAGAAGACTTAACTTTGATCTGAACCTTATACAGTCCCTTTCATATCAAAATAAATATCTTGATTATTGCTATCATTTTTAAAGTAATCAATATGTTTGTAGAATTAAAGGTTACAAACATTCTTTACTACAATGGCTTTCAAAAATTATAGAGGAGCATCAAATACTCACGATAATCATAGTTTTATTATGAATATTTGTTTATAATGCTATGGAAAAGGTAATATATCGAATACAAATCTTCTTTAATAACAAGAAAAGAAAATAGAAATAAACCACGAAACTAAAAGAGAAAAAAAAAAAACTCCCCGTGGGGATACTAGAATTCTTATGAAGACTATCATTTCTTTAATCGAAGATTAAGATAAATCCTAAAGAGAAAGGGTATTTTAAGACAGATAATCTATATTATAAAAAATAGTAAATACAGCATACCAGAGTATAAAATGACAAAAAGTAACTGGAGAGGCTTAATATATATCACTAGAACATCTACTCAAGGTGAACAGGAAAAAAAATCCTCAAGAGAAAGTGGTGTTGGGAAGTGAATATAAATGTAGTGGTATTCCATATTGAAAGAAAGCTTCAGAGGTTATAGCAAACTGTTTGAATATAGAAGCCCAAGTATAATAGTATATTTTGCTCGAACATGTCAATTCATATTGCAGTAAATAAAATTCTAAGGAAATGATCCAAGGACGTTTTGAAGAGAGTTTTTAATGATTAAGCTAAGCTTAATTTCTTCACCTTTGAGTTCTAACTTTTGTAGTTAGACTAAATGACAGCTATAAACGTTAATGTTAATGTTTTTATATAAAACCTGCACAGTCATTTTATTTTCATTGATAATCAGGCTAATAGTAGATGTGTATGCATATATATTTTAAAAGAAAAAATGTTTATAAAATAGATTACCGTGATGATTATTTTTATATGTCTAATAGATTATGCTTAACAAATCTCTTGTGTGACTATTTTTGTACAAATAAAAAAAAAAGGCTAAAAGTATAGGGGCAATATTTAGTACATTAAGGTACTATTATTAACGAACTAATAACTGCACTTTATTTAAAAAGAGACAAAAATTAATATAAATCATAGTCAAGCAAAAGAGATAAAATTGGGTCAAAAAAAGTTATAGAGACAATTAATATCAAAGTCTTGTTATTAGTTATTTATGTAGTACTTTCGTTGAGTGTAATAGAGAAAGATTAAATAACGCATAGATTTACATAATATTGTTAATAACTTATTTTTGTTGTTGATTTTACCTAAGTGCATTATGTTACAACTGATTATTAAAAAATGGCAGTCTTGGTGGTAGTTTTTTTTTTTTTTTTTTTTTTTTTTTTTTTTTTCATCTTTTACTTGTTGACTTATCGTTATTGTTTCTTGTTGAATAACAATAATAGCTTCCTTTGACCCTTTACGGGAAGCTTTAAAATTACTGAGATCCATAAGCCTCTTTATGTCTCGCTCATCTTTTTTTTTCTTTTTTTTTTACAGATTTTATTTTACCATCTACTTCTATTTGTTAAACTTTAGGAATCATGTCAGCAATATTGAAGCAATCCATGTATCCAGAGGGTATATCGTGATCAGATATTTTTATATTTAAAGCTCAAGAAAAAAGTAGCATACGCAAAATAAAAAAGTGGTGCGCAAAGTATGAAAAAACATCTAAAATTTAACTTTATTTTACCAGATTACAATTTTGACAAATACCCTCTAGGCTGCATTCTCTCATAGGCGGAGTTTGCTAGATAATCAATTGGGTTGGACACAAAATGATCCTTAATGTTACGAATATCGACCATTTCTGGTTTAATATCTGCTATAGAAGTAACTCCCATCAGTCGCATTACCATTTCAAATTCATCCTTATTAAAAAAAAAAAAAAGACGATGATTAACAATATTCAAAATATACAATTACATTCAGTTACCTGTAAAAGTTGAAAAAGCTTTTCAACACCTTCAACACCATAAGAAGACATAGCATACTATAACATACATATTATATTAAATAAGTTCATTTATATATCTATTTGAAAGAAAAATTACCAGACAAGGTCTTCCAATTCCAACACCTTTTGCACCTAAAGCAATAGCTTTGAAGATATCACTACCTCTACGAATACCACCATCAATATAAACTTCGAATCCTTTATCTAAATTTTCTCTTCTTAAGGCACTCATAGTTTCTGCTAGAATTTCAATAGAAGAAGGGGCAAAATCAAGTTGTCTACCACCATGATTAGATAATACAATTCCTTGACATCCATATTTAGCGGCTAAAACTGCATCCTCAGCTGTCTGAATGCCTTTAATCAGTATAGGTAGTTTTGTAATCTTTTTAAACCAGGCAATGTCGTCCCAACATAATGATGGATCAATAAAAGAACTAATAGCTCGAGCAGCTCCTTCATCCCTTTTAACCTTTGTTACATTACGTACTATCTCTTCAGGATCTTCTTGTAAATATTTCTGTCTCATATCTTTCTCACGACGGCCTTAAAAAAGAGAAGATTTTAGATCTAATATCGGAGATTTTTTTCCTCCTCCCCACACTTACCTAATTGAGGAGCATCAGCTGTAATGAAAAGACCTTTGATGCCTCTCGATTCAGCATGTCGAACAAATTTCTCAGTAACAGCACGATTTCCATTAACATATAATTGAAGCCATTGAGTTTGACCGGGTCCAGCTGCATTAACAATTTCATCAAATGAACAAGATGCTAAAGTAGGAATCATCTGAATCAATCCTCTTTTATAAGCAGCCTTTGTTAATACAACTTCACCTTCAGGATGACCTAATTTACCAAGTGCAGTGGCTGTAATATAGAGGGGGAAAGTAGTATGTGAGCCAAGCATAGTAGTTGATGGATCAACGTCCTTTACATTAACCATAACACGAGGACGCAGCCAAATTCGATGAAAAGCATTATGATTTTCTCTCATAGCTATTTCATCATCTGCACCAGAAGAGTAATACGCCCATGCATCGGGCTTTAGGACAGATCTAGCAACGGCTAATGAAAATAAAATAAAGTTTGTCAGTTACCTAGATAAATTCTGAATTTTGGTGTGAGAATATTTTGATTATTACTTTCAAAGTCAAAAGAATTATACATTTCATCTAATCTTGGGATTTTTTCTCTAGCTAATCTAATCTTTTTATCTTCGTCTGTTTCTACTTGAGGAATTTTTGAAAGAGCATCTAAATCAACAGATCCTTTACAAACTTCGGGAGCCAAAAAACGTTGAATAATATCAGGTGGGTGAATAGGGTCAAATGCTGCTGTTGCATCTTTTCCTGCATATTTTAAAATGATTTTTTGACCTCCTGGATGTTCTGGAAGAAATTGCGTAAGGTCATATACCTTACCGTGAATGATGATCCATATATCATCTTACAAATAAATAAAGAATCATAATTATACTTGATGATAAAATAAACAATAAATCTTTTTATTTACCTTTTGCATTATGTTTTGCAACTTCTTCAAGGGAAATTATGCTCATAATTATTACAAGTTTCTTAAAAAGCAAAAAAAAAAAAAAAAAAAAGAAAAAAAAAGAGATGTGAATATTTTATATTAAACGGTGATGTATTATTAACAGATTTGCATTTTTTTTATTATGCGCTTTTTTTTTTTTTTTTTTTTTTTTTTTTTTTTTTTTGCGCATAAAAGTTTTTCAAGTTTGTGTATCACTAACTCTTATCTTGTGCCATAGCTCAAGGGTCACAATTTCTTCCAAAAAAAAAAAAAAAAGGTGTTGCACAATCCCAGGCAAGGATATTATGCTTTTGCTTATTTAGACGTGAAAACATCAAGTTTGATCTATGGTATAAATATATATGTATATATAATTTATCCTCCAAATGAAGAATAGAAAGAAAGAAAAGGGAATAGAAATCACATTTTTTATTTTATGTTGTTAAATTTAAATAAACAATTCAAGTCGCCAGAATATTAAATAATAAATATGATTGCTTATCCAGAAAGTTTGTATATGTTTATAACGATACTATCGTTCAAAGTAAAATATCTAAAGTGTCATAAAAAGTATTCTAATCGTCATCAGGATTAATAATAATTACAGCGTTTGTAAAACCAGAGATAGATATTCGCAATGATAAAAGTTTTCACAAATGAATAATGGTACACGGCTACGTATAGTGACAATATCTCCTCTAGAGGTATTAGCCCAAGGATCCAAAGATAAAACAGGTGATCGAATCAAAATTTTTTACTTCATTGCAGACAAAGAAAAAAAAAAGATAAATACAATGTTGAATAATGTGAATACACGAAAATGTATCTGAATGTTAGGAGTAAACGGATAGAAATATAGCCCTACAGCTAGGATATTTATTACGAACGGCTAGATAAGTATTCTATAGAGAATAGATGAAAATTAGTATAAACTTTAACAGGGAAGAATTGAACGATACGTCTATAAATATATTCTTATTCGGATTAATAAACTTATTAGGGATAGGATAAAACAATCATCAAAAAACAATGATGGAAGCTAAATACAAACAGCGTATGTTAGAAGATTAGAAGAAGCATGTAATGCATAAATTTTTCTATAGTGTGTTCGTCCCTTCAACGTTTTTGATCTACTATTACTCAATTGCATCATGATCCCAGAAGTATGTGCAACTATAAATACGTTCCTTCTTTTATAACTAATTTACTTAGAGCAGCTCTACATTTGATTATTGACAGAGTCTTAGTCATATCACTACTTCCTTCTTCTCATTATAAGCTAAGTTAGCGTTCTTTCTTTTCTGTATACCACTCAAAAAAAATTGGTTAGATCCATGAAAGAAAAACACAGAAGAGGGTTTTGACAAGTAATATACCATATAATAAATTTGTATCAGCCACGTTAGTAAGAATGGTTAGTGGAATCATTTGGTAAGTGTTTGCTGGGTAAAGTATAATCTATTTATCAAATAACAGTATGTGTTGGATGATGCTCTGCTAGGAGAATGCAGAAAGATAGAAAGTATGATGCTCATCTCTATCAGTATTGGAAACCATTGGGATGATGTCTAGTATTGAGTAATTAATATAATCTGATAGAATTGTTCTTGATACAATTTCTGAAGGCATCACATAATTAGGTTTTACGGAGGATTGATATAAGTATTCTTAAACTAATTCCACTGAACGGTGGAGATACCGAAAAATAAGCTCCCCAGTTAAGGATATCAAAAACGCATAATTTGTTATTTGAGTTGTTATCCGGTCGACAAACAGATCCACGATCATGACCTGATATTTAATACTTACATGATTCGTTATTTAAATCAATGCCTTAATAAATAAAAAATTATTGATCAAAATCCTTTGTACCTTATTAAATTCTAAAGTGATTCCACCTGAATAACAAATCAATATTAATAAACATGTTCAACTTACTTAAAAACGATTCAGACAGAAAACATATCTCACATTTTATCTATACAAAAAAAAAATATATTATTTTGGTTATAATCAATATTTTTCTAGTTTCTCTCATTTCAGATATTTCCAACTGTTAGAACTATCATTTAGTCTGGTTAAACTTGTATAATTTTCATTTTATATTATTTTATTTTGATATCTTAATAGAGATATCGCATGGATTACAAATCATGCAGCTTATATCTAAAGAATAACTGGATCATCCACCCAAGTAATTTTTAACATAATCCAACCCCATTTACATCAACTAAACGATGTGAATTTACTCACAGTTCAGAATATAGCTCAATTACCAAAATACGCACCTTAACTGCTATATTCAGGAAGAAAATATATCAATACTTTCACCGTTTCTTGGAACTATTTTGAGAATTTTTATCTCAATCCTCCCTGAAATTTTATCAGCCGATGCATTCAATAATTTATTGACAAGCAGGTAGCTTATGCAGTCATAATATCTTCATAGTGGACACCAACGATATAGTTCCCTATTTTTTATGCTCTTTGCAAAGTTCCTCTATGTCTCCTTCCTCAGTATTCCATTCTATTATCGACTCCAACTGAAATTTGGTGAATAGAAAACAGCAGTTACAGGAAGATCGTCGTGTGGTCATTATCAGCTCAAAATACTCGTCTACTGAACTTAATCGTAACATACGTAACGTTTTAATACCTAGATAGTTACAGGATACTAATATGAATCGTTCATATAAATAATGTTAATTATTATTCATAAAATGAACAGATATACAAGTGACCCTTATTTCTAATTTAACTGCTTCTGATTTGATTAATTTACTAAGTGATTTATATTCTCAATATTCGTACAGTGTATCTACACACTCCATTTTTTTTTGTAGTCCTTGTCGTTGGATTATGGAACAGTCTATAATATATTTGTATGAACAGGAAAAAAAAAAGGACAAAAGAAACAGATGTTACGTACTAATAGAATAAATGTATTACATAATAAAGAATAACCTGAGTCATTATTACAAGTATATATGCAAGAAATTACCAACATACTATCATACTATCATTTATTCATCTTGCACTTTTAATCAAGATTCTTGTAAATAATATAAACCTTATGGACATTCAATCATCTAAATGTGTCAACTAAATAAGACATCGTATCGTTTCTAAATATTTATTTTTATAACCTTGATAAAAGATTCAGGCCTTCTTTGATCCAATAAAATAAAAATATAAAAGACATCAGGAACATATGCATGCTCAGATCAAACAATAAGTTTTTTTTATTTAAAGCCTCAGTCGGATCATTATAGCACCTAATAGATAATCCATAAATCAGCACATTGAATCAACAAGATGCATATTTAAATATTAACATTGTTTCATGACTTATCTTTTGTACAGCTATTTTTATTTCTTTGATTCAGGAATCATTAGTATAAATACAGGTAGTTGTTTAGACACAAGATAGTCTTTATATTATTCTTTTTACATTGAATAAACAGTCTCAAACTATACTTCTTTTGTCTTTTTCCTTTCATTTTCCTTTATTTTATTACATACCATCACAAAATTTACTCTTTGATGACATAGTAAAGCCTTCAAGGTCACTTGTGTGTACCTGATTGCAAGCGTCAGCAATTCTGCCAGACAAATTTTCCTCGGTCATAAAATGACTGCGCTTCAACTCTCCTTTCATTAATGACCCAAAACCGCTCAATAGGGTTGGGCTCAGGCGAGTATGGAGGCAAAAACATGATTCTGTATCCTCTACTTTCAATTTTCCGTCTCATTGGATGATTCTTATGAATAGTACAATCATCCTAAACTAGGTAGTTGCCCTTTAAATTTGGATCAAAATCTATAATATCCAGAAGTTCATTGATGAATTTGATGAAATAAAGGGTGGTTGTGCCTTTGGATGTTGTAGGGGCTTCTTCATAAGATACCTCTATTACTTCCTCTTTGTTATTGTCGGATGTGGCCCTCTTCCTACCTTTATTATTCTTTTTGCTTTTCTTAGATTTGGCAGGCGTTTGTTTTTTTGGGAGGTGGCTTCTTCAGTACTACGTGAATAACGCTCGTAGGATGTATGGCACTTATAACCGTGTGAGAGGTTATCTTTGACTTTGGAATCATAACTAGAGCAAGAGATCCAGCAGGAGATCTAGTATAAATGTTCCTCATGTTGATATTGAGCCCTGAATCGTCTATGAAAACACAATTCCGTGTAAAATCCAAGTCCGTGTCCTTCCATTCCATAAACTAATCATATCTTTTTTGCAAGTTTGTCTCATTATTTCTTGCTTCTGCTTGGAAAATGGGCTATTTGACAGTCAAAGATAGGCAGTTTTTAGGGTGATTATTGAGTTGAGATCTTGAGATGCTAAATTTTTCGAATTGTTCAGCTAACCTCCCCCACTATATCACCCACAAAAAGCTGAGAGGGGAGGTGTCATCGTCCACTAGATTCCTCAAAAAAGTCGTTGTGATCGTCGGTAAAAGAAGACTGAGGACCAGAACTTATAGAAGACTTTTTGTAAGGCACTTTTTCCGTTTCTCTGTACATTTTCCACCATCTTGTCACACGTGGCTTGATCCCAAGTTCTCTTGCGAACCGGGTAGCTAGGCCTCTTTCCTGAGCACTTTCAATCATTCTATCAATAAAGTCATCTCGTTGCCTGTTATTGTACTTTCTGTATCCTTTGCTATCTTTTCTATAGCAATCTTCTCAAGCGGTTTTAATTTTCTCCAAGTGTTTTGATAGGTTAATGTTTCAAGAACCACATTAGGATTGGGTTATCTCAGTTAGAACACCCTCCATTGGATCATAAACTTTCGTACCTTTCTCGCCGTACAGGTTATCGCGCCCATCTTCGTAATAAAAAAGATCTTTTCATGACTCAAACCAAAAACAAAAAAAAAAGAAGTGCTTAGGAAGAGGAAAACACTACAACAATTTAAGCTAATCTGATGCGACAATACGCTTTTCCTAAAACGACAAATTGAAATTTCTTTTGCGACAATTGTTTCTCAATTTCCGACAAATATTTGTTAATTGGCGACAATATCCATCGTACTGGCTGTACCTTTGTGTTATACATGTATATAGAGTATATTAGCATTTTTTCTAAAGTACGGCAGCCTTTTGTTGTTCTAAATAAAAAGTAATTAAAAATAGAGTTATGGGATTGCAGTTGTCTCTTTCTGAAGAAAAAAAAAATTATTCAACACGGCTTTTTTTCAAAGAAGTTCCCCACATGTAATAAATAAAAAATCAACCTTTTTGAACGTTACACTATATTCAAATATAATATATTAATTAAGAATGAAGGGATAGAGAGAGTGAGCATGGGGTTCATAAAACCTCCAATTAACAAAAAAATAAATATATTTGGATAAGTAAGGATAAAGTTTCCTTTGCTTGCTTTTTTTTTTTCTTATAATGTAATAAAAGGGGGTATTAAATAAAGAGGAAATATTATTAAGCTTTAGATGACACAGTAAAATTACGATCTATAACATTATCCAACACAAGCTGAACATCATCTACAACAGTTAAATCCTCTAAAAAGGCAACAAGATCAGTTAATTCGGTATCATGAGGATCATTAAACCATGTTGAGACAGGTACTGCATTTGCTGTGTGGAAGATATAACTTGCTGGCGAATTATCAAGAATTAATGTTGATGCAAGATCTCTTCCTAATTGTGACAAGTCCTTAAATGTATGCATACATAATTAGCTATTGTATAACATAATCTTTTATTTTTGTTTACCTTCACATAAGTTCCTTTGTGATTAAAGCATGATTCTCTAAATAATCTATGCTTAACAACTCCATGTATATCCAACATATCTAATACTGGATCCGCATACTTAAAAAGTGGGGGTTATTATATATGTATTTCACTTTTTTTTTCTTTTACCTTAGCTAAACTTGCGGTAAATACTACAATTTCGTATTTTTCACCCATTTTACGCATAAATTCATCCACTCCAGGACGTTTTAGTACATATACATTGTGATATTGATTATCAATCTCCACAGGTACAATAAAATCAGGATTAGGAATAATCTAAATAAATGTTTGTATTACTTTAACATGTAACGTTATTAAGAAAAAAAAAAAGGAATACCTTAAATGAGCTATGAACTAATGTTTCGTCAAGATCAAGTACGAGGCATTTCCTTTGCCTATCTTCATTTGCTAATGGCGGTAATAACCATACAACAGGTCCCTATACATTATATATATACGGATTTTCCTCCCTAAATTAACCTACTGACTAACAAAAAAAAAAAAAAAAAAAAAAAGAAAAAAAAAAAGAAACTTACAACGGGAGAAGTTTGGGATTGAAGAGATAAAGGAGAAGCGGATTCATTATTATTATTATTATTATTAGGTTCGTCTACTTCCACTCTATTATTGGCCGCAGATGAAGAAGAGGAAGACAAGTTATCTAATTCAGTTAGATCAGTAACAATAGCGGGAACAGGTGAAGTAACTTTATCATCTGTCTTCTCTTTAATTTGTTGATTATTATTGTTATTACTGAGGCTGCTACTATTCTTTTTACTGATTGATGATTTGTCGCTATTATCGAGAAAAGAACCTGCACCTACTGTACAACATAGTAATAAAGACAGAAATCCATTTTTATGAACTGGCTTCATTGAACCTGTGCTGCTGCCATGTCTACTTGTTGTTGAAGATGGTCGATTAATCTTATTAGGCGGTAAAGGTGATTTTACATATTCAGGATCAAGCTGCTTTTTTCCTTTACGAGAGATGTTATTTATTTTGTCCTACAAACATAAATGAAAATACTTTACCTTTCTTTATTTCTGAAGAAGAGTTGTTATGAGTCAAAGTTAAACTTTTATTTTTTGATTCATCTAAGCTTTCTACTTGTGACATTGTTAAAATAAAATAAAGTAAAAAGGCTTGAAATTTAAACGATCTATACTGAATTAATAAAAAAGGGTAAATCTTTTTTTTTTCTCGTTTTCTAGTTTAAATAGTCTTCTTCTAAAAGATGTGTATCTCCGTTTCTTTCTTTCTTTTTTTTTTTTTTTTTCCTTTCTAATGAAGATGCTGTTGGTTAACAAAAAAAAAAAAAAAAAAAAAAAAAAAAAAAAGCGCTTTTGTCGCTATAAAGTTTCTTGTTCGTTGAAAAAAAAAAAAAAAAAGGAGAGTGTGTGTATGAATACATTTTTATCACGTGCATAACCGCCTATAAAATAGGTTTGATTGTCATTGTAAATTTTATTAGAGAAGTGTATTTCTTTTATATAAATAAATAAATTTTATAATGCATTTATTAGTTGGGTTAAGCAATACTCATCGAAGTATAAGCCTAAGAAGTATATCCCAGCGATATTTATCAGCACCTATAAAGATAAATACACGAGCCTACGTCCGGCCACATTATTATAATTTAACTGAACAAAAATCTTTTCTACAAAATAATCCCATTAAACGATTTATAAATAATACAGACCCTAATAAAGTACTTTGGACCGTCATCGGTACTAATGTTGGTGTCTTTTTATTATGGCAATATTCTTTCAGCTCATATAAACAATTTGGTGATGCTAATTGGCTTAACTTTATGGTTAAGAATTTTGTTAATTCATCTGAGGCTATTCATAATGGAAGATATCATACATTATTGACTTCATGTATTTCACATAAATCTTTGGACCATCTTGGAATAAACATGTTTGTTCTTTATAGTATAGGTCAAGGTGTAATTGAAGCTATTGGGGCATCTCGCTTCTTATTACTCTATGCTGGTGCTGGTTTAGCTTCTTCAATTATAAGTATTGGATTTAAAAAATATATTCGACCCCTGTTGTCAGATAAGAACGATAAACAAATAATAACTAAAGGATCTATGGGCGCCTCAGGTAAAATGAATGTGTATCTATTTATTAAAATACTTACAAAATTATACAGGTTCTATTATGGGTATTACTACTTTCTTTGCTTGTGCATGTAAGTATATATTTATGCTATCTTATGCTTATTTTTTTTTTTTTTGCTAACATGTAATTATAGTTCCAAAGACAACATTTTTAGTTTTCTTTATTGTACCTATGCCTGCAATAGCTGTTGTGGGCTTGTTTGCAGCTTATGATATATATAAAGAAATGACATTAAATGTAAGTTAATATGCATATACTTATATATTATATAGTACGAAATTCATTTATCTATAATATAGACCGGAATAGTAGATAGTGCAGCTCATTTAGGTGGAGCTGCTTATGGAGCTGCTTATTGGTTGTTCAGGGTACGACCTTTATTAAGAGCTGGTAGATGGAGATTATAACATCATATAAACAATTTATAATCTTTAAATACACAAAAATATTTAATGCTTCTAAACAAGACAATGATGTATTTTGTAATCGTTATTTTTGCTTATGAAAAGCAGTTAAGTCAATTATTCATCCTTATTCTTATATTTTAGAAAAGAAAAAGGATTTAATATTGAAGTCAGTGCTGTATTGATTGATTTTGATTGTTGACCGAGAAATGCTTGTATTAAAAGCAATAATCGCAAGCCAGACACTGTCTCAAAATTTAATTATGATTTATGCAGACAATGAATTTGCCATAATATATCCTACGCTATTACTTCAACTAGTATTCTTTTGATATCTAAGTGAGCTCTTGCTCATACTTTGCTTCAGTGATATCGCTCGCTACTTGTCTACTCATTATCCTTATATGTGATCTAAAGAATAATTGCGTTCAAATACCTGAATATGACAATTTCAATAAGTTATTGGTTCTGACAATTGATTATATGAATAAAAATCATTTGTTGGTCTTACAAGGAAAAAAAAAAAAAGATGATATTAGAAAACTTTGTTGTAGAATATAAGCAAAGCCTGCTTCATAGAATAACGTTGTTTTCTATATAGTACTACTTATTGGCAGTCGTTCAGTCATAAACTCCCTCCTCACACTTTTACTAAAATATGAAAATTATATACCTATCTTGCAACGACTGACTACCAAAATATTACATATAACTATATCTATATTTTATAAATTTATTATCATTTTTAAACATTATCGTTTGATGTTTTCTAGCCGAGCTAGCCGTGTGCAATTGTTATTTTAATACATTGTTGGTAGCATCTAATTTTGAGTTCATGGATTGATAAAAAAAAAATAATAATATTGCCTGAATATTTAACTCAATGTAGTGTTTTGACCTACTATAATCAGTTATATACATAATTTTAGTCATGAAAACTCATTACGTTTCAATAAAGGATAGAAGTTAAAGTAATTCTTTGAAAGGGAAAGCTATTACTAGTTGAAGCAAATAAAGCCAATCTGTTTAGCAATAAATGAACTATTCATTAAATATAATGAAAAAAAAAAAGGATTATTTTAAAAGATAAATGCAAAGTTAAATATTATATTAATTTTAAGTTTACTGTCTATATTGTTTAGATCAGACATTCTTCTGTTTAATTTTATTAATTTCAATTGTCTAGTTATTTATCAGAAAGGCGAATAATAATAAAAAACGCTTGGTATACATGTATATTTCAATCTATATTAATAATGAGTAGGCGGAAAGGACGAAGCTGAATCTAATGGACTAGGGGAGTGTGAATGAGATTGTTCATTTTTATGAGTAGCACTATTATGGCTGCTTTGATGATATTGATGATGAAAAGAGGATTTAATAGGCTCAGCTTTTGTAATACTTTGGTATGTTGTCATATTTTCTGATGAAGGTGAAGGTGTTACAAAGTCTTCATTTTGATTCGTTATTAAAGGCAATAAAATATGACTATTACCAAGTTGGCTTGAATCTACGGAAGATTTTCTTGTAATAATTGCAGATTTATCTTCTTCTTCTTCTTCTCTATATTGATGCTTTGTTATTCGATTTTTCATCAATACATTTAACATTCTTCTACCAAAAGTATTCGTTTGCTTCTTTGGAGAAAACAAAGCAGGTTCTGTACCATAATGTCGAAGACGAAGTTTATTTATAGGCATCCAATCTTGGCTAATTCTACAATAACCATTTTCCTTTCCTTCAGGTAAGCTTACCATAGATAATTGAGATTTGAAACTAGACCGTGATAGAGTACTTCCAATAGTATTTGTGCGATACACAGATTTTCGATATTCATCAAAAACATGACTATCATCTGAAGAGTAAGCAAAACCTGTAAATGACATTCTTTTACCAGTTTTCATATTCATAATTTCGCTATTGCCAAATTTAGTAGCCAAAGTACGACGCAAACCGAATCGACTACGTTTCCTCTGCTTCTTCTTAAGTTCATAATCTTCTTCATATATATCCTCTTCATCAGAAACATAGGATTGATTATAGTTTTGTTGATCTGAAGAAGATACACATGATCTTGTTCTCATCATGTTAATAGGTATCTCTTCCTCTTCCTCTAAGCCTTTTGTATCATATCTTTTTCTGGATTTACTATTTTCATCAAATTTAGAGCAGTTACAAAGAACAATTTCTCTAATGATATCATTATCGAAGGGATAGTATGTCTGTAAATAATACTTTGCGATAAATCTGGGCAATAGACAAACAATAAAAGTCAAAATAAGACAAAGCCAGAATGTTCCTTCACTAAATAGAATGGCTTCACCATAGAATGTAAATGTCATGATATTAGAATAAATCCCAGTCCAGATAAAGAAAGTTGCACAAGAAATAATAATGCATAAAATCATAATCCAGGTCCAGCTGAAGATCGTAAGACCGACAAGAATGTTAGCTACAACAACTGCAATACCGGCTATAAATGTACCAAGTTCGAAAACTCCTTCAGTATCATAACCATTACTACTCATTTTTGGCCCTATGAACATCATGTACGGCAATCCAAAGCAAACAGCAGATTGATAAATAGCATCAAAAACGGTTAGGAAAAAAATAGTGGGCGTAAATTTATCATTTCGAATACCCATTAAATACAACCGAGGAAATTTGAAAGAGTATTCTGCTTTCAAATCTTGATCAAATACGCCTGTTATGTTAATAATAGTTAGTACAAAGATATATAATATGTAAAATAATCGTCTATATTTACCTGCAAAGATACACGGTAAAGATGTAAAAACAAGATTATATAAAGTGATATAGGAATAATCAAACATCATAGTACCAGTAAATCTTTTTTTTTTTTTTTTTTTTTTTTTTTTTTTTTTTTTTTAAAAAAAAAAAAGAAAAAAAATTAGTATCTATAGAATATAACATACGTACACATGGCTAAATTTTATTTTACCCGCATATTAATTGATACCAGAATAATACTAAAGTCCACATAATATTTTTGTAAAAGAAAGTCATGATCATTTCTGATGTACGTAAATATGACCACCGGCCATGTACTAATAATAATTTACTTAAATAACTGAATTGGGCAATTGCATAATCAGATGCCATCACAGCTTGTCTTCCTTCTTCCCCGGATATTCCTATGCCAACGTTTGCCGCTTGTATCATCGAAACATCATTGGCTCCATCTCCAATGGCTAAAGTCATAACTTTTAGACCCTTTTTAACAAGATTGACTACCTTTGCTTTTTGCATTGGACTCACACGACAGCAAATAACCGCACAGCATTGTACTCCAAGCTTTAATAAGACTTGATTACAAGGGTCTTCTAATGCAAACTTTAAGGACTCACCATCAATTACTAAGGCACACTTTTGTATCTTGGATTTTTCTTCTACTTCATCTAGCGATTTTTGTAATTGTTCCTTTGTTTCTCCTTCATCTCGTGCATTCACGCTAATTAATAGCATGTCTTTCGTAAGTAGATTGCAAGCAAAACCAATATTAATAGCTGTTTCAACTTTATCACCAGTAAGTACCCAAATTTTTATACCAGCTTCTGCAAGGACAGCGATGGTATCAGGGACACCTTCTTGCAGTTTATCTTCAATAGCAGTGCCGCCCATTAATGTCAATGATTTTTCGATTTCTTCACATACACTTTCAATCTGTTCGTCACGGTTACTAATACTGTTGGATGCCGCCTTATAACGTATGACCCATTTCTGATATTCATCTTCATCAATAACACGACTAGCGATGCACAATGTTCTAAGACCTAAAAATACATGTCAAATAAGCTATTCACTTAAAAATAAATAATAATAATAATAATAAAAAAGAATGTGTAATTCCATTTTCTTTCTTTTTTTTATATATACCTTCGTTAGCAAAAGTAGCTAAATGTTGTAATGTTTCTTCTCTTACTTTTAGTTGATTTTTACTGGCTTCATCTGTTAAACTCTCAAGACCAGTGGATAACCTTTCATAAATGACAGAATCAGCACCTTTGCAAAGTAGTATGATTTTACCCTCTTGAGGTGATCTCATGATAATACTCATACGCTTTCTTGTTGAATTAAATTCTAAAACATGCAACAATTCCATAGAACGTAGCTCACCCATAATATCAACCATTACATTATCTTGTTCTCTGGCTACAAATGTAAATCCCATATCACGAGCAGTCGCTACTAAAGCGGCTTCATCTGGAGATTGAGCTTTATATTCAATCACATTTGGAGCAGACTCATCAGGTATTTCAGGAATAACGGTGTGACATAATGCCAATGCTGAAAAGAAATGAACTATATTTTGTGATTGTTCATCCTGAGCACTAATGTCATCAAATAACTGTGGGTCCACAAAAGTTGAGCTTGAGCTGGCATATTTGTGGTCAAAGAGCTCACTTTGCTTTTGTAACATTTCTTCTCGTGCCTTATCAATATCAATCTCTGGGGTATATGCATCTTTATTGTCTCTTAGCTTGGCTCCAATAGATGCCTCTGTCTCACCTAAGCCATAACAGATACCATTAATAGTGCATCGTCTAAATTCCATAATGTTTTGTGTAAGAGTGCCTGTCTTATCAGAAAAAATATATTCTATTTGTCCGAGGTCATCAGATATATTCCAAGTTTTAGGTATACAGGGTTGATTAAGTTTCTCATTATAAAGATCAATATCTGTATGAATAAAGTAAGCCTAATTTTGAATATGAGTTATGTAAAAAAAAAAAAAAAAAAAAAAAAAGATAATGATATAGGAAAAAGACTTTATATTTACAGCTGCAGTTTTGACGATTTGGACGGAAATATATAAAGAAATGGGTATGATATTTTGATAAATAACTAATGTTGTCCTATTTAGATACCAGGATAAGTGCTCCATATCATATTATCTGCTATTTTTTTACCTCTTTACCAAAACATAATGAATCCTTCCATAGCTCCACTTTCAGCATCTTTGCTTTCAAAAAAACTTGCAGAAGAATAATTCTTATTATAAATTATGCTTGCAGCAATAGAACATATTAAACACAAGATCAATAATAATATAAAATTAACAATAACCTAAAAATAGATGTGTAATAAATATACATTTTCGTCTTTCAAAAAAAAAAAAATACATGAATAAATAAATACACACTTACAAATGGATTTGTAGCTTTTTCCATTTTACTTTGTTTACTTGGCGTTTTCCCTGAATTAAGCATAATTTTTGTTTCATTCCCCGTAAATAAGACAAGACCAATAACCCAGCCTGTATTTCTTAAGACAGAGCCACGCAATAAAGTTGAATTTGCTGTGATTGCTTCTGTTTTCTCGTGAGATACTTCTGATATTATTTCATCATCGTATAGATTTGATATTTCATTTATTGTTTCCAACTCCATTTCATCTTCATCCTTAGTTATCGTAGTAGAGCTAAATCCTTCATCTCCAGTTAATTTTTCTTTTGTGTGTATGGTATCAATCTTCCATTTCAAGACACCATTATAGGAATATAAATTAGCATGCGGAGGTTCGCTTTCGATATAGAATTTACTATTTTTACAATCTTCAGGAGTGCTAAGTATGTTTGTGGCTTGAAGTGATCTTTTGATTTTCAAGTTAGTTTCACCATCCAAATTTTGCGTTTCAACATAGCAAAGCCCATCAGGTTCTGAGCTTGATAGGATGACTATATCAGCAGGAATAGGATCGTCATTACGAAGAAAGACAAAATCACCGACTTTTATATTTTCCCATAATGTAGGTTTCCATCCTTTATCTAAAGGTATACGAACTGATGTTGGTCTCTTCTTTTCGTTTTCATCTTTTACATTAGATGGTAAGACAGAATGTGGTAATTGACCAGGTCGATAAGGCATATGTTTCCTTTTTAACAAGATTATCTTTGGAAGAGAGGCTGTAGATTTGATTGTATTCTTTAATGTTGATGTGACAGAAGGTAATGGATGTCGATAGCTCGAATCCGTATCCGTTATAGTGATATTGATCTTTGACGATACGTCTGATTTTCGATAAGAAAGGAACCTCTTTATCGAATATAAGACTCGTTTCCACCTTGCAACTTTATATACAGGTATATTGACGTTTTTCCAATCTGATAGTGTATATGTTACAGTTTTATTAACGCTTTCGTCTGTTTGACGTCGTTTATTATCTTCTACAGCATCTTTAGCGCCTGTTAAAATCAATATAGCAGCTAAAGGTAACACTACTAATACCGGGGAGGCTGTGGTACTGAAGAGAGGAAACATTTGAAGGATAACTAGGAATAAAAAATAAAGATTTGCAATTCCACGAAACTGTTCAAATAAATTTTTTGGCAGAAAGGTATACCAAGTATATTTTGCTGTATTAATTCGATTAGAGATATAAGTTGTAGTAGGTTGACCATATTCGTCTAAATTATCAGGTGGAATATCGACATTTACATAAATAGTACGCCTTTCTTTTGAAGTATCTGGAAATAAACTTTTAGTAGATTTTTTATTTAATTGGCCTTTCTCTGTTTTCAAAAATCGATTTGTATTTGATTTCAAGTGTTCAAGTAACTTTGAAAAAGACATACTATAAGAAGAAGAGAAGAAAGAAAGAAAAGAAAAGAAAGAATATCTTCTTTCCCCTTTAAAATATAAATATTTATTTATAATGAATTAAATTTGTGTACCATTTTTTATTACCAATTTTGTGTTATTTAAAAGAAATTTCTATTTGACCAAATTGTCTATATGTCAAATATTATGTAATATATAAATATGTATATATAAAACAAAAAGAGTAAATGTAGTTAAAAAATCAAGAATATTCAAATGGGAGGTATGGGATTGTCTGAAAGTTCGCATATTACAGATATCCATTAGCTTATGTAAACAAAAAAAAAAAAAAAAAAAAAAGCTTGTGCTTCTCTTCTAAACTTATTTTTCAAATATTAATCTTAAACTAAAATATAGCCCGAAGTCTTTTTAACTTCCGTATTTAGTTTTTTTCATGTGCAGTACGATAAAAGAGTACTTTTATTTATAAATATATAAAATGAGCTTATAAAGAAAAGAAGAGAGTCTGAGTAGTTAGTACATCAGAAGTGAATCTAGATTGGAGAGAATTATTAACCAAATGATACATCCATATAATATAGAGAAGCTAACATACAAACTATGGAAAAGAAGCTGACGGGGTGATAGAAGTTTTCTTTTTATTATTACTTCACTAATAGCATTTATTACGAAGATAATTTGATTATCCCTATGTACACACATATATATCTTTGATGGCCTTGTGTTATCTCATTATAAATTAACGAAAACTGTGTGTTTTTTTTTTCATCTTTACAGAAGAACATTACGACTTCACAATAGGTTATTATTTAGGTGAAATAGATGTAAATAGCTATATTTTTTCTAAAATATATATTTAGTAATTACTAACATTAATGTTTCGAACATTTTTTTTTTCAAAAAAGAAGAATGCTCCTTTGCGTTTATTATTATAAAAGTAATGATGACATATTCAAATTTTGCTTACACTTCATGTTGGCTTGCCAAATGCACGATATACTGAGTTTGAAACTATTTACCACTACTACTGTTGCAAATTAATCTTACAAGAAAAATCCAGGAAATTGGCATTCATTTTCATACTGCTTATACCTTTTAACCCTTGTTGTACAGAAATAGATATATATTCTTATTTATTCACCCAAGTATTATCAGATAATAATAATAATATTAATAATAAAAAAGGGAAAATGGAGCCTTCAACTTTTGATAAAATGAAAATGGGCGCAATGATGGGTGGCACTGTTGGTTTATGTATTGGCTTTGTTTTTGGGTCTATAAGTCTTATGAGGTATAAAATAAAAATCGTAAGATTATGAATCCAGTATTAAAAGAGTGCTTAATATTTGTCTAGGTATGGATCAGGCTCCAAAGGTCCTATTACAATGCTTAGTAAGTACATGATTGGGTCAGCAGCTTCATTTGGTTTTTTCATGTGTAAGTTTTTTTTTTTTTTTTTTTAATGAAATTCAATGTTTAGAAATGTAAAATTGTATATTCAATAATGTATATTTTCTTCTCATGTAGCGATAGGATCTGTTGTACGATCTGAAAGCAGGTTTCAAACACCTAATATGAATTTGCCTGTTATCATTAATAACCATCGATTTGGTGAGAATAAATCTGCATTCCATCAAGAAAATAAAGAAAAGTAATATTTTTATTTTATTTTATTTTATTTTTTTTTTTTTTTATTCTGTAAGCTTTTTTTTTTTTTTTTTTTTTTTTTTTTTTTTTTTTTTTTTTTTTGAAAGCGGGTATGCTTTATGGCTTGAACAAAAAAAAAAAAATCCTTGTTTAATTTTGTACATTCTTTAAAACTTTTCTATTGATTTACACATGAATATAAAAGAAAAAAAAAAAAAAAAAGGGAATGTATATAAATAAAACCACCAAAAAATAAAAAAAAAATTAAAGGGGATATATGAACAAATCTTTATTGTTATGTATACTTTGTGAAATCAAGTAAAGCTTCGTAGGGATAACCGTCTTTACCGATCTTTCCAGCATTGCTGTTTGGATTTGCATTATTTTCAGGTATAGTAGGCGTAGCTGAAGAAGATAAGCTATTATTAGCAGCCTTATTCGTTAATCTTTCTTTAACTCTTTGAATTTGTCGTAATCTTTCTCGCCAGTGAGAAACATATTCGTGTCTTCCTCCAGCACTTGCACTTTGCCAAAAGACTTGAGCAAAAATATTCGCATGAATTGCTGCTTGGCGTACGAATTCAGGTAATGATTGTGCACTTACTAATTTAGGCTCCTCACCAAAAGGCCCAATATCTGGCATATCAGGTCTACGTTGTAACTCTACCTTAAAGAACGTGTTCTCAGTACCTGTCAATGCGTGGGCTGGTGACATTGCTTCTGTTGAAATTGAATGTGGAGAGACAATGATATTAATGAAATTAAATTGTGAAGGTAAAGTATCAAACGCATAGTCTAATCCGGAATCATTGTAGACAATCGATACATAGTCATTACCAATATGTCTCTTCTTAGCACTACATTGTGGATCACGTTCCAAGTTGGTAGGCATCAAGGTTGCAACATGAAAGACAGCTTCTGTTACATCATCTTTCCAAAAATAAGCAAATCGCCCATCAATGTCCATTTCCTTGTCAAGACCACCTGTATTACCCGTACGTCCATGTAAACGTTGAATTGTGCCCAGAGCATTCAAAAATCGTACATAATCGGGTGACCCGTATGTGTTGGCTAAAATATCCACTTCTTTCGTCTGTCCTTTACCTACGTACAACACTCCAATCTTATGAAAGTCAACAACAGGAATACGATCAAACGTAGCTAGTGTACGTGCAGTTGTTTCATCATCAGGTAAAGGAGGTGAAATATCGAGGGTACGACCTATATCAGGATAGTTATTGAACTGAAGATACAGGAAGCCAGGGTCAATGGATGGTTCAATTTTACGTAACTGCGTAACAGGATTATAATAGGTAGAACTTGATTCATCACCGGTCAATTTGGGGTCTGATAACACCTCACGAACAGCTGTTTCTACTGCTTGTCTTTCATTTTCAATCAACGATTTATCTCTGACAGTATCATTCGTAGTCACCTCTATACCAAGGCAATTGTTTGGATTGGACATATCAATAGCAATGTCGGAGTTATTGCTTACCAACATTTGACTAAATGAAGGTCTACGAGCCTCTAGTGTTGATGGAGATGTCATATCAGTCAATGAATCTTTTATTTTTGAAGGACCTACTACTAATCCTTCTGATTGTGCCTCTGAAGCTGCATTTGTTACAACTTGTTGTTCAAGCCCATCATCATTTAGTAAGTTATCAGGCTTCTCTATATTTCGATCCTTGGTATTTTGATTTTCTTCAATATTATCTTCTTGGACTTGTTCTTCATCATCATTCCTATTATTATCACGATCTTTTAACATTTTGGAAGCCATAATATCAGGTTGATACTGCATCATTAAGAGTGCTGGTAAGGTTCGATAATCAATGTTATCTGATTTAACTTTATTCTCGATATAGCACATCATGGACACTGTACCTGAGGGTCGACGTACAGTCACTTCGATCCATCCTGACGATTTAGCCATCTTCAATGTCAACAAAGTATGGCCATATACCCACGTACGTTGACTCTGCTTAGTAGATGATGCTGTCGTATCACCATCTCCCATTAAAATCTTGGACACAATCGACTTTTCAGGAGCAAGACTTACATCAGCAAATGAAAATCGAGAAAGCATATCAATACAAGTATATGTTTGCTCATCAATTGATTTTCCTATAGAAATGCCGCTTAATAAACGCTGAATAATAAAGGGTACATGTTTTCGACGTTCACGTAATGGGATAGCTGTAAACCAAACGGTAATAACTAAATATGCCATAATTAATACATATTGTTTTAGAGCGCTCTGACCAATTTCTTTTTGTCCATTGATTGTTGATGAACCACTGATAGCAGGGATTGTAGTATTAGTACCAGGACTCATCATAGGTGAAGTAGCAGGTGTATTTAGGGGTGATTGTTGTTGCAGTTGCTGCTGCAGTTGCTGCAGTTGCTGCTGCTGCTGCTGTTGTTGTTGTTGTTGTTGCTGTTGCTGTTGTTGTGTACGAGAATATTGCAAATAGTTCAAAGCAATTGCAAACACAGGTTTATACATATCTCCAGTAAAATTAGCATAGAGCTTAGGTAATCGCGCTAATGAAGATAAAAATTCCAAAATGTGAACTGAAACACTACTAACAGAAATAATTTGAGACATACGTTGAAGAATCTCATTCAACATTTTCGTTACGGAGAGTGGCATTTCATGACAGCAAACAGCAAGGGAATTAATACAGAGCCGTGTTGCGCTTGTCACTTGTGTAATTCCCACATAGAATGCATACACAATTTCGTCTTGATCCTGTTTAGGTTCAGTAAAAACACGTCGGTAAGAGATTAAAACCGTTAACAAGTTGTAAGCATAGACAAGAAGGTCATTGCGTTTAGTATGAGGTGGTAAGTTAACAACAGATTCTAAAAACTTTCGTGTGCTTGTCCATTTGACGAGTCGACGGCGAAGCTTGTTTATATGGGGTGAAGCGCCACAGAATAAATGTTTGTTACTTAACTGTTGAGGTAGTCGTTTCAAAACAAATAATACAACTGACCAGTTTGGTGAATGAGAAAGGATACGAACATAAGATTTCAACATTTCATTAATATCTAACACAGTTTCTATCCCCTCATTAAGCTTTTCACTATAAGATAGAATATTAGGGTTTGGATAAAATACAGGCTGTTTTTCTTGTCCTTTGGTTGGCTCAGATGGTTGAATACCAGAAGATCCTTGTTTTGAACTAATAGCAGGACAGGGTATCGTACTACCGACAAGCTTTTTTTCTTTGCCTCTTGTCTTTTATTATGCTGTTGAGCACGAATTACAGATATAACACTGTTTTCTTCTTTTATACCTATTATGCATATACAAATACATACATATATATATGTATATAAGTGAGGAAAGTTCAATGCATAATTGAGATAGAACAAAAAAAAAAAAAAAAAAAAAAAAAAAAAAAAAAAAAAAAAAAAAAAAAAAAAACTAGTGTATTACTTACTGTCATGAATAAGAAATAAATGATGGTTTGTTGGACATCTAAATCTTAATAAGAGATCTAAAGCAACAATCTTAGGTCCACCATAAGGACATGCAAGATCTGAACGATCATTAGCAATTTCAGTGATAATATTAAAGGTTTTTTCACAAAATTTACTATTTGATGCTAATAAAAAATTTTCAAATAGTTCAGAGATACCACACATAGCAGGTACACCTTGACAATGTTCGCCGCGAAGAAAAGCATCTGTTGTAGTCTCAGTTATGAATGTCAAATTTGCTTTAAACTGTTGTGTTGTAGAAGAAATAGAAGGAGATGCAGTAACGGACGATGAAGCTGAATTAGTAGTTCTGTGTATTTGTGGTGAATGAGGAGGTCGAATAGAAGAGGATAATTTATTATTTAAAGACTGATTATGATGGTGTTGTTGTTGCTGCTGTTCATCAATGGTACTACATTGACACTTTGCACATTCTCTTAATATGGTAATCATATTATTGAAGATTGACTCACTTTGACAATCTGACAATGATGATACCATTAAATCAATTGCTAACTGTCGTATATGAGGATCTGTCTCCAAAGGGAGTCTTTGCATAATAGGGATAACAACTGCTTCATAAATATTCTCTGAATAAAAATCCTTGACTGAAGCACATACATCCGCTACAATATTCAACATAGTCAGACGAATAGCTGTTGTTGTTGTAGTCGGGTTAGCATAAATATAGAATGTATTAGTAACTTCTTGTAATAATTTTAACCAATTCTTAGAGGATGGTAGTAATAGATGTTCAGTAACATAGTAATTTAAGAGAATAGAAGCAGTATTATCACAACAATAAGCACGCAGTTCAAAGAGAACGTTCATAAATCGACTCAAGGGGCCCTTATAGTCCTTCTTTTTGTATAACTGGATTACAATCTGAATAAAGCAAGCAAATTGATGAATACAAGATAAAGAAGATGAACCTGATGTTTCGACGTTGAATAAATTGATATCACTGTTACTGTTATTATCTGTCGTTTTCTTTACATAACTTGTGATAATATCGACAATATCCCATACTTCATCCCAATCCATTAAACTTAGGTTATTTTCCGGTGTTTCGATTAGTAATATTAAAGATTTTAAGATGGTACCATTTATGATGTCGTTTCCTTTTGTAGCAACTCTTTTCAAATACATTAATATTATAGAATCAGAAACCATATATGTTTCTGCACCTATTCTGTTTGTTTTTCCCCAAGCTATTTCGCTTAATAATCTAATAGCTCCTTTTATCAAAATGTTCTCTTTATCTATTTTAGACGGTTGCTTATCTAAGAACCGGCATAATGTTAATATAGCTGAATGTGCGCAATGAGATCGAAGTAAGTTTAAAAATATCGGCCAACAAGATACAGCATTACTTGAAGTAGCAACAGGCTTTTGTCGAGTAGTATCCGATAACAATATAGCAGAAGCAGCAACAATATCCAAAAATGGTGTTAATGCTTCAAAAGGAACGAACCGATAGCGTACAACAATATCTGTAAATTCTAGACATGCTTGAATATCATCTAAATGTTGAGAAGAAAAAAATGCCTTGTGTGCTGCAAGAATCATTTGTGCTACCTCATCCTCCTCAAACAAAGCAAAGTTAAATTTAGCGATGACCGTAAGGAAATGCATCAAGTCGCTTAAATAAGGTATTGCTTGTATTTGTTGTTGAGAAGATTTCTGTTGTAATGCGACATCTAGCCAATGAATTATCAACTTTGTAATGTTCTTTTCGAAACCAGAGATATCTCTGCCTCCTTTACATAAAGCAAATAAGGTCTTGTACATATCATCAAAGTCCTCCCAGTGGGTGTAGTTTCGCAATGAGGCATAAAATGTCACCCGCGCCATACCCAAGTCGTTATATTGGCCAATAATACAAGCTAACATGAACTCAAATACGCCATGTCGAGCTTCACGTGGCATATTTGGTTGAAGTATGTCCTGTACTGTAAAGAACACATTTTCCAAATGTGTAAATCGATAGGTTTTACAAATTTCAGAAAATACTGCTAAATGTTTACAACGGGATTGTAAAGGCTGTGATTGTTCGAGTAATGGTAAAATAGGTCGAGCATCTAATGGTTGAGACGGATCTTTACTAGAAAGATTGAGACAAGATTCTACAGTTATTGATGATGCTCGTGAACGAAGAATATTACTTAACCAATGATTAGAAGTTTGTTGTTTTTGTGAATTAGCCGTCATTTATTATGGTTAATATTATTATTTAATTTTGGTCAAGTAAAGAATATAAACTAGTTAAAGCATAATAAAACAGAATAAAATGGAATAATATAAAATGGAATAAAATAAAATAAAATAAAATATTGCACAGACATTTATGTGACGACTTAAATAATAGTAATTATTATTATTTTTTTTTTTTTTTTTTTTTTTTTTTTTTTTTTTTTTTTTTTAATAATTAAAAAAAAAACCCCATTTATTAGAATTTGAAGACTTGATCACTAAGTTTACTAACAGCACGAGGTTTGTCATATCCTAATTCAGTCAAATTCTCAGTCATAGCTTTAACCATTGGTAAAGGACCACAGATTAACATTTTAATATCACTAGCAGGAGGAGGACAACGTTCGCGAATCATATCTGCTGTAATAAATCCAGAACCTTGAGACCAGCCAGAAGGAGGTTTATTCAAAACATGATAAATATTAATATTATCATGTTTTTTAGCAAGTTCATCTAATTCTTCACGAAGTAAAATATCTTCTTCAGTAACATTACCATAAATAAGACTCACTTGAGTTTTATCATTAGGATTCCTTACGATGGCATGAATAATCTTATAGAATAGCATTTAGTATACATATATATTTATATACATATATAAATTATGTCATCTTTTATTTTACCTGAAGCATAGGCGTTATACCAGTACCGCCGGCAAGCATACCAATCGATCTACACATATTAGGAGTATAGTTAAATGTGCCCTTAGGTCCTCTTACCGAGATTTCATCACCAATCTTAAGTTCACTAAATAGTCTGGAAATATTACCAGAAGGATAAGACTGTATAAAAAAAAAATATGAACTTGTTTGTTTTTTTTCCATAAGTATATAAATAATATTACCTTAATGAGTAAGTCGAAATGACCTTGAACATCATCAGAAGTAATGGGAGTATAGCTACGAGAAATTTGTTTACCATTAATCTCGGCCATAACAGACACATGTTGACCAATAGGAAGACCAAGTACAGCATCTTTACGAGGCAATTCAAAACGGTAGCTAATACAACCATTAGTAAATATATAATTTGTTAAAATTAGTTTTATATACATGTATTATATTACATGGCAGTATTATGAGAAATAACAATTTTTTCTATTAATTTAAACTTTTTGAATACTTTAGCATCTAGAACTTCAACTATGTATATATGAAAAAAAAAGAAGAAGAATTATTTGTCATGTCAATAAAATACATTAGCAATGTCATTTTAAACAAAAAATTACCTTTTTTATTGAAAAAGAAATAAGCACTTCCTGCAGCAATAACAGCTGGAATCAAGTAGGGTAAATAGTTTTGAATAGAATCCATTGTTTAACTGAAGAAGAAAAAAAAAAAAAAAAAAAAAGAAATTTTTAATAGACAGAATTTGGGGTATATGTATCGACATTAATCTAATTGAAAAGGACATGTGATAGCCGTGTTGTAGTAGGTTACAATCCCCGCTCCTTATTGTTTTGGATGTCTTTGAACAAACAGTAATGTTATTAATTTTAAAAACTTAATTGTATGTAGGATATTGAATAAATCAAAAAACTCCGGATCGGATTATCAATGATAGGAGAATCCCAAAGAACGATAACAAAAAGTATTGCCGGCACTATTAGTATTAAATGGAAGTTAAACAAAGAACGTTTACCAAGTTTGTGAAGAATTACGTAAACAGGCCCCCCCAAACAAAGGATATCAAAATATAAATACGATTTGTGTGTACAGAAAGCAAATTTAAAAGATAAAGTTACAAATGTATCAACTATTTCACGCAATTGAAGATAGATGCTACATTTGGAGACAGAAGATAGAATGCTGTTTTGTGAACAATTGTGTAGGGTGTTTAGCCTGATAAGTCGAATAACTACTAGGTAGCCAATCAAGGCACCAATCACGTCCAACAAAGGACAGAGTAGGATTTAATGATAAAATAAGTTCGCGTAGTGATAATATCAAAAGTAAATTCTATGTTGACCTAAGTTGCATTTTGATATTGTGTTTAAATTTGTTGGGCGTTAAACAATGTATTTTGGGTTGACACTATTTCTAAATTGGATTAGTTGGTAATGGCTTATATCATTGAGACTTAATTGTAGAGAAATAATGAGAAACAAGATAATAAAGCGCCATTAAATAAATTTAAGGAACATAATAAAACCGTATTTTTAAGATTATGGAGTCCTTTACTGTATGAGCAGTATTCTAGTCATATAGGATGAATTCAACAAATAATGTATTTAAACTATTGAACTTTTTTTTTTTTTTTTTTTTTTTTTTTTTTTTTTTTTTTTAATTTTAAATCATTTAATATCAGTATTGAATTAACAAAAAGGTTTAATTCCTATTTAATATCGTTTTTCTCTCAAATTCATTACTAATCTGAATAACATTTGTGCATCATTCCCATTAACACATAGATCATCACATACAATAGAATGAGACCAATTCCTTTCAGTAAAAAGATGGATATTTTAGCAAAACTTAATGCTAAGGAGACTAAATATACAAGAAATTGGTTCAAGTAAGATAAAGTAAATGTCATTGAATGGTCATCATACTCACTTGATTTAAATCCAATTGAAAACCTTTGGTTTTATTTGAAGTGCAAGCTTGCTGCCTATGATAGGCCACCAAAAAAACATGGATGAATTGTGGGAGTGAGTTGCTGATGTTTAGTATAATAAAGTTACAGCCAAACTATGCTTAAAACACATAGAAATCATGCCAAGACGTGTTGAAGCAGTAATTAAAGCAAAAGGTGGTGCTATCAAGTACTAAACATAAAAGATGCGCTGTTTATTACATTTTTCATTAAACTATTTGCATAAAATTTTTATACATATAACTTTTAACATTGTTTTTCAAATAAAAACATTGAATAATAAATATATGCTATAAGTATCATCAAAAAGAGGGGACTTCTGTCTTTCTACTAGTATATGCTATATAGTACTTTACTTAATAAATAGACGCTTTGTTATTGCGGATTTGCATAAATTACCTAAAACTCTGAAACATTGCCACACTTTTGTGAGCCACTGTACATATTTTTTGAAAATTTCCACAATATCAGCAATTCGGTCCAAGTAGCCAAAGATTGTTGGAATTTGATTTATATTCATTGGGAAATTGAATTTGTCCAACTCCACCATAGAATATACGTCCTCATTTTTCTTTTGTAATAAATAAAAAGTAAAGCTTGGCCCAATTGCTTGAATCAATAACGTGCTTTTCAGATCGTAAATATCTATTGCATTTTTGCCAAAGATGGCAAGGCGAACTAAGTCTTGCCATACAAGCTTCATGATTCTTACTTTCTGATTCAGACTTGGCTTCCATGTATCCAATTATGACAAGGTTTTTACGTTCAGACTTTTGTCGGAATTGACCATTTGGCCGTCGGTGAGAAACATCAAACACCTTCTGTTTACATTCTGCATTATTTTCATTTGTAATCTTGAAAAACACCATATTTTCAATATACAAATCATCAAATAATGACTGCAGCACTGGTAAAATGTATCTACTTTTTAAGTCGTCAACCTCTTTAATAATCTCACCCAAGTCATTGAGAGGAAAAGAATCCAACGTGTTTTTTAAAAATTTCACAATAACATTTTGAGTGCCTTGAAGCTTCATACCAATATTCATTAATCGCAAACATCCTTCTTCTCTTGTAATCAACTTTTTAAATACTTGTTGCACTGTTGTAAGTACTGGTATCATTCTTTCAAAAAGAAATTCATTATGATTGATGGTGAGATCGTGGACTTTTATATGTGTAATTATTTTTAGTAAATTACTACGACCAAATGCACTAAGAAGATTACTGTCGGTACTGTTATTTTCAAGGAGTAAAACTGATGAAAGGCATAATATTTCATGGTAGTTTGATTTAAACAAGAATGATGCTCTTTTAGCATGATCATATACTTGCTTTTGATAGTTATGAAACATAAAGGAGGCATCAATGTTATCTACAAAGTAACTATTTGACGCCTCTGGATGTTGTATGTTTTCAGTAAAAAGATTTTAATTTCTTTTGTTAAATTCGTTGCTTATAGATAAGCTGATTTTCGTGCTAGCTTCAGAGTTCTCAACTCCAGCTGTCGAGGGGCAGTGGAGCCAGAGTAACTCAGTCTAGTGTAGATGCACTTTCAACTTAGGTATCGTTGGCAAACTTCTATGCTGTAGTGACGCGGCTTCATATGGGTAACCTAAGGAGTCGCGCCACTACCGACGGTCAAGGGAATAGAAGTAATAGTAATAATGCACCTCAAACCAACGCCTGATGGTATGGTCAGGGGCTGCCCCCCTACACACTTTGAATTGTGTAAGGGGGGGGAGTTTAGTGGATAGCACACTGACTATTTAATAATCTGTTTCCTTCCGGACTCAGTGAAGCGTGGCGCCGAACCGCTGTCAATGTATGGATAACCTGCGGCTTCAGTTATCGGCGACTTTATTGTGAATGCACATGTGGAAGGGTGCAGGATGGGGAAATATCTGTAGTCAGCTATAACCCTAGTTACGGCTCTCTTCCCAGATATCAGGAAACCAAAAAAAAATTAGTAAACCGTATATTTGTAAGAGTTAATGGCTATCATGCTGCTACTAGGAAATGGATAAGGTTTGATAGCCTTACCGGTCCTTTCACCTAATATAAAGACGTGTGCCATTTGTCAAAATTTTTGGCGAAGAGCTGCCGCGTTGCTACTTGAGGGAGTACGTGATCATCCATTCACACCACAGCCATGTTGATAGGTCAGCTACTAGGAATTGGGCAAGGCTTGGTGACCTTACCGGTCCATTCGCCTAATGTACCTAACATGTGCACTTCAACTGTCGTTTTACTAAGTAGGCAAACCTACCTAAAAGTCAATTCAGCTTGATTATCATTTAAACAAAGAAAATAAAAAAAATTGAGCACATTTTGAGCACTATACAAATCCATGTTCATTAAGAATATAATTAATATAAATTGGTTAATTCAAGGAAAGCAGACTTACAAGTACATTCCAATTGTTTGAGAATAATTAAATGTTACAACAATTCTATACAACTTTCCACCATAAAGTTAAAGCTAATTAATCAGTTTATAAGTTTAGTTGTAAGATGCTTTTATATATAGTTTTTCACCTACCTTAAAAGTATTTTATTGTTTATATGATATCTAAGAGAAAGAAAAAGAAAAAAAATAAGGAAATTTTATCTCTTTGACGAGGTGGCATTTTATACCTGATTGGACGACATTTTACTCCTAATTAAGCGATACTTTATTTCTGATTGGAGGATATTTTATTTCTGATTGGACGACAATTTGTTCGGTTCAGACGACATAATTTATTGGAACAACTGTATCTATTAATTGTGTGTGGGGAAATCTTTTTTAATCTTCTCCTCTCCTTTCCCAAAGGAATAAATTATCTTATTTTTTATTTCAGACTTCAAATGTCACAAAATACTCTAAGGCTTCGAGACCCAAATATATATCATGTATTGCCAACAAGCCAACACTCTTCTTATTCAAATAATCTTGTATCAGTAACAGATGCTGAACAATTTCATCAGAGTGAGTCATTCCATCTTCGAATGGCTAGCAATGCAACTAATCAAGACTCACCCAATATAGAACAACATCAAAACAATCATGTTGACTTGCATGATTCGTTTTCCCAACAACATTTGTTACATCCTACTACTACTACAGCTACTACTACCACTGCTACTACTACCACTGCTGCCACCACTGCTACTACCACTGCCACTACTACAGCTACTATTACAGATATATCCTCACCTAACAAAGAAGATTATAATGCTTATCATCCCTTATATAATAGAACTTCTTTCAGTTCAACAAATAATTTAGTAACTAATAATACAAATTTTAATATTTTTTTTTTTGTAACTTTGTATTAAGTGCCATATATAGAATAATAATAATAATCCATTGGATATGCAACATCGTCGATCTTCAGACGCCACTGATATTTCTAACCTAGAAAATCATCATCATCATCATCAACAACAGCCTATCTTTATACCTGGATGTAACCATCAATTTGATTCAAATCATCATTCTATAGCTATATCTGCTCCTGCCAATATGGCCTATGACTATTATTATGAACATAACCAGCAACATCATCCATTCTCACCGCAGCAAGCATACAGTAATACAAACAATGCTATTAAAGTGGAAAATGATAATAATAGTCTACCCAGAAGTTTTGAAGATGATTACACAATGCAAATGAAGTAAGTAAATATAGAAAATACATATAAAAAAAAGATAATGTATTTATTATTATTCGTTATTAGTATGCAATTAATAATGGAGAAACGTAGACGTAGAAGAGAATCTCATAATGCAGGTATATATTAATAAACAAAAAAAATCTATGTGTATATAGTATATTTACTAATTTATCTATTATTAATGTATACAGTAGAAAGAAGGCGGAGAGATAATATTAATGAAAGAATTCAGGAGCTATGTAGTTTATTACCAGAAACGTTTTTATTAGAAGGAGGAGGAAATAATAGTAATAATACTACGAACAATAAGCCAAATAAAGGTTTCATATTGAAAAAGTCAGTCGATCTTATTCGTCAATTACAACAAGAAGTTCAAATATATCATAAAAGAGTTGAAGACTTGGAAAAACTACTAAAAATGTATCAACAGCAAGAAAAGAATGAATTATGTAATAAATACTAATTATTATGAAAATATCTTATGTAATAAATACTAATTATTATAAAAATATCTCAAATTATTGTTATCTTTATTTTTTTTTTGTATCTATTTGATTGACTTTTACTTAAAGTAGCCTTCATACATACTTTTCTTTTTCCTTTTTTATTATTATTATTATTATTATAACATTCAATTCCATGGATTCTCTTCTTCAGTCCAATCCATAATAGGTGGTATAACTTGATTCTGACTATGAGAGGTATTATCTTTATTTCCTTCAATACCTGCAAATCCTATATCTCGACTTTCTTCTGCAATATGTTCAAAAAACTGATGACTATGATTAGAATCTTCTATATTTTTATTTCTTTGTCCTGTATTCCAACTTGCAATCAAATCTGCAAACGCTCTACGTTTTTGGGGTTCAATATCTTGAGTTTTTACAATTAAAGGTGAGCTTATAGAAGGCTCGGTAGTAATGATAGGCACTTCAATAGAACTCATTCCAGGTACAAAGTTATCTTGATGACTCGGTGATTGTTTTGATATCAGGTCTTTTTTACTTATTATAGGTATTTCTGACCATGGGTCTTCTACTAAATTATTGGTCAACATTGTAGTAGGCGTACTTATCGAGGTCATTATAGGTCTTTTGTTGTTATTATTAGTATTATTAGTATTAGTATTATTAGTATTGTTATTATGAATCGTATTGGTATCAGTAATGTGAAGCACATCCATTGTTAGTTCAGGTGAAATTGCTCTATAATAAAAATCAGATTTAGGGATGATAGGTTCAAATGATATGACATCATTCGCAAATGCTCTTGTTGCTTCATCTTCAATCATAGGCTGTCTTTTGCTATATTCTTCTTCAGTAATACTATTCTCGTTTATAATAGGTTTTGATTGTATTTTATTAGATTGCAGATCAGGCATAGTTGTTGTTGTTGTTGATGATGAAAGTGGTGATTTTATAGTTTCTGTTGGTAATGTTGTAGAAGAAGTGATAGGTGAAGAAGGTTCTTTACTTGTAATGTCATTATTATTTACAGTAGGCGAAGTTGCATTTACTGAAATAATGGAGGAAGCCTTTGAGGATGATTTTGAATTTATTTTATGATTATTATTGCTAGACTTGAAGAATCTAAAGAATGAAGACGATGCTGAACTTATTGGCCTTTCATCTCTTTCTGTATCTTCTCGTTCTGATGAAATAGGAAGCTTTTTTGTTTCATTCTCCTTTTTATTTTCTTTTTCTATTTTGACTTTGTTTTGTAACAATGATTGAGCAGCAGTAGAACTAGTTGCTGGTTCTATTTTTTCTACATTTGTTGAGCTCTTTTTGATAGAATCTGATGAAGTTTTATTATTATTGATTGACTTTGGCCTTGTTGTATATCTACGACTTCCAAATAATAAATCTTCTTCATCCTCTATGTCGAATTGTTTTCCTATCTTTAAAGTCGCTGTAGAACGTAATGAAGTACTACTACTAACTCTTCTATTGACTCCATTACCTGTCCCTAATTTTGATACATCAATATCACCAAATAGACTACTGCTGCTATTACTATTTTGACTATGACCATTCATTTTGCTATGCGAACGACGCGGGGACGAAGTTGTGCTGACAGGAGTACTGTTACTCGAGTCTAAAGAAACGTTATTCCGATCAATTAAGTGAGATAATGGATCATTAGAATTGGATGAATTTATCTTATTATTTTGACTATTAGCATTTTTTGTGGGAGCAAAAAGTGGATCATCTGAAGTAGAAACTAATGCTGCATTTAAGGGATCTAATGGCAAAATAAAAAATTAATAATTTCTCATCTTATTTCGAGTTATAAAAACACACACACATATATATATATATACATATCTATGTATATGTATATGTACTGCATATATAATAATAAGAAGAAGAAAAATAAAAACTCAATTACCATCTCCAAATAAATGTCCATGTTTTGCTCTTTGCTTTGATTTAAAAGACATGAGAAAATAAATAATAGAAAGTAAAGTGAATAAAACAATTTGGTCAAATAAGCACATTTTAAATACAATCATATCGGACTTTTTTTTTTTTTTTGTCATGTTTTGATTTTTGTCTTATAAATAAAAACTACTATTGCATATTGATTTTAACAAATGCAACTTTTTTTTTCTTTATAGTTTATTAGAGTATACATTATATTTTAATTCTATATGCGTACACAGTCAATACCCTTATATTTTGGTAATAAATGGGGATTAAAGACAAAGATATTAATGGAGAGAAAAATAGTTGAAATTAATCCGTTTTAAGATAAAAGGAGCCAGAGCAGATAAGAATATGGGATACATTTAATATATTGGCCTATTATCAAAAGGTATTGACTAAGATACTCTTTATCATAACTACATTGTATAACACGATTTGGAATAAATAACCTTAGTAGTTTGGGTTAAATGATATGTTAGACTTTTCACAGTAGTTGACCCGTATATGTTAATTATTTAACGGAAAAGTACAAGATAAAAATAAAATTCTTCATTTAGTAAAGTCAGGCAATAAATACAGTGACTACGTACAGAATTAATCATTAATGAAAGCGTAATCAAGTCATCAGATATGATTGAATGATATAAAATAATATTTTTTCAAATGTAATGTAGCTACAGTATTCCTACTTTTTTTTTTTTTTTTTTTTTTTTTTTTTTTTTTTTTGATTCTATGATAGCCTTAAACATGAGTTCAATGATGTTATCATAAACAAAACAAAAGAGGTATTGAATGATATATATAAAAGTTTAATATTATTATTAGTAACTACTTACTTGGAAGTATCAGCGTTCCTGCCAGTTAATCAATCTTTAGGTATTTATTAAGAATCATTTTAATTAGGAAAAGTACAAGGTTACAAGAATATTAGGATGCAAAGTGCAACTACGGAATGAACAATTCACAGTTATTATGACATAAAAAAGAAAAAAGTTTAAATATTACATAAACTGATGAAAGCTTTATTAAATGGATTAGCATTTTTACATTAAAATATGTAAGATAATAAATTGAATACAGATATACTTGAAAAAAAAATAATAATATATAATTACATCCGTTGTTATTGAGGCCTTATTCTTTGTTCTCTTGCAAACTCTAATTCTCTATAAATACATTCTACTGCGTTTCTCGGTCCATTCTCCTATAAAATAGTTAATACATATATATGCATTATTAATAACAAGTGCTTATTATACTAACCTTTCTTATAGTTTCTCCTATAAGCTGTGCTTTAGAGATAAGAGATTTATTCTGCGTGATTGTTATCAAAGCTTCTGTTAAATAATGCTTTGTTAGCTTATTCAAGCAGATTCCCACTTGAAGTTCTTCAACACGCTGTCCCCAAAATCGTTGATCGCCAAAGAATGGCTTTATGACAGTAGGTAAACCTGCACGTAAACCTGCAGCTGTTGTACCAGCACCACCATGGTGTACAACACCTTGGATTTGTGGGAAAAGCCAATCATGCGGTACTGAATCAATGTGATAAATAGTACCTGGATACTGATCTAATAACGATTCACTGTCTTGTTCCTGTTCATCATTTGCTTGTTTTATTGCTCCAGCATCCCCAACTGATTTGGATTTCTTATGCTTTAATTTTTTACTACTACTACTACTAATACTATTATTAGTATTCTCTGTAGTAACACGTGTAGACCATCCTTTACAAATAATCGCTCGTATATTGGCTTCAAGGACAGACTCTACAATCGTAAGAGTTGTCTCAACTGCATTAGGAACAATAATCGATCCAAAGCCAATATAAACAATCGGTCGTTTATCGTCAGAATTATTCAAGAAATTTACAAGCTTTGGATCAGGTTTCCATTTTAGGTCTGGATTATCTAAAAACCAATACCCTGTACAATGTATATAGTCAGACCAATCTTTAGGGGGATGTACGACAGTAGGACTAAAAGAATAAATGTAGGGAACCTTCCAGAGCTCAAGTCGATCCAGATTAGTTGGAGGTAGCTCTAGTACATCGCGACGAAATCGATTTACATATTTTGATGTACCTGCCCATAAGGCGACATCAATCATGACGTAGGTCATATCATTATAGATACGACCTCCAGCTGGGGATTGAGCAGCAAAAGGATGAGGAAATTTAGTTGTACGAGTGAAAGGAAATGGCATACTGCGAAAATAAGGTATTTGAAGTTTCTCGGCCATATGAACACCTATCATTGCACTAGGGCTTTCAATAATAACATCAGTTCCTTTACATGCTTCATATGCTGATTCTAATAGAGTCTCAAACCAGCTATAAAACTATAACATAAATGAATTATTTTTATTCTTTATTTCCATTCCATATGCTGTTGTTACTTACAAATTTGGTGCCTTCTTTGATAAATGATACTGATAAGAAGCTATTGTCTATACATACTTTCTATGAAATAAAAATTTTGTATAATGAGAACAATTTCTATATGTATACGCCCATGTAAAAATATTACCATCAATTGACCAGGATCACCACCAATGGACTTAAATTCAATATCATGCTGTATAATCCAATCTTTATATTCAGGATGAGTGGCAATACGACAACGATGGCCATCCTTTTTTAATTCATTGCATAAAGCAAGGTAAGGTTGCACATCACCTCGTGACCCAATCGTTAGACACGTTATATGTAATGGCCTTTCAGGTACTTTATACTTTAATGAAGGGCTTGAAGTTATAGAAGATGAAGATAAAAGTGGTGGCCCATCTATAGTATAATTAAATATAAATGGATCTATATGTATTAATATTACAAGCTGATTCACTTACCATATTCGCTTGGTGGAGAGATATGATTTGGTCTAGTTAAAAATAAACTTTTTGTTGATGTACTTACAAATGAATCATTTGAGATGATTGAACTATAGGTATATGATATTTAATAATTAAATGAAATATTATACATATACAAATATATATTTGTTACCTTGCATCAGAAATTATCTTTTCCTTGGTCTTCAGTTGGCATACGGAATAGCAATGGTCTCGTAGTTCAATTGATGAAAAATCAAAGTAAATCTTTTCATTTTGTCAAGTGAAAAAAAAAGAATTTTAGTAAATATACTATATTTTTATATCTATTAGCTTTACCTCGCCTTTTATATCCTTCGCAATCATTGACATGCCATACATTAAATAATAACTTCTAGATTTTATTTTGTTAATTTGGATCACATCTCGCCAAGGTACTATTAATTTTTGTTGACCGGCTAAAATTTTACTATTAAAGCAAAAGTAATGGTCTGTCATATATATTTTGCCAGAGTGAGGAATTGTTCGCCAAAAAGAAGCTTTAAATACTATAAAATATTGTATATTAATCAAAAAAGAGTCTTTTTTTATTAACTATTTTATAAAAAATAATGTAGCATTACCTGCTTCTACATTTTCATTTTTAAGTAACATTGGAAAGTTAGCATTCAGGCGCTCATTCATATATTTTTGTTCTTCCTCTCTCAAGCTTTGATCTTGAAGCATTCTATTTGTCTGAAGCTCCATCAATAAGTTGGTCTTGGCAACTACTTCATCTTTATAATTTTCCTCACTATCACTATCAACCTCATCTTCATCTTCATCATTATCAGTATCGTATATATCTGTCTTCTGAGTTGCTTCAGTTAATAATTGAAGTATTTGGTCATTCATCCATATAGGACCCTTAGGTTGTCTATACAGAGTTTCACCTGAACTATTTTGATTATAATAATAATCAATGTTACCCGGTGCTAATTTACTTAGCATACTTTTTACACGGTGCCTCTTTTTTGCAGTATTCGAGTTGGTAGTATCAGTATCAGTATTAGTATTAGTGGTAGATATAAGAGTTGCTTCTGCTTCTTCGGAAGCAGGTATGGGTGTATCGTTATGACTGATAAGTGAAATATCACCACACGGATTACTTGGCATAGCTATACCATCGTTTGAATTATTATTATTATTATTATTACTGCTGCCACTCATCTTATTATATAAATAAAGAGGAGAAATATGTTGACGAATAGATGAACTTAGCGATGAGTTACGATTACGAGTATGTAATGGTATATTGCTTTGGTTTTGTGATTGGTTTTGGTGATTTGATACTGTCGCTGCTGAAAGGTTGGATGTCATGGAATCGTTAGTTGGAGGTGGACTTGTTGGCTCAACGCTTGTATCTGAATGAAATATTTGATTTTTAATAACTTGAGGTAATTTAGAAATGGAGTGTAAACTAGAACGACTTTTAGTTTTGTTGGTATCTGTAGAAAGAAATTGATTATAGTTATTATCCTCTTTTTGAATAGTTATTCCTTGTTGTTGTTGTGGTAATGCTTCTGCCTTGTTAAGATTCTCTCGAGAACTTATATTAGAAGTGGGGCTCGAGTCATTAGTAGAAGTTAGCTTCATCTTAGAGGTTAATAGGGAAGATAATGAATTTGGAGATTTTATGAGTGATAAAACGATGGGAGTATCTTCCTCCTTATCCATATTCATTGTATCTTTATGACTAAAGGTAAAAGGGGATTTTGAAGAAGGTAATGTAGATGAACCTTCAGGCTCCAACTGCTTTGTCTGATCACTAGCGTTTTCATCTTCTTCGTCAGGAACTAATTTATTTTGAGTCTTCCACATGTTGGACGGCTCAGAATTGGCTCTTTGTGAGAACGGATCATTATTCTGCTGGAAAAAATTTGTCATGTTCATTAATTTTCCCATTAACATAGTAGGTAATGCCCCAGGAGGAATATTTTCAAAAAAATTATCAAAACGTAAAAAACTTCCATTATTTGATGATAAAGATGATCTATGTTGGTCAGCATCTTTCTTAGCATTATTATCCGACGCACTTGTATCATTATATGCAATCAACCAAGCCTGAACAATCTCTTTATAAGCCTTTTCAATATTTGGAAAAAATGCAAAATAATACTATTTGAAGGATAAAAAAAAAAAATAAAAAAAATAAAAAGAAAATAAAGCTAGTTAATAATTAAATCGATTTTGATAAAAAATAAATAAAATCTTACATCTTCTTCTCGTATATCTTCATTTAGATCTTCTCGAAACTTAATTCTTATGTTAGTAGCAAACTGAAATACTGAAGGCTTATCTATAGTAATTATTTTTGAGAAAGGTAAAATAATTCGAACGCTGTTACCAGCATGCTGTGCTATAAATACACCCTTTTGCAATTCATCCATCCATTCACGTTGTGAGAGCTCAGAATCTGCTATAAGTGTATAGTGATGATAACTATTAGAGGTTAAACGAATACCAAATTTTTTATATTTTGATGGTTCTATTTTCTTGATGCATTTCAAGTCTATGCTATTAAGTGGTAAATATTTGGTTTCTGCTGATGTATACCATGACAAGATATGGTTTTGAAGCTCGAAATAATATCTATATGTACGAGGGGATGTCCTGTGATTCTTCTTGGATAAATAACCTGCCTTATGTGGACCCTTCTAAAAATTTTATTCAATCTTTGTCTACATCATAATGTAATACATAATATACTCTACCTTCTTTTTGGGTAATGAAGCATAAAAACATATATAATTGTTTGTAAGATACATCCATCCAGGAAGAGTAACTAATCGAATTATATAGCACGGAAATTCTATTATCCGGGGCCATTATTAATCATTCAAAAAAAAAAAAAAAAAAAAAAAAAAAAAAAAAAAAAAAAACTTTATGTTAATAAATTTATTTACCGTCAAGTAATATTTCAGAATCTGGCAAATCAAATAGAGATTTTACTTTATTTTCTAACAATAAGCGATCATTGTTATTCAAAGATTCACTTTGATCTTCTTCTTCTTCCTCTATACTGTTATATTCAATTGACATTTCCTTTAATTTTAGTGCTGCTATGACTGCTGTTCTGGTTAACTTGGTAACTGATAAAATATTGAAGTTTGTATCACTTTACACAATGAATACAATGGTGATGATAATATGCCGTAGTATTATTGTGTGGAATAAACAATAAAATTAATAAAAAAAAAAAAAAAAGAAAGAAATGACAATCTTGATTATAGATTTACTGTATTGAATTCCTCAATTGACAATCGTAATATGTTTAATTTTAAAATGTTGCAATTATTATACGGATCTTTCAAAACTTCTGAAGAGAAAACTGTAAATATAAAATTTATAATAAAATAAAAAGTGGAAAAAAGAAAAAGAAAAAAAAAATAGGATCACTTAAACCAGTTTCAGATATATAAAAAGCAAAAGTTTTAAAAAATGCTCTTAATATATAATAGAAAAAAGAAAAAAGAAGTGTAATTTGATACAGGTGCTCTATTTTGAGAATTGAGACAAATTTGAATTACTTTTAGGCCAACTTAATCTATTTCTTCTAACATTTATATATTATATTGGACTAATTGGCTGTATCTACCCTTATTTTTATTGAATGAAATATTTTAAACCCTATTTAAGCACATAATAAAATAATATTGCATCTCTAGAGTCATCAGATAAAAAGGAGGGAAAAAATAAAGAAGCTAAGAAAAACTTTTGATTGTTAAATGGGAAAAAAAAGTAAAGAAGGAAAGAAGGAAAGAGAAGAATATCTTCAGATGTTTTATTAAGTAATTGTATAAATGCTTGACCAGGTTAGTATCAAGAAGGATCTTAAAATGGTAAATAGAATCAAGTTCAAAGACTATATATATTATAGGCCGGCAAATAGTAGTCCATACAGAAATAGTGGAATTATTTCATGCGATACATGACTTTTGACGTTTGCTTGAAAGTTGATCAAGTAGAAATGATAAAAGATTATTGACGGTATTAGGCATGTATATTTAAATAGATAGAAGTATGGAATTAGATAAATTTGTCATTTGGATAGAAGTTATATAGTTTTAAGATACCCCGAGGTAACCAGGCAAAGGCGTCAGAAGAATAGAGCTTGACAATGTATAGCTTAAGTGATAAGTAAACAACAAAGAATAGGTATTGGATGACATAGCGGATAAAAGGATTGAATAGGAAGTCTACTCTCGTTTGTTAAACTGTTTATATAAAAGTGCGACAATCGATACAGATAATTACTATAATGTCTTATACAATTGGGAGTAGTTATTAGCTAAAATATATAAAAATGGTATGAGTATATCCTCTGGTAGAATCACAGAACAAAATAAAAACTTTATTAGTATAATGGACAATTCATTCTTAGTTTATCTTCAAAAAAAAAAGCTGCTTTTTATATATTTTTTTTTTTAGTTGCAGGGTTTATTAACTAGCTTTTACGTGCAAAGGTAAATATATAGACAAAATTATCATAGAAATGCATTATATATTTTTATTGTAGCTATTTATTTAATTCAATTAAGTCTTGAATCGTACAATTATGACACTGTTGATAAAGTTATTGTAGACAATGTCATAAAAAAGAATCAGAGAATACGTATATAGATTCTAACAACTTGTAAATAATCTAAAGTCATGCGTATACGAAATAATAATTGGTTATGTATGGAAAGGAAGAAAAAGGACAAGAATTAGATTACTTCAATCTATAATAAACAAAATGTTCAAAAGATCATCAGTTGATAAATGCTATGCTTCATCAATATCACATGCAGACGAACTGTTTATATCAGGAAATTGGAATTATAATGGTACTATATTTAAAAAGAAATTAAATACGGTAAAAGGTAATACGCTGATAGTCATAGAAGAATAAGTTTCTTTATATATTCAAACTGCAAAAAGCCATTACATAGATCTCATCTCATATTTCGGTGCTATAAAAAAAACATATATAGTCACTGTAAACTTTCCAGATTCCAGAAGGACTTTAAGATATAGTATATATTCGAATTTAAAATATTGCTTCTGATAATAATGTCGTTTTAATAATGAAAATAAAGGTATAAATATGGTTTTTGTCTATATTACTTTTTCTAGAAAGCTTATAAAGATTTATGATTGAGATCATATATTAGATGCCTCTCAGCGCATATATGAATTTAACTGTTTATAACGCTCTAAAAGAACTGTTTATATGTATTTTATTATATATTGAAGTAGACTAACGAAGTATTTTGAAGCTTATTTCATTTCATTATAATATATTGTAACTTTCCATAAATTTATATCCCAAATAAATATAAAATATATATATATAATATAGGATTGAATTAAATCTTCGCTAATTATCACTGTTAATGGCTTTTCATGGTATAATTTTTTCCCGAACTTATTGTGTATTTTAGAGGGCGTTACTCTAAGCTGTTGTATATCTTAATGTGCTTCATTGAGTCGATTCGCTTTTTAATCCTAGAAATATTATTATTATTGATTTCTTAACAAAATAACATTTATATAGACTTCTATATAGCTATTATCACCTTTAGAAAAAAATAAAGAAAAGGACAGGTGGACAAGGTGTAATTATCTGATATCGAACACTAATTTATCAAACATCAGAATTAGGTAATCAGGGTTTATTTCCCTTTATTTAATCCCAGATTTTTAGTACCTGGATTTCAATGACTTTTATATTTCTTCAAAATCTTTGAATTTAAAAACTATTATACGCTTTATTAACAATAATGAATATGCTTCAGTCATATATAAATAGTTTTCTAAATCATTTCTTACCTTAGATATTCCTATATAAACTACTCATGATTTAAAACTAACAATAAAATAGCCGACTTTTAGAGCTGGTTGATTGCACTAATTTTTCAATGTTTTTGTTTACAACAGAGACTTTATAATTACCTTTATTGTAAATTGAGAAGGATTACAGGAAAATACGCCTGATATATTTTCTTCGGTAACTTTATAATACTTTTAAATACAAGTTTTCTTATTATATGTGTATAACCGAAAATATTACATTGATAACCGTTTCTATCCATAAAAACCAAGATCCCTTATTCGATAATAAAAAAAATTTATACTGGAGGAAGCAATAATAGACATGTCTTTATCAGATCTTAAATCTCTATAACAAGTTAATTTTCAAAATTATAAATACATATATCAAAAAATTTAACGTTAATTCGTTAATTATTCGGACTTGTGTGCAATAAAAAAGTATAAACTCATTTTTTACAAATACTGATGCTACACTAATCTTCAGCTTTGTTTATAAAACTACAACAACCAGTAATAAAGAATCAAGTAAAAATTAAAGAATGAACTAAAAGTTGCTCCAATTCTCTCAAGAACTTCTTTAGCTTTAATTTAATTGGCCTAAAAAGAAAATAAATATTTACTGCTTCATACGACAAAAAACACTCCTTATTCTGTTAGACAACAAGTCGTCGTTCATAAATAGAATGTTAAACTTACTTATCTTTCAAACAAAAAAAACAATATAAATATAGAATATAAATGCTGTAATACATTACAATATTAATTACAAGTTGCTTTAACACATTGAATAACTTTCTAAATTTAACAAAAGAAATACTGCTAAGGCTAGATTTTATTTATAGCAGAAAAAAAAAAAAAAATAGAAAGTTACAGATGAGATATATGATTTCTACAGAAACAAATTAGTTCAAATATAAAACATAGTTCTTCCGAAATTGGCTTAGAAAGTCTGTAATAGTAGTAGTTGAGATCATATATTATAAAAATATGCAGATATCAAGTGTCAATTTGTATTGCATAAAAAGCACAACCATATATACGAATATATATGTATATATTATATACATAGGTATAGTTTATTAAATAAATTAGTTACAAGCAGAAAAAAATATTTATTAAGAAAAATATATGTTTAACTTATTTAACTTTTATATCAAACCACTATGCTTTATATTAAATCTTATCCATTTTGTAAACTTATATATAGATATCATTCAGTTACAACTCAAATCTTTATGGCTGTAATACAAAACGAATACATGTATGTGCATTATACATGTTAACTTTGTCATAAAAAACAAATCTCTGTAGAACTTTGTTTTAATTCTATAAAACTATATATCAGTAAAGCTTTGAAATTATACATTAAAATAATCCTTCTTACACTTCCTATAACTTTCACCTTTAATATATAAAAATATAATAAAATAAAAGCTCATTTTATCTATAGTTATGTAATATATGTATATAAAAATATATATGCATATATAAATATATATATTTCTTAACATTACTAATATAACACACTTAAGTTTAAAATGCAATGCAAGTGTGTTATTTTAAGTATCTAGCGAAAAAAAAAAACTGATTGTTTATTATTTACAATATACATTTATACGTATGCAGAGGGATATACAATTTATACAACAATACATAGTAGTATTGAAGTAGAAAAAAAAAGAATCTCACATATACACGCATATTATATATGTATATATATATATATAAGAAGAATTATTCTATCTTCTTCTTTTCTTATTCTTCTTTATATTTAGAAAAAAAAAAAGCATAAAAATGAAATTATTTATTCTTATTTTAATTTGTATTGACTTAGTATTTGCTATGGTTCAATCACCATCACTTACTTATAATGTAACATTACCAGAACCCAATGGGCTTTACGTAGCAGGTCAAATGTTACCCATTAGTTACACTTTGCCAGATAATGCAGATTTACCTAAATGTAAGTTATTTATATATTTATGTATATGCATTTTTTGACTTTTATTTTTTTTTCCCTTTCATCTACCCTTAGTATTATCATTATCTATTTCGTTTATTACTGAGGACCCAAGACTTAACTTTACTGGTGCTGTTGTAACAAATAACGCAGATATCTCTCAGGGCTTTAGTTTTAGAAGAACTCATAATACATTTGTTTACTATGAGCATCAACTCAGTGTAAGTCAGCTTTTTTATAAATCAATATTTGTGTACAAAAGTACTTTATAATGGAAGAAAAACTAAATTGATATCTTATTCATAGTATTCAATCCCAAAGAATGCGGTACCGGGAAACTACATTGTTTTATTTAATGATGCCGTTTCAAAAACAAATACATCAATCCCTATCATCGTTCGACCCTACGCTCCTCAAATTACTCCTTCTTCTACTAGTGTAATTAACTCTCGTCCTTCTGGAGGAAGCTCTATTTTTGCTGTGCATAGTAATGACAGTTCTAGAAAATATAGTAGCGCAAATAGAAAAGCGGCATTATTATTAGGGGTTATGTTTGTTGTATACAATGGATTGTTATTATAAAAGTATGCTATTTGCTTTTTTTTTATTCGCTGTGCAGTATAGTACATTAATATACATATATAAAAGAATTATGTTATTTCTTATTTTACTTTATTTTTTTTTTATGAGAAACGATCACGTGATACAAAGTAATATTATAATATTTATTAGTTGCTTATTAAACATTTTAGCTGCATTAATTGTAAGTTTAGACTCTATTATTATACCTGTATTATATTTAAACATATTTAAAACTCTTCCCATAGAGCATCAAATTGTTTTTGAAATTCTTTGATACAGATAGGTATATTTGTAATAAGGATATTTTCTCTGTTCTTGAACCGTGCACTATAGATTTACAAATTATATTGTAAATGAAGATATATATGTATGTATATGTACTTGTTTTTTAGAATAATTCATTTACCCTTTCGACCAATTGAAACTGCCATTAATAAGAGTGGTACTATCTATGATAGCAAATTTATTATGCATATACCCAGAACTATATATACAAAGAAGAGAGAGAGAGAGAGAGAATTAATTGATACCATATGTAGTTATGTTAAATGACTTACGATCTATCTGTCTTGTACGGAATATTATATGCCTCTTGTAATCTCTTTGCATCAGCACCCTTACCAGCTGCTTGTTGATTGTCTGTAATAATTTTAATAGATACGCCTCTTTTTTTGGCAGCAATCAACGCATTCGCCACATCATCATCTGTAAATGCATACACACATATATCAATTGTTTTTATTGCCGAGTTTAATACAGATATGAATGCCTATAAATTAAATCCAAGTTATAAGAAAAAGACATGATTTATATACATTATTATTACATTGAAACTATCTTTAGATGGAAAGAAGAAAGCTCTTGCAAAATATCCATTAGATAAAACGGATAAAGCAGGCGAAGTAAGTCCAATCTCTTTTGTATCAAGATTTACAAAATATTTCTGTACTGCCTTTGGTCCTGCACCTTCTTTTAGAACGGGGAGGATAGCTTCCTTAGATACCTTTGAACCGGAGGTAGGAACTAATTGATCTTCATTCTTTTTCTTTCTCGTTTGTGCCTTCTTTTTAGGAGCTGTCGTCTTTTGAACTTCAATTACTGTACTAGCGGTATTCGATTTTCTAGTGTTAGGTTTCCTTCCTGAAGGAACGATTAGATCATCTTGATCAGTTGGAACATAATCATCGTCTGAGCTTCCAATGAATTCATAACGATTACCACCATCCTCATCCGAAGAGATTTCGGCTTCACAATACTCATATTCAGCCACTTTCTTTTTAGGTTGCTTTTTGATATTCTTGCTTTTATCACTCTCTGCAGTAGTCGGATTGACAGGAAGCGGCTTTTCCGAATAATAAGCATATAAATCTTGTACGGAGTTTGATGATAACCCAAATTTAACAGCAGTGGACACACAGACCTGAAGCCATTCAATCAAGGCACGCTCACGGTCCAAATGACAGACTTTAGAGGCACTCTCAAACATAGTATTAATTGTACGTAAAGTATTTGAGGCACTATGACTCTTAGAGGCAATTAATCTTGAAATCTCTTTAGTTGCATCTGCTTGTAGTTCAGTATCTTTTTGAATACTTTCTGCTGATCTCATAGATGTATCCAGAAACTGGTTAAAGTTCCCTTTCTTTAGATCATGAATCCCAAGTGTTGGTGGTTTCGGTATACAAAATAATTGGTATAAATAATCCATTATATGGGTATCTTTTTGTTTTTTTTCTCTGTTATTCTAACTTTTTTTTTTTTTTCTTAAAGAAAATAAAAAATAAAATAAAATCGAATAAATAAATAAATAAAATAAAATAAATAATAAAGCAAAATAAAAGAAAAGAAAATAAAGGTTGTTTGTTTTTATCCTAAAATAAATGAACTTGTTTTAGATTCAAAATTTTTTGGATACTTAATTTGGGAAAAAAATGTCTTATTTTATACTGTCGTACAAATCAACCTAAACAAAACAAAATAAGAAAAAAAAAATCAAGTGCATTTAATAAATACTTTAGAATCTTTTTACAGGACTTGCTGATATATCTTTTTTTTTGTTCTTCATCAAAATTAAAATCTTTATATTTTTAGTAATGAGACAAATAGAAGTAAACCTATTATGGAGGCCGAATGTATTTACTTATTTTTAAAGCGCAATGATTAAATAAAAAGGATAAAATAGTATTGCTTCCTCTAAATCTCGATTTTTTTTTAAGAAAGATCAGAATATTATAAAAAATAAAATAAAAAAAAAGAAGCAAGAAAAGGCCATAAAGAAAAAGGATCCTTGAATTCATAGATTATGAAAAAGTATATAAATTAGTTGATAAAATCCAGGTACTAAAAACACGGGATTAAATAAGGGACATTAACTCTAGACAAATTATTCCTTGATGACCGAGACTGACGAATAGAGTCTTGCTTTATTATATAATTTATTCATTATGTATAATACAGCCAATAGTTGTTTTTGCTTTACCTTGGTATCGAATGCCTTATATGTGACGTTTTATCAATAAGAGGGCAGGTCAACATAGAGACTGAAGAACGATAGACATTTTTATCTCTGTTTAGACAGAGTTTTCATTCTTTTTTCTTCAAAAAAAAAAGGGATATACTTGGTTAATGCTTATTTTTTAATTGTGTCTGGAGTGTCCTCAAGTATTTTTGTTTCATATAACAAACCTTGTGTTAGTTGTTGATTACAAGTGTATGAAGACTAATATGTATATAAAGAGAAAGTTAGGCATATTTGAGAAAGGGTTTTACAACTTATCCAAATAATAAAAAGCTTATAACTATTGACATATATAAAGTTAATGATTATATGCTATCTAAAAGGATACAACCTTTAGTATATCAAATATAAAAATTAATTTATTCAAGATAACAATGAGTTGCTATTGTGCTGATGACTATTAAGCTAGTTATTTTAGCATCATTAAAAGGAGTGTAAGTATAATAAATATATAGTCCAGTGTAGAATCTTATTCTCGCACATACTTTTATTTGAAAAAAAAAACCCCCTATCATTAATAATAGAGTATAATAGTAAACACAATAAAAGACGGTAATTCTTCAAAAAAGAAAAAAGAAAAGGGTCGATACTACAACTAATGTTTTCATAGTTTATATGCTGAAGTTCATTGATATAATTGTCTTTTACAATATATAAGAGCTTTTTACATAAGGAAAAGTATAATATCCTTTAAAATATAAATAAAACCTATTACACTAATTCTCTATATAACAAGAAAGGGCCAAAATAGTGAGACTTTTTTCTATAAACACACAACAATAAATTTTAATATATAGTACATTTACAAAAACAAAAAGTAAAAAAAAAAAAAAAAAAAAAAAAAAAAAAAAAAAAAAAAAAAAAAAATAAAAGTACACATTGAATTAAGAGTCTTCATGATTAGTACCAATTAAGCGTATCACACGGCCCAAGATTTTTGATTTACCCTCTATAAATAGAATTCGTGAACCAGGTCGTAAATAACATGGTTCATACAGAAAGCGAAATATACATCTTCCTTGATTTCCAGAATAAATTGCATTAGCATAATTATTGGTTAATGATGGCATATTTGCCTTTTTCTCGGAAGGGAATTGATTCAAATTAACAGTGGTATTCAAAGTTTTGTCATCTGTATCTTCCGCTTGAATTTTAGAGGAAGCAGATGTTATAGATAATACTTGTGCACGTTGCCTTATAGAGCCAGAATGAATCATTCCACATGTACCTGAAATAACACCCGTAGAATGATATAAGACCATTAACTCAGCTTCAAATTCAAAATAAGACAAAGGGGGTTTATCATCAATCCCTAACAGTACCATTCCTCTGTGGATTTTCCAATTAACATCATTTGCTACTATGTCTTGAATATGTCCAAGAGCAAGCGTGGCTGTTTGTCCACAATGAACATATCGAGCAGATACACGATGTCGATGAATAGATATAACTTTTACTTTGATAAATTTACCTTTTGAGTTAGGGCCTAAATAATATTCACCATTATCTCTGATATTGATACGACCTTGACAAAGTACACCACCAATAACAATGCCAGCATCTTCAAAATGTATGAGTATATATATATATATATTTTAAAAAAAAAGAGAGAGAATAATGAAGCCATTACCTGGTAAAGTATATACATCTTCAATTTGAAATTCAACAGGCTCTTCTAATAATTCATCATAATTTAATCTTTCTGGTTTTGGAAGATAATTAAAGAATTTCAATAACAAATTCATATTAGAACCTGTTACATTCGACACTAAAAAAATAGGTAGTTCAGGTGGACCACCATGTCGAGAAAAGTAGGAAGCACAAGTGATAGCATCTTCTTCTGTCTGCACAACTACCGGTACTTTATGTATCCATGAAGTTTTTAGCCAGTTTAATAAGTCACAAAGTGTATCTCTTATTTGACTATGTGTTGCAGTATCACCCATAGTCATTACTACAAAAACTGGAAGGTCAAGCATAACAGCAATGGATAGATGCTCATGTGTCATCTCTGTTAATCTACCTGCGTTAGCTGCAACAACTAAACAAGCATAATCAGGGGCATAACCAGTGAGGCCTGAAATTGTTGTACGAAGATATTTAGGAAACCCACATGTATCCAGAAAAGTTATGACTTTGTTGCTTAATTCACATATCTCTTCCCAAGTTCGAGCCTGAGTTTGAGTGGCATAGTTAATAAGTTGGCCATCAGCATTATAACCAATAATTTCATGAGAAATCGATGAGCTGCGGCCAGATTCGAGTTCATGACGATGCCGCAGTAAATTGAGACGTGCACTACCACGCCCATTATCTTTGATACCATATGTTATATAACTCAATAATGTTGATTTGCCCGCACCTAATCCACCTACTAAGGCAATACGTAAATCTGTAAATCGTCGATCATCCTCATGATTATTGCTGAAATTATCATGAGGCCTCTTTTTGATGAGTATCTCTACCACATAATATCCTTCTTTTTGTATTCCGAAAATAAGATCTAATGTATATTGACGTTTGACTGAAATATCAGCCCCTAAAACAGCTGCCATCTTACTTAGGGTTCTAACTGAGATTTCCATCTCTTCTTCTGTCAGTCCTATAGTTTATTTTTCCTTATTTGTTTAATAAAAAAATCATTCTATCGTTAATTCACATTTGCTCATATATTTACCTTTAATTGTACCATCATCATCTATGCCGATTTCATAAATTGCTTCACCATTACCTTCAGAGAGTCTGATAATATATCAAATGCGTAACAATTCGTTAAATATGCAAGTCTACAACTCTAAGAATCGATGACTCAATTACCTCCACTTCATTTGCGTTATTAGGTGCTCTAAACGTTCAATTGAAGGATTCAATAGTTTAAGCTATGGATTGTAAATGTTTATAAGATGCATAAATTTAATGATCATAAAGATTACCTTATATTCTATGTTTCCCTCATTATCTATTTCTGGAGGTAACATCCCCTTTGAATAATACTTGGCTAATAGGGAATCTGTTAACTTGAAAGATTCTTTAGCCATTGAGTGTAATGTTATTGTTATTTTTTTTTTTTTTCAATGATATATTTATATCTAATAAAAAAAGAAGTAATATATAATAATCTATGATTTAATTTCTAGTTACTGGGATTTAATATATGTGTATATGCATATATAATGCATTCTCTAGTCATTATGAATCATAAAAAGCTAACACAAACACAGCGCAAAAATCTTCATGTGTGATATTGTTTCTAAGCAATAAATGAATTTGTCTTTATTGATGACAGATAAAAACTTTTTTATTTTTTTTATTTTTTTTTTATTTTATTTTTTTTTTTCAATGAATATAATATGCATATTCATCAGGTTGAGCCTATAAGGTTAAATAATCCCTTTAACTGAATAAGCATCTTATATAATGTAACTAATCCTATTCATTTCTAACAAACTATGAACCCAGTGCTTCAATATGTTTAAGAAATTTTCATTGTTAGTATACATATTAACTTGAATTAGTATATATAAATTCTGTTTGATTTCCCCCCCCCGCTCTTTCTCTTTTTCATATCACACATTATGTTTCCTTCGTTTGTTCGTTTTTTTAATGACTATTGTATTGCGTTAGTACCTCTTGTAATTTGGTCTACAGCTGGTATTTTTATGTCATTTCGAATTTTTAAAAACAAACTGTATAATAATACTATTGTCTATACATCAATGGTGGCTGTAATAGGAGGTATAATATCTGCAGCTATAACATTTATAACAGCAGATGATAGTATTTTATGGAAGAGACAAACTGTATTCTATGTCTTTTATAGTATTAGTATATCATTTACATATATTTCCATATTTCTTGCATTTTTGAAGCTTGAAGGATATTGTTATGAAGCCAGTTGTAATGACGATCCTAATCTATTAGAAACACGGCTTGTAAGGTTATCCTTTGTTGGTAAACGCGTGATCTATGTCGGCTTTCTTTGGTCTGCAATAACGATATCTGCAGGGTTTGCTGTAACACTATTAAATTCATTAACTGGAATAAATGCTATTAGTAAAAATGGAGTGATATTTATCTATTTATCAGGTTGGGGGTTTATAGCAGTTCATCTATCTTTATTAGCAATTTATTTCAAGCAACTTTTAAGAATAGTTGGAAGATTTCTTTTTTTGTTCTATACACTAGCCAGCCTAATTTCTACTATTGCTATGACTGTACTTGGATTTTTGCCTGCTAAGGAATATAGACTTCATGGGAATGTTATTGGTTGCGCTGTTATTTTTACAGTTGACATACCAGCTGTTTTGGCTATTCTCTTTGTTTTCTTTATTGGTCATCTTTGGACAAAAATAGATGATTTAGAAGTAGTGGCAGCTAGCATTACTAGAGATGAACCTAAAGAGGTAAATTAAGGATATATACCAAAAAAAAAGGTATTTATGTTTAGATATTGTTTGATCAAATTATTGCAATAAATCATGTTAATAAACAGCTATTATCTTTTTCTTTTTATAAATAAGGAAAACCTATTTTTTATTAATGCACTTTTAAAACAAAATAAAAAAAAAAAATGATACAAGTAAATAAATGCAAACAATATATAGATATAGATATAGATAAATAGATATAGAAAATATTCTAAGCAGAGAAGAGTTTCTTTTCAAAAGAATGAAGACCATGAACACCACCTTCCATTTGAGCAGCAGCAGTTCTCTTTTCAAAGCGTACCTTACCCTCATACACGGCATCTTTCATTCCATTAACACTATTATAACCAATATCTTGAAGAGAGTGTTGAACACCAGTAACAAGGTATTGAATATATTTACGAACAGAACCCTTATCAACAACATTACCAACAACACCCTGAGCAACCTTTACAGCGTCCCCCTCAGAGAAATAACGTTTTGTAGCAGCATTACCACCATCCTTATCACCTGATTTTTGACTCATGGCATCCAATGAACCCATACCACGATAACGTTTAAGACGTTGTCCCTCATGATAAAAATATTCACCAGGAGTTTCAGTCGTGCCTGCCAAAAGACCACCCATCATCACCGCGCTAGCACCTAAAGCTAATGCCTTGATGATATGTCCGACATTACCAATACCACCATCAGCAATGGTGGGAACACCAAAGCGACGAGCGAATTCAGAGACACGATAGACAGCAGTAGCCTGAGGACGACCACAGGCCATGACTTCTTGAGTGATACAGATAGAACCAGAGCCCATACCAATACGAAGACCATCTGCACCGGCTTCAATCAAGTTAGCTGCTTGTTCACGAGTCACGACGTTACCAGCAATCACTTCCAAATTGGGATAGGTTTGCTTGATCCAGCGAAGCATTTCGATTTGATAAATAGAGTTACCTTGAGAGGAATCAAGAACGACAACATCCAGTCCGGCCTCAACAAGAAGAGCAAGACGATCTTTATCATCAGGACGAGTACCGATAGCAGCACCTACAAGGAGTTGTTTAGATTGAGCCACCTTAGAAGCATTAGGGTAGTTTTGATTCTTGAGAAGATCAGAACGAGACAAGAGAGCAACAAGAGAGCCTTCAGAGTTAACGATAGGAAGTTTACCCTTCTTGGAAGCACACAAGATATGGTTGGCTTCAGACAATGTAATTCCTTCACGACCCACGACAAGATCAGTAGTCATGATTTCCTTTAAAGGTGTATCATCTTGATTATGGAATTGAATATCACGAGCAGTTACAATACCAACCAACTTGCTATGTAACTTTCCATTTTCTAAACCAAATATTATTATTATTAGTGTAACTATCTCAAGCCACACTCTGCATTTAGGTGTTTTTTATGAAACACACACACACACACACACACACATACACATACACATATAAACATATGCACAACAACAATAATAACTTACCAGTGATAGGAACTCCACAAAAACCAGATTTGGCCTTAATTTCTTTCACATCGGCAACTGTATGATCAGGAGATAAAACAACAGGATCCACAATGAAACCATTCTCATATTTCTTGACGGTACGGACCATCTTGGCCTGCTCCTCAGCAGAACAATTATTATGAATAATACCAATACCACCTAAAAGCTAAAATTTTGGGGGTTTTTTTTTTAGAAAAAAAAAATCCAGCCTTTTTTTTTTTCCTCATACTCGATCACACACAAATCAAAGAATAAATAAATAAAAAAAAATACTTACTGCCATGGAAATGGCCATTTCAGCCTCTGTGACAGTATCCATAGGGGAAGACAAGAAAGGTGTCTTTAAGGTAATTTTCTTTGTGATCTTGGATTCCAAAGATGCCTTTTCAGCAGCAAAATCAATATAACCAGGTAAAATTAAGAAATCATTATATGTTAAGCCACCACTTAACTGTTCATCCATTAAAGCTTCAATAGATAAACCATCACGACGGCCATATTCTTTTAATACAGCATTTGCAGTAGAAGCATCAAGATAAGTAGAAGACATTTTTTAAAATAAAATTAGGGTTTTATTATTATTAAAAAAAAAAATTTATATGTGGGGGAGGAATAATATACCCCCCCTCTTTTAAAAATTTTACAAATTTGATAGCCTTTTTATATTTAAATTTTAGGGTGGCTTTTTTTTTTTTGAAACTATTTATTCAAAGTCAGATATCTGTTGATGTGACTCTTCTAGACCGAAAAAAGATCTAAAAAAAAATCTAATTTTTAGTTTTCTTTTTTTTTTTTCATAAGTTTTAATACTTTGTGACAATACAATCTATTTGCCCTTTTTTTTTTTTTTTTTTTTTTTTTATCATTCAAGTATCTTTCCTGTCTTTTTTTTTATTTCTCTTGTATATTTTATTCTTTTTTTTTTTTTAAAAAAAGGTCGATAAATTACATGAAAGATAAAAAAAAAAGTCAATTGATTCAATGTTGAAAAAAATAAAATAAATTAAAGGAAATAGTTGCTTTGTTTTAGTCACAAATATTGAAAATGATATGAAAAAAAAAATGATGATTAAAATTTTACAGGTACTTCTGATGGTAACTGACGAAAATAAAATAAACACACCGAGGATTTTAAATATTAAATCTGATTTTCATATTTCGTTTTCATTAAAACTTGTTTTATATCACTTTTAATATAAAAGCAAAATATAAAGATTTCTTGTATTTTATTAGCTAAAGGCTTCAAATCATACTTTACAAATGGACGGACAAAATAAGATTTAAGAGTAGTGTAATCATGATACTTAAGCCACTATCATGAATTACAACGAAGAAAAATGAACGCTTTTTGTTTCTTATTAGTTAAACTGCTGTGATTGATTAATTAATTAGAACAAATATATAAAACTCCTCCTTTTTTCTTTCTTTCTTTCTTTCTTTTCTAATACAGTTAGAATATAAAATGGAATATTTCATAATTTATTAGTACAGCAACTACTGCTCTATTCTCTACTATTGGAATAATACGCGAGACTTGTTTAAATGAATTGGCTTGATTAGAGCCATTTTTTAGTTTAACTTTTGTTGTTGTATTCATGATTTGTTATTATACTTGTTCTCTAAAATTACTAAATTAAGTATAATCAAAATATAATAATTTGTCTTTAAAATAAACAAACGCGTTTACCACTTTTATTGCATTTAGCGCTAAAATAATATATAAACGTTTAAGCTTTTTATCTGTCTTTTTTTCCTTTTTTTTTTTTCTTCTCTTCTCTAAAAATAATAAAACCCCAGCAAGACCTTCCTTTTCTGTCTTTATTCTATTTTATTTTTTATTGACCTTTTTTTTTTCTTTTTTTTCACTTTTGTGCTTACTTTTTTTCTCTTTTTTTTTTTGTTTTCTTTTTCGATTATTTGTTTGTTTTATACGATATGAGTTGGTAAGCAGTTTGAAGGCAATGTAGATGGATATACAATAACTATTTTTTTTTTGTACAAAGGAAAGGCGTTAAAAAAACAATATCAAGACTTCCGCATCAATTAAAAACTAGAAACGGTGGCGACGGTAATAATAATAATTATAATAAATTTGTTATTATTGCTGTAAGACCCAACTATTAAAAAAAAAAATGTAGATGTTACTCAGGATTTAGATTATCTTGTACTCGAAAAAAAATATAAAGAATATGTTCATTCTGTCAATGAACTTTGTATAGAAGTAAAGACATACCGAGATAATTTAGCAAGTAAATTCATTTAGGTTTTTTCTTGTTGTTGCTACACTATGCTTGCTAATTCTATATATCTATGTGTGTTTTTATCTATTTTTTATTTATTTATTTCATGTTAGGCATGTTGAACTGTCAATCACAAAATGCAACCCTTTTAGCTGAAGTATGTGGACTCCAGTCAGAGAGTGATTTTGACTATAATAGCATGTCTCCTAAAATGAAACAAGCCCTCGAAGATTATGCGACTGCAATGACTTACTGTAGACAAGAAAATATGTCTTTACTTGTAAAAATACAATACCATTTTGTATCTTTGAATATATATATAAATATCCTCTCCCCTTTTTTTTTTTTTTTTTTATATATTTATTAGGATGATTTGGATGCAAGCGTCATTCAACCTCTCGATCAATATCAAATGATTACAAGGACTATAGATAAAACGATTGTAAAACGACAGCATAAATTAATCGATTTTGATCGACATCGTATTTCATATTTGAAATATTCTTCTATCAGTGAACCTACACCTAGTGAAGAAAAACACATGTTTAAATTACAGACTCAGTATGATAATGCAGCTCATGAATATGATTATTTCAATACAATGCTAAAGGAAGAACTTGCTTATTTCTTGGATATGACACTTGATTTTATTGAACCTATCATACAAGTCTTTTATGATATTCAGTGCCGTATACTGGGTGGCCTTTATGGTCGACTTCATGAAGTCATTCAACATAATGGTCCTAACTTTCCTACTTTGGATTTATCGATTGAAGAGGGATATATGCAAAGAATAGAAGAAAGGAATGTAACTGAGGAGCTGGACATGATAGATTTATTTAAAAAGGGGTTAAAACCTTGGGAGAGTAGAAGAGGTAAAAAAAAAAAAATCTACTACTACTTAATCAAATAAAGTAATTATGACTTATGAATGTTGGTGGAATAATAATAATATAGATTCAATTGGTTCTCGTCGAACTTCTTATCAAAGAGAAGAGGATGATAATTATTTATCAGTTCAAAATAATTTACCACCTATAAATAGAAGTCGTTCAAATTCTTCCATTGCATCTGATGCCATTGACAGACGTCTATCTTCTTCTTATTCTACTATAAGAAGAGATAGATCACTTTCAAGTCCTGTAACGAAACAACCTCCCCCTTTATCACCTCGTCCTTCCTTTTTAACTCAGAGAAATAGTAACTATGTCTCTAGTAGTCATAAAGTGGCTCAATTACCTGCTCGTCCTCCAAGACAAGAACTCAGCTCTACTACCCTTCCTCGGACATATACAATCAATCAACAACAAAGCCTTAAAAAGACCCTATCTGATAATAATAGACCTAGTCCTGGATATGAATTAAAGAAAACCATCTCCTCTGGATCTATATCGACTATCAGTACACCTTCAGCACCTGTCACACCCCCTGTCACAAATGAAGAGCTTGGTTCTACTTACCAGCGTCTTCGTCAAAGTACACCTAATCCTTCTGTATCTCCCTTTTTGGATCAACAAAAGGAAGATAGATCAAGTCTAGTTAAAAAGAAGCGTGCTCCACCACCTCCACCTCCACCTAGTAAACGTACACCAGCTGGTATGAACAACAAGAAAGAGTATGTGGAGGCACTTTATGACTTGAATGCACCTCAAGATGGGGACCTCTCTTTCCGTATGGGGGATATCATTGAGATTATTGAGAAAACTGAACAATCGCAAGATTGGTGGAAAGGACGCCTCCGTGATCAAATCGGCATGTTTCCAGGTATAGCATGAAATATATGAAAGACTTTTCTTTTTTTTTTTTTTTTTTCCGTTAAATATTAACTAACATTATTCATTTATTTAATAGCAAATTATGTTAAACAACTTTGATACAATATATTCCCTGTCCTTCAAGATTTGCCAACCATAAATCTTTTTGATGCTCTACTGTAAAGAAAAAAAAAATAAACAAGTCAATAAATAAACTTGTTTCTCCTGTTTATTTTTTATCATTAATTTCTTGTTTACCTTTTCTTTATTCTTTCATCATTATAATCAGGCGAATTAATATAACCCTTTTTTTTCAGCATTGAATCATCTAAGGCTAAAGTATCTACTTTCTTCAAGTTAACATTAGAACGAACATCCCGTTTTAATTGTTCCAACTTTGCTGTATAATCGTCACGATCTTGTTCATTAACTTGAATTGAATCTTGTAGACTTGCGATTTTTGCATCCAAGACACCTAATAAACGAATGGTGCTAGCTGACCATGCAGCAAGTGCGTTCATGGTTTCATCTAGTTGTTGAGGTCTTAAATCACGACCTATACTATACATGACTTGTAAATGACGTTGCTTTTGATCCAACTTTCCTCTTAACACATCTTGATAAAAGCCATCGATAATTAAATCTTCTAATTCTCTTACTGTGGGTATATCAAGATATGATTGTAATAAATCATATGAAAGTGTCTAAGCAGTTTAATAAAAAAAAAAAATTAGAATTTGAATTCATACACAAAATATGTATACATGTATAACCTGTTGTGATTCTGAAAGAGTGACAATGGTCAAAAGCTTTAGTTTTTTTAGTTGATTTGTATTTAATGATGGTAAGTTTGAACTATTTTCTGTATTAAATAAATTATTATTCTCAATGTATTTTTTTTTTTGTCTCTCTTGCATAGTATATTACCTTGATAATCTTTATATGTTCCATAAAGAAAAATACCAAGTAAAGTATAATAAGGCATTACTTCTGGTAATGTAGATGCCTATCATTTTTTTTTTTTTTTTGGAAATGTTATATTAAAAAGAAAATATCTCTGTTTTTCTTTTTCTTTTACTTCAATTAAATTAGGTGATTCATATAATTCTGTAAAAACAAAAACACCAGGTGCACTCAATGCATCCATAATCAATTTTATATTAGCAACACCTTTGACTGATTTAGACAATAATAAAAAAGGTTGAAGTTTTTGAAGGCTTGTATCTTTCATTATTGTATTAATTAAATAATAATAAAAAAGAAATAAAAAAAAAAGGGCTACTTAAAATGATGACAACAGTACAATAACTGTTTTCTTCTTCGCATTATTAGAGTGCATACCTAGGGTGTTTGAAGGGTATATAAAACCTGTTATCATTGTATGTTCTAAAAAAAAACACACATTTTTATTATGAACTTTAATAAACAACAGATGTAAACAAATGAATATTAGGTTTGCATAAAATAATAGTTGTGAATACATATATTATAATAAACTATAAGAAAAAAAAAACAAATAATTTGATTTGTTGTTGTTGCTGTATAAACTACCAAAAACTATGCTTATGAGGTGGTTTGCCTATATAAAATACAAGTTAGACACGACTTTTTTTTTTAAAAAAAAAAGATGAATCTATAACTTACCAAATTCGTTACCATAATTTGAAGGAGGAGGTGGATTATAGCCTGGAAATCCGGGTATACCAGGAAGACCACTGTGCTGACTGTGCTGACCATGATGACCATGATGACCATGCTGATGAGGTTGACCATATTGAAAGCTGCCACCACTAAATGGAGGAGGAGGTGGAGGTGGGTATTGATTATACTATAATACAATCGAGTATGTTTAGATCAGTTTATATAAATCCTTTATTTAAACTTACTCCTCCTTGATGATGACTATGTTTATTTGTAAAATATTTTCCTGCCGCATAACTAACAAAATTAGTTTTATTAGTGAAAAAAAAAAAAAAAGTTCAGCCTATCATGTTACCCTAGTAAACTACCAGTGATGGCACCTCCAGAGAAGCCTTAAAAGAATAATAAATGAATATAATTTACTTTTAATGTATTCTTTCTTTACCAGTAAATATTTTCCCAATTCCTCTTTCTCCTCCTTCTTCACCGGGTATTGTAGGATCCGTATTATTCTGAGTTGGATAAGAGGTATTTATAGAAGCTGGAGAAGAATCCATATATGAATTGTTTTCACTTGAATATTGTTGTTGTTGTTGTTGTTGTAAAGGATATCCACTACTATTGTAGCTGTATGCTTCACCCTTATTTCCTACGCCTGCTTCAGATGCCTTTGAAGCTCCAGTAGGGATTTCCCATTGTGTTGTACCTGTTGATTGTTCAAGATAATAATAACGTTGCGAAGTCTCATCCCAGAGTGCAATCCTAATAAAATGAAATAGAACCTTAACTATGAAAAGGGAGTTCTTTGTGATTGTATATATATGTATACCATCCAGGAGGAAGTGTAGGTGGAACTGAAGGATTCATTATTAAATGGGGAAAAAAAAAAAAAAGAAAAAGAACAAGAAAAAGAAACAGAAGAAGGGTTATTTTTGAATTAATCAATGATTTTATTTCCATTAGAGTGAATTCTATTTTTAACTTCTTATGCAGCATCCGCAATGATATGATTGGTGGGTTTTCTTGTCACGATTGTTTCTACAAAATCATTCATTTTACTTTCATCTACATAGACCAAGAAATAAGGATTGGCAGTAGAGCCAGTTGTATTATGGAATATTTCACTTTCCTGTACTTTAGTGACTAACGAATCGTTATATTTCCACCATTGATCATTTTTATGATCCAAGATATAGATCCAATAATGACCATAATTTGCCTGTCCTTGATGAATAAAGACAGCATGTAAACGATAAGCTATTTGATTATAATCATCATATTGACTGTGTATTTTAGATCTTAATTCTTGTATCTTATTTGTTCCTTCTTGAATGATTTCTCTTTTTTCTTTAGATTCCTTTTTTATAAAATCTAAAACATGCTCAAGTCTTTCCTTATCTTTTTCTGTAGGACATTCAGTTTTAAATTCTTCCAATACTTGACATGATGCTTCTAATAAATCAGGTATAGGCATTTTACAAATCTATTTCGAGTTTATTAACACATCATTAAAAGAAAAGACAATCCCTATCTATTACCTCTGACTTTGTGTATTTTGCTACTTGTCTTTCATATTTTTCCATTTCCATTCTCCAAAGAGCTACTTCAGCTCTTCTCTCTTTTAAAGCTTCAAAGTTTTCATCAGCATATCGATCTAAATAGATAGTCTTATAGAATTGAATATACGCGTTTGATTTATATATATTGGCTGTAGCTCTATCAAACTGTACTCTCTATGTAGATATAGATATAGAAAGAGATGTATATATAGATATAGATGTATATATAGATATATATATACATATACATATACACATATGAATACCTTTATTATTCATTTCAATTAGAATCTCTTATTTTACCTGGACTAGGATTTGAAGAATAGGTGGAAATGATTTCGCAGTAACTTCACGCGTCACTTCACATCCTCCTTGGAAATTCTCTACTTGATCTGCAAAAAAATATTCGTCTAATCCATCATAAAGATCTTTACCTTCTGATGCATCTACAATAACATGTGAAAAATCCTCTTCCATTTCTTTCTTGACTATCTTTTGTGTCATATTATCACGATAAGAAAGGATTTGTCTAGCCTTTCCATAAAATGAACGACGAATCATATCATCTATTTGTTCGCCATCTTCTGTCTTTGATAAAGGTTTAAGTGCTGCCTCAACAAGATACATGACATTACTCATACATTCAGTTACATCTTGTTGTTTACCAAACATCATTGTGTCCACACTAGGTCTCTCCTTTATTACTCCTTTACTACTACCTTGTCTTTCATCATCTAATTCATCATAGGAGGGAGGTGGTGAATGAGGTCTTATCGTATTTGAAGATTCACTTTCTAAAGCTGTCTTTTGTAAACTCATTGTATTCTTTTCATTTGTGTCTGGAACATCTACATCTTCATCATCCTCTTTTTTATTTAATAATGCCATGTAAGCCAAATCATATTGAGGTGAAATAGCTTTTTCTTGACTTTGTTGAAGATTTAAGAAGAGTTCTTTAAGTAAATTGACAACTTTATGATTCAAGAAGAAGAAGAAGAAAGATGAGTTTATATACATATACATATACAAGTTTAACTTACACTTCTTTGCACGACGAATCTCTGATTGATCTACATTAATTCCACCAATCTTTTTTGGTTCACTATTTTCATCTTCAACAAATAATTCATTATGAATCATTGTTTCACGAAAAGGTATAAAAGTATTATAATACTATAACAGGATTTAAATAAAAATGACACTTGTACGTGTACATATCTTTTTTTTTTCTTTACCTGTAATAAACTATTAAAATAGCATGTATTTCCGATATTATTCAAGCCAACAGGTCTATTATAATGAGAATAAATATATTTCCATTTATAAAAATAGGTATTATTATTAGTATGCATTTATTATTTATATAAGAGGAAGAAAAAAAAAAAAACTTACACTGTTTGCTGACTATTTATCATTTGAGCAGGTACTAATAAACTATCAATATATCAAGTCAAATAACAACAACTCTCTCTCTCTCTTTCTCTCTTTCTCCTTCTTTTCTCTCTTTTCTCCTCCAAGTTCATTTTATACTTTACCACCTAATATGTCTTCAACAGATTTTATATTGGCTGTTAATGGAATTCCTTTTTCTTTTTTTAAAAAATCTATTAATTCTGAACTATGTCTTGCAATGGCAATTGTCTTTAATTTATCTTGATGTGTATTCTTTTCTAAGGGCTCATCTGTCATCTTTATTTGATATAATCCAATCAATAATCGATCATCCGCTGTATCGGGTAGAACCCCAAAATAAGCATATGCATCTCCAATATCATTTCTACCTATCTTTCCTTTACTTCGTTCACATGCAATTAATGTCTGTAATAGAGTTGAATTTGTATAATTGGCAATAGTAACTAAATGATCAATGGCTTCATATTCATCTATAATTACAATAGATTCATTCATTAGTTTCTTATAGGTCCATTCTACTAATCTATCTGATGCCCCTGAAGTGAGACCGAATGAGGTATAAGCTTTATTGACATAATCATCTTCAACTCTATATCGTGTCTCTATTGAGGATATAATGCCTAATACATGTTGCATATCCGCTGTCTTTACTTTAATCGTCATTCCATTGGCTGTGAAAGGAACTGTAGTAGAGCCCAACTCTTGACGTAAGACATCTAATGCTAGTAAAATTTCTTGTTCAATCTGTTCAAGACGTAAGGGTTGAATTACATCAGGTGGAAGAAAGTAATTATCTTCAAGTTGAAATCCAATCTCTTCTAATAATGCCTGACTGCCATCATCGAGCCCAACGCGAGCCAAGAAATGTGGATTATTTTTATTAATGTTACGCTTAATACCCTTGAGTAAGTCTTGAAGGTAAACTAAGAGAGTCGAATAGGTAGTGACTAAAGTAGGTGTGACGGGTTGATCTTTGTTTTGTTGCATAAGTTCAGCATAAGACCTTGCTTTAGGTCGTGTTGCCTCTAATCGTTCCAGTAATTTTATAGGTAAAAGGGGTTCTTGTAGTTCAAATGCAACTGTATAGTCACAGCCACAACATTGATATACATTAAAACCTTGTGCATGATAATGATGACAGGGATAATCAAGACCACTGCATCTATTTTCTTCACTATTCAGTTTAGTATGATTTATAGTGAACCAGACATGACACGTTTGACAAATAATACGTGTCGTTCTAGTTACTTCCGTATTATTCATTATCTCTACTGATTCAATTAATTCATTATCGGCTTGAATACTCATCATATCAGACTTGTTTTCTTCGAATTTATTATCCAAAATAAAACTTTTAAAGACATGTTTATGATCACTTTGTTGAAATGTTTCTAAAAGAGCAAGTAATGACATGGGTGAATGATAAAAACCATCCCTTTTCACTTTAGAGTTTTTATTTTCAATGCTGTTTGTTCCATCAAGAACAAATGTATTATTTGTTTTTAAAGCAGGAAACGCTGCTTCAGACATTATTATAATTCAGTATGAATTGTTGGAATAAATAAAAAGAAAAAAAAAAAGAAAATGAAAATGAAATACACAAAATAATAAAATCTTTCTTTATATGCTAACATTCATATTCCGAAGAAAATGACTAAATTTACAAGTCGTATCTTGTCATGTTAAATCATTCTATCATTTCTTATAAGAAAAAAAAAACCTCCCCAACTCTTAACAGCAATCTTTTTATAGGCAATTCAAGGTTTTTGAACACTGTGATTATTTCGATGATAAAGTGCTGCCAGTTTTAATTCATTAATTCGCTTATTATTGCATTTTTTATATATACACATAAGAAGAACGATTCACATGAATATATCTTGTTCAGTAAAAGAGAGATAAAGAACAATCATTGTTGGCTGTAATTCGACTTTAAACGTATCTTAATACTTTAACCTCTTTGCAGTGTTCTCTCTCTTTTTTTTTTCCTCTTTTTTCAGTTATCCTCTCTTTCTCTCAGAAAAAAAAAATTCTCCCGATACGAACAATAATTACTATCCAATTTTACTAAAGACAAGCTAGAGTGTTGATTATTACATTAGGTTAATTGTCAAGTGAAGCATTAAATGTATAGCTTATTTTGTTTCAAAATTCTTCAGTGGACTACCAATATCGATACATTCTATCTAAATTAATGTAACCATGTATTTATATTATTTCAAATATTAAGTTTATTGAGTTTTTTTTTTTTTTTTTTTTTTTTTTTTTTTTTTTTTTTTTTTTTTTTTTTTTTTTTTCAGCTATAAGCTTTATAAAAAAAAAGTCGTTGCTTTTGGTTACCATTGTTGTTGTTCGAAGAGGGAAAAAAAAATACCTCATTAACGTGACTCTTTTTTCGTCACTACTCCATCCTTAAAATTTTGTTAAAACCTCAATAAATCTTTGAATACTACAATAACGTTTTATTTTGTTCATTTTAAAGGAAGAATTACCCTTCTTTTTTTTTTTCTTCCTTATTTTTTTTTTTTTGTTATTTATTTTTATATAAATAGTTTGTATTATATATAAATATATATATTTTTTTTTATTTGAACAAGAAAAAGGAAAAGCAAACACCTAATTACTAATAAGAAAGAACAACGACATGGACGATCGTAATTATTCTAAATCAAGAGATAAATCTTCAGATAGGAAAAATACTTCAGAAAAACGAAGTCGTGATGAATATTACAGTAGCAGTGATCGACATCATCATAGTAGTCATCGTGACAAGCGAAGGAATTATGGAGATGATCGACGATATAATAGAGAAAGTAGTAGTCGACATCGTGATAGAAGTCGTGACAGATGGTCTTCCTCTTCAACTAGAAGATCAAGTCGAGATAGAGATTCAAAAAGTAGCAGTAGTAGAAAGGAATCAAACCGATCATCTTATCATCGACGCGAACAAGTTAAAACGAATAATGTCGATGTTACTAATGCTGATGTTATACCAACAGGACCCAAAGTGGATATAATGATAAATAAACCTTTGAATGCAACAAATCCATCACAAACAATTTCTGCGATATCAACTACTTTAGCCGTGACAGATATATCCAATGACTCGTTACCTACTGCACCAGCAGCTTATTATCATCCACATTATTCATATCAGTCACAAATGGATCCACAACAACAGGCAACTGCTGCAGCAATAGCATGGGCTCACTATTATGGTTGGTCAGTGACAGATTATAATAACGCTTATGGTACAAACTTTACAGATGAACAATATCAACAGTATATTCAACATTATTACCAAAGCCAGGACCCAAATAGTTATTATGGTTATTATGATCCTTCCTATTATCAACAACAACAACAAGCAATACCCCAACAACAAAATATTCAAACTACTTATAATCCACAACCAGCGACGTCATCATCATCTTCTTCTTCTCCACCACCTCCACCACCTCCCTCTACTTTGACAACTGCAGATACTTCCAAGACCTTGACCACCACCACCACCACTACTACTACTACTACTTCATCATCTACAGGAAAAAATCATCAACAGAATCACTTATCAGAAGACATACCAGAAAAGACGTTGAAAGAAGTAGGATATCCATGTCAAACCTTAGATGATCCTTCTTTATTATTCGAAAAGATTGGACAAGTAGGAGAAGGAACTTATGGGTAATATAGGATATAAAGTTATATATGAAAAAGGTAAAACTTATTTTTTTCTTGATTTAAATAGTAAGGTTTATAAGGCACGTAATGGGAAGACAGGAAAATTAATGGCTTTAAAGCGTATTCGAATGAAAAATGAAAGAGATGGAGTAAGGACTTGAGGAAAAAATAAACTAAAATAAATAAGGTACTTGCTTATTCAATTGCATCTATTAACTATATTTTTTTTTGTTAGTTTCCAATTACAGCAATGCGAGAAATTAAACTCTTACAAAAATTAAAGCATGAACGTATTGTAGAATTACAAGAAATTATGGTAGCTAAAGGCTCTGTATATATGGTATTAGAATACATGGATCACGACTTGTCGGGTATATTAGGTCATCCAAATTTCAATTTTGAACCAGCTCATGCAAAGTCATTAGTTAAGCAAATGTTAGAAGGTTTAGCCTATCTACATCATATGGGTATACTTCACCGAGATATTAAAGGTAAACCCCCCCCTCTCCCTTCTTTTTTTTCTTTTTAAACACTCACACTCTGTTTTGAATTAGCTAACTGAGTAGTATTACAATAGGATCTAATTTATTGATAAATAATAAGGGAGAATTAAAAATTGCAGATTTTGGACTAGCAAGAATATTTGAAAAGAATAGAGCTCATGATTATACCAATCGAGTAATTACACTTTGGTACAGACCACCAGAATTATTGCTCGGTGCAACTGCTTATGGGCCAGCTGTAGATATTTGGAGTGTAGGATGTATCATGTTGGAGTTCTTTACAGGGAAAGCAGTTTTTAATGGAACAGATGAAGTGAGTCAGTTAGATAGTATATATAAAATTATGGGAACACCTTCTGTAGAGACTTGGCCCACTGTAAAAGATTTGCCATGGTTTGAATTAGTACGTCCCAATGAAAATTATGCTTCAAAGTTTAGAGAATCCTTTGAATCGTAAGTGTGTTTATAGGTTCAAAACTAAACTAAGCTAAGCTAAGCTAATTGTAATCATCATTTATCATATGTGTATATAGTTTATTATCGCCTGGTGCATTAGAATTATCTGAAGCACTCTTATCTATGGACCCATTAAAGAGACCGTCAGCAACAGAAGCATTAGAGTTTAATTATTTTAAACATGAATTACCAGAACCTATTATGCCAGCAAAGTAAGTTATTATATATAGTATTCTTTATGATTACATAATATTAATTCATTTTATTAAATAAAGCTTATTGGATATCAATGGTGATTGGCATGAATTTGAATCCAAACAACGTAAAAGACAGAAAGGGGCAACTACATCCAATAAAAATGACATTATGAATAAGCCAAAGACAGTGCCTTCTTCATCTACATTAAATCACACAACAACAACAACAACAACAACAGCAGCAGCAGCAGCAGCTTCTACAGTCAAATAATTATAAAAATAAAAATTAAAAATATTTGTTTTCTTAAAAAAAAAAAAAAAAAAAAAAAAGATAAATCTCCGCATACTTCCCAATCAGGTAATAGATGGAAGATCATCTTCTCTCTCTCTCCCCCCCTCACCTTCCCTCCCTCTCTTCTTGCTACTTCCTTATAAATGATGTTATATCTGATTCATTCATTTCTTTCTTGCTTTTTTTTTTTTTTTTGTAAATACCCCTTTTCCTCCCTACTCTACTCTACTCTACTCTTTTCTTTTTTAAAATAAATATATAAATAAATGCTTACTACATATTTGAGTCAACAGACTCGTAAGGTAATAGATGAAAGCATAGGGAAATCATATTATATGATACAAGTTCATGTTAATTTGATTTTTTTTTTTGGTGGAAATTAGGCTACTCAAAGAGCTTTTTATCGTTTGACGAGTCAACGATCTTTAGCAACAACACATAACCCAATTATTGAAAAGGACTGTACATCTATTACACCTCCTTATGCTAAATTAACCAAGAATCTTCAACTTGTTAAGCGTATTTTAGATAATCGTCCATTGACTTTGGCTGAAAAATATATATATTCTCATTTAACGAATCCAGAAGAAACCATTCCCGTTCGTGGTGAAACTTATTTAAAGCTAACACCAGGTATATATGTATGTATATATATATATTTATTTATTTATAACATTTATGTGGTTTTATATAGATCGTGTCGCTATGCAAGATGCTTCTGCTCAAATGGCACTTCTTCAATTTATGCTTTCTGGTATGCCTACAACAGCTGTACCTACAAGTATTCACTGCGATCATTTGATTGCTGCTAATGAAGGCGCTGATAAAGACGTTCAGGAATCTATTTCATCCAATAAAGAAATATATGATTTCTTGGAGAGTGCTGCAAAAAAATATGGTATTGCTTTTTGGAAACCTGGTAGTGGTATTATTCATCAAATTGTCTTGGAAAATTATGCTGCACCTGGTGGATTGATGCTTGGTACAGACAGTCATACTCCAAATGCAGGTAATATATATATATATATATATTTAAAAAGAAAGAATTCCTTATTTATTTATTTTTTTTTCCTTAGGTGGTTTGGGTATGATTGCTATAGGTGTAGGTGGAGCAGATGCTGTCGATGCAATGGCTAATATCCCTTGGGAATTAAAGGCACCTCATATCATTGGTGTCAAGTTGACAGGTCAATTAAATCCATGGGCAAGTCCTAAAGATGTCATTCTCAAGTTGGCAGGTCTATTGACAGTAAGGGGCGGTACAGGACATATCATTGAATACTTTGGTGAAGGCGTCAAGACGTTATCCTGCACAGGTATGGCTACCATGTGTAACATGGGTGCTGAGGTAGGCGCTACCACCTCGGTCTTCCCTTATACTGAGAGCATGCGTTCTTATCTAAATGCCACCGGTCGACACGCTGTCAGTGAAGCAACAGAAGATGCTCATGTTCGTTCCCTTTTATGTCCCGATCCGGATGCCTATTACGATAAAGTCATTGAAATTAATCTGTCAGAGATTGAACCTCATATCAATGGCCCTTTTACCCCTGATTTAAGTACACCCTTAAGCAAGTTTAAAGAGGTCGTCGCTAAAAATGGTTGGAAGGATGAAGTATCGGCTTCCCTGATTGGTAGTTGCACTAATTCCTCTTATCAAGATATGTCTCGTGCTGCTTCCATCGCTAAGCAGGCCATTGATGCTGGTATTCAAATCAAATCCAACTTCTTAGTCACTCCAGGTTCTGAACAAATTCGTGCAACGATTGAGCGTGATGGTCAACAGAAAATATTTGAAGCTGCTGGAGGTCAAGTGTTAGCTAATGCGTGTGGTCCCTGTATTGGACAGGTATATATAGATATACAGATATACAGATATATATATATATATATATAGAGTGTGTGTGTGTGTGTGTGTGAGAAAGAAAGAAAGAAAGAAAGAAAGAAAGAAAGAAATAGAGCATATAGAATTTAACTCTTTATTTCATGTATATACATAGTGGAAACGTACTGAAAAGAAAGGAGAAGAAAATGCTATTCTAACTTCTTTTAATCGTAATTTCCGTAGTCGTAATGATGGAAATGCTAAAACCATGAACTTTTTAGCTTCTCCTGAGGTAATTTAAAATGCATATATGTTTATAATATGTATGTATATTGGCTGACTCTCTCTTTCTCTCTCTCTCTCTTTTTTTTTTTCCATTCTATATCCTTCTTATAATAGATTGTTACAGCTATGGCATTTAGTGGGAAATTATCATTTAATCCGATGACAGATACTTTAAAAGATAAAGATGGCAAAGAATTCCGTTTTCAACCTCCTTCTGGAGATCATCTTCCCTCTCAAGGATTTGATGCAGGACGCGCCAGCTATACACCGCCTTCACCTACGCCTACCCCTGACCCATCTGTGAAGATCAAGATCGACCCTCATTCCTCACGTCTTCAAGCCTTAGAGGCCTTCAGTCCATGGGATGGGGAGGAATTTAAGAATATTCAAGTCCTTGTTAAAGTCAAGGGGAAGTGTACGACCGATCATATCTCTGCTGCTGGACCTTGGCTTAAGTATAAGGGACACCTTCAGAACATTGCTGAAAATACCTTAATTGGAGCACAGAATGCGGATAACGGCAAAGTCAATCTGGTGAGGGACGTGAGAGAGGATCGAGAGGGCACGATCCCAGAGGTAGCAAAATCGTATAAGCGACAAGGGATGGAATGGACAGTGATAGCTGACCATAACTATGGTGAGGGATCAGCACGAGAACATGCTGCCTTACAGGTTCGTTATTTAGGTAGTCCCCTCATCATTTCACGTTCATTTGCCCGTATCCATGAGACCAACTTGAAGAAGCAAGGTGTTATACCCTTAACGTTCAAGAACGAGAGTGATTATGAAAGGATCAATGGAGGGGATGTGATTGAGACAGAAGGTTTAAAACACTTGTCCCCTGGTTCTCCTGTCAAGTTAATAGTTACTAAACCAAATGGAACCAAGTTCTCTATTGATGTCGTTCATACTTTGAGCAAAGACCAAATTCAATGGATTCGTGCAGGTTCTGCTTTAAATCTTATAAAGAAGAATGTGCAAGCATCTTTATAAATGTACCTACAAGCTGTGTATATAGTCGCAAAGAGTTATTCATTCTATATTAATCTATGTATAAACTTTTTTTTTTGTCTTTCTAGATATAGATCTAAAATAATACTTTGTTTTTTATTTTTATTTTTTCCATGATTCCACTCTATTAGTTTTACTTATATATATATATATCCTCTATTCAATATGGGATCTATTATAAAACACTACACATATGAAATACGTAATAAAGCGAATTCATGTATACAATAGCATAACTGTTTTTTTTTTTTCAATACGCTGCACGTACATAGAAAAAAAAAAGGTGTACCAATAACATGACATAAGTGATTGTGTAACCGTTACATAAATATCTAGGTTCAGGAAAAAAAAAAAAAAAAAAAAAAAAAAAGTGAACTTTTTCTACACTATTTATTTATTTATTTATTTATATATGAATTTGCTCATGTGTGTGTTATTTAATAAAGTTAAAGATAGTTTTAATTTATTTCGACTGCATTCCCAATCTTTATCAATTTCCTCATCCACTTCATCTAAAGTTGATCCCAGGATGTGTTGTACTTGATATGCTAAAAAAGATGTACAACAGGAAGGTAGACTCAGACGTTGACATTCTTCTTGAAATCGTACTTCAGTAGTCATAGTCATAGGGGAAGCTGGCGGCGCAGGATCTGTTATGTCGCTACTCGTTGTTATTATTGAATGGCTATCATCTACTAACAAAGGTGTTGAAGTCATAACTAAATCATATTGTTGTTGGTGATCAGACTCGAGAGATAAAGAGTATGGTTTCTTTATCATCACATCATGTCTCATGTTTTCATGGGCTTCCTTTGTGATTATTGAAGCTGTAGGAGAAGATGATATACGGAAAAATGAGGATAATCGTTGACGCATTCTGGATGCTGGTGAACTATAGCTGTTGGCTATAAGAAGAGGAGACTGTGCTGATGTATAATCCTTAGTCATCATCGTATCTACTACTATATCATCCATTTTACTAGTAATCACTCTTAAAGAATGTCTTTTGCTTCTCTTACAAGTGTCGTCATTGCTAGTAGTATGACTAAAATTAAAACTTTTTCGAAATGGATTTACCATACGTATATATAAAGAAGAGAGAGAAAGAAAGAGTGAAAGAAAGGTTATTGAATGAAAATGAAAAATAGGCGTTTTAGGCTAATATGATTATATCTGCAGATGAAAAATAATTGCATTGTATAACAAAGAAACAGTCATTTACATCGGCCACACGTTTAAGGTTTTCTCTTATTAAACAAGTTCATTATTATTGTTTCAACTCATTGTAAATAGAAATAGAAATAAAATGTAAAAATATCTAGCCATTTATGATTTCATTTTTTTATTATCTGTCTCTTCATCTTTACTAGGTGATGCTTTACGTTTTGTCATTGTCATCATACCACCTACTTTCATACTCGTGTGATTGTTATTATTATTTGAAGAAGAAGTAGAAGATCTCTTGGCTAGAGCTGATAATCCAGTTCTTTTCTTCATGCCACCTAACATCATTTTAGAACCTGTAGAAATAGGCGCTTCTGTAGTTACTGCAGTTGGCTTTAATGATAAGTTGAGTTTAATAGGTTGCTCTCCTTCTCGTTTTAACTCAGTTGGTGCTGGCTCAGTTGTATTCATGCCCTTTTCTTCTGCTACTTTAGATGCCTTCTCAATCTGCTCTTTTAACAATTGTAAATCTCTTTCTTCGTCGTCTTTTCTAGCTCTCTCCATCTTTTGAATAGCAGCCTATTAGAGAATTTACCTTTAGCCTTATATTTTAATTATGAATGGATTTATTTCATATGATATGGAATGTCTATTTACCTGTTTAGCAAGTGCTTTAGGGCTATTATCCACCCAAGCAATATGCAGACCTCGTTCTGTTTCATCTACACGAAGAATACCTTCCTTGCCCATTTGATGACAGAATCCAGTTAATGTGGTCCATCTTGTAGCATTCATGTGAATATGATTCTTATCTGCAATGTATTCTTGATATACTCTATTCGCTAACACTCGCTTTGTACCATGTCGACGAGATAATAAGTTTAAGAATTCTTTTTTAAATTCTTGAGAATAATTGTAAACGTATTTTCCTGGATTATCTGCCACTAATAGCATTTGACGTTGATGTGATTCAGACATAATATGACATTTAAAGCCATTTTCATCCCGCATTTGACGTTGACAAGCTTGACAATAAAATTTTAACTTTTGAAGACCTTTTGCCTATATAATAAAGAAATAGATACAAGTTAAATCTCTTTCTACACAATACAACTAATTATTAAAGTTTTATTATTATTATTACCTTCATACGGTTAGCAATATCTTTAGGTGACATAAATTCTGCTTTCGCCATTTTGAATGTGAGTGTTTTTTTTTTCTTGGTAATTTAATTGATGGAGAAAACTCTTCTATGTGTTTAAATTGAAGAAAAAAAAAAAAAAAAAAAAGAATGAAATTTTTTAATACTATCTGATTGGTTAAATCATGTGACTTGAATGCATATTCTAGAGTTTTTTTTTTTTTGGTAAGGTACGCTCCGTCTGGATACATTTTCATTGACTAATTATGGTAATGATATAATGAACCTCATATTAAATGAGTTTCACGACAATTATGGATTAAAACTTTTATAATATTTCTCTCATTTTGTTAAGAAAGAACAGTTTAGGGATGTAATAATTATCATGCAATAAAACTAATTAAATTTCTTTAAAGGAAGTTATATCGTTCTTCTATTCATCATAGTAAAAAGAGAGAAAAAAAAAATAGATGCCTACTTCCTCTATACATGTCATTTGTATGCTACTACGTTTGTTACCAAAATGATTCAATAGTTGAATCATAATGCATGAAACTTTAAGGTTACAAACTAAGTTTTTATTATGATCAGCATAAATGATGTTGGTTATACAGGTACAGTTTTTTCAAATATAAAAGATACCGAGGATTCTATTCCGGGAAGTCTATTCCTCGGTATAAACATGTATATAAAACGCACACACAACAAGCTTAATTATTAAATACTAAAGAAAGTAATAACAATCTATGTGTTTTATTAAACCTTCCCTTATATATGTTTATAGTTGTATATCATAAAAAGCATATACACACATTTTTTTTTTTTTTGGTTTTGTTTTTGACCAAATCCAAAGCTGGATCTATAAACAGATATATGAATCATCATACAATACTTTATCTGTTACCGGGTATGTACAATATGACCATTAGTTCTATTGAGATTAGCAAATGTCATCTTTAGGGCCAAGTAACAGTATAGAAGGGATATTTGTGATCGTACTTTTCTAAATCTGCAGTCAAGTGAGAAGGGTGATAGAACCAATGTAAATACATGAGGAGTATCCTTTTTTGACCTACGTCTCTATTTTCATAGCAATCTTTAAAATATACATTTATTATAAAGAAAGTAAAGAAGTTTGAATACATATAATATATTAAGCCTTATTTTTTTTTTATACTGATCTTTATCGCCTAAAGTATTTCTGTGTTGAATATAAACTAAATGAAGCTTATTTCCAAATTCGTTACGCCTCATTATTCACAATTTGATTGGTTGTTCTAAAAAGTAGTTTTTTCTTTTTTTTTTTTTTCTTTTTTTTTAAAAAAAGTAGGAGAAATTTTATTGTCCTCCTTTATTTTATTATTTGGCAGCAAAATTAATTTTATGTAATACACAATTGAGACAACTATACGATTCTTGAAATAAAATCATGCAATGTCCAAATTGTGGCAGTGATAAACAAATCATTAATGACATTGATAGTTCCGTTTGTTGTTCTCAATGTGGTCTAGTTCATGAGCAAAACATTCTTAGTACAGAATCTACATGTCCAGATGATGTTATTCCATTGTCCATTGCTGAAGCTGCTGAAAAGGTAATCGTATCATGATAAATATTACATCTCTCTCACATGCTTATATTCTTTATATATATATCTATATATATATATATAGACGAATAAAAGAGAAACAGAATTTGTAAATCAATTTAGAGTAACCGCAGCTTATTTTGAATTCCCACAAGATCTTATTACAAGTGGGAAACAGATTATAAAGGAAAATGTTTCTGAATTTAGTAATAGATATGTACCAGAGGTAGCCATCTGCGTTGCGTTTTTAGTAAGTCGTAAATGGAAACCTGAATGGGATTTGAACGATTTTATAGAAAACTTTACGTTACCACTTGATATAATTCAAGTTAGAAAGGCGTATTTTACGATTACAAAACGACAGCCTTCTCAAGTTCATATTTGGAAAAGGACATCAGAACAAGTTGATTATTTCATAGATCGTGTCTATACAGCGATTATAAATCAATTGAATAGGGTGAGTCGTGTAGGAAAGAAGGAGAAGCAGAAGAAGCCGTTCTTTACAATCGAACAACTTGCAGAAAAGACAAAGGCATTGATAGAGCTAGGCGAATTATATGGTCTAAACCTAGCACAAAAGGCGCGACCGACGATCACCGTAACCGCCATCCTTTCTGGCTTATGTCTCTTTGTTGAGCTAGGGATAGCGGGTCGTAAACGTGGAAGGATATCATGTACACACCATCTGCGCCTGGCCGACTTTCTTCCCTTGTGTTTTTCAGGATTGGCTTCATTCCTGTCACGATACGCTGAATATGTTGATTTTTTATTTGCATGTGCAAAGAATATTGGATGGATAAAGGGAGCTTCAAGAAAGTATGTACATTATTATTTAAGTGACATCCTAGAGACCTTTGGCCAACAGGATAAGGAGGAGCCACCGATGATGACGTTAAGACCCGAACAGTATACGATTGGCGTATTTAGGAAAAGTAAGGAGTTACATGAGCAAATAGAAAATGATCTCAGGCTAGTTCAAGAACATATTGAAAACCGGACACGACCCGACAGCAAGAAGGACCCTACAAAATTTGCACTATATAAATTAAAGAGTTATGGGTTTAAAGACCAAGATATCCTGAATTGGACACCAGGATATATTCGAAGTATGGCTAATTCTCTTCAATTCCGCGAGGACTATGGAGATGTCTATTGTTTTGCACAAGCTAATTTAGACAGAAAAGAAGTAGATGAACAAGATATGAATGATGAAGAAATTGAACTTTATTTATATTAAATAAATTATATAATCAATATGCTTGAAAGTAACATATTGGAAAGAAAAGAAGAGAGATGAGAATACTGTTTACTATATAAAACGACAATTACTCTAAGATAACGTAGATAGTTTAGTCAACATACAAATATATATATATATATATATATATATATATATATATATATACATACATACTTATATACAAACTGATAAAACAGTTCACCATTGTCTCAAGCTTACAGTGATCTAAACAACAAGTAAAAGATTATATGCATATAATAATAAAGAGGGCGAGTTATTTTTAAATAACGACGAGATACAAAGGTTTATTCTGTAACAAGATAAGAACCATGATTATTCTATTAAATTGGCTCCATTTATGGCAGAAGACATATGATAGACTTATTGAACTTAATAAAGGACTTTTATCATGCGAGAAGGCATATGATAAACTTACTAAATTTAATTAGCACTGATAATGATAATAATAATAATATGACTGAACCTATTTTTGTTTTGTTAATAAAAGAAAAAAAAAAACTTCCTCCCTATTAAATAGCTTTTGTTCTATGGAATAGCGATAGATGACTATTTCCAATAAGATGTAATTGTTGATTTGTTATGGCTTCAAAGGTGTGGAATCAAAAGACAGTAAAACACCACATATGATTTATTTTCGGAAGGTTTCATATCCCGTCAAAATTGTAAAAATTGTGAATATCACAAGCAAGAAGATTCCCATAAAGGAAGAGAAGATGCATTATCATCTTTCTATTGATTCTAATTGTATTTGTTCGGTTAACGTTAGTCATTTTAAATAAATAAATAAAGAAAGAAAGAAAGAAACTAAAAAAACAAAAAAAAAGAAAGAAAATAAAAAACAAAAGAATTTTTATCTGCTGTTACTTTTTTTACTCGAAACAAAGATTTAAGATTGATAATAGTTGGTAAAGATAATATTTCTTTCTTGATAGGCATGTCAGCCAAGTGCTACTTGTTTTAAATTGACAGTAGGATAAAATTGATTTTTATTACAAAGCAGTCCTTAGTACTTTAAGTAGTAATTATTTTATTTTATTTTTTTTTCTTGCATCGTATCTAAAACGTGTATTATATAAATTGTTTCATTTCAATCACTTATTTCAAAGAAAAACAGTAAATAACGTGGCAATAAAAAAGAAATGATTATTTTAGAGTCTATCGTATTCCTCATACTCTTTCTTCTATTATGCGTGTATGTGATATTATCATTCAAGTATTGAAAAATGGATATAATATGAAAGTATTCTATATGTTGTTTATTGTTTTGTTTTGAGTGCTTGATAACATAAATCAAGAAATAACATTACAAGTGACACACTATTGCCACTACAAAAAATAAGCTTATTATTAAATGCTGATTATAAATTTCCTTTTCGGTACTTTTTTCTCTCTTTCTCTTTCTCTTTCTCTTTCACTCACACACACACTCTCTCTCTTTTATATATATATACATATTTTATATAGTAGATAAATGCAAACAAATCGTGTTCGGATTATTCGGTTATTATTCATTGTTCTTGCTATATTTTGCTTTTTCTTTTTATTTCATTATTTATTAGATATTCAACAACAAAATGCAATTCAAAAAGAACGAGAACTAGAAGAAGCAAGAATAGCACTTCAGAAAGAAAAAGAGCAAGAAGAGAAATTATTAATGGAGTTAAAAAGAGAAAGATTGCAAAGGATTTTAGATAATCGATCTGTTTTAGAGCCAAGTAAAATAAGAATAGTATAAATTTTATTCGTATTTTTGTTTTGTTTTTTTAAAGAAAAAAAATTTTTTTTTTATTTTTTTATTTTCTAGAATTGACACTTGATGACACTGTAAATCAAGAATTACTTGACAAGTATTATATTGCTGTACCATCTACTTTAGAGCCTTGGACAGGTAATACATTTAAATTTGGATAAAAAAAAAGGAAAAATGTGATAACCATGATTATAATTTACAGAGGACACACTTCAATTCTTAAAGTCACCTATTGGACAGAATATAAAGTCAGACTTATTAACGATTCCAGAAATTATACCAAATTTTAAAACACTTACAACTCAGGAACGTACCTTTAAAGCACTCTTTGAATACTTGGATCCTTTAATTGCTGAAGACGGAATAGATGTTGTTAGTGAAAGATATAAGGAAACATGGCAATTATATAATCGATTAGAACAAATCCTTTTCCCCTGGATCCGACCTTATTGGAAGAATGTGTTTGAGATGAATAAACCGTCTAATAGAAATAGTCGAGGTATTGTCATGTGTGTAAGCGATGACCATCTTCGACACGCTCGTGTTTCAATTCCAGCTATTCGAAATATTCTCAAGTCAGATATGCCTATTGAACTATTTTATATTGATGAATCAGATCTATCTAAAGAAAATAGAGCCTTCTTTGAATCCTTCCCTAATGTAACCACCATCAATATCTCAAAGCGAATTAATAATAAATATACTCAATTTAATGGATGGGAAATTAAACCTTATGCCATCTTAGCTAGTAGTTTTGAAGAAGTCTTGATCATGGATGCTGATGTCTTTATGTTTAAAAAGCCAGAAACATTCTTTGAAGACAAAGGTTATGAGGCTACGGGGGCTTTATTCTTCTTTGATCGTACTTTATTTAATGACTTTCAACAAGGTCGTATCTGGCTTCGATCTTTCTTACCTACTTATAGTTCCTTTGTGGAGCAATCGAGATGGTGGAAGACAACCTCTGCTCATGAACAAGAATCTGGAATTGTCGTGATAAACAAACGAAAGGCTTTATTTGGATTATTAGCTACTTGTAAAATGAATGATAAAAATGAAAGGGACCATGTCTCCTATCAGCATGTTCATGGAGATAAAGAGGTAAAAAAAAATTGTATTGTGTTGTATCAAGTAATAATTTATTTGATGGATAATAATAGACATTTTGGATTGGATTTGAAATGATTCAGTCACCTTATGCATTTGTCAAATCGGTGGGTGCTGTCATTGGTGGTTTAGGTGATGCTGGTGCAGAAGGTACAGTGTGTGGTAATCTGCTTCACTTGGACACAGAAAATCAACCCTGGTGGTGGAATGGAGGCGTCTTTAGAAATAAAAATAAATGGGAAAATAGATACTTGAAGTTTACTCATTTTGCTCAAGGTGAAGATTGGCAATTTGAAACGTCATGTATTAAAAATAAGGATAAGATTCAAGAATTAAATAGTAAAGAAAGAGAATATGGGAAACAATTAATTGAATTAGATAAAAAGAACAATAGAACGTAATCAGTATATAGTTCCTTTTTTTTTTTATTAATAAAACCTTAAACAACTATAACCGTTATAATCAAAACTGTGTTCAGGAACACAAGTACATTTCGAATAAAGCGATCTTTCTAAAGGACAATGAGTAAAGAAATCAGACACACGATATCCTATATTTTCCCAAAAATGAACATCTTGTTTTTTTAAGAATAAAACAGCTCCTAAAGATTGAATGATTGGGTCGCCCCATCTTTCATAAAAAATGCCATTTGCTTCATCTAAATAATTGAAAAATGATTGATACTTTTCACTTTTATAAAAATGAAGGTTTGCAATCTAATACACAACAACATTTAAATACACATATAATAATAATAACAATAATAAATGACGAATGTGTACCTGAAAATTATTCCAAAAGTGACAATAATTGAATTTATTGTTTTCATTCAAAATAAAATGCCAAAGATTATTCGAGTCACCAAAAGGTTGGATCCAATGAATATGATCCTTTGCGTAATCAAGAACTGTTTGATATAAAGTAGGAACTGTTTCTCGATATTCATATAAAGCCATCGAAAATGAAGTTGTTTTATTGTTTTCAAACATAAATTGAAATGGATCTTCATTAATAGGGCAAATATATTCAGTTCCAGCCTCAAATCGCCAACCATAATCTAATTCTTGCATGAGGGGATGTCTTTTTTTTTTTTTTTTTTTTCATAAAAGTCAATAAAAAAACTATACATGCATGTATTCATTTCTGTTACTTTTTTTTTTTTTTTTCATTTACCTATAAATGGTACCAGCCATAAATCTTGATTGAAATCGATAATCTTCATTATCACCAAACATAATATCACTTAAAGTATTACGTGCTTTTTCTGCTTTCTTTAAATCCGTATTAGGTCCATAACCATATAAATCGTCATTCACTTTCTCAAAACGTATTGTAGTTGAAGAATCAGCCACTATCGAACTTGTTAATTCTCGAAATTCTTCATTCAAATCTTCATTAGAAAAAATGATGTAAGGATAATGATACTTCTTATTAAACTGATCTTCTAAATTACGAATAGTTGAACGTAATTTTGTAAGTGAAGTACGATCACTTTTAACAAATGTATAAAAAGCAGCTTTAAATCTATTATGAGGATAATTTAAATGTGTAGGGTTTGTATGCTGCCATACTGAGTTGCTGTAATAAAAGTAGTCATCTTCAAATCTTGATGATGATTGTTTTAAAGTATTTGTTGTATGATTGAAATAGAAGATTTGTATGAATGTATATATGCTTGTTATTAGAATAAATGATACTAATAGAATTCTTATAATGGGTCTATTTTTATAAGTCATTGAAAAAAGAAAAAAAAAAATAACAAGTGAGAGAGAAAGAGAAAAGAATTGGACTCTTTTTTTTATATATTATTATAATATACACTTTTGGAAATATTATTTAGGGGGGGGAAGGAGATTTCTCACTCTTATTACAGATTCGTTTTACTCCTTGTTATTTAGCATATATAAAATCAAGTGCGTACACTACAGCAGAATAGAATTGTTGCTTTGAAACATGGAATACCCTTTTTATTAGGGTTAAACAACATTATCTATGTGCATGCTAGATTAATTTGACAATATATCAAACAACAATACAATTGTTATAATATGATTGGATTAAATTTTAATCTTATGCTATTCTTGGTTATACAGTCCCTGCAACGTTTAATTTGACATGACAATATCTGACTTTTAAATTTTAAATAACGTGCGGGCGGCGAGACATTCTATCTAATTTTAGACAAATAAAGGAATATTGATTTGAGAATATTTATTAGACATAATATATACAAATATTAGAGTGCCTTTTCTTTAATGTTAAATTCTAAAACTAAAGCCTGAAAGAGGAGGAAGAGAAGATAGACAGACAGACAGACAGACAGACAGACAGACTGTGTCTATTATTGTAACAATTTGAAAATGATTTAAAAGTAGAAAACTTTTCAAAAAGTTTCTACACTAGTAGCATCCAAACTAATATACTATTTCAAGCTTCTTGCATATCTCTGAGAGGCAATTAACTTGTATAGTTAATTAAAGTAATAGTAGGAAGGTTCTGTTAACTATCGCTTTAAAAATTATCTATTATTCATGGAATCAACTCTCTGATATTCTTTTCGAATTTATGAATCCATCTATGTTTATTTGTACAGTAAGAAATTCTTATGGGCAATAACAGTAGATGCAACTCAATGATAAACAAAAAGATATATAGCAACTGATACCGCATGTAGTTCTCTAAAGTATATGCTATAAAATAAATAAATAAAGGCTTTTTTCACCTGTAAAAAAAAAATGTTTCCTTGGATAGAACACATTGTACCGCAAATATGGACTATTACTTTTTATCTTTGATTTACAACATGTTATTTGGAAAGTGGGAAAACTCTACACTCTTTATATTTTCTCTTGACAAAATAAGCATAAAAAAAAAAAGGTGATGAGTTTAAATTTTATGAATACAATTTTATTTTCTCACTGTTTTTTCTTTTTCTTTTTTTTTTTTTTTTTTTTTTTTTTTTTTTTTTTTTTTTTTTTTTTTTACTTACAATTCACCAGTTAAAAAAAAAAAAAGCACTGAAACATAAATCATCATCATTACAACATGAATGTAGAAGGACCTTCAGGTAATAATATGTTGATGCATATCCAAGTCTTTATTATTTAAATTACTTATTTGAATATTAGGTTTCCTTAATGCACCTGTAACCAAATTTTTGGTGCCTCTTGTAGGTGGTTGTTCTGCATTAGCTTATATAATTAAAGCAGGATCTGGAATGTCTCTTCAAGTTTCTCAATTAACAGTAACTGGCCAAGTAAGTATTATTATTATTTCTATCCTTTCCTATTCTTTATTATTATTATTATTAATGGGAATCTTTACATGAATAGTTGTGGAGAATATTTAGTTCACCTTGGACATTTAATAGTGTTGGTACAACTGTCATTGGAACATGGTTAATCTATAAGCTAAGAATTATTGAAAGAAGATATGGAAGTGCAAAATATGCAGTAAATGAGTTTTTTTTTTTTTTTTTTTTTTATATATAATGGATAAAAATCATAATGTAACTTTATATATATTTTAGGCCTTTATATTTATATCCTTTGTTCTATCTACTTTATTACAAGCAGGTGTATCTGTCACAGTAGGTTCTAGAATTGGATTTAGATCAATTGCTTCAGGACCGTAAGTTTCTTTTTTTATTTCCCTTCAACGTCTTTTATTCACCCTTTATAATATACAGTTATGCAATTCTATTTTCTATTTTGTATCAATTTCATAAAATGATTCCTCCTAGTTATCAAGTGAAAATGTTGGGTACAACCATGTCAGATAAAACATATACATATTTTGCAGCAACACAGGTAGTATGATGATTATTATTAGTGTCTAATCACATTATTTATTTACATTGTGTTTATGGGGGGAGTGTAGCTATTATTGACAAATTCAACATCATCTATGATCCCTTGTATATGTGGTCTTACTGTAGGTGTTTTGTATGATAGAATAAATACATTAAAGCAATGGCGATTTCCTAAATGGATAAGAAGATTGACATGGAGATATATTTTACCTGTTTTGAATACAAATAGTAAAAGGAGACCAAGAGAAGAAAGGATTAAAGAAGAAGATATAAATACAATCTTGGGCATGTTCCCTAATTATTCAAGAGAGAATATTAAAGATGCATTGATAAAATCTAAATCTGATTTAAATCGTGCAGTTGAATTATTATTATTAACAGCGAAAGAAGTAGATGAATAGAAATAAATAAAAATAGGTTTATTAAATAATGACATTACGATGTATACGAGGCGTAGGTTTACCAGCAGCAGGTAAAGAAGAAGAGATCGCTTCTTTATGTGTTGATTGTTGACTAGTACCATCATCATGAGTAAATTTAAAAGTTGAATTTAGTTTATTAGAAGGACTGACCATAGGACGTTGAGGAGGAGGTTGATAAGTAAAGATATTACGAGAAGAAGAAGGTTTCATCATGACTTCATCTTGATTAGTTAAACCTGTTAATTGTACTCTATGAGGTGAACAAAGAGTTTCAATTTGTTGTTCACCTACTACTAAAGAAGAAGACATCATATTTAATTGTTTTAAAATACAAGCTTGATCCCAGAAATAACGAATGGATTCAATCTTATGACTTTTTGTATCAAAAGAAGCAGAAAGCGTCTATTTTTATATAAATCTAAATATGAATAATAATAAAAGGGATAGAAGACTTACTAGAGGGAATTGAATCGTTGTATTTATCTAATAATAACAATAAAAAAAGTTAATATCCTTTTCTTCTTTTTCTTCTTCTTCTTTACCATAGAATGATTCTCTTGAAGGTTGGGTAATAACCATTTACATTCAGAACCTTTGAAATGAACTTTCCAAACAACTTCTTCTATTAATTTATGATTGGATATCAATGTATTATACACTGTTTCTTGAATTATACATATTTTATCAGAGAATTGTGGATGTAAAAAGAATTTACGGATTTGAGAACCATTTCCTCTTGTACCAATTAAAGTAGGTACAAACATAATCACTGTATTTTCTGAATACAAGTCTGAATTTGTACGATTTTCTTTAAAAGATTTCCAACCATGATGAATTAGTTTGTTATCATTATCCATTATTATAAAGCAAGTAAAAGAAAAAAAAAAGAAGAAGAAATAAAAAGTGAAAAAGAAATTGATCACAATGAATTATTATTGTAACAAAAAAAAAAAAAAAAAAAAAAAAAAAAAAAAAAAAAATCAACTTTATCTCCACCTCCTTATTTTGTGCGTGTGTGCTTCCCTACTAGGATGGATTCGTTATTGTACAAGCAGAACAACAACGTTCATATGGCTTTGATATGATTGGTTTTTGATGTTGATTCTATTATGATTCATATTTTAAGCTGAATGATTTATAATCATCGTGTTTATTTATAGTTTACCTTTGTTGTAAATGATAAAGTTCCTTTCATTAAATTTGTTTCCTTTGAAGAACAGGTATGCATACTCATTTCACGTTGACCTGTAATTCTACGTAGTTTTTGTTGTTGAGGTAAATTAAATCTTTTCTTCGTAGACGTGCTTCCTTTCTTTTTATCTCTTTCATAAGCATGATGATCCTCTTCTTCTTCTTCAATTATTCTTATTTTATTCATTTCATTTTCTATATTCAAGATACGTGCTATATTATCTAATAAAACTAAAAGAATCAACAAGATCCAATGTTGTATCCTTCTTTCTCTTTTTTTCTTTGATAATTCTACAAGTCTTTTGATAACATGGGCTTGTAATTGTAACAAGAAAATAGTAGTAATAGATGGTATTTTTTTATTTTTTTCTATAGGGTTTTGTTGAAATAAATCTTGGTTTACTTTATCATAAACAGTAGTAGAATTTGAATGACATTGCTGTTTATTAGTAGTAGTAGTAGTAGTCATATATCCTTGATTTTTTAACATTCTTTCAAAGAAAAAAGAAAAAAAAAAAGAAAGAGAGAGAGAGAGAGAGAGAAACAACGAAAAAGGAGAAAAAAAAAGGGTAGATAGATGCATGCATACATGTAACAATAATAAGGAGTTTTATACACGTTGCACATATTAGGAAATAAAAGGGGGCGGAAGAAGAAGTAGAGGAAATTAGATGAATATGGAAAGTGTGAATTAAAAACAAATAAATAAATAGTATGAATGAAAGAAACACTGTATATCTTTTTCTTTTTTTTAATTTAATTCATTCTTCTTCTTTTATTTTTGGTTGCATCTTTGAAAGAACCAGGTTACGTTCTTCTTTTAATGCTTCAAGTTGTTGTCTTAATTTCTTCATTTCATCTTCATCATAAACTTGTTCCTTCAACACTTTTTTAGCATCATTTCGTTCTCTTAATTCTGTTCCAATGTAATAGCCAACAGGTATAGTTAATAACGCAATGGCTGGATAAATGTTTTTTTTGATTGCTGAGAACATGCCAATTTGAAACAAGGGTCTCTATTGTTAGAGGGTATATTTGAAAGGTTAGAAGAAAATAATAAATAAAAAAAATAAATACAAATACAAAATAAAAACATTTGAAATTCAGCTTTTTGTGTGGAGAAGGAAGAAGAATATCTTCTCCACAATCATAAAAATAAATAAAAGGGTACTTTATTGGCTAGTTTATAGCGCTGAACAGGATGATTATTCTTCTTTTCCATTCTTCAAATTACATAAAAGTTTCCCCTTTATTTATAATTAAATTTAATAAAAAGACAAAAACCTCTCTCTCTCTCCTTATTTCCCTAAATAAAGATAAAAGCCATAATAGAAAAGACATGCATATGATCACACTTGTTGTTAAATGTATAAATTTGCATAATTACATGTGATTATCATCTATTCTTAATTATTATACGAAAGGGCATTGAATCTAAATAGTGAAGCTTTATTACTATATATCCTCTCATTAAAAGAGCGCATGTCTCTAAGAAGAATTATTATTATATCGACTTATCTATTCACTTCTTCTCCCCCTGTCATATTTGCTCTAGAAACATGGACTAGGTTCAACTGTTGCCTCATTATCTTGTCTTGTATAAAAGATGAATAAAAAGACCTAGTAATAATAATAATAAAAAAAGTTTAGCTGCTTCTATTAAATGATTCCCTCACAAAGATGAAAAGATTAAAATTAATATATTAAAGATGGCTTTTTTATTACTTCTTTAAAAGATGTCATTTATTGTTTAATAAAAGATGGAACTTCTAACACTTCTTTTTTTGTCAATTTTATTAAAGAATAAATTACATAACAAATCTAAATTGTATCACCTAAGAAAGATCTCCCTTTTTCTTTTTTTTTATAACTATTTTTATTATTTTTATTTTTCTTCTTTTTACTTCAAACGATAATAGAATACATCTTTTTTTCTCTCTTTTCTTTTTTACAAGTACTTTGCTAAATCATTAATAGGTCATCTTAATGAAGGTATAAATCATGAGGATTCATTCTTATTTTTTTTTTTCTCATTACTCATTTTAACTCATTCATTTCAAAATTTCAGTTTGGCAAGCAAATACAAAGTCAACAATTCACAGAATGGAGTCCTTATTATTTAGATTATAAGGGCCTTAAAAAGTTTATCAGTTCGTTATTAAAAACTCCTGCGGATAGTTTGAGAGAACTAGGTTTACCACCTATTGGGGTTGAGGAAGATCGAGCAAAGTTATTACAATCTCAAAAGGCTGCTTTTTTCTTTAAACTAGAACGTGAACTTGAAAAGGTACCACACTCCTTTCAAATAAGACTTTAAATATGTATATAATATATATATATATACATATACACATATATATACATATACACATATACACACATATATACACATATATACACATATATACACATATATACACATATATACACATATATACACATGTATACACATGTATACACATATATATACACATATATCTATATATCAATATATATAAAGTCTAATTTTCTTTTTCTTTTTTAGATTAACTCATTTTATCTTCAAAAAGAAAATGAATTAAAAGTTAGACTAAGGACTCTAATTGATAAAAAAAAGGTCCTCCAATCAGATACACGTCGATTGAAACATGCTTCAACTTTATATAAAGCAATACAGGAAGCCTTTATTCAATTTGAACAAGAATTAACAAAGATTCAGGTAATAGTTAGGAAAATAGAATAGAATAGAATATATTTAAATGATAATATTAGAAATATGTTCAATTGAATAATGAGGGCTTTCGAAAGATATTAAAAAAATGGGATAAACGATCTAAATCATCTACAAAAGAACTTTATTTATCACGTCAAATTGATATTCAACCTTGTTTTAATACTCAAATCTTATGTGAATTATCCGATATGGCCTCTGCTAATCGTATTGAACTCGCTAATATTCAAGAGGGTATACCTATAAGTCCTATTTCTTCAACTAACAATCATGATACTTTATCTTTATCTCACTTTAATAATAACAATAATGCGGATGAAATTGATGATATTGAATTTGAATTAGTTAAGGCTGTTTCAAGTACTCAAACTTCACTTGTTCGAGAAATTTTAGACAGAATACGTCAACATCCTTCCTATGAAGATCATGGTAGATTAACTCGCGTCTTTTGGCATGCTTGTTCTGAGGCTCCTAAAGAAATCATTGACATCTTAATTGATACTCATCTTGTTGATTTTCAATATGTGGATGATATTATGGAACGTTCCTGTTTACATGTAGCTGCTATGAACGGAAGATTGGATTTATTAGAAATTTGTACTCATCATGGAACTAAAGTAGACTCTACGGATGCTTATGGTAGAACTGCACTTCATTATGCTACTATGAATGGTTTTAGTCATTGTCTTTCTTTTCTTTTAACCTGTCAAACAATCGATATTGAACATCGAGATCATGATGGTTTTACCCCTCTTATCTATGCAATCATGAATGGTCATACCCCTTGTGTTGAAATCTTGATTCAGGCAAATGCTAATATTGAACCACGTCATGATGGCGATCATATCCCTTTATCGCTTGCTTGTCATTTTGGTCATACTGATATTGCCCTTATCTTATATAACCAAGGCGCTAAAAATTTACCTAATTCGGAATCTCTTTATCCTCTTCATCTTGCTGCTCGTCAAGGTCATGTAGAATTATGTCGTGTCTTGGCTCAAAAGAAAGAAGATATTGATAAACCTGATAAATATAACTCTTGGACTCCTCTCTTTTGGGCTGCTAATGATGGTCATGTGGGTTGTGTGCGGATCTTGATCAATGCAGGTTGTAAGGTCAATGCAAAGGATGAAAAGGGGAAAACAGCTCTTTATTATGCTGCCTGGGAGGGTCATATGGATTGTGTACAACTCTTGTTAGATGCGGGTTGTGAAGTCGAATTGATGAATGAAACCAGGCCCCCTCTATCATCATCATCCGCATCTCAGAGTCCCTTTGTGAGTCAGAAGAGCAGTAGTAACGACCTTAATGGACCCGATTTAGAAAATGAATTAGATGCTATCCCTTCATTATCTCTTCCGCCCCCTATTATCCCATTTAGAATTTATGGTCATAATTATCTTGATCGCAAGTACCAAGTTCAAATCAGTCTTCATCAACCTCCTATCCGTTTATATGATAATGCCCAAATTTCCTCTATGCGTTTAATCATCTCATCCAAGCCTGATACTGGCATGATCCCTCATAGTGTCATCTTACCTTTAGTAAATGACCGTGATGTATTTAACTTTCAAGTAGATAAATTAAATGATTTTCTGTTAGAGTTTGACATTTTAGCTACATTTGGCTCAAAGGTCTTGGGACGCGCTGTAGCCTTACCTCAAACTTTTATTCTTGTCGATTTCAAGATAGCCGAGGGTCATTGTACTCTACCTTTATTAGATGGTCATTTAAAAGTGATAGGTGAACTCTCTTATGATTATTCTGTTATCAGTCCATTTCGCGGTGTGCAATTAGAAATTGGGGGTCGTATTGAAACTTATTGGAAATCAACCAATACCGTTTTGCCTCTTCCTTCTTCTCAAATGAATGAAGACCCTATCCTACACACAACTACTTTTTATTCAACCATCACTCCCTCAACTACTAGTTCTGTCAATGGTTCTTCCAACACTTCATTCTCGCTTTCATCTACAGTTCCATCCTTTATTACTGCATCATCCTTATCAGGAGATTATGTACGTGTCGTTATTCAATTAACAAAGGACCTTGTACCTGTTGTATTTGCGAACTGGATGATATCCTATCAAGGCTTAGATTTGGCTGTATCTGATTTAACATTACACCAATTTTTGCGAATGGGTGAAGCTATCTTAAATGATAAAAGGCCTCATTCACAAAGCAATTTAAATGATACCTGTCCTATTACTGGAAATAGTTTTATTATACAAAAACTAAATGACTACAAGTCATTCTTGTCATTAGAGCAAGTTTTAAAAGTATGTATACACGCACACACACACACATATATATATATAATGATTTATAACATTTTTGTATATATATACATCTATATAGAAACTCCCTCTGAATATGGGCTTACATCTTGAATTAAAATACCCTTTACCTAGTGATCAAAGATTATATTCATTTACCAATATAACATGTCGAAATACATTTGTAGATACAATTCTTCAATGTATTTATGATCATGTACGCTCATTATCTCCTGATACAGCGAGTCGAAGTTTATTCTTTTCGTCTTATAATCCAGCTATTTGTATGGTAGTGAATTGGAAGCAACCTAATTGTAAGTATATAAACCCAGATATCTTTTGAATATACATATATATTTATTTAAATACATGTAGATGCCGTTTTCTTTAGTACATATTGCGGGTTCAGTATGCACCGAGGAGTTAAACGTAATCATACTACATTATACACGGAAGAGGAGAATATAGATATTCGATGTTCTTCCTTAAAGGAAGCAGTCAAGTTTGCAAAACAAAATAATCTATTAGGTCTCATTTGTGGTGCACAAACTTTAGTTCAAGTTCCTGCATTAATTAAGACAGTAAAAGAAAGTGGTTTAATTCTTGTCACATCAGGAGAAGTAAATAAAGATATAGCGTATCGACATATTCAAGAATGTTATGGAGTAGACGCTATGATGATTAATCAAGTTGTGCATTTCAATCGAATCTCGATGGCTGGTTTTTAAAGTATTTTTTTTTTCTACTACGTCTAATATATACCTATTTTTTTATTATTATTATTTATTACAACTTTTTTTTTTTTTTGTTAAGAATTACTTACTTTGTAGCTATTGTATATTACATGTGTTTCTTCTTATATCTTGATAAATTTAAAAATGAATATTTTTTTGCTGCTACTGTGATACAATAATGGAGGTTTTTTTTTTAAAAGAAAACACACACACACACACACACACACACACACACACACAGATCTATACAGTTTGGTTTCATGTACCTTTTTTTAAAAAAAAAAATAAATAAATAAATAAATGATAATGCTAGAGCTCATATTTTAAACTAAAAAAAAAAAAAAACTCCATTCATGTATAGACTAAGATAATTATTGCTCCTTTTTCCAAAATAAAGTATAGAGTTGTTGTTGTTGTTGTTGTTGTTGTTGTTGTTTTCTAGCTGCTGCATGTATAACACAAACAATTGTGTGATAGATAAACATGTCAAAGTAAACTTTCCTTTTTTTTTTTTTGTCAGCCAGTTAAATCAAAATATGCAATTAAATAAATAACGTCATCCGATATATAAAGTAGATTTTGTTTACTTTATCAGTTACCTTTTTATCTTTATCATTCTCTTCTTTTTATATATAATATACATATATATATCTCTCTCTATCTATCTATAAAGATGGAAGATCTAGGACCTAGTAATCTAAAAACAAACTTAAAGGGAGCCCCATCACAGTGGATTGGGTTTGCAGAAAGAGGTTATTCAATATTTTATTGCATCTTATGAATAACTATTTATTATTGAACTTTTTATATATACATACATACATATAATAGAATCAACATCAAGTAGAGTAGAAGAGCCAGCTACTATTCGTTTCTCTCTGAATTCAGAACCTGGTTCACCTATTCTTATGAATGATAGCAAAAACACAAGTACTTCTTGCCACCCACAGCCGTCAGCCACTTTACAACAAGGCCATCATGTCTTATCTCAGCTTATGACTGCCTTTAATGGGACAACTGCGGACAGTATCTACAGTCGTAAGGAATCCTCTTCCTCCCCTTCTCACATGATCCAAACCTCAATCTCATCACAGACAGAGCCTTATCATAATAAACGAGATAATATCTCATTCTCTCTCATCACGACTCCTCCAGAAAGGGAAGAAGTTCATCAACAACCAGAGCCAGAGACAATCACTTTATGGAATGTATTTCATGATGATAAAGTAGAAAAGGAAAAAGAAGAGGAAGAGGAAGAGGTTAGGAAAGAAGAGAATTCAATCTATTTATGGGATGACATGACTATAGGAAATAAACCAACTATCTCTCCTCCTCCTCCTCCTTCTTTTGATATCATTGAAGGGGATCATTCATTGAAAGATAGTCAAGTATTAATACAGGATCAAGAAAAAGATGTTCCTGAAAATGAACTCATTTTTAAAAATCATGAAGATCTTATTTTATTTGATGATGAGGATCCTTTTTATATAGCAAATTCCGATAGACCTCAACCCTCATGGGCTATCCCTGACATGGATATCTATGCTCGATTTAATAATCATCATCATGCTTCTTCTTCTTCTACAACCTCTATTAAATATAGCCGTGATGAATTATTAGCTATTAAAGAAAGTTTAGCTCATAAGAGAGGAAGTTTTCAAGTCATTGGTCTATTAACAGCAAGACTCATATCCGCCTATAACTATAAAGACCATCTCTCTTCCTCCTCCTCTTCTTCTTCTTCTCCTTCTCCTTCTTCCTCTTCTTTCTCTATTGCTGTTGCCCTTAAAAAAGGTGGTTATGATAATAGAAAAGTAGTTAAGCCTAATAATAATAACAATGATGATAATGATAATGAAAAGACACATTTGACAACAACAACAACAGTATCATCTAGAAGCAAAATATGGTAAAAAAAAAAAAAAAAAAAAAAAAAAAATAGAGTTTATTATTTATATACCTAACCTTTTTTTTATTTAATTAATAAATAAATGAAAGGCTTCCAATCCGTCAACCCTTTTTTCCTATGAATATATATGAAAAGGGCTTCAATATACGTAAATCAACATTATGTGTTTCCTGTCAGAAAAGACTAAGCATTTAAGATATAGCTATATTGATATACAATCTACATGAAAAAAACACATATATTTATGTATATAATACAGTTTGTCCGGCTTGCACTGATTATGAATAAAATAAATAAAAGTCCGAACGCTCCGGATTCACAAAAAAAAAGCCCGAAAAAAAAAAGCTAAAATTTGGGGGGTGGGGAGCGAGGTGAAAATTGTATGTGTAGATGAATCAAAAGAAAAGAGGAGTAAAATATCAAACGAGATAGATCTTCCTCTCTCTCTATATTTCTGCATAATGCCTAAGGGTAAAGTATAGATAAAAAGGATTCGAGATGATGAAAGAAAGTATTTTATTTTTTTTTTGAACTGGATAAAGAAAGAAAAAAGATTAGATGGATGGATGGATATGATAGTAAATAATAGAAAGGACAGTTTATTATTTCAAGACCAAATTACTTTTTTTTTACAAGTAAAAGAAAAAAAAAAAAAAGAGAAAGAAACGAAAAGGAGGATATGAATATAACGATTAAATAGAACATAAAGAGCCATGAAAGAAAAAGGGTTATTCAAGCTACATTTTTTTTTATGGGTTCATTCTGTACATGACATTATCATCATCATCGTCATCATCTCGAATGCTTCAAATCAGAGTGTAGTTTAATGATGATGCTAAATATTTTCCTTCCCCCCCTCCCCTCTTTTTTTTATATATATAGTTAGCGTTTCCGGTACTAAGTTCCGTATGACCCTCGGTCTCCCTGTCGGTGCTGTCATGAACTGTGCTGATAACTCTGGTGCTAAGAACTTGTATGTCATTGCCGTCCGTAACATCAAGGGTCACTTGAACAGACTCCCCGCTGCTGGTTGTGGTGACATGGTTGTTGCCACTGTTAAGAAGGGTAAGCCCGAATTGAGAAAGAAGGTCATGGCTGCTGTTGTTGTTCGTCAACGTAAGGCCTGGCGCCGTAGAGATGGTGTTTTCCTTTACTTTGAGGATAACGCTGGTGTCATTGTTAACCCCAAGGGTGAAATGAAGGGTAAAAAAAAAGAGAAAAAGAAAAGAAAAAAAATGAATGTATTATTAATTTATTTATTTATTTTTTTAATTGCATAAAGGTTCTGCCATTACTGGTCCTGTTGCTAAAGAATGTGCTGATTTGTGGCCTCGTATTGCCTCTGCTTCTGGTACCGTCGTCTAAGCTTTCCCTACTAATTTTTCTCTTTCTTTAAATTCTATATAAAAATAATAAACAAACAATGAAAATTTGCGTGTTTTTTATATTGATTATGGACATTTTATTTAAACATTGAATTGATTAATGACACATTTAATTTATAAAGTTATTTATTTTTATTTTATTTTATTTTGTTTTTTTTCTTTTCTTTCAGTATAAATAAAAATATTTATATATTTTGTTATTCAATGCAAATACCAGTGAAGCCAGACAGTTTAATTAAACTACCATTGTAATAGAATAAACAATACCGATTAAAAAAAAAAAAGTGTATTCATATTATTTCCAATGTAGAGAAATAGAGCAATTAAATAAAACGCAAACTCATCTATTCCAAGGCCAAGAAGAATATAAACATAAGGCTCGTCTCTTGACAGGAACACAAGATGATACATCTCTTCACCCAAAGGCATTTGAAGAAGAATTAAAAGATTTACAAGTACCATACTTTTATTTTCACATTTACTTGTCGATGTATATATATATATATATAACTCATTTATATAACACATTGTAGGATCATTTTCAAAGTCTTCAAAAGCATTATAATGAGGTTTTTACACAACAAATGTTTCTTGAACGATTACTGGAACCCTCACCTTTTCCTGTAATGAATTTAAATGAATCTGAACAAAAAGCTGAAGCATTAAAAGAAGAGCTCAATAGTTATACATTCCAAATAGAAGATCTCAAAAATCAAATCAAATTCCTCTCTCAATCTTTAGAGGCTGGTAAATAAGCTAGTTCTTGTTTGCACAACAAACATAGTAAACTTACTTTATTTTATTTATTTTTTTTTTCCTTTTAGCTAGAAAAGATTCGACTCATGTTATTGATGAAGCAACAAACATGCTTGATCAGATTACAGCCATGGAAGAAGAGATAAAAAGAATAGATTCACTTATATCAAGACAAAGTAAATATACGATTGAAGAAGCCAAGATTATATTAAAAGGACAGACAGAGGAAATAACCAAGTTAAATAGAGCCATTGTTGAAAAGCAAGATAATATAGAAGAACAACAATGGACTGTAGAGGATCTAGAAGAAGAAGTTAATCAATTAAATGAAAAAGCAGAGGAATTAACAAAAACTTCCAATAAAGTGCTTAGTATGAATCAACAAAAGAATAAACAAATCGAAGAAGATTATTTTAGGTATAGAAAGAAAGAAAAAGTCTTTTCTTTTTGTGTCAAGTGGTATTTGATACTAAAGATGTCAAATAGATACATAGATTATGTAAATATGTGTAACCAAATGTATGGAGTTGAACGAATTGATTTTGAATCAAGTACAAAAATTCGAATTACTTATGCAAAACCAATAGAAGCCGTATTACATATTGAGTTGAATGATACTGGAAATAGAATAGAAAATGTAAAAGTATGGGTTTAATATTTAAAGAAAAAAAAAAGATTAATAGACTATAATCTAATATGTATAAAAAAAAAATTAGATAACAGGAACAACTATTCCCATTCAGAATCTAATAAACAAAGCTAAGCAAGTAAATGCAAGTGAAGGTATAAGGATGATTCTGTTGGAAACATTAGCAAGATTAAAAAGACAATAATTCTTAACAACATCCTCTTCCGTCTCCTATTACTTCATCAGCAAGTGCACTTTGTGAATGACCTAATCTTATACCTGATGTCTAAAAAAAAAAAAATTATAAATAATGGATTAATAAATGAATATATACAAATATGTATAAAACTACTACTTTACTTCATTTGGTGAAAATACACCCGACTTAATCTTTGCATAGATATTTTCTGCAGCTTCGGCAAATACTTTTTCAACATTTTCTGCTGACTTGGCTGAAGTTTCAATAAAAAGGGGAATATCATTTTCTTTAGCAAATTTCTCTCCTTCTTCACGAGTGACTTGTCGATGACGTTCATTTAAATCACATTTATTTCCAACTAAAACAATAGTTGTATGAGGATTAGCATGGTTTCTAATATCTATTATAGCCAGATGATGAGTATGAAAATATATATAGAAATATACATATACTGTCATTTATTTTATTACAAACCTGTTAACCACGTCGAAACATGTTCAAATGTTTCTCGTCTAGATATATCATAAACTTGAAAAAGTAGTAGTAAAATGAATTAGTTTAAAAAACAATGGCTGTGTTCTATGTCAATTATACCTAGTAATGCACCTGCTGCTCCTCGATAATAACTTTGTGTAATACTTCGAAAGCTTTCTTGGCCAGCCTAATAAATCAGAGTTAAATGTACATGAATAGATCTATTCTATGTCTTATTTACAGTATCCCATATTTGTAACTTGATCTGCTTTCCATCAGCTACCTTAATGAAACGAGTACCAAATTCGACTCTAAATAAGTCTTGATATTTAAACACACACACACATATATATATATATATCTTAATTGAGAGAATGAATTTGTTCCTTACCCAATCGTCAATTCACGGCCTGGATAAAATTGTTTATCAGTAAATTGAAGTAATAAACAAGACTAGTCGAAAAAAAAAAATACATAAACTACGAATAAAGAGTAATAGTATGGATTTATTAGTTAAAAGTACCTTTCCAACACCTAAAAAAAAAAAAAAAAAAAAAAAAAAAAAAAAAAAAAAAAGTAATATTAATGATCAGCAAATAGGTTAAAATAACTAAATTCAAACAACTAACCAGAATCTCCAACAATAATATACTATGACCATAATGAAAAAAAAATGTTAATATAAAATAGAGCTTATACAGTCATAAAGCTTACTTTAATGATGTAATTATAATTAGACATAATTATTTTAGAGAAGAAAAGAAAAGAAGAAAAAAAGAAAAAAAAAACCGAATGATGATGATTTAATGTAAAAGAGGGTTAACACAATAACGCTCACGTGGACAACGGAACCAAATTTAAAATAAGGAAAAAAAAATATGATCTCATAATATAGAGTTGTCTTCATATAAAAAAAAAACAACTACAACTACAACTAATGAACAGCTGAAATTTAATAACTCTTTATTCCTCATCAGATTGGGGTGTTAACAAAAAAAAGCTGTAGTGTTATTGCATGAATCATTGTGGGGCAATATGGATGACTTTTAATGTTAGTGTGACTTTTATTGTGACCATCTTTTTTTTTTTTTTTTTTTTTATCCTGCTATACTACTAGAAGCTTTTTTAGGCTATCATTTCAGGCCATTTCCCTAAAAGCTTAAAAAAAAATTTATTTAGATCATTATTAGATACCAATAATGAAAATGACTGATGATTTTGTAATGACCATCGATGACGATGATAACATTGTTACCGAAGAAATTATGGAAGATATTTCTGAACCAGAACAAGAGCCTGTCGAGAAAAAGACTTTAAAAAAATCAAAAAAGCAGACCAAGAAAGAACAAAAGAAAAAAGCCATGAATGACAGTCAAAAGAATGCAAAAGGAAATAATGAGGAAGCGGATGATTTCGATAACAATTTTACATTCTCTTTAGATGGTGGTGGAAAAATGAATCAAAATGCTTGGGACTTTACCGCTGCTCGTGATATGTTGAAAAAGCAACAGGTATAACAAAAAAAAATGATTACATTGAAAAAAAAATAATATATGAATAAATAGGGAGATATTCCAAGAACCTCAATTGATGATATTATTGCAAAGAAAAGAAAAGAAGTAAAAGAAAAGAAAGCCAAGGCTAAGAAGACAACCGAAAGTTTAGATAAAGAGAAAGAAGAAGATGAAAATAAAGAAAATGAGGATGATTATGTGGGTGCAAGCGATGATGATGAGTTGGCATTGGATGGCTTTGGTGGAGGCGCTAAAAATGTAGAAAGTGAAGAAAGTGAAGAAGAAGAAGAAGAAGTGAATGAAGAAGAAAAAGAAGAAGATGTTGAAAGTGAAAGTGAAAGCGAAAGCGAAAGCGAAAGCGAAAGCGAAAGTGAAGAAGATGAATCTGAAGATATTGACGAAGATAGTAATGATGATGAGGTTGAAGATGAAGCTGAAATTCAAGTAGGTTTTTTTTTTTTTTGTTTACTTTTGTAAGGATAGAATCCTAAAAAATATATACATATTTAATGTTATAGCGTAAGAAGGAATATTTTGCAGACGAATCAGAAATTTCAGTTAAAGAGCATGAAGCTTTTACTTCTATGAATCTTTCTCGTCCTATTCTTAAAGGTTTGTCTAGTGTCGGTTTCGTAAAGCCTACAGATATTCAATCTCGTACTATTCCTGTCGCATTAATGGGCAAAGATATTTGTGGTGGCGCAGTGACAGGTTCAGGTAAAACCGCCGCATTTGTTATACCCATCTTGGAACGTCTTTTGTATAGACCAAGACAAACACCTACTACACGTGTCTTGATCCTTTGTCCTACTCGTGAATTGGCCGCACAGGTTCACAGTGTTGCTGTCAAGTTGGCCAATTATACAGATATTACCTTTTGTCTTTGTGTTGGTGGTTTAAGTCTCAAGACTCAAGAACAAGAACTTAAATTAAAACCTGATATCGTTGTAGCTACACCTGGTCGTTTAATTGATCATGTTCGTAACTCCTCAGGTTTCCATCTTGATAATTGTGAAATCTTAGTGATGGATGAAGCAGATCGGTAAGTTAGTTAGTTATCTATATATATATATATATATTCACTCTAGAATACTTTATTAACATGTGCTCTATTTATAGTATGCTTGAAGATGGTTTTGCTGACGAATTGGATGAAATCGTCAAATCTTGCCCTCGTTCTCGTCAAACTATGCTTTTCTCGGCTACTATGACAGATAATGTAGATCAATTAGTTCGTATGTCATTGAATAATCCAGTACGTTTATTTGTTGATCGCAGTAACCAAGCAGCATCTCGTCTTATTCAAGAATTTGTACGTATTCGTCAAGCACGTGAGGCAGATCGTTCTGCTATCCTTATGGCATTATGTCGCAAGACATTTAAAAAGAAAGTGATCATCTTCTTTAGATCTAAAGCAGCTGCACATCAAATGAAGATTTTATTTGGTTTAATGGGCTTATCAGCTGCTGAACTTCATGGTAACTTATCACAAGAACAACGTCTTGAAGCCCTTGAACGTTTCAGAGATGGTGAAGTTGATTATTTGTTGGCTACCGATTTAGCTGCAAGAGGTCTTGATATTAAGGGTATTGAAACAGTTATTAACTACAATATGCCTACACAATTCGCCCAATACCTTCATCGTGTGGGTCGTACTGCAAGAGCAGGACGCAATGGTCGTTCAGTTACCTTAGTAGGTGAAGCAGATCGTAAGATGTTAAAGATGGCTATCAAATCCTCTGTAAGCTCTCAAGTAAAGAATCGTGTGGTGAACCATGAGTTGGTTTTACGTTATAAGAAGAAGATCGAAAGCTTAGGTCCTCAAATTAAAGAAGTTTTAGCTGAAGAAAAGCAAGAACGTGCAATTAGAAATACTGAAATGAGATTAAAAAAGACTGAAAACATGATTCTTCATAGTAATGAAATCTATTCTAGACCTGCTCGAACTTGGTTCCAAACAAAAGCTGAAAAACAAAAAGCTGAAAAACAAAAGGCTAACAAAGAAAGTAATAACAAGCCAGTAGCAGAAAAGGCAACTAAAAAGGTACAATGAAAAAAAAAAATCTCTGTAGGTTATTTGATTTAATTCTAATCCTTTTTTTTTTCTCTCTAATAGAAACAGGATAAATATGAAGGTATGAGTCGTCGTAAGAGAAGACGTTTACAAATGATAGAAGAAGAAGAAAGAGAAAGAGCCGAAGCTCGACAAAAGAAGAACTAAATGCTTTCGATATATTTGAAATCACATATTATACATGTTTATAAATTTATAACTAATATTCACCCTGTTTATACATAGAATAGATGATATGTAATTAAATAAATAAAATAAAATGCTTGTTTTTAATAATATTTTTTTTTTCTTTTCCTTCAATAAAAAAAACAAACAGTTGGAATTTTGTATTACATAAAAAAACATACACACACAAGTAAACAAAGGTCGTATAATGTATTATCATTTTTTTTTTTTTTTAGTGTTCGTGATGATCTTCAGACTTGACATTATAACCAACCAAATTTCTACGGCCAACAATTTCACCAATGAGGAAAAAGGTATAAATCTCGGCAAGAACAACACCTCCTTTTACAACATCAGCAGAAGTCAAGTTCTTCAAGTTTGAGATCTTCAAGTTGTTTTGAAGAGTTTGTTGAGCTTCAGAGAATTGTGCTCCAGTAGGGAATGCCATGCCTTCCTTTTTATAAACTTGTTTAGCTACTTCAACGGCCACCTTGGTGTTGTAGACAATAGGCTTTTGAAGAGCTATTGAGAATATTCTTGTTAATGGAGAGAAAAAAGTGAAATGAATATATATAAATATATATATAAATATATATATATTTTTTAGTTAATATTTACCTATAAGTTTGTTAAGGTAGTTTTGAGCACAACTAATATACTTGGAAGCCATATTTTTTATATATAATCTTTAACGGAGAAAAGCTTGTAAAATATATAAAATAGGAGGAGAGGGGAGGGGCGTGGAATTAAAAAAAAAAACAAAAAAAAAATAAATAACTGGAGTATTAGTGAGGGGTCCACTCCACTGAATAATAAAAAAAAAAAAAATCAGAAATCAAAATTGCTGGCATTAAATTTAATCTTCCTTATTTCTTTGAAATTACGTTTAAAATTGAATTTTTATTATTATTATTATTATTATTTTTTGACCAAATGAGTACACAGCATTTTTCATCTGCTATATTGCCTTAATCAGTTCTAATAGTATATAAGTAAGAAAAACCCTCTTATGAGGCAAAAGGGTAAAGGATAAAAGTATATGTGTAAAAGATAAAATAAATATAATGAGTTAGAGAGAAATAAAGTAATTGGGAAAAAAAAAGGTCAGTAAGATAATATTCAGAGACAGTACAAGGATGTTAGCACTTTTTCAGTTGAGTAACTGTCTCACCAGTAGTGCACTGGGTTCTGAGGGAGGATCTGGAGGTCGCCTTTTCATGATAGAGGTAATTCATTTCATGTAGAGTGATACAAATAACTAGCCAACGGATTGTCCAAGGAGCCACATCCTGTGAGCATTTTAGCTTTTTTAGTAGGTAGTTGGTTTAGCAGGAAGAAGAGTGGGTCTGTGATCGTTCTTGGCATTTGGAGTCGATGGTGCATATGTAGACACTCAATAGAATGAGTACGACTGAAGATTTGAGAAGGATGGTAGGGATATAGACGAGGTATACCACCAGGTAGCCAACCAAGGCGCCAGCGGAGGACTTGATTTCTTTCCGTATTCGTCATGGGCAGCCAAAGGATTGGATCGATGAACATATTAGGACGACATGCACGAAAAAGCTTGGAATTTAAACCCTGATAGAGGTGATGCTATTGAGTTTTTTTTTTTTTTTGAAAACGCAGACAGAGTCGTTTGAAAACCTTTTTATCAAGTTCGTCCAAGATAGAGGCACATTCTTTCCAGAGTGGGCTGACTGTTTGTTAGTTTATACCATTGAGAATGGTTGTTGGACATTTGAAGATGAGGTAGAAGTTTGTTCAGTAATGTATCGTCCGGTATTTGCATTGATCGAATAAGGTATTTGGCTTGCAGAATAGTAGCTCGGATTATCATTGAAGGTTGTTGTACTAGGTGCAGCATTACTTTAGTTGATGATCTAGCAGAACCACCAAAAATACGTCCAATGCATTCATTTTGACAGGCTTCAAGTTTTGTAAAGTGACTATTATTCAAGGCGCAGATAGCAAGACCATATTCCATTTGTGCTCGTATCATTTGGCTGTAGAAACGTACTAAGAGTAAGCGGTTAAACTCCTTTGGGATTGACTCCAAGAGAGGAAATTTGATTCATAGATGATCTGGCTTTTTTTAGTGTTGAGATTGATGAGGGAGGCAATGTCAGTAAGTCCACCAGGTTTGATTGGAATTCCAAGATAACTGAATGATGCTTCGCTCGGTAGAGGCGTATCATAGAGGTAGTATGGCAGTTCATCAGAGGGCGGTTTAACAACAACACATTTTGATGGACTCCATCGGTAGCCTAGGCGGTAGCTATGATCTTCACAAATTCGGAGTAATGATGGCATTGCAGTAGCTGAGGCTATTAATACTACATCGTCGGCGTAAAGCAACGAGGTAATTACTGGAGCAAATTGAGTAGCATCTTGAAGATCATCTAAAGCAAGTGATTGAGATCTAAGCAGGTCTGGTAACTCATTGATATAAATGGAGTATAAAAACGGTGACAGGATAGAACCTGAACCTTATAATACACCAGACCAGTAATTGGGGTGAAGCGAGAGGAAGCCATGTTTTTCAGCAGTACTTCAATGTGGACATTATCAAATAGGCTTTGGAGTATACCAAGCATCGCGGGTTGTACGAACGGTTGCAGTTTTTGCCATGTGTGAGATTGATCTGCTGTATCGTATACCGATTTAATGTCAAGAAAAAGCAGCGTCGGCTTGAAGCGATGGTATTGACGTAGAATATGACAGAGTTCTGTGAGGTATAAGACCTGGTCAAGAGAACTACGAGCTTCATGAAAACCTCCTTGTGTTATGTCTAATGAAGGGCTAGTGTAAGTGAGTTCATGATATATGCATTTTTCAAACAGCTTTCTTAAGGTAGATGTTAGACTAATCGGTCAAAAGTTGGCTGGATCTGTTGGACTTTTTTTTTTTTTTGTGGGTAGGAATTACTTGTGCCATTCGTCATAATAGTGGTGTATAAGACCAGTTCCAACATAATTGGAACAAGAGTAGGATGGTGGGAGCAACTATATCAGCAATAGGAGTTATCATTATCAACTTAATATGATCAATACCAGGAGCCTTTTGTTTCGGTAGGTGGGCAATGGAGTCAGTTATTGTATCCAAATTAAAAGGGTGCGAGTCAGGTTGATATGGAAGGTCCGAGGGGTTGGGAAGAGGATCATTTGTTGAGTTTACTGGTAAGAGATGCCCCGAGTATATATCTTGGATGTGGTTTACGCGCCGCAAATTGAATCGTTACCCTTCCTCCCCCCCCCCATTTTAATTGAGTCTCAACATTATGTCAATCAAGATTTTATGCTTAGGCTCATAAGTTGTTGTTGTGGTTTACAGGTAAGAATATAATAAAATATATATAAGGAATAAAAAGAGAAGTACAATAAAATAAAAGAAAACAGACAAAATAAGTACGTTGAGAGTTGTCCATAAGTTTATTAAGAGTTAAGTTCAATTCCAATTATACAAAAATAAGGGTTAATAATGTAAGAGTATTTATATATTTTGTGAATAAGGATGATAATAAATTCTATTTGATGACGTAATCATAGAAGAGAATAATTATTTAAACATTATAGACATATATTCATAACTAATACGTGTAATCTGAGTGGAATCAATTACTACGCGTACTTGCATTACCCCAGTTTATCTTACAAAGTTATTTTTACGAATCTATATTCAGCAGAACAAGATAAATTTTTAGGTGTTGGACTTGTGTTGCCATTTTTTCTACACAAGAGTAAATATTGTTAATATGTTTATAGAGAGAATTATTATACAAGTGCACTATATATTCTATTATGGTTATTTATCTTATATACATATTTGCTCCTTGAAAAAATAAGTACGTATCTTAATAATATGTACACATTGTATGTTACTAAAACAGCAAATGATATACTACTTTTTTAGAGCTCTCTTCAACAGATAACAATACTTCAAATTTTAACTATTATTGCCATTTCAGATAACCTATTTTGATTATAATAGACGCTATTTACCTCGAATAGTTTAGTAAAACGTATTTCCAAGTAAGTCTTTATATGTATAATCCAGTTTTTTTTTATCTAATTTGCTACTTATTGATCTTAGGGACAGTTATAATATGCTTTTTTATTATTATTATTATTATTATCATTATTATTACAGATATCTAAGATGAGATTATATGATCCAATTTTACTTTATACTCTTACTTATTTTAAAACTTTAAAATTTGGATTTATCTGAAAATCTCCTGAAAATTATAAATAAATTAAGAAAGGGAGAGGAGTCAGAAGAAAAAAAAAATAAATAAATAAAGGGAAGAGTTATAAACTTATTCTTCAATTTATAAAAGATAAGCGGCAAGAGCAAAAGCAGCTAAAGCCAAACTATTAGGATTAATGTGAATACCATTTGAAGTTATATGACCATTCTGACTATTAATAGTTGCTGAAGGAGAGGAAGCTGTAGGATTAGTGGTGTTAGAGGTTTCACCAGATATAGTTTCATTGAAAGTGGGGAATTTGACTGTTGTTTCTTCATAAGGGTAACTAATATTGGAACATGTAGCAACGTTAATAACATGCTGATAGGCAGCCTCAATCTTAGGTAGGAATTCAAGAGCAAGACTCATAGTAGTGTTGTTAATTTCATGAGTCAAAGTAATTTGTCCAGTATTTTTGAAGGTACCATTTAAACCCATTTGAATGTAGCTTTCATATGTACTTTTAACGGTATCGATACTTTCGGAATAACCAGCAGCCCAATCATCAGTATCAAGACTCCAAAGGACAGTAGTCAAGTCAAGTTGAGTTGCAATCCAACGAACACGATCATCAACATCACCAAAAGCCTAATAATAAATAATATTAATATTAATATACATATATACACACACACATATATATATATATGTATATAACTTTTCCCTATTTAAGAGAAAAGAAAAGAGGAGGAGGGGAGAGGAAATTATATATAGATATACATACAGGACGCCAATACTTGGGAGTAACGCCAGTAACCATTTTGATGGCCTTTTGTGTATAGTAAAGTTCAGCCAAGACTTCAGCATTAGTAAGAGTGGTCATTAATTTATGAGACCAAGTATGATCAGCAAGATGATGTCCGTTCTTTTGACCACGCTGAGCACCGTAAGGCCAATTAACAACATTAGAACCAATATAAAACATAGTAGCCTTGATTTGTTGAGCTTCAAGATAATCATAAAAGGCATTATGAGAACAGTTAGGGCCATCATCATAAGTAAGACCCCAAGTCTCAGGCTCAAAACAGGTGTAAATATCTTCATTCACGTTTTCATGTTTGGGTTTAGTGCAGGTAGTAGCAGACCACCAGCAGTCAGTATCTGTTGTTTCATCATAGCCCGTCATATCAAGTGAGCCATCCGGGTTCAATTTACGAACAGGGATGTTAGGAGCACTGGTCCAATTAATAGAGTTATAAAGAGTTTTAAACTCGTCAGTCTCATTCATACCATTCGATGTAGCAGTTTCCCATAGATTAGGCCATTCACTAGGATTGAAAATAAAATTGGGAGGAGGTTGATAATAAGTACATTGGACACTGGGATCAGTGGAAGTAGTTTGAGGAATACTAGGAATAGTAATATTGTTAGGATCAACTAGGGATTTGAAATTCTTCCAATAGTCTTGAGGCTTTGATAATTGGGCTGTAACTGTAGAACTATCCAATTTATTAGTAGTGTCAGCTTGAGCAAAGCTAGCAACCTGAAGAAGAGCCGTTGTAATGGCGAAAATCTTAATATACATATTCAAAAGAAAAAAAAGTAATCGAAGAGTTATTTTTTTAATGAATGGAAGGATAAATGTTAAATATAGATTCTTATTTCTTTTTTTTCTTAAATAAAAAAAAAAGGATGATTATAAATATAAAAAAAAAAGGTAAAAATAATCAGTTTCAAAGCTATGGTTTTCTTTTTATACATTGCTTTTACTGAGTCCGGACTTACTATATTCCAGTTTAGTTTGTGTTACAATCTTTATACTTTTTCTTATAATTATTCTAAACATAGAATAATAAAAATAAAATAAAAAAGTAAATATTACTTATAATTTTTGTTGTGCGACACTGGTTACTATTTGCTCACAAGATATGAAGTAGGCATAAAATTTTATTGCTGTACAGTCTATTTAGGAATAATTGTTGATATTTTATTAATAAATTGATTTTTTTTTAAGGAAATAGAAGTGTTGATTTATTTAAAGTTGTTTAAATGGCAGAAAAGGAAAGTAATAGAAATAGAAAACCGGGTATAATTAAAATTATAATGGAACAAATTGGGAATGAAAAAAAAAAAAAAAAAAAAAAAAAAAAAAAAAAAAAAAGGAGATTTATAAAAGAAGGATGGTTAAATCTGATGGCTTTTGTCAAAAAGTCCACTTTTCTTCAAAATAAAGAAGCTTTTATTTGATAGAATTTAGTGATGTACAAATTGCTAGCGTGTTTGCCATTTGTCATAAAGAAGACAGGCGAAAATTTAGTTGTTGAAGTAGTAGGTGCAAATGATGAAGACTAATAATAGATATGATAACAATGACACTTTACAAAATTGGAAGGATATTATTTAAGGTTTTATTAAGGAGTAAAAAAAAAACGTGCATTGATATATGTAATAACCGAAATTCTCCTTTTTGATGTATACACAAGTATAAAATGATCAAGAATATTAGTAGATAGAGTGAGATAGGAACAAAGAATACAAGCAATTGTAGAAAAGCTATCAGGAAAATGACAAAATAGGAATCCATTTGTAGATCCCTTTTTTTTTTTTTTTTTTTTTTTGTGCAAATATTGATATCAAACAATTCTAATATATGAAAGAAATAAAAAGAAATTAAAGAAAAAAAAATTTTTTTTTTGTTTATTTGTTTGGAAGCCTTTCGAAAATAAAAGTGGCGAAGGTAAAGCTAAAAAATAAGTTTCGAGTAAGTGTTTATAGTGATGGGATGGTACTCATATTAAAGACGAGACAGGAAGAAAGATATGAGCTGATGATAAAAGTGGCAAAAGAGGACAGACGTGAGGACGAGGAAGATAGTTATGGTAGAAGAGCGGTTTCAGAGGCAATTATTCATTTTTAATTAGAACAGACATATGAATCTTGAATTTACTCAATTTTATTATGTTTATAGAAGTACGAATGTAAGGTGTCAGAATCAAATATAAAATACCTACAGTCAAATGTTTCTGAAATATTAATTGATTAAGAGATAAAAATCCGGACAAATCAATAAAAAAAAAGAAAACAATAGGGTAATCTTATGACGATCAAATGATTTGGAAATTGAATCTATAGTATAAATAAAATTATCAAAGAAATGATGAAAGGATTGAAGTCAAAAAGACTGAAACAAGGTAATAAATTGTACTATCTTAAGATATAACAATTCCTGTAGAGCAATTGAGAAAGTGGCAGAGTTATACGGGTTGAATAAAGATTTACGCTAAAATTAATGTCATGTTTATTGAGCCAAGAAGGCCAAGATCGCTTCTGTGACAATGTAACATAAAGTGATAAAAGATAGTTTATTATATGTCGCCTTAGAAGAGATCGAGAACCTATAAAAAGTTTAATTTAATCTGCAATAATAAGCTAGCATTCGTTATCTTAACAAGCTCCCTGCTTACTTATAGTAAATTAATATTAAATCAAAGTTTATTTAATTTACTTGGATACGTTTGGTCCAATAGTAGTCGTGATTATTTTTTCATACTCAGAACGACATTCGAATGTGATAAATTATAATACGATTAAGAATTTTATTTAAAAATTAAAAAATGGCCAATGAGCACATAGCATTTATATACTGTTTTGCCCTGGTCAGATCGCTATGAAAAAAAAAGGAAAGAAAAACCCTTTTGGGATAAAAGGGAAAATGTTAAAGTGTATGTATAAGTAATGATAATTAACTATCAGAAATTCGTTGTTGTATTGAAAGAAGATAATGGTCAGAGGTTTCAGGGATTTGGGAGTGAAGCAAGATAATCCATCTCAAGCAGTATTGCATATAGAGAAGGCCAGCGTATGAGCCAGACATCAATTGATTTTCTCATTTTCTTAGTGTGGAATGTTGATGGTAATAGGTTCAAGAGATAAGAGAGTGGATCTTCAATAGATTTGGGGCATCTGAAGACGGTTATTCATATATACAAACAAGAAAAACTATGTGAGCGTGTGAAGAGTTCATTTGGATGGAAGGGGCAGGCTTGGGGTTTATTCATCAGTGAATTAAAAAGATGTGAAGCGTTCGATATCAAAAAATATGCTGAAAAAGACTTCTACATACAAGTTTTTTTCGTCACTTGTGCAACACACGAAGAAGTTGCCACCTACAAAATCAACTAAAACCACAGAGTTTAGAAATTTGATTAAATACTTGAACGAATAGTGCGGATTATGTGGCTATACCCCCATAGAATTGAAATATTCTCAAAAAATTGCTGCATACGAGTGTGCAAAGACAGATACTGCCTACAAAAACGGCATCATGCTGCAATTTGGCAATAAGCTTAGGACGTTTGTAAATTTACTAGCACAGCAAAAAGACAGAATAGCGGCAAGAAGAGAAATATTGAAAAAGCAAAAAGTGGCTGAAGAAGAGATTAAAAAATCATTAAAAACGAGATAACACAACCTTGCACTCAATTGAAGTTATCAGTTGCTTCAGGAAATATCCAAAATTTAACCGTGGATCAGTTAACCGAAGAAGCGATCGCACATATACGAGATTTTTTTTTTGGCACTTATAGTTCACAATATAAATTCAAGAACAACAATATTTATTATGACTGCAAAGCGAATCCTATTGCATATTATAAATTAGCTGATTTGTGTGAACGTTTAGGTTTCAAATCATTCGCATGCTTCCCATTGAGGCGAACTCATATACCATGTTATGTCACCATTGACTCTATGATATTGAATAACAATATTTTGGAAGATTCCCAAAGATCAAAACTAGATAAAAATCTTATTTGGGAAAAAGCCGTCAACATTTCCTGTATGCCCTAAAAGATCAAGGTGATGCAAAGTCACTCAAGTTTCGTGGAATGATCCATACAGATGGTGTTAGGGTCTCGATATAGAAACAAAACAAGGAAACCAGCAAAGGCAGCACAAGAAATACCAGTAAACGTTTTCCAACAAACAATAACGAGTTTCAATATATCGATAAGTTGAACAACGAAGAGCTTCAACTTACCACCAACAAGTGCGTATTTATAGATCCTGGTAGAAGGGATATGTTATTTTGCATGGGCGAGAAAAGCGAATCAAGACACGATAGCTTCATATATCGATACACCAGCAATCAAAGGGCTAAGGAGACAAAGTCAAGAAAATTTAGAAAATTTCATCAGCAAAATAAGCCCAAGACAGTCAGTGATTTGGAGAAGTCTTTGACTACGCATTCCACTTCGACAGTTGATCCCCAGAAGTACTCTAGATATTTAGAAGCAAGACGGAATGCAAGTGATCTCCTTTCAAACTATTATCGAAGTGATTATCCTGGATCACTTCCTTTCAGAAAAATAAAGCTTTCTTCTTATATTAATAGGAAACAATTAGACGCCCGTCTGCCAAAGACGTTAAAGCAAAAATTCGGTGAAGACTGTGTACTTGTTCTTGGCAACTGGTCCGCTAGTAATACAAAATATCACGAACCTATCAGAGGTGTTGGTATAAGGAGGATGTTGAAGAAAGAAGGGTTACAAGTATACTTGTTGGACGAATACAAGACGTCGTCGTTCTGCCCCAAATGTAAAAATAGGAAGTTAAAAAAACTTCCTTATATCAAGAACCCTCGACCGCATATGTGAGACAAGTGTCCAGTAGTTGAGTGCCACGGCCTGTTGCAGTAAACACCAATTTTATTTTATTTTATTTTATTTTTAAAAAAAAATGGTATTTACGCTCACTCATACTCAAACCAGAACAACAGCTCATAATTCTGAAGATTTGAGGAAACTGCGAAGACAGTTTGTTGAGTATATTAATGATAACAGTATCAATTTTAAAAGAAGGTCCGTACTTATTGATGAGAGCGGATTCAAAAAGAATAGGGTGCACTCTGTAGCCTGGTCGAAGAGGAGAACACCCGCAGAAGTGGAAGTTCAACCCAAAAGTATTAACTTGAATATTCTGGGTTGTATGTCTGTATATGAATTGACTGCACTTTCTCAGCAAATTCCAAAAACTAGTGGCAGAAAAAAAAAACAAAAGATAGCTGGTGCTAAGAGAGACCCACCTCATGGGACCAACTCAAGTCATTTGTTACTATTTATTGAAGAAATAGGGCGTTGTTGAATAAATTAAGGTTAAAAAGCATGTATTTTGTGATGGACAACGCTGCAATTAACAAAACACCTAATGTTTTGCATGTCATCCGTAAACATGGCCATACTGCCATGTTTTTTACCACCTTACTCACTGTTACTAAATCCTATTGAAGAGTATTGGACAAAGATCAAGCAAAGAAGTTCGCAAGACACCACTAATAGCTGACCGTATTGGAAAAGCAGCAATAACAATTACATCAAAAAATTGCAGAGGATGAATTCGACACTCCCAAAAATTTTTCGCAAAGTGTATGAATATGAATATGGAGAATATATGAATGCTATTACATTATAATAATAAACTAATTACTTCCTATTATTCAACCTACTATAGTATCTGAAGCATTTTGTTTTGATTGATTACTAAAAATATTCGAGCCCTTCTGTAAAAAATGGAAAGCTTTGATTGAGCTAAAGATAATTTGATTAAACACTCTAAGAAATTCTTAATTGGCCTTGGTAACGTTAATCACAGTAAGTATCAATAGTTATGTCATTTACTTCAAGAAGAGGGACCTTATAATGATAAGCATCAATAGCTATGTCATTTACTTCAAGATAAATGATTAACATCCACATAGAACAAGCGACTCTATAAAAGTGTACAGATTTAATTAGCACAAATGGAATCGTTAAACCAATCAATTACATTACGGCTGACTTCAATTAAAGAGCAACTTTGAGGTAATCTTTACCTTCTCCACTTTAAGCACATCTTCCGATGTTTGGCCTGATCTTTTTTTTCATCCACTAAATGTACAGCATGATTCCATCTTTATTCTATCTTAATACAATGTTCTACCTTTTCCTAATATTACTTGATATTACTGTAGTATTTTCTCTGACTATGAAGTGAATATCAAAGACTATTATTGTTAAGTAATTAGTTATAAAGTTATATAAAATGTACCACATTATGTGAATGTAATCAAGTTGTATCCCACCATCAATAAATAGAATGGTTCTCTTCCCATTATCGCTTGGTTTCTGGTATATAAAAGTTAGGGTTGGTTATTGAGTAAAATAAAATAAATATTTTTTTTTTTTTTGCAGTGTGTTTAAGCGTACGTCATGTGTGACGTCATAATTTTTGAAGTTCATATTGATAAAAAAAAAAGTATTGCATATTCCCATTTTAAAAAAAGGTTATCGCCAACTTGAGTTTACTTTCTGAAATTAGTGCAAAGGTAGAAGAAAACATTCGTACATTCCTAGATGCAAATAGCATTGCAGATTGGAATATGCTTGAGCTGGTAAAAATAATCTTCTCAAAGTATTTGATTGTCGATTTAGAAAACGATGTGGCAACTGTATCAAGCAAATACGAGTCAGTGTTGAACACATTTAAGGACCATCATGATTGCGATAAAGCCAAAGAAGCTAGGAGAAGAACGCCAGCCCTTGCAAAGTTGATGAAGAGTTCTCACGTCATCAATTTGTTCAAAAGCCAAATTACAAATGACAGGCAAACAAATGCTATTTTGGTGATGAAAAGTAACGCAAGTTGTTAAATTGAACTACAACAACTTCAAACGCCACAATCATCATATAATCACCAGCCATCGTCCACAGGATAACAGCCATCCTCTTCAAAACAACGGCATTCAAAAAGGCAGAGTAAGGAACACTTACTGCGAAGCAGCAAGAATAGAAAAAGACAGAAAGCATTCATTCCCAAAGAGTCGTCCAGAATGGCTCTCAAGGATCTTGGACCGGAAGAAGCTCTAAAGTGTATTATCAATAGCAAGGACTGTAAAGAAAATATTATTGATTTTACGAAACCAATTTCCAGAATGTATAAATCAGTAATACCAATGATTATCAGTCATTACAACTTCAGTCTTACATCTGCAGTCACTTTGGAAGAACGACGAATCCTAATTGATTTGGGTCTTTGCCACACTTTAGACGATGAAGAAAAGCTCCTACGTTCCCTTTTTGAAAATAATAATGTGTCGGAAAATATCAAACATTTAAGAACGGCAATAAATGGACTGTTTGATATTTGGCGTTCAAAAAGGCTGAACGATGTTAACGATGAAGGTTGGCTACGATCAAATCTCTACAGCTTCATTTGGAATTGAGCATTCTTATTTGACAATACCTTTTATGTTAAGAGGGCTGAATGCTGTTCTGCGGTCATCAAGAAATTGAAAGAAACTAATAAGGATCTTGCCCAGCAACGTGTGGATTTTATCCTTCGTAATAATCACGATGGATCGGATTATCTGACATCTGAAGAGAAACCAACAGATAAAGAAGCCCTATATGATTTCAAAAAAGGTAAAGAAATGCAGCGAAACATGTTGACGCTTTGGTCGAATTGGCTCAACTCAAGCACGTTAGTGGGAGAATTGGAAGCAGTGACATGCCAATGGCAGGAAAGAAAGCTTACAGTATTTGGAACCCGCATGCTTCCATCTGGCCACTTTATTGTATACAAAAAAGCAACTGCTTTTATTTCATCTGTCTCTGGTCATTATGGTGCAGCAGCCAAATTGCTTCAAATTGTGCTTTCTCTTAAACGGCTCGTTACACTTAATCATATGAAGTTAATATCTATGATAGATGCCATTGAGAAGTATTCGAATGATAATTTGGATCTCTCTGTGAATGCTGATCAGCCATATGTTACCTACTATGGATCGAGTCAGGAATCAGCGAGCAGCAAAGAAAAGGAGGAAGAACCTGAATATGTTCAAGAAGCTTTATCAAAATCAAGATCTGTAAAGCATCCAGATGATGTCGTTAGTATGGGTGACTGGGAAAAGATGATCATTGACGATGTGAATCAAGAGCTACAAATTAAGAAATAATTAGTTTGACTCATTGAATGATAAACTTCATAGTAATAGTATAGCTTGTCAATACATAGTGGGAATATTAAATAGATTATATTTAATAATAGTATTGTATATATCATTTCAAAAAAATAAATAAATCAGCTATTCTTTTCCCCTCTGTATTTTTAGTTTATTTCATGTATTTTCTGTTTAAATGTAGACTCTATAAGAAATGATTCTTGCACACTGTATTTGTTATTAAGTCGTTCAATATATTTAAGGAGATTTATCAGGGCTGGCTACCTGGTGGTGTTTTTTGTTTTGTTTTTTAGTGTTGTTGCGGAGGTAAAATTCTGTGTACGGTTTTATTAAAGTACAAGAGACAAGTAGTTTTGATTTAAGTTGAAATTTCTGAGTATTAAGACTAATTAATTCCAATTTGTAGTGAGCACCGTGTTGTTTTTATATCAATAAAGGTGTATTTATATATAGTAATACTCTAACACCTTTCTGTACATGAGTATTGCTACTCACAATTATACTAAAGCGTTACTCAACGAATATTATTAATTGATAACTCTATTCGTGTGTTGTAGAGCATGTGAACTCTAATCTCTTTATACCCGATTATTTGTATGTGTATAACCTTTTTCAAATACGACAAAAACTATACATGAAGCAGAAGAGAAGCAATATTAGACACAAAAAGAAACTGAAACACTCGAAGAATTAGATATCAAATCAAAAAATTGCAAAGGATGAATTCGACACTCCCAAAAATTCTTCGCAAAGTGTATGAATGTGAATATGGAGAATATATAAATGTTATTATATTATAATAGTAAGCTAATTACTTCCTATTATATCAATCTACTATAGTATTTGAAGCATTTATTTTAGAAGGATTTATATTTTACTTATAAAGCTAAATGAAAAACATCAGGATACCTGCCGAAACTAAACTAGTCTCTGGCTTCCAACTTAATACATCCTCTCGGAGCCACGCTTTATTTTCCTTTTATACCTATAGTAAATATTTTTATTTTATTTTTGGGAGATAATATCTATTGATTAAGTCATCAATTCAAATATTGTCCTCACGGTAACAAAAAAAAAAAAAAAAAAAAGCTAAAGAATGGCTAGGTCAAGCTAAACAATAAAGTAGAGTAAAACAAATAAGCTGAATACACTTTACTACACACAAAAAATTAACAATACTGCAATAATAAATGTGAGTAATGAAAGCTGTTCTTGAAGGCGGCAAAAGGATAGAAAATAGTGCTTCCAGAGAGAGAGAGAGCTTTTACTGAGCTAATCAATCAGTGTGGCTAGTTGGACTAAAAAAAAAGGACTTTGAAATACAATTTCAGAGATATAAACCTTACCAGAAGTCATACTATGACCAAATATACTGGGCTTTGAAAAAGTATTTGGATGCATGTTATCCATGCAACACAGTTTTTAAGAAATACAGTTTGACAGGCGACCATTATTCGAGGAGTTAAGGTGTTACGAGAATCCAGAGGATGTCTTTTAGTAAATTGCTTAAGTTTTTATTTACTTCTTCTAATTCATCAGAGGCCATACTATTCATATTAGTAACGTTCATTACAGAGTATTGAGCGTGCACATAATCTATGTCTAACAATTCGTCCGTTTCTCTCATTTCTTCATCAGACGTAGTGTATTAGTCTACAAATTGCACTTACTCTTCTGTCTTATAATTATTAAAAGACATTGTTAGGTGAATAGAGTAGTGAATGAAATAAAGAATAAAAACAGTTTCAGCTCAATGGATCTTGTAGTTTTAAAATAGTTTCACATTAGCTCATAGTAGTCTCAGCGTTACACACGTTTTTCTCAAATGGTTTAAAAGATAGTGCCACCATAATCTTGAATCGTCCTAGCTAAAATTATTCTTGTCTCATCATTATTCAAAATCGTCTCACTGACAGAAAACTCGTTCTAGCAAAAAAGAAAAAAAAATTGCGTCTAAATATTTTTTCAAAACCCAGCAGTCTTATTCTACTATACAAAGACCTCTTCTTTCTTATAATGAATCTATTGAATAATAATAATCATAATGATTTTCTCCTTTTTACTCCACAGTAATAATGAGTATGCTGGTGTCAAATAATAATAAAAAAGCTCGGATAAATTATTGTTTAAAATCACAAGGACGACGATCGATTAAGTGATAATACATATTTGTATAGCTGATATTGAATTTTATACCTGCAACCAATTGATTTACTTGATTTAGTCATTTGTAACTTATTTTCACGTTATTATACGGATCAAGAAATAATCGTTGTAAACATGACATGGATACATGTATGTGTATATAAATGTATATATATATATATATATATATAGGTATATATGTATAAATATAGATATATATATAGATATTAGGCAAGCAATTTGAACCTATATTTTTAATTGATGTATGATAATTTTGCCTATTTAAAATAAAAAAAAAAGAAAAGTAAAGCATATACAGTAAGAATGAATAGAAGACTATGATTTACTAAATTCCTGTTAGGATAAGATCGGTTCAGCTGGCAAAAAAATTCTAATAATGTAAAACTGAAATTAAAATAGTGTTAACCCGGATAACGAAGAATAATAATTATTAGATCTTTTAGTTACAAATTTATATAAATTACATATTACATTAATAAAAAAAAATATTGTTTCTTTTATTAATAATAATGGAAAATAGTTTATAGAATTATTGGTATCATTTATTATATTAGGTATTAAATTTGAAAAATACAGTGTATAATTGATTGAATTTTAGCCAACCAGCTGTCAAATTTGTAAAACCTGTTCTACTTTTTTAATCGCCACTAATGTTTCAGACTCATTTCGTCTCACCTCTTTTTTTTTTTCTATGTAAGTTATTCGCATTTAAAAAAAAAAAAATGCACGCATGGATGAACTCATAAATGTATATTTGTATATAAATAAATATTCATATACATGTATAAAAAAAAAAAAAAAAAAAAAGCTAGACCTATTCTTATTCAAAGTTCTACTTTTTCTTTTCTTTTTTTTCTTTTTTTTCTTCTTCTCTTTTTCGTTGATTTATATATTCTTAACAAAAATTTTTTTTCTCTTCTTTCTTTTATCGACATAAGTAGTAATAATGGATAGTTCATCATATATAAATACAGTTTCAGCTTCTGACCAAATCTTTACTTATGATGATAAAATGAATAACGCAATAAAGTCTAATCGATACATGAATAATAATTATTCATGGTCATTACTCGGTACAGAAAATAATAAGCAACAACAACAAACTAATTTTATGGATGTATTAAGCTCTACAGAAATTGATATGACAAGTTTGGTTGATCAACCTATTTGGCCACTAGACCAAGTACAGCAACAGCCAAATAATTCGATAGTTTCGTCTTTAAATAACTTGTTTACTCCTTGGAGCTCTAATATTCAAATACCTCCTACTATTAAAGAGGAACCCTCAATAATAAATAATAATAATAGCAATAACAATAACAATAATAACAATAATAACAATATTTCTTTACAGCAGCAACATGAATCTCAATCCTTATTTATGCCTTATCAATCTCAGTCACAGCAATTCATTCTTCCTCCTACTCCTCCAGTTTGTTTACCACCTTCTAACACTTTCAATAATAATCACTTTACTTCAACTTTATCCTTTCCTGTTACTTCAAAATCAATAAACTATAATGAATTTCCTACCTATGTTAATTCATTTCAACAGCAACCTTCTCGTGAAATAACTCCACCTTCTTCTATATCTGGATCAAGTAGTAATTCACCTAACAGTACTATCTCTACACCACCTTCTATGCCTTATTATTTACCTCATCATTTAACAACTACCGCTACTACTACCACTACTAATACTACTACTACTACTACTACTAATAATAATAATAATAATAATAATAATAATAATAATAGTAATAATAATAATTCGATACCTATCATGAAATTATCTACGAATGAAATTATTTCAACATCCACAAATAATAATAAAGGTCGAGGTGCTATGCGTCGAAAATCGACCGATTGTCATTCTACTCCTACACGTACACATCGTCGTCGAGCATCTTCTCACCCTTCTGTTGCTTCTGTAGTCTCTTTATCAGCTCATGAACCGGTTGCAAGAGTTATTGACGGTATTGAACATATTACTTTTCTTTATTCACATGATCGTCTCGTAAAAGAATATACAGTTCGTACTGATGTTGAAAGTGTAAATTTGGATAATATTCCTGCTACTTTCCGAGTTCAAAATGCTGTATGTATATGTATATTTATATATATGTATTCATTCATTATTAAAATTTACTATTCGTATTTATATGCATATATATGTATATAATCATCCTATAATAGATTTATCCAAGAGCTAATGTGGAAAGAGAAGAATACGACGGTAATCGTTGGGAATATGAAACAAGTTGTAATAAGCTTGGTTGGAAACTTTGTTGGTTAAATGAAGACCAACTTTGTGGTCGTCGAGGTCTTATTCAGCGTGCAGTTGACTCTTATCGCAATCGTCATGCAGAGATGCGCTCTCGTCGTGTAACACGTCAAGAGAAAGTAGCAAATGGCACTCTTAGGAAAAGAAGAGCAAAGAAAGTTCAAACTTCCATTTTATAAATATTCATCGATATTGATACATAATCATTCTCTCTCTCTCTCCATTCACTTGCATATTATAACATTTGTACATTTTAAATCAATAACAACTATCTATGCATATAACATAATTGCTTATTAAAAAATGAATAATAATTCTTCTGCTTTTGTACATATAACATAATATATTCATCTTTTTTTTTTTTTTTTTACATAATAATGACAGTTATTTTCTTTTTTTTTTTTTTCTTTTTTTAAAAAAAAAGGAAAAAGCAATAAATATCTTCCAAAAAAAGAATAGACCCAACAATATTATTATCATCATTCACATGTAATTTATATTTTCTATATTTTTTTTTTTTAAAAAAAAATGGATATATTAGAGATCATACACTAAGCAATTAAATAATAATAATAACGGTCTATTTTGTATTGTCTTCTATACTTGCTATATAAAGATGATGATAGTTGTATTATGTTGGATACAGTTTAAAACATCTGTGTCTAAACTTAAAATTACCCAATTTTTTTTTTTTTTTTTTTTTTTTTGTTGACCTCTATTTTCTTTAAGCAGCTAGTAATTACAAAGCGTTCTTTTATTATTATATCAATGGTATTAACTGTTCTCCGTATCCTCTCTTTATGTTCTTTTTGTTGAAATGAAAGAGATTTAAAAAAAAAAAAAAAAAAAAAAAAAAAAAAAAAGAAAGAAAGAAAGAAAGAAAGAAAGAAAGAAAGAAAGAAAGAAAGAAAGAAAAACTTGCTTATAAAGAACTGTTGGCTGTAAGTAGACGTTGTAAAAAAAAAAAGCTTAATAATACAGAAACATTTCTCTTCAGAATATTTTTATCATATTTTCTTTTTTTTTCTTTCTTTCTTTCTTTTTAGGAAAGAGAGTTGAAGTTATCAGAGAAAAGAACAAAAAAAGAAAGGATAAACTATAATATATTTTACCGAAGAAAAAATAGTTTATTTTGTTTGGGACATAGACATAATTACTTGAAATTGAGACAAATTACAAAAAAAAATTAAGACAAATAAGAATTCAATTTGAGAAGGAACAAAAAAAAAATGAAACGAATTACTATGAGTTTTTGGACAAGTGACAAATTACCTGTGGATATCTAAATCACTATTGCTAGCGAAACAGTTTCCTCTACAGTGATTTCTCACTGAAAGACAGCAGGTCTTCCCAAATAGACTGCGACATGTCTAATCTATTTTTGCTTGCATTTGACATCTCTATTCCAAAGTATACGATAGTTTTTTGTAATTTAGAATACTTTTAGTATATTTATCATTCGGAAGCTTTGTTTCCTTCAGCCCTGTTTCCTTACAGAAGTTACATACTTTTGAGGTTTTAACTTTGTTAATGCTGACAATAACCGATCGAAGTCTAGTTCTTGATCTAAGCTTGATTTCTCTCTCAAGTATTACTGTGGCACCTGACATCTGGTCTTTTATCCTAACCGTATCCGAATTCTTCATTCCATCTTGATGTAGTTTTACATTTATCATCGTATATAATGTATGGATTCTTTTTGTCCTCTTGTTTCTTCTTATCCCTTTTTTCTTTCTATCCTTTCTTGTATTCAGTCTTTTGGTTTTATTGTACTTTTTTTTTTCCTCTATTAAGTAAGATGTTGGTCATCTCTTTATTCGACCTTTGTCTGCCCTGATAATCATTGAAACAAAAGGGTACATACCTTTCATTGTAGAACCTGATGGTTTGGGGGACACATGTTTGAGAGCATATACTAACTCTTGCAGCAAGATATTAACGTCACTAAAAAAAAAAAAGGGTGATATATAGGCATCGTCATATCAGCATAAAAATCAAAATGGTATGCCGATTTGTTTTTGTTTTTTTTAAGAAAGCAAAGACCAACAACTCTTATAGCATTTAATTCAAACATTACCTTAAGTATTATTTACAGGCAAAAGATTTGGCTCGTCTGTAAAGCCAAGACAACTTGGACACTAGTAATATTTGCCCAATAAATAAAAATAAAAAAAATGCAGAAACGTCTAAAGAAAAACAACTCGAAAGTGATTCTATGATATCTAAAAATAAAATCTTAATCGTCTGACAGTAGTCTTAAAAAAACAGTTGTATATTATTGCTTAATCAGTTTTCGTAAATAATATGTATGGGCGGAGTATTTCATTCAACTAGTCCGAAAAAAAAAAAAAGGCCAAAGCTCCAGTAAATAGGGAAATAAGTAACATTCACTCAGCAAATTATTTGGTAAAAGAACGTAAAATGACTACACAATGAAAATTGCTTAAATAAATCTTCTATTCAAGCTACGTTCATTCCATTCCCTTATCAAGTTACCTTATATTTGCTTAGGATCACTTAAAGTCGTCTCTAGATTATGGCTTGGAAATTATTAAACGCATGTCCTAAATTCCTAGCTCGTTTACGCTAGTTTGTTCAGAATAATAGACTGGATAGAATTAAATTCTTTCTTTTCTCATTTGTAAAGGCTCTTGTTTATGTTCTTAACAACTAGGAGGCAACTGTTAAAACTCTCTATATTTAAATACTGATTTTGGTGTTAAAGAAAATATATATTTTATCTTGTTAAACCTATTTAAATCCATACTTTATTTAAATAAAATAAAGAAGTGTCGACTTCATTACTTTATGTGTGTGTGTGTGTGTTTTAAAAATGTATTTCTGAAAATTAATATTCAATCTCCATGTGTATGCATCATATTATTTTCTCCACATTATAATAGTTATTTATTCTTGAAATCTAACTTTCTTCTTTTTAGGCGCCTAATATAATAATATTATGTAATCAATCAACTTGTTTATATGCATGTATATTTGTCTTACTGGTGGCATCTTCTTTTGTTGTTCAGCTTCAATCTTTGCTTTTATCTTTTGTTTCTTTGCTTCTATTTTCTTCTTCTTTTTGGCTTCGAGATATTCTTGTTTAATTTTTTCCTAAATTCATTTTTTTTTTTTGATTCAAATAAAATTCAAGGGACAAAAAGAAAAAAAAAATTTACTAGTTTCTCTTTCTTTTCTTCAACTTTTAATTCTTTTTTCGCATTCTTTTCTTCGAGAATCTTTGCAATACGGGCTTTCTTTTTTAATTTCTCGTTTTCTTTTTCATCTTCCTTTTTAGCAGCTGTTTCAATTAGATTTAGCATAAAATTCTAGTGGATGTAGAAGAAATCAAATGAGCATTCATAATTAGATCTACCGAAAAAGTAGTTTCTTTATTATTATTATTATTTCTTTTATTTTTTCACCTTATCTGTAGCGAATTTAGGATTATCTAATTCTGAAGATCCTTTAGTACGTTTTTTATTATTTTTTTTCTGCACATTGGCTGGATTCTGCACTGGTATTTTGTTTTTAGTTGATGCATTCTTCATCTACAAATATGCAATCGAGGAAAGAGAGAGAGAAAGAATAAAAAAAAAATTAAATATAATGATAACTAAATGGCTTGTAAGCAATTACTTTTCTTGATTGCACCATCGTATATCTGCTGAAGGTGATGAAGTTTTTTTTTTTTTTTTTTAAAAAAAAAAAAAAAAAAAGAGAGAGAGAGAAAAATTGTGGCTTTTTAATAAATCTCAGTCAAAATATCATAGCAAAAGCAGCAGTGGAGTTTTCTTCTTTAATTTAAGCATAATGATGTATTCACTCTATATGAATGTATTTTGATGAATTTAAATGATGATAGTATAAATTAGATATTTTTTATCATGATATTCAGAAGTATATGGGCCTTTTAATACTCGAATTTGTATATTCTATCAAACAACCAAGTCGAACTTGCATCATTATGAAATTTTAAATTTTTGAAATAGAAATTGAGTATAGAACATGTTTAAATACTTGATGCCCTCTACCCATCTTTAATTTAAACAATGACTTGAAGGGGGAGGAAGCGTTTTTTTTTCCCAAGTTACAAATATCTTAAGCTAACTTCATTACTTATAATATTCATTGATAATTTAAGTTATTAGTTGATAAATGTTACATACCAGGTTCCCTTTAAATTATCTATTTTGTAGAGAACGCGAATCAGGATGAATGTATACCTTTTAAACGTCAGGATTATTGGTTTTACTTACTACATAGTAGCTTGGCTTATAAAAAGAAGAATCTTTTAAGCTGAAAGAATTACTGAACTTCAAAATTAAGACAAGTCGCAAATAAAAATTTTCGTGAAAAAAAAAAAAAAAAAAAAAAAAAAAAAAAAAAAAAAAAAGTGATAATAATAATACTGCAAGGGGAGAATATCTTTCGGCTATTACTTTTTTAAATTAAATATTTGTGCATTTTATACAAATATACACATATTTTTTTTCTTCCTTTATAAAAAAAAAAAAAAAAAAATTATAACATTACTCAACTTAATACATAAAGAAAGAAAAAAAAAAAGAATGAATAGCTCTTTACCAGACATTAATCAGCTACGCAATGATATTAATTTCGCCTCTATTTCACAATTCTTTCATACCTTCCAATCTGCTTTTCGTCCTTGGCCAACATCAGTTCAAGATATTATTTATTCACATAAATTAGAAAATAATGAATATGTATTTCAAACTGAGGTAATTCAGTTTCTTTTATCCTTTTTTTTTTTTTATTTTGTTAATTTGAATTGGATCATTTTAATTCATTCATTTTAAAAAAACAAAAAAAAAAAGAAATAATGTATTTGTGCAACGGCTAGTTTATATTTTTTTGCATAATTTATTTAATCCTATTATTATTATTTTTATTTTATTTTATTTTATTTTGTCAGGATCTTGAACGTATGATTTTAGAAGCAACAGAAAGAATTCGATTTGAAGACTTGATGGTTAGAATGTTACGTTTATTAACTCGCAATCGATTTATAAAGTAATTTTATACATTATAAATATTGAATACATCTCATTAACATACAACTTGAATAGTATGTCGAACTGGCAAACATATTTTTCTAAAGAATTTAGTAAAAGAAAAGCTGAAAGTGTGAACCCATTTATTGCTATTAATAATAATAATAAGGATGATGAACAAGCGAATGATCAAAATGAATTAGTCAATTATTTTACTATGGATTTAGATACAAGAGTTTATCTGTTATATTTGCTATGTGAGGTAAACTAGTAATAAGATGTTTATTATATTACTTAATAACATGTGTTTCTATGTTTGTATATATCAGTGGCAATTAGATGAACCTGAGAAATTTAGAGAACACTTGGAATCAGAAGAAGGTTCAGTGCAATGGGTAAACATAATATATTAATATATATTATTTTATCAATAGTAAATCTGATAATTATTAGAGAGTTGATCCTATAGGATTTGATAAAAAGGGAAGTACATTTTGGCTTTTTGATGGTAAGAGCATATGCATGTGTGTATGTATGTATGTATATAATGGGCTGAATATGTAATTTTATCATAGATAATAGATTGTATAAGGAAACACCAAAACCTAAAATAAATAAATCAGCAAAGTTGAAAAAAAAGAGTCGTGTTACAACTTCATCTCGAAGAAGTTTACGAAGATCAACTAGAGTTTCAAGTGATGCAAAAGAGCCATCAAATGATGAAGAAAGTGAGGATGAAGAGGAATGGGTACCTTGGAAGTTGGTAATATATAGATCTATTTTAAAATGGCGTATTTTAGTTTACTTGTGCTTTTTTTTTTTTTAACATGATAATTATTTGTTGATTAGATTTGTTACAGTAAAAATGATTGGGAGCAATTACCCTTGAAATACGCCAATAGTAAAAACCCTGATGAACAAAGCTTCTATCAATTACTTGTGGATGACCTATTGCCTAAAATTTTGCCCGTTTTAGAAGAGCATGAGAAGGAGTTGAAAAAGCAAGAGGCTATGTGGAATAGAAAGAGAAGTTCGCGCATTATGATGAAAGAATTAGAAGCACTTGAAACATCCTCTATAGAGAGTTGGAAAACAGATGAATTGCAAAGTAATAGTAAATCAGGTAGTAGATCAAGAGCTTCAAGTCGAATTGAACAAAAGGCAAAAGAAAGAGAAGAGAAAGAAAAGGCAGAGTTGGCAAAGGCAAGAGAACAGCGTCTTTTAGAACGTGAACGACGTATTATGGAACGTGAACATAGAGCTCTAGCACGTGAAAGACGACAAGCAAGTCAGGAAATCTCTGATAATACAAATGCTACTGGGTTTTCAGAGGATAAGACTATTTTACAAGAGCCTAAAGCAATAAATAAAGAAGAGCCTTCCACTAAAAAAACCATTGGAAAAGAGAATGACAATAAAGAACAAAGACCAAAACGAAAATATGTTTTAAGACCAAAATATGATGAACATGGTAATTTAATTCCTCCAAAAAAGAGGGGTAGAAAACCAAAGAATAGAACTTTGGAAGAAGAAGAATGGGCTTTTAATTGTGTTTGTGGTGTATCTGGAAAGAATCTGGTATAATATCAGTTAGAAATGATTTATTGTGACCATTGTTTATTTATTTATTTATTTATTTATTAGGATGATGGTACGCCTATGGTTGCTTGCGAGAAATGTGGAACTTGGCAGCATATAGCATGTCTTCGAAAATCTGGACAAGTGAATCAAGATACAAACCTGAATAATATTAATTTTATATGTCAAAAATGTGAAAACAGAAAGGAGGATGAAATACAACAATATAAAAAGCAAAGAATTGATAATTATATACCAATAGCAAATAGTAATTATCAGCAGTCATATGCGCCGATAAATCCACATATCTCCTCCATACAATCATCATGGCAACTTCAACAGCCTTCTGCAATTAGAGAAAGTCATCATTTAGCAGCTTCACATCATAATCATCGTTCTGACTCACTAAATTCATCACCTATTAACAATTCAGTCTACCAACACATAGCACCTGCTCAAAATAATGGCAACACCGTTCCTATGCAAAATAATCGTCCACTGCTACCCTATCTGCCTAAACAACCACCTCCTATAAATAACTATGTATCTGCTCAGCAGACCTCTTTTGCACGATCTCATTCTAACTCTAATATGTCATTCAACTATACTACTCAGCAAGCAATGCATATGCCATTAGCAAATAATAATATATCTATATCTGACAATACAATTAAAGGAGAACCTCAAAAATCAGTTCCTAATGATTCTTCTCAACTTCAAAATAATGAAAAATTAGCATCTGTGATAAACGATCATCAAAACAGTTCTAATTCTTTTAATCAACCTAATGCAGTTCCTACCGCTTCCACAACGCTGCCATCTAGTAATGCTCATACACTGCCAACAAATACATCACATCAGACATCTATTTCTTCGTTAATTTTACAACCTATGTCAAACTCTCCATATAAAAAAACTATCGATTCTTCAATAGATAATAATTTACAACAATAAATGCTATTACATATAATATATATGTATATATTCATATAACAATTTATTTTGTTTATAACTGTTCATATCATTATACGTCGTATGTCAACATTTTGTTTGTACAGCCATGTGTTTGATTGATTAGTTTTATAAAATTGAAAGAGATAATTTTAAATAGTCTATATGTGGATATATGTACGCATGCTAATGGAGACATTTAATTGCTTTATCTTAAAATTTCAAAGTACACAAAATTTCTTTACATGTAATGCAAAATTAATTAGGGAAAAAAAAAATATGTAATAGTGAATATCATGTGTGAAAAAAATATACATGTTTATATATATAGTAAAAAGCTTTTATATAAAAAGTCTTTTATTATTACTATTATTATTATTATTCAAGACAGTTAAAGAATCAAATAAAATTATGGATGATATTCACAAAGTAATAAAAAAGACAGCACCGTCTTTTGTTGTACTGAAAACTTTGAGGACAACCTTGACCATGCCACCACCTATAGCAAGAAATATAATCAAAGATCTAACGCGTCCTTTAGGGTATCAAAAAAGATTTGTTCGTAAATTTGACAATGAAAATTGGAAAGGTACTTTAATTATGTCTGAAATGATTCGATGTAACGATGATATTGCCCTTAAACGTTTACAAAAGTCAGATATTGTTATTTTCAATATACATGGTACAAATCTATCTTATATATATTTATATATTCATATATATATATCCAAAAGTAATATTATCTAACATGAATAGAAAAATAGGGGGTGGCTTTAGAGTAGGCCATAGTGCTATGTATATGGAATCATTTATTAGTTGGCTGCGTCTGTTTAAGAAAAAATATAATTTATATGCTTGTATCATGTCTATTGAATATGGTATAGATTATTAATAAATATGTAATATAGGTTATATTTCCAACTTATATTTTTTATATACAATAGGGTTAGCTCCTAAACATAAATATCCAGGCCCACTAAATGAATGTATTAAGGCTTTTAATTACCTCACTAAAGATCTTGGTGTTTCTCCTTCCAAGATCATTTTATCAGGTGACTCTGCAGGCGGTGAACTTGTTTTAGAAACACTCATAAGAACATACTCTCCCTCTATCTTAAATAATCTAGATTCACCACGCGAAAATTTCGACCTGCCTCTTCCTGCAGGTGCCTTACTTTCCTCTCCACTTGTTTCTCCTAAAACAACATCTGAGTCTTGGAAAAGATATGCAAAAACTGATATGGTTTCTTTACAATTAGCCAATCTAGTTCATAAGGAATATTTGGGACTATCAAAGACAAAAGAAGCAGAGAACGATGATTTATTTCCTATAATGCGTTTAATACATATTCAAAAGAATTTCGATCGATTTTTACCAAAGCATGTCCTTGTCTTTATTGGTGAAAAAGAAGTCCTGCATGATGATGTTGTAGAAATGGTCAATTATATTAAAACAGATGGCAAGGTCAATATCCAGCTAATCAAAGAAAAGTATGCCCATGATTGGTTCTTGATACATGAAATTATCAAGAAAAAAGATAAAGCAGCTGTAATTGCAAAATATGATGAACTATTTGTGGACTTTGCAGTAAAAGCTGTTATAGAAGGCGAAAGTAATCACCATGTTCAAGGAAGTAGTAGAATAATACAACAATTACGTTCTTCTTATCCTACAGAAGAATGTGTTGTACATGATTATGACAAAAAATCAATTACTGAAATTAAAGAGCCAGTATTAGCGACAGCTTCAACAATTGTAAAACAAGATAATATTAAAATGGATGAAGATATATTCTATAATTCTGAAGAAAGTACCCATCAGCAAGAGGATGAGAAGAAGTGCTATAATAACTCTATATCCCCTATAATACGAAGTTCTTCTGAAGAAGAAAATCAAAAACTTCTTTTTGAAAAGAATGAAAATAATACATCAAAAATTCGTCAGTATAAACCATATATCGTTTTATCAGATTCTTTACCAGCATCGAAACGTGTAATAGTAAAAAATTAACTAGCATATGTATTTCTTTTATATATGTATATATACATATATGGTTACTAAAATAAAGACTTCTACTACATAACAATTTATACTTGAATAATACTATTACATTAAAGAAATATATAACTTTTATAAAACCGTACTAATAAAATCAACTTTTTTTTTCTCTAAAATCAATATTGCATGCTACATTAAAATTAAAAATGGCAACAATTGTCTTTGTATATATTACTTATTATCGAAAAAACATAGAAATATATACTATAACTTCTTTTTCTTTTCTTTTCTTTTCTTTTTTTTTTTCAGCATTTTATATTGCTACGAAAATAATTATGTATTTAAATAAGAATATAGACCATCCGTCTACTATGTCTTTATTACTATGTTATTACAAAAGAAGCTATTAGATATAAATTAAATACAGAAGAAGAAGTCTCGCATAAATATTATTACTAGAAAGTCAGACATGACAGTTTACTGAAAAAGATCATATGTCACCATCTTGGAGTCTAATAATAATACCATGGAATGATAAGGCAGCCCAAATATAAAATTAATTTCTTCTCTCATCTTTTCCTTTTGATATTGAAAGGAAACATTATATAATCAAAGAAAATATAAACATTTACTTTAACTGTAAAAAATTAATTAAACCTACAGTGTCCCCAGATTAAAAACATGAAAATAAGAATAAAAGACACCATAAAGTAAAAAAGTAACAGAAAACAAAAAATTGCTCATTACAGGGGTCGAACCTGTGACCTTGGCGTTATTAGCACCACGCTCTAACCAACTGAGCTAAACGAGCTTGTTGTTGATTTTAAAATCAAAAAAATTATTATATACTATATAATAGATAAAATTTAAATACCGATAACCAATAGTATTGAATGCACGTGACTATTTTTCGTAATTATTAAAAAAATATTTGAATCTTTTCCCAAAATTATTATTTGTTTAAATTTTGCGCATGTTTTTTTTGCTTGGTACCTTCTGTTATAATTGTTATTCGTATTGCGTTTTTTCCAATGATACTATTCAAAAGTATTAAGCATACTACAAGTTCAATTTATTTTTTAATTTTTTTTTGCTCTTCCTAAGGATGAATTCCTTCTATTAAAAGCTTTGGCGCATACCTTTTTAAAAATATTCATTCTACTTTCCTTCTCAATAACTTAGATATAAAGGACGTTATGCTTGTTATTCTAAATTTTTGCCTACCTATCGTAATACATTAATAATCGAATCTATTCTACTTTGGTTGTCTATAATATAATCTGATCGAATCTGATATTCTTGTTGGCGTATCGGTTGTTTATTTCATAGTTATTTGCTATTTTACCCTTTTTAACCTAATCAGTATGTTAGATAGGTGAAAGAAGAACGAAAGAAAGCATAATATACAAAAAAAAAAAACTAAGAATATGTTATATTGTTTTTTATTTTTTAAATAACTAAAATCTGACCATTCAAAGATTTTTTTTCTTCAAAGTGACCAGCTCCTTTTATAGTTTTTTTTAAGCAAGTATCTTTTATCGATGTCTTGATCTAATATTAGGAATGTTTAATCCAAGGGAAATAATAGTAACCAATCTGTATTTGACATCTAAGGCTCAACCAAATCAAACACCAGCGGACAATATTATTTAATACAGTTTGTTTATTCAGGCACCATGTCTTGACACAATTATTTTAATTTTCTTCTTTTGCTAAAATTTACTACAACATTCTAAGATCAGTTTGATAAAATAACAAGCGACAGTTGTTAGTAATCTGATGTTGACGATACTATTATTCGTTAAACGTTATACACAGCTACTTTGATTAGATATACTTAAGTGCGTAGTATCGTTTACTCATCTTAGTTTTGAATATTATACTATTTAAACTCATCAATTATGATATAAAATAAAAAATAATAATAAACGATATTATTACCACAAAAGACACATATTGAACTATGTCTCTATTGTATAAGTTTCATATAGATTTTATGTTCCTACACGATGTATCATAAACAAGCTTTAGAAAATATTAAATATAAAACGTAAACCATATATCTCTATGATAAACTATCTCGGTCTAGTATAAATATATGCTAAATAAGGATTGTATCAAGCTAATATGTAAATAAAACGATACATTTATTTAATCAAAAGTATACAGAATATTATTTTTATTCAAAATAATAAAAATGTTTATAATTTAGCTTCCAAGAATTCAGCCCTATTTGTTTGCTTTGAAGCAGCTTTGTCATAATCTTCCTTGTTTATAGATCTTGCTTCAGTAGCAGGGTTATAACCAATGCGAGGCTGACAAGTTCTTTTATTGGCCTTCTTATAGATAGTAATTACAACTGCTCCACCTAAACCAATATTATGTTGAAGAGCATATTCTACATCTGGAACTTGACGTTCTCCAGTCCAATTACGCAGCTGCCAAACAAGTTCTAAAGATAAAACAATTTAGATCGAAGAACTATATATATATATATATATATTTGTAAGCTTATTTTACCTGTGCACTGAGCAAGACCAGTAGCGCCCAGAGGATGACCTTTAGAGATTAAACCACCAGATGGATTGATAACATATTTACCTCCATAAGTGTTATCATTGGAATCAATTAATGTGTGCGCTTTACCAACTGGCGTTAATCCAAGAGAATCATATGTTAAAAGCTCATTGGCAGAGAAACAATCATGAAGCTCAATCACCTTGATATCATTAGGTGTGATACCAGCTTTTTTATAAGCATCAGTAGCAGCTCGTCGTGTCATATCACAACCAGCCCATTCAATAGCATCAGTTGTCAACATACGAGGAGAATCGGTTGCCATAACTTGAGCAACAATCTCTACTGCTTGATCCCATAAATTATACTTATTAATAAAGTTTTCGTTAGCTAATATAGCACAACCAGCACCATCAGAAGTAGGGCAGCATTGTAGTTTCGTTAGCGGTCCGAAGACTTTAGGGGATTGCTTCACTTGTTCAAGTGTATAGATTTCACGAAATTGTGAATAAGGGTTTTTTGAGCTATGACGATGATTTTTTTCAGCGATCTTTGCCAAATGTTCAGACGTAGCACCATATTTCTCCATATAGGCAATACCAGCATTACCAAAGATTTGAGCTGCAGCTGGTGCTTTAGGATCGAATCCACACTCTTGCATCATTACTATATTGACATGATCTAGAAAATAAATTTTAATATATAACAATGAAAAAAAAAAGTTTGTGTAGCAACAATATCAATATTTTACCTAACGGATTTGTGCGATCAGAAAAAGTAGAGGTAAGTGAACCTCGTGCCATTCTTTCGAAACCCAAAGCCATAGCACAATCAACTAAACCGGAAGCAACAGCATTACGTGCCTGATAAAGGGCAGTAGAGCCAGTAGAACAATTATTATTAACATTAATAATTGGAATTTGAGTCATACCCAATTGATATAAAACCCTTTGACCAGCTGTACTATCACCATAAACATATCCAACAGTAGCATATTCAATAGCATCATATGTTATATTAGCATCATTTAAGGCTTTTACTGCTGCTTCAAGCCCAAATTCTATTATATATATATATATATAAAAGAAAGTAGCAGTGGTTAGTCATTATTTATATTTTGTATAACTGGTATATGTACCTGGATAATCAACCTCGCCTCGAGGCTTAATAAACTTAGACATGCCAACACCAATAACATATACTTTGTTGGAAGCAACCATATTGATTTATTCTTTAATAATAATTAATAAAAGGGCTTTCCTTTATTTATTTGAATTATGGGAAAAAAATATACATTATTAAAAGCAGTCATTTATCATATGAATACTTTTTTAAGAAAGGATGTAATACATAAAAAATCAAATTTGGGATAAATACTTGTTACAAATACTTTTTTTTTCTTTCTATTGTAATGTGAGTGTATGCCATAAAAAAAAATGGCACATAAACATACACATTTCATATATTACTATTAAATATTAATTTTATTAAATAAAAGTGTATAACTCATTTGAGCACATAATCTGCCTTGTGTTGTGATACATATATATTTTTCAAAATCTTACGAAAAGTTAAAGTCAAGCTTATGGAACTCTAGTTGCTGATAACATAAGCTGAGAGTATCTATCACATTGGGATATGAAGTAGAACCAACTGGTATTGATTTAGGTAGGATAAACAATCAAGTAAATTTTTGTAAGTAGTTTATAGTAGTATAAGAAGCTTTTCATTTTAATATATACGTGCATACAGATATATAAACGCACAGTTCATTTTTTTTTTATCTTTTACAATGAAAAACTTCCTATGCTACTATTTTACCTTATTTCTTAATGTTAGCTTACGGAAGAGATTCTATTTTCAAATACAAAGACACTGTAATAAAAATACAAAACTACATAATCATGTTTATTAATATCGAAAATCTTCTAGTTTCTCTTTTAAAAGTTGACAACGAATATGAAGTCGACTATCCCAATCTGAATCACCTGTATTATCTGAATTTAAAGATTCAGGAGAAGAATGTTGCTGTTCATTATTTATCCAACGTTCTGACTTATGAATCCAATCGTGTGCCTCCTTATACAATTTCTTTTGCATATGCAGATCTTTTTTAATCTGTATAAATCTGAAGCAGCACAGAGTAGCCATTTCATAAAGGGCATGTGGTATAACCCATCGATCTTCGCTCTGATAATCTTCATAGTGTATTGATTTTCGTAAATACATGTCTGCTGAATCAAAATCACCAAGTTCCCTTACACTAACTCCCAATAATAAGTACAGTTGAGATATATCACTACACATTTCGTCTTTATGAATAGTATTTAAAGTATTTTCTATAGATTGTTTAATAGATTGCAGCATATCTGCATTTAACTGAGAAAATCCATTCCATAAATAAATAAGCTCCCATAAAGGATGAACAACCACAACACTTTTAAGTATTGGACCATCTAATACTATATCATCTACAGTCAAACCATGACATTTTGTTGTTTGCTTCTTCAAACACTTTGCTCTCCAGTGTCTTATCTTCCTTTCCGTATATATTTCGTTCGGTAATAAACGTCCTCCTAAATGTCTTTTTCTCTTCAAAATATCTGGTATTTCCATATACTCTGTAGCTGATTTGTCATACTCTTCATCAGCAAACATACAACAAGTAGCAATGTAACGATAAAATGCCCTTGACCAACTATTCATACTTTCTAATCTAAAAAACGTTTCTGATGCTTGAAAATAGTCACCTAAGAAAATTTGGCCCCTATATATGTATATAATAAAGTAAACAATAAATAATTAGAAAAAAAAAAGTTATTGTTGCTTTTATTATTATTATTGTTCTATGTTATTCTACCATCCCATTTCATAAACTGCTAATGTTTGGAGTTGTGCTAATTCACATAAGGCATTCTTTTTAGTAGTAAATACCGAACTAGATGATCCTACTTGAATACTTGCATTTTCTCTACGTCGCGCATCCCTCAAAATTTCAACACCTCTTCGTGTTTTCCCTTCCATTTTACACAATTTTCCCTCAAGCAACTTCCAGATTTTGCCTTGTGGAAATAACTGCTTCATTTGATCAAGAATTTCTCGTGTGCTTTCAAGACTAAGGGAGTTAGGTAATAATTGAGGATGAATAAATAATGAAAGATTGGTATAATATACAAGTAATGAAAGTGCAGATAAAGTTGAGTACAAGCCTTGGCTTTTAACTGATCGTTGAAGTAAATGAATTGCAAAAGGTCGAGAGGAATGGAATCCAAATGTATTTAAAATTTTGTTGACTATTTATAAAAAGATATATAAAAGTAAACATTATAATATTATCCATAAAAAGAGAAGAAAAAAAAATCCTTCTCTCTTTTCTTATATTTACCTCGAGGTGGTAGTAAGGAGAAAATTAAGCTAAATAATCCAACGCCAAAAAAAACTCCACTTTCAATTGTGTTATCAATAATTGTACACGAAGAATCAGATGATGTAGGTACAATGCCTCTATTTTTATACAAATCTAAAGCAGATAAAGGGCGACATTTACAGCTCGTATTATCATCAAAGTTAACTGGCTTAGATACATAGTAAAGGCTCAATCGTTTTTCATTCCAGGAGCTTCGGGTATAAGATGAATTCGTTAAAATAGTTGCTAGAGATCGTGATTGTTCAAAGGGAGGAGAAGTGGCCGCATTGAATGATTTTTGTTGTTGACTCCCAGATGCTACAGAGGATTTTTTTAGATTCAGGGCATATAATAATGCTTTTTGACCTGTAATAGTTTCAAACATTTGCTCGTATAGTTTATAAGTTTTACGAAGTTTGTATGCAGCTTTCATGTATTCTAACCAACTGTTTCTCAAAAACTGTATAGTGGAAGACATAAGCATACAACTTGTAACTAATAATTCATATAGGATATCAATTTTTTTCAAATAATGATATTTTTTCGTTGAACTAGAATCACTAGTGCCTTCAAAAGATATAACAACAGCATCTTGCAATGACGGCTCTTCTAAGTGATTATGTTTTGCATGATGCCAATTTTTTTTTTGTGCCTTTTTTAAAAATTGACGAGCTAAAATTTCTGCTGCTGCGATTCGTTCAAGAGCAACTTGAATCTTGTCAGACTCAAAGCCAAGCATGGCTTCAATGTAAGCCATTAAAGCAAAGCCAACTGCATGAAATGGTGATTCTTTATGATGCTGTAAAAATATAGTTTGAGCTAATTCATAATTGTCATTGAAAAAAGCATCCTATTTTTTTTTTTCTTTTTTTTTTAGTTATTCTATAGGGCAAATAATATTTTGGTTTACCAAGCCTCTTTGAGTCTCAGCTATCCAATATGTAACAAGTTGTAATGAAGGTAAAGAAGAATCGCCTTGTGGTGAAGCACTTAGATTTATAAGGATTGCAGCTGTGTTATTGGCAGCACATTTTAAAGAGGAAGTAGTAAATTTTGATAAATTATTCAATTGGCGAAGCATTTTGGATGTTGTATTTACAAAAAATAAAAAAAGTATTAAAAAAGAGCAAACAAAAATTGATACTTTCTCCTTTTTTTATTTTATCTTTTTTCAAGTATGGACATTGAGACAGTGGTGACACAATATTATGACTTATTGTTCATAGAGTGGGACTCACATTCTTCATCCGCTTGTAATATTAAATTTTCCACTTTATTTTTTATGTAATTTGCTACTATAATTTCAAGTTTTTTTTCGTAAAAAAAAAGAAAAAAACTATAGGATACCTAATATATCTCAAAGAGTCATTGAGCATATCTTTGTAGACTACTTTTATAATTCTATTATCTAATATGTTATACTTTGTACGTCTATTGACATATAAAAGCAGCCTTAATTCTTGATTCGTATGAGGCTTTTGAAAAAGTGAATAAAAAGTGAAATAGAGACATTTAGAAGTGTGCTTGTGCAGCTGGTAATGATAGTTATTCGTAATTACCTACCTGAATAAGATGTCTATATAAAGACAAGATTGAATAATAGTAAAGTAGCTGGAGCACAATGGATGCAACCTGACATAAATAGAGAGTCACAGTCTATTCTATTCTTCGTAATTCTCTATTTCTCCTTTGGTTACTGTCGTTCATGCGCTGACTTTCCCTTCCTTGTATCTCTTTACATCTTTGTGCCCAAAAATTTTTTTCAACATTCTAAACAAATTCGGGCAAATTTAGCGATTAAAATACCCGCACTTAATATGGATCATTAAAATAGATTAAAAAATGAGGAGGAGGGATATGCAAAAAAAAAAAAAATACCATACAAATAATGTAAATTTAATCAACAAAATTACCTTTTATGGCTGTTAGGCCTTTGCTGCAATCAAATTTAAGAAGTAAAATCAGATTTAGTAGAAATAAAAATGCGAGGTTTTTTTTTATTATTTTCCTTTTTCTTTTCTTTTCTTTTTGCTATCTATTCTTTATTTTATTTTATATTTTTTTGTGTGCGGGTAAAGATAAATAATATGAATAAACTAAAAAAAGCATTTTCTATAGATCGTCAAGATCAGAAATCTTCCGAGATTAATAAAAAGAGATTCTCGTTATTTCATAAAAAGAAACATACAGGAGAGTTACCTCGTTTATCAATAAGTACACCTTGTATCGAATATCCACCAATACTACATTCAGCTTTTGAGCTTAATCATTCCCAACCTTTTGTTAAATATAGACCTCGATCTGTTCAAATCGAATCTAATTCTTTTCATTCATTCAATTCGACTTCAACTACAACAGCCTCATTAAACACACAAGAAAATAGAAGTTTATATTCAGTTCATTCTGATATCAATAATAATAATGTATCAGAAGATCAAAAAGGGATGGCATCAGCAAATAATAATAATGATTTTGATGAAAACTCTTATTTTCAACTGGGAATGAAATATCATGAGAAAGGAGAATTAGAAAAAGCTACCTATTATTGGAGATTATCAGCTAAATCAAGGTCACCGGTAGGACTATTTTTTTATGGTATTGCACTTAGACATGGATGGGGATGTAAAAAGGATCCAGCAAAAGGAGTTCGATATTTACAAAGTGCAGCTGAAGTAGCAGTTTATGATTTACAAACAGGAATAGCTCAGTCTGTTTCTGTTGCTAAGTCCGAACTAGTGCTTGCCATTTATGAGCTCGGTGTTTGTTTTCGTCATGGATGGGGGGTAAGAAAGAAAAAAAAATATAGATCTATGATAAGTTAATTAATTTAAATATCAGGTGCCTAAGAATCTAGAAACAGCAACGTACTATTTCCAAATAGCATCCAACTTGGGTGATCCTGATGCACAAAATGACTTGGGATTCTGTTATGCGCATGGTTTAGGTGTAAAAAAAGATTTATATTTTGCAGCCAAATACTACCGCATGGCAGAAAAACAAGGACAAGGTATCATAGGAAATTCCTGGATTTGGAAGGAAAAATACGATCAAGTAGAAAAACCTGGATGGACAGGACAAGTGAAAAAGAAAAAATAATTTTTTTTTTATCATTTCTCCTTCTCTGTATTATAGTCATTATTATATCTTTATATATATACCTTATACTTTTTGATTTATATATTATGATACAAATATATATAAATATATACACACATATACATATATCCTACCTTATATAAATATACGTTAAATATCCTCTTCTTTTGTATTTAATTCTAAAAACAAATAAAATAGGTAAAAAAAAAAAATATGAGTCTTTATTTTTATATTCTTATAAGGAGCATATTTCTAGATATTATAAAATGTATATCAATTAAGAAAATAGTCGTATAAAGCATAAGCTATAATTGAGTACAAAAGAATCATGATTAGTTTGGTAAACAACTTTATATTGATAATACTGGAAGAAGAACATATGTATTTATTAACGAAATGAAATAAAATTACATTCTTTACCTATAGTCAATTATAACTTCTGTTTATCTCAAGGTTAGGCTATAGTTTCCTATAAAGACTTTGATACTTATCAGATTTATATAACTTAATAAGACTCATGAAGATATAGACGGTATTCACTAAACTAAATCTGTCTACCTTTTAGATAGATTTTTTTTTATATTACTTGGATTCTAATATTGTATATATCAGATTTTTAAGTAGATTGTCTGTCATAACCAAATATGCTTTGAAATTCTGCACAGATATTATAGAACAAATTGGCATATTTTATTAAAAGGTCTTGAAATTATTTGATCAGCTTTAATTTAATGTCTTCAACAAAGAACTGATGATTATCATCAAACGTGACCTTTACGTAGTTCTCATACTGGACAGTAATAGAATTATTTTTTTTTTGATTTCTTTTATGATACTTCCCCTACCCTTTCATAAGATTTCCGCTATCTCTCGGTAGCATAAGAGTTAATCAAATATTCTTTTGCAAATTTAGTGATGTTTCCTTTGTTCAAAGGACTTTCTATTATTTTATCACTGTAATTGTTGCATTTTCTCTAATCAGCTGTCTTTAAGTTATTTTTTTTTCGCTGTTTGGGTTCCTTTTCTGCAACAGTTATCTTGGTAGGCTTATGAACTAAATGGGTCTGTTGACTTGTTACTGTTTTGAGGACAATGGTTGTATCTGTAATCTTTATTAAGATATATTCCATGGATTTTCATATTTATTGAATATATCGCTTTACTTATCTTTATATCTATATATAAAAGTGTTTGCTATTGCGTAAATTTCAGATAAACGCATCAGAATATGCACGATGATTAAGTTTTATAGCTTCTGGTAAAATACTTCAAAAGCAAGAACCGACAAATGAAATTTCACAAACCGACAGTTGCTTTTTAACTGCACAATTATCATTACTATTTTTTTTTTTCTTTTTTTTTTTTCTTTTTCTTTTTCCTGTAAACAAACAAAATCGATTATACCAAATGTATTCCTCTCGAAAACCAGAACCATACATCAAAACCATTTGTAAAGAATGTAATAATCCACTAGAGTTTTTACCTGCTTCTGGTTTAAAAAATGAGAATGTCGAAGTTCAATGTTGGTCATGTCAGGCCATTTGCACTTATGAAATTGATGCCACAGGCACCAAAATTAAAACAAATACCGCAAAATCTACCTCTAAATGGTCTAGAAAGCGTGGAACAGGTAATATTACTAGCCTTATATATATATATATATATATATATGTTTATATTCCTTTCTGGAAATCACTACTAAATCAATCTATATAGATGAGAATCCTGTATCAACCGAATATTATGATATCCTTGGTATCTCACCTTCTGCAACTCAAAACGATATAAAGAAAGCTTATAGAAAATTGGCTATTAAATACCATCCCGATAAAAATCTTGATAACCCAAATGCAGAGGAAAAGGTAATGATATTTTTATACTTTGAAACATTTTTATTTTATTTTATTTACCTTTTTTTTTGTTACAGTTTAAAAAAATATCTGAAGCATACCAGGTTTTATCAGATCCAGCATTAAGAAAAAGATATAATGAATTTGGAGAAGAAAATGGTATAAGGCCTGATGGAGGATTTGGTAACATATACATACATATATATATATAAATTTTATATAACAATTCTATTACTCATACATTATTCTATAGTTGATCCTGAGGAATTCTTTAAACAATCATTCGGGGGTGATCGCTTCGTAGATATAATTGGCGAAATATCGATTGGAAAAGATATGAGAGAAGCATTGGAAGCTTATGAAAAAGAGCAAGAGGAAGAAGGTATAGATCCAAAATCACTAACACCTGAGCAGAAAATAGAGCGTGAGGAAAGGAAACGTAATTTAGAAAAGGCTCGTGCTGAAGCAAGAGAAAAAAGAGTGGCGACATTAGCGACAAAACTAATTAATAAACTTAGTCTTTATACTGAACTGAATGATATATCGGAGGAAGCTCGTACAGCTGCATTTACAAATATTATTCAAATTGAAACAGAAGATTTAAAACATGAAAGCCATGGCATTGAGCTATTACATGCTATTGGCTATACTTATACAACAAAGGCAAATCAGTATATAAATAAAGGGTTTGCATTTGGTTTAGGAGGAATGTTTCATTCTATGAAGGAAAAAGGTTATATATTTAGTGAAACTGTGGGTACGCTAAGATCTGCTCTTGATCTTCAATCAAGTTATTCTGAATTACAAAAAGCAGAGGAGAAAGGAACTTTGGCAGAGGAAGAGCGTATTAAGCTAGAAACTGAAGCAGCAACAAAGGTATAGTACTCATTTTACTAGATGAAAGGTATCATTGATTTACTAGTAAAATAATAATAGGGCTTACAAGCTATTTGGCGAGGTTCAAAATTAGAGGTAGAAAGTGTATTAAGAGAAGTATGTGATCAAGTGTTATCTGATCCTTCTGTTCCTAAGCATACATTGAAAAGCAGAGCAGTGGGTTTAAAGATTATTGGTAATATTTATATGAAAGTGAAATCCGATGTTACTCCACCAGATGTGCCGATTCCAGATCCTTCTCCTAGTTCATCTAAATCAGTATACAACTAAAATACAATACTAATGATATGTGGTAGGATGGTGATAAGATTAGGAGAGCAAGTCATCACTATGTAATTATATAAAGATTGATGCTTTGTGGATCCTGATATTAGTAGTAGATAGTGAACTTGGTTTCTTGTCCCCCTTTTGGGATACGACAAGGAATATGATAATTATTATTTTTATTTCAAAAATAAAAAAAAAATCAGGCCTTTTTAATCCCCAATTAATCATAATCAAAGATTTTTACGAGAAGTTTAGTAGTGAAATTCTCTCACTAAAAAATTTCTACGAATATTTAAGTTTAGAGAACTCACTAGGTACCTAAAGGCTCCTTACAACAATATTAAAATACAATAACCCAAGTAAATGTCGTCAATTGTACAACATGTGAAGTAACTATTACTGCTATTAATAAATATTGATTATCATAATCTTATTTAGATTATAATAGAAGCTTTTGTACATTAAAATAAATATAATCTAATTTGATATGGCTCAGAATTAAGGCTAAACATGGCAGGAGCAACTGTAAAACCTTTTTTTTTTTTTTTTTTTTTTTTTTTTTTCACAATATGATAATTAATGCCAGCATTCATCAGAACATCCACTATATTAAATACAATGAGTTATATACATAGTTAAATCACATCTACTATTTGGCAAGTTTGACGGTAAAGTTTTCAGATTCAATTATATCAAAGATCGCGTATTCTTTTTTTATTTAGTATCCCAAAGCTGCACAATTTATCTTTTGATTCGTTTGTTGAAGACGAGCATAACTATGTAGTCATGGATTAAGTAGTCAGTTATCCATAGCAGAGAAATCATTGTCGTAAAAGGGTTGGCAGCGGTAACATATACAGCAGAGAAAAAAGAAAGACCCCTTCTGCCTATTAGAGAAGCAGTAGAAAGTGTAAAGAAATTGAGAACACTGTATTTTAAACAGCAATAATAATAATAATAAAAAAAAAAGCCGTGCTAAAAATGACCAATATAATAAATAAGAAGATGAGCAAATTAGGTGATGTTAATAGTGATATGCTTTTGTAAAAAGTACAAAGTAAACAAGACGTGGAAGATAATATCAAAAATATTATATCACTCAATTTATTGGAATTATTGTTTTTCAGAAAAACTAGATATTTACAATACAGTTTGAAGCCTATTACCGAAATGAATCATACATTGACAAATCTGCCATGACAACTATAATGGACGGGTATCTAAGTGACCTTATCACTAAGGTGAAAAATAAGACGGAAAAAGGAAAGTCCTGGTTTTAATTGTCTTTTTTTTTTTTTTTTTTTTTTTTTTTTTTTTTTTTTGTAGGTTTGAGATACTATTGACTAGTGGAATATGTGGCAGCAAAATATCGAATGGTATTGTGCCCTTTTTTGGGGGATCAAACGCGCTGCTGAAGGAATTAGTTGATGGGGGCTCTTTTACAAGCAAAAACATATATGTAAATTGCCATGATACTGGTATGAAAAGTACACTTTCAATTAAGAAGTCTAAAAAGCTAAATAAAACTGTCAGTATTGTCGTATACAACCTTATTTCTGGATTGTATCGAATTAGATGATATTTGTTTTAATGTACAACAGCTTCTATTATAATCTAAATAAGATTATGATAATCCATATTTATTAATGGCAGTAATAGTTACTTCACATGTTGTACAATTGACAACATTTACTTGGGTTATTTTACTTTAATATCATGAATTTTAGACTAACATCCATATATTTTTATTTCTTATTATGTAAATATTAACAAACAATTTTAACCTGTAAATCTCCCCATTGTTATTTTTGATATTAATAAAGAATCTCAATGAGGTTCATACGTCAAATATCACATTCACCCATTCAAATGTGCCTGTATCAGTAGTCAATTTCACATAAAAGGGGTTTACCATTGTGAATTCTCTAAATATCAGAAACATTACCACGTTGATAATGCTGATATCGATTATCCTGACTTACATTTCTCATCAAAAAAGTATCCAAGAATGAATAGTACAAGGTAATTTTGAATCTATTCGAAGTTTCACATACATTAAAGAACTTACCATACCCGCGATCAAATAAAGAGTTTCACCACAATCAAAGGAAAGACTAGTTACAAACAAGGGAAGCAAAGATTAGATAGCTCTAGTAGAATAAATGTGCAAAAGAAAGAAAAAGTAACGGGAACCCACCAGAGTTGATTATTGTAATACAAACTATATGCCTACAACTTACTTGTATAAAACAATCAAATTAATCATTAAAGACAGCTATTGATAATATGATAATGGATCAAAGAGCCTAAATTATTACTGAATAATATTACTTCTATCATGATGCATAATAAAATGATTTCTTAAGATATATTTATACGTTAATTTTGATATGAAGGGCTAAGTTGAATTTAGCCTCTCGATTCAGTTTTGAGTTAATCATCCTCCAAAATAAGATGTAGCCAGTTCGAGGATAAGGGAAATTTAGAGACTAGAGTAAAGTAACAATGTTCCCGCCCGCTATCTTCGAAATATCATTCCAACAATCTGTCAGTGTCTTTGACAAATGTTTAGAAAGACAACCCAACTAAAGTAGCTTACTTTATAAATAATCTATTTTCATTCATCCATAACTAGAAAACACCAAATGAAATAAGCAAAACTGTCATTTAAGTTTAGCAAAGCCATCATTTAAACTTTTGAAAAACCGCTATTTGGCACCGTTAGCATTGTAATTAAAGTTTTATTTCTTCCTCTTCCTCTTCTTCTTCTTCTTACTGTGACTGCTCTCCTTTTAAAATACGCCACTTAATTTTTTGACCCTTTTATCTATTTTTTATTTTATTTTTTTCACTATATTTATATTAATCAACATGACCAAAGCAAAAAAGGAAACTTCCCAGGAATCAAAAGAACGAGAGAAAACAAGCAAGCAATTAGAAACTTTCCAAGGATTTAAAGTACTTCCTGTGATTATGGATGAAAATAATAAAAGTATTCGACATTATTTTTTTATGAAGAAGCATGAAAGCAAATCTCTTGAAGATGAAAACATTAAAGATCGCACACTCTTCCTTGCCAACTTACCTCCAGACACAACTGATTATCACATTAAAAAACTTTTCAAAGGTCATCCTATTGACCAAATAACATATAGTTCTTCTGGTTCTTCTGTTTCTGAAGAGTATTGGAAGATTATTGAACAACAGGAAAAAATTAAAGCACAAACAGAAAAGAATAAGAATAAAAAAAGAAAAAAAACCAAAAAGAGAAAGAAGAGAAAGAGGATAAACCTAATAGGGAACTAAGACAGCTATTTGTAGGCGGTTCTTCAGCACATGTTGTGTTTAGTACAAATGGAGATTTAGATCAAGTCTTAAGTATGCATCGAGTTGAAAAGAAATGGGCAAAGGAAGATGAAAAAACAGGACAACCTTTAGGTTTTCAACGTAAATCTTTTTAATATATGTATATAAAGTATATTACATTCCTTACTAATGATTAATAAATAGGCTACATTCTGCAATACGAATTATCTCGACCTAATCCTATGGATCTTCAACAAGAAGTTGATTCTTTTATGATGAAATTTAAGGCTGATGAATATCAAAAGGAACGTGAACAATTAGAACGCATGAATAAAATGGATGAAGATGGATTTACAGTAGTCGTGCGTCATAAGAAAAATAAAACAACGGACGGCACAATTAACGTGAGCGCTATTTCTACGGATGTCGCTGAAGCACAAAAAGAATACCATCAAAAGAAAAAGAAAGAGTTAGTTAATTTCTATCGTTTCCAAATGCGTGAACAGAAACAAAATGAATTAACTGAATTAAGAAAACGATTTGAAGAAGATAAGGCTAAGATTGCTAAATTAAAACAAAATAGAAAGTTTAAGCCTTATTAAATTGTATATAAATCGTCATACATAATAAACATATAGAATAAGCAACTGTTGCGTAGCTTATATTTATTAATTTTAAAATAATTTTATTGGGTGCCTATAATAATAGTAGTAATAATATTTTTTTTTTTTTTTTTTTTTCCACTACATTTTTTTTCTGCAATAAATTAAACGACTAGTCAAATTAAACGAAATGGATTTACGATCGTGGATTTCGGATAATACCATGAAGGTAGATAAATAAATAAATCTTAAACAAAGCATTATCTTTAATTAGTAAACTTTTATCTAAAGCTCTTGGGCATGTCTGAATCGGCCATGGTAGATTACATTATTGCTACTGGTAATTTAATTATAATATCTGACCATGTTAATAAAACCAAGTAATTTACTGAAAAAAAAAAAAAAATAGGTCAAAAGGCAACATCGCCACAGGATCTATATTCAAAATTAGTTAACACAGGTGCACCTAGTGATCCCAACACACAACAATTTGCTTTCGAATTATTTAATAAAGTACCTCATAATCAGGTTCGTTCAGCTGCTACAGCTGCAGCATTGGCAGAAAAAGCACAACGTAAAAAAGAGCAAAAAGAAGAAGCCAAATTACGTAAAATAAATGAATCATTTAAAGTTATACTTGATGATCAAGCTGAAATTGAAGATAATGACGTGGATAAAAAGCGTTTAAGTAAAAAAGAAAAAAAGCTTCGTAAAAAGAGACGTCAAGAAGATTTAAGTGATGATGACACTGAAGTGAGGAAGACAGAGAGTAGTCGATCAAAAAAAAGTAAGCTATAATGAAAAATAAAAAAAAACCCCCTTTTATATACCATTCATTTATTTTTTTTTATAAATAGGAGAGGAAGAAGAGGAAGATAATGATGATGAAGAAGCAAGAGCCGAGAGAGAAAGATTAAAAGATATTCAAGAGCGTGATGAACTTGCACAAAGATTGAAAGAGAAAGATAAAGATCGTACAAAGAAACTTGTGGAAGACAGATCAGCCAAAGAAGGCAGTGAGGCATATAAACGACGTAACCTTGCTGACGATAAAGAAGCCCGTTTAGCTGCATTACCTGAGTTAAGAAAAAGATCTAATCAAAAATATCTTAAAATGCGTGAAGAGCAACAATTGGCTCTTTTGGAACAGGAAATTGAAGATGAAAAGCGGTTCTTTAGTGGACAAAAAATGACAAGAAGAGAAATACAAGAATTAGAGTATAAAGAAGAGCTATTACGTTTAGCTAAAGCAAGAATGAATATTGATACTAAGGAAGACGCCTATATAATGCCCGAAGATTACATTACTGAAAAAGGCAAAATTGATAGAAAAAAGAAAGAAAGTGCACTTTACAAACGTTATGAGGAGGATGAGAAATATGAGACTGAACATGATATCTGGGAACGATCACAAATTGATAAGGCAGCAGCTAAAATATCTTCAGCTTCTGTAGATGACCAATATGATTATGTATTTGATGAAGACCAAAAAATTGATTTTGTTATGTCAGCTACCATGAATGAAATGGACGCAAAAGATGCAGAGCTTTTAGAACGTATTGATGCTGCAGAACGAAAAGCAAAATCGATTGAAGAAATTCGAAAGTCATTACCTATTTATCAATACCGTGATGAACTTTTAGCAGCTATTGACGAATATCAGGTTCTTATTATAGTTGGTGAAACAGGTTCTGGTAAGACTACACAATTACCTCAGTATTTGTTTGAACATGGATTTACAAAAAATGGTAAGAAGATTGGTTGTACACAACCACGACGTGTCGCTGCCATGAGTGTCGCTGCTCGTGTTGCGGAGGAGATGGGTGTACACTTGGGACGTGAAGTAGGTTATAGTATTCGTTTTGAAGATTGTACATCTGATAAGACAGTTATTAAATATATGACCGATGGTATGTTGTTGCGTGAATTCATGACAGAGCCCGATTTAGATTCATATAGTTGTATGATTATTGATGAAGCACATGAAAGAACACTATCTACTGATATTTTATTTGGTTTAATTAAGGATATTGCTCGATTTAGACCTGATTTAAAACTATTAATTTCGAGTGCAACTATGAATGCGCAAAAATTCTCAGAGTTCTTTGATGACGCACCTATTTTTAACATTCCTGGTCGACCTTATCCTGTAGAAATTTATTATACCAAAGCCCCCGAAGCTAATTATTTACGTGCAGCTATCACACAAGTGTTAACCATTCATGTTACTCAGGGTAAAGGCGATATTTTAGTCTTTTTAACAGTAAGGATCTAAAAAGTGATACTACACCTACTTTTTAATTTTATTAAACATTCTATTTAGGGTCAAGATGAAATTGAAGCAGCTCAGGAAGGTTTAACACAAGCTTGTAAAGCTTTAGGCAGTAAAATATCAGAATTAATTATTTGTCCCATTTATGCAAATTTACCATCAGAACAACAATCTAAGATTTTTGAGCCAACACCTGAGGGAGCACGTAAAGTGATTCTAGCTACAAATATTGCAGAGACTTCGATTACTGTAGACGGTGTATCTTATGTAATTGATCCCGGATTTAATAAGCAAAAATCGTTTAATCCAAGGACCGGTATGGAAGCATTAACAGTTGTCCCCTGCTCGCGTGCCTCTTCAACTCAACGCGCTGGTCGTGCTGGTCGTACTGGACCTGGTAAATGTTTCCGATTATTTACTCAATGGGCTTTTTTTAACGAAATGGAAGAAAATACAGTACCGGAGATTCAAAGAGTTAATTTATCTAACGTTGTGCTATTATTAAAGGTAAGCTAAGATAATATATATATAAATAAATGTATACATACATGCATACATACATACATACATACATACATACATATATACATATATACATATATAGTGATTTAATTCTATATATAGAGTTTAGGCATAAACGATTTAGTTAACTTTGATTTTCTGGATCCTCCAGTAGAAGATACAATGATTCGATCTCTTAGTCAGTTATATGCATTAGGTGCATTAAATGATCGAGCAGAATTAACTAAACTTGGACGTCGTATGGCAGAATTCCCTATGGATCCATGCTTATCTAAAGCGATTATTGCCGCAGAAAAATACGATTGTACAGATGAAGTTGTATCTGTATGTGCAATGCTTTCAGAACAAAATTCATTACTTTATCGACCCAAAGATAAAAAGATTCTTGCAGATACAGCACATCAAAATTTGAGAAAACCGGGAGGAGATCATATGACATTATTAAATATTTGGAATCAATGGGTTGAAACAGATTATTCAGTTCAATGGTGTTATGAGAACTTTATTCAAGTAAAAACACTAGAAAGAGTGCGTAATGTTAGAGATCAGCTTGTTCAACTAATGGATCGAGTAGAAGTAAAAATTGTTAGTAACCCTAACCCTAACGATTCAACACCTATTCAAAAGGTAAAAACAAAAAAAATTATTTTAAATAATAATACACTTGTATAATTTTCTTACTGTTATTATAGTCCATTACTTCTGGTTTCTTCTTTAATGCAGCAAGATTAAATAAGTCAGGCGATTCTTATCGTACAGTTAAACAGAATCAAACTGTTCATATTCATCCAAGTAGTGGCATGCTTGAAAAGAAGCCTAAATGGATTGTCTATTATGAATTAGTTTTGACAAGTAAAGAATATATGAGACAAGTAATGGAAATTCAGCCACCTTGGTTAATAGAAGGTAAGAAAATAAACAAACAAACAAATAAATAAACAAAGCTAAAATATAAATTTTGACAGTTGCACCTCATTTTTATAAGCAAGAAGATTTGGATAATTTAGACGATAATAAGAAGATGCCAAAGCAGAAAAAATAAATATAACAATAAAGATTTTTAAAAAAAGTTTATTTTTAGAGAATATTTTTTTTCTCTACTAAATGAAAAAAAAATTTTTTTTTTATATCATTACTAATAATGAATTCCACTGTATTTAAGTTACTTTTGTACACTATCAAAGACTATCATTAAATGATAATGCTTGTTATGAAGAGTGATTGTATATGGATATTACATGTAATAATAGAGGGATGTACTCGAAATATCGAAATTTGTCATGTTCTTCCCATGTGCTAATTCCTATTGGTCCCTGTATTTCTCCACATTTATTAAAGTTTTAACTTGGGACATGGTAATTTTAAATTACTGCTATAGTTACTACCAAAAAAAAAAAAAAAAAAGCCTCTCCTATTACTTTTATTAATAGGTTAGGTGCATAGGGCTAGAATGACTACTACTACTAAAATTAGGTTTACGGGCATTTGAAGTTGTATTGTTCTTTCAATGTTGAATTTTATTGGCTTATGCTTGTCATCCGTCCGATGTTTTTTCGTAAACCTTTTTTTTTTATTTTTATTTTTATTTTTTTTTTTTTTTTTTTTTTTTTTTTTTGGCTCTGTTCCATCACCCCCTAATGTGGTACCTTTGTATTAAAATAATGAAAAAAAAATATTATTCATATTTCCCTTTTTTTTTTTTCTTTTTCTCGCTTTTATATAAATATATAGTCATATATATATTTATTTAAAAAAAAAAAAGAAAAAAGAAGAACAAGATAGAGGAAATTGAATCATGACTGATACAGTAGGTCGCTTAGAACAATATCGTCGTACTTTTCAAAGGTATGCTTCCGTTGAAAAAGATCAGGAAAAGGTCATGAGCAAAGATGACTTTTTGTCTGCAATCGTGCCAAATGAAGATTTCAAAAAAATTAAACGTGAACAGTTTGAACTTCTTTACAAGCTAGCGGATAAGAGTAATAAGGGCTGTGTTTCCTTTAATGATTTTGTTATCTTTGAAGATTTATTATCAAAACCAGATGCTGAGTATGAAGTCGCCTTTCGTGTATTCGATGTGAATGGTACGGGCAAGATAACATTTGATCAATTCAAGAGAGTGCTCCAGAACAATATGCCACAAGATGCAGTCCCTTTTGATTTTGATTGTGATTGGTTAAAATTATATATTGGGTCTAAGGAGGGACACCATGAACTTAGTTATCAGGAATTTACTCAACTTCTTAAGGGCCTGCAAGGTGAACGTCTTCGTCAAGAATTTAAACATTATGATAAGGATCAAACAGGTTTTATTTCACCCGAGGATTTCAAAAAGATTATTTTAGATGTTGCAAAGCATAAATTGTCAGACGACCTAATCGATCACTTGCCCACCCTTTGTAACCTATACAGTGGTAATAATATCAGTTTCGCCTCAGTTATCGCTTTCCATAATGTGATTCGCAATATGGATATGGTTGAGTCTGTTATTCGTAAAGCCATTGATGACAGTTCTGATAAAAAGATTACAAAGGCCGACTTCTTGAAACATGCTCACCAAGCAAGTCGTTACACTGCTTTTACTCCAATGGAAGTGGATATCATTTTCCATTTTGCTGGAGTGGATGATGATTCAGAGGTACTTGGTTTAGATGACTTTGCTCGAATTTTGGATCCACGTTGGACTACCTTTGATAAGAAAGATCTTACTGACTTTGATTATCAATTTGTGTCGGATCATCATCAACAGGACCAAGAACATGGTATCTTGTGGCAAATCGTTGGAAGTGCTTATTCATTCACTCTTGGTTCTATTGCGGGTGCTATTGGTGCTACAGCTGTATACCCTATTGATTTAGTCAAGACTCGTATGCAAAATCAGAGATCAAAAGTTGTTGGTGAACTTTTATATAAAAATAGTTTAGATTGTTTCAAAAAGGTTTTGAAGAATGAAGGATTTCCTGGTCTATATAGAGGATTAGGACCTCAATTAGTGGTAAATAGATAAATGTATATATATATATATATATATATATATATGTTTAAAAATGTGATGTTTGTTACTTAAAATTAGAGTTGAATAGGGTGTTGCTCCTGAAAAGGCTATCAAGCTTACAGTGAATGATTTTGTTCGTGGAAAATTCACGAATAAACAAACAGGTGAAATTGGATTTTGGCAAGAAATGGTAGCAGGTGGTGCAGCAGGCGCCTCTCAAGTCATTTTCACAAATCCTCTTGAGATTGTTAAAATTCGTCTTCAAATCCAAGGAGAACAAGCAAAGAATATAGTTGCTGGTGAGATGGCTCCTCCTCGAAGATCCGCTATTTGGATTGTAAAGCATCTAGGTATAGTAGGACTTTATAAAGGTGTGAGCGCTTGTCTTCTAAGAGATGTGCCTTTTTCTGCTATTTATTTCCCTGTTTATGCACATTTGAAAAAGGATATCTTCAAGGAAAGTCCTGATCATAAACTTTCTATTTCTGAGCTTTTAATGTCTGGTGCCATTGCTGGTATGCCTGCTGCTTATTTTACAACCCCCGCTGATGTTATCAAGACACGTTTACAAGTTGAAGCACGTAAGGGTCAAACAACTTATTCTGGTATTTTCGACGCTGCACGAAAGATCTTTGCTGAAGAGGGTTTTAAAGCCTTTTTTAAAGGTGGACCTGCCCGTATTTTCCGTTCTTCTCCTCAGTTTGGTGTTACTTTGACCGCTTATGAAATTTTACATCAAATCCTTCCTCTTCCTGGTCATAGCAATCCTGCTCCTAAAGATGCTTCTTCATCTGCTACTATGCTTAAATCTATTGAACAAAATACTACATTCCGCTCTACTAATGCCCTTAAAATGCTACTAGATCTTGATTATAGATTTGGTGTTTATCAACCAACAACAAAGAAAAATGCTTAAATAAGTATTTCTCTTCTAGTATGTGTACTTAGATTTTTTTTTTTATAATAATCGTGTATTAATGTTGCGTATTATGTTAAAAAATAACATTACATTCCTTTATTATATATTCACTAATAATAATATATGATGATTCTCCCCTCTTTCCCCCCCACTCCTCTTCCTTTTTTTTTTCTTTTTTCTTTTAATATTATACAGTATTAGTCTTCTTTTTTCTTTGTATCTTTAATCTGTTGCTTCATCTTTTTAATTTCCTTCAGTAATGCCATAATGAGAGGAACTGAAATGGGTACAAATAAAGGCATATAAATAGCATATTTATGTTCATCAGGGAAATAGAGCATCGAAACCATGGTAGGATCGAAGAAAGCCTTTTCAGCAAGTTCAATAGCTTCTATTGAACTCTCTAGAGCCTGTAAATAATTTTCTTTACCTAACGCAATCCTTACAGCTTCTAATGCATCTAATGAATGATGTACTTCGATACTGATGTGATCCTGTACTACCATATTTGGAATTTCATCTACTAACTGAGCTAATGATTTAAGTGTCGAAATTGTATTCACTACATTTTCAAGTGTTCGTCTTCTAATTAAATTATCTTTTTCTAGTGTCGTGATGCCCGTATTTTTTGCCAATTCAAATGTTACTTGATAATCTGAAGGCTAATTTGATGAAAAAAAAAAAAAAAGATTATTAGGATTTTCTTTTTTTTTTTGTAAACTTATTTAATTGTATACGTTACAAATTGTCCTATTAAGTTATTTTCCAAATCATGAACTCCAATTAATCCTCTTAATTGTGAAATAAAAATCTTTATAATAGGCTGAAGATCCTTTTTAGTAAAATAATATTCTTCAGTTGCAGCCTTTGGAGGATTTTTGATGACTATACCTCCCCAACGAGGAACAAGGAAGGCATTAGTTAATAATGGTTGGCCTATAAAAATAAGAAAAAGATGAGCCTTCATTTAAAATTTTATAGTATAATAGTACATACCTTTTGAGTCATGAATACGAAGAGGAGCTTCTTCTGATGAAGGCATATATAATATAAAATTAATACTTGGATAAGAAGTAATGGTAGATGCTAGATATTATATTAGCCAAGAAAAAAAAAAACAACAACAATATAAAGTAATGATTACTTATCTTACCTAAATTCCATTCTGCAAAATTAACAAAATGAGGTAAATGATGAGGTTCAAAATAATAATAGTTAGGTTTGCCTTCTCTTTCTTTAAAATTAGGTTTAAGTGACAAAGGTGCATAATTTTGAATCTACAAGTAGCTTAAGCTTAAAAATATTTACTGTAAATGAATGACAAGCATCATTACCTGTGAATCAATAGTGAAGTTATACATAACAGATATTTCCTTTAAGAAAGGTGTAAGATAAGTGTAAATAGCTTCACGAATATTCCAATCTACTCTCATGTTCTCTGGATTATTATTCATCAAACTAAATGTTATTTCATAACGTGAAGAGTATTTAAGTGTTCGCATATTAGAAACATCATCCTATCCATATATGATTGTTAATGAGCTAATAAAATATACGCTTGTCATATTCAGCTTACTTTGTTTATCCTTTCAGTATGACAGGCAATATTTCCGAGAATATTATATTCATTAAAATATACTAATGGAATAATTTTAGATAATGCTTCTGCAATTGCATCTATTATACACGATATTAGTCTAAAAGAAACATTCATTTGTTAAATTAAGTATTTACCTATCGTTATTGTATTAATTTTTAAAAGGCTTGACCTTTTGCTTCCTATATGTGCCTGAATTTTATCCGCTTGTTTAACATAAATAAAGTAACTTCCAATGGGTGCCTCTTTATGTTCTTTTATATTATCTAGAATACTCATATTATATAAGCTAGAACATTTAATAGTCGAAACTATTTTACCTTGAGACCAAGTATTGACATTAACAGTGATAGGAAAATTATCCTTATACTTCAAATCTTTCAATTTATTTAATAATCTATTTTCAACGTCTGTTCTTAATTGTTCATTATTTACAGAAGAAAAAGATGAGGGAATGTAAATAGTAAATTGAGTTGGTAAAACGAAATTACAAGCCTAAATAATATATTAGAAAAAAAAAAGAAACTTCAAATTGCTTATTTCATTTTACCTGTTTATTGTACCAATGATCTATTTCTGCAAAAGGTAAATTGGCTCTATATACTTCAGTTGTCTTCCACCAAAATGGTAAGCCCAATAAAATAACAATCCAAAATGAAAACACAATAAGTCGTGTCACCTTTGCTATAAAAATAAATTTAGTTTCCTTTAAAATTATCTATTTATTTAATTTTATCATTTACATCCATTATCATCCTTCATAATGAACTCAAATAAAGAAAGCGAATTGTCTAAAGATTCAGCCAAACTCCAAGTATTTTTCGTCTGGTCTTGAATTTTTTTTTATTCATTTTTTTTTTTTTTGAAAATTACTTTTTCTATCAGCACTGAATCATGTTTCTAGTAAGTACGATAGTTATTAGAATATCAACTACCAAATGATAGCAATACATCTCTGAATCCTCTAGATATTACATAATATTATGTAAGAATACAAGATGGATAAGTTATTCGTTTATACCAAACATCTTGAAACAGACTTACACAATGGTCGTTTAAGCAACACAATAATCAAAAATGTATACTTTATATATGCAGATGATACTGAACATTTACTAATACTTTTTTTTTAAGAAAAAAAAAAGCTGAAAATGTATAAGATAATATTTAAAGATGAATTGGTTTATTACTTTCTTGTATTTAGCTGTTGTTTATTTATTTAGTCTTTCTCATTATGTATACTGTAGACTAAGGCTATCCTTCCTCCTTATTCACAAAAAATTAATCTTATAGAGCAGTTACAGACAAACTACAGAAGTGCAGTTAGTACAAAGCTATTTTAATGAAAGAAAATATCTTAAAGTTAGAATAACGGAAGCAAGTAACGATATATCACCTTGTCAACTTGAAGGCTTGATAAAACACTCTGCTGATATTTTTAGGAAATGCTTAACATGAGCCTGCTCAATCTTTTTTCCTTAGAATTCCTTCATATACAAATAAAGCAAGATTGAGACTGATAGCTTATCCATTTGGGATTAAGAGCACTCTATACTAAGTTTTTCCTTTAACTTTACTGTTTTTACCATCTAAATTGCAGCAACTGAAAAAAATAAAAAATAATTCAAAGTGTTTGATAAGCGCAAGTGACTATCTCTCAAACTTAAAGAAGAAAAGAAACTGCATAAAGAACAAAGATAGAATACATTTGCTTTTTCAAGATGATTGTTTATTCCTTTTTTTTTTTTAATGAAGCGTACTTTTCTTAGCTTTTCAAAGTGCAAAATATGAATTATGATCCACTTTGATAGTAACAGTGTTAATTGCCAAAAGGTGAAACACAAACTCTGAAAGCACATGCCACTTTTATCATGAGCAATAAAGTCGACCGATGTTATTTATCCCTAGTTCTATCTAAATTGTGTGCCTACAACACATATCAAGTTTTGTATGTAAATCTTAACTCTATAATCATCACGAATATCCAGTGGGTAAAGACTCCAGCATATTCTAACAAGGTCAATAACCAATTAGATAAATCTATAAGAAATGACGCAGTACTCTTCTCTCTCTCTCTCTTGGTTTCATCAGGAAGTACGTAAAAGAGAAAATGAAATTCAATAAACAACCATCTTGAAAAACCAAATGTATTCTATCTTTGTTCTTTATGCAGTTTCTTTTCTTCTTTAAGTTTGAGAGATAGTCACTTGCGCTTATCAAACACTTTGAATTATTTTTTCAATTGCTTCAAATTTGAGAGTCAAAAGACGATGGTTTTTTTATTTTTTTTTCTTCAAAGGCTACAAATTAGATGGTAAAGGTTGCAAAAACTCGATACCTTTATTTATTTCTTTTTCCAAATAAAGCGATAACTGAAAATTTAAAAAAAGAATATTTGACTTTTTTTTGATGAGTTCAAATTTTTTATTTTTTTATAAATTTATTTTTTATTTTATTTTTTTTTTTCTTTTTTTTTTTGAAGAAAAAGGCTTGATACATTTATTCTCTAAGAGCTTTTTGATTATGAAAAGCAAAGATTATAATTCTAGTGTATATAATAACGACCCAGTTCTATCCAAGTCATTAACTATACAAAAGGACACTAATCAAACGTTAATGAAAGATAATCGAGGAGTGCCTATTATCCAAAGTACACCTAATGCTAAATTTAAAGTCTCTTCTATTAGCTCACTTCATAGATCTAAGACTATTAACATTGATAACGACCATGAAATTCACGACGAAATTCAACTTTGTAAAATTCGGAATAATAATAATAATAATTATAATGTGAACATGTTAATTCAAAACCCAATTGCACAAAATCAGGTTTTAGCAACACATCATCAGTCATCACACATGAATTCATCTAGATTTTTTTCTGAATCATGGCAAGATGCTTCAACTGAACCTCTATTCCCTGATTCTCCTATGCCTGTTTCTCAAAATTATATTCCAATAATAAACAGAAAAAAGAAGGAATCTGAGCTATCTTATTCAAAAAGCTTGAATATCTCACCTTCAAGAGAGGAACAACAACCTATTCTGCAACCAACCCCGCAATCAGAGCAAAACCTTACACCTATTCAGATAATAAAAAACGTAAGGGTTATTTTATATTTCTATTATGAGCAAAATACTAATAATGTTTGCTAGAACAACTTATTAAAGAGAAAAGAATTTATTAGAAATAACGATGAAATTAGTAATGCTGAAATAACTAAAAGAAAAAGATATGCAACCAATGAAGCTATGAATTCGTTTAGTTCAAAACTATTAACCATTTCACCTCAAAGAGAAACACAGCAGCCTGTCTTACAACTAACTCCACAATCTGAACAAAAAGTGATACCTCCAACGTCAAACTTGTCCAAAAAATCAACGAATGTAAGTTTTAGCATATTTCTTTCCCCTTTCCTACTACTAAACGTTCTTCTCCTCTCTTAGAATGATACCCCTTTATCTGAAAAGAAAGAAGAAAATGAAAACAGTGAAAAAACGATTACAAATAATTCTCAACAAGAACATGAACAAAAACTTCGTATTACCGAGAATATAAATCGTTTAATGTCTACCGTCACTTGTCTTCCAAAATATTATAAATTGAAAGACAAGATTGGTGAAGGTACATTTAGTACTGTATATATGGCAGAAGATGTTCGACATCGTTTATATAATAATGATGAATGGAAGGCTCAGTTGATAACTAGTGAATATCAAGAGGCTAAAGTTTCTTTATTATATAACAAGAATTTTGCAGCTTCTGATAAAGAAGATTTAAATGAGTTTGTTGCATTGAAGCATATTTATAGTACAAGCAGCCCTAAAAGAATTGCAAAAGAAATTAAAATTTTGAAAATATTAAAAGGAAGTAAATGTATCTCACCACTTATTACAGCATTTAGAGAACAAGATCATGTTTTTATGGTCATGCCTTACATCAAACATGATGACTTTAGAGAAAACTTTTCTGATATGTCAGTGATTGAAATCAAATATTATATGAAGTCCCTGCTAACTGCTCTACAAGAACTCTACAAATTTAAAATCATTCATCGTGACATCAAGCCAAATAACTTTTTATATAATCGTCGGAAAAGGGTGGGCTATCTTATTGATTTTGGTTTAGCGGAAAATGAAGAAGAATGTAAAGCTTTAGATACTAAATCTGGGAACCAAGCTAGACAACGTTTATATAATCTTGGCTATTCAAAGAGAAAGACAAATAGTACTTCTAATCCTAGTCATTTGCCATCATCTTCCTTAGCTGGAAAGAATACTGTTGTTTCAACATTTTCAAACAAAGAAAACACGACTACAGAATTTTCATCTACTACTTCATTACAAACCTCAGCAGTTGAAACATTAATCAAAAAACAAAAGCCGAGTTTAAATGTTATACCTAATATAAACAGTTCACAAACTTCTATCTCTGAAAATGAAAGAAATCATAAACAAGATCGTAAGCCAGAATGTGTGGCAGGTCGCATTAAAAACGATCCTCGTATTTATATTCGCGCAAATCGTGCCGGAACTCGAGGCTTTAGAGCGCCTGAAGTTTTATTCAGAGTTACGCGACAAACATGTGGTAAGTTGTCTTACGTACATACATACATACGATATGTAATTGAGGGTTTAATTCAATCTGTTTATATCTTTATTAGCAATTGATGTTTGGTCGGCAGGCGTTGTGTTATTGTGCTTCCTTACTAGTCGATATCCTTTCTTCCTTGCAAGCGAAGAAGCAGAGGGTATTATTGAATTTTGTCAAATCTTTGGTCTAAAAGAAATGAAAGCTTGTGCAGAACATAATGGACGTAAACTTCATACAAATATTAGCATGCAAAATGAAAGAATTCCATGGATTCAACTTATTGAAAATTTAAACACTCACAACTTAGAACAATGGGAACCTGTCGATCTTGAGCAAGGCATTGATCTTCTAAATCGACTACTAGACCTTCATCCTGATACCAGAATAACAGCAAGAGATGCTTTAATGCATTCATTTTTCAGTAATATATAATCATATCTATTTATTATCTTATATCCCCTTTATTAATTTTGTTTTTTTTTTTTTTTTTTTTTTTTTTTTTTTTTTTTTTTTTTTGTGTTCTAAAATTATCACTTTATGTATCTAAGTTATGCATTTTTTTTTTAATTTTTTTGTAAAGTTGAGTTTAAAAATTGCAAATTCAGTAACCGTGTCAAGTCGCGTTTTCTTTTTTTTTTCTTTTTCTCTTTTTTTTTTTTTTTTTTTTTTTTTTTTTTTTTTTAATTTTTCTGCTGTCACAAAAAAAAAAAAGAAGGCATTCAGCACTTTTTTTTTTCTCTTGTTCATTTCTTGTTTATCTTTAAAACTTATTTGCAATGTCTGATCCTCAGGTAAAATGCTTTGAATAGTTCATAATAAACAACTTTATTTATATTTTATTGCAGGATATGGTAATTGATCGACAAGCAGATCAAGATCTTAAACAAGAAGTTGTAATGTGTTGTTGTTGTTGTTGTTGTTGTTGTTTTTTATATTTGACAGATTTAATAAATTAAACTAATCATTTATTTTTTTCATAAATTAGGCTTCACCAGCTATAGTTGATGATCATGCATCTCAAGTCGATTCTGTACGTATTGATATTATTGCATAAATTATGGCATTTTTCTCAACTTTTTTTTTTATTTATTATTTAAGGATATTGATTCATCAAGAATGACCTCAAAGGAATCAACGCCTCTTCGTACATTTAAGGAATGTTCTGCTGTAAGTTCTATCTATTTATATATATGTATTATATAAGCTAATTTATTCTTACTTTTATAAAATAGTATGAAACTCGTCTTAAACGTTATAGATATCTTCTAGGTCAAACTGAATTATTTGCACATTTCTTAAAGATGACAGAAGTTCAGGACGAAGCTATGAAAGAAGTACTGAAAGAAAAAGAAATTCAAAAATTAAATTCAGATGAAGAAGGGTAAAGGATAAACAATGTTTAAAAACTCATTTTTTTTTTAGAAAATTAATCAACGATTTTTTTTTATTTTTATTTTTTGTTATGGGAGGTTAGATCAAGACGTAGAAGAAAGACAGAAAAAGAAGAAGATGAGGAAATTTTAAAGGATGAACAAGAAGAAAACGATAATGAAATGACTGTGTTTACTCAATCTCCTACTTGTAACGTCATTTTTTTTTTTTTTTTTTTTTTTTTTTTAAAAAAGAAAAAATTGAAAGTAGGATAACTAATTTGTTGTGTAGATGTCGTAGGAGGCACGCTTCGAGAATATCAAATTCAAGGTTTAAATTGGATGATTTCATTATTTGAAAATGGTATCAATGGTATTCTTGCTGATGAAATGGTAAATGAGCTAATTTTATACATATATTTATATCTTTTTTGATTTTCAATATTAATTACCTCTTTTTTTTCTCTCTCTGTAGGGTTTGGGTAAAACCTTGCAAACTATTTCATTTTTAGGCTATCTTAAGCATGTTTATGGTGTTAAAGGTCCTCACTTGGTCGTTGTACCTAAATCTACTTTACATAATTGGCATAACGAATTTAGCAAATGGATTCCTAATTTTGATGCTTTCATTTTTCATGGTGATAAAGAAGAGAGAGTAATTATACAAAATAGAAAGTTGTAATATGAATATTATACATTATTAATCCCTCTCCCTTTTTTTTTTCTTCTAAAAGAATAAATTGATAAAAGAACGCTTGGCTTTTGGTAACTTCGAAGTCTGTATTACTTCATATGAAATTTGTTTACTGGAGAAAGCTCAATTCAAGAAAGTTAAATGGCAATATATTATTATTGATGAGGCTCATCGTATTAAGAATGAAAATTCTATGCTTTCTCAGCTTGTACGTATTTTAGAATCCAAAAATCGACTTCTAATTACAGGTACACCACTTCAGAACAATTTGCATGAATTATGGGCTTTGTTGAACTTTTTACTTCCTGACGTTTTCAGTTCTTCTGAAGTATTTGATGAATGGTTTGAAAAGCAAGGTGGAGATCAAAAGAAGGTAGTTGAACAGCTTCATAAAGTATTGAGACCCTTTTTGTTACGTCGTATCAAATCTGATGTAGAAAAATCACTTTTGCCGAAGAAGGAGATTAACATCTATGTACGTATGACTCCTATGCAAAGACAATGGTATCAAAAGATTTTAGAGAAGGATATTGATGCTATTAATGGTGTTGGTCTTAATAAACGTGAAGGCAAAACTCGCTTGCTTAATATCGTTATGCAACTTAGAAAATGTTGTAATCATCCTTATCTTTTCGATGGTGCTGAACCTGGACCTCCTTTCACTACGGATCAACATTTGGTAGATAATTGTGGTAAGATGGTGATACTTGATAAGCTTTTGAAGAAATGTAAAGCACAAGGATCTCGTGTTCTTTTATTCAGTCAAATGAGTCGTGTCCTTGACATTTTAGAAGATTACTGTTGGTGGAAAGATTATCAATATTGTCGTATTGATGGTCAAACTAGTCAAGAGGATCGTATTGATGCTATTGATGAGTATAATAAGCCTGGAAGTGATAAGTTCATCTTTTTGTTAACAACACGTGCTGGTGGTCTTGGTATCAATTTAACAACTGCTGATGTCGTTATTCTATATGATAGTGATTGGAACCCTCAAGTGGATCTTCAAGCTATGGATCGTGCTCATCGTATTGGTCAAACTAAACAAGTCTATGTCTTTAGATTTGTAACTGAAAATGCAATTGAAGAAAAGATACTGGAGCGTGCTGCTCAAAAGCTTCGTTTAGACCAATTAGTTATTCAACAAGGTCGTATGAGTGCAGGTGCAAAATCGAAAGCACCTTCTAAGGAAGATTTACTTACTATGATTCAGCATGGTGCTGATAGCATCTTTAAGGATAATGATAATTCTGATCCATCAGCAGTGGACGATATTGATGAGATTTTACGTCATGGTGAAGAAAAGACGGCAGAATTGAACAGTAAATATTCTAATTTGAACATAGATGACCTTAAGAATTTTACTTCTGAGAGTGCATACAAATGGGATGGTGAAGATTGGAGTCACAAACGTAAGGCTGAAAACATCGGTCTCTCCTGGTTAGGCCCCGCAAAGAGAGAGAGAAAGGCAAATTATGCTGTTGATGATTATTACAAGGAAGCCTTGCGTACTAGTGCTCGTACACCTTCCACAAAGGCTCCTCGACCAAAGAAATATAACATTGAAGATTTCCAATTCTTTCCTTCTCGTCTTGCTGAACTGAATGAACGTGATACACTTTATTTAAGAAAATCTCTAGGTTATAAAATTCCACCTATTAGTCCTGAAGAAGGTGCTACAGAAGAAGATATTAAGCGATTAGAAGAAGAAAGAGAGGAGGAACAAAAGAAGATTGATAATGCTGAACCTCTTACTGAAGAAGAAGAAGAAGAACGAAAGAAGCTATTTACTAAAGGGTTCTCGAATTGGGGTAAAAAAGATTTTGCAATTTTCATCAATGCTTGTTCCAAATATGGCCGTAACGACTTGGAATCCATTACGAATGAATTGGAGGGCAAGACATTAGATGAAGTTAAAAAGTATTCCAAAGTCTTCTGGTCTCGTTATAAAGAAATTTCAGACTATGAAAAACACGTTTCCAAGATTGAAAAGGGGGAAAGTGAATTAGAAAAACAAGCAGATATACAAAGTCAACTAACAGAGAAGGTACGCCGTCATCGTATTCCTCTTCAACAACTTAAGATACATTATACACAACCTACTAAAGGTAAAAACTATACAGAAGAAGAAGATCGTTTCCTTGTCGTTATGCTTGAGAAATATGGTTATGGTTCAGAGAATGTCTATGATAATATTCGTCGTGAAATCAAACAGTCTCCTCTTTTCAGATTTGATTGGTTCTTGAAATCCAGAACTTCTCAAGAGATTGCCAGACGTTGTAATACATTAATTAGTTTGATTCAAAAAGAAAATTCTGAATTTGATGAAACAGAAGAAAAGAAGGTATATTTATTTTAAAGAGAAATATGTGTATGTGTGCTAATTTTTTTTTTCTAAATAGTCTCAGTCAAAGAATAGAGGCACTAGATCGAAATCCAGCACACCAGTTCCCACTTCTAACAATTCAAAGACTACTAAATCAAAACGTCGTTAATTATATATTTTATTTTATTTTATTTCTCTTTTTTTTTTTTTATTTTTCTTTTTCTTTTTATACGCACATATATACATACACCATCTTTTTATAAATAAAATAAAATAGACTTCTACATCAAATTAACTAAAAGTAAGCTCTTTGCAATCGATTATATATTTATTTATGATTGCTGTTATTCTAATAATATCGAGGATTAACTTGTTTCCATAGGGAGTAGTAGTAGTCACAGAAGGGACCTGTAAATTTTTTTTTTTCTTCCAATGCAAAATTATTTTTTTTTTCCCTTTAAAATATAAATACGGATCAACGATGACAGATCAAACTACTATAGAACCTACTTTAGAACAACAACAACAACAACAACCTAATACTGATGTTTCTATCTCAAATGAGGCACAACCACCAAAGGTTCATAATGTTCAACGTCAATTACTTGCGATCTTTGATCCTGAAAACTTGAAGAAAGATAATTTTTTCAGAGAACTTGTAGAAAAGGATCCTGAACACTGTAAGCTTTTGAATATATATACATATATATATATATATATATATCTTATTAAAGAATAATAATAATAATAAAAGACTGACGTATAAATCTTATATTATTTAGGGGTTCCTATCAAGAAACTTTCCATGATCAAACGATTTAAAGAGATTTTGGAAGGCGATCTTGGCTTATTTGAAAAAGCAGTTTCAATCAGTCCAAACGATTTTGAAATGAATGAAGCCAAAACTCATTTACGTTACATTAGAAAGGAAGAAGAACAGCCTAAAGAAGAAGAAGAAAAACCAACGTTATCAAGAGAAGAAAGAAGAGCAGCAGAAAATCAAAAGAAGTTTTTGGATCATATTGAGCAACAAAATAAACGATCCATTTATGCTGTAAGAATAATAATTCTTTTTATAAAGTAAAACTGTTTTGTTTTATTAATCTCCCCTCCCCTTTTCTTTTCTTTTCTTTTTTTTTCATAGAAAGGATTTAATACAGAAGAAGATCAACCTTCAGAAGCAGAATTAAAAGAATTTTATGGAAAGTTTGGTCGCGTCCTTTCAGTTCGTCTTCGTCGTGAGGGCAATAATAACCGTACTGGTAAATTTAAGGGTAGTATCTTTGTAGAATTTGAACTACCAGAAATCGCTCAGAAGGTAGTTGAAGAAGCCACCGAATACAAATCCTTGCCATTATTGACCATGATTAAAGCTGACTACGTTGAAATGAAAAAGCAAGAAAAGTTTGGAGGCGCAGAATATGAAGGATTAGCCAACAAATTCACACATCGTCATCTTATTGAATATTCAAATGGTCAAGATTATGGCTATAAAGATATTAAGGAACTTGTTAAAACGGTGGCTCCTAATGTAGGTCGTCTTGAGCCTCTGGATAAAAAAGGCTGTGGTGTGATAGAGTTATATAAAATGTCACCAGAAGAATTTTTGGAGAAATTGACAGATCACAAAATTGAAAGTATCAATTTCTTTTTAGCAAGTTCCACCGCACGTGCTCACTTTAATAAAATTCAAAAGGAAGCTTTAAAGCATGGTCGTGGAGGCCGTGGAGGCCGCGGGGGCCGTGGAGGTCGTGGAGGACATAACGGTCGTGGTAGACATAATGATAAAAACAACAATGACGATAAAAAGAGAAAAAATGATAATACTTCTGCCGAGGAAAATAATAAGCGTGCTCGTACAATTATTGAAGTCGCCACTGCAAGTGTATCAAAATAATATATGTATATACAAATATGTATATATATATATATATATATTTTTTTTTGTATGTAAATCCTTTTTATTTTTAGTTTTTTTTTTTTTTTTCTAAATATTGTTAATATAAAAATGATAGTTATATTTAATGTCTATATTCTGTGACATATATAATAGCTATCTGATAGAACATAAAACTGAGATTAAAGTATGACTAACTATGTCTTACAATTTATGCATATATACTTTTTCTCAAAATGATGTCGCACTTTTTAGGAAAAAGATGTCGCATAAAAATCAATTCTCTTTTTCTCTTGAAACACTTTTGTAATGAGCTATTTGTTTTATTTTGAGGATGGGCAAGGGAACGTTTTGGATGAAGATGGAAATGATGCAATGAATATCACTGAGAATGAAGATCCGTACAAGTTAGATGAACTTACATCTTATAGCGCTTATATTGCAGCTAGAGACAAGTTTATGATGGAAGTTGATCAGGATCCAAATTGCTTAGAACAGAAGACGACTAAGAGACAAAAAAAAAAAAAAAGTCCAGAGAGGCAAAAAACAACCTGATAAAGAACAAACGTGTCAGTAATGAGGTTAAGGCACATGCCGTTCACTTAGTGGATGTTCATCCAAAAAACAGCGCGCACTAGAGCAGTTGCTCTAGATTTAGGCTTAGAATCGAGAAGTATACAACGGTGCCATAGCACCTGGAAGAAAGACCCAGACCCCTTGTTCAAAACTGTTGGCCGACCAAGAATAGTTGAAGCAGATAGCGACCTAGCAGAAGCAACGAAGAATGCTGTTACAGAGTTTTATTACGAACAGCCTACCATTACAGCTGATCAGCTACTTAATCGGTTGACTAGTACTTTTGAGGGTCTATCACTCTCAAAACCTACTTTATACCGCTATTTGAGCGATCTCTGGTTCCTCACTTTGAAGAAGGTACAACTAGAGCCTTCAGGGCGAAACAGTACAGAGAGGATTTAAGTGAGAAAGAAATGGGTGGAGGAGATAAAGAACATAGGCGTAAATTATATGAGCAACTGTTTCTTCATCAACGAAGCAGGATTTAATGCAAATTTGAGAAGAATTCAGGGATATTCTGACACCCCTATTAAAACCGTTTAACATGCTTGTAATAATAAGTAGAAGTAGTAACCTAAAACGTATAATTACATCAGGACAAGCGGGGCAGCCTTTAAAATCGGCAAAGACAGGCACCATTTGATCTAAAAGATCCTCTACAACCATCATCAATATCGAAAAGATAGGCAAAAGGCTTTGACAGAATGCCTTAGTCATGGGTTTCTAAAAAAAAAATCAGCAAAGAAGTACATAAGAAGTTTTTTTTTTTTTTTTTTTTTTTTTTCAATTTACCTGGCAAACTTGGTTTAACCTATTATAATAATCGGCCAAGCCTTGGTCAGAGGCGACGAGAGCATCTCTTGTATCCCTCATAAACTCGAGGGCACCAAAATGAATAGCAAATTGGATAGCAAATTGGATGTTGTTAAGGGATGCAGGGAGCATCCCCATTTCAACTAATTGCTCAGCTTTTCGTTTACATCCGCAAAAATAGACTTCAAACACCTGCAAATCTATATGAATATCAATTACATTAAGAATGTGTGTCAATATTTTCAATGAATATGCGACTACTTACGATGTACAAAGTGCATGTAAATTTTTTTCTTGTAGATGACTCTACAAGAACAAAGAGGACGGCAAACAGGAGCAATTGTCCGTGAATCGGAGCAGCCCTTCTCACATCTACCGATGTACCGGGTACCGCAAGAAAGACTGGGCTAATTTTGGCAGGGACTCAGCCCAATTGCTCCTAATTGTTCTTTGCCGGGCAAAATTTTCTAGATCGTTCTCCTCAAAATCGCAATCGACTTCTGGATCTTAACCGAAGTTTTGGGGAGGAGGGGAGGAGGAAGTGCCAGAGTTCTTTTTTTTTCTTGTGCTGAATTCAAAGGTCATCTCTCCAAAACGAGTTGATTCTCTAGGAGGGCGAGGAGGAAGTTCTGGAAGAGGAGATCTTCTGCCTTTTTTCCTAATTCGAGATCTTTTAAACATTTGAAATTCAGATTGTGGGACTGTATATTTTTTGACATTTTTCTACGTGAGTTGAGCGATTGATTTAAGGAACATAATAAATTCCATTTCAAACTATTGATCTCGATGATTACGTGAAAATCAGAGAAAGATAGATTATTTCAAAGGTAGTCATTTGTTTTAGATAGCATTTCAATACTTTAATTGATTGAAACAGTACTTTAAAGAAATAATAAAGAGCTTTCATATTGCGATGGCTAGTACGAGAAATCATTGAGCATTATATTTTTTGCTTTATCCCAGCATCATATCATGAATTAAGAAATAGTTGCCATACTTTTTAGCGTTGAGAAAGAATAGAGCTAAATGGTTCTCGCATCGATGAAGAACGTAGTAGTATGCACCAATTACTTACATAACGCGTTACACAAATAAACAAAACGTTTTAATTAAAAAAGCAGCATACTCACGCCAACTAAAAAATCTCTCTTTATCCTCTGACTTATCTTTATTATTATGGGTATTAACAACATCAAGTACAAAGAAAGTATGTTAATATGAAATCGTATTCATTTAATAAAAATTATTAACGCTTAATTTCGATTAAGACATTACTGCTTCCATACTCGAATTAGAGAGCAAAAAGCCTAATTCAGCAACACCAACAAGAATATTAATTGAATTGGAGGATCTTATTCTCAATGATTGGAAGCAGGAATCCAAAAAAAGTGATTTCAACATTGAAGTTTTTAAAAACGGTTGGAAAAGAAGAATCAAGAAATGTATACATCCTACTACTCACGTGAGTATACTAAACAATTTTGATTTACTATTAATATTACAACCGAATAACACGTGTTTTTTTAACCTAGAACTCCCCTCTTTCAGAAAAAGCCTGGAAAAAGATTTTAGAAAAGGCACCAATTACTTCAACACCACCATCAACAAAAGCTTCAACAGCTAAAACTGACAGCAGCGATAGAAGTTCAATATCTTCCTTAAATTACCAACGTTTTCTTTCAACAGAAGATATGTTAGCTTTTAAGAAAAATTACGAAAACATCAAGAATAACAAATGGATCCTCAAGTCTGGAAGGGCAGTAGAAGACATTATCTTCGAAAAAGTCAAAGAATTTACTCGTGAACAGTAAGTTGAAATTAATAATTATATACATGCAAAAACTATAGTTCTAATCTTTTACTTTTACTTAACTTTTTTGCTATATAGTCCCGGACACTGCTTTATTCTTGATACTACTGATAATGTGTGGAATGATGTGTTCACAAAAGAAGAAATGAAAGAAGTTGAAGAAAAAGCCGAGGCCGAAGAATTTGAAGAAGAACTGCCCGAAGATATTATAAATTGTTTAGGTAATTTAGATGGAAAGGTATGAATCGCCAGTTTAATACTTTTTGAATGAATATTTATGTCAGAATAGATATACTAATAACATTTTTTAGAAAACTTTCCATGATATTTATTCAGCATTTAAAGGTGTTAAGGTTGACCGTTACGAGAAACCTGAAATTTATTGGTGCGTGCAAAGCGTTTTAAATTTTATTGATTTATTTTATAATACTAGTACTATCAATGTAACAACGGAACAAGACTTGCTTGATGATGTTTACGGGTTTATAAAAAAAAGCAAAACTATTAGTAAACTTTCAACATCAAAGTAAGTAATACTTAATACAATCGTCTCTTTTATACACACAATAGTAATCTAATAATACTTTTCAAATCCTACAGTGGATCAGGTAGCGCAGCTTCTTCCGAAGCCAAAAACAAAAAAAGAAAAATCAGCGGCAAGGAATGCCTTTCTCGACAGAAGAATGCTTATTGTTTCGACTTGGTATTTAAACGATTAAATACTGAAATTGGTTGTTTAGAAATTGGTTTGGAATATGAAGGGCAAAATGGTACGAAGTTCTTGCAAAAAAAGGGATTAAAAACCCTACGGATGATGAAGGCTTTTTCTTTACAAATGATCGAGCAATATCCTACTATTGATATTAATAAGGTCAAAATCGTAGGTATGGTTATCAGTGGTGAGTATATATGTATAATATAACGTAATTTCAGAACACTTTACTTACTCTAAATCTTAATAGGAATGTATTTATCCTTCTTGAAATTGAAGTATGTTGGCTCTGTTGCTCTTTTGTCTTCTTCAGGCGGACTTAAAATGCCAGAAGCTATTAATGAAGTCCCTTCCTTCCTTCCCCCTGTACTTGCCGTTGTGTACAATTGTGCACAAATTATGAAACGTACTAGTTCTCATTTGGAGGAAATTTCCTCAGCTTTTACTTTTACAAAGCCAAAGGCTAAACCTTCCTTCCCTCCTTGCTTTTTCGCAGGAGAAAATAATTGAAAAAAAAAGTAATTATGAATAAAGCTGTACATATGATTATCTATCTATTAAGTTTCACTTTATAAAGCGTATGCTTTTTATAACATGTAGACGAGACGAGCAAGTCGTAAATACCGTGCTGCTTCACATACTTTTAGTCTTGCACACATGAAAAATAGACCTTATTAAAATAAGACGCGCTGATAGCACTCCTTAAAAAATAAACCGATGTTAAAAAGTTATTTCTTTTATTGATTGAAGAACAAACAAATGTACTAGCTTTTTCAGTTCTCAACCTTGCTTTACAGGTTAGTTGATTAACAGGATCCACCACGTGAAGATAAAAGCTTATTGAATCCCAAAAAAAGTGGGCAAAAGAAAGTCAAAGGACAACATACATCTTGTAGCTGCTGTTGAGCATTAGAGTTCTATTTCTTTTATTAACATTATTTTACATTTAAAATACATAATATTGTTATATCAAACAAAGATGTAAATCCTTATTTAACGTAGCAATTGTTAGTTCTAATTCTTTTCTAGCATTATTATATATTGCTTGAACAGAAGGCTTTACTTTTCTATTAAAAAAAGGTGGTCTAAAAAAAAAAAGAAATATCTACAATAAGGCTTTGGGGAAATAAATGCGCATAAAGTGACTTTTACCTTATATTATCTTTATCTTTAAAAAATTTTAATTGGCATAAATTATGAACTATATTGTACTCAATACCCTTTCTCTTTCCTGCTATTTTCAAAAGATCAAGTGTGTTTTTGGCTATATATTATGTCATGATACGATATTTATTTCCTTAGGTTATGGCAATTCAATTCTTTATACCTTTTATTTCTATTTCAGGGTCATATAAAAACTGATGATTCTCAAAGCCTTCACGAATCAACTTCTTAATATGTCTCTTATCAACACCTTCTACTGCAATATTACCAGCCTTCAAGAATGTACGATATCTACTTCGAATAGCAGTAGTGTCTCGTCTTGCAATTGTGGAATAATATCGCTGTGTTGCAAATTGTTGAATACTGCTATGTTTTAAAAATGTGCCCGTCAGACTTGCACTAGTAGTGTGATTGATTTTAACTTCTACATAGTTTCCTTTTTGTAAATCATGATTTCCATCCTTTTCCTGAATAAATACTTTATGCCCTCCATCTGTTCTACCACTGAATTTAGTATCTATTCCATTTTTATTTCTAGGCCTATCCGAATCAATTAAAACAAGCTGAGTAGAACCTATTAACTTTTTATTCTTTTGAGTTGCCTCTCTATGAAACGTATTCACAATTTCTTGCAATCTTCTTATCTTTTCATTTTCGGGTACATCATCTTGATAACGACGATGAGCATGCGTTTTTTCTCGCATACTATAAGCAAACATAAAGGCTGTATCGTATTTTACTTGCTCCATCAATTTTACAGTATCTTGATGCTCTTCTTCTGTTTCACCACAAAAACCAGCAATAATATCACTACTGATCCATACATTAGGGATTATTCTTCGCATCTCCTCTACCAGATCCAAGTAAGCCTCTCGCGTATAACCTCGACGCATACGTTCTAATACCGTATTACTGCCTGATTGAATGGGTAAATGAATAGAATTACAAATATTAGGTCTAGAAGCTATCAAATGTAACAAATCAGTAGGGAAATCTTTTGGATGAGGTGAAGTAAAACGAATACGCATCTAATAAAATTAATTAAATGAATATACACATATCTAAATATTCAAAGTTTTTTTGTTTGTTTTCATAGCTACCTCTGGATTAATTAAACTAATTTTATCTAAAAGTTCTGTAAACCGTCTACCTCCATCTTTACGTTTGTAGATAGTCTTAAAACCTGAATTACTTAGATTGGATCCTAGACCCATATTTGACATAAAATATTTTGATTCAGATTCATCTCGATAAGCTACAAAATAAATAAATATAAAAATATATAATTTTCTGCTATTATTAGACTTACAATTGACATTTTGACCTAATACAGTAACTTCTTTTACACCTTGATCATTCAAGTATCGAACCTCGTTTATGATAGAATCAATAGGTCGACTTCTTTCGTTTCCTCTCGTAAATGGTACAATACAAAAACTACACATATTATTACAACCACGCATAATTGACACCCAACCAGATACGTTGGCAGGATCTAAGCGCATTGGCATTACATCTGCATAGGTTTCATCAGCTGATAACATAACGTTTGCTATACCTTCACTATATTCTTCTCCTTCAGCTAATGAAATCAAATGTGGTATAGAACGATACCCATCAGGTCCACATACAATATCTACTAGTCGATCTTGTTCTAATAGTTTTGTTTTTAATCTTTCGGCCATACACTAACAAAATAAAAAATGAGACATATGTATATCTTAAAAGAATACATCATTATTCATTTACACCCAATACACCAACAATAGGTGGATTATCTGAATTAATTTTTGTTCTATAGTGTCGAAGATACTTCAATCTTTCCCAAATCTTGACTTCTGCATTGTCTCTAATAGCACACTTTTTTTTTGTTTTATTTTTATTATTCAACTGTCATAATCGAAAAAAAAAGTAAACTTACAGTAACCAAGAATACAATATTAGCATCATCTAAATTATTAGTACGTTCATATCCAGTATTAGTCATAATAGAATTTAGTATTTCTGTATCATTAACGTTCATCTACCAAAAAAAAAAAAAAAAAAAAAAAAAATTGTGAGTTCAAGATATGTGACGAAAGAAGAGATGAAAATAACAACTAACCTGACAGCCGTATACTTCGATAAAAAATTTCTTTCCTTTTCCTAAAAGTTTACTGTCAGTATGAAGGTAAGGTACTTGATCAGGTTGAGTCAATTTAGGATCTAAAGGTTTTGAAGATTGTTTTTGAGTTAACAGGAAATCTTGAAATGATGGTGATCTATTATCGAATACAAGTCTTCTCCGTTTAGCTGTTTTCTGCTCAATTGCTGTCGAAGTTGCAAGGGTACGATACTGTAACATGCGCTGCCATTTACTCACACCACATTTTGGAATTGAACGAAAAATAGACATAGTGTAAGAAGAATGGAGACTATGAAGAATTGCCTTGAATTCAGGGGTTTAACTTCAAAAAAAAAAAAGTTCGGAAAATGGGACTGCAAATGACAGTTTGTTATCTGATTGGTTATTCATGCTATTTACTGCCCTTCTTCCCTGAAAAGCACATTCTATACTTTAGTATATATTACGATGAAATAAAATAAAATAAAAGAAGGCTCAAATTGAGACTGTTGTACTGAATTTACTAAAACATATCAATGGATTTTCATAAGAACAGAGTGCAATGCCATCAGTGTCCCGACAAGAGAAAAGTGTTCTATGAGACTTTTAAATACCTGTTGACTTCTAAAAATTTGATTATCTCTAACACTTCTTGTCTATAAGATTTTCTTCATCTAATTGGATAGAATGACATTGATAAAATATTTTTGTCTTCTTTCCCCATTATAGTTTTTGATATTTATAAATGACCTCAAGGAAACCTATTATTTCTTATATTCGTCTTATTCTCTAAAACTAAACAAATTCATACATCAAATATTACAGATGTATCGTGGCTGAGAACTGCTTATCCAGTCATTATTTGCTATTTCCAAACTATCTTGATTTATTTCCAGATAAGCTTCATTTTTTAGTAACTGTGGTAATGGTGAACTGGATATAATATAATCTAATAGGGTCTTTTTTTTTTCTTCGAGTAATATCGTCAGTAGTAGCTCTTTGCTGTAACAACAGTATAATAGAATTATCAGAAGGTTGTTTTGTTGTTGGCTCTTTTATTATGGAACTACTCTCTAATAAATAATATCGCCGATTATCTACTGCAGTCAATGTTATAGGGAAAACAATCACTACCTTTATCATGAGAATTCGTTTCTACTATTCTATAGTATCTGATTCTATGGTGTCCATAGCTGTGATAGTGACCAAATTCTTTGTTAAAATATCGTTTTCCTTTAAGGCACTAATAGCAATTTTAATTTTATTCTTGCTACACATTTTTGGCAATTTAAAGACTAGAGAGCTGAACATAGGCCTTTGTTCTATATTTAAGCTGTTTACATTAAAAATTTGTGGTATCCCTTCATAAAGATCGGTTACGTGAATTTTGTATGTTGAGATTATTTTCAAACTTTTAAGAAATACAGGGCAAACGAAAATATGCGGCTCCCTTTTTATAGTGTATTTAATTAAGTATTACAATCATAATTAGAATTATAAGACGTATACTTGATTTTTCTTTTTGTCTACCTTTATTGACCTAAATTACTCCTTCAAACATATGCACATCTTAGTGATGTTTTCTCAATATTGACTTGCTGAAAGCGGATTGTGTACAGCCATCAATGAAGTAAACAAAAACATTGTCTTTTTGAGGTACGATATGAGAACAACATCACTTTATACTTCCGAAATGATTGAAAATGAAAATCAATGGGTCGCTGCTTTTCTTTATATATATAAAATGCCCTTTGGAAACATGTAGGTAGTATTCTGAAACAACTATTGAAAACCACAAACATATCATTTAGAAGCCTATTGGCGTTGCGGCTACTGTATTATTAGTATTAAATGATTTAGTTTTGTTATTAGTATAAATCTTTTCGATATTCTTACTCAAGTTTAGGCTAAACATAAATCCCCCCTTTTTTTTATAAAAAAAATTGCATATTATTTTAATTTGAGCTTGATTAAAGCGTTAAAAATCAAAAAAAAAAGAAGTTTGACTTCTGCTGCGAATTGGTATCCATGATAATATCCTCTCCATTTTCTTTCCTTTATTATTATTATCATTCTTTCTTTTATCCCTACAAAAATGGGAAATTGTATGAGCTTGTCCCATTCTTTTACTCGTCAACCCAATCCAGATATTCAAAGAAATCGAGCCATTGACAAGCAAATTAAGATTGATGAAAAACGGTTAAAAACAGAGATCAAAATATTATTACTAGGTAATTCAACATTTTTTTCTGTAATATATATTATATCAAAGAAGTTATATATATTCAAATGATTATATCGCGATTTTTAATTATAGGTGCAAGTGAATCAGGAAAGTCAACAATATTAAAACAAATGAAGCTCATTCACGCATCAGGATTTAGTGCATCTGAAAGAGAAAGGTTTAAAGTCATTATTTATGCAAATATAATGATAGCAGTGCAAACACTTTTTGAAATTATCGAACAATTAAATATACCCTTAGAACACAAGTCCAACAATGTAATTTAGATATTGAATATAAATGCTCATTTAGCTAAAACATAAAGTAATAGAGATATTGTGACCTATTCAAAAATTTTGAACCATTAGAAAATGGAGAGCCTTATCCTAAATTATATCTTGCGCCATTAAAAACTTTACTGATTGATTCTGGTATTCAAACAGCTATGGATAAAGGAAACATTTTCGCCTTACAAGACAATATATCATAGTATGTATGTTTTTTCCTTTCTTTTTTTTTTTTTTTTTTTTTTTTTTTTTTTTTTTTTTTTTTTTAAAAAAAAAAAAAAATTGGAATAGTTGAAATTTATTATTATAATTATTTTGAGTTTCTTTGATCAGTTAGATCGACTTTGGATGTCAGATTATTTACCAACAGACCAAGATATAATTTTATGTAGAGCAGAAACTATCGGAATAGTTGAAGAAACATTTCATATTGGGTCTTTAACGTATAGAATGTTTGATGTAGGCGGTCAAAAAAGTGAAAGAAAGAAATGGATTCATTGCTTTGAAAATGTAACTGCTATATTATTTATTGTTGCTATCAGTGGATATGATCAATGCTTAGTAGAGGATAGAAATTCTGTAAGCTATAAATCATATTTTTATTTGTAAAAAGATATATAATGTCTAATAAAAATCATATAGAATCAAGTAAGTTTTAGGTTTTAAATAATACAAAAACCTGATGTCTCTCTTTTTCCTTTTTTTTTTTTTGTAAAAAGATTCAGGAAGGATTAATGCTCTTTGATACAATCTGCAACTCTTCCTGGCTTGTAAATACATCCATGATATTATTTTTAAACAAGATTGATATATTTAAACAAAAAATATTAATTTCTCCTATATCAAAATGGTTTCCGGATTTTAAAGGTATATTAATACGTATAACATGTAATGATTCTCATCCTATATGTAATATGTTTAATAGGCGATAACAGTAACTTTGAACAAACGAGTAATTATTTTAAAAATAGATTTCAACGACTTAATCAGAATCCGAGCAAAAATGTCTATACATATTTTACTAATGTGACTGATACAAAATTATTACAGCATGTCATGTTTGCAGTATCTGATATTATTCTAAATGAAAATTTAAACACTTTAATGTTATAGTAATAAGTAAGCCTTTACGACAGTATATAAATCATATAAAAAAAAAATAGACTATGACATAGCATTTAGTAGTACATAAACTTCTTCATTTTTATACAAACTATATAAAATTTAATTGCAAACAGTTTTATTTATTCACTACCAAATTTTATAGATTAGATACATATAGTAAACACAGATATATACATATATAATACACAATAGGTTTCGTATATCAAGTCTTCATAAATATTATATAAATATGTATATATTCGTATTTACACATACACACATACACACATATATATATATATATATATACAGCCAGTATGATGGATATTGTCGCCAATTAACAAATATTCGTCGGCAGTTGAGAAATAATTGTCGCAATAGAGATTTCAATTTGTCGTTTTTATTTTTGTTGATTGTCGTTTTAGGAAAAGCGTATTGTCGCGTCATATTAGCTTAAATTATCGTAGTGTTTTCTTCTTCCTGAGCTCTTCTTTTTGTTTAATATATTTTTTTTGTTTTTGGTTTGAGTCATGGAGAGATCTTTTTTATTACGAAGATGGGCGCGATAGCCTGTACGACGAGAAGGATACAAAATTGTACGATCCAATGAAGGGTGTTCTAACTGAGATAACCCAATCCTAATGTGGTTCTTGAAAGACTAATCGATCAAAGCGTTTGGAGAAAATTAAAAATCGCCTGAGAAGATTACTGTTGGAAAGATTGCTAAAGTAATGCTAATTAAGCTGGCAAACGATACAGAAAGTAAAGTGACAGGCAACGAGATGACTTTATTGACAGAATGATTGATTGAAAGTGCTCAGGAAAGAGGTCTCACTACCCGGTTCGCAAAAGAACTTGCGATCGAATCATGTGTGGCTCAAAGATGGCGGAAAATGCACAGAGAAACGGAAGAAGTACCTTACAAAAAGTCTTCTATAAGTTCTGGTCCTCAGTCTTCTTTCAACGACGATCACAACGACTTTTTGAGGAATCTAGTGGACGATGGACCCCTCCTAGCTTGATGTGGGTGAAATAGTGGGGGAGGTTAGCTGAACAATTCGAAAAATTTAGCATCTCAAAATCTCAGCTCAATAATCACCTTCAGTCTTTACATATATAGCTACTCAATAATCAATACCCAAAGAAAATTTTCCTTGGAGAAAATTGTATTGAAAAAATTGTGTTGAAAAAAAAAATCACTAGTTGGAAAACGAAAGTTAGTTTATTTCCAGATAAAATAATGATGGCAAGGCTTGAAACAACTTCGGATTATATTCTGAAGATGAACACAGCAATCAGATTATGAATGCTCATTATGAATGTTGGCTATTTTTAGTCTTATTCTGGCAATGTACATTCTAGTGATGCTGAATTTATTTAACCATGTAGAATTGACCTTAAGAGTAAAGAAATCTTAGGGAAAATATACAATAGTCTTTTTAATATTTATACACTGTGCTATTATAGTCTTTCACCACTTTTGTTAATGAAAGAATTATACGCTTAATTATTAAATATTATTAGAGATGCAACTTTATTATAGAACACGATTTTATTAAATTGATTTTTTTTTCATTTTTATTAATATTATAAAAAAAAGATGCTTTTCTTAGTTCTCAAATCTCTTTAAAAGAGACTTGATACTAACAGGATTAACCACGAGAAGGTGAAAGCATATCTAATCCCAAAAATAAGTTCTATAAACCAATACCCATGCCGGGCTTTTTTTTTTTCTTCTTCTCCCTCTAAATTTCTACTTGAAAGATAAACGTCCAATTTCAACTAGTAGACACTTGGCAAAGTCCAACCTGGCCCAAGCCTTGCTAGAAGAAAAAGATAGGATTCCTCACTTCCTACCCCAATAAAAAATACAGTTGGATGTAAGTTTCATTGGAAGCCGGGCTAAACATTCTGACCTGTAGCGTGGCGAAGTGGAAGGAATCCAGATACATGAAGTGCACGACCTGACTATTGTTTACCTGAGAATGTCCCTTCTTTGACCCCTAGCATCTACTTTTGACTTAACAGTAAATACAAGCTGGGATTCTTCACCTAAATGAATAGATGAAAAAACCACGGTCAGAAACGTAAGCTGTGCATCCTTATCTATTTTTATTTTATAAACAGCAACTAGATAAAAATAAAAAGAAGGAAAAACCTCCAAAAAGAAAAACAGAAAAACTAAACCTTGAGATAAGCCCTTTCAATGGTGCAGACAAAGAGTACGCTAATCTCCCTAAAAAAGGAACAGGTTTACAATTTCCAACCCCAAGTATCCTTTTTATTTCCCTCCTCCTTTGGAAATAAATCAAACTTGAGCAGTCAAAATTCGATAAGGTCCCATCAATTATCTAAGGTTGCAATAACCCAAGGTGAAGGCGGATATGCATGTAGTAACCAAAAGAGAGTCTAGGCCTCTCCTTTAGCCATGTTATAAACGGACAGTTCTACAAACTCAAGTAAGCCAAGCTATGTGACTTGAGCACACTTCATAACCCTGACAATGTCTACCCATAGTTTCAAGTAAAAATAAAGAAGAATAGGAAAAATAAAAAAAAGCTAAAGAAAAAAGAAGAAGAAAAAAAGGGAAAAAAAACGAAAAATGTACTTTTTTTTTTATTGTAAAATTCAGGAGAAAAAAAAAATAAACGAAAAGAAGGAGAAGTTATTAAAGTTTAATTTTAGCATATTTTTTTTTGTTTTTAATTTACTTTGCGATAAATCTTCTCTCCTGCCTTTCTCCTTGTCTTTTTTTTCTCTTTTCTTTTTAATACTTTAGAGATAAGTTTTGCCTTTTATTTGAATGTAGTAAAGCATTACTGTCTTCTTAGAAAGAAAGTAAGAAAGTAAGAAAGTAAAAAAAAAAAAAGAAGTTTGTTTACTTTTTTTATGTGAATATATTGAACATTCTTGTAAAGAAATTAAGCCAAAACTAGTCAAATTCAGTTACACGACAGAGCATGATGTTCATAGATAAGCTATCAATAATATAAAAAATGGCATTTTATACACAGTTTTATTTTTATTTTTAGATACACACACAATCTAGACGCTTTTTTTTTTCAATTGTACAAGATACTCTTGGCGGTTCATGCATTTTAAATAGTTAAGCTGTAAGCTTTCTTACTACTGTATTATAGTAATTGAGATCTTTTTTATGATGATCATGATAATAAGACTCTTTAGATTTTGATAAGTTTGAAAGGAATAATGGCTTTGAAGAGAAGAAAGAGATAGAGTTTCAAAGAGTGTACAAAAGATATGTTATATTTTATTATTATATGTTCATGCTTATAGTTTGTCTTGTATTATGTAATCCATCTTTTATAATATTACTTATGCTTATATCCAGAGCTTGTTCTATAAAATATCTATATAAAGAACCTCTCTAAAGAATTTTTAATAAAATTACAAAAAAAAAAAAAAAAAAAAAAAACCCTTTGCCCTAAAGCGAAATTTCCTTTGCGACAATTATTTCTCAACTGCCGACGAATATTTGTTAATGGGCGACAATATCCATAGTACTGGCTGTATATATACATATTTAACAAAAATTCCATAATGTGTTTGAGTGTTTTCCTTTTATTATATGTAACTATGATGATAAATAGTGCATGTATCTTATAATGTGTTATAATGACAAAACCTCAAGAAAAAAATACTTCAAATTTTTGAAAAGCAGGTACTGCCATACCATCCGACCTAATTAAATTCCCTTTTACTTCTTGATTCATTCCATAGCTTATATAGATAGGCGCCTTTGGCTTAGAAGTAAGATAGAGCCTTAACGACCATTGCTTATCGTCATTAATACGGACACTCAGTAATACAACCTCTTTATCCGCACACTCAATTTCAAACCCATATATTTCTTCATCTAATTTATTCATCCAACCTTGATGATCGTTAACATGCTCAAATTCAACTCTTATACTTGAAGGAATACCTGTTTCCTTTAAAGTAGGTATACTACTTGATTCAAATACAGCACGAACAGGTAATGGTGTAGCAGTTTTACCTAGACCTTGCTTTGCACAGGTTGCAGCAATTGCTAGGCGCTCTCCTACTTTATTCAAAGCAGTAGCCGATAAATGCAAACGATCGTCTAAGCTACCGTCAAAGCTTGCTACACCTGCTGTAAAGTGATGGTAGTCAAAGAGCTTACGTTGTCCATCTTGTACTATTTTCCAGTTCTTTATCATCTCTGGATCATCAACACGATGTGATCCAATCTGAACAAAGGCAACAGGCAAATTATCCCTTTTAAGGTCTTGACGTAAATCCTGAAGCCATTGAAGAAATCGTTCTTTATAAGTGACTGCATCTTGTTCTTTAACTGTATCTGATTCCCCTTGATACCATAAAATACCTGTAATAGGTCCCACTTGTTCAATTCGAGCAATCATAGCACCATATAAGGTTGTATTAAATGGATCATCATCGTTATTCTTCCTTGAGGAAAAAAGGTTAAGCGGTCGTTTCCAATCCTCAAGCGTAGTACCGCCATGAGCACTAGCTACTAACCCTACTGGAACATGATGGTTCAGTTGCTGATATTTCTTAGCAAACGCCAAACCTAATGAGGCTCCTCTATATTCAAGTATTTTAGGATCACGCACTGTCGGATCTGGTAAAGTGTGATGAACTTGTCGAGGTGATGACACGAGTCGATGTGTCGGATCTTTGGCCAAAGTCCATTGCTCACTTGAATTGAATAGATGAATACTATCTACTAAAGACTCATGCATCAAATTGTTTTTTGTAAATGGATCCATTAAGAATCCATGGCCACGCATGTTACTTTGACCTGCCATAATCCAAATATCTCCTACATACACATTGTGTGCTTTTCCAATCGTATATGGGCCGCCCACTTTATATTCTACTATTTCACCATCTATTAAAATAGAGGCTATGTTCGTTTCCGGATTGCGCTGAAGTACTTGAAAATGTGATGTTGATTCATAAACATAGCCTTGTACACCTGTCATTGTAAAAACAAAAAACTAAAAAGGGTTACTTGTATTATTTTATAGTTTATTAAAGATACGTAAATCAATTATCCCAAATACAACATAGAAATGAAAAAAAAAAAATAGGAGAACTTTGTTTATACAGTTAATTTCCAACAACGTTTATTAATTGTATATATGCATATTATTATGTAAGCGTTTTTTATTTATTTATTTCATTTTTTGTGGTAGTACAGTGTTTTATATTTTAGAAATATATTGAACTTTAGTGGGCAGTCACTGATTCACTAATTGATTACTTTGAAGCATTTAACAATAAGAATAACATATAAATATATAGAAGCCTCATCTTTGATCTATCTAAAGATAATTTCGCTTGCTTAGTCTCAATGCAGCTTTTCTTTTTTTTGTTTGTCTTTATTAACTGAATTTAAATACTACTACTACTGTCATATTAACTGATTTCCCCTGTCCGTGTATTTAACCTCCTCTACCCTCGTCTCCCGTTTTTTTTTTTTTATGAATAAAAAAAAAAGGTCAACCAATAATAATTATCATTCTTCATGGGAGGGGGAGGGGAAGAAAGAAAAGGGTGTTCAATTATATACATGTATTTTTTATTTTTAAATACATTTATTACTTTTTATAACTATAATGTACAAGACACAATTACTACCAAGGAAATGGTTAGTTAGTTCTCATCGATCTATTCATGTTCGTTTCCTACAGCAATTGTCATCTCCTGAGTTAAGATCACGATTTATTCAATATTTTGAAAAACAGGGACATACACCTGTCAAAAGCTCAAGTCTTGTACCCCACAATGATAAAAGCTTGTTATTCACCAATGCTGGTAATTTATTTTTTTCTTGTTTAAAATTTAATCCAATATTTTATTAATTGAGTAATGATGATAAAAAAAAAATGATATGTTACATTAGGCATGGTGCCCTTTAAAGAATATTTTCTTAAACCCAATACTGCTCCATTTCAATGTGCAACTAGTGTTCAGAAATGTATGAGAGCAGGTGGTAAACATAATGACCTTGATAATGTAGGCTATACACCTCGCCACCATACCTTTTTTGAAATGTTGGGTAATTTTTCATTTGGTAAATATTCAAAGGCAGAGGCGATTCATTATGCATGGAAGTTTTTATTGCAAGAACTCGAGTTACCTATCAATCGACTACGAGTCACGTAAGATTATAGTAAATGGTTATATTAATATGTATATGTATATTAATCGAGAAAAAAAAAACTCCCTTCCTCCGTTTTTATAGTGTACTAGAAGGGGATCAAGAGGCTTATGATCTATGGAGAAAACAAGGATTATCAGATGATAAGATTGTAAAATGCGGACCTGAAGATAATTTCTGGAGTATGGGGGATGGAGAAGGTCCCTGTGGGACATGTACTGAAATATTTTGGGATACTCAAGACAGCTCTTTAGAAGATCCATGGTTAGAAATTTGGAATCTTGTATTTATGGAAAAGTATCGTAATGCACAAGGTGAATTAACAGATTTGCCTGTCACTTGTATCGATACAGGAATGGGTCTAGAAAGAATGGCATCTGTACTTCAAGGGAAAAAAAATAATTTTCAAATTGATCAATTTCAGTCCTTAATCCACGGACTCAGAGAAGTAATGAAAGCTCGTGGACTAAAGGTAACATTTAATTATTCTTATTTTAAATAAATTACTAACCGAAAAAAAAAATGTAGAGTTCAACAGAAGCTGATCCTAGTCCACATGAAAAGATTGTTGCAGATCATTTTAGAGCAATGTGTTTCTTAATAGGCGATGGTGTTGTGCCTAGTAATATAGGTCGTGGATATGTATTAAGACGTATAATTCGAAGAGCTCTCAGATCTGCAAAACAGCTTGGTTTAAATGGTATTACATGTAGATAAAATTTTATCCTTTTTTTTTTTTAACTTTATTTTTTCTTCTTTTCTTAAAAAAAAATGATAGAACCATTTTTGACAGATCTTTACCCATCCCTATTAGCCGGCTTCACAGATAATTTGTATTCAGAACTTGCAAGCCGTGCTTCATCTATTCAAAGCATCATTAAAAATGAGGAAACTGCCTTTTTAGCTACTTTGGATAGAGGAATGGCATTATTAGAAAATGTGTTTAATCAAGCTGAATTACAAGAATCGAAACAAATTCCTCCTCAACTTGCTTTCCAATTATATGATACTTATGGTTTCCCATTTGATTTAACATTAATTATAGCTTCAGAAAGGGGCTGGTCTGTTGATATTGCAGGTAATAATAATAATGTAAAAAAAAAAAATCATATAATTCATATATGAAATATAGCTGTTGAGGAATTGAGGGAAAAACAAAAAATAGCAGGCAGAGAGTCTTGGAAATCAGATAACATTGCCGATAAATCAAGACTTTCTGAATGGAGAAAATTGAATATTAAACCTCAATTTACTGGTTATGATCATAGTTTATTGCATCAAGAATCAAAAATTCTTGCCGTAGACACAGTTAAAAAGGGTAAAAGTGTGGAAGTGAATATTGCAATTGATCCATGCCCATTTTATGGTCTTGGAGGTGGACAAGTACCTGATAAAGGTACTATTGAACTCACTAATGGGAATGATTGGGAAGTGATAGATGTACTTCAGCCTTATGAAGGAGGGCTTGTCTTACGAATTAAACCTCTTGGTTCAAATGATAATATAGAACAACGCATAAAAGAAGATTATGAATATTTACAAAGGGATCAATTGGTTAGAACACATGTTGATCTAAAACGTCGACAAGGCGCTGAAATACATCATACAGCAACTCATTTATTAAATGCAGGTTTAAGAAAAATACTTCAAGCACCCGATATAGTGCAGGCTGGCTCTACAGTTGAACCTAACAAATTAAGATTTGACTTTACATATGGAAAACCTTTAAAGGAAGAAGAATTAAACCAAATAGAAAACTGGGTTAATGATGTTGCCTTACGTGGAAGTGATACTATTGTAAAGGTAATGCAAATAGTCAACAGCAAAAAAAAAGAAGTCGTAAATTGCTTAATTTAAAGGATAATATACATATACACATATATATATATATATAGCATATGAAACTATCAGATGCTATTCAATCTGGAGCAATTGCGGCGTTTTCCGAAAAATACAACGAAACAGTAAGAGTTATTGATGTACCCGGCGTTAGTAAAGAACTCTGTGGTGGTACTCATGTAGATAATATTCGTAAACTTTATCCATTCAAGATCTTGAACGAAACTTCTGTTGCAGCAGGTAATATTATTATCAAGAACTAGAAAAAAAAAAGAGGATTCCTTTTAAAGCTATAATTTTATAATAGGCACAAGAAGAATTGAAGCAGTAGCAGGCCTATCTTGTATTGAATGGTACAGAAAAGCATATAAGCCCATTCCTGAAGTTTTGAAATTATTACGTGCAAATGGGACACATGAGATTATTGAAAAACTAGAAAAATCATTACAGCAAAATAGAGAACTTCAGAAACGCGTTGATTTTATGAATGAAAAGCTAGCATCTGCTGGAGAAGCAGTCGTTGAGCCTATTTCTAGTAAAATAAAAGGTATATAAACAGAGTGTATACATTATATGATTAGAATCTATTTTAATATGTATATGTATATACATTCTATAGACGTTGATATAAAAATCCATCTTATTGACTCTGATTTGGACTCAGCTTTTATGCAGAAAAGAGCAAATATCTTAAAGCAAAACCAATCAAATACAGCACATATTTTGATCAATGGTAATACAATTATGGTGGCATTAAATAGTACAAAAATAAAATCAGAAAGTGCAAATTCGGTAAATTTTAATACAACTTAATGATGAATAATAATAATTCAGTAACCTCCTTTTTTATTATTATTATTTAGATAATGAAGCAATTATTAAAGCATATAAAGGGAAGTGGTGGGGGTCAAAAAGAATTAGCTCAAGGACGTTTGACAGAGAAAATAACTACAAAAGATGACATAATTTCAAAGATTCTGCCTTCTTTAAAACAATGTTAAAAAAAAATCCATTTAGTAATACCCTTACGTTTTGTATATATAAAAGATAGTGCTGAATACTTTTCTTTTTTGATTTATTTATTTATATATTAATATATACATATTTTATTCCGTTTTATTGAATAATACCCTTATATTCAGACGGACAATCCGCTTGATTATATGGATGTGTATTTCGAAATTCTGGTAACGTCATTAACGTGTTACGAATTCTAGTAATATAAGGGAATGATTTCATATCAATTTTGAAGAACTTTGTGGCTATAAAGACCATAGGAACTAAACAAAAGTCTGCAACAGAAATTTGATCAGCTACACAATATGTACCGGATATGTCTTCCAATCGTTTTTCTAAACCTAAAATGTCCATGCATATGACATAAATAAATAAAAAATAAAAAATAAAATAGAATAAACAATGTTACCTTCAAATTTTAATTGGAATATTTTATGAGCAAATTCATCACATTTATCCGATGTAATATCAATAAGTTCTAATACTCTTCTTGCATGAATAGGTTGTATATCACAAGCAATATCTAAAGCAAGCGACCATGCCTATATTTATCAGAAAATAGATGTTTATTTTCTTATTGTCTTGAAAAGAAAACGATTCAACTTACCTCGGCTCTATGAAAGGGACTTTTCGGTAGCATTGGTCTTTCTATGAAATATCTAAGTGACTCTATCTATTGTATCATATGGAATCTCTCTCTCTCTCTCTCTCTCCCTCCACTTTTTTTTTTCTTTTACCTGGATACATTGCTTCAAGGTATTCAATGATTGCAAGACTTTGAGTCAAAACTTTACCAGTTTTCGTGATAAAGCATGGTAATTTTTGGTTAGGGTTAAGCTTCGAATATTCTTCAGATAACTAAGTTTGAAATACATTTAATAAGAATCTATCATTTCTTTTCTTTTTAGATTCAAAATGATACCAACGTATTCTTGAGCCTTTATATCGACATAACGAGCTTCATAGTCAATTCCTTTCCATTCTAATGCAATTCTTACTCGCCATGATGTATCAGAGACATAAGAAGTATATAATATTGGTTTATTGTTAGGTTGAGGTGATGTTCTCTATATTAAACTGTTAGATAGACAGAAGCAAAATTTTTCTTTTTTTTTTTTTAAAAAAAAAATCCTACATCGGTCATATTAATATTATATGTACGATGGGAAAGAAAGAAAGGAAGGAATATGGAAAAAGGGTGTTTCAAAGATTATGCATTATTGTTATATACAGATATCAAGTCACAAATCTGATGTTAAATTGTGTAATTTTACTAACAAGAATAATGCTGTTTACAGTTGATCCAATAAATGATGTTGTCCGGGACGAACAAAATGTCGCTTAATTGAAGGTGAAATGTTGGCCAATCAGGAACTCGATTTCACTCTTACAGGAACAAAATATCGTCCAATTAGAAATAAGTTTTCGCTAATATCTATGTGTAGCCTTACGAGATGAAGAACTCTTTCTTTTCTCTATCTCTCTCTCTCTCTCTCTTTTTTTTTTTTTTTTTTTTTTTTTTTTTTTTTTTTTGACTGTCAGGTTACAAGTTTCATTCATGTGCTTTTGGATGGCTGATCTTGTAAGCGAAAAATCCTCAAAGGATTTAGTCCAACTTTCAACTACATCACAAACAATAACCTGAGGATGGTCACCAACGAGGCCCAAGACGTAAGCTTTATGTTCCTCTGTGAAGTTGTTTGGGCGTCCTGGACTTCTGGTTATATGTATATATATATATATATTTTTATTGGGCACTTTGACAGTCTCTTCGTAACTTCTCCACCATCGCTGAGGGGTTCGTTCTTCAACCGCCTAATTCTCTCCCGACTACAGCGAGCACACCTATTATCCCACAGGTAATTCGATCATACGATTCGATGAACGTTGTCCTCTGATTCATGCTATAGTCTGCATTTGTCTTCTTTGAGGAAAACTTTCACTGGCTTTTGAAGTAGTTGACATGTCTTGAAATACATATTACTACATGATTCTATCTTTTTAACTTTTTTTTTTTTTTTTTTTTTTTTTTTTTTTTTTTTTTTTACCCCTTCCTTTCTTATAAAATACATCATGTTATATATCAAAAGATAAGTAACTTAATACAATCTTTATAATGAAAGAAGAGTTGTGTTAGTTTAACTATTGGTCAAAAGCAAAAATAGACTGTATAGAAAAAAAAAAGGTGATCTTTAATGATACTTCTGCATCTGGGAATTAGCATTAGTATTGTAACCAAAAGATGGCATGAATTAACATATCCTTATTAGTTGAAAGAAATCATTTTCATAATATTTATTTATTTACGAGAATCACCATAATAGATAAATCTTCTTTTACAATGATAGTTTCATTGATGTTAACATAATAGTCTTTTTTTTTTCTTTAACCATAATATGAAAATATCTTTTAATACGACAAACAAGTTCTCTTATTATTGTATCTATTCGAAATGTATTTTAAACTTCATTCTGCTTATGTTTTTTTTTGTTAAATAGAGTAAGTGTTTTATATCAAAAGGCTATAAGAGTAGAGATAACAAACAAATAAACAAACAAACAAAAGAAAAATATATCATATATAAAAAATTGAAATTGATAAACGTCAAGTAAATAAAATTTACATATTCTTCTTTTTGCCTCTTTGTGCATTTTTGTTTCCAGTATAACTATTATATTTAGCTCTCTTCTCTGCAGGTTTAAGAATCTAAATTTAAACAAAAGAGTTTAATATCAAGTTCAAGTTAAACATCTTGGCTTTTATACTAATTCTATTTTACCTGGAAAGAACACATTAATGTTTCATCTACACTCATCATTGCACCCGCATTATCAAATTCACCACAATAATTAGGCGCTGAAAATATAGTAACCAATTGACGTTTTGCAAAGAATTCATAACCATCTTCAACCACTTGATGTGCTCTACAGATAAGATCAATATCATGCTTTTGTAAAAATCTTGAAACAATATCTGGTCCAAATGTAAAGGAAACACCTCTATCATTCTCACTCCATCCAGAAATATCCTTATCAGGATCAGACCATAAGAGATCACATAAAAGGCCTATTATATGATAAAATATAAATAAATAAACATGTATGTGCGTGTGTGCGTGTGTGCGTGTGTGCGTGTGTGCGTGTGTATGCTTCACTCTCACTCACTCACTCTCTCTCTCTCTCTCACACACACACACACATACACACTTTCACTCTCTCTCTATCTCTCTCTTTCTCTTTTTTACCAGTATCAGGCACATCAGTAGGTCTCATCACTCTACGAATTTGTTCAAAACTTTGAAGATCAGGAGATAAACCACCATGCATACAAAAGATTTTTTCATCAACAAGAGCAGCAATAGGTAAACAATTAAAGCAGTCCGTAAAAGTCTTCCATAGTTTAATATTATATCTTCTTTTACATTCATCATAAAATCCATAAATACGATTAATACTAGCACATTCATGATTACCACGAAGAATAAAGAAGTTTTCAGGATATTTAATCTTGTAAGCTAATAATAAACAAATCGTTTCTAATGATTGCTTTCCTCTATCAACATAATCTCCCATAAAAAGATAATTAGATTCTGGAGGGAAACCGCCATATTCAAATAATCTTAAAAGATCGTAATATTGACCATGAATATCACCTATCATATTTTTAATTATGTCATCAACATTCTTTTCTATTCTTTCATTCATACATTTTCTACTTACCACAAATTTTAATAGGTGCTTCTAATTCCAAAAGAATAGGTTGACTCATGAAAATATCACGAGCAGTTATACAAAGGTATTTAATCTCACTTTCAGTCAATTGAACTTGTTTCCCAGGCCTATTCCCTCTCACTATATATCAAAATAAGAATGTGTTATTATGTATAACCTGAAAGAAAAAAAAATACTTTCATTTTACCTTCTAATAATCTTTCAATAATAGAATCCACATTTACGTCTGAAAATTCAGTCATGATATAACTATACGTGAAAAAGAAGGAAAAAAAAATGATATGTCAATTATACTTGTATGCCACTTTTCCCTTGTGTATATAAAGAACGCGTAAGTCTAGTTAGTAATGAATCAAATAAAAAAAAAAAGTTCATCTGCCACTTCATATATACTCTATTTTGATGTAAGAGAAAAGAATGAAAAGGAATAAAGGTAAAACTAATGAGAAACAAATATTTCCCAAAATAGAATTAAAAAAAGTTGTCAATTATGAAAGAATGATGTATTGATGGGATGGATGGAAGAAAAAAAAAAAAACATTTCAATCTTCCATCAAGCTACGGAAATACAATAAATGGAGTAATTTTTTTTTTTTTTTTTTTTTTGTCATCATCTGTTTAAAACTTGAATCAGTCTGATCGAAAAAAAAAAAAAAAAAAAAAAAAAAAAAAAAGAAATCAAATACGAGTAGAATAAAAATAGGAAAAGAAAACCAGAACCAAAAAGAGATTGTTTGACCATCTAAAATTCATCTTTCCTTCCTTTTCTCTCTCTCTCTCTTTTTTATATATAAAAAATACACAAGGGTTAAAAATAATAATAACTTACAAATTGATTTGATTTTATCTTTCTCTTATATATAAAAACGACTTTGTTGTATAGTTGTGTGTTGTATAAATTAAAAAAAATATCCGAACTTTTGCTTCCTTTTGTTGCTTAAATGTATTTTCAAAATCGTATTTCTTTAATTAGTGGAAATATATTTTTTTTTTAAAAAAAAAAAAAAAAAAAAAAAGGAAAAAAAAAGAGAGAGAGAGAGAGAGAGAACGGTAAATTACAGGAGTTTTATTTATTTTTTTTTTTTCAGGTGGAAGATAATGAACACTCCTAAAATAACAGTCACCAAGTATTATGATTATGATTATTATTTTTTTGAATTTAAACCATCACATTGAACACTATTTATTTATTTATTTATTTCTGATGAAGAATGGATCGATTAACTCAATTACAAGATGCTATTGATGCAGTAATTATATAACAAGTCGATTAATATTTATACTAAATACGAGTGTAAAAATATAATAATTCATTTTATTATTATTATTATTAAAGATGGCACGAATGTTTACAAACAGTATATATTATGTACACGAAAAATCAGGCATGGCAGAATTAAATAAAGATATACCCGTAGCTCAGCCTAAAGGTAAATAGCTTAAAAGTAAAAAAATAAATTCAATAAATGACCTATTTTTATTTTATAGTACAAGCAGATGATCCCGTAGTGTTTCAAGGTAAATTTAGTAACCTTAGATTGACTTGATGTCTAAATATACATATAATAGAGAATATGAAAGAACTAGTATCCGATTTAGTAAAGAAAGCAAAAGAAATTGATTCACTTATAGAAATATTGCCTGGAATTCAGCAGACAGAAGAGGAACAGGTAATAACACTAATAACACTAATAATTGGCCTTTATTAGTAATAAGCGTATTATAGATAAATTCTTTAAAACTACTTGAAGAAGAAAACCGAATTGCAAATGAAGAATATGAAGCTGCTGTAAAAGAAATGGGTAAAAAGAAAAAAAAAAGGATTATGTTCACCTATTTTTTCATATTTACAAGTATTTATTTATTTTGTATAGAATCAGTAAAAGAACAAATTAATCAATCATTAAGAGCTATTGCAGATGAACAAAACTAACTACAACTCTTTTTTTTTTTTTTTTTTTTAAAAAAAAAAAAAATAAAAATTAAAATACCGCTTTCTTGTATTATAAAATACATTTTTTTTTTTTTGTGTTTTTTTTTATTATTCGTTCTATGAAATGCCTGATAAGAGATATCAATCAACAAATTTAAATATACCAAATCTTCACCCATCACACGGTGGACCTTCTTCAATAAATGAATTTCCGAGGGAAGACGAAGAGCATCTAAGCCATTCATTTAAAGAGCAAATAGAATCTTTTGTTGGTTCCTATTCGAGGACTTCAATGATGCATATGGCTGAAAATGTATTAATATCTAATACTGGAGAAATGGTAATAAACATTATTTATTTTTAATATTATCATGGTAATTAAATCAGATTTAATACATGTATATGTGTAAAAGATGAATGAAGAAGAAGGCGAAATACCAAGTTATTTGTCTAGGTAAAAAAAACAAAATATCACCTTTTTGAATCAAGTAAATTTTAAAGCCTATTTTTTATTTTATTTTATTTTATTTTATTTTATTTTATTTTAAAAAAGATATAACAGCCATCAAGAAAGTATGGCAGGATCAAGACGTAACTCGGAAGGAACACTTCATGAAAGAATGTCTTTATTATATCCTTCACTTCAAAAAAGAAAGAGTTGTGCAAGTGCTATAACAGTAGCTGATAGTTATCTGTCATCATCACATATAAATACTATTACTAGTAACAATAGTAGTGGTAGTAGTAGTAAATCATCCTTTTTACAAAGTATATTCAATTCTATTAATATCTTGATTGGAATTGGTATTTTAGCTTTACCTTTGGGATTTAAAGTAAACAAACTCTTTCTATTGTATTCTACTCTAATTCTAAATTGATATTTATTTTATAGAATGCTGGATGGGTACTAAGTATTTTCATCTTCTTGTTTTGTTTTGGCTTAACGAATTATACAGCCAAATTATTAGTTAAATGTTTAGATGCTGATCCAAATTCAAAAACATATGGCGATGTAGGAGCCTATGTTTATGGCATTAAAGGAAGAGTATTTATCTCTGTGCTTTTTATAACAGAATTGATTACATGCAGGTAATACGATTTTATATGATTTAAAGAAGTAAGTATATAATAAATGTCTATGATTATTTTAGTGTTGCACTTGTTGTGTTATTAAGTGATGGTATTGAAAGTTTATTCCCAGGCTATCATCCTATCTTGATTCGGTTTGTTTCTTATCTAATTTTGACACCTACTTTATTTATACCTGTTCGACATTTATCATATACAAGCTTACTTGGTATCTTGAGCTCTTTTAGTCTATTAGCTATTATTCTTTATGATGGTTTATCAAAGCCAACTACCCCTGGAAGTTTACATGAGATGGCAGTAAAGTAGTAATGAAACTTTATATAAATAACTCACTCACTCACTCACTCTCTTTGCGTAACCCCTCCTTACAACTTTATTTTAGGACACCACTCTTTTTCCAAAGGATTGGATGGCAGTACCTATGAGCTTTGGTTTAATTATGGCTGGTTTCGCAGGACATGCCGTATTTCCAACTATCTACCGAGATATGAAACATCCTAGTGATTATAGTAAAATGGTGAATTATTCTTATCTTGTTGCTGCTTTAGTTTATTTGACAGTAGCCGTTTCTGGCTATATCATGTTTGGATCCAAGACGATGCAAGAGGTAAAATATATAGGCACATGGTATATACACATATGTGTATACATAATTTTTTTTTAAAGAAAAAATTCTCAAAGAAAACTATATAGATTACACAAAACTTAGTAAGCATACCGGAATATAATCAACTCTTAAATCGATTTGCTGTTTATTTAATTGCCTTGAATCCAATCGCAAAGTATGGATTGACTCTAAATCCTGTTATCTTGAGTTGGCAAATTGGATTGTCTCAGAATTCTCATTTTAAGGCATGGATCGATATTCATGATTGCTGTTGGAAGAAGACACTCTTTATCAAAGTGATGGGAACTATTTTAACATCCACTTTTATCGTTCTATTGGCTATTTTAATACCAGATTTTGATCAAATCATGTCTTTATTAGGTTCTTTATTCTCTTTTATTATTTCTGGCATATTTCCTTTACTCTGTTATTTGAAATTATTTCAACATTCACTTACAAGATGGCAGCTTTTATTTAATTATACTCTTATTCTTGTTGCAACTATGATGGCTATTACAGGCACTATAAGGGCTTTTATATAGTTCAAGTTATATAAACACATATATGAATATAAATATATATGTATATATATTTTTATATAAATATATATATATATTTGTGTATACATATACTCTATAAAGAAAAGACTAAATAGACGTATACATGCTTTTCATTATTAGGAGAATATACAAGGATTAATTATTTATCCAATTATTTAAATTTTCAAGCGAATTTGTGCTATCATCAGTTAAGTTAGTAGTAGTAGTAGTAGTAGTAGCAGTAATAGGAGTAGTAGTCGTAGTCGTAGTCGTAGCAGTAGCGTTGTTATAAGGTATATGAGTGTTCGTAGTATTATTATATAATGAAGGATGTTGCATGGATATAATGTTAGTTTGTTGTTGTTGAACGTTCTGAAGTTTATTATAAAGTTCTTGTTGAAATTTTTCTCGAAACATGGGTGAAATGGTCATTAATAAATTCTCCATACTTTCAAAAGGTCTTTCAAGATGAGCTTCAACTGTTTGTGCAGCTGAGATAGCAGGATCTACATTACAAAGTGGTGAGCATGATGTAACCTAATACATATATATATATATAAATATGTATATAGAAGTTAAAAAAAAAATCTATTTTTTTTTTTTCAAGTTATTATTAAACTTGAATTACCTTGTAACCTTGATCATTTACTTCAAGTACAATCATAACACCTTCTAATAAAGTAAGATCTAAACGTCCTATACCGTTTATTTCATCGTTGACAAAGACTGCCGCTGATCCTGGAACAATACCATAATCAAATTCTTTTGTCATGGCATCTAATTCTTCACTAAGTGAACAATGTCTCATTTCAATTATATTAATAAATAAAATAATGGAAAAATAAAAAAAAAAAAAAAAAAAAAAGAAAGGAAAAAAAAGAAAAAAAAAAGGAGCTAAATGTGACGATGTTTATTCACTAATGTTTTATAATTCACGTGCAATAAATGTTTGGAAGGGAAGGACAGAAAAGATAATATGATTTGCTACTGCATACTGCATGAAATAAAGTCAATTCGTTAATTATAAACTATAGACAAACATAAAAGTATTCTATAGATTTTGGACAAATACGTTATTATAAGACTTAAGATTGAATTAAAGATAAATATCTTTTATACGAGTGCTTAAATTATGTAATAAACTAATATCCACATATAAGAAGTTTGTAACAAATATTGCTTACAAACATTATTATTATTATTTTCATAAAAATTGTACAAGTAATTAAACATGGCAGACATTTCTTACATTTAGCAGACTTATATACGTTCGTATGTGTGCTACTCTATGATAAAATATGTGTATAATTTAACCGACATGATTGGGTTCATTCTGCTATCAATACAGCATGGTATTGAAAGAAAGACTAAAAGTTTTGTTATACTTGTTTTTATATTATTTTTTTCATGAGGCTATTTACGATATGAGTTAGCACATTTCAACATAGATTCTTCAAATAAGTATAAACAATACAATACAGTCGTTTTCAGATACTGAATATATAATTGCAGAGAAAATGGTTCCAAAAGAAAAAGAAAAAAAAAAGATTAGATAATGATAGGCATAACACGACTAGTTTGACGGAAATGATTATTAATATAACGTAAACAGAGACTCACATATGAAGTTCTAAGATTTTTTTTATTTAATACATAGAAAGTGCTGCTGCTATGTGTAATAACTTGAATTATTTTAATTCTACTACTCTATATTCAAATGTTGACGTATGATTACTATAAATAGCCTATGCTAAATACGTGTAGTATCTCTTCTTATGAACTTGGATGTATTCTAATAAGACGATTCTTTTATGTTATATCAATAACAGGTTTGATAGAAAAAAAAAGATAACATATATAAACTAACGGTTAAGAAGAGGGAGATAGAAGGGAAGACAACGAGTTAGGTATATTTCTAGACTATAGCATCACTTCTTCTCTTGTTGTACTTTCGTTTAAAGACGTCTACTACTCAACACAAGTGACTTTTTTTTTTATTTTGCATAATAACAGATGATGAACGAATGTCAAGTAGAAGACCACTAACTAAATTAAGTAATTATAGCAAAACATCTTTTTTTTTTTTGGCTTTATAAAACTAATTTTTGTATGAGCTTACCATGAATACCTTTTTTTTTTTCTTTTTTAATCTTTTCTTTCGCATACATGTATAATATATTTAATTTCTTCAAGAAAAGAATGACAGAAAAGTTCTTTGATTTCATAGATGATTATATTGGACTACAGGTAGCTTCTATTGCACTTTTATCCTTAGCTGTCATGCCTATTGTTATAGGATCTTACTGCTCAATAAAAGGTAATCGTAAACGAAAGGCACGCTCAAGAAGATCAAGATCTCGTAGTATGTCTCGACTTCGTTCATCACATCACTATTATGACTCAGAAGAAGAAGAAAATGAGGATAGAGACAGTGAAGAAGAGAGACGAATTTCAAAGGTAGTTACAAGCAAGGATGCATTCTTATTCCCAATCATTGCATCCAGTTTTGTGTATTTTATATCATGGATGATTGAAGTATTTAATCCTATCATTGTAAACAATATTACAATGATTTCAACGTCCATTTTATCGTGTGCTGTATTTACAAGTACTGTAATAAGTATTCTTAAAAAATTGGCACCATCAAGCATTGCAAAACATATTGGATTGTATAGTTTTAGTTTTAGCAATCAAAACAGGCGTAAGTAATGGATTCTGACAAAATAGGATGAAGACACTTGCATTCATTTTTTTTTTCTATTTTTTTTTTTTTTTTAATTTCTTTTTTTTTTTTTTTTCTATTTTTTTAGGATTATGTCATATTAATGTCACTATTGTACATGTATTGATCTTTATGGTTTCAATCGGTCTTTCAGTGACATACGCCTTAAACCAACATTGGATTATTGGTAATATCTTTGCTATATCTATTGCTATTCAAATTATTCGTACTTTGACGTTGAATTCATTTGGTACGGGTTACTTGTTATTGCTCAGTATGCTCGCTTATGACGTATTCTGGGTCTTTGGAACGGATACGATGCTTCATCTTTCAAAGGTCATCGTTAATTCCCCTACAAGTGTTGTTTGGCCAAGAAATATTAACACCTATGTTTTTAATAAGCTATTAAGAAAGGATCAATTTTTTACTATGTTTGGTTTAGGAGAAATCATTATTCCAGGTAAGAAAAGAAACATATTTAATTATTATTATTACGTAATGGTCATATAATTAATTACCAAAAAAAAAAAAAAAAAAAAAAAAAGGTATTTTCATTGCTTATTGCTTAAAGATTGACAAGCTAAACGAAAGTAAAAGGCAAAATAAATCTGAACAGAAAAAGAATAAGGTCTACTTCAAGAATCCTTATTTTATGTCATGTTTATTAGCTTATACGTTAGGTGCAGGTGCATCTATTTACACTGTTCATTTTACAAAGGAGCCTCAATCTGCATTCCTTTTCGTTGTACCTGCACTCATTTTGACATCATTTTCTATTGCTCTAGTTAGAAATGAATTGGGTCAACTCACTGATTGCTCAGCTATCTTGGAGACCTTTAGTGAAATGAATGGATATACTGAAGAACCGAGACCCACTATGGAGCAACGATTAAGACGAGCAGGAAGAAGAAGAAGTAGCTCAAGCAAAGAAGTAGTGAGTCATCGTACAAGAAGTGTCAGTAGTAGAGTAAAGAAAATGGCTCCCGAGACAACAGGTGTCGTTGAAGAGGCCTATGAAGAAACAAAGAGAGTGGTGGGTCCTTACGTTGAAGATGCTGTAGAGGAAACAAAGAACTTGGTCACTCCTTATGTTGAAGAAGCTGTCAATACAACAAAGAGAGCTGTACATGCAGTAGCTACTAAAATTCAAGAACAAACTGTGACTGAAGAAGATGATGAAGCTGTAAAATCCGAAACAAAACCTCGTCATCATGCTCGTCGCTCTGTATCTGTAGGTCGAAGAAGAAGAGGTTTAAGCCGAACAAATAGACACAAGTCATAACTTTATTATTCTTATACTTATTACTACTGTTATATACTATTATAATATAAGCCTATACAATCCTGCAGAAAGAAAGACTTATAATAAATGAATATAAATATGTATATATCATATTCTTTTCTTGCTTGCTTTATTTATTTATTTATTTACTTACTCACTCCTGTCGCACCAAGTCCTATTGCAGTTTTTGCTCGGTTAGGAACTTTATGGATGATCGTTGCCTCTCTTAAAGCATACGCGCCTAAACCTCCAAAACCAAGTGCTCCTGTTATTTTACAGGGTAAACAATCTTGATATACTTGATCCTCTTTTGCTGATGTGGCTTCAGTTTTATTTGTTAATGTTGAATAAATTTTCTGTCATGATTTTTTTTAAAAAAAATAAAAATAGAATGTATAAGTTGCATGTATTCAATAATCAATCATTGTTTTTCAATTACATTAAGCATAATTTATATGATTTATAAAAATGTTCAACTACGTAAAAATTCAGGATTCTTTTTTTTTTTTTTTTTTTTTTTTTTTTTTTTTTTTTTTTTTTTTTTTTTTTTATTGCGGGATTGATTTTTTTTTTTCAACCCGTCACAAGCTATATTTGTCTTGTCCTTTTTATTCTATTTTATTTTTTATTTTTTTTTTTTTTGTTTTAATTTCATAATCAAGTAGAATGATGAAGCCTGCACGTGTACAAGTAAGTAACAAGTTATTTCATTTTAATACATGTATTATTCATTATCTTTCATATAGGTAACTAAAGCCCAACTTGAAGAATATCTTAGAGAGAAAAGACCTGAAGGAGGAACTTATAACATTTGGCATCATCGTTACTCTGGTCTTGAAAGAGATTTTCATAGACATAGGTAATCTATATGTTGTTTTTTTTTGGGAGAGGAGAAAAAAAAAAAGATGCTAATAGATCATTACAGCGTAAGACCTAAATTCAAAGTAGACATTGCTAGAGATTCTGGAGAAACTTTGGGTAGTCGCAATAAAAATGCATATTTTTGTATATACTTTGCAAAGGGAATGTGCGCTTTAGGCCCTAAATGTCCCATGTGGCATCGTATTCCTAATGAAAGTGACCTTCAAGAAACAACTGTTGATTGTTTTGGACGTGATAAGTTTACGTAAGCGATGAAGAATAGTGAAAAGATATTTTTGTTTTTTTTTTAATGAGTTGATGTTTGTTAGTGAATTTCGTCAAGACATGGGTGGTGTTGGTGGATTTATGCGCGAAAATAGAACACTATATGTAGGTCGAATTGCTATCAACGAGGACACAGAAGGTGCAGTTGTACGGCAATTTGGTCAGTTTGGACCCTTAGAGAAAGGTAAATCAAGTTTATGCAATCTTAAATATACATGTCTATTCATATACACATACGATTTAGTAAGAATTTTAAGAGGACGTGGTGTTGCATTTGTTACATACAGATCAAGATCGAATGCCGAGTTTGCGAGAGAAGCAATGATGAATCAAAGTCTAGAAAATAATGAAATTATGAATGTTCGTTGGGCAACAGCAGATCCTAAAGCAGTTGAAGAAGATGAAATTGTGTATGTTCCTAATGAAGTTAAATTAGAAAAAGAAAGAATGGAAAGATTGAGAACAGAAATCAGTGAATCTTATGAAAGGTTTGATGCCGAAAATAAAACAGCAGCAGAAAATGTATATTTAAAACGGGATTTAATTGAAGATGGATCCAATGAATTAGAGCCTCAAACAAAAAAACAAAAGGGAGAAGATGATAGCACAACAGAACAAAACCCATATGAATATACAGAAGAAGACTGTATTCGTTATTATGAAGAACAAGCCTATTATGAACAACTACAACAACAACAACAACAACAACAAAAAGATGAAGAAAATAATAAAGCAGGAGGTATTATTCCTCAAAACGTATTAGCTAATTTAAAAACAATTTCAAAAAATACGGTAACAATGAAAAAGCCTATAAATACAGGCTTAGAAAATTTAACAAGTTACGGCAGTAGTGACAGTGAAGAAGAAGATTAAAATTCTAATTAATAAACTTATTTACTCAGCCTTATAATTGATGCTTTCACATCAGGCCACTCACAATCTTCAGCTTTGCAAATACAAATTATTTGCTTTGAACAAGGATGGAGAATCATCTTTGTAAATAAGTTTATAAAGAAGAAAGGAAAAAAAAAAAAATTTTTTTTGTCTTCCTACTACTAGTATTTATGTATGCAATTTAAGAACAGCAGCATTACCCATCTTATTATTACCTGTATTTAATCTCAGTCTATCCTCTTCCCTTTTTTTTTTTTTCCCTAAAAGTGTTTTGAAATAACAAAGATGGCTGACATGTTATATTCCGAAAATCCTGAATGGAGTGATGTAATACCTGTACCTCAGGATGATGGACCTAATCCTCTTGTTCCTATTGCTTATGCCAAAGACTGTAAGGAGAATTGCTTGTGATAAATAATACAAATACTAACTTCAAAAAAAAAAAAAATAGATTCTGATGCTATGGATTATTTTAGAGCAGTGACACGTACAAATGAGAAATCTGAACGTGTATTAAAACTTATTGCAGACATTATCGATAGAAATCCTGCACACTATACAGTCTGGTAATAGCTATATGTTATATTCAAATAAAAACTTCAGACATGTTGACAGTTTATTTAGGAATTATAGACAGCAGGTCCTATTTGCCTTAAACTCAGACTTACAAAAGGAATTGGATTACATTGATGAGATTGCACCTGATCAAATTAAGAATTATCAAGTATGGCATCATCGTCAAGTTATTGTAGATCGATTAAATAACGGAGATAGAGAATTACAATTTATAAATACCATATTGGAAGAAGATCCAAAGAATTATCATGGATGGTCCTATCGACAATGGGTTGTAAAACGATTTAACTTATGGGAACATGAGTTAGCTTTTACCAATGATTTATTAGTCTATGATGTTCGAAATAATTCTGCATGGAATTATCGTTATTATATCTTGTTTAATAATCCTAAAGCGCCTTCAAACGAACTAATTCAATCAGAAATCAAGTAAGTCTTTTTTACACATGTGTATTAATGATACATAAATATTTACGTATTTTTATTTTTAAAAAAAGGTTTACTGAAAAACAAATTACATTAGCGCCTAATAATTCAAGTAGTTGGGCATATCTTAAAGCGTAAGTAAATGGGATGGATAATGATATATAATAAAATCTAATTTGATTTATATTATATACAGATTATATGAAAAGACAAATAAGCCATTCAAAGAAATGGAACCTTTTATAAAGCAATTAATAGAGTCCAATACTCAATCACCCTTTCTTCTAATTGCTTATATCGATATTTATGAACAGAATGCAAGACTTGAAAATAAGTCTATTGATCCAGTTGCTTTAGAGATGTGTAAAGAATTAGCTGAAAAGCAAGACCCTATTAGAGAAAAATATTGGAATTTTAAAAAGAAGATGTTAGAGGAATTAAATAATAATAAAGCCTAATCATTCTCTCCGAAGAGCAAATCTTATTGATATATAATATTTGTATATAGCATACACATATTACAAAAGTTTAATTCTGTATGAATCATGAATATAAAGAAATAAGCTGGTTTAAAGCTGAGGAATACATAGTAGAAATTGCAGGAAATAATAGAATTTTTTTTTTACAGTGAGGACAGCTTGTGTTTATAGTTAAGTTGTTACTATAGCAGCGCAAAAACTGATGACGATATTTATCTGTTTTATGAATATGATAGCTGAAATAAAACCCAGACACATAGTAACAAATATTAATGTACAACAACAAATTACCTCATATTTCTTTCTTTCTTTCTTTCTTTCTTTCCTTTCTTTCCTCATTTGTAAACTAGTTTTTTATATGTATCGTCATGAAATTACAAGATAATAGGAAAAAGAATAATAATAATAATTTAAAGTTGGTGGTAGAGATTACACTATTACTGGCATTATTCCCTGCCTTAATAGGCTATTATTTCAACTACAAAGAAAGATGGATTTTATCTTTATTGTGTTATTTACTATCAGCCTATATAATAATGATACCTGTTGTGTTTTATATTAGTATTAAATCTATTCAGTATTGTACGCCCTTTATTTCACATATATTGACAAGTCTAAATAAACGTTTAAGGCCCATTGCTCACTATTTATCACATAATAAGATTCTCGGTACATTAGCAAGTATCTTTATTCGTTCACAATTTTTTATATGGTTTATGTTCTTATTGTTGAGTGATCAAGTTATTCGAGTTATTATGGGACAGTTCATTGGACAACATGCTAGCAAACGTTATTTATGTAAGTAAAAGAAGAAGAAAAGTAGTGTCCTTTTTTTTTTTTTTTTTGTTGTGGAGTTCTAATATTCATCAGCTATGATAAATGCATGTGATTCTCGATTCTTTAAATCTCCTCATGAAGAGCTTATTAATGATACAATCAAAGAAAAAAAGGAACAAACGCCACAGCTAGTAGATGAATCTGATGGGCAAAAAAGTAACACAAATTTTAAAAGACCCGAGTATTCATTATCTGTTGCACATACATTATCTGTTGCAAGTAAACTTGCCTATGAGGATGTTGCAGTCGTAAAATATGAATTAGAAAAAGCAGGTTTTCTTGTAGAAAAGACTTTCAAACCTATTGGCTATAAGGTATATCTATTAGTTTGCTCTATGTTTAGGCTGGTCTATTTAAAATTACATTATTTATAGAATGCATGTGCTTATATAATAGAAAAAGACAATGATATAATGCTTGTATTTAGAGGGTAGGAATTATATATATATATATAAGGTTAACGTATATGACTTATCTTCCTCTTTAATATAGTACAAATCCATTAAATATTCAAAATTATGTAACAAATATTGATGCAGGCTTGGCAAACATAATGTCATCCAAGAACCACTCTATGGGTAAAGTACATAAAGGATTTTGGGATGCTATGGGAGCTACAGAAGCAATAGAAATTCAAGGAAATAATACATCCATATCCAGTATACATGTCGATTTAAGTCATGTCTCTTTTTACAAATCTATCTCCACGGCATTTTTAGGAATTATTCGAATCTTGAAAGCACTCTCCTTCAACATCTTTGCTAATGTGATTGACCCTATTGACGCTAGTTGGGCAGGATATGATTCAGCTATTATTCGACATCAAAGTTTATATAGTCAATCTGAAAAGTATATTTTAGAATTATTTAAAAGTATGAATGATGATGAGGGAAAGAAGAAGTTGTATATTACAGGTCATTCACTTGGTGGTGCACTAGCAACAGGTAAAAATAAATAAATAAAAAAGGTTTATAATGATGAATCATGTTCATTAAGAAAATATATATTATTTAGTTTTTGTTGCAAAAATGATTCAAACAGATAGTGTATTGCTTGACTATTTTGCAGGTTTATACACCTATGGACAGCCTAATATTGGTGATAAAGATTTTAGTAAATCATTCAGTTCAGATATAACCTGCAAAATATTTAATCATGTATATAATAATGGTATATATTTATATACATATATATAATATTAAACTACGAATATATTAATAGCTTTACTTATAGATGTCATTCCACGTATACCTCCCTGGTATAGTCCACCTCCAGGAACATTGGTATTTATAGATTCTTCTTACAAAATCTCCATCTATCCACCGAATCAGTTGACACAGGATCCTGTTCCTATGAGATCTATTTCTTATCTTCATCTATCAGGCTTATTGAATAAACACGTTATTCGTAGATTGAAATCGGAATCGGCATTACGTGTTTTATTTCGTATTCTATTACCTTTCTTTTTAAACGACCATTTCCCTTCAGACTATTGTGACGCCTTATTAATGGGTGACGTTGAATGGATTATTCTAGGTGAAAATGAAGGTGGTACTGATTATGTGGATGATAGATATAATAAGAAGGGATTAAAAAAAATATAGCTTACAGAATGCAACAAACGAAGAATAATGATGTATCATGTATTTCATTTTATTATATTATATGTGTTTTTTATTATTATTATTATTATTATTTCTAAAGAGGTACATTAGCATCTAATAAACATAATAATCCGATACTTTCACCGAAATAACTAGTCTCCATTTGTTTCATTTCTCCTTGTATTTGAGCTAGTTGGCTATTCCAACCAAGAAGCCAAAAGAGGAAACAAGCAGGAGCTACAAAGGCCATATCTGTATAATCTACATAGCAACCACCATTTAATCTATATCCAGCTTTAATACCACAATCTCCTCTTCCACCTCCTTTAGCAAGTTGACCAGCAAAGAAATGAGCTTGTGTTTCAAGGATAGGTCGAACTCGTTCATCTCGAGTTAACATATAATAATGACCAATACGCCATGGTACACGACATGAGTTCCAATTATAATCAGGATCATGTTCACTTTCCAGAACTTCACCTCGAACAGGATAATAGAGTCCACTGTTTTGATCCAATTTCAAAAAGTCAGCAATTAATCCTGTTTGAGGATTCAAATTAAGTTGGACTTGAATAGTATTTATAATAGCTGAAATGACTTGAGCCCATTGATCTTTACGCTGTGTATCTTCCTAAAATATGACATTATATATTTTATTAGAACAAAAAAAAAAAAAAAAAAAAAAAAAAAAAGGGAAGAGAAGGGAACTTACATAATAGAAAATTAAATAGCCACTTAAAATAAAATCACTTGGTCTTGTTAACAAATAAGCATCATCTCCAGGATCTGCCCAGTCACCAATAAGAGGCATATGTGTTTGAGGATGAATACAGTGTTGATAAATACATCCTGCCAATTCAACTGCAGCTTGTCGATAATCGATTTCACCATGTGGTCCTCCACGTCCCCATACCTTAGCTGCTACAAATAATGCAGTACAAATGTCGACATCACCATCAGTAGCACAATTCTCCCCTCCTTCATCACCTGGAACAAATCTACCATGATGATCTACCTTTTGTTGCCATCTGTATAAAATAAATAAATAAATAAATAAAGTTATTTACGCTAAATGTTAAAATACATTACTGCATTAATCCTTTTCTATTTCTAAATCGAGCAAAGTATCTATATAAGCCTTAATTAAATAACATGAGCCCTTTTTATTTTCAGTCATTAATTTAGTCATGATTTACCATCAAAATCTTGTTGATTACGCTTTAATACAGAAATAAGCATGCCATAACCTATTATATATTTTTAGTTTTTTTCTTTTTTTTTTTTTTTTTTTTTTTTTTTTTTCTTTTCTTTTCTTATTAGAATAAATTATTTTACCATGAGCCTCGGAGCAAGTCATTTCTTTTAAACCTTCTTTTTCGTCTTTATAATAAACGTATAAACCATCCTCATAGCTTCTTAAATATCTATAACATGCAGTATTTATTAAAATAGACTATTAACAAAATACAATAAATAACTAACCTTGTTCTCCATTGTACATAACTTTGTTCTAAATCGCTCATTTTTGTTAAACTTAAAATAAACAAGAAAGAAAAAGGAAAATGAAAAAATCTCGGGATTTCTTATCTTATATGGATATCAGCATGAATTAAAATTAAATAATTTTTTTTTCTACAATGAAAAATGATTGGCCGTTTTAAAAGTTGTTTTGAGCACTGGAAATTTGTTGTTCAAGAATCAGCGATTCTTAAGAATAAAGAGCCTTTAGCCATCAGATTCTTCCTCTTTGCAAGAACCCATAAATTTTCAATTAAATTCAGTTTTGGAAAATATAGAGTTAAATACGTGAGTCTATAGTCTCTGACCTTGCGCCCTTGATTAAACTCATCGTTTTAAAAACTATTATTATAGACTGATACGCATAATTAATTTGAACAAGTATGGAGAGAGGTATGTATAAGAAAATATATATCAACAGTTTTATTAAAGCCCTAATTAATGGTGTTTAGAGTCTGATCAGTCTTCACAATCCAATTATATCTTTGAGATGTATATATACGTGAAAACAAAAAATTTCGCACATGTTCTTATAAACTATGTTTATCGATAATGGGCTTATATAACTGGAACATGCAGATCAAGGGTTTTATTATAAAACCAGCTTTATTCTAATTGTTAATAAGATATTGATAAGAGTTCATGTTAAAGTTTATTTACCTGGTTTTGGTTGATTAATTGATAGTTATTGATAAAGGCAAAGAAAAACATAATAGTAATGATAAATATATATGTGTCGGGATATGTCAAAAAAAAAAAGTAGTTTGTATATGACTTTATAAATCAGAGTTTACCTCTCTCTCTCTTCTCTTTCTTATTCCTTTGCATTTGTTCCTCAATTATACAATAAACTAGCAAAGTAATTCTCTTTTTTTTTTTTTAATACTCCATCCAAAAATCCTGAAAGCAAGTAGCCGACAAACGTGTCATAGCGGTAAAGACAACTGTAAAGAACATTTGGAAGCCGGCATATATCAAGCCATTACAAGATCTAGTAGATATTATTAATACAATTGTCACTCCCACTTTTGCTTTTATCAAGTATATCTTTGTAAGTGAGTTGGTGAGAAATATCGAATTTGACTTGAAAAGCTATGTCAACAAGAGTTTTTTTTTTTTTGTTAAAGTATTCTTGAGTCTTACCCTAAGACGAGTGCAAGATGGTACCAAATCTGGAAAATAAAAACACGCCTCAAAGAAACAACGAAATTATATAGACAATTGATTGCCAAACACAAAGGCTCATATTGCAAAAATGCCGGCTATATTCCACCTAAACTAGCATATGCGCAGCAAATTGCTTTGGACGAATGTACGAAAGTTAAATGTTTAAAACAGTCGCCAACCCTCGCCCCCATAAGAGAGAGCCAAAATGCCAACTGTAAAATGTCATGACTTATTGAGGTAAAGTAGCAGTATGAATTGTATTAATACGACAGAGAATAATAATAATTATTGAACTATTAGATGTAAAAATCGTAACTGTCTGTTGGCCAACCTTGAACAAGTCAAGGAAATTCCACGAAAGCTGTGGAATCGAGATATGGCAGCTGTTTTAAACTTTCGAAAGATCTTGATGAGCTTGAGAGAGACAGGTAAACGCTCTGGTATTTGTAGCAGAAAAGAAGCGTCAAAACCGGAATGAAGGAAACAATAGCAAATCTTCGCCAAAGTTATCACTTTGGTTATTTAATGCAGGTATGTTGCTTTGAGATTACTTAAAAATATTGGTGAGCCCATCATTTTTTGGTTTTTCGCCAATACTTTTTTTAGTAAGCACTAAATTATTTTGTTATTATCACCATTCAAATTTCTAAATTAACCAATATTTCCCAGCTTCACTGTAAACAATATTACTATAAATAGTTTTCAAAGTGTTTTATTATTATTATTACATAATAAAGTTGCTGTTTATGCTTTTATAATTGCATATAAAGATGATTTAGGAAAGACGATAATAACAGTTTTATCTTCTTCTTTTTTCCTTCTTTCTTTCTTATTCTATAAATGAGTATATTTCGTTCTGTTTTAACAGCAGATTATAGTCTTTGATTAGTTTAGTGTATCCTTTCACTAACAAAAATTCTTTTTTCTGTATACTCTTTGAAGGAAATAGTTCGATATTCATTCAATTCTTATCAAAATTATAAGGAATAGAATTAAAATACATTCACTTATAGCAGGTAACTAGTCATGAATGTATCCTAGAATACTATATTGTCGTGTCTGATATACTTATCTTGAATAGTAGCTAACTCCCTTATTTCTCCTGTGTAACTAGAGTGATTAGTTTGTAGAAGAGAGAGAGAGAGCTTGGCTAATTTTGCTATTTATATAATCTATTATCACATAATCATTACTGATTGCAGTTATAAACAATATTAAGAAGAAAAAAAAATGCTTGATTATAAAAGATTAAATTCATAGGATCCATCTTTTATTTATTATCAGACTTCATCAAAATTTGTAGGAAAAATATAAGGGCTACTATCATACTGAAAAATTAAAATAACATAAATAAATATGAGTATATATAAATACGTTTTGGTTTCAATGATCAACTAAGTAAGGCTTTATATACATATTAATTTAGTTAGTAGCAAATATAGGTGACATACATTGATACAAGTTATTCCTAAATAATACATTAAGGAAGACATGTACAGAAATAATAAGTTGATATTTATAGAATTGACAAGTTTAATAAGTAACTTGAAAATGACTAGTTTGTTTAAATAATTTATTACTATTCTATATTATTATACATTATGTAATATATTGTTTTAGAATCAGTTCCCTTTACTGTCTACTATATATGTATATCTTTTTTTTTTTTTTTTTCAAAAAAAAAAACAAAAGAAAGTATGTCAAAGAGAGGGAATTAAAGATATAATATTTACAAATATATATGAGGAAATATATATATGCATATACATATATAAATATATAGATATACATACATACATGCATGCATATATAAATAAGTTAGTTATGGAAAGCATCTCTCCATGACTTTAGGTTTGAAGGAATACGCTTCCAAGTAGAAGGCTTAAATATACTGACACCTTCAAGAGGATCATTTTTCTTTTCAGTATCAGATTCTAATGTATGTTCCCTTTAAACAATAATAAATCATTAGTAATTTAGTTCAATATCAGAAATAGAAAAAAAAACTTACTGGAGTTCTTCACGACCTGAAATCAAATCCACTTCAATTAAAGGAATCAACTTTGATCTCTTAACAATCTTATAACCTAAAAAGAATACAAAAAAGATAGGTACACCAATATAAGCAGCGACAAGATCTGATGGAACAATAGGTCTAGCATTCCAGGCACTATAACCTTGACCAACGACAACAAATGAACACACACTGAATGAAATAATAGGACCTAAGGGGAAGAATCTGGCCTTGAAGGGAAGATCGTTGACATCATAACCTTGCAAAACATAAGCACGACGGAAACGGAAATGAGAAGCAGCGATACCTAACCAAGCAATGAAACCAGCAACACCAGAGATATTCATAAGCCATTCATAAACGACACCATTACCGAACAAAGATGTTAAGAAAGCAAGCATACCAATAACAGCTGTTAAAAGTAAACAATAGATCGGAATGCCGCTCTTTGTAATTCTTTTAAAAAACTTGGGAGCCTTTCCTTCCATTGCAAGATCTAAAAGAGTACGACTTGAAGCATATAAACCAGAATTACCAGCAGATAAAACAGTCGTTAAGATAATAGCATTCATAATATGTGCAGCAGGAGGGATACCAGCCTTAACAAAGACCAAAGTAAAAGGAGAGATAGCAACATCACTTACACTACCCTTTAAAAGGTTAGGATCATTATAAGGAATAATTAAACCAACGATGAAAATAGAGAGAATATAAAACAAGACAATACGCCAAAAGACTTGTTTAATAGCTCTAGGTACGTTCTTACGAGGATTTTCACTTTCACCTGCTGCTACACCTACTAACTCTGTACCTTGAAATGAAAAGCCTGCAGTTAAAAATGTACTCAAAATGCCTTGTCGTTGAATACCACCGAAATTAAAGACTGATGTACCATAATAATGACCACCCAAAACAGCTGTATCAACTAAAATACCAAGAATAATAAAGACGATAACTGTTAATACTTTAATTAATGCAAACCAATATTCCGCTTCGCCTAAAATAATAAAAATTGTATGAGTTGTTTTAGTTATATATATATATGTATATATATATAAAGTATTGATTTTACCATAACCCTTAACAGAGAATAAATTCAAAGATAAGATAATAACTAAAAATATAATTGACCAAACATAATTTGGAACATGAGGTAACCAATAAGCCATAACCATAGAACCTGCAGTCTAAATTTCATATATATATATATATATATATATATTAGTGTTTACAATTTTTAAACATTTGGCTTGTTATTATTTACCAATTCTACTGCGACTGTGACAGCCCAATTATACCAATAATTCCAACCTAATGCAAAACCTAAAGCGGGATCAACAAATCTACCTGCGTAATTATTAAAACTGCCAGAAATTGGAAGATAAGTTGCCTAAATTAAGAAAGTGTTTTTTTTAGACTAAGGTTTCAGTTATATTTTTCTTCTCTCTTTAAATACCATTTCGCCAAGGCATTCCATTGTAAAGAAAACCATAATACCAATCAATGCATAAGCAATTAATGCACCACCAGGACCAGCAGATGCTACAGACGCACCAGATGCTAAGAACAAACCTGTACCAATTGTACCACCCAATGAAATCATGGTCAACTAAAAAAAAAAAAAATAAAGCATTTAGATTTAACCATGGTTTCATATTACGTAATAACCACCATAGAGAACTTACATGTCTAGCCTTCAATGCTCTCTGTAATTTAGGCTTATCGTCAATAACGTCCCCTATAGATCCTGATTGCCCTCTATTATATAGACTATCAGCATCTTCACTAAAACCATTATGCTCTGTAGTTCGTCTTTTCATATCTGGTGTTGGTATACGTGACCTTATAGTATCCATCATCTTCATGTCTTTCATATCAATTTCCTCAATCACTTCATTTTGAACACTACCACTGCTGCCTCCTATACTGTATTTATCAACGTTATGACTCTTCTTTCTTCCAAACATATTTCAAAAATTAAAAGAAAAGAAAGAAAAAAAAAACAGACTAAAAAAAGACAGTTCAATCAAATGAAGCTGTTATTTTTTTTTATTTTTTTTTATTTTTACTAAATTTGGTAAAATAAATTAGATTATCAATTTTTATTTCCGAACACTTGCTACTCTGTAAAGGAATCTACCACTTCTTTAATGAATAATAATGGGCCTCTTTTCTTTTTTCTTTTTCATTTCTTTTTTGTTTGACCAACGTCAAAGTTTAATATGCTTGTGTAATAATAATAAAAGGAAATTAATTTTTACCTGCAGTTATTGTATGACAAACTATTTTTATTACTATTAGCAGTTGTAGTGGCGCATAATATGTGGCTTATTTTTAGTATTAATTAAACTTGACCCTGTTTTTATGTTTGTACAGTGAATCTAATAAGCAATGTCGCAGCCAATCAAAACTGTTGTCGCTGGACAATCAAAATCAATTTCGTGCTTTCAGAAATGGAAGTCGTGCTATTAGAAACCATGCCGTTTCTTCGCACTTGAAAAAAGATAAATCGCAGGTACTGCTTTTTCAGGTGTTTTTTTTTTCTTTTTTCAATCTTTGCAAATTAACATGAGCACAATATTTTTATATGAAGATGGATGTGGGAATGTGGTTGATGAGAATGGTGGTCCTGAACCCCATGGACTACATTGTTGATCAGAATGAATTTGTGGTTGAGACGTTTGCATCTCATACTGAATACTTGAAATATGCAGCTTGTGGTGAATCCTCTTGGACTTGCCCAATACCGGTAGAAAAAAATCAAAAGAGGAAGACATCCGTTTGAAGGAAAATCAAATATAAAACGGGATTATGTTCTCTATACCGCACAAGATAAAGCTAGGTTTTTCGATCTGAATATTGAAAAAGTGTATGAGTGGCGTCAGCAGCAGCAGCAGCAGCAAAACAGTTGGGTATTCATGCTCGAACTGCTCAGAGATGGGTTTAACAATATAATGTGTGTCCTGATAGCATTTTTTGAGGATTCTGAAAAAAGTCGGACGCAAGTGTATCTTGACCGAAGAGCATAAAACGGGTGTCATCAACTTCATTGATACTAATCCCTCTGCGACTGTAGTTGAAGTGACCAACCATTTATTGAAGCGATTCAATAATCTTAAGGTTTCACACGCAGCACTAATTATAACTCTATGAGATATGAATACAACCTTTCGTTGAAAAAAGCGGATTTCCATTCCATTGAAAGGAACAGTCCAGCAAAGATTAAGGAGCGACACGATTGGGTTCGTAATTGGGGAAAATACGGACATGAACTTCCTCACGAATTGCGTATTTCTTGATGAGTCTGCGTTTGATATCAATATGAAACAATCAAGAGCATCGTCCACAAAAGGTACTCGTGCTATTGTTAATCGACCTACTACCAGAGCAAACACAACGTCTATTTTAGGCGCTATCTTTGCCGCAGGTTTGATTACAGTCGGTGTAAAGAAGCCAAGACCTACCAAGAAGAGAAAGGCTGAAGGCTATATAAGCTCAGGAACTGTAACAAGTCACTATATTAGGTTTTTTTTTTTTTTTTTTTTTAACTGACTCTCGACGGAATGGACAAACATCCACATATGAAAGGTCACTATGTAGTCATGGATAATGCACCCATTCATACGTATGAAAACACAAAGAAGTATATTGAGTATCGGGGATATAAATGTATGTATCTTCCTACTTACTCTCCTGAGCTTAATCCAATAGAGCAATTTTGGATAGTGACTAAGAGTAAGGTTAAGCGCTATAGATTTTTACAGGAAGATACTTCGTCAAAAATAATTACTGAAGCCTGCAACAACGTAGGAAAAAATCATGTTAAAGGGTTCGCTTTGCATTATTATAAGTGCTGGAATAAATATCGAAACAAAGAGCCTATGTAATGGTCACTGACAGAGTTTAGTGATAAGAATGATTAAGATAAGTAGTAACAGCTTTATTTTACTTCGAGAGAATCACAATGACTGCGTAAGACTCGAAAAAAAAAGTATCTTCCTGCGGATAAATTTTATCATTGAGGTCAAGGCGTTAGACACTTTTGCTTCTTGTTTTCAAACGTTAAACATTTTAAAGTCCGGGCATTATGCAAAAAAAAATCTTGCCTCCTCTGTAACACTATTGTTACACTATGCAGAATGAATTGAATGGTTTTGTTCACTGAATTTTATGTTTTGTTTTGCTTTTCTTTTATGAGCTGACTTATTATGTCATATTCCTTGACTAAACAAGCGGATCAAGGAATTCTATCTAGATTCCCCTGAAACTCTCTTGATCCACTCCATCAAACGATATTAAAACTTCTAACACTTCATTATCTACAACATATCTTATTAAGTCGCAACAAACACTTTTCTGACTCACATCTTATGTCAGGCCTCGTTAACAATTCTTATAAATACCCCATCAATTTAAATTCATAAATAAAATGTTTGACACTAAAACCATTGTTTGGTCTCGTTGACTTTCTTTTGTCTTTTTATTATTTTTATTTGATATTTCACAAGTAATATTACACATATTTTGATGTTAGAACAGTATATAGAATAAAATGCATTGTATACTATATAAAAGGGGGAAGGGAAAGATTACTGTGAATGCAAGTCAAAGATACTTAAACTGGTTTTCATAGCATGCATCAACGAAGCTAAAATCGTTAATCTTTACAACATCATTTTGGCAGAAGAATGATTTTAAGCACAACACAAGAGAGACTAGACTTATCAAATACCCCTTGTTAGAAAATAGTAGTATTTTGTAAATGAGATGCATATTAGTTGCCTAAATAGGAAAAAAGAAAGTTTATGAGAATATAAACAACAAAAAAGTGAAAAAAAAAGACATTTATTTTATTTACTTTTCTTTTCTTTTCTTTAACATAAACACATTTCATATAGTCATAAAGAAGATATAAAATTGACAACATTTTACTATTCTACACATTGTTACTTTTTATAAGAAAGGAAGAAAATTAAATAATGTAACTGTATTAAATGTGGGGTAACACATATTCTTATCGATTTCATATGATTGTGACTGTAATTTACAACAACGACCTCCTTATTCTTATAAAAAAGTAGATATTCAAAGTTATTTTTTCTTCTTTTTCTTCTTTATTATTACTATTTCTTTTGTAGGTAAGTCATTAAATAATACTATTTTATTCTTCTTCTTCTTCCCTGCCCTAGGAGGAAATTCTTTTTCTCATGGTTACTACTTATGTAACGCCTTCTGAATCAACAAGACACCCTATCTTGCCCTCCTTGAATTAGGAGGACATTGTAGGGTATCTTGTTGTTTCAGAGGGCGTTACATATTGTGATAGCTATGGGTTTTTTCTAACCTCCTAGTAAAAATAAAAAATACAAGAACAAAGAAGGTGCAACGAATCCTAGCCTCCACGCGGCCACCTTTGGACTGCAGTAAATATTACTGTTGACGAATTGGGGATTCACTTTTTTTATATATGAAATAAAAATGAAAATAAAATACAATAAATAAATATCTCTTTTTTTTTACGCGTCTTTTAATAATCTTGTGCCTTCTTTAACTATTGTTTGTATAATAAAATATCTTTTTGCTCCAAATTGACTTTAGGAAGTATAAAAATCTATTTAGAATACACGTCATTTAGTTCTTTACTAATACATGTATGAAAACTATGTAAAGGAAGCGAAAAAAAAAGAAGAATTTAATATGGTTTCATTTTATTTTATTTTTTAACATCACTGTTCATCATTTATGATTGTTTGTCCATTGGACAAGCTAGACATTGTTGAATGCACTTTAAAATAGACATAGTATAGTTTCTACCTTTTTTTTTTCTTTTATTGTCATTATGAAAAGCTATTTTTTTTCTTGTTCATTATATGTATTCTTCCTTTAGTTTTCAATAATAAAATATACACTATGTATAAATGTTTAAGAATAAGGCAAGTTTAACTTTATGCTAGTCACCAATGAATAAAAAAAGTTACTAGTATAATAGACATAAAAGTTAAGTCTATATTTATTGGTCTATATGATTGAAGGTTATGTTTCCAAGTATGTGCTGTAGACACTAGAGTATAAATCTCTATTGATTTTCTTACGTCTTTGTAGACTGATAATTAAGTTACAGTATATCAAGTCATGACTTCCCTTCTATTATAACATAATATGTATGTCGATTGGCTTATTTTGTGAGTAACTCATATTACTATTCAAAATAAATAGAGCAAAATAAAATTATACACTCTAAAAGTAAAGCATAATAGCATATAATAAATACCATCCTTTATTCATAACACTGATAATAGCATAGCATATACATATACATGTATGTATACATTTGTATACATTTGTATACATATTTTTTTTTTTTTTTCAGAAATCAGTAGCAAAAGACCTTTAATTTTATTTGTAATTTTTGATTGTCAATTCAACTGAGTTTTAAAGTTTTTTTTTTTTTTTTTTTAATAAATGTGTACACATATTAAAATATAAATCCATTCATAGATTGCTTGTTCACACATAGATAAAAGGTCGATGATAACGGTAAATAATAATAGTAATAATAATAAAACAATAAAATAATAAAAACACAAAAAGAACAAATTTAGTAAACTTTATACTTTCTATAAATCATTGCCACTAATGTATATAATTAGCATGGTTTATCTGCCTCAATAAAAGAAAAGGGCTCACTCTCTACTTTTAATGTTCCACGCCGTTTTCATTTACCCATTGCGTTATTAAGACTTTTATGCATAATACCTGCATTAATAGGTGTTTATAATAATATCACAACACCTTTTACGAATGATGACTATTCAGGTTTATTTCAACACAAGAGCTCACCATTAACACATAAAGTAGCTTTATTATGGGTAAAAAAAAAAAAAAGAAATATAGATTAAAAAGATAATTATTGAAAAAAAAAAAAACTTGTTTAAATAGTGTATACTTGCAGGTTATTGGAGTTGGGTATTAACGACAAGCATGCTTCGAAGATGGTTGTATCATTATGAGATCAGTAGTACCATCGTTCGCCTTATTACACTCAATGTCATCAATTGGTCTGTTTCAGCTTATCTCAGTTCTCGTTATGGCATCGATCAACCCATTTGGAAATGGATGACAATTTGTATGATACTTTTTGTTTCTAATATCATTAAAATAAGATTTGCATCAAGACCTAAATATCATACACGTACAGAAGAAATGGAGCAACCTTATTTAAATTACAAGTCTACTTTTGTACGAGTTTTAATATTTCCTTTAACAGTTGTTATTTTCATTACCATGTTTGCTTCACTTTATCAAATAGGTCAGATGAGAAGAGTCTCTGGGGAATTATTAGCACAACGAACAGTGATGCCTATCAAAGAGCGTCACCCTGAATTAGCGGATGCACACGTTCGTGTCATGGTCTTTGTCCTTTCCGCCTGGACAGCCAAAAGTCTCGAAAAACGTAAAGTGTTTCGTGAGACAACATTGAAGCTTATGCCCGAGGATAATGAACATATCTCTTACTTTTATCGATTCATCATCGGTCAGCCACCTAATGAAAAAGTGAAGATGACGATGGGACCCTTGATTGAACAAGAGATAGATGCTTATGGTGATATTTTATTATTACCTTGTTCAGATCTCTATGAGGATTTAAGTAAAAAAGTCTATGCTGCCTTTGAATGGGCAAACCAATATGATTTTGATTATTTTGTAAAGACAGATGATGATATCTTTGTAAGATGGGATACAATTAGTAAAGAAATGGAATTAGCAGGTAGAACTCAACGTTATTGGAGGGGATTAGCTTATTGGTAAATTTAAGAAATGTAAATTGTATTGTCTTTTTTTTAAATATGTAATGATATAGGAATATACCACCCATTCGAAATTCTGAAAATAAGAATGGTGAACTTGTGTATCCTTTACCTATTTTCCCGCCTTATACAGCTGGTGCACTTTATATTCTCTCAAGGGATATAGTCCATTTAATTGCTGGTGTACAGGGCCCACGTATGTTTGTAAAGAATGAAGATCAAAATCTCGGTATTTGGTTGTTCCCCTTTAATATTTTGCCTATTCATGATCGTCGTATCCAACAAATTGATGTATGTGAAGAAGATATGATTGGTAAACATTTTGGTGATTTTGGTGAACCAGATGCTATTGGTGGAACAATGTATGATATGTTGGATAATCTTCAAAATGGACGAAAGATGTGTCACGGTTTCAAGACGTCTGTATGTGGTATGTGTTATCCATGTCATGGTAAGGGGAATCATTGGCGAGATTGGAACTTTGATTGTGACGATAAAAAGGGTGTTACTTTACTTCATTTACCTCAGCTTACACTCATGGAATAGAAAGTATAAAATTCATGTATATATATAAATATGAAAAAAAAAAAAAACTTCCTCATATAAATAATGGATTTTACATGTTACATTTTACTTATTATCTGAACTTTTTCTTTTTTTTTATATATTGTAATACATATTACATGTGAATTTTCTTATTTATTTTATTTATATTTTTATTCATTTTTTTTCGTTATAGCTATAAATATATGCCTTTGTATATATAATATTTTACTTTTAAGAGTACCAATGATAGCAGCAGGAGCATACTTTTGAACTACATCAGGTTTATGCATCATATTAAATTCTTCAGTTGCATCACGACCGGCATAAATAAGGATTGCCTTCTTTCCTCCAGGATGATCAGGAAGGAAATCAGTAACATCCAAGACTTGGCCATTTACAACAACCCAGCAATCGTCTGGCTTATTATGTTTTGCAACATCTTCAAGTGTATATTCACCCATCTTCTTTGGCTCATCTACCTTTTTTGTAGATTCTTCTTGATTATGAATAGGGGCAGCAGATGTATCATGATGCATTGTAGGAGCAGTTCCCTGTGATTGACTACCGCCGTTTGAAGGTAAAGAAATATCTAAGCTAATTACATTAGGCTTAGCAGGATGAACTACAATATTGATACCAAGTCCACCTAAATGTTGACCAATAGCGCCTAAACGTTGTTGAGCTACCTGAGTTGGGTTCCCATTAATAAGTTTAGAGAACAAATAACGAGATGCTGTTTCACCTGCAACACGTCCGAATACAACACAACCCAAAAGAGAGGAACCGCCAAGACGATTAGCACCATGAACACCACCACACATTTCACCTGTAGCAAAGAGGCCAGGAATAGGATTACCTTCTGTAGATTTTATTTCGGCATCAGGCGTAATTTCAACACCACCCTATTGAAAAAAAAAAACAGTTGTGTTTTTAATTATCTCTTTTCTTTTCTATGTATATATATATATATGTGTGTGTGTGTGTGTATGTGTGCAAGCAAGACTTACCATGGTATAATGAAGAACAGGTTGCATAAGTGCAACATAAAAATAATCTGTCATCTTGATAGGCACATTATGGAAGAATCGTTTACCCCAAGGGTCCTTTTCTTTACCTTCAGCAATTCTATTATAAGTTTCAAATGTTTGTTCAAGATGTTTAGGACTGATCCCCATTTCTTTAGCAAGGGCTTCACCATTAGCAAAACGTTTCATTAACCCACGACCTTCATAGTGACGACAATGCCATTCAATTTCTTTAGAAGCAGCTGTATTCAAGATAAGACGGATAGGGAATTTATTCTTATTCATCATACCCGTAACATAATCACGATGACCTAATTCATCACAGAAACGGTCACCATCTGCATTCAATAAAAGACCACCACAGCCACGAAGAGCTTCAGCAGCCAAGAACTTGACTTTAGCATCAGGTTCCTTAGGATCTACTAAGCCAGTAGGATGAACTTGAACTTTTTCAAGATCGATTGTATTAGCACCAATAGAGGCTGCCATCTTGATACCATCACCTGTACAATGATCACCATTTGTTGTAGAAAGATTATAAAGTTCAGGGCGATACTTCTTGAGTAAAGATTTATTCTCTGTGAAATCAGCAGCATAACCACCTGTAGCCAAGATGACGGGTCCATATTCTTTTATTTTTTCATTAGTAGCTCCTTTACCAACAAGAACATATTCAACACCAATAACATTGCCTTGTTCATCCTTGATCAAATTTTCTACCTTTGCCTTTTTAATAATCTTGGCACGATGGGGTTGCTTTTCAGCCATCTCTTCCATGCCTTCCATCAAGGCATATGTAATCGTCATGCCTGGGAATTGTTCCTTACCACGATGTGTACGAGGGAAGGAGTGGCCACCAAGACGAGATACAAGTGATAAATCTAAAGTAAACTTATCTTGAAGCCATTCAACGGCAGAACTAGATCGTCCTGTTAAGACACGGATAAGATCAGGACGTGCTAAATCACGTGCAGACTTTAGTGTATCTTGATAAAATTGTTCAACAGAGTCTTTAATATCCAAAGCAATTTGAGTACGTGTTAAAGCACCATTAATACCAGATGTTGCCTTGGTAGAATTACCACTTGAAAATAATAATAATAATAAAAATGAATTTAAATTTTCACATGTTTATTTTAACTTTTTTTTTTTCCTTTTACCCAAAGAATGGATTTTTATCAAGTAACAAGACATTGCCACCATGTTCAAGAACAGTATGAGCAGCTGAAAGACCTGAAAGACCGCCACCAACGACAATGATTTGATTATTAAGGGACATCTTTTTTTTTTTTGCTGAGATTAATTAATTCAAGAAATTTAAAAAAAAAAAAGAGAGAGAGAGAAAAGAAAAGATACTTTTATTTTTATTTTTTTTTGTTCTTCTTATTGAGTGACGGCTATCATAATTATTGTGATCAGGTGGTTTATAATTAAGATTAAGTTGTTTCCCACTCCAGTTTTAATAAAATTCATGTGCATCTCTCACACAATACTTTAAATGTTCTATCAAGTAAAATTCCATTAAATGATAACAGAAAAAAAAAAAACTATTATAAAAGCAACACATATACCTGTTGAAATAACATACATATACATCTTTATGTATATATTATATAGTTTATGCATAACTTTTTTTTCAAGGGAAGGTACAAAAGGAAAGTTGCACAAAAAGATGGGAATGGTGGTAATAATGATTGAAATTGGGTATATTTAAAGAGGGTGATGGTGTATAAAAAGGAGGTGAATTTAGAGGGCGGGTATATAAATATGAAAAAAAAAATACAACATAGCATAATAACATAATTTTTCTACTATTACAATACATATAATTTATCTATATTTTTCATCCAAGCCAACATGTCTGATTTAGAATTGGCTTGTAAAATATATGCATTATTATTTGTGTAAATTGAAAAAACATAATTACGCTTAAAAAAAATAAGTAAAGAGATTTAACACATAAAGTAATAAATATACCTTTAACAATTCTTCAAGAGCTTGATTATAATCGATTCTGACATTACAGATATTAATTATGCCCCGTTCTTCAACTTCTGATTGATTAGTGTAAATATAAATATATGGTCTTATTTTTAATTCATTTTAGTCATCTTTAATGCTATAATTAAAAAAAAAAAGAATAGATTTTACCTTCGTAAGACAAACCATCTTTTAGTCCATTTATTATCTAAGGCATTTTCTTGATATATTAAATATCCTTTTCTAGTTACATTATCACTATTATAAGTAAAGAAATATTAGATACACACACATATATATATATATTTATATAACTGCTTTCTTTCTTTGAAGTTATTTTCTTACAATTCAGTTATTAGTTTAACTTCGGAAATTAATTTGGTCGTTAGACTCCACATTTCTGTCTGATTTTGATGACCTTGCATACCAGGAATAGGTGGATCTTGACATAAAATTATCTACGTGAAAAAAAAACAGTATAATTATTAATATTAATTTTAATTAAAAGCAGAAAGCGATTGAACATTTTATAATACCTCTTGGGTCGTTTCCCATTTACTATTCCATAATGAAAGCACCTTTCGGATTAAATTAGTCTTTTTAGTTTCTAATACTGTTGTTGAAAAATGATGTTTATCATCATCTAGTGTCATCAAACTTTGACTTGTTTGTGATCTAGTTTGATGAAAAATAATGGCTTGTTTAGCAATTTCAACTTGTTCTTTACGTTGAATTCGTTCTTGAATATGCCGATAATCATTTACGAGTGAAACCCCACGGGGTCGCCAAGGTCTTAGATACTCTTCTCCAGGAATTTGTTTAGTTGCGGTATTTAATCTCCATAATTGGCTTACACGACGTATTGTAGGAGATCTTAAGGAGATCAAAAAGACACCGCTTTGTTTTGTTAATTGTCTTGAGGGTCCTAGCAAAAGTTTTCGAATTCCAAAGTTGGATGCATCACGATCTTGTATACGAATAGCAATATCCATAGCACATTGAATTGGCTTTGAACATGTGTCAACTTCAATCTCCCATTTAAGATTTAAAAGAATACTTGTATGGGTGGTAGTGAGACGATTGAGGAAGATACAATCATGTTGTGAGGAATCCCAAGCGCCTTGAGCAGTAAGTGTACTGGTTCCATCATTGTTATATTGAACCTCTTGATGAAATAAAAGACGAATCATAACATCTTCATGTGTAGGCGAATTTATTATCCTTCCCTTCGTATCTAGTAATCGAACATGTCCAATTGTAGCCTTTGATATCTTGCTCCATACAAGTTGACGGCCTGAATTGTGCATGAGAGTAATCTGTATACGCCTTTGAAGCCCTTGTCTCAAAAGAAAGACACCACGGTCTAATAAAGAATTCTGTTGTGAAACAACTGGTATATATTTACCATCTGGCATGAGCTCACAAATTTGTATCCATGCTAATATATCATGTCTTTCAGTCTCTAATAGTCCTTGTTGTGGAACAACATGATGATCCATAGGTTGCAGCAAAGGATCACTTCTCTTATTATTTTCTGCAAGCATCTCAATTAATTGAGGCTTCTCACGTTGATCATCCCATCGTTCGCACGATGAAAGGAAACGAGCCTTAGCACGTCCATAGAGTTCAAAATAAACCATTTCAGAGATTAAAATATCCTTTGTACGTTCCGTGATAAGAATCGAAAATGTTTGACTATAATCTAATTGTATGCTATTATTATTACCAAAATTTTGAGAAGACGGCGTTGCAAATAATTCTTCTTGTTGTCGTGAAACACTTCCAAAAGAGGAGAGTCGGTACTGAACATGAACATCTGTAAACTCATCTTCATTTAACCCAGTAAGCTCCAGTATACGAATCTCAAAGAGTAATTGTTCTCCTACTTGTAAGATATCATCCTCTTTTCGATCTTGATCCTTGACATTCACTTTATCATTTATATTCATCTCCAACGGCTCTTCTGTAAAATAATTAATATTGGCTTGCGTTGTACGTGTGACGGGTGAGATAAGAACACGAAGCTTGCCCTTGACTTGTCCTGTAATACGACATAAAATTTCAACGCAACTTTCATATGCTTGTGGCTTTTTAAATGCCAAATTGCGTACTGAGATAGCAGCTGCACCTATAAATGAATACCTGGGACACGGGGTTTCATAAAAGGGATCTTCCCAATTCAAGTGCTTACGATAATGAGGACGATCCATAAAATCAAGTAGATTTCTCATTTTATAAAGACGTTTCTTTAATTTTGCTATGGACCAAACATAAATGGATTGGTTTTTATGATCAATAACACGAATACCAATACAGGGCTTAGAAGAAGAAGAAGAAGAAGAATGCAAGAAAGTAGTTGCATTAGCAGTATTGTCTTCTTCATCTTCGTCAAATGAAGAAAGATTCGAGGTTTCCTCCCAATAAGATTTTAAATGGCTAAAGTTTTCTTCAATAATCGTAAACTGATAAATAATCTGCTTTTCTAACTTGCGAGATATAATATTAGCTTCCTTCAAGAGAGCTGCATGTGTTAAAATAACTTCAGCCATGGAGACATATCGGAGACCTTTCCATCGTTGAAGAGATGTCTGAATCAATTCTATTTGTCGTTCTGTATAATACACAGGTATATTCAATATTTGGTGCATGGATGACATGCGATGGATTTGAGCCTCATAAAAACTTTTCTGAAGACTTAATTCTCGTTGATGTTTTTCTTTAGCGTCTTGAATTATCTTTTCTTGTGTAGCTACAACAGTAATATCCGTACAGATACTACCATCATCTACCATAGTAGCCGATGTCGATAGTTGATAAAGACTCTTACTACTGGAGGAATCATCTTCATCGTCTATAATACGTGTTGTCCTTCTTGAATTCCGTATTCTACCAATATCATCATAAATTTTCTCAATTTCTTCATCGTTAAGACCACTGATATTAGTTTCTGTTGAATAATGATTACGTAGTGCCTCTAAACGCGCAAAATTCCAATCCATTACTTCCGAGTGAAATAATGTAGTACTGCTTGCTTTATCATTAGCAAGCTCACAGTCATCTGATAGAGATGGTGGTGATAATGGCGGTGGTGAGCATAAATCAGTCCTTGAAGTGTTCTTGCTACGTTCCTTCCTAACTTCTTCAGGATGATTAAATCGAAAAATATGATGATGTCCTAGAATAATACGATATCCATTCTTTAAAGGATGAGGTTCATAAATGCGGATACCATTGACCATCGTTAGCGCATCTTTATTTTGACTTGGATACAATGTGACGATATCTTGGTCCTGTTCAAACCAACAATGCTCATCGTAAACATTTGCTCCACTAAGACGAATTTCGCATGAATGCTGGCCATCCTGCCTACCAACTCGAGTTTTACCAGACTTAATTTGATACATTAAACACTCAGACATAAGAGGATCTTCATTTAAATTGACAATAAAAGGAATTGTCTTTGGCATATAAACCCCCATTTCGTTTTTATCAATTGTGATACCAAGTTCTTTTAAGGATAACTCCCGTTCCTGATGAATTTCTTCAGTACGTTTTAATTTCTCTTCCCAAGTTTCGTTTAAATTAGCCAAGAGTTTTTCGGAACATTGTAGCTGATCGACGATTTCTTGCTTGGACATTTTTTTTGTGTTGCCTTGAGTATCAGTGAAGGTAAGGACTTGATTCATCCTATTTCGAGTAGTGAGGGGTTGTTGTATTCTGATATCACGAATTCCAGAAACGGATGCCAACTCCTCAACAGCTTCTGGTGCATATACTCTGAGTCGTTCTCGTAGAGTTGAAAGCTCTTCTTTTAATTCACGAATCATTTTAGCATTTGGGTCTTCATTTACAACTGCCTTATTTTGAATTTTCTTTGTCTGATCAGCATATCGAAGTGTACTAAGTGTTTCATCATAATCAGCAGGAGAGATGGCAGCAATCATGGCAGTTTTAGAATTACCACCCAAAGAGTCCTTCAATAACCATGTTAAGACTGAATCACGATAGGGAATAAAGATATCTTTCCCTTTCTTGCCTGATCTTTTCGTAGATTCAGTCAATATGGATTGTTCAGCTAAACCAGAAATGACTTTACCTAGGGTTGTTAATGATCGATTGATGTTTGCACCTTCTTTCAATCTAGCACCTGTTGCACCTGTACTATTTGCTCGTTCACTACCAGCTAAATCAACCAAGCTTGAACATTATAATAAAATCAAATGTATATGTAATGTATATAGATATTTAGCTTTAATAATAGTAACAATAATCATTAATTACCTAATACGGGCTACTTTTTCTGTTTCTAATTTTGTTGTTTCATCTATACGAACTTGAGTCAAAAATAATGTAAAGACAGCATGTGATCTTGAAGAAGTTTCATTCATATTTGTTGCAGCAACTGTACGAGCTTTATTACCCTCATCCATCAAATCGTTGATATCATCAAATGAGCGAACGACTAAACGAGAAAGATCTTCAACATAAGGGCCTAAAGATGGATGTTCACGCACCTTAAGATTTCCTTTATTTTTAGGATTTAACAGGTCGCGAACTTTTTCATTGTAAATTTCGATATATGAAACTTCGACTCGATAGGTTAAGTTAGGATCTGTATTATCTGTAATTCGATTAAATAATTCACAACAGGTTTTTGGTGTGATGCCTTTATCGTCACCATAGCCCATCATTGAATACGATTTACCAGCACCTGTTTGACCATCTATTTACAATAAGAAAAGAAAAAAAAAGAAAAAAGATTTTTTTTTTAAAAAAAACACACACTCAAGACCTTCCTCGATAACTAGTTTTTTTTTAAAAAAAATATACGCTTTTACATGCAAAAATACAACAATTATAACCATCAAAGGCATGGTTTAACAAATCTTCACCCAAATCATTATAAACTGTATTTTGATCTGCATAATGTGGGTCAGATTTATTTGCTGACCAATACGATTTATCAAATGTAAATGATTTCGTATCTTCGGCATCTTGATTTGTTTTCTGACCTGCAGGTTTTGTGATAATCGTTTGATTTCCTTCCATACGAATTAAACAGGTAGCGCCACGCGCAAGTTCTATGAAGAAAACATATATGCACAAGTATGAATAAAAATAAAATAAAATAAATGAATAAAAGATTATCTAGCATATTCTATAGATCTATTTTACCTCTAGAGTTTAACGGTCGGCATCGTACAACGACTTTGATATTGCCACCACTCATTATTTGTCCTTGGCAAAAGAGTAAAATGAATATATTATATGCAAAGCTTTTTTTTTTTTTTTGGTCTATGTATATTTACTATGTATGACTTATTTATACTTATGGCGAGGCTAATGTATTTAACTTTTACTAATTCAATCTTGTTAATGAACTTGATTAGATTTTCTATGTCTGAATGAACTAACTAAAAAAAAAGGTACAAAAAAAAAAGGGAATTAAATTAGTTTTTTTTTTTTTTCTACTAATGATTTAACACCAAAGTTTATGTCCCCGACGACAGTTTTGTAAATCCAATGAAAAGAAAGAAATAATACTAATATTTGCATAATTTATTGTACATGTTAATTATGATGTGTGCAATAGAGAAAAAAAGATTACAAGTAGGTGTACGATGAGATTGACAATGCTAATTAATTGAAATATATTCTTATCCTTGCATCATTCCCAACAAGCCAGAATGAGTAATTCTGATTTACAAATAAACATTGTAATCTCCGTAATTAGAACCATTTTGGACCTATAGATAAAAAAAAAAAACAATAAAACAAAACTGTTAAGATTAATGAATGCATTGAATGAATTTCTTTCACTGAATATTTAGCTGTAGAAGATCAACAACTTTTAATTGTTACTGTCTTTCAATGATATGTGTTTATATTTCTGATGATTTAAAGAATTATTCGGGAAGAGACTCCTTTATTTGATAAAACATAAAAAAAAAAAAGTAAAAAATGACCTTATTTTATTTATAGAAGAAGATAAAGGGATAGATGCATTTGTAATTAGATTTTAAGAAAATTCGTCATCAGATAAATCACTACTACTGACATTACTGAAATTGAAAAAGTGTCTATCATCAAGCCATTTTTGAATAGTAGAAGGCTTTATTTCATCCTCTTTCGACGACTGTTTTGATTTGACTCTTTCATGTAATTCTAATTTATCAAATTTAGTATTATCGAAATCACTTAAAGCAATAGAGCCATTTTCATCTACAAATTTAGTGATATTTTCTGATAATAATTCTCGCGTTGAACATAGTTCTGCAAAGCCGAGGGGATTAAACAAAGACATGAAGAGGGGATTTAATGACCTATTTATAAAAGGATTTAGAATACTATACATAACCTTGACACTATACATATATATATAATATTTACATGTAAATGTCAATACTACGTTCGAGTACCAAGACACATATATACTGAATAAAAGGTAAGGCCACCCAGACGAGAAGTGAGAGACTGAAAGGATGTTTATAGCCATTAAACCAAAGATAAACAAATAATAAAAATGAATAAAAACCGTAAAGTATTGGTATACCAACTAATGTAACCAATATTTTCCAAGTTGCGAGTACATCACGACCTGCAATTTTAACAAAGGAGCCTGCCAATGCCTCTATATATAATAATAAGTAAGTAAGTCAAGTTAAGCTATCATCATCATTACCTTCTTGTTTTTTCTGACTAATCACAAAGGCAATAATGATAATAGGTGAATTAATCAAAAGTCTACATTATAAAAAATAGATTAGATTAAATCAGATTAGATTATGAATAATATCTATTTTATATATATATATTTATGCTTACGATGGAAAACCAAAAATAGCCAAAAAGGCAAATTGAATTATGCGAAGTAATAAAGTAGGTGCAGCAGAAAAAGTAGTATAGTCAGCACTTGCTACTTGATAATCGCGAAGTTTAAAATATTTTAAGGTATTGTTGTATGCTTTAATACGTTGAACTAAATCAATTAATCTTGGATCCTTTTCAAAATATTTATATCCTAATAAAAATCGACGGTTCAATTCAACTACTTGATCAATCGTCAACTTGTGATCTGATGCAGTTTTATACAAACGACGTGCGGTAGCAATAGTCTAATAAATCTATATATGAGTGAAAATTGTTTCTGTTTATGATGTTTATCATTACCATTAAAGTATTATAATCTGGAGCATTTACTGTGACACTCTTAAGACCCTCATGTCCCTCTTGTAATAACTTTGAAATGGCTTCGTGCTTATCAGATCCGCCTTTCTTGTATTTTTCTACTAATTCAGGTTCAACTGATATAGGTGTTCCATAAGAAACAACTGCCCGAGATCTAAATCGATGAGGATGAAAGTAATTTAACCCTAATGTATAATGTATGTTTAATGATAAGAATAAGAATAAGAAAGTTGAAATCATTAATAGATCTATTACCAACTGGAACAATCTTAATGTTAAGATCTTTATTTTCCGCCATTGCACTTAAAGCCATAATAGCAAAGCCCGCTATAAAATTTATATATATATACATGTATATATAAACATATATAAATATATATGAAACCATCATTACTCTGCTTATTTTATATAATTTTACCTTTTAAAGGAAGCATCTCTGATCTATCATGACTGCCGCCCTCAGGAAAAATAACGAGTGATTCATTTTTATTCAATCTTTCGTGTACTTTTTCATACAATACGCTTTGATCAATATGTGGAATGATTTTGAATGCACCAGAATGTAAAAGAATATGCTCCTTGGCTTCAGATGTCAACTCCGTTTTCAACTTTAATTCTGTATCAGACCTTACTTCTGCTACTTCATACTTTAACGCTTTTGAAATAACAATGATATCTCGAGGAGCTACTTGAGTTTTGAAGCTTGTATCTTTACCGTTCAAAATAAAACTATCTTCATTAACTACAAGATGACCGTTTCCTCTTGTTGCTAAATCTTGAGGACGAATGACAGGAACTAAAAAAAAAAAAAAAAATAGAGATTAAATATTACTAATAAAAATTATTTATATGTAGATAACCTTACTTGCTTTTAATGAACGAGCTACAGTTCCAATAACTTTTCGTTTAAATGAAGATTGTGCCATTAGAGGAGAAAAACGACGTGGATTGGAGATGATGACCAAACCAGGATCAACAAATCTAATGAATTTTACATTAGTCTTGCTTTAGAGAGAAAAGAAAAAGAAACCCCCTCCCCTTTCTCTTCTATTTTACAAAAAAAAAACTTACTGGTTTGCATGAGGAGCAACAATAAAGATACATGGATCATCTTTAGGTATATTATGAGTGCCACTATAAAATAATGAATACAGTCGTATTACAGTCATATTTTGCGAGTATTACCTTATTTTAATTTCGCGAAAGAATACTTTTGTTATTATAGTAAAGAGTATTTGAATACCACTATATGTATCTATCATTTTGTAGACAATACGAATAGAAAAAGAAAAAAAAAAGGAATAGAAAAAAAAAGAATAATATACGTTAAATCTGCCTATTATTATATGGAGATACTTTTTAGACAGGTTTTTTTCATGTGAAGATGATCACAGGATTATTATTTTTTTTAAATGTATTTCATTGGCCATTGCTGTCTTTCTTACTTTTTTTAGATATATTTATCGTGAATACAGGCGTATAACTAGGTTTTTTATTTTTTTTTATTTTTATAAGCAATACACTTTACTTATTTATCGTATGACATTGTACTCATATTACCAATTAGCATAAGATATCTTACAATGCATAATCTATTTTACTTAAATAGGTCAAAGAGAAACAGTGCAGAGAAAAACAGTCAAGTCCGAAAAAAAAAGCTGTAAATAGATAATATACTATTATACAATAGAACTACTTGATTTTTAAAAGATTCAATTAATATAAGCAATGGGTCAAGTTTGACTAATATTATTCAAATGTATATACCGTTCATATAATGAAATGTTAGCAATAAACATTAAATATATTGTCTTTACCCGTGCTTCTCAATACTTGTATTATTTCCGCCTGATAATTATAATCTATATAAATAGTGTGTCCGGATTTATGCATAATAAAAATAGAACACAAAGTAATTACAATATCATTTAAATATATCTATTTTACTATCCTCTATGCACTTTTGCTATTTCTCCACAATGTATGAAATAATACTATGCCATATTCAGACAACTTAAAGAGAGTTGACTGTTTTAGCTTATAGAAACATAAAGTTACAAAAATTTCAATTTTCATAAAGTTCTCGAAAAAAAAAAAAAAAAAAAAAAAGAAAAAGAAAGAGAGAGAGAGAAAAGAAAGGATATCTAAAAATTCAAGTCAAGTACTGTATATAAGCTGCATATGATAATCTCCAATGCTAAAATGTACTACTGCACTTCAAATTATCTTGCCACTATAAATCTAATATCAGCTATAGTCATCAATCACAAGAGTCTTTATGTATACATACATAAAGCTAGACTATAGTTAATTAAACACTGTGCTTTGCAATGATAGTCGCACTTAAAACGAGTAAGTAGTATCATTGCCATAAAATGCTCTCCAAGTACATTTATAACTGATTTAGTTGGTAAAAAAAAGGGGGGGTAAAGAAAGGAAATAAATAAATAAATAAATAGTGTATATTCATATATAATCAAAAAAAACAAGGCTATGAAAATATTACATAGTTTATTAATCTTTTTTTTTTTACTAATACAAATAAAATAAAGCATTTATATAATTCTGTAAGGTAAATGAAATCAATAGAAATAGAATTTAGATAAGAACAATCTAGCTAAATAAAGAATTATACACCTCTAAATTAGTATGTAATCTGTTCATATATAATTCCTAATGAAGACTTCAGCTATAACAGCAATATCGATATGTTGATAATATGTATCTCCTTTCCTCTATAAATAAAGCTTAAGCATTTAGACAAATATGGAAATACAGTGTACTAATTCTCTATGTTGATTTACTGTATTTAACCCTTTAGCTCTCAATACTTTACATAACACGTAGCACAATGTTTACATAGGCTAATAACATGATTACTAAGTAGATACCCTAATCATATCCTTCCCACATTTGAATCAAATAACATAAAAGTCAATGTTTATAGATATCACAAACAATGATAAGCCCTCTGTCTGTCTGTCTGTCTGTCTGTCTTTTTTCTTTTCTTTGTTTACTTGTAAGAAGTTTCGATATGATAGCTCCATTATACATTGGTATATAGATGGCTCTCTGTCCGTACTATTCTATATGGGCCAAGTTATTATCTCTTATAAAATAAGCTAATACCTCTAACATTATCCAATGTTAAACAATTATTCATAGAGTGTCTTCTTCTCTCACATAACAGTTATTTACACTCTCTTTGCACCCTTCACTTTCTCCTTCTTGCTCTTCAAAGGATTTTTTATTTCGTTAGTTCCCTCATTTATTGTTTGATTTGACTTGGATAAAAAGGAATTAGAATAGAAACTAAATTCCTTATATTATAAAACAAAGACAAAAATGGATGTAAAATAGTGAACAGACAAAGGAGGGCAATAATAATCATGAAGAACGAATGCTTTAGTACAAGAAAATAATAACTAAGATTTGGCAGTAGGTTTACTTGAAATTGACTCAAGGAAAATGAGCGCAAATCATTTCTTGATATTTCGTACATCTCTGAATGTGCTTCAATCTTATAAATGTCCCGGGTATTTCAAGGAAACAGCGTATATTAATTCAAAAAAAAATTATATAATGAATAAGGGTAAAACATATAAATGGAAAACGTTATCATTTACACGTATTTGAAAAATGTTATGCAAGTATTTTGATAAAATGCAGCAGTAAGAAAAAATAAAAGATTTTTTTTTTTTTTTCAATTAGCTTTCGTTTATTTTATTTTATTTTATTTTATTTTTTTCTTTCTTTCTTTCTTTCTTTTCGTTTCTTTTCAATATTTTTCTTCGTAGTCGAATAAAATGAATGAACAAGACATTGTAAAATTTTGTGAAATTACAAGCGCCTCAACAGAAGTTGCTAAAAGATTTTTAGAAGTATAGATTTATATTCTGATTACGCGTTGAAATATGTTAACTGATTTAAATAAAAATATGTGTCATACAGATTGCCGATAATCATTTCGAAACAGCTGTAACATTATATTTAGAGAATGAAGGAGCAGATATAGCGAATAGCTCTCATCATAATCATAGCAATAGTAGTAGCTCCTCAGTACCAAGATCTACTTCTGGTGACAATATAATGAGCGATGAAGAACTTGCAAGACAAATGCAGGAAAAAGAAAATGAAGTGAGAGCGCCCATTGCTTCTAAGACTGACATCTTGACTGGTGGAAGTCCAAGTGGAATATATCATACACCCTCTTTATGGCCACAAAGAGATCCAGGTAAATCAAAGTTATATATTTATGTATATATGTATATGTATACATGTATCTAATAATGTCATTTATTAACTATTAAAATAAAAAGTGGGCATTAGTCGTCCTTCTGTATTTAATCAAGGTGATTCAACTACCGGATCTGTAACAGATTTTTTAAACAGATTACAACCTGATGGTAAAAAGATAAAATAAAATAAAATAAATAAATAATAATAATAATTGATATACAAGAACATTACGTATTCACTTATAACTTGTGTAGAATATAGCCGTTCCATCTCTGGATCACCTTCTGAAAGTATTATTTCAAGTCCTTCAACTGCTAAAGCTAAAAGGCTAGCTGATCTCTTTCGACCACCATTTGATATCATGTTTCGTGGTAGTTTTGAAGAGGTAAAATAAATATATAAAGTAAATAAACGTAAAACAAAGGAAATACATTGTATATTCATATGTTTTTATTAGGCAAGAGAGACAGCAAAAGAAAAGAATAAATGGCTAATGATTAATATACAAGATCCAACTGAATTCGCTTGTCAAGTTTTAAATAGAGATTTATGGAGTGATACGTTTGTAAAAGATATTGTTAGAGAATCATTCATCTTTCTTCAGGTATGATTTTCCGCTTTTTCCTTTATTATAGACGAAAATTAATTATTCATGTATAATATAGTATTCTAATAAAAGTAGTGAAGGTACAAGATATAATACACTTTATTCTATAAGTAAATATCCACATGTAGCTATTATTGATGCTCGAACTGGTGAACGTATGAAATTTTGGGAATCAGAACTGACACCTACAGACTTTATGATGGATGTAACAGAATTCTTGGAACAGAATCTATCCGGTCCAACTGGCTCACGTTCATTATCTAACATGAAACGACCAAGAGTATCAAAGGTAATTAAAAATGGATAAATATGAGTTTTGTATAAATGTTGTTGTGCTTATTATTTAGAACATAAATGAGATGAGTGAAGAAGAACAATTGAATGCAGCTATTGCAGCCTCATTAAATAATATTAAACAGTCAAATGAAACAGCAGCATTACCACCTATATTGAGTAATAATGATAATGAAGTTGATAAAAAGGAGGAGATAAAAGAAGAAGAAGAAGAGAAAGAGGAAATAAAAGCAGGATCAGCATTTGATGCTATTAAAGCAATAAAAAGAGAAGAGCCAACAGATATGACAAATTCAACGCGTATTCAATTCAGAATGGGTGACGGTAGTAGAATTATTAGACGATTCCTAAAAACTGATCCTGTAAGATCCATGTTTGAATTCATAAAAGCTGAGGTGTCTGATGCAAAAGAACAGTCATTTGAGGTAAATAAGTCTAAAAAAAGAAAAAAAAATTAAAGAAATGGAAGATGTGTTATTCATCATTTATATTAAATAGTTGGTATTTAATCGTACACAATTAATTGATATTCTCGATCAAACTATTTCAGAAGCTGGTTTATCTAATGCAGCAGTTCATTGCGTCTTTATTTAAAATAAAATAAAATAAAATAAAAAATATGAAAAGTTATACACATGTATTTATTTAGTATTATAAATCAAAGATATTGGAATAAAAACAACAAGTTTTTGATATATATAAAAGCACTTTTCAAGAAAAGAAAAATAGACATGCTTGATCTCAGTTTTCATAAAATCTGCTCTTCCTCTCAAGTACGACATGTCGCTTAATATTCAGAACAGGTTTTGTATGAAGCTATTGTGAATAGAATCTTATCAAGTAATCAACAGCGTGATATTTGACGTATGAATCTGTTTAGGTTTAGAGAATAAGACGAATATAAGACGTAATAGGTTTCCTTAAAGTCCTTTATTGATATTATCAATGTCAATCTATCCAATTAGATGATATTAAGTAGTCCAACTAATGCTATCCATTGTACAGCATATGAGCAACTATCACTACTACTAACAAATACCCGATTTTCATCATCTTCTATACGACACTGATTATTTATCTGCTGAAGAAAGAAACTCGAGTTGAAAGGCATTAAAAAAAAAAAGTATACAAACTACATTTTCTGACCGTCTGTATAATTTATATAGTTACTATTGCTTCCATGCTTCTCATCAGCTAATAATTTGTTCGACCTTTCAGACGCTATCGCTACTCTGTTGTTGTCTAAATTTTCATCCTCAATTGGAACAGGTTTAGCTTCCTCTTTATACTCCGTTAAATTGTTGGTTCAATTTTTTCGATTAAATTCATTATCCTCTTCTTCAATAATGTAGTTCCATGGCTTCCTCATCATTTTCGTTCGGTGGTAATTCTGCCTTGACTATTTTTTTTTTTTTAATGAAAATATATTCTTATTATTTAAAATGGTATTGAAAGGTAAAAGTCGGCTGCTGTTTGGATTTCAGGAACCCGCTCAATACTGCTGATTGGAAAACTTTCAATATGCTTATTGATTACGAAAAAAAAAATAAAAGTTGAAATTCCGCTGATTGATTTTTTGAAATCTGCCAATTGGGATCATACGCACTGTACAACTTTTCTTTCCTTTTTTTTTTTTTTTTTTTTCTTTTCTTTTTTCTTCCTTTTCTTTTCTAACTAACTAACTAAAAAAAAATGACGATACACATCAAGCCAGTTGGATATTACGATCAAGTATATAGTGCTATTATATTATATTATATTATATTATATTATATTATATTATATTATATTATATTATATTATATTATATTATATTGTTTTGTATTTCATAATGACATCTTATTATATAAAGGAAAATGGTGGAACTATTCCTATATTTAAACCAACAATGGATGAATTTAAAGACTTTAGATTGTTTGTTGAAAGTATTGATGAATACGGTAAAAAAGCGGGTATTGTCAAAGTGATACCACCCAAAGAATGGTATATAAAGCGTATATATAATGTATAAATAATTGAAAGAAAAAAAAATAAGAGTAATAGCGATAATAATAGAAAAGGAAGTATATTAATGTTATAGGTATTTATTTATAGGAAAACGACTTTACCTAAATTGCATCAATCTTTTGATAAAATTAAAATAACAAAGCCTATAGTAAATAACATAACTTGATGAAATAGGTTATAAAACTTACGTAATACTACTATCTCTATTTTAAAGACACAACATATTATTGGAGGTAAAGGTATCTACAGTGTAACAAATATTGAAAATCGAAAAAGATTTACATTACAAGAATGGCATGATTTATGTCAAAAGCCCCATTACCGACCACCATCACATATCAATCATCTAATAATGAAAAAAGGTATTTCAAACATAGACAATGAAAGAAAGACCTCAAGTAGCTTATCTATAATTAAATAGTATATATTACATAATCAACCCATTTTTTATTTTATTTTTTTATTTATTTTGTAACTCATATTTGTAGAATGATAAAGATGCATTATCATTATTTGATTCAAAGTCGAGTAATTTAACAATAGATGATTATAAAGAAATTGAAAGACATTATTGGAGAAATATTACTTTCTGTCAATCAATATATGGAGCAGATATGGTTGGAAGTAAGTAAAGAAAGTGATCATATATAATTTAAAGCTTATCAGATATGATATACGTAGCTTTATTTGATGATTCTGTTCTTTATTGGAATCCAAATACATTAGATAATACATTAAACAAGTTGAATGTAACTCTTCCAGGTGTTAATACGCCCTATTTATACTTTGGTATGTGGAAAGCAACCTTTGCTTGGCATGTAGAGGTAACAAAACAAAGAAAGAAATATACATACATACATACATATACAATTTTATTACATAGGATATGGATCTTTATTCTATCAATTATATTCATTTTGGTGCACCCAAACAATGGTATGTAATTCAACCCTGTCATCAAAAGAGATTTGAATACTTTATGCAAAGTATGTTATTTATTATACGTTTCATATTGCAAATAATAGACTTATTACATGCACTTATATATACATATATATTCGTATGTATATATGTATCTAGCTACCTTTTTTATGCAGTATAAATCTTGTCATGAATTCTTGAGACACAAAACGTGTATTGTATCACCTAAAGTATTAGAAGAGAATAATATTCATGTTCAAAGATGTGTGCAGGAACCTGGTGAATTTATTATAACTTATCCCTTTGGTTATCACGCAGGTTATAATTTAGATTTTAACTGTGCTGAAAGTGTCAATTTCGCTTTAGATTCTTGGTTAGAAATAGGAAGAAAAGCCAAGTCTTGTACTTGTACAGATGATTCAGTTGTTATCGACGTGAATACTTTATTCTCTCCTGCTTCAGATCAAAAAATAATACAAAAATTATCAAATAAGAATCCATTACGATGTGTTCTTTGTTCTGAGACTAGTATTGAAGATCATAACTTATTATTAAAATCAACCACCAATTTAAAGTTTTCAGACAAAGAATTATATGTTCACAAACTGTGTGCTGAAGCTATTCATGAAACCTACATTATAGATAATTTAGTTTATGGTCTTGAAGATATACCCGCTTCAAGATGGAAACTGGTAAAGTAGATTCTTCTATTATTATAAAAGTTAAAGTAATAATAATAATAATCTATGTATACTATAGACTTGTATTTTTTGTAAACAAAAGATAGGAGCTTGTATGCAATGTTACTTTGGTAAATGTTGGAAATCATTCCATGCTACTTGTGCTGTAAAACAGGGTGCTACTATGAAATATAAAACGTCAACTAAAGATACTCTAATCCCATCTTCTATGTATGAGGGATATTGTCCTCAACATGATCCAGTAAGTTTTTTTTTTTTATACATATAGTGTCTAAAGTAACCAAGATACATACACACACATATATATATATTTATATGCTCTGTAATAGAAACGAATATTAGAAAAACAAGTTCGAAAAGATAAATATATTCAAGAAATGACAAATAAGCTTCAAATTGGTTCAAAGGTCTATACGAAATGGAGAGGTGGAGGTTATTATAAAGGTAATAAATGACTATACAAATTCGTTATTCATCTTTATAAATTATATTTCTTAACAAAAAAAAAGGTATCATAAGAAAATGTATCCCAAGTAAGAAAATATGTTATGTTTTATCTCAACATGATGGCATATCAAGGCAAATTCCTTGGAGGGATATCTTATTTGAATTACCTGCATCCACTCTATAATATAATTCACTTTATTGTATAACAAACATCCTCACACACACACACACACACACACAAAAGGCATTTATTCTGTATTTATTGTATAATGAAAAAAAAAATAGTAATTAAAAGTCATTTTTATATAACACTAAGCTATTTTGTATATAAACACTTCTTTAACAAGCTTATTTTACAGAATCTCTCATTTTAATATTTATCCAATTAGTTTTAGAATCCATCAGCATCTTCTTCGTCTGAATCTTCAATGATACGTTTACTACGATATTGCTGATATTATTGTGATTAGTACAATTTATATATAAAGTCAAATTTATTTACCTTTTTATCCTTTTTATTCAAAAGCTTTTCATATTCATCTTCTTCTTCTTCATATTCATCATTATTTCTTCTTCTTTTTCCTCCTTCTTCTTCTTCTTCTTCTCCTTCTTCATCCTCATCACGTTCTTTTCTCTTTCTTGAACGCTTTTTATTCTTCTTTTCTTCTTCATAATCCTCATCTTGTAATTGTTGAGTTGCCATTAATAAGTTATCTTCACGTACTTTTTCCATAAGTCGACGACGTTCTTCTTCCATTCTTTCCATCTCTAATTGTCGTAATCTTTGTTTCTCTTCTTCAGCTTTTTTTAATCTTTCACGTTCTGCTTCACGCTTCTTTCGTGCTTTATTTAATTTCTCTTCTTTACTTTGTTCAAAATTGATTTGTTCAGTCAACTTTCTATCTAGTTGAACACGCAAAGTTTCACCATAACGTTCACGTTGTTCTGTAATCTTTTTATCATATAATGTATGTTCTTTCACATTCACAAGCATATGGAACGTACGTTGGCCACATTCGAGACAACTTAATGCTTTACGGATATCATGCGAACTACGTTGTTCTTGAGGCAAATCAGAAATTTGTTGTGCATAAGATTGCTGGACAAGTGCCAAGTTATAATAAGTTGTTTTATCAGATGGGTTGATATGTAATGCTTTTTCAGTGTTCTTTAAAGCTCCATACATTGTTTCTGGGTCTTTGTCTTGCTTGGAAAGAATATATTGTGCTCTTGCAAGACATAATAAAAGATTAGCATCCTTGTTATTATATAATTTCTTTAATGCATTTTCATACTAAAACCGAATGATTAGATATGTAATTAGTAAAAAAAAAAAAAAAAAAAAAAAAAAAAAAAAAAAAAAAAAAAAAAAAAAAAAAACATTTTATCTGTCTCTTACCATCACAATAGCTTGTTTATATTGCTTTAATTCAACATATGCATGTGCTAAATTAACCCAGACATTAGGATTATTCACATTAGCTTCACGTACTTGATTAAATAAATCTCTTGCTTGTTCAATATGGCCAATTTCAGCAATAACAATAGCTAATCCATTTGCTGCATATGTATTCATAGGATCACGTCTTAAGGCTTGTGAATAAAAATTAACTGCCAACTTGTAAGAATCTGCACGTATTTGTTTGGTTTTCTCAGTTTTCATTTCTCTTGCTATGCTTGCATGATAATTGCCAAGTGCAACATGAGTATAAAGATCATTTTTATCACAATCCTTTAATACTTTTTCAAATGATCGTTTATAAAGTTTAGAATCGATAGGATTAGATTGTCCAATCATAATCCATCCTTTAACATCTAAAGGATCTGTATCAAATACTTCTTTATAATATTCATTCGCTTCTGATGTTTTGCCTATAGATTCTTCTATTGCACCTAAACGTAAATGAGCTAATATAGTAGGGCAGGGCGTGGGCAGGATCAGGGCACGTAACAAAAAAAAAAGGGGGTTAACTTCATGTTCAAAAGAAAAAAAGAAAAAAAAATTAATACCATCGGTATAGCTTGGGTAATCCTCAATAATCTTTCTGTAAATAGCTGTAGCCTTTTCAATTTCCATACGTTCTTCATATAATCTAGCTAAATTATAACTTATAGTCAATTTCAATTCCTTTTCTTGTCCTGTACATAATTCAACTTCTTGAAGGGCAAGTCCATAATAATGTTCTGCTTCTGTAAGATTATCCAGTTTTTGATGCATAACTGCAATATTATTTAATAATTCAGGCTTGATTTCTCTAATACGTTCTTGGCTAAGCTCATCATCTTTTGGTATGGCATTTAAAAGATCTAGTGACTGTTTATAATCTTTTTAAAAAGGAAAGAGGAGAGAGAACATGAATAAAGTTACTTTCAATTCAGAAGGTGCAAACATGTATAATAAACTTACATTTCAATGAATTATTCTTATCTTTATCTTCATACACTTCTGCAACTTCAATCGCTAATAAGGGGTCATGATCAGCGTGTCCTAAAATCTTATTGAATAAAGCAAATGATTGCTCCTTTTTGCCAACTAGAGCATAAAGTGAACCAAGTATTTTCATAACTTCAACAGATGTTGTTTCTGATTTATGGAGCTTTTCAAATATTTCAATGGCCGCATTATACTCGCCTCTTTTCAATTGCATTTGTCCTAAGCCAAACTGAGCCAAAACATGTTTAGGATTTAATTCTAATGCTTGAGAATAATAATTGTAAGCATTTTCAAACTCTTGCATTTGATGATGAGCTCTGGCAATTTGGTATAAAGCCTCTGCTTTATTAATATTGTTTGATGAATTCTTTAAAGCTCTTGAAGCTGCTTGTATTGTCTAAAAATAAAATAAAATTTAATAACCTTAACATTAACATTAAAATAAAATAAACCTTTTCAAAATCACGCGTTAAAAAGAAATGATCTGCCATGATGTTTAATGCAACAGGATGCTTTTTGTTGGCAACATGAGCCTGTTGCATGTGTTGAAGACCATGCCTCAAAGCGGTTTCTTGTTGAACAAGACCATTTTGAGGAACTTTAGATTCATTTAATTCAAGAATGGCGAGTAAAATATAAGCATTTGCATTAGGTGCTGAACTAACTTCAATACAGCGCTTCAAGGCAGCTTTTGCTTCTGAATACATTTTTAATTGTGCATAACATTGAGCGATTCCAAAACGGATTTCAAAGCCTGAAAATTTATTGCGTGAATATCTAAGTGCTGTTTGATAGGACATGAGAGAAGCTTTATATTGCTGAAGGTGATATTGAATTTTTGCACGACCTAATAAGGCTGGAATGCAGTTGGGTCTCTTTTCTAAAATCATATTGAAAGAACGAGATGCTTCATCGACCTTTCTAAGTAAAATGTAAAGATTCCCTTTTATAACAAATGTAGGTTCATATTGGTTATGAATACGATCGGCTTCATTGATGTATTGAGTTGCATCAGTTAAATATTTTTGTCGTTGAGTATCATCTGTTTCTCTTCTCGCAAGTCGCATATGAAGTGTAGCAATTAATGTCAAAAGTGGTAATTTCTGTCGTGGTTGGGTATGAGGTGATTGGCTTGCTAATGCCAATACATTTATAATGATGAAATACGATTAACTAATCTATTAAACTTAATAATAGTTTGGTATTATTATTATTTTTACCAGTGGTTAAAGCAGCTTGAACAACCTGAATACTTTGCTCAACTTTATTTTGATGATAATACTCAATCTAATTACCATATACATATATGTATATATATTTTTGTAAATTTATGTAGGATAAAAAAAAAACGCGAATCTATCTAGTTAATACTCACAGCTAACATTCTATAATAAGGAAGGCCTACTGATTCTTGGCGAAAAATGTCGGTTAATTCAGTAGGGTTTGAAGGTAAGTCATTACAAACGACTTCTAAAACCTGTTCATGTTGTAATGGGACTTCGATGGTCTTTGATCTAGTACCATAACTGCTTTCAAAGCTTGTTGAGGCCATTCAAATTTTATTGACTTCTATCTACACAAAAAAAAAAAAAAAAAAAAAAAAAAAAAAAAATCTACATACTGCCTTTAGTTCATTGCTGTAATTATTTTTTTCAGAAGATCTCCGACTTCAGCAGATACTAAACGGCATTTAAAATAAATAATACACGTCATCGGATTAGATAATATACTAAATATGATAATACGATTAAAAAAAAAATTAAAAAATGACCAATGAGCACACAGCATTTATATATGCTGTTTTGCCCTGGTCAGATCGCTATGGAAAAAAAAAAGGAAAGAAAAACCCTTTTGGGATAAAAGGGAAAATGTTAAAGTATATGTATAAGTGATGATAATTGACTATCAGAAATTCGTTTTTGTATTGAAAGAAGATGATGGTCAGAGGGTTCAGGGATTTGAGAGTGAAGCTAGATAGTCCATCTCCAAGCAGAATTGCACATATAGAAGGCCAGCGTATGAGTCAGACATCAATTGATTTTCTCATTTTCTTAGTGTGGAATGTTGATGGTAATAGGTTCAAGAGATAAGAGAGTGGATCTTCAATAGATTTGGGCATCTGAAGGCGGTTATGCATATGTAAACAAGAAAAACTATGTGAGCGTGTGAAGAGTTCATTTGGATTGGATGGAAGGGGCAGGCTTGGGGTTTACCAAGAGGTAACCAACCAAGTCGCCATCGCACGCAACGAAACCGTTCACTTCTTGTCATTGGTATCGTAAGAATAGGGTCGACAATCAGATTATTACGGCAATGGGAGTTTTTTTTAATACGATTAAACATTTTTTTTTATTATTATTTTTATAAATTAAAATTTATAAAGCGACCTATGGGCACATAATATCTTTATTATATTGGATTGCCCAGGTCAGTTCAAATTATGTGAAAAAAAGTATCTAAAAACCCTCTTATGGGACAAGAGGTAAAAAGGTAAAGAAAAGGAAGAAGAGAAGGTGAGAAAGAAAGGGGAATATTGCTAACAAGTTTAAAGAGACAACCAGTTGAGTAATTTTCTGCCTGGATCAAGAAGTGGAAGGGGTAGTTTATCGTGCATTAAGTAATCCATTTCGTGTAGAATGGTACACATAACTGGCCAGCGATAGAACCAAGCAGAAACATCCTGAGAATTTCGGTGCTTATGCTGAGGGAGATGATTTAAAAGAAAGGAAAGGGGATCTGCAATTGATCGTGGCAAGAATAAACGGGTGTGCATATGCAAGCATTCAGTGGCGTGTGACCGACTAAAAGTGTACATGAGGATAATATGGGCAGGCTTTAGGTATTCCTCCGGGTAACCAACCAAGACGCCATCGAATAGTTCGACTATGCTCACTGGGTGTCATGGGTAACCAGAGTTTCGGGTCAATAATCAGATTAGGGCGGCAAGAGGAAAGCAAAACAGAATGTGTCTCGTCACGTAGTTGTTGAAAACTCTCTTCAAGAAATTCTTGACGATGTTTTCGAAAGGAGCGTTGGTCTAACGGAATGGAATTGGCGGCACAGAGTCTCCAGCATGGTGTTTGAATGAGTTTATACCATTGAGTGTTGAAGATAGAGGCTTGAAGCTCAAGAAGTAATTTAGCGAGCAAGGTATCATCCGGTAAATGAATAGCACGGAAAACGAATTGGGCCTGCAGGATGGACACCCTAACCTTCATTGATGGTTGGTTTACCATATGAAGCATCACCTTTACTGACGATTGAAGACAATTTGTTTACCTTTTTTAAACAAAATAAAATTAGTATTCAGACGAATAATAGAGATTTATGCTTAGGCTTTTTACCTATGCTGACTGATAATTGTCAAATAGTAATTTAGACGACTTTTGTGACAGTCATCTGGGGTAATTGTTTTACAAGCAGTTGCAATCCTTGGTGTTAATTGATCTGTCTCTGTCAAAAGATGACATTTTGTGTGAGACTTGACCTTTGACCAACATTTTTCGATAGGGTTTAAGGTGAATAGGGCAGCATAAATAATGCTTTGTAACCGCCTTTTTTTTTTTTGATACAATCTGTAACAAATTCAGAATAATGAATCCTACAATTGTCCATAACAATGTAAGCTCCATGTTTTCCTTGCTTATCTAAAATATCCATATTTTGTTTGATAAATTTTAATACACGGTAGGCGAGAGAATGATTATGGAAAATTGAAGTCTAGAATACGACATAGAACAGTACTTTTGTATGTGCTCTACTACTTTCAAACCATTTTACATATTTAGCGACCTTATAATTTGATTATTGCTTCCAAAATGATGGGTGATATATCTTCAGGTATTGTTTCGTACCCAGTGCTGTTGTCCTCGCCAGTTTATCACATTTTATAATTACATATTATGATGAAGTCACACATGATCGTGGAAATTTATAAACTTTCAACGAAAATGTTGTTATTCACTTCTTTACTCTTTTTTATATTTTGCCTTTTTCTTCCTAAATGATCTTTATTTTTTATATTGGCCTTAAATGAATCACTTAAAAGTAATAACTTTAAAGACATCTGTTTCCGGCATACAGTGGAGACACGAACTTATACCAAGGCTAAATGATCTTGTATCAACCGTTAACATACTTGTTACCCATACTTTTGCATTGACAAAATTTACATTCATCAATGAGTTGGAAAGAAGCGAGTTTTTTGATCTGGAAAAACACGCTGAAAAGGACTTTTACGTTGAAGTGTTCCTGGAGCTCACCAAACAAAATCGTAAACCTTCTAAATCAACGAAAACTAAAGACTATAGAGATTTAATACGAAAGTATAAAAACGAGTATTGTATCTTAACCAAGTATGATCCCATCGAGTTGAAATACGCGCAACAAATAGCAGCATATGAGTGCGCGAAGATCGACATAGCGTACAAAAATTCAGTCATATTACAATTTTGAAATCGTTTCCGGATGCTCATTAACCACCTTACACAACAAAAGGCCAAGATAACCAAGAGGAAACAAGAATTAAAGAAAGCCAAGAAAAGCAAGAATGATATCAAGAAAATCATTTCTGACGAAATCACAAAGCCGTTAACCCAATTGAAGCTTTCCCTTGCCTCCGGTAATACACAGAGTATGCCAGTAGCCCTTTTGGACAACAAGGGCGTCAAACTTATTAAAGAATTTTTTGGTACTTATGGGCTGCCTTGCGAATTTATGAAAGCAAGTATATATTATGATTGTAAGGCACAGCCTTTGAAGCACCTTGAAGCATATTACAAGATGGCAAAGTACTGTGAAGAATTAGGCTACAAATCATTCATGTGTTTTCCGCTCCGTCGAACGTATGTGCCATGCTATATGACGATTGATACGTTGATCGTGAACAATCATATTCTGTGTAATACAAATAGATCCAATTTAGACAAAGGCTTCATTTGGAGCCAAATAGTCAACCTCTCATCGAAGGGCATGAAGGATCAAGGTGCTTCAAAATCTTTGAAATTTCGTGGAATGATTCAGTCTGATGGTGTAGGTGTGTCGGTGTTGAAGCAAAATAAAGAGAGTACAAAGGGTGGTACGCGTGGTACCAGACTAGAAGAAGACGACAACTTTCGATACATACACCAGTTGTCCAAAACTGAACTTGAGGAAACTACCGGAAGATGTGTCTTTATTGATCCTGGACGGAGAGATATGCTCTATTGCATGCAGAAGAATAGTGAATCTGGAAAAGACAAACACACCTACAGATACACCAGCAACCAGTGTGCGGTTGAGACGAAAAAAAGAAAAATTAGGAAACTGCGCGACATAAAAAAACCTACGTCAGTAAAGGAACATGAAAACTATCTATCAAAATTTCCAGCATCAGCAATCAAAGTAGACAAGTTCTCTGACTATCTCAAAGTACGTTCTATAGTTGAAGATCCACTTCGAGAGTACTACTCAAACAAAAACATACCCCACAAAAATGCCAATCTGCTTCCCTTTCGCGAGTTGAAATTATCATCTATCATAAATAAACAACAATTCGATCATCGCTTAGCACAGACTTTGAAGCAACAATTTGGAAACGATGCTATTCTCATTCTTGGGGACTGGAATGCCGGAAATACAAAGTACTAAGAGCCAATTCGTGGGAAAGGCGTAAGAAGGATGCTCAAGAAGCATGGTTTCTCTGTTTTACTTATAGATGAACATAAAACGTCTTCACTGTGCCCTACTTGTAAGGTCGGTAAACTGGAAACTTTCAAAAAAGTTCAAAACCCACAATCTTTTCGTCGTTCGAAATATCACAAGGTGGAATGCCACAGACTCTTACGGTAAGCTTCATTTCTTTCTTTTTTTTAAAAAAAATACGTATTAATGAGGTCTTTATAGATGCCTCAATCATCAATGTTTGGAGTCCCTCCGCCTCTGGAACCGAGATCTTGCTGTGGTCTTAAACTTTCGCGATATTTTGAAGTCTCACCGAGAAGGGCTTGGCCGCCCAACTCGATTCAAGAGACAATCTTTGAAACGCCCCTTACCCAATAATCAACAAGCTTCTTCCAGAAAACTTTTCCGCCATATGTCATCCAATGAAGGCCGCGAATCTGCCTGAGGGATGGATATTAATATGGTAAACATTGATACAGGTGAGTTCTATTTTTTTTTTTTCTATTCTTCTGAATACTAATTTTCTTTTGTCTAAAAAAAGGTAAGCAAATTGTCTAAAAATTAATTTTGATTCATCCAGAAAAAAACTAACATCGTCTAAATTTAAAGCGTAAAAACTGTACAAAAGTCAATTGGCTGGCTAACGGGTGGTAAACCTAAAGAATGTATCTTTCATTCGTCCCATAATTGGAGCCGGCAACATGCTATTGTGTGCTTACATGTACATAATCGTCTCTACATGCCTACTTCAGTCGAAGATCCCATCTCATTCCTCCTCAACTTGCTTCCTCTACATAAACCTCGTCGTCCTTCTGATTATACGAGCTGGTATACTTTATGGCCTATTCTTTGTACAATTCTACATGAACTTGATTACTACTTCCATGATGAATTTCCTCCTGATCCTGTCGATCCTGGTCTCAAGCTGTTGAATTGGTTATCCAAGTAATAGTGTGTGTCTTCCTGGTTACTTTGGTCTCATTTGTATTTAAATCGTTTCTTTTCACTTTTTCGCTTTTTCCTTCTTATATTTTCTCTTAATTCCAAAATACTGCCCTTTTCTTTTTCCTTCTCTTTTTCTTTTTTTTCCCTTCTTGTCCTTTAGGAAGGTTTTTATTCTTATTTCCCCCCTATAACTGGCTCGGGCAATATTGCGCATTTATTTCGTCGCTACATGCTCATTGCCAAAAAAATTTAAAAAAAAAAGAGGACAATGGAGATATTTATAGTGACTAGTAGTAAATCTTATATCTTATTTTCCTAATATTTATCAAAGTAAAATCTATCTCGTATTAACCTTAATATTAGCGTCTCGATTTGAATATTATATTTCTATTATTTATTTATTTTTAATACGATTTTGAGCGGTACCAATACATTATTGTTGCGACTGAAGGAAGATAAGCAGGATATATCTGTTAGGCAAATCTTTATAGAGCACTACTTTTGTCTCTTTATTTGATAACTAAAGCAAAATGTATGGCTAAAATTATATCACTTAATTTATTTTCGTTGTATGGAGTACAATATGAGCAACCTTCCATGTATTTATTGACTTAAAAAGCTGTACCATTTGTTTTTTATGTGTATTATTTAAAAGCTTTCATAAAACTAAGTATACTAATGTCTAACTCTACATAATACAGATTTATGATTAAATGTGAGGTCAGTGTATTTACCAAATTACTTGGTAAATATTCTTTTATCCACTTAGATATAAGTAAAGACTGATAATTATCTTTTTGATCCTAAAACCATGAATATATTAACCCTCACCTCACAAGAGAAAATACGATATTATTAGAAAGCTGTTCTTTAAGCATTTGATTTTCGTGGTAGCAAAATAAATCCATCTTACTTGTTCTTATCTTTCTGACCAAGTTTACTTTTATTAATCTTACATCTGCTTTTTTTGTTTGTTTGTTAACATAGTGATAGCAAAGGCTTTATATCACCTTTTATCAATTACATCGTCCTTAATATAATCCTTAGTGGATCTTTCTTCTTCATTATCCAAATTATTAGTTACAGTTTGTTCATTAGACGCTTTATAGGGTCTTGAAGCTATCTACATAACTGCATACGTTTTTAGAAAAATGTTAAATAAATTTTGCATTTCATATAATGGAACTGTTATTGTCAGGAACAAGAGTTATATCATTATAATGTACATTTGGGAAACATCGGGAAAAAGAAAGAAAGAAAGAAAGAAAGAAAAAGGTTTGAATAATAACTTATGTTTATAATATGATGGCTTATAACAGTTATTTCCTTTTTTAGAAACCAATTTTTCAAACACCTCTTAAAATTATCAAACTATATTCCGCTTTGGGCACACGTCATACTTCTACACGTAATAGGTAAGCTTTTCAATGGAAAGAAAAAAAAACGCGGTAAAACGAAAACTTTCACGCAAAGAGCACTTCTCTTTTACTTCCTTTTTATTATCATTATTATTTTAAAATATTTATATAATATCATATGACAGCACTTACTTCTGCCAGTAAGTAATTTGTTTATTTATTTACTTTTTAATGATAATAAACTTAATACGAGACAGATGATTTGACATTTTTTGTTTCCTATGCTTCACTTTAGACGGTATTATTGCTTTACTCGATGAACAGCAACCTGAATTAAAGGTATATGCTCTTCAACAATTGAATTCTCTTGTTGATGAGTTTTGGGCCGAAATTTCTGATTCTATTGCTAAAATGTAAATATGAAATGGGATATTTTATTTATGATGTTTTGTTCTTAACCCTCTTTTTTTTGTTGTTACCTTTTATTTTGTTCAGTGAGATCCTTTATGAAGATAGCTCATTTAGTCAAAGAGAATTAGCTGCTTTAGTTGCTTCTAAGGTAAACTTAGATTAAGCAAATTGTGAATGTCTTGTATTAACTTGTAATGTTGTAGGTTTATTATAATTTGGGTGAATTAGATGATTCTCTTACTTTCGCCCTTGGTGCTGGCAAAGCATTTGATCTTTCTGAAAAATCTGAATATGTTGAGACAATTATTTGTAAGATATATTATTATATAAATATGTATATACATATATAATTGAGATGTAAAAGAAAAAAAAAACAACAAGTATTAATTTATATTATTATTATAGCTAAATGTATTGACAAGTACATTAATCTCAGAACTAGCAAAGAAACTCTCGAAAAAATTGATTCTAGATTACAAGACATTGTAGAGAGAATGTTTCAACGTTGTGCTGAAGATTGCGAATATGAACAAGCAATTGGTATTGCACTTGAATCAAGACGTCTTGATATCATCAAGTTTATTATTCAAAAGGGTGATTCTAGTAAACTTCTTTCTTATGTCCTTGATGTTTGTATGACACTTGTTCAAAACTTAGAATTTCGTAATGAAGTTTTGAGATTATTAGTGGACTTGTACAAGACTCTTGATAATCCCGATTATATTTCTATTAGTCAATGTTTAGTTCATTTGAACGACTCTACTTCTTGCGCAAATATGTTGAAGAGTTTAGTCGAGAAAAAGGATGAGGTAAATAAAAAATTAAAAAAAGACTACAAAAAAAAGGGAGAGGATGGAAAATTTAACATAGTTTTGGTTTAATATCTATATACAGTTAATGGCATATCAAATTTCATTCGATTTGGAAGAGAATGCTACACAAGAGTTTTTATTAAAGGTTGCTGCCGAATTACCTGTTGAGCAAACAACTGAGGAAGAAAAGACGGATGGTGATGTTAATATGGAAGAGGATAAGGTAAGGAATAAATGTATGCAATCAGCTTAGCTTGTTTTCATAATCTATATATCGAAATAGCCCAAGAACGATACTCCTTATAAAAAGATTAAATCTATTTTGTCTGGTGAGGAATCTATTCGTCTTCATCTTGAATTTTTGTATCGTAATAACCATACGGATTTATTAATTTTGAAAAACACAAAGGTAATTCTATTTTCACTAAAAAAAAAACCATCTCTTTAGTTCCAATAAAATTGACGAAATGTATCTTATTTTAGAATGCTTTAGAATCAAGAAACTCTGTATATCATTCTGCCGTTACTTTTGCTAATGCCTTCATGCAAGCTGGTACTACTAGTGATGAGTTTTTACGTCAAAATCTTGACTGGTTATCTAGAGCTACCAACTGGTCCAAGTTCAGTGCAACTGCTGCTCTTGGTGTTATTCATAAAGTATATATATAGAACATTATAGACAAATAAGTTTAATAATATTAACTAATCATCTTATAGGGACAATTAGCACAATCCATGAATTTGTTGGCCCCCTATTTGCCTTCTGAAAATGGTGCAGGAAATAGCCCTTATTCTGAAGGTGGTTCATTGTATGCTTTAGGTCTTATTAATGCTAATCATGGAGCAGAAGTGTTGGATTATTTAAAGACTGCTTTAAAGGATACAAATGACGATGTCATTCAGCATGGTGCATGTCTTGGTCTCGGTGTTGCAGGTATGGCAACTGCAAATGAGGCTATTTATGAAGATCTTAAGAATGTTCTCTTTGGTGACAATGCCGTTGCTGGTGAAGCTGCTGGTTTATCTATGGGTTTGATTATGTTGGGTACTGGTAATGAAGAAGCGATTGAGGAGATGCTTCAATATGCTCATGAAACTCAACATGAAAAGATTATTCGTGGTTTAGCTATTGGTATTCCTTTCATTATGTATGGTAAAGAAGAACAGGCTGATAGTTTGATTCAAAAGCTTTTAGAAGACAAAGATCCTGTTCTTCGTTATGGTGGTATCTATACAATCGCTATGGCTTACAGTGGTACTGGTAACAATAAAGCTATCCGTCGTTTACTTCATGTTGCAGTTAGTGATGTAAATGATGATGTTCGTCGTGCTGCTGTCACTTCCATTGGTTTTGTTTTATTGCGTAATCCTAAGCAAGTACCTCGTATTGTTCAACTTTTAGCCGAAAGCTATAATCCTCATGTCAGATATGGTGCTACACTTGCACTTGGTATTTCATGTGCTGGTACTGGTTATCTTGATGCCTTGGAACTTTTAGAACCCATGACTAAGGATCCTGTAGATTTTGTACGTCAAGGTGCCTTCATGTCACAAGCTATGATCTTAATTCAACAAACTGAAAACACAAATCCTAAGGTTGCTGGTGTTCGCAAACTTTATGAAAAAATTATCAGTGATAAACACGAAGATCCAATGGCCAAATTTGGTGCAGTTCTTGCACAGGGTATTATTGATGCAGGTGGTAGAAATGTGACGATATCACTTTTGTCTAGAACAGGACATGCCAATATGCCAGCTATTGTTGGTATGGCAGTCTTTACACAATTTTGGTATTGGTATCCTTTAACACATATGCTTAGTTTAGCGTTTACACCTACAGCTATCATTGGTCTCAACAAAAACCTCGAGACACCTCGCTTTGAATTTGTTTCTAATGCCAAGCCTTCCTTATTTGCTTATCCTCCTGCTATAAAGCCACCTTCTGCAACTGTGGTCGAAAAGGTAGCCACTGCTGTCTTATCAACTACAGCTAAAGCTAAAGCACGTGCAAAGAAGATTGAAAAGGAAAAAGGAGATCAAATGGATATTGATGAAGATAAACATAGTATTAAGGATGAAGAAATGAATGAAGATGAAAAGAAAGAGGGACGTAAATCACCAACACAAAAAAAGAAGAAGGAAGAAAACTTTGAAACTCTTGAAAATATGGCACGTGTTGTTCCTGCTCAACTTAAACACATTGCTTTCAAGGAAGATTCTCGTTATACACCTGTTAAAAAAGAGAATGTTGGAGGTATTATTATGTTGATTGATAATAAACCAAATGAAGAAGAAGATTTGATCCAGCCTCGTGTCCCTGCTGCAGGTAAAGAACTTAAAATTATATACATATTTTCCTTTTTTTTTAACATGATTTTCCTTACAGATATAACAGCAAGAGCAGCAGAAGAAGAAGCAGCACCTTTTGAGCCATTTGAGTACCCATTTGAAGATTAAAATATCCTAATTTTTTCCAATTTTTTTTTCTGTTCAATTTTATACTAAACATCATGAAGTTAACTATAGAAAAAAAAAATCTTTATTAAAAAAAAAGAGAGAGAGGAAAAGCGTTCTATTTGAAGTATATATTATAAATAAACTATAATCTTGAAACAGTGACTACTATAGCATATCTTTTATAAGAATTTGCTTTGTTCTTGTATTGTTATTCCGGATACAAAAAAAAAAAAAAAAAAAAAAAAAAAAAAAAAAAAAAAATAATTTTATATAAAATACAAGTCTATATAAAGAATACAAATAGTTGACATTATTATAGAATAATAGACAACGTCAAGAGTACAAAGTCCTTCTTTTTTTTTTCTTGGTTTGTTTTAATGAGCTAATTCAGCTAAAATTGTATCAGCACCTCTTTTGATTAGTTCTTTAGCTACATGGATGCCCAATTTACTTGCTAGTGCGAAATCGTCCTTATCTGATTTTGAATTCTCCAAGGAGATATGATCTTCAAATTCAACTACCCTTTGACCATCGAGAGTAGAGACTAAGCCATGTAAAGACAAGATTTTATCTTTTATACTTGAGTTAACACCGATAGGAACACTACAGCCACCTTCTAATTGCCTCATTAATGATCTTTCTGCTGAACACATGATATATGTAGGATGATGATTTAAAGACTCTAATAGTTTATGAACATCAAAATCATTTTCACGACATTCTATACCTAAAGCACCTTGAGAGACTGCATGTAATGAATCTGTAGAAGAAATCACTTGTGATATACGATGCCCCATATTGATTCGAACTAATCCTGCTACTGCTAATACTATAGCCGCGTATTCACCTTCTGGATTATCTAATTTGGCTAAACGTGTATTACTTATATAAAAGAGGAAAGAGGAAAGAGATGAAAGAGAAAGTTAATAATTATGTTTACACCAACTCTGTAGATAGAGATGAATACATACATATTTCCGCGCTATTGATATGCCAAACAAGAATAGAAAAAAAAAAGTACGGAATATTCTTTAGTATATGTCACCATCCCTTCCTATTCCCTCCTCCTCTCTCCCACATACACGCTTATATAATAATAAAACTTACAGTATCCTTAAAAACTAAATGAGGGTATCTACGTTTTAATTGAGCTACACGACGAAGAGAGCTTGTACCGATAACAGAACCTTTGGGTAAAGTGGCTAATGTATGACCTTTAAACTTTGGAGATAATACTAACGCATCATTAGGATTTTCACGTTCCATGACAGCTCCTAAAAACATCCCATCAGGTAAAACGGTAGGTAAATCCTTTAAACTATGTACAACTAAATCAACTCGACCCTCTGCTAAGGCTACTTCAAGTTCCTTTGTAAATAAAGATTTTTCACCAATTTTACTTAAAGAAACATTTAAGATACGATCTCCTGTCGTTGACATAGGTTCAATAAGGAACTCCAAGTCTGGGAAGTTATCTTGTAAATGCTTTCTAACAATTTCAGTTTGAACAAGAGCTAATTGTGATTTTCGAGTACCAATACGATATATCTTTCTCCCTGCCATTATTTAGTGAAATAATAATAATAATAATAAAAAGGGGAGGAAGGGAAAGGAGATAAAAACAATGATTTATAACTATTATAGTTATTTTTTTTTTAGCCAATAAAATAAAATATATGTAATCCTTTTACGTCGATTTAGACAGCATTCTTATTTGTTCCGAAAATCCCCTCTCCCGCCTACACTCCTCACACACACACACACAAAGACTCTCTCTCTCTTCATGTGAGTCCCTTTTTGTTCTTGATAAATAATGGTATACTATATAATAAAACATGATACTAGCAATCATATATATGATATTTAGAAAATAAAATAAAATAAAAGAACACTACTAGTAGTCATAGTAGTAGTAGTAGTAGTAGTAGACCTGGTTAAACAATTATACGTCAAATGAAAAAAAAAAAAAATTAAAATTAAAATCAGCTACTGTGTTTACAATATTAAAAGTAATAAATATAGTGAATCCAACAAACAATGTCGCAGCCAATCAAAATCAGAATTATTCAATGACAATATTTACACATAATGCTTTATTATGGCAGTATTCACTTAATTCAAAAATCATACTTCTATTAATATCACTTACATTGTAAAAAAAACATATAAATAGCCCTTGTCATTTTTCTATATTATTTTTTTTTCTTTTGTACAATGTTTGTATTATTTTATTTTTTTTCAATGAACTATACAGAGTTTTCACAGACTTGTCTTTTCTGTTTTCTCTTTCCTTATATTTTGCACTTAAAACAACAACTATGAATGATCAAGATGGTGTGAGGTTAGTATTTGGTACAAAAGCATTTAATGGGTTAATCACATCCAGTTTAAGATTAGATTCGATTGTTAAACCTGATATTGGTCCCTCCACTACTCATTTTACTGTATATGCATCCTCCTCTGCCAAAAAATACTAGACTATTCTTAAGTCAAAAGGCATTAGAAGAAGCTAAAAGATTAGCAAGAGATACCGAGACAATTAGGATTAAACTTTATGACACACTGTCTCAACTTTGTCAAGTTATAACTCAATTTTGATAACTTATCCACTTACTTGTGTTGCCGAGCATCAAGTGCATAAACTGACGTTATCTCGTACCGCCCTTATACAGTGTTCCTCCTTGCAGATTATGATAATGGTCGTCCTAATCCTGATGGTAGAATAAGTTTTATTTTATTCCAAACAATAGCACTCAGTGTTATCCGTGGTGACAATTTAGATTCTGTTGGGGGGGAGGGGGAAACGTTGGACGTTTGAAAAAAAAAAAGTTTAGTTCAAGCATTAGAAAACAAATGTAAAGAAAACAGTAAAATTGGATCAATTCTTCACCCCATTGTTGAATTGTATGAAACTGACGATTAACATATACCAGTTATTGGAAACTCAAAGTTAAATACTTTAGTAATAATCATTGGCAACCCAATTAGCACCATATATAACTCATGCAAATCATTCGGTTGCTGAAGCAATTTTACATTGTTATTCGATATTGAACTGATTTTTTTTTAACAGTTGTACAGTGGTAAACCTTTATGTACCATCGAATTTATTGGAAGAAAAAGGATTTATTATGAAAACTATATGATACATTGAAGCATTTATCGTTCAAGTTTTTTTAACCTAAAACTTTTTTTTTAAAAAAAATTTCTGAAAAGCTCAAGAAAACAACACAATTATGGATTCCGTCTTTTCAATGAAATCCTGGTAGTTTGAGCATTTATTGCCTACAATAAGATATGTAAATATATTAGGTCAATAACTTCATTATTAATATCTTCCATTGGAATATCTTCGACTTCATTATTAATATCTTCCATTGGAATATCTTCGTCTTTTACATATAAAATAAGCGACCATTATTTATAAAAGCTCGACCAGTGTTTATTTCATTTTTACCAGTTTTGGATAAAGAGATTTTTACATTTTCATAATGGTGTTGGTGTTTATGTTGCCTATAAAGACCACAACTATCAAATACTGGTTTATTCGGACAGATGGAGCATATCATTTTTTTTTTCATGTGTCTGTGATATTTCTTGTAAAATATCTAATAAAAAGACAACAGAAGTTGATGAGACCGAACAATGGTTCTAAAGTCAATGATTTTATTTATGAATTTAAATTGATAGGATCGTTAAAGAGGTCTGAGGATAAGATGCGAATCAGAAAAGTGATAGTTACGACCAAATAAGATATGTTAAAGACAATGAAGTGTTAGAAGTTTTTAATATTATTTGATGAAATGGATCAAGAGAGTTTCAGGGGAATCTAGATAAAATTCCTTGATCCGCACGTCTAATCAAGAAACATGACATTATAAGTCAGCTCATGTCAAAATGTATAAATGCAGATTATTATATTTTATTTTATTATTTTATTTTATTTTTTTGCACATTACCACTGTTGCAAGTGTCTATTCTCTCAAAAGGGTTACCACGAACGATATTTGCTAGTTGGTTATAACAAAAACTAACTGCATGCGTCCATTTCATACAATGATTAGTCATCTTATTAGCTTAATTATAGCACATCGTATTTAGATTGATTTTTGTCATATTGTTTGGATCAAACATACATCATTTGCTTATCAGAAAAGAAGATAAAAAAAGAAAGGTTCATATAGTCATTACCGAAAAGTATATGTGTATATATGTACATGTAATCAACTACTTAGTGCAAAGTAGTGTTCGTTATCATAATAAAGAAAGAAAGAAAGAAAAAGAAGATTAATAAGGGACATTAGAATATCATTTACCTTCGTTTGCTGATGACTGTCGTTGAGAAATAGGTTACTTGAGAAAAGAATCAAAAGCTGTTTCTACATTAGAAATAGCTTGCTTAAAATATCCACCTCATTTTGAAGTAGTTTCACTAGAATCAAGGAAACTACTCATTATTAAATCATTTAAAAGCTTTATATGAATGGGATTTCAAAAAAAAAAAAGGAAATATGTATACATAAAAGAAATACAAGTTTTCTAATAAGTACTCAATATCTTTAATATTTTGTACTCATCTTAGTTAATTTAAAAAAAAATAATAATTTGATTGTAAAGGAAGAATAATAATCATGATAGTTTCTCTGATAAGATATTAGTTAATAGTTTAAATAATCACTACTACACCACATTTTATATTTCCTGTATTTTTTATGTTAATTACTTTATAACTTTTCTACTTGTTTTTATACTTCTTAAAGTCAATTTAGAGCAAAAAGATATTTTATTATACAAACAATAGTTGAAGAAGGCACAAGATTATTAAAAGACGCGTAAAAAAAAGAGATATTTATTTATTTTATTTTATTTTTCATTTTTATTTCATATATAAAAAAAAGTGAATCCCCAATTCGTCAACAGTAATAATTACTGCAGTCCAAAGGTGGCCGCGTGGAGGCTAGGATTCGTTGTACCTTCTTTGTTCTTGTATTTTTTATTTTTACTAGGAGGTTAGAAAAAACCCATAGCTATCACAATATGTAACGCCCTCTGAATCAACAAGATACCCTACAATGTCCTCCTAATTCAAGGAGGGCAAGATAGGGTGTCTTGTTAATTCAGAAGGCGTTACATAAGTGGTAACTATGAGAAAAAGAATTTCCTCCTAGGGCAGGGAAGAAGAAGAAGAATAAAATAGTATTATTTAATGACTTACCTTTGGAAGAAATAGTAATAATAATAAAGAAGAAGAAAAAAAGGGAAAAAATAATAACTTTGAACATCTACTTTTTTATAGTTCATAAGAATAAGGAGGTCGTTGTTGTAAATTACAGTCACAATCATATGAAATCGATAAGAATATGTGTTACCCCACATTTAATACATGCATACACACAGATACACACAGTTACATTATTTAATTTTCTTTCTTTCTTATAAAAAGTACCAATGTGTAGAATAGTAAAATGTTGTCAATTTTATATCTTCTTTATGACTATATGAAATGTATTTATGCTCAAGAAAAGTAAAGTAAATAAAATAAATGTCCTTTGGTTTTCACTTTTTTGTTTATATTCTCATCAACTTTCTTTTTTCCTATTTAGGCAACTAATATGCATCTCATTTGTACAATATACTACTATTTTCTAACAAGGGGTATTTAGTAAGTCTAGTCTCCCTTGTTTTGTGCTTAAAATCATTCTTTTACTCTTATTTTGTTGAATGAATCAAAGATAGAATGTATGTAGAATAAAAAGTCAACCTTTGTGTGTGTGTGTGTGTTTATCCTTTACCACATTATCTTCTTCAATATTTATGAATTCTATATAAAGTAATAGGGGAGGAGGAGAAGATGTTAGAATAAAGTGGTTCTATGTTAAATGAGGAAAATATAGAAAAGACATCTATACTAGACTAGTAGTCTTTTTTATTATATTTGTTCTTTAACTCATTCTAATAAGTGAGTATAAAAGTAAAAAACATCTATAGTAATGACCTTGTCTATTTAAGAATCTTGTTGTATACACTCTGTAAAAGTCTATCGCCCACATAGTATTATTATCAACATTAAGACAAGAAGAAATAGATATATTTGTATAATAAAGAGAAACATTTAAAAGCCTGGACACAAGGATAACAGATACTTGTATATAGAGAAAATGTATAGAAAGAAAAAAGCTATCCAGAAGATAGTATTAAAATACTTTAATCAATACTAGCAGGATGTTATTGTTGTATTTCAGCTATTACATAACGCAGTAATATATATTTATGTGATCTAGAATATCACCGCTAATTACACAAATACTCCTGGATTAAGCTATAATTTGAATCTCTTTAATTAACTAGTAATTTATATTGTTGTATTGGTAACAGCTTATTATAGATTATGTTTATTAGCTAATTTCTGTAATATTAACTAATATGGCAAGTACACACAATTAGACATGATATGGAGTAATTGAACTTTCTACTTTTTAGCAATATGATCAAACTGCTGTAGTTATCATTTTAAGCTTTTGTAAAGGACAGACAGCTTCATTTCCCCCCTCTTCTTTCTGTTAAACCATTTATTCTTATTATGCTACAAAAGATGAAATGCCCTTACATAATCGAATAAAACTAATCCCTTCAAGTTTTTTTTTTTTTTTTCTCTTGAATAATCTAAAAGTCAGTGTATTTCATGAATATATTAAAGTTAGTGATATTTTCTACTGCAGAATATTTATCGATAGGTCACATTTGTCAAGAACAAAAACTATTCTGAGAATTAATATAATAGTAATATTTCTAATCTCTTCCTCTGTAGTGATAGACATTCGTTCTTTCCAGAACAGTAACGCGCGTTTTGATTGGCTGAAGAAAAAATTTTTTCTATTTTTTTTTTTTTTTTTTTTTTTTATAATAAGGATATTTGTAGAATGCACCAGAAAAAAAAATTTGTCAGTAAAGTCGGAATTTCTCCTCCCTCCCTCTTTTTGTATTTTACTGGTACTTGCGCGAACATTCTATGAAAATTAATATAAAAATATTAAGATTTTCAGTAGTTAGATGATATTTTTTTTTTTAAGTTTATAACTATAAAACACGCATTGCCTTTTAATTTATTTTTATAAATCTGTACTATCACTGATTTTTAAAATCCAATATGTATCCTTTCTATTTCGAACAATTTCCTACTACCTCTACCACTATGGCTTATCAACCTCAATGGTCAATTGATGATTATATTCAACTTCAATATTTGGCTCGTCAAGAACAAATTCGACGTGAACAACAAATAGCTGCTCTTCAAGCCTATCGTGAAAAGCAACAAGAACAACTTCGTCTTCAAAAGGCTCTTTATCAACTTCAAGTAATGGCAGAAATTCGTCACAAACAACAACAACAACGTCAACGTCAACGTGAAGCCGCTATTCAAGCTTATTATGAAGAAAAACGAAGACAACAAGAAGAAGAAGAAGAACGTCGTAGAATCGCTCTTCGTCGTTACCAGTCATTCTATGACTCTATGTATTCTCAACCTGAACTCATATTCTGTAATTTGGAATATGAAAAGCCTAGTCCTGTTGCCTATCCTTCTCCAATGGATCTAATGGAGGAAGATGATACTACTTTATCATCTGATTCTGATTCTGAAATTGAAACTGAGGCTGAGGCTGAGGCTGAAAACGAGCTACAGCATCAACCAGTAGTGAACAACAACAACAACAACAACAACGAGCAATTGGAATCCTTGATTAAACTCATTTTTGGTCAACAAGAAGAGACTACTACTGAAGCTAAACAAACTCAACATGAAGATTATCCATCAAATGAAGAAAAGAATGATCAACAACAGGATCACTTCTCAACAACTGAACACGGATTATTGAATGATGATTATGAAGAAGAAGAAGACGAGTCTCATTATTATCGTATGTCGGAAAACCCTTCTTCTCCCCTTGAATTAAATCATCAAGAAAACAACGATATGGCCTACGAGGGACATGAAGAAGAATGCATCTCTATGACGATGGAGGAAATGCCTGAATTGGTGGATGACATGACAGGCTCTATCCAAAATTTAATGGGCCCTATGTCAACTCATGATAATAATAAAGAAGAATTTACCGAGTTCCCCAAGGAAGATCCAATCAAGTTAAGCAAGTTTGAAATGCTTGGCCAAATTGAACAAGAATTAGATGAAATACGTCAAAAGCATGAAGATCATATCTTACAAGCCTCATTGGATTTCTCACCCTCTGAAATAAATAGACCTCATTCTCCAGTTACATTAAATGCATCCACACTTGAAAATCGTGAATTTCTAGGTTATGAAGATATGATCATGAAACTCTTACTAAAGCTGGATACGATTGAATCCGAGGGAGATGAAGAAATCCGAAATGAACGCAAGTCTCTAGTTAAACGTGCCGAGAGTATGCTTGAAAGATTAGATGAATACAAACAAAGGGAATGGGAACGCGCTAGTGTTAGCAGTAACTCTAGTAATGGTAGTCACAGCGATGAAGAAAATTAAACTACTATATTTATCCTATTTATTTATAAAACAAAACAACAACAAAATACCCTGTCATAATGAATGATCTAGAACTTTTTTCTTTTAAATATGTATATTAATAAAATTAATAATAATTTCTACATTTTAAGTAATTCTTTGTCGCTATTTCATTTTTTTTTTTTTACTTTCAGGTAATCTTCCCGGTAACGATTCGTTTTAACATAACATAAAACCTATTATAAATCATAGGAATTTCCTAAAATGGGAAAATTAACCTCATAAAGAAACAAGCAATCCAATCTTATAACTCAATCTTGATTATTTAAAATAGGTCAGCTAATTTATATAAAATATATCAATCTAAATATGTTTATAAATATAAATAAAAAAGTAAATGTAGAAGTGATAGTCATTATAATATTCTAACTTGTAATATTGAATATTCATTACTTTTATTACATTTTTTACAATATAAATTTTATAACATTCAAAAAAGAAAATGCATCATTACTTGATAAAACGTCATAAATTATCCCCAAAAAACTAAAACATTATTTTATCTTGTTAACTGAGTAAATAAATACAAAGATAAGCTGTTCTTATAATCAAACTCAAAGTAAGTTTGTTAAAGCATGTAAAAGTAATATTTAGATTAAAAATAAATTTTCTAATTTTATCAAGTTGGTCTCTTGGCAAACATGGTAAAGTAATGTGTTTAGTCTCTTTCACACACACACACACACACACACATATATATATATATATATATATATACAAATACACATACAGTTTTTTTTTTCTCTTCAAAGGAAAATAAGGGAAAATAAAATATTATAATTTTTCTATATCTGAGATTTGTTTTATTTTCCCATACCTTTGAGAGAGGAGAAGGAAAAAAAAAAAAGTAAAGGTAATAAGCATTATTTTTATTTAAACCAGGCATAAAATGCTTTTTTTTTTCTTTTTTTTCCTTTTTCTTAGGTCTTAACAAATCAGCGCAAAAAGCCTACAATGCATAAATATAAATATTTAAAACTCATTGTTCATATGTCAAATATTCGCTATTAAATACAAAAGTATAAATATAGAATAAAATATTACACAATAAACTGTAACAAATAACAGAGACATACATGTCATAAATAAAACCCGGGAAAAGTCTTGGCAATTTACCTGATAAAGCAAAATTATTTTTGAACCAAAAGTAAATAATTTCACCTAAATTAGTAATCATTTCATACGACCTAGCTGGTATTTAAAATCTAATTGTTTGGAAAATAAAATCCCCTCTTTTTTTTTCTTTTTTTTTACATTCATTTCTTCTCCTTTCTTCTACTTTACTTTTAAGCAAATATATGAGCTCTACACATAATAATAGTCATTCAAGTGGTTGCACTTATCGTTTTATCGAAAGTTCATTAGCTACTCTTCCATCTACAATGTAAATAAAATAAACCATTTTTTTTTCTCTAAACTAATTGAATTTCTTTGTAGTAATTATGATCTAGAAATAAGACAGCAACCAAATAGAGCTAAGCTTAGTGTTATCAACGAAAGAGGTAAATATATGAAATAATTATCTTTATCATAATTCATTAATAACAATAAATATGTATATATATATAAAAAAAGATAGAAGACCTATTGAACCTCCACCCATATTGCAACTTCATTGGAAAAATTGTACAGAAAATGAATTAAAGTAAACTATCCTTTCCCCCCAAAAAAAAATACTGTATGATAAATTCTAACTTTTTTTTTTCCTATTCATATAGAAAATGTCTTCAAAGTCCGTTTTATTTTACAGTAGCCAATCTTGTTACTGAAGATGATCCTGAAACTCCGTTGCTACCCATCCAAAATTATTTATCGGGCTCAACTGTCTCTTCCCTTTATAGACTCCGAGACATTGATAACTCTGGTAAGTTTAAATAAAATGTCTTTGATTTATTATTATATATACTTATTTTTATTCAATAGATGGTGGATTTTTTGTATTTGGTGATCTCGCTGTCAAGAAGGAGGGGCGATTTAAATTAAGATTTTCCTTATTTGAAATAGTAGAGTAAGATTATTTGTTATTATTATTATCCATTTTAATTTCTAACATTCTCTCTCTCTCTATCTTTTTTTTAATAAATATAGGGGTGAAGTTCGAAACAGAAAGACTATTTTATCTGATACTTTTACAGTCTATATTCCTAAACAATTCCCTGGTCCTACTGAAGCTACTTTTCTTTCTAGAACATTTTCTGATCAAGGCGTTAAAATGAGAATTCGTAAAGAACATCGACTTCAATCGTATGTATTATTCATTTTTATTATTCTTATTTCTTATTTCTTACACATATTTTTATTTTAGTCGAAAAAGAAAAATTGAACAAACACATGATTCTATATCAAGTGAATCTTCTTATCCTGTAAAGAAATATCAACCAAAAGACTCAAAGCTTATCGTTTCTTCTCCTTCTTATGCTGAACATTCTTCTTCTTCTTCTACTACTACTTCTTCAGATGTCTTATTTGGGCGCTGGCAAGCAATGGCTCACTCTGATAGACATATTTCAGATCAACAATCTAGAGTACCATTGTCGCCTCAACATAAAAATAAGGATCATTATTTAAAACATACATTTCAATCTTCAGACGACCCAACATATGCATTCCCTAGTCCTGAAAGTACAATTTATCATCATACATCATCTTCAAATACAACCCCTATTACGCGCTCCATGTCAGTAGCCTATAGTAGTTACCCATCACTATCATCATCATCATATACAAAACAATCGCATGTACCTCGTAATTCTTGGCCAACGATTTCCTATTCTACTACATCTTCATTTTCATCTACTTCAACCCCAAGTTCAACTAGTTCCACATCACCCGTTTTAATCGCTGCTAATCATCTTACTGATTCCCCACCCTTAATGGCAAGAGAATTACCCGCTGATTTATCCCTAGCCAGATATCATACATGTTCTGATCGTCATAAATATCAAACTCGATCTACTGTGGATCGATTACCTACACCACCCATATCCATAACCGAGCTACATCATCTTGCTACCGGTACACAAGGTTGGGGTACACGATTGCCTCCTTTAAGAGCCATTATGAATCAATTAGATCGTAAGAAACCTTCTTTTCCTTTAATACTACCACCACCTACTGTAGTTCCTCTTGGTCAATCCAATCATTCATTATATGAACAAACTTCTCATTATCATCCATATTATTAAAAAAAAAAATTACACGCATACACACATACATATATATATATATTCCTCTTTTCTACCTTTCATACATGTATATTGACTTAATTATTCTTCCTTCTTATCCCCTATACTATTTATTTATATGTATATATTTTTTAATTAGTAAAAATTCATAGTATCTACTTGTTTTTTATTTTATTTTATTTTATTTTTAATAGTAATTCTAATTTTTCCTTTTTGTATAATAATCGCCTTTTTAAGGAAAAAAAATAACTATTTATGTTGTGGTTGTTGGAAAATTTTTATTACCAAAAAAAGGGTAGTATGACAAATATTATGTTTATAGCAATTAGGGGGACCCTATTATTTTGGTAAAAAAAAAAAAGGATTTGGTAAGCAATAAAATGATCTTTTTCTTATTACCCTTACATTGTGCGTGTGTGTGTGTGTTTTTATGTATCTATTATTCCTTTATATGAACAATAGTAGTAGTTTGTATTTCTTACTACTATTCCTCCTAGATTAACTCGTTTATACATCAAAATAACTTTATTATACAAGTAATCATAGTGTTTCTTTTTCTTCAATACAGGAACTAAATGATCGCGTCGTCGATACGTTTGTGCTGGCTTATGGCAATCTGAGCAAAAAAAAAAAAAAAGGGGCAGGAGGGGACTCCTATATATATATATATATATATATATATGTATATGATAAGCATATTGTCTTTGGTAGAAATGAAAACTAATCTCTAGAGTACAGAGTGGGGGGGTTTTTTTTATTTTATTTTATTTTATTTTTGAATTTGACCAGTGTACAATATGTAAATAAAAAAAAAAAGACCGTTTAATTTATAATAAGACTACTCTCCATTCCTTTCCTTTAATAAAAGGTTTCTTAAAGTGACATGTACATTTAAAGGATAATCGAGATTACTAGTGCTTTTCATTATCAAATAAGGAGAGAGAAAGAGAGAAGAGAACTTTTTAGTTATAATAAAAAAGAGGGCATATACATTATGAGATGGTTCAAATAGGGTAGTAAAAATTTAATAAGAAATTCCTATTTCTTTGTCAAGACTGTAGACATGAAATCAGCTCTCGTCTTATTAATGATATGTAATAATAAAAGGCTTTTTTTTTTTTTTTTTTTTTTTTTTTTTTTTTTTTTTTTTTTTTTTTTTTTTTTTTTTTTTACAAAACTAACATTAAACGTAGCTATATAGCAAAAGGATAACGATGCTTCTATGAATAGTATACTTTCCTTTTCTTTTTTTTTTGTTTATTATGGCAAGAAAGAGGAATACATTCTGTTATATAGATTAGGTTTATTTATAGTATTATTCTTTAACATAAAAAGGATCATTACACATGCAATCTAACTACTATCTCTTATATTAAATAAATATGAAACACGGGAATTGCTAATAATCCTATTAATAAAACGAGAAATGCCTTCTTTTATAATTAAACATAAAAGCTATTATTATCTACAGAAAGAAATAATAATGATATAAAGGACATAATTCATTAAATGTCCATGTCCACTACACAAGTAAAGGTATTTACGAAATCTTTTTATTTTTTTTTTGACTATCCTCATAATAAAAAGAAAAAAACAAATAATATTTAAACTAGTGGATTATGAAACTTTATTAGCATTGTCAATTAAAATAACACATTTACAACAGATAAAACCTTTTTTCTTCTTTTTTTTTTTGCCCTAATATTTGACTTATCATTCAGTGCCCTTTTTTTTTTTCTTTTATTGTTAACCTATAATTTTTCTTTTTTTAAAGAAAAAGCCTCTTTTTTTAATTTATTTTATTTTACTATATATTTTGTATTTATTTATTTTTTTTATTTCCTCCAAGTTATTGCTATGCTACTACTAAGAAACAACACGTGTATTTACGGTTTATTTATTATAGCAGCAGTAGTGGCCACTTTTTTTTTCCTTTTTCCTTTTTCTAATCCAAGCTCAGTCATAAATGACAAAAGCAAAACTCCGCTAATGGAGATAAATCATGCACATAAAAGAGCTTATTCCACTTTAATTAAAACTTTATATATCCCATCTCTTTATTTTATTTTTTTTTTTTAATTTTAACCATGAATCTTCTTAATAAAATAAAGTCTGAAATTGACCTTTGGAAATTAGAGAAATATACCAAAAGAAGATCATTTCTACCTGAATATGATTCAAAAGGTAAAAAACAGTAAAGAAAAGAAAAAAAAATTTCGTGTTTTCGTTTGTTACTCACGTTAAACAATAGACTTGAAGTATTATAAAGAAGTATATCATGATGGATTTTATGATACAAGCTTAGGATACAATCAAGGCACTGCTACTAAGAGATCAAGAAAAAGCAAATCACAATTAGGTCTTTTGTTTGGAAAATCATCCTATGGAGGAGGATATCGTCTGCCACCTTGTTCCGAGACGTATAATAGAATGTAGAATATCTCTTTGCTTCTTGTAAATAATAACACTGTATACTATTTATATTCTTCATAAATACAAGAACAATATAACTCTTTGTATGTAATAAAAATTCATTAAAACTTAATATCAGACATTAAATAGCGAACAATTTTTTTATTTTTTCCCTGGTAATATGTATTCATCTTGTTTATGAAACATCTTAAAAAAAAAAAAGATGTGACACGGTTGCTTAAGGAACATGATTTCACTTTTATTTTTATTTTATTTTATTTTTTATTTTATTTTATTTTTTTTTTTCGTATAAAAAAAAAGTAAAAATGAGTACAGGAATTGCACGTAGTCGTTTAATGGAAGAACGTAAACAATGGCGTAAAGATCATCCTCATGTAAATAAGACAGTCTTTTTATTTTATTTTATTTTGTTTTATTTTCTATATAAAATCGGCTAAATATTCATTCATCTGAACAGGGATTTTGGGCAAGACCTGGAAAGAACGCTGACAGTTCACTTGATTTAATGAATTGGACTTGTGGTATTCCAGGAAAAGAAGGTGTAAAGTATTTAAATCAATACTCTATTCTATAATAGTTTTTATAATTATTATTATTATTATAATAGACCCCTTGGGAAAATGCAACATATAAACTTACCATGTCATTTCCAGAAGGTATTAAAAAAAAATAAAATAAAAAAAAAGTTTAGCAATGTCAACCTAATTACAAAGTATAGATTATCCTAGTAAACCACCAAAATGTAAAAAAAAAATCCCAATTGTATTTATGTTTGGAACATCTATTTACATTTTAATATAGGTAAATTTACACCACCACTATTTCATCCAAATGTCTATCCTTCTGGTACTGTTTGTTTGTCAATTTTAAACGAAGATGAAGGTTGGAAGCCTGCGATTACTGTCAAACAGGTATTTTAAAAAAGAAAAGAAGGAATAGTTTTTTTTTTTTTTTATTAATTAGATCTATAGATTTTACTTGGTGTTCAAGATCTATTGAACGATCCTAATCCAGAAAGCCCAGCTCAGCAAGATGCTTATGTATTATTCAAGTAAGTCGAAAACAAAAAAGAGAAACAGAGATATTTACGCAAAAGCTTACTTGTCTTTTTTTTTTTCTTTTAATAGAAAGGATAAAAAGGAATATGAAAAAAGAGTACGTGAACAAGCTTTACAAAATAGAACATAGCGTTAAAGAAAAGAGAACAAAGTTATGCTATTTTATAATAAAAAACAACAAATATCTTTTTTATTATTATTTTTATTATTTTATGAGTGATAACCTTTGTACATTCCAAACATTGTAATGCTTGAAATATTCCATAAAGTTCTTTATCTATTTAAACTATGCGTCTGCTTTATATGAATATTAGATCAAACTGCCATTTGTGCTCCTGCTGATAACAATAATTTTAATCACTAGATGTATAAGCCACAATTTCTTTACTATTTTGGCAAGTATTTTTTTTTCTCGCTCACAAAAGTCACTCTTAATTTTTTTATTTCCAATTCCTTTTTTTTTTTTTTTTTTTTTTTTTTTTTTTTTTTTTTAAAACAGCAATTCAATTATTAGAAAAAATGCCTGGTATCGATTGGAAGAATCTCCCTGAACGTGAAGAGGACATTGACTTTAGTGATATTTACGAAAAGCATCAAGTTACAGTCAAGAATGATTTTGATAGTATCATTGTTGTCGATGGTGCTCCTATTGTTGATGAAGCTAAAGAGGAAAAATTATTAACAGTCTTGACAAAGCTTTTCACAAAGGGTGCTGGTGAGATTAAAGAAAACGGTATTTGGATGCCAATGACTCCCAACGATGAAGGCAAAAAGACCAGCTCTGGGTAATTATTAAAAAATCTTTTCCCCCCCCTCCTTTTTTTATTTTTTATTTTATTAATTTAATTTCATTCATCGCGTTTTACTAGTTATCTTTTCATCGACTTTAAATCAGCTGAATCAGCCCATGCAGCTGTTAAAAATTTAGATGGTCACAAATTAAGTAAGACTGTTACCTTATCTGTCAACAAGTTCACTGATGTCGAAAAGTATAGCGATATGAATGAGGAATATGTTGAACCTGAGATTGAGCCTTATACACCCAGAGAACATTTAAAGAGCTATATGATGGATCCTCAAGCTCGTGATCAGTTTGTAATGTATAGAGGCGATGATGTTTCAATTTTCTGGAACAGAAAGACAGATACTCCTGAACATGTTTATTCTAGAACAGTAAGTTTATCCATATAGAATTAGGATAATCAATTTATACTTATAATTTATATAGAATTGGACCGAGACTTATGTTCAATGGTCACCTAAAGGTACTTATCTCTCTACATTCCATACTCAAGGTATTGCACTTTGGGGTGGTCCATCCTGGAATAAAATTGTTCGTTTTGTTCACCCTGGCGTCAAATTGATCGATTTCTCTCCCAATGAACGTTATCTTGTCACTTGGTCAAACGAACCTATTAGTTTAGCTAGATTACCTGAAACGGGTCACCCTTATAGTGACTATGATGAAGGTAATCAAGTTGTTATCTGGGATATTAAGACTGGTAACTTGCTTCGTTCATTCCCTATTACTCAAACTGCTGGTGAAGAGCAAAAGACAGTTCGCTGGCCAATGTTTAAATGGTCTGCTTCCGAAAAGTTTTTCGCTCGTGTTGTTCCTGGCCAACAAATTTCTATTTATGAAGCCCCCTCCATGGGTTTAGTAGGTAAAAAATCGATCAAGCTCCCTGGTGTTGTTGACTTTGATTGGTCCCCTGCCAAGAGTGGTGAAAACAATGAAATCAAGGCTTATCAAAAGGAAGAGGTGCTAGCTTACTGGACACCTGAAATCGGTAATCAACCTGCTCGTGTCTGTTTGATGAGTGTCCCCTCTAAGGAAGTCATTGCTACCAAGAACTTATTCAATGTATCTGAATGTAAATTATACTGGCAAAACCAAGGTCACTTCTTGGCTGTTAAGGTGGATCGTCATACAAAGACGAAAAAATCTGTCTTCAGTAACATTGAAATCTTCCATGTAAACCAAAAGAATATTCCCGTCGAAACAATTGAATTGAAGGATCCTATCATTGCCCTCTCTTGGGAACCTTATGGAGATCGTTTTGCTGCTATTACTACGAATGATCCCAACTTTGGTACTGCACCTGTTCATGGTCAACCCGCTGCTACACTCAAGACAGAAGTGAAATTCTTTTATCTTGATGAATCCAAGAAAGCTAATTCAGGTTTCAAGGTCATGAAAACACTTGAAAAGGAGACTGCCAATTATCTCTTCTGGTCCCCTAAGGGTCACCATATCGTCTTGGCCACCTTACGTTCCTCTTCTGTCTATGATCTCAAATTCTACGATATTGACTTTAAACCTCTTTCTACTGATAAGAAGGATGCAAAGGGCCCTGGCGCCAACATCCAACTCTTATCTACACAAGAACATTATGGCGTTAGTGATGTAGAGTGGGATCCTACAGGTCGTTATGTCGTTACAGGCTCTAGCATGTGGCGTCAATCTGGAGATCATGGTTTCAGTATCTGGGATTTCAAGGGTCAACTTTTATTCAAGCAAAATATTGAAAACTTTAAACAATTCTTGTGGCGTCCTCGTCCCGCCAGCTTACTATCTGCTGAACAAAAGAAGAAGATCAAGAAGAACCTTCGTCAATATTCTAAACAATTTGATGAGGAAGATCTCGCTATGGGTGATGCTAACGCTGCTAAACTTCTTGCTGAGCGTAGAAAGGCAATTGAAGAATGGTATGCTTGGAGAAAGGCTACTGAAGCTAAACTCGAAGAAGAACGTAAGGCACTTGGAAAGGAAGTCAAGTTGGCAGATGAAGGCAAATCTGAAGTTGTTGAGGAATGGGTTGAAGAAGTTATTGAAGAAAAGGAAGAGATTTTGGATTAATTCTTTTTTCCTTTTTTTTTTTTCCTTTTTAACAAAATAAATAAATAAATAAAATGTATACATATAATTTTCACTCCCATTCCCTCTTACATTGATATTAGCCTTTTTTTTTTTTTTTTTTTTTTTAAAAAAAAAAACATTTACAAATAAAAAAATAACTATTATTACATATATTATATTCATATCTATTTTAAAACATAAAATAATATGTTGCTTTATTTAATAAGACCTTTCAACAAAATTAACCAAAGGTAAATTTTCTTTCTTTTTTTTTTTAAAAAAAAAAATAAACGTAATAATAATGGGATAAAAAAATAATTCTAATTAATGAATTGATGTAAAAATTTAACGGCGTTGAGAGTAGACATGAGCGAAAGCACGGGTGGAAGCACGCTTCAACTTGGCTTGAGCGGCCTTGAGATCATCAACCTTAGCTTCATCAGCAGAGATTTCCATGAGTTCCATAGCTTCAGCAAGAGCAGTTTCAATGGCTTCACGATCACCACGACGGAGCTTCATGTTGACATTAGGGTCGGAGATGTTGTTCTCGACTTGGTAAATGTAAGCTTCAAGATCTTGCTTAGCTTGAACAACGGCTTCACGTTCCTTATCAGAATCAGCGTTCTTGGCAGCATCTTCAACCATACGTTCAATTTCAGCAGCAGAAAGACGAGTGGAGTTGGAGATGGTGACATCAGCCTTACGACCAGTGGTCTTATCTTGAGCAGTGACCTTCAAGATACCGTTGGCATCCAAATCGAAGGTACAGAGAAGTTCAGGAGTACCACGAGGAGCGGGGATAAGACCAGAAAGAGAGAATTCACCGAGAAGGTTGTTCTCCTTGGTCATCAAACGTTCACCTTCATAGACGGGGAAAGTGACGGTAGTTTGGTTATCAGCGGCAGTGGTGAAGACCTTGGACTTTTGACAAGGGATGGGGGTGTTACGAGGAACAACAACAGCCATGATACCACCTTGCATTTCAACACCAAGAGAAAGAGGGACAACATCCAAAAGAAGGAGGTCTTGAGTCTTTTCGTTACCGGCTTGGTTAGTAAGGACGGCAGCTTGAACAGCAGCACCATAGGCAACAGCTTCATCAGGGTTGATGGACTTGTTCAATTCCTTACCATCGAAGAGGTCTTGGAGAAGAGATTGAATCTTGGGGATACGAGTAGAACCACCAACGAGAACAATTTCATCAACGTTCTTCTTGTCAATCTTGGCATCCTTGAGAACACGTTCGACGGGTTCAACGGTACCTTGGAAGGCAGCAGAGTTGATTTCTTCGAACTTGGCACGAGTGATGTTAGATTGGAAGTCAACACCATCGAAGAGAGAGTCAACTTCAACAGTGGTTTGAGTCAAAGAAGACAAAGTACGCTTAGCACGTTCAGAGGCAGAACGAAGACGACGGAGAGCACGAGCATCACCAGTGATATCCTTCTTGTGCTTACGCTTGATTTCTTGGACGAAGTGGTTGACAAGGTTGTTATCGAAATCTTCACCACCCAAGTGAGTGTTACCAGCGGTGGCCTTGACAGCGAAGACACCACCAGAGATGGTCAAAAGAGAAACATCGAAGGTACCACCACCCAAATCGAAGATAAGGACGTTACGTTCCTTCTTGTCATTGGCATCCAAACCGTAAGCAATAGCTATTAGAAAAGAAAAATTGTTAATTATCTGTTTTTTAATTCCTATTTTTTTTCTAAAAATAAATTTTACCAGCAGCAGTGGGTTCATTGATGATACGGAGAACATCAAGGCCAGCAATAGTACCGGCATCCTTGGTAGCTTGACGTTGACCTATTTGTTACAATTAGTTTTACTGCTCTTTTTTTTTCTTATATTTAACACAAAATCACTTACTGTCGTTGAAATAGGCAGGGACAGTGACAACAGCCTTGCTAACCTTCTTACCGAGCTTAGCTTCGGCAATCTCCTTCATCTTAATAAGAACCATGGAAGAGATTTCTATTTTAAAGAAAAAAAAATTAATTTTTTGATTTTTTCTTGTCTTATCTTTTTTCTTCTATATACCTTGAGGAGAGAAGGTCTTGGTTTCACCTTCGAATTCAACTTGAATGAAGGGGCTTTCGTTCTTATCGACAACAGTGAAAGGCCAGTTCTTCATGTCAGCCTTGACCTCGGGGTCATCGAAACGGCGACCAATGAGACGCTTGGCATCGAAAACAGTATTCTTAGGGTTCATGGCAGCTTGATTCTTGGCAGCATCACCAATGAGACGTTCGTTGTCAGAGAAGGCAACATAAGAAGGAGTAGTACGGTTACCTTGTTCGTTGGCAATGATTTCAACACGTTCGGTTTCCCAAACACCAACACATGAGTAACTATAAATGACAATTTAATTAATTAGTATTTTTTATCCTTGTCTCTTATTCTCTCTCTCTCTCCATAAAAGCTTTCATAACAAATGATATTTACGTTGTACCCAAATCGATACCGATGGCACCCTCGTATTCGGCAGACATTTTTATTATAGAAGAAGGAAAAAGGAAGGTTCAATCAATGTGCCGGGTTCTGCGTTTGTTAAATTATTGTTAATTTTTTGAAAATTTTTTTGAATGGATAAAGTGACTGTTTAAAATAATAGTGGCTTATATGATTCGTTACAACAACCTGTTTGGTGCCTAATGTAACCAATTATAATGTGAATGCTCTGTATCATGATTAATAGTGTTCCCCACTAATAAAAAAAGAAATGACATAAATATTGATTACTAACATATTGATATTTTGGGCAATTATCGAATTATAGAATAGAAATCCAACAAAATAAATAGGGAAAAAAAAAGGCGGATAAAAGGAAGAGGAGGAGCTTAATAAATTACTATGCATTAAAAAAAATATTAGACTAGGCATAGTTAATAGTAATCATGTTCCTATTTTAACTTGTAATTTTAGGCTATTTATTAGGGCTATTTCTTCTAGAATCTACATAAAAGGATAATATAAACTATGTTTGTAAACGGAATAATACTAATAACAAAATGCTTAAAATTCAGTATTTGAATGAATATTATAGCTTTTTGAACGTTGCTAAACTGCTTACAAATTATTTCGATTCATAGAGTTATGACTAGTATTTAACTGCTATATAAACAAATATAGAGAGTTTTATATACATAAAATAATTCCTTTCTAAAGAGAGAAAATATCGTTATATAGTAAAATAATTTAGTAAACAATAAGAGTTGTAAACCCCTTCTTCCTTGTATCTACTTTGCTTAACATCTATATTCTCCTATAAAACTATTTTACCAAAATCAAGGACATAGCTATCTGCCCATGGTACTGAGAATTAAAAAAAAAAAAAAAAACTGGCTATTCATTTACTTTATGTTTTCTCTGTAAAATAAAAATGTTTCTTCTTTGAATCATTCCCTTTTATAATAAAGACATTTTATTTTCATTTTTAGAAGCAAAAGCATACTATATGAGCTTCAGTACAAAATCATTGATTCATTTAAAAAAGAAGTGTCTCTATTTTGGATCAAGTTTTATTTACAATTATATTACATTCCATGCATATATCAAAATAAGTTATTTACGAGATTAATAATAGTCTATTAATATTTATATTTTTTAAAGCTCTTCGGACTCAATTACAAGTCCACAAATTTTACATTTTTCTGTATCATTATCATGGGTCTCAAACTCGTGTTTGTGAGGTCCCTCTTGACGTTTACGTTCCCAGTTAGACGTTAATGTTCTTCTTCTCAAGTCTGCAAGTTTCTCTTTAAATTTTTTATCCTTTTTCTCTTTTTTTTGTGCAACTCTTCTTTCATATTCTGCATCTAAACCTTCAGGACCATTCCATTTTTTAAAGGCATACTCCTCCACCTTTATATATAAATATATGATATGATTAGTATCATTACCAAATAGTTTACTTTGAAAATAATACCATTTCTCGAACATAGAGCATCATATCATTCCAAGTAGATTTATGAGGATTCGGTTTAGACCAATGTGGTAATAACTCTTGATCTTTCAGTTCAGCTATATGTATAAGTTATAATAAATGAGTTAATCGTATATGAGATTAATAAAATAATACTTTACGATCTGTTAATAAATAGTCTTCTTTGGCTTCAGTCTTTGTAATTAAACTATATTTTTCTGGATACTTTTCTTTACAAGTGGGACACAGAGGCATATGAAATACATTAAAAAAGACAGGATCCAAGTCCATTGACCCACATTCTTTACATTTAGGATTTTCTGCAGGATCCATTGAAGGTGCTAATTGATGTAATTAATTAATTCTCTAGTCTATAAAATGTGATTAAATACTTTTAAAACATTTACGGTAATAAGGCTGAATGACATATGAATTCTCTTTTTTTTTCGCTAATTCTTTTTTCGCATCCTCAGCTGTTTCTTCTACAATAAAGCCACCTTTAGAATCTTCCATTCTACTTAAATCAAATTCATAAAAGGGCTTAATCCATCTTGCCTTTTTTGGCTTTTGGCTCTCTTGTCGGTTTGGCTGTTCATCAGCTTTTCTTTTCGCTTTTAACCGCTCTAAAGCTCTTGCTTTATTAGCAGCGATACGTTGAATTTGCTCTGGTGTATGTTGTGTAGGTACTGATGATGTCGATGATAAATCTGACATTTAAGAAATGCAAAAAAAAAAGAAAAGAAAATAAATAAATAAATAAGTAGAAAATAGATTTATTAACTGCGCATAAATGAACTGTTTATGTGCAATCCAGAAGAAAAGTCAAAAGTTTAATATTTAATTTAATTTATTTTTTTTTAAAAAAAATCAATTAAAATGTTTATTCGCGGTTACCACGACCTATAATCAAATAGAACGATTAACTTCATATAAGTACTGATTTATTAGTTTAACTTACCAAGACCACCACGGAATTCGGGCTTGAAGTCACCGCTGGCACCTTCCTTGCGTCTGTAATTGTCACGATCACCACGAGGACCGCGGTTTTCACGATCACCACCGACTAAATAATATTTCAGTTTATAAATCTTTATATACAGTAATTTTATACTTACAGTTACGACGGGGAGCAGCAGGACGAACGGTCTTCTTCAAGGTAGCAGGAACAATTTCTTGAGGCAAGTGAAGATCTGATAAAAAAAAAGTTAAATATTAACACACAGACACACACACGTACAATTATTTTAGCCCTTTTTTTTTAAATTACTTACATTCACGAAGATAGTCAATACCCTCATCAGTAAGGGTATAGTAGAACCATTGCCAAGAGAATTGAGTCTTAACGAAACCCTTAGAAGTCAAAGATTGCATAATCTTGATGACTTCAAGGTTGGGGACTTCGAGATCAGGGTGCTTGGGAAGGTTGAAATCCTTAGGAGCGACAAGGGCACCATCTATTTGTCAAAAAAAATAATTAGCATCGTACATTAATTTTTTTTATATTATTATTTACCCTTGAAGATAGCCTCGTAGATAACCTTTCTGTTTTGCTTAGAGACAAGCATAATTATACCTTTATTTTATAAAACAATAAAAATGGTTAACCTTCTGTTTAAAAAACGAAAATTATTTTGATGGCTTTAATGGAACATAAAAAGAGGGCCGAATTGTATTATTTGTTTTATTGTGTAATGGTAAAGTCAAAAAAAACAAAACAAATCATTCCTGGTTTCTTTTTTTTGACAATTTATTCCAATGTTTTTTTTTTTAATGACGTTAAATAAATCGACATTAGATTGATAGATGTCATGTTGCTTATTGCTTCCTCACTTTTAAATTTTTTTCTAGAATCATAAATCCAAATCCATCTATTTCATCCATCTTCCTATTTTATTTTCATACTATTCTCTTCCCTTTTCTTTTTTTGTTCCATTTCCATCATTATACATGAACTTACAATGCGATGATGAAAGAGGGAGCTTTGTCAATATCGCGCTCACTTTCTCTTAACTCTGCTCAGTTTCTATAACAACCAAAGATAAAACGCCGGACAAAATCCTATGATTTAAATGTCCGATTTTTTTTATTTTTTTTCTCTGCAGCAGCAAAATACGCGATCACCTGTAAAATAGATGATTAAAATAATAAAATTCACAAATTGATTGTCAGTATTTCACAAATTTAAATCACATATTGCAAAGAAATAGAGAGCTATAGATCTTTCCATTTTTTTTTGATTCAATATAGTCATGAAACCTATACCGAAAAGTTAATTGCTATGGTGAAAAAGATTTCCTTCTTTAAAATTCAAAAAAAAAAAAAGCTGAGAGCTGAGAGCTGAGAGCTGAGGATTATTACTAAAAGTTTTAGTTTTTTGTTATTATTTGCAACTTTGTAATTTCTTCAAATATATTGTAAATTTTTATTACTGGGAAAAGTTATATTAACCAAAGTTGTATATGGTAAAACATATTTTTTTAAACAGATTAGTGTGCTAAACTGATTTGTTGTGATGTTAGTATTGTCTTCAAAAGCTATGTATATGAATTAGTGCTATGCTGCTAAAATGGAAAAATAGTTCAGTGTATTTTAGAAAAGAATGTCACTGCATCTATGATGACTTTATTTAATAGGTCTACCAGTTATCAAAACGTTTAATAAAAGAGCGTATAAACTCTTCAGAAGATAAATATCTGGACAACCTGATTTCTAGCATCTCCAATAGTTTGAGGAACAGTACCTTATTTCCTTTTTTTTTTTTTTTTTTTTTTTTTTAGCTATAAACTCTCTTTTCATGCTACACTTAACAACTAGACCAAATTAGTTCTATTGGGTTAAGTTTAAAAGAATAGAGTGGTAAGTAAATGTACCTATAGTCACACTTTTCGGTCATTTTATTCATTATTTTACTTGTATATATGAGAACATAATCCATAATCAAATAATGGCCTTTTATTTCAGAAAAATTTGCTCAACTCATAAAGAATGTCTTTGATGGAAATTGACATAATGATTAATTACCGTACCAATTATTTTCTGATTTTTATTACCGACTAGCTTTCTTTTCTTTGAAAAAATGGTATAAACTTTCTCAAATTGATCTTGATAAGACCTTTAATAAAGATGACTTCCAGGATGTAGATTAAATTGGATCTTATAATTAACACTTTAACTTTAGCAGTATTCATTTTCGGTCATTAGTCTTGAGTTCTTTTCAGGTTTGCTTAGAACTCTGATTCATCAATAAAACTACTGTTGCACATGATTTGCACTCGTTTTTATTTTTTTTATTTTATTGTATTTTAATTTTTTTTTTTTTTTTTTTTTAACCGGACAAGTGGAAGTCACTAAAAAAGTCAAAATCCTTTCAATAAAGAAAAAAAAAAAAATAAAAAATAAAAAAAAATCAGTTTAAATAGCTTTATTGTTTATAAACAATGTCAAAAAGTTTACCATTTACAAAAATCATTCACAATCCTGTAAAATCAGAACTTGTCTTGGCTAATGGTCAGCATTTCTTAGTTTTAAACTCTAGGTAAATTAGGATCGGACGAATTTCTTTTATATATATATATATATATAAGAGTTATTAAAAATCTATTTAGCACAGGCAATATTGTTAAAGCATATCCTCAAGAAGAACAAGCCAACAATGTCACCGATTTCTATCGTAGTATGGCTTTTAATAAAGATGGGTCTTTACTTGCTACTTCTGGTGAAAATAAAGAAATTTGTGTTTGGAATACAAATGATTGGACTTTGAAGAATAAAAGGTACTCGTGAAGAACATATTCATATATACACATATACATATATGGAATCTTATTTTTTTTTCTCCCTTCCTCTTCTTAGACCTGCTTATAAACGTATTAACGCACTCAAATTTAATAACAATTCTACAGAAGTTATTGCTGCTGATAAGTTTGGTGATGTTTACTGGTAAGTTATATATACACATGTGAAATAATGGTTTTTTTATTTTTATTTATTTTATTTTATTTATTTATTTATTTTTAAAAAAAAAAGTCATCCTATAAAAGAAGTTGTTGAAGGCGAGGAAAAACTTGCACCTATTGTAGGTCATGTTTCTATGGTTACTGATATGGTAAATAGTGATTGTTATAGGAAGATTATTTTTTTTTTTATTAATACACCTTGTTAGTTATTGACCCCTGATGAAAAATACGTGATCACATCAGATCGTGATGAACATATTCGAGTTAGTCGTTACCCTAATGGTTATAATATCGAATCTTTTTGTTTAGGACACACTGAGTAAGTAGTTCAATCTATTAAAATGAAAATAGCACCAGACTTATATTTGATAATAGTGTTGTTACATGTATCAGCATTTTACCTTGGGATGAGAAAAAATTGGTATCTTCTGGTGGTGACTGTACAATTCGTCTTTGGGATTATGTTCATGGTAAGCAATTGGCTGTTCTTGACTTGAAAAATCAGATTGAAGCCTATAAGCCTCCTGCTTCAGATGCCAACTCTGAGGATGCTATCGTAAGCACACTTACCTTTGATAGCAACACAAAATCTCTTGCTGTTGCATTTGCTAAATCTCCTGCTGTTATCATTTTGAGTTGGCAAGATTCTGAATTTGTTTATCAGGAAACAGTTGTTGTCTCAGCATCTATCCTTGATATTGAATTTGATTTGGAAGGAAAACTTTGGATAGCTTTAGATGATGAACAAAAGCGTATGGCAGTAGCTGTTCAAAAGGATAATCATTATGTTGTAGATACAAATGCAGATATTGTAAATCAAATCAACACAATCGAGGTTTGCAAGACAAACAAGATGCCTGATCTTTATACAATCTTTGGTCTTCGAAAATTCCTTGATTTACCTGAAGGAGAAGACGAAGGTGATAAGAATAAAAAGAAGAGAAAGACAGAATAAAGCAATTAGATTTGTTATTGTTATTATTATTATTGTTATTATAGAATATGGATTTATGTCATAAATAAATAAAAAACCAAAAATGTTACGTATACAGTCTAATATGTGTGAAATAGGGAGGGGGGGAAAGGAAGAGGGTATTATGACAAATCTCTGTATTGTTGTTGTTGCTGCTGCTGTGAATTTACATCAATATCTACTAAAAATGATCTTGATAAAGAGTCCCTCTTATTGTTTTGAGTGATAGGCATTAATTCACGATCACGAAATGAAGATGGAGTAGGTATCTCGATTTCAATAGCGTCATTTTCTTCTGCTGTCATCATCTCATGGTTATTGTTCGTAATAGCTGATGTAATACCATGAATGAAACTGCTTAGCAAAGCAGAATCACGCTTTTTATTATTAGTAAACATAAAAGATGAGGTTGTATTGTTGTTGGATGAGGATGATAAGGGTAACTGAATTGCTGCTTGCTCTTCATCATTACGGTCCAGTAGCTGTGATGTCATCGAAATGCCTCTAAAAACAGAACTATGCCTTTTATGATTCGTGTTATTGCTTAATGTATTATATCCTTGCCATGCTTCAAATGAGTTATTAGTAGCAGGTCTTGATGATGATTGTTGTTGTTGTTGGTTATCATCTGAAATGAATAATCTACCAGAATTTCTCTTCTTATTGTTCATAGTGATCTCATTATTTTCTCCTACAATAGTTGAACTACTATCAGCGCTGATAGATAGATTAGAAAATGAATCGCTCATCTTCTTTGTTCGTTTAGAGGTAATTAAATAAACTCCAAGGAATTCTATAGCGCATCCTGATATAAACCTAGACATTTGATTCAAGGTCATACCATCAAAATCATGATAAAGCACTGCACTACCAATAATGGCAGATATTGTAAATAATACAAATTGAGTAGGTATAACTTCTGTCGAATCAAATCTCTGCAATGCCTTATTAAGATATTTGATTTGTAAAATAGCTGTAAGAATCAAGACAAATATTAATAGGTAGGAAACTGGATAACTGTAGTATAACGTTAATATTACAAAACCTTTTATAAATATGTATATATATGTATATGCATGTATATAAACTTACGTAAACATTTTAAAAAAAGTCAAACTTAATAGAGAAGCAACACTTTTTGTGGACAAAACAGTGTAACCACCTAATAAAAAGAATTAGTTCTCTTATACACATTTAGTACAAACTATTGAATTTATATACCATAAATAGCAACTAACCCCAAGTCAATCATGATACTATTAGAACCATAAATGGGAGATAATAAAGTTAATATTATGATTGCAATTCCAGTAAGGATAAAATATATAACAGAACGTATTTGACCAAGAGATTCCATAATTAATTCAGGTGTTAACTATCACAAGAAAGAAAGAAAAATAAAAAATAAAAAAATCAGCTCACATGTAATATACCGAAACTTAATTCTTAATATTATCCTTACAGCTGTTTCTTCAGAATTTGAACTAAAGACAACCAAGGCAGCACCCGTAACTGCCAAAAAGACACCTACTAAATCCCTTTTTCTAAATACTTCCTTTAACATGAGTGGAGCTAATATTACATTAGCTACTAAAGTTGTTGTTCCAAGAGGTGCAATTGTTGATGCAGGAGCAAAACCATAAGCTTATACAATATAAGTATTAATAAGAGATCTTCAGGCCTTTTTTTTTTTTTTTTTTGTTACCAACGAAGTTCCCAATTTCACCAAAAACCATAAGTGAGATCCCGAACCACCATAATTTTGATTTTAAATATTCTGTATTATCTTCTGTTTTCATAACAAATTTATGCTGTTGCCCTTCTAAAGAGGTTCTTATAGGTGAAGAATATTCATCATCGGGTAAATATATTCCATTATTCATCCATTGTTGTGAATTATCGATATCTGTAGAATACTGGGCTATTTGCTGTTCCTGGATATTATTATGCTAAAATATAAAATAAGAATTTATAGGGAGGATTGAAGAGTTTTTATTTTATTTTATTTTTACTGCTTTTTTCTGTAAATTCAGTGCTACTGATATAAGTGCCTATTTATTAAATTATAAGTTATTCGAAATAAAAGACATTAAAGTTAAACTTACGTTGCCAAATATTGAGACAAAAACACCAATAAAAGTGTTAAATGCAACATTACCATCGGAATGTTCAAAATCGTCCATTATCCAAGTATAACTTTTATGGACTGTAAGATGTAAAAAGTAAAAAATAAAAAAATAAAAAATAAAAAAAAGGGGAAAACATTAAACATTAAAAGTGAGCAGCTGAGTTCTAAAATTTACAATACAACAGTTTTCGATAATTTTTAAATACAGTTATAGTAACCTTGTAAGCTCCTCAAGATATTCCTTTGTCAGAATTGATCATAACGATTTTTCATATTTAACAAAGGTATTTGTATGAGAACATGATCATTCATAAATGATTCCTGAGCATGTTAAGGCTTAATTAGCTTATGAATGGGTCGAACACTATACTATATACTTTAATATGTTATTTAGCCTTACATTTATATATCTTGATTTAGTTAACTATATTATTTTACGTTTGAAAATAGACTTTTTAGAGATTAATGACTTCAGTATAAATATATATAATAGCCTTTTCTTCTTCTTTCTATCAACGAACGCAACTCATTGTATAATAATACAAATTTATAGTTGTTACTATCCGTTATTGTTTAACTGTAGAGAAGTTAATTTACAATCATATAATCCTTTTTAAGGTTAAATCTACTACAAGATCTTTATCTCTTATTGATTAATAATAAAAATAATAAAATTATTGCAAGTAATCAAGAAAGGCAATATTGCTATATATACATGCTAGTAGTAAATCAACATGCATATTTTGATAGTTTAAAACATTGATTTATTAATAATGTAAAGGCATTTAGTCACAACCATGAAGAGTAAAATGTAAAGTAGTAACTATTCATCGTTCCAAATTAGATAAGACTAATATATAACTATGGCAATCATGGATCTGCTGTTTCAATCATGTTATCACCTAATCTCTAATTTTAGTAATTTATACAACAAAAGACTTTAAATCAGAATAGTTTTATCTTTTATTTTTTTTTTTGGTGGGAAGGAGAGGGATGAATAATAAAAAGGAAGGTATATTAAAAAATTTGAAAATTGTATTGTAATGAAATAGCATTTGCTCAAAATAGAAGAAGAAATTAGTAGTACACGATTTGAAGTATAAATATTATAAATGAGATATAAAATTACCTCTACAGAGAATTATCATCGTCAATCATTAACTAGTCATTATCTTCGAGTAAGAAAAGAAATAGCAGCAGTTGAAAATTCAATATTAGATTGATAGATATGAGGTTTTAAAAAAAAATAAACAGGAAAGAAGAAGTCAAATAGAGAAGTAGCTAATCTAATAATTTCAGTTATTGAAGAAGATAAAAAATTCCTTTCTCTATGAAAGTTCTTTGTTTTAATAAAAATATAATTATGGTGTTATGTAAGGAGGACGAAAGCTATGAACCCAACTTTTTGAAGACAATCAACGATATTCGAAATATTCATAAGAAATTATACAATTGAATCAGTAACGCCATCAAAGATATTCCTGGAACTCCAAAAAACATGCTAGATTATTAGCCATTATTACCAATGTGAAGCACAGGTTTAGCATGATTGAGACGGATAGCAAAGTCTTGTCACTAGAAATTCTGGTCAAGCTTTCTATGTTATCCAAAGCTACTAAATTTTCTACGACGCTCAAATCGGAAATAGCCTTCATCCATTAGTACCGAGCAAACATTATGGACAAGATTAGTTGTTACAATTGTTTGAACTGAAGCTATTCTGTAGGGTTATTTAGGCGATATTCAATTGGCAGTAGCTTACGAACTAACTTTATCAGTCATATCACAAATCAATGAAAAATAAATGTTGCAGAGCATTGGTTTAACCATATTTTGAGTCTTGTTGATCGATGTATATTGTTTTATTTATGTATAACTTATCAAGTTATAGAGATCAATATGAATTAAACCAAAATTCAAAGTTATTCTTTTTTTTTTTTTTTGCAATAATAAATTATTTCTTTCACAAAAAGCGGCTATCAATTGCTAATCAATTGATGCGGTCTCAATATATAAAACTTTGAAACGATTTCTAATATTATTGTTTGGAAAGATTACTTGCAGGATTTGATAAAGACTTGTGAGACTAAATCAGGTAAATTATATGAGTAGAAAGATAGGTATTTTTTTTTCTCAAATTGTCAATAATACAAACAGTTTTTTAACCAAGGGTAATCTATATAACCTTTTCTTTGATACGAGTGTAATGAATTTTTAAGAGTAGTACATTTAAAAGAGATCCCAATAATTTAGTAGAAAATCGAGTTCTTTTCTGCATGCTTTTAAAATTTGTAATGAAGGTTGATAAAGCACTACATGGACAATCTAAATTTGACTGCTGGTTTTCGAAATAAGGCAAGTATCTCAAAAAAAAAAAAGCTTTACACATAGAGCTCTTTTTTCAACTATTTCAATGCTATGTTAAGCATCTCGCCTGATATGAAAAAGAAAGGTATTCTGGCTGCATTCAAAAGTGGCCAGTCCTATACAGCTGGCTCGTCTTAGGTAAATGCTAAATCATCACACTTAGAAACAGTTTGCCTGCCCAGGTTTTGAATTTAGGTTTTTTTTTTTTTTTTTTTTTTTTTTTTTTTTTTTTTTTTTTTTTTTTTTTTTTTTTCTTTTACAGGTAAATAATTTCATTACAACAGGAAGATTTTATTCGTGGACAATTCTTCAAGTCTCATTTGGAAGTTTTATTAAAATTCCTAAATTTGTCCAATAGAACTTAATTTTTTCTTTGTAACCATCTTTTTTTAGGTTAAAATTATGTAGGAATCTATTAAGGATTTAATAAATTGCACCTCTAAAAATATACATTTAAAAACTTTCTCACTTTCTTTTTTCTTTTTTTCCTTTTTTTTTTAAACAAAGAGAGAACAATACAAATACATATACATTTTTCTTTTTTACAATAAATGAAAAAAAAAAAAAAAGAAAGGAAGAAAGACTCAGATTCAAGCTAATAAAATAGTCATTTGAATTTAGTATTTTTTTTTTTTTTTTTTTTTTTTTTGAATTAGGTCTAAACTTGATAAACAGTAATAAGTTATTTTTTATATTAATAAAAGGTAGAGAAATGAAGGAGAAAAGGAGGAGGAGAGTGGGGGGCCTATTTTATTGCAACAAGTGTCAAGTGCATATAAGGGATTTATTCTCTTCGTTGTCAACAAGCGATTATTCTATCCTTACCTTGTCTTGGCAAAGTATTCATAATAAAATCAAAAAAAAACAATGTTTACTTAAAACTGAAAAATGCAAAGTAGAATAGAAAACTAGGCACACAAAAAAAAAAAAGAGAGAGAATAGCATGCTCAAGATTTCCTGTTTGAGAATATAAACCACACGAACATAAATGAAATTGTACAAGAAATAATAAAGTTCTTTTTTATTATTTTAATTTGACTCCTCTTTAATTAAAAAAAAATAGGCCTTTTTTTTTCATATACTTCATACAAATATATACTTATTTAAAAAAAATATAAACATTTTATATATAAATATATCCTTGTATTCCATTCTTTCCCTTTTTTTTTTTTTACAAGATAAAATTATAAAGTAATATGGGTGTTCAAGACGTCGTTGCTCGCTTTAATAAACCAAAGTCATCTACAACTACAGCTACTACTACTACAACTACTGTTATACCAAAACAACAAAAATCAATATTTTTGTCTTCTGATATTAAAGCAGCAACTCATTTTCCTCCTTCACCTGAATCATCACCTAAATCAACTATGAGTAGAAGCAATAGTATGACTTTCTCAACAAATAATCATCATCATCATATTACAGCTTTATTACAAAAATTTAAGCTTCCTTCATCACAGGAGCCGTCAGCAGTAGAGGATTCTAATAAACTATTAACACCTCCAGAATCACCTATACTTACATTAAAACAAAAAATATCCAACTTTTCGATGAAGCAATTTGATACAGCTGCAACTGAACTTGTCGATCTTTTTCAAGAATGGATGAACCAACATCAAGCTTCAGAAGAACGTATTAAACAACTCGAAGCTCAAGTGGAAAAATATGCATTAGATGCTACTAAAGTCCGTGATTATGAAATTCGAGTAGAGTATCTAGTTCTTAAACTCGAGCAAGTCTCCGAGGAACGAGATTATTTTGAACGACAGTATCATGCTACATTCGTGAAAAATGGTCCTTTATCACCTGCATTCAGTCATAATGAAAATAAAGTGACTGATATTCTAGATATATATGAAGAAATTTCAGATATCGAGGATGGTGATGATGAGCTACAGATATTTGACGAAGATGAATCTGCACCAAATGACCAACAAAGAATAGAGCGAGAACGAGGAATCCAGACTGCTCTTATGAAATATATTACAGACCTGGAAAAACAAAAATTAGAGACAAAGAAACTCCAGGAGGTCATTCAGAAACAAGATGAATTGATCTCAAAAATGGAATTCAAAAATATATCAGATAATGAAGAAATGTTACTTATAAAGGAACAAGTAGAGATACAACGTATAGAATTAGAAAATAAACGGGAGTTGTTGAGTCAACTATTATATGAAAGAGAGGATTTGTTAAAGAAATTAAACAGGAGAAGCTCATACACACCATTAAGAAAATCATCCATGGAACATATGTTTAATAGAATAAATAGTCAGAGAATTAGTAACAATGGTAGTAGCATAACAGGAAGGCCTACTTCTTATTCTTCAATATCATCTGGTAAAGGCTCACCGCCTTTAACAGCTCCACCTAAACAACCTTTACCTCCATTACCAACTACTATTATGTCTTAAATCATTATTATTATTATTTTGCATCTATCTTATATTTATTTTCTCATTGTACAGTCTCTCTCTCTCTCTCATAATAAATTTTTAGTTTATATGTGTTTTTTTTTTCTAACCCCAAGCTGCAGTTGTGCAATAATTTATTATTAAATGACCATCTGTGTTGAAGCACTAATACTAAATGATTAGAAACTTATATGTACACATATATACATAAAACTAACCTTATGGAGATTAGCTATCGTTTCATCTGGCGAAGGTGAAAAGGCGCTATTAATATATAAAAACTACTCGAAATATCGATAAGTCCTTTTTTTTTTTCTTTGTAAGTTAATTATCTAATTACTAAAGGATCAGAGCCTTGATATCGAAGCTCTTTTCGAAGAAATTGTATTACTGTCTGAAATTTATTTGAAGCTGTTAACTTGAATACTTTTTGTTTTAAAATAGGTGCATTGCCAATGGCTCGAAATATAACAATGACTTGAAAGAAAATTATTATTATATTACTAGACTATAAAAATATTCCTTGTACCTTTTGAAGTATCTTTTATTTTATGTTCTTCAACAATTTGATCAAGTTTGTCATTAGAATGCTTTTCCATTGTTATTATTATTATTATTATTTTTTAAAAAAAAAAGGGTAATGTTGAAAATGATGAACAAAGAGAGAAAAGAAAAGAAAAAAAAAAAAAAAAAAAAAAGATTGTAAAAGGTTTATTATCAAGTAAAATCACGTGAATTAATTTGTTCTGTTTAATTTGTTTGTGGTAGCAATTAACTTGTGTGTTAAAGGATCCACTTTGGTAACTGTCTTATTCAATTCTGAATTTTGTCTATCCAATTCATTATTCATAGTTACTGCCATATTTTTGAGCCGAGAAGTAGCGTCACCTAACAAATCTAAATTAGTGTCAATTTCATCCTCAATGGCGTCATCCTCTGAATCCTCTTCAAATTGGTAACGACGACGGTCTGCTTCACTACGCCCTCTAGGACCTCGATGCGTTGTCTGTTGATTTTGACGTACTGCTTCTTGAATACGAGCATTTGACTCATATTCAAATTGTCTGATATTATCTCGTTCAGTCATATGTTCAGCTTGATCCCTTTGTAAAGCAGCCAACTGTTTACGTTCCTTTTCTTTTCTTCTAAAAGGGTTTGAAACAACAGGTATAAAGATAGAACGATTTAGTTGTTTAAGTTCTTCCGCTTGATTTGACGCTCTATCTGAATAAGCTTTCGATAAATCTAAATGTCTATTGATATTTGCTATTTGAGCTATAAATTTATAATTAAAAGTTAGGGTTACACTATATAAATGTGTATGTGTATATGTATATGTTTATATGTATATTTTTACACGATTGCTGTCCAAGCATATTCATTGTATTTGCAGCTGTTGCTTCAGTTTCATGAATCTTTTGAAGTGCAAGTCGAGTACTTGCTAGTGAATCTTGTTTCACATTTTTAATTTGTTGCTTCATACCAGTTACCTCCATGTCCTCTTCATCTTCCTCATCATAGAGATTGTTCCTTTGTCTATCATCTTGTTGTCGATGATTATATTCATTATTTCTTCCGGATAATAATTGATTCCTCTGACCTTCAGAATCATTTAAATGTCCATAACCACTATTTTTATCATATGATGGATTAGCCGTCCTTGAGTGATAAGAAGGAGCAGGTGAGCTAGGCTGACTACTGGATTCAAATGGATTTGTAGGTTCTTCTTTTTTGTCTTTTTTTTTCCAAAACATTATATATGATAAAAAAAAAAAGGGAGAAAAGAGAGAATGATTATATTTTCTCCTTGATCTAAATATACTTAAGAACAACGCCATATCAGTAACCAATCAATACTATAATTAAATATAAACCAATTTACATGATTGGCTGGTAAGAATATTGTGTCTGTGTAACCATTCCAATATTACTTATACTGTACTAAAAAAAAAAAAAAATGCAATAATTTATTTTTTGATTAAAGTCTATTATTTAATTCATGAGATTCAAAAGTAATATCTACTGAGCTTCTATTCTGTAATTGCACATAAGAAGTTTCATCGTTATTTGCCTCTTTATGTATCCATGAAGAGAGTTTATCAAATAGGCCACCACACTTTTGTTTATATTGAACAGTAGATGAATAGGTACTTTCCATTCTTGCCGTATATTTTAAAACATCTTTTACAGTTACTAATCCTTTCAATTTACCTCGTTCTTCTAACAAAACTACACGAGGTCCTAACTGTTTAAAAATATCCATCACTGTTTCTAAATAAAGTCTAGGATGTACAGTAATCGGTGTTTGATCCATGTAGGCACCAAAATCCAATACATCAGAAGAAAATCCTCTTAATTCATGTGTATCATCTAAATCCGTTAAAATTTCGGGCTCTTCTCTATCAGCTGTAAAGCGACAAATCGTTTTACTTTGTGCCTTGTTATTAATTCGTGCCTTTTCAATCAAATAACGAAGTTCAGAACGACCCATATAGCCAATTAACATCATTGTCCTCATATCCTCTACCACGGGGAATCCTTGAAATTCTGTATTTTCCAAAATGGTCTCAATATCCCTAAATGTCATACCAGTAGCTGTCATGACCGTCATGTCCTCTTGCATAACATGAGAAACAGGCACATTGAATACCTTTTCATCGTTGTCCAAGATAGGATAGCCATTTAAGCGAATATAGCGGTCAGCAATACCTCCTGAGCTAAACCAGTCACCAACAGCACGAGTCACCATCAAAGCAATCATCGTAGGTAAAATATATGTAATCTGACCTGTCAATTCAAACATAATGACAACGACAGAGACTGTGATTCGCATAACACCACACAAGGCAGCAGCTGCACCTAAAAAGGCATATGTACCTGGTGTAATACAGGGCATATCAGGTCGACAAGACGAAAACAAAAAGAAATCTGGATTCGATTCTTGCCATGATTTGACTAATAACCCAACCATTCTTCCAAATGTAGCGCCAACCGCCATTGAGGGAACAAAGATACCACAGGGTACTCTTGCTCCATATGTTATGATTGTACCAAAGCAACGCAATAAAGTAGCAATAAACAATAAAATGACCATTCTGGCAGTTTCATTTTGATTACAAAGGTTATAATAGTTTTCTGTAGTATTAGAAGATTCACATTCTCTGAATAAAATACCCATAATTTCTGTCATATCTATACGTAAAAATACATTTGGATAGGCAATAACTGCTGTAAGAAATGCAAGGATGGCAGCTTCTATAATTGGATAATTCTTGAGAACTGTTTTTCTGAATTGAGCTACAATCAAATTGTATTTAATGACAAGTTCACCATACAATCCCTAACGTACATAATATATAATGATTAACAAGTATAAAGAGAATGAAGGCCTTTTTTTTTTGGAGGCATTTGTTTACTTACACCAAACAATCCAATAAAAACTACAAATAGATATTCAAAGAAATGCCAATCACGGTCATAGCTTACTTGAAACATGACAAGTTTCCCAGTACGAAAGGGATTCATAAACTATGTGATAGTGAAGATAAATATATATATATATTTTTTCTCAACAAAGACCTATGTTCTTTTTTTTTTGGTTTACCTGAAGTACTATAGTAGCTATCATTGCACAAAAGAAACTTTTCCACATAGTTCTATTTGGAAAATGTGTACTCATTTCTTCTAATGCAAATAATACACCTCCAATTGGGGAACCGAAAGCGACTGCAACACCTGCAGCACTCGAAGCTGTTAACATTTCCCTCATTTCAGCTATAGAACAACGTTATAATATTAACCAATAAATAAATGTATATGTATTTATTTATATTTATATACCTTTGCTAGTTCTAAATTTTTTAAAACAGCGGGAAATAACATTACCAACACAACATGCCATATGAACAGAAGGGCCTTCTTTACCAATAGACAAATTAGAAGCCACAGCCATTGTCTATAATATGTATGAATAATAACTCAATACCGCACTTTCTATACATACCAAGCCAATACTTTTCATAACAAGTGTCCATCCACCTAAAAATCCTTTCATCACGAATCCAGCTTTAAGAAAAAATAAATAAGCATTTTTTTTTCTTCTTCTTCTTCATAATTTGATAAATAAATAAATATCTGTTTTACCAATAATGCACTTTATTTCTGAAATGCCAGACCCTGCTGCATAAGGTGCAAAATTTTTCACAAGATAAGCACAAGTAGTTGCAAATAATGTCTACAAGAAAAAAAAAAGGGGGGGAAGGAATCTGAATACTATGTATACTATTTTCTATAAGCATATTCACGTACTGCCCATAAAACATAAAAAATCCATTTGATAATATATACATCCGGTCCAAGATGTACAAATTCACTCCATGTTGTCCAATCGTCACATCCAATACCCTCTATATATTTATATACATACATACATACACATATATATTATCATCAAATCACTCCTTTTCTTTCTTCCCATTTACCATTATTATCAATTTCCCAACAACAAAATTTTTGATTGAGCCACCAGGCATTTGAACAATATCCTCTCTTGATATCTGATAACCAGTCTGTGATAATAGCAATCAAGGCTGACATGACTCCAATAGCCGCACCTATAAAAAATACTCACCTACATCAATTTATAGAACTCGATTTTTTTTTTTAAACATTCTATTTATAAATTACCAACTAATGATACAACGATCCATGATTCAAATGCCTCGAACGTTAAATACCACCATGCGCGCCATGATTTATCGTTGCCGTTCTGGCTTTGTACAGAAGCCTTTCTATATCTTTCTAAGATTGCATCTTTAACCCAATCTATAAAGTTAAAAAAAAAACAGAAGGTTAAAATCCAATATACCCAAGTAAGAAAAGGAAAATAAATAAGAATACCAGTTGTACTAAAGTCTTCGTATCGTCTAATTTGAGCTAATTCTTCTTCAATGTGCACAGAGCCATTACGTCCATGCCCACTCATTGAATATGTGTTTATATTAAGTGCCTTCTTTTTGTTTTTAATTTAATTTTTTTTTCTATAGCAAATAATGATAAGAAAAAATGGAGGGAAAAAAAAATCGCAAGCTTCAAGTTTATAATATTAAAAAAGGGATAATAATAATTAAAATTTGCTTTAAATACATGTCTTATTGTTATTAAATTTTTTCAACAGCAGCAGCAGCCGCTAACAATAACAATGATGGAATAAGCGGCGATAACAATAAAAAAATAAAAATAAAAAAAAAAATAAAAAAAAAAATAAATAAATTACAAAGTATAATCATCAAAACTTATACTCCTAAAATCAACTTCACGTTTTACAAGTTCAAACACTAGGAAACCCACACTTGTGGCAGGCACAACTCTAACAATCGTACCTGTAAATTCATGATATAAAAATCTTCTCCAACTACCTCCATTTAACTTGACTTGTGTTTTACATTGTTCCCAAGTTCGTTTATATAAGTTTTTGACGGGTTCTCGAACAGTCTTGTTTGTAAATTCAGATTGACCTTCTTCAATATAGAATATACTATGTATTTTTGATAAAGGATGTTCAATAATTTGATACGCCTAATAAGCAGAATGCATTCATAATAATTAATCATATTTTTTTTTAAAGAAAAGAAAAGAAAAGAAATAGGATATATATATATTTATCATGTTCTTACTATTGCAGCAGTCGCACCAGCAAAAATAACAAATAAAGGCTCTAGCATCAAAGGTGGCCTCTTTTTATCTTTTCCATGCATGACTTGATCCTCTTCTTCTTCTTCTTCATTTATCCAACCATTTTCAATTTCATTTAAAGTTCTACTTGAATCCACTTGTACTCCATACATTTCATCCAAAAAATAATAATATCCTTGCTGTTTTACCCATTCAAAGGTAGCAAAAAATAATCCGCAAGCCAGAGAATCCTATTCCAAAAGTAATAAATGACATATTTGTTATCATCACATTTTATTTTATTTTTTTTTCCCTTCCTTCCTTCACTTTAAATCTATATTTACTCTGACTAAGGTTAAAGTAAATCCTCGATATGCACTTGCAATACCCAAATTCTTTAAAGTAGATTTCGCAAATTGATACATCGATTTATGTTTTCCTTCCAATAAATCGCTTACTTCAAAACGAACTTTTAAAGAATCAAGTGGGGTGGCAATAATGGATTGCGCTGCACCAGCAAGACACCCTACAGATAGATGATTTATTTATTATTCGGCCTTTTTTTTTGTTATGTTATATTATGTTTACCAGCAATAAATACAGAAGTGAAAGGAGGTGGTGGGAATGGTCTATGAAGTTGTAAAGCACTTGGAGGATGAAATAGAGGTAAAGTTGCAATATAGGTGGTATAAAGAACAGTTCCAATAAGTGTATTTGCTATTAAAGGTGGGAGTATATGTCGAGGTATAAAATTCCACTAAACTAAAGGTAAATAATCATATCGCTATCATACTGTCTTTCTCTCTTGTTCTTTTTTTTCCCTTCTTCTATATAGTATATTATATAGTTACCCCTTTTGTTTTAACGGCATTAGTGATCATACCAATAGAAGTATATCTAAATGAAAATCTTTTTGAAGTCATTTCGTTCATGGGAGGCATGAGTGCTCTTGCCATGATCAGGTAATCAACTCTTAAAGGTCTAAAAAGCTACCATCATTTCATTATTACTAATGAAATTAGATGAAAAAGAAAAAAAAATAGTCTATTATGAATTCACCTTTACTGGTGTTCTATAGAATAAATATAAACTTTGCATCATTAATGTTCTTGCGATGGCAGTTGTTCCACCCACTGAAGTTACTTCTTTTGCTTTCTTCCTTTTTTGTTTAAAGGATTTCGAAGAAAAGACGATATATGGTGCTTGAAGAAAAGCAGGTCTTGTTGCTGATAGTGGATATAAGCATGATTTTTTTTTGTCAGTAAGAGGGGGAGGAAGAATAGGGGACGAAGAAGGTATCATTCGTCTTCTTTTTAGTAATTATGTAAACAGAAAAATGCAATTCTATTTTTTTTTAACCCCACTTTAACTGTAATAATAAAAAAAAAATTGAAAGCCACCCCTAGATGGAGATAATAATAATATCTGTTGCACACTAAGCAACCAAAAAGTTTTTTTTTTTTTTTTTTTTTTTTGCAGAAGAATAAATTTTGGTGTATTTTGAGCTCTTTTACAAGACTTTTCCGATAGATGCTTAGAGTTATTATTAAAGTCAACAATACTTTAATATCATTTGTTATACCGAAATAACGTTTCTTTTTTTTTTTTGTTTTACATTTGTTCAAACAAAAATGAACAAGTGAATACGTAAAACAAACAAACAAAAAAAAAAAAAAAAAAAAAAAAAAAAAAAAAAGGTATGCAAACAAAGTTTATTGTGAAATATTATTGGACACGCAAAAATAATTGACAAATTCATTACTAAGAAACAAAGTGACGACTGTCATTAATAGTAACTTTTTACCAGCTAATAGGGATTCAGGGCCTAAAATTAAAGTTTATATAAAAGAAAAAATGAAACTCGGATTGAAATGTCTTAAATAGATTATGTGTCATATCAGTTACCGAAATTTTCCTCTTTTTTTTTTCTATCCATAGCTCTTCATTATATATAATTATTATTATTTATTTATTTATTTTTCACTTCTCTCCATTTTTTTTTTTTTTGCTTAACCATGCTTCAAGCTATTTATACTGCGCACCTACCACTTATTACGAGACTAGTACCTAAAGTCATATTTACCCGCTTACCTGCTACCTTCATTTTCTTTCGTCGTCAACAACATACTACTTCTAGGTCTATTTTCGATCCTTCTGAAGACTATAAGGAAATAGGGAAAAGACAGTCATTAACACCAGATGAGAAGCCATGGAATGGTGAAGAACCTGTTCAACATTCAGTACTTCGAATGATTATGGACAAGTATCGAGCACCTTTAAGAGTGGAAGGTGCTGCGCGAAGAAATATACCTAGACCTCAATCAGACTATGTGCCATCATCATCATCATCATCATCATCACCACTACAACAACAACAACAATATGAACAAGATGAAAAGAGTGCCCAGTTAAAGAAAATGGAACGTGAAAAGAAACAAAGAGAAATGAAACAAGCACGTTTATTAAATGCAAAGGATTCGGCCTTTGAGTATTCGATGGAAAGAAAATACTCCTCAATCGATGAAGAAAAATCACATGTTCAAGATACAATTCAAAGATCAATAAATAAAAAGGATATTGATTGGGAAGATTGGGATTTAGAGTCAACACCTCGAAGTATTAATGAAATAGGGCTTTTGTCAGATGAGAGGATTAGAGCAGCTAGGGCAAGAGGTGAATTTGATGATTTACCAGGACGTGGGAAACCATTACCTGAAGATCCTTTGATGCATAATCCATTCATTGATCGAACAGAGTACTTTTTAAACCGTATTGTACAAAGAAATGGGGCCGCTCCACCATGGATCATTATGCAGCAGGAGGTAGATACAGAGATAACTACGTTACGATCACAAATGAACTCCGCCTTTAAACGTTGTATGGGTGAAGCTAAACGCGAATTTGCTGATATTCACAAGTCATCCTTATTAAAGCAATTTGAAAAAATGGAAAAGACGTTTTTCGATAAAGAGGTGAATCGACTTAATAAGCGACTACGAAGTTATAATGTGATGTGTCCAGGACCCGTTAGAAAACCATTACTTGATTTAGAAAAAGAAATTAAAATTATACTTGAAAAGCATGGTTTTAAATAGAAAAAGAATAGAATTTTGTATATAATAATAATAATGATAATAATGAATATATTTTTGTGTATATAATATAAATAAATAAATAAAATGTATATGTATCTATAACTAACTATTTGTTTATTTACAATGAATAATGATACAAGTAGATTCGGATATCAAAACCTTAAGATCTATCTATAGGCTGAGAACACTCTTTTTGGAGTTTTTTTTTTATGTAATCTGTAGTCATGATAGTGGCATTATTATTGCCACGACTACTATTGCTGCTGCTGCTTAAGTCTATAATAGTGGGTTCTTTAGAAAGAAAATCAAATTCAAATTGTTCTTCCTTATTCTTCTGCTGTGATTCAGTTGTTATTAATTCATTTACTGGTAAAGAAGACTGATGAACTTTATTATCTGTCGTCTTTTTATGTTTTTTACGTTTTTTATGTCGACTATAGATAATAATTCCAACTATAATGAAAGCAAGTCCACCTATGATACCAAATATAGAAGCAAAAATTTGAATTGTCTTTGTACTCTTACTTGGATCATCATCATCTGACCATTCACCCAAATTTTGTGGTGAGCTATCATTATCAGTTTCACTCGAATTACTTTTATCTCTCGGAGAACAGATGTAATTATAACAGTAACTTGATAAACATTGATTAGATGAAGCACAAGATAATCCAACTTTTAATCTTGGACGGCATATAGGATTCTTTATATCTTGACCGAAAGAAGAACAATAAAGTCGCTGATGATCACAATTACCAAGATAGTTATCCAGTGGTCTATATAGACTTGATGTAGGCCAGTCAATAATTGTTTGTCCTTGAGTTAATACAGTTGAATTATAAGTTACTAAAGGAAGCTGTGGGATAGGAGCCGGAATACAAGGTAAATACGGATGAGAAACACTCGCACCAGTATAAATAGGTGATTCATTAGTCGCATTCATTATCCAACTATTTTTAGATGGATATCTACAAGCTGCATTATTAGCTGTAATCACACACTTATCATCCGCGTTAGGACATGGCCAAGAACAATTAATCACGGATAAAAATGCATTTATATTCTGTATTTGAACATAAAAAAGTAACGATAATAATAAACCATAATTTAACAGTATCATATTTTAATACTAATTTCATTTACGTAAAGGAGAGAGAGAAGAAAGCGGCTCTTTTTTTTTTTCGCTTTCGCTTTCGCTTTCTTTTTTTTTTTTTATTTATTTTTTTTATTTTCAATAGCAAGAAAGTTTATTATATGTACATGATATAAATAATAAAATAATTTTGATATCTGGGTCTTAATTTAACATTTGTTTTACAGAATTCCAAGTTTTTTTTTTTATTATTATTATTACTAATGTCTCGATAGATAATAGAGCTTACACATTTGAATAGTCAAATTTTCGTTGTTGCATTTATATCTAACTGGTAAAGAACGTAGCCAGCCATTCGTGTATTTATATATATATATTATTTTAACTTTAATATAAAAAAGGCATTTTTTTCTATTGTATATTTGTTTTCTGAAGTTTAAATCCAAAAATTTTTTTTGAAACTTATCTGAATCATGACGTTTTTGAATAAATTGTATAGATAATAAAAGAAGTCAGCATATAGCATTCATATTATCGTCAGGAACATTACTCTGTTTGAATTTTCATATGATAGCATAAATTATGATATAGATAGGTATTTATCATTATTATTTATTACAGACATGTATTCATAAATAAGCTAAATAATATGACTAACAAAGAATTCGCACATTGTTTATATAATAATGTCATATCAATCATCCAAGAAAACGCATACGATTTATATTTATATTACAAAAGGCTTTACATCTTACGTACATATACAGACATGGTTTTTTTTTTTTTGATTTAATGAGCGAGAAGTTTCTTTTATATCCATATTCCTTTCATTTAATCATAATGCCAAGAAAAGAGAGAAAGGAAGATTATATACCCACGTACAAAAAAAAATAAGATATAAAGAATAACTTACACTTGTTTCTTTTTTTTTTCATTTTATTCTAATAAAATGTCATTAAATAATTTGGTTTGTATAGTTACTGGTGCTAATTCATTGAATGGTATAGGGTAAAATAGATACACATATTTACATGTTTCCTCCTTTTAATTATGTTATGATTATTATTAGACGAGCAGCTGTTTACGCTCTTGCTAGAAAGGGAGCTCGAGCTATTTATGCTACTGATATTGATACTACTCATCTTGATAGTTTAGCAGATGCTGTTTACAAAGACATAGGCGTTGTATGTCATGCAAGATATATGGATGCTAGTTCTGATAAAGATATTCAAGACGTTATTAGCAATGCTTTAGACACCTATGGTCGACTCGATGTATTTTTTGCGAATGCAGGCGTTGCTGGTGCACATCCTATGGCAACTGAAACAGAAGAAGAATTTATGGAGATGATACGAATCAATACATGGAGGTTGGTAATTAAGATATATATATATATATATAACATGTGTATATACATAATAAAAAAATGATATACTATAGTGTTTATGCTGCTATTAAATATGCCTCTAAAGCTATGCAAAGGACTTCAAAAGAAAAGCCGGAAAGTGGGGGATCCATTATTGCAACAGCCTCAGGTATATATACATTTATACATATTTAAAAATAAATAAATAGATAGATAGATAGATAGACAGATAATTTTTTAAATATTTTTATTATGTAGTTGCTGGTGTTCGATCTGGCGCTGGTCCAGTTTCTTATTCTGCGTCAAAAGCTGCGTAAGTTAATATATATAAATGTATATATATATATATTTCATACAGTTATAAATGAATATGTCATATGTTATAGTGTTATTAACATTTGTCAATCTACTGCTTGGAGGTTGCGTGGAACAAATATACGAGTGAATGCAGTTTGCCCAGTAAGTATATTTTTAAGGAAAAATAATAAGAATAAAGCAATAACCATTTTCCTTTTTTTTTTTTTTTTTTTTTTTTTTTATATATAAGGGTCTTATTTCAACTAGTATGACTGAAATGCCATTAGATATTATAAGAGATGATGACGAGCATAGTGCTGCTATTGATCGTAGCAATCCATTAGAAAGAATAGGTCTACCACTCGAGGTTGCAAATATGGTTGCATTTTTGGCCAGTCATGAATCATCTTTTATAAATGGACAAGATATCAAAGTTGATGGTGGCCTTACAGCATCTTTACCTTGGATACCTCTATTTGCTGATAAATAATAATGATTTTTTTTTTTTTTTGTACAAATTTGTTATGTATTTGTTAAATTCATAAAAATATAAACTATTCCTCAAAGTATTCACTATAATGTAATCATATTCTATCAAAAAAATAACTTTCAACATAGATATATATGTTTATATGTATGTCATTATAATAGTAGGAATAAAGCTCTAATAATATACAAGCAAACAAACAAAAAAAAATCACTATTACTCGCCACCATTATATACATAACTGTTCCAATTAAAGGGCACAAATGAAGGCACCATTTTGTTTTCTTCTACTTGAGCATCCGTAATATACTCTAGAAAGGTAACATCCAAAAATTTACCAAATTTGTATCCAACGTTATGAAAAATACCAGCATGTTTAAATCCAAATTTAGAAAACAAGAGGATAGAGCCTTCATTTTCGGATGTAATGCTGGCAATAACACTCTTTAATTTCATTTCATTTGCAATACGCAGCATTTCTTTGAGTAAAGTATATCCCAATCCATTACGTTGATGATTTTGGTGAATATATAATGAAATTTCCGAACTCCTATAATGTATGTTAGATAATAATAATAGTGATAGTAATAATGAAAACGAAAACGAAAACGTACAAAACATAGGCAGTATGAGGTCTAAAGTTACTAAGAGAAGCATAGCCAATAGCCTTATTTGTTTTCCTATCAACGGCAACAATGATAGGATATCCTTTTGCTTTAGTTTCCATAAACCAAGTTAAACGATTATCAAGAGAAACTGGATTGTACATGAATAAACAGGTCGAATTAAGAACTCGCTCATTATAAATGTCTAAAATTTGAGGAATATCTGATTCTACAGCAGCACGAATACTATATAATTCATGAAGATTAACCATATTATTCTGTTAAAAAAAAAAAGAAGAAATAAGACCAAGAAAAAAAAAAAGAACAAAAAAAAAAAAAAAAAAAAAAGATAGGAGAAAATAGATTATTTTGAATGCCAGTCTTTTTTTATTCTCCTCCTATCTCTCTCTCTCTCTCTCTTTTTTCGTATTTTGTCTACCGCTTTTGCTTTTATTATAACAATCGCTACTAAATTGCAGTTCAAAAATATGATATGTTTGTTAAATTCCGTTATACAAGTCCCTTAAATAATATAAAACAAAGCGTACCTTTTATGTGTGAATAAACTCTAACTTTTCAAATCAAAAGTATAAAAAAATAAAAAAAAAAAAATGTTTCGGAACAATATTTTATTCTTTACAAAAGGAAAAGACCAATGTCACTTTAAATGGAATTTAATATTGACAGTTTCTTATTATTTGTTGATTAGTTGGTCGAAATATTATTATTCCTATAACATGCAATTATTACAGTGAAATACTTTCAAAACTTATTACTTGCTTTTTCTATAGTTTATGATATTTAAAGCCAGAAACTTATACTATTGAAATCAGGAATACAATACTAAAGAAGTAGTCTTTTTCATACTCTAGATTATATGTTCATCGAAGCTCTTTTAATTTCTTGTTTTTTTCTTAGCAGAATCATTTAAAATAAGAGAAAAGGTATATACCATATTTAGGCTTTCAGCAATTTTGTAGCAGGGTAAAGATGAAGTTACAGCAACTTGACGTTTAAAACTCATAACAACCATGGAGATATATTTCTATTATATATCTATATCTACTATAAGGCCTTTAAAAACTAGTCTTCAGATTTTATGGCCTATCGCTCATAACAATTCCTGTATTCTTCAACTTGTTGAACGTTAGCAAGTAGACCAGTTTCTAGAGCAGCTAAAGGTACTATTATCTATCATTACCTTCACTTTATCAAAGATGTATTAGATGAGTAAATCTCCCGTAATGGAAGGTTATTATTTAATCATGGGCAATGCACTTATTCACAACTCAAAAGATATCAAGTAATTCATTTTATTCTATGACTAAAAGTATGTATGTTTGCTGTCTTCTTATTCCCCTGAACTTAATCCTATCAAACAATATTAGGCCGTTGTAAAGAACAAGATTAAGAAACAGTTTATTTTTAGACAATGACATTCTTAAAAAAAAAAAAAAAAAAAAAAATTAATGTGAAAAACAAATATTTCACTATAAATACATACAAGACAGTCACTCCATTATATATTTTTCAACGATTTACAAGCGAATATTGCTCGTTTCTGTTTATTATTATACAACTACTTTACTTTTAATTAAATTTAAGCGATATAAATATATGTACTTATATAATAACTATGAATGAGATAGGGCCCAAAGTAAAAGAGGTGAATGAAAATAAAATAGCAGTTGCAGCAGCTATTATTCCATTTTCAATTATAGGTGTTTTAATAAGAGTTGAATTGGAACGTTTAGAGAACTTCTCTGGAGCACCAGTATTTGGATTAGTTTATGCACAATGGATTGGTTGCTTTATAATGGGCATTGCTGCAACAAATAAAAACCTGTTATTTTCATGGTAGATATGCATATACATAAAGGGTTAATTTATACTAATTTATCTATTTTTTATCATTATTATTATTAATAATGGAACACAAAAGGTATCATCCTTCTCATCCAGGCATTTCAACTGGATTATGTGGATCCATTACTACATTTTCATCTTGGCAGCTTGCCATCTTTAAAGAATTTGCAAATTACTATGCTAATCCACATACAAGAGGAAAAAATATTTTAGCAGCTATTTCACAATTCTTGGTTACATTGGCCATGTCTCTTAATGGACTTCGATTTGGGCAACATGTGGGTCAATGGTTCTCTGATCAAATAAAAGAAAGAAGAGTTAATTATATCGAACCAAAAGTGATTCCTCGAGGATTTTCTTTACGTTATTTAACAAAAGCAGACTATTTACTGATCTTATTCGGAATCATGAGTTGGCTAGGTGTCCTATTTGCAGCTATTTTTGCACATTACAATAAAGCATTGGCATTGTCATGTGTCTTTGCCCCTGTAGGTGCACTCACACGTTGGTATCTTTCATTTGATAATGGACGAATTCCATGTTTTCCAATTGGCACTTTTATTGCTAATATTTTTGGTACAACTGTACTAGCTGCATTAGGTATTGTGAATGCTAGCCCTCATATATCTTCCATGGCCTGCTCAGTAGTTCAAGCATTAGCCGATGGCTTTTGTGGGTGTCTAACGACTATATCCACTTTTATGGTAAACTATTTTTGATTTCACTTTATTTCTTCTCTTCCTTCCTTCCTTCTTTCTCTCTCTCTCTCTCTCTCTTTTTCATTATTAAGTTTTTTTTTATATGTATATAATAGGTTGAATTAACTACACTTACTAGAAAACATAGCTATATTTATGGATTTATTTCTGTTGTAATTTCCCAATGCTGTATGTTTATTATCATGGGCTCCTATATTTGGTCACGAGGTGTAAATCCATCCTGCAGCTAGCTAAGCGCATTTTTAGCCTATAATCAAATCAACCTATAGCCTATAAGTTATACTGATAATAATACTAAAAAAAAAGAAGGTAAAAGATAATACTATCCGTCAGTAAGAAGTATAATCAACAAAGAGAAAAATTATTATATAATTATTGAAATTACAATATACATATTATGTATCATAGAACATTATTATTAATTGTTTATGAATTCTGTAGTAAATCATTATACCTTGAAATTGTTGACAATAAAGAAGTATACTATTTAGAAGTAGTACTACGTAAGTTAGTGGTTTACTATGATTACCTATTTGTCTTGTTTACGTCGTTGTTGTACAATAAAGGGAATGACAGTAGTCAAGCTATTCTTTTTATTTTATTCGTAAATCATAGTTGTCGTAGTTAATTTTGGCTAAATACAGTTTCTAATTCACCTACAATTATAATTTCCTTCTTTTGAAAATAATAACAATAATTGCATCATTTAATGTCCTGCTTGATATAAACTATCATATATATACACTATAGAATGGCATCTACTACATCTTGGAATTCCTCCATTTATATATATAATAGCTGTAGAACAGCATTATTTGATAAGATATGCAAAATATAATTCTAGAATATATATTTACTATATATGTAAATCTATGATAAATATGGCTATCATAAACAAATATAAAGTTTTTTTTTTTTTTTTTTTTTTTTTTTTTTTTTTTTTTTTGTAGCCATTAAATGTCACTTTTTCCTTTTTTTGCATTAAAATTTCTTACCAATAGCCTTGTTTCAATTTTTTTTCTTGCGATATCATTTTGGCAAAAAGTTTATAGTAATTTAGCCTTGAATGGAAATTAAATTAGATTTCTTACTATTACTAAAACTTGTTAGAAAAAAAAGCTTAATTTTCTTTCTTTTAAATATAAGAAGCATATAAAAATGAAGTAGTAGCGTCATTATGATTTTTATGTGTTTTTTTTCTTAAAAAAAAAAAAAAACTTTTCTTTTATTATCACTCTTATTTATAAAACAAATCTAAATCCCAATCTATAAACAAAAAAAAAAAAAAAAAAAAAAAAAAAAGGGAAGCATAAATCGTCATAGTAACTATGATCCTTTTTTTTTTTTTTATCAATACATAAACCTTAAATATGCAGGTTATTTTTTGTGTCACCTTACTACCAAAAAATGCAACAATCTTTAGTCTAGATTTGTATTTTACTATTACACCAGATTGTAGTACAATATGCAGCTTTTTATTATCATTTGTACAAAAGAATAGAAGAATCCAACTTACAAAAAAGGAAAAAAGGAAGAAGCAAATTTTACATATATTATATGAATATATATTTATATACATATATACACATTATGCACATAATATATATATTTGGTATATAATGGAATAAAGTTAAGATTTTTTACATTGACCATAAGTATTTCAGAAGATGATAGATTAATAAAACGAGGCTATTTGTTGATGACGTGGTAGTGATGATGGCGTTGAAGAAGCTACTTGTTGCCGTTGTTGAGATAACAGCATGGCGCGTAAGACTTCATTTTCTTGCTTGATTTTAATTAACTCTTTTTGTAAATTTGTATTTGTATTCATTAGTTGATAAACTTTATTTGTCATTGATTTCATACTTGCTTGCTACAAAGAAGAAAAAAAAAAGAAATAAATAATCGTATGCTTGCTTTATATATATATATATATATATACATATATATATTTTTTAAAGAAAAAATCATATAAAAATACCTTTTTAGCTCGATATTTAGCAGACGCAAGTTTATTTCTATAACGTCGTTCCTCAATTGACATTGGAATTTGACAGCTATGTCTTCTTTCTGTCGGGTATGTTATAGTATCCATCTTGGGCGAATTTGTAGGTGACCTACTCTTAAAGGAATCTGGAGGAGATAATGGTATTTCTTCGATCATGGGCGTAGTAGTATTACTATGATCGACAATAGATTGAATTGACATACACTTTCGAGAACTGTTATCCATTTTATTTCAAGTATTTTGTTTTTTTTTGTTTTTTTTTGTCTTTTTTTTGTTTTGTTTATTCTATGAAAAAGAAAGATAGTAACAGGTAAATGTAACTAATAAAAGATAAATAAAAAGAAGAAAAAAAACGAGAAGAAAAAGAATCGAAATAACGTTTTTATATCCAAAAAAAAAAATAGTATAATTGTTAATATCATTATATATTCTTTAACTCATCTTAAGCCAATTATGATAAAAAGAAATAACAATTCCCAGATAATTTGGAAGTGCATTAATGATAGTGACATCATATATTACCCTTTTTATATTAAATTCTCATAAATCCTCTTCTACATCTCGGAAGAAGAGAAAAGTAAGTTTATTTGCTATATTATAGTTAAACTTTTTTTTTCCCTCCCTTCCCTTTAAAAGACAGGAGAGGACTTTATTCTTCTTATTTTATGTTTCTTCGGGAATAGCGTGCACATTGATCAACTCCATCAAGTTCTTCAATCATTTGGATAACTAAAGGATTTGCAAATCCATAATATTCAGGCCCTGAAATAGCATTTGCTGATTCCTTTTGTCTAACTTCATTTGCTTTTTTAATCACTAATGCCCAAACTCCTGTTGCTGTTCTTGCTGATAACTCAATCTCGGGTGCATCTGCAGCAGTTAGTGTAAACTATAGAATAGAAATGTTATATATGCATCTTGATACACAAATAAATATACCTGTGGACCATCTTGACCATCTTCGACTTTACAAGTATAGGTGGTTTGATTATTTGGATCTACCATACTCATATAGGTTCTATATTCCCTTGTTCAATATAACATGTATTTATTACATCATGTATATATCTGTACCTTTCTACTGTATATCCAATAGGAAATATATATCGATCATTATGGAAACCTGGTCTTTCATATTCAATTTTACCAAGACTTAATACATTTAAAGAAGCTATTTGAAAAGGTAATTTAACTTTGCCATTTTCATCTCTTGGAATTGTTAGACGTCTTCTTCTTGATGTTCTTTGCTTTTTTGGTGCGGGCTCTTGTTTTTTTTTTAAAAAAAAAAAAAAAAAAAAAAAAAATTAATTTTTAACACATCTACTTTACAACATCATTATTACCAACATCTTCGTCTTCATCCAATTGATCCTCTTCTTCATCCTCCTCTTCATCAACCTCAATGTCTTGCTCGCTTTTATTATCTTCTTCTTCAGCTTGGCTAATGTCCATTGCATCTTCATTTCCTGTCTGTGTCACTGCTTTTTGCTTTTGATTTTTTCTGAAAAAAAAAAAATATGTATATATACAATTAGCAACATAACAATTTAAACAATGTATTATCCAAAAGAAAAAAAAAACCTATTTCTCTTTTCAAGAAGTTGTATTTTTCGATTAAGTTTATCCACTGTTGCTTGAGCTTCTTTTTGTTTCTATAAAATATAGGCACATATAATGAAAGACACGTTAATTTTCCTGTCAATCATAAATTTAAATCATTATTTACAGCAATGAAATCGATCAATTTCTTTTTCATCTTTCTATATTTTGTCATGCGAGTATCATCCCAATCATCAGTTTGGCAAGCAACATCAATACCCCTTTTATTATCCATTATGATCAATGTGGTTTCTTTTTATTTTTTTGAGACAAATAAATATATATATTTGTATATATTAAAAAAAAAAAAAAAAAAAAAAAAAAAAAGGAAGAAAAAGGCGCATCCTGAATTACGTGACGTCGTCAAAGCTTATCTTTTCTTTTTCCTTTTTTTTTTTTTTACATTTCTGAATTTCTCATTTCTCTTTCTTTCTTTCTTTCTCTCTCTCCTTCCTTTCTCCCTTTTTTTTTTCTTAACTTATAAAATAGCAACATTGGAAATAATATTACGGAATTTTTTATCATTGATGGATAGAATGTTTAATGCAACAGGGGTTGAGAATGATAATTTAGACTATGATGGTAAAAGCAATAAAAAGAAACGTTGAAATAAATAGAAAATAATAAAAAAAAAAGTAATGAATTCCAAACTCAGTCTTTATCTTTCTTCATGTTTTTCATTAAAAAAATAAAGATAATGATTCACAATCAAACAGTGATGATTCACTCCAAGGTTGGATTAGTTGGTTTTGTTCACTTTCAGGGCATAATTATTATGTTGAAGTTCCTGAAGAGTTTATAGAAGATGAGTTTAATTTGACTGGACTTTCAGCGATTGTGCCGTTTTATAATGAAGCACTAGAAATGATATTAGATATTGAACCTGAAGAAATTTCAGATGAAGAAGAAGAAGAAGAAAATGATAATGAAGAAGAAGAGGATGATGGATTTTGGAAAGAAAAGCCATTACAACGTCGTCATAAAGGTTGGGTAGATCCAAACGTGATTGAGCCTTATGCAATTATGCTCTATGGACTTATTCATCAACGTTATTTATTAACACGTAATGGGTTGCGTATTATGGCAGAACGTTATTCGAATGAATATTTTGGTGTTTGTCCTCGTTATTATTGTTATAAATGTCCTGTTATTCCCTGTGGTCGTTATGATGAGATATCACGTGAAAGTGTTCGATTATATTGTCCATCTTGTATGGATCTTTATTATCCGTCTAATCCTTTATTTCAAAATATTGATGGTAAAGTAAACACGAATAACGTTAAAAAATCGATTATTAATTTGCTGAGAATAGGTGCCTATTTTGGAACTACTTTTGCACATTTAATGTTTGAAACATATCCTGAGTTAACTCCAAAGGCTAAACCACATATATATCAACCACGCATTTATGGATTTAGAATAAATGAAAAATCTCGATCTGGTCCTAGAATGCAGTGGCTAAGAATGAGACCTGAGGAATATATTGAATATAGTGAAGAAGAAGAAAACAGAGAAGAAGAAGAAGAAGTAGCGGCTAATAAGGTAATGAATGAATTTGCAACATAAAAAAAAGGGAAAGAGAGATAGTCTATTATTTTATATTCTTTAAGAAGCTTGCATCTATTTTCTTCCTTCTCTTCTTCTATCTTCCTTAATTATGATACATACTTTTATATTACCTTCTTTCTCTCTCTTTTCTCTCCATATAAAAACAAAGGTGTCATTTTTTTGTATTATATATTTATATTGTTACGATAATTTTTTTTTTTTTGTGATTAAATTCTTCTGTATTCAATGTAAATTATAGTTATTAGTGAATCCATTGCGGGCAGTGGATCAACAAAAGGTAGCAGAAGATGGAACTGCAAGTCTTACAAATAAGGTTGAAAGATGGAGGGTGAAAGATATAACGAGTATAAATCAATTATTCCGAAGGTTCTTTTAAAACATGAAATTACTCTTCTTCCATTAAAGAAACCTTGTATGGACAAGGAGGGGGAAAAAATAAAATAAAATACATTACATAATAAACAGACTTTTTTTTTTTCGTACATTTTATTTTTATACACTAGCAACTTTCAATACACGTACACAGGCATCCACCATATCAGCTGACTGATTGATGGCCTTACAGCAATCTTCAAACTGTTTTTTCCATTCTGTGTCCTCCAATAAAATGTCACCTAATGATTTGATAAATACTAAAGCCATCATATAACACTGTGCAGGATCTAAGGCTACCATAGATGCATCAGAAAATTTAAATGTTTTGATAATATTTATAATGTCATCTTCCAAGTTTTCTTTAATATCAAGCTGTGCACGAATGATACCATATCTAACAAAGAAGGCGTAAATATGCTTTACCATTTATGTCTATTATTTTATCCTATCACATCACTTACGTATCTAAAATTCGTTCACTAAATATTTGTCCCCTTAAGAAAATGGCTTCATCTATTAGTCTATCCTCTTTTAATAAGTCTGTCACATCCATCCTCTGTTTTGTATTTTGTAATTCATTTAGGTATACTCGTGTTGCTCTTGTTGTCATGTGATCAAGCATGGTCCAAATTGTACCAAACAGGGATAATTCAGGTATCCTTTTCTTTTTCTTTTTAATCATTTTATTTGGTTTCTGTGATGTCGTTGTTCTTACTTTGATAATATTTGTATCTTTATCTGTTTCGTTTGCTAATGGTTGTATCTCTATTTGATTCTTTTCTGGTATAGTCGACAGACTTGTCTTCTCTTCTTCTTCTTGTCTTTTAGAAGGTGAATGTGTTACTTTTTGTGTTCTTCTTTCAACCATTTCAGACAAATCTACAGATGGATTGTCTTCTTTATCCATATTCATGTCTTTTAGCATCATCATAGTTTCAAATAAAGTGTCTGGATTATCAGGATCAGGTATGCTTTCTGGTTCCATTGCCCTTTTGATCGGTTCGTTTTTTATTTTTTCCTCTTTTTTCTTTAATATTAAAGTAGTTGGCTTTTTGCCATCATGCTTTACTTCAATTCGATAACCTTCAATTGAGTCATAAACGCCATCAGATTGATTATTTATCGCAGAAGAAACCTCTGGAGTCTTCTCAACAATCTGAAGCTGTTCTTTCATATCCTTTGATATATTGCCTAATAAATGGTGTACATATTCATCTCTAAGCTCTTGATTCGACTTGGTAGGTTGAGGTCTTTTCATTTGTTGCTCAACAGCAAACCTAAATACATATAAATATATTTAAAATAAAATAAAATAAAATAAAATAAATAAAACTAATCAAGTATATACAAAAATAATTACTTACTGGAAATCCTCTTCTAATGAAACAACATGAGCATTTGAAATGACGTTTAAATCACGAAACCAAACAGGTTCCTCAGATAATTGCATGTTATAATATTTGGATTTATGAAAACAGGCATCTGAACAATAATTGGCTAGTTCAGACTGATCATAGACTTTACGTTGGGAGATGGAAATCTTGTATTTTTGAAGAGTTTTAGGTGTTTGATTGCAAAGTGGATAACCACACCATTCTTGAACAACACGTTCTTCAATTACCTCTGCATACGTCTTGGGTTGTAAATAAGTTGCAGCTCTCTGTAAAATAGAGACATGTATTTTTGGTTGTGAAAATAGTTTTTCTTGCCAAGCAAATACAAGCCTTTCGATCTTGAGTCGATGTTCTGCGCTTTCCTTCATGAGCTTTTGCTTTGGTGTTAATGGCTTCTTCTTTTGTCGAATAGGTGTCTTTTTTAAAGACTTTGGAGACTTTAACTCTAATGAGTTTTGTGTGTTTGCTGTCATAATATTATTCAAAAATATGTATGTATGTATGTATGTATGATGCGTTCTATCAATGTAATTGATAATAAGGTATAACTTGTTATTCTCTTACCCTTTTTTTTTTTTTTTTTTTTTTTTTGCTGCGAGTTGAAGATTCATGTGACTGCATTTTTGTTAACGTTGATGTTCTTTTTTTTTTTTTGAGGGGGTGAAAGTAGCTTTTTATGCAAAAATACCTCGTCATTGACCCAAAGGGAATTCAAATTTAGATTCTACTTTTATTTTGAACTTTATATCCTATTATATATTCAACTTAAAAAAAAAACACTTTTTAGTTGAATATAAAGATTTCTATAATGTCTATAGTAGTCTGATGATAACAGCTACAGTAACTAGCGTTGAAATTTACTATTACTTCCGAAATTTAACCGATCCGGTCCGTTTTTTATTTTTAATACAATGTTGTCTTTAACAATAATGTTTCATTTTTAAAGACTTAAATTAATTTTTTTTTTTTTTTTTTTTTTTTTTTTTTTTTGTACCTTCTTTTTCTCCATTTGTTTATTTTTTATTTATTTATTATTATTTTTACTTGTATATATCACTAGGAAATATACAGTAAAGTTCATGGCAATGAATAGTAAAGATAAACCGCTTTTAAAATCACCTTATAGAAAATTTAATGAAACTGTAAACCAGAAACGAAGCAAGAATATTGTACAGATTCGTACAGGTGTTGCAATTATCGGGATCATTATTGCCATCTTGGTTTATTTTTACTCTAATCAACTTTCAAATAGCACTTTAGTTGATAAAGGTACTTGAAAAAAAAATGAAGAGAAAGAAAGAAAGAAAGAGCGATATCTTATTTTTTGTTTTCATTATATGTATATATAAAAGATTCATGTCAAAAGTATGCAGTCATGATTGATGCAGGCTCTACAGGATCACGTATTCATGTTTACCGATTTCATCAATGTGGTGATCATGAACCCATTCAATTAGAAGAAGAGGAATTGTTTGCTCAAACTATACCCGGTTTATCTGCATATCCTGATGATCCTCAACAAGCAGCAAATTCATTAGATATCTTATTGGATGATGCAATGAAGATTGTACCTAAAAGACTTCAAAGGAGAACACCTATGGCTGTCAAGGCAACCGCTGGACTACGATTATTAGGACAAGAAAAGAGCAATGCTATTTTAAAGACAGTTCGTCACCATCTTGAAGCAAAGTATCCTTTCCCTATCGTTGGAGGAGATGACGGTGTAGCCATTATGGAGGGTCGAGATGAGGGCGTCTATGCTTGGATCACTGTCAATTTCTTATTAGGTAATTTTGATTCTACACGATCTCTTGTAACGCCTCATACAGCCGCTGTCTTGGATCTTGGGGGTGGATCCACTCAAATCGTTTTTGAACCTGATCGTTTGGAGGATGGAAGTTTACCTGAGATTCTCGATACGGACTTTAAATATGTTTTAAAACATGAAGGAAGAGAACATGTGTTATATCAACATTCCTATCTTGGTTATGGACTTATGGAAGCTCGTAAACGTATGCATCAACAGGTATTGTTAGAGAACAAGACAAGGGAACTTGAAAGTGCAGATCAATTTTTTTTGCATGCTTGCTTACCTGAGGGATTAAATTGGGAATATACTAAATCTTCAACACCTATTCAATTCCTTGGTATGGGCTCCTATGATGACTGTCTTGGTATTGCTGATTTAATGTTAAATAAAGACAAGTCATGTGATATTCAACCCTGTTCCTTTGATGGTATCTATCAGCCCCCCATTGCAGATACCTTCACAAGGGGCCCCATTTATATTTTCTCTTATTTCCATGATCGTACTCAACCTCTTGGTCTACCAGCTTCCTTCCGTTTACCTCAACTTGCAGCCTTGACCGAATCGGTTTGTTCTGGTGCCTTCCTAGAGAATGTGACAGATGTTTCTTTAAAAGATGAATTGTTAGATCGTCCTGAATGGTGTTTAGATTTGTCATTTATTTATCGTCTTTTATCTTATGGTTATGAAATCCCAAATGATAGAGTACTTACTGTTGCAAAAAAGATTAATGGTGTTGAAACAGGTTGGTGCTTAGGTGCAGCTATTGCCATCTTGGGTGATAATTCACTTAAAGATATTAAATAAATAAATTTATTTTTAGAAGAAAAAAAAATCAAATAAAATTCTGTGTATTATAAAAATTCCAAATACATGTATATGAATACATGTTTATATGTATGCATATATTGATTATTACTAGAGTTGTAGAAAATATTTCTTTTTTCCTTCTTTCTCTCTCCCTCTCTCTCTCTTTCTTTTTATTTATTTTGTTTTAAAAAACCCAGCCAGGTGGAGAAAAGACATAAATCATATCATGTTTCTTTAAAATCAAAGAAGGTACAGGATTTGCATATACGAACGGTAGTTCATTCCCTAATAGATTGCAAGGTGCACGAAAGAGTCCAATGACGAGGACCTCATATCTAATTAACAAGGTCTTGAATAAGGTCTTAAAAGTCAATCCAGTAAATTCTGGAGGCATAGGGATACTTGTGAGGTGAGGTGCAAGTCGTGCTGCTGTAGATGCTGTCTTGATATCGGGTTCAGTAGACAATAAATAGGCTGCTGAACCATCATATAAGGGTCCTGGCATTCCACATATCGTCTTGATGATTGAAACAATATCTGGTTTATAATAGGTCTGACTTATCAGTACGTTGCTAATAAGACTGTCAGCTACTACATCACCTGCTGCATATGCTGGTGTATAGAATACATCTATTTCTTCTGCAACATCTTTTCCTTGTAATAAATGCATGAATCGGATATTGGTTTTTTCAACTTAAATAATTGTATATAAAACACATATTCTATTTAAGAAAAAGAAAAAACATAATAGTTTATAAATATATATATACAATACTTACTTAAATTTACAATTGTATAAGCTCCTTCTTGTCTTTCCTGCAATAAAAGGTCCAAGATATGACTTGCCATTCTACAATACAATATATATATATATATGTATATATATGCATATAATATTGAATGAAAGAATATGAGTTATATGGGCTTTAAAATAGACTATAAACCTACATAGCTGGACTATCTGAATTACGTTCATATTGTTCTAAATATTCTTTTTCACTATTTATAAATGAATAAAGTAAATTTCCAGAAATAAAATAATGTATACAAAATACAATAAATTTTAATGAGAGACCTCATTACTACTACTTGTTTTGCCCTTTTTATGCCTGCTCGAAGTAAATCATCTGGATTTCTACAATTACCCTATAATACATATAGATATATATATATATATATATATGAAATAAGTAAAGAGAAGAAGATCATATAATATACATATAAATTTACTTCCATAAAGTAAACTCTAGGAAAAGTATTAATAAGTTCAAATATTTTCTGTGGTGGTGGTTTAGCACAAAGTAAGACTATATCTTGTATCTCATCAAGCTTAATATTAGGTGATCTTAGATTATAAATAAACTTGAACATATTAATCATTTCGCGATGTAAACAAACCAAGATATGATTCTTCATCCCTTCAGTTGAAAGTATCGTAATTTCTTTAAGTCTAGCAATAGGTTTGTTTAATAAATAACAAAAGGGTACTGATGTATCATGGTTTTGAATTGTTTTGTTGTTGCTGTTGTTGTTGTTGCTGTTTTCTATTGACTGTTGTTGTCCAATACGTTTTATGAGTTCACGACTACCGGTTAATAATGCGTGTCGCTTGGAAGGTAATTTAGCAATACTGAATGAGTAATTTAAATTTGGTTGTTGATGATGACTATGCTCAAGCGTTTGTGATGGCTGATAAAATGATTGTTGTGTTATTGTAGTGTCTGTTGCTGAAGAAGATGGTTGTCGTTTAAAACTTTTGGCTAGAACTGTATGTGTTGCTTGGTTTAATGATGCAATACCAGCTATATCATTATAGCAGGTATTATCTGTCGTAGATGATGAATTGTTGATATTGTTAGTTGTATTATGTGAGGCTAAATTGTCGATACCATAATATGAAAATCGACTAGAATCTTGTTTACTCTAATAATTTAGAGGAATGAGAATCATATTACCTATATAAATACATATATATATATATATATACCAAGGTAAAAACATCTTGTACTTCTTTTGGACTTTCAGCAATGAAGACACATTCATCTGTTGGTTTAATTTTATATGAATTACTTGGATTAAGTAGTATCTCATAACTGTTTCTATCTCTCATGAATGTTTTTATAGCAAACAAAATAATTTGTGCTTCTTCAAAAAGAAACTTTTTTTTAAAAAAAAAAATACATATATAACTCAATCGTTATAGTACAACGATATGTATATATATATACATGACACACTTACTAATACTGCTTGTGCAAAAGTAAGACCATGTGCGCATAATGGTGCTTTACTTGTATATATTTCATTACATGAACCATCATCTAAAAAATGAAATAAGACAGATGAGTAATATAGCTTATATATACACATATACATATTACTATTATTATTACCAAATTGTGCTTGCCAGCCTTCATCATACTGATTGGTTGGCTGCCTTTGATGTAATAGATTTGTAAGTAATGTTGAAGCACCTCGACAACGGCAATTCATGGCCAGAAGATATTGCTTGAATTCTCGAACACAAATAATCTCCTTGGCCACTTTTTGATATATGGCTGTACTAGGAGATAAGTTATATGTATAAATAGGCACCTGACGACTCACTGTGTGACAATAAAGAGACCATAAACGAACTGTGTTTTTTTCATCTTCTTTTGATGGCTCTGGTGCATTTTGATCTTTTTATGAAAAAAAAAAAAAAAAAAAAAAAAAAAAAAAAAAAAAAAAAAAAAAAAAAAAAAAAAAAAAGAGAGAGAGAGAGAGTTAAATTCTTATATACTGTAGAAAACATTTATATAATATACCAGAAATTGTAAATATTGCTTTGGCATATCTTGCTTCCTACAAAATTATTTTTATATAATTACACACACCATTATTGAATAATGACTACTCTATACTACTTACTACGCGTAATAATGTTTTATCATCCTTATATACATGTAAGGTAAGTTATATGACTTTTCCCCCCCCCACTCCCCTATATTATATATATATATGTATACCAAAACTGATCCATGAAGAAATTGTACATGATGACCCCAAATGGAATTTCGCTCCATTAATTTCAATTGTTCTGTTGGTTTATTGCTATCAAGAAAAACTATACTTAATCTATATTCAGCATTTTCCTATATGCAAAAATAAATAAATAAATAAAGAATTATATGATTTATCATATCTTTACCCTGTTAAAGAATCCATCCAATATTTCGATTACTTGATCTGGAGTAAAAGAAGTTCCAACAATTAAGATAAAAGGTGCTATGCTCTTACGTACATGTCCTTCACCATCTATTTACATTATGATAAATATATATATATATACATATACATATATAAATACATAAAATAAAGTACTTGATATGTACCTTTTCTTTTCCTCATCGTATCTAATGCATCCGTAATTAATCCTGGTAAGACAGACAAAGCTATAACAATCAGTAACATCATTACAAGCCGACTAGCTTGTGTATTTGGGGTAATATCTATTATATAGGATGTTATAAGAAAAAAAAGAAAAGAAAAAACTTCCCGATAAAATGAATATAGGGGCAACTTAAACATACCACCATAGCCAACTGTAGATAATGTTACCATAACAACATACAAGGACTCCATAATTGTATACTTGTGAACGCCAAACGTCCTCTCTGTATATTGGAATGCGCATGTGCCATTATAAAGCAAAACCACAAGTGTCCAAACAAGATGAATAAGCTTTGTTCTTAAAGGATCAACTGGTCTAACTATTATAATAAAACAAGATAAGTATAATAATAATAATATTATTATTATTTTCTAATACCTGTTATCTGTAGATTAACTTTAATCTTCATTGCACTTTTAATTCGTAAAAGTAATACCCAACTTCGTATAAAATAAGGAACTACAAAAATAATAAGAATATTTAATCAATATTTATATACAAATATGTATATATCATAGGCGATAGACAATGTAAGATATAATACCATAAAGATATTGACCATCAGAAATAAAGATAGATATTATAAAAGGTACTGTAGTTAATATTTCAATTAGACAGCGAAAACTAAGTAATAATGAGATGGGATGTTTTGAAATAAAGAAGCCTAATTTTTTATTTTAAATATTAATATTACTGAATAAGGATAGTAAACAATTGTTTCAACTTACGAATCATAAAAGAACATGTATTCCAATAAGTAAATACAAGACATATAAGCCTATATATGACAATCATTGTTAATTTAGCGCACTGTATGTAATAAGCATTTTTTTTTCTTTCTTTCTTTTTAAATACCATAGATTGTAAGATCTCCATTTATATAACCATCTTATTGGCTTTATCAATTCATTCATATTAGAAGAAGTGCCTTGCTTCATTTCAAATAAATAAGTAAGACAAAAGAGAAGGTCAACCCATAAATCTAAATTAACCTAGATAAGATGATATAATAAGTAACTATTCTTATTCAAATGTTCTTTGAATATAACAATAACAATACAAATAGAATGATCGTCTTGTTTGCAAATAATAAGCTTTTCATAAATTGAACTTTGGAATTATAATTGTAAAAATTGACGATAGAGTCTCGAAATGATTGTTTTTCGACTCTACTACGACTTTTATCTTAAAACTATTAATCTATTTTTATTGTTACAATATCATCCTTTTTTTTTTCTCCCCTTTACCGAGATTTCTTCTTTTCATGCTTATATTTGGCACGTATAGTACTGAAATTGATTTGTGGTTGACATAAAGAAAAAGAATCATTGTGACAGGAGATAACAGAGTTAATTACTTCTTTGGCTCTTACAAGATAAAAAAGAAAGAAAAAAAAAATAGGTATCATATTTCATAATATAGTGTAGAGTATATACTTTGGATCAAGGGCGGGAAGAACAAGGTCTGTTATTTGACGTGTGTCATTCTCATCATCATTATCACTATACAATAGGGTGGAAAATCGTGTTCTATTAGAACAACATTGTCGTTGTTCCATACGTCGTTTTTTCCTCTTTTTTACAGTATCATTTTGATTGTTTTTGTTTATTGCTTTACTATTTGAAGAACAAGAAGATGATTTATCATTTCTCGTCGTATCATAACCTGAATAACTCGCTGATGAATACAATAATCCACTTTCTTCATCCTTCTTTTTATCACTTAAAAACGAGAACATGTTATATATAAAAAAAAAAGCGGGAAAAAATATAAATACCTCAAAACAAATATTTTAAACAAGGCATTTACATGTTACACAACCTATGATATATGAGTGTGTGCCTTCTTATAAAAGAAAAATACATGCATATATTCTTATTTATCTCACTCCACTTTTAACCCAAAACACACACACACTATTTTAAATATTTCTTAAAATATGTATATATAATTTATTGGAATAAAATAAGAATTAGTTTATTCCTCATCGTCAGCAGCCTTCTTTTCATCACCAGTAGCACGGGCTATTTATGATATAGATAAATAATTAGAATTTATTTAAACAGTTTCTTTTTTTTCAGGGGGATAACTTACTGTAGATGATTTGAGCATGGTGGCGAGAGATAGGCTTGATCAAACCTTGAGCTTCGAGTTCACGGATGGCAATACGGGCCAAAGAACCGTTCAACTTGAGACGATCAACCAAGACGGATTGAGAGATGAGCTTGTAGGTAGGAACTTCCTTGAACAAACGGTCATAAGTAGGCTTGTCAAGCATGACCAAGTTGTTGGCCTTGTCCTTGACCTTCTTAGCAGACCACTTCTTCTTGGCCTTCTTTCCACCAGAGCTGGAACTGGGCTTACCGGCAACGTCCTTTTTAGCCTATCAAGTTGAAATGGCGGTTAATTTCAAAATTACATAAAAAAAAAGAAGCGGCGTAATGGAAAATGAAGAATCATGAATTGGATGTTCATTTCAAATATTCTTTTTTTAATCTCTTCTATTCCAAAAATAATCAAATTGATATAATATACAATCTTTCTTGATTTTTTTTATTAAATAATGATGGATGCATATTGATAATCGATACAAAAGAAGTGGTACATATCCATCCATCCATTAATCTAATCCTATCCACTCTATTTTATGACATTGCATTCTTTATATCGTCATTTTACTATCCATTATTTTAATTATATCTTTCTTCATGATTATATATATAAAGTTGAACATTTTTCCTTCATGATTCTTTCTATTTTCCATGTTATATGTATGTGTGTGTTGGGGATACGAACCATATTGGATTTAGAGGAGGAACAAAACTATGGCCAGCTTTAGGTGATCTTTTTTAGTCAGGAGCTTTCGCTCGTTCGGAGCTATTGTATACGGTTGAAGACCCGGTTCGAAAGTCACATCTCCGGATCGATTTTTTTTATCAGTGTTTTTTTTTTTTTATCTCATAATAAAATTTGATATTACAGTCTGGGAAACTAGGTTGGGTCAATAAAAAAATAATTGGGTCATTCAAAAATTAAATTGGGATACGGATGTAGAATTGGGACAGAAATACGAAAACGGGACACCCAAATGAAAATGAGATACAGACACAGATGCGAAAATGGGACAGAAATGTGATTAAAGAGCAATTTAATTAAAGTAAAGACCATTGCGTACGTAATGGCTATGAATACATTGTTTTGCCCTAGCCAGTTCTGAGTGTTATTTTGTATGAAAAAAAAAAACCTCTTGCAAGAAAAGAGGAAAATGTATAAAAGTAAAGAGAAACAGAATCAGTAAAAAAAAAATATTTGAACTAGTACTACTACTACTATGATTGATTTAACCAATTCACCAGTTTAACGCCAGAAATGATGAGTTCAGGAGGCGGTTTGTTGTGGAGAATATAGTCCAATTCGTGGAATATTCGGGCATACTACCGGCTAATGAACGGACCAAATGCAGGAAACTTTGGGACGGCGGCGGGGGGGGTTTTGGAAGGGAACCTGTTCAGGACGAAGGGAAGAGGGTCAGGGATGGTGTGTGGCATTTGAAAGTGTCTATGCATGTCAAAGCGAATAATAGCATGGTCCCAAGTAAGCCTTGAGTCTGAGTGGAAGACACGATGTTGCGGCTTGCCACCGGGGAGCCAACCAAGTCACCATCGACATATTATTATTTTGGATCAGAAATAATTGTAAGTCATGCGTCATGCTAATATTCAAAATAAAGACTGAGTCTGACTTTAACCGAGAAAAATGCCCTGAAAGTAAAATTCAGACAGATCGACAGCTTTGTCACTTTAGAGCGTTTTCCATAAATGGTAGAATTTGCTGAAATTTGATACTTTATTAGTGTGTGTATATTCAAATCAAACATATGATCTGTCAGAAATATTTGCAACAATATGCTCCAGCGCATTTTACCAGTCGACTGTAAAGTAGAGTAGTCTATTTTATTTTCCTCAAATCCGTGGTGGTGTATTAAAGTGTTTTATTGTAATAAGAATTGTTTACGTAGTAGAACTACCACTACACTACAACGAGATATAAGTATAGTTCCTGTAATAAGTGACTGTACTCTTAGTGACCGTGAGTTCCAGTTAACAACATTTTGTTCAAAATTGAGTGGTTTAGCATCGTTTTTTATCTTCATTGACTGATGTTTAAACCAAAAATACACAGGATACTTCAAAGAGTTTGGAATCGCAAGAAGGAATTAGAAGAACAAAGTGAGACTTATAAAATGAAATATTTGTATGCTCTCCTGACTTAACTCGCTTTATGAAACCTTATTTGGATAAACAAAAGTGCAGCGATTGTGGCAAAAATGATCATCGATCCAAAAGAAGTAGTGAGTGTGAACAATATGCATCATTATCAACTCCTAGTAAATATACATTGTATCTCATAGCAGTGATAATATGACATCAACTAACATATAACATAATGTAGTTGTTGGGACAAAGAGTAAAAGAAAAGCTGAAACAGAAGAGACAAAAAGAAAGAAGAAGAAAGTAAGAAAAATGTTCTCTCAAGGTGAGGGAAATGTACAAGTGTGCACAAGCTGTGGTCAACGAGACCATAACAACTCAAGGTCCTATGAATGTTCCAATCATAAGTTGACAAAAGAACAAGAGACGAAATTACTATTGGGGGACTATACCACCATTACAAGGAAAATAAAGCTGCAAACTATTTTGAGGGAAGGATACAGATCTGCAATTACAGAAAAAAAAATAACAGCAGTTTCAAACGATATTCGCAATATCATCATACGTGCACAACTGTTTGTGAATTATTATATCGTAATACACGCAAGTCAAGTTGTGGACATGAAGGTCTTTTCCCAAAACTTCTGGTATTGCATAGCTCAACTAGTCTTGAAAAAAAATCCTAAAAATGTCAAGGCTTTACCCGAGGACTGTATAGCTTGCTGGGAGAGTTTTTTCTACTAGATACAACAGCATCAAATACGATACGGTTCCTGTAAATGGCTATTCACATTGCTTAACAGCCACTTGTGTTGAACTCGCTATTACGTACACAAATGCCATTGTAGAAGTTTTTGAATCAAGATTGAAGTCATATATGATGTATGAGATTTCAAAATTATTCACACAGGTAAATTCGCACAAAATTAGATTATTATTTACAAACTGACCCATTAATTCCATCGCTAGCCTAGCAAGTTTCATATAAGAAACAGTATTCACAACTATTGCTATCAATGTATCTGCGGTGGTTCGCCAGTCTAGCCCAATGAACTACCTGAAGAGTACAACGACAAAAAATCAGACATTGACGCAATATTACGTGAATTATCGTCAATTGATATGCCCAAGCCTATTACTTTGATAAGTCTGTTTGCCTCTTCTGGAACCTATATACCCTTCTTAGCCCACATATTAAAAAAAAAGTTAACAATATCATGAAGAATCCCAGAGAAGTCCTGGCAGGCAAGATCAGCAAGATTGTATTTATCTCCCTCGTCTTTTTTTCGTTTTTTCCAGTACCCTCCTTAAAATGGAGGTTCGTATCCATATATGCCAACGCTCTTTCTGCTTTTGCTAGGATTAAATTGCCAACCACTTATGAAGCCAAACTAGAAATGTTCAATACAGTGTTTGATTTCACAAGATTGAAGATAAATAGGTAATTACTATATATTGTTTCTAATGATGATAACTCACAATCTAAAATACACAGCTTCCAAGACCTTCAAAATCCGAATAGACAAAAAAAGGCAAATACTTTTCTATTAGATATGTATTTTCTACACCTTAGAATAAAGAGAGCTCTGTATTTGTCTGCACGATATAAAATAGTATAAAGAATATATATATCTACATACTCAATGGTATATATCTCTATTGGTTACAATCAGCATTTATTCTACTGTTCCATTTCCCTTTATTTATTCAATGAATAAATTGTTTACTGAGAAAAGATAATCTGATATCACAGCTTACAGCAAATAATTTATAATTTGATAAGAGGCAGCTAATAATTATAATAACTCAAGAGATAAATGAATACTTTTTTTTATTTCAGACACTACTGTAGATAAAATAAAAGGTATACATATATACATTTATACAAGCTACTCTCAGATATTTCTATATAATATTACTTGTTAATGCCCTTCTATATACTCAAAGAATAGAGTCAATTATACTAAAGTCTATAAATAGACAAAATTTATATAAGCAGCAATAGAGGGGGAAAAAGCTCCGTTTAAATAAATAAATAAATAAAAAAGGAGAGGCTAAAATACATTCAATATGTATGATGATCTACATCTAAAGTGTAACAAAGGTAAACAGAGTCATATCGTTAAATCTTTCTAATAGAAAACAATAAGCCACAATAAAGCACTGTGCCTATTAGAAGCCTTTTGTTTATGTGAAAAAAAAAATATAAATAGGGGAAGAAAAAATTTATTTTTGCTTTTCTTTTTCTTTTCTTTCTTTATGAAAGTGATATTCTGAGGATATTGGTCACTATAAACAATAAATCGTCAGTGATATTCTCCGGATAATGGTCACTCTAAATAATAAATCCCCCAGTGAAGTTATTTGGATGTATTGGTCACTTAAAATATTCAATCCCGAGAGTATCTTTCATTTGGAGTTTTCACGTCTCTCGTTAAATATGACCGTGAAAGGAAGCACATAATGATTAACCTCCACGATTGGTTGCTTCTGGAAACAGTAGTCTTTTTTATTATATAGAGAAGCTACTGGCTAATTGGATCATTACCCCTTTTTTATTATTAATTATAAATGAAAAAAAAACTTTTATGTAATAATGACTTGTAGAAGAAGATTCAATACTAACTAAATGAGCTTTGTAGTTGTTTATGTACTGTATTAATTATCATCTTTATAAGTTGGTGTAAAGACTAGCAGAAAGAGTGCAAACAGGATTGTTAAATTAGTAATATCAATAAAAAAAACCAGGTTTTGGCTGTAATATTTTAATTAAAAATAGTGGTATAGACCATCGTGATAATAGGCATTTTGCACTATGAAGTTGTTATTAAAACAAAAGAATCAAACCCAATGACTGAAGGTTATATCATATTACCAACAAAGCCTTTAAAAGGCATACTGGATAATTTTACCGTTAAAAATAAATAAAGGGATTAATTAAAAAGAGTATAATATTCAGGATGATATCTCTATTAAGATATGCATAAACTTGTATAGTAAATCAACGAGACTGAACAATATATTTTTACAAGGCACATAGTTAAAAAAAATTATTTCGCTTCTGACTCCTCATGAATTTAAGATTTTCAAGTCCTTATCAGTTATTGAGCCGGAAGATAGAATTCTCTTAAAAAACAAGACAAAATGGCCAGAGTTAAGTGAACTGTGAGAACAGGCTATAAAACAAACACAACAGCTCTCTCTCCCATTTGAAAGATATATTAGTAACACAAATAATGTGATAATATCAACTACTGCCGTAACCACTTCCCCTTTATTAGAGACCTGTGATAGTAAAAACTGGAGAATCAACAGTCATTTGGAAACATACAGCTACTGAAGAGGAAGATAAAAAACTTGATGTCAAAAAAAGTTAGATATAGCACCTTTCATTAGCATTAGATTATTTACGAGAATTATCATCAAGAACGTCTACTTCTAACATTGTTCAGTAAAGAATATCTTATTTGGATAGCCTCTATAGTTTTTTATACTTTGAGTTCAGACATTATTAGTTCTTTTTCCTAAATGAATCAAAAATAAAAAATAAAAAATAGATACTATCTTGTATTAGATGACGTGAATTAACAATGTAAACTGTTTGTAGCTTTTTTTTTTTTTTTTTGAAACTGGCGGCTGCTAATAATATTCCTTGCCATAGTAAGTTAGCCAATCATCATTTTTAAAATTAAGGGTAAAATATCTTGAAAAAACAAAAAAGGAAGGTATATTACGTATGCTCTAAATTAGGAAAGACATTTAAAATTCAACAAATTATAAGAACGCATCGCTGTTTTAAACATTTATTATAATAATGATATTCTTTCACTTTCTTCTTTTTTTTTTTTCCTTTCTTTAAATAACAATAATGGAGTCAAATAATCTTAACTGGATTAATAATGACAATGAACTAATGGAAATGCTGGTTGGTATCGCCTCAGTATCTGGGGAACAAAGCATATCTACAAATAATGAAGTTAGCCCTGATGTTCTTCAATGTCTTTTACCAATAGAAAGAAATGACTTGGTTCTATCTAGCACACAGCAACAGATGTCATCACACTCTTCTTCGATAACACCCCAAAATAATATGAAAGAGGATAATTCCCATCATGTTGATATGTCAAATGAAGCAACTATCAAACCACTATTTCCATCCTCAGTTACCGTTCAAAATTCAGATAATTTTGTTACTTTTGTACCTACCACCTCTATACCCAAAAAGAATGCACCAATAAAAACTGTGTTTAAAAAACCTGTATTTATTTCAGAGTCGCCTCAAACATTTATAAAAAAGAAGAAGACGGCCTTATCATCAAGCTCTAGTAATACAAGTGGTGAGGATAATAATTCGGATGATGACGTGACATTCGAGGGCGTACTTCATATTAATAATCCACCTTTAACGAATTCAACCCCAATGACTTCAAAGGAAAAAAGACAATTAAGAAACAAAATTTCAGCCAGAAACTTCAGAGTAAGAAGAAAGGGTAAGTAAGTGAAACTTAAATTTAGTTACTACCAATTATATTAATTCTATATACATACAACAGAATACGTCAATCATTTAGAGAAGAAAGTAAGAGAATATGAAGAAACGATTGTCAAACTTAAGAAAGAAAATGAGCAGCTTCAAAAAAATAACGAGGAGCTCATAAAGAAATTGTCTACGCAACAACCTATTACTCCTCCTCCTTTTAGTGATGAATTAATGTCAAATACATCCACTACTTCTAGTTCAGAAGGCCACTTATCACCTGAATCCCTGTCTTCTCTGTTCCAATTCCAATTAAATGATTTATATGACCTTAATCTGCTTGAGCAACAACAGCAACAGCAACAGCAACAGCAACAACCACTTCTGGATCCATCTGTTATGTTTTATCTTAACCATGCTACTATACCTGATTGGAACATAAATGAGGTCCTGAGTGGAAAGATGAAGAATGCAACCACAGAGCAGGAGCAATTACAAATATCTAGAGAATTAATCAGAGACTACCCTCTTTTAGTACCTGCTCTTATGTCTATTATACTTCATCATACTTTATCCTTGGACTATGTTGCCTCTCTTGCTAAAGAATTTAAAGAAAAGTTAAATGTTGATCCTAAAGTTTCAAATAACGAGTTTGAAGACAATGAAACAGTTGTTGGTGAAGAAGAAACGAATGAGCTCAAGGTCAACTTTAGTAAATTAAGTATCGAAGACGCTACTAAAGTAGTGAATAAGAAAGAAGGATTGGATCATACATCATTCACGGAAGATGACCTAGTTGCCTTTATTCTTAACAGATGTTTTCCTTATTATTGTTTAATGCGTGCACGTGGCCATAGTCATGAAGATATCATCGATAAATGTCGAGAATGCTTTTTAGATAAGGACTCTCCATGCCGAAAAAAGATGGAAAAGAAATGGGCAAAAGAGAAAGCAAAAAAAGAAAGATTAGAGATTAAAAAGAGAGAAACTGTTTATAAAACGAAAAACAATAGTCGTCTACAAACACTTCAAACCTATTGTCGAGTAGCCAATATTCTTTTGAAAAACCCTCGACAAATGTCTAATATGACTCAAGTCCTAAAAGAACAAATTCAAATTTCGAAAAATAAGTCTATGAGTCATGCTGAGCAAAATTATAGAAAGATGATAAACACTCCAAAGGCTCTTCGTATCGCTAATGCCTCTAGTTAAAATTATTGCATCATTTTTGTAAATAGTTTATACATGTACATATTCATATGCAAATACATCATATTTCATTATTAGTAATAATAATAATAAAAAAAAAGCATAGCTTATTTTAGATTATCAGTTTTTTTCTTTTTTTAATTCTACAACTTGTTCACTACCGGGAAAATCTGGAACATCGAAATCAAATCGTTTGGCTAATGTTGGAGGAACAAAACGGCCACCCAAAAAATGCTTTCTGCCTCTAAAATGATTCGAACAAGGTTTTGGAGCAGTAAGAGAAACTAAGATATCAGGTTGAAACTTAACATGCTCGGTAGGCCCAATATCCATATCCCAACCAGAAGGAATATCAACAGAAACAATAGGCTTTGAAGTTTTTTCAAAGATTTGAATAATCCCCTTATAAGGATCGCGTACTTCTCCCTGGAAACTAAAACCAAAGAGTGCATCCAAGATAATATGTGAACTTTCAATAAAATCTATTGGTTGTTGAAGGTCTTTATAGATGGGAATATCGAGATTTTTACATTGAATTAATAAGCGCTGCATAAATATGTAAGAATAAGTAATTAAATATATATTTATATACATGTATGTATACATTTATATATCTATTTATAAGCAATACGTTACTTTATAAAGGTCTTTTTCTGGCTGCTTTGGATAATAAAGGCTAGGTTTAAATCCAAAATGATGCAAGTGTCGTGCTGCCACAAGACCGTCTCCCCCATTATTACCTATCTTTATATAAGTATATATATATAAATACATATACATATATCGTATATACATTACCTGGACCAACACAAACTAATACATTAGGCGTTTTTGAACTATCAAATGATTTTTGTACTGCTTGAGCAACACTAAGTCCGGCTATATATATATATATGTATATATATAAAAGGAGAGAGAGAGTATAAGTTTGGTTAGTGATTATAAGCAAATTTATTAAAGTGACAATAACCTAATTCCATTAATTGATCAATGGAGAATGCGCCTGAACTTGACATCAATTCCACATCAATAGCTTGAGCAACTTTTTGGGAAACGCACTTTATAATTATAAGTATTGCTTAAAAATGTATTCATGATTCTTAATCTACTTACTCTGTATGCCATTTTTTAAAAATAAAATAAAGAATTTTTCTCAAAAAAAAAAAAAAAAAAAAAAAGAATTCTATAAAATTGCATGAAATACCGGGTTTTTAATTCATATTATGAACTATCATTATTTTTTCCTTATAGAAAAGAGAGTTACATTATATCTTCTTCTTATTCTTCTTATTCTAACAATCTATTGTTATTATTATACAATGCTCTCATCAGAAAATAAAACATATCCTGTACCAGAAAGACTTTTACTTTCTTCAGATTTGCCCAAGCCATATGTAAATTCATTTGAACAATATAAGCAATTATGGGAAGAAAGTATTGAAAACCCTAAAGCCTTCTTTACAAAGGTATATCTTTTTTATATGCATATTTTTTATTTTATTTTATTTTTTATTTTTTATTTTTTATTTTTTATTTTTTATTTTTTATTTTTTATTTTTTATTTTTTTTTTTTTGGTTTTTCTTTTAATAAATAATAAATGATTTACAGGCTGCTAAGGAATACTTGAGTTGGCATAAAGATTTTGAAACTGTTATGAGTGGTGATCTCAAGGATGGAAATATCGCATGGTTTTTGGAAGGTGAATTAAATGCTTGTTATAATTGTGTAGATAGACATGCCTTAAAGACTCCAAATAAGGTAGTTATACGGAAATAAATAAATAAATAAATAAAAAGTTAACATTATATAATATATTAGATTGCGATTATTCATGAAGGAGATAACCCAAACAATGTGCGTAAAATAACTTATTATGAGCTGATGCAAGAGGTATGTCGAATGGCTAATGTGTTATACAATTTGGATGTGCGTAAAGGTGATACAGTTGTACTCTATATGCCTATGATCCCTGAGACTATCATTGCTATGTTAGCCTGTGCTCGTATTGGCGCTATTCATTCTGTTGTCTTTGCTGGTTTTTCAGCAGAGTCACTCTATAATCGCATTGAAGATTGTAAGGCACGGATTCTGATTACAGCAGATGAAGGTCTTCGAGGCGGGAAAAGAATTCATACTAAGCGTATTGTAGACGAAGCACTACAATTGAATACTGAAAATCTTGCTGTTGTAGAACGCGTGATTGTGGTAGAGCATACAGGATCAGATATACCAATGATGCCTGATAGAGATGTTTGGTGGCATGATGAGATGGCCCATGCACGTCCTTACTGGCCAGTCACGTATGTCAACTCAGAGGATCCTTTGTTCATGCTTTACACATCAGGGTCAACAGGTAAACCTAAAGGTGTCTTACATACAACAGGTGGATATCTATTAGGTGCAGCCATGACAGTGAAGAATATATTTGATGTACATGAGAATGATATTTATGCTTGTATGGCTGATATTGGGTGGATTACAGTAAGTAATAATGAGTATACAAGTATACAGTTAACTAATAGTTTCTTTTTCTTTTCTTTTTCTTTTTTTCTTTTTTTTTTTTTTTTTTTGCATAAAGGGACATACTTACATCGTATATGGTCCTCTCACTTTAGGTACAACCACATTATTATTTGAATCCACACCCACCTATCCTAGTCCATCTAGGTTTTGGGAAACAGTAGATAAGCATAAAATAACACAATTCTATACTGCGCCTACTGCCATTCGTGCCCTTCAACGTTTAGGAGATCAATATGTAGATAAGTGTGACCTAAGTTCATTACGGATAATTGGATCGGTTGGTGAACCCATCAATCCAGAGGCATGGGAATGGTACTATCATAAAGTGGGACATTCAAAATGTGCAGTGGTAGATACATATTGGCAAACTGAAACTGGCTCTATTGCTGTTAGTTCGTTACCTGGCGCGATAGCCACTAAACCTGGATCAGCTACTTTCCCTTTCTTTGGTATTTTACCAGCCATTCTGGATCCCACCACGGGTAAAGAATTAAAAGACTGTGATGTAGAAGGTGTGCTTGCGATCAAAAAACCGTGGCCATCAATGGCTAGAACCATTTATAATGACCATGATCGATTCATTGATACCTACTTGAAACCCTATCCTGGATATTATTTCACAGGTGATGGAGCTTACCGAGATAAAGACGGATATATTTGGATACGTGGGCGAGTTGATGGTAAATAAATTTTATATCATTATTTATTTATTTATTTATTTTCAACTCATTTATTATTATAGATGTTATCAATGTTTCTGGTCACCGCTTATCTACTTCAGAAATTGAATCTGCCTTAATTTCAGATAATGCTGTTGCTGAGGCAGCAGTCATTGGTGGTCATGATAACTTAACAGGTCAATGTATTCATGCCTTCTGCATTTTGAAGCCTAATATCATTGGTAAATCTCATGATCTTTTAACTCAGGAACTTATCACACAAGTCAGGAAAATAATTGGCCCATTTGCAAAACCCAAACGGGTTTATATTGTAAATAACTTACCAAAGACTCGTTCTGGTAAAATCGTGAGACGTATCCTACGAAAGATTATCAATAATGAAGCTGATCAAATAGGCGATACATCTACTATTGCGGAGCCACATGTTATTGAACAATTGATTAAAGAAATTAATAATTCGAAATAAAGAAAATATATTATTTATTCTTTTTTTTTTTTCTTTTACAATGATGTGCATTTACAACGAGATTGTATGTGCTTTTTATTATTATTATTTATTTATAAATTTGTATACAAATTTGTGTTGTTGAATTTGAGTTAATGAGCTTTCTTTCCAGAAGCCACTATTGAAAAAAAAAAAAAAGTTAAATTAAATTGGAGATAACAAAAAAAACAACAACAAAAACTTACAAGCAGGATTTCTAGGGTCGTTTCTGTATTGATCACCTACATTAATTAAAAAAAGAAAAAAAAAAGATTAACGACCATCTCAAGATGAGCATAAGTGTATACATACTGTCAATCATGGCAGATTGGGCCTTTGAAACTAAGTATAAAACAGCAACGCCACCAACAATGAAGGGGGCAGCAGGGCGAAGGACAGGTGTATTCCACTTGCGCATACCAAACATTTTTATATTATTTTGTGGAGAAAAAAAAAAAGAAATATAAATAAATGATGTGTGTGGGGGGTTGATAGGAGGACTGTCCCGCCTATAAAAGCAGGGGCAGCATACAAAAAAGACAAAAAAAAAAAATAGGATTATCTGTGGAGTTTCAATATTCGACGTCATTTGCATACAATTTACTGGTTATTGAACTACAAATATCAGTCTAATAATCAGTACAAGATGAGTAATGCACCAAGTTTCTATCAAGGGAAGGATAATTATTTCCAATAATGTAAAGAGAAGAAGAAACATTAAATCAAGAATAGTTTTTTTTTTTGACTGAGATTTATAGAAGGAGATACATATAAAGTTATTAGACTACTAATAAGAATTTATTCAAAATAAGGCAGCAAGTTGCCTAAGCATTTAACCAGTTAAAGAGTGATAAGACAATATTAGTCGAGTATTTATTAGTTAAAAGAAAGGAGAAGCAGCGTATATTTGTACATTACCACTCGAACTCTTCTTTTTTTCTTTCAATAGAATGAGTAATAATTTTATAATAGGCCTTTTTTTTTTTGAGTATCTTTTCTATTTCACCATTGTGTTCAAAGCTGTTAAATCCATATTGCTATTTATTTTACCGAAGAAATCATAGATGTATTTATCAAAACACGACTCCTTTGATGCCACTCCTAGCCTTTCAAATAATGATAATAATAATACTGTCATTCAGATCTTTAAAGAGTGTGGAGGGAAAGAGGATTTTAAAATTTCTGGGTTATCCTTTAACATTGAAAAATGAGCGCTTCTTCTACAAAATTATTTCGATATATTATATAAAATAAACATTATAAATACTAGTATAACAATAAAGAATAAATACTTTATATAGCATTAAAATGAACTACCTTTTTCTCCCTACATATCTGAATAAATAGTTAGTATATACATCTATCTATGTATAATGAATAATGAATAATAATAAAAAAAATACTACTACTTCTGAAACTTATTCACAAGCCACATTTTTTTTTCTGAATCACCATTCTATTTGACGTGTTACCAGCAAATTCTTTTCCTTTTTTTAATTTTCTATCAAGTGTATATTGAAAAGTTTTTTTTTTCCTCTTACATAAAAGAAACCATTCAATCTAAAAATGGAAAACAATAACTCCACAGATAACAATTCTAAAGACAACAAGCCTATTTCAGCACAAGAAGATCAAAAAACAACTATTACTGAACAAAAGCAACCCCTCCCGGCACCCATTCCTGAAAAGAATGCATGGAAAGTTGAAAAGACAGTAAAAGTAACCGAAGAAGCTTCTTCTGCAGGTAAATTAACTTTAACTGCATAAGATGAATGAAAAAAAAATTTTTTTTTCTTGTTGATATATACTTTATATATTTATATACATGTATATGTATATATAGATTGGCCCGCACCAAAAGAAGCAGCAGTCGAAAGTAGTGAAGATAATAGTGAAAAAGAAAAATTCGTTGCACCTAAAATAAAAAATAAAGGACAATGGAAGCCTTTTACACCTACTATTGTTCATGCTTCTTCTCCTGCTACACGTCGTAGTAGACATGGTCGACGTTCTGGTAATCATTCGGGTGACCGTAACAAGAAATCAACAAATAATCAACGTCGAGGATCCAAGTCAACAAAGGAAGAAAGCAAGCCAACAGTTGAAGCAACAACTGACAATAATAAAACGAGTCCTAAAAAAGATGACAAAAAGCCTACTACTACTACTACTAATACTACTACTAATACTACTACTACTACCACTACTTACAACAAGCCTCGTTCTAATCGTCCCAAAAACTTTTATCGTGGACAACGAAAGACACCTGCTTTTGTCACTATTGATGCAGAAACTTTGAAGATGTACATTATGCAACAAATGTAGGTCTAGTAAATATATTGAATCAATGTGTCATTTAACGAACAAAAAAAAATTTTATTATTATTAGTGAATATTATTTCAGTATTGATAACTTGTGTAAAGATGTTTATTTACGTAAACAAATGGATTCAAATGGTTTTGTCGATTTATCCTTTATTGCCAACTTTAACCGTGTAAAAGGGTTAACAACGGATCTTAATTTGATTCGTGAAGCTTTAGAGAACAGCCAAGTCATCGAAGTCAAGGGTGGTGACAAGATTCGAAAGAGAGAAGGTTGGGAGACTTGGTTAATGCCTTCTGTCATCTCTGGCCCTACACCTGTCAATCCACCTATTCCTAAAGTTACAATGACTGCTGCTCAAGTTGCCAAGAAAAATGCCCCACCTAATCCTCAACCTACTTTAGCTTCTTTAGCTGGTACTACTCTCTTGCCTGGTACTTCCCCTCAATTTAATTATGAGCAACGTCGCAAGTCACAACAAAAAGATGAAGATGAATTGTTTGACTTTGATGATGATGATTTTATTGATGGACGTCGTAATGACACTGTCAAAAAATATTATCTTTCTGATGATGAAGATGAAGATGAGAATGATCTCGAAATGGATGATGAAACCGTAGCTCGTATCATGATTGTCACTCAACGTAAATCAGATCGTACACATACTAACTACAATCGATCCAAAATCAACGAAGATATTTCTGAAATGATCAATGAAGGACTTTATCAATATGAAACTGGACTTGTTTCCTCAAAGTCCAATAATATCAAGGTAGGATCAGTTGGTAAGGATCACTTTGATCAATTGAAACATCGTGAACATCATCATGGTGAACAACTTGGAGCACAGCTTTCCAGTACAACCATCCATGCAAAGCCTATTAAAAAGAACGAGAAGAACACACCTCGTTTCTATGCTGTTCGTCCCGAGTCACTTCCTAGTTCTGCCTTCTATAGTACATCTCAAGGAGCTATAGACCATGGGCATGTCGGTTGGGTTTTAAGTGATCAAGCCTATCATTATAATCCTAATGATTTATTATCTACTAGTTATGGTAAATCACCTGCAGCTGAAGGTATGCTTTCTAAATCAATGGATATGGCTCATTCCTTTGGTAACTTCCAACATCCTAGTCACGAATTATTAAAGGAAAATGGATTTGTTCAACATAAATATTATAAATATCATGCAAAGGCTTTAAGAGAACGTAAGCAATTGGGTGTTGGACATTCACAAGAAATGAATACCTTGTTCCGTTTCTGGTCTCACTTTTTACGTGATCATTTTAATAAGCGTATGTATACTGAATTCAAGAGATTAGCTGTTGAAGATGCTAATCAAAACTATAGGTAAGTCATACTAGACTGTATATTTTATTTTATTTTATTTTTTTTAGATAGTATATATTAAATGCAGCCTTTATCTTTTTTTAGATACGGTTTGGAATGTTTATTCCGTTTCTATTCTTATGGACTAGAAAAACGTTATCGTAAAGAACTCTTTGAAGATTTCCAAGAATTAACTTTGGCAGATTATGAAAGAGGACATCTTTATGGTCTTGAAAAGTTTTGGGCATACACTTATTATCGTAAAGATAAAAAGAAGAGAGAACTCAAATTGAATGAACAATTGAGTGAATTATTATCAGAATACAAGTCAGTTGAAGATTTTAGAAATGCAGAGGCACCTGTTTCCGAAGCCAAGGATGATACTTATAAGGTTCCTCATCATGGTGTAAGTAAAATAAACTTTTTTTTTTGAGTTTAAAATAACATTTTTTTTTTATGCTAGAAACCTAGAAATAGTGTTAGTGGCCCTTCTGGTGCAAAGGCTAAGGCTTAAGAAATAATGCATTTTTTTTATGTATCTCTTTCTTAAACAAGAAACAAAATTTAACCGTATAGACAATTTTATTATTATTTTATTTTTTTCTTTAAAAAAAAACAAAAAAAAGGAAAAGAAAAAGAAAAATGGCCAAAAAAAAATTAGTGTACTTATTTGTTGTTATATATAAAATATTATAAAAGAAAATGATACATGAATTTTGCTACACTTTTTTAAATTTTAAATTACATTTTATGTACGCAAGAATGACATTTTTTTTGTTTTGTTTTTTTGTCCACTTTTAAAATTTCCATTTTTTTTTTTGAGAGCATAAAAAAGATCAACGCGTGTATGCGTATTTTAATTTCACCCCAAAAGAAACTTTTTTTTACATTCTATTTAACTACCACTCGACAACGACGATTCCTCATGTCTGTTACTATTGCTAAGCAACAAGTGCCTATCCAAGGTTGCTCCTCTAAAGAAGAACTTGATAGAGTGTTGGCCTTTCAACCATTCAAAGATTGGCTAAAAAGTTTCGATGAACAACAACGAGCACGACAAGAAGAAATGAATGTGGAATCTATCGAGATTCAAAACATTGATTATTTCAAATCAGAAAAAATTGGATTTATAAAATTCAAAACGAATGTGACATTTAAAGAAACAGGCATAAGTGCACCTGGTATAGTGTTTATGGTAGGTAGTATACAAATATATTATAAATCATATAAATAGAAATAGGTTTAACCTAGCGCATAAATAATACTATTAGAGAGGTGGCGCGGTATCGATGATGATTATTTTAAAAGCTGAAAATGAAAAAGATAAGATTATTTTGACTTTACAACCACGTATTCCAGTTCCAAATCTTGCTTTCCCCGAGTTACCTGCTGGTATGTTGGATGGTTCTGGTCATTTTGCTGGAACTGCTGCTAAAGAGATTGAAGAAGAAACAGGTTTAACTGTCAAAGAAGATGAGTTGATTGATATGACTGATTTAGCTTACGGAGATAAATGGAAAGGAGTTTATACATCACCAGGCGGATCAGGTAATAATTATTTTTTATTTTTTTTTTAAGCCATGCTTAATATACATCATATCATGTGGAGGATATTTATTAAAAGCCGCTTAATTGTATATATATATATATAAATATATATACATCTACACACACATATATAAGATGAGTTTATCAGATTATTTGTTTGCGTAAAGCACATGGATAAAGAGTCTATAAAACAACTAGAAGGAAAATTAACAGGTCTTAGGAGTCAGGGTGAAAGTATCACATTGAAGTTGGTTAACCTTGAAGACGCATGGTCTTTATCACCCGACGTCAAATTGTTATCGAGTTTGGCTCTTTACCAAGCATTGAAATCAAAATTCGAAAAAGGAAATTAAAACAGTAAAAATTCCTTTTTTGGGAATAGCGATTGTTTAGCTTTTCCTTTATTTAGGGGGGGCTAATGTTTGTTTTGTTTTTTTTATATAATTATGAAATAGCCATATATAAAAAGGGCTTATATAATAAATGAAGAATCTTCCTATACCATTTATATATTCTCTCCCTTTTTTTTTTAATTTTATTTTATTTAATTTTATTTTTTAATTTTAATATTCGAGATGGATAATAATAACAGTCAAAGAAATATATTAACTGAAAACAGTCCTTCAACTAAAATATCTCGATATCCAGTAAAGCCACTTGAACGTATGGATATTATATATGATGAAAAGACAATTATTTGTCAAATACAGGATATGTTATCTATCAATGATAATGAAATCTTTGATGAAAACGATAATAGTGACTATGAAGATCAACAAGAAGATTTTACCTCTTTGCCTCAACCTTCTAATCAACTGAATAGAAACAACTCGATATCTTCAGAATTTAGTCATGTCGATTATATTAATTCAATTCGCAAATCAAGACCTCTTCCTAAAATCCCTGATCGTGTCTCCTCCATGAATATGCCTCAAAACATGACTGTCCTACTGAATGAAAGTTTCAGGGACCAAAATCGATTATCAGTTCAGCAATTATTTCATTTACTCAACAAGCAAAAATTATCCACGGAGGATGAAGAAGAAGAAGATGATGATGCTGTTGAAGAAAAAGAAGAATATGGTGGTGTCTTTGCTTTAAAAACCGAAATACCTTCACCTCTTTTAGCCAATAAAGAATCCTTTGGAAAATATTATCAAGACATGAACAAAGATAACAAATTAATGATGACTCCTGTACCAGAAGTAGATGAAGAAGAGCAACTCGTTGATAAAGATGAGCAACAAGAAACTGACGTTTTAGCAGTAGTAGAAGTAGAAGAAGAAGAAGAAGAAAACGACGAAAATAAAACACCTAGTTATGTATTATTGCCTACACCAGAAAACAAGTTATGTTCGCTTTCTGAGGCATCCTTATCTGCACCTAGTTTAACTAGTGGTAGAACTTCGCCCTCCTCATCATCATCGCATCATTCTTTTTCACATGACGAGGAACTCTATTATGATCAGCAAGAAGACAAATATGATACTATTAACAACATTAGTTCTTTTTACCTTGCTGATACTACACCATTACCCACGCAAACAAAGGAGGAGGAGAAGGAGAAGGAAAAAGAGAAAGAAGAAGAAGACGTGGATGAAACAGATCAAAGATATGATGTACAACAGTCTAGCGAAATAAATCGAAATTCCTTAATATCTGATGTTCAAAAATTATCGGAATTAAACAAAGCCCTGATGACACCACAGGTCCCTCATCCTCATCTACCAACCATAATACAACAGCAGCAGCAGCAGCAGCAATATCTAACACCCATAACATCCTATCAACCTTCTATCACATCCTATCAAATGAATGAATATGCAAATGTCAACCGAAGTTCATTTGAATCCATTACTTCATTTAGTTTAACAAATAATAAAGATTCAATCAAGACCTATCGTCGAATGGCAAGCAAGACAATGGATTACAATGTACAATATTCATATGCCAAATATCTTATGAGACTTGTTTCGTTCTATGCTTCTAATTCAAATAATGTAGCTACGATTGAGACTCGTATCCGTTTACAAGAAGAAGCAGAGTACTGGATCGAAAGATTAGCAAAGATGAACTATGCACCCGCCCTTTATACGAAGGGACAATGGCATCGCCACTGTTGTAGCTCCAAGACGGCTGCTGTCTTTGTTGGCTCCCAATACAAAAAGGTGAGTCATACCAAGGCCTTCAAATGTTTTCAACAGGCTGCAAAGTATGGCTCTATCGAAGCTCATTATGAATTAGCTGAATATTACATGGTTCGAAAAGATTATAAGAAATCAATTACATGTTATCAATATGCAGCATCCAAGAATCATATCTTATCTCTTTATAAATTAGCTAATATTTCAATGCGTGGTTTACTTGATCAACCAAAGAATATAAAACAAGGTTTAATATATCTTCGACACGCTGCAGATGCTAATCAACCTGAATGCGCACGATCAGCATATGACTATGCCTGTATCCTTTTATCTGATTTAGAAAGCATTGGCTTAGATAGGTAAGCCCTTCTCCTCTTTCCTCCGACTCTTTTTTTTTTTTTTTTTTTTTTTTTTGTTATATTTATAATTATTTTATATTTGCCTTTTTTTTTTTCCATAGAGATCCATCCGTTTTTTCCATTTATATCACTCCAGACTCTGTTGCAGCTATATATTATCTTAAGAAAGCAGATAAATTTGGATTATCAAATGCCACCTATCGATTAGGATGCATGAGTCTAGCTGAACAGAGTATACATAGCAAATGGGAAGCATTCAAGTATTTTTCTAGAGCAGCTGAGCAAAAACATGATGGTGCCATGATTGAACTATCAAAACTCTATAAGGAAGGTATATCAGGCTATTTAAATCCTCATCCTATGTTAGCATATGAATGGTGTCTTCGAGTAGCAGAAAAAGGAAATGAAATGGCGGAATATATGATAGGGTATAAGAACAAATAAACAGAAAAAAAAAACAATATATATACAAACATACACATATAGATGTATACATGAAAGACTTATATTAATATATAAATACATATGCATCTGCATATACATTTATTTATCTATTTATCTATTTATTTTATATATATATATATATATAGAATGTATTATGATAAAGGTATAGGTATTTATCCGGATCATCAAAAGGCACGCGAATGGTATAGCAAGTCGGCAGCAAAAGGCTATAGACCAGCAGAAGAAATTTTGGGTATTCAGTCCTCTTCCTCTAATAATAAATCAACGAAAAACCAAAGACATTATTACGAAGAAAGTATTCGACTTGAAGAGAATTCAAGACAAGTGACATTTGCAGAACAAAATTGTCAAATTATGTAAAACCTATTATTTCTATTTATTATCTTTATTTATACTTTGTTAATATTTATTATTTTATATATTTATATACATGCATATTTTATTAATCAATCTTGTACACAATATACATACAATATACAAATATACATATACATATACATATTTATATACATGTCTGTATTATATAAACGGATTACATAATATACAAGCCACCCCCAGTTTAAATAGTCAAGGGTGTCTTTACATCTCTGTTTTATTTTATTGTGTTTTATTTTATTTTATTTTTTTACACATATTAATTATGTTGACTCGACGATTATTTTCTACATCTACTGCAGTAGCAGCTGATTACTATAAAGTTACATTAAAACGATCTACCATTGGCCTTCCAAAAGATATTCGAACCACCACAAAATCACTTGGGTTATTTCGTTTACATCAAACAACTTATAAGCCAGTGAACGCTAGTAATGCAGGTCTGATTCTTAAATTGAAAGAACTAGTAGAAGTTAAGCTTGTTGATCATATTCCAACAAAAGAAGAATTAAAAGCATTTAAACCACCAAGAGGATATACAGTAGTTGGTAGCAAACTATAAAAGAAAAAAAAAAAAAAAGAGGAAGCGACATAGAGGAGAATGGAAGAGTAGAGAGATTAAAGCATCATATGATAAACACGAATATATATAAAAAAATGCACATATGTGACACACCCATATACAAATTGTTAATAGTAGTTGCTTTATTAATAAATTGATATTGTTGAAAAAGATATACATGTATACATGTATATATGCATATTTGAGCTACTGCTACACATGCAAAGAAAAAAAAATAACATCATAACAATAAATCTCAATATTATACATCTTTATTTTGCCTATACCATGCACTACCTACAAGCGTTAACATGATACCAAATGAGTTTATAAATTGTAATGAATAGCAACTGTCAAAGCTTGGTTTACATTTCCTGGCACTATCACTGCTAAGACATTTGTCTTTTCTTTTTTTTTTTGCAGCATATAAAAGTGGATATCTTTGACTTCATCTGTCAAATAAGCATAACGAATACATCGGATAAAAGCTAGAGGGAAACATACGAAAGAGTAAATCAAGAGGATTCAGTTTAAAATAACTTGCTTGAATTCGATCCATGACGATTAATTTTAATAGGAGTCAGGATAGCATCAAAGACATATAATAATAATTGTTACATAGCTGAACGTGTATTCATCTCGTATTACAAATTCTCTACCTATTACGCAAGATTTGTTAACAGTGTTATTATAAAAAGGATGATCTTCTGTTTATGGTATCAATGATTCATAGATTTCTTGAAAAAGAGAAAGAGAAAGAGAAAGAGAGAGAGAGAAGGAGGGGATAGTTACTGACACAGATATGAGTGCTCGATAATAAAAAGTATATCAATACTACTGAAATAAAATAGCCTATAGACTTCACATAGAGTATACATGACTGTCAATGAAGAAAAAGAAGGATAAAGCAAGAGACAAGTTAAGGACAAAATAGAGTCCTAACTAAAATATAGCTGCCAGAATAATATTTTGCTATAAGATGGAATCATTTCTATTTATTATGTAATCGTCCCCATTGACTTTATTTGGGTTTTTATACCAAAATTTTTTTGCTGATGTAATATAGATTTTTCTTGTATATTATCAAATATGTCATTGGATCGTGATGACGCTTATTATTTCATATTATTATGCAAAAAAAAAAAAAAAAAAAAAAAAAAAAAAAAAAAATTAGTATTTTTTTTTTTTAATTGACAACTATTATAATGAAAAGAGCAGCAACACATGCAGGTTCTTGGTATACTGCAAATAGTAAGAACATTAATTTATATTATTCAAAAAGGAAAAGAAAGAAAGAAAGGGATTCTCTCATCAATAACATTTATAACACATATTTTAGAAACACAATTAACCAATGAACTCCATTCATATTTCAATAAAGCAGAGAAGGAATTTACTTTTCAAAAGCATCAGAGTTTCCCAATTAAAGGAGTTAGAGCTATTATCGGACCGTAAGTTTGCGTCATGCTCATACAGAAAAATGATTAATATATACTGGAGGTTTTTATAACAGTAAAATATTCTTTCGAATAGACATGCTGGATTTAGATATAGTGGTCCAACTGCTGCATTTGCCTATAAAGCCGTTGACACTACAAATATGTAATGATAGTCGTATAGATATAGTAATACAGAATACTCATATCTTCCTCACTTACGTTTTTTTTTTTTTTTTTTTTTTTTTTTTTTTTTTTTTTTTTGGAACAATTCATGTGGATATTTAGAAAACGTGTCTTTTTATTAGGACCTTCTCATCATGCTTATATTGATGGATGTTGTTTATCAAAATGTGATGTATATGAAACGCCTTTAGGAGATATACAGTTAGATAAAGAAGGTATACACATAGATCTAAAAAAAAAAGGGATAGGGAAGGCTAATCAATAAAGCAGTATTGAATGAACTATATAACACTAAAAAATTTTATTGGATGAGACAAAATGTTGATGAAGAAGAGCATAGCATTGAAATGCATTTACCTTTTATATACGAAATATTTAAAAAGTAAGCAAATTCGCAATAAAAAAGGGGAAAAAAAAAGTTAACAAATAGGGATATTAGCAAAATCGATGATATCAAGCTCGTTCCTATTCTCGTAGGTTCTACTACTGAAGTAAAAGAAAGAATGTATGGTGGCTTATTAGCAAAGTATTTGGAGGATCCAGAAAATTTGTTTATTATTTCTTCTGATTTCTGTCATTGGTAAAAGTATCATGTGGTATATACAGAGTAAAATGGATATAATTTATTTATTTTTTTTTTAAATAGGGGAACACGTTTTAGATATACTTACTATACTCCTTCTGATGATGAACCAGCTATTGATCTTCGTGTACAAAAAGATAAAATAACTCGACCTATCTTTGAGTCCATTCAATCTCTCGATTTTCGTGGTATTCATGTCTTGGAGGAGTTGAGCTTTACCAAGTTTCAATCTTACTTGGCTGAGACAGAAAATACAATATGTGGAAGACATCCTATTTCTGTTTTGATGGCTGCACTTGAAAAGCTCAGTGAAAAAAGAGAATTCTCAAATCAAAGCTTGAAGTGTATCAAGTATGATCAAAGTAGTCAATGTAAAAGATATCATGATAGTAGTGTGAGCTATGCAAGTATTTACATTAAAATAGAATAATAAAATACATTGTGTTCCTTTTTTTTTTTTTTTCTGTGAAAACCATAAAAAGTGACTGTATTTTGAATATATAACAATTATTACACTTAGTTATTCCTTTTTTTTTTATTTCTTTTTCTACTATTTATTTGAATAATGTCGGACGAACAACATAAGGAAGAAGAAGAACAACAGCAACAGCAACAATACTTTAATCAAATACCACAGTATCAGCAATCTTTTCAAAACGAAAACCATTCCGTCATTCTGGTTACGGCTGGTTACGATAATACCGTTCGTTTTTGGGAAGCCCTTAGTGGTATATGTTCAAAGACAATTAAGCATCCTGATTCTGTATGTATACGTCTTTTCTTTTTTTTTTTTTCCTCTATGTATTAATAAATTTATTTAGCAAGTAAATAGACTTTGTATTTCACCTGATAAAACTATTTTAGCTGCTGCAGGTATAAATGTGTATATAAATATTTATATGCATGTATAAAAAAAAAAAAAAAGAGGGTCTATTAAAAATCCATACTGTAACTTGCTAACAGCTTATCAAAAGGAAATCATTCGGTTCGTTTATATGATATTGCAAGCAACAATGATAATCCTGTAAATACAAAGCATACATATATAAAATAATAATAATAAACTCACTTTATAGTAGTTTATAGTATTTGGGGAACATACAGGTAACATTATTGCAACTGGCTTTCATGGAGAAGGACGTTGGATGTTTACAGCAAGTGAAGATGGTCATTTAAAAATTTGGGACACTCGGTCAGGACGTAACCCCGTATTGACACGTAATTTTGATAATGGGGCACCTATCAATGATGCTGTCATGCATGCTAATCAAGGAGAATTAATTACATGTGATCAGAATGGAGCCGTTAAAATATGGGATTTAACTGCACATGCTTGTACACACGAACTGGTAACTATAAAAGTTTGAATTAAATCAAAGTAATAGTTATTCATAATTTCTTTAGGTTCCCGAAGAGGGTGTTCCAATGCGTTCTGTGACTGTAGCATCTGATGGATCTTTACTAATTGCTGTTAATAACAAGGTAAAATAGATAGAATAGTTAAAGGCCAAAATAATAATAATAGTAAGGATTCAATTTTATTATAAATTAGGGAAATTGTTATGTATGGAAATTGCCGACTGGAACTGATTCTAATGAAGTAGAGCCAATTCATCAATTCCAAGCGCATAATAACTACATCTTGAGAGTCGTTTTAAGTCCTGATACAAAGTATGATGGGAAATTTTTGTTTGTTTTTATTTATATTCATGGATTTTTATTAGACTTTTAGCTACTTGTTCGGCTGACAATACAGCCAAGGTTTGGAATGTTGAAAAGAATTTTGAACTGTTTTTAACGTTACAGGGACATCAACGATGGGTATGGGATTGTGCATTTTCCGCTGATTCTGCGTATTTAGTTACAGCTTCATCAGATCATGTAGCAAGATTATGGGAGCTTCAGAATGGAGAGACGATTAGACAATATAATGGACATCATAAAGCTGCTGTTTGTGTTGCATTAAATGATTTGTCAGTTGGGCATTCATAAATGAATTATTTTTTTTTTATACCATAATATATACATCATTTTTTCTTTTCTTTTTTTTTTTAAAAAAAAAAGAGAGAGAGAAAGGAAAGGAAAGGGATGGCGTGTTTATGAAGATATAATTTATTTTGAGTATCATTATTGTTGTTTGTTGTTAAGAGAATAGGATAGTACGAACTCCTTGATATACGTGAATTAAGACTGGGTCTAAACGAGGTAATAAATTCTTACAGAATTCCATGTTACCGTTATTCTTTATCTCCTTTCTTTCTTTCTTTCTTTCTTACCTCAAATACGACAATCATTTTATTTTCACCCTTTACTAATATTGCCATATAAGATTTAATTTGCCAGAAACTGATGCCTTCATTGATGATGACATCTTCCACTTTTTGACGATTGATAAATCTTGAAACAGATGATCCACCCCAATAGGTCGTTTTTACTTGTATTCCAACATCACGGATGGCCAAAATACTTTCTATGAAGTGATGAGTTATGAGCAAGAGAAGATAAAGGAAAGGAGGCAACAAATAGAATTAGATATTCACCTTTTCTAACTGTCTTTTTCTTTAAGAAGAGCCAAATTAAAAATACCATAACAGCATGTTTATACAAGAAAGACTAGATGGATAGATGAATACATTAATCATGTGGATAGAAAATAATGAATTTACATTGATTAAAAATGAAATTATAATCCAAGTCAACAGATCAAATGCATTAAAAAGCTTTGATGGTGTTTTAATAACGTATTCTCGTGCTCCAGGTGATATATAACAAGTTAATAATCCTATTGTATAAGTCTGATTCTTGTCATTTAATCTTTTGTTTGACATTTCTGAGGAAAAAAAAATATATAAATGTAAAAAAAATAAAAAAAAGGCATAATTTTGTATGATTGCCTTTTTTGATCAACGACTTGAGGGAGAGTTTCAAAAAAAAAAAAAAAAAAAAAAAAAGTCCTATCATAGAATTAATTATACTTGTGTTAAAAAGAAATATGTATATAATAATAAGCTCTTTTTGCACACATCCTCTTTACAGATGTAAAATGAAAATCAATATGACTCTATTACACATACATACATATATATGTGCGTGTGTGCGTGTGTGTGTGTATATATGTTTTATTACTTATAGTCAACGAAAGAGGATGACTGATACGAGCAGAAGGTAAGAATACTTGATAAAGAAATTCGTTACTCTCTCTCTCTCTCCAAAGGAAGAGGGATTTACTCATAGGGCTAAAAAATAAAAAAAAAAAATAAAAAAAAAAAACTTGTGATAGTAGTGTATTATTATTCACCTTTATTATTACAATAAAGAATGTCATCGTCTTTTATTATCAGTGAAACAATATTGTGTAAGTCTCACTTTTCCACTTTCTCCGTATTATTTTTTCGTTGTCATTTGATCTAGTATTATTAAACTTTATTATTAGACGAGAGAGTAGACCTCTCTGTTTTAATATAACTGAAAAGATAATCATTGTATCTGCTGCCATCCATGTCCAGAAATCTCTCGAACCCAAAATTATATTACGTTGAATAAAAAAAAAAATGGCATACTATTTTATTTATTTGATAACAGAGAGAAATAAATAAATATAGATAAAATACATATATATGTTATGTGTCTCTCTATTTTATTTTAATATGTACAATAATAATAATAATAATAAAAAAAACCTCCTCCCCGAGTAATTTTTTTTTTAAATAGTATGTTCATATATAATATACATAGCTTATTGTATTGTCTAATTGCTATTGTTTAAAGGTGATGAAGGCGTTATTGTTTTGTTATCATTGACTAAAGAGGGCTCAGTCGATGGCGAAGTATTAATTATATCAGTATAAGGATATTGTACGCGAGGAGGTGAAGAAGTAGGGTCATTATTATTAGTTGAGTTTTGTTCATTATTAGGAATTTGGTGTTGTTGATAAGGGGATGCTGTTGATGATGATGATGATGCAAATGCAGGAATAGTTTGATTATAAATTGGAGTTGTTGTTGTTGTTGTTGTTGCTGCTGCTGCTGCTGCTGTAGTAGGTTCAGACGTTTGTGGATAAGAATTAAATGAGTCTTGTGATTGATAAAGATGATTACTAGTATTAGTGTTGTTGTTAGTATTAGTATTAGTAGTATTCGTGTTCGTGTTCGTGTTCGTGTTATGATTGCTGTTTTGATAGAAATGATTGATATGATTGTTCTCTTGTTGTTGACTGATGATACTTTGTGGACTCATATAAGCATTAGTAGAGGGAGTAGTTGAGGTAGTGCTTACGGGAGTAGCAATTGAACTACTAGTAGCAGTTGTTGTAGTAGAGGAAGAACTCTTGAGTTGAGGACGATGTTTAGATGTATTACCATAAGAGGAAGCTGTATACTTTGTGATAATTTTCTTAAGAGCATAAGGTAAAGTCTTCCAAGGGAATACTTTTACATCCTTTTCGATGTTACGGGGTTTAGGATTTGGGAAACTCATGATTAATTTGAAAAAGTCAGCACTTTCAGGTTTACATTTACTAACTGTCAAGGGACGGAATCCTTCAAGGTTACGACGTACACGATTCTTTTCTTCAACACTGAAACGAATATCCATTAGGCTCTCCAAGAGATGAATACAGTCAACAGAGGTGATGAAGCAATCATTGCGTTCAGCCCAGTAAATACAGGAGACTACAATTTGACCACTATTCGATGAGATACGTTCACCTTGAGCGATGGGATCAAAGGTACAACGAATTTCGTTGCCCGTTTGCTCCCGCCAGAATTGGACTAAACGACGACGATGCTCCCATTCCTCAGCTGTCCAATTCTTAGCCATGGAGTCCAAATCTCCCATAATCTTGAGGTTAGCACGACTTACGAGACCAGGATAAGGTTGATAATTTGCAACAGAGGTAGAAGGAATATGAACAGATGATTTACTATAGCCATAAGCACTATTAGTCGTATTTGAGCGTTGTTGCTGTGGTTGTGGTTGTTGAGGTTGTTGAGGTTGTTGTGGCTGTGGCTGTGGCTGTGGTGGTGGTGGTAATGGTTGTTGTTGCTGAGGGAGTTGAGAAGGAGGGGGGAGAGGAGTTGGGTAGGTGAGAGTAGCAGGCAGTACTTGTGACTCGTTTTGATCAAAACCAGCAGCTAACATACCAGTAAATCCTGCGTTAGTAGCAGGATTGAATATATTTAAGGCATTTGTATTATAGCCCAAAGGACTCATAGTATTTACACGAGTTTGTTGAGGATTAGTAGGACGATAAGTATTATATTCTTTTTTTTAAAAAAAAATTAGTTTTAAATATATTTATATATAAACTTGTAATATACATACTAGTATTATTATAAACATCTCTATGGTAAGGATAATTATAAGAAGGTAATTGTTGATTATTTAAATTGTTGTAAGAAGATTGATAAAAATTGTCATAAGGTGCAGGAGTCGCAGTAGTGTTTCCACCAAGGAAATTTTCTTCTAGAAAAAGAAAAAAAAATACATCCACATGTAAATAATTTATATATGTATATAGATGTATAATCAGAGATTTTACCTCCTCTTGGTTGGAATGTTTGATTTTGAATTTCATTTAATTTTTCATTAGAAGAAAAGTCAATTGCAGTTGAGTTAGTATTGGCAGTAGACGCGTTAGATGTAGCTGATGTATTTTTCGTATCATTTGTATCAAATTCATAGATAAATTCACTGACAGGCCATGTTTCAGTAACAGTATCTTTATCGAGTATACAGATAGAAATAGGAACATTAGGAGTTGTAGAATGAGTATGTTGAAAGGGAGGTGCTGCAGCAACAAGAGAAGTGATTCCTTGAGCATGCATTTGCTTTGTATCGACAACTAAACTATTGAATGCCAACTTAACTGGAACAAGTTGATGAGGTAATGATTGTACAACTACAGTAACTACAGTTCCCTGACATCCTCTTGTCGGGGCAATTTCAATAAGACGAGGTGCTTCACCTTTTGTTGGTTGTTGCTGTTGCTGTTGCTGTTGTTGCTGTTGTTCAGCATGTAGAGATGCGGGCCATCTCTGTTGCATTTCAACACCAGAAGCAAGACGAACAGATGGCACTTTACACTTAAATTAATATATAAAAACACAAGTAGGAATAATAATAAACTTACTGTCAGAAAGATTTGATGTATCCATTATATTGACGGATCAAAAAAAAAACAAAATATTAAAATAAATAAACAGAAACCTGAAATAAAACAAATTGTCTAAAAATGAATAATAAAATAAAGTATAAAAAATTTTTTGAAACGAAAAAGAAAAAGAGAAAAAAAAAATAAAGACAAGTATATATATTTATATATTGGTTAAAAAAAAAGTATTATTAGTCGTCTACTATCGGATTTTTGATTTAATTTTTTTTAAGAAAAAAAAAAAAAGTTCATGCCGCTTTAAGGCATTTTATTGTTCATGTTTCATAAAAGTTGCCACCACATGAATTCTGTACTTTAAAATAATTGATATCGTTGGTTAAATATGGAAAATGCACGGTTGTATCACAATTGGTAAAAAGGTAATTAAATTTCAGTCAAACATGCGCTAATTTTATTAAGGCAGTATCTGGGGAGTTGGCAAAAAAGAGAATGAAACTAATCAAGAATAAACGGATGTATTTAAACTTGATTCGATATATAACGTAAGCATAGAAATAAAAGATTGCCCTTTAATATCATACAAGTAATTTAGAAAAAATAAATAGATTACTAGTCAAATAATTAAACAAAAAAAAACTACAATCAATCAAGAAGGAAGAAGAAAAAAAAAAGTAAAAAAAAAAGGAAACTATTATCCCGAAAATCTCCCTCTTATTTTGTATATACTTCCATAGATTTATATACTATAAACCGAGAAAAAAGGAGACTAATATGATGTACTTTTTCATTGAAACATTGTCCCTTAAAATCAAAAAAATAAAATAAAATAAACAAACAAATAAACAAACAAATAAGCTATAATCGTCGTTGTTCCACTTTCTTTTGACACACGTTTAAATATCTTGGTAGTAATAAAATTACACCTATTTTTAATATTGACCCTTTTTTTTTTACAATTTGCTTATCGTATACATACTTGTTCATTTTTTATTTTTATTTTTATTTTTTTTTTACTAAATTCCAATTTTACAAAATCGGATGTAAGCTCCGTTAAATGGTTCATCAAAGCATTGATCAAATATGGCCTTATACTATTTATTTACTAATAAATTCAAATACCGTTAATACTAGATTAAGTTAGAATTGACATATAATTTTGACATCACCTTATAATCTTTAACTTATCATAAATCGTTCATTTCAAATCACACTGTTTATCTACTATCTTTCATTCACTTTTATTATTAATAATAACTCATTAAATATTCTTTCCTTCTTTTTTTTTTAATTGTTTTGACAGATTTATATAATATTAAAAAAAAAATTGTATTTACATATTATATTTGAAACAAAAAAAAAGGCCGAATAAAACCATTATTTATTTGACAATGTAAATGAAAAAAAAAGTCCGATTAAAACATACTAATAGATAGAGAAGTATGATGAGTTGACAAAAATAGCTAGAAAAATGAAAAAAAAAGAAAAAAAAAAAACTCCACTATAAACCTTCTCCTTTTTACTCAAACAAAAACTGTAGCTGATCAGTCAGTTTCTGTTTACTCTTAAACTAATGATAATGAAACTGTTTCCCCTCCCCCTTAAAGTTTTAAAATAAAAAAAAGTATAAATATAACATCTGAAAAGGTGGGGATAAAAAAAATACTATCATTACAAAAAAAAAAATATATATATATATGTGTGTATAAATATATAGCTTATTCATGTTATCAAAAGAAATAATTTAGTACATTAATTTTTTCTTTTTGGAATTTACTTTCCCCTTTTCCCTCCCGCTTTCAATTTTTTTTTTCTCAAAAAAAAAAAAAAAAAAGGACAACCTATCATTATCTTTCTCATTTAATATATACATGTATATTTTAAATTGTATAATAATAGTAGTGATACGCATTCATGCATAATATATATTATAGTTGCATGTAGTAAAAACACATAAAAAATACAGTTTAGACTAGACTGGTAGACGTTATTATATAAATATATATATAATGAATGGGGGGGTCAGGGTTTAGGGTAGGGTATATAAGCATGTTAAATAATAGTAGTAATCATATGCTAACTATAATTAATTAATAAAGTTATTCATACATACAAGTATTATTATATACGGGCGCGTTTATTTATTATCTTTCTTTAAAAATAGAATTTCGAAATCATCGTATCTAAATTACTTCACAAGAAAAAAAAAAATTTTTTTTATTTTATTTTACTTTCTGAAACATATGGAAAGAAAAAGAAAAGTATTCAATTCTCTAACAGCTTTTATTAGATTATTGTATATTTTGAATCGAAGTTACTAATACAATTATCCTATTTTTCTATTGGAGACAATCTATATAATGTGTGTATGTATATGTATTTATATATGAAATTGTCATAAAATACTGTATTATAAATTTGTGGGATGATTCTTAAGATAAAAATCGGGTAATTTACATAATACATAACCTTGGCATATTTAAGTTAAATAATAGAAAAAAAGTATATGCAACAGATTTATAGCATAATAATAATAATAAAAACTATTTGTTACTATAGTAGAATAACGTTGACAATAAACTACTTGGGAGGAGAATGACGGAGAAAAGAATTTAAAATGTCATGTATATTATTAATTGTAGACTATGATCATCACTATACTCACTCTGTCTATTACTATATACAGTATATATTCATATCTATATCTATATCTATATCTATTTTTTCTTTCTTTTTTCCTTGATAAGGGCTCATATAATTGTAAATAGATTAAAAAGAAAAAAAAAAGAAGTGCTCATTTTCTGTTATGGTTTGATTCAATAATAAACCTGTTGCCTGAATATACCAGGTACATGACACATATCCACACACACACACACACACATATAAAAATATACATATTTATATATATAACACGAAGAATGAAACATTGTTTTACTTGTTATAATAAATAAGAAGGAATATCATTTTTATATTCATATATGTTTGTTTTTTCTCTCTTTTCTTTTAAAATATTTTTCTTATTATTAGTAATTATTGATATTTATTAAGGAAGATGATAAAGTTAGGGTTAAATAAAGGATGATCCATTACTACTATGATTGCACAACCAGTCTGAAGCCCCTTGTACTACAACACAATAAGTTTTTTTTTTTTTATGCGACTCTTTATTAGACTTATTATTAATTTGAAGGACAAGTTAATAAGTTACCTGTTATCATTATATGCATCCTTTTTACAAAATCAGGGGATACTAAAATCAAAACGTGATATATTCGAGTGGTTGTGGAAAGTAAGGAAGAAAAAAAAAGTTTAATTCTTCAAGTATATGTATACAGTTTATTATTATAATTTAGAGATAATATTAAAATTTATGGAAAAATGTTATGCTAAAAAAAAGGTATTATTATCAAATACCTTATTTAAGTAATAATAATAAATCCAAATAGAACAAATCCATGTTAGAAAAATCGAATGAGAACTAAAGAAAAAAAAAAAAAAAGACCAATATAACTGTAAATGTATATCTTTCTTCAATGTTATAAATTATTCTAGAATAAGAATTTTTAAGCATCAGTGCTCAATTTGCAATTTAAATATAACTTTTTTCAAGATGATGTGAATTAAATAGATCAAAAGTATCACAGAATCATGTAGTTGATACGTACATGAAAAAAAAAAAAAAAAAAAAAGTTATAACTTAAATTCGTATTTGGTGGGAACGGAAAAAAGTGAAATTTAGTTGCTGCCAAAGTTGAAATAATTCGTAAAGATAAAGAGTCAATCAAGGTCATTTAAGTAAATGTCATTAAGATCTTGACTATAAATATTCAAAGCTACGAGAAAAGGCTGCATTAAGCTTTAAAGTGGAGAAGAAAGAAGGGTACATAAGATATGAAATATGTATGTTTTTTTTATCTGCCTTTCATTGCTCTACGAATAGAATTTAAAAGTAAAATTATATTCAAGATCAAACAAATACTGCTTGGAGAGCTAAATTGTATCAAGCAATATCTTTAATAATAGCTATCATAGATAATATAAAATACTAAATTTAAATTATTTATATAGAGTGTACATACTTGAGCTTTTTTTTTTTCCTTTTTTCTTTTTTTCTTTTTAACAAAAATGGCTCCTCTAATTTCAGTCATATTACTTGTTATCTCTAGCAAATTTATTCTGTAGTGACATTCCTGGTAACATGAACTTATTCATACTATTTGCTTAAACTATCCTTTACTATTTATCGATTCTTACGGGTTTTAATATTAAAACTAGAAACGAATTTAATTTAAAGCTTCTTATTACATTCTTTCATTTTTCTATGTATTTTAACGACACATCTTCTTCTCTCCTCCTCCACTCTTTCACTAAATATTTGTCATAGATACGTAATAGAGTTGACATGAAAATACTACTTGATTCTTTATAGCGATCAAAAAAAAAAAAAAAAAAAAAAAAAAAAAAAAAAAACTTGGCTATTATAATACTGTTATTATACAGCAAATATCACAAATTCTACTACAAGAATATAAAATAATAAAGAATCGGAGTAAAAAAGGATTGAAAAATAATAATAATAATAATGATGGGTCCGTTCCTTTTAAATTAAATTATTGCTTCTTTTATTCATTTGATGTCAAACACAAATAAATACTCGCCTAAAAGTATATTAAAGAAAGGAGCTAGTAGCCACAATCATAATACATCAAATTCATGGTTCTCCAAGTTTAATAATGCTTCAAATGATAGTTCTCGTATAAATAGTTTATTCAGTGGGTTTCGTAGTAGTACGAGTCGACTGAATGGGGAGGATGACAATTTATCTTCTGAATTAATGCCGAGAGAAATTCGACGAGTACGTTTCCCCATACATGACATGACAACTGAATACAAGTTTAATCAAGATGAGACAATTGATCTGAATAAATCAACATTACAACAACCCACTAAGCCTATTAGTATAAAAACATCAAGTCAATTGCTTTCTTTATATGAAACGATTTGTAGAAATAAGCAGGAGCCTACAATCGATTCTTTTGTTACAACTTTAATTGTAATATATAAATCAAAGTTTTGTTTAATATGTGTAATAATGCCTACATATAAATATATATGAATATATAGACACATTCTCAAGCTACGTTTTTAAATCGTTTAGATTTAACTAATCAACCTATAGATCGTCATACTATATCTCCTCTTGCAGATGTCTTGTGTATCGATTTTGGAATTAAGGAACTCATTCTTAATAATTGTCGATTAGAAGATGATGTAAGCATGTGTCTATGCAAATAATTATTCATGTATTTAAATAGTACATTCTATCTTTATTATATATATATAGGCTATCAAAATTCTTATGCATAGTTTATTACAAAATGATAGAATTAACCAACTTGAATTAGCAAATAACTCTAAACTTACAACTATTGCTTTTAAATATATTGCAGTTTATATTAAAGGGGTAAGGAGAGAGTATGTCAAAAAAAATAAATAAATAAAATCGAATTTAATTTATTTTTATCCATTGTAGTCCTGTCAGTTGACAACTTTAAATCTTTCTTATACACAACCTGATAAAAGGAGTATTCAATATATTACAACTGCAACCTTAAAAGATGAGAATTCATCTCCTTCCTTATTTAATTTAATTTTGGATGGCTGTAATCTACGTACATCACAATTAGAAGTGCTTGCAGCCAATGTGAAAAAACCAGAATCTTCATTAAAGCAACTATCCATATGTAATAATAACAAAGGTTCATTTAGTCAGAATGGAGTCATATTAACCATCGGTGTTATGTTACGAGATTATGACAACACGGGTGGTGGGTTAGAACAGTTATATTTAGACGGTAATGACTTGAGTCAGAGTGATAGTATTCAATATATTGCTCAAGCATTACGACGAAACCAACGTCTTTCTGTTCTATCGATGCGAAATTGTCGAATGGATGCAAAAGGATGTACAATGATAGGTGAAGCATTAAAGTATAATCAACATTTAATCAAACTTGATATAAGTTGTAATCCCATTTGCAATAACTTGGATGGTGTAAGTTTAAACAATCTATATAAATACATATAATGATGATAAATGTATTATTAGATTATCTGTATTAAACAAGCATTAAATGTGAATCACTGTTTACAAGATCTTTGTTTAGCAGATACAGGCTTAGACACTGAAGGTAAAAAAAAAAAGGAATTTAAAAACCACAAATGCTTTATGTTAATTAATTCATTGTATCTTGCTATAGGCACCATTGCTTTGGCAGAATCATTTTCAGAAAATAATTCATTAGTTCGACTTGATTTAACAAAGAATCCTCGAATTGGAATTGCAGGTGTAATGGCATTGTCTGCCTCTATCAAGATGAACCAGATGATTACTTGTATAGATATTAATATTGCTGTAAAGATCCTCTCTCTTTCTCTCTCTCTCTCTCTCCTTTTAAAAAGATGTTTTCTAATTTATCAATTTTTATAGGCAAATGATGAGGAAATGGTTGAAATTCATAATGGATTATTGGTTACTTGCACAAGAAATGCTCAAATGAAAAAGAATCGTAATAACAGTATTGAAATACAACCATCAGAATCGCTAGACAATAATAATAATTTAGCTCGATTAACATTAGAAGAACGTTTAGCAGCAGCTGTTACAAAGAATACCACCAACAAAGAAGACGTCAGGATGAGTCAATTAGTAGTAAAAGAGAATACGGACGACACTTTATTAATTCAACAAGCTCTTGACGATGTTGGGCTATTAGAAGATATTGAAGAACAAAAAGATAAAACGACATTCAATAACATTTATAATAAATGTAAAAAAACTCATTCCAGCATTCTCCAGAGGATACCCGAAGTAACTAATCCTTCTCATTTAGGTATGCTTGTATAAGACTATTAATTGTGTACTGACTTTATTGTGTAGAATTATTTTTGACAATTAACGATAGACTCATGTCAGCCTTTCAAGCATTTGAAGCAGAACAACAACAACATATAATAGAGTCAGTTAGTATAATTGATGAACAGCAAAAAACTGTCCGTGATGAGCCATTTCCATCTTCCTTTGAAATAGGCGATGATGATGATTTTGATGATGATAAAAAAGAACAAGAGGAAAATATGATTAATTTAAAAGAATTAAGAACTGAAATAGAAGCGGAAGAAGGTGCTGCATTTTTAAATGCAAAGAAAGATATAAAATAAACAAAAATATATCTTTTTATGTGTGTGTATATATATATAAAAAAAAGAGTGTCCTGTAGTAAAATATGCTTTTTTTTTCTATTTTATTTTTTTTTCTTTTATTTTATATTATGGCGTATAACCATTATTTTGTTATCGGATATATTTGTATTCTTTTCCCAATTATCTATTACACAACAGACTATTTGAAAAGTATATTACTTTATTTACATGCAATAGGTGCAGCATATGGCGTTTTATTTATTATCCACTTCTCTCAGGATAATAAGGGAGGAGAAATGTATGGTGTATTACAACCTATTTTATCAAATATAAACATGGTACCCAAGACTTTATGGTTTAATATGGGATTATGGAATAAGCCAAATCTAAGTTTCCCTGAAGCCTGTGAAAACCTGGTGAACGAAGTTACTACCAAATTGAATATTCAACCTTATTCTACTATTCTAGGTAGGTATAATCATTTATTTAAACTGATATTACTCATATTCAACATCTTTTTTTTTTTTCTGTATGGAGGAAAGATATTGGCTTTGGATGTGGTGATTCTTGTATTTTCTTAGCAGGTAGTATAGGATGATGAAGTAAATATTATGTAGATATGCCAATGAGCTAATTTTGTAATATTTATTTTGTATACGCATAGAGAAATATAAAGCATCAGTCGTTGTAGGGTTAATATTAAAATAAAATAAATTTCATATTAAAATGAGTTTTTTTTTTTTTTTTTTTTTTTTTTTTTTTTTTTTTTTTTTTTTTTTTTTTTTTTTTTAGGGCATCACTAACGAAGAGAGTCAATGGAAAGTTGCGACTGACAGGGTAAGAGAGATGAAATTCACTAATAATCAACAGATTAGGCTTTTCCATGGATCTGCTGATGATTTGAATACGCTATTATTGCCATCACAAAGATATGATTATGTAATCTCTATTGACTCAGCTTATCATTTCAATACACGTTGGGACTTTTTAAAGAATGTGTATGGAAAGCTTGATGACAAAAAGGAAGGTAGCGGTATGATTGGAATTTATGATTTAACTGTGAATCCGCTTTTTTTGAAGAATGCATCGTATTTGCAACGTTATATCTTCCAGCTCATTGCCAAGTTAGTTCATATTCCAATACAAAACTTGATAACAGCAAACGTCTACCAACAACAAATGATAGAATTAGGATATAAAGATGTGGAAATTCAGACGATAGATAGACAGCTTGTCTTTGGTGGTCTTTCTGAACACTTTCGACAACAGTATAATCAAGCAACAAAATATGGTGCTACTATAAGCCTCTTTGCTATGATATATTTGAAATTTTCTATAATTATATTCAACTTATTAGCTAGAAAGTCATGGCTTGTTCCTGTCATTATTAAAGGGAAGAAATAATACTAATAAAATACTGCTGATGATGTGACTTTTTATTATTCATTTTTCTTCTGGTTCTAAAACTTGGTTTTTTTTTTCTTTTTTTTTTTTTTTTTTTTTTTTTTTTTTTTTTTTACTTTCTTCTTTTTTGTTTACATACACATATACATATCCACAATGGCTACTTTTAAATATTGTTTAGAATGGTAATCATCGTTAATAATTCAACTACATTGAGTTTAGATTTCTTAAAGAAAATACATACATGCATATGTATATTTTAGCAATAACTTATTATACCCAAGAGAAGATAAAGCTCAACGAAAATTATTATTTGCATGTCGAAATTGCTCATATAGTGAAGAAGCAGAAAATCTTTGTGTTTATCGACATGAAATTATGCATGGACCTTCGTATGAATATTTAGTATAACAGAATGGGAGAATAGAAGAGTTTTTCTTTTTCTCTCTCTCTCTTTTTTTTTTAGATTGATTACTTATCTTTTTTTTTTTTTTTTTTTTCTAAAAAAAAAAATGTAGAGAACAAACAATGATGTTGACTGATTTGAGCACAGATCCAACTCTTGTAAGTTTTCTCTTCCCCCCCACTCACTCTATATACATACATATATGCATATATATATATATATATATTTTTAAAAAAAATAATTGAGTTAAAAAGTAATCAACTCGTCTTTAGCCTCGTGCCAACATTCAATGCGCAATTTGTGGCTATCCAGAAGCTGTCTTCTTTCAATCTTCTTCGAGACGTGCAGATGCGAAAATGACTTTATTCTATGTTTGTGGTAATAGAGCTTGTGGTCACCGTTGGACAGATTAAGAATCACAGCAGCATTCTCTCTTTTTTTTTTTTTTTTTTTTTTTCAAATTACATAATAATAATAATAAAAAATGTGTGTATATATTTATTTATTGATATTTTTTTTTTCAAGTAAAAATGAAATAATTTATACATTCATGTAATGTGAGAGTGTATTCTTATTATTATTAATTTAATATCTATTCATGCTTCTCTTTTTGTGACGTTGAGCTTCTGCTACTTGAATATGTTTAAATCCATTAATCAAATCATCTACTTGAGGGTATGAAACGTCACGTAAACGATATCCATCAGGTAAAACACGAACAACCTACAAAAAAAAAGGGGAAAGGAGAGAAAGTTAAATAGTATTCAAAAAAAAAAAAAAAATCCTTTACCCAACGCATTGGAGGACCACGAACGCTTAATTTGAAACCTAAATCAAAATAACCAGGTTTTTCACTTTGACAAAACCATAGGCAGACATCTTTGGATTGGCTTGCGTCTGTGCTGTTAAATGATCGTTTAATGCACGAATACCGCCTGGACGGTATTTAGGATGGGCCATCAGTTCTTCTACTTTACGTGCCACAGCTTCAATATAGGTAACGATTAATTCATCTAGGTCTTCAAACGTATAATTGCCAATCTTGAGTCGAGCAGGAGCATGAATATCATTTTTATTTTTAACTTCAACCACATCCACATGTTGATAGATATCATCATCTACCTTCCATGTAATTGCAATATGATCATAGCCATGAGAGGAAGGTCGGATGACGATATCACCACGTTGACGTGTGGACAAGTATTCCTCTGCTTCAATATGATTAAAAGGTCTAAAGAGAGGATGCTTAATCACTCGTGTAGAGCGAGCTTGTTTTCGACGACTGCTTGCACGATGTTCTTCACGTTCTTTCGTTTCCTCAACACGATCATAATAAGGATCCTCTGGTAACTTGCGCAGATTGAAATCAGATCCTGGTTTCGTATCTGAAGGTTTACAGGACAAATCAACCATAAATTTGTCTCGATCAATACGAAGCACCTTACAGTTTACCGTCTGTCCTACTTGCAAGACATCACTCACATTCATGATTCGTTCATCTGCTACATTGTCTATGTAGATCATACCTTCAAGGCCAGAATCAAGTACGCAATTGGCAAATTTTCCACGAATGGCAACAACCATAGCAGGGATAATAAAGCCCTCGCTAAGTGTTTGACGAGTTTCACCTGTTACCATAATGAAGGCCTCTTCAGTTGTAGGACGACTATATCGTTGACGACGATCGTGGTAGGGGCCTTGAAGTTCTAATTTGATATGCTCCAAAATTTGACGTTTAGGGGCATTGTATTGCTTACGTAAGACGACAGCATAATCATCTAGAATCAAATCATTTAATTTATCAGGATATTCCTTGATAACACGAGTAACCACAGCTACCTTTGAATCATAATCATCCATTTCATCCTCGTCAATTTCAAGTGCATCAGCGGCCATCTTGCGAGCTAGTTCATAATCTTGTGGATGAATACGAGTATCATCTAAAATGTCAGCGCCATCGATATCACGAATACGAAGATAGCTAGCACAATTCATAAAGGTATTTGCCGGGGTCAATTTGCGAAGAACAAGAGCTGTACGACTTTCAAGTTCACCTGTGGCCTCAATTTTTTTGAGAATGCTCTGAGCTTTACGTGGACCAAAGCCACAGACGTATTGCAATGCACTTGCAAGATAACTATTTTGAATAGCAGCATTAATATCAAAACCTAAATCATTTACAACACTAATCAGAGCACGCTCCAAGTAAGAAAAGAGGGTATCTTCAGGTACTAAATGTTGAAGATCATGATAATGAATGGCTAACAGATCGCGTCCTAAACCAGCATATTCCCAAACGGGGCTTTGTAAACGACGAGCAAGTGAGACACAATAACGCATTGTTTCTGAAAAATCAGCAAATTCTTCTTGAGCACGACGTGAATTCTTGTAAAGACGAGCAGCTTCATCATCTACAACAACCATATCCATTTTTGATATGCCATTTTGCTCGTTATATTGATTAATTTCACTAATCATGGTCTGCATGTGTTTAATAACACGACGCGTCTCTGCATTATAGCCAGCAATGCCCAAGACATTTGCTTTCTTGGATTTGATAAAATCAGACATTTCCTTCCAGTAACGATCATCCTTCAAGTTGGGTACTTCAATCTGATCCAACACTTTACCACGTTGATTCACAAAGACAGCAACGATTGGATCCTTATTACCCCCATTACCCGAGGAGACAGTGATAACACGAGGTAAGGAGCTCTTAAATTGCGATTCAGGGCCTCTAAAGGGACCTACATTAATTTTGTTGTAAAGACTATTAAAGGAGGCTTGACAGATAGCTTCTTGGGCTTCAATACGCAATTTTTCACGAACATATTTAGACATTAAGGGCATCAAATACTCCTTGAGTGCTTGTTCAATAATTTGTTTACGCTGTTCATTCCATTGTTGTACTGAATCACTATAGCCATCAGAGATATAGAATTCGCAAATTCTATCAAACCAAGCAGAGTAATCACTAATATTGATATTCACCTTTAACAAGTTATCATCTTCACCCTTCAAGATATGTAAGAATTGTCCATCTTTGAATTCTGTAATTGGCTTGTTTGTCAAGAATTTGAAGGGATGCATAGGATGAAGCTCATCAATCACATTATATCCCTTTTCAGTAGGTTTGACACTAATGATAGCATAGGACTCAAAGTCTTTACGCATTGCCTTTCTAACTTGAGGATCATAAGAAATTTCCTGTGCAAGAACAGAACGACATGCCTTGAGAATCTTTTGAGCATCAGAAAAGCTTTGATCTGTATACATATCTGCTTCCACAACAGGATCAACAGTTGAATCTTCAGGGAAATGGCGACGATTTCCCTCCATAAAGTTGGAACCAAACTCTTTAGCCGTAATACCAAATCGAGGTAAAAACTCGTGCATCTTTGAGTTTCGACTTAATTCGTAGAGTGATTTATTTGTGGGGCGTTTAGGGCCACGTGTTTGTTGTTGCATAGTGTTAATTTTGTCTGAAAACTTCATATTAATGAAATCTGTCAAATCTGTAATCTCCTCCACTCTTTCGGCCCGATTCATCATTGTATTTATATACTCGTCATCGATTTGACATTTAGCAATAAATTCTTTTAGAGTATTACGACGATCCACAAAACTATGGTATTTGAAATCAAGATCATAGATCTCCCAAAGATCTTTTTCGGTTAAAATTTCTTTAGTAAGGCCTGTTGCTTTGTCTATTTCGGTAAAATAATCACGACGATGATCTTTAATATGAGGTACTTCAAGGAATTCACGAGTAAAAAAGCTTACGACGTAAGCAACAGCAGAAGTAAATTGATCTGTGGGTTGCTCTTGTCCACGATGATTAGCCATAATACGAGCAATCCAGGCGCCTTCTTCTTGAACTTCATCATTTGTAGCCTGTTCAAAAGGCTTGTTGAAACCTTCATAACGCATTTGTAAACGCTCAGGAACATCACGTGAACGAATTTCTTCATCCTTTTTTGTCATCATTCGCTCAGCAAGTTCACTAGGTTCAAATATATCTGCCAATTGAGGCTCGCGTTCTTTTGTTGCTTCATTCTCCTTTTTAATACAAAATAATAATAATTAATAGGATGCACATTTCTAATATGTATATACAACTCTATTTATATATATTACCTCATCATCATACAATGCCCACTCATAATCTCCACCATCGCCAAAAATATCATACATATCAACAAGGACACTATATTTAAAAATATAATCTGTAAAAAAAAAAAATAAAACGAAAAAAAAAATAGACCCACTTACTCTTCACTTATGCCAGCAGGTAAAATATTCATCATATCCTTATTGACTCTTCCACGGCCACCACGGTCATCAGCATAACCACGATTTGGGCCACTACCACCCAAGACCTCATTTAAATCATCTTCATCTTCATCAGCAATAAAGTCACCCATATCATCATAGGTATCACGATGTCTATAACTTGCTCTATTATCATATTCTTCCTCATATTGATCATGACGATGAACATCGCGAGAAGTACTTTCAGCAATATCTTCTGCTTCTTCATCCTCGTCAGAAAAGATATTATCAGAACGTTTAGCTTTCTTGTAGGTTTGCTCTTCACGTCCACGTTTAAGACGTTTTAATTTTGGCTATATTTCCCCCCAAAAAAAAAGTGTAAATTTTATGATATATCATTGTTATCAAATAACTTACACCAGTTGAACGATTAATTTTGATACCCGTATTTTCTTCTAATAATTCTAAATCTTCTTCATCCAGATCTTCATCATCTATAAAAAAAAATAAATAAAAAGAAAAGGTTATTTTTTTTAAGAAAAGAAATAATAATGAACGTGTTTTTTTTAGGATCATTACAGTCGTCAACCTTCTTTCTTTTCTTACGACGAACAGTTACTTCATCAGAAGCGTCAGATTCTTCTTCATCGTCCACAATGAAACCTTCAGCAATCTATTTTAAAAAAGAAAAAAAAAAGTTAAATATAATGTATAATAGTAATTACTTCTCCCTTTACTTTTCGAGCTTCTTCTTCATCCTCTTCCTCTTCTTCTTCTTCATCGTCATCATCATCGATTGGATTCCCTTTTCGACCATAACCAATGTCTTCACCTTCTTCATCCGAATCATGAGTAAAGTTATCCTCTTCTTCATATGTCATTGACTCTTCGTCGTCACTTTTAGCCATTATTATTTTTTTTTTTTCTTTAAATCGATAAAAGAGATGCTTTTAATAAAATGCTAAACTACTTTTTGAATGATTATTCTTTTATAAATGTATAAATGGACATTAAGTATGAGAATTAACTTTTTTTAAATAAAAGTTATAGTTACAGTGGACTCTGTAGATGTGTTGAAAGTATTGAGATAATCGTCAATACGCAACTCAAAAAAAAAAAAAATTAAAAAATAAAGTAAAAATAAAAAATAAAAATACGAAATAGAGTGAATATGTGATGTTGAAAAAAAAACATTAGTATTTCTAGGATGGCCCAATAAGCATTATTGTTTCAATGACGGTCACGAATTATTATTTTTTTTTTAACTCCACAAAAGTATGTTTAAGTTTGCATTATTATATTTTTTTTTCTCGATGATATATGAACAGTAGTCTAGATATATAAAAAAAAAAAAAAAAAAAAATAGAGAAAAAGAGAGAGAGAAAGAGAAGCCTATCATTTAGGTTTTGTTAATTTTTACCTGAACTTTATCAGCCAATGAAAAGGAAAAAAAATAAACATAGAAGGTGTATTAAACAGAAAGAGTATAATAAGGAGATAAAACAGAATATTTAATATATGTTATGAATCCTTTAAGGATGTTGAAATAACTTTCTTAAGGTTGTATTATTGAATGGAAGATGGCGGTAAAAAAAAAAAAATGAACGCATAAATTTTAATCTGTTACATATATTAAACCTTAATGAATTCAGCCATTTACTTTGAAACAGCAAACATGATTATTTCTCATAAAATCATCTTCTTTTACCTCCTTTTATCTTTCACTCACTCTGTCTCATGTTCACGTATATAAATTTATTGATCTAATGGGGGGAAGCTATAAGATATCTCGTGTTCACTATAAATATGTATTCTTTACTTTATTTAGCATTAAAGATCAGCCAAAAGAAGGGGTTTAAGGGTTAAAGGAAAGGAGTTGAAAAAAAAATTAATATATTAAAGGAATGAGTATATGATTACTATTAAAAGGACTACTCTATATATGTATACGTGTGTGTGTATGTGTGTGCTTGTTTGTATGTATGTACATGAGGAATTAAAAGAGGTAGGTATTCATTTTGCTTTTTTTTTTCTTTTAAATGGCACAGTGCGGAGTCAAGCTTAACCTCACCGTTCTTTGAGGTTGTTCAAAGATTAATGATTCTAACTCTTTTGCTTTAGGCGATTGTTGTTGGATAAGATAGTCTTCTTCAACAGACATTGTATGATCAAATGAACCAGCAGATGATGTTGTAGTTACAGAAGAAGATGAAGAGCCTCTACGTTTCCATAAAAACGATAATGAAGAAACAGAAACAACTTGGTGACGACGATTATTACTGTTTTCTATACTTGGTGGTCTTGTTAATGAATGTTGATTATCTACTAGTGTAGTTGACATTCTTCTAGCTTGACTAAAAGTAGCTGCTGTATTAAGAAATATTTTTTCGTCTTCACTTAAATATGGAATATGAACTTCTCGACTCATAGTTTAATATGGTATATAAATAAATAAATAAATAAAAGAAAAAAAGAGACGAGAAATATACAAAGTTTTTTTTTCCCTTTATGAGTCTTTTTCTTTCTATAAAAGAGAATTCGCCCAATTTTTTTTCTTTTAACGCGTGAATCAACATGTTTAAGGTTATAGTTTATACAAAAAAAAAAAAAAAAAAAAAAAAAAAAAAAAAAAAAAGAGTAAGAAGTGAATAAGAATGACGACAAGCTAATTTTTACTATAGACAGCAGTAGCAGGTTTTCCCTTTTTTTTTTTTTCCTCCCCGCCTCCTTTCTCATTCTCAAATACTTGACTAATGATATAATTCTCCTTTTGTATATACAACAAATAGACAACAGTAGCACCCTCCCCTCCCTTTATTCTATTTATTTATTTTGGAAAGGAAAAAAAAAAAAGAAAAAAGAAAAAAAAAAAGACGATAAGAAGATATTGATATAGAATAAAAACTAGACATCATCATGTTTTAGTTTTATTAAGTGTCTTGGAAATTTTGCGTTGTCTAGAATCAAACAAATTCTGAGATCAAACACTATAATTTGTTTTTCATTAGTTTATAATATGTACGACTATTTTCTATCTTTTATCATTACGATATGAATATTTATAGTGTATATGTGTACATATATGTATATATAAAAACTATTCTATCATCGTCGTTTTATATAATACAATTAGCTTTTTTTTTTCTTTTCTTTTCCTCCTTTTTATCGGCGCCCATACGAGTGAATATCTTTTTTTTTATCCAATAGGATCTACACAAATCGTGTGATATTAAATTTATTATTTAAGTTTTCTTACATTTGAATATAAAACTAATCTCTTATATTTCTAAAAAAAAAGGTTAAATTTATTATTAACTATATTTAGTTATCAAAATTAGTTTTTCCCCATTTATGCAGCAGTAATAAACTTACCACTCCTATTACTGCTATTAAAAAAGTAAGTCTTTATCTTTATCTTTTTTTTTTCCCTGGGAGAGGAAGAGAAGAGAAGGGAAAGTATAAAAAATAGAATAGAGATAAATTAAAAGTAATCATAATCATTCACAAAGATTAAATTTATTTGTGAATGCATTACTAAAAATAATTATCATTTGTTCTGAAAAGAAAAAAAAAAAATGAAATGACGTATATAATTTATCATGATAATTATTATTTGTTATATTAAATTTACTACTACTATGACTATCATTACTATAGTCATAGTAAAATAGTATGATAAATTTTAATCATCTTATTTTATCTTTGTTCATATTTTTTTTTATACAAAGCAATAATAATAGTAATAGTAGTAATAGTAACAAAGGAATTATGATCTGTTGAAATAATATAATATATACACGTAATAATAATAATAATAATAACGATTAACGTCGTGCACATTGACAGTTTGAATAACAATATGTTCCGGGCCCTAAGCAAATTCTTGTAAATAAGAAGATGGAATTTAATTATTTATTTACTTACCATATACATTGGTGCAATCAGAATTTACACGGCTATTAATAATAATATTTATACATAAAATAAAATAAAATAAAATTGTCTATATTAGGAATAGATACAGATATGGAATATAGATAGTTTTAGTAGATCAAGAAATTTACCAATTACATCCTCTATGTGAATTATGATAGTATGTTCTTCTTGTTAAACCTGTTGCTAATCCTATTGTAAGACCTATGATAATACAACACAGGATGAAAGAGCAAAGTCTTCTTTTTAAACCCAAAGATCTATTCTGAGGAGGTGCATAGAATTGTGTAAATCTTTGCCCCATATTTTGAGGCTGAGATGATGGTGGTGGTGCTGCTGCTGTTGCTGGAGGTGGAGGTGCATAGTTATTATTTACTGGTGGAGGTTCATAATAGGTTTGTCCAGGTTTAAGAGATTGTTGATAAGTTGGTGGTGGTGGTGGTGTTTGCAGATTATTTTGTTGCATTTTTCTTTTTAAAAAAGTTGAAAAGGGAAATTATTATTTAAATAAAAGAAAGAAAAAGAAAATAAAAAGGAAAAGGGTAATATAGAAATATATATAAAGTATAGCCCTTATTATGACTATGACTATGACTATTACTACTTGTTATTATTACTACAACAAGACTAGTTATGCATAGTTTTGAAACCCATAAAGTAATAAATAGTATGATTTTCTTTATATTATACTAGATACTGCTAAAGATCAAAATAAAATAATTATTACTTATAAAGCGGATTGTTTATCGATATCGACTTGGCTTTATATCGCTTTTCTATTTCTCTTTCACTCGTATTAAATACTGTTCATACTAATGATAATAAAAAGTATAGGAACAACGTCAATGACTTCATTATGAAAAATAAATTATTAGGAGAAACAACAAAATGATGTATATAAGAAATCTTTTTTCTTTTAATGATATCATTTCATTATAATAGGACTATTATTATCTAATTCATAACTATTGTCTGTTTAATCTACTTTCTTTCTTCCTCTCACTCTCTCACTTTATCTTCTTCTATACTTGTTGTAAATGTAAAAAAAAATTTTTGAGACTGTTAATTGCGAATAAAAAAAAAAGAGCAGGAACACTTTAGAAATTCAAAAAAAAAAAAATTTTTTTTACAGAATTTCAGATATAAAAGGACCTTTATACTTTCAAATCAAAGGGGTTGTTTGTTTTTTTTTCTTTCTAATTTATATTATATTTTATCGACGCGTTTTGTAAATAATTTAAAGGGTAAGCTATCATTATTTTATTTTATTTATCATAGTGGAAAGAAAAAGAAAAAGGGAAAGATAAATCCCGTATTATTATTTTTTATTTCTCTATGATAAATTCTTTCTATTTAAAGAATGTAAAGTGTAAAAAATATATATATGTATATATAAAGATGACACAGGCATTTGACTTTAGTCTTTCTGACTATGACGAAAAAACCCTAGCTACCTACTAATTTTCGCTGAAATATATATACATATTTATGTTTATTTACACATTTACATGTCTGGTTTATTTTTATTTAAACAGTTTATTAATTCTTTTTTCTCTTTTCATAGGTTTATTGAATTATTCTCTTTGTATTTTATTTTAATTTTTAATTTCTAATAAAAAAAATTTTTTTTTTCCTTTAAATTTAATATCCATGTCGTATTTTTCATTGTGGCTTTTTTTTTATAATATTAAACAAATGTTTTTATTAATATGTATATATTATAATACGCCTTTTCATCAAAAATGATGTCACACATAAAATTTTTTATATTAACAGTTTTTTTTTTTTAAAAAAAATAAACAAAAAAGTATAAAAAAAAATAGGGTCACTTTTATGGAAATTCAGATGTGTCAAAGTAAATATTTCTACTATAGAATTTGTTAAAACACACAAAATACCCGAGTATATTATATGATTTGCTTTTTATCCTTTTGCTTCAAGATCAGTGAACATGTATAGAAATAGTATAAATATGTGTATATGAACACATATATATATATATATATTTATAAAGGAACTCTATCGTCATGTGATAATGCAAGTTAAATCGTTGTCAACAATACAAATAGCATCATATGATGAGGGTTCCTCCTTAGTAATAATAATAACGCAGATCGATTTTTAATATCTTCCCCCCCTTTTTTTTTTCTACTTTGTTATTCTTGGGAAAACACGCTTTACTTTTTAATGAATAATAAAAAAAAAAGATTATAAATTTAAATTAACCCTTCATTTAGTACAGTGAACAATTAGTTATAAGATCATTACAAAAAAAAAAAGTCATCGTCACTTTTAGTTGTTCTATTATATACAAGCAAGTAGCAGAAAACAAAGATTATGTTTATTCTTTTCCCAGTAATTAGTGGATATTTATAATTACTTTTGAAGAAAAAAAAAAGGAAAACCATTCGAGAAATGATCAGACATGCAACAATTACCATCTTAAATCTATTTTACAAATAGCTATCCACATCATTAATAATATTAAATAATCTCGTGTAATTCTTACATGTTCATTTCACAAAATATAATTTTAATTGTTTGTCAATTAGTATATTTTATTTCTTTTTTTTTTCTCTTTTTTTCACATTCAAAATATGAGATTTTTTTAAGCAGATTCCTCCTTCTTGTCTTCAGTCTTGTCTTCAGCCTTATCTTCAACATCAGCCTTTTCGAAGCTTTCAACCAAGTCAGGAATTTCATCATCATCGGCATTAGCAGCGTTTTCACCTTGAGCTTGTTGGAAAGATTCAGCAAGCTTCTTAAGAGCAGCCATGGAGTCAGGACCCAATTGGTTCAAGATACCAGGAATGAGTTCAGCCAATTCCTTTTCAGTGGAGCGACCGTGAATAGCGAAGGTATTGGCGTTAGCAGCAGCAGAAACTATTTTTTTTTTAAAAAAAAAGAGAGTTAATATGTATTTATATATATAAAATAAGAATGATTTTTTTTTTTTTTAAAAAAAATACTTACCACGAGGGTGACTGAAGTGAATGACCTTACCGTCATCCTTGAACATGTTGACTTCATCAACACCAGCAATGGGTTGAACGTTCAACTTGGTAAGAGCAGCAGAGAGCTTACGGTCATCACCAGTGGAGGACTTACCGGTGGTCTTCTTGACCTTACGACGGGGAGTACCCTTACCACCAATACGAACTTGGGATTGAAGCTTGGAGAGTTTGTCAGCGTTCATGTTGTATAATATAAAATGCTAATAATTAATGATGATTAAATTAATGTCAATTTCTTTATTTTTCTTTTATAAAAAAAAACGCGATCCCTTTTCTCTTTCTCTGTCTTCTTTTTTATTATTATTATTATTATTATTATTATTATTATTCAACTCCTATTTCCAACCAAAAGTTACTTTTTTGTTTTTATATAGAAATAATATCTCTCAAGCAGTAATGAGGTAGACAATAAAATTTTATAAAAATTCGGTGGCTTATATTTTTTTTCCCAATTTGGCCCAATTGTTGTAATGCAAAAAAAAAAAAGTTGTAACATCCTGCTATATAATGCTTTTGAAAGAGTAAAAAAATAATATAAAAAAAATACAAAGAAAGAGAGAGTCGCGATAAAGATTAAAAAAATATAAACTAGTTAATACACTACCTATTCCAACAAAAAGAAGGGGGGAGGAAAAAGAAAAAAAAAAAATTAAAAAATTCGTAAATACTTTTTTTTTACAGACAAAAAAAAAAAAAAAAAAAAAAATTTATAAAATAAATGTATTTGATTGGATAATTAAAATGGAGTTTTATTTATTATGACTTGTTAGAAGTAAAAGTGGATAAAGAGGTAGTTGAAGAAGAAGAAGAAGAAATGGTATTAAGATCATTTGTTGTCATTATAGAGTTTAACTTGTGATGAGACTGACAACAATGAGAAGATTTTGAACGTTGTTGAAGTCTTTTAATCATACCATTTATATTATCTCTTACTTGTTGAGGTGTAGAAAGATGTTTACTCTTTAACATCATAATTTTATTGTACTGTACAGGTTCCTTTTGTCCACGACTTTTAAGTAATTGGTGTAATGTATAATCAATGATAGCTATTACAGATACTAATTATTTATATTAGTGGGGGGGTGTATATATGTATGTATGTATGTATGTATGTATATATTTGTATCATTCTATCTATCTTACCTCCACAATCAGAGCCATTACCTTGTTGTGGTGTTGTACTGGGTATAAATTGTGATCGTTCCTTAAGTCTTAGTAAAGGTTGAAGTCTTCTACTTGTCATTTCACCATCCCTTAGATTGTTAAATTTAAGTGTGTCATAATAATAAAAAGAATTGACTTGACGAATATAAACCATAAGTGACCAATGTGTTCCACTGTATGCCTCATAAGGTTTCCCATCATTAATAGGAATGAATATAGCTTCATATTTATCCATATTAGGTGGCAAAGCAGATACTAACTGCATGACATCCCCTATAAAAAGAACACATATACATGAACACAGACCATACCATATCATACATGTACAACTAACTTACCTTGAGCAAAAGTAATTAAATGAACCATACCAGGCCTTAAAAACAAATAGTTTGCATCCTTTGGTACAAATGTTCTTTCCAAGAACTCCATATGAAATGCTATCATCGTATCATTTAACCATTGACCTGGTGCTAAAGTATCTAAATCCTATGTAGAATAAACCATGAATAAGAGAGAATAATTCATCAAGTTTTTTTGTATTCAATTACAGATTGACGGATAACGATATCATGATAATGTAAAATTAAACAGTCTTCTTCCATTCTATAGGAAACAATAAAGATCTATTTTCTTGACTTTTACTATTTTTTTTTTTTTAAAAAAAAAGAAATAGAAAAAAATAAAATAAAATAAAATAAAACGGGTTTATTTCGTTATTTTTTTTATTTTATACATTTATATATATATATTTTTTTTTATTTATTTAAGAAACATCATTGGAGAGGAGTTACAGACAGAACAAGTATGATTATATATTATCCGTAATAGACTTTAGTTGTAGAGGATATAAAATAAATAAAATAAAATAAACCATTTTATGTTGTTTAATATCATTATGTAATACATTTGACAACGCATTGACATTGTAGTACAATGTATAAAGCAAATAAGTTTTGATTTTTATACATGTATATTTATATATTTTTTTTTATTAATAAAAAGAGAGAGAGAATAAAAGAGTACCAAAGAGAAAGGGAATGATCGTTAAATTATGTACGATTACAAAGTTTAGAGATAGTTTGATCAAATTTCTATCTGTCTACACTAATTTAATCTAATCTTCTTGGGTAAGCTATTCATCTATTTACTTGTTGGGATATTACCACTGAGGGGGGGGGAGAGAAGGAGGAGGAGAAGGAAGAAAGCTTCTTGTTTCATATCGCCCATTATCAAAGGGGGAACACACACACACACACAGAGAGAGAGAGAGAGAGAGAGAGTCATTTCAAACAATGAAATCGAATAATAATAATAATAAAGGTAATTCTAATGTAATCATTATCATGCTGTTATGTGTTATCAACATAAAGGGAAGAAACAGAAGAAGCAGTTGAACTACAAAGTGATGGTTGATGATAAGAATGAAAAGAAGTAGAGGTCACACTATGGAAAGGAGTTGAATAATGATGATGATGATGACGACGACGACGATCATATGAAGATTGGAATGAATACAAGAAAGGTGTAAGAACAGGTGAAGAAGAAGAAGAAGAGGGTGGTATGGGGATTTCAACCATAGTTGTTGACTTGTTATTATTCATTAGATCATGGTTGTCAGGGGCATTGTTGCTATCTTGAAAACGACACACTTCTGAGCAATAAAGCTATAAACAACAATATAATTAGTATCTATTGATGGATATGTTGCTTTTAACCATAATAACTTACATTGTTGTCAATACAGTGACGATCACAAATTATACACCAAGAAAGATCCATTTTTTATTTTATATTCTATTATTTCTTTTTAAAAATGAAAACTATGATTTGTAATAGAATGATAATAATGCACAATGTCTTTTATATTTATACGTAATTATAAAAATCATACTCAATATTAGTCATAAAAATAAAAAAGTTCCTTTTTAAAACAAACTCCGCTTATTACTCATAGATTATCTGATTGGCTTATAGATCGATAATCATATATCACGATGATTTATTTCATTTTGATTTAGATTGAGATTTACATAAATTCTATTGGATAGATACATTTATTCCTTCTTCTTGTCTTCAACAACAATGGGTGTATCAGAAGTAGGCTTAACTCCTAAAGCATTTAATCTTTCTACTAAACTAGGATGAGAATGATTCCAAGCAGAATACCAAGGATCTACATTAAATCCACCCAAATTCTTGATACTCAATTTAATTAACGCACTACGCAAGGTAGAAGCATAGCCTAACTTCAAAGCATATGCATCTGCTTCATATTCATTTTTACGTTGATAGACATGTTGCAAGAAACCAATGACGCTTTCAACAGGTGAATAAATAAATTGAAACAATAAGAAGCCAATTAAGGTAGGCATGGTACTAAAACCGAAATCTTGATAGAGTTGTCGATTATGAATAAAAAAGGAAAAGAGCCAAAAGATGGAAAGTAAATAAACTTGATTCACTGCCAAAAGTTTAAGAGTATGTCCCATCTTCCAATGGCCTAATTCATGGGCCAAGACAGCACAGATTTCATCTGTATTTGAATGATCAATTAAGGTATCATAAAGAACGATATGCTTATTTTTGCCAAAACCATAAAAATAAGCATTTGAATGAGAGGATCGCTTTGATCCATCAATGATATATAACTTTTTAAGCGGGAACTTGATACGTGCTGCTAATTCTTCAATACGACTTCTTAATTCTCCTGCTTCCATGGGTGTTAATTTGTTAAACAGAGGTTGAATAAAAGTAGGATAAATAGTGATGATCAAAAGTTGGAATACAACTCTATATACTTCATTCAATAAAAATGATCCATTTCATTATCTATTTTTCTATACACTTACACAATTAACCAGACGTAAAAATAAAACTTATCCCCTGTTGTCTTAATAATCCATAAGAAAGCTGACATAAAAGGAAGTAAAAGGACTGCCATAACGAGTTGTGATTTCAAAAGATCAGCAAAGTACAAGCCCAATGTTTGATTATTAAAGCCATGACGTTGTTCGACAACAAAAGTAGAGTAAAGACTGAAAGGTAATGAAGTAATTGTTGAGATTAAAGTAAAGACTGTCAAAAAGACAAGTGATTGAAGAATCTTTTTTTTTTTAATATACATATATAGATGAGTAAGTTATACTTCAAGTAGTGTCATTTAACAAACCTCATAATCAGTTGTATACCCTGTCAATTTGTACAAAATTTGACCAGACAAATCCCAAATCTTTGGAAGTGCATCATAATGGAGCATCAAGATAGTTTCAACTTGTTTATAAAGACCTTCAACAAAACCAAAACTAGATTTATCCAAGTTATAGGCTTGTGCTTTCTTAAAGTCAGCTTCAGTAACAATATCAGCTAATTCACTAGGTCGATTACGCATCAAATAGCGGCAATGCTGACGATAACTAAAATTTTAAATTTAATTAATTTATTCTATAATGTTTTTTTTTTGTTTCAAATTTATTTACTTGAGATATTGCTCAAACACATATACAATACAAGAAAAGACCAAGACACACTGCTTATAATCAAGCGTATCTAAATAAGTTAATATGTCCCCCATTTTAGATTAATAGAGAAAGTAAACAGAAAAAAAAAACAAAACAAAAAACGCGTAGAGCTAATTCTACTAGTAGTATTTAAACTTGAAATTCAGATCACTACTCCAAATATGGATTTTGTTCTTTTTTTTTTCTTTTTTTTTTTTTCTTTTTTTTTTAAAAAAAAAAGTCAGTCAATACATTACTTTATTTAATCCTTTTAAACAAAATGACAGAAAATTCAAGTGTATTTGGTCTTCGACGTCAAGTAAAATAAATCTTTAATAATAAAACAAACAAGAGAGTAACGTTATCTAAAGGCTAGATGTTTAACTGCTGTTACAAATAGTACTGAACAGAGTAAATTCCTTGCTGGCACTGTGGGTGCAAAAGATAATGTTGTATGTTTATTAGAATTTGATGATGACGTTGGAAGCATTAAACCTACCATGTATAGTCATCCTGAAGAAGTATGGGATATTACCTCTTGTCCAACCAATGAAGATTTATTTTTTACTTGTCATAGCCCAGGTATATAAATAAAAGTTTCAAATGAATAAAAAAGGACTAATGTGTCAACATTTAAGTTTCTAGTAATCCAATGAAACGAAAAGCTACCTTATGGAAAAACCATTGATGGATAGTTTAATGAGCGAAGACAACAAGAGTGATCAGCATTGTGCATTAAATCCCATGTAAAATTGGACATTGAAGGAATTAAAAAGTAAAGCAAAAAAAAAAAAAAAAAAAAAAAAAAGAGTTATTTATTCGTGCTTTTTTAATCCTTTTTTTTTTTCTTTTAGAGTCATTTGGGTCCTTTGGAACAAAATCAACACGTTGTATCCATTGATTCTAATAAAATATATTTATCTTCTTTACAGAATTCAATTACATGAGGTAAATAGATAAGGAAAAAAAAAAGGGGGAGGGGGAATTGCATTTAAATACTGATATGTCTTATTTCTTGAAAGACATTACTCACTATTGATGTTTCACCAACATGGACAAATTCTTTCGCAATACAACAACTTCAAAACGCTGTATGGAACCCACATCAACCAGAGATAATTACAGTAGGTGGACAAAATCTGTCAGGTTGGGATTTACGTTCTGCCAAGAGTAGCTTTCATCACCCTGAGGCACATAAAACTACAATTCGTGCCGTTGACTACAATCCAAATAAGCCTCATTGCATTGCTACCGGAGGCGATGATGCTATGGTATCCATTTGGGACACAAGACAATTAAAAAATCAGGTTATGCAAATTGAAAGACATACTCACTGGGTCTGGTCTGTAGCATTCAATCATCTACAAGATCAATTGTTACTCACTTCAGGTTCAGATGCACTTGTTCAATTACATAATATTTTTTCTGCATCTTCGGCTGCTTATTTAAATGATAATGAGGAAGAGAATGAGTCTATTGAAGGATCAGAAGTGTAAAAGAAAAAAAAAGTTGAATATTACAAAGGAAAAGAGGATTAAATTTATTGAATAGGAATAAACCTATGGATGGCTTAGTTCGTACATATGATCAACACGAAGATAGTGTTTATCAAGTTGCTTGGAGCCCAGCAGATATCTGGACATTTGCCTCCATTTCATATGCAGGTAGAGTAGTTATTAGTCAAGTACCACAAGACGAAAAGTTTAAAATCCTTGGTGTATAATAATAATAAAAAAAAAGCTTAATATTTATATAAAAAGTTAAAAGAAGAGCGGCTCCGGCTTGAGCGAAGCCAAAGAGAACCGCCTAAAAAAACAAAAAATTATGCGCTCGATATGTCTTGATTGCCATACCGCAAGAGTAAATCAAAACTCCTGCCATATCGGTTTTTTTTTTCCTTTCTTCAACCAAAAAAAAAAAAAACTTTATGGCGCGCCCTTTTTTTAACGTGTCATGAATTCAAAAAAGTTTCAAATTCTTATTATTTTATGTTTTAATTATCAAGTTGTGGGATTCAATAGTAATGACATATGCTAGCTTGCAAAAAGCAGAAAACGCAAGTTATTGGGAATATGTCGGTGAAGGGAATCAAAATTTGGTTGTTAGATATATTGGAAATGATTCTATCTTTGTAAGACTATCATTTATTTATCTGTTAAAAGTATACATAAATATTCATGTTTATTTCAAGAAAAGGAAAGCTTTACGTATATTAAAATGCGATGAATCCGAGATCAAGATCCCAACTAAGCATGACATTCTATTTAAACAACAGTTCATTGAAAGAATAATTAGAAAATTAGTTGGTCATGAATACATACTGTTGATGGTAAAAAAAAAAAAGCTAATAATTTAAACATTGTTGCTCATTTGTTTCGTTTAGCAACCTGTAAATACTTCTTCCTCATTCCTATCTCAATTGGCACAAAACATTGAACATGTAAGACCCATTTCTCGAAGAAAAAAGAAAATCATTACAACTACATGCATTTCATTTCTTATGGATGATTTAACACAATTATGGCCTAACTCACCTTCACTTACGCTTGAATTAAAGGTATAAAGAGATATTTTTGATATATACGCTATTAACATATATACATGTATATATATTTCTAGCCTAAATGGGGATTTAAACCTTCATCTCCATTCGCAAATGAGATAAAGAAAAAATACTGTCGTTTTTGCATGCATTCTCATCTACGTGGAGATCTATTAAAAGAATATTGCCCACTTGATTTATACTCAGGAGATCCTGAACGAATCAAAAAGGCATTGACTATTTTATTCATGAATATACCACAAACAAAGACACTTCGAATTACATTTGCTCATAAAATCAATGAACAGCCGTCAAAAGTAAAAGACGTTTATCATTTGTTATCTAATGACGATGGGCTGATACAAGAAATACTAGAACATATCCTTTTAGAGGATCCAATTCTAAGGAAACTAAAAAGATTACAATCAACTTTAGATGAATTAGATATCGAAGGCATATTACCACTTTATAATCAACTTGATACCTCTTTAGAAACGCAAGATATTGAAATTTGGGAAGATGTCCTGGCAAATTATGAAGCAGAACAAAACGACCTTAGTGTTAATAACAGAAAGCAAAAAATCTACGAATATTTATTATCAATGACATTTAAGGATTGCTCTATCATGATCAATATTGCTCCAGCAGCAGTAGCCAATAGTCACAAAAGTATCAAATGTAGACATCTTTTGTTTCAATATGATCTTAAAGTAGTTGATACAGATTTGAAAAATATAGACAAAATACCTTATTGGTATACTTTAGATCAATCAATAGTACATAACACGTTAAATACCAAATTTAAGAAACAAGAATGTCTATCATAATAATAATGATAATAATAAAACCTAATAATTGACCTTGTTTTTCTGTATTATGTTAAGCATAACATTTGTAAGTTTCACTAGAATTGTATGATATATTCAAGTACATAACGAGCAATATGTTTGCTTACTCCTCCATCAGACTCAAGAAATTATTCAATATTATAGTAGCAGATCTTATTTACAGCGTTTAAAATTAAATGTACCTTAACCACTCACTAATGCGTCCCTTCGAAGGTGAACGCTTATAAAATCTGACAGGTAAATAAAATAATTCTATTATATCTTTCTATAAGCCAAATAATCGAGTAATTGTTTCTGGTTGTATGAATAGAGATAGTCCTACTTTTTTTTTTTTTTTTTTTTTTTTTTTTTTTTTTTAATTTTGCTTTTAAAGCATTTCATTTGTAAGACTTATCATATTTAAATGCCATTTGAAGGTTAGGTCTTTAACGAAGATGGCCAACATTACCAATCGTCTTACCGACTCTTACACACGCACGCAGCTTTTATACAGTGTCTAATTTTTAGGATAATAGATTAATAAGAAAATTCATAGTAATAGATATATATATCTATATATTTTCAACTAAGGCTTTTTGAACTCATTCCAAGCTGATAAAGCATTTGCTATCTTTCAAGAATTATAAAGGACAGCCGATATAAGGGAAGTTGTTGTTTGAACTTTCAAATATTATTTAAAGACACATTCTCTATGCCTTCCCCATTTCTCTTGCTCGTCAAATTACAGTTATGTTAACAGTCAAATTGCTGCTATCTGTTTGCTATCAATTTACAATTCCTTATCGGAAATATATTTATTATTTTGCTGTCTCAAAACAACGACTGTGTTTAATACTGCAACCCTGCTGATATTCCAAGTCTATTCAATCTTTTTTTTTTTTATGAGTTATGAATTAATTAAATTTTCTTACATATTTATTTTAAAGAAAAGGCTGCTTTATTAGAGAGCATGCATCCCATTATTAGAGGCTGAAGTACTAGAAGAGTCAACAGCAACAACAACAACGGAGAATGTATTAGAAACAACAGTCGTTGAGGTTTCGTTGATTAGTATTTAATTTCCGAGGTTTTATTTTTGACAAAAAAAAACACCTTAAAACAACTGTATATTGATACAAAAAAAAAAAAAAAAACTATATTCTAATAAAAGTACTGTTTCTTTCCCCCCAGTAATAAATATGGTGTCTACCAAAGATGTTGATCAAGCTCAAGAGCTTGAAGTTATGTTGACTCGCTTGCAAGAAATGATAATTGATTGTAAGCTTAAACAATGTACTACCTTATATTTGCTGATATAATATCATCTGACAGATGTGAAAAAAGGACAATCAGAAACTTTACCTGTAGTTAACTATAAAAGCCCTGAAGAGTTATATAAAACTATTGATTTTAAATTACCTAATGAAGGAGCTGGTATTGAAGGTAATAAATAATACAACTGTTATATGGATGAAGTTGACATTTTCCTTTTTTTTTTCATGTTGAAAAAAGGGACATTTGAATTGATCGAGTCTGCAATGAAGTATAGTGTGAATTCCTGGAATCCTCGATTTATGGATAAACTGTATGCAGGCACAAATCCTATTGGTGTCATTTCCGAGCTTTTACTAGCTGTCATGAACAGCAATAGTCATGTTTATCATGTTTCTCCAGTATTTACTTTAATGGAAATTGAAGTAACTAAAGCTGTAGGCCAATTATTAAATATGGGACAAGTAAAATATGGGATACATGCACACACACAAAAAAAAAAAATAATAATTTTATTTTATTTTAGAATGCAGGAGGCTTATTATGTCCAGGAGGAGCTGCATCTAATTTATTAGCTATGGTTACAGCAAGAAATAAATTCTTTCCTATGATTAAAACTGAAGGCTATTTTCCAAGGCCTATCAATCCAAATGCAAATTATGGACACCTGAAGGTATTTACTTCAGCCCATGGCCATTATAGTATAGATAAAACCGCTCAATTGATGGGATTAGGCACAAATAATGTCATTAAAGTACCTGTGGATGATAGAGGAAGAATGAAAGTAGATGAATTAGGTATAATCATGATGAACGTCGTATATTATTATAATATAACTATCTATTCACTTCTCTTTAGAAAGACTCATTTTAGCAAGCATGGAAAAAGGCGAAACGCCTTTCTTCATTAATGCAACAGCAGGAACAACTGTTTTGGTAATCATTTTAACATTATTTGTGCAAGTAAACAAACTTTTTTTTTTTATTCAATAAATATGTATATACTAGGGAGCCTTTGATCCAATTCGAGAGATATCTACTATAGCTAAAAAATACAGTTGTTGGCTTCATGTAGATGGATCTTGGGGAGGTGGTGCAGTATTTTCAAAAAAAGTAAGAGAAGAACGAGATTGGTTCGATGGATCTGAACTGGCAGACACATTTACTCTTAATCCTCATAAATTACTTGGTGTCCCCTTACAATGCTCCATGCTTATTACACCACATGACGGTCATCTTTTGTTCGCCCGAGCTAATACGTTAGCAGCCGACTATCTCTTCCATGGTAACCCATATGATTTAGGAGCAGGTACAGTAGGCTGTGGTCGTCGTCCAGATGCAGTAAAGATATTCTTGTCTTGGAAATTTTACGGACAGGAGGGATTAGGTAGACGAATCGACAGAGCTTTAGCATCAGCAGAGGCATTTACAGACTTAGTTAGATCAAGAGCTCATAAAGGGTTTAAATTAGTAAAAGATCCATGTTCGTTCCTGCAGATTTGTTTTTGGTTTGTGCCACCACAAATCAAGCAGCAACAAGCTATTCAGAATTTATCGAGAATTACAAGAGAGCTACATCGTCACATAAATCAATCAGGCGAATTTCTCGTAGATCATGCGCCTGTGATGGGGGAACAAGATTTCTTTCGAGTTGTTATAAATGCTCCTAGTGTGAGCGTGCATGGTGACTTGGAAAGGCTTCTTGATGCTATTGAGGAGGCAAACTTAACTATAGATTGGAATAATATATTATAAATTTTCATTATTATCATGCATATCAAATGACTATCAGAGAATGTAATAAATTCACAAAAAAAAAAAAAAAAAAAAAAAAACGGAGCTTTAATTATTCATTCTTCTCTCTTACACATCTAATGGATATGTTTTAGATTTTTTATCTTTTATTTTATTTTTTTTTTATTTTTTTTCCTCTCTTCTTCATTTAATGCCATTGTTGTCATTCACGATCTCATCTCTTTTATAATAAAAATATATTTCCATGACATCACACCCTTTACTGTGCCGAGTACAAGCACTTTATCCTTTTGAATCAGACGATCCTTCTTCTTTAAAATTTGAAGAAGGAGACTTTATAGACGTTCTAACAAAATTACCTTCTGGTTGGTGGGATGGATGGTAAAGACTAATAAGTTATAAAATTAGTAGAAGTTTATACAAAGCTTTTGTATAGGTGTAATGGAAATCGTGGCTGGTTTCCTAGTAACTATGTAAAAACTGTCGAAGACTATAGTAACACAGAGCTTGTGGTATGCATTAAATTTTTGTATTGTCATTATGTAGTTAATTTTGTTCATATATACAATATATATATGAATATGAATATGAATATAAATATAAATATAAATATAAATATATATGCATATATAGGAATCATCTTCTCAACACACTAATCTATTTGATGATAAAGTAGGAGATAATGAAATAGAGACTAATAGACGAACCTCATTACCGCCCAATTGGTCTATTCAACAACGAGATAATGGGACCGCAAACTATTATTTAAACACGATAACAGGAGAAATGCGTTCAACTTTTCCTTATGATGACTCTAAACCAATCTATGATGACGATGACGATGACGACGACGACGACGACGACGATGACAACGACGGCGATGATGATGATGACAATGATGATGATGACGATGATGATGAATCGTATGATGGATCAGCCACATCATCAATAACAAGTAATTACAGTAATAATTCGAATTCAGATTCAGTTTTAATAGATAAATTTCCCCCATCAACAGATGACTCATCTGAGCAATCTCTGAAAGAAAGCAAGGTGAGAGAAAAAAAAAAGGCACACAAACTTATTTAAGGAGAATAGTTATACTCAACTCCTTTTGTGCTTCTATTCCCCCTTTTTATTCTTTAGTGGATTCAACGTACCACACCACAAGGGCTCCCATTTTTTTATAATCTGTCAACTCACGAGACTGCATGGCATGCAAATTCACAGGTAGTATACAGTCAACTTTAGAATAAATATTAAAATACTTATATCAAGTTATTAGAATAAAAAGGTAGAGTCACAAAGGCCCTCAAATAATAGAAGTAGTTTATATTTACAACCCTCTGTAATCAACATGAACGAAGCACTTACTTGGGATAAAGTTTCAACTCATATTGCTCTTACCATTAATAACTTGATTGCATCTGTTAAAGTATTACAACGATCTCTTTATAAAAAGTATGCAGCAAATGTGGTTGAAGCGATACGATTCATGTTAATTGCTTCAGGTACCATTAGTAAAGAATCGGTACATGTCAAAACGAATAACGTGCTTCGATCTTATCATCGTGCTATCATGGCATCATTATCTAAACTTGTTTTATCTGCCCAATTATTATCTGCCAATAATCATGGCCTTGATAGTAATAGTGATACCAGTACTAGTAAGTTATTATCTGATTGTCATGAATTATTAGTCGCCGTTCGTAATTTTACCAACATTTGTGAGAATATACCCGTCGAATTACATCATATTGATCCTACCATTATCTCGATTCCTACTGACCCAAAGGCTTTATGGCAGGACACTATACCTCGACAAAACTTGATTCCATCAACTGGTTCAGTAATAATGATGGATGATAACAATGGACAGCAAGGACTAACTCGGGCAACATATCAATTACAAGCTGATCTCATCGAAAATCTTGATGCATATGGTGCCAGTATGCAGGAATCGATGGAGTCATTGATGGCCAATTTGACTCGACATAGTGACTCACGATGTTCATTAGCTGTTCTTTTATTTACACAATATCGCAATTTCGGTAATCAAAATGGACAATTCTTATCAATTATTGAGGATATTGATTTTGATGGTGTAGTTGATTCACCCTTTATGAAGCAGCTTGTAATGGCCAAACAAAAGTTGTACGATGGTTTAGGCTCCTTGTTTTTTAAAATGCAACTTATGACAGATGAATTAGTATCAATGAATAAAGCTATCTCTGAAATGCAAGAGGCAGCTCAATCCATTATTTACGCTATTCAATCTATCTGTAAGCATATGGCTAATTTAGTTATGGAAAAGAATCAAATAATTGAACAACAACAACAACAACAAGATGAAGAAAGAAAAAATAATATAACGAAACAGGAAGAGGTGGAGGATAAGATGGCTAACAATACAAATACAAATTCAATTTCTGATTTTCTATTTTCTGGTAATTCATTTGGCACCAATAACCATTTGTCACTTGATCTAAGCTTACCTAATTTCAACATTTCTGCTATAGATGATACGAATAGGGTTAACAAACGGTCTCAATCACTCACTGGTGAATCAAATTATAATAATCATGATAATTCGTATGCAATTAAAAATCATCAACGCCCTATAGGTATGAAGCTTATACATCGATCTTCTGCACCTAATACGAGCAGCATTAGCAGTAACTCGACATTACCAACATTAAGTAGTGAAATGATGAAACAAAGATCCTATACATCAGGCGACACAAGCGCAAAACTAAAACAGTTTTTTGGAGATGATTTACCTCAGACTTCATCTGTGGATCTTACAGAAAACAATATGATAGGAGGAGGAGTAGGAGTAGGAGGAGGAGTAGGACCTAATTCAGAACAAATACAAAGAAAGGCATCTATAGCACCATCCATTACCGTATCAACTACAGCGACTTTGTTACAGGAAGACGAACAAAGATTTTTACAGTATGATTATAGTCCAAATGAAATTGTCTTCACGGCGGAAGGTAGTGTGAAAGGGGGTACACTAAAGGCACTTGTCGAACGTATGACATTACATGATTATCTAGATATGAATTTCAACAGTACTTTTTTGCTTACATATCGTTCCTTTTGTACATCAATGGAACTTTTAGAACTCTTGGAAGCACGATATAATATTCAACCTCCACCCGACTTATTACCAGATGAACTTGAAATTTGGGCTAACAAAAAACAAAAACTGGTTCGACTTCGAGTCTTTAACGTTCTTAAAATTTGGCTTGAACAATATTATTATGAAGAGGACTCTATCATTTTAGACCGATTACTTCATTTTACGAATACAAGTATTAAACAGTCATTGAGTTTTTCAGCCTATCAGCTCGAACGTCTTATTCAAAAACGAAAGGAGGTCTCTAACGATATACCTCTAAAGAAACTCGTTAGTACACAACCTCAGGATTTACCTGAACCTATTTTGCCGCGTAACTTGAAGAAGTTTCGATTATTAGATGTAGACCCAACTGAGATGGCACGACAGCTGACGTTAATGGATTTTAAACTCTATAATGCGATCAAACCTGTAGAATGCCTTGATAAGGCATGGTCACGCGATCATTCAGCACCCAACATTCAATCCTCTATTGATTATTGTAATCAAATCACCACATGGGTCTCTGATGAAATCTTGAGCCAATCCGAAGTTAAGAAGAGAAGCACTTTAATCAAGTATTGGGTAAATGTAGCTGAACGATGCCGTGTCTATAATAACTTTAACACCTGTATGGCTATATTGTCAGCCTTTGATAATAGTGCTGTTGGACGACTCAAGAGAACCTGGGAAATGGTTGGAGCACGTACAAATCACATTGTGGCACATATGCGAAAACTGATGGGAGCCAATCGAAACTTCAATAGATATCGAGCTCTCATTCATTCCGTTAATCCACCTTGTATACCTTTCTTGGGTATATACCTACAAGATTTAACATTTATTGAAGATGGTAACCCGAATACACTAAAGACCTCGAAGGATTTTATCAATTTTGCAAAGCGGGCCAAGACAGCTGAAGTCATCCGTGAAATTCAGCAATATCAAACAATGGGATATCATTTTAAGCCTGTAGAAGAGATTCAAACTTTTATTACAGAGAATTTGCATAGCTCACGGGATGAAGATCAGCTATACAAAGAGAGTTTAAAACTTGAACCAAAGTAAATAGTAATATTCTATTCTTAAGGGCCAAAAAAAAAAGTAACTAATTTTTTTTTTCCTAGGGAAAGAGATGATGAAAAGATTACACGACTCTTACAGGAATCAGGTTTCTTATAAACATTTAGTATTCTTCATAACTGCATTTTACATATATACATTTAATCATTCATTAAAAAGAACAAAAAAGAAAAAAAAAAGAAAGACACATATACTAAACATTCCTTATTTATATACATCATTAATATTTATACAATAATAATAAAAACTGTTATATTTATTATATACATGTATACAGATGTGAAAGATAGAATATGTATTTACTGTTTTTCAATAGTTATGAAGCTTTCAGAAATGAGATCCCGAGCGTGTAGCCTCTGTTTAGTACTATAAAAGTACCAAAAAAAAAAAAAAAAAAAAAAAAAAAAAAAAAAAAAAAAAAAAAAAAACATTGCTTAATATGAAAACTTGGTGAAGACTGGTAGCGATATTATGAACATCATCAAATATTAACTTTTCTAACTCTAATGAAGGGTAATATTGTTATCCAACTTACGATGAACAAAGCACTTGTTATAAGACTTAATGATTATGGAGGAAGTGTATAACATGAATTGTAACAATTAAAGTTTATACAAAGCTTAAAAAGAAAGAATAAGAGGAGGATAATAAAGAGTAAACGTCATGGATTATTTACATATGCGAATAAGCTATTGAATTTTTTTTTCTGCTTAAAGAATATCTATAAATTTTGGCTCCTCTATTATAAATAATATAATTGATTAAACAGGGTGATAATTTATTATTATAAACATTTGGTTTGATTTCTTTATATATACTACAATATACTACAATATACTACAATACCATTTTCCTTGCTTTTTAAAGTATTACACCTTTTATATATATATATGTATATTCACGACTTACTGGAAGGAGATGACGTATATAGAATCTTGTCGAATAAAGTAGCCAGAAATCCATAATTATCGTCTACAATAGCCTCTGCTATATTACTTTCATTCCTTTTGTTATTCAATTGAATATGTGTTTCAGAAGATTTTAATAGCTGATGATGACGATGAGCTAGCTGTCTTTGCCCAAGATGACATGATGTCATCGTCTGTTTATTTAGTGAGGAACTATCAAGTTTCTCAATACAACGTAAAAGGCTTGCCTGCATCGGATCTTGATGCCATCTAATACATTGATATTCACGATATACGTTGTTAAGTTTATCATTCTCTGTTATGGCTTCATGTAAAGAATCATCAAAATGTGAACGAAGCAAAAAAGGTTTTTTTTTCTTATACTGCTGCTCCATATGTTGTTTGTTATTGTTGTGTTTCTGTTGTTTAATGGTCTCTGTAAATTTATTAGGATAAATAGATGCTTGTTTAGGAAACACTAGATTATGCGCAATAGCATTTAAAGGCTGCTCAATAGGTGCAGCTATAGCTATAGAGCTTAAAGGGACAGGATTATTATGTGTTGTTATAGACGTATTAGAATCATATGATAATGCTAGATCATCTTTATCTTTCCTTTCATGCGCCTTTACTTCTGGTGGATCTGTAGAAGAGGTTGCTGATAATTTTTCGGAAGATGTAGTTGACCTTCTTCTTGAAGTTAAAGTAATAAAGCTCTTTCGTTCCGCTTTATGCAGTGAACGTTGAGACTGTGAACGTCTGATGGCTGGTCTTGCATTGAGTTCTGTAGTAGGGTCATCAACTAGATCGGCTTCTGAATCTGTATGATTAGAAGTAGTTTTTACCATGGGTGCTAATTTGGTTACATGAACTCGACCACTTGAACGTCTTTTAACATGATGTCGAGTAGGACGTTTATGTGGTTGAGTAGCATTATGAGTAGGAACTAGAGAAGACGGAGCCGCCGTATTTCCTTTTGTAGTTTCCTCTTCCCCCATTACGAATTTATTTTCCTTCATTATTAAAATGTATACAGAAAAAAAAAAAAAAGAAAAAGAAAAGTAAATGTATAAAATGTTTATTTTTGGGATTTGTTTCAATTGAAACAGCGTATAAAATCACTATGCATAACATTATAGATTCACGCGAATATTTTGATAATGATATATTTTTGAATAATCAAAGATCGCTCACTTGGTACTTTAACCCTTTATTGATGAGCCTATTGTTATATAAAATATGTTAGTATTCTTAACTATCAACAAAATTAGTATTCCACTTGTTGCATATCATAAGCCTAGACATGATAAATAGTTGAATTCTGCTTTATGATAGATAATTGAATCTAGTATTTTATACTTTAAAGCTTATCATGCCTAAATATTAGTTAAACTAATCTTCTTGCATATAGTCAATTCGATTATATAGTGTACTATGATCTTTCCTATTAGGATTGCGAATAATATCAACATAACACTTGTCGGCTTTTAGTACATATGAAGTCACTAATAAAAGTAATCACTATATACCATTCCTGCCATATTTTAGTTTGCGCAATGCAAGCCTCCAAAAGAGACAATATTAAAATAAAAATAACTTATGTTAGAAGCAATAGTTATTATTGTCTAAAGCATATGTATATAAAATAATTCGGTTTTTGCTAAAAGGACAATCATCTTAAGCATAAAGTAATTTATTATTTTTGAGTAATAATGATTCTGACTGTCCATTTATTAGTATCATCTTCATTTTTTTTTTTTTTTTTTAATTATATAAAGCTGCAATACTTGTGCTCATCTTGGTTTATAAAAAGTACTAAAGGCGACCAAACCATTATTATGAATCATTTATATAAAATATCTTCTTTTTTTGTTCGTTCCTCATTAGTCATTTATATATAATTAAAGAAAAAGGAGAGAGGAAAGGCCAAATAACTTGTAAAATAGATAGTTATAAAATGATAATGAGATAACACTTCTACAGTAAAGAAATAATACTATTGAAGCTTAAATGTTACTGACATGTGACTTGATATTTATTTTTTGGCATATCATAAAAATTATTTTTTTTTTTTTTTTTGGTCTGAAATGCTTTGAATCGATCAACATCAATGCCACTTAAAAGAAAGAATAAAATTAGCCATGGCAGGCCTTCAAAAAAAACAGCTAAAGGTTTTAAATAACAAAAATATATTGATCAATAGCTTTGTATGTTAATTGCTATTTATTTATTTTTTTTCAATGCCATGGTCATTTTTATAGATCACGATTTAGTTGCTAAAGCCATTCAAGAACAAATTGAAAATGAAGCTAGAGTTATAATTAAAGAAAAACCGATACACAAGACTTCACATTCTTCTTCAAAAACACCAGCAAGACCTATGAGTGCTATAGCGGCTAGAAAAGCAGCTATTAGCGCTGGTATACTCAATAAACCTTCAACTGATGAAAAGGAAGAAAATAAACAAGAAAGTGAAAATGAAAATGAAAATGAAGACGAGGAAAACGAAGTAGAGACAGAAAAACTGAATACGGTTAATGTGATAAGTGATAAAGAAGAGGGAATTGACGATGAAGAGCTTGTCAAGTCACCAATAAGCGGCACAACAACACCTCATGGTGAATTTACTCCTAATCAACCTTCAACACCGTTAAATACATTAGTAGATTTGGAACCAAAATCTAAAAAAATGTAAAGAAACTTCAAGATATATGGAGTTGTAAATTAGCTTTATTTATTTATTTATTTAACTTTTATAGACCTTTATTAATTGACGGTCAATCTGTGAGTCGGTTCATTCCTAGTAAAAATAACTGCTGCATAATAAACCAGGAAGAAGAGACGTATTTGTTTTTGGGTTTGAAAGAAGGAGAGCATATTGTATTTATGGGTCAAGTTTTTGCAGCTCCTTTATATGGTTCAATTTCGATCGCAGGAGCCGTGTTGTCTTCAGGAAAAAGTGTGCCCAAGTCTAAAGAAGTGAAAGACATGCTAGTTTCATTTTATCCTGTATTTTCACCACGTACCCATTCACTTTTAAGTATAGCATCTGTACCACTTGATACACCCAGCATTAGACCTCATGAAGATACAGTTGAATTGGATGAATATTTGATAGAAGCTGTTTTTGATGAGCTATTTAAAGTAGATCAGAAATTTGAGAGTATTGTTGTGATCAAGGATTTCCCAGAAGATAGTGGATTGGAAAATATTCGTGAAAGTATTGGCCATATTAAAAGGGATTTAGTAAGATTTACAAAAAAGGAATCAAGTCGAGATAAATCAGTTGCTATCAATTTATTGCGTGGATTTCATCCTATCCTTAGTCCAACACCAGGTGTAAGAGCATTTCAAGTAGATTCCAGTTGGGAATCTCGTACAACGGTTACAATGAAAAACAGCAGTGAAAGAGAAATTGTCAGCGTTGTATGTGGAGCAAAAGATACTGGGAAATCTTCCTTTAGTCGTTATTTAATCAATCGACTTTTAGCCAAGTATAAACGTGTGGCATATATTGAAACAGATGTTGGCCAAAGTGAATTTACACCAGCTGGCCTTTTGACACTTCATTATGTTACACAACCTGTTCTAGGTCCTTCTTATACACATCAGCATTTGGAGCCTGAACGCAGCTTTTTCTTAGGCTCAACTTCACCGCGTCATGATCCAGATTATTATTTAGCTTGTATTTATGAATTGATTGAACATTGGAGACAAGAGGACATGGATACAACTCCTCTTGTAGTTAATACACAAGGATGGGTATCTGGTGTGGGATATAATCTGCTTTTGAATATTATTCGTAAAGTGATACCTACCGATATTTTTATGATGTACCATCCATTATTTGAATATAAAAACTTGCCACCTACATTTCAAAGTGATGTAACAATGCCATCACCTGATAATTTAATTGAAAGGACACCACCGTTGATACATTATATATCTTCGCTACAACAACAAGAGACGGTAACAACGTTATCTGATGCTTTTTCAGCGGCTCAGCAAAGAGAAATTACACTTGCAAGTTATTTTTACCAATTAAGTATGGGGCATAGACCTGATTGGGATTTTAAGCAACATTTAGTAGAAAGAATTCCTTGGGTAGTTGATTGGAGAAAGAACTTGAATGCAATTTGGGTTATTTATGAACAAGTAAAGATGAATGAGTTGTTTTATGCGTTAAATGGAAGTATTGTAGGACTTATTGGAGACGTAGTTGACTATAAGCCTCAACCCTTTCCCAATAAGAAGAAGTCAAATAACGATGACAACGATACCTTTGTAAGTTAAATAGATTACAAATACTATATTATATTTTTGAATATTAATTTTATTTTTCTTGGAATAGACACTACCTAATTATTATGATAAACAAGATCAATTGCCACCTCAACCACAATCAACTACATGCTATGGTTTAGCTATCATTCGGGCCATTGATCCTTCTCGACATGCCTTTTTATTGTTAACACCAGTTCCCTTAAATAAACTGAAGTATGTATCAGGATTAGTGAAAGGAGAACTTCAGTTACCATTATGGGCTGTTTATAATAGAGAATTTGAAAAGAAATCATGGCAAAAAATACCTTATATCACTCAAGAAAACACAGAAGGTGTCGGTGCTAATGCACTTAGAGTACGACGTAATTTGCTACGTAGATCACAGCAACAGTAATATAATTGAATTTTATTAATGAATAAAGTATTATGACAGAGCAAAGAAGAAGAAAAAAAAAAACTACTATCATATATACAAATATTATCACACTAAATAAATTTCATTTTTTTTCTTTTAATTAGTATATGAATTTATTTATCTACATAGTAGTTAGACTTTTTTCTTTCTTTCTTTGGAAGAGGTGTATCATATGTTTAATAAAAAGGCTGTTTTCATAAAGGACCACAATTTTGAATTTGTTTTTGCTTTTCAGATATATGAAAATACATCATTATTCAAATAACATGATTTGGTATTTATGACTTAATTCTTAATAGACTCCATATGATATAAGTTATGCATATAAATCATACTATCTTTTAACTAGTCTATATATAAAAACTAAGGACCCCTTTATTTAAACTAAAAAAGACACTTAAAGTAAGAATAATGTTAAATCAAGTTAAAATGAAATGGAACCTTGTTCTTTTTTTCTTTTTCCTTTAAGATTAGTAACAAGTACATACCATATGTATGAATGATCATTTGGTATAAGCCATACTTATACTGTGTCATCAAGTATGCTACATCTAATTCATAATCTTCTGAATGAATATAAATATCTAACAATTTGGTATAATTCAATCAAATATAAACTCATTATCATAAATATAACATATCAAGTTCTAACCCCTTCTTTCCCGTTATCTCTTTATTATTATTTTTTATTCACTATAAACCATCATGCGAATATATGTATAACACCAAGAATAAAGTGTAAGAAACACATGTAGTGTAAGCCAACTTTTGAATTGACTATTACAACCTAATTTTTCTCTGTATTATTTTTTTCTAATATCTAGTGCTTTTCAAGGTAACTTTAAGTTCCTGCTAAGGTTAAACCAATATCCTCATTTTCACAAATAACTCTAGTTTTTATTGTCATATTATGAACACCTCAGTTTGAAGTGATTACTATTTTACCAAAGTTTCCCTTCTTTTTTCTCCTAAAACTACAATGTAGACTTTACTTTTTCTATATAAAGACTAAATTTTAGGTTTGGTGTATATTTATATTTTTTTTAACTGAAGTTCTTTATATCAATATGCTGAATAAAATGATTATGCAGAGCTAAAAGAGAAATTAAACTAAATTCTAGAGTAACGGTAAACAATACATGTCTTGCTCTCCAAAGTATTACCGCTAGGTTATTTTTATAGGATTTTTTCATGCACACTTTCAAGCTTCCTACCGTTCACTCCTAAATGATGCTTTCAAACAAATAGTCACTTTCTGCTTATCCCCTTTACACTTTTTAACGTATCTATAAACAGCTTCAGCAAGGACACCAATAGCTAAAACTACACACATACCTTGCTTTTATTATAAGGTTTAATAATTCTTGCATTTATATATGTGAATATTTTTGAACATGAAAGTCCCTCACCTCCTCTTCAAATCTTAACAGTTGTATTTCCTAATTTTTATTGCTTTTGAGAAGAGTTTGCATGAGGCTCCACAAAAGGTTGAATGAAGTTGAATAAGGTTGAATAAAAGATGAAATGAGGTTGGATGAAGGTTATAGAACAAGCTCTGGATATAAGCATAACTAATATTATAAAAGATGAATTACATAATACAGAAAAGCAGAAAAACTAAGTATGCGGTACATTTAGTGTACCAGATAAAAAGCAGAAGGCTAAAGATGTGGTACATTTAGTGTACCAGATGAAAAATATATTTATTCCTTAGAAAAAATGGTTTCCATATAATTACTCTTTCTTTAACTTCCTAAAAAAAAAAAAAAAAAAAAAAAAAAAAAAAAAAGATTTACAATGGAATTTAATAATAGCAATATTACAAGAGGACAAGCTGCATGCATCCTTTTCTCCAAAGAATACAATAAAAAACAAGTGAAAACAATACTATAAAGATGTATACGGTGACTCTCAAAAGTGTGGCAATGTTTTATGACTTTTGACTTTTCTTAATGTATAACATAAATCATTAATAAAAGTAGTTTTAATGGAAAATTGACAATATTGACAATATTTTTTATAGCTTCTTAACCTCAGTTTCATGCATGAACGTTCATTTCGACAACAAATCATGTCCTTTTACGCGATTTAGCCGTCTCGCTGCATAATAATTTTTTTCTTTATCTATCTTAACAAAAACACCATTTTTTTATTTTTTTATTTTTTATTTTTGACCACTTAATATCATTATTGAATTAACAGAAAAGTTTACCTCCTATTTAATATCGTTTTTCTTCAAATTCGTAACTAATTTGAACAACATTTGTGCATCATTCCCATTAACACATATATCATTACATACAATAGAATAAGACCAATTCCTTACAGTAAAAAGATGGATATCTTAGCAAAACTTAATGCTAAGGAGACTAAATATACAAGAAATTGGTTCAAGAAAGATAAAGTAAATGTCCTTGAGTGGTCATCATACTCGCTTGATTTAAATCCGATTGAAAACCTTTGGTTTTATTTGAAGTGAAGTGCAAGCTTGCTGCCTGTGATAGGTCGCCCAAAAAAAACATGGATAAGTTATGGGAGCGAGTTACTGATGTTTGGTACAATAAAGTTACAGCAAAACTATGCTTAAAACGCATAGAAAACATGCACAGACGTGTAAAAGCAGTAATAAAAGCAAAAGGTGCTGACACTATGTACTAAACATTAAAGGTACGTTGTTTATTTCATTTCTCAAAAAAAAAAAAAAAAAAAAAAAAAAAAACTATTTGCAAGAAATTTATATACATGTAACTTTTAACATGGTTTTTGAAATAAAAACATTATATAGTGCATATATGCTATAGGCATTATCAAAAAGAGGAGACTTCTGTCTTTCCGCTAGTATGTACTATATAGTACTTTTCTTAATAAATAGATGATCAGTTATTGCGGATTTGCATATATTACTTAAAATTCCAAAGCATTGCCACACTTTTGTGAATCACTGTATGTAAATCAGCATCCCTCACATTATTATTTGTATCCTTCGACCATAGAATTTATTCCAAGCTCGACTATGGATTCTAATAATGATACATCAAGGGAATCATTGCCAGAGCATTCACTTTTATGTAAGTACTGTAGAATATAACGAATGTAAATATCTTATGTTCTTACTATCACTTTTAGATGGAGATCGTGATTTAATTGCGTTTCTGAATGCCTTCTTTCGTTGTGAGTCTCCTGATAAGGATGACGAACGTAGGTATATCAGCGAAAACTTGTCATTAAATCAAATTTATTGGCAAATTTCGAATTATACCTCGCGATTCAGAAACGTAGAAGATGAATCTTCTGCATTTAAGTATCGGGCAATGAAAACAAAGCCTAATTTGATGTCTCTGGCAGTAAAGCGTAGACGAATCAAAGATGAGCATAATAATGTAATCAGTGTCAGAACACGCTCTTTATATGTATTAGATAAGAAGTACTGGGGTGAAGTGTTATTTAACATTTAAAAATAAAAATAAAAAATTCTAACTTTGTAAATAGTACGTTTGGTTGACGCTATCGTTAACCAAATGGTTATACATAAGGCGAACTTGAAGACATGGAAAGAGCAAGGATGCGTCGTAGTAGGATACGCTAGAAAATCAGCTATCCCTCATGTTAAGGACGCTGTTAGAATTAAAAACATACAGGATATGATAGACATACTTCGTCAGAGATCAGGAGTAGATAGGGTATATGTTTCACCATGTACGAACTCCACTGAAACAATTGCTTCTCGTGATATCAGTGCCAACAAAGACATGATTTTGTCTTTGTACCAATGCAATGGCGATACTCAGGGTAAGTAAGAAATGTATAAGTAATACACTATATAGCTAACGTGCTCGTTATAAAAGACATGCTTAAGTACATCCGTGTAAAAAAAGCGCCTGTAGTGATCGTATGCCTCACTTATGCGGGATTCACAACTGATCTTAATGATTTAAAGGAGTTTATAAGGTAAATTCTAATGATAATGACACTGCTTTTCAGAGCACTAAAGCAAAAATAGGTATCACAAGACCATTACGCATGTAGTTGTTGATGACATTGCAAATAATAATCAACTACATGTTCACTCCCGTGATGATATTTTGAATAAACCATGCATTGCTGAAAAGTTTAAATGCAGGACATCTGTTGGTCAGAGGTCTAAATAAAAAAAAATAGAAAATTAAACTGATTGATGATGTTCAACTTATTATTATGTGTTGCTGTTGGCTATAACATATATTTTAGAGAGCATATTTCAATTCAGGGACAATACCTTTCTGATCTTAATCAAACAATGAAGAAAATTATACTATATTGTGAGATTTGACTTGACAAATCGAATAAGTATAAACAGGCAGTAAAGCGAAATGAGTCTCTTTAAATCCTTTATTAAAAGTGAGGGAAGATTCATCATAGTAAATTTAGTTTATACATATAAAAAATCATTCTCTAATATTTAAGTTCAGTACCTGTTGTATAAGCATAATTGATATTATAAAAGATAAATTGCATAATATAGAATAAACAATTAGCCTGAACATATAATAAACCATCATATCATATCGTACTGTACATAATATCTTATAAAGAATATAAAACTTATTGACATACAATTATCTAAATATGTTAACTATAAGACATTGTATCATTTCTAAATATTTATTTTCATAATCCTGATAAAGGACTTGGGTCGTCTTTGATCCCAATAAAATAAAATATAAATGATATCAGGAACCTAAACCTAGATCAAACACACACAATAATTTTTTTTATTTGAAATTTGAAATTTTAACGATTATGTTTGGTAAACAAATATTAGCTAGCTATAAATAATAATAATAATGCTCATCTATTTCGTAATATAACCAATCTTATCAAAATCAGATAAAATATTACGAGATGGTCGTAAAATTTATGTAATCTATGATTCAAATTTATTCTCAATGTAATATGTATACATATAATGTATTATTAAAGCTTGGAATCCTCTTTGCTATGCAAGTCTAAGTCTGTTAATATTTCTAATTGCTTAATTGCATATTCCGACTGGCCCATTTTCACTTCTATAATTTTGTTTATAAATATATATATTACAACAATAGAACACATATTAAATTGTTAGACTCTCTTTCTACTTACGAATAGTTTTCATTCCAAGTTTGCTAGCTGAGCGTAGATTCATACCAATATCATCTAGAAAAATAGCTTCATTAGGTTGAATACCAACTACTTTACAAGCATATAGATAAATCTTTGGGTCAGGTTTTCTATGTGTGTGTGTGTGTAGGTTTAATATTTATAAGTTTAAATCAAGTTATATATTCAATCAAAAATCTACCTTAAACCAATTAATCGAGACTCAAGGAAATAATCAAACAAATCGCGAAGTTTTATCGTAGCTGAAGCACCCATAGCCTCAGCTTCCTGTAGATCATCTTCGGGTAAGTCAAAATTATTTGTCAATGCTACAAGTTTAAATTTACCACTGGCTATCATATAAAAAGTCCATAAATATATTTTTCTATACATGTATCTATTTTTCTATAAAATATCCTAAACCACCTTTAAGTTTTTGAATGGCCAAATAAATATGAGGGTCTAATTTAGCAGTCTCCGCCATCATCGTTGTAAATAGCTCTTTACCATCAATTTTAACATTTTCTAGAACAATATCCAATGAAGTAGCTTTTATATTATATAATGATAAGCATACAATATAGTCTTATCATCTATATTATATACCTTTTCCCAATCTTTCAAGATAATTTTTATAATGTTCCTTATTTATCGGATGAGATAATTGGCTACCAAAATCTTTATAAAAATCTTGAAGCTTAATCTCGCCTCTTTCTAGTTTCTATAGTTAAAAATATATTAATATTTATATACGCATCTATTTTCTTATAGCCTATATTTCATATATTACTTGAAATGCTCCATAATCACCTTGATTAACACTATTATTACATACTTAATAAATGAAGTACGTTTAAAATAGAAACTACTATATATGTATATGTATTTTACATGGCTACATTGATATAGTTCCTAGGTAATCCATATTTTGCTTCAAATCGATGAATTCCAGCCATAGGTGAACCAACACATACTCCTCCTTTTATGGACACATATACATATATGTATTCATTATAAATAAGTTTTATCAATTTTTATTTTTATTTGTAATACCAATATCAAATATGATGGCCTTAATAGTAGCTTTATCCATTTTTTTAAAAAAAAAAAAATAATGAAAAAGAAAAAATCCCCACAATTTAGAAAAAAATGTATTTTGTATATCAGGCTTTATTTTATACTCCACTTGATTTTAATTTACGCATTCAAGTTCTTAGGTCTGCTTTAAGATTTATAATAAAAATTATAAAATAGAGACCAATATTTAATCTTTGTAGATGAAAATACATTACGAATAATCACTTTGTCTTATATTCTTCAAAAGAATAATAATGATAAGTTCTTGCTTTGGTATTTAAGGTGCATTTGGTGGAAAATACCTGTATTTATTTATTTTCTACAGTTGAAATAGATAGAATATTTAAGAGCATATAAATAGATGATGAAAAGTAAAGAATAGAAGCAATCAATTGCTCACTTTCCTTTGATTTTACTATAATTTATGAACAGGCTTTTCATACTGTAATAGTTTTTTTAATATTCCTTTTCGTAATTTCTCTCTCTCTCTCTCTTTTAAGACGTCTTCTAATTCTTTCTTTCAGTTACTTCTTATATAGTTACCACAGATCTACACTTCTTTAGACTTCGATTTTTTTTTAAACTCATGCAAGTTCATCTTCCAACTTTTCCTTGTGAGATAGTTGGTGGGATTTCCTTTTCAACTCAGAATGTTCAATATACAGTATTACTTTACTGCCATGAGGCATAATATATGTATATAGCATTTCTTTTATATTTTGTTGATATGCTTCAGAACGGGTTATCCTATATGTTAAAACTTTTTGTTTATGGACGATTATAATGATATATTGCTTCACCATTACCAAACGCGAAAGAAATAAATTTACCTTTATATTATTTCAAAGGCTAGTATATGTTCTAGAGCAATTTATTTCAATTAGCTTTTTATTATTACTATTATTATTATTATTATTATCATTGTGTATATTTGTATATATCTATATATGTATGTATATTATGATGCACACTATGTTTTTTTTTTTTTTTTTTTTTTTTTTTTTTTTTTTTTTTTGCCCCAGACCTTTAGTACCTGAAGTGAAACAATTTTGCATACTTGATGCTATATGAAAGAAGGGTTATACTTAAAGCCGTATCGCTCTAAAAAAAACACTTCCATAAAAGTAATCTCTAAAAGACACAATAAATAAATAAATAAAATAAAATAAAATAAATAAAATAAGTCAATAATAGAGACAATGGCTTTAATTTATCTAATTATAGTAATATTCCACCTCTACATAAGACGCTTTTTTTTTAATATTAAATTCGAAACTACTATTTGTAAGGTAGAAGAACACTCAAATAACTAAATCAAATCTGAAGCAACTAATCAACATTGTGAATTTAATTAATATTAGACACGTTTTTAGCTACTATAACTATCACAGTAATGCAATTTTATTCTTATAGAGTTATCAGCTTATCAATTCAGGAGAGTACAATATAATATTTACTTGGTGCCACTCCCATTTTCATTGGGATACAGATATAGTGCACAAACAATAAGCATATAAAGAAAAAAAAAAAGGTCGGTATCAATGTTCATATAAATAACTGAATAATATGCGTTTACATGATCAACAAAAGAGTCTGTTAAACTTACTAAAATAAATAAAACACACACACTATTGTAGAGAAAATAATTTCTGAAACCATTTGTGTTGTTTTTTTTTAATTAATATTCAATTTATACTTCACCATTTTTAGTTGATTATTATTAAATCACAACTGCTATTTTTAAGTGACACCCTTCTCCTCCTATCCTCCTAAAATAATTCAAAAAAAGTATATATTACACTGAACTCCTAATTATTAAGATAATCTTTTTTTTTTCTTTTTTTTTATTTTATTTTCTTTTCTTTTATAACATATTAAACAAAGATGACCAAGTTTACAATTTTGTCTATTTATGCTGCATTAGCAACTCTCTTCTGTATAGTCCATGCTCAACAAGGTATTCTTTGATGATTTATTGAAAAGATATAACTTTAAATAATGACTATATACGTACAATAATATATAGCCACACCAACTTTACCAAGTGGTATCTCTATTCCTGAGGGGCTTCTTAGTGAAATTCCATCAGGTGCTATCCCTACAGATATCGCAAGCATGATAAACAGTTTAATCCATAATCCCAGCGCGGTTAAGTCATATATCTCAATTGTAAGTACTATTAACTATTTTTTTTTTTTTAAAAAAAAAATATTATTTGTTTAAAAGGAGAATCCTAATTTTGAAAATAACTATTATATATAAAAAGGCATCTAAGCAAGTTAGTCTTCTTCCAACTCAATATCAAGCTTCAGCTTATAGTGACTTGGCTGCTGCTAGTAATGAATTGAATTCTTTAAATCAAGCCAAGCCTACTGGTTCAACAAATCAAACTTCTGCTGGCAATCATTATGTTATTTGTAATTATTCTTTCATTACCATGTTTGTAATAACTGCAGTTATGATGATTTCATTTATGTAAATATGTTAGCTATTCCCCCCCTCAAAAAAAAAAAAAAAAAGGATTTCAACATTTTAGATACAAAACAAATTTATGTGAATATATTAAATTTCATTTTATAATATATTATTTATAAAATAAGCTTATATGTCTGGCAAAAAGATCCAATTCACGTGTGTGTATATGTGAGGAAGGTGGAAAGAAAGAAAGAAAGAGAGAGAGAGAAAGAGGGAATGAAGAGAAATGTTAAAAAAAAAACAAAAATAGACTTTATTTGATATGTAGATTGTTTTAGTTTACTTGGATTCAGCTAAACCTACTCTGTTGTTACCAAGATCATAAATACTATAAAACTTGCGAAGGAAAACATCGCCTACAATCCAAAGAGGACCAGCGGGTTCAGGAATATCCATACCCATAAAACCAGAAATACATTGATTTTGTACTTGAAGAACATAGTCCTTACCCTGTAAACAGAAATCCTTGCCAGCAAAGACGAAACAAAATTCGGGGAGGGAAGGAACATTTGAGCAATCAAGGATATATTGACCAGCCCAGTTCTTTTTAGCACCCAATTCATGGTTAATCAAATCAGCAATTGTAGTAGGAGCAATTAGAAGTGAAGAACCTGTATCGATAGCAGCACCGACAGGATCTAAATCGATGTATTCATCACCAAACTTAATATTTTCCAATTCAATTTCCCAGTAACCTTTTCTTCTAATAGGGGCCCAAGTAATGTTGCCCTTATAATGATCAGGATTAACACCACCAAAGACAAGTTCACCACCCTCTTCCTCACCCCCTTTATTAACATCATTCAACCAAAATGAAAAGAGTTGTTCATCTACCAAATCTCTGTTGACCATATGATAGAAAGGGGGGACTGTATGTTGAACAGAGATGGTATCATAACCAAGACCAAAGATACCATCAAAACGAGCCAAGGCAAAAGTGAAGCCGGGCTCCTTTACAGACTCTGCAAAGCCTTGATCCTCTATCTTAATTCCACCTACACGAAGTGTATCCTGACTAATGAAGCCTTCCAAAGAGCCTGTACCATATTGAATAGAAAACTCGGTACCATTTTCAGCAAACGTACTTGATTGAGAAGAGTCATAACGACGATGCATAAAACAAGCAATTGATTTACAATGAGTTGAAGGGACCCAAAGGTTTGAAGAGCCTGTATCAAATACAACAGAAAAGGTTTGGGGAGGAGTACCAATTTGGATGTCACCGTAATACTATTATTTTTTATTATGATTATTAAAAAAAAAAAAAAAAAAAAAAAAACCAATAACAATAACAATAACAATAATTTGTAAATAGATGATGTAGTTATTATAAATACTAATTTTTTTTTCCTCTTTACCTGAGCATTCATATAATTTGAAATAGGAACACCATGTTCTACGCTTCCATCAGGCTTAGCTTGGAAAGGAAGAACATTATTTTGTTGACGTTGAGAACCAAAATATTTTTGAGTTAAATATTCACCGGTATTAGCATATCGTTGAAATTTTTCAGAAGGTGATTCTTGAATTTTTTTAATGGGAATCCTGGATACAAATTTATAAAAAATATTAATCTCCTGTAAAACTTTTATTTATGCAAGAAAATAAATGGCATATAAATATTACCTAGAAATAGCAGCCTCAGAAACAGTAGCAAGTAATGTAGCTACAATAGCTGATAAAGCAAAAACTTTCATATTAAAATATATATAAATGTATATAAAAGTATATGTAGGGTTATAAAGATAAGAAGAAGAAAAAAAAATAAAAATAAAAAATAAGAAAGAAAGAAAGAAAGAAAAAAGCAGCCCAATTCTTAAAATTCAGATACACTTTTTGGTAAAATTAAGTCGGCGTCAAAAGTAGTAAAGAATGTTTTGGTATAGGACAGATGAAATAAGCATGACATATATCCACAATTTGAAGCAAAAAAAAAAAAAAAAAAAGGAAAAAAAAAAAAAAAAAGAAAAAGTAAATGTTATATTTGTAGACAGTAAATATCTATCATCTTTTTTTCTTTTTCTTGATTTAATCTTGATTTTAGCCTGCTTTTTGTATATAAATAAATAAATGAATTTGTATATTTTTAAAAAGTAAGTAACAAAGCGTTGTTTCTAAAATACCAAGGAAAACATATATGCATGAATAAATTCGAATGTTATTTACCCCAAGTCATGAACCTGAAATTTTCTTTTTGTATAATCCTACAAAAAGCTCCTCAAGACTATTTTTGAATAAATTATATCATCACTAATAAATACTCAATATATATTTAAACATGAATAATAAGAAACTAAGCATGAAGGAGCCATCCGTGCAAATTTTATTACAAAATCATTTTTGTCCGGAAGAGAAAAAAAATCAGATATAGTTGTATTATAAAAGAATAAAAATGAACTTAGAACTTCATGTCGTGAGGGAATTGACCCTTAGTCAAACCGAAGGTAGAAGCCAAGTATTGACGAAGGAAAGGAGTCTTAGCGACAACTTCGAGAAGAGCCTTGTCAATAGCCTTTTGATCAGCAGCCTTAGATTCGGGGAAGGCAGCCTTCTTTTGTTCACCTTCAAGGAAAGCCTTTTCAGCCTTAGCAGCGGACTTCTTGAAGTAAGCATCATTGAACTTCTCATCAACCTTGACAGAGGAGATGTCGAGCTTGGTGGAGGTGGCGATGACGTAAGCTTGGTTGACACGTCTGAGAGGAACACCGTTGACCTTGAAAGGACCAGTGACAAGGAGAAGACCGGAGTCGAGTTGCTTCAAGACGACAACACGCTTACCACGGTAACGACCAGCCAAGAGAATGACGACGGTACCAGGGGTGATGGAAGAACGCAAAGCGGTCTTCTTGGCAGTCTTACGGGAAACCTTGGGTTGAGGGACATCCTCAGCAGGGTAGAAACGAGCAGCCTTTTGAGCAGGAATAACACGCTTGTTACCGTTCTTAGCACCCTTAACTTCGACGGTCTTATCAGTAGCAGCTTCCTTAACGGGAGCAGCAACAGCAGTTTGCTTGCGCTTGTATTGTGCCTTCTTGGAGTAGGCAACAGAACGAGAGAAGCGAGAAACGCCAGGAGCAAGGAAGCTATTTCTAGGTGCGTGAGGCATTGTAGCTAAAAAAAAAGGTTGGATAAAAAAATATAAGTATATATTATAGAAACATGTATTTTCCCCAGTTAAAAGTCTATATCCATATTTTTTTTTCTTCATAAATGAATGAGCATTTCAAAAGAATTCTATTTGATTCAATCCATGAATTTAATATGTTGCAGTACAGATTGTAACCCATTGTACTAGAATTAATTATAAATCTAAATGCTGTACATTATATTCAATGTAATTTTGGAACAAGTCAACAATTTAAGTTGAATGTTGAAATTGACATTATTTTGTTCAAGCTGCTTTAATTAATTACCAACATCGAGATTTTTTTTTCGAAAATTTGCAAATCTAGAATGTGCTTCAATTTAGAGTCGATATTTTGCATACTGTCCATGTGTATTACAAGTAATAACGAATGGATGGAAAATCCAAAACGTAGATAGAATGATGATCAAAAGATGGATGTATATAGAAAAAAAGAAATTGCTGGATTTCCTTTTTGTTCATAAACCGAATCAAATAGAAAAAGCTTGTAATGCATCCATTCATCTATAAAGACACCTTCCCACCAAAGTGTCGCCCTTATCCTTACTTTATGAATATGTATATTACCTTTTGGCAATCACGAAAAAGAGGATGATGCGTTAAAGAATTACAACGATTATTTAACAGGACCCCCTTTCTTCTACCCTCCTTCATCTCTTTCCGGTGGTGGCCCGCAAAAAATTGTCGGACAATTAATTATGTATTTATTGATTGGCTTATTGAGAAAAAATTAAAGCTTTTTAACAAACGTCTTTAACAATGATAAGTCTTAAAGCAACCTATGATAACACTTCAAATGGCAAGCATCAGGTGATTGAAGTCCCACACGACTCTGATGTGTTAACTGATTCCGTCAATAAATTAAAAGATCAAATCAATTCCTTTTTAACACATGTTTTAGAAATTGAAAAGCAGGGAAATGCAGTACCGACAGTTGAACAGGATCAAATCGAGAATGAAAAAGAAAATGAGGAGGAGGAGGAAGAGGATAATTCCCCAATGACTGCCAATAAACCAGATTTTGAAGAAGAAAAAGCAACAAAGAAGTTAAAGATGGATTCTTAACAAACGGATTATAGAAATTTTAATAAAAAATATATACATATATAATTTTCTATATTTATTAACTATAAAGGGGAGAAAAATTCATCTCGTATGTATACAACGCACATTTACTAATTGTAATATAACATATATGATATTAGATGAATAATATAGAATAATAAAAAAAGTACATTCGATAGTAGGAAATTTGGATTCATAGGATGTTTGCACTTTTGAAATCATTTGAGCAAACAAAGCCTATATGCCATACAACAGTAGCTGAATATAACGTAAAATGGAAATTGTAGTAGATTGTTCAATGTAATTAAGTGTTATACGTTCCCCAATTAGCGAGGCATCTATAACAAAAAAAAAAAAAAGACATCATACCACTATTTTGATAGAAGTAATTTATTATGAAATAATTATAATTTATATAAAAAAAACAAGTAGTTTTCGTATGCTGTTAATCTTTTACTATATATATTTAGAAGGATAGTAAAAGATAAAGCATTATTAAATATTGTATTCACTCATAATTTGGAAGCAAAGTAGAAAAGTTTGGTAATACTTAACGATTGAAAAGAAAAACAACGACTAACTATAATATTGAAGAATGAGAGTAAAAGTCCTTTTACGAGATAAAGGCAATCATGTTTATAATCAATCAAATAAACATAAATGCTCAATATTATAGGATTTATTAAAAATTTAATGTAAAGATTTATATATAGTACTTAGCTTGTTACCATTATAACTTGCCATATTTCTTTATTATTATCAAAGATTATACTACCCATACTTAGAAAGGTATGAGAGAAAATAAAATAAAATATAGAACTTGTTAACATATATGTACATATCTCGCTTAAAGCATATACTCATACCAAATATAATTCTTCTTATACCTTAATAGTATGTATAAATGTACTATAAAGTTACAATTGTTTCTCCTTTGTATATATGTAAACCAATAGGTAGAGATTATTATCATGCCTTTGTTAACAAAAGCAGGTATTATACATAAAGAGATATATCGCTTACTAATAAAATTATTCAAACATAAGTCTCTTTATTCAACGAGATACTGCTTTCTATAATAATTAATTTTGTTTAATGTACAAAATAGACTAATCTCGATAAATAATGTAAACAAGCTTGAAATGTTATATTCTCATTAATAATATAAACATCTATATATTATCTCTGAAGAGCTATTTTTTTTCTCTTTTATTATTTATTGCATCAAAGGAATAAGTTTTCTAATTTTGAACTTGATACCATTAAGTATAAGTAAATAAAACATTATCTTTTAATTAGAATAGGCTTAAATCAACGTATTGAGCAAGAAGATAATATCCATTATAAACACAAGTTTTCTCAGCAATTCCAGAAGATATCATATTAGTTAATGACTTTATGCCATCACCTAAATAAGGGCTTATTTCTCTTTGGACTTTATACCATTTTTTTTTAATTTCTTTTTGTAATTTATAGAGGCCCTTTAGGACGTTTATCGGACAACCAAAGTAATAAATATTGAGAGCAGTTGCGCCTTTTTTTTTTCATATCTTTAGCTAATTATTATTATTTATATTGTAAAATAAAATAAAATAAAATGAAATTGCTACATTTAATCATCGCAAGGTATAACAGCTAAAAATTAAATGAATAAAAAAGAAACATGTAATAAACTAATTAATGTTTAGCTTTTTAATAACTATAGCAACTGCACTTGAAATTCAGGGTAAAATTATACCAAATGTTATAATCAATGGTAAGATTCATCAAATGATGTAATTAGAAAGAAACAAAAATTAATTTATATTTTTAGATGTGTCAAAGATCGATTCTTCAACAACACGAATTTCACTCAATGGGATGCAATATACAACTCATATTAAAGCAAATGGCGAATTCAAGTTGTAAAATGCAGTTTATTTTATTAATGAGACATATTTTAGCGTGTTAATTATGAGACTAATATATGCTTGTTATTAGTTCTAATGTCGAACCAGGCTCTTATTTACTAGAAGTGCAAAGCATTCAATATATCTTTCCAAAGGTAAACAATTAAAAAATATATTTTTCATACAAATTATTATAATTTGCTCAATCTTCTATATATATATATATAAATATACATATATGTATATAAAAGATGCGCGTCGATATTGATGAGGACAACCAAGTCCACGCTGCTTATTCTGGACTTGCTATTGACTGGAATCAAAAAGGTTACTCAGTTAATTATCCCCTAGAAGTTCAAGCTAAAGCAGAATCAGAATATTTTATGGTATTAAATAATTTGGAAAATGGATACATAAAAATATGTAATAATAATGAAAAAAAAAATTGTTTTTAGCAACGTCAAGGCTTCAATCTGATGGGAATGTTTAAAAATCCTATGTTTTTGATGCTTGGTTTTAGTGCAATTATGTTATTCTTTATGCCCAAAATGATGAATACATTACAAAATATGGGTAAGTATTTATAAGCTTATACAAAATACATGATTGTTGAATATAATTCAATAGACCCCGAAGCTTCAGAGGAATTTAGTAAATCTCAAGCAGAAGCGCAGAAGATATTAGCAGATATGCCAAGTTTATCACAAATGTTTGCTAAAAAATAATTTACTAGAATAAAAATTATTAAGTAATAAGCCAAGCATTTTCAGTACAAAAAAAAAAAAAAAATAAATAGTTTTATCTAATACGCACAATGATCATGCTAGGCGGGGCCTAAAATGAAAATACTATTAAAAACAGTCTGGGGAATATTATTTATTTTCTATTTTTCTATTTTTTTAATCAAATGTCTCCTGCTATTAAATTTATTAAGCCATTTATTAAGCCATTATTTCTCCAGAATAAACCCTCTTTAAGTTTAAATACTCGAGCTATTTCAAGGTTTTATACTACAGTCCCTAAAGCCGAGATAGCTTCAGTAGGAGATGATTCCCTTCAGGTCAAATGGTCAAACCAACCAGATACGTCTGCGTATAGCTATTTATGGCTAAGAGATAACTGCCCCTGTCAGCAATGCCTTCATCCTTCAAGTCTTCAAAAGCTTCATTCCTCAGCAGATATTCCCTTGGATATTAAGCCAGTTCAAGTTAAATCTATTGGCGAAGAGGAACTCGAGATTATATGGAATCAACCTTTGAGGCATGGTCAAAAAGATGTTAACCACACTAGTCGTTTCCCAGTCGAATTCTTACAGCGCTATCAGTCAAATAAAGCAAGTGAGAAGTTTAGATTTAATCATATTCAACCTCAAACTTGGAATGCAAGCGAATACAATCTTGACTGGGTTACTTTCGAAGATTATATGAACACGGATAAAGGTCTTCATACTATCGTACAACGTTTATACAATAGAGGGCTTGCATTTATCAAGGATGTTCCTTTAAAAGATGAAGCCTGTACTCAAGTTGCTGAAAGAATAGGTCCAATCCAGGAAACATTCTATGGAAGAGATTTTGATGTCAAGAACGTAGCCAAGTCCATCAATATAGCTTACACAAGTTTGTATTTAGGTTTTCATATGGATCTTATGTAAGACAAATTATAGTAATAATAATAATAATAATAGCGTATTTATAATATATAATCTGACTTTAAATATTTATCCGTTCTAAAAAGGTATTTAGATAGCCCACCAGGAGTTCAGCTTTTACACAGCTTAAAGAATACTGTCACTGGAGGTGCCTCTATCTTTGTCGATTCTTTCCGTGCTGTTGAATTATTGAAGCAAAAACACCCAGAAGACTATGAAATCCTTAGGAATACTCCTATTACCTTTCATTATAATAATAATGGTCATCATATGTATTATAAGAGACCTACTATTGTAACAAATGAACTTCATAGTGGTCCTGCATGGGAAACGCATGTAAATTATGCTCCTCAATTTCAAGGTCCCATGGATGATCTATCACCATCTGAAGCAAAAAAATTCTATAGTGCTTTCCAAAGATTTGCAGATTTTATTGAAGACGATTCGTTACGCTTTCAGTTAACACTTCAACCAGGTCAACTTGTTTTGTTTGCTAATAGACGCGTATTACATGGTCGTACCTCTTTTGATCCTGCAAGTGGTGATAGACATCTTAAAGGAACTTATTTGAATTTAGATTCTCTTAAAGATAAACTTCGAGTGTTAAATGCTCAATATGGTTTCAATCCTCAAATCTAATAAAATAATTATTTTTATTTTATTTCTATAAATGTATCTATATATTCTAACCAAAAAAAAAGGGAGGCAAAACAAAACAAAAGGGAAATGATTACATTTTTTTAAATTTAGCTTGAACAAAGATTCTATCGATTCTCTTTTCCATGCTTCGATTAATTGTTTCTCTATACACATATTGACATTCTACAGTACTAAAACCTTCTGACTCAAATCTAGTCTTTAAATCTTCTTGAGAGAAGAAGTAACTCATCGTTCCATCTTGACGCACATAAAAATTATTATCTAAACGTTTGTCTGAGGCAGCACTAAATTTGACTTGTGCTTCATCATAAATACCATAATCACGAAACAGAACAAGGCCACCAGGTTTCAGCACGCTATAAATATTTTTGATAGCAGTTTCCATTTTTTCTGGTGGAATAGCTGAAAAGACAAAAATGGCAGACACCTGTAAAAAAATAGTGGATTTCGTAAATAACAATGTATGCATATATAATATTTCATTTTTCTTTACCAAATCAAGAGAATTTTCAGGAATATTATCTGTTAATTTATCAGCAGTAAGATCGCACACAAATGCTTTACAACGAGATTCATTATAATTGTCATTTGATTTCACCATGTCTACTGCACGTTTGGAGAAATCGCAAGCATAAATAAATATTGCGGGATTTTCTGCTATTAATGGAAAAACAAAATTGCCTACACCACAACCAATTTCTAAACATTTTTGTTCTTTTGATTGATCTGCAAGTTCTTTAAATTCACGATCTGTCCAATGACGATCTAATAATAATTATAAAAACAAATGGTGAGAAAGGATAAAGAAAACAAAAATGATATATATTCATACCTTTAAAAAATTTTGTAGTATTTCGTTTGTAAAAGAGATCCCAATTTTTAGCTGCTTCCTTTTTATATTTTGCTTTCCAGAATTCAGGTACTTCTTTTTCGTCTTTTTCGATGATTTCTTTTGCTCTTTTTAAAAGTTTTTCTAAGCGTTCATCTTCAATACAATTATCATAGCGTCGTTCTAGTTGTGATGGTGAATCAGACATGATTTATTCTACAAAAAAAAAAAAAAAAAAAAAAAAAAAAAAAAACTGCTTCAAAATTTTCTCTTCCTTTTTTTTTAAAGTCAGTATTATATATAAAAATTGATCAATTCTCTACATTGCATATCTATCCTTTCGCTACTAGTTAAATAATATTATTTTACTCTTTCCTATATTTCAATTCATCTATAATATTTTTTTTCTTTAAAAAAGAAACAAAATCAACATTAGCAGTAGTGATTAAGTTATGCTGTAATCAATATAGCTTTATAGAGTAGTTATATAATATACAATATACTAAGCCTTATTATGTAATGAATATTAGCATATAATATATTGCTTTTAGCATAATAAATAAACTATGCATACAGTAAATTTTGTTAATAATGATTCACCTTCGTAGTCAACCAAAAGTTTCCTCTTTTTTACTGTATATAAAAGACGAGACACATCATTTAATTTTATTTGTCTAGAAAACCATCCCTTTTCTTCTCTTCTCTCAAAATATAAGTTCAATTATGAAGCTTATTAAACAATATTCAATAATTTAATTGAATTAACAAAAGATATACTATAATTGTTTATTAATTAAACATCAGGTAATTTATAATACAATTTTAAATAAATGGGTAAATAATTCTGTAAAGAATACATGTATATATTATAATCCTCTATATAATCTTATCATCTTCTTTTTCTCTTCCACCTTTTTTTTTTTTTTTTTTTTTTTTTTTTTTTTTTTTTTTTTTTTTTAGAAACGTAAATCCCAACCAATCATAGGACCTAATTTAGGTAATACTTCAGTAACGGTATGCATATCCTTGTCACCTCTACCAGAAAGACAAATAACAATATCTTTATCCTTAGGGAGTTGAGATGCTATTTGATACGCAACATAGACAGCATGTGAAGATTCAAGAGCAGGAATGATACCTTCTAATTGAGTTAATTTCTTGAAGCCGAGCAAGCATTGAGCATCATCAGCAACATGATACTCAGCTCTACCACAATCTTTCAAATAAGCATGTTCAGGACCTACACCTGGATAGTCTAAACCAGCGCTAACAGAATGTGTTTCAATAATTTGACCTTTAGGATCTTGCAAGAGATATGTACGCGTACCGTGGAGTACACCAGGAGTACCCTTAGTAAGTGTAGCAGAATGTTTTTCGGTATCAATACCATCACCTCCAGCTTCAACACCAATGATTCTAACTGATTTATCATCAACGAAAGGATGAAACATACCAATTGAATTTGAACCACCCCCTACACAAGCTACAACAGCATCAGGTAATTTACCAGCTTTTTCAAGCATCTGTCGCTTTGTTTCTTTACCAATAACAGATTGGAATTCACGAACAATTTGAGGGAAGGGATGTGGTCCGATAGCAGAGCCAACAAGATAATGTGTAGTAGAGACATTAGCAACCCAATCACGCATAGCTTCGTTAATAGCATCTTTAAGTGTTCTTGATCCATTCTGTACAGGAACAACAGTAGCACCTAACATTCTCATACGGAATACATTAAGAGCTTGACGACGACAATCTTCTTCACCCATATACACAACACATTCTAAACCAAACTTGGCACATACAGTAGCAGTAGCTACACCATGTTGACCTGCCCCAGTTTCTGCAATAATACGTTTCTTGCCAAGGCGCTTAGCAAGTAATATTTGCCCAACTGCATTATTAATCTTATGAGAACCTGTATGATTCAGATCTTCACGCTTTAACCAAATTTTTGCACCACCAGCATCTTCAGTTAAACGATTGGCAAATTGAAGTTGAGAAGGACGAGAGATATAATCATAATAAGACTCAAATTCTTCCTTAAATGTAGGATCTTCCATGGCTTCCTTGAAGCATATTTCAAGTTGAGTAAGACAATCGACAAGAGCTTCAGGAACATAGGCGCCACCAAATTCACCAAAGCGAGGATCCAATTGATAAAAGTTCTTGATATCATTAGGAGAAAAGGGACCACGTCCTGCAGCATCATTCACTTCAAGATCAGCAAGACCAGTGTGTGAGCCAGCTATGGTCTTAATAGGCTCAGTACGACCCGTGATTTCAGAAGCGTATCGCTGAACAATCTCTGCCACATCTTTCTTTTCAGCAACAGCATCTCTGATAATAGTGATAAGACGAGAACCAATAACAACACCTTCAGAATGAGCACCTACTTGAACAAAATGCTCACGTGTAGAGACACCAAAACCTACAGCCAAGGGAGCATCGGTATATTTCTTGATACGGGATACAATAGAAGGTAACTCATCGCTAACGGTATCTTTAGCGCCTGTTACACCCATACGAGAAATAACATAAATAAAGGAATCAGCAATTGTAGCAAGTAATTCAATACGAGCTTCGGTAGTAGAGGGTGCAATCAAAGGAATATAAGACAAGCCGTACTTGTAACAAATATTACGGAAATTATGAGATTCCTCAGGGGGTAAATCAACTAAAATATAACCATTGACTCCAGCCTCTTTACAATCTTTAACTATCCTTTCCTCTCCATATGCAAGAATTGGGTTATAATAGCCCATAAAAACAACAGGGATTGTTAATCCACAAGCACGAGCATCACGAACCATTTGAAGACACATAGGAATATCTGTGCCATGTTTAAGTGAAGCCTGTACAACAAATAGATCATATACATGAAATGAGTTATATTAAGTCATATTATCATTGGCCGTATATAATAAACATTAACTTACAGTACTAGCATATTGGATAGTAGGGCCATCAGCAAGGGGATCAGTAAAAGGAATACCTAATGTTTCCGAATATAATGATTAGTTATTTTGATATTCTTTCTATAGTGCTTTATTCTTCCGGATACATGTATACACTCTTCTTGATAACAATAATAATAATAATAATAAAAAGCATGGGCATACACACGCACACACACACATTCTCTCTCACTCCCTGCATATTCAAAACATATCTTTTATTTTTTTTATTTGAAAAGGAGTATTCTTACCTAACTCAATAACATCAGCTCCTCCTCGTTCCAAAGCCAACATACTTTCTACGGTTTCCTTAGGAGTGGGGTAACCAGCAGTAAGAAAAGTGACAAAAGCAGGACGATCTAATATAAATTTAAAAGATTAGCTAATGTCAAATGAAACCATGCTAATCATTATGTATTTTTTTTTCTTCTTTTTTTCTTAAAAAAAAACAAAATAAAGTATCTTACTTTGCTGTTTAGCTGTTTTAAATGCGTGACGAAGACCAGCAGACATTGTTTGAAGAATAAAACGAGAAAAAGATAAAGTTTATGTCAAATTAAAATCAGTTTATCTAATTAATTTAAATGCTGCTTTATAGAATAATTAACCAATTAAAATTTGAGTATGAGTCAGGATTAATATTGGTCATAAGCCTTCGCACTTAAATCCTTTAGACCGAGAATATTAGCACTAAAAATTTAAATCCTCTAAACCTTTCTTGCCATTTAACTCCTGTAGATCAAATATCCTTCTTTGACTATTTTTTATTTTTATTTTATTTTTTTTAAAAGAAAATAATTGGATTACTATACGCTACATTTGTTGTAAACATTATTCGACCTTATTATAATCACTTCTAAACAAAAAGCACAGGGTGTTCATTAATAAATAAAGAATATATTTTATGTACTAATACAAGTATTAAATAAGAAAAAAGAAAAGAAGCTTTATGCAGCCAATATACATGTTATTGAGGTTAGTTTTTATTAGAAAAAAAAATTATAAATATATATAAATGTATACATATTATATGTTTATATGGTAATGTAATTACTATATTACTATGGTAGTTAACTTCTCTTATTAATGGCTTAAAGCCATATAATTTTGTGCTTGGAGAGGTCCAAATGATGTAGTCTGTCCGGTTAATGAATTATTCAAAACAGCTTTGTTGTTGCCTTCATCTGGTGGTAAGAAAATAACTCTAGCATTTTCTGTTCTGGATATACTATTCAATGTTTCAAGATATCTAATTTGCATTGCTGAAGGAGTACTTAATATATCTGCTGCTTCTCTCATAAGTTTTGCTGAATCAACCTCTGCTTTTGCAAAAATAATCTTTGATTCTCCTACCCTCTTAGCTTGTGCTGCGGCAGAAAGTGATTTTTGTAGTTCTTTGGAGAAGTTGAAGTCTTTAATTAAAATAGATTCAATCTATTTATAAGTGTAAAAAAAAACATGCATACATTTTATCAATATTTATATACATGTGTATATGATTAAAAATTATTTAGATTACCCTAACTCCCCATTCTGTAGCTACACGTCCAGTAATTTCTTCTACTTCTTGAGCAATAGCATCTCGATTTTCTACACATTCTTGTAATGTTTTTCCACCAAAAATATGACGAAGTGTAGTCTGGGTTCTATTATATATTTATATGTATCTATTCATGGGCACTTTATATACATGTATATAAATTACCTTTCTATTAAAGCTTTTTTAACGTCTCTCACTCCAAATGAAGCTTGGTATGGATCAATAATGTGCCAATATAAGACACTATCAATAAGTATTGTAATATTATCTTTTGTCATCACATATTGAGATGGAATATCGGCCACCTGAATTTTAACATCGACTCTTTTAATGGATTCAGTAACAGGATTAATCTATAGTATATTTTTATGTAAGCATTATATATATAGATATATATATTGTCCGTGCTCTAGATTCACTACTGTTACGTTCATACCTTGGTAAGACCTGGATCAACACACTTATAAAATTTGCCAAATCGAGATATGAGACCAACACTTCCTTGATCCACTGGCTTGTATGGATTAGGAAACCCAATACAACATGGAATCTACATAATCCATTAACATTCCATAAACTAGTATATGTGCCTTATATACTTACAGCTCCTATAGTACCAAGAATACTACCGATAGTATTCATCATCGTACCGTACCATCCCTAATAATAATAATATATATACATATTATAACAATAACAAGTCTATTAATTTCGTTTCTTTTTTTTTTTAATAATAATTCATAAACAGGTATCAACATACATGCTCAATAGTACTAATATCAAGTTCTAATGCAAAACTAGGTTGCCCTTTAGCTTCTTCAAACTGTTCTCTTTGATGTGAAATTGAATTATTATGATATGAAGGACTACTTGTAGAAGCAAAATCATCTCGTCTTTTAATTGAACTTGTTAAAGGGGTACTGTCGGTTACGTGTTCCATTATAATTTATGAAATAAAAAAAATAAATAAAAAGAAAGAAAGAGAGGAAAAAGGATAAAAGGACAACTGCTAAATAATTGTGTGAAAAATTATAGTAACCATAATTAAAAGTTAAACATACTAAGCTATTCCTTTCTTTTTTTTTTTTTTCAATGTAAAAATTGGCTCAGCTATTGGAAATCTTATCATAATAAATCGTGTAACTTGCTGAGCCATGAATCATTCCATTCATGCACATAGTACATAAAATTGGATACTCTCAAAGTTACACGGCTTAGCAAAAGACTTGAAATACCACTGCTTAGCTTTTTTTTTGTTCCCCGCAAATTATAATGCAATACAAGCAAGATATATCTTTACGAGTATTTTTTTTTTTTTTTTGTATTTATCTTTGCATCTTTTCTCTCTTCCTTTTTTTAAAGAAAAAACCGTTTCTTTTCTTTTCCATTATTTAATTTTTTTTTAACAAATGAATTATCCTAAAGCAGGTAAAATAATATAAGATCAATACGTTTCGATTTATTAATAATATATATATATCTATAGAAGGTCTCGGTGCCGGCATTGCTGTTCGTGGCGTTCAAGCTTCATATGCAAAAGAACTTGATATTAGCAAAGATATCCCACATGTAATTTGATATATTCCTTGCGCCTTATGTGTTTTGTTTTGTTTTTTTTTTTCGCTTAGAAAAAGAAAGAAAGAGATACTAATTTTTTTTTCAATAAATTATTTTATATAAAAAGGGAATATATGAAACAATGATGACTTGTCTTGGTAATTCACTTGGATTCTTTGGATCGGTATAATAACAATTAAATAGTATTTAAACATGACAGTATAATTTATGATTTTATTTATACAGTTTCCATGTATAGTGTGCTGTCCTAATCCTTATAAACAAATTCGACAAGGTAAAAAAAAATAAATAAATAAATAAATCAAAAGTCCTATATTTATTTATATATGTGTGTATAAATAATGCTCATATTGAATCAGGCGATGTTGGGCTTGTTGAAAAGTTTGGTAAATTCTATAAATGTGTTGATCCTGGATTAGTTAAAGTGAATCCTGTTACGGAAGATTTGAAAAAAGTCGATATTACAATTCAAGTTACTGAAATTCCTAAGCAGGAAATTATTACAAAGGTATATTTGTTAATACTATAGGGTTAGAAGGACAATCTTAAAGTAAATGTCTTTCTTATTAATCATTTTCTTCCTATACTTTTTTTTAAATAGGATAATGTGAGTATAAGTTTAGAATCTGTTATTTACTGGCATGTTGTAGACCCTTATCAAGCAATCTATGGTGTTGCGGATGTAAATCATGCCTTGATAGAAAGGTATATGTATAAAATGGAATTTAATTACTTTTGGACAAAACTAACTGAAAGGGAACGCTAACCTTTTTTTTAAAAAAAAAACGTAATAGAGCAAGTACATCACTACGTGATGTTTGTGGTGGTCATTCAGTTCAAGATCTTATTGAAAATAGAGAGGCTATTTCTGAAGAATTACATGAAATTATAGGTCCAATTGCTAAGAGTTGGGGATTAAAGGTAATTATTTTTTTTTCTTTTTAACCAATCTGATATTAAATAGCTTATGATATGAATATGTATATATTATTGCATGATTGTTTAGATTGAATCTACACTTATTAAAGATATTGGACTCTCTCAACAATTACAGGCATCACTCTCCTCAGCAGCCCAGGCTAAAAGGTTGGGTGAATCTCGAGTAATTACTTCTAAGGCTGAAGTGGAGGCAGCCAAATTAATGCGTGATGCTGCTGATATTTTGAATACACCAGCAGCAATTCAAATACGTTATTTGGAAACTTTACAATCTATGAGTAAAAATAGCTCTGGCCCTACAACTATCTTTGTACCTCTTCCTCAGCAAAAAATAAATTAAGATAATAATCATAATAATTATAAACATTAATACGACTATCTATTTGTATGCGTGTATTTTTAAGAAATCCTAGTATTTATACATGTATAGGACTATAGTATTATATCTATTTTGAAAATAAATTTGGAATTTTTAATAAAGTTATTTGCTGATGAAAGATCATATGATGCATACTATTTTCTATATTTTAAAGTAATCTCTATTACCACCATCTTATTCAACTAAAAAAAAAAGTATTTTAATTGTAAATAGATTATATAAATCTTAAAACTTCCTTCTACTATACTAGATTGTTTATCTATTCATTTACAAGTAACTTTAACTTTTAGAATATGTATATGTGTATATAAATATTTGCAAACTATGCTTATACTAAACATAATAGGAGTTATTTCTTTACTTTGGCTTGAATAAAAATAAGTAAGTATAATTACTATTTAATCACTATTGAAAATGCATTTAATCATAGTAAAGTGCCATATCTACTGTGGTTCTGTAAACGAGTTTAATCCAGCAAGTGTAGACATTATTACCATGTAAATATTCAAATTTAGCATTAAGCCAAATTGTTAGATCTGTTGAATATACTACTACTAATGTTATAATCTAAGTGATATATATACATAGTTATATATATACTCTTTAATGATATTTTGTATATCCATCTTACATTATAATTGTAGTAATACCTTGATAATTTATTATCAAGAATAATTCATATAATCTTTATACTGTAGCGGAGGCTTATTTTTTTCTTTTGATATAAAAACATTTGTTTTAAAGAGATTGATATACTAATTCTATGTAATATACATATATGTATATTTGTGTATGTGTGTGTATATATATATTTATGTATTGAATAGTAGTGCATATAAATTTAGAGTAGTTATAGGTAAATGTATTGCAAAATTATACAAAGTTATTTATCGTGCATTAGATATACATTATATTGTAATCGGGAATTTTGATTTCGAAAAAAAAAAAAGGGGGTCGACATATCTTACGTAATCCGGAGTTTATTTTTCTTTTTATTTTATTTTACAAACTGCTAAGGATATACAGATAACTATATAATAAAAAGCCAATGACCTGTAGAGTCGCATATGATCTTATAAGTAATGAAAGCATTTATATTAGCCTATTCATATATATATATATATATATATATATATTTGTAAAATATTATATAATGAAGAGCAGATATATTTCACTATGTATAATCTAAAAAAAAAAATCCAAATAAAAAAACAAAACAAAATTTAAATTGTATAACTAATACTGTATTAAGCTTGATTGTGTCATACTATTACTGTTAAATAGTTTCCTGGGTACAGTCAAAGAAACTAGGTTGGGTCAATAAAAAATTTTTTTGACCATTTCCAAAATAAATTGGGATAGGGTTGCAAAATTAGGACGCCAATATGAAAATGGGACATTGGTACGAAAATAGTACACAGAAGGGAATATGGGAAATTAAGATACTTTAGTTTGTTTAGTCAAATCAAAATTGTTACAACTTCTTACCTGTAACATCATTAAGTCGTCGGTTCACCGGAGTGAGCCGGGACAACCACATTGGAGGTGGCGGTTTGTCGTTTGAAGACGATGGGGCGGTCATTGTCATTCCATATAGACTGAGCTATGTAAAATATATTTTTGCTGGCCATTACATCTCGAATCCAAAAGGTATTGCAAGTTTTACACTTCAATACTTGATGGATTTTTTTTATCATGGTCATCTTCCCTACACTTCAGATTTTCTATATCATTTTTAAAGCAAGAATTGCAGATCTGTGAAGAATTGGTTTTAGCTGAAAGTGCAATATGTAAACTATGTGTTATTTTCTTTCTTAATAACCTTTGATGTATTAAATTCATTGATGTTTAGTAGCAAGAGTTCTCCAAGCCTTTGCCTTGTTTTTAATTGTTGATGTATTTTATTAGATACGTCATGACGGAGACCTTTGAACTTGATATGATCCTTGTTTTTTTAGTCCGTCACCAAGGACCACCAGAGGCATCTTGCTGCTGTTTCCCTTTCCAAAACAGACTTTGTTGTTTCTGCTGTAAGCTACAGATATAATAATTAGAGTTTACTGAAATAATATTAATAATAAAAAAAGTGTATACCTTTTTGATTTTGGGATGGTGGTGAGTGTTCTTTCTTCTTGAGCAGTACGAGGCTTACGAGTTTTCCTCCTTCTCTTTCTGTTTTCCTTTGTCTTCTTTCTCCTGCTTTTATTATACTTCTTTCCACCATTTATTAAGATGTTGACACTTTCTTGGATGGCTTTTTGGGAACTAAGATAGTTCAACCATTTAATCTTAGAAGCTTCAAAGCCATAGAAATTAAGCAAAGTATTCATGTGCTGTAGCATGTGAGTTATGTACAAAACAAATTGTTCTACAGACGCAGTTTTAGGCGAAGGAATGTCTGTTTCAATCTTTTCAATACCTAATCTCTGTTTGCGCTTCTGTTGCTCTTTCATTCGTCTTACACTTCCACCCATATTGTAATATTCGATTGAGGACAAGCGACGTATGTCAGTGCCACCGTGATAAGAGACGAACGGATCCCGTCTTCCTGGGTCTACAGTACATGGACAGAAATGCTTGTCCACCTCTTCGCTTGTAAAATCGTTCAACTCTAGACAGATATTGTCTTCTGGTGATGACGGAAGCGCTTTTCTAGCAAATAAAACTCTGCATGTGTAGCCATCAGTATACAATCCATTGAGAAACATCTTTCCTTTTTGTTCAGGCAGTGCTTGAAGCTTTTCACAACTATATATTTTTTTTCGTCAGTAATTTGATTTATAGATATATGTAATAGTAATGTATACCTTTGAATGCCCAGCTTCTTAAAGTCAAACATTTGATAGAAGCATCTTTGTTTATGATCGAAAGGAGATGATTCATTAGTTTGCTTTTTTTTGTTTAGCATCTGGGAAAATTCCGGTTAGGTTCTGAGCATTAATCTTTATGAATCGCCAGTGCAATCCAGGATTTGGGAATAGACTAAAACGTCTTGGAAGTAGGGACTTAATCAAATCGCTTTTGTCATTTTGAGGAGTTTGGGCCTTGTATATATCATCATATTTTTTTAACGATATGCCCTTAATGCGGATAGAATTTTGAAGGGTTCATTGTTTAAGCTTTCTTTAGACACTGGAAGCTTGGACATGCGATTCTTCACTTCTGAAATCAAAGGATTTAAGAAACTTGGGAGATTATTGGCCACATCCGGATCAGAAGGGGCAAGAATATCATTAGGTATAGAGGATGACTGGGAATGTGTAAGCACTTGATCATATACATGATTATATATCCAAGTTCTTGATACAGCCAACTTTCGCATTCTAGTTTATACAATTTTAGTATAAAAAAATTTGAGAAACTGAACATGTATATCAAAGAGTTTGTTTTTATCTCTCGCTGCTTACTGGGTACTTCGTCCTTAATATACAAACTAGAAAATATACTCAGTGTAAAATGTGTCATATTGTAATGAAAGCTATGACGTGAAGTCTTGTTATTATAATTGAAGAGAATATATCTTTTGATTATTTAAATTCATTTTTATAACTGAGCAGAATTACTTCAGCTATCATTTAAACAATAAAGGCCTTGTTGGTTAAGTAAAAGTTATACACAAATGAATTTTATCTTCGACTCTTAGATCATGAAGTACTAGAATGATACGAGCGCTATAGAGGATAGCTGTTTTTTAGGGTTACAACCCTTAAATCAAGGCAAAAAAAAAATCTTTAAATTTGTTCAGTATAGTCCCACATTCGCGTTCGTGTCCCATATTCTCTTATGTGTTCCATTTTCACACTGATTTCCTATTCTCATACTGGTGATCCATATTCCCTTCTGTGTACTATTTTCGTACCAATGTCCCATTTTCATATTGGCGTCCTAATTTTGCAACCCTATCCCAATTTATTTTGGAAATGGTCAAAAAAATTTTTTATTGACCCAACCTAGTTTCTTCGACTGTAACAAAAGTCTATTGCGGCTTTAATTATCAAGTTGCAATATGAAAATGACTGAGTTTATGTAGCTTGACTGAGCCTTAATTCTTGATCAGTCTTTTTATTTTAAGCCTCAATATTTGAGATAAGAGTCTTTAGAAATAAATAATTTTTATTGGCGAATTAAAGAGATCTAAGTATATCACATCAATAGTATTGAAAATAAGATATATTCATGTCTTTTTTTTTTCCAAATTAATCCGCGGAATTCAATGGTTTGCATATTATACAAATAGTAACAATAAGCTTGATTTATGATATAAAAATAGACTATAAAGAAGCATTCATAAAATGAATAATGACTAAAAATAAAGACTATAACAAATAAAAATAATAAGATATTTGTACATGTGTACATAAATGTATTAAAGGTTTTCCAAACATGAGATTAATAAAAGGAAGATTATTATTACGTAAACTTGGTTAGGGTTAACGTAAAGTTTATATTTATTAATCATTTCCAACTTTTATCCAATAAAATTGAAAACGGTTAAATTGATCAATTCTAGAAAAAGCTATTCCCCCATTTCAAGTCACAAAAAAACAAAAAAAAAAAATCTTATTCAACTACTACAGTAGTAGCAGCAGTAGCAGAAGCAGCAGGTAATTTATGCTAACCAGCACTTTATATCTTACTTTCATATCTTTTAACTGATTTCAGATTCTTTTTATAATAGGATCAGAAAGAAAGAAAAAATAAAAAATATAAGGACTCGATAAAAACGTAAAATCCTTCTACAAGTTGATTTGATAATGTGTCCGGATAACGTATTTCAATTTAGCAGTCCCCTAAAAAAAAGCAGGCGCCCATTAATAGCTTACATCATCCGAGACCTTCACTAAAAATGTTATATATAATGTGTACTTTTTTTTTTCGAGTTTTTATTCTTTCTTTCCTAATTTTTCTTTATTTATTAGGGAAATTTATCTTTAAAAATGGTTGAAGCTGTGTAAGTTATCTCTGTTAATAATTCGAAAAAAAAGAAAAAGAAAAAAGTATCCTTAACGCGTTTATATTATTATATTTAATAGTGCTGATATTGGTCTTATTGGTTTGGCCGTTATGGTAATTATGATGATTTAAACATTTTCTTTTATATATTTGTATATACATATACATGTATAAATATATGAATACTAAATATAGATGCCTATGTTCTTTGAAATAGGGTCAAAATCTTATTTTGAACATGAACGATCATGGCTATGTTGTTTGTGCTTACAACCGTACTACTTCCAAGGTTGACGACTTCTTGAACAATGAAGCCAAGGGTACAAAGATTGTTGGCGCTCATTCTGTTGAAGAATTCTGTGCCAAGTTGAAGCGTCCTAGAAAGGTTATGTTGCTCGTTAAGGCTGGTGCTGCAGTTGACGCTTTTATTGAACAATTGTTACCTTATCTTGAAGAAGGTGATGTTATTATTGATGGTGGTAACTCTCACTTCCCTGATTCTATTCGTCGTGCTAAGGAATTGGAACCTAAGGGTATTTTGTTTGTTGGTTCTGGTGTCTCTGGTGGTGAAGAAGGTGCTCGTTATGGTCCTTCTTTGATGCCTGGTGGTAACTCTAAGGCCTGGCCTGTCATTAAGAACATCTTCCAAGATATCTCTGCTAAGGCTCCTGATGGTGCTCCTTGTTGTGATTGGGTTGGTGAATCTGGTGCTGGTCATTATGTTAAGATGGTTCACAACGGTATTGGTAAGTTTTAAACTATGATTATTCATCAAATGCGCGTCATTATTTGGGAACACGAATCTTAACTTTATTTTTTTATTCCGAATAGAATATGGTGATATGCAATTGATTTGTGAAGTTTATCAAATCATGAAAGAAGGTCTCGGCATGACTCATGAAGAGATGGCTGCCACTTTTGAAGAATGGAATAAGGGTGAATTGGATTCTTTCTTGATTGAAATCACTCGTGATATTCTCAAGTTTAAGGATACTGATGGTACTCCTCTTGTTGAAAAGATTCTTGATACTGCTGGTCAGAAAGGTACTGGTAAGTGGACTGGTATTGACTCCCTTGATCGTGGCATTCCTGTTACTTTAATTGGTGAAGCTGTCTATGCTCGTTGTCTTTCTGCCTTGAAGGGTGAACGTGTCCGTGCTTCTAAGCTCTTGAAGGGTCCTTCCTACAAATTCCAAGGTGATAAGGCTAAATTTGTTGCTCAACTTGGTCAAGCTCTTTATGCTGCCAAGATTGTTTCTTATGCTCAAGGTTTTATGTTAATGCGTCAAGCTGGTAAGGATTATGGATGGAACTTGAACTTTGCTGGTATTGCCTTGATGTGGCGTGGTGGTTGTATCATTCGTTCTGTCTTCCTTGGTAAGATCAAGGATGCTTACACCAACAACCCTGAATTGGAAAACTTGTTGTTTGATCCTTTCTTCCAAGATGCTACCTCTAAGGCTCAAGAATCATGGAGAAATGTTATCTCTCAAGCTGTTCAGATGGGTATCCCTACCCCTGCTCTCTCTACTGCCTTGAACTTCTATGATGGTCTTCGTCATGAAATCCTTCCTGCTAACCTTCTTCAAGCTCAACGTGACTACTTTGGTGCTCACACTTATGAACTCTTATCTAACCCTGGTAAGCACATTCACACCAACTGGACCGGTAAAGGTGGTAATGTTTCTGCCTCCACTTATGATGCTTAAACATTTTTAAATCTTATATATTAACCTTGTCTGTTATATAATATTTCATCCTTTTTCTCTCTGTATTTCTACATTGTTTATCTATTTTTTTTCCCGCCCTTCTTTCCTCTTTTTTTTTTCTTTTCTTTTTTTTTTTTTTTTTTTTTAAAAAAAAATATTGTGAGAATATCATTTTAATTTGCTTTGCATATCATGTATAGTCACTAAAAGAAACTAAATGCTTCTTTTGTTAATAATAATAAAAGCCACAATATATGTCACAATTTATTATCATGTATTGTTTTTCTAATTTGGAAATTAATAATAATATGCAGTAAATTTTTAACTCAATTTTTACTGGGTTATTATAAATACTCGGTTTTATAAATGGTTTCTGCTTTACTATTTTTATTTTTCTCTTTTGTTTTTTTTTTTCCTTCTAAATAATCAGTATGAAATTAACCATTCTAATATTCCTGATAGGATATTTAATTTCTCTTGTACATTCAGAAGATGTTACATTAAAACCAGATAATATCAATGAGCTTATCAAATCAGGCACTTGGTAAGTTTCTCTTATGCCAAAATAGATATGAATATAAAAAAAAATCAAATTAACATTCTTTATCAGGTTGATTCTACATTATTCTCCGTATTGCTTTCATTGTAGAAATTTTGGTAAAAGAGAAGAAAAAAAAAAAAAAAAAGAAAGAGAGAGAATAAAGTAATGGCCATTACTGATCAACCCTCTTCTTCCTCCTTCTCTCTCTCTCTCATTCTCTCTCAAAAATATATGTATAAATATATATATATGTATATATAGCTCCTCACTGGGAAAAAGCAACAAAGGAATTTGACCATCTCGCAGCTGACAGTGATATTCATTTTGGTAGTATTGATTGTTCGACACAAGGGGATTTATGTGATGCTCATGGCATTATGGGCTACCCTACTGTACAATTATGGGAAAATGGTGAAAAGATTGAACGTTACATGGGAGCAAACTCTTATGAATCTCTCATAGCTTATATTCAGAATAAAGCTGAAACAAAATCTCACCAAGAGCCTATTAATAGAACACCTCCCTTGATTGCAGAAAAAGAATCGGAAGAGAGGATGGAAGTAAAACAAGAGCCTAAATCAAATGAAGAGATAGAGAAAGCATTAGAAACAGAATCTGAAAAAGATATTATGGAAGCAGCTATTTTGCCTAATTCTAAAGGAATTTCAGTGAACTTGGATAGTGATCTATTAAAAAAAATTGCATCAGGTCAAGTTCCTTGGTTTATTAAATTTTATGCACCTTGGTGTCCTCACTGTAGAAGATTGGCTCCTACTTGGACCGAAATGGCCTCTCAACTTCGTGGTCAAGTTAATGTAGGCGAGGTGAACTGTTTAAAATTACCAAGTAAGGACTTTTTTTTTATTGTTACTATCTATCCCTATTCTTACTGATATGCAAATATATATATATGTATCTGTTAATAGCTCTTTGTGAAGAATTTAATATCGATGGATACCCTACTCTTCAAATGTTTGGTCATGGAGAACCTATTGATTATAATGATGATCGTTCTTTAGTTAGCCTGATGAAATTTGCAAATGAGCATGCGGGGTTTGTAACCAAAATAAAAGACATTTTTATTATCTATTAACATTGATTCTTGTTTTAGTCCTTCTGTAAAAGAAGTGAATGCAGATGAATTAAGTCAATATTTGTCTATAAAAGAAGTTGTGTTCGTTTACATGTATAAAGAAAAGGACAACAAATTACCTGTAAGTTGGTTTTATTTTTATTTATTTATTTATTTATTCTGAAATGTCATGTATTTCTTCAAAAAAGGAATTACTTGAAACTGTTTCAAATAAATTTAGGTCAACTATTCCCTTCTTATGTACACAAGATGATCGAGTCTTGGAAAAGTACAATATATCATCCTCTAATTTACCTGTTGCCTTGATCGCAAAGGATAACAAAATTCACATGTATCAAAATGCACGTAACTTGTCACAAAATACAGACAAGAATCGTAATGCCTTTATCAATTGGATTGAAAATGAACAATATCCTTTAGTCACTAAACTGGGTCCCAATAATCAACAGTCTATTTTACAAAAGAACCATGCTCCTCCTGTTGTCTTGAATATCGTTAATGCAAAGGATGCTATTAGTCAATCTAAATTTCGTAATATTGCTAAAGCATGGTATAAATCAACTCCTTCGACTCAAATCAAACTTATCTTTGCTGAGATGGATCGAGCTATGTGGAAAGACTATGTATCAGAGAAGTTCAAGGTAGAACATGATGAGACTGCAAAGATCATTATCTACGTTCCAGATGTATGTATACAAGCCAATCATCAAAGCAGAGACACTTGACAGTTAGATGTACTGACTTTATATATATATATGTGTGTATAGGAATTTAAATATTATAACAAAGATATGAATGGATATGAATTAGATTTAGATAAACCAGAGGGACTTTTTATTGCCTTGAAGAACCTTGATCATCTGAAAGGTCAGTCTGTTTTAGCTGCTCATGAAAAAGTAGGTGTGGCTGTTGTGAATACGATGAATTGGATTTCAATACATTGGTTTATAAGCATGATTGTCTTTGGTCTTGTGTTTGGCGTTATTTATAGATATGTAACCTATCACGCTCCTAAGAGGCTTAATTCAGGAAACAGTTTTTTGCCCTCTTTTGATCATTCTTATGAATATTCTCATAAGGATTAAAACAAACAAAATAGAAAAAAATAAAATAAAATAAATCATGTAATTTATTATTATAAAACAGTTACAAAAAGAAGAAGAAGAAAGGGGGGGAGAGGAGAGGAGAGGGGGGAATAGGAAAAGAATCTCTTTTTTTTTTCTTCTTTTTTCTTTTTTTATGATTTACGAATGTCATCTTTTGTTGATATAGAAGGCGATAAAGAAGAGGAAGGTGATAATGAACGTGCACGACGGGTGTTTAATAATACATGGTCACTTGGAGAAGCTGTTGTAAGTTTAGTGTCACAATTCTCTTGTTTAATAATTGTACTACTATCATCATTATGAACTGCCGCTGTTGTTGTTGCTGTTGCTGTTGCTGCTGCTTCTGCTTCTGCTTCTGCTGCTGCTGCTTCTGCCGCTGCTGCTGCTACTACTACTTGACACTCTTTTCTACCTAAACTTGTATCAATTGGAGGTAAGATGGGTTTAGTGGATCGAGGAGAAGAAGTGGTAGTAGTAGTAGTAGTATTAGATGGAATAGTAGATCTTCGTTCTGATGGTTGTTGAGCCAATGTAAAAGGCCGAGAAACAGTAGTAGATTTTCTCTTTTTGTGACTGGTAGTGGTGTCCTGTTGTTGACGATTTGTGGGTGAAGAGGACAATGGAGAAGGGGGTCCACCATTTCCTCTTTGAATTTTAGCTTTTAAAGCTTCCATCACTTTATTATGTGATAATTTATCTTGTTGGTGTTCCTCGTTATTGTTATTGCTTGTTGACGATGAAATAGAAGATCTACTACGCTTTTTATGATGATTATCTTCATTTGTAGTTGCAGATAAGGTAGTTTTATTGTTAGTTATGTTAGGATGACTATTTAAAGAAGAAGAAGATGATGATGATGTTGATGATGTTGATGAAGAGGAAGGAGGATTTGTAGGTGTAGCATTAGTAGGATGAGATGGCGGTTGCTGAGGAGGGCAAAGTGGATGAGCAGAATGAGGATAAGGGACAGAAGGTGAAGGAGGAGGTGGATGATGGCTATGATGATGATATGATGGTTGATTGTTTTGTCCCTGTTGAGATGGGTAATGAAAGCGTGCAAGTAATTGTTGTTGAACAGGTGCAAGTCCATAATAAGGACCATAAGTAGGTGGCTGGGAAAGTGGTAATGGTGGTGGAAGTGTAGGTTGCTGTTGAGGAGGAATAGAAACATATCCCTGTTGTGGTTGTCTTTCAAATCTTGCTGTTGCCTTTACTTGTTCACGAGCAAAGTCTAAGTCCATTTGACGTATTATAATACGTGCTTCCTCTGCTTTAAGTGTATCTCTAGCTGCTTTTTTCTATGTAAATAGAGATAAGAGTCCTCCCCTTTTTTTTTCGTCGTTATATAGTCAACATTAATTTTATTATCTACCTTATCTTCTTCAGATTTAGCAGTTAAAATATATTTTAATAATTCAGGATCACTACTGTATCGATCTAATATTTCTTTTACAGTAATTTCATTCATATTAGAATTAGAGGTAGCAGAATAAGTAGTGTTATTTATAGACTTTAAATGAGACGGTGAAGGTGGGATTGGCCATTGAAAAGCGGACGTAGCTTGTTTAGAATGCGGCGATAAAGAGTTTGGATGTGGTGAATTGTTTGGCATCTAATTATTAAAAAAAAAAATAAAATAAAAAACAAAAAAAAAAAAAAAAAAAGGGTGCAGCATACTTCATATAATAAATTTGTTTACAAAACTGATAATCTAAATCCAGAAAATATGACGCAATCAGTATGCCTTAAATCTTAGGCACCGCGTTTCAACCATTTTCTACTACGTTTCTATTATTAAAAAAAATAAAATAAAACAGAATGTCTATTGCAATTGATTTAAAAAGTCAAAAATATGATCGTCAACTAAGGTGTATTATTTAGCAACAATAATAATAATTATAAAAAAAAAAAAAAAACTTTTATGCACTTATCATTAACATCAATGTTAATATCTTTAGACTGTGGGCAACTACTGGACAGCAAGCTTTAGAAGGTGCCAATATTTGTTTGTTAAACGTCAACTCAACAAGTTGTGAAATAATTAAGAATTTAGTATTGCCAGGTAAATATAACAAAAATGAATAAATGTTAACAAGATTGTGCCAATTTTCTATATATACTCAAGTACATTATTTATTTAGGCGTTGGCCATGTTACGATTGTGGATGATGAGAAAATAACAAAAGATGACATTCGCAGTAATTTCTTTTTAGGGCCTGATAGTACAGGTCTTTCAAAAGCTAAATGTGCAGCAGAATTGCTTCAAGAACTAAATGAAGATGTTGTAGTAGATTATGTCGAAAAGGTAAATAGGAAGTAATTCGATTCAAATAGAAATTTATTAACAAACAAACAAAACAATAAGAGTCCTGTTCAATTAATAGAAAATGATATTAGTTTCTTTGAACCTTTTACAATGATTATTGCAGTTAACTTGTCTGACAATTATTTACCAACAATAGCATCCTTTTGCCATCATTTTAGTAAAAGCCTCATTATTGGCAAAAGTAAAGGACTCGTAGGCTTCTTTTCAATACAATCACCACAACATAGAAGTAAGTTTACACGAATGAAAAAAAAAAGATTGATATCAAGAATCAAGATTAATTTATTCTTTTCAGTTATCGAGACTCATCCCGAGAATACAACTGATCTTCGTCTAAATTGTCCTTTTAAACAACTAAGTGAATATGTTGAAAGATATGATTTAGACAGTTTAGATCAAACCGACCATAGTCAAGTACCTTTTGTTGTCATTCTTTTAAAATATGCTGAAATTTGGAAATCAGAACATGAAGGACAACTTCCACAAAGCTATCAACAAAGACAAGAATTTATTAAAAGACTTCGAGCTGATATGAGGACTCCCGAAGAAGAAAACTTTGAAGAAGCTATCGCGAATGTTTGGAGACTTGCACCTACAAATAATGTAATACATTTTTCTAATTGATTTATTCAATTCTTTTTATTAAACAAATCATCATACTAGATTTCATCAGAACTCCGACATATATTTGAAGATCCGTGCTGTCAGAATGTAAATAGTAATGTAAGTCTAATTAGATGCTCCACATATTGCAAAAGCTTAAATTTTTAACTTGATTGCAAAAAAAAAAAAAAAAAAAAAAAAAAAAAAAAAAAAAAAAAAAAAAAAAAAGTCACCTTATTTTTGGATTTTAGCACGAACTGTACGTGATTTTATTGATAATGAGGGTCAAGGTCAATTGCCTTTATCAGGAAAATTACCTGATATGAAATCAGATACTTGTAATTATATTGCTTTACAAAATGTGTAAGTTTATATGTTATTCATTCTATTTTATAATTTTAACTTGTGTGTATGTTTTAGGTATCGTGAAAAGGCTTTATCTGATTTTAATACAATTAAAGAAAGAGTAAAAGACTTTCATGTACAAATTCCAGATGAAACAATCGAACTTTTCTGCAAAAATGCCTCAAATATTCGTGTTATTCAGTATAAATTATTATCTGAAAATCAATTATCTCCAGAGAAATTAAGTAAGTTAATAACAAGTAAAACTAAAATAAAATAAAGCTAAGTTATTATTTATTTTAGTCAACTTGTTTAATAATGAAGAAAACTTTTGTTACTATTTTGTATTCAAAGCAGCAGATAGATTCCAGTCAGAATATGGCTATTTACCAGGTATAAATAGAAAACTTCTTTTCTTGACATTTTTTCTTAACTTTAAACTAGATTCAATCGAAGATTATGATAAACTGGAAGAACAAGCACAATTATTAATGGAAGAGCTGGGCATCATGTCTAAGGATATAGAAGAAAGAATATTAAAAAGCGATACATTTGATAAGGCTTTAGTAAACTAGTAAGGCTAAACTTCTTTTTTTTTTTTTATCGGAACTTACTTTTTTTTTTTTTTTTTTTAGTTTACACTTTAGTAACTTGGAAACCCCGAATTTGGCTTCTCTTATAGGTGGCTTGGCAGCTCAGGAAGCGATTAAAATGATAACTCATCAATATATACCTATTAATAACACTTGTGTATTTAATGGCATTAGTTCTACAAGCAGTGTATTTGAATTATAAGACAAAAAATAAAAAATCAATTTTTTTTTTTTTTTTAAATAAATGCTTTTTTTTTAATAAAGTATACAAAAATACATTAAAATGATTTATGAAATACACATAAAAGATTAATAAAATACAAACTTCAATTCATATCTAATGAAGAAAATATGTGTACATCTATGTAAGAAAAATGATAAATGATGACATAATGGAAATAAAAAAAAAATTAAAAAAGAGGAGTAGAAAAAGTAAAAAAAAAATAATACGTATGTGTATATATAACATATATATTATATATAAATATATATACATTTATATATATTTATATATTAGCTTAAGCAGAAGCTCGAGCGTTTTCCATACGAGCAGCAACACAAGCAGTGAGAGCAGCACCAACACCGCTACCGTCCTTAGCAAGACCAAGACGAATGGTCTTACGGATATCACTAATTTCAGGCATCAATTCAGAAAGAGCTTCATACATTCTATCTTCAAAAGAGGGGTAAAATTCGTAAAGAGAGCCATCAATACCGATATCACAACCTTCTTCAGCGGCACCACAATGTTGAACAATAGCAGCAATTGAACAAGCAGCAAGACGAGCAGCACGCTTACCAACCAATTCACAAATCTTCTTAATGAACTTGGCTTCAGTTGTTGTGATATCATGCAAACTGAGATTAGTATCCAAAATTTCTTTTGTGTAAGCGAAATCCTTGGAGTTATCGGCTTCAATGTTTGACATAAAAGCAGTTTCAAAGGACCAATGTCGAGAAATTTCCTTGGACCAAGCAAATGAAGTATTTTCTTCACGCTTCAAGAGAAGTTCACGATCAATCATATCGGTAAGGACGTTACGGGTAATTTCACCGAGATACATACCAGAAATCATCTTTTCATAAAGTTGAGCATGAGGGTTAATAGATTCACGATCAAGCTTGTTATCGAAACGAGTAAGAGGTAAGATTCTACGTTCGTTATCAAAGGCACCGAATTCCATGTTAATAATCATTTCATCTGAAGTTGTCTTACCACCTTTCCACTTGCCAATATTCTTCATTTTTTCAATATAAGCACCATTAGCACCAGTACCTAAAATGAGACCAGCTAAGGTAGCAGGTTTATTATAGGCATTGGACAAAAGGGTACCCACAGTATCGTTTACAAGAGCAGATACCTTAACAGGGACATGTTTTCTTAAAAGAGCATCTTGCAATAACAAAACAGGATCTTTACCAACTGCACCACTACAAGCAAAACCCTTAGTCCAAGTAGAAAGGACACCTCGATTGATCTATTATAAGAGAAAGAAAAGAAAAGAAAAAAAAATAAGGGTTCACATCCTAGATTATCAAATCTATATAAAAAAAGACTATTTATATTACCTTTGTTTGAAGAACAGGGAAAGAGAAAGTATAACCCAAGTTAAGTTCAATTTCTTGATCTTCAAGACCTTGTTCAGTTAAGAAAGTATCAACACATTCAGCAATATAATCTATATATATATTTATACATTTATATATAAAAAAAGAATAGCCTTGTTAATCGGAGTTCAAGAAAGGTTTCATTTTTTTTCACAGTAATAGGGTGTTTTGTTTAGCAGTTTGGGGGGGGGAATTAAAAATAACGTACCACATAAGTTACGCATTGGGCCCATCTTCAACTCTTCAGAAACTCTCGATTTAGAAGAGACAGTTTTGAACTTTCCTTGACCTTCAAGAGTAACAAGAACAACTCTCAAATTGGTACCACCTAAATCAAGAGCAAGGAAATGACCTTCTTCTTTACCTATTAGAATAGAAAGAAAAAGGCGTTAGTTCTATTTATATACTTGGCAAAAAGAAAAAGAAAAACACTAGATTATAAATTTACCTGTTAAACGACCTTCAACATAAGAAGGAATCATGGCAACAGTAGAACCTTCTTTATCAAGACCCTTCTTCATTTCAACCATAAAGTGATCGCGAACTTGCTTGAGATAATCAGTATCAATAGTAAATTGATCAATAATATCTTTCATATAAGCTTGTTGCTCGGGAGTACCATCGAGCTCATTCACATCAACTTCATATGCTTGAGGTGCCTTTGATGCCATTTTATTAAAATGAAAATATATTATTTATTTAATAATAATAGAAAACAAAAACAAGAAAAAAAAAAAAAAGAAAAAAAGAAAAAGAATTATTTAAGGAAAGGACAAAATTTTAGTATTTATGCTACGGACTTTTAAATATAGACTTTTCCTTTTTTTTTTTTATTTGAAACAAATGAGTGATTTAGCAGATGATATGGTATCAGTTCAGAATCTATTATATTAATGAAATAATAATAAAAAAAAAGAAATACATGTAAGATAAATACATACATAAATAAAATAAAGATTCTTTATATAACAGCAATAAGAGTATAAATTCATATATAAAAGAGCCTTTTTATTTTAAAAAATATCAACTTTTTATTATTTACTTTGTCAAATGTTTCTTTTATTTCATTTGTTTTATTTCTTTTTTTTTTTAAAAAAAAAAAGATCTGTTATTTAATCACAAACACTCTGTGACTATTAATCCTTTTTCGTTATATTGAACCAATGAAGGGAATATGTCAAAAGTAGGATAAAAAAAAGGATAAACCATTAATTCTTTTTTTTTTTTTGAAAAAAAAAAGAGGAAAGAAAAACTCCTTTTATTGTTGATTGATAACAATAAAAGAAGACAAGCTATTCTTCTTTTCCCCCCTTTTTTTTATTTAAATGATTTGATTAATAAACAGGTTTTGGTTCCCTTCCATTTATTATGTAATATCTAATTTAACATGGATCCTTCCCCCCTTTTTTTTCCTTATGCTTATGAATAATGTTTCTTACTTTTAAAAGAAAAGGTTACTCTATCGATTTCTATAGTATTATTTTAAGACAGTTGAATAAAAAAGGGAAGATCAGCATATTGTTATCTATTCTTTGGATTTTAGCTAAAGGGTTTATTAGATAAGAGACATTTCACCCTGTGTCTTGACTTATCGATCTCCTCCTAAAATCGTTTATAATATATCCGATCATACGCGTTATAATAAAAAGAACGCGTATAATAATAATACTACGCAGAAAAAAAATAAAATAAAATAAAATAAAATAAAATAAAAAAAAAAAGTTTAATGACAACTGAGAAAGAAAAATAGCATATGAAAATAATGAATCGATGTTTCCCTTTTTTGTATTATCCTTAATTTATAAAACTCATGTCAAATATTAAACGTCCTAGAGATGAGGCCTCTATTGAATCTTTAAGAAGTATTTTAGGCGACGTTTCTATAAACGTTCTTGAAAACCTTTTACATCGCTCTAACAATAATGTTGAATTAGCTATCAATCTCTATTTTACAGAGCCTCAACAACAACAGCAATCTTCTTCAACAAATACTTTATTGACTACAAAACCAAGTAAACCAAAAGAATTAAAATATTATATTGGTGACCTAGTCATAACAGGTAAAATGATCATGCAAAAAAAAAAAAAAAAAAAAAAGAGAGAGAGAGAGAGAGAGAAAGAAAGAAAGAAAGAAAAAGAGTAAAAGTAGATAACTAACTTTTAAATAAAAGGTTGGTCATTATATAAAGGGAAAAGTCCAGTAAAAGAAGGAGATGTGATTACAATTGTTAGAGATAATACAGCTGGTTTAGGGAAAAAAAATGGGAATCAGATTGTTCGTTTTACAGCTAATGGAAGAGAATTAGGTCGATTACCTAGAGATGTAGCCAATTACATGTCGATCCTGTTAGATCAACAACTTTGTCTTTTTGAAGGTACTATCGTCTGGTGTCCTCCAATATTACAAATTGGTGAAGATATGATTCTATTGATCAAATGTTATCTATTACCTACGGCTATGCAAAGTATGAATTCTCCCACAACTCAAACAAAAAAGTTAAAGCAAAAAAATAGCACTACAATTCATGATATATCCCAATCGAGGAAATTAGCCCTACTACGAATGTTTCGACAATTAGGATTAAAGCCTGTACGTTCTTCTATTCAAAGAATAAATGTAGTAGGAGAGGAAGATTCTCGAAATTTACTTTTGCAGACATTAACTGCAAAAGAGAGTGAGGATAAGTTATCTTCTACTACTAGTCATAATGAAGGTATAATGGAAGATGATGAAGAAGAGGAAAAAGAAGTAACTGACGACCAATTGGATACAATTTATGAAAAGGCTCAAGTATTTGATTCACAAATAAAACCTGCAGATCAACCAGCTACAATGGCAATTGAATTGAAAGAATATCAGAAAAGAGTAAACTACATACATACTTCTTTAATAAACAGGCAAGTAAATGGTATTCATCTGATCTATTATTTTAGGCATTAGCTTGGATGATAGCAAAAGAATCATATGATCTTGATGACAATGATATTGATATGAGATCAATGCATCCATTATGGGAGGAATATAATTTTCCAGGCGATTTTGCTGATGAGCATAGATTCTTTTATTTTAATCCATATAGTGGTAAAGTAATAACTATTGCTTTTCTTTTTTTTTTCTTTTTTGAAGTCTAATCAAAGATACACTTCTTTAGGCGAAATAAGTCTAGAGTTTCCTGAAGCAAATAAACAAGAAAGAGGTGGCATTTTAGCTGATGGTAAATGTATAACACTAATATATGTATATTATTTATTTAACAATAGTTCGTTCTTTCTTTTTTTTTTTTTTTAAGAAATGGGACTTGGTAAAACGATAGAAATATTGAGTTTAATTCATACAAATAGATATAGGCATGACAATTCTCAGAAACTATCAACTATGACTTTACGTAGTAAAAAGTCACCTACAACACTTATCGTATGTCCTATGTCATTATTAGCACAATGGCGTGATGAAATTCTACGTGCATCTAAACCAAAGACAATTACAGTCGAATTATTTTATGGAGATGATCGTTCTAATTATACTTCTACTCAACGTCTTTGTCATTGGGATGGTACAGCACCCGATATCTTAATTACAACTTATGGTGTATTAATATCAGAATGGACAAAATCAAAGGAAAACGCAATTTATAATTCTCCTATCTTTGGAATTGAGTTCTGGCGTGTTGTATTGGATGAGGCACATCAAATTAAAAACAGACAAAGTAAAGCCTCTCAAGCTTGTCGTGATGTGAATGCAATACGACGTTGGGCTGTTACAGGCACACCTATTCAAAATAAATTGGATGATCTCTTTAGTCTTGTCCGATTTCTTCGTCATGAACCATGGGCAAACCATACCTTCTGGAACACGTTCATCACCGTGCCTTTTGAAAAAAAAGATACTCGAGCTTTAACTGCTGTGCAAACTGTATTAGAACCTATTGTCTTAAGAAGAACAAAAGCTATGCGAGATAGCCATGGCGAACTCATGGTTCCTTTACCTCCTAAAACTGTCCATATCGAATATTTATCATTTTCTCGAGAGGAACAAGATATCTATGATGCTATCTATAATGATTCACAAATCAAATTTTCCTATTTCTGTGAAGCAGGAAAATTAGGTAAAAATTATGCCTCCATTTTTCAACTCTTGACGCGTTTAAGGCAAATATGCTGTCATCCTTACCTTGCACTTCAAAGTAAAGAAGCATTAAAGGAAGAAATTAAGGCTTCTAATGGAAAAGGTATAAAGTTAGAAAAGTTGATTGCAAGTAAAAGTTTAGAAGACTTTAGTCAAGGAACAGTTTCTTCAGAAGGTAGCAGTAGTTATGGACTTAGTATTTTGCAGAACATGCTTGCTTTAGAGCAATATGGATCGAGTCATTATTCTCAAAGTCAGAAATCGAATACTAGCATGTCAATAGATGCACCTTTAACAGAAGAAAGAACTTTACCTATTGATAATGAATGTCCCATTTGCTTTGAGACATTAGATACTATGATTGGTATGCCGTGTATGCATTTTGCTTGTAGGCCATGTGTTATGGATTACTTTCAGGTAAAAAGCTAATATATAGATAGATAGAGAGAGAGAGAGAGAGAGAGTAGGTCTCATTTATAATGGCATATAACCAAAACTATTCTATTATTATTTTTATTATCACTATAGAAAAAAGAGAATGAAGGAATGCCAGGTGAATGTCCTATTTGTAGATATGGACCTATTTCTCAAAGTGAATTACTTGAATTTGCCCAACAAAAGGTGTCAGAGGATGATCAACAAGAAATCGATAACAAGGATGCTAAATCAACAAATGATAATCACCTTATTACTTCTAAGAAGCCCACAACAAGCGGTATAAAATTTGAAATTCAAAGAGTTGTAGGTGGCTTTAAACCATCGACTAAGATGAACGCATTAACCAAACACTTGAAGCAAAACATGAAGGAAAATCATAAAACCGTTGTATTCTCACAATTTACTGGTTTTCTTGATTTAATAGAAGAAGGGTTAAACTATGAATCAATTCCATTTACAAGATTAGATGGTACACAAGCACAAGCACAACGTGAGAAGGTCCTAAAGGAGTTCACAAAACCTGATGGTATTGATGTTTTATTAATCAGTTTAAGAGCAGGTGGTGTTGGGTTAAATTTAACCTGTGCAAATCGTGTAATTATGATGGTAAGCCTTTTTCTTTTTCTTTTTTTTAAAAAAAAAAGTATATTATCTTAATATATGATCATCCATTCACTAGGATCCTTGGTGGAATTTTGCAATTGAATCACAAGCCATTGATCGAGTGCATCGATTAGGACAATCCAAGGATGTTGTAGTTACACGCTTTATTATGCGAGACACAGTGGAAGAAAGGATTTTAGAAATTCAAAATAGAAAACATGTACTTGTAAATGAGTTATATATGTCCAGAGATGAAAACAAAAGTAGAAGACTCGATGATTTACAACTACTTTTCGGTAGAAAGTAAATTTGAGTGCATCTCCTCGTTTTAATTTATAATATATAGCAGCAATTATATTCTTGTAAATTATGTATCATATAATGTATATAATGTATAATAGAAGAATAAATAAATAAACAGATTTATTTCCCTTTTTTTTTTCTCTTCTTTCTTTCTTTCTTTCTTTTTTTAAATTCTACAAAAAGTTCAATCCAATACCCAACTGTAAACCTCTCTTGATTTGATCTCCTCTTGCAGCTGTTAATGGGATACAATAATTTAATTCAATACGAGCAATACTATGACGATAAATGAGACCCAAACCAGTAGAGATGCTAGGTGATTGAACCAACGCTTGTGTTGTAGACTGTAATGATGTACCTGTTTTCCATGGTATGTTTGTGCCCGCATTAAGGAACACATGGGCTCTTAATGGTTTACTTTCATATTTTGGTAAAGGTGCTATTGCGCTAACACCTGCTGCCCAATACATGGTACCACCCAAGGCATCTTTATAATCCCTTGGTCCAATTCCTGCAGTTCTAAATCCACGGACTGATAACGGTCCCCCCAAAATAAAACGATCGGAGACTGTAGAGGCTTTAGGATGATCGCTTAATGAAGCCAGCCAGCCAGCTCTAAAGGTTGTACTTAAAACATATCCTGGATGAACACCCATCAACATGGCATCTTCCTCCCCCTTTTCATTATTCATCCATATCTGTCCACCACCAAATTGTTTACAATATTGTGTTTCGAGGTCTGATTTAAAAAAGTGTGCGTTTCCTAAACCAAATAGACCTGATAATTCTTGTGTCAGTCGAAGATAATGTCCATTTGATGGCAATAACATATCATCTCTACGTTCACGAATAAACACATGATGGATTGACGATTTAAGAGATTCACCTGCTTCTTGACGAATGCTAATAATATATATATATATATATTAGGTCATGTAATCTAAATGTAGTCTTTTTAATATATATACCTGAGTGATGCATTAGGTGAAACTCTATCAATTGATCGCCAAGTAACATCATAACCAAGCTCATGATAGCCAAATCGAGATGATGTTTTATAACGTAACCCAGCACCTCTAGCCAATTCTTCATATGAGGAAGCTAGAGTATTATTACAAAGTACTCTATGTGCATTGATATCTATTCTGGAATCAGGTGAAGCATTAACAGGCTTACCAAGAGAAAACTAAAATTCAAATTAATTTATTATCATCCTTATTTTACATTCTTTTATTTTATTATAAATACCTGGAATGCAGAGCTATTTCTAGTACCAAATGAAGCTACAGTCTCAAGAAATTCAGCACCACCAAATACATTACGAATAGTCAATGATCCGTTCTATATAAATATATAAATAAATATACACATATAAAAATAATTATATACAAATACATATTTATTGCATATAATATATAAAATCTTGCTGCCTGTCTCTCTCTTTTTTTTTTTAACTTACCATATTTCCTTCATTATTACCAATTTCAGTTCCTGTCTTTATAAATACTCTGCTTTTCTCTTTCACCTGATAAACTACATTAATCGAATCAGGAGGAGCGAGTGGATCATTCTCTGATGCATTATCTAATAAAACCTGAACTGGGAATTCAAATATATCTAAACGTTGTAAATCTTCAGCAACAAGTTGTGCTTTATTAATCACATCTGCAAAAGTAGTGGCTTCTAGAACTTTTTTAGTTGCCTTTTCCAAAAATACGGGTCGAGTCGCTTTTGTACCAAGAATGGTGACAGAATTGACATGGGCTTTATTTCCTGCTGTCTGTTCCAACTATATTAACCATGTTAATGTCAATAATGGTTTAATTATTCAAGTCTTTTTTTTTTCTTTATTCTTTCTTTCTCTCTTTCTCTCTCTCTCTCTTTCCACACCCATTCTATTTATTATTATACCAAAGAAAAAAGTCGTTTTGAGGCTTCTGTTCTTTGTCGAAGTTGCTCTTCCTCTGTAGGTAACTATAAATCAAGTTTTTACTCGAATTAATTTATTTCATATTATTCACATTTTCCTTTCCTTTTTTTTAAAAAAAAAAAAAGAAATACCTTTGAATCCTCCATTAAAAATATATGTATTTATATAGGTATTAAATAACAAAGTTTAATATATGAATACTGGGGGTGGCGAGAAAAGGGTAGCATAGGAAAACTTATGTTATCCTTTGATACAATCCACAGTCACAACTTTTTATTATTATTATCACTTTTATGACATGATAACTTATAACTAAAAAAAAAAAAGGAGAGGAGGAACGGAAAGCAGTAAAGCTATTATGAACATGATGTAGAGCAATAAATAGAGAATTTATCTATATAAATATATATGGATGTATATATATGGTATATACACTATGTAAGTAATAATAAGGTACTCCACAACACTCTTGTATTCTTTCTTTAAAGGGTTTTATTTCCAAATTTGGAGTTAGTGACGTCCTTTGAAATTTTTTTTCTTTTTTTTTTTTTTTTTTTTTTTTTCAAATGTCAAGATCTCGTTTAGATCCTTTTTTTTTAAAAAAAAAAATATATATATATATATTTATATAGACCGAGATTATGGTAGCTACTAAACAACAAGCACCTAAAGGAAGTGGAGGATCAGCATTAAAGAGACTCAAGAAATCACTTCAAGCAGCAGGCCTTGTAGGTCCTCAATCAAAAGCTAATAAATCAAAAAAAGATCGCAAGAGGGGAGCTCCAAAAGAAGTAGGCAAAAACGATGCAGACAAAAAACTTAGTCTTATTCGTGGTGAATTCAATCCCTTCGAGCAAAAGACCCAGAAGACAAAATTTGAAATTCTCGGTCGTAAAATGAAGGGTACTTCTGGAAAACCAACATTGAGTAAACAAATTGGTGAAGAAAATGTAAGATTCCAGAAAAAAAAAAATCTTTTTTTCTTGAAAGGGAATTAATAGACTTTAACCTTTAATATATTTATTTTACGCATGTTTATAGCGTAAGAAAACGTTGTTGGTAGAGATGAAAAATAAACATCGTCAAGGTGGTATTATCGATAAACGTTTTGGTGAAAATAATCCATTCTTGACACCTGAAGAGAAAATGTTGGAAAGATTCACAAAAGAAAAGCAGAAAGCTTCTAAGGGTAGTTCTTTATTTAATTTGGATGATGATGAAGAATTTTCTCTTACTCACTATGGTCAATCATTGTCAACTATGGATGATTTTGATGATGCTGGTCTTGGACTTAGTGATGATGATGATGATCAAAAACAAATGGACGCAAAAATTGTTTCGAAAATGCACTTTGGTGGTTTTGATGATGATCAAAAGGAGGAAGAAGGTCAACGACATAAATCTAAAAATGAGATTATGAAAGAAATTATCGCAAAGAGTAAAATGCACAAGGTAATATATATACATGTGTATTTCTTTTTCTTTTTTTTTCTTTAAAGAAAAAAAAAACAAGAGCTCTTTCTAATATAAAAAAAAACTTTTTACAATTAGCTTGAACGTCAAGCCGCTAAACAAGAAGATGATGAATTGCGTGAAACTTTGGATGATGAATTAAATGATATTAGAGGTCTTTTAGAAACTAAGCCTGCACGTAAGCCTTTACCTTCTCAAAGTGCTCTTTTTAAGAAAGCTGAAAATGAAAATGCTGCTTCCGCTGCTGCTGTTGCTAGTAAATACGAGCAATCTGTAAATGAATATTCCGATTATGATAAAGCTATTCATGAGCTTGCCCTTGATCAGCGTGCTCAAGCCACAGATCGTACAAAGACGGAAGAAGAAATTGCACTTGAAGAAAAGGAAAAACTCGAAAAGGCTGAACGTGCTAGAAAGAGACGTATGGAAGGTCTTGATTCCGAAAGTGAAGATGAACATCCCAAGAAGGGTTCACATAAGAAGAGAAAGGGTGCTCCTCAAGGAGATGATTTGGATGATGATTATTTAGAAGAATTAGAAGATGAAGTAGATAAGCTTGGTAAGGGTTTAACCCTTGAAGAGATTCAAAATGCTTTCGAAGATGAAGATGAGGATGAGGAGGAGGAAGAAGAAGAAGAAGAAGATGATGATGATGATGATGAAAGCGAAGGTGAAGGTGAAGACGAAAGTGAAAGTGAAGAAGAAGGAGATGAAGATGAAGGAGAAACAGATAATGAAGACCTTGAAGATGAGGATGATGAATTACCTGATTTTGGAGAAGACGATGGTGATGATATGAATGAAATAGGTGCTAATGGTATTGTGCAGAAAAAGAAGAAAGCTACACCAGTTGCTTCAAAAACAACCAAGCGTGAAATCCCTTATACATTTGAATGTCCTACTTCTCATGACGAATTTCTTGAGATTATGCAAGATTTGGATGTAGAAGACTGTCTTATCGTAATCAAGCGTATTCGTGTTCTGTATCATATCAAATTAGTACAGGAGAACAAAGCTAAATTAGCCCAGTTTTTAGAAGTATTGGTCGATCATATAGCTTATGTTGCTTCTACTGTTTCACCTATGCCTACACATGTGCTTGAGAAACTTAGTATTCATATCTTTGAAATGGCTCAACAGTTACCGGAAGCAGCCGATAAAATATTTGTGGGTAAATTAAAAAAGATGCAAGGAGAAATGGCAAAAAAGATGAAGCATACTGGATCATCATGGCCTGATGTAGAAGATATGACTCTTTTACGTTTAATTGGACACATCTTTTCTGTCTCTGATTTAACACATCCTATTGCTACACCTGCTTTATTATTTATGTGTCATGCTTTGTCTCAATGTCGTGTGGAAACGGAAATAGACATTGGTCGTGGTTTATTTTTAACTTTATTAACATTTGAGGTAAAGCCGTTTTTTTTTTAAAAAAAAAATACATATTACTAATAGAGAAAGAAGAGGAAAGAAACTAACCATCTATGTGTTAATTTAGTATCAAACTATTTCCAAAAGATTTATGCCTGAATGTATTAATTTCTTGAACAGATGTTTAATTTTATTATCACCAAAAGAAGTTTTTAGTGATAAGCATCAAACCCCCGGCTATTCCCCTTTCCCTGATAGATATATAGATTTTTCCATTGAAGATTATAAAGGAAATAATATGAAGTCTGTCTCAAACCTAAAATTAGAACAATTGGTAACTGAGTCTGACCTGGTTGAAAACAAGGACGAACGAAGGCTTTCATTGCTTCAAGGAGCACTTCGTATGATTGAACGTTACATCCAACTTAATGCTTCTACACCAGCATTTTTAGAAGTATTCGAGAGCACATTAGAAATTTTACAAAAGTTAGCAAACTTAAACGGATGGCATTCAGATATTGAAGTAAGTAAAATAATAAGAAAGTAAAATTATACACTATAATGTAAGCTTTTTATTTATTTATTTATTTATTTATGTATTTATTTAGTCCCTTTTAATGACTTTGAGTAACAGATTAGAGAAACAGATTAGATTCTGTAAAGAAAAACGTATCAAGACACCACTTAGAATGCAAAACCATCGACCCATACCCATTGCTCAGCATTTACCCAAGTTTGAAAATGCTTACTCTATTGATCGCCACTATGATCCTGATCATGAACGTGCACAAGCTCGTAAACTTGAAGCACAACTAAAGAAAGAAAAGAAGGGTGCCTTACGTGAACTTCGTAAAGATAATCAATTCATTGCTAGAGAAAGAGCCAAAGAACGTAAACAAAAGGATGAAGAATATAATAAGATGGTTAAAGGTGTTATGTCATTATTAGAAGGCGAACAAGCCGAATTAAAGCGTCTAGAGCGTGAAAAGGGCAAAAAATAAAATATTAAATATATATAAATATGTAGATATATATATAATGCATGCCTCTACTTTTCTATGATTTTTCCATATAAAGTTAAACTATAGAATAAAATTTAAATCTCAGTGATACTTTAAGATTTAAGTTATCTTAAAAGCTACTTCATTTTCTGACTGACTTTTTTTTTGGGGGGGAGGAGAGGAAGAGAAGGAGGGGGAGGGGTAAAGAAAGGAAATAAGGGTAGCAAACACTGTACAGAAAAAAAAGAGAGAAAGAAGACGATAGCTACATATTTAGTTAATTGAAACTATTATATATTCCCTATAATAAAGGATTTTCATTATAGAAATTTATAATAGTACGCATTATAAGCATTCATGCCTTTCCATTTTTTATTGTTTTTATTTTATTTATTTTTTATTTATTTTATTTATTTATTCTTTTATTTCCATACTTGCTTCGATAAATAAATAAGGGTAATTTATCTCATTGTTTATACAACTTATTAATCATTTTGACAAATATCCGTACAAGTTTTTTTTTTATAAAGTTATCCACAAATGTATTTATTTTATCTTCCTATGTCATTTTCCCCATGCATTACCAATATATTGGTTCTTCGGAATTTTAACCCGAAGATTAAAATAAAATTGTTCTTCTTTATTCGAATATTTAAATCCGCCTATTATTAACCCCAGCATCAATTTGCCTGTTGTTGATCAACAACTGCTGAGTTCCTAAAAAAAACAAAAACAAAAAAAAAAAGAAATGTAATAAAATTAATAATATCCTGTTGCTGGGTTCCTCCTTTTGATTTTCTTTAAATTAAGACATATCGATAAAGAAATGGTTGTTATGTGTAAAGTAAGTAAACAAGTAAACTATAATAATTATAATAACAATCATAATAATAAAGGGGCTTTTATCCCAGTGCCTTGGTTATTGTTGTTAAGGCAACTGTTATTATTAATAAATCGAAATAATTTTATTTCTTTCTTTGATATTCTTTTTTCCGTATTTCTTGTAAATAGCTTGTGAAATAAGAAAAAAAAAAAAGAGACTTTACAAGTTGGTCATTCATTTGATTGGCCCCTTAAAAATCGAACGACGTAGCCTTCTTCTTCTCACCATTTATTATTATTTTCATTTCCTGTATAAAGTTTAATTATGAATAGCTGCAACACAGCAAAATAGAGCATTTTCGAAATTTTATTTTCTTTTTTTTTCTTTTTTTTTTTACTTTTTTTTTTTTAAACCCAAATTATTCAAAGTAATTTAGACAGACTAAAAAGGTTTGGTACTTTAATTAAGTTGTTATCTCAATGGACTTGTTAGTATTATTATTTTGCTGCAGATTAAAAGCAGAAAAAAAAACAAGATATTGTGTGTGTATTATTTCGATTTAGTTGTACAAAGTTTTCTTATAATAGTTATTGTTCGAAAAGAATAAAAAACAATACAAAACAAGTATAATCAATATTCTTTCATTATTTACAGTTTGTATATGCAGGCATATTACACATTATATAATATGCAAAAAATAAAAAAAAATAAAAAATAAAATAAAATAAAATAAAAAATAAAATAAAAAATAAAAATAAAAATAAAAATAAAAATAAAAATAAAAATAAAAATAAAAATAAAAAATAAAAAAGAATTAGCTTTTAATAAAAGTCTTTTTTTTTATTCCATTTATTAATTGTTCAATAGAAAAACATAGTTGTATGCATATTCTTTAAGCCTCTTTTTTTTTTTTTTTTTTTTTTTTTTTTTTTTTTTTTGCTTTCCTGCTCTCAAATAACAAGTTATTAATGGGCCGGAGAATGATATCATATGAAGTCTAAAAAATACTAACTTACATCTCCCGCAAAGAAAATCTATAAATGACATCATGCAAACTTTACTGCATTGACCTTTGGTGATCCGAAAAAAAAAAATAACTTTGAAATGTTTGACAATTTGAACTTCAGAAAACTTTTTTTTTTATTTATATATAAAATAGAAGAGACAAGAAAGTTCAACTCTTTATAGCTTCTTTTTTTTTCTTTCTTGCCTACTTTTTTTTTCTTCTTTTGTATTAATTATATCAGCAACATCTTATTTATTTATTTTTAAAAACAATTGTATTTATTAAATAGAAACTACTCAAAAATGATGACAGATGGTGATTTTTTTTTGTTTTGTTTTATTTTGTCTATTCAATTTTTTTTTTTTTTACTAACAAAATAAGTTTATTATTAGACAATACAGTTGCCATTGCAACTCCTACACGCTTCTTGATTGAAAATGGAGAATGGAATCTTACACCCAGTTTAAATGGAGTTATTCAAAATGAAATTAACCCCTTTGATTGCAACTTTCAGCAACGTACCAATAACAATAATACAAACCCAATGAAAATGAATGAGACTTCTTCATTGAAATGGCCTATAGAAGCTAGTCCAACATTAGGTGATACAGGCTTTATCTACAGCCATTCACCCGAACCTGAGATGGCTATGATCCATACTCCTCCTACTCCTCCTATGTCTCTTAGTCATAGTCCTAGCACTTCTAGTTCTTCTTTTAGCTTAAATTCTGAGCATAACTTACGTACCTCGCCTCAGCCAGAAGTTATTGCACCTGCTAATACTCTTGTTAATAATCTTCAGAATAATACAAATTCTTCAGAATCATGCAAAAGGTCAAAAAGATATCAATCAACAGCTGCTAACAACAGCAACAGCAACAGTAACAGTAACAGTAACAGTAACAGTAACAGCAATAGTAATCACTCTCAACAGCAATCCACTAAATCTGTCAAACAAGAAAAAGAAGATGAATCAAAGATAATCAAAACGACTTCTGTACACAGTGGTCGTAAGAGACGTATTGTATTTGAAGGTGATGATGCAGAAGAACGTAGAAAGAAGTTTTTAGAACGCAATCGTGTTGCAGGTATATAGACATCAGTCATTGATAAAATAGAATTCTTCTTTAACAATGAAATATATACATATAATAGCTTATAAATGCCGTCAAAAGAAAAAGAATTGGATGCAAGAGCTTGAACATAAAGCTGAAATTCAAAATGCTTACAATGAAGAGCTCCGTGCTTTAGTTGCACAACTTAAAGAAGAAAGCATGTATTTACGTAATTTACTTCTTACACATGGCAATTGTAACTGTGAATCAGTGGTAAAGAAAAAAAAAAGAAATATTTTCCTAGTTTATTTAATTTTAATTTATCTTCTTTTTATATTTGTATATACATATACATATATTAATACTAAATAGCAAGCATATCTTCGTAAAACATCTGCTGAAATTACAAATAATGTAGTGCCCACAAATGCTAATAATGATTTATCATATTCAAGAAGAAGTTCTCTAGTATCTGGCAGTAATATACCTTATCATCCTACTTCATTCAAATCCAATACTATGCCTTCTTTCTCGGAAACATCTACCGGTTTGACACCTTTTCTTAACACAGTCATCAATAAGTCTCAACCCAATGACTATTTTTCACAAAATCACACTAATGAATCTTAAAAAAAAAAAGTTTTGGCTTCTTTTACACCGATTTTCAGTACATACACACACACACGCTTGTAATACAAAAAAAATATGGCATTTCCTTTTCTTTTCTTTTCTTCGCTTATCATTTTTCATTGTAACTCAAAAAAAAAAGTCCTTTTCTCGCTCGTTACTTCTTATGCCATCATGAATCACTTTTAAATTAGAATCAGAGATTTTGTCTCTATGCAATTTTTTTTCCCTCCCCCTATATTTGTTCTTTTTTTTTTTATCCAATAGTATACATGATATTTACTATTTATCTTTTTCTTTCTATTTTGCAATCCCTTCTCTATATGTACATACATAGTAATAATAAAAGAATACATTTATTTTATTTTATTTTTTTCATTTTCATTGTTTTTTTCTTTAAAAAAAAAAAGTACATATTGAAGTTTCCATGTTTATAACTTAGCGGTTTTTTTTCCTTTAAAAAATGATGATTGATCTGTATTACAAGGATCTATTAACAATAAATATTCGGGGTCTGAATAAATCTTTTTTTCATATATTATGAAGCTTCTTCTAAATTGTTCTATAGCATGAGTAACCTTGTTATATTAACCAACTTGGGGGAGGATCGTGTGTATGTCTGTGCTAAGGTGAAATAACAGCATGGAAAGGAAAGCGGGATATAAAGTTATTCTAAAAAAAAAAGGATCCAAAATAAAAAACGATATTATGACATAATTTTATACCGAGAAAAAAAAAGGTTTTTTTTTTTTTTTTTTTTTTTTTTGTATTTTATAGCATGAATAACCAATATAATGGATCTATTATGACTACTTTATTTGGTTGTTTTTATCTCGATTAATAATAATACTACCACCTTTCTTCTCCCCTTAAAATAAATGACGTTTCTTTTTTTTTTTTTTTTTGTTAACCGAACCGAGTTTCACCAAATTATTAACTGTTATTTAACTTTGTCATACTCTGTAATATACTTTTTATACTAGTTAGTATCATTAAAGCAATGTGATCTAGACTCTGTAGTAATATCAATTTTGATAGCTGTTATATAAATATATCAAAACACTACCTTTATGTATGTTAATAAATAAAAATAAGCCAATACCTTTATTATAATGATTATGATATATATGAAAGCAAGTTAATAAATCAACAACAACAATAAACTATTATAAAGTTATACTCTATCATAATAATAATAATAAATTTGCGCACTATTATTGGCATATTATGTTGAGCATAATAATAGCATAATTTTTTTTTTTCTGATTTTAACTTAGGTAGGCTTAGTCATTTAATACAAGATAAATAATATTGCGTATACAAATTTATCCTATTATAATAATAATAATAGTGAAGAGAGTTTGATAAAATAAATTACAGTATTTATTATTATTAGCAAAAGACACCTCGTTAATAAAGTAATGACAATAATGAATCTAACTTCCCAAGTGCGCAAATAGGAAAAACTATGCCCTTTATATAAATATATATCTGATATATTAATTAAATAAAAGAGAATTCTTTATGTCATGGTTGAGTATTTAATGATAAATCAAGGGATTTTTATACTATTGTATTGTATTTTAATTATAGGAAGAGAAGATAAAATTATGCCAAGAACTATTACTATTGATAGTAGGTAATGATGTGATTAAACTTCTACTGCTACTGCTACTGCTACTGCTACTGCTACTGCTACTACTGCTACTGCTACTACTGCTACTACTGCTACTGCTACTATTACTGCTACTACTGCTACTACTGCTACTACTTCTTCTTCTACCATCATAACTGAACAATAGTTTTATCATAGTCATAATCCTCATACGTATTAGTTGATAAAACCATCTAAAATAAATACATAATTAGTTATACTCTTTTTATCCACATGATGGATATATGTATGTTAGTTATAGATTAGGTAAATAATAATAAATAAAAGGAGGCGGGGGCAGAGGGATACATGATTTACCCTACATGAACTATCTCAGGGTCTATTTAAGTTATGTAATAATATTCATAACAACAACAAGAATAGAGATTATACTAACTATACACATCTTAATTTGTATATCATTACTTACTATGCTTCTTATTTAATAATTATACAGGTTTAAACCTCATACTTGACGTGAAATAATGCTGCTTTATTTTATTTTATTTTTATTTTTTTTTCAAGGAAAGTTAAAGTATCCTTTTAAAAATTTATTAATTTCATGATTCAAAATACATGAAAAGCCACCGATTTTTTTTTTATTATTATTTATTTATTTATTTATTATTATTTATTATTTATTATTTATAATTTTATTCATATACATATCCTATAATGGCTAAAGGAGGAAAAAATACAACAAAACCTATACCTTCTTCTAATTGGAAAAAGTTATTACCTGTAATAATTATTTAAATGAATTAAAAGAAAGAAAAAAAAAAATTTAAATTAATCTAGATCCATGTAGATCGTAGCTTCTAAAAAGGATACAAATAAGAAAAGAAAAACAGACGAATTTGAAATTAGTCCTAATTACAAAGGCTTTAATAAGAAGCAAAAAATAGAGTAATTGATGGACGCCTTAAAACTTAAATTTACATTCAAAATAACTCATGTAATATATTCACATTTAGGAAATTGAAAACTATAAAATTACAACAGCAAGCTAAAAAAGAGCAAGAAACAACAACGATACCCAATAAAGATGAGTTATGGTTTGCAGAGGATATAGATGAAGATACTTTAAAAACAGTGTATGCACCCAAGATAACTACAAAAGAACAACGATTAAAAAAGAAAGCAATAGTGGCCGAGATGGAATCTGCTTCAGGTGAAGCAGCTAAACTCGGTAAATATGTTGCTATTGATTGTGAAATGGTGGGAGTTGGGCCCGATGGTGTTGAGTCTGCATTGGCACGTGTTTCGATTGTCAACTTTAATGGTGCAGTTATATTAGATTGTTATGTTAAACCTCAGGAAAAGGTCACTGATTATCGTACAAAAGTGAGTGGTATTGAAGCTCATCATATCGAATCTGACGACGCCTTAACGTTTAAAGAAGCTCAATTCAAGGTAGCTTCTATCATTCGTAACCGTATCTTAATTGGTCATGCTGTCTATAATGATTTACAGGCTTTAATGTTATCTCATCCTAGCTTGTTAATTCGTGACACTTCACGTTATAAACCTTTTCGTAAACTAGCAAAGGGAAGAACTCCAGGTTTAAAAATGCTTGTAAAAGAATTATTGGGTATCACAATCCAATCAGGGAGCCACTCTTCTGTTGAAGATGCTCGTTTTACAATTCAACTTTATAAAAGTGTTAAAAATGAATGGGAAAAGTCATTTGGAGCACGTTCAGGTTTGATTATCAAAAAACTGTTAGCTAAAGAAGAGAAAGCAGCTGAAAAGATGAAAAGAAAAAAAGTGTCATTTACGAAAAGCATTGTCAAAAAAGAAGAACATTTATCTGATAATAATTCATCTAATGATGATGATAGTTCTGATTTTGATTCTGAGGAAGATGAAGAATAAGTGTCCTTTATCATGATTAAAAAAAAAAATTACAAATCTACTTTTAACCAATAATAAATGATTCAAAAAGACATATTATTTATGCTCGTTCAAGCTAAGCCATATATTCTGTATTTTAATCTTTTAGTATAACATACATATTCTCTATCCTACAACTAAAAGCCTTAAAAGTGTGGAACAACAAGCTGGCATATGTTATTTATTGACAACATAGGGTTTTAAGAATGATAATCCATGACTAACTTTATTAGCCAATTAAGAGTTTTTCTCTTTTCTACTATAGAAGAACGAAATAATTGAATTTAGCTTTTTTTTTTTTTTTTTACTTTATGGTTCATACCACTGTTATTGGAAAAAAAAAGTTAAAACATGCGTATTTTCAATTAAATCGATTCGTGTTTAAAATAAAAATAAAAGGTCACGTGTACAAGATGCATGTTTTTTTTATGCAGGCAAAAAAAAAAAGAAAGGAAGGAAACTAAAGAAAAATGAAATATTATTAGCCTTTTCCTTATGTATTTGTATATCTATTTTATTTCAGAAAAGAAAGGCTTGTATTTACACGTTTTTTTTTTCTTTCATAAAGAACTATAAAAAGTAGCATTCTATTCTTGTAGTTGTAATATTATAAAAGTCCGCAGTTCATGCTTGTTGATATCAGCAGTTATAAAAATATACATACTTTTAATAAATTTTTTTTTTCACTCTTTCCCTTTTTTTTATTATGTTCATAGGCTATTTGCTTTTTATATTAGTAACCAGCTTATTTTACTATGGCTTTAATCATATCATCATTAAACCTTCAGTTCCTATCATAAGTGCGAATAAGAATGAAGTGACTACTTTAAATCTTCAGACTTGGATCACTCAACAAGAGCCAATAAGTATAGAAATCATGAAAAATAATATAAATCCACCAGGATCAGTCAGAGGATTCTTTGCTGCTTCATTATCCACTTTTAAACCTGATTATTTTTATACTTGGACAAGAGATGCTGCATTAGTTGCACGTGTATTAACTGCATTATTAGAAGAAGATGAAAACAATGTATTGACCTTTGATTTACTTGAAGATTATGTACATTTTCAAATACATACTCAACAGATAACCTCTACAACAGTTTGTCAATGCCTTGGTGAGCCTAAATTTAATCCAGATGGGTCTGCTTTTTCAGGTTCATGGGGAAGGTAATTCAGAAAATACATAAATATATATATATATGTATATAATACATTGTCTGTCTGTCAGTCAGTTCATTTATATGCGTATCTATTTAAAGACCCCAAAATGATGGGCCAGCTGAAAGAGTGATAGCATTCATTGCTATTGCCAATTATTCAGATAATTATTATTATGTGGAAGATGTCTTAGCACCCGCGATAATAAAAGATTTAGACTATATAACAGAAAATTGGCAAAATCCCTGTTATGATCTTTGGGAAGAAATTGAGGGGAATCATTTTTATACGTGGATGGTCATGCGTCGTGCTCTCTTGGATGCTGTTGACTTTTTTCATTCTTCTTTTGATCCAATTAAAATTAAAACTTATTTATCAACTGCAACTCAAATCCAAAATCAGTTAGAGTCATTTTGGTCACCTCAAAGAAATTATATCATGACTACACAGAATAGGAGTCATGGTATACAGAAGCCTTCTGGTTTAGATGTATCCATTTTGCTAGCTGCCAATTTAGCTGCCAAAATAAATGATGGTAAAAAAAAAATCTATATAAATAGATGTATATAACAGGATATAATCATTTATATGCATTTACTTGTAGGTTTCTTTACACCTGGCTCTGATAAAATCTTGGCAACTGCTGTGGCAATTGAAGATGTGTTTAAATCACTTTATCCTTTAAATAAACAGCTAGAGAATAAAGAAGAGTTAGGAACTTCAATAGGTCGATATCCGGAAGATGTCTATGATGGTTATGGTGTCTCTATAGGCCATCCATGGTTTATTGCTACAGCAGCCTATACAGAATTGTATTATCTTGCTATTCAAGAATGGCAACAAAAGGGAGTTCATATTAATGATATCAATCGAGCCTTATTTTGTAAAAATAATCTCCTAGATGATGAAGATTGTAATCATCATCATCGTCGTCTTCATTCCTATCATTACCTTCCAGGAACAGTTAAATTAGACAAATTAATTCAGCGGACAAAGATAGCAGCAGATAAGTTTTTATCTACAATAGCTTATCATCAGCATCGAAATGGTTCCATGTCAGAACAGTTTGATCGATCTACTGGTTTTATGAGAGGTGCTCGAGATTTAACTTGGTCTCATGCTGCTTTTATCTCTGCTATTAAAGCAAGATCAAATTCAGTTATTTTCTGATAAAACAGGATTTTATATATAAAACTATATATATATATATTTTTTTTATTTGTTTGTTTGCAAGAAGAAGGAAAAGAGGAACCAGCCTTATTTTATTATTATTTATTATTTTTATTGTGGTTCATCAATAGGTTGAGTTGCACTGGGAATCTTTCTTCTTCCTAATAAAGTGGAATTGTTCATATTTAACTCAAAGACGCCACCATGCTTATTAGATCGATTTATCATTTTACGACGATATTTCTTTTCTGTGTTTGTCGTCACTGAAATTGATTCATCCATATTTACAATATTTAATTTATTTTTTAAAGCTTCTAATTGTTCATCAATTTGTTTACCATCATCATCATCGTCTGCTGTTGTTTGTGTGGCAGAAGAACTTTCATCTGTACTTGTCTCTTCATCATCTTCAGTTGTTATCATTACACCTTCTTCTTCTTCTTCTTCTTCTTCTTCATCCATGCCATTAATAGCCTTCATAAATAAAGAACGACGGTTTAGATTATTATTATGAGGATCATTCTGTTGTTGTCGCTTTAAATTCTTTCTTCGTGCTTTTTCTTCTGTAATTCGATGTACAGCGTACGAAATATCAAACATTTCCTTCATAGAGGATACACCAGAGAATAAATCACGTCTAGGTGTAGTCGTTCCAGAGGCAATAATAGAAGGTGCTCGTGAATTAGCACATGAGTTGGCACGAGAATTAATGACGGATGGGATACCATTTGATGGTTCAACCATAGTTGGAACAGCCGCCTCTAACTCTTCTTCATCTCTAATTCGTTCTTGAATCATTCGTTTATATGCTTCCGCTTCTGTTTCAGGACGTTGTTCAATATTAGCAGGAACACCGGTTTCTTCAATAGACGTCAACATAGGTGTTGAAGTTAAATCTAAATTCAAGTCGTTTGTAGTCGTTCTTGCTTTAATTGCCTCTTTATCTATTTTACCCATTTTCTATAAAAAAAAAAATAGATGAGACGATTAGCATGGTGATAATAGAGAGCTACTCTAGAGTTACCTCATTCTTTATCCAAGGATGATCAAGAAATTCATTAATATTGTATCGTTTATCAGGATCCACACAAAGTAAATTTTCAATTAAATCTTTAGCTTCATCAGAGATGTTATCCCACCATGGACTCAAGAAAGTATATTGACCTTTTGCAACTTTCTCTGTTAATATCTTGATGGATTCATCATAAAATGGAGGGAAGCCACATAAGAGAGTATACAAGACACAACCTAATGCCCACATGTCAACTGATTTTGAGTAACGTTGGTCTTTCACTATTTCTGGGGCAGTATAACCGACAGTACCACAAGGTGTCATGGTCTGTTGATCCCAAACTACTTTTGATAATCCAAAATCAGCAATTTTAACTGAACCAATACCTCCACCTCCGACTCCAATTACAAATTCGCCTTCATCTTCTTTAGGTTCATCAAATTCATTAGGAGGTAAAGGTTCCTTTCTTTCTTTAAATTCAATAGGTACAAATAATAAATTTTCTGGTTTAATATCTCTATAGACAGTAAAGCAAGCAAGTAAGTAAGTATGTATGTATGTATGTATGCATATATGCGTGTATGTATGTATGTATGTATAATCGTGTCATATCTCTATATACCTATGAACAACACCTTTTTCTTCGTGCAAATATTGAATGCCTTCTGCTACTTGTTTTATACAATGACGAGATAAATCTTCGCTAAAATAGGTTAGTCGAACAATTTGATGAAATATTTCTCCGCCTTCACATAATTCTAAGACAAGGAAATAATGCTTGAAACAATTAAAAAATAAAAAAATAAAAAAAGCGAATTAAAAAAGAACGAAAGAAAGAAAGAAAGAAAAGGGAAAAAGAATCATGAAAATTTAAATCAAAAAACATCTTATTATACCTCTTTTGTTTCAATAAAGTCTAATAATTTAGTAATGGAAGAATGATCTAATGTCCTCATAATCTGTGCTTCTTTCAAGACACTTGCTTTCTAAATAACGTAATATAGATAATATTAATTTTTTTTTTAAAAAAAAAGACTCATATGTATACAAATAAATATCAATTAACAATGCTTATTACTTGTTGATTATTCAAGTCTAATTTTCGAACAATCTTTATAGCTACTTTTTCATTTGTACTAATCTTAATAGCTTGATATACTTTAGAAAATGCGCCACTAGATAAACAAGCAAATTAAGAAAACTCATTTGCTTTGTCCAAAAAAAAATAACAACATCAATAAAACCTTACTCTCCAAGTTTAGCTTTTAATTGGTACTTTTCTAATCCTACATAACTAGGCATTGTTTGTTTTGCTATCTTTTCTTCTTCTACCATACGTGCGGCAGTCTCATATTTTTGTACTGTCGATTGTCGAGATAATTTTGAACTGGTTGTTGAATGACTATTATAACTTTTCCCATTTTTAATAAAATTCTTAATTTGACTAAATACTGCCATTATTATTTGTGTAAATGTGTGTATATATATGTATGTGTGTATGTATGTGTGTATGTATGTATGTATATATATATATATTTATATGTGTATATGTGTATATAAATATATCTATATGTATTTATATAAAAGAAAAAAAAAAAAGAAAAAAGAAAAAGGGAGAAACAAAAAAAAAATGATTTCAATATTATTTTAGTTTATTATTTTGCCATTGTTGGCTTACTGCTGCTTCTAACACTGTTGATGTCTGCTGTGCTAAATATTTAATCTCCGATAATATAACATAATAATAATAATACATTATAATTGTACCTTTTTAACACGAAATGCAAAGAGTCGGGTAACCCTGTGTATATGCATACTCTTCTTCATTACTACGCACTGCTTCTCTCTCTATATGTTTATCATGTGGTAGATCATCATATATCGTGATGTATTAAGATTATGTAGATTTATATATCTGTATATGTATGTGTATATATAGAAACAGACAACTCATTTTCTTCTTTAAACTTTGTGGTGTATTTAGAAAAAAAAAGGATCATGGGGGGGGAGGAGGAGATTGTATTTATTTGTCGTAATACAAAATCTTATTGTCAAGTCAGCCCGCTAATTTTTGAGACATAATGTTTGATTTAATAGTATTTGTTTAAGAAGAAAAAAAGTCATTTATTACATGATAACACTACCTTTTTATGAGGTAAAATTGAGAATATCAAAATGAAGAAGCTGTTCTATATGAGTTTATCTCACCTAAAAAGTCGAATAGAATAGTAAGAATGTATTTATTTATCTATCAATAGAATGACCTCATGATTATTGCGGCAAATAAAATAAACGACTACTATTATTTTATCTTTTCTTTATAAACACACCTATTCCTATAATCATAATGTGTGCTCTTTTAACAACAATTATTGTCCAATATTGAAGAGGAGTTTGAATATATTGCTACTGCTATTGCCTCTTTTTTAGATTTATGATTATGCTATTTTTTATTTTAATATTCTTTTGACGTAATAATAACATCCATTTTTATTTTTTTATATTGTTATTTTCATTAATACTCTACTATGCCATTTAATTCTAGCCAAAATATTTCCTTAGAAGATCGTTTACTTCAATTAGAAGCTATAAAGAAGGATGACTTGCCTGAATTCCCAGACGATCAACCTGATTTACCTTCTGATTATGAATATGTGCCCAATGAAGAAGAAGAAGAGGAAGAAGAAATAATAGAAATGGATGAAAGCGAACTTTTACGGACTTTAGAGCAACAAGAAAGTGCTTTATCTATTGCTCAAAGACTATTTTACAATGAATTAAATACAACCGAGTCACAAAAGAAGGATCATGAATGGAATCTAAAGTATTTGACTTCTAAAGCGGTCGAAGAATTATACGCAAAAGGTTGGACAGAAGTAAAAGGATTCATGGATCTATCTATATTAAAAGGTAACTATTTTTTTTCTTTTTTTTTTTTTATCCAAAAGTAGAGTCTTATTTTAACAGTAGTTATCGAATAGGTGCTCATGAAGAAGCAGACAGGTTGAAAGATCAAAATAAATTTATATCTGCAAAAGACTACAAAAGTGATCATGATGACCCTTACAGAGATATGAATGCTCGTGACGATGCCATCTTATGGTTAGCAATTGAAATAAATAGAACTAATATATTACTGTTTTTAGTTGCCAACTTTAACTATTATTAAATTATTAGGTTAGATCCTCGAAATAACTGTTGTACGAACAAAGATGGACTTGGTGTAGAAAAGATCCCTATTCATTTTAGAAAAATCTTGGAATTTGTGCAAGATGCTTTAGTGCAAGACCTTAAAAATATGATTCGTTTAAATAATAAGATCGAATATCAGTTATCTTATTTCCATCCAAATGGTGCTCATTATGAACGACACCGTGATGCCTTCCCTATTGATGATCCTAATGATACAGAACAAAGAAGAATTTCTGTAATCATGTATTTAAATCCTAATTGGTCTACTGGAGATGGAGGTGAAGTTAAAATCTTTAGTCGACCTGATGAACATGGTTTACTTGAGGTAGCTGATCGTACTATGAAACCACTTTTAGGAAACATGTTGATATTTTTAAGTGGTGTGATTGATTATGAAATTTTAGCTACTAAAAAGCCTGCCTATATATTAACTACTTGGATAAAATAATAGTAGTATAGACCCTTTTTTTTTAATGATGACAATAATAAAGAAGAATATATAACATATATATGTGAATATATTATATATAATTATATAACACACAGATGTGGATATATTATATATAATTATATAACATACATATGTGAATATATTATATATAATTATATAATACATCAGGGATGAAATGGTATACAAAAAAAAAATACAAAGGTAGTATTTAAACTAAAGCTAATTCTAATGTCCAAGTTCTTCGTGCCCATAAACGAATTTTTTGTTCTTCTATTTCGACCGTATTACCGTCCCACCAACATTTTCGCTAGGTAAATAATATGTGGGGAGGGGAAAAAGAAAAAAAAAATTAGAATCATGTTAAATATATACATTTATAAAATACACTTTACAGCAGGTTTTCTCCAAAATAAAAATAATTTTTGAGCAGTTGCCATATGATTATTAGGACCTAACGTTTTTAATAAGACAAGTGCCATACTAGTAATAGTGGTTCGGAAGGGTTCAATTTCACGATAACCCCAATGATCTTCTCTATGAAATCCTGCATCACACAACATATCAATCAAATGTTGTTCAGCTACATTGTTTTCTCTTGTAATGTTCTTTTGAAGTGCATCAAAGATAGCATCACGTTCTTTAAGATACTTTCCAGATGCCAACTTCAAATGGGCTACATGTTGTCCCTTTTCTATCGGTAAACAATAATATTCAAGTTCTTCACGCAAGACAATAATAGGTTGTTTTGTTAAAAGTGTATAATAGACAGGTGAAGCAGCTGTAGCGGCATTAGATGAAGCATTCATCAAGAGTCGTTGAAATTCAGCATCTTGTTGATGTTCATCTCGAATCTCTGCTGCCTTTCTATAGAATGCAAGGACATATTCAAGACAAGTAGGATCAAAATCAACTATATTATCTTGCTGTTGTTGTTGTTGTTGTTGTTCCATAGAATGACGAGAAAGTTCATCATAACCTTCATCGTCTTCATCGTCTAATTCTTCATCTGGTCGTGACAGAACAAGTCCATTAGGGAACATGGCAATTAATAAACTTTCTGGTAAATTAACAAGAATGTCTCGATCCAGTTCTATACGAGTGCCTCTTAAAACGAGTTTTAATTTAGGTGGAATTGCATTATGAACGTCAAAATCATTCACATCCCCTTGTTGTTGTTGTTGCTGTTGTTGATAAATGAGATCATCATTATGATATATTTCCTCATCAGAGTCTGACACCTGCGTAATAGGCGAATTTGAAGACATTTAAAAATAAGGATTTAAAAAAATAAAAAAAAAATAAAAAAAGTAAAAAAAAAAAAAAAAAAAAAAAAAAAAAAAAAAAAAAAAAAAAAAAAAAAAAAAAAAAAAAAAAAGATAAAATTGAATTAAATAATTTAATAACAGTAATTTATGTAAAATATACACAAAGAGAGACGACTCTTTATTATTACAAAAGCAGATCAATAAAAAAATTAAATAAAATAAGATAAAATACTCGTTTTTTTTTTGTCCTCTTTCTTCTTCTTCCTTTTTTCTTTTTAATAATAAATATTGTACAACAAAGATATTTATAAAAAAAAAAAATCTAATTATTATATCTACAAAAGCTTTGTTTCCCTTGCTGCATTAGATTTAGGTAAATGATTTCCAATCCATTTCTTCAAGGAGATGGTTCCTAATGTATGATTGGGTTCATCATGGACATGATTAGAGGTGGGTAATACCTCAAGCGATTTTTCACATGCTTTTGTTTCGCCTTGATCTACTTCTCTTTTCGCTTGTTGGTACATCCATAAACCAATAAAGGTTAATACGATACCAAAACTTTGTGCTAAACTCACTTGCTGTCCAAACCAAAGAATACTCATGACGATCACAAAAATACGCTTAACAAGTGAAGCAATAGAATATGTCACTGGAGATGACATGGCTAAGGTTGTAAAAGCAAACCAATTCTGTGCGAAATGAGTTGTTCCATTTAATAAAAAATATGTCAATAATCGTGTTTTACTGATATCACGATGTGTTTCCTCAAACAAAAATCGACTTGCATCTGAATAGAACCAAAGTGGAATCATCAAGGAAAAGGCAATAAGATTAGAATAAAAAAGCATGTTCATCTTGTCTAATTTATCTGGATTATTATTTCCCATCTTGGATTCCTTGAACAGTAATTTTTTACTAAAGATGTTTTGCATGACAAAAATTAAGCAAGACACTAATGCACATGATAGTCCAATCCAATTATTTGAGAATGTGAATGAACATGCCAGAATTACACCTAATGTTAAAGGTATTAAAGCTGTATATACTTTGGATGAATAATTAACTTTGAAAATAAATCGATAAAATAGAACAGTAAACAAAGGTGCTAATGCCTATAAATAGATAAATAATTTAACTCTCTCTTTTCCTTTCTTTCTTTTTTTGGAGAGAATGGGCTCTTACCTTGATTGTGTGTACAAGACTAACGGGAATACGACTAATGGATATACTTGAAAATATATGACCGACTGTCATAAACAAAGAAAGAGGTGCCATAGTGGTTATGATAGCTTTTGTTGGATTCTTAATACCAGTAGATGATTTAAATATACTTTCCACAATAGCACACCAGCAGGCCACAAGAAGAAACTGAATAAAAGTTAATGTTACTGGATATTTAAACTGATTCATTATTTGTTTGCCTGTATTACTGGAAAGTGAAGACGTAAAATACCACATAAAACAACAAATCAAGAACTTTGAATTATCTGATAAGGAAACGCGATGTTGGGGATGATAGCTATGGCTGCTATTGATTAGATTATTTATAGGGGAGGGTTTCTTATCATAATTTATACCATTCGACATGAAATGTCGAGCATGTGTCTTTGTTGATGTAATATTATTAAAGAATTTCCTTTGAGGTGGTTCATTTAAATTAGTTGAAATTATTGATGGCATGACAACTGAAGTTGCTAATTATAAATCATTTAAAAAAAAAAAAAAAAAAAAAAAAAAGTAAAAAAATAAAAAATGAAAAAATAAATGAATCTATAACAAGCCATTATATAATAGATACGCAATTATCATTGGACAATGCTATTATAAAATTTAAGCCCACTACTACTACTACTAACTACTACTAGTACTACCGATCTTTTTAATCGGATGCTTGATAAGAATGTCCGCTATCTACAACACTTTTTATTCTAGAAAAAAAAAAAAGTTTCAAGTTGGAGTATAAGTCCTTTTTTTTTATAAAAAAAAAAAACATATAGAATGCAAATAAACATGATTTATTTATTTCATGATTCAAAAAAAAAAAAAAAAAAAAAATATGTATATATATGCTGTTATGACTGTATGTATCTAACAAAAAAAAAAAGAGAACAAAAATAGGTGATAAAAAAGAATAAAAGAAAAAAAAATGACTAAATGAATATTATAATATCAAGTTAAATTTATATTAAAAACAAAGGAATTTAAGCCAACAAAGACTTGCCGGACATTTCCTTGGGGATGTCAAGACCCATGTAGTCAAGAACAGTAGGAGCGACATCACAGAGGGCACCTTCAGCATCCTTCTTGAACTTGGCTTCCTTGTCAACCATGATGAAAGGAACCTTAGCACAGGTGTGGGCAGTGAAGGGGCTCTTACCATCATCAGCAATCATCTTTTCAGCATTACCGTGATCAGCAGTGACGAAAAGAGCATAACCATTCTTCTTACAGGCTTCAAGGACAACACCAATGGCCTTATCAGTAGCAGCAACACCCTTAACAGCGGCTTCATAGACACCAGTGTGACCGACCATATCAGGAGGAGCAAAGTTACACATAACGAAGGGATACTTGCCAGATTCAATAGCCTTGGCGACTTCTTCAGCAACACCAGCAGCGCTCATTTCGGGCTTAAGATCGTAAGTGGCGACCTTGGGGGAGGGGACCAAACCACGTTCTTCAAGGTTAAATTGAGCTTCAGTACCACCATTGAAGAAGAAGGTAACGTGAGCATACTTTTCAGTTTCAGCAATGTGCATTTGAGGAATATCGTTCTTGGACAACCATTCAGCAAGGACGTTATCCATAGTTTGAGCAGGGAAAGCGACCTTGAAGGGGAAGTCACCCTTGTATTGGGTCATGGTGAAGAGTTCAAGGTTCTTGGGGACAGGAGAGTCGAAAGGACAAGGAGCGATACCGAAGGCTTGAGAGATTTCACGCATACGGTCAGAACGGAAGTTGAAACAGAAGATGGTATCATTATCCTTAATTTGACCAGCTTCATCAACAATGATGGGCTTCAAGAATTCATCGGTTTCACCAGCTTCGTAGCGGGCTTCAATAGCCTTAACGGGGTCAGTGACCTTCTCACCCTTGGCTTGGGTCATACCGTCAAAGGCAACTTGAATACGTTCCCAACGCTTATCACGATCCATAGCATAGTAACGACCAGCGATATCAGCAACCTTACCATACTTAAGTTCATTCAAGGCATCAAGGAGTTGTTGCATGTACTTGGCAGAGGACTTGGGAGCAGTGTCACGACCATCACCAAAGAAGTGAATGTAAGATTCGGGAACACCAGCTTCCTTAGCAGCAGTCAAGAGAGCAACAAGGTGATCAATATGACCGTGAACACCACCATCAGAGACAAGACCCATGAAGTGGAGACGACCGTTACCCTTAATAGCGCGTTCGAAAGCATTCTTGATGTTTTCAACTTGACCGAATTCCTTGTTCTTCATAGCAAGATCGATACGGACGATATCCTAACATCATCATCATAAAAGACAAGTTAAGTTAGTTAGTTAATCTGATTGAAACCACAGTCACTGCTTTTATAAGCTGATTTTTTTCTTTTCTTTTAATTAATATAAATATTTATACAAATAATACTTACTTGGTAAACAACACGACCAGCACCAATGTTAAGGTGACCGACTTCAGAGTTACCCATCAAACCATCGGGAAGACCAACAGAGAGACCATGAGCAGCAATAGGAACGAAAGCTTCTTCTGCTTGAAGCTTGTCCATGACGGGAGTCTCAGAGTTGCGAATAGCATCACCGAGCTTGTCAGCATTAGGGGAGATACCCCAACCGTCAATACAGATGAGACAAGCCTTGTTCTTAGGGGCTTGCTTAGTCTTGGGCATTTCACCTCCACCGGGCATTTTAAATATTGATTATATTTGAAAAGTTAAGAGAAAAAAAAGAAAAAGAAAAAAAAAAAAGAAGGAATTAATAATAAAAAAATACTTAATCAAGAACAACTTTTTTTTCGTGTTAAGACACGTGTCACAAAGCAGTGACGCAACTTTTAGGTTTAGTACATAGTTGATCAATTCAAAGATTTGAGCAGATTTGGTTTTTTTTAATGGAAAAATATTATAATTTGGCATTTTTTGTTTCATGTCAAATTATATACCCTTCTATTCAATTATATTGTACAATTAAAAAAAAAAGTCTATTTGTCTCTTTTCTATTTTTTTGTAGGTCTTTAAGAATAATAATAATAAAAGCATTTGAATACATTACATCGTCAATGCTAGTAGTCAACGTTTCGAATTCAAGATAAGTTGATAATACATATTTAAAAAAGAAAAGCTACTGTTTCATTATTGTTCTTTTTCGGAAGACAAAAAATCTTACTTTTAAAATAAAAAAGAAAACCTTTTTTTATAACTTTCCGAAAGTATTCACTTTATTATAATGAAGGAAAAAAAATACATAAGCGAACAAGTTTTATTTACTGTTAAAAAGCAAAAAAAAAAAAAATAGTACGAATAAATATAAATATTTTTGTGAAGTTTCTAATTGTTATTCTTTCTATTACTACAATTGGACAACAGATTGTTGTTTTCATGGTGATAAATTGATAAAATCGAAACCAAAAAAAAAACCTGTGTTACAAAAGATTAAAAGATAATTTATAGGAGTTTAGATTTTGATTAAACCCTTTTTTTTTCATTCGCTTTCTTTTTTGACAATGCATTTCTTTAATAAAAAAAATATTTATTATAAACAGCTTCTTGTTTGTAGTATGCTTTACTAGGACGCAATATATACTTGTTTAGAATAAATGGTTGTAGTCCATTTATGTCTGATAAAGTTACAATGCCTGTAGAAAAAAACCAATAAAAAGCCTTTCATTTAATGAAGAGAAGCATATGACAATTATTCAAGTTACACGAACGAGTCCTGAATTGCTCTCCTCTCCTATAACAAGAAGGTAGTGTTTACTACAGTGTGCACATGTTTATAATTGTATTTGTTTATACTGTTTTTAGTCATTTCAGAATATAAAAAACTATTCTATAGATTTATACCAGTCCTATTCTATAAATCATGTTTTTTTTTTCTTCAAGTCTATTATATACTTTCTTTATTATTATATGCAGCATTCATGTGAGTAAGCAGTAATAAGAAGAAAAAGTTAAATCTTATGAGTACTGTAAATGGTAGATCATCTAATACAACACTTGTATCTAAAATGATGCAATACCTGTAAAAATGAAAGAGTCCAAACATTTCTTTGATTTATTCCTATTCAATTTATAAAGAATACCCTGTTATTTTATTTATTTTTTTGTTAGTTTATTTTGGAATCCTTCCTTGATAATAATTTAAAGAAGTATCGTCTGTTACTACTATTATAACAGTCATTGTTAAAATAAGCTATTTCTATTAAATGTTGATGGTTTCAGTAAAACAGTGAAAATAAAAAAAAAAATGAAGGTAACTTTTTGTGTAACGGATTTTTAATATCTTTTACTTTAACAAATAAAAAAATTCCCATCGTTATTTAACCCTTTTTTTTACTTTTTTTTTTTTTTTTTTTTTTTCTTCTTCTTCATATTATTTGTTTATTAATGCCTTTTGACACAGTAGAAAGATCATTTAAAAAGTTTCGTACAGATATTAATTTTAATGATGAAGAAGAATGGTATATGAAATGTTCAACATTTTCAAATCATAACACTTCTACTACTCCTTTCAAGGATCAACTACAACATGGATCTTGGGAAAATAAATCACCTTTTCAACCTATTACCCACGATTCTTTATTGCCTTCTTCTGCTACACCAATCGATATTCCTTATTCTACTTCTAGTGCTGCTTTTGATCATCCTTCTAATAGTTTAAATACTATTTCTCCACAATCTAATCATCATTATTATTGGGATGACAATACAAGCTTAACTGAATCCATCTCCTCTCTTTCACATCCCTCTTTCATAAATTCTTCTTATTCACCTATTCACCTTAATAATCTCATTTCTTCTCCACCACTAGATACAACTTGGATAAACAATCATAGTTCTCCTCCTATCTTTACAGACGTTTTATCAAGAATCAAATTTTCATATAGCGATATCGGAATTAACCTCGAAGCAAAGATCTCAAATGCTTCGGAATTAAGCTTATTAATTGACGCTTTTAGTCACTTGTGCTGTTCTTCTTCTTCTTCTTCTTCAGTAACTACGACTACGACTACGACAAATCAAGAAAATTCAGACTCAACAAGTTCACATGATGATACTAATAAAGTATTTCACAATAAAATGTTACTCTGTCGGAATAAATTGAACCAAACAAAACCCGTCAATTTTTTTGCTTCAACTTGTACACTAGGTCAAAACTCAAATCCTCTTTCAAATCTTGATTCTTTAACAAGTCAAAGGAAAATAGTAGATGCTTGTATAGATATCTTTTTCAAATGTTGGGTTAGATATAAGCCTATATTAAAAAAAGATGAATTTATGACTTGGTATGAGTCACAACACGAACCTACTGAAACATTAATTGTAAATGCTATCTGTGCTCATGTATTTAGACATATGGTCATTCATCATCCTCAACAAAGCTTAGATCATTTTTTAAAAGACCAAGATAAATTACAAGAACAAGAAGAGTATTTCTTTAGTCGAGCTAGAGAATGTCTTTCTCAATCCTTTGATACCCCTGATCGTTATACGATTATTGCTCTCTTATTTATGAGTATTCGTGCTGACCCTTCTAAAGGACATCATTATGTTGGTATGGCTGCTTCTGCTTTACATGAATTAAATATCTATCCTCGTATGGTAAACGAAGATGTTGATTCTTATGATAAAGAAATGGATACAAGATTATGGTGGTTTGTATGGGCTATCGACTTTTATCATTGGTCAGCCGGTGCCCATAAGAATACACCTCAGCCTTTTATTCAAGGTGAAATTGATTTACCTAAAGTATTTGAACAAGATATTGATGAAACAGAGATAAGTGTCATCACTTTTACTTATTGTTTAATGTTATGGAAGATACAAGCAGACATCGTCACTACATTCTATCTTCAAGATCATTCCACTGAATTAGTAGTTGAACAGCTTATAGAATATGATCGACGTTTATCGAATTTTTATAGGGATTTACCTGATTATTTAATATTCGACAGTGGATTTGAATATGGCTGTGAAGAACTTTTCTTGGCTTGTTTAAGAGTGAATATTGAATATAATGCAACTCTTATCATCCTTCATAAACTATTTATACCAGAGATGAATCCTATTCGACCAAGTCAAACTTCTTTAGAATCTTTAAATAGTTGTCTCTCTGCTGCTTTAACTCAGTTGAGTGCTATCAAGACATGTACCATGACAACCATAGGTCATTGTGCATTTGATCGAGATGAATTATGGCGTGCTGCTGAAGTTATTTCTGTTGCTATGGATATCTATCATCATTCTTTATCCCCTAAAGATCAAATGACGATATTGAAGAATATTAAACTACAAGACTTTATGTTGGGTCTAACGAAATCATATCAAATATTACAAAATACACGTGAATTCCGGTTTGCATATAAAAATTGGTTACAAGTAGCAGATTGGATTCAAGCTGAAATTCGACGACATCAACTTGCTGTAGGTAATCGGACTTTAAAACATCAGTTTGAAGATGAATCCAATAAGAAAAATAAGCCTGATTATTTCCTGGCTCATCTTAAGCCAAATCCTTCCACTTTATCTTATCTTACAACTACAAAGAAGAAAAGGGAAGATAATCCTTCAGTTCTTTATCAACAAAGACAGTCATCTACAAGAAAATCAATTTCCTTTCAAAATCAATTTAGTGTACAACCTGCTATCCATCCTTCTTCTTCTTCACTTCCATCTTCAACTGTGAATATTCGAAAATCATCTTTTTCAACTGCACCTCCATTTGTACACTTTACTAATTATACCTCTTCAGATAAACAAAAGCAACAACCATCTTCAAATGGTAAAAATCATGCTAGATTTCGTTATTTTAATCCAAGAAAGATGAATAAGTTTCTTTTTATTGACGAACATCCAATGATATAAAGAGAAAAGACATCTTATTGTAAATAGTAGTTAATAAATTTAAATAATGTTCTTTTAAAGAAGAAGAAAGAGAATAGGTTTTTTCTTTTTAATGCACTTTTTTTTTCTAACGTCATACGTTATTATCAGCTGATCATGATAGCATCACTACTTGTTATTAACCTTTGCCTTCTTTCTTTCTATAAAAATATATTTATTTGTTTACTTTTTTTTTTAATGATGGTTAATTCATTAACGTTAATTTGTATAATTGGAATCATTGTCTTTTTCGCTATTACCGTTTTCTTAGTATATTTTACTACAAATACAATACAACTGTCATCAAGTCATTATTCTGAATTTAACAATGGGTTATTCTTATTTGATTCAGAAGAGTCTATTACTTCTTTAACAGAAGATGCAAGACTGAGTTATGAAAGAGCGAAAAGTAAGCAAGAGTTCATTGTTGCTTCTTTTCTTTTTTTTTCTTATCTATTTTCCTTTTAATAGTTTGGCAAGAAAGGCATCCACCAGATAGTATTCCAACTGATATTACACCACCTCAATTTTTATCTATTCAGGAGAAAGGTGTCTCTGCGTTTGAATTCGAAGGAGGAGATCCGGATACGAATGTGTTTGTAGCAGGAAGAACTGAATTACAGTTTGTATATGGTGAATGCTGTATACAAACAAATCTTCCTTTACCTAGACAACAAGAAGTCTATTACTGGGAGGTAGAATAAAAAAGAGAGAGAGAGAGAGAGAGAGAGAGAAAAGGGGGCGGTATACAATTTAACAAATTCTTTCATGTATATACATAGGCTAAAATATTTGAAAAGCCAGAATCAACTACAATATCTGTGGGAGTAGCTACAAAACCTTATCCAACTTGGAGATTACCAGGTATATAATAATAATAATAATAATAATAATCGTTTCAATAAACTAAATAGAATACGAAATAGGCTGGAATCGTTATTCAATCGGCTATTTCTCAAATAATGGTTATAAATATTTTTCTTCTCCCTTTAATGGTAAGCCTTATGGTATCCCGTTTGATAGAGGTGATACCATTGGTGTTGGATACAAACATAGAACAGGCTCTATCTTTTTCACTCGTAATGGTAAAAGGTTAGAGGATGCTTATACTGGCTTACGTTGGAATTTATTTCCTACAATTGGCGCTAATGGACCATGTCAAATTCATGTTAATTTGGGTCAAGCGGGATTTGTATTTCTTGAAGCCAATGTGAAGAAATGGGGGTTAGCACCATCTCAAGGGACCTTGGCTCCTCCACCCGCTTATGGATCTGAACAAGATACAATATTATTAGCATCCACTAGTAGTATTCATCAATTACAACTAATACCTTCTTCTTCATATAGATGTCCCAATAGAATTGAGAATGATGATTATTCTTTAAGGACCTATCCTTCCTCAGCTGTATTGATTACAGTAAATGATATAAATCATAGTCAATCTATATCAGAGCCACCTCCTTACTCGTCACAAGATAATTTATTAGATTAGAAGAAGAAATAGTTTACAAATACCATATGATAATGCATGCATATATACCATGTTATACTGCTATTTATATAATGCTTGTTTCCTTTACTTTTTTAATAATAATAATAATAATAATAATAAAATGAAGCAATATGTCTTTACAAATTACTTTTTTATAGATACGTTTCCCTCTTATTGAGTATATGCTAAAATAAGAGCAGCAGATGGAACTAAATCTATATCCATTGGTGTTATGTTAAATATTATATGTGTAACTTTTTAAGAATATATATTTATATCACTTACTTAATTCTTTTAATGTCTTTTGTTGATCTTCAAAAGTATATGTCTTTCTAGGAAAAGTGGTAGATAGACTAAAAGGAGGATGACATCCTTGAGTCTGCAAAAATGTAAAAACATCTGATAGTGTTGCATTGACATTAAATGTATGAGTTATTGGACCAGATCCAGGAACACGAACCTATTCATAAAATAAGATATATATATATATGTATATTGTTCAAATTAACTCTAACTTTTTACCTGTAATCTAGCTTCTGTATATTCTTTTTTTACACTAGCCCGAGCAGCAGCATCTGCAGCGGCATCTTCTTCTGCTTGTGCCTGTTGAGCTCTTTTCGCAGCTTCTCTCTAATATATATTTATATATGTATAAAAGGGAGATGATGGAGAGGTTAAACAGATGTCCACATCCAAGTTTTGCAAATTGATTTTTTTATATACCTTTGCTGCACGCTCCTTCTTATCCTGTTCAATTTGGGCCTTAATTTTTGCTCTCGCAAGTCTCTCCTCTTCCTTCTCTCTCTTCTTTTTCTCCAATGCTCTTTGCATTTCCTTCGCTTCTAGAGCTTCTTTTGCACTCGTTATCTCTTGACCTGCTTTCCTTCTGATCTTCTCTGCCTGTTTACGTTCCTCAATTTCCTGTCTTTCACGAGCTGCACGTTTCTCAGCCATACGAGCCTTTAATTCAGCTAACTTTTGCTTCTTTTCTTCCTCTGTCAATGGTTTAATAGCCTCTGTACTTTCTGAAAAATTTTGGTGGCCTGTACGAGTAGCGTGTAACTCGGCACCAGTAGCATCACGAAATAGTTTTTGACAATCGTTGCAGATCAAACTTTGGGCAGTTTGTTCACCATCCTTAATTTCGCCTAAAAACTAAAGAGTGAGCAATACAAAATAATAACAATAAAAGTAGGGGAGGAGAAGGAGGATAAACGTGATATAGATGCAAGCGTATGTTTACAAACCTTCATCGTTGTTGGTAGTAGTAGTAGTAGAAGAAGAAGAACTACTTGCGCTTCCTAATGTTTGAGGAGGAATTTCTTCTTCTGGTTCATCAGAAACTTCAGGATGAGCTAAAAGCCTTCATTATATAAGAAGAATAAGAATATATAGTCGTTTTAACTATTTTATATATATATATTTATAAATGTATATATTGTTAACAAACCAGTCCATAGCTGGTTGAAGGCCAGCTCCATTTGTAGCTTTCATTGCTTTTTTTCTAGAAACATTTTAAAAGTTTGAATAATTTAAACAATCAACATTATAGAATAAATTTACACTTTGGGTAGTGAGAATCCCATACTAACAAGCGTGTCAATGTCGTTTGCCATTTTATTTTATTTTTTTTCTTTTAATTTAATACACTTTAGCTTATTAATAAAAGAAAGAAGAAGAACATCTATTTAAATTGATGACGCATATAAATATGTATAGACATTTATTTATTTTTTTTATTCATGTAATAAAATGTTTCGGCGGTCGGGCTTTAGCATGATTTCCCGTCATTAATTAAAAACAAGAGCTTTTTTTTTTTCATTTTCATTTTTTTTTAAAGTTAAAGTGGTTTGGCCTCAGAAGGATCAATTGGAGATTAAAATAAAACTTTTTTTTTATTGCGCATCTTTAAAAATTCGCACCGAAAAAAAGCGGTTCATCTTTGACCAACGAATTTTTTTTTCGATTCGAGACGAGTTCAAGAATTAGAATCAGCTTTGAACTATGCTAAAGTTGTGGTTTTTATTTATTTATTTTTTTTTTAAAAAAAAAAAAAAAAAACGGTCGTTAGAAAGAAGTAACACTAATAATCTTGGAAAACAAGATTTAATTCTAGTTACTTGTAAAAGGTATAAAAAGATAAAAGACATAATCAGTTGTTGGCTATTTGTATATAAACATAGAGTTTATAGGCTTTTATTCTGTCAAAAATTATTATGTGTATCAACTATTTCATTCGGTGGCTTAGTTTCAATTTCTTCATTGACTAAATTACTGTTTTTGGTTTTTTATTTTTTATTTATTTATTTTTATTTTTTAACTGTCATTCAAAAGAATCGAACATTAAAGATGGCATTTAGATTCAACTTTACAGTATGTTAAATTCTTTTTTGTCGTTCTTTTTTTTTTGGTTTATAATACTAATGTATGTGCTTGTTTAATAAAAGAATGAAGAATTAGATATTGAAGATACTGAAGAAAATCAACAATTAGAATCAAGTCTTCACGATTTGAGCATCGATGAAGAACAATTAAATAAAATTCCTAGTCAAGAATATGACATTCTCGTAACTATTTTTATTTTATTTTTTTTTATAAATTATATGTTTGACTAATTTCTTTCAATAGTCTTCACCTTTACCTAGTGTTATTCAAGCAGATATCATCAACATACCTAACGTTAATATTCCACTTTATAAACGTACCTTAGCCGATGTACAGTTTCAAATGGCTCAACAAGATCAAATTATTGAAAACCAAGACGATAACACAGAAAAGGAAGTGTTAGACATGTTAAATTTGACAGGCAATACAGATTTGATTCGTGGTGTTTATGAAGGAGGATTTAAAACTTGGGAATGTTCTGTTGATCTTGTTCAATTTTTATCCAGCTTGTCAGAAGATCAAATTACTCATAAACGTGTCTTAGAAGTAAGTAAATCGACAAAAAAAAAAGAGCAAGACAATATGGACACTCATATTGATACAAAAAAAAATATATTATAGCTTGGTTGTGGATCTTCTCTTCCTTCACTTTTTCTTTTATCACATAGTCAAACAAATCGAGTCGATGTTCAAGATTATAATAGTCAAGTGATTCGCTATATTACGATACCAAATATTCTTTTAAATACTGTTTTAAGTGTTCAAGAACCAACAATCAATAACGAAGAGATGGAAGAGGAAGACGATGATGAAGACGACAACGAAAATAATGTTGAAGAGGAAGAAGAAGAAGATAAACGTATCGAAGAAGATCCTATTACTTGCGATGCAGAAGCTGAGATTCAACCAGAGAAAATCCCAACCATGTTAAAGCAAGTCCATTCTCGTACAAGAGCATTTGTGGGTGACTGGAGTTCTTTACCTGTAAAGTGAAAATGTTACTCAAAATTAAAATAACACTAACCTTAAATGTACAGGATCAATTAAATGTCGATCAAGAAAAGTATGATATGATTGTCACATCTGAAACGATCTATGCTGAACATGCTTTACCTGATTTAATTCAGGTTATTCAAAAAGCCTTAAAGAAGCCTAACGGTATTTGGTAAAATAGAAGATGATAATAATGACTTTATAAATTGCACTCAATCTTATTATTATTATTATTAATAGCTATGTTGCTGCAAAGACAGTTTATTTCGGTGTTGGAGGTGGTATTTTACCCTTTTGTGATTTATTAAGTAAAACTCAAGACGAAGATGGAGATAAAATGAAGTTTGAAAAAGTGTTTGAAAGTTCAAGTACTGTAAAAAGAGAAATCCTTAAAGTTACTTGGGATTTGTAAATTCATACTGTAATATAAGATCGTCTTTAAGCAACAAGTATTTAAGAGAAAATAAAATAAAATAAAAAATAAAAAGAATCCTTAGAATGTCTGGAAATGTGTTACAATGCAACTACTTTTTCTTTTCTCTCTCTTGGCAATGAAAATAGGTAGTCGCAACAGTAAAAAATATCAAATAGTTGTAAATAAAAAAAAAAAGTAACTTGCGAATATTTATACAAAATTAAATAAAGTGTGAATTGGAGCTAAATGACCTTTAGGCGCGTGTTATTTCTTTTTTGAACTATGTGTGTGTATATTAGAAGGGTAAGACAGGCCAACCTTTATCAGTATTTGCAACGCGTGCTTTTTTCTTGAACTACTATTTAACAAAAAAAAAAAAAAAAAAAAAAAAAAAAAAAAAAAAAAAAAAAAAAGTATAGTTAATTAGCTTCATTGTTTTATTTTTTTTCTCTTTTTCTTCTTTTCTTCTTTTAATATTATACATATACCAAATAATAGCAATATTTATTCAAAATACTCGCTATAGAATGAGAAGCTTTTCAGTCATTTCATTATTCTCGACTTTGATGATACTATTATATCAAACGACTGAAACAAAATCATTAGATCTAAGTGAATATGGACTTTGTAACGTACAAGGTGATTCATCAGAGTGTGCTTTCGCTTGTCAAGAAATAGTACAAGGAAGAGGTAGCTGTATTTTTAATAAATGCTATTGTACTGAAATGACAGAAATTGGGAAATGTGAAGATGATAATCATGAATCTTGCGATGCACTCTGTCAAGATATGTCTCCAGATTTGATTGGCTTCTGTATGGATGATCAATGTAACTGTATTACATGATAAAGATTACCAGCCAAGGGATTTCTTCTAAAAACAAACAAACAAACAAACAAAACCCTTCTTTTGTATCTATCATAAACAAGAAAATATATACTTTAATTGTATAATACATACATACATACATACATACATGCATTTATGTATATATATGTATATGGCTTTATTATTTTAGCTATATTAATTAACTACTACTACTACTACTACTACTACTACTATTACTATTACTATTTTAATTTTATTCTGTTAATATGGCAAAAACAGGCCTTGATATACTTAGTTATTTTTCCAAGATGTACAGTTTATTAACTGGTTTGCTTAATAATAATAAAAAAATATTTTTATTGTTATGAATAACGTCTCAATCTGCAAGGAATATATTTTATGCAGTCATATATTGAGGAGAAAGGCCTAAAGTGTGTTTATTTGCCACCTTTTACTTTATTTTCAAACCCCAACAGCAGAGAAATATAAATCCATTCAACAAGATTAAAACTATTTCTTACTGCAATAAGTAGATTGACTAAAGCCTCTAATACAACAATCACTCATAAAGACCTGGAAGAATATTTATTTCAATGATTGATCTTATAGATAAAAATGTTAATTCACAAATACAATCATTAGTTAGAGGAGAGCTACAGAGATATACTTTGTTGAAGATATATTTTCATAGTACAATGAATTTAATGTTTAACTATAATTTAGCCCATTTCTTTATCCTAAAATCATGTAGTAATTTTCTTTCTTTCTTTTTTTTTTTTTTTTTTTTTTTTTTCATTTCTTCTCCTTCTAAGGCCCCTATAATTTAATATGTCACAAATAAAAAATTATATAATTAAGCAGTTTAATCAAAATCTATCTTTCTTTTTTACTTACTTTTTTTTTTCCTTTCCTTTCTTTTCAAATCTAAACAACAATGTATAGACCAAGACACATTATTAGGTTATTCTTATTCTTATTATTATTATTATCGTTGACTATTGCTCAAGGGGTACCGCCAACAGCAGAACCACCATCTTCTACTCCAGTAACATCCGCGCCTAATACAGTTGTTTTAACAAAGGGAGAATGTGATGTAGCTACAGGGGATATACGATGTCGATATGCTTGTGGTCCAGAACAACTTCAACCTATGTGTATTTCAGGTCAATGTTATTGTACAAATGTTGGACTTGGTAGTTGTAAAGTAGGTAGAAATAGTGAAGGTTGTATTGCCATTTGTCAACATCTAGGAAAGACCTCAAAGGGTTGTTTCGAGGGTGAATGTAATTGTGATTAATAAAGCAGCCATAATCCTATTTATAACAGTTGACCATCATAGTCTAGCTTATTTTTATTATTTTCATAAATGTATATGTGTATAATTGTATATATTTATATATACATATTTACATGTATTTATATATGATATACATATTTGTATGTATCTTATTTATTTATTTATTTTCTTTACTCCTTTTATATATACATGTATTTTCTCCTTTATTGTTCTCTCACCCCCCCTCCCTCTTTTATTATCCTATTCATATTTGCTTAAAAATATAAATTAAGTATACATGTATGTACTCTATTGTATAGAATAATAATAATATGATATATATATATATGTGTGTGTGTATGTATGTGTATAAACAAGGTTTCGTTTGCTTGCTTTTCTTAAATGTTGTTGTAAAAGATAATATCTGCTTAGTGTAGAAATTTTAAATAAAATTATTCGTCTGTAATATCAAATATAGTTGAAGAAGAGAGACTTTGAGTAATTGTGATTGTTTCTGTGGACGTGGTATTGTTTTCTTTATCCCCTTTGAGGATAGACAACGGTGGTGAAATATCTTTTGATTTTACCATTTCATTATAATAAGATGATAGTTTACATTTGTTTTGATCATATTGAATATCCTTTGTTAAATAATGAAAATCATCAAATAAAGATGTAGTTTGACTGCACAGTTCAAAGGTAGGTAATGAAATGGCCGGGATATAGTTCTTTCTTCTTTTCTCTTCTTCTTCATCATCATCCTCTTCTTCATCTAAACTTATCTTTATATCCTTTTCTTTGTCGTAACAAAGCTCTCTAGCTGCTGATGCGTAAAATTCAACGTGTTTCTTATATGTCAAGATAGATGTTGGGACTAAGAGTCGATGATTACCAAAATGGGTAGTGGATGAATATAATGAGTTGGGCAGATCTGGAATATATCGACCCCAAGCCAGCTCTTGAAATGGTGCTGTTGTAGTTGTTGCTTCTGTAGGTCGATTGAAGACACGTTTGTTTATTGTCTTTTTTATTCTTCTTTCTTCAGATAAAGTCTGATAAATGACAAACCCAACTAGACTAAGCCAATTAATGCATAGTAAAATTGCACAAATCCATGTAGAATCACTTAAAATACATCTATTTATTATATGTATATATTTATAAATATCAATATATATATATATTTTTTTTTTTGTTTAATGAACAAAGCATAATACATACCTCTTGTATAATAATGGATAAAGTAAATCATGATTTGAATCAAATAATGTATAACAAGATGTCAATAATCCAATTCGTGGTTCTTCGAGCTTATAACTATCATTTGTCCATGGTTCTTCTGTTACTCCTGAATCAAATATAACAGCCGTAATGACAGAAGATAAAATAAGTAAAAAGGATAAAGACCCAATACATTTATCAAGAGAATACGACTGATTTTGTCGTTGTTGTTGTTGTTGCTGCTGCTGCTTTTTATCATGCTTATATGAAAATAATGTACTGATTATAGTAAAACATTTTGTATTTATACAGATAATTATTAAACTTCCTGCTAGCGAGAATCCTAATGAAACATACCAACTAAGATACTGAGGAGTAGTTAGGTGATATAAGTATACACATATATAAATGTATTTGATCTATAAATGATAATACCTGCCAGTGCCCAGCTGTCATCCAATTCGGAATTTCTGTCTATTATACACACATATATATACATATATATAAGTTGGCATCGAAGTTTTTTTTTTTTTTTTTTTTTTTTTTTTTGTTATTATAATTCATATTAATACCTTTTCTATATACTCTTGCAACAAAATACATTGAGCTAAATGACATGAAAATGATATTAAACTAATAATGAATGCTAAATATCGTAAAATGTGAACATAAATAATAATACGCATGCTAAGATATTAAATATTAATAAGACAAAAAGGAAAAGAAATAATAAAAAAAAAGTAAACTTCATGTTAAATATATGCATCTTTCTGTATAATAAAGCTTGTATACAGAAAACTCAAAAAGCTCTATTAAGGGGAGAAGGAGAAAGAGAAGGATTATTATATAAAAACAAACATATTACCATTAGTACTTAATAATCTTAAATATTATAACAGAAAGCGAAAAAAGGAGACATTGTGATTTACTATATACTTAATTTATACGGTTTCCCCCTCCCCCTCTTTTGTATATATCAAATTCAATAAAACACAAACTATATATTAAGCCTTTTATAATATAATTTATATAGTAAATAAAATTATCTATTATATTCATTCAAGTGAAATGCTATTGTCGAGTAAACAATACAAATAATTAAACAATTTTAATTAATACGTGAATTTCGTAATTGTATTGAATTTGTGCATATCAATAAAGGCTTATGCAGTCATAATAGATCGAATTATTTATTACATTATAATGTCTTTAGTAGTATAATTGTTAATTCTGTATTGTAATTCCTTACTCCTCAAAAATCGAGCCGGTCACCAACCTACTGCCATAAGTTGACTTTTAATATCATGTTTACTTGATTAAACAAGCAGATCAAAAAATTCTATTTAGATCCTCTTGATCCATTTTATCAAATAATATTAAAACATCTAACACTTTCATTAGCTATAACACATTTTACTCGGTCGTAGCCAACACTTTCCTGATTTATACTTTATCTCACAGACTTCTTTAATAATTCCTATAAATATTCATTCAATTTAAATTCATAAATAAAATGATTCGACTTTAAAACGAGTTGTTCAGTCTTCTTGCTGGCTTCTTTTATCTTTTTTTTTTATTAAATTTATTGTATGATATTTTTTATATCGCAACCCACTATGAATCAGAATGGTTTCCATTAGTATTAATAAATAGGTTTTCTCTCAGTTTTATGTACAAATCATTCACTCACTGCTTGAATATGGCTTAGCCATAAATACTTTCAACTCAAGAGCTATCACATATCTCTCTAGAAAATTGTCAAAATAAGTGCCCTATGCCACATATTGGGTGGTTATTCAAACTTTTCAACGAAAGTGATACCACATATCACTAGGTTGCCTTATATGCACAAATGTATAAGTATACCTTAAGTTTGATATATATATATATTTTTTTTTCACTTTCTTTGTATCACCCAGATAAGATTTTCTTTGCTTACTCATCTTCAACTCTCTGTCAATCATTCGTAATAGTACTGCTTGTCCAAAAAAAGAAAGAAAGAAAGAAAGAATACTCCTCTTTAGAAAAGATGTAATTCCTTTACTTGGTAATCTTGATCTGCGTCTTTTCAAGCATACTCCATCTTCTTCCCTTCTAAACAAATTAGTGTTAAGATCATTACTCCAAATTTTTTTTATGCTTGTCACAATACCTTGATAATTGATCCTATACTGTGTCTGCCTATGACAAAACCATGACCATAGCCGTTGTATGCGTTGTTGTCTTGGTTAATAACTACATGATCGCCTTTCACCCTGTACTTTTCATCCTGATTAATTGTTCAATCGGTTTCATTCCATTCACTGCCTATATATGCAAATGTCTGAAATAGTTGACGATCCTCTTTCCCTTTTACTTAATAGCCTCCCTACAAAAAAAAAAAAAAAAAAAAAAAAAGAAAAAAAAAGTCATTTAATATAGTCTCTCCTTAATTCATCCTTTGGCCATCTAAATGTTTCATCTTGCATAAAAATGGACTATTTGGCTTATTCCTCCTCTTCCTCTCTAATAATGCTGGTTCTCTCTTGATTAAGCGGGCTATCTCCGTAAAGCCATTTTTCTTTTCTATCTACATATATTTCCTCTTCTCTCCTTGACTTTAATCTTTACTTTACTTTTTTCTTTCTTCGTTTCTGATAGCCTTTTTTATTTTTTTGAACTGACTAGGGCAAATCAGTTTATTATAGCTTCATGCTCATTAGTTACAAGATGATTTTTTAATTGTGGATTCAGCACAAAAAAGGTAAATGAAAAAAAGGTTTAAGTTCCAAAAAAGAATAGTTTTTTTTTTCTTATTCTATCCTTTTTCTTACATTACTTTCATTTGCTATTTTCATCATGCCAAAAATGAGTCTATCAGTAACAGATATATTTGAAGGCTATTTAGAAAGTAATTACTTATTTTCTTTTAATATTTAATATATAGGCTTACAGAATCTACCATCTGAAATAGATCAAAATATGTACGAGTTACGACGCATAGATGATGATTTACAAAATAACATATACCTTTAAATAGTTGAAAACAAGACGATCTATTTCTTTCTTTCTTTCTTTTTTTTTTTTAAAAAAAAGAATGCAAAAAGACTTATTCAAGACGCAAACAATCTTTCATAAAACATTACAAAGCATCAGCCAATGTTAACTCCATGGACTTGATGATTACTCATTCACAACTAGAAAAAAAATTACAAGATAGCTATTCAAAAGCAAGATCAGAAAATTAAATTGACGATCCGAATGTATGATCTTGTGTCACGGCATATTGAGCGCTTAGATTCGCAAGTAACAAAGAGTGGATTAAATGAAATAGACTAGATTGCTCAAGCTTCATTCAGTAATAGAAAAAATATGTTTAATACAGATCATTCATCCTCATGGCATAATAACGTTGACTTACCAGGTAATATATAGATATAATTATAAAATTGGATTCATTATATATTTGTATATTTGTTTTAACTAGTACAAAGGAAAAAAAAACGATTCGAATTTAATTGATATGTATGTATTTTGTAGTGTGAAAAGGAATGGTTTCATTATAGCTGTGTTGGTTTAGTTGAGCCTCCTGCTGTTAAAAGGTTTTGTGACGAATGTAAAGAAGAAGAAGAAGTCTATACCAGCAGGCATTATTTTAATAGCGGTGAAGAAGACAATTTATCTTGATAGTTATTTATTTTATTTATTTATTTTGTTTTATTTACTCTTTTTTAAGATAATAATTTATCGCCAAACCATTGATTAGCAGCAGGGACTTTACGTTCAATATTTGGTATATGTTCACATGCCTTTGCTATTCTACATAATAAAGCTTCGTTCCACCATTTAGCCATAAACTGTAGACCGATAGGCATACCTTCATGGAAACCAGCAGGCACATTAACCGCAGGAAGCCCTGTCAAATTAGCCAATGTACAAAATGCCATGGATCGAATAGTAAGCTTAACATGAGTCATACCATAGGTATGGGCCTTTTCAGGGATCTCGGGCGCAATAAGTGCAGTCGTGGGACATAAAATTAGATCCACTTTTTGCTCTTCAAAAATATGACGCATGTGGTTCATCATACGTGTACGTACTTGTTGTGCTCTTATAAAGTCACGGCTATCTAATGCCTTAGCTGCACCTGTCATAATACGTGTATGAGCCAAGAGCTTACGTTGTTTAGATTCATAACGAGAAATGAAATTGTGCATTTCACTACAGATTGTAATTGAATGAGCTAATAATAAAAAGTTAATGAAACAAGGCTAGATATTCTTTTATAAAAAAAAAAAAAAAAAAAAAAAAAAAAAAAAAAAAAAAAAAAAAAAGATAAAATAAAATAAGAAAAAGCCTTCACCTGGAGAAGCAATATCCAAATCAGGAATTTCAATCTCCTTTATATGTGCACCTAATATCTCTAAATAGTGCTTGAAAATATTCAGTTTTTCAAGGATAACAGGTTCAGTCAAATTCTTTGCCCAATCAGGGTAAACAGCAATAGTAAGATCAGAGAGATCATGATAATTATCATAGTCTTTTAATGATACAGGAGGTTGTAGGAGAGAATAAGGGTCCTTTGGATCAGGACCAGCAATGATACTATAAGCTAATGTCATATCATCTGCAGTAGCTGCGAGCGGACCATAACTACCTAAACTAGGATCTACCGGTGCACTACCATAAGCAGATACACGAGCATATGTTGTTTTTAAGCCATACAACCCACAAAAGGATGAAGGAATTCTAGTAGTAGTGATAGGTTAAATTTCTATTTTTTTTTTTTTTTTTTTTTTTACCTTATAGATCCTCCACCATCAGCTCCAATACTTATAGGGAATAATCCGCCAGCTACACAACCTCCACAACCTCCACTAGAACCTCCACAGGAGTGAGTAAGACCATAAGGATTTTTAGGCATTCCTGTATTAGGATTAACAGTAAAGGTATCCCAACCAAGCTCATTCATAACAGTTGAGCCTACAATGATAGCACCCGCATTTCTTAATTTGGTTACCAAAGTAGCATCATCAGTAGCAGGTTGGTGATCACTAATAAAGCTTGTACCCAGCTTGGTTTCTAAATCTTTAATATTTATTTCTTCCTTAATAGTAATAAATACACCATCTATTTGACTTAAAGGAGCATGTTGTTTATATCTTTCTGTAGATGCCTTTGCTTGCTCTAAAATATCTTGAGTATAAAAGCGAACCCAATTCATGCTTCTACTTTTTTCTAATTGATTCATAAGATTTTTAGCTACTTTAGTAGGTGTTGTTTTAAATTGTGTATAGGCTTCATGGTAATCCCAAAAGGATAAAAAGGGTGAAGTACTTTTATGATTAGGATCTAGCTTAGGTATTTCTTTCTATATAGCGTATACATATATATATATATATATATATTAATTCATCTAGTAGATCTATGTTTATAAATAGAAGCGCTATTTTTTTTAAAAAAAAAAATTACCGTATGTACTTGAGCATCCTTTGGCGAGTTAATGTATTCTAATGGAATAGCTAAAGTAGTTGGATGTTCAACAATATCCATACGATCTCTTAACTTATACAAAAGAGCATCTGAAGCAACCTTTTGTTTAATGAAAGGGATATATTCGACAGCATTTGCTGCAAGCAATAAAGGAAGACCATAAATTTCAGGTGCTTTGAATTCTTCTTCTTGTATCTATAAACATATTATTATTTAATAAATACCATTGAAATGTATAATAAATAATCATACACACATTTTTATCAAATGTATTCACTTTACTCATTAAAACTAATAAAAGAAAGAAAAAAAAAAGTAAAAGAAAAAAAAAAGAAGTATTAATAAATTCTTCTAATTATTTCCATATTAAGCATTTGCTCGTGTGACGACTAAGGATTTTGTCTGTTGTTAGTCAACAAGGAGAAACTTTTTATCCGCTTACCAACTTTTTAATCCGTCCCCCCTTTTTTTTCTTCCTCCGAGACAAATAAAATGATGTTCTAGATGACTTTTTACACGTTATTTAGAATTTAAAAAAATTGTTTCTTTAGTCATTGACTCTGAGAATGATGATTATAAGGATAAATGTATTTGTTTCAATAAAAAAAAAATTTAAATAATGAATATTCTAAACAAATATACAATCATAAAAAAAATTTACTTGATAAAAAGCATTGCAGTATCACATATACAACAAGCTTAAATTAAGGTGGAATCAGCGTTGTTAAGGCTAGAATTAAAAATCAAATATTAACAGTAAAAGAGTCATTTACCTATTCTAATAATTACAACAGGCAATAATCCTTTTTAATATGCAAGATAATTTTGACAGAATTTTCGATTCAAAAAAAAAAAAAAAAAAAAAAAAAAAGCATCTACACAGAAAATATGACGTCTGTTAAAATTATTATATGAAGTGTAGTAGAACTATAAGTCATCAAGTTGCTTTACGCATGTATACTCATATCATGTACACCCTCTCACCCTCTTTTTTTTTTTAACAATACAAAATGTTTGTACATGTATAAAAAAGAGAAGAAACTTGAAGTTATTCTAAATAAAGGATCTGCTAGTAGTAAAGTTTTTTTTTTTTTTTTTTGTTGAACCCCGCATTGGTTTTATTGGCCTAGGTCGTGCTGCTATACAATATGCACCTATTTTTCCTTGTTATCCTGCTTTTTATATATCTTTCATTGTTTATTATATCATGGGTCCATATCCTATTGATCAGTTAGAACCAGATCTTCGTAAAATTGCTGATAATAATTATATATTTCAAAACTGGGCAAAAACGTTTCAGTGTAAACCTGAATTATACTTTACACCTTCTACTGAAGAACAGATTCAAAAAGTAAATTGTGTATCTTTTTTTTTTCTCTCCTTAATATAGTAAAAACACTAAACCACAAAGGTTTATTATGTTATATAGATTATTAATTTAGCTAGGAGTCTGCACAAACCTGTCAAAGTGATTGGATCAGGACATTCACCATCTGATCTGGCATGTACTAATGGTTTCATGATCAGCATTGACAGATTGGATAATTTACTTGGTATAGATAAAAAGAACTGTAGAGCTACAGTTGAAGCTGGTATGAAGCTTCATAAATTACATCAAATACTGCGAGAAAATGGACTTGCCTTAAGTAACTTAGGCTCTATTTCTGACCAAACAGTGGCGGGTGTTATTTCAACTGCAAGTCATGGTACAGGCGCCAACTATGGCTGTCTTTCTACAATGGTAAACATATATAATTCATAAACTATTGCGTACATACATACATACATACATACAAAATAATAATAATAGATTGTCGATATGACTTTGATTACAGCGGATGGAAATACATTGTTTTGTTCAGATACAGAGAATAAAGAGATATTTGCAGCTGCTCGATGTAGTTTAGGTAGCTTAGGTATCATCACACGTGTAACATTACAACTAGAACCAGACTTTAAATTGGAAGCAATTCAAAAACCTTACAAGTTTTCTGATATTCTAAATAATTGGGATGCAGTGATTCACTCTTCAGAACACACTCGTATCTGGTGGTATCCTCATACGGATGACTGTGTTGTCTGGAAAGCAAATCGAACGACAAAAGACATTTCTCGATCAGGACCTAGTACGTTAATAGAATGGGGTTGGGGATTTCATGCATATCAAGCTATGCTGAACATCACTCGTTATAAGACTTCACTCATTCCATACTTGACAAAGCTTATGTTTCGTACTTTACATTCTTATCCTGTTCAAATAGTTGATGTCTCTAATAAAGTTTTCAACTTTGATTGTCTCTTTCCTCAGTATGTGAATGAATGGGCTATCGATTGGAAGGATGCACCTGCTGCGCTTCGAAAACTGGATACATTCATCGTTGAAAATGACTTGAAAGTTCATTTCCCTGTTGAAATTCGATTTGTAGATGAAGATGATGTATGGTTAAGTCCTGCTTATGGCCGTAAAACTTGTTATATAGGGATTATCATGTATCGTCCTTATCATAAACCTGTCCCTTACAAAAAGTATTGGAAAGGCTATGAAGATATTATGCGTCAATTTAAGGGTCGTCCTCATTGGGCAAAGGTATGATCATTTTGCATTATAAAAATTAGCCTTAAAATATATATACATGTATATAAATTGTATATTAGGCTCATGGACAAACAAGAGAAAGTCTGGAGACATCTTATCCAAAGTTTCAAGATTTTTTACAAATTCGTCAAAAATTAGATCCTGAGGGTATGTTTCTTAATGATTATTTAAAACGGCATGTTGTTATATCCCATCACCAAGAAGCTGCTAGACTTTAAGGGATAGTAAAAATGATGTATATTCGTTTAGTTACGATTTATGTTTATATACAATAATATGAAAAAAATATATAATAATGAATTTGTTCGATAAAGTAGATATTCTGAATACATAATGTAGTAATGAATCTTTTTTTCTTTCTTTTTTAAAAAGTAGTAAAATGGTGAGTTTCTGGATTGAGTAAAGAGTTCTCGGGATTTTCAAATGATGGTAATGAGATTGAAGAAGATGATGATTCAGCTGAAATGTTTAACTCTTTATATTTTTTGTGAAGTTTAGCTAACATTTTCAAGGTCTTAAATTCATATTTCTTTGTTTCCATTTCATATCTTCTCGTTTCAGCTTCATATCGTCTAATTTTAACTTCATATCTTCTTGTCTTTGCTTCATACATCTTAGTCTTACAGTCATATCTCTTCATCTCTGCTTGCTGTTTTCTCCTCTTTACACTACTCTTTGATTCTTTTAGTGATCTATTCTCTTTATCACCTATATCTTTTGATAACAGGGCATTTTCTGTAAAACAGTCTAATTCATACTTTTTTCGTTTATTGGTTTTTTGAATCAAATCTTCTACATTTTTGAGATTCTTATTTAATTCTGCTGTTGGCTTAGGGAAAAGACTATTTGCTATGCTAAAAGGTGATAGGGTTGCTTCACAATCAATAGATCTTTGTTTATCAGTTTGCTGTTCAGACGATAATACACAAACCTCTTGCATATCTGCACGAGGTTGGCTTACTATCTTTTCTGAATCCAAGACAATATTATGATTGAAAATACAAGAAAATATTGGCTTTTCGTGTTGTTTATCTACTGTTGAAGAAGAGTTCATACTTATCTCTTTTGATAATTCTTCTACATTTGAATTTTGAAGATTTGATAAGGCTTCTATACTCGAAGTATCTGTGCTTGATGTTGGTAGACTTGACGACTCAAGACCAGGTGTTTGGGTATTTTCTACTGTTTCGTGTAAATTAGATGTATTTACATTTAATATTTGTACCTCGGGTGATTGTTCTTTTGTAGTTTGTACTTTAGGTATTTGCTCTCCTTCTCCTCTTCTTTGTTCTTCAGGTGTATTAGTAGTTGTTGTGTGTGTATGCTGTGTTTGAATCATCGGTGTCTCTTCTATCTTGTCTTGTCCTTTCGTGTTTATCGTGACCAAACTCAGCTCTTGTGAGGCAGAAGAGTGATCTTGATTTCCTTCATGAATAGCTTCTTGGTGAACCAATTCTTTAGGTGTTTCTATAGCTATTGGGCTTGAGTTACTTTCAACACTATCTTTCTCCATCGCTTCCTCTATATTAGAGTGCACACTGAAATCACCATCACTATCTTCAGCTGGTTCTACACAGGGTATTCGAACTCTTTTCGCATCTTCTTGGAGTCGCTTTTCTTCCTCAAGAATAAGCTTTAAATAGGGTAAATCATTTAACGTATCAGCAATTTCAAAAAAATAAGGACACGTTTTGATTAGTTTAGCTATAAATAAAAGGAGAAGAAGAAGAAAAAAAAATTAAAGGTAAATATAAGATGCTATCTCAACGTTCGTAACTCTCTCTCTCTCTTATTTTTAAAAAAAAAAAAGAACAAACTTTTGAATGTAATAAAGTCCTTTGATAAATGGGGTTTTCCAGCTCTAAAAAGAATGTCAGGTTGTAAACCACCTAATTTTATTTTCTTTTGGCTTTTTCATATTGTTTGATAATCGACTTTATTTTAGCAGTAATCTCATAACGCGATTGACGATGAGTTGCACCATACATATAAAATTCCTCTAATATGAGAGTTGTTTTGAGAGATAAAGATAGCTTATCAGCTTTAGGATCCATCCATACTTTAAGAAGTGCTCCCTCATTACGAAGAAGTATTTGAATAAGTCGATCGTATGAACTCTTGCCATCTACTGATCGATTGGCATCTTCTGTCCAACGTATTTTCTGTTGTGCTGCTCGTTTTATTAAAACCCTAGATTGAAGTAATTGTTGCCGTGCACTTGGAGCACTTCTTTTTGTTCGTACCATGCTTTATTTATTTTATTCTCAAAATAAAAAATATGTAAAGAGTAAAAAGTAAAAAAAAAAAAAAAAAAAAAAAAAAATGCACATTTAATATATACAAATATAAATATTTTTATTGCGTTGTGATATCATCGTCATTTTTATATATATATATATGTGTGTGTATATAAAAAAATAAAAAGAAAAAGAAACAGGCTTCATTTGCATAATGTAGATCATTATATATTTATTCTGGTCTTTGATTAGGGAAACTACCCAAGATAACTACATCTAAGCAAAACTTTTCTAAATCTTTTAAAGCTTTCTTAATATCGTCATTCTCAAAATGTCCTGAACATTCAACGAAAAAGACATAATGCCATGGGCGTTGACGACTTGGACGTGAATCGATCTTAAACAAGTTTAAACCATAATCTTTAAATACTTTCAAGCCATCACATAGGGCACCAGGTTGACGATGATCGACAGTGAATGTAATAAGCGTATGATCGTCTTTTGTAGGTGAATCACTTGCAGTACCAATAATTAGAAAACGAGTTGTATTTGCTATATACATATATGTATATTCATATACATTTATTTGTTATTGTTTCAGAACAAACGAACCAACAAACATTATTTCTTACCTGTAACATCTTCAATATTAGTCGCAATAGCTTCTAATCCATATAATTCTGCACAAATTTCGCTACAAATAGCAGCAGCGCCAGTTTCTAAAGCGGCTTTTTGAGCGGCTTCAGCAGTTGAATTCACAGAAATACGTTTAGCGTTTGGAATATGTGTTGATAGCCATTTTTGAGTTTGGCCTAATCCTTGAGGGTGACTATAGACTTTTGTAATATTTTCCAGTTTAGTTGTATTTGAAAGTAAATATTGATGAACTGTCAAATATGTTTCTGCTCGTACTTTGACTGATGTATGAATAAAATAATCAAGTGTCTCAACAACTGAACCAAAAGTAGAATTCTCAAAAGGCACAATACCATATGTCGTTTGTCCTTTTTCAACAGCTTCAAAAACAACTGTACAAAATCATTAATTTTTTTTTTTTTTTAATTTTTGATATAAACGGGAAATTTACATACGATCAATTTGCTTTTGAGGAACATAAGCTACACTATCACCTAAACGGTTATAAGCAGCTTGATGTGAAAAAGTGCCAGGAGGACCTAGATATGCCATTGAAACATCTTTTTGTAAAGCAATTGATGCAGACATAATCTAAAAAAAAAAGGATTAGAAATACCTAAAGTATATTTTTGTGTAATCATTACTTCTCTGAAAATAGCATGTAAAGATTCATTATTTAAAGGGCCAGCATTCATACGAGTTAACTAAGTGTTCTTGTGAATACAATTATCACTTTATTTATTTATTTATTTTTTTTATAGCATGTATACTTTTTCATAAATTTCTTTTTCACGACCAGGTCTATACACTTGAACATTGTCAACATTTTCTTCATTTTGACTTTTTGCAAGGAGAAAAATAAAATATTTATTATTACAAGTGAATAGCGGTATTTTTTCTTTTTTTTTTTAAAAAAAAAAGACTTACTTGTTCTTCTTTTTTGCGGCACCAATGTCTAATGAAACACGAGCACGTTCATTCAAAATGTTGACAATTGTAGTGTCAAGCGAATCTATCTTTTTTCGAAGCGAAACTAAATCACTCATGTCAAACTTATAAAAAAAGGAAAGGAAAAAGAAAGAAAGAAAGAAAGAGAGAAACAAAGACTGTTTTATGAAAAGTATATTTTTACTTGTGTATTCGCTTTAACGGAAATTATAGAATTGCTTTTTTTTTTACTTCAAATCCAGATGAGATGAAATAAATTGATTTGCCTTTGTAACACTTATTTTTATACTTATACTTGCACTTCTTTAGATTACATAATAAAATATATTGTATTTAAAAAGATGTAATGCGAGAATGCATTACTTCAGTATGGAATAAGCTTACCATGATTGCTGTTCATTAACTCGTATAACCTATAATACAAAATAGACTACTTTTAATGCATAACATGCAAAGTATTATTCCCAACCACCTGTATTTCCTATATTTTTTACTTTATGTTTATCACATTCTATTCAATAGTATCCGCTAGTAAGGTTACTTTAAAGCTAAAAAAAAAAGATATCTTTATTGATATACTTTTCATTCTTACTATATTGGACTGTTAATTTTCTTTTTTTTTCAAAGTATTATCCATTGTTAATCAGGGTTCAATTAAGATGGCTGTAGCAAATAGTGACCATTTGGATAAATAACAATTGATTCAACAATGAAAATTTAACAAAGATATCTAAAATAAACGACTCCATTAAAATTTAGAACAAGTTGAAAGATAATAGTGTTTAAATCAAAAGGTAAAATTCAATTATTGATATGCTGTCGTATGTAACTTTCATCTTATAAAGGACCCTTTTTTTTTTTTTTGAATTCCTATCCAAATGCCCACGAATGTCAATTATGTATTGTATCCGCCTATAATGGCACATTCTATAATTTTTGGTAGAAATATGTTTATTCAGCTTGAGGTTATATCAAGAGATTCTCTATTATTTCATTTTCTTTATCTTCTTGTCTTTTATATGAATATGTATTTATTATAATACGTTTTATATGTGAATCATTTCAGAGAGGAGTATGTTTAGTACATATATATACATATAGGGTGTTTTAAAAAAAAAGAAGAAGAAAATATGAATAACTAAATATGCATATTTGCTTTATATTATGAAGCTCTTAGAGTCTAATCAAATTATTAAACGTACTAAAGGCGGTATTGGTATTGTATTGAGTGTATTAGCTCTACTTTTCTGCGGATACTTGATAGACTTAGTTAGTTAATTACTCAATATTGTATGATAACCGAAAATTTATATATATTGGATGTATTTTTAATAAATCTTTGATAGAAATATTGACTGAGCATATCAAAGTCCTAAATATCATAACTTGCATACAAAATTCAACTTTATATCTAGAAAAATGTTCTGCTCTGCTGTATTAGAACACAGCAGAAGAAGATATTTCAGTAGCTTAAATTACATATATCTATCTATTCGAGGAGTTTTTTTTTTTTTTATTTTGATTTGATAGCATTAGTTCGTAGTATGCATCATTAAATATTTATATGTATTTATTGTTTAATATTCAAGACAAAGTATATCTTTTTTTCTTCTTCTTCTCTTTTTAATATCGCTCTTCTCATTTCTTCCATCATTTAAATAATGTTTCACAAAAATCGGCATTAATTTTTTTAAGTTATTTGTGTACGCGTATTTGTATAGTATTTTTATTTTTTTCTTTTCTTTTTTTTTTTTTAAAAAAAAAAATAAATATACAAATAAAATATGTCACACCATCCCAGTTATGTTATGACAGCATTATGTACCGCAGGGTAATTTTTATTACAATACAAGTCCATTTAGAATACTTTTTATTAGTTAAATAAACAAACAAATAAATAAATAAACAGAGGAATTGCTGGCTATGCACGCTCACGCTCAGTCCCTTCCCTTGTCGCAGGTGTTGGTGTAGGAGCAATGTATGGTGTTGCAAGTTATTTGATAAAAGAAAATAAATATTATGGACATGAAACAGGAGTAGCAGCATCCGTTATCTTGGCAAGTAGCATGGTTCCAAAGGCCATTCGATCTAGAAAACCTATCCCTGTAACTTTTGCAGTTTGTTCTGTAGCAACTGGTCTATATTATAGTAAAAAAATAATTGAATATTGGTAATAAAGTCCTCTCCCTCCCCTCTGCTGCCAGCAACTCCTTATTACTTCAGTATAATATAAATTTCTATTTTTTTTTTTAATGACTTTTCATCTTTTACTATTAACTCGTTGACATTCAAGTATAAATAAGTAAGCAGTAAAGTTATAGAGTGTAGCTATACAAACAAAGGCTTCCCTTTTATTAATTCGAAAGTTAAGTCTCGTTAATAGAACATCGTTTATTAACTTTTGTGAAGATGGGAGGTTTTTTTTTTTCTGTCAAGTGTAAACTACTACATAATGGATTTGAAAATGTTCGAAGAGACGACTTATTATTATTAAACAGCAAATAATAATATTTATTCAAACTAATACAGATTATCCTAATTATAAAGATCAAAAAAGAACAATATTGGTATATAACTATTTAATGACTAAAGCTAATGTTTTATAAGTTTAAGTCCATCATTTTTTTGATGTTTCTTCATTGCTAATCCAACTCTGTTCTTTTCAAAGTCAAATTGAGTATAAAAGGCATATGTAAAAGCTCTTCCAATAACATAGTCAGTATCTGAATCACTCTTCCCAATATGAGTATGACACATTTCACAACAAGTAGTTGTCTTACGAGACTCACTCCAATAAGAAGGAGGAACAACAGCTTCAACCTTTCCAAATGTAATTGCAAAAGACGTAAGTCTATTCATTAAACAGCAAGGTACCTTGAATGTATTATCGCTTTTATCATATTCAGCGTACCAACGTTTTCTAAATTCCTCGGCTTTTTTTTTTTTGAAGTTAGTTATTTTTTCTTTTTCTTTTTTTTTTTATTATTATTACCTTGTGCATTAGGTAATCCTATTACGTCTGTTGATGAACTAAAAATAGCTTTAGCCTTGGGACTAACTTTGAATGAATGATTATCTTTAAATTTAGCTGCTGTTACAGGAACAGCCCAATTTCCGGAATCAGAATGATGACTATGTTTAGTATCAACATAATATACATTGCCTTTTATAGCACTTTTGTCAACTCCGCCTATTTAAAAAAAAAGAGAGGAATAAAAGTTCCAAATAAATAATAATGAAATTTACATTTAATTTTTTTTTTTTTTTTACCAATAACTAAATAGCCTGCAGGTTGTTCATGATGAGAACGTTTAGTAAAATGAGTTCCAGCCGATGTTGGGTTAGTAGTTGAAGAGACTGAGCCAGAATCCGAAAAGCCACTACCACCATCACTACTGATGAAAGTAGTGTACATACCAAATTGAGAACTCGATAATCCATTACCTTGTTGGTAAGCGTTAGGAATAAAACCCGAGGTAGGAATTTGATCGCCGCTACGCTTTGAATAATGAACAGTAGCATTACTATTGAGATTGATATTTCTGCCTAGACCAAGAAAACCATCGAACCCTTTATTGAACTTTTTCATCTCATAGGCACCGCCAAAGGGCATTCGCTTGACAGTTAATCCTGCGAAATGAAATGTATCTTCGTAGATGGTTGTATCGACAATGCCTTTACCATAATCTAAAACAAAAGAATGACCAGTAGAGTCCACGGTAGTTGATTCTTTGGGATCATATGCTTTACGTCCTTTGCAATTCTTAGTGTTACAATCAATGTCACGTACCCACGTAAATCCTGTAGATGTATCAAATGCCAATGTAAAGTTTTGAGGTGGATTACCGATTTGAACGACACCACCAAGCATACCATCTCTTAATTCCTTGGCACCTGCAGATACATATTTTGAATGCCCACCATGAGAAGATCTTTTGTTATGATAGTATAGAGGGATTCTATGCATCGTTTCGGCAGAAATATGCAATACTAGCATATTTATTGCCACGAAAAATAAAGTTAATTTCATCTCTAGCACTCTATCTATTTGAAATATAGAGAAAAAGATTATCAAAAAAAAAAAGAAAAGTATAAAAATACAAAATACAAAAATAATATGCTATATATTTAATAAATTATTTATTATTGCCAGAAGTATTCCCGACGACGCTTCTTGTTCCGTTAAGGAACTGAAACCTAATAAAAATAGAAAGAACAACAATGCTTCTATTACCAGGAAGCAATCTCCTTCTTCATTTTTCTTTTTCCGAAAGTATATGTGTATGTGTATGTGTATGTATACATATTAACAGTCTTATGCTAAGATTATTACAATATATTTTAGTAGCTTTAATTAGGTTGATTATTATGTAAATGTTCTTTTGACAGCTGTTATACAATTTACATAGTATTCAAGACATATTTATTTATTTAGAAAAAAAAAAGCTATTATGATGCATGTAAAATCTAATAATTATATATTCATGTATATTTTGGCCATTTATTTACATTTCTTTTATATATGCATACTGTCTAATTATGATTAAATCTTATGAACTAAGCCAGAACCTATAGAATATAAAATAAATAAACATCTAATGTTTAAATAAATAAATAATAGATATAAACATGTACCATCTAAGCCATTATAATAAAACCAGTTTTGAATAGGCAATTCTTTAGCAGAAAGGGTTCTTAAAATATCTTGTGCTAAAATACCGCCCACAATAGCAGCTACAGCTGATAATTCTGTATCATACAACCTCACCATTTCACTATTATAAAATAAATAAATAAAAAGATTCAAGAATGGCATAGTAGTTTGTTTACCTTATCAAGTTATCATCTAAAATACTATCGTCATTAATACCCATATCAGATAAATATTTAGACTTATTTTCAAGTAATAGCTTTTCATCTGCTTTTGTTGGAATTCGTTGATATTCTTTTTCAAACTTCAACAATACTGTATAAATGATTAAATACAAAATAATATGAAATTTAATTTTGAATAACTTACTATGAATAAGAAAAGTCATAGGCGAAGTTCTTCTTTTAATAGTCTTAATTCTTGTATCTGTCCAATTCTTTTGCAAAGATTCATCTAAGCTGGAATAGATCTCTACTCTTGCCGTCTTTTCCACAGTTGTTGCTTTTTTAGTATCAACAGGAGAATTTAATTTCTTTTCTCTAAATAAACAAACAAATAATACAATTATTTAGTTTTTTTTTTTTTTTTTTTTTTTTTTTCTATCGATTCATGTTCATCTTATACTTTACTGAATATAAGCATGTTCAATCAAGTCGCAAAAAATATAGCCAAACCAGCCAAAGACGTCGGCAGCATAGAATGGCTTTTTAACTCTTCTTCTGATTTCATCTATGTGTGCCTATTTAAATTATAGCCATGTTATCATTTGATTGTTGTTCATCTAAAATAAAATAAACTTACTATTAATGTGTAATCAGAATGAATTAAACATACAACTGAAAATGATTCGAAAAATTCTGGAGTTTTTTCTTTAATGTTTTGCTGATCAACAATCACTTGAACACGAGGATTTAAATTTCGAATACTACTTGCTGCTGCTTGTGCTTTCTATTAACATAATACACACACATATATATATATATATATATAAATAAAAAGTACGATTTAAATAGATTCATTTCTGTTACATACATTCTGTCCAATATTAGCTTCAGTTAGAAAGAATTGAGCACCCAAATCGTATTCAGTTACTGTTTCATGATCAAGTAATGTAATGCTGGCAACACCAGCTAAAGCAAGGTTTTTACAAACTTCATCACTTAAAGCACGCATCCCAGCAATGAGAATATCAGCTTTACCAATTCTAATAACATGTACATGTATATTTAAGTGAATGAATACTTATGCTTCTATTCTATTCTTTTTTTTTTTCTTTTTCTTCTTCTTATTTACCTTTGTTGCGCGTCGAAACCCCAAAGTCGAATCTGACGATCGTAAATAGCTGCTTCGTCTATCAAATAGATCATCAAGTATTTAATCAATATTTCCTTTTCTTTTTTTTTTTTTTGTATAAAATGAGATTCTACCTTTTGATATTTCAGTGTTCATATTACAATTTGTTAATTAAAAAAATAAAATAAAATAAAAAGAAAATAAAAGCTTGCTAGAGAATTATATGTAGAGAAAAAAAAAAATACCAAGTTACGTCTGATCATGTAAGTGACTGTAATAATTAAAATATTAAAATGTCTACTGTAAGATAGAGAAGATGATAGACTAGAATAGTATCAAACAACTACGAATCAAATATGAATAATAATAATAATAAATCGAATTAAATAATATAAAATTCTTATTATTATTTATCAATATTTAACCTATGAGAATAAGATTGATTTATTTAACAAAGCTTTATCTTATTCTCTATATTTTATTCACGTATATATTGAAATAAAGATAGGGTGAATTATATACATACGATTATCCTGAGAGAATGCTTGATGATAATAACAGTGTCAGCAAGTGAATTTTCAGTTATATATAGATATTTAGTAAAATTAGATTTCTGATACTTGTGACAATAGAAATGGTGACTGAGATCATACCATTTTTTTTTTTTTTTAAAAAAAAATCTTAAAATAAATACAGTATTTAATAGACTTATAAACAAGTAGTAGCTTCAGTCATTATTTCCGTTTTACCTATTGATACGTGATTGAGATTCCAAAATTAAAGATTTATATATCAAGTATATTAAATTATAGGGTATTTATGTAATAATAAGTGATATAAATAAATATGTATACAAGTATTTACAAAAAGGAAAGAAGGTATTTCAAGTGACAATAGGCTCAGAGGAGGAGTGATTTGATTGATGCATGGGAAACGTAGTATCAGCATGAATATTCTTATGGATAAAAGCTAATTTAAATCGACTCATCAATGTTTGTGATTTATAAGGTGGCTTTTGCCAAGGCTTTAACGAGTCTTCTTTTCTTTTCTCCTCACGCGTGAATAGATCAGGATGATCCTTTTCTTCATCATGATGGACCTGTGGGTCAAAGATACATTCAAATGATTCTTCTAAGGCATCTCTTTCAAAATAAACTATAGCTGGTGGTTCTTTGCTGATTTTAACTGAAAGTGACTTTCTTCTTGTTGTTGTTGATGACGATGATTGTGTTGCATGATTTTTATTATTGTTATGTGCTTCAGATTTCTTTTGTCGTAAAGGGACTTCAGAAATAAGTGTTCTAAGCTGTCTAAACAATACTGTCATTTTATTTTATTTATTTATTTATTTTATTTTATTTTGTTTTATTGTAGATCAATAAATATTTAAAAAGAAAAGAGTAAAATGAAAAAAAAATAGTTTAAACTTTATAGAAAAGACATTATTTTTTTTTTCCAAGATACACAAACAATCCGAGTCTACTATATGATAGGATTCACAGAAAAAAAAAAAAGTGGTGTGACAATCTCATTTGATTAATTAGCACTACGCGAATGTAGTGTCTTTAATTATATGATGTTTATTCTAAATACTATTCATTTAGCACTTTTTACTTCTTCCTCGTTAAATAAAGCTTGTGTTTCCCAATTTTGATATTTCAAATCGATTGAAAACTCCAAATCTTCTTTTGTAATTGAATCCCAATATTTATAAACCATCATTACAGCTAATAAATCACACAAACTACCGAAAAAGAGACCATCTAGATAATGCTTCATTTCTTCACATAGTGTAACGGAAAATATGTAAGTTACAACTAAGCCTGATACAAAAAATAAAACTCCAAATATAACGTCTCCTAATGGCCATCGATCATCTAAGGTAAACAGGATTAAAATAGCTTGTGATATCGTATAAATAAGAAGCATAGATCCATTTAGTATAAAATAGATTGTCCATAAAATTCCAGGAGATGTATACTTGAAGGGTCCAAGATTATTAAAAGTTGCCATAGCAATAAATCCAACTATAAAAAATACTATAAATGTACTAATGCGAATTGACTAATAAGAGAAAAAAAAATTTTTTTTTTTTTGTCAATTCATTATCTGCTGACATTCATGAATTCTCACACCACATTTCATATACTACTAACCCATAAACTAATCGCTGTACCATCTTCTGTGAATTGAAATCCAACAAATCCAGTTAATAATAGGCACCAACAAAGTGCACTAATTAATCCTATATGCGTCGCTGTAAAAAACTGGGATAATAAAAATAAATAAAATAAACCCTATTCTTTTTTTTTTCCATGTCATTTTAGTATACACTTACTGGATATAATATAGATGCCGTTGGTATAATATTAGTTACCAATAACATTTCAAGAAAAATAGTCACTGAATATAATTGAAAGAATATGATAATCTCTTTTCGACCTATCACAAGTATATTTGTAGCTTGACTTTTTTATTATGATTAGTGTTATTCTTTACCTACTGCAGTATATTTAGTTTTTATATGATATATCATAACGCCTGTCATGAAAAGAGCAATCATATTCATAATCAACATTGCTTAAAACAATAAAATAAAGAGTTAAAAAGATTTACTTTCAAGACTTAGATTGTTATTATTACCAGGCTGGAAAATAAGAAAGCCTGCCATATCCACGTTTCGTGAATAACAAATAGGCTCAATGCCATCGAATTTTCCCATCAATGGACAAAGAGTTAAAGCGACAGTTTGACAGATTCCATCAAATTTGAAAGTTTGAAATTTAAATTGTATCATAAATTGATAATAATAAAGAAGAATGTTCAACGACGTATCTAGTTTTTAATAATCAAGGATTTATACAAGCATTTTAATTTGAACCAAAAAAAATATACAAATACATGTTATTCATCATATTTTCCGTCTTTTATTGATATTTTTTGACTTTAGCAGAAATTTCCTTTTATATTACAAACAAGTTTTATATGTGTATTTTTTTTTTTTTTTCTTTCTGCATAAAAAATCCATCAAAAATTATTTATAAAGAAGTTGCCATAATTCCATTTTTTTTCTTTTTTTCTTTTTTTTTTTTCTCTTACTTTGTTTAAATTCACTCTATTCTTTTTTTTTTGTTTTAATTTGAATATACACAATGTCTGTTTCTATTGTTGATAAACGTCGTATTGCTATTGCTTATGATGGTAGTGAAGATGCTCATAAATTATTTGATTGGTCTATAAAGAACATTATTCGTCCTGAACATGATCATATTATCTTATTATCGGCTGTTAACAGAGCAGATAAAACAGGAGTAGGTAGTATATTTTCAAAGAAAGAATCTGTGGCTACTACTACTACTACTACTGCCACGGATGGTGATTTACCTATGCTTTCTACAACTACTTCAAGAGTAGAAGAAGCTATTAAGGAAGCTGAACATCATCCTCAAGGTCAGGTTGCTCGAAAACGTTTAGAAGATATGTCAGCCCATCTTCATAAAATGAATATTTCTAGTGAAGTTCATATTTTATGGGGTGATGCTAAAACATTAATTCCTCGTTACACAGCTGCACATAAAGTAGATTTATTGATTATGGGTTCGCGTGGTTTAAGTACTGTCAAGAGTGTCTTTTTGGGTTCTGTTTCAGATACTTGTCTTAAAGAATGTCCTTGTCCAGTGCTGGTTGTTCGTAATGCGACTATTTAATTATAATGTCCTTATTCTAAAACGACTAAAAAATATACATGAATATGAATATGAATATGAATATATTTTTTTTTTTTTTATCTATTAAAATAATAATAAAATCAATCATGTTATGTTTATTTTTAAGGTTTAATTTTAGCTAATGTTCTTAATTTCTTAAAGGCAACTGCAAACACGCCTAAACCAGACATGACGGCAAGACCAGATAAGAGACCAAAAGCATAAGGATCATTTTCAAAATAATTTTTCAAATTCATACCGAAAAGTGCACCATAACCACTCACGACTGTAGCAGATAAGGTGAAAATCGTCAATCGAATATCATACCACATTAATGAATTCCGTGACACATCTAATATAAGTTGCACAATTTCCTCTGTAGATTTCATATGTTGTCTTAATGTTGATGCCTTTGCAGCAATTTCTTCTGTTTGCTTATAATAAGCTTCTAATAACAATTCAACTTCTTCATGATCCTCAGGTGCTCTAAATCTGCCTGATTTTTTATCCGACAAATACATAGCAGCCAAATCCTCATCTTCAAAAAAAAAAATAATAGAATTCAGTTTTCTTTTTCTCCCAGTGCAATAAACAGAATCTGCTTTCTATTTACCATTATCTAATACTTCTTCTAATGCATCTCGAATAGATAAAGCATCTTGTTCAAATTTAGCTAATTTCTTAGAATATTGTAATAAATCTCGTAGTTTATCTCCATTCATGGATTCTTCAATATCTGCTAAATCTTCTAAATCTCCTAATAACTTATTCACTGGTCCTTCTAATATATCCAACTCAGATTGTAATGATGAAGTAACTGATATTAATATTGCTTCAAGTGCCCTAATGTTATTATTAAAAGCAAAAATTCTTATCCATTATTTCAATCCATCATATAATTCTTTATATCTTGTTTTACTTGCCTAAATTCAAAAGGTAAACTCTCTTTTTGTGATCTCAATCTCTCTTGTAAATCATAAATGAATATACTCTGGTTATAACTATCGGTTGATCCATATGTGTCAAACAATACAACCAAATCACTCTTCAACAATGCTTTTAAATGTGCTACATTCACCAAGATGGCTTCCGTTCTCACAAGTATGTTCGGCTTTTGATAAACAGAATAGGTATCGATCGTTCTTAGATCACGTGGCAATAATGAATGTTTTTGACAAAAATCAGATTTCAGAAATTCCCCTGCTGTAGTTTTGACATCCCCTTTGTAATCAAATTCAGTGCCTATTTAAAATGGACATTTATATATATTCAAACCTTTTTAAGTAAAAGAAATATAAAACTATATATTATATCTATTTATCTATCTTTTTATATATATATGTATATGTATATGCATATGTATGTATATGTATATGTATAGATATATATATATATATATGTATATTACATCGTAACTTCATTTCCATTACTTTTGTAGGTAGAGCAATGACCCTTCTAGGTACATTCGTGGAAGGTTCGGCATGTGTATTATTCGTCTTTATTTTTCTAGTTGCATAAAATCTTTTTAGACAAAATTTTGTTGAAGGTCTAAGATAAAAATGGTGTGTTGATCTATTGAAAGCTGATGGTTTGAAGAATTTCGTTAATAAAATGCTAGATCTTTGCATACCGTTCATACGAAACAATAAATTATATTCGAATAATAATTGTTATGTGTGGGTGTGTGGGTGTTTTTTTTTTTTTTTTTTTTTTTTTTTTTTTTTTTTTTTTTTTTTTTTTTTTTTTTTTTAGGTTTATGTGACGACTAAAGTTAAAATAGATAGCACCCGCTCTTCCTTACATTCAATGACCGCTAATACAGCCTTTTTTCTTTCTTTCTTTCTTTCTTTATTATAATAACGAATACTACTTTGCACTAGGTTTCTACTGAAAAGCAATATAAGTATATTAATATCATTAGGATCATAAAAAAAAAAGAATCTACATACTTAATTGTTAAACGAATTTAATACTATTATTGAAATACGGTGTATATAAAAGAAAGAAAGAAAGAGAACACTACAACAAGAGTACTTTAAAGAATATGTATTTGATATACCTCATAATAATGTAGCTTTGACGTGCCAAAGAATTTAAGTGGGTTTCACATTTCTGCTATGCTTTCTAAGAAAAAGTAAGCAAACATAATAAATAGCCCATTACCTGTACATATATACACATATACTTTTTGGTAATGACTACATGAACCTTTTTTCTTTTCTTTTCTGACAAGCATATGAAGTATGTTTGATCCAAACACTATAACAGAAATCAATCTAAATACGACATGCTATAATTAAGCTAATAAGATGACTGATCATTGTATGAAATGGACGCATGAAGTTAGCCTTTGTTATAAACTACTAGCAAATATCGTTCATTGAGAGAATAGACACTTTCAACAGCGGTAATATTCACTTTGTTTCTTTTTTTTTTAAAAAAAAAATAATAATAACCCGCATTTATACATATTTTGACGTTAAAACAGTATATAGAATAAAATGCATTGTATACTATATAAAAGGGGGAGGGGAAAGTTTACTATGAATGCAAGTCACAAATACTTAAACTGGTTTTCATAGCATGCATCAACGAAGCTAAAATCGTTAATCTTTACAACATCATTTTGGCAGAAGAATGATTTTAAGCACAACACAAGAGAGACTAGACTTATCAAATACCCCTTGTTAGAAAATAGTAGTATATTGTACAAATGAGATGCAAATTAGTTGCCTAAATAGGAAAAAAGAAAGTTGATGAGAATATAAACAAAAAAGTAAAAACAAAAGGACATTTATTTTACTTACTTTACTTTTCTTTAACATAAACACATTTCATATAGTCATAAAGAAGATATAAAATTGACAACATTTTACTATTTTACACATTGTTACTTTTTATAAGAAAGGAAGAAAATTAAATAATGTAACTGTGTGTGTATGTGTGTGTATGCATGTATTAAATGTGGGGTAACACATATTCTTATCGATTTCATATGATTGTGACTGTAATTTACAACAACGACCTCCTTATTCTTATAAAAAAGTAGATATTCAAAGTTATTATTTTTTCCCTTTTTTTCTTCTTCTTTATTATTATTACTATTTCTTCCAAAGGTAAGTCATTAAATAATACTATTTTATTCTTCTTCTTCTTCCCTGCCCTAGGAGGAAATTCTTTTTCTCATGGCTACCACTTATGTACCGGGCTCTTGATGAGGAAGACACCCTATCTTGCCCTCCTTGAATTAGGAGGACATTGTAGGGTATCTTGTTGATTCAGAGGGCGTTACATATTGTGATGGCTATGGGTTTTTTCTAACCTCCTAGTAAAAATAAAAAATACAAGAACAAAGAAGGTGCAAAGAATCCTAGCCTCCACGCGGCCACCTTTGGACTGCAGTAATTATTACTGTTGACGAATTGGGGATTCACTTTTTTTTATATATGAAATAAAAATGAAAAATAAAATAAAATAAATATATCTTTTCTTACGCGTCTTTTAATAATCTTGTGCCTTCTTTAACTATTGTTTGTATAATAAAATATCTTTTTGCTCCAAATTGACTTTAAGAAGTATAAAAACAAGTAAAGAAGTTATAAAATAATTGATATAAAAAATACAGGAAATATAAGATGTGGTGTAGTGGTGATTATATAAACTATTGACTAATATCCTATCAGAGAAATTATCATGATTATTATTCCTCCTTTACAATATATTAAAGATAGTGTGTTCTTATTCATCGCTACTAGAAATGCTTTTAAATTCCGCTTTTCTTCATTTTTATTTATTCTTTCCTTTTCCTTTGAAACTCATATTTCTCTTATATACACATATTTCCCTTTTTTTTTTTTTTTTTTTTTTTGAAATCCCATTCATATAAAGCTTTTAAATGATTTAATAATGAGCGGTTTCTTTGGTTCTAGTGAAACTACTTCAAAATGGGGTGGATATTTTAAGCAAGCTATATCTAATGTAGAAACAACTTTTGATTCTTTTCTCGAACAACCTATTACTCAACGACAGTCATCAGCAAACGAAGGTAAATGATGTTCTAATGTCCCTTATTAATCTCCCTTTTTTTTTTTTTTTTTTTTTTTTTCCTTTCGAAAGTTAATTTTTTTTTATCTTTTAATACATACATAATGTATATTATAAAGATACTGAAACAGAAACTTATATTGATCCTATTAGTGGTGCAGTTACTACAATTGAAAAACCCAAGTCAACAAAGAAAACGAATTCTCCTTCAATAAGCACACGTCCAAGTCTAGATTTATCAAGTCGATTAGCTGCTGTTATGGCTGATAAACCAAAGCATTTGAATGTATCTCATCATAAAAAGAGTGTGAAGAAGAACGAAGGAAATGAGATGACGATGACGGAAAAGGTGAGGAAAGAACAGGAGGATATGAATGTGAGTGAAGAGAAGGATAAAGAGGAGAAAATATCGTTACTTGAAGTAGACATGAGTGTGAAGAAGACAGAAATAGAGCCAACTGAAGATGAATGTCTCGACTCATCAAAAGATACGAATCGGGATAATAACGAAATAAAATATGAACCTGTAGCAGCCATGGAGGAGGATGAGGATAAAACTAAGCAGGATTGTGTAGAAACTAAATCGGAAAGCGAAGAAAAATTAGCAGAACCACAAAATATCAATAGAATCACTCATGATGATGATGATGATAAAGATCGAGTCCTAGAACAACGTGAACAGCAGCTTTTGCAGGCCATGGAAAATATTGCTAAACTGCACGATCAAATACATCAGTTACAAGAACATTCTGAGAAGAGTGAATGCAAGATGAGAGATTTAGAAACAAAATTAAAGAAATCAGAGGAAGAAAATGCACAAGCTGGATCATCAGCTAGTCTTCAAAAGAATGTAAAACGTTTAGAAGTGATCATTGAAGACTTGAAAAAGCAAATATCTATAAAAGATGAAAAGATTCAGGGATTATTACAAGAGGGCGAAAAACTATCTAAAACTGAATTTAAACAAACTACGACGATTAAGAAGTTGAGACTAGAGAAAGCAGAAGCAGATAAAAATCTGTCAGAGTTAACTAAAAGGCTTGAAAAGGCCAATGCAAGTCTGTTGGAGGCATCAGAGAAGGAATCAAGACAAGCTGAAACAGAGAAACGACTTCAGGAATCTGTTAAACTTTTATCTGATCTAACAGAACAGCAAACAAGACATATCAATACACTTGAATCTGAAAAGATAGCCCATCAAAAGAAGATAACAGAGACTGAAGTAACATTAAAGAAAACTTTAGAAAGTATGGAGGATGAACGAAGAAAGGCAAAGACGGAGGCTATGCAATCGAGTGCTGCTGCTCTTGAAAAGGAAATTATGGCTAATGATAGGCTACATAAAGAGTTAACCAAGGTAAAGCAAGATGCAGAAGCCATGGAGAATAAATTAAAGAAAGAAATAAGAGAACTTCAAATTTCATTACAAACAGTTGAGGAGCAAGCAGGCATAAATGAAGATCATCTAAGGCTAGAAATAACAGAGTTACAATCACGTTTACAGCAATTTGATAATAAGATGGATAATATTAATGCTAGTGTAGATGAAGCTACTGCTCCATTATTGCGTCAAATTGAAGAATTACAAACACAGCATGCATTAGCTATTAAAAACAGAGATCAAGCTGAGCAGAGGTTTGTTTTTTTCTTTCTTTCTTAACCACTATTACAAAAAAAAAGTTCGTATTGTTTATATTTAATTTATTATATTACAGTATTATCTTGCGTATGCAAACTGCTGAAATGGAACGTAAACGAGCATTTGAAAGGGATGAAAAATTACAAAATGATATAAAGCTTCTAAAAGAAAAATTAGATGAATCAAATTCCGAGTTGGAAAATTTAAAAAATAAAATCACAATATTGAATTCTCAAGTAGATGCAGATGCAGTTATTAAAAAAGAACTTGAAGAAAGAATTCAAAAGCTAACAGAAGAAAAAGAAAAATTAAATGAAAAGGAAGCTAGAGATCAAGAAGCTCTTAGGGCTCAATACCAACGTTTAATGAAAGAAAGATTGAATGAAGAAAGAAAACAATTTGAAATAAAGCTTAATAAAGCAACATCAATGGAAATATCACAGCTTTCAAATCAAGACAATAGTGAAGAAAGTTCCAATAGTATGATAAACAATACCAGACCTAGTTATACAGGGACCTCTAGTACTAGTTCAAGATCAAGTTTTGATAGTAGTTCAACTTCACCTGTAGTAGTATCCTCTATTTTAGTTGAAAGACTTCAAGCCAATGTACGTCGACTTGAAAATCAACTAAGTTTTTATCAAACTCAACTTCAAAGTTCAAATCAATCTCGAGATGAATTATCAGAGGAAGTATTGACTATGACTCAAGAAGTTGAGCAATTACATAAAGAAGTAAAGAACAAGACTGAATTAGAGAATCAATATCAACAATTAAATACAAGATACCAAACACTATTAGAATTATTAGGTGAACGCACTGAGCAAGTTGAAGAATTAAAAGCAGATCTACAAGATGTCAAAGACATGTATAAAAGCCAAATAGTAGAACTTGTACAAAAGATAGATCAATTGAATGGAAGAAAATAAAGCTTACTATGTACATTATTGTTATTATTAAAAAAAAAAAAAAAAAAAAAAAAAAAAAAGCTCTTTTATACCAGAAAAAAAAAACTTTAGACTCCCATTATTCGAAGATTATTTTTTAATATCATCATTCTTTATCTTTTTTTCATGTAAATAGTCTGTCATGGCTAACATGTTACCAATTTCTTCAGGTGTAGCCTCACCATGAGCAGTCCAACGAATTTTACAATCCTCATCTATTAAAAATACATAGCCAATATATTGATTTGTCATGCCTAACATTCTCCTTACACGACCTATGTCTTTGAATATTAAACAATAATTCTTTCTTCGTTCCTGAGGTAATTTTCTACGAAGGCTGGGGACAAATGCTTTTAAAAGTAGTTGCTTCAATATGTTTTCCTGTACATTGACTTCAACTACCTGAATATCCTCTGAATCTTTATATTTTTCCAAAAATGGTTTGATAAATGAATCAACATGAGGCTAATGATTATTAAATTGTAAATGTATATACTTTTTTTTTTTTTTATCTTTTCTTCTTCTTCTTCTTTATAAATAAAAGACACTTTACCGCTCCAAAACTAGCAGACACAAATGTCATCAAGGTAGTTTTACCCACTAATTTTTCTGTTGTATTCATTTTTTCTCTTGACAGATTTTGAGCTTCAAAGTTTGGCATATAGCCAGCCTTTTCTGGCTTTATTAACTGTGTATTAGCAAAATACATTTTCCCTCCATGTTTACGCATTTCTATCATTGAGTTTGTAAGTGAAAAATGTAAACTATGTCAGAAGAAGAAGAAAAAAAAAAAGCATTTACCATGAACATCAGCAAAGTACGATTTTGTTGCTTCTTCGATTCTAACAGAACATTAAATAAAAACCTAAAAGAATTTACAACATGGTTTTCTTAATTATTAACTTACAAATATTTTCGTTCAGCAGCATGTGCTGCAAATGCTTTTTCATAGTCAACAAAATCTCTAAGTTTTTGCTTTTTTCTTTGAATCCAATTATTATGATCAACAACTGGAGGGTCTCTCATACCCAATGCTTCAGGAGGATTACAAAAAGTACCATATTGTTCAAATTCTGGCTGATCTTTAGTTGATGGTGTTTTCGTTGCCATTAATCTACATTGAACAATACCAAAGTTACGAGTAATTTGATTTTTATTGATAAGACGCTTTATTATGAATCTTGTTTTTAACATTTCGAAAAAAAAAAATGCCAGAATACAGAATAACGAAGGAAGGGGTAGCTGGTTTTAAATAAGCCCCCCCTTTTTTTTTTCTTTTTAAATCTTCTTTGCGGGGGAAATAGTGAAGCAAACCTAAATAGTTAATTGTCTTTTTATTTTTACTTTAAAAGGGGATAAACTATAATTTTAATATTCAAGTATTTTATATACGTAAATAATTAAATCTTCTTAGAAAGGAAGAATTCGTATTTGCTGTGGTAATAAAACCGTTATTTCCTTTGAAAATGATGAAATGATTCATTTTGTAGAGCAAATAACAGAAACATGGATTTTATTCAATTTTATAGTATTATACCCAATATATTAACCCAAACAGTCAGTCTGACACTTATTACAAATATACAAGACTTTAATTCATTACAGTCAACTTTTTATTTCTTTTTAACATTATTTATTCGATTTGCAAGTCAAAATAATGATTACGAGCCTTTGATAATGCATCCTAATAGATATAATAAGCCCACCTTTCGTATCATAAGGAATCTGAAGATTCAACTTTTTTTTTTTTTTTGATAACCGAGTTGTGATATGTACTGCTAACGTATAAGTGTTAATAGTAGTAAACTTGTATTTTTGAAACTAAAGATCATTGGCATAGGGAAATATTTAGGAATCGTATTCTATATAATAAAAGTTTCAACTTTACTCTATTTCGAAAAAAAAAGACATACATGAGAATATAAATAAACTTGGTAGAATAGATAGAAAGGGACATCATTTTCTAAAGATAATACACGAATAAACTAAGCCAGACCATTTTGATCAATAAACTGATAGTCTTCATTTATTGCCTTTATATTTTATAAAGTAACTGACCAACTTCACATAGGATTGAAAATTCGCTATAGTCATATTTCTGATACATTAATTTACCTTGTATAACTCAGTTCTGTATTTCTATTATTTTATAGACCTTGTCATAAACATTTATTTACCTTTTCTTCTCATTAAATAAGATATTAACAAAATAAGATAAAGATTACAGCAGTATCTAATCGAATCGTGTAGACTCCGAAAAAAATTGTATATTTGAAGTTTCATATTCTTTCTTCTTTCATCTCGTTCATTAGTTTAAAAAAAAAAAAAGAAGAAGAAGAAAAGAAAGTGAAAAAGAAATAAAATCAGTTCTGTTAGCTTCCTTTTCTATGTTATTTTTTTAAAAATGCGATTTCTTTCAGGTTTACTTTCAACTGCCTTTGGTGGCAATAATTCACATTCTGAGAATAAAGATGAGAAAGGTAAGCATAACCAATGATTTGTATAGTGAAATGGAAGTTGGATTAAGTTTATTTTCTAAAAAAAAAAAAAAGAAAAAAAAAAGAAAGAAAAAGAAATAAAACTAATAATGACAGATGAATAGTTTTGACTTTATCTCAATTTAAACTAATGAGAATAGTGGGTCGAGGTGCTTTTGGAAAAGTAAATATTAAATGATGTTTTTTTTTTACATGTGACTAACATCTAAAATAATCAATCAGGTCAGGATTGTTGAACATCGAGAAACCCGTCAATTATATGCATTGAAATACATTAATAAAGAAGAATGTATTCGGATGGATGCTGCTAGAAACATTATTCGAGAAAGAGTAATTTTAGAACAATTGGATCATCCATTTCTATGCCGATTACGTTTCGCTTTTCAGGATAGAGATTACATGTATATGGTTACAGATTTGATGTAAGTTTACTTTTCTTTTTTTTTTCCTTAGTACAAGTAATATAATGAGATAAGAGAGTATGAACTTACTTTTAACTATTAAAAAAAAAAAATAAAAAATAAAAGGTTGGGTGGAGATTTACATTATCATTTACAACGCCAACCCTATTTTTCAGAAGACGTAATTCGATTTTGGTTCGCTGAATTAGCATCGGCCGTTAAATATCTTCATCTGAAACAAGTAGTACACAGGTACGATTTTACTAGAATAAGATTATACAGTCTAACAATAAATGTCTATTAAAATAGGGATATTAAGCCACAAAATATACTTATGGATGAACAAGGACATGTTCATCTGACTGATTTTAATATTGCAACATACCTTCATACACATAAATTATTAACATCAAATTCTGGGACTGGCTATTATATGGGTAATGTTTAGTTCCTTTTTATGCTTTATTAAGCTAATCAGAAATACACTTACTAATTACATAGATATATACATATACATATATATATATACGTATTTATATAGCTCCTGAAGTTTATAAAGGTAATGGATACAATGAATCTGTAGATTGGTGGAGTCTGGGAATCACATTATATGAATGTGTATATCACAAGGTATCTATGAAAAGAAGTGGGAAATTAAATTATACCTCATGCTATATTTGATAATTAGAAACCATTTGAATATGATACCACAGAGGAATTACAAGCTGCAATACGAAGAGGGCATATAAATTATCCAAAACAAGACCATCAAATATCTAATGAATGTCTTGCTTTCATACAAGGGGTAAAGAATGAATATTTACATAACAAGTATATTATATATCATTAAATTTGTATATTCTTTTTTTTTTTAGCTTTTAGACGTTAATCCGAGTAAACGATTAGGGTATGGTGATGCAGGATGGATTGCTTTAGTACATCATCCATTTTTTCGTTCTATTGACTGGAACAAACTAGAGTCCAAATCTATTACACCTCTCTTTCAACCAGGAGCAGAGAATAACTTTGATATAACCTATGATTTAGAAGAATTACTATTAGAAGAATCACCTTTAACTGCACATACTGTTAAACGACCGAAATCGAATAAGAAAAAGATCAATGATCCTATGATGAGCAAACATGAACGAGATTTAACGATGATTGAAGAAAAGTTCAAAAATTTTGACTTTACGATATTTGAAAAGTATGAAGGATTTAAAGACCCAGTGACTATGACTGTTGGAGATCCTCCAGATTGGGTTAAACCAGCATTTAAAGGTGCTGAACAAGGAGATGTTTTACCTATTAAAAGAATTGATACTGGAAGAAATTCCCAAGATAATTGTGATAGTCGTGATTTAACTCAATGGAAAGGGCCAAGTAAATCAGTTTCTACAAGTAATATTTGCTCTAGGGCAGTCACTGTATCTACTTCTACTACCTCTGTTGCTTTCTCAAATCTCGGTAAATATGATCAGAGTAGTCCGAATTTAAAGAGAAGCAGTACTGGCACGCTACAGACAGTGAATGGAAATAACAATATGAATCGTTTACATGCAAATAAATCTTCCACTAGTCTTAGTGAAGAATATGCTTTATCTTTACAAGGACTTCGGAAAAAGCAAAGTACAAAGAGTTTTATGGAACGTAGAGAGAGGGATAGAAAAAGCATACAAATTATTCAACATCTATAACATTATATAATTCATATTTCATAAAACTCTAATAATATATTCAATTTATAATACAAGTATATATAAAATTGTAACTCTGTCAAATATTCTTTCAGATATAAATGTATAAAGATGATGTTGTATAACATATTGACACATGTCTTTTGTGTCTATTATTATTCTCAATCCTCAAGCAGTTTCAACTTTTGAGAAAAAAAATATGTATTTAATCCATTAGAAATAAAATGTAATATTTGCAGATGATGACAGTTTTTTTTAAGGTTGAAAAATTTTTAATATTTATATCCAAAATTTTAATTGAGTTGTGCTACGAATGATGAACTGATCATAAAGGCTCTTTTTCAACAGCCTTTGTACTCTGTGACAGTAAAATAAAGTCGCGGGTGTACATCCGGTACATACAAATATATTTGTGTATACACATATTTTTTTTTTCTTTTTTTTTTTTTTTTTATTATTATTATTATTTATTTATTTATTTAAATAGATAATATTCTTTTTAAAAATATATAAACAAATAAATATTTATAAATATATACATACATAGCTAAGGATGGTACAGCATTTAACAATTCCTAAACAGGAGGAAAATGGGTTAACCTGTTATCATCATCATGGAGTATCAAAATCAAATAGTAATAAAGACATGACTTCAACGCTTATAGATGAAATACGCTGTATTTATTATCAATTAAGTCAGCTTAAAACTTTATTGCCTAGTGATCATGTAAATGCTTTATTTACGAAGCTTGTTACTATTTGCACATTTCAATATAATACAGAGATTGTGAAAGCTGTACTCGAGGATGTCTGTATAATACCCCTGATACCTAATCTCCGTGCTATAGCTTCTCAAGGTGAATATTATCTGGAGCTTACTTGGGCAAAGGAATTAGTTTATCAAACAAAAAACCACAAAGATACTAAACCAGAACTAGATCGATTTGTGTACTACCAAAACTATGTTGATTTAGTTCGGTTAGAACTGCATGCCCTTCAAAGTGTGGGTGCTAATTTGAATCATAGCATTGTCTTCATCGGTAGTGGTCCTTTACCTCTTTCATCCATTCTTATGTATGAAATGCTATCTACTGCAACAACCCTTAAGGAACATACATTGACGATACATAACCTTGATCGAGATCAAGAATCGATTTCTGTATCAAACATTCTATTGGAAAAACTTGGTATTCATCACGGAGTTCATCAACATACTATAGATGCGGCTGAATATTTGGACTACACCTCTTCAGATGTTGTTATTTTGGGTGCTCTCGTCGGACAGGATGTAAAAGAGAAGATGGAGTTTTTGACTAATATCAGTAGCAAGATGAAACAAGGATCATTTATTATGATTCGTAGTTCACATTCATTACGAAAGCTTTTATATCCTTCAATAGAGCCTTATCAAGTGAATAAATGTGGCTTTGAAACTACTATAGTATTGCATCCTTTCAATGATGTTGTAAATTCCATTTTAATAGCTAAAAAGATTTAAGTTTTGTATCTTCAGACAGCTATAATTATTTAAAGACATTAAACAGATAAATTATATATTATACTTTTTTTTTTTTTTTTTCAGAGAGATCTCAATCGCTACTTTTATAAAATAGGATTGGCTATATTGCCTTTTATTATTATTTATGACTAAAATGGCTTATTGATTATCAAATTGTGTACTGTTTATATCTAATGAATTTGTACAAGGTGTTAATGCTTTAACTTGTCTAAATATTATTTTGTAAATTAAGTCTCAAGTATCAGGTTTTAAAGTTTGGGGAAAAAAAAAAGTTTAGCATTATGAATAAATTAATTACTATGAGATGTTCTTGAAATAATATATTCATATCCAAGTCCTAGATTCAAATTAGTCAGATCGTATACATGCAGTCAGTGCTATATAAAATGGTTACTGTAATTGAAAATGAAAATCACTGATGTTTGAGTTTGTTCTTGCATTCAGACGATGTCCATATGCTATTGTTATAAAATCAGTCGTTTACTAGAAGGGAGAAACTATGATTCATTGGATAATAGGGAAGGCTTCATCAGCTATAAGATATGAGTAACAGGCTACTTTGGAGAAAATAAATGTTTAAAAAAAAACAACAAAGAGAAGAGGACGTTCATGATTAAACTTGTATTAAAGGGTTCTCCATAGTTTTGTGTATTTGCTATCTTGGTCTTTATAGAAAATACAAAAGATCCTGGATACTTTAAGAGATGATCTATCATCAAGGATACCTTTAAACAATATATTCTTGTTTGTAAAAGTATTTAATTACAGTGTATTTAAAAGATGAATGGTTATATATCAAAAAAGGACGTTTCATATGATTGAAATAGTAAATGTTTTTTTTTCTTATGGGACTGAAGTGTGCAAATCAATTGTTTTGGTCGTAAAGATCAACTAACAAACGACAAGAATTGTAACCGAAACATATACCATTATTTATTCAATGAATAATATATGTTCTACAGCCCTGAATAATACACTTTCCTCCTATTAATTTTCGCTACTTTGACTAGTAATGGTGTCTCAAATTATAACACACAATCTAATTTAATGCTTAATGCGTTCACTGGTTTATTAGCTATGTTCTTTTTTTTTTTTTGTATTTATAAGTAAAATTAATCGAATAGAGTAAAGCTAACTGTGAATAATGATTACTTTTTAAAAATGGCTTGTCTAGATTTTATCTACTTTAGTCTATAAATATAAGTAGTAACTATTTACAAATGTAATTTAATCTATACATTCAATATGATATACAAGTATAAGTAATCTTCTTCTTCTTCTTCTTTTTCTCCCTTCTAATTTCGTTCGTTTTTTAAATTAAATGTCTTCTTTTTCTTATGAACTTGCTTTGTCTTTATCTGTTTACTAAGCCATGAAGCAGTTTCATACAAAAATTCATCAGGCTTTAATTGAGGATATTGGTGTAATGCTAAACGAAAATAATCACGTCCCAATTGAAATTTCTTCACCTTGCCTGTAAAACGTAAAATAGCATCTAGCACTTTAATAGAGGGTTGATATCCAAATCCATAGATGTGTTCCTTATTCTTATGGTCATACATGTTCATCATCTCTGCTGCACTAACAGGATAGAGAGAATAAAGATAATTAATAGCTTCTATTGCTATTAATATATCTCCCTGTTCTTCTACTGCCGTCTTTGCCACGGCATTTAAGAGAGACATGATTAGTTCGTCGTCAAGTTTTAATGGGCTCTGATTCTGATTACGAAGTGTATTCTCATTCAGTTTAATCTTGGAAGCTTTCTCTGCCAATAAAGAATGTGGAGATGAGCTCGATTCAGAATGTTCTGATGTATTCCTACTAGTTCGACATTTGATTATTTGCCATATATTTTGAATTTCAGTTGATGCTTGACTTAAATTCTCTAGTTTTGAACAACTTTGAAGAGCAGTTGAAAAGGTGACTACGTCAGGAATAATATCATCATGTCTATTTGCGGATGTTAACATTTTTAAAATATCAATTACCATCTCTGGACGATTAGCTGAATTATAGACTCGCATCAATATATTAATATGAAATATTGAAGGTTTGATGTCATATTTTTTCATCTTTTCAAACCAGGATTCAGCACGACTCACTGCAACAGGTGATGTACTTTTTTCAAATGATGTAAACATGTGTGCAAATGTATATTCATTAGGTGCAATTCCACGTTTTCGCATCTAATATTGATGGTGAGAATATTATACTATACATAAATTACATTGGAGTGTGTTGCTTACCTGTACAAAATATTTCTCTGCCATATTTGCTTTTCCATGATCTGCACAATATTTAAAGAGTTGATTCCAAAGAACAACAGTTTGTAAATAAGAAGGTAAAGCTTTAACATAATCGACCGCATCATCCAAAGATCCTAATTTTAAAATTTTTTTAACTTTTTCCGATGCAAAGTAAGGATCGCTGGGCATAAGATAGATTTTTTTATTTGCTTTTGAAAATGGAGAATCCACATTGACAAATCTATGCTCTACACGTTTTTTGATATCATTTGGAAGTTTTGATTTATTTGATGAAAAGGACATATTTGTAGATGCCTTGCGATGCAAGATCATGGGGGAGAAGACCCCGGTCATTGGTTTCAGAGTAGTAATGATAGATCGTTGACAGATCCCATTCATTCTGGCTTTTAACAAATACTGCTGTAGCATATATATGTATGTGTGCGTGTGTGTATTAGGAAAGAAATAATTTATATGAAGAAAGAAAGAAAAAAAAAAAAAAAAAAAAAAAAAAGAATTAAATGCCCTAATTAGCTAAGTATTAATTTTTAAACAAGTGTATCTGCATTAAATACAGCACTAATTTATTAATATTGAATGGTTTCTGAAATAAATTCTACAAATCTATCAATAGCATTTTGTTTAATAGATAGATCCTTTATAAAAATATCAGGTAACATAGACCAAAGATGGGCTCCTGAAGGCTCTTGAACAACTATAACTTGAACCCCTGAGCTTCTTGCTCTTGAAGCCAAAAGCCCTCCTTCATCTAATAAAACCTCTTTACCGCCCAAGTAAAGAAGTAAACGAGAAGGTAAAAATGAACCTAACTCTACAGTATTTCTTAAATAGCCAAAGGGACGCAACTGTCTTTCTTTTTCTTCTTCCTCATCAGAGTCATATTCATCTTCATTTTCAGGGCCCATATAAGCATTTTCCATACAAGTAATTGATTTTTCATTAATGATATCTTGACCTAAATTAGCTCTCCAGGAATCTCCACCTGCTTCAAGACCAGTATATGGAGAAGCGCAAATAAAACCAGCAGGCTTTTGATTGGAAGGTATTTTAGTAAATAAAGTGTCTAAAGCAATAGCTACACCTGCATCATCACCACCAATAATTATCTTTTTTGGATGAATTTGAAGAATATGAATTAGCCAATCATATGTTCTTGCAATATCGTTAATTGCAGAAGGGAACCTATTTTCAGGTCCATGTTCTAGGCAAAATAGGTGAGTCCCGCATACAAACATATCCGTTAAAGAAAGGGGATACTTACTATAATTTGCAACAAAGATCATGCTTTTTATTCCTTTATCTGCTTCAAGTGCTCTAATCCAAGTTGTAAAAGTGGATGTGTATAATCGGCCTAAATCAAATCGAAATCCTCCTCCTAAATTATAATAATCTTTTTCTTTTAGTATTGTATGAAATAAAACAAGTTGTTTTATATGTTCACCTGGAATCCATAATAATATCACATTAGCTTCCGAGATTCTATCCATCAGAGCTTCTCTTTTAACATTTTTCTTTAAATCTTCTGCAATCCAATAACCATAAGGTTCTTCAATGTGAATCCAATCTGATCTTGAACGAAATAAGAATAATTGAAGATAATGTATAATTCTACGTGAATATGTAACAATAGGAAAACTAAAGGAAAAAGTTAATAGCCAAATAGTAATCCAACGTTTAAAGTCATGAAATAACGACATGGAAATAAAATGTTATAAAATAGAATAAAACATTCTCAAATAAATTTTATATTTTAATTTTTATTATTCTGGATAATTAATTCCATCTTCTTCTTCTTCTTCCTCTATTGGTCTAGGCACACGCCCTTCAGCTATTAATCTTCTCCTTTCTTCATCAACTGTATTTAAATAGGTAGCATCTTCATAATTACGATAAAGTATATAATGTTGTATTATAAATAAAATATCGAATGCAATTGATTGTAATCCTAAACCTCTATTATATTATACAATACAAATTTAAAGCTTGGTTTATATACATTTCAGAGTAACCGATTATACGTACAATTTAACTGGATTCTATATTTATAAAACAAATGAAATTAATAATAAATATGAATTCCATGTTTAATAATATTAAAATAATTACCCCTAATATACCATTCCAATCACTTTTTAAAGATGAATCAATAATCAACTGAGTCATGGACAACACGCCTCCCGTACAATCCTATCCCTCTTCCTTCGTTACTAAACACACACATACACACACACATATATATATATATTTATATTCATGTGTATTTTCGTATTTCCTATTTTACCAATAATATATTATAAATACTCCAGCCTGCAGTTGATTTACGCTTAAAATTAAGCCATGCCTGAGGAATATATTTGATTAAACTAATAGTTAACTTGATATAGCTTAAATAATATATTAAATCAATCCACATCATTATACTATCACCAAAGAAAATGATAATCAAGACCATTCCAAGTATTCCCATTGATGTAACTAAAATGAAATACTTTGCTATTTTGGATATCTTTTGTGTATTTTCTTTCTAAGGGAAATCCATGTTGAATAACAAGTTTATTTCTATTATAGAGTATTTGTTTTTTTTTATATCATACCTTATAATAAAATGTCTGAATTAAAGTAAAGAAAGAAATAAATAATGCATGTGTAGCAAACATGACATCATTAAATCGAACAAGATTTTCTTTTGAATCGTTTCTTTCTCTGTCTATAACAACAAACTATAAGTTATCTTATTTTAGAGGAAAAAAAAAATACAAATATTATTTACATTCTTTTTGAATTTCTTTACTAAAAAAGAAAGTTATATTGAAGACCTTTACATAGAATTCATATTATTTTAAGAAAGAAAAGAAAAGAAAAAAGTATTCCTGTATGCATCTGTTATTACCCAATAACAAAAAAATCCATATACATTATAATAAAGGAAATCCATTGATAGACCTTTTACACTTTTTTTTTTATTTTTATTATTATTATTTATTAATACATTATTATTAAATGGTATTACCTTTTTCTTTGCCAATTTAGAATAACTTGAGGATAGAAGCTAATTGACCAAGCTAAAAAATAACACTACACATCTATTTATATTAATTTATTGTAAAAACATTTAATATTGAACCAACCCAACCAATAACACTTGAAATGATTGGCCATGCTGATAATAGATTATGTTCAGAATTATCCATATAAATGTTTATATACATGAATAATAAGAGATGAATAAGAAAAGTAAAAAAAAAAAAAAAAGAAAAAAAAAAAGATTGAAATAAAAAAGTAAAAAAGATTAAAATAAAAAAAAACAAATGTTTCCTTTTTTTATTAATCTTACATAAATGTCGATTAATAATAATTTTAGTTTATTAGAGACTATTTTATTCAATCCAAATGAAGGTTTATACAGACATTATGATTTTAAAAACAATTGAAACTCTGAATTACTAATTTTTAAATTGATTTATAATAAAGGATTTTATTTATTAGATAAACATTTCGATAGATTATTCAATGCTATTCAAGATTTTAAAAAGCTAAATACTCTTTTATTTCCTAAAGAACTTACAAAAGCGTACATTTATAAATTACTTGTTAATCAAGTTGCTAATAATGATGATTACCAACGTGTAAGTCATATCATATTAGAGAGAGAGAGAAAAAAAAGTAATATATAATACTTATTTAATAGGTTCGGTTACTTGTTAACGCTATTGATTCAAAAGTAAAAATAGAGAGTATACAATTAGCTATACCTAGATTTTCCTATTGTTCATTGGAAGAAGCCTCTCAGTCAGAGCCTTGTTTCAATGTTGTTTTAGATACTCAACCATCAAAGACAATCAAGATGAGTCCGTTTATTTTGCATAAAACAACTCAACGTGATATGTATGATTTGGCTAGAGAAAGAACAGGTTGTGACTATCATGCTACAGAAGATAAGCCATTTGACGTTATTTTATGGAATGAACATCAGGAGATTACAGAAACAAGTATTGCAAATATTGCTATTCGTTTTATGACGACAAAAGACACTGATCATCCATTTGTATGGAAAACACCCAAGATAGAATGTGGTCTTTTACCTGGAGTCTTTCGTTCCTTTTTACTTGATCACGAAGAGAAATTAATAGAAGATGTTATTACAATAGATGAATTAATTCAAGCAGCAAAGGTGATAGTCACATAAATAGTATCTTTACTTTATTAACAATATGCATTTTACATCTAGAACAAAGATCCAATCATTTGCTTTAATTCAGTTAGAAAAGCATATAGAGTGAAGTTGATACAACAGTCATGAGTCTCTGTTATTTCTTTTGTTGACAGCAATACGATATAAGATTATACTTCTTCCTTTCAAAATATTCTTTCAGCACCGTTATACCACATACACTCTTAAATACAGAAACATAAATAACTAAAGTAGGTTTACTAAGATTGACTCTAGTAATAAATTAAATGTGTTAATACAGTCTAAAAGAAGTATTTTATCAAGTCTCTTATTACTTATAATTTGGTGGTATGAGTGGTGCAATGGTTTGAATAATTTCATCTTTTGTTATCAAAATATTATTTCGAATATCTGTTATAATAGCTACTGTTATTGAGGTTGTACACGTATTCATAAAATGATCTTCTTTTACTCTTTCAAAACAAGACTTGATACGCTCTGTTGTAGCAGGGCATATGTAATCAAAAGGAATCCATCTCTAAAATACAATGCACATGTTATTATATAATTTAATCTAGCTTTTTTTTTTCTTTTTACTTACAGAACAATGACGAACTTTTGCTAATTCTTGTTCTCTTTCTTTATCTGGTAATTGTTTAATATAATCTAAATTTCCAACATTAGTACATGGGAAATAACTTTTTTTTTTCTATTTATCATAATTTAGTTTCTACCCATTAATTTGATTATGAATTCTGTTGGCTTAACATTAACTCTAAATCTATAAAATACAAGTCCACCACAAGCAGCATCAATAGCTTGGAATTTTTTCTCTTTTCGTTCTTTTTCTTTCGTCATATCCTCCTCTTTTTTCTCCTCTTGTTCTTCTTCTTCTTCTTCAAAATCCAATTGGTCAATATCTAATTTACCTTCAAAGCGAACCCAAGTTGTTTTGTGATCAGGAAATAATTTTGTAATGTAGTATTCTAAACAATTTGATATTTGACCTAATGCACGTGTCTCTGCATTAACAGCGCAAGAAACTAATATTCCGTTTGCTTCATCCGAACGTTTTAATAGATGAGAGTGCTTTGTTAACCATCGTTGTTTAAACCTTCCACGTAGAATAGGGATTGTGTTTTCATTATTACGATTACTTTTCTGTCTTTTATTGCTGTTGTTGTTGTCATCTTCAGGTACAGTTCTTTTCTCTTTTGTATTCACCATATTTGTATAGTAATAATTTTTTTTTGAAAAATAAAAAAAAAATAAAATAAAATAAAATAAAATAAAATAAAAAAAAAAAAGAAAAGATTTTGTCAACTAGTTACGAAGAAGGGTGGCTTAAAATGATAAACATAATATGTTCTTCATATGATACAATACAGTCCTATGTTAATAACAGTAGAAGATGATGATAATAGATGTATTATGTAATAAAATTTTAGACTACTACTCTAACAATGTTGTTTTGACATACGTAGGATGATAAAGAAAGTTTACACTCCGGTCATCATAAAATTCTCTTTTAGTTTAAAATGACATCAAGATAACAAATACATCCTTTTTTTCTTTCATGAAGATTCTTCTTTATTATTATTAATAAAACTCCGCAATATAAATATACACATATAAATATGTATATTTATTCTCGAACGCGTATACACGTAACATGAATGAGTAGTCTTTATTTATTTACTTCATGATTTATTACATAATCATAAACTAGTGTCATTCCGTATCCCATATACATGTATATATCGAGTAACAAATATACGTAATTATCCTGTCATGCAAAAAAAAAAAAAAAAAAAAAAAAAATTATAAAACCGAAAAGGGAAACCCCTACTAACTTATAGAAAATTCGGTCGCTTTAAATAATGTAATTTCCTAAAAGTTTCATCCAATCAAAATTCATTACTTTAAGATATTATCAAATGATCGTTAATACTTTTTTATCTTTTTTTTTTTTTTTCTTCTTTCTTCTTTCTTCTTACTGTTACTTTTTTTTCCTTTTCTCTTTTTAAATATAACATTCATATATTTATATAAATCTATATAATATCTTTCTTTTCCTCGGTAAGTGAATAAATTATTTATACAAAGAGAGTATATTTATATATAGATTTTTTTTTTAATTAAATTGTGTGTGTGTTTTTTCATGCAAACCAACAATAGTAAAATGTCTGCAGCAGATAAAAATGATAAAAACCTTCGATTGTTAGTTGTGTCTAATAGATTACCTGTCACTGTAAATAAAGATACAAAAACGGGTGAATATGCTTTTAAAATGTCTTCGGGAGGTTTAGTTGCTGCATTAAGTGGTTTAAAGAAAATGATGTCTTTTACCTGGATTGGTTGGCCTGGTAAGAGAAATAGATAAATAAAAAATAGTCATGCTTTTTTTTTTTTTAAAGTAAATATGAATGACTCTTTGTTTATTTATTTTGTTTTTTTTAGGCTTGGATATTCCAAATGAGGATAGAAAGCCACTTGAAGAAAGATTATTAAATGAAACATCAACTATGCCTGTATTTGTTGATCAAGAACTAGCTGATTTACATTATAATGGATTCTCAAACAGGTAAAATAAGAATAAAGAGTTGTAATAAACAAGTTTTTATATATATATATATATATTTAAAACTTATTCTATAGTATTCTTTGGCCTCTTTTCCATTATCATCCTGGTGAAATCTCCTTTAACGAAGAATGGTGGGATGCATACCAAAAAGTGAATAGATTATTTGCTGAAGCTATCGTAAAAATCGTTCAGGATGGTGACCTTGTTTGGATTCAGGATTATCATTTAATGTTATTGCCTGCATTACTTCGAAAATTAACAAAGAAGAATATTAAAATTGGTTGGTTTTTGCATACTCCTTTCCCTAGTAGTGAAATTTACAGGTAAAAGGAAAAGAAAAAGAAAAAAGAAAAAAAAAAAAAAAACGGAACATTTCAAGTTTCGGAACCTGATTTTTTTTTTTAAATTCTATTTTGATGGGTAGAATTTTACCTGTGCGTAAGGAAATTTTATTAGGCGTTTTAGAGAGTGATCTTCTTGGGTTCCACACTTATGATTATGCTCGACACTTTTTATCTTCATGTACACGTATCTTGGGTTTATCTACAATGCCAAATGGAGTTGAATTTGAAGGAAGGTATATTCATGTTGGTACTTTCCCTATTGGTATTGATCCTGAGAAATTCACGGATGCACTCAAGGAGACTAAGATTCAATCTCGTATTCAGCAACTAAAGAATAGATTCGGTGATTGTAAAGTAATTGTAGGCGTAGATCGTCTTGATTATATTAAGGGTGTTCCTCAAAAGATGCATGCGATGGAGGTCTTCTTGAGTCAGCATCCTGAATGGGTAGGTAAAGTTGTACTTGTTCAACTCGCCATTCCCTCTCGTGAGGATGTTGAAGAATATCAACATTTGAGAAGTACGATCAATGAATTGGTAGGCCGTATTAATGGTCAGTACGGTACAGTAGAATTTGTTCCTATTCATTTTATGCATCGTTCAATTCCATTTGATGAATTGGTGGCTCTTTATGCGGCTGCTGATGTCTGTCTTGTTTCCTCTACACGTGATGGTATGAATCTGGTATCCTATGAATACATTTCATCTCAACAAGAGAAACATGGTGTCTTGATCTTATCTGAATTTGCGGGTGCTGCTCAGTCCTTGAATGGCTCCATCATCGTGAACCCCTGGAATACAGAGGAATTGGCAAATGCAATTCATGAAGCTGTTACTATGCCCGAGGATATTCGTAAAGCCAATCATCAAAAGTTGTATCGTTATGTTACTAAATATACCGCTGCCTATTGGGGTGTGAGTTTTGTAAATGAATTAAGACGAGTGAGTGAAGAATTTGGTCAACGTATGTCTATCCCTCAATTGGATTGTAAGGCTATCTTAACCAAGGCTAAGGAAGCTAAAAAGAAGAAGTTGATCTTGCTTGATTATGATGGTACCCTGACTACCACACATAAGTTACCTGAATTTGCCAAGCCCTCGCAAACCGTCCTGGACCATTTGAAGACCTTGGCTGAACAACCTGATACCTATGTCTATATTCTCTCGGGCCGTTCTCGTCATCACCTTGACAGTTGGTTTGAATCCACCGGTATTGGTCTCTCTGCTGAACATGGCTGTTTCTATAAACATCCTGCTAACATTCGTCATCAACTTGACCCCACTGCCATTGCCTCTAATGAAGGTAAATTAATTAAGGAAGAAGATAATAAATGGTATTGTCTTGTGGAACAAGTGGATCCTAGTTGGAAGGAAACCATTCGTCCTCTCTTCCAACATTATACAGAACGTACACCCGGTTCATTTATTGAAGAGAAAGAAATTAATTTGACATGGCATTATCGTAATGCAGATCCTGAATTTGGTTCCTGGCAAGCTACTGAATTACAAGTCAACTTGGAAAAGTTATTAAGTCATATGGCTCTTTCTGTAAGTTTGTATATAGATAGATAGATGAGTTAAAAATAGTAGTAACAATGTATTGTTATTATATAATAATAGATTGTTCTGGGTAACAAGACCTTAGAACTTCGTCCTTCTTCTATTGACAAGTCTACTGCAGTACGTAATATTCTCAAGGATCTCGATCTTTCTTCTATTGATTTTATATTATGTATTGGAGATGGAAAGACAGATGAAGTTGTCTTTTCACTCTTAAATGAAATTCCTCAAGCCATTACAAGTACAGTTGGCAAGAAGCAAACGGAAGCTCATTATTATATTCCTGATGTTGATCAAGTCAATAGTCTCGTAGATCAACTTGGTCAAAATTTAAAATAAAAATAAAAATAAATAAATATAACAACAACATTTATTATTATCTGTTTTCTTTTTTTTTTTTTTTTTTCCTTTTTCTTCCTTTTTTTTTTTTTCTTCAATTGTCTTTAGAAGAAACTAAGCCTGTATATATATATTTGTATACATATATGTGTGTGTTAGTAAACAATTAGTATAGTTAGACTATCAAAACTAGATACGTTACCTGCTTTTTCCTTTAAAGGACTTGTTTATCAGTTGTATTGTCTTGTTTACATTTAATTTTACATATTCAAGGTCAAGACATTTGATTTGTTCTTTTTGCTAATAATAAAAAAAAATTGTTAAAGGAAAGAATGACTTTATTTATATTTACTTACCCTTTCTAATAAATCATCTAGTTTCAAGTCAATTTCTAAAATAGGTTTCTCTCTTCCTTTATAATGTAAAGAAATAATAAATGTGCCTGTGATAGGTGACTGAATCATAAGATAGATATTGGCTCTTCTATAATCTGGAACTTCAGATCCAACCAGGATGCCTTCTCTTTCTAATTGTTGATGACTAAATTTGAAAGGACCATTCAGGGGCCTTCGCTTGATATAAGTATCATTCGATTTCAAATGATTCCTTTTTTCTTCCTTTATAGTTGCAGTGGTATGAGAATCATAGATTAGATTAGGTGGTTGCTGTTGATTAGTAGATTTGGAAGAAAATGGAGATGAAGTTGTAGATTGATTTGTTGTAATATTGTTTGTAGATGATGGATCTGACACCAGGTCAGATTTGGTATAATAACCAGAAACTAGAGTAGTATCATGGTTTATTTGATGACTATGGATAGTAGTAGTAGTAGTAGTATTACTATTATTGCTACCATGACTGGTACCCGTACTGCCACCCGTACTTTGCATCCTTACATTTTGTAAATAAGCTTTATATGTCTCTAATTGACTCGAAAGATAATCGTTATGATCTTGAATTGTCTTGTATACTTGTTTTAGTGACTTGATCTCTGATATAACATGGTCCTTTAGATTCCCAAGTTGAATTAACTCTTGTTGAATCTCCTGTACAAGTAATTCATAATGATTATCAGAACTGATGATGCCTACATTCTCGAGATTCTTTAAGAGCGATAATGCCTTGATGCCTTTATTAACTAAGAGAGTATCCTTCGTTGAGCTTGCAGTTTGAGCAATCTTGATTAAATCTAGTGATGTTGTATCATGATGACAGAGTTGAAGAGTATGAGGTAAAGAGCGTATGATTTGAACATAAATAGATTTTGCTTCCATATACATGATATCATTCTGGGTAATACTATTACTATTATTATCCCTTTCATGTTGATAATGAATTGGATAGTGTAATTGATAATGACATTGATGATAAGGTAAAATGTGTTGATCCATCATGATTGGACTTGTCTCCCATCGACTAAAAAGTAAGAGTCGTATCGATTTATTCATTGAACGAGATAGTAGTTTAGGAGCAGAGCTTAAATCTTGAAGTAAGATTCGTAATCGATGAGTGGGTTCAGGAGCCATTTTATGAATATGTTGTTGAAGTAGATGATGTATTGTATACATTTCATTCAAGGTAATATGAAGCGAGATATCCTTTCTTGATAAAGCCATATATTGATCCATTTCTAGTGTCTCATAGAAATCACTGACTTTACAAATATCATCTAAAAATTGATTCATTCTTTGCTTGTTTCCATTTACAAATAAATTTGTGGGTATCATATAGGTTTCTTTTGAATAACTAGGTTTATTAGCAAGATTTTGTAACATTTTTGCAATCTATAAAAAGATGATATCCGTTATTTTACTTTACTATGGTGTGTATTTATTTATTTATTTTCATGTTACATATATATTTACCAGTGTTAAAGTCGTTCTAGGATGAGTTCCAGGATAGGATTCAATTAACATATAAGCTTGTGGCGTGACAATAGCAGGATTAATAAATCTTAAAAAGAAAAACCCTCCAATAAGAGAAGAGATAGCAGAGTCGGTTGCGTTTGGGTATTTTCTTTTTGTAAGTGACCGAATTTGTTTACAAATCCATCGAATTCCATAGGGTATTTTATCCAAAGATTGAATGATGACAGTTAAGAATTCATTTGCTAACTCTATTAATTTCTTAATTCGAGGTTCGATGATAGCTTGTACTTCGGTATTTGCAGCAGCGACTTCAGGCGTAACGCTCTTATTAAACCCAGGAGGTAAACTATTCTCTCTTTCCATTCTTTCAATGATTTCTTCATATACCTAACAAAAAAAAAAAATCAATAAAGTAATAATAAAAAAGGTTAACAATAGAATGAATCATTAATAATTGTATTGTATTGACTCGTATGGGGCTACCTTTAATGGGTTTATTTGAAGATTTAATTCCTTTTGTTCAATTAATTCGTTAATTTTACCAGACAAGACAGATTTTAAATAAGATTGACCTGGACCTCTTCTAGTATAAGTCGTTAACATACGTGATGCAGGTGTATTGGCTCTCAACGATGAACCAAAATCCATAGTTGATTCAAATTGAGCAGCAAGTACGTTCTACTATGCATATAAAATCATGATGAATGATAGGATATAAAAAATTAAATTTAGGATTTAGGCATTACCTGAAACATAGTCAATAACAAGTTTTCTTCTCTACTTTCATACTGATTACCATATAAAGTAAACATGACTGTCTGTAATAAAGCGTCAATCTCTGATAAATTAACCAATCGACATAGTGATGCAATATAATAAGGTTCGTTTTGAAGTAAAAAAATAAATTGCCATAGAGTTGTATTTTACGATTATCGGGATACTGAGCCAAATTAGTTGCATCATTGTCTTCAACTTGAGAAATGAAATCATGCTGTCACAATGTCGACACATGAGATTAGACTATTATTATTATTTTTTTTTTTTTGTTTAGAAAATATATACATGTATCTATAAATACCTCATGTAATGCCATTCTATTTTGTATAAGTAAAGCTATTCGAGAATCCAAGAATCGAACATCTTTTTCCAATAAAAAGTTTTTCTTTGATTGAATAGAAATATTAGATTTCAATTCACGCAAAGTTTTTTGTACTAAGTGTATGCATGTATAATAATATTAGGTTATTTTATTTTATATACATCGATGTATCTATTTATTTACCTTGAGCAAGTTCGTCTTCAACTTCAATATCCTGTTTAGAAACTAAAGAATAATAAAGTGACATTGAATAACGTTTATACAATCTTTTTACTTCTGCATTATGCTGATCTATTCTAAGTGTCACTGCTCTCCTAATCATATTTTCATTTTTTGTAAACTTATTTGAATTGATCATCATTTCTGTCTTGTGTTTGAAAATAGTTGATATTTTTAAACAGAATATCCATATAAAAGAAGGGAATGAAAGGAGAAGAAAGTAGGAGAAAAGATATAAAAGAAAAAGGGAAGAAAGAAAGAAATAGAGAGAGAGTAACAATAGGAGGGCGGTAGCTGTTGTATAAAAAAGGAGAAGTAATTAATTGAATTGATCCTGTTTCAAGCACGAAAATAGTTAATTATTCATTAAATTTAAATTCCTACATCTATATTTATATACATGTATACATGTATATGGTAATTCGTACTTGACTACCATTATGCATGCATGCTGTATGTATGTATGCATACATATATAATACATGCACACATGTGTATATAACAGTCATATAAAATTAGACGTACCTTTTTATGTGAGGAAATTGTTTGGTATTCAACATAATAATACAGAATTATATGCCGCCATTATCATTCATGTAATATAGATCAGCAGCGAGATTTAGACTTCCGGTAATAAAAGGTTTCATATATATCGATGATATTATTATAAACAAATCAGATTTGTTCTTCAAATATGTATTATAGTCCATGCAAAAAAAAAAGAAAAAAAATAAGGGTTTTTTTTTAATAATAATAATTAGTTTTCTAACAAGAAACTAAAGACTAAGTTAAGTATATCTGCTTTAGTTAGTTTAAAAAAAAAAAGAGTCTAAGAAACCCTCCTCCTCCTTCCCCCCCCCGCCATCTTCCCAATTAGGATCAAGGGGGGAACAAAAATAGATGCGAAATTACATGAGTATTCAACTGGTTAATAGTTCTCAAGTTTTATATAGAATTAAACAAATTACTGGTTATTATTAAATAGTTTGTAGTTATTTGAAAGATGTGCTGGTAAATAAGAATAGCAAGGGATATGTTGCAGTATTATTTTGGTATATAGAAACTTTAATAAATCCTTATGCAGCAAATTGTGGTATGATTTTTTTTTATTTTATTTTTTTTTATAAGAAAGTATTGTCATGAGTAAATAGAATTAAGTTTGTTTCTTTATTACTAAGCGACTATTGGAGAAGACATTCTTAAATATATTTCTATTTAAATTGTAGATAATTTTATAATAGAGTTTGTTGAAATGATTCATTGGTAAAGGGATATAACTTTTGAACATTTCTCTATATCGTCTTTAATAAAGACTTTGCTAAAAAAAAAAATATTTAGATAATTTTTTTTCTTGAATTTCTTTAATACTTGCTATGTTATTGTGAGTCATAAATTGAGATTATAAAGAAGTCATAGAAGATGGTGTACACTATTGATTAGCTCTTGTTGATTGTCATATTGGCGGTAATAATCACAATAATAATACGCAGTTAAGAAATTAGAGCAAGCACTACAAAAAAAAAAAAAAAAAAAAAAAAAAAAAAAAAAAGAAAAAAGACCTGTAAGATATGTACTTACTCTTTCAAAAGTAAATTTTATCAGCTGTAGTATAACCTATTTTTGGATGAATAAGATGAGCTTTCATATGTCTTTTTATACAAACTTATTTTGAATATATTCAAGTTGAATGTATTTATTATATAAAAATTGAAAGAGTTATTCACTGTTCCATATTCTATTTTTGAGTCTATGATGAAGAGACAAATTTAAAATTAACCAAAAAAAAAAAAAAAAAAAAAAAAAAAAAAAAAAAAAAACTTGTTGAGAATGAACACCTAGACGTATTGCAGAAATAAACTTATAATTAAAAGAGTTTGATTACATAATAATATACACGCCCTATTTGACAGCTATTTATTTAGAGAAATTAAAACATGACTAATTTGGAGGAATAGAGCTATTTATATACTTAGTACATTTACGAAGATTATAATAATGTTCGAATTCATAAATCATATTTTACTAAAAAGGATAAAGAATTCATACATTTATTATCCTTTGACACATGGTGTGTATCAGGAACCAAGCTTTGATTTGTACCCATAGCAACTCAGCAAAGTGAGCCTTCAAAAAAAAAAAAAAAAAAAAAAGTGAAAGAGAGACAACAATATCGGGGAACATATACATATCATTTTTAATTAGCTGATAACTTATCTATCTTGATAGGTGTTCAGCATTTTAATTAGTCACTTTTAATCTTTTCCCTGTTGTATCTTCATCTTAGTTACTGAGGACATAGTGTGTTTTTAGTTAATATTTATTGAAATGTATTGCCTGTAAAATGAGGGACCATGGATGATTTCTTCCACTATTGTCTCTATTTTTTATCTCGTGTCATATTTCTCAGGAAAAGGAATTTCATAGAGATGCCTAATGGTATATATAGTATAATGCAATCAACCCAAGATAGATCGGAAAGTCTACAGTTCAGACACACAACAGTTTGTATTATACATATAATCTCACTCATAGGAAGAAGGATTCAACATTGATACTTGAATTAAGCTGTAATAGCATATGATATGAAGAAATTGATAATACTTCATATCATCAAAGTACTGTTAAATGATCACAATAGATGAATGTATAAACAGAAAGAAGACGGATATCAGAAGAATAAATACTTACAAAATAATTGATAGCAGATGTATCATGACTAACATGAAGGACCAAAATAAATAAAAAAAAAACGCCTTATAAATTTATTAGTCTAGAAGCTTTTCTTTTAAAAAGAAAAATGTCTGGGATTAAAATATGTTGGAATTTCAAGTAACACATAACTACGACTAAACGAATAATAAAAGGTATAAAAAAATAAACTTAAAGTCTATATTTGTCACCACTGTCGGATCAATTATATACTTCAATATTAATAAAAATAGAACATTCTTTAAATCTTCACTTTTTCTCGTTCATGGGTAAGATAATGATTGTACATATACAAATACAAATACATATTTTTTTCAAATACCCCACATTCCCTTTTTAGGAACTCATGACGTGAAAATCAAGTCCGATAGATAGATAACGAAAGAAAAAAAAGAATTTTTTTCTTTTATTTAATATTTTTTTTTTTGTTTTATTTCCTCCCCTTATATTTATCTTCCAAAAAAAAAAAAAAAAAAAAAATAAAATAAATAAATAAATAAAATAAATACCAATTACCTTAATGGCAGAACAAGCAGAACATAAAAGGCAGCGTGTTAGTAAAGCTTGGTAAATACAAAAGGTTATTACAAAATAAACTCAAAAAGAAAAAAAAATAGAGAACAAAAAAGGAAAAAAAAATAACTTACTTATATTATTAAAGTGAGCAATGTAGAAGAAAGAAAGTTAAATGCGATGGTTCATCACCATTATGCAATAACTGTCAAGTATTGGGCTTAAGCTGTTTATATAAAGAGTCAACTAAAAAAGTATGAATGAATGAAATAAATAAATCAAATAGACATAACGTGTATATATTTATATTATTATATTACTATTAGAGAGGCCCACCTAAAGGATATATAGAAGCAATAGAAGGTAGATTACATCGATTAGAAGCACTATTAGGCAGTATTATTCAAGAAGATGATCCTCACTCTCAAGCAATTATGGCAGAATTAAATGCTCCATTAGAAACAGCTTATGGTGAACTCGTTAGACCACGTCCAATGCGTAGAGAAACTATATCTGGTTATGAAGCAGAATGTGGACCATTAACTACAGTAGAACGAAATCACATGTTAAATACGACTCAGCAAAATAATAATAATAATGACGATGAATTAAATAATACGAATAATCTTTCTATTGATGAAAGTGGGCAACTAAGATATTATGGTAAATCTTCTGGATTTTATATGCTCAAGAACAGTAAAAACTTAAAGAATCGTTCCTTTCAATTTAATTCAAGAGTCAGTCATCACGATGAACATCATAACCATTCTTCTTCAACTTTATCTTTTACAGTAGATCCATTTGAAATGCCTCCAAAGGATTTATCAGATCATTTATTAGACTTATATTTTTCTTATTTTTATCCTCTTTTACCCCTTTTACATAAGAAATCATTTATGGAATCTATTCAAGATCATCATAAGCCCTCTCCTCCACCTCTTCTTTTAAATGCTATCTATGCAGTTGCCTCTCGTATCTCACCAGATATTCGTGTTAGATCTGACCCTTTAAAGCCTGAAACAGCAGGTGATATCTTTTTTGAAAGAGCTCGTATGTTACTTGATTTTGAATGGGATAGTTTTAGACTTTATACTGTTCAATCTTTGTTACTTATGAGTAGTCATCAAAATGGTGCATTAAAGACGACTCGAGGTTGGCTCTATAGTGGCATGGTATAGATGCGTACATATTATATAATAACACATTCCTAACCTTTATTGAGTTTTTTTTTTTTTTTTTTTTTTTTTTTTCTTTTTTTCTTTTTTCTTTTTTCCTCAGGCAATAAGAATGTCACAAAACTTAGGTTTACATAGAGACTGCGATAAATGGGATTTAACAGCTACAGAAAAAGAAGAAAGAAAGAGAGTGTTTTATTGTTGTTTTATATTAGATAAATTATCTTGTGCTATGCATGGTAGATCACCTATGATTGATGAAAGAGATTATGATACACCTTATCCCTCAGAAAATGATGAAGATGATATTCATCGTAAACCGCGAATTATGGAAAATTTTTATTACTTGATCAAGATATGTGAAATATTAGAAGATGTCATACGTGAATTATATATGGTGAAAGGAAGAAAACAGTTATCCATGTTATCTACACCAGATAGTATCGTCTCAGCTCTTGATAAAAAGATAAATAAATGGATATCAAAATTACCTCCTAATTTACAATATCGTCCACCTAATACAAGACTAAATGAACGTGCTCCTGCTCCTTCTTTAGAGTTATGTCAACTTCATATGTTATTATACACAACACTTATCTTAACCCATAGACCTTTCATTCCTGGTCCTTCACAGACAGTCGTCCCTACCGTATTCCCATCAGCCTCTATTTGTACTTTTGCCGCTAACAAGATTCTTGATATCACTGAATCCTTAATGGCAGAAGGAAGATTAAAAAATATTAATAATTATACCTTATTCTTCATGTTCACTGCTGGCATCATCTTTATCTATAATGCTGCCTCTACGGATTCTATGTTTGCCTTTGAAGCCAAGATAAGTATTAATAAAATAATGCGTGCCATGGATGAAGTAGAAAAGACCTGGATTACATCAGCAAGACATTGTAATATCCTGGGTGCTCTAGCTGGCTTACGTGATATTGACCTTGATTGTGTAGATGAAAGTTATACACATTCTTTAAAGAAATTCGATCCACAGGCATCCAATCTATCAGCCTCTATTGCAGTCCCTAACTCACCTGAACCTGAACCAGAAGAAGAAAAACAGCAACGAGAGATTCAGTCTACGATGACACACGATTTTCAGCGTATGGAAGAAAAATATTACAATACTTGTAGTAAATCACCTCAAGGCAGTAGTATAGACCTCTCTCCAGAATCAACAAATCAACGCTCTTCATCCTATCTACAACAACAATCACAGGAGTTTGAAAATAACCCATTTGATCCTAATGAAACTGCCTTTTGGGGTATGCCAATGTCATTTGATATTGACGAATGGAATAGCTATTTCAATAATCAAAAGAATAATATGGCATCGTCATCAGTGAACACAACATCCATATTTCCAATGTCTTCTGAACATGAACATGCATCACAGGATAATGTTTTTATGTCTATACCACTAACAACATCATCTAGCATTACTACTAGTAATCAAGTTCCTTTATGGACTGATTAAATATTTATAAATAAACATTATTCTTATAAATACAAATTCATATGTCGTAATTTAACGATGCATATAAATATAAATATTCATTTATAGTCTTAATAGTCCTGCTATTCAATAAATTTATATAAAATAGATCTATACTCGCCTTTTATATCTATTTAAAGACTTTTTTTGATATACTCTTTAGAGTTTAGGAAACTGCTTTAATTCAACCAAGGCAAAATTAGAGTGATTTGAAAATAAGCCTTTTTTAAAAGGAAAAAATATATATACATATACATATATATATATACATATATATATACAATAACAAAGGCTTTTACTACTACTACTATCATTACTCTCTCTCTACTATTTAGTTTGGGTTCTTGGTTAAACCTTTCATTTCGTCTTTTTATGCAGGATAAAAAAAATAAAATAAAAATAAAAATAAAGGAGGGAAATCATAGCTAAGCCACTTTACATTTTCGATTTTTTTTTTTTTTTTTTTTTTTTTAATTCCTTGTGTTTGTTTTAATCACAATTCAATCGATATACATATAACAATGGAAAAGTGGAAAGGATCTTTTGCACAGTCTCAATTAGAGAAATTTGGATGGTCAAGGTAACTATATAATTAAAACATGCATAGACAAATGTAAATAATATATACAAATATATAAAAGACTAATGAGCATAAAAGTGGAGAAGGTCTTGGTAAAGAGAAAAAGGGCAATGTGAAGCACATTAGTGTGACAATCAAGAATGATAAGAAAGGTGTTGGTGTTAATAAAGGTGATTGGGAATTCGCTTGGTGGGATCACCTTTATAACAAAAGTGCTAGCTCAGTAGTAGTTGAAAAGGACGAGACAAAAGGAGAAATTAAAGTAGCAACGAAAAACAAGGGAGACCATCGTCGTTCAAGGACAGGCATTATTTCTACACAACGACCTACAGGTAAATCAGTTGTAGTCGATTCAAGCACGTCATCCCCTTCTAGTAGCATGACATCCATCGCTGATGATCGCAACATGATGGATTCGGTGAAAGACATTCATATAAACATGGCACAACGATTAGCTAATGCTTCATTGTACGGATCATTTGTTAAAAGCGCATCTACATCGGAAGCAGTTACACCTAATGATTCTTCAGATGATGAATTAAAAGATTATTCTATTAAAGTTTCAGATGCCGAGTTATTTGCAGCTTGTGAAGGTCGCACGGCTCGTAAGGGAGGTCGTGGTTTAGTAGATCAGACGGGCAAATTCAAGCGAGTGATGAAAGAATTCTTACAACCCACCGAAGATGAGGATAAAGATACCAAAAAGAAAAGAAAACATTCTGACGAAACAGAGAATGAAAAGAAATCATCTAAAAAGGCAAAGAAAGAAGCAAAAGCAGCTCGTAAAGCAGAAAAGGAGGCAAAAAAGGAAGCCAAAAGAATAAAAAAAGCCGAAAAAGAGGCAAAAAAGGAGGCAAAAAAGGAAGCAAAAAGGATAAAAAAAGCTGAAAAAGAAGCAAAAAAGAAAGAAAAAGAATTAAAAAAGGCAAAAAAGAAGGATTAAAAGAATTGCATATTATAATTAGAAAATGAGTTTATATATTATGTATATTTGTTAAATATTAAAAAAAAAAAATGTTTTAATTAATAGTAAAGATAATATCAAGTTTTAGAGAATAGATGTTATATGTATTTATATATGTGTATACATTCTATTTATTACCACAGGACCATCTAATAATTCTCCAAATAAGAATAATAGTCGCTGACCCTGCAATTGCTATGCCACCATATAAAAACCCATCATAAAATATTTGCTTACATAATATTGGGTTTGCATCTTTATATTCTAATACAGTACATTTAAAGTTTTCCATAATTTGAGAAATTATAATCAAAGCTATCCCTCCTAATAAAATAACAAGAAGGATAATGGTCCAAAGACAAGAACAAAAGGTAATTCCGAAACAACAACAACCTTCACCTCTTTTTCTTCTCCAGCTGCTGTTTGTTGCATATTTATTATCCATTAATATACCTGGCGGTAAAGGGGGTAGTGTTGGCATAATGGTATGAAAGAAGGATGAATGGCTCCCTTGCTGAGTAGGGGGATGCTGTAGTGGTCTAAATGGAGAAGATAAAGCGAATGGTGATGTATTAAATAAACTAGAAGCAGATGGCGGCGGTTGAGTATTCAAGTTAGGATTAAGTAGAATAGAAAGTGGTGGTAAAAAAGAGGGTGGTGGTGGTGGTGGTGGTGCAATTAAAGCAGTAGCAGGAGGAGAAGAGGCTGTACTATGATATAAAGCTATTCTATCATTGTTGTAAACTTGATAATTACTATCATTATAAAATGGTTCTTTTTCTTCTTGTCTTAAGTAATGATATTGCTGTTTTTGATGAGTGGTATTATTATCATTTGGAGTAGCTATTGAATTTCTTTTGTTATATGACTGTTGCTTTTGTCTTTCAATTAATATCTCTTCTAGCTCTTGCTCTCTCCGTAATTTTTCTTCTCTTTCAGCATAAAGATATTCTCGCAAATGAATAGCGTCTGGATCATAGTAATCACTGGTATTGTTCGTGATATAGCCCTTTCTTGTTTTAAAATCATGACAATCAATTTCCTCTTGACAAGAAGGGTCACGGAATGAATGATTCCTCGAAGAGCTAGCTGTAGCAGAAGGATTATCAGTATGCACTACTTTATGATTGCCTTCTTCATTATCGTAAAAGGAGTGCCCTTTATGAGAGGATGATGAAAATGAGGGGCGATTTTGTTGATTTGATAAAGATTTATCAATTAGATAAAATGGCTCCCTTGGTAGTGACTGACTATGATTTTCTTTAAAAGACCTATTTTCGGTTGGTAAAGGAGTAGGAGCTGGATATTGACCAGTATATGGGTCGGATATGAAAGATTCTTTATTTGATTTATTACTATTACTACTACTACTAGGTTCAGATATACAGTTGTTACTAAGAGACATATTATGAAATTATATACATATATGATATGTAATTTTTTTTTAAAAAAAAAAAAAAAAAAGAAAAAGAAAAGCAAAAGAAGAAAACAGAATATAAATTATATATATAATTTGTTTTGACACCTAAATAGGATATTATATCACGTAAAGTTCGAGTTAAAAGATCATAATATATTTAAACTCTTTATGAGTATATATTTATTTATATGTATCTGCGTATATGTATTCAATGAGACAACAGCAGTAGCAATATATACTTGTATTATTAATATTGACATATGCAATGATGTTATGTGAATAGGAAAGAAAAGAAAATTACTAATAATAGTGTCTGTATGACTGTACAACAATAACAACTAAGAATCATGTTTTTTTTTGATATTTGTCTACATCCTCGGTATAAGCATTGATAATTGCAAACTACCTTCTTTTTACATTTAGTAGTAGAATTTACAGTAGAGTCCAAAGAGCAGCTTATGAAATTGTTCTATCATTATAATTAATTAGTAGTATGTATATGATATAAATTTGCAACGTTTACTAATCATATATTTGATTTTTGTATTAGGTGTAATAAATTGATCCGTTTTATAGCTAAATAAATAATGAAAGATACATATATAAAAAAATATGATATATATACACATTTACAAGCTTACAATGTTGAATATAGCTCTACTAACTTTATCAAGTTGAAGTATGTAAGATAGTTCATTAAATGTATTGCTCATATGCAATAATTCCAATAGAGTTGATAAAGAAATCTTGTTTACTGCTCTCTTCTTTCTTTATATGTATTATAAACTTTAACTAGTTTAGAGACATAGCATATCACTATCATTATCAATTGATAAAAATTTATTGTATCAAAAATCTTGAGGTTTAATATATTAACTCATTCTTGTTTTAAACCAACAAAGCGTAATAATAGGATCTAATCTGCTATTTTGCTTGTATTTAATATACTAATGCATTTTAATTGAACGATCTCAAAAGGATAAAATACTTTAAACTCCGTCCATGTGAAGGAAAGCGCCATTGGTTTTATTCCGAGTAAATGCGGCCCGGACACGATATTATCTTTACTGCAAAAATAGAGATGAGAGGGAGGGGTGGAGGGGAAAAGATAATAGCGACAGTGTTGACGAGCGGGAAAGAAAGTAAAGGCAACTTGGAATATTATTGTATTCTCTCCTCCTCTTTAACGTCAATAATGCCTGCAAACTCAGGTTCGTAAATCATAATCATGATATTATATAAAAGAAATGGATGGAGAGGATAGTGGATGGATTAGATTCTTCTTTATATTTGGATTCTCAAATGAACAAAATACAATAAGCAATTTATTAAAATAACAATTATACATCGAAATTAACACCATCAATGTTATGATTTAATTTATCGTAATCAATTAGTACATGTTGAATAGAGTAAAAATAATAATAATAGTACCCCCTTTCTTCCATTATCGACAAAAGTGCTAAATGAAGTCAGTTATTGTTAAACATTCATCATTTCTCTCCTCCATTCAGTTTCAACATAAAAAAAATACAGGACATTAGAATCATCTCTTTTACTAATTTAAATTATAACGATATATATATAATAGCTCCCAAGGCTAAGGCTCAAGCTGCCAAGAAGGCCGCCCTCAAGGGTGTTCACGGTAAGGCTGTTCGTAAGATCCGCACTTCCACTCACTTCCACCGCCCTAAGACTTTGTCTTTGAAGAGCGTTCCCAAGTACCCTCGTAAGTCCGTTGCTCATGCTCCTCGCATGGATCAATACCGTGTCATTCGTCAACCTCTTAACACTGAAACTGCCATGAAGAAGATTGAGGATCACAACACTTTGACCTTCATTGTTGATGTCAAGGCCAACAAGAACCAAATCAAGGATGCTGTCAAGCGTCTTTATGATGTTGAGGCTGCCTCTGTCAACACCCTTATCAGACCCGATGGTTACAAGAAGGCTTTCGTTCGTTTGACTGCTGATGTTGATGCTCTTGATGTTGCCAACAAGGTAAGAAAAAAAATATTATAACAAGGTGTGTTGTTTCTAGAAATACTAATATGTTTATTCGTTTATTACTATTAGATTGGTTTCATCTAAATGGTTTTATCATTAACCTTGATTCTAAAAAAAAAACAAAAAATGAATAAAATAACAGCATTTATTCAATCAGATGGATGCTGACGTTTATAAACATATTTTTTTTCCCTCTTCCAAATAGCAGTTTTTTATAACGTGAATGAGCGTTAGGCTTTTTAATTAAACATTAAAAAAAAAGTTTTTCAGGGATTTGTTCTTTCTTCTTCTAATGTCCATCTGATCAATACTCATTTATTTAAGGCAGGAACGATTGTATATAATAATTACTACTAATAAAACTATAGATAGCTTATTAAAAGCATTTGGAAGGCCAAGTTCCCTTTTTTTTTTATTTATTTTTTTAGTTATTTTACACGTGTGTAATCTTTCAACAAAGAAAATTCCATTTTCTGATCGAACAACGCTGGCCTATTGTAGTAAAGCATGATAAAGAAGATTTACCTTCTACAAGCAACTGCTGCTGTTTCTGAATTTACAACGCTATATTTTTGTATATATCAAGAAAAATCGAATTCATCACTCTATTGATGTTCTTTTTTTTTTTTTTTTTTTTTTTTTTTTTTTTTTTTTTTTTTTTTTTTTTTTTTTTTTCAAAGGATCTAAATAAAGAACCCCTCTAGCCATGTTCCATTCAGGTTAGAAAAGTCTGCTATTTAAGTTTGCTCATTGGTTATTTTTATTCTAAAAATTGATATTTGAATTCCCGATGATTTAAATTTTTAGATAGTTCCATTAGTATAAAATTTATCTCTTTTGTGTGTGTGTGTTTTATGAATGACTATGACAGTACTCCATGATAATCCAGTTAGATTACCTCAACAACATCAACAAAACGAAGAGTATAATACATCAGAATCTGAAAAAGAAGAAGCTTATGATATAACAGAATTTGATTTAGATGTAGTTGATGATGCTTTATTAAATCCTGATAGGTCTGAATATTTAGACCATTTTGGTTTCAAAATTCATGTGAAAACGGATGATGAATTATCAAGTGACGATGAATCAGAAGTTAGTATTTATGATGACGAAGATCCATCTTCATTAGAGAAACAAAATAAAGAACAAGATTCAACAAAAACAAATAGATTGAACGTTTCATCTTCTACAACTACCATGACAAGTGATGATGACTCTATTGATACTAACATAACAACACCCCATCCTGGTCATGATCATGATGACCAGAAATGGTTATCAGAAAATGTAGGAAAAGACGACTATGATGATATATCATCTATAAACACATTGCCTCATACAAAAGATTCTACTAATTGTGACAATCATCCAATCAATGATAAAGAAGTATTATCTAACACAGTACCCATTTTAAAATCACCACCATCTGCACGTTCAGATAAACAAAAAGAAAGTCAAGCGAAAACAAGTCCGTCATTTCCTCCATCAGATACCCAACGTAGCAATAGCATTAAAAAGTCAACAACAAACCGACAAAGCATTCTTTCAACGTTAAATAAACCGTTTAATAAAAAGTCTTCGCCTTCCTCTAAAAGACCTTCTTCAACGTCTTCTCCTCAATCACCTGTCATCCTCTCTCGTCCCTCACAATCCTTCCAACAAAGACAAAGTAAGCGTTATTCTGAAGCTTACTATCTTCATCAACAAATGGTAAATGCGCCACGGTCATCTGCTGCTAGTAATTACCAGCATTTCGATGAATTAATTTCGAAATTTAGAAAATTTTCTCATAATGACCATCGATATGATTCTGAAAAGCATACGCTATTAAAAGAAAAAGCATTAGAAGAATTAAAATTGAATAAAAGTGAAGAGGAGAATGAGACAAAGATAGATTGGGGTAAGTGGTGAGTGACTAAAGTTTGATGATGATTCTTTATTAAATAAATAGATTAGGCTTTTGGGAGTTGGTCATTCTAGATTTTGGCAGTGTGATTGATACTCAAATGGATGATTTACGTCAACATTTAATTCAAGGTGGTATTCCTTCATCTATTCGAGGCTTACTATGGCAAATTATTTCCAAATCTCATGATAGCTTTGATATGGAAATAGAATATAAAGAAATTCTTAAAAAGTCCACTAGTCCTTTTGAGAAACAAATTCGTAGAGATATAACAAGAACATTTCCTCAACATACTTATTTTATGCAAGAAGCTAATAGACAAGCTTTATTTAATGTAGCTAAAGCATATAGTATATTTGATCAGGAAGTTGGTTATTGTCAGGGACTTGCATTTATCATTGGCTGTTTATTGCTGCATGTATGTAAGAAGAAGAAAAAAAAAAGAATCTATCTATCTATGTTATGTATGTATGTATGTACTAACATCTACCTGTAATCATTAGATGTCTGAAGAAGCTGCTTTCTGTGTACTTATTAAATTGATGGGTAAATATGGTCTACGTGGTCACTTTACACCTCGAATGGAAATATTACATCAACATATGTATCAGTTTGATCATGTATTTCAGCAAAAGTTACCTGTTGTTCATCGTCATGTGGAGAATGAAGGTGTGACACCTTCGATGTATGTCTCACAATGGTTTATTACTTTATTTGCCTATCGTTGCCCTATTGAATTATGCTTTAGAGTCATCGACTTACTGCTTATTGAAGGCGCACAGGTACTTATTCAAATAGCACTGGCCCTTGTCATTCGAAATCAAGAGCAGCTTTTGAAACTAAAGTTTGAAGCCCTTGTGGATTTCTTAAGTAATCAAATCTTTAATATCTATGATGAAAATGATGGAAATAGATTTATTGAAGATGTCTATCGAGTTGAGTTACCAGCGAAATTTATGGCACGACTTGCTCAACAATATACTATGGATGAAGAAGTACGTGAATCAAGGCAATCCATGTCACAAGAAGACAATTTAAGGAGAATCAATGGACAACTCTCTGAACATATTCGTTCTGTTGAGGGCTCCTTACAAGTATTACGAGTAGAAAATCAAGATCTAACACAGCAAATCATTCATAGTAAAATGGATTTAGCTCGTGCTGAAGATGAGAAGGAAGAACTACGTCACGAACTTGGTCAACTAAAAGCTGAATTTGAGAAATATAAAAAGAACGCTGATAAAGAACGAAAGGAACTTGAAGATAGAAATAATTCCTTAGAGAAACAATTACTTGAAACTGAATCCATGCTTATAGATTTCAAAGTCTCTTTTGCTGAAAGAGAAAATGAATTTGAAACATTAAAAAGACAACTTCAAAGTAAAAAATAAATAAAGTTGGCTGGGTGCTTTATAATAGTCACGAATTTTATTAAACTCAAATTCGCGTTTCCCGCGTTTGTCTATTTGAGTGAAAAAAAAAAAAAAAAAAAAAAAATTAAATAAATAAATAAATCAATCAATCAGTCTTTTTTTTTTTTAACTTTTTGTAATAAACTACATCATGTTTAAAAATAAAAATAAAAGAATAAATCGATTTGCTGCAGCAGCAGAAGCAAGTGTGAATGGACGCTCAGTATTTTCTGATAATGGACAAAGTTATAATTTACAAAGAGATTATCCACATAGACTCAACTTTTATTTGAAGCCTCCACCTGTTGAAATAACTATTGAAGAATTTGAACAGTTTGCACTCGATCGATTAAAAGGTTAGACATAATACAATGTAACAAATGTATAAATATATAACTAAATTTTTTTCTTTTTCTTCTTTCTTTCTTTCTTTCTTTGGACGACACTAGTTTTAAGAGCTGTTGAAGCTGCTTCTATACGTAATGAAGATTTGAAATTAGAAATTTCAAAAACTGTAGATCAGTATTTACCTCTTAGATCCAACTTATCAAAATCAGAAGAGCTTTATGAAGAAAGACGTAAAGATCATATTAGTCATTTTGTCTTGAGAATGGCTTATTGTAGAAGGTTAGTTCCTTTTATATACATATATTCTTTTATTACATTGAAGCTTATTTGTCATCACATATTTATTTATTATTTATTTAAAAAAAAAAAGTGAGGATTTACGTGAATGGTTTTTAAATCAAGAAACAGCCTTATTTAAATATAGATTTGAACAGGAATCATTTGAAGAGAAAAAGAAATTTTTACAACAATTAGATCTGAATTGGAAGATGGTAAATAATGATGTGTTGAAAATAATAAACCTTGGAGAAGGAAGGTTTAATATGTATGGAGTTGCCTTTTTTTTTATGAAATAGTTAACAGATGAAGAAAAAGAGAGTATGAGAGAAGAATTAGAAATATGTTCAAAACCTAAAACAGGTGTAATGGTTGAAGATTATGTTTCAAATGAAACTTTTTTTGAGGTAAGAAATGTAAAGGAATTAGGATGGTTAAGATGAATTAATCAAGATGTAAATATCATTAAAAAGGTTGATTTTGAGAAAGTGCCATATATGGTTTCGAATAGATCAGTTTATGTAAAAGGAGGAAAAGCATATGTACCTATGAATGATCAAATCAATATTGTCATGTTGGAGTTTAAAAATCATTTGTCAGAAGCGTTAGAAGCAATAAGTAAATTGTTACCAAGATTAGAAGAAGACGATAGATTAAAACCTATTTTACTAAACGTTGAAAAACAATATACTGGAAGGACATATAATGATTACGCTGTCACAAATGGGACAATTACAGCTAAAGATGTGGAACCAGTAAGGAATTTACATATTGTATTCGTATTTTATTTTATTTTATTTTTTATATATAACTGAATTTTATATAGTTGGTTCAGCGTCATGCACCTTTATGTATGCGTAATTTACAAGATGCTCTAAAAGCAAATAAGCATCTTAAACATGATGGAAGATTACAATATGGATTATTCCTGAAGGGTATTGGATTATCTGTTGGAGAGGCACTTATTTTCTGGAGAACTGCTTTCTCGAATATAACTGATGATAAATTTAGAAAAGAATATGCATATAATATTCGTTATAACTATGGTCTTGAAGGAAAACGTGTTAATTATAGTCCTTACAGGTAATATACATATATATACAAGTAAATTATATAATCATAATCATTATCATAATCAAATCCTTTCTTTTTTTTCGCGTTACAAAAAGTTGTATGAAGATTATTACAAGCAATCCACCCTCTGTAGGTGAACATCATGGATGTCCTTTCCGACATTTTTCACCTAGTAATCTCGAAGCTAGATTACGTAAAGATGGTATCAGTGGAGGGCATATACAAGAAATTCTTGAACTAGCACGTAATAAGCATTATCAATTAGCATGTACTCGACATTTTGAAGTAACGCATCCCGAAAATAAGGAAAAAATAGACATCATTGAACATCCTAATCAATACTATGAATTAAGTAAGAAACTAGCAGAAAAAGTAGAAGAGACGTCATTAGAAGATTCTATGGAAGTTGATGCATAATAAAATAAAATAATGTCATATTATAGATTTTCTCCCCCCCCCCTCCTCCTCCTCCCCTTCCTCCATTTATCTAAAGTATTTTAAATATACATAATAGGATGATTGCGTTACACGACTATTTGTTGACATAGAAACGTCAATCTCTAATAATAATATGGAGGGTGATTTCCATTTTAAAGCAGCCATACTATATATAGCAACTTTATATAATATAATTTAAAGAATTGTAACAAATTTAAATAAAAAATAGAATACGCTTCATATTTGTTTTATTTTACTCAGATAAAATAATTATACAATCATAGCCACGAAAAAAAAACCCCAATAACATTTTTATACAATTTACATCCATATTTGTCAAGAAATTTAAACTTTGTTGAATTATTATTATTGTTGTTGTTGTTGTGTATTTTGAAGTTGTGTCGTTTTTTGCTGTATTTGGACTTTTCAATAACATTTTTTCCAAATATGGATATTTGGTTATAAATTCAGCATCACAAGGATTTTGGTGTGAAAAAAAAAAAAAAGGGAATGACTATTTTGTTATGTTTTATACTTGTAAAGAAGTAACTAGAGTAATCAAAGTTATAATAGTAGTCATGGTTATAGTAGTCATGGTTATAGTAGTCATGGTAACTTGGATCCCCTAATAAAAGGGAGGAGGAGGAGGGGGTCCTTTTTTTATTTTTATTTTATTCGGGTCACCTTAAATAATAATTGTAAACAGAAAGTCGACCCTTTTTTTTTTCTTAAATATGTATGTAACATCATGAAATTATTAAAGATGTTTTGTAGTTACATATTTGGACTTATTTATTTATTATGACATTTACATAAAAAGGAGAATTCTTGTATTGTAACTTTATTTGATCTCCGTTCTATTTATTTGTTTTTATTCAAGTTATTTTGTTCTTTTAAAGAACATAAATTGAATAAACAAATGTAATATATTACATAATGTATATATTTATATACATATTTATATATGTATACAATGCTAATAATAATAATAATAATAGCTAATACTAATTTTATTTTATTTGTCTTCATCACGTGAATAAATGGATCCCTATTGTAAATGCTATTGCTTTTCCTTTTAAGATAGAAATGAAAAAAAAAAAAAATTTAAGGCACTCCGCAATAATCATTATGTATATAAATATGTATACATATATAAAAACGCCTTTTTTTTTTTTTTTTGCTTTGTTCTTTTCTTTTGTTTGTACACATTCTATTTACATTTACATTTTATATTTATTTATATTAATAAACATATACAAAACAATTATGCCTTCAACAATTCAGGAAAATAAATTATTTTATTCACCATTTGAAACCGAATTTCATAAGAAACGTTCATATCTTAAATCAACAACAAAGAGTCGTAGAGGCATAAGATCAATTCGCTCTATAAATTTAATTTCGAATACAACTCAACAAAATAAATATTATCAATTGACAGTGACTGATCCGAATTCATCATGCAATAAAAAGGGTACACTACAGTTCCTCCCCTCCCCCTCCTTTCCTCCACACACACACTCACACTCACACACTCACACATACACACATACACACATACACACATACACACATACACACATACACACATACACACATACACATACACATACACATACATATACGCACATATTCATCCTTTATCTTCTAGTTTTATTTATTTTTTGGCTTTATTTTTTTTTTTTTTGGGCTTTATTTTTATTTTTGATATTTTAGATTTCTTAGGTTTATTGCCTTACGAAATTTCTTCTCAGATCATTTTAAATTTGGATATTTATAGTTTATGTCAAATATCCACCGTTTCAAAAACTTGGTATAAACTTGTTCGGTCGAATGATATTTGGAAAAGGAATGTGATTTCAAGATGGAATATAAGTCATAGACATATTCAATTAGATTGGTATCATTTTTATAAACAACGTCATATCTTAAATTCAAGATGGGAAACAGGACGTGTAGCTACTCATAGTCTGTATGGACATCATGATAGTGTCTATTGTCTTCAGTTTGATAAAATCAAGATGATGACGGGGAGTCGCGACAAGACGATTAAAATCTGGGATCTTCGACGATACCAATGTGTGGGTACACTCTATGGTCATGAAGGAAGTGTACTCTGTTTAAAATACAATGATCAATTCATCATCTCCGGTTCCTCTGACACGACGATTATTGTCTGGAGTATGGCTACACTCCAGCCTCTCATGCGTCTCTATGGTCATACCGGAGGTGTTCTTGATTTGTGTTTTAATCATCAATATATCATCAGTTGTTCTAAAGATAAATCGATCCGAATTTGGGATATTAGAACAGGTCGTTTAGTTCGAACCATCTTGGGTCATGTGGGTCCTGTGAACGCTATCCAGTTAGAAGGTGATAGATTAGTATCTGCCTCAGGTGATGCCCTTATTAAAATGTGGAATATCCATACTGGTGAATGTCTTCGTAAATACGTCGGCCATACACGTGGCTTAGCCTGTGTTCGTTTTGATGGTTCCAGGATCGTGAGTGGTTCAAATGATAAAACGATCAAAGTTTGGAATGCAGAGGTAAAGTAAAAGAAAAGAAAAAGAGAGAAATAAAGATGTATATATATTTATTTATTTATTTAGACAGGTGAATGTCTTTTAAGTTGTGAAGGACATACAGACCTCGTAAGATCATTGAGTTTTGATAAAGATCGTATTATTAGTGCAAGTTATGATCAAACGATTCGAGTCTGGGACATCAAAACGGGTACATGTCTTCTTAACTTTCAAAATGGTCATTCTAGTTGGATTTTTGATGTTCAATTTGATTCGACAAAAATTGTTAGGTAACGAAAAATAAATAAATTACATGTAGAACAAGGAACTCATATTTATTTATAGTACAAGTCAAGACAAAACAATACTTGTTATGGATTTTACCTTTGGATTAGATACCCAATTCTTTTAAAAGAAAAGAAGAAGAAGGAGAAAAAACAAGCAAGGGAGAAAGATGTTTATTGTATATATCTATACACACACACACACACACACACACACACTCACTCACTCACTCATACAAATATATCAATGATTATGTACATATTTATCACTGTATTATTATTATATGCCATAAATGTATATATACGCACCAATTTAAAATATTATAATTCAACAATGTTCTAATAGAATTGATCCATGTTAAATAAATACATATAATAATATCCATTGTATACTACACTATTCTTTACTGTTTAGATTAAAAAAACAGAAAGAAAGAACGAAAACATTATACGTCATTAGTTTTGATGATTAATATACATATATAGATATAAAAGCACAACATGAATATTGATGTAAAGCTTTTTTTTTTTTATTCATGTTAGGATCAAATATACAAATCTAAAGTTTATTTTTTCCTAATCAAGTCAATTCAAAATTTGAATAAAATCAGTAAATAGAAAACACACATGTAGTATAATAAACAGACTATTGTTGTGTTTAACAAGAGAAATGTGGAATAAAGAAGAATTAATGACTAGTGCAAATAATATGTTATACCTGTTCTGGACTATAATAACCGTCTATTATTCATGTCTTCTAAGTGGGTCACTCACGATAGACTATCGGATGTATTTTATTTTTTTGTTGAGGCGTTTTAATTTATTTGAATAGTTAATAGGATTTTTTTTTGGGGGGAGCCAAACAATATACGAAATTCTTTTTCTTAAAAAAAAAAAAAACAAATGCACTATTTGATAAAGTAAAGCTCTCTAAACAAAACAAAAAAAAAAGAAAAAAGAAAAAAAATCAATTGTTTTTTCTTAATAATTTGGTAAGAAAATGAAAATGCATTTCGTCAATTGATAAAAAAAAAGAAACTTAATTAAAAACTCGATGTTTCAAAAAAAGCTTAAAAGCAGTTTCAAAAGGTTCCAGGCTGTTATAATAAAGGGTGAATTAATAGAAGAAGGAGGGTAAAATGGGTAAAAAAAAAAAAAAATAGAGTATAAAGGACGGTGAATGTGTTTTAATCAAGTGAATTCAGTAAAGTGGAGAACGAAATAATATGCTACATAAAAGACATTGTTGACCTTTTAATGCCTCAAAGAGAGATAATGATATGACTTGGAAAGAGAATGAAAGAAGATAATTAAAGTCTATTGAGTATAGGGTTAAACAAAAAAGGAAAAAATCAATGATTGATCGTTATTACATAATGTTATTGATATATTTATGATGATATACAAAAAGGGCATAATTCTATTTAGAAGATATATTATGTCCTCTGATAATTTACTGCAGTAGAAGAAATACTTTAAACGTTCTAATCATGACTTCAACATTCTCCTGCTAATTCATATTCAGAGACAGTACATGTTTTATGAACTCATTTTATTCGTAGAGTTTATATTTAAACAACTTTGTACTTGACAAGAAGATGTTTAAATAAATAAACAAGAATAATGTCTTTGTTGTTTGACAAATAGCCAACTCAACACTCTGTGAGCTATTTTTTATATCTATTAAAGCAACATCTTTGAATGGTTTTTTTTTTAAAAAAAAAAAGAAAAAAAAAGGAATAAAGCATAGTTGAGCTGTCCCCTTTTATTACTTTCTTGAGGATAGGAAAAGGGTCTGGAATAAGGTATGTTTCAAAACAAAAAAATGATACCATGAAAAATGAGGCCGATGATGATCTACCAATTTGTTAATTGATATGTTTAACAACTAGTAGTGTCTGTAAGAAATTTTATAAATGTATACATGCAGCTGTTTCACTTTTTTATGTAGAGTATATCCATGTCATAATAATAATAAAGTCCTACTGCTTAGGCATAACAGGGTTTTAGGATCTAAAACTTTATTTTATGAATTACTCAATGTCATGAGTAATCAACTCCTAGAAACAATGGCGCAATCCTATTATTATACAACTCAGTCTTTACTATTTGAAACAAGAAAGTACTTTTTTAATAATGCAAGATATGAAAGAAGAACGATATCAATAGTTGTTAGAAACGAAATATTTTAATTATGCTCTATTTGAAAGGCAAATTTATAAGTTGGCTAAAATTTTACAATTTGACAAAGTGTTAAAAACAGAAAAGGGGGCAAATAAGGAAGTCTAAAAGAAAAAAAAAAAAGGTAGTAGTATCGATCGATTCACTATTGCTAAAGAAGGAAGTAAGTTTTTTTTTTCTTTACTTACTTATTTACTTATTCGCCCGTTACCACAAGATATATTTATAAGTGAAGAAAGCTCTGAACATGATTATTTTCCTGATAAGTTGAGTAATTACAAAAGTAGAACGAGAAAACAATAATTCTTATTAAACCAAAATAGTGTTGATTTCTAATCACTTCAAGAAGTAAAACTTTTATATTCAATGAAATATTTGCAAGACGAAAACTAGTAGCCTGTTTTCTGCAGTTTAAACAATTTATTTTTCGCTATGATATTTTACACTTAGGCAGTATTCAATCAAAAAAAAAAAAAAAAAAAAAAAAAAAAAAAAAAAAAAAAACGACAACAACATCAATATCAATATCAATATCAACATCAACTACTACAAGTAAGTTTGATTCATTATTTACAGCTTTTTTGAGTATGGATACTACGAAAGAGAATTTGATTGGGAGCAAATAAAACTTCGATTTTTTATGGAAAAAAAAACCAGTAATAATTAAAAAAAGGACTTACTTTTTGTTTTTTTTTTTTTTTTTTTTTTTGTTCTTTTTCTTTTTTACATTTTCTTTTTTAAACAGATTTATTTTTATACATATTTTCTTTTTTTTTTTTTTTTCCTTTAAACTTTCTTTTTCTTATTTTATTAAATACTTGATACAATAAAATATGTATGATAATTTGACAGTGCAACAACAACAACAACAACAACAACAACAAACAGAACAAGATATTTATGCTCTATTGTCATCAAATAACAATAATAATAACAATAATAATCCTTCTGCTATAATTGGCTTTAATGATTCTGGACAAATAAATACTACTGATGCTTTAGCAATGGATATATTTAATACATTAAATTTTAATGCTGCATTAGTTTCTCCTACTATAGCTACTACAGATGCTAATACAAATACTACTTCTACTACTTCTACTACTATGGCTACTACTACTACTGCTGCTGCTGCTGCTCCTAATAATCAATCATTTGATGAATATCATCCTTTATCAAATTGTAATTCAAATGCCTTTCCTACACCAACTTCTATATTCTCGTCTGCAAATACTGAATTTAATTTTAATCAAGGTAAAAGAAAAAAGGAAAAGAAAAAAAAAAAAAAAAAAAAAAAAAAAAAGATGAATTCCCATGATATTCTTATAATAACATCTTTATATACACACATTTGTAATAGATCTTGTAAATTTTGATATAGCATCATCAAATAATCAACAAGCATCTCAAAATACCCCACTATTAGATCCTATGTTTAACTTTACTAAAGAAGAAGATCCTGCTATTACCAATACTACGACAACTACTATTACTGCTGCTGCTGCTGCTGGTACTTTGGACTTGCCGAAAAATAATAATAATAATGCAAATTTTACCAGACGACATTCAGTTGCTATTAGTGGTGGTTTCAATGATTTTGATCTCCGTCAATTCTCTTCTTCATTATTTGAAAATGATTATACTAAAACTTCACCCTATTTATCCCTGGAACAAGAATTATTATTAACATCTGAACAACGACAATTCAAGTTCCCTGCTCAATCCTATGCTACAACGAATCATCCTAAATCAGCCCTAACTGCTGTAATAGAAAACGAAGCGCATATACCATCAACACACCATACTATGTTACATAGAGCATCTATGCCTAATATCTTTTTAACAGAGACATCATGTAATCAATTATCCAATATGCAAAAAAAAATAAGTTCGGCTACAACAACACCCAACAGTACCCCTCCTCCTCCTCCTGCTCCTGCTCCTGCTCCAATCTCAATCACTTTCAATCAAATGCCTTGGTCTGATACATCACAAATATCCCCCATTCAAAAAGATGATCCTAATCAAGAAGATAATAATTATTTATCAACAAATTCATTTTTATCAACTATCCATGATTATCCCTTGGCCACCGGTCGAAAACGATTCTATTCTCAACAATTGGATAGTTTCCCTGATCATACTCTGTCAACTCAACAACAGACATCATGGAATCACGAAGGATTAACAAAGATGATGACTTATCCTAATCTATGTCCATTACCTATGTCTGGTATCTTGAGTCGACGTTCAAGTGTTGCAACTCCCTTAGATATCTCTACATGGAATCGTAAAGTAAACTCGAATCATCGTATTCAATTACTAAATCAACCTAGTTGTAAACTTAAAAGACAAAAGAATCCAACTTCTTCATTTATAAAAAAGAACAAGTCTTGTTAAATTATCCTAAGCGAAAGCGTGTAAAAGAAGATAATGATGATGATGATGATGATGATGAAAATGAAAATGAAGGAAGAGAAAAAGAAAAAGAAATGAACCCTGTTTTAGAAAGCAATTCTAGTTCTAGTTCATTATCACCGATAGATGATTCTATTACTACTACTACTGCTACTGCTGAAGATTATCCTATCATTACAGAAGCTGATCTTAAAGCAGCTAAAAAGGATCCAAATGCGATCCCTCGTCGTCAAAAGTTACGCTTTGAAGATGATCAATATACTCCAAAATGGGTTCGATACACGGGTCAAATGAAAGAAGGATATTGTGATACATGTAAACCTGGTAAATGGTTGCAATTAAAGAACAGTGCGTTTTGGTATCATAAACAATTCTATCATGGTATCTCTTCTGTTTCTGGGAAACCATTTGAGAATCCCTTAGAACAACGTGCAGGAGAGCATGATGTGGTTGAAGGCTTATGTCATCAATGTAAACAATTTGTCCCTATCTGCAACTCTAAGCGTAAAAATAGTGTTCTTTGGTATCGACATGCACATAAGGTAAGAATATATATATATATATATATATATTCAAAAGAGAAAGAGAAAAGATGGCTCATGTCATTATCATCTTAGTGTCATATTTATGATAAGCCAAAGTCAAAAGGAAACAAAAGAGCTTCAATTGCTATTTCATCAAAAAAATACCAACTTCATGATCAATTACAAAAGATTTATTAAAAATAAAAGAAAAAAAAAAGAAAAAGAAAAGAAAGAGAGAAAAAGGGTGAAGAAGACACATATCATATGGAACAAACACAACAGCCTACTATCATATAATAAGCAACTTAACAAAAAAAAGAAAAGAAAAAAATGAAAATGATACATTGACTTTTTTTTTTTTTTCTTACTCATATATCATTGTTTTATTTCCCTATAATATAATTCACCACCTATTTCTATATACATATTCTGTAAATAAATAAATTAATTCAAATAAATATAAAAAAGGGTCAAATTCATGTAGGATCACTCTTATGCAAGACGTTACACAAGAATAAGCTATGTCACACTACAACGAATGTCAAACAAACAAATAAGCTTAAGTTTATTTAATTTCTAATGAGTAAACTTTATTGAATAATAGTATTAAAAGGTAGTAATAATAAGTAAATTATAACAATGCTTGAAAGAAAAAAAAAGAAAAGAAAATTATGTATACATTAAAGTATTCATCAAGAAAGATAAGACATCTAATAATAAAAAAAAAAAAATTCTATACAATCTATTTTTTTAATAACCAGTAGCGAGCTTAAGAGAGTGCATGTTTTGCTTTTCAAGACTATCAGCATATTGGAAAGCACCACTGTTTTCATATTCAAACATATCAAGGGCAACAATACAAGATTCAGCAACGACTTGTTCAGGATCATTCTTGAATTCATTCAAGACTTCAAAGACTTCAGGACTAGCAACAGAGCCAAGAGCTTCAGCGGCTTCATGGCGTACCATGTGGACTTCTTCCTTATTCTTAAGGGATTCAGTAAGAGCGGGGACAGAGGCAGGGTTTTGCATTTGACCAAGAACATAGGCGACTTCATGACGGAAGAGAGCAGAGGTCTTGTCCTTGAGACCCTCACAGAGGGCAAGTACAGCCTCTGTGGTACCGATTTCACGAAGGGCAAACATGGCTCTATATCTCTTGAAGAGAGAGAGATTAGGATCAATCAATTCTTGACCCAAGACTTGAACATCCTTTGTCTCCAAGGTAGGAGGAGCAGGATCAACAGAGGAGTAAGCACTCTTGTATTCATTCTCCTTTTTATTAGCAGGATCATTGACATAGTTAATTCTATCAATAGCAAGAACACAGGTATCTACAATAGCTTGATCACACTCCTTGGAATATTTCTCAAGGATAGGAAGGAACTCGGGGAACCCAAGAGCTCCCATGGCTTCAGCTGCTTCATGACGTACCATAACGTGTTGATTAGGATCAGCAAGAACTTCTTCAAGAATCTTGTTGGCATGAGGATTACCAGTTTGTCCAATACAGTAAGCGACTTCATGTTTTAAAAGAGCTGACTTGTCATTAAAGGCTATATACATATATATAAAAATTTTAATACATATAGACTATTTTTATAAAAGAGGAAGAGAGGGGATATTATTATAATAATAACCCTTTCTCTTTTTTTTTTCCCATACACACACACATATATATATATATATATGCATACATGATTTGTTAATCATTACTTACTCTTAGCCATGATATCAACTGCTTTATCATCAGCAATGTTCTTTAAAGTGAAAAGAGTACGGAAGCGTTCAGCAAGAGGTACTTTGCCAGAAGTATTAAGGAGGGTATCTTCAAGATATTGATAATTAATCTTTGATTTGTCAAGCATTTTAAGATATTATACAGTTGAATTAAAAAAAAGAAAAATTAAAGAAAAAAAAAACTTTTTTTTTTGTCTTTATCAAATTATATATATTTATATAACTTCTTTTTTTTCTATAAATTAAAGCCACAACAAGTAGTAGGTTTCAACAATGCATCGTATGATGATAGCCATCTTGGCGGAATTTGAACCGAAACCATTACCATGACTACAGTTCCTTTTTTTTTTTACAAAAAAAAAAAATCAAAATCATATTAAAAAAAAAAGAATATTTTTTTTTCTTCCTTTGTGTTTTAGGCCTGAACTGTTTTTTTTTTTTGTTTCTTTTATTAATTAAATCCAAAGTATTTATGAAGAACTTTAAAGAATTATTAATCATCAAATTATTATTATTATGGATCGATGTTGAAGGTTTCAAATAAATTTATTATTTTCGCCGCCACTATTGAAGTGTGGTATTGCGATCAAGAAAAGTTTCTTTGATCAATTATTAATTACGTTATTATAATACGAAAGACAGCACTAGATAATAAGCATTATGACATGTTGTATTAGAAAGCTTAGATTATGAATCTTATTAAAAAGAGAATAAACCAAAATTATATATGTCATATCAAACAATCATATGTGACTGGATTCACCATAGATGGGTTGTAGTGACTGATTCTCAAAAAAAAAAAAAAAAAAAAAAAAAAAAGGAAATAAAAAAAAGGAAAAAAGAAAAAGAAAAGGAAAAGGAAAGAAAAGAAAATAGTGAGAGAGAGTGAGAGAGAGAAAGAAATACAAAATTTATTTATCATTTTTACATACATTATGGTTATCACAAGTGAAGCAATTAGATCCTTTAAAGTACAATTACAACAGGCTGTTATTATTTGTTCAGAACGCTGTTTGTTTAATTCTGCTAAATGGTAAACAGATTCAGTACGAAGAAAAAAGGAAAAAAAAATGAAAATGTTTATGACAACTATAAATATAGGGCTTGTGAAATACTAGACGGAATTAAAGATGAACTACTTGATACAAAAATACCATTTACAAATAATGATGTTCATTTAAAAGTAGTATCTACTTATCACACAGATTATGAATCTTCATTACCACCGCTTTCAGAATATGAATATAATAAATATCAATTTGCAAAAACATTATTTCAAATGAGACAATTTGATCGTGTTAGGGATGTATTAGGTGATTCAAAGTCATCTAAACTGTATTTCCTAAGGCTTTATGCAAGATATTTGGTATGAGAAAATGCATGTGTGTGTATAGATATATATTTATATAGAATCCAAATTAACGCGTGTCATATATAGTCTGGTGAAAAGCATAAAGAAGAATTAACTCAAGATATATTAAATTCAAAAGAAGATAACACAGCTGAAAATCCAGAATTAAATTCTATATATGAGGAACTATCTGAAGACTATGAGAAAGATAATTTAGACGCTTTTACGTTATATCTGTAAATAGATTTATTTATTTTGTTAAAAAAAAAAAAAAAAGAGTAGATTACATGTTCATCTCTTTCTTAGTTATGGAATAGTGTTAAAGAGACGTAAATCTAGTTTGAAAGCAGCAACAGTGTTATTAAAATCAATTCAGGCTTATGAATTTAATTGGTCTGCTTGGATGGAGTTGGCATCTTTAATAGAAAATAGAAAAATGTTTATAGACATACAAAATTTATTAAATCGAAATTTTAGAGGAAGTATCATGAAGAACCTCTTTTTCACTAAACTATGTATTGATCTATATCAACCTATTGAACTCTTTAGAACCTTTATGTCACCTTTACACCGATATTTTCCAAATAGTGCTTATATTCTATCTCAATGTGCAATCTTATTTTACGATAATATGGGTAAAAGATAACCTCGTGTATACATTGAATATACTGAACATGTATACATTTGCATCTATTATTTAGAATATAATGAATCTTTATACTTTTTTGAAGAACTTCGAAGGTTACATCCTTCACGATTAGAAGATATGGACATTTATTCAAATTTACTTCATTTAAGAATGGCTAAAGATAAATTATGTATACTTGCATTAGAATGTGATAGAATTGATAAATATACTCCAGAAGCATGTTGTGTAAAAGGTATGAGGAAGAAAGAGAGAAAGATAGTCTTTCTTTATCTTATTTGTATTTAGCAAATTACTATAATTTGAAAGGAGAGATACCAGAATCAATAGAATATTTTAAGAGAGCATTGAAATTAAATAGAAGCTATCTTCTGGCATGGATATTACTCGGACATGATTATATTGAACTTAAAGATACAAGTGTTGCAATTGAATGCTATAGACGTGCCATTAGTAAGTGGTGTTGTTTAGATTGTAGTTAACTTGCATATATTTAAATAAATAAATAGGTATAGATAATCGTGATTATAGAGCTTGGTATGGATTAGGACAGGCCTTTGAAGTGAGAAAATTACCTAATGAAGCTGTTTATTATTATCAGAAAGCAACCGATTTTCGACCCACTGATGCTAGAATGTGGAAAGTATTAGCGACTTGTTATGGAGCTCTAGGACGAGGAAATGATGTTGAATATTGTAATAGAAAGGCTATCATTTGTGAAGATGAAGTAGATAGCACAGCCACTATACAATTGGGTAGAATATTTCAAGAAATGGGGAAAATACATGTAGCTATTCCTTATTATCATAAAATATGGGAACAATCAAACAAATTAAGTGTAAGTCGGTTATTATATTTTATTTTATTTATTTCATTTATTTTATTTTATTTTAGAATATAACAGACGAGTTGGCAGAAATCAGTATTTGTTTAGCAAAATTTGCTGTAAATGAGAGCAATTTTTCTGAAGCAAAAAAATATGCTAATACTGCATTAAATTCGAGATATCCTGTAAGTAGGCTTTAATGAGGAAACAAACAAACAATTTGATTTTTTTTTTTTTTTTTTTTTAGTATCATGAAGAAGCGAGACAAATCTTAGATAGAATTTCAGAAAATTTACACTAAAAAATTAATATTAACGGAGTTTTATTTATTTACTTTGTTTTGTTTACTACTAAAAAAGCATGCTCACATCAAAAGAACACAAGTTTTTTTTTTTTCTTTTTCTTTCTTCCTTTCTTTCTTTCTTCTTTTTTCTCCTTCTTTAATATAAATTATTATTAAATTTAAAAAGGAATGGCGTTACAGAGTAGATCTCCACCTCATTCCGTTTCTTCTCAAGAAGAATGGGATATTAGAAATAAAATGTCAAAAACACAATCAGCTACTTCAGTTTCAACTTCTTCAAGTAGACAAACTATAAATTCATCAATACAAGAATCTTCTGCAAAAATATATTTTGTAGAACTAGAAAAATATTTAACAAATATCTTATCAAAAGGTATTTATAATATATATATCAAAAAATAAAGGAGAAGGGGGAAAGGTCTAACAAATCATTTACACGATTATTAAAGAGGCATCTGAGGGCGTCTCTTCTCAAAGAACAGCAGCGAGACAAAAGTTGTCAAGGTTAAATAATCTGCAGTTTCATGAATTAGCTACGGATGTTTATGATGAGTTAATAAGAAGAAATTTGGACAATCATAGTACGTTGCTTTATTGTTACCTACTTTAATTTACTTACATGTATTTGATAGAGTCCTTTTTACCTGTAAGAGATGATTTTCATCCAAGAAGAAACCAAGCTAGACAAAAGTTAGCTACCTTACCAACTACACGATTTCAGGATCTCGCGAGTGATGTATATCATGAAATTAAACGCAGATACTCTCATATTTTGATGTCAGAAGAGGAGGTAATATTAAAAAAAAGAAAAAAAAAATGTTGTCCAAAACTAATGTATCAACAAAGTTACCACCTTTACCTAAACCAAAACATAATGATACAAAAGCACATACAACAAATATAATACCTGTAAAAGGAATGATGAATGTTGAATCTGTCGATTACCTTGATGACGAAAATAATGGTCAATTACCTATGACAGAAAATGGCAATACACAATCAATAGATAGTTTAATGGCTGACTTGGGTAATATGGTAAAACCACTACAAACAGATAGTTTGAACCATCATAACACAGATGTAAATATAAAAAATTATATTTATATGTATACATATATGTATATATTTATATTTATTTTGTACTAATTATTTATTTGAAAAAAAAAAAAAAAAAAAAAAAAAAAAAAAAAAAAGCAAAATGTGTCTACAGATATTGAGCATTTGAAATATGAATATGAAACAAAAATGCTATCTATGACGAAACGTATTAAAATGTTAGAATTGTCTTTAGAAGTAAGTTGTCATGAAAGAGAGGAAGGAAAGATATTATATTAACAACATAGCTAATGATAGAATGCAACTCAATTAAACAATTCAGGCACAAGACAATCAGTAAGTAGTATATTCTATATAAAAGTAATGAATTAAATGTCTTAACTTTTTTTTTTTTTGAATACAAAAGTCTTCTGATAAAGAACAACAATTAAAGATAAAGCAAATGCAGGATGAATATACAAATTTAGATAATAGATATACACAATTAGCAAAAGAATACAATGAACAACAATTGGTATATTATTTTTATAGAAAAATCACATGGGAAAATCAAGATATTCATATCTAATATTTTAGGCTGTTCGAGAAGTGAAAGCTGAAATTAAACAACTAATTGATGAGCTTAAAAATTTATCAAGTAAAAATGAAGCATTAAGACTTCAAAATGAAGAAGCAAATAATGAAATTCGACATCTAACTCAAGAGGTAGTGATTTTAAAATAATTGAGTGATATGTATTGATGAATATATGATAGACTAAATCATGGAAAAGAAAATATGAAAGTGCTAGTACGGAACTTCGAAGTTTTAAAGTTCAATCAATTAATTTGGATCAACAAGATTTATCGAAAGAATTTTTCTTAAGGCCAATTTCAAAAGGTGCAATAGGCCATCAGTTTGTTATTGAATATCAAGCAGCTATTGATGACTTAATGAAAACGTCAAGGTATGTATATTTATTTACTTATTTTAAGGCAATAACTTAATGTATTCTTATATATATATACTTGTAGATCAAGTAAACCTTCTGATGTACTATTATCAATGAGAACTATTGTGTTGGCTTGTAAAGCAATTACAACAGAAGTAGAAGACTATGAAGTAAATGTTGGATTGACATCACCAAATCAGGAGATACTATATGATATTAAAAAGAAGTTTTCAACTGAATTAACGAATTTATTGGCGGCTACAAAGAATTATGCTGGAGGAATGGGTATAAGTCCTGTGAGCTTAGTAGATGCTGCAGCTGGGAACCTTACGAATACAATTGTAGAACTTGTAAAACTTTTAGGAATGAGACCAGCACCAGATAATGAAAATAACACTCAATCACCTTCTGTGATAACAAATGAAACCACCCCAAATAGTAGGATGGGAAAGAATAATAATAGTAGTACTTACGCTTTGCAAAATGAAAATAATGTAATGAGTCTTGAAAAGTTATCGGTAAGAATTATATTATATACAACATGTATCCGCTTAATTGATTATTTTGTCAATAGCAATTTCTTAAAATGGAAACAGATCATATTGTATCATCAGTACAAAATCTATTAAATGCACTAAGAACAAATGATAGTAATCTCTTTGAAATTATTACCTCGATTATTAATATCGTAGCCAATATTATCCAAACATCTAGAAAGACATTCTTAAATGGTCCAGGATTGGAATACAAAGACCAAGGCAATGCTATTTTAAGTGACTTGGAAAAATGTAATGGAAAAATTATTCATATACGAGATACATCATTTACACAATCACCAGAAAACGCAAATTCTATTGCTAAACGAAATTTAGCACAAGAATCATATGAAATTGCTAAATATACAAAAGAGCTTATAAACATGCTAGATTTGTAACCAAAGAAAGAAAATGAGAAGAGAGGAGGAAGAAGAAGGATGAGCTCTTGTAAATACGTTTTTTTTTTTTTTAAGTTTTATTACTGTTTGTTGTCTTTTATTTATTTTCTATCCATTACACACAACTATACATTATCATATCATTATTACTAGAAATATAATAATAAACTATATCATTATTTGCATACGAATTAACGATCATACAAATAATGTAATATCTTGAGGTTTCCTTTTTTTTTTAATAATGTTATTATGTAATACATTAAAGGATTAAGTAAGTAAATGTTTTTAATTGACAAAAAAAGATAAAGAAGGAGAATAAAACAAAGATAAGTCTGTGAAAACTCTGTATAGTTTATTCAATTAAAAAAAAATAAAAAATGCAGAAATTGTACCAGGAAAAGATAATATGGAAAAATGTCACAGACTTTTTATTATTTTTTTCCAAGTAACATTAGTAGAAATATGATTTGAGCAAGCAAATACTGGTATAACAAAACATTATGTCTCCGAAAAATTCTGCATGTAATAAGATCCATATTTACTCTTTTTTCCTCCTTGAGCTGTCGCTAGATTATTATTAAAAAAAAATATCAATGCTTTTATAATAATACACTGTATACTCTCATGACAAATTGTTAACAAGTTATAGTATGTTTATTTTGGAATATGGATCATTTTAGGTCTTCTCACAATGTTATATCTTGACTACTAAGAAAGCAAAAAGGTGAGAGCTATACATATAACATTATGAGTTAACATTCATTACGGAAATTATTAATCAATAATTTTAAATAAAAATGAAAATAATTTCAATAACTGCAAAAAATATATTACGTCACACATTTAAAGTAATCTAATTGGATATCGGAGATTTAATTTAAAAATAAATCATTATAATTATATTAGTGGTTTTCTAGTCACGTGAAGCGCGGTTGGTTAAGGTGAATAATTATTTTTATTAAGGCTTTAGGCAATAATATTAAAAGATATTGTATAAACGATCCCTTTAAACGGGCAAAATAATAATACGAATATCCGAGTTTGGAAGTTATGTTATAAAAATGTAAAACCCAGAAACTGGGAAATTGATAAAAATGTGGGGCAAATTAATAGTAATAGTGAGATTAAATGTATAAATTAGTTATGAGATCTAGTGTTTGGTACCATGATTTCAACTATAAGGTCCAATAAACATTACGAATTTCGAGAGAATGGGGGTTACATTAGCGATCGTCCACGATGTCCTTGCTTTGGCTAATGTTTGGGGTGATGTGATGGGTTGGTGATTAGATTTTGGGTGATTATGTGACTTTTTTTTTTTATTTTTTTTTTTTTTATTTTTTTTTATGTTATTCCTTCAACCAGTTATAGAAAAGTTGACCCATTTCGGGTTCATCAACAAAGAGATCTTGTGTTTTGTGGCAAATTTGGTCCACCATGAACAGAATGTTGAGAAGGTTTGTCCAAAGTGGTTGCCAATAATTAATTAGTTGCTTTTTTTCTTCATTTGTTTTTGGTTTTTTTATAGGGAGTTTTTTGATGATATTATCTATCGGATGGATGTCATTTACATGTGATCGTTGTATATATTCCCAATAGGCATCTGGGATTGCGGGGCAGAGAAGAAGATGATTACGACTCATTTCACCTCCACAATAACAGATTGTCTTCATACCAGGTAACCAGTTCAGTCTCCACCGTAGGAGTCGCCTTCTTTCTTTTCTAGTCATAGGGACTATAAAAATTGGATCTAAGAGGAGGTCGGTACGACAGGCTTTGATCATTATTTCTGTAGAACTAATGAGGGTTTGCGAGCGGTATGTGTGGATAATATTGTTGAGTCTATGATGAGGAGTAGTATTAGAGGTATCTGAAATAAATGTGTCATAGATTATGTTTTTGTTTTGGATGAGCTTCAGTTTGCTGTATCGGTTATTTGTGTTTATGATATGTGAGATAAGGGAATTCATAGGAAGAGTGGTGAGGCGGATGTTGTATTTTGAGTTAAGGATGTACCATCTGTCCTTCATTGATGGTAAATTTACCATGACGCGAAATGCTTTAACAGATGAATTTTTAAATCCACCCACGATTAGTCGAAGGCAATCATCCTGTATTCGTTCTAGTGCTGCAAAGTTGGTGTTAATGAAATTAGTTATACACAGCCCGTATTCGATTTGTGGTCTAATAAACTGTTTGTATATTTTAACACTTAGTGGGACTGAAAAGCCAGATGTGCGAGCACCAATCTGATGGATACGATGCATCGTGATGTTGACCTTTTCTTTTGTGTTAGTGATGAATAGTTGTGTATCCATCCCTTTGTAGTTGAAATACATCCCTAGGTATTTGAAGGAGGAAACAGTTGGGATGACGGTGTTGTAGAGGGTGTATGACGGGATAGATATTATTGGGTGGTCGAGGATGGCGCATTTGGATGGTGACCAACGATATCCTAATTGTAGTGAGTGTTGTTCTACCAAGTTAAGGAGTTGTTGAAGTGTATCCGATGATGCTATAAGTGCCACATCGTCAGCAAAAAGTAGGCAATTAATTTGGGAATTCTCGATTGTGATGCTGGATGAGGAAGCAGTAAGTGGGGTTCTTAACAATTGCGGTAATGAGTTGATGTATATACTGTAAAGATGGGGACTCAGGACGGATCCTTGTAGTACACCTGTAACAGGAGAGAAGAAGTGAGATTGATGAGTGCTGTTAATTACCTGAATATCAACGTTATTGAATAAGTTTTTTAAGATATTTAACAGGAGTGGATCGCTATTATGTTGTATCAGAGCATCCCATATAACATCTCGATTTACTGTATCATAAGCTTGTTGTATATCCAAGAATGCAACAACAGGGTATTGATGTTGTTGTTGGTGATAGCGGTTGATGATTTCATCTAGACATACTGCTTGGTCTAATGCACTTAGAAAGGGTTTGAAACCTCCTTGAGCAATATCTATAAATGATGTTTGTGCATATAGTAAGGGTTGTATGCAATATTCCATAATCTTGCGAAAAGCAGATGTCAAACTAATAGGTCTGTAGCAGGATGGATCCATAGGATCCCCTTTTTTGAACAATGATACGACTTGGGAAATACGCCATTGATGAGGAGTGTAGCCTGTAAGCCAGCAGGAACGGAAGATATTATTAAGAATGGGACTGATTATGTGAGAGATGGGCTTAAGCATTTCGGATGTGATATTATCAACACCAGGGCTCTTCAGTCGTGGTAGGCGTTTGATAGCTGCCTTAATGCATTGGATATTGAACGGGCAATTATCAAAATTGTATGGTTGAGGGTTAGTATTTGGAGTATTATTAAGGATGATATTCTGATCGACTAGAGGGGATAACGGTTGATGTTGAGGCGGCTGTTGTGGGCTGGTAATGGTCTGGGGTATATGCTTTCCATCGTATACTCCTTCCAAGTAGATTGCCATATCGGTAACTGCTTGTTGAGGGCCTTGGTCAGATGAAAAAATATGCTTTGAACGAGTTTTAGCTTGAACAATTCTTTTGATGGTGGGCATGGCTGCGATAGGATCACTATCGAGCTCATCACAAAAGTTGTGGAAGGCTGTTGCTCTTGCTTTTTTCACTTCAGACTTGAGTGTTTGATCAGCCGTTTTATATTTACTCCACCATGCCGCCCGTTGAATACTTGTAGATTTTCTCCAACGGGTGTAACATGCTTGACGATGGTTGGCTAGGGCTTGAAGTTGTTTATTCCAAAACCATTTCCATGTCTTGGGTCTTGAGGCTAGTGGTGTAAGGACTGTATCTAAGGTATAATAAAGACAGTCATAGAGTGACTCAGTCAGAGTTTCTATAGTATCAGTATTATTAGCAGTAGTAATAGGAAAGTGATTTGCCAAATATTGGGTCAGTTCGTAGCTTTTCTTATATAATTCTTTTTTATAGAACTGGCTTTGCAATGTTTTGATATATTCGGATTGTACATGTGGATCTTTTAGACGATGAATTTTCCAACGTTGTCGAACTGGGGTTGGTGGTAGTTCATCAGTGTCTAAGTGATTAGTATCCCACAAGAATGAGAATATCATCAATTTATGGTCAGATCCAAATACTGACAAGTCCGTTTTTATTTGTAATTGTGATTGAGGTAAGTCTGCCTGAGTCAGAAAATAATCAACTATGCTTTTTTCTATAGAGTTATTGCGCTCTATATAGTTTAGTCGTGTAGGTGTACCATACTGGTGTATAGCATTCCAATTGTATAGGTTATTTTCTTGTATGTACTTTGCAAATTTTGATCCTCGAGTGTTCCATCTACTATCACCCGTTTGTTTACCCATACGAGCATTAATATCGCCACATAGGATTGTATTAGAGGATAGGGGAATGGAGGAGAGAAGCTGTAGCGCTGTTGTATTATGAAGTGAGGGATGAGGCGGAAGATATAAACAGTAGATTTTAATATTATCAATATGACAAAGCATATAGTAGGGAGAGGACTGGGTATCGACATAGATGTTGGTGTAATTAAATGTTGGATTGATGAATAAAGAGATGCCCATTTGAAAACGGTACGATTGAGGGACTGGTGAACCGTATATATGGAATTGTTTCCAGTGGGTTGGTATAGATTTGTCTGGAGGGAGCCAGGTCTCTGTGATGAAGAGGAGGTCGATGGTCTTACAATGATAGAGTGCGGAATCAATGGCTTCTTGTTGTAATTTGCCATTGGCGTTGATGCAAGCTATATTAAGGACTCTCATTTTTTTTTTTTTGGTTTCTTTTGTTTTTTTTTTTTTTTTTTTTGGTTGCTTTTTTTTTTTTTTTTTTTTTTTAGAGAGTGACCTCCATGGCGGAGGTTAATGATTGTGGTTGTTGAGTTTGTTGTATTTTGAATTTATTAGGGGTGATGGGGAGTTTATTACTACCTTTAGATGGAGAAGACTTTGCTTCTGTATGTTTTAAGGAAGTAATAAAATCGTTATATTGATCATTTGTAATGAGGTTTTCATTAACAAAGAAACGAGCTACTGCTTTAGATATGTTTGTTCGAATAAAAGGAAGGGCGCGAACAAGACGTTGGTTTTGTTTTTCTGTTGCAATCTTTTGCTTTTCGTCATTGCTGAGATCTTTATAAATGGGATCTGATAATGAGGAGGGAGCAGTAGGTGAATAATCCTCGAGAGGATTAACTTGGGCTAATTTCAGGGTATTAATGAGATCATTACGATAATCATTATGTACCAAGAGTGCAACAACATTACGACTGGGGTAATGAATGTCTAAGATGCGACTGTTGTTGACGCCAAGGATAGTAAGATTTTTGCGCTGTATTTTGCGACTGATACGATTTTTAGCGGGGTAGTAGACATATGAGAAGCCCTGCTGTTGGTGTTCATTAGGAGCCGTAAATGCTCTAATGGCGATGTTGAATTTTTTTGTGATATCCTCTTTTCTTTTTCTAGGAGGGGGATTAGTAAAAGTAGAGGTAGGGTTAGTAGTATTGTTAGTTTTATTGTTTTTATTATTTATTTTTTTGTTATTATTTTTTTTATTTTTTGTATTGTTTTTGGTTTGATTTTGAGTAGGAGGACGGTGAGGAGCTTGTTTAATGTTAGGAAATGCTTGAGCCCATTTCGAAGCTGCAGAGGTTGTAATTGGTGCGGGTGGTGCGGGTGGTAGGATGGTTGACTTTAAGGTTGGAAAGTCAATGTCGTTTGAGGACATTTCTATGTCATCAGCTTGTCCTTCTGCAGTTGTTGTTGTTGTTGTTGTTGTTGTTTGTTGCATTGTTAAGGCATGCAAGTTGGCATCCTTTTGTTGCAACAAGAGGCGTTGTTCAAGTGATGCATTCTTATTAAGTGAATGCTGTAGTTGTTGTTTAATGTCTGCATTTTCTTTTTCTAATGTAGACAGGCGGGCTTGCAATGACTCAACTAGTTGCTGTAAATTACCAAGTGCTGTTGCTGTTTGTTGGTTATCTGCAGTTGCATCATCTGATTTGCGTCTGATGCGTTTATTACTTGTTGATGGTCTTGGTTGTGGTTGTAGTTGTTTTTTGGTGGTTGTTGTTTTATTATTTTTTTGATTTGTATCTTTTTCTGATGATTCAAACTCATCAACACCGAATACAAATCGTTTGCCATTAGTACTGAATGATAAATCAATAGGTGGAATATTGATTTGGTTGGGCGTTTCAGTATTAAGGGGTTGACTGATAATGTATTGAATTTCCTTTTGGAAATTTTGGAATATCGGCTTGTATTTGCATGAGCTGCATTCAAATACTGGTTTGGGAGGTGTGGTAGTGGTGTTATTAATATGTACCATGGTGTTTTTTTGAGTACATTTGGTACATTCTATTTGGTTTTTGATTTTTTCGAATGATTGTACAGTTGCTTGTACAATCGGTTCGAGATCTTTGAGGAGCTGAGGGATTAATCTTTTTGGAGGCATGATAGTATATTTTGTTTGTGTATTTTTAATTTGAATTAGAGTTTTTTTTTTTTTTTTTTTTATGTAATACGGTTTAGATTAATTAGGGTAAGAGTATAGTTAAATTTAGTATATTAGCTCGTATTGTGCCAATGGGAGAATAGGAGCAAGTATGTATTGTTATTATTATTATTTTTTTTTTTTTTAATTTAACGTTAGGAATGTAATTAGTGTTGAGTGTATTATTTAGGTTAGGAATTTAATTAAAGTGAGGAATGTGAATTATTTGTCGGTATTTGTAATTTTTCCTAATTTGGATAAGGAATGTAACGGTTATATTAAGTAATATGGGTTTCAGGGTAAAGTCACGTGACCAAAAATTTGATATATAAGAACGTCCTTTTTTACGCGCGACCTTACTCGGTTCTTAACCTCGCGCGGTTGGTTAAGTGGTATAATCTTCGCCTGCCACGCGAAGGGCCGGGGTTCGATTCCCCGACCGCGCAATCATTTTTTGTTTTTTGAAATTTGGTGTATTGAAAGTAGGACTTAATTATTCTAATTTATCGTCGTTTTTGTTTTATTTATTTTGTCATGGTATGACAAGACAACCGAAGTATAATATTTTTAGATGCAACTAATAAAACTAATTTTGACCACTACTTTTTCTCTTGTTTATCATCTTTTCCCTTTTATTATTAAAATAAAACATTATATAATCAAGCCAAATATAAACATTTATGTTAACCATCAAGAATTAATTGCAGCTATAGTGTTTTGATTTAAAGAGCACAAAAACATATTGAGTTATAGTTACTAATTTACTTTTTTCTTTCTGTAACTGAATACCTTTATTTGTGTTGTGAATATTAGTAGCAGTTGTTTACTGAATAGCTACCATATGAAATACTTATCTCCTGTCTTTTTATAATTAATAGTTCGCATATAGCACTATTGATTTTTTTTTTCCACCACATATTATTCAAAGTGTTTTCTTCGAATTTTTGACCTTGTTTGAAACATGCAGTAGTTAGTGTTATCAAGTAAAGAGTGTAACAAACAAACCTTTGAATAGTAATCCAAGGTAAAGATATTTAGCTTGTATATATTAATAAATGGTTGTTTCTTATTCTTGTTCAATTCTAACCGATTCATTATATATATATATATTTATATATGTATATTATAACCATTTAAATTCATGAATCCTTTTAAGTTTGTTTCAGGCTCTTCAATAGGCTTCTTCATATCTACACCTAGTTAGCATTCGTACCATTCTACTGTAGTGGTTTCCTAAGAAATTCTTTATATTGTCCTTTCATCTCCATTGGATCAAGCTGATGAATTTTGTCATTAATATTGAAGAAATTCATATATTAAGAAGGTATACCGCTAATCAGCATTTATATTTTTTAGAAATTTCAGTAGAGGGCAAGTATTTAAGATAATAATAGTAATAAACTAGTATGTAAATAGAGTCAATATCTATTATAATAATAAATCTCGTACTAGACACAAAATCTTATAAACATTTTTTATTCCTGTGATAATAATTTATAGGTATTTAATTCACAAACAACATACATATGAAGCTTTATTATTATTTATGTATTTCTTTGTTATCATTTAAATTAGCTAGTTTTTAAACTGATCTTCAGTGACGCCCCTTCCCATTGCTGCTGTTGCAGACATACCACCTGTTACTACTTTCATTAATTCATCAACATAATTTGCGCCTGACCATTTTTGATGTTGCAAAACATCTACATTATGTTCCCTTTCTTTGCGTTGTACATTAGATACATATCCATACATGCCACTTTCTTTGAAACTCTTTGCAAATGTAGCTATAAAATACCAATATATATATAAAGTAAATACATTATTGCATTGCAATATATATATATATATAAATTATATGATTATACCAGTAGCAAGAGCATTAGCATGAAGACCACCTAATGTGATAAATTGCCATACGAAGCCCAGTTTTCCAAGTTTTTGAATAAATGTTTTCATATCTTGATCATTTAAACCCGCAGCATCCCTAATTTAAATATTAGTTGTAAGAATAAACGATCTTCCATTATTTGTAACTTAGTATATAATATCTTTACCAATTAAATGAAGGGGATAAGTTATAACATAATAAAGAATTAGGAGATGCGGCCAATACGCCCTTAGCAAATTGTTCAGCTTGAGAAAGAATAGGTTGCTTTGTTTCCATCCAAAGCATATCAGCATAAGGCGAAAAAGCTATAGCACGAGAAGTAGCAGCTTCAGTACCACCTTCATAACGATAAAGGCCCTCACGAGCACGAGGAAGATCCCAATCCCAAAAAGTATGAATACCATATTTCTCCTTGGCTATAGCTCTAGCTTCAGCATTGGATTTGAAGCGAATTTCTAATAAATACTGTTCAGCTAGATGACCCTTGCCCAAAATTGTTAACTCCTCGGCAATAGCAGTGCCATAACGCTTTAAACCAGCCTTGGAAATCCATTCGTCTTCAATAGCTTGAAGATTAGCCCCTTGTATACCTTTGCTTTCAGCCTCTTGCAAGACTATTGCTAAAGGTTTTAGACTAGGATTAGTGCACCCTACCAGGAACTCATGATCACGGGGATCAATGTTAGTAGTAATTAAAGTAGCAGCTTCAGCATCTGAACGAGCAACAATAACATTTTCAACGCCCATAATATCGTATTGAGCACGTATAGCAACTAAACGATTAATATGCTCTGAAATAGGTACCAAAACCTTACCAGCCATATGCCCACACTTTTTAGTTGAAGGTGATTGATCCTCAACTATATAATCATATTAGTCTCTTCCTTTTCTTATCAGAAAAAAAAAACAATTATTACCATGTATACCAGCAGCACCACGTTCAACAAACATTTTAGTTAATTTCATTACAGCAGTTATACCACCATGTCCAGTATCACCATCAGCAATAATGGGCCTTAAATAATCAATTTTTGGAATTTTTGTTCTTTCTTCAGATGTCATTGCAAGTCGAGCTTCACGTTGCTTTCTATCATGGAATAGTTGTGCAAAGAAAAGATGCTCAACCTTATTAGGAACTGTATCCATAGGGTAATCTGCAAGATCAGGTCCAGGTTCATTAGAAGTAGAAGCAGTAGAAGAACACTGCCATCCAGAAACATAGACGGTATCAAGATAAGGTGCCATTTGCGTTACTTGAACAGGGTCCAAAGCACCGAATGTATGGGAGGTCAAACCAGTTGCCTTGTTATGCTGAAGGATTTTCCATAATTTCTTACCTTGTATATCAGATCGATATTGTGTAGGAAATGTACCACGTTTGGAAACAATTGATTCGGCAGTATAGGGACGTTTAACTAATTTAAACCGAGGTGATGCCCACCATTGCTTTACTTTTTCAACTTCTTGTTGAAATTCAAACTCTTCTTGATCGATATAAGTCATTTTTTCTTTATTATACACAGATATACTTTAGATTTATATTATATATAATTATTATTATTATTTTTTTTTTAAAAAAAAAAGAATAAAGAATAAAAATAAAGAACAAAAATAAATCCTTACAAGTATTTATACAAGTACATATATGTGTATATATCATTCAAAGTCAAAAGTTCCCTTTTATTTTTTTTTTATTTTTTTTAGGGGAAGATATGATGATCTTCGGGGGTGATGTGTTGAAATCTTAAAAGGAGAAAAGTAGGAAACATAAAATAGAATAAAATACGATATATAGTATACAATATTAAACATAAATAAAGCTTCATGCATAAGCTCATCCATGCAATGTACTATTAATTATGTTGATAATGATAGCATGCATTATAAAAAACGAATGTAATTATACATTTTATATACATGAAAGAAGACAACATTATATTACAAAAAAAAAAAGCATACATATTAAAATGTATCACAACTTATTTTTACAGAAATTAATGATCAATTTTTTTCTAACAGATATAAACAGGGAAGGAAAGTAAAGAGATCTAGAATACATAGTTGCATAATGTATGCTCTTCATATCTTGGCATACGCAATAAAAACTCATATTTCTTGCTCCTTATCAAGATCTTCCATTTCTATATGTATCCCGCAGAAAAATTAACCAGAGCTAACTATAATAAAATATCCTGCACATGAAAGACATATATCTACACATATAAACCGGGAATTTTGAAATAATGATTATCATATAAAATAACGATACGCTAATTATTGATAATTTAAATTAGCTTCGAATAGATTTATATACAATAAAAAAATAGCTTAACAAAGATGTTATAATTACACGAGTATTAAATATATCTATTAAAATACGTATATGATAGTAGAACTAAAATAATCTCCTTTTAATTCTGTAGCCAACTTTTCATGCATAAACAAAATCATGGAAAGTCATTTATTTATTTTATATTAAAAGAAAGGGGACATCATTTTCGCATTATTTTTTAAGCTTAAATAACTGTCTATTTATGTCTAAAACAGAGCGTCATTACTTCATGTTAAATCCACCTTGCCTATCATAAAGCATTAAAGAGAGAGAAGGAAAGCTCTAATCTCAATTAGTGCTTTAACTTCCTTTTTTTATGATGTATACATATTTGATTTATTTTCTTTCTTATCCTTTTTTTTTTTTTTTTTTTTTTTTTTTTTTTTTTTTTTTTTGTAAGACTGCTTCCTTTTGAAAATATTATTGCTTAGGAATATATTTAAATAAAATTTATAGTTCTTTATTTCCATGTGTGACTGTAATTATTAGTTCAAGTGTTTTACATCAAATAAATGAATCATTCTAGAAGGTAAAGGGTTTGACATTAAAAAACACTCTGAAAAGCTCAAAAGACTCTATTGTTTTTTCTTAGGCTTGGAACATTTTTACAGAAAAGCATGCTAAGGACTTAATTTTGAAAACAAAGACACAAACATGTTGTGTTTTATTAAGCTGTAAATAAATTTCTGTATTCTTTGATTTATTATTCTTTATACAGCAATAAGATCGAAATTATTATATTTAACTTACAGATAAAAAAAAAAAAAACGGAAATACTGAGTTAGCCTTTATATGATTCATTGACTTTTCCTTTAAGAACTCATAATATATGCATACCACTGTTTATATGTACATAATTTTACAAGAATATGACCTTCAATATAAGTATTAATTTTTAAAGAGAAAAACATATAAGAATAGATATTTGCATTTTTAGAAATTAATTTCCATGGTAACCACATCAATTATCTTTTTTGTTTTTTATTTTCATGTACTTTTATACTGAATTTGACAGCATTGCTGATCATTATTTGTAAAGAAGATAATTGAAACCATACAGACATGTAAACCACAACTTGGTGCAATTTATAAAACTGAGAAAACATTTTTTTTCAATACGATTTATAAACGGTATGTTTTAAAACGGTGTTTGATTTATATACTTGGTCTGGCTAATGACATTCTAGTCTCTGACGGGCCCTAAATCATTGACACTCAGATGAACTGAAAAACGCAAGCTGGGCAGTCTTTTGGATGTCTGAGTTCTTCGGTGCACATGAGAAAAGCTTAATCTGCTTTGCGTAAAGTTTTTATCAAGTTAAAAATAAAAAATATAAATGAAAAATAATCAGCACTAAAGAAGTGCTTCAAATAATATATAAATGCCTATATAATTAATTATATAAAGTAAGCATATAATACGTGTCTATAAATATAAATCATATGTCAATTTAAATTATAATTTTTGATATACATATAAGAAAAGTCTACTGGATTATTGTCTTCTCTAGCCTTATTAAAATAAAAATTCTACTGAGGTATGTAGCGTCACAAAGTGACGTGCAAGTTCTCTAATCGGTTGGGTTATGATAAAAATAATAGAAAAAATATAAAGCGCGCTTTCCTCCTAAATATTCCTTTTTTTATTTTTCTCATCACAAGTAATTATAATAAATAAACAACATTAAGAAGCTTTAAATTTAAACAAAAAAAAAAAAGTTGTTTTGAAGAAAAATATTTTATGAATGGCGTTTGATCAATCTAATCAGTCATCACATCGGCAACAGGCACACGCCGAGCAAGCATCTTCAGATGTTTCGTTACCACCCATCACAACTGATGAATGGGAATATAATAGATATACTCCTGGATCTATAGCTAACAGAAGCTATGTTTCTCATACTTCTTATTCATCTCGTTCATCTCAACCATCAAATTATGCAACTCATGAAAATTATACTTCAACTTATTCTCAAGCATCATCTTGGGAGCAGGTAAAACTAAACAAAATGTTAATAAAATTCTAGTTAGAAGCTTATGATAAGTTTATAATAGAATCCACAACAATATCCTTCAAGTACAAGGGAACATACAACATCTTATTCATTACAACCATCTATACAATCAAGCAATTTGTATGATCCAGTCCGTAGTAATTTTACAGCTGCTCCCGTATGAATTTTTTTTTATCCTTATTTTCCTAAGAAAAAAACAAACTAACATTTTCCTTCTTTATAAAGGTAACCGAAACACTTTTACCACCACAGGTAAAAATAAAATAAAAATAAAATAAAATAAAAAAATAAAAAAAAATCAAAAAAAATTAAAAAAATAAAAATAAAAATAAAAATAAAAATAAAAATAAAAATTATGTATACGGATAGTTTAATTATTTTATAATAGGATCGCAATCAGTCAAACGTTTCTCCAGTTATGTCTATATCTCAGCTACTTTCATCAGATAATTCTGATCAAAAAGCAACATATACACCAACTGAATCAACAGCACAAGCTATTCCTTCAAGTTCTCCAAACTTTACTGTCTTTGATCCTATTGAACGCCGAAATAATGGTATTCAAAATTTACTTAACAGTGATGGCGAAGAAAAATATCAAATGGCTGATTCAGACACTGATACTGAAGACATTCCTTTGATAAGATCTCCTAAAGCTGGAAATACTGCAATTACAACAGAAATAGTAGATCCTGTACTATCGAATACAAATGTAAGAGATACCTTTTTTTTTAAAAAAACTTCTAAAACTAATTTTTTTTAAACTACATATTACTGTTTACTGTTTCTCTTATTACCACTAGAATACTACTAGTAAGTTATATAATATACAAATGCATTATTACGAATGACATCAGTAGCTGATTTATCTTGTTTCTGTATAGCTGCTCATGAAAATAGCGATAATACTGATTCTACTATAGATGAGTTAAGTGAAGATGACACAAGATTAAAGCCTAAAAAACCACTTGCGAAGCGTACTCGAGAAGAATTGATTTTATCTGATGAAGATGATGATGATGACGACGATGAAATACTTTTGACTCACAAAGAAGAAATGATTCAATTTATGATAGAAGTTCATCGAAGAAGAAAACGTGTAATTGAAGAATATGAAAAGAAAGAAGCTGTAAGAAAAGAAATGGATATATTTTGTTTATTATATATAGCATATATTTATATTTATTTTTGCTTATTGGATATTATATAGAGAAGGCACATAAAAATGAAAGAACGTATAGAACAGATCTATGAAAAGAAATATGGAACCCGCATGCCAACTAGTAATATGTTTAGGAAGAAACTGAAACTAAATAGGCAAAACAAGAAGTTTAAATCACTTCAAACACAGAATCAAACTGATGAGGATGAATCAACAGATACTGAGGTTCATTTTGAGACAAAAGAAGAGCGTAAATCAAGAAATGAACGTAAGATAGAAGATGAAAGACGTAAGATTTGGTTAACTATTGCAAGAAAAGATATCCCAAGAGTAAGTTATATTTATTTATTTTTCCAGTTTAACAATAGTATATTTATCCTACTTTATTATTATTATCCTAATTATAGATGACTCGTATCTTGTCTCGTGTTCAAGCAACTCGTTCTGGAAATTGTAAGAAAATTGCTCAGTACTGTCAAAAAGAAGTTCGACGTGTTGCTACAAATGGTGGTCGTGCTAATCGTGATTTACAAAATAAAGCTAAGCGTGCTAGCAAAGAGATGTTACTTTTCTGGAAGAAAAATGAAAAAGAAGAAAGAGAATTACGTAAGAAGGCAGAAAAGGAGGCACTTGATCGACTGAAACAAGAAGAAGAGCGTAGAGAAGCTCAGAGACAAGCTCGTAAATTGAACTTCTTAATTACACAAACTGAACTTTATAGTCACTTTATCGGTAGGAAGATCAAACAGGATACAGAAGAAGATGAAGAAACAGCACTACCGGCATCTTCTGGATTATCAACACCTTTAACTCTTGTTGCCCCTTCAGATGAATTAGATGATAATGCAGGCGTCACAAATATTGGGGAAGTAGATTTTGATGAAGAGGACGAAGCTGTACTAAAGGAGAAGGCTAGATTGAGTGCTCAGAATGCTTTGGCTAAACAGCGCGAAAAAACCAGAGAATTTGACCAAGGAGCTCGCGAACGACGTATTGCAGCCGGCGATCATGTTCCTGTAAACGAAATGAATAGTAAGTAGTTGATATATTTATTATTAGATAAATACACTTATGTTTGTTTCTTTAGTTGATGATATGAATTTTCAAGAGCCATCAAGCATGGGATCAGGGCCTGAAGTTACACAGCCTACCATGTTGATGTGCCAGCTTAAAAGCTATCAACTTAAAGGTCTTAATTGGTTAGCCAATTTGTACGAGCAAGGTATTAATGGTATCCTTGCCGATGAAATGGGTTTGGGAAAGGTAATGTTATATAAAATAAAATGATATTATTTTCAGAATTTTATTCTCACATTATCAAATTGTTAGACTGTCCAATCTATTTCTTTATTAGCTTATCTTGCGGAGGTTCATAATATTTGGGGACCTTTCTTAGTAATTGCACCTGCTTCTACTCTTCATAATTGGCAACAAGAATTCTCAAAATTTGTTCCTCAATTTAGAGTAATATACATATATATATATATATATAAGTTATTAATGTACAAAAAAAATTAACAGCTTAATTCTAGGCACTTCCTTATTGGGGTAATCCAAAAGATCGTAAAGTACTTCGTCAATTCTGGAATAGGAAGCAACTTTATGGAAAGGATGCACCTTTTCATATTGTTATTACTAGCTATCAGCTTGTACTTACTGATGTTACCTATTTCCAACGTGTTAAGTGGCAATATATGATTCTAGATGAAGCACAAGCTATTAAAAGTTCTTCTAGTGCACGTTGGAAACAATTACTTGGATTTCATTGCCGAAATCGTTTACTTTTAACTGGTACACCTATTCAAAATAGTATGCAAGGTAATAATCACATTTATTTTATGATAAATACTATTATATGTAATATTTATTCTTTTTCTTTTTATATATGTATATAGAGCTATGGGCTTTGCTACATTTTATTATGCCTACCCTATTCGATTCACATGAAGAATTTAGTGAATGGTTCTCAAAAGATATTGAAAGCCATGCTGAAAACAGAGGGTCTTTAAATCAACATCAATTAAGACGTTTACACATGATTTTGAAACCGTTCATGCTACGTCGTATTAAGCGTAATGTTCAACATGAATTAGGAGAAAAGATTGAAATAGAAATATTCTGTGAGTTAACTGCCAGACAAAAAGCATTATATCGTGGCTTGAAAGAAAAGATTTCTATTTCAGAATTATTAGAAAAAGCAACATCTTTAGGTGACATTGAGAATATGGACAGTTTAATGAATTTGGTTATGCAATTCAGAAAAGTTTGTAATCACCCAGAATTATTTGAACGTGCAGATGTCATGTCCCCATTGTCATTCTGTAGATTTAGTGAAACAGGTTCTCTTACAAAAGAAACCACACTTTATTGCTCTTATTCTGCTTCTAGTCATATAAAGTATCATATCCCCAAGAGACTTTACAGGAATGGTGGCTTCTTAAAAGTAGTTAGTGCTGATACTAATGCCGGATTTAGAACAAAATATCTTGATAATATTATGAGTATTTGGAGTAGTAAATACATTTATGATTCTGAATTTTCAAATGAAACGGGTAGGATAAAGATATATATATATATATATATATATATATATATATTTGATATCTAATTCTCAATAATATTTTATTAATATATACTATAACTGTCTTTGTATGCTATAGATTCTGCCTTTTCATTCCTAAGATTTTGTGATATGACGCCACATGAAGCAAGCTATATATTTAGAGCTAGTTTAATAGAAAAATGGATGGATCATTTAGTTAGACGTGATCAACGTGCAAGAAGAAAATTATACAGTGATTATCCTCAATCAACTATCAATACATCTGCACTATTCTTTATTACAGAAACTATGAATCCTTTATCAGCCTTTATGATAACTCATAATTCTCCTTTTGATGAATTAATACATATTTCAGATAAGTTTATTCAAGATACCCATATATACGGCCAATGTTATTTACCAGCTGTAAGTTTATGTTTTTTTTTTTTTTTTTTTTTTTTTTTTTTTTTTTTTTAAAAAAAAAGGGACAGATCTAAAAGTAATTTTATAATATAGGTAAACACTGTACCTGTTGATTTTATTTGTGATGATGTATCATTTATTCATGAAAAGCAAAACTATATGTTTGATATTAATACCAGATCATGTTTCTTTGGCACTCCAAACTATATTACTAAATCAATGCAAGAAGAACAATCTAATTTATCTACTGTTGTACGAAAGACAAGTGGTGGTATTATGACTGTGCCGGTATCAGGCAACGGGTTCTCATGGATGAGAGTGCCATGTAAGTTCTTTAAAGAATATAGAGAGAAAATATAAACTGATTTTTTTTTTAATTTATTTTAGCTATGAAAGATCTTATTTTAGATTCTGGAAAATTAGCAACTTTAGATAAATTACTGGAGAAACTCAAGGCAGAAGGTCATCGTTGTCTAATTTATTTCCAAATGACTCGTATGATTGATTTGTTTGAAGAATATATTGGATATAAACAATATCGTTATCTTCGACTTGATGGTTCTTCTAAAATCTCAGATCGTCGTGATATGGTACAAGATTGGCAAACACGACCTGAAATTTTCATCTTTTTGCTTAGTACGCGTGCTGGTGGTTTAGGTATTAATTTAACAGCTGCAGATACTGTGATCTTTTATGACAGTGATTGGAATCCTACTGTTGATCAGCAAGCTATGGATCGTGCTCATCGTTTAGGACAAACTAAACAAGTTACTGTATACCGATTGATCACAAAGGGTACAATTGAAGAAAGAATTCTTCAAAGGGCTAAACAAAAGGATGAGGTGAGTTAAAAAAGAAAAAAAAAAAAGAATGTTACATTTACATTCGTAAATAGATTCAAAAAGTTGTTATTTCTGGTGGCGAATTTAGACAAGTTGATTTTAAACCAAGAGAAATTGTATCTCTTCTTTTAGATGATGAAGGTAGATAAAAAGAAAATACGAAAAGAATCAAGAGTCATTTAACTTACTTTTTTTTTTATTATTATTACATAATTTATAGAACTTGATGATAAATTACAATTACAATTAAAACGAAAGGCAGATGAAGAAGAAGAGCAGAAAAAAGTGTCAAGGCCTACAAAGCGGTCTAGGAAACAAGCAGTGGCAAATGGAGGATCCAAGGAGTCTACACCTGCTCTTAGTCCTTCCAACGTGGATAGACTCTTTAGTGCTGGCGAAGATGTAATTAATACAGGAACAGATGATGACACAAGTGGCTCTACTACACCCGCCAAAAAGACAAAATCAAGTAGAATTGGTAGACCAAGAACAAACTTTTCGTTCACAGGCTAACAATAATCGTTTTTATTTTTTTTTTGTTGCATTTTTTTTCCCTCTCTTTGTTTTACACATATTTTAATAAATTTACTATATTTCTCTGTAGGCACCAAGTCTTCTTATATATTATAGCAAGACTCTCCCTTTTTTTTTTTTTTTGTATTCATATATAAAATAACAAAACAACGGAGACAATCACAGCTATAAAAATAAATATCTAAAATAATATTTTTATTTAATAAGAAAACCCATCCTGCAACCGGGACGGCTGTCGGTTTCGACTATGTTGAATGTCGAGAAAATAAAGGAAAAAAAAAATACAGTATATAACAAAAATATCTAACAATTAGAAGGTAATGTAAAATAGGAGAAAGGCGGAGTAAAATAAGGGGATATGGAAATGTAGTTTGTTGAAAACATTAAGTCAAAAAAAAGGTTTTTTTTTCTATGGGAGTAGTATGTGTATATAAGTAACTTAGAACTTAAGTTCCTTAGGGTGTTCCCAAGTGAATTCATCACGACCAAAGTGACCATAGGCAGCGGTCTTTTGGTAAATAGGCTTGAAGAGATCAAGTTCCTTTACAATGACACCAGGACGAAGATCGAAGTTATCACGAATGATTTGAACCAATTCAGCGGTAGACTTTTCGGAAGTACCATAAGTATCAACGAAGATAGAAAGGGGTTCGGCGACACCAATAGCATAAGAAAGTTGAACAAGGGCACGACGTGCAAGCTTAGCATTGACCAAAGACTTGGCAATCCAACGAGCAGTGTAAGCAGCAGAACGATCAACCTTAGACCAATCCTTACCAGAGAAGGCACCACCACCGTGAGCACCCCAACCACTAAAAAAGTATAAAAATAATGTTAAAACCCAAACCTTAAATAACAACAATTGCGGGAAGGAAATACAAAAAAAAAAATTTTTTTTTCATAACTCCTAATCAAATTTTTTTTGTACTTCATAAAATAATAACTTACCCATAGGTATCGACAATAATCTTACGACCAGTCAAACCAGCATCACCTTGAGGACCACCAATGATAAACTTACCAGAAGGTTGCAAGTGGTAGATGGTATCCTTCAAGAGGTGTTCAGGGATGACAGGCTTAATAATGTGTTCCAACAAAGCCTTACGGAGGTCTTCAGTTTCAATTTCAGCGGCATGTTGGACAGAAATAACAACGGTATCAACACGAAGAGGAACCATAGCGCCATTTTCGTTCTTGTATTCAATAGTGACCTGTGTCTTGGAATCAGGACGCAACCAAGGGAGAGTACCATCACGACGGAGATCAGCCATACGCTTGTTAAGCTTATGAGAGAGAACAGCAGTCAAGGGCATCATTTCAGGAGTTTCATCAGTAGCATAACCAAACATGATACTATACGAGTATAAATATAAACATTAAATTAAATTAAATAAAAAAAAACAATCCTATTTACCCTTGATCACCAGCACCAATATCTTCAATGTTGAAAGACTTTTGAACTAAACCTTGAGCAATATCAGGAGATTGTTGTTCAATAGCAACCAAGACGTTACAGGTCTTGTAATCGAAACCCTTCTCGGAATCATCATAGCCAATTTGCTTAATGGTGTTACGAATAATCTTTTGGTAGTCAAGGTTAGCCTTAGTGGTGATTTCACCAAAGACCATGATCATACCAGTCTTGGCAGCAGTTTCACAGGCAACCTTAGACATAGGATCTTGAGCCAAACAAGCATCCAAAATAGCATCAGAGATTTGATCACAGATTTTATCTAATTAATTATTACAATAAAATTTAGTTTTATTATTATGAGTAATAGAAAATATAATATCATTTATTACCAGGATGGCCTTCACCAACAGATTCAGAAGTGAAAAGGAAAGTTTCGCTCATTCTAATATAATAATTAAACCGAAGAAAGGGTATAAAAAAAAGAAAAAAAAACGAGAGCTAATGTCCAAAATTTAACTTTTATTCAATTTTTTTTTTTTTTTTTTTTTTTTTTTTTTTTTTGAATTTGATTAAAGCCACCAATATTATCCAATAAGATTATCAAAATGTTTAAATTTTATCCAATCAAGAGCTTGTAATTCTTCAATCGCGACATTCTAAATCAATGAAGTTAATCTTGAGAAAAAAAAATTCTAGATGGGCAAACAAGCAAACAAAAAAAAAATTTTTTTTTTATTGCATAGGAAAATACCTTTCTAACTTGATAATGGTTCAATAATTAATACTATTTTGAATTCATTTATATTTTTTCTTATTTGTTAATTAGTATCCATTGGCAACACAAGATGATCAAATATGATATTTTCATCATTTTTCTAAAAAAAAATTCATACTATTGACCTATAAGCAATTGACAACACATAATGTAACTTTAACATGTTTAAAATAACACGTGTCTAAAGGATTTTACCCCCTTCTTCCCTTATTTTCCTTTAAGTTGTTACCATAGTAATTATACTTTAATCTTTTTTTTTCTCAGGCTATTGCTTATGTATTATACCGTTTCCCCCCTTTTTTTTATATTTATAGTCTTTGAGCTGTTGCAAGTGGATATGTGTCTAACTTGAATTAAACTTTTTTAACGTTTATTGTGTATTTAAATGAATATTAGGCATAGTAAATGTGTAAAATGTATTTACATGGATTCTATAATAAATAGATACGTGTATAAATAAATATATACGATGTATATTTCATTCGTTTTTTTATTTATTTTACATATTAAAGCATTAGAATTACCATCTATGCATTAGAATGAAATATACATTACAATATATATATATATAAAACTAACTATACATTGAATTTTTTCCTTAATTATGGATCTTTGTGAGTAATGGAATGTGTGCCTAAGATTTTCAAAGAAAATAATTTGACAGCAAAAACAGCTATATGTTTGTAAATGTTTTTTTATGAAGAAATAACTCCAAGATAATCTTCTTTAATGGTGCCAATGGCAAACTAACATACAAGTGGTTTTTTTTTATATATATATAAAAAAAAGATTAGTCTCTCCTCCTTCCTAAAATAATTTTACTATGGTTTAACTTACAATTTCAGTTGCATCTACACGAGTACCTACTATTTTTAATCTTACTTGAACATCTTTCTGTATCACCTATCAAAAAAATAAAAAAAAGTAAGCATTGTACGGTACTATACAGCTTCTAATTTTTCTAGTTTTTTCTTTACCTGATCTTCTGAAGAGTAACATGGAGGGTTACCGTTTGCATCAAATTTCATGTCTGTAGGAATTAACTAAACAGTATTTATAAAAAAAAAATAAATAAATAAATTAAAAGAAAATGGTTCAATCATAAAAATAAATCTTAATCAAGAAAACAAAGTACATACATGATTAGAAACGAATACTTGTAAAGGTCCAGCATCGGCAAAAAAGCCCATCTTTATAGACATTGTCGATTTAAAATCCAACATTATCCAATGTAATTATAACTTTTTATTACCTTATTAACTGTGGTAACAACCGCATCCAAGACTTCTCCTTTAAAAGGTTTAAAGACAATAGCTTGATAATTTACTTTAAATTCGGCTAATCCTGAGCCTGGTAAGATTTTGCCTTTGCCAATATTATGAAGTGATAATACTGTAATAACATATCCATATCTTCCAGTACATGTCCCTTCCACATCAGCATAAAGTTTATCTCTAAGTTGTGTTTGCATATTAGGTCCAAAGTAAGATGGATGAAGTGAAATAGTGTGCGTTAATTCTTTCTATAATCAACAAAGAAAGATGACCCCCGAAAAAAAAAGGTAATAAAAAAATGAATTACATGTTCATTACAAGAAAAAAAAAGCGATTATAAATTATTACCAAAAAAAACATGACTAATGATTTCTAACTTGACTGGTATTGCATAATATATGAACATAAAAATAAAAAGTTTTTTTTTTTTTTTTTTTTTTTTTTAATAATTTCATTTGATCAATGAGGGGGAAAAAACTTGTCAAATAAATAAATCAAACCTTCTTATATGAGATAACGCGTTTTTCTTTTTCTGTGTTCAAAGGATGAAAGATTAAGGGAAAACTGATGAAAAACTAAATTATAGATTTAGTGAATTGTTTTTCTTATATGTATCTATTAAAAGAACAATTGAATTTCTAAAAAAAAAAAAAAAAAAGCTTTTTAAAAAAAAAATATGAATCCGGGCATTAAAAAGCATCACGTATACCACTTTACTAAAAAAGTGAATAATTTCATTCCCCGCTGGAACTTAGTTTTTGTTAAATCAAAGTAATGTACTGCTGCTATTATCGCTTATTCTTCTTGGACAATATAAAGTAATTGATCATTTTAACTAAAATATCATAGACAACTTGTATCTTTATTTTTATATATATAATTTACAATTTTTAAGCCTGAATACTATCATTGTTACTTACTGATCTCATAGTCTATAAAAGTACATTACGGAAAATCCGTCTTCCGCTTATTTTTCTCTAAATTTTGAATTATTCAATATATCATTTTTTTTTCTCTCCCTCTCTCTCATTATGTCGCATTTTAGATTCCCAAGAACAAATACACCTATCGAACAAGAAATGATGAATTCTGTTGTATTAAATCCCAATGTTATACATTCAGATAATATATTGGATTCTTATAATTCTAATACCTTAGAACTTAGTCAGAATGACAATAATTATAGCAGTAATAGTAGTGTCGTCTCTTCAACAGGATCTTCAGATTCTTCAACAATCCTTGCACCTAGACAACCTTTAAGAAATATAGTAGAAGAACGTCGTTGTTGGATATGTTTTGGCGATAGTACAGATTCACAAGGGCCATGGGTCAAACCTTGTAAATGCACTTTAGAAGCGCATCAATGTTGTTTATTAGAATGGATTGCTGAAAATCAAAAATCCTCACCTACCAAAAAAGTAATACTAAGCTGTTTGAATAGCATATAAATTAATTCATGATTTATAGGTTCATTGCCCACAATGTGCTACGCCTTATCAGCTTGTACAGAAAAACAGCATTACTTTAGCACTGTTAACCGTAGTCGATTCATTAGTACGTGCGAGCGCACCCTATATAACAGTTCTTGGTGTAGGATGTTCTCTATTAATTACATGTACTACTTATGGTGCATTTTCAGTCATGACATTCTTTGGATCTCGAGATGGTGAACGATTGATTGGAAATCCCTCAGAATGGACATTTAAAACTTGGGTTGGATTACCTTTTATACCTGCTCTTTTGATATCAACTAGAACAAAATGGGGTGATGCAATTTTACCGGCAGCTGCTATATTAGTTTTAAGAGTAGCAGGTGCAACATCAAGAAATATTCGATTTACTTGGCCTTTATCACCTGCATTAACAATTGGTATTATGCCTTGGGTTAGGTATACTTTAAAGAGTTTTTTTTTTCTTTTTTATAGCTTCTGAATCATTTTTATATACATATATGTTTTTCATGGTTGTAGATTATTCTATAAAAATATATATCGGATGGCACAACGTTATCTAACCAAAAATCTATTAATCATACAACAAAATACTTCTACTATTACTAATAACACAACGACTCGTCGACGACAAGGATCCACATCAGTTAATATAACAGAAAGAGAACGTAATATTGAATTAGATATGATAAATGGAAGAGGAACTGGTAGTATAGGGCTATCATTATTGGGTGCTTTACTATGGCCTGTAATTAGCAGTGGTATAGGAGGGTAAGTTGTTTACAAGCTTGGTTTTCTTTTTTAAATAAACGCTTATTGATTTATTATATTTTTATATAGATTTTTACAAAAGTTTAAATGGGTTCGCCATAATTTTCCCGAACCATTCCAAAGAAATGTCTTGGGTGGCTGTCTATTTGTAGTAGCTAAGGACATTGGCAATTTAATATATAAATATGAGCGTATCCGTCAATTTAGATCTCGTCGTGTAAAGAATTATGATGAAGTTACATCAGACTGATTATTAAAACTCAATATTATTATATTTTCTTTTTTTTTTCTTCTTTTTTTTTCTTCTTTTTTTTTCTTCTTTTTTTTCTTTTTTTTTTTTTTTAAATTATAATGTCTTATAAACAGGACTTCCAACTATAAAAGCTCAAAAGTTGAGATGTCTACAATAAAGACAAAGAATAATAAATAAGTAACAAGAATTTGATACACTAACTAATTAAAGTATACAATTAGTTTAGTCATTTTATTCTCTTGTACATTGTTGATTTTTTTTTTTTTTTTTTTTTTTTTTTTTTTAAAAAAAAGGGGAATGAGTCGTGTTATTGCATGTTCTTAATCTTCCTCCATAGCATTACTTTCTCTCTGTCGTTTGCGTTTAGCTTGATCTACAACAGCCTCTAAGAAAGATCTAAGATCTATTTTATATATTTGAATTTTAATTAATTCATTTCAAATGTTAATTTCCTAATTTATTTACCGTTAGTTGTCTCTATTGCACTAGTTATATCAGATAAAACACCTTGTCGAAGAGCAGTGTTCAACACTTGTAATCTTTGTTGAAATTGTTGACTTTCAACTAATTGTTGAATTTCTTCTTCTGAGCGTTCAGAGCTTTCACTTATAAAGGGAAATAAAGCTGATCTAATTTCACTATAATGTAGTATGCTATTAAGTGCCTCGGCTTTTAAAGCATCACCTACATCAAGAGAAGCGTATTCTTCTGGAGGATTAATTTCTGATAATCTAGTACCCACTTCGGCCCATTTTGCTCGAGGAAGAATATATCCTTCAGAGGCATTAATATCATCATCATTATTGTTACGATTAATATGAATAGAAAGAGAGCGATGACTTTAAATTAGATTTGTTAAATATAAGAACAGCAAGAAAGAAAAAAAAATAAATACTTTAATTCAATCCCTAAATGTTATCAATACTTACCCTAAATTACCAGCATTTTGAAGAAATTGTAAAAGATTATCTTGAGTCATATTCATGTCTAAATCTCCTTGACCACCACTCAAAATTTGCATCAAATCAGTGTTAGCATCACCATCGTAGTCAAGATCACTATCACGACCCATTGTTACACTTTGAGGATCATTAATAAGCTGATTGACACGTTCAACAAGTTCTTCATCTTTTTCATCGTTTTTATTTTGCATCCAATAAAAAACTTTTTGACTAGAGGATTTAAACTTTAAAACGTAAACACGACCTGTTGTGCATTCATTAACACGAATTAATTCAGCTTCATCAGGGAAAATAATAAAATCCTAATTACATAAATTGCAATAATACATTAATTCATATTTTCCTCCATTACAAAAAAAAAAAAGAAAACATTATTACTAACATCTTCGGGATCTGCTGCTTTGCGTTCTTTCCAATAAAAATGTATTAATTGATCATCACTCTATAAAAGTAAAAGATAGAAAAATAAATAAACTTATTCAAACATTAAAGCATTTTTGTTATTCAATTTACCTGATCCATATAAATAACACTAAATGAGAATAGGAATATTAAAAAAAGTTCAATTTTAGTTGTAAATGAAAAAAAAAAAAGGTGAACTTACCCTTTTCTGGTGTCAGGCTTTAACATGTTGCCTTCTCTAATAACTTTACCAGCATTAAACTCAACAAGATGGTTACTTCTTTGTGTAGTAGGAAAGAGACTCATTTTTTATGTATACTTGTTTTAAAATAAAAGAAGGAATAAGACTATTCTGTTAAATTCATGTAAAAATCAACCTATTTTTTTTTTACCGTTGAAGATGACGCGGCCATTATGAACCGCCGGAACGTAAAAATAATTTATGTAATATCCAATAGTGTTATGCAATTTTTTACTAGGAGAAAGTGTGCAGATTCTTCATCATCTGTGTCAAAGAAGAACTAGTCAATATAAATCAATTCTTGCTACAGACGTATAAGCTTTATCAATGTAAATAACGTTATAGTTCTACAAACATAAAAATAGAAACTATATAGAACGTACTTTATTCTATCACAAGTAGTTTCTATCAAAGACTTTAAGTATTGCTCTTTTATAATGCTTAATACTACAGAGTAAAATCAATGATAACCCTTTTTCATTCAATACTCTACTATACAAATGTATTACAACTACAAACATTTAGATAAAAATATAACTGTATATATAATATACTTTGTTCAACTAAAATACAATAACGAAAATTACAGATAAGTTACTATATTTTTATTTAAATAATATAGTATTATCGACAGTAAAAGGATATTTCGTAAATATAATACTTTGCTACTCATTATAAAAGCTTTTTATTAACATAAGTTTATTATTTTGAGTAAAGATTGTTGAGGGAATAAAAAAATAAACTGCAAGCAGAAAGAAAAGAAAAATGTGTTTCAGTTACTTATTTATCTATGTATTTGAGGACACATTTGATAAAGAACAGAGTTTCTACAATTACATCATTGATAGCTTATAAAAATTACCAGTAGCTTTAGAGTAATTTAAATTACAGAAGAGTATTCGTAAGAAGCATATCATCAAGCAGAAAGCGGAGCATGTGAGGGATTGAATTTGTAATAAGTACTGATGTGCACTTCAACTTGAGGTACCTTTGCCAAACAGGTTTAGTAACTTTGTAGTGGAAAAAAAAATGAATAAAGCCACTAAAAGCAGTACACATGAAAAAACTTCAATGTCAGTCAAAGTTCCATGGTGGAGAAGCTATTCATAGTGAAACCATAATCGAACGGTGAACAAATAATTTACAAGTAGATACAAGTGAGAAGATACGATTTATTAAAAACCATAAGGTTAATAATAACTTGATATAAGCATGAATGCTAATATTTTAGTGATATTGCTAAATATGACGACATAGCTACCAGTAATCTACCAGTTTAAAGTGGGATGCTAAAATAGACGATTATTAACTAATGCACAATAGGCGTATCATAGCTGATAGTGAATTGCATGTGCAATAATATTAAATATAATAGGATGAATCTTTAAGAATCCTCGTTGATTTTTAAAATTAAGATTATAAGAATTATGCTATCAAAAAGAAAAAAAAACCAACAGCATTTGCATATAGTAGAACAAATTGGGAAAAGTTATTGCCCAGCATCTAAGGAAGAAGATACTCATATAGCTGCACTTTGCATACTTAAAAAAAAAAATTGTTGACTATTTATGTATAGTGACTTTACCCTTACAGTACTATTTGTTTTAGGTGTGCTAGTACTGGCCTTTTGTACCTCACAATTGGTTTACCTATTAATTTTGCCAATTTTCAAACTATCAGTCCTATGTTTATTTTCTATAAGATACCTGATGAATATTATTGGGAATGCTCTGCAAGCCGAAGCATCCCCTATTGGACATAATGGAAGATATATCTGATGAGTTTCACAATGCCCTAGATTAAGCAATAAGTCTTGTTGAAATCTATCGGATCTTAATACACTTACATAACACAATTCTTATATTTGTATTTCTTGATATAAAACTAGCTTACAATGCTGTAGAACGCAATATTATTTGGGATGCCCTTTAACCAACACTATGTAACCTGCTCTGCTTTCTCTACTCCAGAATATGTTTAATCGAAATTCTTTAATCAAACATATCTTCTTACTAGTTTACTCCTCTATGATAAGTACTCTACAGAATTTCATATTATCATCATTTTTTTTTGCTCTTACTACTTCAGTAGCCTACCTACTTTGTTGCCATCAATACCTCTACTATCAGCAATCACTTGGTCTACATTTACAATGATATCCAGTATCAATTATTTATTATACGCTGATGATGTTGTTTGAATTTCCTCCAAAAATCATTTTTTTTTTACAACTACCTTTGAATAAATGTCAACAGCTAGGGTCAACATTGGATTATTGCTAGAATTTAGCCAATTATACTCTTTTCGTTGCACAAGATAATTTTAATAGCTTATATTTTATATGATTTACCTTTACCTTTTAATTCTAAGGGGCCTTATATAATTTAGTACGGAAAAAGCTAAAGCTGAAATGCAAACACTTCAATACATTGGTGCTAATTTATCTTATTTTTTTGAAGCTTTTATTATCGGTAAAAAAAAAGAAAAAAAAGAAAAAAAAAGAAAAAAAAAAAAAAAAAAAAAAAAAACTTCAAGTAGAGTACAGTTTGGTTACTATCTTCGAGCTCACAGCAGCTCAACATAGATAAGTAGAATAAATTCAAATATCTATTTCCATTCAATCTTTAGTAGTTTTACTGAATCTTCAACAAAAGTAAGGATACGTATAGGTTAATTATCTTTTATACAAGAAAGGTTTCCACATAATTCAGCTCAATCTTTTCACCACTCCCCTTTGATCCTTTATACTTCTTAATCATCTACTGTTTTCATGTTTAATGTAGCATGTTAACTACCTTCAGTACAAACAATAGTATAAACTTAAAAGTACAGTATCTCCCATGCGCTCAAAAGGGTTTCCAGACAAGTTTGATGGTCAGAATACCCACATACTCGGTTAAACTCTACTAAATTAAATAATAATCGTCTTTATAAAATAAAATAGCTTGCGCATATCATGTAAAATTCAAAAGTAATTGATTCAAACACAACATTTCCCTGTTCTTCTTTTACATAGTAAATATGCACACACAAATTATTGGAAAAAAAAAAAAAAAACTATACGGGTATTTTCGACAATTGTATGAAGAAAGAAAAAACGGAACTCTAAAATACATGAGATTGTCGGTTAGAATAGGAAGCAGATGGTCATTTAGAGAAGTGCTTCTCTACAAACATGGTCAAGCATAGTCAAGCAAATTTGTTACAACAAATTCATAAACAGTATTAGAATAGTAAATTAGGATGGAAGTTGTTATATGATACGACGATAAACTGTATTATAATTTGCTTCAATATTTAAGAAGGCCAGGGGGAAGAGGAAGGGAGATGGAATATAATAATGCTGTTGAAGTGTATAACAATATTTCTATCCAACAAAACCTTCTTAGAGCTGGATAAAGACACATTAAAAAAGCTCCCAAAAAATATATGTTATGTTAAAGTAATGAATCAAACATTACAAGGACTATATGGGCGGGTACTTTTATCATTTTTTTTTTCAAGGGTAATTATGCATGTGAATTACCAACCATGTCAAGAGTAAGTACCATCATCAGCGGAAGCAGCCGCCGCTGAGGAAAGAGCATTGTTAATATGATGAAAAAAAAAAGTTACACCATATTTCTTTACAGTCTTGTAATACCATTCTTTTCAACTTCACTTTGGTTTCTTGATGATGTGAAATCTATTGATGAAGACAGTTGCGGCTTTTTATTATTATTATTATTATTATTTTCATCATTTTCAATAATAATATCTTTGGATTTAAGGATGTAAATTATCTAGGCCTTCCAAAAAAAAATATTGAAGAACATTGTCAACTTTGATTGAACGTCTACGAAATACTAGGTCATGAATGTGTAGCATAGATTTTTGATTTTTATTTTCTCAATGCAATTCATCATAGGTTATCTGATGAAAGGATAAAGTAAAGAATTAGATACAAGTCCTTTCAAATTAGCCATATAAGGCTTCACACACTCTCTCTTCTTTCTTTCTTTCTTACTACTGGTACAAATATGAATTTGATACACACATTATCAAATATCTATTTGTGAAATAAAATTTTGCTGGAATCCGTGTTCATGGGCGGCAACTTTTACTAAATAGATTTACTTTATTAGAATAAAACCAAAACAGTATAATCCAAAATAAGTCATTTGTTTTTGTATAATTTGAATTAATGATTATGAAAGTCCCTGCATTTTATTTTATTTTTTTAAACTCGACACTCAAATTATAATCTATTATGAACGAGTCTAATTTTACTTTTATAATAATGATAGATAGACTTTTAATCTGTATAGTATTGTTAGTTAAATATAGGGCATTGCCAAATATCATCTAAATCCTCTTGGTCTATTGGACGTTGTTGTGCAGCAAATAAAGCATCTTTAACATAGAGAGGATCCCTCATACCAGTAAACACTGTACCTACATGATTATGATGCGATAATAATAACCTTAATAATTTAATTGAAAGGGGTGAGTGTGCATATCCATCTTCAGGAAGTTGATTTAAGCTTGGACATAACGCGTTCAAAATACGATCAAGTTCATTATTTTTACGAAGAGTGTCGATGTATGCGTAATCTACAATAGAATTTGTTAAATCATAAACGCATGTCTTGTATTTTTCGATCCATTGTTCGTAAGCTGATAATCCGTCACTACTACTTCCATCTAGTTGATATTTAGCATAATTTTGAAGATCTTTTAAATCTTTTTCAAGTTCAGGTAAAACTTGGTTTGTTAAATAATGTCGTGTAGCAAAATGATTCTGTGCTAGTCTAGCCAAATTCTCAGATAAAACCTGACCCCAAACAAATTTAGACGTCAATGCTTCTTCTTCAATTGGTACTAATAATAATAAATGAATATAAAAAGAGATATCTATCGTTATTAATTTAACTTACATTCTGACATAATATCAGATTCTAATTCAGCGACCCTTCCAAATGAGGTTTGCATCTTTGACATAATCATTTGTTCAGCTGAGATATAAATTGTTGTTGTTTCACAGATAAAATTAAATCAATTATTATTTATATTTTTACCTGTTTCCTTTCCTAATTCATGATTGACTAGCACTCTAACCTGACCATTCGCAATAGCATTTAAAGGCCTATTTGTCATTACATAAATACCATTCTCTTTAGCTATTTCAGCTACTGTTTTTACTTTATAATCGTTGGTAGTAGCAATAATCGCTTCCCGTTCATATAGATTGAAGGGTACCTGAATAGCAACTAAATTAGATGGATTTTGACAGGATTGGATTATATTGGATAAAGAGACATGATCAGCTGCTGTAGGGAATGCCATTGTATTTGAACATACGCCATATCCACTAATGATACCTTTTTATCAGATATATACATATATTGTATAAGATTAATTCTCTATACACATGATATTTATTATATGATTCACCTTGACTAACAAGACTATCAAGATAACGAAAACTCTCAGAAAGATCTTTATACAGTCGAGATGAAGTATATCTCTAATGTTTATAATTAGCTTTAAACTGTGTTTATAGCTAAAATGACATACATACTTACTTTATTTTTCGCCATTAACATTCTTTCAGGAGAGTTAATCATGAAGATGTCTATTTTATCTGTTTTCAGTCTTTTAAGTGATGTTTGAATTTGACTCTCTATTACTCTAGGGCTGATGGAATGAAACATTTTTTCAGATAGTTGTATATAATCATCTTGATTATTCTCAAAAGATTTAACGTCATTTATACCAAGATAACCCGATTTAGTGACAAGTGTAATAGACTAGGATGTATACAGCTATTACTAGTCAGCATAAAAAGACAGAGCAATTTTATCAACTTTACCTCTCTTGATATTTTTTTCTTCTTTATAAGTGAATCCAATGTATTCCCAATCAATATTTCTGAAGAGCCTTTTGATAGTTATATTTTATTATAATATATGAATAAAATAAGAAAAAAAAAAAAAGAGGTGATGATGATGATGAAGGGATTCTTTAATACCATTTTCAAAGTTATTGCCAGTATCAATAATATTTATGCCGCCTTCTATCGCAGCTGTCAATGCTTCTGCATGATTAGGCTTTGATATACGATAGCTACCAAATCCTAAACGTGTTACTTGTTGACCTGTTTTAGGAATGACATTCTTTAATAACTGATTCATCTTTATATACTTAAAAAAAAAAGGAGGGGTTAGGGATCCTTTGCTTCCTCATTAACCCCGTATTATTGGGACTGTGTTTATATGAATTATAATTTTCTGTGTGGCGTAGTGAATAAATATTTTTTTTTTTTTAAAAAAAATCTCGGTTTGTTCGGGAAAATAATAAAAAGGCCTTTATCAGAAATCAATCTACCTTTGTATTACTTTTTAATTATTTAATTTTAACGTGTAATTTGAGTACAATTAACTATAGTTTCTATATAGAATTTTAATTTGAAACATATGAAAAAGAAAGAAAAAAGATTTATAGCAAGGGAGTGTATTTAGTTATACTTTTAATTAACTATGCAAAAAGAGTAAAGTTAATAAGTGAATGATAAAATCCTACGTTTCAATTCGGAGCTCTGATTTTAAAAGATAATATTTAATGATTGGCCCTGTATAATTGTTTGGGATGATCCAAAGTGATCGTTATCACTAATATTTTTTTTTTTTTTATACACGCGATTTTATTATGGAGCATTTAAAATTTTCTAAAAAGAATAATAACGTTTTTTTTTGTTTTTTTTACAGTCTAATATGGTTAAATTAAACAACAAACAAATAAAGAAAATATTTATGGCATTATTCACTTAAAAATTCTTGTAGACTTATTAACAAACGTTAAACTAGTCCAAATATATACACACGTATATGTCTATAAAAAAAAAAGAAATAGGGGAGCGACTTTAGAGTTATTTATACCAATTTTACACACTGCGGAGTCTACATGTAGATTGATGCAAAGATTTTTTTCCCATACATGGCATGGTCCTTTCCTTTCCGAACAAATATGTCTTTTGGTGACTGTCGCGTGGTTGATTATATCTATTGATTAGAAAAAAAAATATATATATTAGTTTATTTTTTGAATTTTTTTTGAATTTTCTTTTTTCTTTTTCTTTTTTCTTTTATTCATTAACTTTTTTATTAAAAATGTCTACCGTCTCTAAGGTTTTCGCTCGTCAAATCTTCGATTCCAGAGGTAACCCCACTGTTGAAGTTGAAGTTACCACTCCTAAGGGTGTCTTCCGTGCTGCTGTCCCCTCTGGTGCTTCCACTGGTATCCACGAAGCCGTCGAACTCCGTGATGGTGACAAGAACGCCTACATGGGAAAGGGTAAAGTATTTATATATTTATATAATCGCGTTTTATAAACAAAATATTAATTTCTCTCTCTATTTCTTATTAGGTGTCCTCAAGGCTGTTGCTAACGTTAACGATGTCATTGCTCCCAAGTTGATCGAAGCCAAGATCCCCGTCACTGAACAAAAGGCTATTGATGACTTCCTTATCCAACTCGATGGTACTCCCAACAAGGGTAAGCTCGGTGCTAACGCCATCCTTGGTGTTTCTCTTGCTGTCTGCAAGGCTGCTGCTGCTGATAAGGGTGTCCCTCTCTACGTTCACTTCGCTGACCTCGCTGGTTCCAAGAAGCCTTTCGTTCTCCCTGTCCCTGCTTTCAACGTTATCAACGGTGGTTCTCACGCTGGTAACAAGCTCGCCATGCAAGAATTCATGATTCTTCCCACTGGTGCCAAGTCCTTCAAGGAAGCCATGAAGATGGGTTCTGAAGTTTACCACAACCTCCGTTCCGTCATCAAGGCCAAGTACGGTCTTGATGCCACCAACGTTGGTGATGAAGGTGGTTTCGCCCCTAACATTCAAAAGAACGAAGAAGGTCTTGAACTCTTGGTTCAAGCCATTGAAAAGGCTGGTTACACCGGTAAGGTCAAGATTGGTATGGACTGTGCCGCCTCTGAATTCTACAAGGAAAACAAGTACGATCTTGACTTCAAGAACCCTGACTCTGACAAGTCCAAGTGGATCGACGGTAAGGAACTCACTGCTCTCTACAACTCTTTCGCTGAAAAGTATCCTAGTAAGTATCATATATATGAATATTAATGTAGTGGATTTATTTTTTTTCTATAAACTTGTTTATGTTTCATAATCAAGTTTTTGATCTTAAATAATCTGATACAATATGTTTCAATTTTTTTTCATGCTTTACTAATTATTTTTTTTTTCAATCTTTCAGTTGTTTCCATTGAAGATGCTTTCGATCAAGATGACTGGGCTAACTGGGCTCACTTGAACGAAACCTCCAACTTCCAACTTGTTGGTGATGATCTTTTGGTTACCAACCCCAAGCGTATCGCCACTGCTGTTGAAAAGAAGGCCTGTAACGCCCTCTTGTTGAAGGTCAACCAAATCGGTACCATCTCCGAATCTATCCAAGCTGCTCTTGACTCTCAAGCTGCTGGTTGGGGTGTCATGGTCTCTCACCGTTCTGGTGAAACTGAAGATACCTCCATTGCTGATCTCGTTGTTGGTCTCCGTACTGGTCAAATCAAGACTGGTGCTCCTTGCCGTTCTGAACGTCTTGCCAAGTACAACCAACTTCTCCGTATTGAAGAAGAACTCGGTGAAGGTAACACCATCTACGCTGGTGAAAACTTCCGTACTGCCCACCTTTTGTAAATTCCTTCCCTGTAAAATGTTAAATATAATATAGCATAAATCCATTCATATACATAAGCATATATTAAAAATAGCAGTTATCTTTGCTTTTTTGTTATAAAATAAAAATTCTTGAATTTTTAGTATATTATATTTTTTTTTTTTTGTTTCATTGAAATTCAAATTATCTTATTCGAAAATGCTAGAAAATAAATGTGTATATGGATAGAACTTAACAGTACAATCAATAATTAATTTTATGACTAAGAATGGGAGTTACTTCATTGAATATCCGTTTTGTTAAGGATAGGAGGGAATATTTACGAATAAGTGGTTAATTCGATACAACCATTTCCTTTGTATAAGTGTAATAGAGGTATAATAATAATAATAAAATAAGCTTATCAGAAAAATTTTTGCCAAGTCTTTTCTTTTTGTTTGACTTTATATTTTTATAAAGAAATCGAATTGAAAGGGGATTCTTAAAGTTATTATCGTTTATTCTCTATTAAAAAAAAAAGAAAAATAGAAAAAGAAAATCATTAATACTTCAATGAACTGTTAGTAAAAGAGTATAATATCTTTTTCCTTTATTTATAACATTCGAGATATTATTAGCGTGTATGCATTTTATTATTTCCTTTTTTTTTTTTTTTTTTTTTTTTTTTGAGAAAAATAAATGTATCTAACTAAAATTGTAATATCAAATAATGATGATGCTATTTTACTACTACTATCTTTTGCTACTACTTCTTGAAACATAACATTTAGAATTAAATTACAGAAGCTATATTTTTACTCTAGTAGTAAAAATAAAAATATATACTTTGGTGTTCTTCATCTCAGACACGAAAATAAGGTTCTTTTAAATACATATAATAATAACATAACGTATGCACTTATCTCCTCTCTCTATCTCTCTCCTTCAAATAATATAAAACAACATACATCGTTTATTAATGCTTTTCTCTTCAATATTAAAAGTTAACTGTTTAACTTGAGTTTTTTTTTTCTTGTCCAATCAAAATATGAGTAGCACACAGCAATTAATAAAAATATCGTTTCAAATTGAAGTCCTTTTTTTTTTTTTTTTTTTTTTTTTTTTTTTCTAATAAATAAATCATAAAATTTTAAAGGCTTTTATATTTAATGGACACCAAACATGCTATAATTGGGGCTCCTGCTTCCAAGAAAATTCGAATGACTATGGCATGTGAACGATGCAGGTATAATATTACTTTCAGTGCTATTATGAGGGAATAGCTTTTTATTTATTTCCATTCTTATTGTACATAATAATAGATCCAAAAAAGGTATGACTTTTTTCTTTTCTTTTCTTTTTAACATAGTTAAATAAATCCCCCCTTTTTTTTCCTAACTTTAGTGAAATGTGATTTTGTTCATCCTTATTGTTCAAGATGTCAACAGGCAAAAGGTATAAAACAAAAAACAAAAAAAATAAATAAATAATATTCTCTCTCTCTCTACTCTTTTCCTCATTTTTTTTTTTTTTTTTTTTTTTTTTTTTTGGTTTTATTTGTTTAGCCCAATGTTCTTATGATGGAAGTGCTACACAAATAGATTTATTCAACCTAGTTAAACTAAATGAAACTGTAGCTATTTTACAAAAAAGAGTTGAATCAATAGAGTCAGATATAAAATATGCATGTAATAATACACAATATATTGCGAGTGAAGCTCGAATAAACCGTACTACTATAAATGTAAATCATAATAATGATAAATCTATCAAACCTCAAAGGAACAGCCAGGAAAATGATGAAGATTTATTAATGACAACCAATGATGTTTCTTCTGTAAGATCAATTTTAAACAATGATAATAATAGAATGGCACAGAAAAATGATTTTGACAATTTTATGTCAGTATTAAATACCCAATGGTCTTTATCAGTTACACCAAAAGGTCTTCGTATTGATACTAATATTGCTTCTTTACATGATCTTTATGATGTTCTATTATCGGGAGTTTCTCAGTTTGATTTATCTAATAATACGAAAAATGGTGTAGATATATTGCATGATAATTTATCCCAATCATCAAGTACAGCAGAGAGCCCGCAACTTGAGAGGACAGCAGCAACAATTTTAAGGAAAAAGCCACTTTGGAAAAGTAGACTCAAGACTTTTCCTCTTTACAGTAGTTGGGAACCGCCCCATATGGATTATACCCACTTCTTACCAAGAAGAATGAATATATATCATGAAATAAATAATAAGATAGATGATCCATCTACTATATCTGATATATTTCCAAGGGAAACACTTGAACATTTAATAACTATCTTTTCTGATTGTTTCTTGTGTTTTCGTTATCCTGATCCAGCAAATTCAGTTTTAATGCGATTTAAGAGGGGGACATTAGATTCATTATTAGCAAACTCTGTCTTTGCTTGGACAGCAAGACATGCTGCCGTCTATCACAACTTCTTTCCAGGTCAAGACCCTAATCAAGTAGGTGAACCCTTTTTCTTGAAAGCAAAAACTCTTATAAAAGATCGTTTCATGAAAACAAGCATAGATACTATGTATAGCTTATTAATCATGTACATCTATGCGATTGGCATACCAAGCCATCTTAAAGAAGAAATGGAATCTGAGGCTTACATGTATTTGGGTTTAGCCATCCGTATGTGTCTAGATTTAAAAATGAATTTAGAATCAACAAGTACAAATCCAATTGAAAAGGAGATAAACCGAAGATTCTTCTGGGTATTATATTTCTTAGAGACACTGGCTTCAGTTCATTCTGATAAAGCATTCTCTTTACCCCCAAGGTCCATGATTACTGTCCAGTTTCCTACATTAATGGAACATGAATTAGTATCTAGTTCACATAGATATCGGATAGAATTCATAATTGAAAGATTCAAAATTACAAGTATTTATCGTAATATCATCCATAAGACAGCAGATGAAAGGCTTTTACTTTCACAAATTTCAGCTATTGATCAAGAATTAAAGACTTGGTATGATCAGCTCCCAACTTATTTTAAATACAAACCAGGTGATATTCATAAAAGGGTATGGGATTCTCAATCTTTTAGAGAGCAAGCCTGTATAAAATTAAACTTTGAGTATAATTATCAATTATGTCAGCTTTATGGTATCTTTGTTTCAAATTCTGGAGTACAACAACAACAGCCATCCACTATTGAAATTTTATCGAAAAACATTTGCTTGAAAGCCGCAAGTAATACAGTTGAGCTATTGGAGTGTTGGGTTCAACTAAAACAACTCTGGTGTCATTTCTCATTAGAAAATCTGATGATGGCAACTATGATTTATGGGAATATATTACCACAACCTAATAATAATGAGGAACAAGAAGTGACAAAGAAAAAGTTGAAAAGAATAGCAAAGATTTTATTATCTTCACCCATACGACATCATAAATATGCATTGGCACTTGTTAAACGAATTGATACTTTATTGAGAGAAACTACCAGCGAAGGTTTATTCATAGATGATGAACTCGCTTCTATTATTACAGGTATAAGACAACCTCCATTATCATCATCATCATCATCTTCGCAAAAGAATCCTCTACCACCTACACCATCACCTGTCGTTTTTGCCACAGACACACCTGAAGCTTCGACTATACCTTCTTCTACAAGACAAAATCATCGTCCATCTGTATCAAACAACTTGCAATCAATTCCATTATTAATAAATCAGGTCCCTCAAAGAAATTCTATTAATAATGTTCTAGACGTTGCACCTGCTTCATCTACATTTGACATACATAAGACAAGTGCAATTTCAGAAGAAATGCAGTTCACTAATTTTGTTGTTGATGCCTCTACACTTTTGAATTATGATACAACAGCAGTTAATAATAATAATACAGGCATATTACCAAATGTAGTAGTAGCAGTCAGAGGAGAATATGCAAATGATAAAAAGCAAGAGTATACATCAGATCTATATTTACAACAACAACAACAACAACAGCAGCAGCAGCAGCAGCATACATATGATTATGGATATGCTAAGAACAGCAGCAGTAGCAGTAATAATGATGGTGTTAACAATAATAATGTAATGTCAGTAAACACATCTACAACAGCAGTAGCAACTCAGCCTGTTTTATTAAATCAATCAACTAATGACACAACACAATATATTCGAATTTTAACTGATTTTAATGAAGAGCAATCACAATCTTATCACTCTACTCTACCTCTGCCTCCATTGTCACCAATTGTGCCTTCATCACCACTCACTCCTACAGCAAATGCTATAAATCACTATTATTCTACTAGTGCAAATAATTATAGTGATCCTTATAATTAAATATTTGTAATATATACATATTTAATTTTGATGATAACTTTTCATGCTGTTTTATTTTTCTCCTTCCCTTTGTACATAAATGTACTATTTATACTTGAAGATAAATATGTATATAAATACATTTAAATTTTTTTTCTTTCACGAGTTTTAATAAAAAACTAAAATAACTCTTTTTTCTTTTTTGTATTTGTATAATATATAAATGTATATATAAATTTTATGCAATACATAATAAAGGTATCTAAAATAGTGTTTGAAATATATGTATACATGTATGTATGTGTGTGTGTGTGTGTGTGTGTGTGTGTATGTGTTTTCAATACGTTAAATCATCACTCTTTTTTTTTTCTTTTTTTTTATAATGAAATGGCCATATTATCACGATTAATAATACAGTTAGCATCCTTATAACCAAGAGAATCATCTATATTGCTTTGCTTTGACAGCATGATACGCATAATCTCAGCTGAAGAATAATTAACAATACCCTTAGCAATAGTAATGTTATCGATAAGACCTTGATTGTTATTATGTTGTACAACTAAACGAACAGCCTGATGTTCAACAAATGTACCCTCCACTTTGGATATAGAACTAACAAGAAGATCATTCTCAACTTGACCGTTATGAATAGCATCCGTCATATCACTTTCAACATAGACAGTACCTGCTGTATGTAAGCCATGAAGAATCCACCATTTACGATCTACTAGAGGTTGAGGCTTTGCAACAAAGCGAGTATGAAGTGGAATATTCTTTGGATCAGACACGGAGGGATCAATGATAGGCAAGATATTTTCAGGTACAGCGCCACGTGCAATGATAGTAGTGACACCTGCGGCGGTGGCGAGATCAGCAGCAACCAGTTTTGTAATCATACCACCTGTACCAAGAGAGGAGCCCTGTGTACTGACATTCACTTGGTTTTTAAGACGCTCGATATCTTCACAAACAAGGACCGGACGTGCCTCTGGATTACTTCGAGGATTATCTGTATACAGACAATCAACGTCTGTCATTAAAAAGAGATAATCTGCTTTCACCATACCGGCTGTAATAGCTGATAGCGTGTCATTATCACCAAATTTGATCTCCTTGACAGAAATAGAATCATTTTCATTGACAATAGGTACAACACCCATATCTAAAAGCTCTTCTAGACAATTCACGGCGTTTAAATATTGTGATCGCTAACAAGATAGTTAGTAAAGAAAAGACAAAAAAAAAAAAAAAAAAAAAAAAGAGATAAATCTCTAAAATGATATATATAAATATAATGCTTTACATCAGCTAAATCATTTCGAGTAAGTAAAATTTGAGCTACAGGTTGATTAAACTGATCAAATAGATCATCATACATGCTCATTAAACGACCTTGACCTACAGCAGCAATAGCCTAAAATAAAAACATGAATATAATTTAATATTTTGAATAACTATCTTTTCTTTTCTTTTTTTTTCTTTGTTTGCTTATTTGTCGTAAAAAAAAAATTGGAAATGATGCTCACATGCTTTACCTGAATAGACGACAATTTCTTTGGCTTCTCTACCATATTTAATCTTCTTAAACCGGTACCAACAGCAGCACTTGTAACAAGAACAACACGATGACCTAATTTCTTAAGTTTGATAATAGTTTCCACAATACGAGAGAGATTACCAAGCAAAGGATAATGAGAAGCTTCATCACATATGGAAGATGTACCGACTTTTATAACCAATGTTAAAGAAGCTGTAGTTGGACGATGTGTATTTTGAACGTTACGATAAACGACCATCCTTTAATAATTATATTTAATTCACGTGTTTATAATATATATATATATATATATATATATTTATTTATATATGTATATAAAAAAGAAAAGAAAAGAGAAATGAATCAGAGTAAGTTTAAGCTTTTTATATATGTGTGTATGATTTTCATAATAGATTTCCCCTTTATTATTTTACCCAAAAAGGTATAAACCTATGCGGAGTTTTTAGTCCAAAAAAAAGACAAGGAAAGAGAAAGAGCCCTGTGCACAATGCATTTAATATTTTATAATAATGTATGTCATAAAATAACAGTGTAGTGTAGTGTAGTATAGTGTATGTAAATGTTATAATTCCCCATAATAATCAAATTCTCTCATTTTAAATCAAAAAAAATGCCTCTATTTTTTTTTTTTTTATTTTGATAAAATTTAATATTTGGAAATTGACGTATAAAAGTTTACTATTTGTCTGATTAAAATAATAAATAACTTCTCAATTTAACAAAAGGGAGAGAATGGGACCCACATCTATATAAAAAAGGAATAGTGGAATCTCATACTATATCAAGTAACTTGATATCGTCATATATACAAATAAACCCCACAATTATAAGTAATAGCGGCATGTTCGGGGCTTTAATGATTAAAGATTATAACAAACCTTTATGTATAATAAGAGTTATAGCAACGTTTACTTGCAGTCTTACAAAATAGAATAAAATTGCTTCCATATTACTGTCATGTGAACCACTGTATAAATTCTAAAAGAGAGAACACTTACTGTGAAAACTATTCTAATTTTGCTAAAAGTTATTATGTGTGTGAAATGGTGGTATAAAAAAGATTCATTTTGATTATTATTCATATTTTAGTACAAACTATGTTTTTTTTTTAAAAGAAAAAAGGTCTTACAGACATTAGTTATTTGTTTCTTCTCTTTTAAAAGGTAATTTATAGTTACTATAAATGTTGGTTATCATTTTTATCAATTTCAAAGTAGTCGTGTTATATTATTACTTATAGCACGTAATATATACAATTATGGGCTATGTGATATAGAACACATTTAACCCATGACTTGCATATATAAATCTATTTCGTCACTGTTTATATAAAAGCAGCAAGAAAGAGAGGAAGAGAAGAATAGATTTTGATATAGCAAGAAGGATCAGCTGTTTACCAAGGTTTAATAGCCACAAAGATGGTATCATTTAGTAGTATATATTTCTGTGAATATCAACATATCACAGTATATTATAAAAGAACTAAACTTAAAGATAATACAATATACACAATGTAACATAATATATACAAGAAGAACTTTATTATTAAAGTATTCTACATAGATAAAAGAGATAATTTTGTATTGTTAAAAAAAAAGGGAAAAAGAGGGGTAAGAGAAGAGAGAGAAGAAAGAGAGCAAGTAGATTCTGCTGATCTACTACATACTAACAATTTTCAAGTTTATAATTATCAATGCTTATTATTCAAGTTATTTTATACCTTTCATTAAAGCCCCTTTAAGCTTGTATAACATTGAATTAAATATATAATTTAGGTTTAGATCAAGTATACGATTAATGAATTCAGGGCCTATGGAATCATCGTCATCTTGTCACACTACACATGTTATTGTTTATTAAGTTTTAACAATCCAATAGCTATTATCATAAATTACTGTAGCAGAAGCAAGGTTTACATATTAAATAAACCTTAGCTTGCTTCATAACCATCGAACTGTAAATCACGAAACTTGGTAAACAATATAAAATCTCCTATTTGTTAAAGAAAGGAATATCAATAAAACAAAAAGTCTTGTTTTTATTTCGATATATTGTTTTTCTTTCATAAAAAAAAAATCCTTTTTTTTTTCATGATAAATTACTCTTGTTTTGGTTAAGATATCTTCTTCGTTCACAATACAAAGTTTGTTGGTATAAATGCATATCTTTCTGAATAAACTGGCTTGCCAAATTAACAGTTTGTCTTGTATCATTAGAAAATAATTGAAAAATTTACCTTTATCACTAAAAATTCCTTGTAATAATGGCCTCTTTTCATTCAAGTTGATAGACAAATTATCAACAAAAGCTGATAAATTCTGACAGTATAATGATATTTGTCGTATGAATCTAAATTATAAGGAATAAATTTCCTAAGGATCTTTTATTAATATCGAAAATGATAATGTAGTCAAAAATGGTTTTCATTTTAACATAGGAAATCTACAATTCACAGTGATATCAAGTTGATAGCAGTCAAAGTAATATATATATATATATATATTGTACAACATATAGGCAACTATGGCTGCTATTAATAAATATCTATTGTAATCTTCTTTAGATTGTAATAATATTGATGCATTAAAATAGGTATAATCTGACTCGATAGAATGCAGAAATAATAAGGCTAAATACGGCAGTGATAATTGAGAGTCCTTTTTTTATTATTATTATAGATTTAGCATCTTAAGTAGAGGAAAAGCTGATAGGCAATTGGTTGACTACAGAACACAGTTAAAGCTTATATATAAAACTGCAGTACTTTCAAAATAAGCATTTAAATTTCTCAATTAGCTTATACAATTTTCCCCATTTTTTGACTTTTAAATTTTCATTTTTTTTTTTTTTTTTTTTTTTTTTTTTTTTTTTAAATTTTCTCAAAGTTATGGAAATTACAGTATTTTAGCAACAAGGAGGAACTATTTCTCCTACAGTTTATAAAATTAATAATATATAAATAATGTATAAAATTGCTAAACAAACAGAGTTTATTTCAATCTGTAAACGATTATTATTCACGAGTGCTTCTCATTATAATGGACTTAAGCCAGGTTTTTTTAATTCTGTTTGGTCTAATGAAAATCGTACTAAACCTCCATCAGATGATGTTCTTAAAACGTTTCCTTTATTGTCAAGTAAAGATACTTATTCTCACAAAACACCACCTGCTAGTTCAAAGATGCTTCTACGTGATTTTATTGATGACTCATTGTATAACCCTTCTTATGGATTCTTTTCAAAATCCTCTCATTTACCTGAAATTAAGTATGAAGAAATGGGACAAGAAGAAGATCATATTCAATACCTTAATCGATTAGTACATTCACATGGGCATATTAACTATCGTAATATCCATCATTTAAGATATACTTTAGCTGAACTTTTTAAGGTAAAAAGAAAGAAAGAAAGAAAGAAAGAAAAAAACTGACCATCTTAATATCTATATAACATTATGAATACAATAATAGCCTTGGTATGGCTATGCTATTGCTAAATATATGGTATCTGAATACAAGTTAAATCTATATCCACATAAAGATTTGATTATATACGAAGTAGTTGGAGGGAATGGACAGTTAATGCCACATATTTTGGACCATATTAAACGATATGAACCTTCTGTTTATAAGAGAACACAGTATAATATGATTGAATTATCAGATCGCATTGTCTCTCCATCTTTTATAAAAAGGAACAACCTGTCAAAACATGATTGTATAAATATATTAAATAAGGATATATTTGATTGGGATACATTAGTGACAGAACAATGCTTCTTCTTGGGAATGGAAGTCATTGTAAGTTGTTGAGCATATATAACTTGCTATTATTTGTTAATTATATGCGTGTATTATATTATATTATGTATGCATGTATTTATCTTTTATTTAGAATCGGTTTGCTCATGATGTAGTTCGATATGACTTGAATTATTTTCAACCTTATCAAGGATTAATATGTATTGATGAAAAGAGAAATTATACAGAAATATTTGAGCCTGTAGGTAATGATAAAGTTATTTCTCAGTATTTATCACTTCGGAAAAGAGCAAGAGCAAAATACAATCATCCATTAACATCACGCTCAATACTATGGCATAAAATACGACATTATTTTAGTTCATCTGATTATACATATCCAGAATTTATACCAACAAAACTATTTCAATTTATGACAATACTTGACACTTACTTTCCCGGTCATCGACTCATCCTGACTGATTATGCATCCTTGTCAAATACAATTGAAGGCGTAAATGCGCCACTTGTACAGACGGCTTATAATGGTTTAATGACTCCATGTTCATCTTATCTATTACCTCCTGGTTGGTATGATATTATGTTCCCTACTAATTTTGAATTATTAAGAGAGATGTATTTACTAATTTGTCGAAAATCAAAAGCCGGTAATGAAAAAGGTGTAAAAACGATCAATTATGATGATTTCTTAGAAAGATATGGCGATATTGAAAAGTCTAAAACGAAGAAGGGAGCACCTATAAAATTGATGCATCAGCCTAATGTAAAAGTATTTTTGACGTAAATATTTAAAGGGGGGGAACAGAAAGTTCAAACCCGAGGAATAAATGCTACTTTGGCAGTATGAAGCCATTTAGGCGTGTTGATATACATAAATATGATTAAATAAAAGTTAAAATAATTGATCGAATATGCAACATTGGATTGCCTTGGCTAAATAAAAAAAAAAAAAATATACATCTTTGAGGAACTCAACTGACTGAAAAAATAAAATAAAAATATAAAAAAAGCGAATAGTTCTCCTGAAGTTTGCTTCTATCCGACTTTTCTTTAATAGATAATAATACAAATTATACAAAGATATATGAAGAAAACCAGCTAGAAAATTTTACTATTTTAAACAAATTGTACAAGAAAATGAAAAGCTTTAAAATAATAATATATACATGTACAGCATTTAAAGTATGAGTGGAATCAGTAAGAAATACCTTAGGCATGACATGTAATACTAAAGCTGATGAGGAATGTTATACAAACTGAACTTTTAAAGAAATATCTCGTTTAACCTGTCCTTATTTGATTGTTATTTCTTAGACTACTCCTATACTATCTTTGCAGAAAATCAACTTTAGTATTCAAAATTGCCACACTAATTTGCTGTGGAAAGATTGACTCTATTTGTATATACATTATTTCCAGAAGAAAGTATTGAGAGATACTGAGACAGAATAAAATCAAAGAATCAGACAAAGACGTTTATAAGTTTGCAACACATTTTATATACAAGAGTTTGTATCAGACATACACTCATTTTCCTCGAGCAAATTCAGTATTTAAGTAATACTGCCTATTTATTCTATTAGTTATTCTTTCTTGTACTAAACAATTTTGGCTGCTTTTTTTTTTATTTTATTTTTATATATTTATTTTTTATTTTTTTTTTATTCCCAATAATTTCTGAATAATGTGTAAATCTTAACTCTTCTCCCTATTTTCTCTCTCTCTCTGCTTCTTTTATAATAAAAAGAGGAGAGTCATATTAGCATACATCTATCTATGTTAAATCCATTTATATGGTTATTATTATTATGTATAGCAATGCTTGTAGCAAGCTTTGTAGCTGGGTGTATACCTTTAGCATCAAAACTATCTGAATCTAAACTAAGTTTTCTAACTTCATTGAGTGTTGGCTTATTGATTTCTACTAGTTTAGTTGTCATTATACCCGAAGGTATAGAAACAATTTACAACCATAATGAAGATCAAGATTACAATCGCTTGTCAGATCATACAGTCGTAGGACTGTCCTTATTGGTTGGTTTTGCTTTTATGTTTATTATAGATCAAATCACTTCTTCTCATCTTCATCCTACAACAACTACTACAACAATAGCTACTAATACAAAAAATAGAAAATCTTTAGAATTAGATGCCTTATTACTTCCCTCTACCAGTGAAAGCTATTCCAATAAAATTGAACATGATTCATCTATTGTTACCGATGTTAACATCTCGCAACAAGAGGTACACCCATCATCATCAGCTTCAACACCTACCATAGGCTTAATGGTTCATGCAGCAGCTGATGGTATTGCACTAGGAGCATCCGTCTCGCATCCACAATTATCGATGGTGGTCTTTTTTGCAATTATGCTTCATAAAGCACCTTCATCTTTTGCGCTAACGACTGTTTTGTTGAATGAAGGACTTTCCCGAGCTCGTGTAAGACAGCATTTATTATTATTTTCCATCTGTGCTCCTGCAGGCGCCATCTCAACCTATGCACTTGTACAATTTTTTTCAGAGTCTTTTCAATCGCTTGATTTAGAATATTGGACTGGCATTCTTTTGTTATTTTCTGGTGGCACATTTTTATATGTTGCCATGCATGCCATTCAAGACTTACCAGCCCCTCAAGAGAAAACTTCTATTGATTGGCGACAACTAAGCTCAATATTATTTGGAATGGCAATTCCTTTCATTCTTAATTTTACTCATTCACATTAAAATAATGTATACTTTTATATAAAGTTGTCATGGTTGTTCTCTCGTTGGTTAAAAAACATACACACACACACAGAAAAAAAAAGTTGCGAATAAATAGTTTTTTTTTTTTTTTTTAATCTTCCTCTCTCTTTTCTCCTTCCTTTTATTTTGTTTATAAAAGTAATGACAGAAAGTGAAACTAACGATACAGAAACTATTGTTATTTTATCTGATGAAGAAGATGTTGTTATTAATGAAAATGGTAAAAGATTATATCCTGAAGGAAAGTTAGAAGAAAATATTGAAGATGACCATTATTACAGCAGCGGAGTTGATAGTAAAGGTGATTTAGACGACGACGACGACGACGACGACGACGAGGAGGAGGAATACAATTCAGATGAAGACTATGAAGAAGAGCTCAGCATCCACAAGGTTCGAACTTTACCTGATGATCATGAACCTGTTATACTTGACGAACGAACTGCAGACAACCCTTTAAAAGAATTAAATGACATTTTTACTGAATTTAAATCTGAATGCATTCAACCTGACTCATTTCTAGAGGACTTTGACAACAGTTTTGCATGCGGCGGTTCCTTAAATAATGAAGCGCCTAATATTGCAATCAACATTGAAGGTATTCTTGGACCTATTGTTTTCCCTTTAGAAGAAAAAGAAGCGGAAAGAATCCTTTCAACATTTCCAACTGAGAAAGATTTAAATGAGAAAATTACCGGTTTAGAAATAGAAACATCGAAAATTATGGTCAACCTTTCTTTTCAAGAATATTTGAATGATACAGTTTTGTCTAATATTCTGAATAATTTTGGTGTACCAAGCTATGTCGCTAAAAATTCGCGTCTTCAAGCTTATCGTCTTTACATTCGTACTAATGGAGGTACATTAAAATCGCTCGAGTCCTTGTAAGTTTTTACCCTCCATGACATACACATATCATATCTATTATTTATATTATTATCCTATTAGACCAACAGGTGCGTATGGGACGGTTTTCGTTATCCTACCATCTGAATTTAACGGCGGAAGTATTTCAGCCACCTGGATTGATGACGAAATTAAATTTCGACCAGAATCAAGTGCATTTGAGTGCCCTTATTATGTGGCCTGGTTTAATGACGTAGATATTAAATTTCATCCTATCACTTATGGATATCAACTTGTGATTGCCTTTGCTTTGATTTATGATGGTGATGAAGGGAAATCTATTACAGTAGAGAATTTGAAATATGGTCAACTTACGACAGGTAATATATCTCTTTCTCATATAGATCAGGGGAAGGTGAATTCTTATATAAACCGTGCCGTTACATACTTTGAAAATCATAAGGATGCAAGATACCCCATCTTTTATATGCTTGACTATAGATATATGATGGATTACATTGAAATTGACAATTTGAAAAAAAGTGATAGGCTTCTTACTGAAGTCTTTACTCTTGCTACAGAGAAAGCAGGATATCAGATGTATTTTGGGCTCATTCAACGAGATGTAGAAGCCTCAGTAACTAATCTAGTAGATATGTCATCTAGTTTTAATGGAAAAGAAGCGAATGAATGCTCTATAGACGAAGAAGGAATTTATTTAACTACTAATACTATATATGATCGATATACGTTGTTGTACCTTATAGATAATCAAGGAAATAATTTATTAGAAGATCCTATTGAATTTAATCAAAGGGAACATCCTGTCATTATTCAGGGACCATCATGGTATTCTCGTTGTAAACCTGAACGTCAAGATTATAGAAAGGACAACTCTACTGTTACATATGTGTACTCCATTGTATCCGTAAATATTAAAAAAAAATGCTCATACTATAATAGAAGCTTTAATTATTTTTTTTTCTTTTAGGCACTCGTCTTCTTTCCAAAGGGGAAAATTGCTGATATAATTTCATCTGAAGCCGAGAAGGAAGTAGTATAGGCTTCTGTTTAATATATCATATCTTTGATACCTTCATTGCTTTTATAAAGCTATACATATCACGCTTATAATTAAATTACCATGTTTAAATTACAAATATAGAAATAGATAGTGTTACTTAAATGTAGATTAATACTCTGTATTATTACTCACCCATTTTTATAGAATAATTATAGACAAGACTACTATCTTGTTCATATTAAATTTCAAGATAATGGTATTATACACTTTTTTTTTCATAAAAGCATATTTTGTTCATCTACTTCCTTACTATATCTTCTATTGACAGAATATTTCTTTTGAACAATTTTATGCAAACCATATTTTGTATACTTCTTCGCCAAACAAAAATTAGTCAAAGACGAAGAAGCCAGACATGTTGTATTGTGAAAAAAAAAAAAAAAAAAGAAAATAACTCGGTAGTCACTTCAAAAACTTCCTCTCTAAATTTTAAATTCCGTCTATTTCAATTAAAAAACATCCAGTTGGTGTTTTGAGTGGAAAAAAATTTTAAATATCGAGTGGTGGCTTAGTTCCTAATCAGAAATAACTTTGGGATTGTAAAATTTTGCTCTGTCTCTTTATTTCATAGAACATTAACCATGTCTACCTTCGAAAAGGTAATGAGACATTTTTTTTTGTGAAAGAGAAAGAAAAATAAATAAATAAAAAAAAACATTATGAAATGTATTCAGTGGAATTTTAACACATTTAATTTTATTCATGTAACTCATGTAGACTCTCGTTATTGATGGTAAAGGCCATTTGTTAGGTCGCTTGGCTAGCATCGTTGCTAAGCAAGCCCTTAACGGTCAAAAGATTGTTGTCGTTAGATGTGAAGCCTTGAACGTTTCTGGTGAATTCTTCCGTAACAAATGTATGTATAATATAGAACGACATTATGTTTGATTAAATATTGGAAAAAAAAAGATCTCATTTTGTAACTCTTTTCTATTATTATTATTATTATTATTCATATAGTGAAGTACCACGCTTACCTCAATAAGCGTTGCGTCGTTAACCCCAGACGTGGTGCTTTCCACTTCCGTGCTCCCTCTCGTATCTTGTACAAGGCCATCCGTGGTATGATCCCTCATAAGACTGCTCGTGGTGCTGCTGCTTTGGATCGTATCAAGCTTTTCGAAGGTGTTCCTGCTCCTTATGACCGTATGAAGCGTATGGTTATTCCTGATGCTCTTCGTGTCCTCCGTCTTAAGCCCGGACGTAAGTACACCACCATTGGTCGTATCTCTCACGAAGTTGGTTGGAAATATCAAGATGTTGTTGCTAAGCTCGAAGAGAAGCGTAAGGCCAAGTCTGCAGCTTACTACCAACGCAAGACTGCCCTTGCTGCTATCCAAAAGAAGGCTGTTGAATCTAAGGCTGATGCCCTTAAGGATGTCAACTCTGCCATCGCTGCTCTCGGTCACTAAATTTTTTTTCTTATCTCTTTAATATCAGATTAGGGTTGGAATGAAAAAAGAATAATAATATCTAGTAAATAAAAAAATATAAAAATATATTTCTATACAAATATGTTGCCCTTTTTTTATGATATTTATTTATTTATTTGCTTAAAAAGTAAGAGGGAAAGAAAAGAAAATGGTACGAACTAGTGCAAATTGTTTAGTTTGATTATGTGTCAAAAGAAGGTCTAACCTTCCGTTTAACTTTGTTTAATTGAGAATCTACTTCTCCTAATATTTCCTTTAATTGTTCTTTACGTCTTTTTGATAATTCCATCTTTATAGAGAAATCCTCAGGCTACATATATAGTTAAGAATTTTTGATTCTGATAATCTGATTTATATTACCTCACATTCACTTACCATTGATCTTAAAGAAGTAGGCCTTTGTTGATTATCAATACTATTATCAGTTCTATTGAATGGTATTACATATTGATTTGGATAACAAGATGACGGTAAAAATGAGTACTCGTCCTTCGATTTATTAAGATAGTCTTCATAATATTTCTGCTCTATCATGAAACTTGTATAATAGATAACATTAGCATTTTGAATATGTATTTCATTTGCATCATACCTTCGTTTTCTCGTCAGTTCTTTACTAAATTCATGAATATCATCACTAAAGGTTTTCCCATCAGTTTTCAGCAATTGTTCCATTGTTTTTCGCAATATTTGAATTTGTCTTTGGGTTTGTTCTAAGTGAGCCTTAAGTTGATTAATTTCATTGTTTTTCAAACCTAAATCTTGAGTGTACAAACATTTATCATTTGATAGCTGCTGTTTTAAATCCTATATTGTTAAACAAGGTAATTAGGAAAAAAAAAAAAAAAAAAAAAAGGTATTATATATTAATATGTCTATTTGCATACTATTGTTTCCTTTTTCATTTCGGATATAGTGAGCATTAAACTTTCATTGCTGACATTACTTTTATTTGCTATTGCGTTACTATATTTAACATGTGTGTATGCACATATTAGTTTGATATCTATAATACATGAATTGATTTATGACATACTTTGCTTCCATATCAGCAATGACATTTCTCAAGAGTTCGTTTTGAAGCTATATGGATATAAGCGTTAGTAATTTCTGCATATGTTCTATTGATTTATTTTTACCTTTTCTTCATCATATTTTCTTTTAAATTCGTCTTTTTCATCTGTAATATCATCTACTAGTTTACAAAAATAGTCTAAATCCTTTGCAATTGCTAAAATGTGATAAATAGTATCAATGAATACCAATTAATTTCAAACTATTCAATATCTAACCCTCTTTTTGTCCTTGTAAGGATTGTATAAAAGATTTCTCCTTTTTTAATTCATTTTGGAGCATAATAATCATATCTTCTTTCATCGCTTGCTTATTTTTCCTAGGAATAGTACTAGTATTACTGCTCAGACGCTTCTCAGCTGCAGGTGATAATAATACACTTTCATTAGATAACTTTCGTGCCAAGTAACAGGATCTATTTTCATTATTTTCGCTGTCGTCACTAAAAGAACTTAATGATGAACTACTTTCACTTCTTCTTGTCTGCTGTCTTGATTGATTTTCACTACTACCAGAAGAAGCAGATGCCAATGTCGGAGGCGATTGACTACTAGTGTTATTTGTAGATGATGTAACAGATACATTTGATTGATGACTCTTTGTCCTTATCATTCGAGGTCCCACATTATTATCCATTTCAGTATCTGTATGAGTTTGAATCTTTGTAGACGTTTGTGGGTATGTTACAGTAGTAGGTATAGGCAATTTCGACTGTTGCGAATTCAATAGATCCATCGATGTTCTATTATAAGAGAATGATACCTTGTCTTTTTGTTATGTTTTTTTTATATGAGTAAAAAAAAAATACATTTTGTCATAGCATTTTGTATCATATCTATATAACTATTTTACCTTGTAAATTATCATTCACCTGTTTCAAAGAATTTATTTTTGATGAGCTTCTTTTAATTATCTTTTTTTCATTGGCATTATAATTTGATGACTGAGGATAGCCTATAGTTGCAACAGAGCTCGCTTTATATAATATTGGCTTTTGATCACTATTATTACCATAACTAATTAATAGCTTTAGTTTATCATAAGATTTTAATTTTTATTATTATTATTATTATTATGTACCTGAAACGTTTCACTTGATTTCCATTTTTATCATAATCGATGTCTTTAACTGCCAAAGTAGTAGTAGTAGTAGTAGACGGTTCATGAACTGTAAATGCAGAAGAATGAGAATACTCATTTTGTTGTTTATCTAAATTACTTTCGTTTAATAAGACAATGGTTTGGTTTGGTTTATATACATGTTTGAAATTAATACTCATGTTCAAATCATCTCTTTGTACCTGAAGAAGACGATGACTTGATTTGTTTTCTTAATCCCAACTTTTGCCAGAATCGAGGTGTTGCAGACATGATGGGACGTATGTGACTAATAAGTTATTCTAGATACTAGTCTAATATAATTGTATGAATGTATAGTTAGAGATAATAATAAGAAAGAGGAAGAAACTAAGTTTATGAATAATGCTTTGAGTGACTATGCATAGGAATAAAATTAAATTACTTATTGGGCATAAATAAGCTGAGATTGAAATTAATACGTTTAAAAAAAAAAAAAATCCTTTTAGGAGCAAGGATAAAAAAAAAAAAAAAAAAAAAAAAAAGAGAACAAAGTTATAGCTATGGCACAATTATTGAGAGGGAGGAGATGGTAGCCAACTAAGGAATTACTGACCAGGATGTGACGACAATAAAGGTGAATTTATATTGGTGGGGGCAGGGAGGGAAAAGGTAACCAAGTTTGTGAAAAGTTGTATAGATGGACAAACTAAGGAAGAAGATTAAAGATATACACGGTTGATACTATTGGAAATTTATTTGAAAGAAATGTTAATGGTTTCAGGCATCTAGAATCGACCATGCATTTGGAGACAGTAGATGACATACTGTATATCAATTACGCTCAACAAGGGATATAGGAAACCAAAAGATAAAATCTGATGATATAAACGGTTGGCATTATGTTAGTCATTTTGATTTATTAGGTGCATTTCTATATTGGTGTAAATTATATTAGCAATAAAATTTGAATGTACTATTTAAGTTTTTTTTTTTTTTTAAATATTAATGAATGCATTTTAGACTAGCATTTTTTTTTTCAAACTGAATTAGTTGATGAGAGTTTTGACCATAAAGATCTAGTTGTAGAATCTTGTAGGAATAGTACTAATTAAGATAGAAGAGCATCTATAGACAAAGTTAAGGAACATAACAAAAAAATGAACTTGTAGAATATGTAATCTTTTACGCATGGGGGGCGGGGATTTAGCCATCTGTAGCATATCTTTAATAATTGACATATCGGAATCGCCAAATATCTTTTTAATATATTTGTTTTAAGCACCTTCTTCCCATTTACGGCACTGAACTGAGGTGATGTTAGAAATAGCTAAACCATATTCAAATTCAGATCAAACCATTTAGGAACACAAATTGAAGTGGTAAAATCTTGACTATTGACATCAATAGCTAGATATATAGATTATAATTACGAAAGCTTTGCTAATGTTACTACAGATAAGTTCAGAAGTATCGAAAGACTCTATTCGAACTAAATGGTACACCTCCAAGATAGGAAAATGAATCATATCTCTGGATTGGAGCATTATATATATATTATATGTAATTGGGCTGGTCTGAAGGTGTCAAGTACAACTACATTTAGTCGGATTCCATCGGTATCCCAATTCATAGCTATGTCGTTCATATTTATGAAGCAGCTATGGCAATTCATTGATACATATATAAAGTATAATAAAGCTGATATAATCGATCCTTGTAGGATACCAGTTGTAGGTTAAAAACTGAATGAGGTAACATTGTTCAGGAAAACTCTAATCTGCACAACATCAAAAACAGTTCTGAAGAAAGCCAAGTAAAGGAGAGGGGGAGGGTCAAGTGTTATATTCTTAAGGCATTTCCGTATGTAGCTTCAATTGATGGTATTATATACTGATTTAGTATCTATGAATGAAAGTACTACTGGAGTGGTACTGTCTTGATAACGAAAAATATTACATATTTCAACTAGACAAAGAGCTGGATCTGTTGATCCTTGAGCCATACAAAGCCCATATTATGCAATATCCAATGTGTAGGCTATTTATTGAAACACTATCTTTCGAATAATGCTCTAATACTTTCTTTTTTTTTTGAAGTATTAAAGTGAAACAAATAGACGGTAATTACAGGGATCTTCTAGAGAGCCCTTTTTATAGATGAGAATGGCTTGGGCTATTCGTCAATTCTTTAGAGTATATGATCATTGCCAACAAAAAGAAAAAAAAAAGGAACCAAACGTAAAATGATAGGTACAATTACGTCTTATATGGGGTGTGACATTTCTTGAAGTAGATCATCAATTCTAGGAGCTTCTTTAGCTGGTAATATCCTAATAACAATTTTGATAGTATCAACTGTGAATAAACAATTATCGATATTATAGGATTGAGCAGATGCTTCAATATTCAATTTGAAATATTGTGTAGTAGCAAACATGAGATATCGCTCATAGTAGATTGTTAGTAGATGGGATGCTATAATAGTATTTTCAGAATATTGTAGGACTTCTATAGTAGAAAAGGATAACTTCAAAGTTCAATCCTTTTCAATTTTGCTAATAAATTGTGTAGTCACTTTAGTATACTATCCTGATTCTATTTGATGGCAAAATTGGTTCCAGGTTTATTCTCGTCTCTATAGCACGAGTTTCTTATTGTAAAATCCAAAAATTTTAAACTATTAAGGCTATATGATAAGAGAACATACTTGAAAAGTAAAGGACTGTCGTATGTTATACGATGGGCTGGAAAAGGAATATTAAGACGCATTAACAAAACTATATTAGGGTGATCCTTATGGTTAGCAGAAGAGATAATTGATTGACCAGGTGTATGAAATTGCTATCAAGAGGTTAGATATGTGTTAAAAAATGATAACCATGATTTTGATAACAAGTATAACAGAAAAGGAGTTTGTTAATTGTAATATAGGTTTAATAGCTTGTTTGGGTGATCGTGTAGCATTGAAAAGAAATTTGAGCTTATCTCCATTATTAGGGACTAATAGAGTCTTCTATATCTGAAAAGCACTTCCTTTTGCTATCAATTATTCTGTTCAAATATAATCTTGATTATAAAACACAAGCCCTTAGATGGGCAGCGTTTCCCTTTACTTGGAATATTTGGATTATTTCCGAGCCCCTCCCTTTATCCTCAATCCAAAGTAAGCAGTATCAATGCACTATCCGCTTTCTTGTGTCTAAAATTTTCAAATAAAGTATAACGAACATCCTACATTTTATAGGAAGGTTATAAGCTTCAATGAACTACCACGCAAACGACATAAACTTAACAATAATGTCATTATGCTGAAATAATACTCCTAACTTCCCTCTCTCTCTCTCTCTCTCTCTCTCTCTTTTTTTTTTTTTTTTTTTTTTTTTTTTTTTTTTTATTGAAAGGCTCAACAAATTAAAGCCTCTCCCATACCAAGAAGATAAGAGCAAAAAATCTTTGATTGCTTTATTTTTATGGAGATAGAATAGTAGGTAAAGCCCCGAAGAGATCAAAGAAGAACAGAAGTGAACTGAGGAGAATTTCGTGGAGGACCTTGAAAAGATGGGAAACGAGAGGTATTTTTTATTACAGTTACCATTGATGAGTTCAAAACCTCTAAAATCTGTAACAATTGCCAACATGAAGCCTTGACGTTTGTATCACATGCTTGTGGCCATAATGTGAAACAAGTTTTGTATATCAGCGCACTGTGGTAGCGATATGTTGTGAATGTAGCCAGAAATATCTCAGCTATATATATTTTGACATGGAAAGGCCCTGGCAGGCTTCCAACATTTGTCAGAAAACAAAAAAAAATCCATTGTTATATTATAAACAACTTATTTCTTTTAGAGATATAAGAATACTTATAGATAAGCTGATATCCTAACATAAATTAAATTTAAATTCGTCTGATAAAAAGCTAACAATATCTAAACTCACTGTAAAAAAAAAAAAAAAAAAAAAAAAAAAAAAAAAAAAAAAAAAGCTATAATGGTCTCACAATGCTAATTAAACTCTAAACTAAAACCGGCATTATGGTAACAATATCTTAAAATATAACATCCTTCTCTTTGTTTAACTATTGTTAAACGTTACTCAGGTCAAATAAAAAAAAAGTATTTGATTTATTAAAATATTTATTAAATTATCAAAAAGCGATTGATGATATAAAGTGTATTATTCTTGCAGTATTGATAACATGAAGCGCATTATTCCCGCAGCACTTCTTCTTCTAATACAACTGCTTCATTATTTTCATTACCATTGGATGATGTAGAACGTTTTTTTATTGAATGAGTATTTTCTTTATGAATAGGCATTTTAACTCCTTGACGAGCAAAACATTTTGATAACGAAGTTGATTCTATTGTGATATGAAATCAGTAAGTTTTCTCTTTATCGAAATAAAAGGAAGAGGAAGAAAGATAGTTGCTTAAATACTTACGAACAACACCAGGAAATTTTTTAGCCGTATAAACTGTAAAAAGCTCTGATTCAACCACTTTCAGTACATGTGACACAGTAGATGTGTTAACAGTACGTATATAAGGTCTATTTGATTAAGTATGAGTTATGTTAAATAATAATAATTATTATAATAATAACCCTTACAATCCTATGTCTATCAAAGAGAATTTCAATCGAAATGTACCTTCTGTTCTTAAGCTTATATCTTGAAAGATGAAATAAATCCCAAGTTCTCCATCTGTATCGTATAATTTAATAGCTGAAGAAACTAAAGATCCAGCTAAGCTCCTCAATCTAAAGGTGTTATAATTTTCTTTGCTCCCTGAATCAAAAGTAGATAATGGAAAATAAACAACTTGACTAAACCCATTTGATGATTGTTTTTTGGAGTTACTTGTTTCATTTATATTCGGTCCACTTTTTTGACAAAAATCACACATAACAATGAGAAATGATACATCAATTGTTCTATAGTTTTTATATAACAAAAAAAGCAAAAAAAAAAAAAAAAAAAAAAAAAAAAAAAAGCATGGTGTTAATAAGAATCAATCTCTTCAAATTTATAAATTTACATTATTTATTTTTACTCTGGACTAGTAATTTCTCCGGATTCCTTTCTTACTGTCAATTTGAGTATCGGTGGAGGTGTTATAGGTCTTCTATCTTTTGCACCATTACCACACATTCTAGCTCTTAAAGGTTGTTGAACAATATCCAGTTCATATATTCTATATGTATTTTTTTTTTCAAAATTTAAATACTCGTATATAGATATGTACATGTTTGTATTTGTACTTTTCTTTTTTTTCCATAGAAGAAGACTTCTTACCTATCATTATTTTCCATTAGATAATTGTTCTTAATGACAGTACTACTAGTAGTAGTAAATAGTTTTATTTCATTTTTGGATAGATCATTAATATTTACATTAGTAGACGGTTTTGGAGGCATATAATATTTTTTAGTGAGCTCAGATTCCTTTCCTTTTTCAGTTTTTATGGACTTATCTAATGTTTCCATAGACCTGATATTCGAATTATTTTTAAAAGAAGGATATGATTGATTGTAGTGCTGCCATGTCGAATTTATAGTTTGCAATGTTTCATCTTTTTCATTACTACTTGTTGCAAGAGAAATAAGTTCATCAAAAACATCTTGTTCTCCTCTTGATTGTTGTTGTAGTTGCTCAGGATTATTATGTGAAGGATTACAAGAAATACGTATGTCGTCACTAGTATCCTGATGAAAATTAAGATGAGATGTTTGTCCATGAAGTAAATATTGGTCAGCATTAATTATGTCTGTCATATTGGCATCATTATAACCGTCAATGTTTTTGTCCGTTGTATTTTCATTTATATAGAATATGCTGTTCATATTATCATCGAATAAAATAGCAGGATTTTGTGGCTGGAGTACAGTATGATTGTGAGTATTCATCATCAATTGAGCCATGGCGGTAGCATCAAAAAAGGAAGAATCGCCTTTTATTTGTTCAGTATGTAATAGACTATCGATTATATTTTTATTTTTAAAAAATGGATCTGTAATAATTTTATCAGAAGGGAAAATAAAACTTTGGTCAGCATTTGTTGAATCGAGGGTTGTAAAGAAATCAAGCAAGTCTGAAATATTATTATTTTGTTGTTGATCAGAGTGTTGCGGTTCATCTTTTTGCACTTGTTCTTCTGAGAATATTCGCTGTTCCTGATGAGTTAAATTTAAGGGATATTTATTATGGCTGTTATCCATACTATAAAGTATAAATAGTTTTTTATAGCTAAAATGTATTATTGTACGCGCAAATATTTATTTACAAAATCGAAAAAGAAAACTGTATAATATTAAAACGAAAAAGAAAAAAAAAAGAAAGGAAGAAAGGAAGGAAGGAAGGAAGGAAGAGAGAAAGAGTGAGCCTCTTTATTAACAGTCAAATATTATCCTTTTTTTGTACAACTCAAACATTCTTTTGATTAGCTAGTTTTTTTATATATATATAACCTCTCTCTTTCTTTTCTATTATTATTATTATTATTAAGCACAGAAATTTGACATATAAAGTTAGATATAAAATACATAAATCAGTATGGTTCTTTTTAATTATTTTTTTTTATTTTTATTTTTTTTAAGTTTATAAAATAGATCTCTTTTTTGGATCGTTGGAATAGTTTTAAGGTAGAAAATATAACATATCACAACAGGTCAAAAGGAAAAAAAAAAATTAGTGTTACGTTAGTGTTCATGATAATTGGTTAAATATTGTTATACAAAACTGGGTTTACTTACCCAAATTTTGGTCCTCAGAATATTAAAGGGACATCAGTTAATTTTACCGAATACATTTAATTCTAGACGTATTACTCTATATCTGGATTAGTATATTTATAATTAGCTATAATAATTATACGCCTATTCTTAAAATTATATTATATTTGAACTACTTAAGGAAACTAAGCTATGAATATAGCTAATTTTAACGTATTCTAGATGAGTGCAAAGAAAATCAATCAAGCAAAATATTACATTTACCAATATGTATATACATATATGTATTTGAAGAATTCAACGAAACATGTATTGATTTCGGGAGCAGAGACAATATTGAGCTTTGTCTTCTAGATTGTTCTTTTGTTCTTCTTATTAGAAGAACATTGGAACTTATTTCGGATAAATCTTCTATTTTTGCCCAAAATAAACAAAATATGGTAAGGTAAGAATATCCAATCAAGTCTCTCTTACTTAAACGGTAGACGAATCCGAAAAGATAGTTAGATAAGCATATACCTTAGTAAACTATATTCTAATGATACAGAAAAATTAATTTCTTATTGTATTTGGTATAGACTAGGGTTAATTATTCTTTTAAATTCTAGACTTTTGATATATTATTATGGACAGTGCATGTTTTTCCTAGATTTATCTACCGAAAGCACAATTTTTTTTTTTTTTTTTTATCCTTCAAATCTTACATCTTTGATTGGTTCAGAGTATATTATATGACTTACAGATTAATTGCCCTGGACGAATATTTCATCAGTTTTAAAGCAATATTTTAAGTTTTTTTTTTATCAAAACTTGTTTAACTGTCTGCTTTATTTTATATATGTATATGTATATATATGTATGTATGTATGTATGTCTACGAAAATTATTTCGCTTTTTTATGTATTGAAAAAGCTGTGTTTGATGGTTCATTATACATAATAGTTTAAAGACTTATTAGTGCCTCTAAGAAAAGACTCAATTTCTTGAAGTATTCATGATTAGAATTTTCAAAAGATCTTTCTGCTTGTAAAGTTAGTTTAATATACGCTTTTTTTTTTTCTGTAATTTCGATCTTTTCTTAAAGAATAAAATGCTTACATTATCAGCTTGGGTTTGATTCTATAAAACTCGAAAAAATGACTTGTTTCTTAATATCTAAAAGATGCAGAGTTCAGGTCAATGGCAGACTTCTCCATAAGATAAATTTATCTGCTAAATGACGAATCTAAAGATGGCTCTTTACTATAATACTCTACTAACACAAGATTTTTGGACCAATAATTGTATTGCATAGAATCCATAACTATTCTAGTAAAAAACAGTTATATATTGCCCCGTCCTAATCAACAGCGATATTAACATAAATATATATATATTTATATATAAGATCTTAAAATACTCTAAGACATTAACTTTTGCGCTATAATAAAAAAGATATCTTAACAAATTCTGCATGACATTTGAGATATAATAATAGAAGCAAGACAGTAATAACTACATTACATGTGTATAAATTAGGTTATTGCATTGTATTATATTGTCATCAATGTCCGTGATGATCCATCTTATTACAACTAGCTTCAAATTAATTATTGAGTGAGTGATTATTGACTAAATTTCTTCCAAGAAATAGCATCAACTATTATTTCTTCTTTTTCTTTGGCTTGCTCCAAGTATAACTTTTTTATATTTTAATGGTTTTTTTTTAAAAAAAAAAAACAAATCACTCACATTTACTGTATATTAAAAATGATCTTCAACATGTAAATAGATATAATTTATATATGATGCATAAATCTTTGACCCCTCAATTAGTGAACTTTATTGGATATACATCAAATAAACTAGTAAGCCACCTGTAGTAGTCTTGTCAATACTGTTTAATAAGCTTGTGTTTTGCAGATACATAAACACTCTATTTTGATTTTTTCTTCTATTATGACATTAGTAAGAAGATTTATACTGTCGTTAAAAAACAAAAAAACGATTGATGTATGCTGTGTTGTATATTTTTTTCTTAGTACCATGAATAATAGTTTCTTTCTCTCTCTCTTTTTTTTTTACATATTTTATTTATGTTAGCAGCCTTTAAAAAAAAAAAAAAAAAAAAAAAAGGTACAATACTTTAATAAATATAAAAAAAAAATAACTTATTTGTTAGTGTGAGTTATTTTATTTGTAGAAAAAGTTTACAGTTTATGCAGGATTTAAAAATATGAATGAAATGAGGAAGGTCTTCATTTGGTTTACTATTTTTTTTTTTCAAATTCAAATAACTACGAGATATATAAAGATCTGATAAGTGCATCATTGTACAAACACGGGAAACCTATTAAATTAATTTATAACACACAAAAAATACAGAAAAGTAAAATTTACATCATATATAATTAAATGCTATATCTATTATGCAATGAAAAAAAATAAGCCATTATTATAATCTATGTTTTTTTTAAAAAAAATAAAAGAAATAACCATAATGAATTTAAAAATTACGTATTTCATACTTTTAAATATATAATGGAAAAAAAAAAAGTTTATTATTAAAAAAAAAGTGATTAATGATTATAACGGGAAAATGTATACTTTAACTGGGTGAGAACACCGATGCAAAAAATAAAATAAAATAGAGTAGAATTTGATTGGATATTATGTTACGCAATTTATTATCAGATGGAGCGGAATCTGATAATAATTTATTTGTTTCGTAGTCATATCCCATGAAAATAATAAAAATAATAAAGATCTGATAAAAAAAATCTTTTTTTTTATTTCCTTTTTTTTTCTTATCTTTTTCATCTTATTTTTTTTTCTCTTTCGTTTGTGTATTAAAAATGGCTTCTCGTACGCTTTTATCTAAGACCGGCCTCAAATCGTCTTTTAGTCAAATTGCTATAAAGAAGAATAATATGTTAAATAGTAATAGGATTACAATTTTTCCTAGTTCCCAAGCCTCTCGTCAAGCCACTACTACTACTGTATTGGATAATTCAATAACACAAGGAAGATTACCTTATAACGGAGTCTTTACATATACTAATACTAATAAAGAAGTTAACTTGGTTAAGTTTACTTCTGTTGAAGGAAAAAGACTTTTTCGAAATGCTATGGTACAAGGTTATGCCGAAAGCTTTTTTAAGCTGATGGGTAATTTTTCAACCCAGTCATCTCCATATCATGGTGGTGTGAGTTCTTGTAAGTTTTTTTCCTATCACTTTTTTTTTTTTTTTTTTTGATCCCAAGTTAAAATAGAATATTAATTATTATTTTTTAATAGTGGCCATGGTTTTAAATGCTTTGGAAATAGACCCAAAGAGAATTTGGAAAGGAAATTGGCGTTGGTTTTCTTGTAAGTTACACAAATTTTTGCTCAACTATATCAATAGTTTGCGATATGAATCTAATTTATTTTTTCTTAACTTAGCTGAGCAAATGAAAACTTGTTCACCAGAGAAATCTATTAAAGAACATGGTATACCTTTTGATGAGTTTACTTGTATAGCACAAACACACTGTAAAGTTCAACCAAAGCGTGGTGTTAGTTATGAACAATTCATATCTGATCTTAAACTAGTTACATCTGATACAATCAGTCAGATGGTTGTTAATTATTCAAGACTTGCTCTTGGTCAACTAGATCCCCTTGCCCATTTTAGTCCTATTGGTGGTTATAATAAAGATGAAAACCAGGTGCTTATTATGGATGTTGCTCGTGGTAAATATCCAAGTATTTGGGTGAATGCAAAAGATCTTTATAGAGCTATGATGGATTTCCATGAACAAGAATCTGGTCTTAGTAGAGGATACTTTATTTTAAGTAATTATGAACAAGCGACACAGCAACCTAAAGGAAATTTGTCTATATCTTTACCAAAGTTAAAATGCAAAGATTGTTCTCGAAACTGTCATAACTCTTTATCCTAAAAAAAAAACAAAGACACAATAGGGCTTTTTTTTTTTCTATGTATATATTTATATATTATTCCCTTCTTCCGATTCTTTACTACTTGATACCTTATAAAATTTGATTTTACTTTTAATAAATTAATTCCTCATTTTTAATTCAATACAATAAATTGTTCGTTTTCCGGATAAGCTCACGTGACTCTCCGGCTTATATATTGACAGACCGGACTTACTTCCAAAAAAAAAATCAAAGTCTTCGCCTGGTTTGATAGTATGACCACAAGCCATCAGCAGGTAAACCTATTGAATCTTCCTCTCTCTTTGCGTATTTCCAAGTATGTATATGTAATAGATTTCTAGAGAATAGATAGATAATGATGGACTATGTGTATAAGACAATAAACGGATGGATTAAAAAAAAAAGGAGTTGATAATGGCGGATTTTTTTTTTGGAGTGTTTAGTTTTGAACTTTTAGATCACAATATATTAATCCAATTTAAACATTATAGACTTGAGCAACATGGTCAGATACGCTGCTACACCAGCTAACCCCGCCAAGGGTAAATATTGGAAACGATGTTTATATATATACATGTGTATAAAGAAAATTTGTATTAATGACATGTATGCTTCATCTTTTTTTAGCCTCCAAGTCTAGAGGTTCTTACCTCCGTGTTCACGTATGTTTGTATTTCTAGTTTATAGTTGAATTATCAAATGAGATGGAGGAATTGATTATTTTATTTTTATTTTATTTTTTTGTTTAAATAATAGTTCAAAAACACTCATGAAGTTGCTGCTGCTATTAAGGGTATGAAGTTGAGCAAGGCTTATGCTTACCTTAACAACGTCACTGAACACAAGCAAGCCATCCCCTTCCGTAGATTCAACGGTGGTGTTGGTCGTACTGCTCAAGTTAAGGAGTTCGGTACTACTCAAGGTCGTTGGCCCGTCAAGTCCGTCAAGTTTGTTAATGACTTGTTGAAGAATGCTGAAAGCAATGCTGAGGTAAGATATATAATATAGGAGAAGAATAACAGTAGTAGTAGTAAAAGTAAAGTAAACTTCTTATTTTTTTAATTTAGGCTAAGGGTTTGAATGTTGAAGAACTTTACATTTCCAGCATTGTTGTCAACCAAGCTCCTAAGCACCGTCGTCGTACTTATCGTGCTCACGGTAGAATCAACCCTTTCATGTCTTCTCCCTGTCACATTGAAATCATCCTCACTGAAAAGGAAGAAGCTGTTTCTCGTGCTACTGATAAGAAGGTTGTTAAGCTTAATGCCCGTCAATTAGCCCGTAATGCTCGTCTTGCTCGTGCTTAAATTTTTTACTTTGCTTATTAACACGAAATAAAATAAACGTGTTTTTTTATTCTTATTTACTGTTACCAGTTTCTTCTAGAAATAGAAAATATATAATATAATTTGCATGCATACAATGTATAAGAGAGAGAAGGAGGTAGCTTTTAATTAAAAGTGTTTTCATTTAATTCTGTTCAAAAAAAAGAAGAAGTAGTCTGACCATTTCACTATTTGGTTCCTTTAGAACATGTACAAAAAAGTTCATATTTAAACATGATTTGGTCATTACTATAAATAAAGTCATTTCTTTTTTTAATTTATAACAGCTGCACGTAAATATCTTTTTATGCAGTTCTAAATGGCAAATGTGTCACAAGGTATTGGTAAAAAAAAAAAAAAAAAAGGATGAAAGATGTATATAACATTATTAGTATTCTTTTTTCTTTTTCTTTTTCTTTGTTCCTTATTATTTTATAATATGACAACTGAAGATAATATGAATGTTGAAGTGATTCCAAAGGAAGAAAGTTCTTCAGCTGATACTATGGATCAGCATCCTGAGACTATCATTGCTCCCACTATTGAGATTCTTACTAATGATCCTAACGAGACTTCACTTAGTGTAAAAGATACTACCACATTAATAGCAGTAGAAACTATCACTATTCCTGATGACGTTCCCTTCAACAATAATCATACTATAGATGTTAAAGCTACTACTAAAAACGATATGAAGACAACTGAAGCTACTAAAGTAACATCTATTCAGCGTTTAAGTGCAGCCTATAACAAGGCTAGAAGATCAATAGTTGATATTCAAAAAACTTTTAATGAAAAGATACATTCTAGTACAGTAAACATAACTGCTGCAGATAATAATAGATCTACGACAAAGATAGCATCATTCATACCAACAGTAAGAGATCAAGTGGCCAATAATGAAACAAGATCAAATGGCGCTACACTTGGAAATTTTATAGTTAAAATTAAGGTAATTAGAACAAATAGAAAAAGATAAATGTTAGCTAGTGAGTCTAATCTTAAGGAAAGAGTTTTAGCAAGTTATCTGATCCAAATACAAATGCAGGTGGTATTGAATGAGAGAGAGAAAAAAAAAAAGACAACAATAAACTTATGAATTATTATTATTATTATTATTAGAAAATAATCTTATTCCTCCCATTATTGATTCAGTTCCTCCTATTCCACCTCCTAAAGATAACATTCAACAAAAACAGTTGCATCCTTCAGCTTCAGGAAGCTCTACTGTGAATCAACCTAAACGTAACTCAACTTTACTTTCAAGCTACTTTTCACAAAAGAAGAAAGAAATAGGAGAAGAGCAACAGACTGCTACTCCTGAAGCTATTCATGGTACAACAGGTTTTCTTTTCTTTTATTTTTTTTTAATGTAACGATACTAATTTTATTTCGTTTTAAATTATGTACAGAAAAACCTTCTCCTTTTATTCGCCAACTTACTAAATTAGTTCGAAGCACTACAGCAAGTATTAAAAGAACCTAATTATTCCAAGAATAATTTATAAATTTAATATTATTACAATGAACTCTTTATGATTATTACTCTTATTGATCAATACAGTACTTTTATACCAAAAGATTAAATTGGGTTAACTAAATGTCTTTTCTAAATTTAGTGCTTATTACCTTGTCTACCAACGTCTCTTTTTTGCTATTTATAATAATGAAAATAGTAAACGATGATTTTGAATAATGTTCTTTTTTTTTGTTTAAGGTCAGAAAGGTATTATTGTTAACAAGGCAAACAACACTCTAGCTCTAAGAAATAAAAGTATTATAAATGAATTTTGAGTTATTTGCGATTATCTGTTTTGGGAGATAGATTCATCTAAAGCTGTATCTCTATATATTTATTTATAAAGCGAATATGTTTGTCTTGCATAAAATTATATTACAGGAAAAAAAAAAAAGAAGAAGAATAAATCAATAAAAAGAATAATATAGTAGTAATAAGTTGTTGTTGTTGTTGTTGTTTAAACGGCTTGTCTAAGAACCATTTTTCCTTGTGCTCTAAATAGCAATACTTCTCTACGACCAAGGATTGTTAAAGCTCTTTTAATAGCAGCCTCAGAATATCCTCGATTTAAGAAATCATTAATAATTTTAGCAACTGGTGCTTGAGAACCAACAGGTAAACGTTTTTGAATATCTTGCTCAATTACTTGAATTTCAGCCATAAGATCACTACGAGACATTCCATCTACTCCACCATTTTGAACTGCATCCATAGTAGAATATTTAAATAAACGAATAGCTTCGTCAACATGTTTTTCTTTTACTGTAGGTGAAAGTGTCATTTTGGCTAATGATTCTGAAATACGAATGATAGCTTCTAATTGTCTAAATAATATATATTAAATAAAAGAATTTGTATATAAATATCTATACACATATTACTTACCTCACTGTAATAGGAATAGTGGATCTTACATTACTGTCTCGTTCAGTCTCCTTCATTTCTTTACGAATAGAAACAAAATGGCTACTTAATTTAACTGCTGCTTCTTCTGTTAATCGAGGGGCGCATTTACTAATAAACACAAATCAAACTCTGTTATAAATTCTTATTTAATAAATTTCCCTTTTTTTTTCTTTGACTTACGCTTTACAATAATTAATATAAGCTTTCATTTTTTCCAAATCAATCTCTCCCATTACAGCATCTTGAGTTTGCCTATTCATATGAACATTTAAAACATGTCTAGCAATAGACTATGTTAAAAGAAATAAAAGTAAATATTTTTTTTCTTAGAAACAAATCATTGACGTGTTCTTTTTTTTTACCATATCACGACCCTCATTATGTTCATCTTTTACAATGAAAATCATATCAAAACGAGATAAAATGGTAGTTTGGAAATCAATATTTTCACCTGCACTCTTCATGTCATCATAACGACCAAATACTGGATTGGCTGCAGCAAGGACTGAAGTACGTGAATTAAGAATAGTTGTGATACCAGCCTTTGCAATAGAAATAGTTTGTTGTTCCATAGCTTCATGAATAGCTACACGATCTTCATCACGCATTTTATCAAATTCATCAATACATACAACTCCACCATCAGCTAAAACCATAGCACCACCTTCCAAATAAAAATCACGCTAGATAATAAAAATCAGTAACAAATCCTTTTTTCTTTCTTTCTTTCTTTTTCAAATAGATAAAAAAAAAATCTTCTACTTACAGTACTTGGATCACGAATAACAGAAGCAGTTAAACCAGCTGCACTACTACCCTTACCAGAAGTATAAACAGCAATAGGTGCTACTTTTTCTGTAAATTTCAATAATTGTGATTTGGCAGTACCTGGATCACCTAATAATAATACACTGATATCACCTCTTAATCTCATCCCATCAGGTAGTACTTTTTTTGAACCACCAAAAAGAAGACAAGTAATAGCTTTTTTAATATCTAAATACAAAAAAAAAAAAAAAAAAAAAAATGAAATAGACTAGGTTAATATAAATAAATAAAGAGTTACTTGAAATATACCCATATTCCCAAAAATAGAAGGAGCTAAACTACGAGAAAATGTTTCATATAAATCGGGTTGACTTGACATTTTGATAAATTCTTCTTCTTCTGCATCAGTAAAATGAGGTTTTCCACGACCATTATTATGTTGATCGATTTGAAGGCCAACAATTCTAATATAAGGTGTTCTAACAGCAGCAGCACCTGTTGATTTCTAAATTAGATAGTATTCAATTTTAGTACAATCATCCTCTAAATAATATCTTGTAAACTATATACTTACAGTAGATTTATTTTGAAAAATAGAATAAATACCCATTACAACAGCTCTCATACCAGGTACAACACGATTTGTCAGCCATCGATCGGCATTTAAGATTGTGTGTCGAGGAAGATCACCGACAGGAACCATATCAGGAGCTTCTTGCAACTTGATTACTTGAGAATCGACAAATTTACATTTATCGTGTACAATCACAAAGGGATCCATAGGACAATCGTTAGGTTTACCATCAATACCTTGACTATCACAATTTCTAGGCAAAACAATGGAAGAAAACCCACCATTAACAGGGATGATCTTTATGGCACGACAGCTTCTACACATAGCAGTAACCTGAGTGGCTCTTGAACTAAGTGTGGATGCGCCAATAACAATACCAGGAATACGTACAAGTTTACCAATATAATCAGACTACGTAAATATGCATATAAGTTATCTCTTTTATATACATATATAAATATTATCTTACATTTAAATCACGGATTTGAATGACATTAGCATCTGATTTGAGAGTAACTTGACAATCAGGTACATCAATATTACTAACATTATTAGGATTAGCAAATAAAATCCTTTTAGCACTTTCCTTAACAGCATTTTCAAACTAAATGTGAATGGATTGAAATGAAAAAAAAAAAATCAATATTAAGCGTCCATAGTATACTTTTCTTTTTTCTCAATCTAAAGTCTTACCAAAGGTAAAAAAGTAGCAGGCGAAGTACTTAATTTATTGGCAAGGTCGGCATTATAGTTGATGAGATGATTAAGATCAACTTCGATGAAATATTGCTTTGTTAAAAGGTTTTGTGATAATTGATCTCTAAAATTGATGAAGTATGTTAGATCATTCGTCTCTTTCCCTTATTTTTTTATGTCTGTTTATTGGGAAGAATTTTTTTTTCTTCTGGTACCTGTAAATATAATTGTTACTGAGTCGAAAGTTTTGAATGAATTCAAGGAAAAGACCAGTTATTTCGGAATGAGAATTAACTTGTTCTTCTCCTGGAAGTACTGATGTAGAATAAATTTGGCCTTGATCCCAACCAAAACTAGCCATTACAATATTTTGAACTGTTTCTTGTCGAAGTTGTAATAAAAAAAAATAAAAAAAAATAGAACGCGTTTATTTTATTTTCCGTATTTTTGGCGTTAAATAGTCACAATTAATGACTGTTAATAAATTTTCGCGCTGCTTCAAGATATCTTACTTCTGGAAGGATTGTCCATCAATTCCCCAACTTGAAGCTTTTTATATGGGTGTTTTAATTATTCAATAACATCCTTGCATGCAATAGTAAGAAATAATACTTTTTATAAAGTATTATAGATTTAATGTGTTCAACACCTATTAGAATAAAATGAATACATGTAAAAATACATGTACATGGAATATTACTGAACGACTAAAAAAAAGAAAAAATGTAGCTTATTGTAGGATATTGTAGGATATTGAACATATAAATCACTCTTTATGAATCCTCTTTTACAAAAAAAAAAAAAAAAAAAAAAAAAAAAAAAAAAAAGAAAAGAAAAAACAGCTCTAATCATTAACTAAAGTGACTTCAAATTTTTAATTTAAAAATTTACTTTAGTTCAGTGTCTTTTTTTTTTTGGCAATATTTATTACATATTATAATAACTATTTTCTTTTGTAAATAAATCAAAACAGAATGAGTTTGCTTCAACCTTATATGAATCGTATTGTATCCTTTTTTTTTTAACTTGTATTAAACAATATATAATACTAAAAAAAAAATGGAAATCATTTCTTTTTTTTAATAGTTGATGTGCTAGTTATTACATTAGATGGACGAGTTTTAGTGGTACATTTTAAAATTTATAACAAACTAAAGAAGGGAAATAATAAAAAGTCATGGATAATTTGTTTCAATTAGGGCAAATTAAGAGGCACAGATCAAACATCAAATCTTATATTAGAACATTGTCAGGAACGCGTATTTTCGAGTGAAGGAACCGAAGTTGTTCCTCTTGGATTGTTTGTAGTGCGAGGCGATAATTTGTAAGTATACATTTAGACTTCTTATATTCGATATTGCGTATTAAAACAAAATAGATGTACAATTGGTGAAATAGATACTGAAAAAGAGGAAACGATGGATATCACCGAAATTAAAGCAGATCCATTATCAGAAGCGCGTTTATAATGATAGGGAAGATATAATATCAATATTAAAATGAACCACATATAAAGTATTTACAACAAATATATTTAAGTATTGATATTATTATAATAAATGGGCACACGCATATGTATACAAGCACTCTATTATATAATTCTTCACCTTTTTACACCGCAAAGTATTATTAAAAGAATATTTTTATGCAGCAGTTACAATACATTTTTTTTATTATACATCAAGATTTGTCTATGATGAAAAAGATAGCAATTTTAAAAGATCAACATGACGATAATCTGAATGCTCAAGATACTGTTCAAGTATACATTGTGCAGATATCAGCACTCTGTAATACTTATTAATTATACTTTCTGCTTGAACTAAATATATAAAATTAACTTAGTAATTGCGTATACTTTTTTTTTTTTAAAAAAAAAAATAATACCTGATGAGGTTCCTGTCAATTGCTTTTTCTTTGCTTTTGCAGGGTCGAATAATGTGGACAAATACAAGAGCTGGGTATACAATTGTTTATCCGTGTACTAGGGAAAGGCAGTTAATATATATATTTATGTATATGCATATATATGTTATTTTTTTTTCCTATCATTTACCTCTCTTCTCATTAAACCTCGGCAATTTTCTATAGCACATCGACGGCCAAAAACAGATAGCATACGAGTTCGATTATTACATGTTTCATCATCACACACATACCAGCCATCATAATATCGTTGAATATAGTTTCTAATAGCAAGCATTAATTGAACTTGTATACTTGTAGTATCGATAGTTAAATGACATTTTGTACAATCGAAACCACATTCAAGTTTTCCATTATCTAATTCCCGTACAATGCCTTCATACAAAATTCCTTTTTCTCCACAATAATTACAAGTTAGCATAAGTTTTTCGGAAGCTTTGAATCTTTCTGTATCACTGATTTGTGAATCAAGAGTAGCAAATTCAGAGTCATCCTCATTTAAACTTCCTTGATGACTTATAATATTATATCTTTTAGTATCTAAACCAAGACATTCAGCTAAACGAGCAGGATCAGTGCCCTCAATAGGTGAACAAAGACGAGTAAGAGGTGGATGGACTTGTTGATGTAAGTACCATTCTATATCTAATTGCATGTTATTTTTAATAACCATATCAGGGTGATAAGCTCGAAGTGCTGAGCCTTTTTTATCGCCACTTGTTTCTTCATCAATTTTACAAATAACATAAGGTACGGTGTCACCGCTTTTAACATTCTCTCCAGCTTCTAGCATACGTAGGGCGACTTGAACATGAGGCTGGTTTTTGGCATCAGCATAATCCTGAGGTCGCTTTGTGAGCTGTTTATTGATTACATATTTTTCTAAGGGAATATCTCCCTGACGAATTTGTTCTGCTACTACTTCTAAATAGGCGTGAATTTCAGCTACAACATCTTCACGGTCTTTATCTGACATAATAAGGTGAAGTACATGTGTTGATACATCGTGAGATAAATCACACCAATCACGACGTACAAGATCAAGACCTTTCGTTTCAATTGTTTCAACTAATTCACCATTAGACTTTTCTTCTACTAATAAGGCAGCATATTTTTTCTTTTTCAGTAATAGCATATGTTTAAAGTAACCATCAATACCAATTTCCAAAAGTTTGTAATGATTGTTAACTGCCTTTCTTAATTGATTACCCATTTTTTTAACCTCTTCAAGGTCATCTTGATTTGTGTAAACCATAATAGAATCGGTATCACCATATATAACATTAAGTTCAAGGTTATTAGCAAGATTAACTGTATTTTGAAGAATTTCACGGCCTTTATGAGTAATCAACATGGCTAAGGGCTTTGCATAAAAACGTGAATGTGTAAAACCTAGACAGCCATACATACTATTGGCTGTCAATTTTAGAGCTTTTTGTCGAATATCTAGTTGCATATAATCAGCTTCAGACATATTACCATTCATCAAGGATTTTACTTGTCGACGACGATCAACTAAAGTTTTAATTAATCGAGGTAAAATGCCTTGAGGTAATGAATCATCAGGAATTTCAGGAACTTTTTCTTCACCATTTTCCTACAATTTAGACAAATGAATTAGCAATGTTAATATAATATAATATAAATCACTATAATATCTATACCTCTTCTCCCTCCTTGAATGTACCACGCTCAACCGTAGTAAAACAAATATTGTACTCTTGAATAATAGAGGGATACAAACTATTGAAGTCAAGTAATAAAACATATTTGTCATAAAAACCTTTCTTAGGCTCCAAAACCAGACCACCTGAATAAGCAGGTTTACGTCTTCCTCCCACCTTCTTTTTAGTGGTAGATGCCATAGCGACTGCATCTTCATCATCATCTTGTTCAATAGCCTGTACAACAGCTGATTTGGGTCCTCCAAAAGTTTTTTCAGGGCAAATATATTTTGCTTTATGAAATTCGTGCAGCAATAAATATTCATTTCTCTCAGCTCGAGCGCCTGTCATAGTTCTCGACCATAAGTTGCCTGCCAAATTTGTAAGTTGATGTGTCAAAGGTAATATCTGCAGTTTAAACATAAGTGCAATGGCAAGATAAGCATCAAATGAGCAATGTTTTAGAAGGTGGATTAATGAGTCAGTTTGTTTGAAGTATTCTGCAGATTTACCAAACTCGATATCTTCACGATGAATTTTGAGTTGTGATTGTGCTAAATCTGTCATACGATAGGATTTACTTCGAATTAAATCTTTAGATGCTAAGTAAGTGTCACATACAAGACGACCACTCATGATCAATCTCTCTTGAAATGTTGATTCACCCGCACCTCCTGCACCAGCCTGCAATTTAGGCCAGTATCTACGCTTAAGTCTACCTAGTCTATGCCATTGTTGAACGTTCAAATCCTTCATACGATGCAATAAAACGTCTAGATCGAAACCTGCAAAATTATGGCCAACAATAATGTCTGGATCATACATTTGAAACTTTGCTATTAAAAACTTCAATAAAGATGCCTCTGTTCTTTCAACTTGAATGCTGAAGCCATTTTGACTTTTTTCTTTTAATACTGCATCAGTAAAGTTTGCAGGGTAAAGCGTATTATCTAACTGGCGTACTGCAGTAAATCTGGCTTTGCTTAATTTCTCAATAGAAGTAGTATTGTCGATTTGTACTTGATCACATACAAGAGCACTAGCAGCTACAATTTCATTTACATTTTTTTTAGAATTCATAATAGTGCGTAAACAAAGTGACATTACAACAAGTGGTGGGACATGCGTAGGTCGATTACCATCAGCATCAATGACCGGGTTCACTTTTTTAGGGTCTTCTATTATAAGTTCAGCTTTACACCAAGTTTCCTTTGAAGAAGAAAAAAAAAAGAATATTAAGCTTAATTGTTTTCTACATATACACATAAGCTGCTTACACTAGTTGAACTCATTTTAGCATCAACAATATCCAACCAGCAAGGGCCCATAATATCACGCTTTATCAAAAATAGTTCAAGTGGACCATTGTTAACACCAAAAATATGACTAAATGTCTTTCCCTTTTCTTCGCCAGTAAGTGAAGGTTGCTCAAAATCATATAAAACTTTGAGATAATTTGATTCTGCAGGAACATCATGCAACTCAAACGCATATTTTCTAGTAACTTCCTTTGATGCAAATTTAGTGATTTTCTTACTTGAAAAAAGTTCAGATATTTCACTATAAACATCAGATATCTGAACTTCTTCTGTAGTTTCTTGATTATTATCTTTTTTTTGGCAAGAATTAGTTTTTATACATATTAAATAGCATATCTTTTCAGTTCAAGATACTTACCATCTAATTTGAATGGACGAGGCAAAACGAATATATTCCTCTCGATATTCTTTATAGTGACACAGCAACTGACATATTTGTTCGTTTTCTTGTTGAGTACTTTACCAAATAAATATACATAACCTTTTTCTTTACGCTCATAAGCATCATACCACCACATTTTTAAATGACCATCTTTTTCAAAAATACTCATTTGTTGAGATTCTTCTTTGACAATATCCTGATGGAAGGTATCTACTATATTTGCATCAGCTGCTTGCCAATTCTGTAAACCAGATTTTATGTCGTCTTTATTGTTTGTTGTGAAATTAGGCTTAACTGTAGTATCACCAATTGTCATCTTATCAACTTTATTTTTCAATAACTGTTCCTCATCAATTAGCATATCATCCAATGTAATATCATCCCCAAAGTCAAGATCGTCCATATTTTCATCTGTAACAGATACTGGCGCTTGCTGCTTTGGTGAAGGTGGAGGTTTAAATGAATATTTTTGATTTTCTTCATTTGAAAATATATTATCATACTCTTCTTCTCTTTGTAATACTATTCTAGAACGTGCAAATGTAGTTGATGCCGCGACATTTTTAGATTTAAGTTTATGAGTCGACACAAGTTTAGTGGTAGATGTTTTCGTAGAACTACCAAACCCAGATAATAATTCTGCCATAAAATCTTCTGTCTGTTCTTCATCGGCCTATACATAAAACTTCGTCAGAATTGACATAAAAGAAAGGAGAAAGCTAAGTAAAAAGTATTTTACAACTAATGTCTTAGGTTTTGAAGCCGCTTTCATAGCTGAATTGTTGAAAAAACGATTAATTTGTTGATTAGGCTTTGCAATAAGTGCCTCCTTTTCTTTTTTCTTTAGATCCTTCTTTGATCTTCTCTTTCGTTTGCCTTCATTTAATTATTTTTGTCATTTAATTCTCTTCCTCTTCTTTTTTTTTTATTATGTTTATTACCTTGCTCAGGCTCCTGTTCATATTCATCGGAAAAATATTGATCATCAACACCATTGTCAATATAACCAGCATTGTCATCGTCAACTACAAATTCTTCATCGTGCTCGGCATAATCTTTTCCAACCTCATCATAAATATCTTCGCTCTAATCATTTCAAAACAATATAGTATTATCAATGTAAATTTGTCAGAAAAAAAAATCATTTAAAATCATCAATTACCTCATAAGTCCTTGGTTTAATTTTACCAAGTTTAGATTCTCTTAATTGCTTTAAACGATTAGCTCTTTCTGATCTTGAACTCATCTTTTTTTTTCTAAATCATGAATCGTTTAAAACAAAGGGGAAAAATATTAAAAAAAAATATACAAATATATAATTTTCGCGAATTCCGCGTTTGAGCAACGAAAATCGCGATGTTAATATTTTGTTATTACTCTAAATCTAACGAGGTTACTAGATTGCGGTCCGGACCTGAGTGGTGATGGATTCTTTATAATTACCTTTTTTTTTGGAGTTAGTTTTTTGAAATTTAATCAAGCATGCATGCTACATGAATTGAGTGATTCAAAATTTTATATTTACTTTTTATTGAAATTGATGCATACTAGACATGAATAATAAGTAGATATTAGCAGCAAAAGATCAAGATATCAATCACATATATTTTTTAATGATTTTTTTGGAACTTTTAAGTGAACCTTTGGCTATTTTCGCTAGATAATTTTGGGAAAAATAAATAGTATTAGTGGGAATGAAAATGCAACCTGATTATAGAAAAATAAAAGCACTTTAAAATATTGAGAATACTACTGTTTTGATAGGGTTTTTTTTTAAAAAAAAAGAAAGCAATAGAATGGCGATGTTTAAGAATAACAAGCATAATATCATTAATTTAATTAGTAAAAAGAGAGAACGAAGAAAATAATAAAAATAATTGTAAGCTGTTTAATTGTATACAAACAATGGAGCTTTAGAATTAATGTTTATGTAAAAAAACTTAATTCTTTCTTATCTGTTCAAAACATTTTTAATCAAACATCATCTTTTACATAATTTTTACTGTTAATTGCTATTTCTATTAAAAGATACCAATATTTTATAGGAAGTATGACTGATTAGACAAAGATACGTTGATTTGATTGTAGCTGCTATAGATAAATATATAATCAAAGTAAAAACTTTTCTTTATATATATAAATTAGGTTCACCATTCATGTTATAGAATAAAATCTATATTTACAATAACAAATGTCATGGCGTTTCATCTTGCAAAGACTGTAGCAATATGATTGCAGCTTTGTCAAATAATATTCATTACATCTCTTCTGAGATGTTAATTAGTTGTAATCACTTTCCTGTATTCTCTTGTTAAGAATAATAATACCGCAAGCCCAAACATTGTTTTTTTTTTCTAATAGAAAATATTGATTTATAGAAAAAGGCCAATTTTATGTTTTTTAAGTTTATATTAATGCTGTATCTAACAAAGTTTTTAACTAATCTCAATTTCACCCAAAGTGCTGTAAAACAGTAAATCTAATAATTTTGAAACTTTTTAACAGCATTCGTATAAATCAAGAATAAACTTTGAAGAAAAAAAAAGCGAAATTGTGATTTGTTTCAATTCTTATTTTCATCCGTATAACATGCAACGCCCAAAGTTAATTACTATTTTATTAATAAAATCGATAAAAGCAAATAATTTAATACCAACCTCAGAGACAAAAAAAATTATCGACAGTTAGGGATTTTATATTCAGAAACGCATTTCTATTGGTCGGATCACGTGACTTTTATCTAAATTTCAATTATATAGATATAGCGAAAAATTTTGTTGAGCAAGATAGTCGCTTTGTCCGAGTGGTTAAGGAGTATGACTAGAAATCATATACGCTTTGCGTGCGCAGGTTCAAATCCTGCAGGCGACGATATTTTTTTTCAAAATTCGAATCATTTAATGTAAATGTTTATTACGTAATAAAATGCGTCACCCTTTTTTTTTTATTATGATTAAAGAAATTTTATTTAAAAAAATTAAAAAACGACCAATGAGCACATAGCATTTATATATGCTGTTTTGCCCTGGTCAGATCGCTATGGAAAGAAAACCCGTTTTGGGATAGAAGGGAAAATGTTGAAGTGTATGTATAAGTGATGATAGTTAACTATCAGAAATTCGTTGTTGTATTGAAAGAAGATGATTGACAAAGGGTTCACCAAAATGGTCAGAGGGTTCAGGGATTTGGGAGTGAGCTAGATAGTCTATCTCAAGCAGAATTGCACATATAGAAGGCCAGCGAATGAGCCAGGCATCAATTGATTTTCTCACTTTCTTAGTATAAAACGTTGATGGTAATAGATTCAAGAGATAAGAGAGTTTTTTTTTTATTACGATTTTTACACTTCAAATTTAGACAATGTTAGTTTTTTTCTGGAGGAATCAAAATTAATTTTCAGACGTCTAGCTTACATTTTTTGGAAAATGTAAAAACGGAAATCAAACAAAGGGAGAAATTAAATTGAGATAAAATGTTGGACGAACTAAAATGCAACTGTAGGCTAATAGGTCAGCTGGTTTTTTTTTTTACCTCTTACATGGATACTACTTGCGAACAACCTTAAGAAGGTTTAGCTAGCGTGTTTATAAAAAAAAACCGTTTTTTGGTGATGATTTAACTGTACAATGGGAAACTGATTTATTACTGAGAGAATATGGGGATTTTTTTTTCGATTTGGGAGTGAAATTCTTAAAGATAGTCAGTTTCTCTAGCACTTGTACCACTATATCACTACACGATCTAAGAATGGAACTCAAAATTCATTTGTATATAACTTTTACTTGGCCAACAAGGTTTCTATTGTTTAATGAAAGCGGAAGCAACTCTGCTCAATTCTGAAAAAAAAAGGGGGATCAAAATGAGCAGCGTGTAGAACAACCCATACATAGGAAAAACCTTGTTCTTTTTTTTTTCTCTTAGAGTATGGTGACCTACGATCATGCTATCTATTGTAATATATGCTCGAATAAATGTCGTCTGTAAAGGAAAGCTGTAATGAAATCAACCTAATTCAAATGATTGATCCACCTACAATAATATTAAAGTATGAAAAGATCCAATACAAAAGACAATAGATACTGCCCCGTAACTGAATGTAAAGATTGATGAATTATAAAAATAAAACATTTTGGGAGGCTAGTATGTAGACGTGATATATTGAATTGATATATTCGAGACTTGTGAAATACCAATTAGCAAGCCAATACTTTTGTATGTCTGGTTTGCTAACAAATCTTGTTCTTCCTTTCTTTCTTTCTTTTTATTTTAAACAACATACGTACACTCATTTATGCTAATGTTGAAGCTTTTATACAGGCTAAGAAACAGCACAAGTATGAAAGCGTACAAGCAAAAGCTGTTAATGATAACACAAACAAACAATTTATAAAAAAGGGTAATATAAACTATATTGTTTGATAAAATAAACTAACTCAAACTATTAAAAGGTGTCAAAAGAAAGGATACTTATAAAGAAAAGAAAGATAAAGCAAATGCAAAAAGGGCAAGGAGCTCTACTTCTTCAAGCAAACAAAACTTAACGTGTAAATCTTGCAAAAATATTGGTCATTCTTCAGCAAGGAGTAAAGAATGCCCAAACTATAACTTTACATTGAAAGAGTTACTAAACAGAAATCTTGATTTTAATTATCAAAGATACACTGTTTCTCTACCGCTGAAATCCTTTGTGTCTGCAGCAAATCAAAATGTCTACGAAGAAGCTCTTGAAAAAATCAAGATTCTATCAATGTTTTTACGAAAAGTTGTCATCAATACCCAGTTTTTCGTTAATTTCTATATACTAAGACATCCAAACATATTATCAAATGTAGTTTTTGAACAAAACTTTTGGTACTCTATCTGTAGAGTGATGAACGAAAATATGTCTATCGAGCAGCTCTCATCTAAGTATCCTCAAATTCCGTTTATTTCAGATACGTGGATAGAACTTGCCGGTATTGAAGGTGTTGACTTGATAGTCAAAAGAAATGATCTGACCAATTATGGTCAAATGTTGTCCAGTGCGTGCGAGACTTTGGCTACATGTTACAACAACTAATACATAGAAAACTTTCAAACTTTTATAGCAAACTATTTCATATACATGGTTCGTGCAAAATTTCCCGTAAGTGAGATTTTTTTTTTAAAAAAAGTAGCACTGTACACCATTACAAATATTGACATTTTTTTTATCAAAAGGAGGTGAAGATATCCATTATAAAACATATAGTATTCGAACACATCTTAGATGCGGTGCTTTCTCATAAGGTACAGCCAGCTATGGATGGTAACATTGCTTTTTCATTAAGTGAAGAAGCCCAGGGCAACATCCGTGCCCTCTCAAAACCATTGATTTTAGAAATCAGAAACCGATTACCTTCGTTTCCGATGACAAAAGAAACTCTCAATAAAGCACTTTTTGGTATAATACCAGCATTAAGGCATATTCTGGTTAAATACGAAGCCTTAATTGAGGAAAACCCACAAACACAGCCTGGCTTACTAGAACAATCAGAGCAGACAAATCCACCTAATAGAAAAAGACCAAAAAAGAAGAAGGTTAAGAAGAATAAAATGACGAGCAAAGACAATGAAAAGAAGTTCGTTCCACCCAGGCTCTTTAGTTTGTTTTCAAAACCAAGTCTTCATTGGCGTTTTATAAACATCGATAGCCGAAATTTAGGTGGCATATTTCCTGGGGCTTTTTTGGAGAAACAAGATGAAGAGACTCCTTTCCAACAGATACAAAGATGTTTATTTGCCTACTTCGACTTTTCGAAATTAAACATTAACAGGCAAGTGTTAACATTGTTTACGAGAAATGAGCACACTAATTTTGAATTTGAATAGTCGTGAAGACTTAATAGACTTGCCTCATCGAAAAGGAAAGATGTTTTTTAAATAGCATATATACGGACGGATATACATGCAGGATATCATTCTGTAGAAAAACACAAGCAACATCGCCTAGTACAAGCAAGACTTCTTTGGAACTGCACAATTTTACCAGTGAAGAAATAAATAGATATTTTAGACCTTGTGCTGTAGACCCAAATAGAAAAGATGCATTCGTCTCTTATCATGGGAATACAGACATAAGGTGTTTGTCTTCAGCCGAATACTATGACATGAATGGAAATGTATATCGACAAAAAATGGAAAAAGAGAGCAAGAGAAGATCCAATGTAGAGACTGTTGAAAAACAAATTCCTTCATCGAAAACCATGTCCATAGATCATTATAAAATGTACATGACTCATATGCTACAGCATATGGAAGTTCTGTTCGATTTTTACAGCTTTGAAACTGCCAGAATTAACTGGCTCAATTATGTCGGTTCTCAGCGCGCAGTTGAAAATACTGTCAACATTCTTATTAACGGCTCAAAAAATGCAACAAAAAAAGAAGAGGAAAGACGAAAAGAAATAAGAGAAAAAGAAGACATATTCATGAATACTTTATATTCTTGTTACTCATAACCTTTTCTTTTTTTTTTTTTTTTTTTTTTTTTTTTTTTTTTTTTTTAATAAGCTTATCATTTTCTTTGCCGTATATGAAACATCTCTAGATACTCTTCTTTTATCTTTAATGATAGAAGTTTAGATTTTTAACAAGTTAATAGCTACTGTGGAGTCCTTCAGTGAATAGAAGACATATAATTTGTTATCATAAATTCGTTTATTGAACATTTTCCCGTAGACTAAAAAGACTACTTTCAGATATATAACTTAATGAACGTTGAATTAGGAACATTTTATGTTCATTCAACAAACATAGATAAAGCCTAACCTTAGGGGAAAAAAAATAAGTAGTTTATTTACATGAAATATATATATCCTAATTAAATGTCAAATAATAAAGGTCTAGGAGAAGGAATATGGCTTTTCATAGACTTCTGGATTAATCTGAATAAACCAGTACCAATAGACATAGGGATACCCTTTTTGAAGAAGTATATATTAGTAAATGCAATAATAATAATAATAGCAATAATAAACTTACCATAATAATTTGTTCCGATACACCTACAATTCCGTCTTTCTTAGAGTACAATGCAGCTTCAAACAAGTGATCAGTAGTCTTTTCAAAAGATGCAATACTAAGTACACTGTCCTTCATCTTGGAAATACCGAAACGAGTAATACCCAAAACTTCACCTTTACTAGTCATAATATCACCTAACAAGAATACGTGACGATGATCAATGGTCATACCGTGAGCTGACATAGTATCTTGAATTTCTTTAATAATTGTATTTCTAATAAAATATAATAAGTAAGCTATTATATATGTATATATATTACATATGAATGTAGTTACCTTGCAGCTTCAATACCCAATACGTCTGCAACTTCCATAACATGATTGGATGTAGTTTCATGACCAATAATACCATCTGTAGTCATAACCTCTAATAAACCATAACCTTCTACTAATAGCTGTTTAGCGCCTTTTCCACCTTCCTTTTCACTAATAACAGCTCGAACAACGGATGGAAGACCAGTAATTACGACATTTGTTAAAGCACGTTTAAGAGCCTTCAGACTATAATACATAGATTCATCTTGCTTAGCATGTACGTAGACACGAATAATATCAGGTCTACTAGTTTGAACATCCTATTATTTAAAGCAAATGCATTAATATTAATATTATTATTATTATTATTAATATCAGTTACCAATTGGCCCATCTTAAGTTTTGGAGCAGTTTTAATAGCGTGGGCAATTTGGTGTAAATTGGTTTCTAATTGAAGTCTATTGATAGCATCTAGATCAATACGTAATAGAATATATGCTTCATTAGGTTCATAAACTTCATCCATATACATAGCTACATCTCCTAAAGTGGTTTTTTCAACACGACCCTTAACAACACGAGCGGCTCTTACATCTTTGTTTGAGTGAAGTTCACAAGTAATGATAGGAGTAGAAATAACTTTAGCAGCATTAATAATTTCTTTAATACGAGGTACACCAAGTGTAATATTCATACTAGCAACACCAGCAAAGTGGAAAGTTTTAAGTGTCATCTGAGTACCAGGTTCACCAATAGATTGTGCACCAATAGCACCAACAGCAGTACCTGGTTCAATCTTCGCTTTCATGTACTTGGAAAGACATACTCCAAGATAATCACGTAATTGACGTTCAGTAATAACAAATAAATTACGAACAACCGCTTTCACAGCTTCATCCTCATCTTCATCAATATCGATATCCATATAATCTTCATCAGGAATAGCCAAACCTGATTGTAATCCATGTTTTCTTCTAATAGATGCAAGTTTACCAGCAACCTTTTCTCGGACAAACTTCAGAACCATATCAATAAATGAGGGCATACAATTTCTCTGCCAAACTTCTCTTTGAACTTCTTTTTCCGTAAGATAAATAATTTCCCAAGGTAAGAGGCCTCTATCACTATCTGGGGGAGTTGTTTCTTTGACATGACGTAAATTACGAGTAAATTCTACAGGAATACCTTCACCTTCAATTGTCATAGGATCTAAACCATCAGCACCATAACAGAATTGCAACATAGCACCTTCAGAGTTACGGACAGAAAGATCATAATGAGTTACAAGATCCTCAAAGGCTTTCATCAAACGTCGAGCCATATAACCAGTTTCAGCAGTTTTAACAGCAGTATCAACCAAACCTTCACGACCGGAAATAGCATGGAAAAGAAATTCAGTAGGAGAGAGACCAGTATAGAAACTGTTTCTGACAAAACCTTTAGCTGGAGGGCTTTTGGAATGTTTCAAGAAATGAGGTAACGAACGATCTTGGAAACCATTTGGAATACGATTACCACTAATAATTTGTTGACCAACACAAGCAACCATTTGAGAGACGTTAATTTGTGAACCCTTAGAACCACATCGGGCCATGATACTAGGTGAATTATACATATTTAATTCATTCATACAGACTTTACCAAGATCACCACGAACATTAGATAGAATACCAGAAACAATGGACTCCATCGTTTGTTCTTCGTTACAACCTGCCATCGTTTCTAATTGTCCACTATTATATTGAGCAATAACTTCATCACACTTTTTATAAGCAATTCTAACTTCTTCATTTTTAATTTTACTCAAACGTTCGCCAGGTGTAACATCACTAATACCAATTGAAAAACCGCGATTAGCAAGCCATCTAGCGCAAAGCTTAGCTAAACGATTCATACATTTTGCAGCTTCAATCGGTCCATAATCACGCAAAATGACATAGAACACTGAGTTTTTATTACCATCACCTACAATAGCTTTATCAACAAGACCGCACATGATTTCACTATTTTGAACAACTAGCCAGCCATCATTGGGGCACATATCAGGAAGACGACCTTCTTCTTTCACAAACGACTTGGTCTTTGCTTCAACATTCAATAATACTTTACTTTCCTTATTAGGTCTAAAAAGAATATTAAAAATTTGCTTGCCTGTCCATAAACGTTGAGGTTTCCAAATAACGGGCGGAGGAATATCAATCTTCATATTAGCATCTCCCATCATAGCAATTGCTTGAGTAAATTCGCCACGGGTATAAAAAGTATCCTTATGTGATATTAAATAAGATGCTGTAATAAAATCTTGAGTAGCTGCAATAAGTGGTTCACCATTACGAGGAGTAACTAAATTATTTTTAACCTAAATAAATAAATAAATAAATTAGCTGTAAGAAAAAAATAAAATAAAATAAAATAAAATCAAAAATAAGGCTGCTTACACCCATCAATTCAATAGCTTCTGCTTTGGCTTCTTGTGTTTGTGGTAAGTGCATGTTCATTTCATCACCATCAAAATCAGCATTATAAGGTGAACATACACATTCATTGAAACGAAATGTTCTCCAAGGCATCACCTTGGCAAAGTGAGCCATAATAGAAAGTCTATGAAGAGAAGGCTGACGATTGAACAAAACAACATCATTATCCGAAAGATGACGTTCAACGATATCACCAATTTTCAAATCTGCTGCAATTTCTTGTCTATTACCAAACTTTAAAAATCTCTTCATACCATTGGCACCTTGTACGAAATTAGCACCTGGATGAACAAAAGGACCATTAATAACGTTTTGGCGTAGCTTATGAATATTATGTCGATTGACACGTTCAGGAAAAGTGAGAATCTTAGCAACACGTTCAGGTACAGCAACTTGATCAATACGCATGTTGGGATCAGGCGAAATCACAGTACGACCAGAGAAATCAACACGTTTACCAGATAGATTACCTCTGAAACGACCTTGTTTACCCTTCAAACGTTGACAGAGACCACGACTAGGTTTACCAGCGTTAGCATTAGGAACACCAGGTAATTCACTATTGATATACATAGCAGCAGCTAGCTGTAAAAACTCCCATTGCTCCATCAAATTCATAACTGTAACACCTCTTTCCAAACCAGCGCGGATAATTGCATTAGTAAAAATAATTTCGGTTAATTTTGCTGTCAAATCATCTTCATTACTCGTATTATCATCCTGTACAACAGAGGGACGAATACAGGCAGGAGGAACAGGAAGATATTGCCAGATATACCATTCAGGCCTACCATGTTCTTCACTCAAACCCAATAATTCACAATCCTCTGGTGAAATTCGTTGAAAGAGTCTTAATACACGAAGCGGGTTTAAATCATCCTGTGCTTTACTGATATGAGATCGAAGTTCAGGCATAGATGCTGCAGCTGTTTCAAACGTTTTTCTAAATTGCTCTGCCTCAGCATCAACTCGTTTTAAACGATATTTATCGTGTGTGATCTTCATGGGTCCAACTTTCTTAACAACACCATTAACTGCATTACAATGAGGACAATATGTGACTTTTTTACATTTATCATTGATTTGTTTAATGATTCGATTTCGTTGCAAATTATCTAAGCCAGGTGCTCTTAATCTTCTTAAATACATTCGACGATCAGCTTCTTCTAACATAACACGACTACAGGTCTACTTGTACTTAGGTTTAAGCAGCTTGTTAAAATGAATTCTTAATAAAAAAAGACGTACCTTACAAATTTCCTGCAAGATATTGATAACAGGTCTAAAATAACCAATGTGAAAGATAGGTAAAACAAGCTTTACATAGCCCCAATGGCCAGCGCATTCTTGCATCTTTTGCCCACAAGTTTCACAAAAAGCATCTTTTAAAGTTGTACCCTAAAACAAATGCTTAGAAAACTATTTTAAAATATAAATACATTTATGTATATAAACCACTTATTTACCAATCTTAAATCAAGAACACCACCTTTGATAGGTGTACGGCTTTCAGGCATATATAGATCCCTTTGAGTAATCTCAAATTCTGAAATCTTCACCATGTTTTGAGGTGATAAAACACCAAATTGAATGTACCGACTATTTGTATTTTGTCAATGAAAATTAAAATCATTTAGTACATGTATTTGTGAAAGAAAGAAAAAAAAACATCATCGAAGTTACATTTTTTTTGGTGTATTATCAACGACTTGCTCTTTCATTTTGCTCTATACTGAATTTCAGTTATGTTTCTTTTAAAAATTTTTTCTTTTTCTTCGAGTTCTTATAGTGATGATAGCTTGTTGAGTGCAATTAAAAAATTAAAAGGAAAAAAAAAAGAAATTGGTTCAAAACAAATGAAAGAAGAAACAAACTAAATATAAGAACACAAGGTTTCCCTTTTTGTTTTACACTACGAAACCAAATTCTTCTTTTAATAGAGCTTTTATAACTGAAGAAGTACACAAATATTTATTCCTTATTTTGATAGCAGAATGAAAATTATTGTGACTGTTTTTCGTTTTTTTTTATCCAATAGTTCTTATTTGGACTGGACCAGTATTTGCGGATACTCCTCTTTGGCTAAATTGTTTACTGCAAGAGTGTTAATTATTAAAGAAAAAAAATATCAACTACTGATAACATAAAAAGGATTCTATTTAATAAAGTTATCATAAAGTAGGAGAAAGTTTTTTTATACATCAATTACAATATATAACGAAGATAGCAACATATAATAAAGCATATAAACTTTTGAGGGAAAGCTTGCAATTAAACGTCAATAATAACGCTACTTGATACAATTTCACTTTATATCTTCCTCCAATGCTACTATGAGATTATTGTTACTCGAAGAAGATAATTTCAAATATATTATACTTTGTAGTTAGTATTGAAGAAGAGACGCTTTACATCGATCATATATTATCATATAATATAAAACGGATACTAATAAGTACAACTCAAATCAATACATTATACAAATTTTTAGAACATAATTGCTGTATATATTCTGTAAATAAGTTACAAGAGTTACTTTATAATATTGACATAAAATACCATTCAATTATAATTTATAGCGTCTTCTTAACTTGTTCTAGGTTGTTTTAGAAATGATATATTGATTTGGTCATGTATATTTTATAGTAAGAAACTTAATATAGGTATATAAAAAGGAATAAAAGCAATCACAATAAGAAAGCATATAGAAGAATTCTGTATAAGTAAAACTAAAATGCTCATCAACCAATTTGGATAATTAAATAACTAATAGAATAAAATGCAAGAACTACATAAATTTAACATTGACTATTTTGAACAGTAAGCATATTCGTTAGTAGGGCAGTACTATGCTATCTTATTTTGCACAATATACATAATAGTAATGTATTTCTAGTTATCAGATTAGATATTATTTATATTATAAAATAATACAAGAAGAGGCAATTTTTGATATTTTTCATAAACTATTCTTCCTCTGTCCTCTATTATTATCCCTCCTTTTTTTTTCTTTTCTTTAAACAACTATTGCTTTGACTTTCCAATTATATTAAATCTAATTGGGCTCATTTTCACGACTTTTATTTCTAGTTGTAGGCCATAATCATATCATGAAGATGATGAAGTTATAAAGCTTTCAACAAAGGAACATTGCCACGCTTCTGATTCAATCAAAAGAATGAAAAAAAAAGAAGAATTAAAGTAACAACGAGGAATTAAAGATATTGAAACAAGTATCCCTTCACTAGAAACTTCGTCCTCTAAACAATATCTCCGATATGCACAATATATAATGGCTCATATTAATAACTTATTGGATTTTTATTGTTTTAGAATAGCAAAAATTAATTGGCAGAATTATCATAGAAAATTACGAGCTCTTAATCAATGCACAAATATTTTTCTAAATGGTTAATAAGAACAAAAGATAAAAGACTGGAAGAAATAATAATAATAAAAAAATTTTGGTTCTGACATATTGCCCATTTATATAAAAAGGTACAAAAGTCAATTTCAAGATAAAAAATGCCATTGGTAATTTTAGGAGATAGATTTAAAGATAAAAGACATATTTATATTCAAAGACATAAACATGACGTATCGGAAGAAATCCGTAAACACTTGAAGAAGAAGTAGAAGTCTGGAGAGGTTTTGCTTTTAGATATAAATGAGGTCAGAACTTCGAGTGTAAATCGATAAAACAGGACTATGCATTGTTTATTTATTTTTTAATAAATATTTGTATAATAGGTTTGCCACTCTTACCTATCTTGAAATTTAAAGCATTCTAAAAACCAAGATAATACCTATATTCATCATATACTGATCTGCAACGACTGTAGTATATTTTGGAATAGTAATGTTATGGCTTGTAAAAACATGTTTCTCATTTCAACAGAGATATGGGTTGGCCAAGGAAGACCCAATATTTTTCTGTAGAAAATGAAATAAAAGTGCCACAACGAACATGGTTGACTCTTCTTTACAGGAGAGACTTAAAGATTTATACAGTTAAGATAATCATTCTATTGCACTAAAAAAAATATCAGCTTTGTTTTTTTTCTAATCTCCCGAAATTTTGTAGGAAATTTTACTCTAGTTTTGCAAGCCTCTTATTGTAATATTATTAAACGAGTATTTTGAATATTTTGTAGTCAATATAGAGAGTGTGTCATTTTTATTGACAAAACGAATTAAATACGTTTTTATAGAAAATCACTGGCAAATTTAAAAATTTCGGGGGGAAATCGACTTCAAAAAAAAAACAATAATTTGCCAATTAGAAAATTTATGAACTCAGGTTCTTTTTCAATGTATTCGTTGTACTGCAATATAGCAAATACATTTTTTTTCTTTTAGATCCCCTCCCCCTCTTTTTTTTTTTGTTTTTATATTGTAGAAAAAAAAGGGTAAAGAAACTCTCTCTTTCTTGCCCCCTTCTTTTTTTCTATAGAAAATGTCTTTCATAAAAAATAAAAGCTTATCAATAAATAAGAGGCCATCGTTCAATAATCCTTATAAACAAATGAAAGATGATTCGAAAGATGATCAAAATCTTCAGCAAAAAGATCAAGGTGAAGAATTGTCAAATTCATTCATGACATTCGCTCCCAAATCAAGTGTCAGTATTAATCGCCGTTACACTCAAAAGAAACAACCACCCAATGTGACAGAATTCATGACAGAATTTGAACAGGAACGACGATCCTCGCCCCCTCGATCTCCTATTGAAGAAGATGATGATTCAATAACAAATGTAAAGAGTAATATGATGTTATATGATGATGCTCAAGATTTTTCAGATACTGCTCGTTTAACAATAAATGCATCGTCTATTTCAGGATTTTATAACCAAGAAGAAAGCAGTAATAGTCAGCATTATACTATAGATAAGCCAACAACAAATCAAAACAAATTTAATCCAATACATACAAAGGAACACAATGCTCGTATATCATTTCAACATGGACGTCCAGTCAGTAAAATGTATGAACCTGCATATATTGATCCAGAATTAGAACAAAAGTCGAGTCGACGAAAAATGAGTCAGTTTATTTATTTTGATAAAAAAGTTTATATTGAAAGCATATCTAAAACAATAAGACAAGTATCTAGAAGAGTTGTTAATGTGCATAATATTCATGAAAATCATGACTTTTCACTTCAAATTTACCGAAAAGATTTGATTAATAAAAATAGCGAACAGCTTTCTTTAATGAAAAATGTAACAGCTCAGCATAATGAAGAAGACGGAAATGAATCCGATACCTCTTCCCATGTAAATGAGATAATACCTATGACTCTAACCTCTTCTAACATTCATTGCAATACAACGTCTATTTCTCAACAAAATATTACTGCAGCATCTACTACTACTGACTACACAAATATCGCTTTTCAACAAGAAAATAAGCGTTTTACCAAATTAAGTGGAAAGAGTCTAAAATTATTTTCTCCAACAAATTCATTTCGATTACTTTTTGCTAAAATTTTATTTTGGAAGTAAGTTATACAGAAATTAAAAAAAAAAAAAAAAAAAAAAATTAATAACAGATTGAATAGATGGTTTGAAACATTTATTATGCTTTTATTAGTGTTACATGGAACTGTGCTATTAGTAGTTGGTTGGGGATCAAACCCATACCCAAATCCACCTAGTGAATGGACTCCAACTTGGGATCAAATTGTGCTTCTTGTTATATTTTCACTTTATACGTAAAGTATAAGCTTTATATCAAAAGAATATAAATAGCTCGTTTCTTCTTCTTTGCCTTTCTTTTTGTTAAATAACTAATGAAGATTTTATATCTATTATATATAGTTTAACAACCTTTTGTCGTATCATTGTTTATGGCCTTATCATTAATTCAGATTCGAATTTTAAAACAGCCTTTTTAAGACATAGTTGGAATAGAATCGATTTTGTATCTATTATAGCTTATTGGATCGACTTAATTCTATTGCTTACTCATCAAGAGATTATAGGAGACTATAGACGAATTCTAGTATTTAAAACGCTTTCAGCCCTTATTTTATTTCGTTTATTGAATTTGACAGATGGAAGTAAAGTCATTTTGAATAGTCTAAAAAAGGCTGCCCCTTTATTAGTAAATGTTTTATTTTTCGTCCTATTCTTTTTTGTTATTTTTGCGTAAGTTTTATATACATGGAAATTATCCATAAGATAAAGTAATTACTTATTCAACTTATAGAATTGTTGGTGTACAGTCCTTTGAAGGATCATTTAAACGACATTGTGTATGGCATGGTAAAGTAATTTTAAATAATAAACTTAAATTTACTAATTATTAATATACATACATGTTTAAAGATCCTAATAATGCAAGCAATACACAAGAATTACAGCAATACTGCGGTGGTTATATAAATGCTTCGGGAGCAGTTGTACCATACAAACTAAAAGATGGTACTTCTGCACCATGGTCAAAAGGATTTATTTGTGAAAATGGTTTAATATGTGAGGTATGATAATAATAATAATAATAATAATAATAAAAGGCTTTTACTAAATATATTAAATTCAGGAAACCGAAAATCCTTTTGGAGGTACAATTAGTTTTGATAATATATTTTCATCCATGCTGATCGTTATGATTATCACTGGTGGTAAGCTGATAGTTGTGATAGTAAAAAAAAAAAAAAAAAAAAAAAAAAAAAAAAAAAAAAAAAAAAAAAAAAAAAAAAAAAAAAAAAAAAAAACTTTTCCAGCATATTTAGTTGCCTTTATTCATAGTACAATCATGGACTGATCGAATGTATGATATGATGGATGCTGAATATTTTATAGCTTGCCTTTATTTTGTTATTATTGTCATTGTAATGAATCTTTGGCTTATTAATTTATTTATTGCTGTTATCACTGAAATGTTTGCTAAAGTTAGAGAAGATTCTCAGCATTCTGCATTTACTAACTCAAAGTAAGTAACGATATATATATATACATATTTGTAATAAACTGCGCTATTATGTTTATTTAAAATTTAATATAAATAGAGCAAGACCCGTACTAGCAGACACTAAAGAAGAAGAAGGCGAATGGGCATTTTCAGAACAAGATAATACCCAAACAAAAGCATCAAAAAATAGGTCAAAATTAGCCTCGATTGTCAAATACATGAAACCATTTTGGATTATATTGGTTGTTATTGATTTATTTTGTATGGCCTCTAAAAACATAAATATGACAGAGGCTCAGATTGCAGCTTTAAATTTGGCAGAGACTATATTTACATTTGCTTTTCTATTTGAAATTATATTACGTATGTTAAGTCAAAGAAAAAATTTGAAGGAGTTCTTCGAGGATAAGTTCAATTTTACAGACTTTTTTATTGCATTAATCACTACCATCATCCAAATTCCTCCTAATCACAAGAATGAGTTTGTATATGTATGGTTTACTGGATTCCAAGTTTTACGTATCTATAGACTAGTTGTAGCAATCCCTAGATTAAGAAAGTTAATGGTAAAAAAAAAAAGAATGCCTTTTATATATATACATACAAGTATATAATTTTTTTTATTAGTCCCGTGTTCTAGGAAGTGTACATGGTCTTATCAACTTGACATTTTTTATTATATTAGCTACTTTAATATGTGCTATAATTGCATTTCAATTACTTGAAGGAGTTATTAACGATCCAGAAGATAGTCCTGAAATGCGATTTTTCTCAGTCTATAACTCATTTGTTGGTTTATATCAACTCTTTTCCGGTGAAGATTGGACGACTGTACTGTATAGTATTATGGAAGCTGGTTCGAATAACGGAAACAGTGCAATTTACGCCCTGTTTCTTGTATTTTGGTTTGCCTTTTCGAATTTTGTTTTAGTAAACATGTTTATTGCTGTTCTAATGGAAAATTTTGAAATTGCTGAAGAAGATAAACGTAAACGACAAGTTTTACAATTTATGGAAAAGACAGAAAATGAATTAGATAAAAATACAGTCGTCAGTCGATGGAATCTTTATAGATATTTTAAACCTAAAGCAAAAGGCTTAGATATTAAAAATATACCTAGTAATCTTATATTATCCGTACAGAAAAGCATTGTACGTGAGTTTATGAATGAAGCAACCGAATCAAACATAAATGAATCTCCAATGATACATTCGAAGATAGACAATCATAATATCGAAAAATATCCAAATAATGGAATCCTTGGTAAAATACAAAATTTTTTAACTCAATTATTTACCAGTTCTTCGGAAAGAAAACAGCAGCAGCAGCAGCAACATAAACAACGACAAACCAATAGTTTATATATTGATTCTATTAATGTTTTTGATCAAGTTGGAACATTTTATGACTTTAAAAAAAGAGGAGCTACGCATGACCTTAATGAGCCTAGATCATTACGATATTTGGTTGACCCAACTTTAAGAGAGACAGTTGCTAGTAGATATCAACAAGAAATAATAGATCTCGATATTGAGGAGAGAAAGGCATTAAAAAGGGATTTTATTGCTGCACATCCTACCTATGATAAATCACTCTATCTATTTTCTTCAAGGAATCCTATTCGACGATGGTGTCAATTAATTGTGCCGCCAAGCCGTGGAGAACGTATCTTTGGTACACGTGCATCTAAATGGGGAAGCATTATTTTCTTAACATTCATTACATGTTGTGTCATTGCTAACGTTGTTCTCACGATTTATAACTCTCCTGTTTATCAGTATGAACATCGAAACGATCGTTCTGCCATTATGCCTTTTATTTATGCTGACTGGGCCTTTACAGTGATATTCACATTTGAGTTTGTAGTAAAAGTCATTGCTGATGGCTTACTATTTACACCTAATGCTTATTTACTAAATGGATGGAATATACTTGACTTATTTGTATTGATCACTTTGTATATGTCAAACTTTGGTAATTTTGCTGCATCTACTGGGTTGGAACGTGGATTTCGTGCATTTAAGGCATTACGAGCTTTACGTCTCATCAATTTACTTGGTCCTGCAAAGGAAACATTTTCCGCTATTTTGGTGACAGGTCTTCCACAAATTTTTGATGCAGCTGTTTTAGGTTTATGCTTAATTGTTCCATTTGCTATCTATGGACAAAATATCTTTATGGGGCTCTTTTATTACTGTAATGATGGGGAAGGAAATAAGATAGAATGCATTTATGAGAGGTCTTTAGGTACACAAGAGCCTATGCCTGATGATACTAGTATCTACATGCCACGTGTCTGGAATAATCCCTATGTCTATAGCTTTGATTCGTTTTGGAAATCTCTTTTGATCTTATTCGAAATAGCGAGTGGTGAAGGTTGGATTGATGTAATGACGACTAGTATGAGTATTACAGGAAGAGATCAAGCACCTCAACAAGATGCAAGTCAGCTTTGGGGTATATTTTTTATGGTTTATAATTTAGCTGGTTCTGTATTTGTCATTTCACTCTTTCTTGGTGTTGTTATTGAAAATTTTACCAAAAGAAATGGTACAGCTTATTTGACAAGTGATCAGCGACGTTGGCTTGATCTTAAAAAGCTGCTTAATCAAATCCGACCTGCCAAGAGACCTAAGATTGTTCCCAAGAATCGTATTCGTAAATTGTGTTATGATTTAACAGTTGAAAAACGAGGCAAATTTTATAAACTGATAACTGTTGTTATCATATTAAATATCATATTCTTGTGTATGGACACAGCTAATAAGAAAGACACCTATAGCACAGATAATGATCCAACAGGATGGGGTTATATTAAAGGTAAGAACACATATGGAAAAGATGTACCTTTTTATTTATTAATTAAGCATAATGTATGCATCTATTATTACTATATAGTGTACATTTATTTAGGCTTCATATTTATTTATTGGCTTGAGATTCTGATCAAACTATTAGGGCTTGGCTGGAATTCATTTAGACAAAACTTATGGAATCTATTTGATTTTATAATGGTTATTGGTAGTTTTATTACTGCTATTATTACTCTTAGTAATCCCTATCTTCAAGTTAATATTGAATCACAAAAATTATTTATGACCGCACTTTGCTTTAAACTTGTTCAAAGAAGTGATAGTTTAAATCAATTGTTTACCACTATGGCGTAAGTCAATATATAAATATATACGTAACCATTATTTATTGGGTTCTTTTTTTTTTTTTTTTCCTCCTCATTAGGGCATCGTCATATCGAATTCTAAATGTATTTGCTGTCTGGTTTATAGTTTTGACGACCTATGCCATTATGTTTATGCAGATATTTGGCTTAACTAAATATGGACCAAATGCAACAACAGAACATGTTAATTTTAGAACTTATTCAAATACTATGATTTCGCTTATTCGATATTCTACAGGGTAAACAAAAATACTAGTTAAAGAACAATATACATATAAATATATATATATATATATATATCTTACATATCATTTTATACTAGTGAGGGATGGAATTCAATTATGCATGATTTCACTGTAGAATATCCACACTGTGTTTTAGCAGATGACTATCTTGATTCTGATTGTGGATCACTTAGATGGTCTTATTTTTTATTCTTGACATTCAACATTATATCCATGTACATATTTATTGCTATTTTTGTAGCTGTTGTAGCAGATAATTTTTCATATGTTTACCAAATCAGAGCCAACTTTTCTTTGGTGAATAGAGATGAAATCAGAAAATATCCTTTTTTTTTAATTATTATTCTTTAATATTTTTATTATATTATTCAATATCCATATACTTATCCTTAACCCTCTCTCTCTCTCTTTGTTTTTTTTTACGTTTAAGATGACTTGGGCATCAATAGATACAAATAGAACAGGGTACATCCTACCAAATCAATACATAATATTCTGGAAGGTAAATGATTAGAAAATAAAGGAAACGAATGAATGAATATCGATGATTCACTAATATACACTATAAATCATTAGAAATTGGAAGGCATATTTAATATTAGAATATTTGAACCGGAATTCTCTTATAAAAACTTGGTGAAGACTTGTACTGTCTCACAAAAGTCCATAGATAATACAAATGATACCCGTTACCAACATCATCTTGACCTGAAAGCTCTTAATTCCAAGCTAAATCTATTAAATAGACAAGAGATTCATTTGAGGAGACAAGATCTCGAAAAAATATATTGGGTAAGCCAATATGAAAGAAGCAATCTGTATACTATATATATATAACATGTATTAACTTGTTCTTACCTCTCATATCGCTTTTATCTCTTTTAGGAAACTGCATTGATTGAATCTTCATCTAAAGGTGTATCATTTAATCAGATGCTATTAATGTTAGCACAAAGAAAGTTGATTGTTCCTGAGAATGCACTTGTGTAAGTCTTTTATTTTTTTTTTTTTTTTTTTTTTTTTTGTATCGAATCGATTCAGTCTTCTGACTATTTTATAATAGATTAGAGGAATTGTTAGAGAATCAGAAGAAAGAAGAAGCAATACATACCTTAATTTCAATTGACCGTGTAAGAGGTTTACTCGAAACGATTGCTCTAAGGAAAAAGTTTTTAAAGTATTTGGATGATAAAAAACAAAAGAATAGTAAGTATAAATATAAGCAATATTATGATTTGTTTAAATAATGAAAACATTTCTCTCTCTCTCTTCTTTTATCCAATTAGTACCTACTATTGTCATTAACGAGAATGATAAGATACAACCTCAAATGAATGATATAAAAACTTGCGATGAAATATCGACTGCAAAGTAAAAAACATCTATTTAATGATTAATCAAAACCACGTGATATTAATATATTTACATGAATATATTTAAAATAGTAGAAGTCATAATTCGTTTTATGATTTATATTTATCAAGTGACGAAGATGAAAGCCATGAGGATATAGAGAATGAAGATACAATTGCTACTTCTCGATTAGATAGTAGTTCGATGAATGATAATATGTCATACAGTATTTGGGAAGGTGAATATAATGTGGCATACTTTATATGTTCTTATCATTGATATTTTTAATTTCTATTAGACATGTTAAAAGAAGAAACTCAGTAGAAAAAAAAAAAGAAGAGGAAACACACTGTTTTTTTTTATATAAATTTATTTCTTGTCTTTGTGATAGAAAGACCTTTAAATTATTATTAAAGTCTAAATAAATAGACTTTTCTTTTTTTTTTTTTTTTTTCAGGCACTTTTTAACATAATTTTGAAATAGAGCTGATTGTTTAATGTGGCTTGTGTGCATAAAAGCGGTCACGTCACATATCCCTTCTTTTTCTCTATTTTTTTTTTTTTAAGAAAATAAAATAAAATAAAAAGCTTTTTTTTTCATATACACATATAACTGTTGCTTTACTAAAATAAACGCCGCACAAGGAACACATGTCAAAAGCCGACAAAAAGAATAAAAAGGGACAGTCCAAAGCTGTTGAAAAAAAGACAACTAATAAAACCGACAAAGCCGTTAACAAGCAAACAAACAATAAAAACGATGCCATTGACGATAAACTTCGTGATGCCATTTTATCTTTGGGCGGAACTAAGAACGATCTGAAGTTTTTAGAAAATATCGATCTCGAAGATGATGACAAGTTAGAGACCGATGCTAACAATAAAGAAGAGGTATATTAAACAATTGTATTAGTTTTAGTAATGATAATTATTTAACAAAGTGTTTTCTAATTCAAAGGCTTCTCTCCAAAAAGAATTGAAAAGTTTCATGGCAAATATTGGTTTAACATCTGACAAATATGAAAAGGAAGTTGAAACAGATAATGAATTAGAAGAAGAGGAGAATGAAGAAGAGGAAGAGGAAGAGGAGGAAGAGGAGGAAGAGGAGGAAGAGGAAGAGGAAGAGGAAAATGATGAAAATGATGCAGAAGAAGAGACCTTAAAGATTCATAAACCTAAATCATCATCTGTGGTATGTATATTATCGAAAAAAAAAAAGAATATTAAAGTAATAATGCATTAAATCCATTATTTGATAGTTAATTGAACCTACACCATACTGGTACAATGTTTCTCTTCCTAATGTATCTGTTGAAAATGTATCAAGACTAAATGCAGCTGAAACATCTGAAAAATACACTTATGCTAAACAACTCTTGAATGAAGAAAATACGAAAGCAGAAAAGCATCCACTTCTTACTTCATCTAATCGTAACTTTATGTCCAATATTATTACATCTGGTACTTTAAACGATAAGGTTTCTGCTTTAACATTAATGATTCGTGAATCTCCTCTTCATGCTATAAAGACATTAGATACTTTAATGGCAATGGGCAGAAAGAAAGGCCGTAATGAAGCTGTAATGGCAATGACTAGTTTAAAGGATTTGTTTATGGGTTCTGTCTTACCTGATCGTAAATTGATCTATTTTGCTGATAGACCTCTTGCATCTAAAGATGTGCAAGATGTTCATTTGCTTTTATGGGCATTTGAGGATCACCTTAAAAAAACATATCTTGAATTCCTTAAAATGGTTGAGGTATATATGCATATAATACATATATAACTTTTATAATTTACTTAATTTTGTTCAACGTTAGGAACTTGCACGTGATACTTTGATGTATGTTCGTAATAATATGGTTGTTTGTATGTTTGATCTTTTAGTTAATAAGCCAGAACAAGAGCAGAATTTATTAAAATTGCTTGTCAACAAGTTGGGTGATTCAGATAATAAAGTTGCAGCCAAATCATCACAGTTATTGATTGAATTACTGGTAAAGCATCCTGGCATGAAGTTATTTGTCATTCGTGAAATAGAGCAATTCTTATTCCATCCCAGTACTAGCGAAAAGGCTCAATACTATGCAATCATTACTTTGAATCAAACCATTTTAACTTCAAAGGATACAGTAGTAGCGAATAAATTAATTGAACTTTACTTTATTTTCTTCCGTAAGATTCTAAAGATTGTTGAAGAAGAAGAAAAGGAAGAATTAAAGAAAAAGAAGAAGGCACAATCTGAAGAGGAACCAGAGAAAAAGAGTGAAAAGAAGAAAGCCAAAGAAAAGCTTCAAAAGAAAAAAGAAATGGAATTAGAGGATCATCAAGCGAAAATGATTGCTGCTATTTTAACTGGTGTTAATCGTGCATTTCATTTTGCTAATATTTCTGATGAAATGTAAGAATGAAAAAAAAAAAACGGTACAAACAATTAAATTATTATTTACAATATGATGATTTTATATTATAGGGTTGAAAAGCATTTAGAAGTTTTGTTTAAGATAACTCATTCAAGTACATTTAATGCTGCCATTCAAGCTCTCTCGCTAATTTTCACCATTTCTCTTTCAAAGACAAATGTATCTGATCGCTTCTATCGTACATTATATGAATCATTATTGGATCCTAGAATTAGTCATTCTTCAAAACAAGCCATGTATCTTAATTTATTGTTTAAAGCCATTCGTGCTGATACAGATACTCGTCGTGTAAAAGCTTTTGTAAAAAGAATAGTACAAATTGCTGCACGAAATCAACCTACTTTTATAACTGGTATCTTTTTCCTTTTAAGTCAGGTAATATATAACTATAACTATATCTACTATATACAAGCTTACTAACGTGTTATTTGAATCCAATCCTTTTATAGTTAATGGAGGCTCAACCCGGTTTAAGAGCTATGCTAATTACTGCTGAAGACGATGAAGAGGAAGAATATTTTGTTGATGCACCTGAAGAAGATGATGATGAAGAAAAGAAGAAGAAGATTAAAGAAGAGAAAGAAAAGAGGGTTAATACTAAAGCTCAATATGATGGTAGAAAGCGTGATCCTAGATTCAGTAACGCTGAAAAGAGTTGTTTATGGGAATTGGTAAATAGAAAAGAGTGCATAGAAATTAGCTAAAGTTAGCTTTACTTACTTTTAAAATATAGATTCCATTCAAAAATCATTATCATCCTTCTGTTGCTAAATATACTGAACAATTATTTGCAGGCGAGCCTATTAAAAATCAACCTGATTTACATGATTTCACTTTAATGCATTTCTTGGATAAATTTGTTTATCGTAATGCAAAGAAAACAGTAACAACTAAAGGTCAATCTATTATGCAGCCTCTTAGTGGTAGCAGGCGTGATGGTGGTATTGTATTTACTAAAGGCAGTGGTATCAAAGATGCTAGTGTTGCAGTCAATTCTGAAAAGTTTTTGAATTTGAAGGAAGAAGATGTCAATGCTGATGAAGTAAGTATAATAATAAAGTATAAAATAACAAGGAATGTCACTCATCTTGGGTTTATATATATAGGTCTTTTTCCATAAATATTTCAATCAGAAGGCAGCAATTGCACCTAAAAAACCAAAGAAAGAAAAGAATCTAGATGAGGATGATGAAGAAGACGAAGTATGGCGTGCCATGATGTCATCTATACCCGGTGGATTAGAAAATGAAGATGAGGATGATGAAGGGCTCGAAGATGATGAAGATGATGAAGATGATGAAGCCATGAGAGCTTTATTAATGGACGATGAGGATAATTTTGAAGGAGAAGGAGAAATGGTTGAATTTGGATCTGATGACGATAATAATGAAACAATGGAAGATGAAGATGATATTGAATTATTGAATGCATCAAGCATGGATGAAGAAGAAGTTGAAAATAGTAATAAACGTCCTGCAGATTCGGAAAATAACACAAGTCAACGTCAAAAGAAAAAACAAAAGAGAGAAAGTCTTCCTACTTTTGCTTCTTATGAAGATTATGCCAAGCTTATTGAACAAGACTTGAGTGATGAAGAATAAAACTGTAAATAATAATAAAATATAGAATTTGCTAGTATCAATTGTCTTTTTTTATTATTATTATTTATTCAAAAAGAAATGAATAATGAAGTCATTGAATAGCCCATTTTGTGTAGTAAGTTACTATCAAGAATCAATAAGGCCAACTACTCTCTTTTTAGTGATATCAAATAGTATTACTTCAAGTCAGCTTCAGTTATATTCACCCAGTCTTTATTTCATTTATTTGAATAATAGCTTAAATTCTTAATGTATCTTTTATTTTATTTTACTTTACTTTTGTCTCTTAAAAAGTAATATTTATGGAAAGGCCTCTTTTACATTTGCACTTATACCAGCGTCCAACACGTTCCTGTACCTGACACAATGATTGTGTCTAGACTTGTGTTAAACCTTTTAGACTTCTCCTCTTCTTGGTTTAATTTTATTTATTTTATGAAGAGACAATCTCTTGTGAATATACTCGGATATATTACGAATTTAGTCAACTATAGTTAACATCACATTGTAACTTCTTGCATGTAAAGAATTGTCCTGTATTATTTGTTCTATCATTTATAAAAAAAAAATGGAACTAAAAGGGATTTAAATGATATTCTTAACTTGTAATAGCATTTAATGACTTCATTACAAAATAAAAAGATCCCTTTTTCTTTTTTTTTCCTTATCAAATATGACTATGAATGGCGTTCTTATTATTTTTGTATTTTAAAGGAAAATGACGGAAAAGGAAGTATTTTCTTATTTTCAAGTTTTACAAGATACACGTATATCAAAAAAAAAAGCTTATATTTATCATATATGTAAAAGGGAAAAAAATGTCGTAAGTGGAAACTTCATCATTAAACTTGATATATTTACTATTAAACAGATAAAGAATTTTAGTATTATTAAAATTTACTATGCAAGTCTAATAACAAAATTAAAAAAAAAAAAAAAAAGTTGCCATTTGATTGGATAAATTATGTAAATGAAGTAAAAAAATGGTTCCAATAAACAAAAGACAGAAAAAACTTCCGGAGTTTTAAAATCAAATTCATTTTATAGTAAAATAAATCAAACAAGTGTATTATTGAATAAATACTAAATATAAAGATGCGTCTAGAGATAAATAATTAATTTATTCAATTAAGAGTTCATAAAGTAAATTAGAAGAGGAACTTGATCTACTTGAATTAAGTAAGAAATAGTAGGCTTATCTGTGTATTATTTTATTACACATTCGACTAACCCATAATTTAGCTTCAGTCAGACCGGAAGTTAAAGCAATTGTACTGAGTTAGAAATTTTAGTTCCATTGTATCTATAGTAAAGAGAATAATAAACTCATCAAGAGTATTGGAAATATATCCTATTTCTTTATTTAAAATTGAAACGTCGTACTAGTAACTGCCTAATATTTTTAATGCAAATAATGATAATACATAATTTATACATTTATATATTTTGTACCATGACAATCTTAAAAAATATATATATATATAATTTTAAGTGAAACGTCTGGAATAAACATTCAGCTTTCTTCTTGGTTCGGAGACCTTCTTTGTTTAAAAACCCGGCCGAATTGTGTAATATTTTTGGGCTTCTTTTTTTTTATAAATTACAAATCAAAGTTAGATATTTTTTTTTTTTTTCTTTTTTCAAGTATTGTTCTATAAAATACCCTCTTCTATATTTCTTTTTATTATTATTATCACATACTCTTCCTTCTCTTCTCTTCCCTATATTTCTTTTTATAATATAAATATTAAAATGCCTATTCCTATTGAATTCAATTCTATTCGCCGTATGAGCACAATCACTGTACCCAAACAAGATATTAATTTTGAGTGAGTTTTTAATTAATATTTTATATACACGAAAAAGAAGTGAAACCTTTTTTTTTTCTTTTTGAACTAAAACATTAAAAACTCTTTTTATATTAGCGCTTATGATTTTCAACTCTGTCAACCACAAACTGATATTAAAGGGGCGTTAGAGTCACGCGAACTTGAAGCATCTTTTTGTCGTGACTTTGCTTGCTGTGGTTTGGTTCTTGAAGACCTTCATAATTTATTACAACATTATGAAGAATGTCATGTTAGACTTGAAGACGATGAGAGTAGTTTTTTTGACGATAGTGAAACTACAAGTTGGTCTTCTATTGCTTCTTCATCTGTACCAAGTAGTCCTATTATGTTGGACGAAGAGAATGATCAAATTATTAATTTGAAAAAAAAGGCAGCTGCTTATCTTTCTGATTTATATAATTCAACTTCCCCTGTTTCTGAAGAAGACTTAACCGATGAACAAGAAGAAGTTGCTGTAACAGAAACATTAACAACTAAATCAACTACGACACCATCGGCTAAAAAATCTTCAGGAAAGAAGAGATCTTATAATCAATTAAGTTCACCTCCTAATGCACTTGATATATTAACTCAAACTGCAGTGAAAAAGATTGCTCTTGCTTCGGGTGGTGATATACCTACACCCTTATTAACAGATGAAGAATTTTTAGCACAAGCTGGAGCCCTGTTAGCTTCCGCCAATGTAAATTTGAATTCTGATAAACCCTACAAATGTCCAGTTCGTGGGTGTGACAAAGCTTATAAAAACCCTAATGGGTTAAAATATCATAATCAACATGGTCATTGTAATATGACAGCTGATGAAAGTGAGATCCTGTCTAAACCCTATCAATGCACAATTGGTGGTTGTGGTAAAAGATATAAGAACTTGAATGGGTTAAAATATCATATTGAACATTCTCATATGGCAGTTTTAAATCATACCTTATCTTCTTTCTTTTCATCACTTACGGCTAATGATGAATCATCTCTATCTTCCTCACAGTCATCATCTACCTCGAATTCTTTCTAAGAAAAAACACTCCCCTCATATATGTATTTTTTTTTATTCCTTTGTATACACATTTTACGTCCCTTTTCCTCACACATATACTCTCTCTCTCTTTCCCTCCTACATACATATATACATACATATATTCATATATAGATATGTCGCATTTTCGCTTTTTGTATTAATATTTACATGTTCAATATCATGACTATAACTTATTGTTTCGGTTTTTTTTTATATTGTTTATATACATTTTTTAAATAAATGAATTTATTTATTACAAAGCACTCAAGTAGTATAATTTTCCATTTATAATAATTGTTTCCCCCGGTTGTGTAACTAACTGTCTTGTGGGGATAAAAATAGTATTTTATATAAAAAGGAACCGTGTATTATAATGATAATTTTAATTTTATTTTATAATAGGAAAAGGTACCAGTGTTTTTTTTTTAAAAAAAAAAAAAAAAAAAAAAAAAAAAAAAAAAAAGAGAGAGGGAGGAAGGGAGAGAAGGTAATTATAATGCTATCATTATCTGTTTACTCGTCACTCCTTCTGTAAATAAATACCAATTACAATAGCAGCTATCATATATAATAATATAATTAAAAAAAAAAAAAAAAAAAAAAAAAAAAAAAAAAAAGACCGCTGCGAGCACATAATGTCTTCTACTACATTGAGTTGCCCTGGTCAGTTCATGAAATTGAAAATTACATGTAAGGGAGAAGAAAGTCAAATTTATACTAACAGAATATTGAGTCTATATCCAATCAAATAACCATTGTTCTGGCTTATGAAATGAGAGGGGGGAGGAGGAGGAGGAGACTTTTCATGCACTAAATAGTCTATTTCTTGGAGGTTGGTGTACATTGTTGTAGGCAAGCGGTGAAACCATGCAGAGACCTGTTGAAGATGTAAATATATTTTCCGATGAACAACTTTACTAGACAATTTCTTTTTTTTTTAAAAAAAAAAAAAAAAAAAAAAAAAAAAAAAAAAAGACAAATCAGAATCTGAGTTTAGACGAATATACTTTTTTATTTTAGATAAGCGTGTTGTTAGACAATTATGGGCAAAATAGTAAAGTGATATTATTTTATATTAATTTTTTACTATGTATATAAATATATTTATATATTTGTATATACTTTACCCAACTCAAACAATCTTTTTGGGCAACTGTTGTATATGCTTTATCTGTACGGGATGGTCTTAATTTGTCATCTTTCTTGAGTGAGTTATGGCAGATGATGCTTTTTACGTTTGCCCTTCTCAGCATTGTTCCATAAAGCTAATAAATAAATAGTAAGGTGACATGAATAGGAGTTTGTATTCATGTTTGTTAATAGTAGCAAGTATATGTTAAGGGTGGCAAATTTAGTAACTGTCTATTATGATTTAAAAAAAAAAAAAAAAAAAAAAAAAAAAAAAAAAAAAAAAAGTCAATTTACGTTTTATTTTCGTCAAAGTTATATTCATAACTAGTTCTACAAATTCAATAATTTGATATAAGTTCTCCCTTCCAACCTTATCAGCACTATCGTTTTAAGAAGTTTAATTTCGAAGGAATTAGTCACTCTTCTACAGACTATTCAGCCTACGAGACTAATGTTTTACATAGATTTTTGGGTTTGAGTTCATATATTTGCAAGTGTGCCCGATTCTTGAACAAGTAGTGGGGCTCCATCAGCGGTAAGTAAAATCTGACCTTATCAATAAATGTACACATCTTCTGAAAGGTAGCATCTATTAGCCTCCAGTAGCTAGAGACATTAAAGCGAAAGTCAAAAGCTTCTAAACTAATCCCTTTTCATTGCGGATTTTGCTCGCATGCTTTAAACTTAAGCAACTTCTTTTTTTTTTTAGGTACATGCACATATAAACTAAATATAATCATTTCAAGACCAAAATTCTTTATCAAATCATGTTCAAGAGCAATCGACGGATTTTCTTTGAGAAGCTTAATGATACACTGAGTATGCTAATATTTTTTTTTACTGTAAGTTAGGAAATACTTTATTTATTTTCTTCTTTACTTGACCGAGAAAAACGGAAGAGGAGCCATTACCAGAATTAAACTCATTTAAGAGTATATTAATAAAGCTGTGAGGAATACCGTATTGCATTTCCATAGCTTTAAGCGCGGCTGTACTTTTCTCTTAAACTTAATGACTAAAGTGCCTAATTTGCTCAAGGTCATACTCCTTGTTGTTATTCTTTTTTTTTTCATTTACTAGCAACGCATATCACATCCATCTTTATTGATATCTCTTCCGTTTTTTTTTTCTTTTTTTTTTTTCATTGTTTTTGGCAAATGCTTCCTCACAATCTGGCTCAATGTCGATAAGTTTTTGTATTTCGCTGCAATTCAGTCCGATTTAATTAACTTTCAAAGTCTCCAAAAGACCAATCTCTTTTTGAAGCATGTAGTTAATATAATCTATTTTTATCAAAAATTTGTGTTATTGAAAAAAACAAAATACAAAGGTAAAACAACTCTTTTATATAAAGTATAGCACTGTGGACTCAACGCCAACAGATAGTTTTTTTTAAAAAAAAACATGAGGCAAAAAAAGACTTTTCAATGCGTAGTTTATATTTTTTCTAAAGAAGTAGATTCATTAATGTTATTGCCAAAATTTGTTTTATTTAATCTGAGTAGCACATAAGTTTACTGTATAAATTCATTATTTAAACACTACTACTTAAATGTATTTACTGAGAGTTGATACAATAGATTTACGTTGACTAATCATTTGGTATTAACTATCTAGTAGTTCAGTACTAGAGACAACCTTTATTTTATGGACTCAGAGATCTCAATTTACATTAAATAAACAGAAGAGAAAAATCTTTGATTAATAAGATTGGGCTTCAGTTAAAGTTTTTTTATAAGTTTATATCTTCACTAGCACATAAACATTATTAAGATATATCTACAAGTATTGATAGTGGTTAATTGCATCTTCAAAGATATCAAATCATGTATTTTATTTCATTTTCATATTTTTTGTTACCTATTATTACTGAGTATCATGTTTGCATGCTCGTGACGCATTTTATTATTGTAGCAATGCAATCAAATTTAGTCTAATAATACAAGATACCAGAATTATGTATTATGACTAATAGCTAAAAAAGCATCAAGTATCGTAGGCAAGGACCTGAAGTATAAATGCCATAGAGTATCGTATATAGTAACAATAAGGGAGTGAATACATGATATATAAAGGAAGACGAAAACAATCGATCCTGTTTAAAACTTAAAGAAAGCAAGGGTATATATATATAGTTTACAGTCATTAAACTATGTTATGCGTTTTTCAATTACTATTACAATTCACGACATTAAGGTAAGGTAAAGCAATCCAAGTAAATATTTGTTATACAGTATATAAAGTCAATTTTTACTACTATTAATATATAATATTTATGCAATAATTCGATATAATGCAGAAACAAAGCTAAATACAGCAATACTCTAAACAACTGTTTAGTAGAAATGAATCAGTATATTATCTATATACATCGTAGTTTCCAGATGTCACGAACAATCGACAATTCTTTTCAATCAGTTTCCATAAAAAAAAACTATTTACCATAAAACAACTTCTCCATGACCCTCCAAATGTTCTATTCTATACTATCTGAGATGGATTGTTTAGCTCACTCCTGATAGTAGACTAGTTACCCAAATCCTCTTGCTAACAGTTTCTTTTATAACTCGATCCTTTTCCTTTACTTTTTTTTTTTTTTTTTTTTTTTTTTTTTTTTTTTTTTTTTTTTTTTTTTTTAGATCTTACTCAATATCTTTCAACTAACTACTACTAGGGCAATTTAGCAATTTTACAAACTTGGTGCCCATTGGTCAATTTATTTTCAAATAAAATCATTCTTTAATTGTAACAACATGTCGTTGTACAATGAAAGTGTTGCTATATAATTTAACTCCGGTTTAAATAAAAAGTAGATGCTAGAGATAAATTTCATGCTCCTGATATTTTTTACGTAATTAGATGCTATAATATGTTATATACACATATTTAATCTTCATAATATTAAATTGACAGAAAAAGTACAATAGTAATAGAATATTAAAATACATATGTATTATTAACATATACTATATATGTATATGTATATGTATATATACTAGGTTTCACTCCCTTGAGCTTATTTTTATATTCAGTCGGAGTAGTTGAAGATCAGCAATAATTGAACTTACTTTTTTCTATTTCCTTTAATAAAAATCAGACTGGCAATGATCTTATTACTTGTTATTTCTTCAAGCAGTTTTGTTGTAAATTTCCCTTCTTTAAGAGAAAAAAAGCAATAATTTTATTTCTCCCTTATCTCCATACCATTATCGTGACACTTCAAACAAGTTTTATAAAACCGGTATCCGTACATGAAAGGAAGTAAAAAAAAAAAAAAAAAAAAAAAAAAAAAAAAAAAAGAGACACAGGTATTATTATTAGTAGCGGAAGTATAATGCGATAACGATAAAAGCAAATAGAGAGCTTGTTTGGTCTTAAACCGATAATATCATGCCGTGTAATATTATGCTGCATTTCTCCTTAATAATATAAAATAGAGTTTCAAAAGAAATGAAACATATATAATAATTCACATACAAATGCTACTTACTAACATTAAATGAATTATACAAACAAATATCATTGTTGAATAATACAATAGAATTTGGATCAAATTTATCTTGCTGAATTTCGATAAGAATTTTTGTTTCATATTTATCATTGTATAAGTGTCCTTTTTAGTAAAAAAAAATAAAGTTGGTTTCTAAGTTATTTTTTTTTATGTGAGAGAGAGAAGATCCTCTGAGATCTGATCTTCAGTGGTAGTCGAGTGCTTGTAATACAAATCTTTAATGAGATTTTTTTTGTTTTGTTAATCCTGCTGGCCCTCGGCTTTAACTGAAGACCAATTGTATCGTTTTCTGGACGAATGCCAATTAGATGAGCTGCCATTAAGAACTTTTTTTTTTTATTAAATCCAATTTGGACAGATTAAGGTTTGTCTTTATCCCGCGTTATCATTAATAATATACGTCATTTTATATTATTTAAACATAGACCGAGTGGGCAGTATCTATGGTAATAAAATATTCTTTTAACAGAATGCATTAAACTATTTAAATTCCTTATAAAATCTTTATCTATCTTTGCAAGCTATTAAATATAATGTATATGTTTATTTACTTTCATTTTTGAATTAAATGACTCTCATTTTTTTTTTTACAACTTAATTATTAAAACTTATATTATAGCTACTATTATATAATATATATTACATGGTTAAACATATTCATTATATACTACATACATGCTTATATAACTTTATCTTTTTATTTTATTTTATTTTTTTATTGAAGCAACATACATTGAACTAACTCTTTTAACTCTATCTGTATCATTATTCATTAGAGCAAATGAAGCTCGTTGAACTTCTGATGGCGTTTGATAATCAATACAATGCTTAGGGAATACACCCTTTGATTTACCACGTGATAAATTAATACCCTGACACCATCCATCATCATATTCTACTAACATTTCAACTTGGTCACCTACTTGAATATCAATTTCATCACTCAATGTAGGTGTATAAGTAGCTGTGACATAAAAGACACCGATAGAGCCAGGTTGTGTTGGTTGAAGTTTTGATATAGTAGCAACAGGATTCATTACGGTGGTGTTAAGAGCAAAATTATTATTATTAGTAGCAGTATCAGAGGTTACTGCAATACCAATAGAGGTATTAGCAGTAGCAACCATGGGCGAATGCAAGGCACTGATGGGTGAAGTTGGTCTATCATTTATTGTATTCGTGTCGGAATATGTATGCTCTTGAGGATATACGATCGCAGGTTGATACTGCTGAATTATTTGTGGTTGATATTGTGTTGTCGATACTACCTCGTATGGTTGTTGATTATCCTGAGACGTAACAATGGCTGGCATCATAGATCCTGCTATAATATGATTGTTAGCATCATGGAAGTGTGTGCTATTATTGTTATAATAGGGTGAAGAAGGTGAATGAAGAGGGGTAGGAGGTGGAGCAGTTGCCATATTATTTTGAACAATGCCATATTGATGCTGATAAGCTGTAGTAGTAGTGTCGGACTGAAGATTCGTCTGTTGCATCTGTTGCTGTTGATATGAGAGAGTATTATTAAATGCTTGATCACTACCAAAACCCATCGTAAAAGGGTCTGGCTTAGACAAACGAGAATTCAAGTTACGTTGCTTCTTTTTGCCTTTTTTACGAAGAATAAGATAAGCAATAATGCCTGCTATAATGATTACGATTGCAGCGATGATGCCTCCAATAGCACCACCTGATATACCATCTTTTCCATCTTTTGTATTACTTGACGAAGAGTTGGTTGGAGTTTGTGTCTCGGTTGATGTTGCAAAAGAAGAAGTATTAGATACTACTGCTACTAAAGGTGGTATCGTTGCCTTGTTTGTGGTTGTGCTGGTTATACTAGGGGTTGTTGAAGAAGAATGGATAGCAGATAAATTAGTGCTTGAAGTTATTGCCCTGGCAGTTGTTGTTGTTGTTGTTGTTGTTGCTTTTACTGTTGACTTTTTCGTAGTTGTTGTAGCTGCTACCTTTTTCGTAGTCGTAATAGGTGCATTTGAAAATTGACCTGTACTTTCCTCATCTGCAGCTATAATAATTGCATTTGATTAGTTTTAACTATCCTAATTATGTTATTTAACATCATTACTTGTTACTCTTTTATTTATATTAATCCACATAAATGGATTTGCCTCTACTAAACCAAACACAGAAAGTGTAATACAAGTAAGGATGGCTTGCAAAAATAGTAAACTCATGTATTTTTTTTTTATAATAAATATATCCAGAATAAATGTGTAAGAGAGAAAGGAAAGAAAGAAATGTTATACTAATGTAATTTATTTAATGTTTTATTACTGTTGTTTTTGAAGAGGAGGTTGTTAAGCTCAATAAATTATTTAGTGAAAAGGAGGGAGAGAGAAAAAGATGATTCCACTAGGGAGAATAAGTGATTAAGTACAAAATAAAATATAAAGGAATGAAACAGAGTAAAAAAACAAAAAAAAAAGTAAAAAAAAAAGGAGGGGGGGGGCGGGAGAGAAGGTAGAGAGGAGAATAAAGTAGAAGGAAAAGAAATGATATATAATCTAACAAAAGTTAATAATCAATTTTGTGCCATGTTCAGTTGAATTACATTCTTTGTTATCCTAGATACTCATGTTACACCGAAAATTAAACTTGTGAAGCTAAAAAGAATATTAATGTATTTTATATGTGTACTCTATTTCTATAATATCAATAATTTGTACATTACACACTAAATTTCTTCATTAACTGTGTACCTTTTTTTTTATTGATATTTTTCTTTAATTATTTGAACAATAGTTAAATAAAATACTAACAGCGTAAATCCAATCAATTGAATTTAGTGTATTTTTAATTCTAATTAGCACACACACTTCAGACTATAAACCATTTTAATAACCATGATAATGATGATTATTATATGGTATTAATGTTGCTATTTTCATCATTCTTGGTTGGTGATGCAGTAATAATAAGATTAGACTGGTTCACTTAGTGTATCATCTTAATGAGGACTATAAGTACTGTGAACAATGCTAACACTCGACACTCAATGTAACGAGTCGGTTCTTAAATGTAATGTTATACAAATTGTAGCTCATCAGTAATAGAATGTTTTTACTTGAACTAGCAACATGTAAAGACGTCTTCAAGCTTAATAGAAGAGACAGAAAAGAAATCTAACATTTTTCGAATTATTATATAGGGTAGAGTATATATCATGAGCCATTATAATAGTAACTAATTGTTAAAGAAATAATGGTGTTCCTGAATTATTATTATATTTTTAAGAAAATTAAAAAGCAAAAGAAGATAAAAGAAAGCATATTTCCATTTATCTACTTGAATAAGTTTTTGACTTTTTTTTTTTAATTATTTATTTATTGTATAATTTAGCATGAAAAGGGATAAAAAAAACTTAAACTAAAATTGGAGAAATCAGACTTTTCTTCCTCCTCTTTTTTTTTCCCTTAAATTCAAAGAATCAATGATTCCTTTGTATTTTATCACTACTATTTTTTATTTACGTGTATTTGAAGTGATTATATATTCTATTCTTTTACTTTACTATTATAGGAACGTATCATGAAAAGAAAAAAAAAAGGAAATATGGCGTATATGTATGAATGGTCATAATAGGAGGTTAATATAATAACAGAAGAAAATTTTATTTTTGATTGAATATAGAAAATCAAACTATTAAACCATACTATTAGATAATTCACATATACATATACATATATGTATATGTATATATATGATACAACAGGTGATATACGTATTCCATCCTGTTATGAAGTTTTTAACGTCTGACATATCGAAACGTCTAGAGTTTTTTATTATTATCATTAGCCTTATTAGGGCATATAATACAGTCCGGCTAGTGGATATTGTCGATTACAAAAAAGTGATTGGCAGTAAAAAAAAAAAAAAAAAAAAAAAAAAATAGTAATTGGCGGTTAATAAAAATACAACTATAGAGAGTCAATTTGTCGGTTAGCTAAAAAAAAATATTGTTCAGAGATGAATAAAATAGAGAGAGGAAGAGATATTGCTAAGTTTAATCCTTAACGCTTAAAAGTACTATAATCAGTATAATTATATAATAATTTTGTTCTTATAACATTTCCGTTGATTTGTAATTAGAAGTGGTAGATATTTTATTCAATGAAAAACTTAAAAATGAATTTTATCACGGCAGTTTGTGATTTGACGTTTGGAGTGAAGACAAAAACCATTGAGGTCACTAAAACGAACATTATTACATGCATAACCAATTCTAGAAGGTAAAGTCTCTTTTTTCATCAAGCGTTCGTGTTTCATTTTTCCTTTTACTGAAGCTTAGAACTGCTCAATAGGATTTAGCTCAGGTGAGTAAGGGGGGAGATACATTACTCTATAACCTCTAGCCTCGATTTTTCGAACCATCGATTTCAATTTATGGGTACTAGCATTGCCCATCACTAAATAACTGCCCTTTAAAGATTTATCCTCATCCGTAATATCAAGGAGCTCGTTTACAGACTTAATAAAATGAGCAGTTGTTATACTTTTTGGTGCTGGTTTTACATCAACTGCATTAGTGCCATCCTCCTGATTTCCTTCGTCGTCGTCAGTCTCAGCTGCATCCCTTTTCTTTCTACTGTTATTCTCTCTCTCTCTCTCTCTCTTTTTTTTTTTTTTTTTTTTTTTTTTTTTTTTTTTTGAATTATATTTAATATCATTATTGAATTAACAAAAAGGTTTACTTCCTATTTAATATCGTTTTTCTCTCAAATTCATTTCTAATCTGAACAACATTTGTGCATCATTCCCATTAACACATAGATCATTACATACAATAGAATGAGATCAATTTCTTACAATAAAAAGATGGATATTTTAGCAAAACTTAATGCTAAGGAGACTAAATATGCAAGAAATTGGTTCAAGAAAGATAAAGTAAATATCCTTGAATGGTCATCATACTCACTTGATTTAAATCCAATTGAAAACCTTTGGTTTTATTTGAAGTGAAGTGCAAGCTTGCTGCCTATGATAGGCCACCAAAAAAACATGGATAAATTGTGGGAGTGAGTTGCTGATGTTTGGTATAATAAAGTTACAGCCAAACTATGCTTAAAACACATAGAAAACATGCCAAGACGTGTTGAAGCAGTAATTAAAGCAAAAGGTGGTGCTATCAGGTACTAAACATAAAAGATGCGTTGTTCATTTCATTTTTCAATTAACTATTTGTATAAAATTTTTATACATATAACTTTCTTCCTTCAACAGCACCAATAACAACATGTTTTTCCGTAAGGACTCGTCTGAGCCATTATCAAATTTAAATAGCAATGAAGATAATACTAGTTTTGACACTCTTGGCGATAATTGGATCGAAGTGGAACAAGCAAGTAGGGTGCTTATGTTGATTGATAAAAGAATTAAAGAGATTGGTTATGATGATGATGTATTGACTTGTGATGATTGGGAAAGCATTTTTTCTTTTTAACCTGCTTGAATTTACCCTTCCTCCCCCTCCTCCTCTGTATGTGTATATAATACCCTCATGTCTATAGTTTACCTCATTATACTAGTAACCATCAAATATCGATATAGTCGAAAAAAAGGAAATTCGTAGCTTTTAAAAAGTAGTCTCAAATAAATAAACTGCATTCGCTATCCCCATCAAATATAAATAGAGCCTGCAGAGCTGGATGTTCTAGGCGAGACTTTCAGCAGACGATGAGTTTCTCTTTAAATAAGTATGTAATATCAAGAAGTACAGTGCTTCCTCACATCTTTTGAGAAAATTTGAGCAAGCAAATTTGGAGCCATTATTTGGAAGTAAATCAACCATTTGTTTTTTCATCTTATTTTCTTCCTTTAAAAATGAATTTCTTTCACGAAAATGGTTGAGGCGGAATTGTAGATGAATATGGAAAAGATGCGTCTGCTTTCATTGTGGATCCATAATTTCGCCTGACAAGTTTGACAAATCTTCACACATATATCAAAAACGCAAAAGTAGTTACTAAAAGTGAAGCGCTTAAAATGCCGATATGTCTGAAGTAGCACCCAAGAAAGAACGAACTTTGATTCACAGCATCTATTCAGACGAAGATTAAAAGCGATGTTTTTTCTTTAATCAGCTGAAGCTGATAAGCACTTCTCTGAAGCTGCGAAAGCTGCAAATGTTAACTTGAAACTACTTGGAAATGAGTTATGAAGTACAATAGAGACTCGGAGAACAAGCGACTTAAAAACCAGTTGAAAGGGTAGCACAAGGCATATCTGATTAGTTTTTACGACATGAATGCAGCAGTCACAATACAAGATATAGTTGAAAACTTGGTGAAGAGCTCTGACGGATTAATGATTAAGAAGAGAAGTGAAAATGTTCTTGTTGAATAATTGCTTAATTCTATAAATTGTTTCCCTAAATACTTAAATAAAGAACATTTATAGTTAATTTGACCAGAAGCCGATCAATTTATTTCTAAATAATGGTTAATTCATTTTCAAAAAGATGGTGAATTTGATTTTATCTTTCTGGTCACCTTAAGCTCAAAAAAGTAGGCAGAATTTTCAAACATTAGATAAATTGAGAGTGGAAACGCTATCATATAGACGCTTCTCAGAGTGCTTGATCATATTGGAGAGATGTTCTTGTGAAACTTGAATACCGAAAAAAAAAATCACTAGTCCTTGCCTAAAAGGTAGCCGGTTCATCTTCTGCAATTACATCTTATTATATATATGTTTATATACTTTATTTCACTCTTATCTTCATTTTAAGAATATAAATACTTTGCAGAGTATTTAATTATAAAGTTTAACTTTTGCAGTTATTTTACTTGTACAATATAACTATCTTGTATTGAGCCACAATATAATAAATCAGATTATATTTAGTTTATCTCTGAAAACATAATGACCAGTATAATGACACGCATGTTCGATTAATTCCTGTAATTCATCGTGAAGCTTAGTCCTTTTATATCTAATAACATATTTCTCATTTCATTCTGATCCTTCATCGCTTTTAATTCCTATTTAGTTTAAGTGTATATCATCTTGAGGGCCATTTATCTACTAGATGTAATCTGTTTGTCTTACAGTACCTAATTATTCAAGTTATTCTCCTTACGCATAAAATTAAATAAACTAATATAATCACGACAGTTTTTTATACATGAGTATTCTTCTTTTTTAATTTTAAAAAGTAAATGAGATCTCAGTAGTAAGATCAATTCTTTCTTCTTTTGTATATTACTTTAAATCCATAATTTAACAAGAAAAACAGTTTCTTCATTCAACAAAGTCTTTTCTCTTTTCCTTTTTTTTATTATTTTTTTTTTGAAAAACAAGAAATCCCGATCCATCTGGCAGTGATGATAAGTTTATATATCTAGAAGTTTCTTTTTTCTTAATGCAAACAATAAAGGAACCTTTATCTTTTATTTTGAGCCAGAGCCAGCTCCCCCACAACTTACACTTGACACAAGCCCCTCAATTTAAGAGTTATATAATGAATCTATTGGTTTTGTATTACTGTTGTGTATCAGTTTCTTTGTGAACTGGACCATCACAAAATAAGAATAACCCACTGTCATTTCATTTTATGGACACTACTTTTAAATTAATACTGAAGTGCAGAATTTACTCTTGTTTCTACAAAAAGGAAATTTTAAAATTTTTCTATTTTAGTTGATCTAATCAAGGTGAAAAATTGTTACAGATGGTATGCAGCATGGTACTCAACACCAAGATATATGAGTGCACTAATTACCCCTGAAAAAAAAAAAAAAGAGAGAGAAAAAGACAAAAGAAAGGTGTAAGCACTAATGTATATGTAATATGCGCACATTAATATGTGTATATAATAATGATGTACCTAGGAGAACTTGCATAGCTGACAAGATAAGTTTTATATTATTTGATGGTATTGTACCAATATAGTTTTATATATTTCTATATTTAGTTAAAAATAGCTATTGTTTATTTAAGCTTATTTTTCTTGGACAGTAATTAGCTTATATACAAGAAGAAATTTATCAGCAAGAGATAAATTGGTAAATGTTACATAATTTTATTACTATATTTATAAATATGTACATATAACATTTGCGTTTTAATCAAATCAGAGCTCTTATCTATCTTTTCACCTAAAATAACTAATGCTACTGAAATAAGACGAATCTAATTGAAGAATTTTATAGTACAAATCTGGAATATATTATCACATACTCTTTTTGTTTTTTAACTAAATTTTAGCCAATAAGATAGAATTAATATCTCCACGTTTAATAGAAAACTAAGACACTGACATGAAAAAAAAAAATCTGTTTTCAATTGAATTCATCTCCGATAATAATCTTACTGTGGAGACATTAGCTTCATAAAAAAAAAAAAATAAAATAAAAAAAAAAAAACATGAGTCCACGCGAGGTAAATTTTTGTATTTTATTGGACAATTTTTTTTGGAAACTTTGGAATACACAGTAAGTGGGTTAATCACTACCAATAATTTAGGCTCACACGACCTCACTTGACGTTTAGTTTGTACTTTATATAAATAGGATAAGGATTTTTGATTTTTAATTATCATTCTTTTATTTACTTTATTTTATTTTTCTTAATCTTATTTATTAGAATTTAATAGAATATAGATGACTGATACAGCTGTTTCTGAACGTGGACAAGAACGCTTTGTCACTGCTGAACAAAAGCTTCACTCTCTTGAAAAATTAGATGATACCGGTGCAGGTGGCTGGAATTGGTTTACAGCACGTACTATCCTTACGTCTGGTGCAGGTTTCTTTACAGATTCTTATGATGTATTTATTATCAACTTGATTACGCCTATGCTTGGTTATGTTTATTATGCTCACAATAATAATAAGATTCCAGCAGATATTGAAGGTATATTGAAGGGTATGTCTTCTGTAGGTACCTTTATTGGTCAACTTCTTTTTGGTTTCTTGGGTGATATCGTGGGTCGTAAAATTTATGGGTTTGAATTATTAATCATTATCATCGGTACTATTAACTGCGCTACCTCTGCTTCTGCTATTCGTGGTGTCTCTACTATCGGCTTCCTTGGTCTTTGGCGTCTTATTCTTGGTATCGGTATTGGTGGTGATTATCCCATGTCGGCTACTATTACCTCTGAATGGTCTGCTGCTGGTAAGCGTGGTATGATGATGGCTCTTATCTTTTCTATGCAAGGTATTGGTAACTTGGCTGCTGCAATTGTTACTTTAATTCTTTTGGCTATTTTCAAGAATGCTATCATCTCTGATGTTATGAACTTGGATTATGTTTGGCGTCTCTGTATTGGTCTTGGTGCTATCCCCGCCGTTGCCACTATTTACCTTCGATTTACTATGCCTGAATCCCCCCGTTATTCTTTAGATGTCGAACATGATGTTGAAGCCGCTGCTCAGGCTAAAGGCCAAGTGGTGTCGAATGAAATGTCTAAACAATATACTAAAGTTGAAACAAAACGTGACCATTGGGCAGAATTTAGAGCTTACTTTAGTCAATGGAGACATTTCAAGGTCTTACTCGGTACTGCCTCTGCCTGGTTCCTTTTGGATGTTGCCTTTTATGGTCTTGGTCTCAACAATTCAGCTGTCTTATCTGCTATTGGATTTGCTAATAAACCCACCCCCTTTGAAGCCCTCTGGGCTAACACTGTAGGTCAAATTATCATCACCTGTCTTGGTTCTGTCCCTGGCTATTACATTACTGTCTTTACCATTGAAAAATTAGGTCGTCGTTTTATTCAAATTATGGGTTTCGCTGTTACAACTGTATTATTTGCTATCCTTGCTGGATGTTATAAACTCTTGATTGAACGTTCTGTACCTGTCTTCATCTTCCTCTTCACTCTTGCTCAGCTCTTTCAAAACTTCGGTGCCAACTCCACCACCTTTATTATTCCAGGTGAAGTCTTCCCTACTAAAGTACGTGCCTCTGCTCATGGTATCTCCGCTGCCTCAGGTAAAGCAGGTGCTATCTTGGCTTCCTTTGCCTTTAACGCTCTCGTTGACCATGGCGGTCCTCAAGGTTCTCATGCTTTCTTACCTCAAGTGCTTGGTATCTTTGCTGCTGTTATGTTCTTAGGTCTTATTGTTACTATTCTTTGGATTCCTGAATCTAAAGGTAAAGATCTTGACGAATTTGAAGAAGATTATATCCCTCGTACCAATAGTCCTCCTGAAGATAATTTGACTATTGAATCTGTCTTTCCTAATGAACAAAGACCAAAGGCTTAAGATATAAAGCCCCTCTTCTTTTTTTTTCTCACTTTGTAGCACATTTATTGCATAGCTTTATAATGAATTGTACATTGCTATACCTATTCCCTTTCTACGTATCTTTATATCTCTCTTTTTCTTTTATATATAAATGTATATATTTATATATAAATTGTAAATAGTCAATATTATTAATAAAAATAAACTTTTTATAATATATTTGTATTGTCAGATGTATAATTTTTCTTCCATTATTTTTTTTTTCTTTAAAAAAAAAATGTATACTTTTGTGTATTTATTAAAATAGTGAATCTAAGTGTATAAAAACAAGGAGAAAGAAGAATCTATTTGTTACCAATTTAAATATTTGTAGGAATAAAATTAGAATTAATCGTTAAAATAGGAGCTAACCGAGGATGAACTTCGACCTGAAAAGGCTTGCATGGAGCAAATTCACCATCAATTGCAACATATGCTTTTTGACCAGGTTTCAAAATGGGTGTTAATCTAAAGGCTTTAATCTTGTAATACTCCACCTTAAAAAAAAAAGAAAAAAGAGAAAAATAAGTAAACAAATAAATAAATTTAAAGTATTACAGAATATTTTACAATATCAGAGTTGATATGTTGACCTTTTTCGACTTTACTAAAGACATCCAATTCTTTACTAATATTTGGTGAACCACGAACCAAAAGTAAGTCAATTGTACCATCATTAGGCAAGGCGTAAGGATGACTTAACATTCCTCTTGCTAAGAGAGGCACTTTACTTGTTAAAAAGAATGAAATTTTATCCTCAATCACCATCCAATCATCAGGAACAGGTTCAGACAAGTCAGGAATCGTATCAACTACATCGCCTTCAAGCTCATTCATAGGTACATTCACTTCATTCGTAAATGAAGTAATATAGTCATTTTGCATTTTCTTTTTATCAGATTCAACTACCTGAATAGCAGCTTTAATATTGTATGTATGACGTGAAAAGATTTCTTGCAATAATCCTACTACAGTACGAGCATCACCCATCCACCTCATATGTTCTGTACCTAGATCGGCATAGGCTGTAATGCCATAGTTTTGTGATAAGAAAGAAAAATATCTATGATCATCATATACAATTGAGCATAAGTCAAATGCCATTGGTTTGCCTACAAAATAAAAATGAATAAATATATATGTGTATACATACACAATTAACTATTTATATAAATTACCTTTAATGGTTTGAAGAGCAGTATAACAAGGATCAAAACCTCTCTTTTCTCCAAGTAATGAGATACTAAGAGAATTTCCAGTACCACCAGGAATAATACCTAAAGAAATTTTCTTCATTACTTCCCTTGCATCAGATCTTTTAAGGAGACCATTAATAACTTCATGAATAACACCATCACCGCTTACTGTAACAATAGTATCATAGTTTTCAATATCTAAATCTTTTGCAATTTGTAGTGCATGACCTCGATGTTCTGTATCTAATATAATATTTGTGTAATATGTATTCATATATACATTTATAGGTAAACAAGATATATATGTATATGAATATATATTTACATTTTACTTCGATAGAGCACTGTGCGCTTTCAAAAATAGGCCGAACATGATATTCAAACAACTCTCTGGCTTTTTTTTTACCACCAAAAGGATTAATTAAAACTAATAGTCTTTTACTAAATTTGACACCCTTATAAGCCTGTTTCAATAACTTTTCACAAAAAATCTTTGCTTCTTGTATTTTATCATCATCTACAGAATAAATGAAATTGTAAATGTCGGCAGGGGAATCATCCTTTGTCCTATCTTCTGGCAATACGCAATCGAAATGTACCGTTTTAGTACGGCCATTATAAAACGCATTGATGATAAATAAGTTATCAATAGGTAATAAAGTAGGGTCAGGTCTTTTTTTAGAAGGAATAGGTAAGCAGCAAACAGTCGTTACAGTTTTAGCTAAAATAAAGAGATAATGAGTTATTCATGTTAATAATTCAAACATATAATTACATTGCTTAGCTGCAGTTAAATCTCCTTCAATACGAAGACCTTCATCATCAATTGATAAGTTTACAGGATGGTTAACTTTATAAACCTTTAATGTGTGAATCATAAAGATCTATTTTTTTTTTTTTCAAAAAAAGAAAAAGGTTAGTAGTCACTCTTTTTTTTTTTTTTTTTTTTTTTTTTTTAATATAAAAATACAATGCAACAATCTGAACTTTAATTTATTAGAGTGAAATTCATGCTAGTAATAATTGTGACTATTTTTTAATATAATTGTTATTCAAGCAAAATTTACAAAGTGTAATTCTTTTTTTTTTGTATTTCCTTTTTTTATTTAGCTTTACTATGATGCTATCGAATACAACCAAACGCTTTTTTAATAAAACTGTATCTAAAATATCTTTTAATCCTTTTATAACCAAACATAAAATATCTTCAGTTAATATACCACCACCACAACCAAAATTATCAAAGACAAGGCAATTTATAAAGAAATATGGCTATGTAGGCTTAAGTGTTTATTTAATAATAGGCGCCATTGACTTGAGTACAACAATGGCTGTTATTAGTATCAAGGGAGCTGATCGTGTAAAAGAAGCAGAACACTATGTGACAAACAAAGTTAAAAATTGGATTGGTTTATCAACAGTTGGTAAAAAAAATAATCATGAACTAATTCAACAACAGACAAAGCCTTCTCTTACTTCTATCTTTGTTATTGCTTATGGTATACATAAAACAATTCTTTTACCCTTACGATTATCTTTGACTGCTGCTATTACCCCAGCTGTCGTTAGAAAGTTAACTCGTCTTGGCTGGCTCTCTATTAGTAAAAAATAAAAAAATATCAACTCGTTATAAATACATATTTAAGCAGTCTTTATTTTTTTTTTATTTGCTCGTATAATAATGATAGATATTCATTTTATTTACGTATACAAAAATTATAGTAGCAATTTTCCTTTATTTAACCCTCCCAAAAAAAAACACGCTAGCTATGTACATTATGATAGTGCAACATTTGTATAAACATATTCAAATTTGCAGTTTTTTTTTGTTCCTTTTTTCCTTTTTTCCTTTTATCTATCCGTATTTATTCTTTTCTTCTAGTTTCAACAGGTAATAGTACAACACATGAACCGACAATAAAAAACCCAATAGCACTGATATATAATGGTAAGGATGTACTGATGGTCAACAAAATACCTGTGATAATAGGACTAGCAATACCGGCAATTCTGCCAAGTGCTGATGCTGTACCTACTGCTGTACCTCTTACATTTGTATCGAATACTTCAGGTGTATATCCATATATAACAGCATATAATAATGTTTCCAGAAAAGAAAATGTAGACGAAGATAATACCATCGTGATACGGGAATTGATTATCGAAAATAAAAATAAAGATAAGGAAGAACCAAACGCAGCCGTAGACATAGTTCCCTTTCTACCTAATTTTGTCTCAATTAACCATGATGCAATCTTTTTTTTTTTAAAAAAAAAGAAAAAAAAACCGTATGAATATACTTTTAACCATTTTATAAATAATACAAATGATATCTTACAACTGAGCCTGGTACACCCGCTAATGAATAAATCATATAATCTCGATATACCTGTTTTCTTGTAGGAACAGTTGCTTCTCCTTTGAAACCAAATGTTTCAAGATATTTAGGTAAAAAGACATTAAACATAGTAAATGAAACAGATGTAAATGTCCATATACACCAAATCAGTATCGTAGTTAATCTCCATTGAGGTCCTAATAATAATCGAAAAATCTGTCCTTTCCCTTCTTTTTGTTCTTCAATTAGAATTTCTTCAGCATCAAGTTCCCCATTAGGTAATAAAACATGATGTACTATGATATCCTCATCATCTTCATAGTCATCATCATCATAAACACTTGTGCTTGAATCCATAAAATCACCGCCATCTTCAACTGACTGTTGCTGTTGATTATCACTGATATCTCTCTTATCAAGAGATAACTCATTTTTATCAATCTGTACATGACCACCGTTTATCTTTGCAATATCTTGTAATACAATAATAGTTTCATGATGACGATCTTGACTCATTAAAAACTTTGGAGTCTCTGGTAATTTGAGCCAGACTGATCTTAAGAAGAGCATTACAATAGTAACCATTGATACAGTAAATAACATAATACGCCATCCTTTATTTTCTGTATTCATATCGCAGGGATCTGCTGAATTTGCAATTTCAGGACAACTCCACTTTGGTAAAATAAGATAGCCGATTATAGAGGCAAGTACAGCTCCAAACGAAAAGAAAACAGACATAAACGTTAATAAATAGTGATATTCTTTTGGTAAAAATTCAAGATAGAGAGCGCCTTTTTTTTGATATTATACATATTAAATAATAAAATAAGCGAGAGATAGAAGGTTATATAAATGTATATTCTATGATAGTATATAAATAACCTTACCATCAGTTGGCATATTGCCTCCTACACCAAATCCAAGAAAAAAGAGCATAAAGCATAAGCTAGTAAAATCGAAAGTAAAAGTAGAAAGCAATCCAAAGATAGATGTAATAACAAGTGTCATTGTGTACGGAATTTTTCTACCTTTTGAATCAGAAAATGAGCCCCAAAAGAAGGCACCAAATGTCATTCCAGCAAAAAGAGAGCTTGATAATGTTCCTATCCATTTATTGGATAGATTATAATGTTCTTTTATACGAAAAAAAATAAAATAAAATAAGAAATGTTTGCTATTAAAAATAAAAAAAATAAATAAATAAATAAAATAAAGCTTCTTTACCTTGTACACGAGGAAGAATAATTACAATTGTCTTCAACAAATTAAATGCAACAAGTTAACTATGCTGTATATTATTCATTTTGTATTTTATTACCTGTAGCCACATCTATATAACATTTTTTTTTAAACAAATAAAATAAAATAAGCAAAAAAATTAAACAATATTAATGATAGACTTTTTATATACATACATTATCTGCCAACCAGCCGAAGCCGCATAGAATCTTTTAATATTTTAATATTTTGTATATATTTATCATCAAAATAAAATACTATATATTTTCTTCTTACTAATAGCTTCTTTTGGAATAAGCCATAACCTATTTTAGATAACAGTCTATCTAATATTTGTTCTGTTGACCCACTATGTTGTTGTTCTCCTCCTTCTTCTTCTTCTTCTATAGTTTTATGATTGTTTTCAACTTCCTCTTCTTGAGTTGAAAACTGAGGTAGTGTTGCAGTTGTTAAACTTGACACTGTCACCATACTATTTACACTTGTGCTACTTTTGAATTATTAAACAAGTTAAACATATATAAATAATCCTTTCTTTCTTTTTTTAAAAAAATAAAAATAGATAAATATGGATTACTTTTTTTTTAAAAAAAAAAAATAGGTGTATAATTGAAAGAAAACAACTGTATTTATACATGATCATTTTATTTACATTGAAGTTTCATTTTCCGAATTTGGCTCTGATGAATAGCTTGTTATATTCAATCCCCGCTCACAATCGTATAATAGTTATACATGAATACGCAGTATACGTATACATTAATAAAAAAGAATGCATCGAAAAATAATTTTTAGGCCGGTCACCAAATGACTTTGAGACGTAGCATTAAAAACTCAAAGCATATTAACTTGGGTAAATTAGTTTTTTTTTTTTTTTTTTTTTTTTTTTTTTTTTTTTTTTTTTGAAGCAAATTGTTTAGATATTTTGTCTTACACTATTATAACTAAGCTTAGGTTATTAGGAATCAGTTAATTATAGATGAAACCGAGTTTTTATTATTATTATTATTATATTAGTTAACTGTACCTTTAGATAAATATATAAAAGTATTAGTAAGGCAAGTATTGTTATTTTTTACCATTGTCAGTTTATTTAACTTGCTAGCTACAATACGCTATAAAAAAAAACTGACATTATTATAACAGGAACATCGATTCAAGATATATTTTTTTTTTCTTTTGTTGACTGTTTTATTTCTACATATATTTCTCTCAGTTTTGGCATGCGTATATTTCAGTGGGCATTAACAGATCAATCAAATAAAGCCAATATACTAAATAAAAGAAGGGTAGAAAGAAAAGCAAAATAAAAATACAATCATATATAGATCATAATAAGGATTTATGACCATGGTTATTTTCTTACAATGTTATAAATAAGGTCAAAATCCTTAAATTAAGTCTTAGTTAGGTTACTAGTAGGCATATACAGGAAAGATTTCATTCAACTGTTGTGCTAAAAAAGAAAAAAAAAAAAAAAGAGGGCAACCTTATTTTGAAGAGCAGAATCATTATAGCATGTCGTTATACCAGGAAGTTTCCCTTTTATGCCAATATAATTATTATTGTATCCCATCACATGCTGAAGGCGACGATACCAGCTGGGATTTTTAAACAATGATTTGATAATAGAGTACTACTCCAAATTTCAGGTGAAGCTTAATGATGCATATATGAAAAATGGCTACTGCTATTATCGAAATGTCTAAATAGAGATTACTTGATTAAATAAAAAATAAAGCTAAGGGAATATACGATTTATAAGCTAGGTATTTATCAATTACATACTTTTAATGCTTAAATCCAATGGTTGTTGTTAAAAAAAAAAAGATACATACATCTATCTATCTATCTTATTATTAGTTTAGAACTCTATATTCAACAATAGGCCTTGCTCAACAAACGGACACTACCAATTAACTAGCTCAACTCAATATTAAATCTTACACACATACATACATACACATACAAACAGCGTACACAAAACAAAATGATATTATGATAATCGAAAACGCAATTCCTTCCAGTAAAAATGTCAAACTTTGACTACTAATATCTACTCTATTTCTTATGTCTTTTGCCATCTCACTGCTTTATTCAATTTCTAAAATTCAACTATGACTAAAAGTCTACTCCCTTTTTTTTTTGAACTAGGATAGACAAAGAGCACTCAAAATATCGAGTAAATTATTAGTAAAATACTGCTAATCTTTAATTTATAGTAACTAGTCTTTGTTGAAATAGTGAACTGTAGTACACTATAAAAAAGAAAGTCAAAGACTAAATCTCAAAACTTTTTGAAATAGGGAAATTTGGCAAAGACTTGGCCAATATTTAAGGAAAATAACTGTGAGGTATGTGGGGTTTTTCTTTTGAGCACTAAAAAGAGAGTAAGTAATTAGGCAATGTAATCACGAAACCGACAAATTCGTATTGAACATCACAGATACGAATTCAGTGTTTTAATAAGAATGATAGAGATGACTAAAAGAACTAGTAGTTGGGATGTCCTTAATTGTTGTAAAGCCTGTCTGTAATACACTATGACAGCGGAGGAGAGCGGAAATATAAACGCCTCCAAATACCTTATTATGATGCAAGTAGACTGTTTACTTTGGAAGGACAGTGGTAAATAAAAGTATGATCACTATAGTAAATATAGTTTATCTTTATGGCTTCAGATAGTCGCAAGAGGTTCAATAATCCTCTAATAGTATGTGAATGTCATTTCGAATTTTTGATGTCACGTATCAAAACAACTTGTAATTGGCCTAAAATTTATTTTTTTAGGTGGTTTATTTTAACTGAATAACTTTTACAAGCAGATTATACAACAATGAGCTAAGCCACATAAAATTTTATCAACTCAAGTTTACCCCTTTTTCTAACACTCATAATACACAACATACACATTACATACATATTAAAGAAAAAAAAAATCAAAAAACAACAGGTGTAGTTTTTTTTTTTTGGTTTGTTTGTTTGTTTATTCTATGAGTTAACTAAAGAAAAAACCAACTTAAGCAATGGTAACTTCAACTTCAACTCCGGGTTCGATGGAGATGGAGGTGATTTGCTTAACAATTTCAGAGGGAGAATGCAAATCGATCAAACGTTTGTGGATTCTCATCTCGAAACGATCAAAGGTCTCAGAACCGTTACCACAAGGAGACTTACGGGTGGTGATACGGAGAACCTTGGTAGGGAGACGAACGGGACCCTTGACCTTGAGCTGCTTGTCCTTGGCACGTTGGATAAGGTCAGAAGAAACCTTTTCGAGGTTCTTGACGTTGCGAGAAGTCAAGGTGATACGAATGCGGTGGATCCTATTTTTAAAGATAAACAAAATAAAATAAGTAACCTTCTAAAATATTTTTTCTTGGGAGAAAAAAGAAAAAAAAAAAAAGAACCTACTTGGCTTCAACTTGTTCTTCCAAACCGGGCTTAGCGGCAGACTTAGCCTATAATTTTTAAATGATAAATGATAAATATATAGTGAATTGATTATTGTTATAAATATACATACAGCAACAGCAGACATTTTTAGTATAAATGAAAAAGAAAGAGAAATCAGTAAGTTATGTAGACAAAAATTTTTTTTACTATCCACCCTCTGTAACGGTCACAACAGATTTGTCTGAGTTTAAATTATTGGAAATTTTGGTTAATCTTCCAAAATCATGTTCTCCTACTTTTTTTTTTTTTTTTTTTTTTGCTAATCTTTAACTTATTGTGATGACAGTAACAGAGATGAATGAACGAATACTTGTTTCTGCTCCCGGAAAAGTGATTTTATTTGGCGAGCACTCTGTTGTATATCAAAAGGTTGGAATAGATATATAGATACAACAAAAGAATAAAATGAAAATACACATATATATGCATGTATACGTATATAGATGAGATGCTAACAAAGAAAAGAAATTATTTTAGACTGCAGTAGCTGCATCTCTTGGTCTCCGTTCTTATCTCTATCTTGAAAAAAGAAAAGACAATGTAGTTCAACTTATTTTACCTGATGTTAATATAAATAAGGCATGGACTTTAAATGAATTCCCTTTTAGATACAATTATCCTGATTCAGGTAAAATCTATTATGATATTTTATTTTATTTTTTCAATATACATAATTTAATCCTTTCTCTTTTTTTTTAAAAAAAAATATTATATATGCATGTATATATAGATACCCGTCATCCCAATAATATGCCAATAGAACTTCGTGAAAAAATAGACCAATTATCTGGTTTTTCAGGAAAGGAAACAGATGCTAAAACTCAAGCCCTTACAGCGTTTTTATATCTTTTGATAATTCTTGAATCAAAAGCTAAGGAACCATTAACACACGGTTTCACAGTATGTGTTCGTTCCTTTTTACCCGTTGGTGCTGGTTTAGGTAGTTCAGCAAGCTTTTCAGTCGCGATTGTTACAGCTTTATTAATCCTTAATAAAATGATTCCTGTCGATTTCAATACCAGTAAATCTAATGACACAGCCAGTTATCTTGATTTGATCAATAGGTATGCATTTAAGGCAGAGGAAGTAATACATGGTAATCCAAGTGGTGTCGATAATGCAGTAGCTACCTTTGGGGGCGCCAAAACGTTTATGCGTGGACAAGGTTTTACTACCCTCGAAGGATTTTATTCTTTGCGTTTATTGCTAACTAATACAAAAGTACCTCGATCCACAAATGCATTAGTTGCTGGTGTAGGAGAAAAGAGAAAGAAGTATCCTGAAGTTATTGAACCTATGCTAGATTCTATGCACCAGATTGCTATTCACTGTCGTGATGCATTCAAACAATTAAAAAAGGGAGAATTAACAAAGGAAGGATTGATGGATCAACTGGAAGATTTGGTTACGTTAAACCATTGTTTACTTGATGGTCTTGGTGTAAGTCATCCTAGTTTAGAAAAAGTAAGAGAAATCACTGCTCAGTTTGGTCTCAAGACAAAATTGACAGGCGCTGGTGGTGGTGGCTGTTCTGTAACTTTCATTCGGGACTCAGTCTCTCAAAGTTTAATAAACGAAGTTATGTTAAAACTAAGAAATGAAGGCTTTGACTGTTATCAAACTTCTGTTGGTGGAATTGGTGCTGATGCTGTTACTTTGCTTCAAAATGAAACATATCAATGGCTTCTTGAAGCAGATCGTGAAACTTTAGAACATTATTTTACAAAGTGATTGAGCATGAATAATAATAATAAAAAAAAAAAGAGTGCCTTACAAAGATCATAAATGGGAAAATGATGATAAAATATTATGCTTATTCTAGTTGAGGATGATATAACTAGATATATCTTTTCGTTTTTGGAGCTTTTTATCTTCAAAGTATTTTCTTTACCTCCAGTTTTAAAATATAGCATGCTATGGAAGTGATATAAATAAACCATCTTTAAGAATAATGCTTCAAATACTAGCAAGTAAAAACTAATGTAGAAATGAATACTCAATGTTTTGATACAATGAAATGAAGAAATAGTCTTTTTTTTTTAATAAATAATATAAAGAGATAGAAATTAGAATCAACATATTAAGGGTGGGGATATTAGTAAACAGGACCTAAACCAGACGTTTCGAGACTGTCTTCTTTCTTTGTCAACTTCAAAATGAAGTTGTTAAGTTATGTATAGAAACCAACTGCTGTATCAAGTGCTAACGATATACTCAACATTCATTTCGTCTTCTGATATCTCTTTAGCATCTTCATGCTTTCATTTGAATCTATGTCACGATTTGGCATCAAATAAGTTTTTATAATGATCGTCAAACTAAGATATAATCAGGGTTAATTACCGTTTATTTGATAATAAAGTAAAGCAGTCCAAGTAATGTCATGTAAATAACTTTTGCTACTAATTATACATCAAAGTAAATGCAATTTAATTCGATATGGCTCAGTTCAATATGTATAAAGCATGAAAGAAGCCCTTTTGGACACAAAGGAAAATATTAAAAAAAAAAATGGGGAAGTGTATACATTAGATCTAATATATTTGTAGCCTTTAAATGAAAGATAAATCTAAAAATAGTGTCGATAGCTCAATAGTTATACTACGCTGTATTAAATCAATCAGTTGGTATAAAGAAATATCAAAGTTTAAACGCATAATTTTTTTAAAAATCACGTATAATTTTCTAGAATTTTTTTTGTTTTTCAGCATTAAAAAATTTGTTATTCTACAAAATTCGGTAAAAGCTAAATCGTTACATAATTGGATAATACAAAAAGAATGATGACGTAATCTAAATTAATTTATTTAATGCGCGTCCGAAGCTGAATTACGTGTTGCAGTGAAATCTATTTGAAAACAACTCCAGTTGATATTTCTTTCTTCTTCTTTTTTTTTTTGGAATTCTTTAAAATATATATACATATATTCATATAAATATACAAATATGACAGGTGATAATAAAAACAAGCTTTTGTAAGTATACCATATAAAAATGTGAGAAAAAGAAAACTGACATTTTATATGCTCATATTGTGTGTGTAATACGTTGATTAACTATTAGACCTAATTCCGGTATTGAAGAAACTAATGTTGATCCTAATCACGATCCTGCCACCGCTATTTTACGTCGCAAGGCTGCACCTAATAAATTGATGGTTGATGACGCTACTAATGATGATAATTCTGTCATTACACTTTCAACTGCTACTATGGAACGTTTGCAACTTTTCAGAGGTGATACTGTCATCGTAAAAGGAAAGAAGAGAAGAGACACCGTTCTTATTGTTTTAGCTGATGATGATATGGAAGATAACAAAGCTAAGATCAATAAAGGTAAAAAAAAAAAAAAAAAAAAAAAAATGTAGTGTTATTATATAATATGTTCCATACGTACTTATCTTTCTTCTTTTTTATCCGCAGTCGTTCGTAATAATTTGCGTGTTCGTCTTGGTGATGTTCTTACCTTACATCCTTGTCCTGATATCAAGTATGGTAAACGTATTCACGTTTTACCAATTGATGATACAGTGGAAGGTTTAACTGGTAATCTTTTCGAAACTTTCTTAAAACCTTATTTCTTGGAAGCATATCGACCTGTTCGCAAGGGCGATACTTTCCTTGTTCGTGGCGGTATGAGAGCTGTTGAGTTTAAGGTGGTTGAGACTGATCCTGAACCATATTGTATTGTAAGTTGAATTGTGTTATAGTGTTAAGATATGCATATATTAATATTGTATTCTATAAAGGTTGCACAAGACACTGTCATTCATTGCGAAGGTGATCCTATTAAACGTGAGGATGAGGAGCAAAGTTTGAATGAGGTTGGTTATGATGATATTGGTGGTTGTCGTAAACAAATGGCTCAAATTCGTGAATTAGTTGAATTACCTCTTCGTCATCCCCAATTGTTCAAGTCAATTGGTATTAAACCTCCTCGTGGTATTCTTATGTTTGGTCCACCCGGTACTGGTAAGACATTGATTGCTCGTGCTGTTGCTAATGAAACTGGTGCTTTCTTCTTTTTGATTAATGGTCCTGAGATCATGTCTAAGATGGCTGGTGAATCTGAAAGCAATCTTCGTAAGGCATTTGAGGAAGCTGAAAAGAATGCCCCTGCTATTATCTTTATTGATGAAATTGATGCTATTGCACCTAAGCGTGAAAAGGTATGATATTTGAATGCTATATACATATTACTTATGATAAGAAGACAGAGAAAAAAAAATAACTTTTTTCACTTTTAATAGACAAATGGTGAAGTTGAACGCCGTGTTGTCTCTCAACTACTTACCCTAATGGATGGTATGAAAGCCCGTTCAAATGTTGTTGTTATTGCTGCTACCAACAGACCTAACTCTATTGATCCTGCACTTCGACGTTTCGGTCGTTTTGATCGTGAAGTTGATATTGGTATTCCTGACCCAACTGGTCGTCTTGAAATTCTTCGAATTCATACCAAGAACATGAAGTTGGATGATGATGTTGATTTAGAACAAATTGCTTCTGAAACTCATGGTTATGTTGGTGCTGATGTTGCCTCTCTTTGCTCTGAAGCTGCTATGCAACAAATTCGTGAAAAGATGGATCTTATTGACTTGGAAGAAGAAACAATTGACACTGAAGTTTTAGATTCTTTGGCTGTGACTATGGATAACTTCCGTTATGCTTTGGGTGTTTCTAATCCTTCTGCTCTTCGTGAAACTGTTGTTGAAGTACCTACTACTAAATGGAGTGATATTGGTGGTCTTGAAAATGTCAAGCAAGAATTACAAGAAACTGTTCAATATCCTGTTGAACATCCTGAGAAATTCTTGAAATTTGGCATGAGTCCTTCTAAAGGTGTCTTGTTCTACGGTCCTCCTGGTACTGGTAAGACTTTGCTAGCAAAGGCTATTGCTAATGAATGTCAAGCCAATTTTATTTCTATTAAGGGCCCTGAACTCTTGACTATGTGGTTTGGTGAATCTGAAGCCAATGTTCGAGATGTCTTTGATAAGGCCCGTGCTGCTGCTCCTTGTGTTATGTTCTTTGATGAATTAGATTCTATCGCCAAGGCTCGTGGTAGTAGTGCAGGTGATGCTGGAGGAGCTGGTGATCGTGTACTTAACCAAATTTTGACTGAAATGGATGGTATGAATGCAAAGAAGAATGTTTTCGTCATTGGTGCTACTAACAGACCTGATCAAATTGATCCTGCCTTGTTACGTCCCGGTCGTCTTGATCAACTTATCTACATTCCTCTTCCTGATGAGAATTCTCGTGTTTCTATTTTGGAAGCACAATTACGTAAATCCCCCATTGCTCCTGATGTTGATTTGAGAGTTCTTGCTAAACATACTCAAGGCTTCTCTGGTGCTGATCTTGCTGAAATCTGTCAACGCGCTGCTAAACTTGCTATTCGTGAAGATATTGAAAGAGATATTGCTAGAGAAAGAGAGCGTAAGGCTAAGGAAGAAGCTGGTGAAGATGTTGGTATGGAAGAAGATGATGAAAGTGAAAGTGTTGCTTATATTACCCGGTAAGTTAAGGAAAGAAAAAAAAACTCTGAATTTAATAATGAAATACTAATATGAAATTATAATAAATAGTGCTCACTTTGAAGAAGCTATGCGTTTTGCTCGTCGTTCAGTTAGTGATAGTGATATTCGTCGTTATGAAGTCTTTGCTCAAAACCTTCAACAACAACGTGGCTTTGGCTCCTTCAAATTCCCCGATAGTTCATCATCTAATACTGGTGCTCAGGCTATGGATGGTGTCAGCGGAGAAAGTGGTTTTGGTCAAGAAGGTGGCGATGATGATTTGTACGCATAAAATTAATTTAAAAAGGATATTTTTGTTTTAATTTTCGCTATTGTTATATTTGTTTTTTTTTTCTCATCATAAAATTGCGAAGTTTGAACAATAACGTATATAAATAAATAATAATAAAAAAGAAGATGATACAATACCATATTATTATACTCTAATAGTAAAAAAAGAAAAAGGGAAAAGAACCTGTTATTGTTAGACAAAAAAAAAAAAAGACATTGATAAAATATTGGTAAATTATGAAAAGTAGTGCATATACGATTAAGACAATTACTGAATTTTTTTAGGCAGTTCAAAAAACAATGATATAAAAAAATAACTAAACCTCTTTTAGGACAAAAGGCAAAAAATAAAAGGTTATAAAAAGAAATAAAGTATTAGGATTATGAAAAGGTGGAGGAATGGAGTTGTAAGCCAGATAATTCATCTAATGTAATATAGACCATATTGAGAGTCAACTTATAAATCTTGGAAAGACAGACATCATAATAGAAAGTTTTTTCTTGGAAGGAAGGAAGGAAGGAAGAGGGACTTCAATTGTTTGTGGCATTTGTAATTTGCTAATATGCGTCTATTCTAACCGTTACAAGTTAATGTTTGATGAATGGCAGTTCAGCCTTGTTCAGCAAAAAGTCCTTAGATCTCTTACTTTACAAGTATTACAAACCCAAGATATATAAATATTGATTTAATATAAAGAATCTGATAAACATATATTTATTTAAATACTCGTGAAAAAGTTTCAAATTCATTAATATCCAGAAGATGATCCATGTCGATATCCTCAAACTTGCTCTCCAAAGATCACCAAGGGCATTTTTCTTTGCTTGTCATCATTAAATCGACTGCTATAAGTTTTCCTATTGTTTAAATATTAATTAATGTATTTTATCATAATGATAACTACTTTTGCTCAACAGGTTGATATGCGATACCAATATTTTGTCTGTTATACATTCTTTTTCTTTTTTGATTGTTCATATTGGTTTTCTTCTTCTTCTTCTTGTTTCCCTTATATATTGTTTATCTTCACTTTAAATGTATATCATTCATACATTTACGTGATCTAGCCCTCATGTCTAAATTTATTGATTCATATATAGACTCGCTAATAAATATACATAGCAGCCTTCTTTAATTAATATCAAGACTCATCATATTAGTTGTTTACAAGTATTCCTAGATCAATATGTATTAGAACAATAATTATCAAAGCAGTATTTAACTATATCAATCTATATTTGAACATTTTTTATTAACAAGGATAAAAATAATTTGTACAAGCATCTATCGCATTGAATAGATGCTGTGTATATCAGGAACTAAGCTTTGAGAGGTACTTTTAGTTATTTCCATAGTGACTCAGCGAAACGCACCTTAAATAATGATATTTGAATTTATATATTAATACTCTTTAACAATAAAATGAGAGGATAGTTAGAAATAGTTTTTGGATTATCTTTGAATAGCCAGTATCTGATTAACTACGTATAGTTTTTTTTTTTTTTTTTCTAATTTTTTCTTCATTCATGTGCAATTATTCGATCCGACCCAGGAAAATTTAATGTATTTAATATCATCTCGTGCACGTTGAGGTCATATATGTATGCTTTTTTTTTGTGACAAAAGTGGCAAGGAACGTTACTTCTTTCCATTTATAAAAAAAAAAAAAAAAAAAAAAAAAAAAAAAAAAAAAAAAAAAAGACGGAGAAATGTTTTTTCCTTACCTTTCGCATTGTTCTGATTCTATTTTTGGAGATCTTATTTTTCCCTTTTAATAAACCAAAAAAAAAAAAAGGGTTGCGAGTTCTGAATTTATGGCTGTGGTAACATATTAAGTTTCAATTTGTTTAGTTTAAAATCAAAGTAGTGACAAATTATTGAGTGATAATTTGTTTAAATATGATATCGTTTAACCAAGTAATTTGAATTGATACAAACTGCTGTCAACACAGAACATTATCCTTCTGTCTTTAACAGCCTTCGATAAATATATAAAAACTAAAATACATATAAATAAATAAGCACTAACAAGTCATCTGCTATGAATATTTACTTTATCTTATTTTTGACAAGTTTAAAGATCATCGCAGAGTTGTTTCTTATTATCAAGATGTTTTAAAATATATATTTATATACGAATATATACTTGATAACCCACTAACTGGTTTCAGGAACACTTGCTGTAGAAGAACATATTGTTATGACTGTAGCTGCCTTTATATCAAAGTTATAACAAGAAATAGCGCTATTGTTTATTATATAATTAAAGAAGTTGTGGTTCATATAATAAAACTAGTCTATTATACTTGATAGCATAATGTTCATTCTATACTCGGTTTTAACTATATTGTCATTGAGCATTTATAATAACAATTATATTATGTAATAGTATATCATATGAGAATGATATGAATAATTGGCATTGTTGGTTATAACTACTTATCCTTCTACTACCAGGAATAATAACAAATAATTTTATTTTTAAGTAACAGTTTCACAGCTCATCTAGGAATAACAATTTTTACACAGTTCTTTATCACATTAGTCCTTGCTTGTTGACAATATTATATTATTTATTTTGTAAAAATAACCTTCTTCATTCTTGTATTATCAAATCTTCCTCTTTAATAAACTATATATATAGTTTTCACAAACTCCTGTCTTTTGTTTTTATATTCTCTTTCTTTGTTGTTTTGCGGATCAAAAGCAGATGCTACCATCATAGGGATGAACAAAAAATCTTTGCCGAAATTTTCATCCTCATTTTCAAAACGTTTGGTAATGCACTTGGTCATACATCGGTTATCCTGAATGGAAAAGCAGTCCGAATCAAACAAATCAATCATGAAGTGTCAAATATTAATTGTACTAAACTTGCTGATAGTATTGGGTAGACAATCAAGCTCAATGTCCTGTATATTACTATTATAGAATCAAGTGTATACAACAAAGTTAATAATGTATCACCACATACGCTTGGTAATACTGCCGAGTTGCTAAAATCTCTACGAATCCTTTAATAAAACATGCAATAATTAGAGGGAGAGTTTTTTTTTTTTTTTTTTTTTTTTTTTTTTTTTTTTTTTTACCTTTACGCATTTAAAACTATGTGTTCAAATCCTGACTCTTCCTTTACACCTATAATTAACAAAAAGTTTAGTAGTTTGCTCTTATAAACTATTATCTTTTATTTCTCAATTATTTATATAACTTATCCTAACCAAAATATAGCTTCCACTGATCAACTTTGTAAAACCAATAAGCTCATACTGGTTGAAAACTGATCGCTGTGCAATTATTATGTATAAGACGCGTATTGAAAATTTTTATCATTAGTAAAAAAAAAAAAAAAAAAAAAAAAAAAAAAAAAAAAAAAAAAAAAAAAAAAAAAAAAAAAAGCGTTTTTATTTTGACAATAATTACCGAGTTGATTTTTGCTGAATGTCTTTATAAATACAGCGCTTTTGTGTATCCACTAAAAGTTTATTATATTTTATTTTAATAGATATTATTCCATTCTTCAAATAATATATTTTACTTCTTGTGTCTATAGTAGTCCCGCACCATCCAAAAAATAAAGTCGTCTGAATTTTAATTTTAATTTGTCTAGTAAAAAAAAAAACAGTATGATCTACAGTAACGAATTGTTTTTTTTTTCTTTTAAAAAAAAACAAAAAAAATAAAAAAAAATGAAAATGAAAAAAAGGCTTCATTCTATATTGAATCATAATTATGTCTAATAAAAATAGAATGTTTACTTCTCGTACAGGGCAGAATAAAAGATCCGAATTTGGGTTGCACATCATATATTCCACCAATCACGAATTAATCCTACTCGGCGACAACTTCAACCGGTACTACATTAGTATTCTCTTTTTCATTTATAACTTTTGTTTTCAAATATAAATATATAGAAGCTGATCAGATCAGTTTATTATAAATATCCTTTATTCTTCTTATTTTATTTTAATTTTATTACATCCTTTTTTTTTTTTTACTATGAGAATAGTAAACAACACTAACGACAAGAATATTACTACAACTACTACAATAGAAACTGATGAACAATATAATGATACTATGACTTCAAACAAGTCAATTGAAGAATTATATAATAATAGAGTCCCTTCTGAGGATAGTGAGCCTACAGTGGATTGCAGTAAAAAAGAAGCCTCAGCAAATGAGCCAAATTTCAAGACAAGGGCAGAATTAATTAAATTCACAATTGTCATTATTGGTATCATTTTTGCTATGTTCATGATGTCTTTAAATTCTACTGTCGTTGCTCCCGCTATGAGTATTATTGCTACAGATTTAAATGCACTTGAACAACAAACTTGGATTGCTACATCTTATCTTGTAGCTGTGAATTCATTTCAACCATTATCGGGCAAAGTAAGTTTTGCAAATTGATATAAAATAATGACTAATCAAATATAAATCTATATAGTTTTCAGACATTTTTGGAAGGTATACATTATTTGCATACATATACAATTTAGGATATATTTAGTTAATATATTCTGTATAATATTTCCTTTTTTCTAAAAAAAAAAAAAAAAAAAAAAAAAAAAAAAAAAAAAAATGCTTTCTATATTTGTAGAAAAGCGGTTTTTATGTTTGGTATCGTGTTTTTCTTCATAGGTTCTTTAATTAATGCCTTATCCAAGAATATCAGCATGTTAATTGCTGGACGTACTATTCAAGGTTTTGGTGGTGGTGGCGTAATGTCGATGGCTTATATTCTTGTAACTGATGTTTGTCCTGTCAATCTTCGTCCTCGTTTTCAATCTATGCTTGCTGTTGTTTATGGTATTGCCAGTGTTGTAGGCCCTCTCCTCGGTAATAAAAAAAAAAAAAAAAAAAAAAAAAAAAAAGAACCCCTTGATCCCACTATAGTCGGAGCTTGTTGCTAACTTTTATTTTTAGGTGGCGCTTTTGTCGATCATGCTTCTTGGCATTGGGATTTCTGGTTAAATGTTATTCTTGCCGCGATTGCATTTATAATCATATTCTTCTATTTAAATGAAACACAAAATACTAAAGAAACCTCACTTAAAGATAAAATAAAGCGTATTGACTGGTTAGGTTCTGTTTTCTCTATAGGGTTTATTGTTTGTTTACTTTTAGCTCTTAATTGGGGCGCTTCCTATGGGTAAGGATTTCATATATATATATACATATATAATTATTCTAACGTTGTATGTATGTATATATGTATATAGCTGGTCGGATGCTCATTCAATTGGCCCATTTGTTGGAGCTGGTGTTAGTTTAATTGGTTTAATTATATCTGAAGGTTGGTTAGCCAAGGAACCGCTTCTGCCTGCTAAAGTTTTACTGAATCCACCTGTTACCATGGTTTACGGCTATATGTTGACTTTAGGTTTAACATTTACCGGCACACTTTATTTTGGTCCCATCTATTTCCAGTCTGTATTTGGTGCAAATAGTACTGAATCAGGTCTTCGTCTGATTCCCTTTATGGTTTGTCTTATTGGTGGTTCAGTAGGTTGTAGTATCCTTTTAAGAAAATTTCCTAGCACAAAATATTACCTTATTATCGGTTCAGCTTGTAACTTATTAGGTTATGGTCTTTTTTATACTGTAAATGAAAGTAGTACATGGGGTCAGCAGGCCGGCTATCTTGCTTTCTGTGGCTTCTCCTTTGGCCTTTCTCAACAAAATGCCATATTAACTGTACAATCATGTGTCGAATTAAAAGATATTGCAGTCGCTACTAGTTCTAACAACTTTTTCATGATGCTTGCCTCCTCTGTTGGTATAGCAATCTATCAAGTGTTGTATAAGACTTTCCTCACAGATGAGTTTGCAAAATTGCCTCTTGAGGTATTAGCTATAGCCAACAAATATGGTGCCCTTCGTAACTTTTTGTATATTCGTGAAATGCCTTTAGAGATTCAAAAACCTGTCATTCATGCATACTCTCAAGCTCTTCACAAAGTTTTTATTCTCCCTATTGCTGCTGCTGGTGTTGGTTTTATTCTAACCCTCTTTTTCAAGAATGTTCGTTATGGTGAATCTCTTGGTAGTGGTGGTGATGCCAAGAATTCTGCAAAGAATGATGTCGAAAGTGCTTTTGACAAAAAAGCTGAAGCAGTATAAAAAAAACAAAAGGGGGTAATCTTTATGTATAAATATTATTGCAATAATCAAGTTTATATATATATATATATATATATACGTACATACGTACATACTTACTTACATACTTACATACTTACTTACATATATACATGCACACACTATATACGCAGTATTATAACTTTCTTTTTCTTTACTTTGTTCCTTTTTTCTTACCATTTATTCTATATAATAATTATCCTTTCTAACAATATTTAAAGATTATATAAACTTATCTCGTGTATTTTTACTATTTCCCTTCTTTAGACGTTCTATTTTATTTTTTAATGCAGCAAAATTAAGTTAAAAAAATATATAGTAAAACTAGGGTTTTATTTCTCTGATATATTTCATATGATTGTAATTTTTTTTTAAGAAATAAAAAAAAAAAAGAAAAGAAAAAACCTCCTCCTTCTCATTATTACTCTTTTTTTTTTTCCTTCCATCTATACACAAAGATAGAAAAAGAAAACATGTATCATTTTTCGAAGCTTGCTAGTCGAAATCCACGACTTTTTACAACAATAGCTCGAGCAAATGTACGGTCAACATTTATATATATATATATATGTGTGTATACACATATACATATTTGTTGTCAGACTAAAGAATCTAAAATATACGTTTATAGATAGGAGCTTCGATACGATGGTACTCAACTACAAAAATCAATGGTCCAGTCATTGGTATTGATCTAGGCACTACAAACTCATGTGTTTCTGTTATGGAAGGGAAAACCCCTAGAGTCATTGAGAATTCAGAAGGTGCAAGAACGACACCTTCGATTGTAGCATTTACAAAAGAAGGTGAATTATTAGTAGGACAAACTGCTAAACGTCAAGTAAAATAAATTATATCAATGAAGAACGAGAATATATATATATATATATATACAAATATACATATATACATACACACAAAGATGAAATTTATAACTCTATTACTTTTATTATTATTATTATTATTATTATTATAGGCTGTTGTTAATCCAGAAAATACGATTTATGCTACTAAACGACTGATTGGTCGTAAATTCAAGGATCCTGCAGTTCAAGCAGATATTCCAAGTGTATCCTATAAAATTGTACCTCATACGAATGGAGATGCTTGGGTAGAGGTAACGGGTGGTAAAAAGTATTCACCATCTCAAATAGGTGCCTTTGTATTAGGTAAAATGAAGGAAACTGCAGATGGATTTTTGAATAAAAGAGTCAAGCACGCTGTTATTACTGTACCTGCCTATTTTAATGACTCACAACGTCAAGCTACAAAGGATGCTGGCAAGATTGCAGGCTTAGATGTCCTGCGTGTCATTAATGAACCCACAGCTGCTGCTTTAGCCTATGGTCTTGATAAGGCGGGTGATAAAACGATTGCCGTCTATGACTTGGGTGGTGGCACGTTTGATATCTCAATCTTGGAGATTCAAAGTGGTGTATTTGAAGTCAAATCTACAAACGGTGACACAGCTCTAGGTGGAGAGGACTTTGATTCTCGTTTAGTGCGTTATGTAGTAGATGAGTTTAAGAAAGAGTCAGGTGGTCTTGATGTGTCAAGGGATCGTATGGCTATTCAACGTATCCGTGAAGCATGTGAAAAGGCTAAAATTGAATTGTCCTCAACGGTTCAAACAGATATTAATTTACCCTATATTACCGCAGATGCTACAGGACCAAAACATATTAATAGTAAACTAACACGCGCAAAATATGAGACCTTAGTAGCAGATCTCATAAAAAGAACTATTCCTCCTTGTGAGAAGGCAATGAAGGATGCAGGTGTTTCAAATAATGATGTTCATGACGTTATCCTAGTGGGTGGCATGACTCGTATGCCAAAGGTAGTTGAGACGGTTCGAAGTGTTTTCGGTAAAGAACCTTCCAAGTCAGTCAACCCTGATGAAGCGGTTGCCATCGGGGCTGCTATTCAAGGCGGTGTCCTTGCAGGTTCTGTAACCGATATCCTGCTTTTGGATGTCACCCCTCTTTCATTAGGTATCGAAACCCTAGGCGGTGTCTTTACACGTTTGATTAATCGTAACACAACTATCCCTACCAAAAAAGCACAAGTATTCTCTACTGCAGCTGATGGTCAAACACAAGTTCAAATTCGTGTCTTCCAAGGTGAACGTGAACTCTGCCGTGATAATAAACTGTTGGGTGACTTTAATTTAACGGGTATTCCACCTGCTCCTAAAGGTGTTCCACAAATTGAAGTAGAGTTTGATATAGATGCTGATGGTATTGTCAATGTCAGTGCTAAAGATAAGGCTACTAATCGTGATCAATCAAGTAAGTATAATTATTGAAAGAAGGAGAAGATGAAAGAAGAAGAAGAAGAAAAAAAAACAATTAATATTACCTTTTTTTTTTTGAAGTTACTATTGCTGCATCTTCTGGATTAAGCAGTGATGAAATTGAAAATATGATCCAAGAAGCAGAAAAGAATGCAGAAGCTGATCGTGCTCGTCGTGATACAATTGAAATGGCCAATCGAGCTGAATCTGTTATGGGTGAAACGGAAAAGGCAATGGAAGACTTTAAGGACCAAATTGATAAAGATGAAGCAGAAAAATTAAAGCAAAAGATTGAATCATTAAGAAATGAGACAGTTAAAGCGCAGGCAGGGGATGTAGATATCAGACCTGATGACTTGAAGGAAAAGATAGATGATCTTCAATCCAGTTCCTTGAAACTTTTTGAAATGGTTTATAAAAATCGTGCACAACAACAAGAAGGAGATAATACAAATAATAATAATAATAATAACCCTCAACAATAAAGAAAGTTACATTTGTTATTTCTTTTTTCTTTTTTCTAAGAATTATTAATAATATGATATATTTCCACTTTTTATATAATAATAATAATAATACATAGCAAATAAATATAATTAATGAGGATTCTTTAAATATCTTTTTCTGCTCTTTACATTAAGAGTAATCCCATCATAAGGAGTACTACTACTGTTGCTGCTGCTGCTGCCACTACTACTACTATTTGAAGAACTAGTAGACTCAATAAAGCTAGCCCTTTGTTGATCTTCCTCTTGAGTTAAAGTATCATCGGATATGGATCTACTCATTTTTTCTTTATTCCCTTCCTTTAAACTTGTTGTCTCCATCAACTTTTTTTCATTTTTAATAAATGAATTCTGTTGATATTGTTGACAAGTAAGACAGCCTTCAATGAAATTCAAAAATCTCTTTTTTTGCTGTTTATTTTTAGTACTTGTAAAGATACCATTTTTACCCCATCCAATAGTATAACCAGCAAAGAGCATCCAATAAACATTCACATTTTGAATAAGTGTAGGCCAGATGCCACCATAAAAGGAGGCAAGCGCGATAAGCTCACTGGAACGCCAAAGCCAATAAATTGCTTCTAATCCTTTGAACCATGCTTTTTCATTCACTTGACGGCATCGTTTGTTGTTAGTTTTATGACTTTCATTATGAAGAATAGCTGCTGTTGTTGTTGTCGTAGTAGTAGTAGTAGTAGTAGTAGTAGTAGTAATAGTAGTAGTAGTAGCAGCAGCAGCAGTTTTTGTAGAATTTGTTGTCATTGTATGCCTTCCACCATCTGATGAAGAATGACGATATTGTTGTTGTTGCATCATGATGATAGCTCCCTGGCATGTCAACTCGCTTGCATCCGTACCTCTCCAAGTTACTAAAAGGAAAAACATAAAGACATCTAAAGTAACTTGTTCAGCGGCAAACATCCAAGTATCAGCGATTGGTATCCATTCCCCGGCAAACACCATACCCCACATATAAAAAATACCATAGCGTTCAGCATTTGTATCAGCAGCAGGTATAAAATTAGCTCTAAACCAAGGCAGAGTTAAGAGAGTTAATATGTAGGCAAATGTCAGATGCCAGACTAATGGTTGATCTTGTGGTAATTGTAAAAGTCTAAGAGACCAAATCAAAATTTGCTTCTTTAAATACAGATAAGAGCAACGTGATGACTGTTTCTTTGCAATCACGATTTGATCTATTGCATGAATACGTAACAAAATTTGACTGATACGTTGTTCAGAAACAAAAAATTTAGGAACAAGCAATAAAAATAATATGCTTGAGATAGAAAATAAAGTAATACATTGTAGCTAATAGACATAAATAAATTAGGAATTTTTTTTTTATAATAGTTATTATTATGACTTACAACTAAGGCCATTTTAGACTTGATAATAAATTCACCAGACCCTCCACCAATTTTAGCTCTATACATATCTGTACGGAACACAGTTTCAGATATACTGGATTTACCATTTGGAGTAGTTATACGAATACTAAGCTGATGTGTCTTCCTATCTTCCAATAAAGATGGATCCCATGGAGATACCCAAAGTGGGTTTTTCGTATCACCTACATAGATAGCAGGATTAGGATGTAATTGACCATTAATTTTGATTTCAATTGATATTTTTTCGGTCTCTTCTTCCTCAGAAAATACTAAAAAGCGAATATGAGTGCTTTGACGAATACGCCATAAGGGTTCCTTTGTAGGGATCGAGAATCGAGCATCTTTAGGATTAGTCACTAAGATAGAAGGAGAAGGATGAACTAGATTAGGCCAAATAATTTTATCATCTTGCATAGGTTGAACAAGGCCTGCAGAATTGACGGGACCCCTTTTTGGGATTTGGTCTAAAGGTAATTGAAGGTCTACAAATGAAATTAAATCATGATCTATGGCAACAATTCTATAGAGTCCATGTTCCTTTAGATCACCTAGTTCTAATTCAAGTGATTTTGTAATAGGATTATATGATTTGAGTACATCACCTATTCCTATATATATATATGAATACATATAAATATATATAACAAAATGTCAATATGTATATATACATGTATACATAAAATTATCAAGTAAGTGTGACGAGATATTTACCTGCTATAAGCTTATGGAGGTGACCACAGAAATAAATACTGTAATTTCTTGATAAATCTCGAAACGTCTTTCCTGTTTTCGAAACACCAAATACCATCGTAGTTGTAGGATAATGAGAGAACTTTAAAGAATATGTTAATAAGGAATGTTATAAACGGAGTGGAGGTTTTTTTTTTTTTTTTTTTTTTTTTTTCTTTCTTTTTCTTCCTTACTAAAAATGTATGATTAAATGTGTTCAGTGTCAAAGCCTTTTCTAATTGATCCATAGTTTTTGAAGTAAGATAACCAAAGAAATTTAAAGGTCTTGATGGTCCTCGTTTTGGGCTATGATGAAACGTTTATTATATATTACACAAAGTCTTTTTCTTTTTTTTTTTACCATGCATCTATCGCAACAAATTGATAATTTCCTACTTCGGGTTTATTAAGTTGCCATGTGTATATGCCTTTACCTTGCTCTACTAAATCGGCACTCTTCCCATGCGTACTGTAATAATTAACTCGAGACTTCCATGATGGCAAATTAAAGCAATCATGATTACCTCTTATATCGTACCATTTGGTATTCACTTTTTCATTTATTGCCGTTTGATATACATCCCATTCATCGATGTATTGTTGAGAAGTAACCCTTTTTTTATCTTTAGCATCTGTTAAGTCACCAGTAACAATAACAAATTCTGGTCTTTTTTTAATAATAGATAATAAAAAATTAGGTAAAAGGAAACATCATATTACTCTACTAATGTAAATATTTACTTGACAACAGGTAAAATAGATTGAATAAAATGTAGAAAATGAAAAGTATGGCCCTTGGGTCTAAATCTTGATAAATGTAAATCTGTAACCTATAAATAAATAGGTACATTTATATATTTTGTAGTTTAGTAACCTATTTAACATCTATACATAAAATGGATCATATTTACATGTACAAAATAGAATATATTATGTGATTCTGTACCAAGTACGATTGAGTCATTTTTGATGATACTATGACCATTATCATGAATTGAAGGAGAAAACCAAGAATGACCTTCAGTAGGTCTTAATGCCTTTGTAGAAGACAAATACAGCTGAATTGCTCTTAAAGAACAAAGTAATGTGATTAGAAGGTATATTAATCTATTCATATATAAATAAAAATAAAATAGAGAAAGAAAAAGGAGAGAGTGAAAAAAAAAAAAAAAAGAAAAGAAACAATGTCACTTTTATATTAACAAATAACAAACACAAACAAATAAAATAAAATAAAGCCTTTCTTCCTTTTCTGTGTGTCTCCCTTTATTACATTATTAATCATTTTCCTATACGCAGAATAATACAAAAAAAAAAAAAAAAAAAAAAAAAAAAAAAAAAAAAAAAAAAAAAAAAACTTGTTTGATTCTAGTAGCAGAGTAAATAGTAAAGAGATGAACTAAGGTTTTAATATTATCCATTCTGTTAAAAGTAACAAATAGAACGTACGACTCCTTTATTATTATTATTATTATTATTATTATCGTAGCCTCGATTCAAGTTTTATACTTTAACGTTTTATATTCATTTCTGATAAATTCCTTCGTTTTTTCTTTTGTTCTATTATAAGCGTATGTGTATGTGTATGTAGCCTTGGATGGCCCTTTCTTTCTTTATTTATTTATTTGTATGTATATATATATAGTCATTTCTTTAACAACAGTCTACTATAAAGATATACACATATTTATATGTATACAATAAGATACTCAAGCTAAGACTGAATATAAAGCACAAATGATTCTTTTTTTTTTTCTTTTTTTTTTCTTTTTAGGCCTATATCATATCATAATAAGCATATACAGAACTATAACAGGATTGATTTATTCTTTTTATAATAAATTTCATTTGTTGTATAAAAATATAAATAAGAAAAAAAGGGTATTTTTATTTTGCTACTACAATAATTAAAGCTAATACACAAGCAACAATTGTAATAATCAACATAAAACAACACATGTTCTTTCTTGCTTTCTTTTGATGACGATTTGCGACTGTTAACTCTTCCGTTGCCTGTTTTGTATTTTGTGCAATATTTAACACATTGCCATAAATGCTCTCTAAATTCATTAAAATAAAGTTATTACTGCATTTATTTTATTTTATAAATAAATAAAGGGATACTTACGAATACCACTTTCTTGCTCATTAACAAGCATACCAAGATCACGAAATACTTCATTTAATTCCGTTATTCCTTGTTCAATATCTCGAATTTCACCTTCACGTTCAGCAATTAAAGTTTCGTTATATTCAATTTCATTATCTAACGCTTCAATTTGAATACGTCTTTGTGTATCATCAGCTTGTTCTTGTTCTTGTTCTTCATCACTAATAAACACATGTTAATCATTTAAAATAAATTAAATAGTCCCTTTTTTTCTTACTCCATTTGAGATTGAAGTGCTGCAGTCGTTGCTTTCTTTTTATCCACATATTCTCTTTGTTTAGATATAGACTCTCTTTGGATTTTTTGAAATTCTGCCAAGACCTTTTGAAAGTCTTTAGATAACTTTTGTTGTTCAAGCTTTCTTTGACGCTATATAATATGTATATGTAAATGCTTAATGTTATCATTTATTATTATTATTGAATTACTGTTTTCTTTGGATCCGATATTTGTTGTTGAGATAATAACTTTATATCTGATGTTGTGTCTCTTATTAATTCTCTTGTGCTTTCTGTTACGTCATGTCTAAGGTGGAAAAAAAAATAAATAAATAAATGTTCATTTCTCATGTTGTAAATTATTATTTGACATACAATTTATTTCTGATATCAGGATTATCTTTTAAAGTTCCCAAGAATCCAATAAGTCTTTCAATGCTTGTAATATTTCCATTAATATGAAATATCTGTTGAGATACTCTTTGTGTTAACATTTTATAATCACTGTCGCTTTCATCTAATCAATTACAATTAATAACATTCTTTCTTTCTCTTTCTTTAATTCTAAAAGAATAACCTTGTTGAGTTCTATTTCTTGTGGAGTTAGATATTCCTAAGCCCTGTTCTAAATCATTAAATGACATGTGTATATTTTATTTATTGAAGAATAAAAGATAGAAATAAAAAAAAAATGAATTTTTTTCTTCATCAGGAACGAGAAAAAAAAAATGAAGATTGAATACGACGTCAGTTATTAAGCATAATTATTTTATTGGTTTCTTTAATGAACTTTAAATATTTATATGTATTTTTTTTTCCATTAGCTAAAAGTATATGAATAACATGTTTATATAATATGCCTACTAGTTTATTGTAGTACTTCCTTGATAGTTCAAAGAAGAATAGCTTGTCAAACTTTTAATCCTAATGATGAAGCAAGTTGTTTTCTGTTTTGTTTTTTTATTCTTCCTGTACCAATAACAAGTAAGGAATTGAGTCAGCTGGTTTATTCTTCGTCGTCAGATGTGATATTATCCCTTATTATTAAGTCATCATAAAAATATGACGGCCGAAATAAAATTCTAAAATTTATATATTTTTTTTTTATTTTTATATTTATATGCATATCTATTACTTTTTTTGGCTTTAATATATCAAAATGACTAAAAAAAAAGAAAGACTAATTCGAGGTCATCGTAAAGATTCAGTTTTATTTACTCTTGTCGAATTGCAAGATTTAAGAGGTATATATTTAAACATGTATACATGTATTGCCTTTTTTTTTTTAAAAAAAAAACAAAATGATCGTAATGTTCAAAAATATAGCCCATCAAAGAACATTTGAAGGTGCATATTGGCGAACTGCTTTAGCAGCTTTCTCTTCGGGATTGTTAATTTTAAAAGTATTTACAAGAGAGTTTTATAAGATTGGCATTACATTCTTTGTTTTTGGATTAGCCATGTTAGCCATCGCTTTATGGCGTAGACGTACTTCTTTTGATGTATTTGATCAAACGATTCCTTATAAAACAAGCGGTGATTGGGTTATTCTAACAACAATTGTAACTATGGCAACATATATTGTGCTGCTTGTGTTGTTATTGAACCTTTAATTTATGATACCCATTATTTACTACACTGAAAAAATAAAAATAAATAAAATAAAATCACGTGATAAATAGTGATATGTGAAGAAAAAAAAAACAAAAAAAAAACAAAAAAAAAGGAATACAAATAAAGCGACTAATTGAATATATATAAATAAATATAAAAAAAAAAGACCGTTGACAGGTCGCACATGCAATTGTATGCTATTATTAAACAATAGCAACCATGTCCTCTCTCCTCTTTTATTTTATATTGGCCAATAATACAATTGAACATGCTGAGTTATTCTTATTTATCCAATCAATAAAGATTTTAAGCATAATTTTTTTTTTTTTTTTAAAAAAAAATAATAATATTTTCTTTTTTTTTTTTCCTTTCTTTCTTTCTTTCTTTCTTTCCTTTTTTTTTTTTTCTTTTCTTTTGCTATTGTAATAATAATGCAAGCTAGGAGAGAATGTCATATTTCGGATTGTGAAGATAATGACGATGAAAGTGAATGGAGCTTAAATACATATGAAAGCAGTAGCTCAGAGAATGATGAATATTCAAGTGACGAGTATAAAGATCATTACTTTGACCCAACGAAAATCACAACTTCACTTCCACTTTTACCTTTTAATAATCAAGTTGGAGGACATGCACCCTTTTTTCGTTTTTCCAAAAGAGCTATTTGTAAGCCAGTAACTGCAAGAGAGCAAGTATTTTATGAAAACATTGATGGCCAACATCACGAATTACTACCATTTACATGCCAATACATGGGTGTTTTAAATGTCACTTATCGTTCACTAGATAATGCTTTAGATCCACCTGTACCAGAAGTTTTATTTGAAAAAAACAAGCATTTATTACGTGATTGGCAAGCTTGTGCATTTAAGAAACATCAAAGGCAACAACAACAACAACAACAACAATGCTATATAGGTCGACGCCATTCGTGTTCACCTGAAGCTCACGAATTACTAAGGGCATCATCAAATAACCGATTTCGTGCCACACGATCTAGAAAATTTCAAGAACAAGTCTTGAAGGAAGTCTTTTCTCCTGAAGCACTTAGAGAAAGACTCATGTTGGCAGAAGATTGGAAACGTAAAAATCGATTAATGAGTCACGAAGAAAAGTTGAAACCTCTTAAATCATCCCCAGCTATACCAACAACAGCAACAGCAGCTGATTCTACTTTTACTTCATGGAATACAAATGAGTCCAAAATAGCCCAAAGTTACTCTGATCATCATTTAAATAAAGAAAAATCGTGGAAAGATGAAAATCCAATTTCTCACGGAGGCAGTTCTGCACCTGTCATGATGTCTGGATTAAGTTTTTGTAACTTGGAAAAACTAAATGTATTCTCCTCATCCGATTTTATTAGAAGAAATTCAGGTGATAGAGGAGATGGATTTGGTGATGATGACAGTATGACTTTGACAGGCTCGATTGATCACATGACATTAGAACCTAGAAGACCGTCTATGATCATTTCACCTTCTTCTTCACCTGATATATGTACAAAAAATTCACAGTCATTGAATGATCATGATAGTACCAATCATGACGAAGGCGCTATTTTTACTATGGATGATATCGATATTGGAAAGAATTCAAGGAGAGAAAAGATCAGTAAGAAGAAAATCCCTTTACTTCAAGTGGATTCAATTTGCCTTAGTAGTAGTAGTAGACAGTCAAAAAATAATAATAATAATAATAATAATAATAATAAAACTTTAGACACTAATAATAATAATAATAATAATAATAACCCTAATAATAATCATCATCATAATAGTCCAAGGCCACCAGATAATCCTTGGTCACTTCAAATATATAATCGCGATTTACAAAAGATGCGTAATCGAAAGCAATCCACGTCCTCAGACGAAGTATCACAGCAAAATAATGTTCAGAAATATATTTTAATTGAAGATTTGACTGATGGAGTTAGATATCCTTGTGTTCTTGATTTAAAAATGGGGACTCGTCAATATGGTGTTTATGCTACGCGTGAAAAGATGAAAAGTCAAACAATAAAATGTGAAAAATCCACAAGTAAAGTTTTAGGTGTTCGTGTATGTGGCATGCAGGTAAGAAAGAAAGAAAGAAAGAAAGAAAAAAAGAAAGGATATACATATATGTATATATACGTGTGTGTGTGTGTGTGTGTGTATGTATGTACGCATGTACGCATGTATGTGTAGTCACATGCTAAATGAATGTTACATCGTCATAATAGGTCTATAAGAAAAATTCAAGTGAATTCATTTTTCAAGATAAATATTATGGTCGAACTTTAACGCCTGTGACTTTTCGTGATACTTTAGAAGCCTATTTAGATAATGGTCAAGGCTGTCAAATTCAACATATACCCGTTATCGTTCGTAAGCTTCGACGACTGGCAAGAATCATAAAGAAAATGGATGATTATAGACTCTATGCCTCTAGTCTTCTCATGATTTATGATGGCTCCCCTACGACGACAGATACACGAAAGAAGATTGATGTCCGTATCATTGATTTTGCTAACTGTGTCACGGCTGAAGATGTTCAATTTCGTCAAGACGAATTTACTTACCCGCCTCGTAATAAAGGTCCCGATAATGGTTATTTGCTCGGTCTCAAGACACTTGTTTTATGCTTTGAATGGATTTATAGAAAACATGGAGGTCTCTCGGAGGATTTATATGTACAATCTGATAACGTATTTGATGATATTTATGAACCAGCAAATGATGAAGTTCTTTCAAGTATATTACTTTAATATGTAGTTCATGTACATACTCTTTTTTTTTTGCGCAATACAGTCTTTTTGAGAAAGATTTCTTTTTTACATGTATATTTATAAAAAGATATATATATAACGAATTCCCCCCCCCTTTTCCCCTCTTCTTTTCTCTCTCTATTTTCTATCATATCCATTCACTCTTTTTTTTTTAAAAAAAAAAAATTCTTGTAATTATATAATTTTAATATATTTTATTATTCTCAAATTTTTTTTTAAGACTCTTCTTTTTCATCTGCTACTTCTTCTTCTACTACTTCATCATCAACATCAATAAGAGGTGATGATGATGATGAAGATGATGATGTTGTTGTTGTTGCTGCTGCTGTTGTTGTTGTTCTTGTCTCCTCAATAGTAGATTCTAAATCTTTGTTTAAAAGTTCAGGGAAAAGATTAGGATATTCTTTTGGATCTGCTAAACTCTCAGCTGTCTTTTTACGGTTTTTGCTTTCAAGTCCAGATTTCCATAATTGAACAGTTCGAGAAATTTGATCAGGACAATAAGTTCTTGCCAACATGGCAGCTTCAGGAATACGATCTGTCTTGATTAACAAATCAATGGCTTCTTCCATGGCCCCCAATTCAAATAAACAAGTAAATGCAATATTATTTTTTTCTTGTTCAACTATGAATTCATATGTGATTAATTGTAAAGTCAATTTATATATTTATATACTTACTTGCTGTATCTGCAATGCGTCTAATACCAGCACGATTACCATTAGCAGTATAAAAGAGTAACAAACCACTAAGATCATTTGCCTTTATCAAGCATTCTTCTGCCAACTTGAAATCCCAAGAGGACATGGCAACATCACCCAAAGTTCTCCACTTGGTTTCAGAATCATATTCATGTGCAATTTCAGAAGCAATATCCAACTTACCAAGTTGAATAGCAAGGTCAAATCGTTGATCAATATCTGTAGTCACCTCAAGGGCTAATTCCTTAAGATCTTGAGATTCCAAAAATCTTGCAACACGTCCACGTTGATCATTAGGAATAGATTCAAGCAAGTCAGCGGCAGCATCAAGATCACCACGAAGAATAGCAGTTTGATATTGAATGACACTTAAAGATAAGCTATAACTATAAAAATGAACATCTCTATCAGCCATATAGATTCTGTTATCTCTAGGTGCATAACCCAACAAGTACATGGGTTTATCAAAGTGACTAATCGTGTATGTTTCAGTGCCAACAAGATAGTTCATTCTATTCGAATTATTGGTGTAAATAAAACAATCACCTGCCCAGGTACCGGTCTTTACTACCTCAGGGACTTCAGTAATAAACTCAAAGGCATCTTCAACGCCTTCTTCCCCTGGATCACCTCCGTTTTCAATAAATTGAGCATAAGCTTGAGCATTATATCTCAAGACATAAAACGAATCATCACATACAATGGCAAGTAAATCACCTGCATCAGACCAATAAACAGCTTTGGAATCTACATCAATACGACGTACGACTTCCCCACTTTCCCAATCATAAAAATTCAAGAAACCAGTGCCACGTACACCAAGCAAGGCACCGCTATAGATACCTTCAGCGCTATAATTTAATTTCGGAAGCATACCCGATCTTTCCTTAAAATTCTTGAATACTTTTACTCTTGAAGTAGATTCACGTACAGCATAAACGTTAGAATCATCAGCCCAAACAAAATCAAGACCGCTACCAAAACTCTTATTTCTCCATGCTAAAGCAGTATAAATAATATATTCTCCATCACCACAGACAACAACAAAACGACCATTAGGAGAATGTTGAAGTGTTTGAGGGTATACTTCACAACTGCCAAGGTCTTTAATGGGTAATGCCAAGCGTTCACCATCTTTGACATTTTCATCGATACCTGTTTTGATATTCGTTGTTTGAATTTCAGAATGCTTTGCCCAAATAATTTTTCCAGATAAATCCATCGAGACAGCAGGTTCCTCTCTACCCAGTTTAATCACAACGGAGCCTTCATCATAACCCAGGGCCACGTTGTTCCCATTCTTTTGAGTGGCCATACACCAAGAACGTTCTAGACCATAATTCAATGTATTTTCAAGACGATATGTATCCGAGTTCCAAATACGAACAGTACCATCCTCAGAACCAGATAAGATAATGGGTAAGTTGGGATGGAAGGCAGCAAAGTTCACATTTTGATTATGACCTTCAAGAGTTTGAACGCAATTCTTATTTTGATAATCCCAAATTTTAACAAGATTATCATCAGCACAAGAAATCAAATAAGGTTTATCCCCTCCCTGATAATAATCTACATAATTAACGCCCTTTTCATGACCTTCCAAGGTAAAATTCGGGACATTAGATCCAAGTGACCATACTTTAATCATGCCATCCAAACCAGCTGAAGCAAATGTATTGGAATCTTTAGGATTAAAAGTTATATGCATAACAAAATGAGCATGACCTTCAAAAACCTAACAATAAAAAAAAGAAAAAAGTTTAAATAAGATTGAATTCAACATATAATAAACTTCAACTTTCTTACTTGAACAGATTTCCATCCTTTTTCCCAATCCCAAAGACGAATGGTCATATCATCAGAACCTGATAATAAAAGAGGTTGAGTAGGATGAACTGCAAGACAACGTATATAATCCGGATGTGCTTCAAATGAAGTCACCTTTTCAAGCGTATTATAGTTAAAAACACGAATTTGTGAATCGTCGGCACCTGTAACGATCCAATTCTTGCGAGCAATAAACTTTGCAGCACGAACTAGAATGTTGAAGAATAATAATCAGTAAAGATGGGAAAAGTACTTGATTATTTAATTATACCAGGTGTTTCTGAAACTTCAATCGTTTTTACTAAAGCCTATAGATGGGGAAGGGTTTTTTTTTTAATATATAAATATATAGAGAGGCATTGTTTTTTTTTATTGTTATTTTATTTATTTCTTTTCCACAAGTACCTGTGTTTCATAATTGTAAATTTGAACAATACCACTGTATAAACTTGTTAACAACCAAGGCTCAGTGGGATGTAAATCAACACATTTAACACGCTCAGAACGCGATAATAATTTACGCTGTTGTTAAAATAAACATAAAAATAGAAAAAAGGCTGTTAATCTTTTTTTTTTCAATCTCGATAATTGCAGAAATGCTTTATAAATGAATAAGACTTGCCTTAATATCAATGCGCATACCCTAGAATGAATAAAAATGAAATATTAGTATATAAAGAATAACATGCATGTCATAAATAAGAGTTTTTTTTAAAGAGGAAAAGATGATGAATAGATTATGATAACTCATCTGTTTCTTTTGGACTATTAATATAAGGTATGCATTCATCCAAGAGAAACAAAATTCGATATTAATTAAAAAAATGTTTACCATTTTGTATTTGAAGAGGCTTTACTTGTAGTTTTTTATTATTATTATAATATATGAAGGAAATAAAAATAGAAAATAATAATAATAAAAATAAAAATAAAATAAAATAAAAAAAAATAAAATAAAATAAATCTAAATAGCCTACAATATTATAAACTGCAGTTTTGGCCCTTTTTTTTTATTATTCATTTCCATAAAAAAATTCAGGTTTATCGTAAAAAAAGTACTTTTGTTAATGGCAAATTTTGATTGGCTTAAATTGAAAAAAGAGTATTTATTATGTTCGTTTCAAGTATATGATAACCTTTGTTTTATTAAAAAAAAAAATAATCAGTAATTATATTGGGCATATGTGTTGTTGGATATGATAACCATCTAAAGACTAATAATAAATACAAGTAAATATCGTCCATAAAGTAGTAGTAGCAGTAAATATAAAAGAGTGAGAGTTTTTTTTTTTTTCATAAATGATATATTTATAACAGCATTAGTTTAAACAACTTGATTGGGAAGATAATCTTTAGAGAAACTCCAAGGATATCCTTCTTCAGGATATTGTTTCCAAGACTAATAATAAAAAAAAAAATAAGCTTGTAATAATATATCTATCGTGTCACTACTTACTGAAAGACAAGATCCCCATTGATTATCAAAATTTGCTACATTCTCTAAAGGAAAAGATATAAATACGTATATCTATTTTTTTTTCTTGAGAAGGAACTAAAAAAAACTAACTAACCTGGACACATGCACTTTCCATAAATACCGTCATCAATACAATGAGCAAAATTATCGTGTTTATAACCAATATCATTAAAGAAATGAACCTGACTTTTGTTTAAAAAGAGACCTGCTGCTAAACTATGAACAGCCGCATCACCCCATCTTTCATAAAAGAAATTGCCTGTACTGTCAAGATAATCAAAATAAGCTTGATAATCGTTGCTTCTCCAAAAGTTTAAGCTAGCAATTTCAAAGTTGGACCAATAATGACACAAGTTGTAGCCAGTTTTTGGATTACCAAAGAATCTTAATAAAGTTGTATTAAGTTCATGTTGATGGGCAAATCGGATTGTATGATCCCAAAGTGAAGGAATTGTTTCAGGAATCTCTTGAAGTGTAATTGTAAAACCATATTCTTTATTATTTTCTCTCATAAATCTGAATGGATCATAATCAAGGTCACAATAAAATTCAACGCCTGGCTCTACACGCCTAATAAAAAAAAAATAGAAGTATGATATGGTAAGGTATGGTATGTACGCATAATATGATATGAGTTAAATAAGCATTATTTATACAGATATTTATATATATTTATATATATATATCTATTTACCAGTAATAGTCATATTCTTCTAAGAGTGGATGACGATAAAAGAAACCTGAATTAAAACGACACATATGACGATAGGATAGAGATCCACCATACATGATATTACGAGAAGCATAATCGCGTAGTTGATGATTCATTACTGTTTGATTAACATGATCTGGTACAGACCACATATGTTTAGGTACGAGACCAAATTTAATACTAGCATCTGTCATTGCAGATATAGCCCTTTTGAATTCATCAGTAAAAGGTTCATCATTTAAAAAGACAAATGGATAATTATATTTACGATTGAAGCGACTAGGATAAAGAAGTTAATAAACATGACAGTATAGACAGACAGACAGACTGTATAAACAGACTGTATAAACAGACTGTATGAACAGACTGTATGAACAGACTGTATGAACAGACTGTATGAACAGACGGTATAAACAGACTGACTGACTGATGAACTTACTCTTCAAATTGCCTTAGTGTACGTCTCATAGGTTGAAGTTCATTATTTCTAACTAATATGACGATAACTGCCTTTTCTTTTTGTTTATAAACTGGAATTTTATCACAAGTCGGTTTAATATCAACAATCGTATATTTGTCGATTAAATTATTATTAAAAGAAAGAGGAAGCTGTATAAAAGTAGTATTGACTTCTTCTCTATTATTTATTAATCCTGATCTTCCATTTGTAAGCGAACTGAAACATCCACTTGATGATGGTCTTGAAACAAAATACAAAGATATAGAATATAAAAAGATGATTGATATAAGCGTAGTCAGGTATGTAACTCCTCTTTTCATTTTTTATAACTCAAGAATAAAAAGGAAAAAAGATGTATTTTTTTTTCTTTTACTTATATTAAAAAGTGAAGTATTATCTGAAAAAAGAAAAAAAAATCATCGATACTTTTTTTTTTTTTTGGATAAATACTTAATGTAGCAATGATAAGAGACGGGAACGATTATAATTTGTTGAAAGGATTTTTTTTTTTTGGTGCCGATATAGTTTGATTTGGCTTGGCATTTTAATACTTGGAATAATACACATTGTTGTTCTCTTCTTCTTCTTTTCTTAAAATACATATTTCAAATAATTCATTAAAAGACTATTTAATAAAGACAGTAAATATTTTATCATTTTTAATACTAATAAATCGAAACCAATGTTCTATTATGATATAATTTCCTTGTCACATGAATACTGAACATCCTTTTTTTTTTTTTTTTTTTTCCTAAAAGAAAAAAGAGATCGACAAGGGCATTTATCTGGGATTTAATAATTTAATGTGAGCTTATTTTCTCTTTTCTTCTCCCCAAAAAATAAATAAATAAATAAAAAATTAATTTCATAATTATTTTTTTTTTTTTTTTGTTGATCTTTGTGTCTAAATAATACTACTCGATTGCTCGGATCAGTCTAGTAAGATAATTTTGGATGAACCGAGAAAAGGGAATTCAGATAGGAAAATAATGTTAATTTTCAAACAAATCAGACTTTTTTACCTGTAATAATCTGAATCTACGATCTTCATGATAAGTAAAATATATAAATATGTATATACAATCTTGTGAGAGAGGATCGTCTTCCTTACCAGTTTCAATTGATGCAAATATGAGAATAATGCTAGTGAGGGCTATTAAAATGTAATAGTAGACAATCTAATGCAAAAGAGAGACAATATCATGATATATAACAAATTAAAGTAGAAACTCCTTTTTTTTTAATCTATCAAGTAGGAATAACGTGTGTCGATTGCAATAAAAAAAAATAAAATAAATTAACATTGTCTGCATTCAAAGCGTAAAAAAAAAGAAAACTGTAGTAACATTTATTACTGCTCTATTTGTTTCGAAGTTGATTGTATATGTCTCTAGTACTTCTTTTACTATTCATCTTCTCTTTCACAGCTTTTACATCTTTTAGTTCGGAAAATAGAATTGCAGTTAATTGTTTCTCTTTCGGTGTCCAAGGACTTCGATCTATCTCTGGATCTAAACAATTGGTATATCTTTCTTTTAACTGTGATACTGATCTTAGAGTCTTCATCTCTTCTTTAATTATTTGAAAATTATCTTCACCATGCTTAGCTACTGCTGCTAAAATCGCTTCATCTTCTTCTTTAGTGAATCTACCTATAGTTATGCATATACATATTTATATATTTGTATTAATATATTTGTACGTATGTATGTATTTATTTGTTTTTTTTTTTTTTTAGTCATTCATTCATACTCATATTATATGTATCTTATCTTAATCTTCTAACCTTTTTTTAAGCTAGTCATCTCATAAGCCCATTTGTTTCTGCATTGCTTTTCACTTCTTGATTTTATTTTCTTTGAAATCTTTTCCCAATTTTTTCCATATTTTGAAACTAATTCTTTTAACTTTGTGCTTTCTTTTTCTGTCCAACTACCATGATTTAATGCAGGATGCATGGAATTATTGTAAAATTCTTGGATACGTGCGATCGTTCGTTTCTTTGGTAACGATTCTTGAATCAATTCCCAGTTAATCTTTTTTGGATCTTGTATCGCTCCTAAATTCTGTTGTAATATTTTTTTTTCTTCTAAAGTCCAGCGAGTTGCATCACATACATTGGACAAATAATGAGACCGAATACAGAATGCATTTCGACCAGGAAAATAATTTTCAAATACTTTCCATTTATTCCCATATTTCTTTATCAACTTGAGTAACTTTTCTGTGTCTTCACTTGACCAAGATCTTCGTATGTTGTATTCTTTTGTTCGTTCTGCTTGTACATTATTTAATTTTGCATGTTCTTCTTTTAGTAAATTACGAAATGTTGAAAATGTAGAAGTGTTCAATAAAGATTTATGTTGTTTAATGTTTAATTGGTTAAATCTAAATATAAAATGGCAAAAGACTTTATTCATTTGTAAAAAAAAAAAAAAAAAAAAAAAAAAAAAAAAAAAAGAGAGAGAGATACTTCTTTAATACTTAGTAATTAAAATTTAAGGGGGGAGGGGGTAGAGAAATCAAACAAGACCGGACAAATCAACAACAATAGATGATTTCCCGGACAGTCACGTGACTGGCAATAAATTATGAATAGTCGTTATTTAGCGTTTAAAAAGTTCCAATCAACAACAAGCGGGTATAGCTCAGCTGGGAGAGCGTTAGACTGAAGATCTAAAGGTCAGGTGTTCGATCCACCTTAGCCGCAATTACATTTTAATTTTTTTTTAAATTGTCACATCATTATTTCCTTCTTTTTTTTTTTTTTTTTTTTGACTTCGAGTCAAAATGAATAATACAAGTTCGATAATAATAATAATAGCATAGTGAACTATGAAGAGAAAGAAGTTTCCTTTACTTTTATTTTTTTTTTAGCTGTGTATGTATTGATTTGAATCTATTCTCCTTTGTTACATAACACCTGAAATAATTAAATATAAATGAATGAAAGAAGAATATCCTCTCTTTTTCATCTATGCGAAAAAAAAAATAGAACACGCAATATACTGTTAATGGAATACTTCGGTAGAATAGTTATTATATAATATAACTTTATTAGACACCACTTAAAGTTATTTGTAAAACTTTTTTTTTTTTTCCTCGTGGAAAAAGGATGATGAAAGCTCGAAAAATAAAATAAATTAAATTAAAAACTATCATAATATATAGATATATGTATATACTTTTTAAGAAACATACACGTATAAGTCTTATATATAAATAGTAATAGTGCTATAAGGTCTGATATGATGACTGTAAATATATATATATATATACATATAAAGTTAGTAGAAATAAAAGCAACTATTATTAGATCAATGTAAATGCTAGATCATTGTAAGACAAATAATAATAGATTTCTGCACATTCTTTGAATGAAGAGTAATATAGTGGGCAATAATAATGACAAAAATCAAGTTATGTAATTATTTCATTTTACCCATAATAAAATGATGTTGATAAAAAATAGAAGACGCTGTTGCGTTTATTATTACATAATGATATTAATCAATTCAATATAATTCGAAGAAGTTCGTTTGACATAAGGAAAAAAGTTATCATTAACTCTTTTTCTTTCCTTTTCTTCTTTGCATAAAAGTTTATTTAATATTAACTATACTATTTTAATTATTTTATAATTTCTAAAAATAATAATACTGACCATGTCATTTATAAACAATTATTATATGATGTACTTTGATCATAAAAAAAAAAAAGCTTGCTGTTTTGAACTTAAAATTGGATAATTATTAAGCGATAAAACCTAAAATAATCTACAAAAGAATAGTGAATTTGCTGAAATGATTCATAATTATCTAAATATTATAATGTAGTAGACAGTAACTTTTATTATTATTATTATAATAACTATAGTACTGATATTATTTTATTAAAAATATATATATATATATATATATTATAGATTAAGTCAAGTAAATAGTTAAATATTATTATTAAATTAGAATTTAAGCAGGAGTAGAATAGTTAAGGACTTTATCAATAACATACATAACACCGTTATTAAAGAAAATATTAGACTCTTCAACACGAGCAGTATCATTCAAAGTGATTCTAGTGCCATTTATGAATATAGGTAATTGAGCATTATTCACAGTAGTTAAATTAAGATATCCATTGTTAGCAGCAGCTTGTTCAGTGAAATTAGTAGAATAATAAACACCAGGAATAGTATGAGCAAAAATAATTGATCTGACAGCATCATTACTTAAGTTATCAAAGTCGAAATCTTCTAAAGCATCATCATCAGGAGCAAAGAGAGTAAACTAGAAATATTCAATATAAATTAATTTTAGTTAACTGCTATCTATTATTATTATTACTATTATTTAATTAAGACTAATTTACATTCTTTGCATTATTCAATTCTTCAGAAACTTCAGGATGATTCTTCAAAAGCTTAGCGAACGTTTCTGTATCATCGACACGATCAATAACTTCAGTAGGCTTCATAGGAGGGAACAAAACTAAATATGAATGATTACTATTAGTTTTTATTTTAAAGATATATATATATATATATATATATATATTTATATGTTTTACCTGTGTCAATAATATTGATATAACCATTAGAGGCTTCAATGTCTTTATAAAGGACATCACCATCGTCATCGCCATTACCAACTTCATATTCAAGATATTGACTATTATTATTCATCCATGCTTGGTCATTAAATTCATCATATGAAGCATTATTTTCAATAAGAATAGGCAAACCGGTGTCAAGGAAATTAATAGAGTCATTATTCAACATAGAGTAAACAATATTAGTATATGATGTCAAATTAGAGAGTTGAATTGAGTCATTAACAATATGATAGTATATAATATCAGAAATAGTTATATTGCTAATAGTGAAACTAGCAGGAGGATAGTCATTAGTGATGTTCAAATTGTTTGCATTTGCATACGACTTGAAAATATGCATAGCCTTATTCATAGTACGATCACTAGGAATAAAGCAAGTATAATTAGCGGTTTGGTTATTTAAAAGATCAATAATAGGTTGATAGCCAGAATCAGATTGAAGGAGACCAGCAAATTTCTTGATGCCCAATTTGTTATTAGGATCCGTTAAAAGCTCAGCAATGGTAGCAGAGCTATTACCAGTAGGTGTTTGCGTAGTTTGTTGTGATGATTCTTGAGTAGAAACAGTAGCTGCACCAAGGAGGATGAAAGATAAAAGTTTTTTAAGTTGCATTATTCAATTAAATTATATTTAATAACACTAAATAAAAAATAAGTGTATTTGTGTGCTTTTTTCCTCCTTATATAAATATGCTGTCTTTTTTTTTTTTTTTTTTTTTTTTTTTTTTTTTTTTTTTTTAAACAGTAATATAAGACTAACCTTATAAATGACAAATGTAAATCTAGTTTTTCCAGCTTTTCGAAGAATATTCGAGCATTGAATAATCCAAATACATTTAATTTATCCTGTTTCGTAAAAAAAAAAAAAAAGTAGATTTTCGATATTACAGTAGCATAGTTATAAAATTTATGGCATAATAATTTGTTGTTATGACAAAAAAAGTATGCTGCATAATAATAAATCATAATGTGGTATGCAACAATTATTATTATTATTATTGTTATTATTACTTTTCTTTTCTTTCTTTTTTTTTATGATAGTGATAAAAAATAATAATAATAATGGTTGTTGTTATTATTATCATCAAAAATAATAATAAAAAAATCAGAAATTTACATTTAAAGCTTTTTCAACAACGATAATAGCGTCCGAAGAGGCTATACCATTCAGCCAGGGATAACTTAGTAAAATCATCATATTAGAACTCCAACGTCTGCATAATGAACCCATTTTGTGGTTCGAGTACACAGACTTATAGCAACTAAAATTAGTCGCACTTTTTAACACTATCTATTTTCTTTTCTGACTTTAAAATTTTGTGATTTCTATTATATAGAGAGTCAAAATTTTTTGATGATGTCATCACCGCCAACTATTTAAATCACGTGACGGTCGCTTTTTATAATATTATGTTTTTTTTTTGATGTTGACAATAACAAAACCATAATTAATAAAATAAATGAACTCATAAAACTTTCTTTTATAATAAGTAATATTAACCATTAATAAACTTGTATTTTTTTTTTCAAGAAGAAAAAATATCTTTTAAAGCCGATGACAAAATAATAGAATGTGTTTATTACTACCTTTAATGATAATATACATGTGTGCTTCTCTCTTTTTGTTCGATTAAATTTTATTATTATTAAAATATGCAATGCTTTCACTTCTAATCATTGCTATAAAAATAGAAGAACAATGACATAATCTAACGTTTAAAGGGTCATTATACGTCATTTCCTTAATTCGTCATTCAATAATATTTATTTCTACTATCAAGTACATTTAACAATAAACTTTTTAAATTAGAAAAATAGTGCATGTCTAACATTTAATTTTAACATGTGCATATTCTTTAAACACATAATTATATATTAGAAGAAAAAAAAAGACAGTATCTTTTTCAAATTAAACCAATATAATTATTGATTTCTGAATAATATATTAGGATACATTTTTTTTTAAATATATAATAAATCTATACAATTGCATTTTTTTTTTTAAAAAAGAGTATATTTTCTATAATAGAAACAAACTTTATATATTAATTTTTAGATGAAGCCTGTAACTCGGGAAAAGCCATGACTTCAACTCTATACACTGGTACACCTTGCTCACCACCAAATTTACCCTTGCTCCTTTGACGGAATTTAGTTAGTTCATCAATAGGTACATCGGCATTATTTGATTCCTTTGAATATTTCTCATTACGTTTGACAGTTGCATGCTTATTCTTACGATCATATGCTCCTAAAATATTTTTTAATTGCTCAAGATCATCGATAACCTCTATTTCATTATCAACAAGTTCACGTAATGTAACAACAAGTTCTTTAAGTGCTGGTTCCAAAATAAGTGTGGTGAAATGAATGTCTAAAATGTTATTAGCGAAATCAACAATCTATTAAAAAATAAAATTTATTATTATTATTATTTTGGTTCTTAATAACTTCTATTGGCATACTTACATTACTACGTTTATTCAAGTTGGATGATCTGTCCTTTAACCAACTAATGACTGTTTCAAGTATAATTGGTAATTCAGATGAATCAATACGTTTCAGTGCTTGTTGTAAAAAGATGTCATTTTTTGGCGCATCTACAATCATCTTTAAATATGTACTGAAACGGTTCTTCCATTCACTTTCATTTTTATACAAAGAAATTAATGCTTTAATAAGTGTTACCAAGTCATTTTCAGGGATATCGTGCACCTTTTCTAGCACTAGAGGAATAAGTGCCCATTCCTTTCTTTCTACTAATAACCTCATGATGCCTTTATCTGCATAACTACTACGAAGCATTGATCTTGACATCAAATAAAGAATCACATCCATAGGCCAAAATTGAGTATTATTCGTTTGAAAGCATCTGGAAATTACGTTCGAAATAAAGAATTGTGAAAGCTGTGTGTTACGTTTTTCTGAATCGACGTATTTTGTTTCCATAGCATGACGATACTCATTGGTTTTAGCAGTCATTGGATCTAAAGAACTATCTTCCATAAAAACATCATCGTTATTAGAGGTATTGAAAGTAACATGGATATGCTTGAAAAATGTGTCTGTAAATTCTTCTTGAGTAATATCTTCCATCATTAGTTTTGCTAAGGCGTTTGTACTTTTCTTTTGATATTTCTTCAAACGAGAAACCCATTTTTGGTATACTTGTTCAGAATCATCATTTATGCAAAACTTAACAGGCTGACAGACAGTTTCGATTCCACTATGAGAATATCCAATACTTTGTTTTGAGTCAATTGAATTATTAATACCCATAAATTCAATAGTTTGCTTCATTTTGCCCATGGCTGCTATCAAAGAAACAGGCTCATTATAATATGGACAAAGCATAATTACTGAGTTTGTGTCCACCATCTTCTTTGAGGATTTAATTTTTTTAGTATCAGTTTTAGGAGTGATAGAGGATATGGTAACGGCAAGATGAGAATTTGGTAAGACAGCAATCTTATATATACAGGCATTCTTGCTAAATACATTTTTCTCGTTCATTTTAATCAATTGTTCAGCTTGAAGAGTACCATATTTCACATCCCAAACACTAATAACGTGCTCCACTTCATTTGTTTTCTTAACTGTACGAGGTACTACCATTGCAACATAATTATCGTTCAATTGTGTAATTGCAGCAATATTACCTAAAACATCATCTTGAAAACGATAACCGTTTAATTTGATTGATAAATGTTCAGTCATCGTGCCAGAAATCTTTTTTGAAGAGCTATGTCTCAACTGCATATTCCATATAGTCCAAGTACCAACATGACTCAAAATAGTTAATCGGCCGTTTGTAGAATCAAAGGTAAAGTCAACAGGCTTTTCTGTTAATTTAATATCTATGCTTGTAATGGGATCAATGCTTCTGCGCTCAACATTAACATAATCCATTTTGAAACTGTATATATTGGAATCTTTGACATTATTAATAGTAACAATGATTGTTGACATGGAAGGAACCATAGATGAAGCAACACAGCAAGGACGTGTGTGTGCGTTTGAAGTAACAAATACAGTTGACCAAATCACATTACACTTTTTTTGTGCTTTTTGTTTTGCTGTAAAACGATCTAAATCTTTTGTAGCTAAATCGATTGTTCCATTTTCACTAATTATAATGACATGAGATGGTAATGCAGACGATACGTGAATAGCACTAATACATTCATCAAACTAACATTCATAGAAAACCAATCAGTTTATAATCCCCAGTATATAAAGTACTATTTTATGCTTACCTTTTTGACAGTTTTATCAGTTTCTTCATTATCTCCAGTCTTTGTATTCTTCCATAACCAAACTGTTTTACGCTCTTCATCTGCAGTAACATCAGGTCCAGAAGCAACAATGGCATAAGTATAATCAACTGATTCGGAATCTCTACCGCCGTCAATATGTGTAGCTGGTCTAGCAAATGCAACTCCTGGAGGTGCTGTCCACGATTTAATACATTTTTGATCAATAGTCTGAATGAATGAATAATAAAAAAAAAAAAAAAGTCAATTCATTTGTTACAAACATTAGTTAAATATAAATACATTGTAAATCTTAAAGCCTTCACCCTGAAGGGTGACTGCGGCAAAATCAGCTTCGTCTAAGCGTTCAGCGGAATCGTTGTTTACAATTGCTTCTAAAGAGTTAAGTCCAATGATAAAATGCTTACTATCACTTTCAGCAATAGTATTGTGGAAGCGAGCAAGTGGAAAAGGCTCTTCTAAAACGAATCCGGACATACTAATGAAGAACTTGAAGGTTAACTAATTACTTCAAAAGAGTAATCTTTTTTTTTTTTTCCCTTCTAATAAAAAAAAAAGACGGTAACTATCTTACATAAAACAAATGTATTTTGTGGCTTATACGTGACTTTTTTATATTTTCATCAAACTTGCATAGTTTCTTTAGATACCTCAATTATACTATTTGTTTAATGATGATAATTAATTAAAGTAGAATAATTAAACTTTAAGCAATCTTGAGAATATTTGGGATTCTTTCTACCTTATTTGAAGTCTAATATAATTACTACAGATATTTATTCCTATTACCCATAAAGGCACCTTAAATTTTAATCTTTCATTCAGTATATAATTCCAAAAAGTACCCACATAATATCCTTTAAAACAGTACGGTATCCCTTTTAAACATACCATTATTCAACATAAGGGCATTTGCAAGCATGTCCGTCTTTGGGAAATAACACATTTAAGAGACACAGTTTAGCAAAATTAAATAAAGTATTTGAGCTAATAGGAATAGATCTCAATTTCATTGATGATAAAGAAAGTAGAAGAAGAAGAAAGACCCGTCTACTGTTACATCTTTTGATATTTTAAAGTTAACCAGCATCTTGGGTATTTAGGTTGTTGTTAGTATCAAGATTGATTTCCTAATAAGCTCTTCTTTAAACTAGAGCGCATGTATTAGATAGTCCTTTTTCACAAAAAGAAGTTATATGAAATACAATTTAGTTATATTGCCTTTATTTGCAATATAAACTACATCTAATAAGTTTATTACTAATAGCAAAGTAATTTATTGACTATATCTGACCCTCAATTGAAGACTAACAGGCAATGAAGCATCTGTTACTGTAATATATTCACCGTCTTTAACAAGATCATTGATGGCTTTAGAAAGATTTGGTCTTGTTGCTTGTTCTAATGATTTAGGCGCTTGCATATATAGAGTCTTTGTCGCAGTACGTAAACTAGGTTTCTTTAATTGACTATAAATAAACATTATAAATTTAAAATTAGATATCTTTTTTTCATATCCTATTTATTTATTCATATACTTTACGCATCAGGTTTATCAGCTAACCAGTCTATTAATTCTTCAAGTGTCATTTGAGGGTTTAAATCAGCAATCATCGATTCTGAGCCACATACAGGACATTCTGGCTTTTTTTGATGCTCAAATGTGTATGTATAAATACCATCATTACCTGTATACATCATATAGTTATTTAAACAAGGAGCTGCTCCAGTTGCTAACTTGAATGCTTCATTGCAGCATGATGCTATATACACAACGTAAATAAACCAATATACTTTTTTTTTTTTTTTTTTTTTTTTTTTTTTTTTTGGGATATTTATACCTGCTATAATTGCATTTGTAGACGCTATTGCTGGAATGATATTTTTAACAACGCCCTGAGTAAGAGAGTAGGTGACGCCTGTGATGTTAAACTGCTTTGCTCTTTTAGAGGCTTGTTCATATAACCAAGTGATATCTTCTGGATTATCTGTATCATATTTTTTATCTCCCCATACACGTGGCCATTCTAATACAGAGGCCCACTCAATACAATGTTCTGGTAACCGTGGTGTATTAGCGATTGTACAAATAGGAAAAGTGGTTGGTTTGTTGAACATATCTAAGGAGCATTCATAACATGAAGTCATTGTTGGCAAAATAACACGTGCTTGGCCTTTAAACCCTTCAGTGCCACCGTCAATTAAAGGCTTCCAACTTTGCATATCATCTTCATCAAACATATCTATTAATTTAGCGTTTATCCATCTTCTTGCTTCGATTGAATCTAATCCACAGATAACAAGTTGAAACTGTCTATAATAATCGTCATCTTTATCTTGAATTTTTCCAAAATACCTATTGTAGATTCATACTTATGGTTTCAAAAAAAAAAAATAATTGTTTTACATGTCATTTTCTATTACTTACGGAACCACTTCAACATTAGGTACTCTACTCATGACAAATTTAGCTGCAACAATAGCCTTTGATTGTCCAATATCCTTTTTCCTATATATTTTGTAAAATATTATTTTGTAAGTATGTAATGATAAAAGTTATAACTTAATTAGCATGCCTAAATAAAAACTGACGATTTAAATTACTCAAATCGATTGTATCCATATCAATCACATGCAAATGCTTGAACCCTGTTAGTGCTAGATTTTTCAAAATTTCACATCCTAAACCACCAGCGCCAATAACAAGAATTTTAAATTCTTCTAAAGCCTTGGCATTCTAAATATACAGATAATTAGTATATTTTAATGTTGTTTTATTGCCTTTTAACTACCTTTAATGAATTTAGATTATCAATAATTCCTTGCTTTGCATGGTCTTCATAATTTAATTCATCCATTCCAGTCATATCAACATCAAAATTATTAGTTGTAGAAGTTGCCATGTCTTTATAAATTTTATTTTAGTTAATAATGCAATTAAAACCAAAAAAAAAAAAAAAAGAAAAGGAAAAAAAGAAAAAGAAAAGACAATATTACCTTTGCTGTTTGATTGTGATAAAGTTCGTTGTCTTTTAGAATCAGGAAATGTCATAGGCTGTTCTTCTTGTCTTTTTATACAATGGGAATCCATAAAAAAATTCTGAAGAAGCAGGAATTTATAAAGAAATAAATAGATACTTGAAGGAAAAAAAAAAAAAAAAAAAAAAGAAACTTTCTTTAAAATAACTGCATTATTATTCAAATTCAACAAGGAGACAAGATTTTATATCACTAAAGCGTTCAAAAATATATATTTTATTTTTCTAATTTAGTTTATGACCTTCTCTTAAGCTTCATTATCTTCTGTACGAGATGACACTAGCTCCAGTTTATCATCATAACCATCTATTTTATGCAAGAATAATTAATTGAACAATATTAAAAAAAAATAATTGCACTTCTATTTACGCTTTTTGAAATCTTTTAAAGTTTCTTCAGGATCAGATATGGTTTGCATATAGTACATTTGATAAAAACCTGAATATAATAGATTGTTTTCTGAATCAACTTCAAAAGATTCAACTATTTCATCAATAACGGAATCTTCAAACTATAGCTTGTAAGTAATGTTCTCCTTATAAATGTCAAAACAAAACAAACAACAAAATACTTTACTGGACGTCCGTTGGTAGCAGTTGCAAAATCTTGAATTTCTTTTAAATTCCATTTCCCGTCTTTATCCTAATAGTGAAAGGGAAAAAAAAATAGTTATATTCAATCACATACATTTTAACTTTATTATTTCTATTCTTCTAATGTAGTCATAATTAAGGAATCCTTACTTTGTCAAAATTATCGAAAATCTTTTTAAGAATCTAAACAAATCCAATAAATACAACATTGAAACTTTTAAAAACACAATTTTCTTGACTTAATACTAATAATAATACCTTATCAACTTTAGGTCTTAACTCTTGTGTTTCATCATCAATTAATAAATTATAAACAGCTTCTTCTTCAGATTGTGCTGTCATCTTTGTTATTTTTTAAAAAAAAATCTTATTTCAAAGAAAGAGTAAAAGAATTATTTGATTTACTTGTACAGTAGTGTTTTGTTTAAAACAATAATTAAACAGTCACAATAATCGAAATTCAATAACAATATCAAGAAGTTTGGATCGATGGTATATGTATTTCAGAAATAATAAAGTAGAATAGAACAGCATTATTTCAAAATAATTAAGGTGGTATACCCCCTAATTTTGCATAACAAGTATCACAAACACGCTGATGCTGAGAAGCAAGAACTTCTAAGGATTCTAATGGGCCATTTGGATCTTGCAAGATTTGAGTCGGTTGAAGATAGGTACGAGACATCGAACAACGATCACAGTGAATTAACCCACAACAACGACAGTGATGTCTTCTGACTAAAAACCCAAATTTTCGTCTACACCCTCTGCATTCTTTTACGTCAAAATCAGATTCCCAAGTATACTGTTTAGACATTTTTGTCCGTTCTTCTGTTAAACTATCATCAGAAGTACTTTGCTCTTGATCTTCGACTCCATGTCCTATTAAATTTATATGATTGAAACTTGTATTATCCAATATATTAGGTGTTTGCCAATCTGATATAATTGTATCACGAGACCAAGGATTAGTGTCAAATTCACCTTGTTGTTGCCTCTGCTGCTGTTGCTGCTGCTGCTGCTGCTGCTGTTGTTGTTGTTGTTGCTGCTGCTGCTGCTGATGATGATTATCATTAAACCCTAATTCTCGAGCTAATTCTGAATTAGGCTCCAAATTTGAGGTCATAATAGGTGTAGATACTGTATGAGCTAACCGAGTAATTTGCATATTAAGTGTTTCAATTTGAGACGTATAAGAAGTAATTAATGTGTTTGCCTGATGTATTCTATATTGATTCTTGTCAACTAATTTTAATAGTATTAATAATAAAGTAAACAGTTTTGATAATAATAATAATAAAATTTACCTTTGATCCCCTCGCGTAATAATTGAACCGCTTCTTCTAAAGCACGTAGTTCTACAGTTAGTTGTTGAACAGAAACTTCTTCATTAGCAGCTATTATAGGATCTGCTTTCGAATTTTGAACAATATCTTCTGCTTCACATAAATAATCTTCTTCTTCATCCAATAGTGTAGAAGGGAAACCAATATGACTTCCCTTAAACAAATCCATTCTACGCTTCATAACACGTACCCAAATTCGACGTCTTACCCAACCATAACCACTTGTAGGTGTGACAGGTGTCCAAGAATCATCAGGATCATTAAAAGAACGAGAATACTGCCAACCTGTTGTTGGATCAATTCTTGGATCACTATAGTCAATTTGCCAATCTGTGAGCCAGAACCAATCTGATACACCTGTATTTTGTTCACTTTCAGGCAGTTTCACTTCTTCCATTGTGCATGGTTTTCCAGAAGGATATAGAGACCAAGGGCCACGTACATCATGCTTTGTAAGAGATGAGGCACTAAACTGGAGTTTCGATAAGCCTAGTAAAGACGAAGATCTTTGATTCTCATGTAATATAACTACGACGGTGACATGGAAGTCTAATAGATTATACTTGATAGAAGAATGTTTGTTGTCGTCTAGAAATGTGTATATTGATATTTATATATACATATATGTATTAAAATTTTAGCCATCTACCAAGTTTTTTTATTTTACCTTTCAAATTTGTATGTTGCATTTCCCACCAAGTCTTGCCAGCCTTATGCAAAATTTCACATATGTATGACTCTCCAGCAGCCGCACTCACATCATAGGCTGCTTCACCAAAATTATTTTTAATTAAAGGATTTGCATGTGCCTCATTTAATAAATATTCTACTATAGAAATGTAGCCCTTTGATGCAGCATTAACTAATATAGGTATTTAAATAAAATTGTTATACACATATATAAAAGAAAAAAAAAGATAATAGGCATTCAGCATTCTTACTAAGTGGTGTATGCCCCATTTTGCTTTTAACATCTACGTGAGCGCCTTTTTCAATTAATAGGCGTGCAATAGGCAGATAACCTCTGGCACATGCATTATGAAGAGCAGTCCAACCGTCTCTATCTTTCAAATGAATGTTAGCATTTTTGGATAAAAGATATTTCACAATGTGATAATGTCCGTTATAAGCTGCTTTTAATAAAGCTGTCTAAGAAGAGATAATAAGTAGTTTAGATAGAGCAAAAATAAAAATAAAAAAAATAAAATAAAAAAAAACTATCACTTTTATTACCTCTCCTTCTTTATCTTTTGCATCTACTATAGCAGAGAATTCATCAATGAGGTACTTGACAATGTCAAAATGACCTCTTGAAGCAGCAAAATGAAGTGGTGTTAAACCAGTTGTCGATTGTGGCTCATTAACTGCATTTTGTGGTGTTGGTAAGAAGGGTAGTATATTTTTCAGCATATTAAGGTTTCCAGAAGATGCTATAGAATGTAAAGAAGAGTTATTATTAACATTTCTCGCTGTAGTTGGCCTTTCTTGTTTGATTGAATGATGAGGTATAACAACAGGCAATTTAATATAATTGTTATGTGAGTTGCCATAGTATTTATGTATCTGTCCTGGAATGGGAGGTGTACAAAACTCAAGTATTTGAGCCCCCATAATAAAGAAAGAAAAAAAGAAAAAAAAAGAGAGAGAGACGTGTTTAGCAAGAAAAAAAAAAAAAGGAGAAAAGGGATGAATGATAATAAAGTCTTTGGTTTTACAACAAATCTTAGCGGGTGCGCCTAGATTTTATAGATTTACATACGAGCGCCCTGCACATTTTCTTTTCTTTTCTTTTCTTTTTTTTTTTTTTTTTTTTTTTTTTTTTTTTTTCAAAAAAAGGAAATATAAAAATAACATTGATTTATCTATTCTACTTCTTTTGTCTTTTTATTTTTATTTATTTTTTTGAGCTTTTTCTTTTTTTTTTTTATGTTGTAAACCGACAAATTTTTATATAAAATACTTTTTTTATTTTATTTTAAAATTGTTATTCTTCTATTTACGAAATTAATTTATTATAATGACAACAACTATGGCTGAAAAGCCTTTTATTGAATTGACAACAAATAAAGCAATAACTACCTCTAGCACAGCTAGTTTTAATTTATCAGAAGGATATGAAGAAGATCCTGATATGCTAAAGAAAAAATACGAAAATATGTCTTTTGAAGAAATGTCGAAAAGGATGGCCGAAAATAATCGACAAATGTCTGAAATGCTAAGTTCGACTACTTCCATGTCATCTCATTCTACATCTGATAAAGAAGATGATGAGGAAGAAGACTATAATAAAAAAAATTACAGTTAAAATTAGAAAAAGGAAAACAAAATAATAATGATGACGATCCTAATACGAAATGGACTCAACTCTTTGCTCATGCTGCTTCTAATAGCGATTTAGCAAAAATGAAAGAAATGTTAGCTGATAGTAATATTAGACATTATATTGATATCAATGCAAAAGACAGTGATGGGACACCACCTTTAATTTATGCTGCTTGTTTCGGTAAAATTGACGTTGCTCAAGTTTTAATAGAAGCAGGCGCACAGATTGATGCTCAAGATAGTTGTAAATATGATTTTTTTTTTTTTGTTTTGTTTGTGTTGTTTCACAATAATAATTAAATTGTATATTAATAGTTGGCTGGTCAGCTTTAATGTGGGCAACAAATAATAATCATGAAGCCTTAGTGAAGATTTTATTAGAAAATGGAGCTTCGCCTCAGACAAGATCAAGTAAAGGCCGTACTGTATTTGATTTTATTAATACAGACAATCAAAAGATTATTGATATTTTAGCAACAAATCCTCGAGATAGTATTTCATCTACATCTAGTTTATTTTATCGAACAACTGGCAGTGTGTCTTCTTCTACATCAAGTACAAGTGGTGGCACTGATAATAATTTTTATTATCGTTCAACAATCGAAGGTTTCAATAATTTCATGTCTGAAGAAGCAGAGTTACGTCAAAAATTATTTGAAACAACAATGGCTTTAGCTTTAGATGATACAGATAACGATACAGATAATAATGAAAGTGGCAGTGATGATATCAGTAGTGAGGAAGGTGTCCTTCATGAAAATGAATTTCATTGGAACAAGTGTTCTCCTGATCAAATGTTTGTATTTAATTCAGATGATTTGGATTACATACTTGACACAGTCATAACCAATTTAAAATTCCCGTTAAAAAATCCTCAAGATATTTGTGTTCCCGTTAATGTCATTTTTTTAAGTGCAAGGTTTGCTCATTATTTTTCCAGTAATGAGTTACTAGAGCAAGTCTTGAGCGATTCATTAAGAAGGATAGGAAAGACAATTAAGGTAACCTAGTAGATAAAATAAATGAATGCTACTCTACTTACTCATCGTCATTAACGCTCGTTCTATGTGCTTAGTCAAATGCTCGCAATATTCATCTGCTGGCATTCTGGATGACAAATTTAACTCAACTATTATTTTACCTCAAAAAGGACAGTGGATTGGTAGTCGCTACCGCTGAACAACAATTAAATTTGTCCGAATTAATTTCAGAGACATATAATTTAATGATTCAAGACACAGAGAGACGTTTACTTAAAGTGCTCGGGCCAGCCTTATTGGATCATAAATCTATTCCAGGTATGGATGAAGTTGATTTTACTGATGATTGGCATCGTTTCTTCCGTAAAAGTATGAGACGTTCAGTCTTTATTGCACCAGATGGAGGAATAGCCATACAACAAGCAACGATTTCACCTCAATCCGTTACTAGTCTTTTGTCATCGACTCTTTATGTTTTACAATCTTATGATGTACACCCGATCATTATCATTCAAGCAATAGCTCAATTTATGCATTTTATATCTTGCGAGGTATTCAATCGTATCTTGACTAATAAAAAAATGTTGTGTCGTTCAAGGGCAATGCAAGTTCGTATGAATTTTTCTTATCTTGAAGATTGGGTATCAACCAAGCATCTTCCTAGTCATTTGCTTAATTATCTCCATCCAACCATTCAATTACTCCAGCTTTTACAATGTATAACTCAATTGAAAGATCTGGTTGATTTTATTAATACTACAAAAGAATTCGATGCGCTTAATGCGGCTCAAGTTAAAAGATGTGTTACTTCATATCGATATGAAGTAAATGAACAACGTATACCAGAAGAAATTGAAAAGTATGCAATGCAGTGTGCTGAAGATATTATTCGATATAAACAAAGAAAACAATCCATGGATAAACCTCGCGCATTGCCTATGTCTCGTACGCAAAGTCAAAAGATGTCTAGAAGACAAAGTATATCGCATTATCTAGGATTAAATCGAAGTTTACCTTCAACACCTGTAGCAGAACAGTTACCCACTTTATATGATGAACCTCAAAATATGACCACCACCACCACTACTACTAATAATATAGAAATAGAGCATGATAATAATGATGAAGAAAAAGATACAGAAGAAGATATTAAAGAAACAAAAGATTCAAAATTCTTGCTACCATTTTCTATTCCTACTACAGCTCATATGATATCCTTTACTTCAAGCCATTGGGATAAAACAAATGAAGAGCAACATTCACGCTCAATGATACCATTTATACCAGAAGAATGGATGCATAAATTGGATAAGCAACAATCTTCTTCTATAGCAATATCATAACGATACACACTTTTTTTTTTTGTAATAAAATATATCAATATTATATACATGTATACAGTAAATATTATCCTATTTTATATAATAGAGAGTAACAAAAAAAAAAAAAGAAGTTGAGGCAATTTACTGTATATAAATCTCTAAGCTTTCTTAAAAAAAAAAAAGTATTGTCAAGTATTGAAAACACAGATAAGAGTTTCCAGTAGCCAAGATACTAATTGATACGTAACTACGATCAAAATAAGGCAACGAAAATCCCTAGGAAGAATTGAATTAATACAAGAGTAGACAAGACGACGGCAATTGATAATAAGTTTGGATTAGTCTTATCGGCTTATATCATGAAATTGCTTTTTAAGAAATTGTTTTCAAGACCTTATTAATATGAGAGCCATTGGTAGCTAAAATAGAAAATACACTGTTTCTAAAGTGCTGATTTAAATAGTGCGCATCCGTAAGAATTTTTGATATTGATGCAGTAGTTGAATAAAAAGAATGTCATCTAGACATCAAATAAACTATATTTGTAGGTACTCTATCACGTCTTTTCATCGTAATGATCTTTACCATGCATAGCATAACTCTAGTAAATATCTGATTGCTTCTCCTCTCTTCCCTCAAATATACAATCATTCAATTTTTCAATTTTAGTAAAATTTAGTGGATTCTACCTAAGGAAATAGTTTCACGTATTTTTTGTTTTCATTCTTTAATAATAAGAATAAACTATGAAACCAAATGGTTATAGTTGATCTCACTTTTATCTATACCGTTATTAGGATTGATTATTCCAATGAAGTTATGGTATAGAAGAGATAAATGATTATTATAGTGCTTGAATAACAATACAAGGCTTGTAAATTGTGAACAAAATTTCTTTAAGCAAGTCCTAGTGCGTATAACTAATATATAATATTGCGTAATTGAGAGCTTTTACTTACTAGTAAGTTGAATATACATTTGTAAAATTCAGGATTCTTTTTTTTTTTTTAATCCTATGTTTGCCTTTTTCAATTAAAAAGCATGTGCCACATTTGATCATTGATTCTATATTAGATATTCTTACAAAGATAACAATGTATATACATATATAAATTATCAAAATATTAAAGACATGTGAAATTATTTTCTTAAAATCCATAAAGTTTAGCTTCGAATTTTCATTTTTAGTTTATATTTATATCAAATTACTTTGTTATTAGCAATCTCCTTCAAATCGAGAAAAGAGGAAAAACGGTACGAATTATTTATTTAATGATAAAGGCTGTATTTTACTTTTCCTCCTCACTACATAAAAAAGTCACAGGTGTGACTGAAAGTATTAACTTACAGCCACAACATTTTTTTTTATTATTTTTTAGAATTTACTTCCATTTTTTTTTTTTAATTCACTTGAATCATACTAAAAGAAAAATAAAACAAAATGGTTCAAAATCATGTAATTGATTCTTTATCAGATCGTCTAATGCGTGATGCACAAATCTTTGATGACTTACTAAAATTAATACCCGCAAAGTTTTATGTAATGGATAAAAATGACGAGACTAATAACAAATTTCAACACAATAAACGTAAGAAGGCACCTAAACAGGCAATCAAAGATGCTTCAAAGAAAGCAAAGAAAGCAAAACTTGATCCAGATAACGCAAAGTCAATAGTGGAAGTGCAACAGGAAAAGGCAAAACAATTGATTGAAAAGGAAATGAATGAATCTGAAAGTGATTCTGAAAATGAAGCATCAACAAATAACGATAATGAATCAGAAAAAATGGATGTTGATACAAATGCTTTTAGTGGGCTTGTTGACAATGAATCTGTTAAAAGTGAATCAACAACAACGGCATCATCAACAAAAGAACCAGGTAAATAAGACTGAAGTCTTTTATTTGTATTGATGCTGACAAAAAAAATTCTATTGTAATTGATTTACACAGCTATTGTCCAACCTATGGAAAAGAGTGATATTACTCAACTTCGTAACCGTCTTCATGAGCGTATTAATGAATTACGTAAAAAACGTAATGCACCAGGTTCTAATACTGCCAAGCCAAGAAGTCGTGAAGATATTTTAGCTGCAAGAAATAAAAAGAAAGAAGATAGAAAGAAGGCAATAAAAGCACAAAAAGAAAAGGGTGGTAAATCTACTTCTGAAGAACTTGTTAAATTAGATGTTAAAAAGGTAAATATATATAATATATATACATATATATATCAAAAAGCTTCTAAACATGTAATTACTCATTTTTAATTTTTTTTAGCCTACATCTGATAAACTTCGTCCTTCTGCTGATTCTATTAAAATGGATGGTGATGTATACTTTGGTAAATTAGCAATCGGTAACGAACAAAAGAAAAAGAAGGGTCCTTCTGATGCTAAGACTCAGTTGAAGATGCTTGAGGCTAAGAAAGAAAAGATTGAGAAGCTCAAGGAAGGAGATAAAGCTAAAGCAAATGAAATGGTTGAAAAGGAGGAATGGAATAGAGTGCTTGCTTTGGCTACAGGTGAAAAGATTAAAGATGATGCTAAATTATTGAAGAAGACCATTAAGAGACAAGAAAAGGCAAAGAATAAGAGTGGACAAGAATGGAAGAAACGACTCGATAAAGTTAAGCAAGATGAAATGAAGAAGATTAAGAAGAGAGAGGAAAATATTAAAGTAAAAATAGAAGATAAGAAGAATAGAAAGAAGGGAATTAAAGCTAAGGCTTCCAACAAAGCACGTCCCGGATTCGAAGGTGGTAAACGTAGCAAAGGTGGTAAAGTGACAAAACGCGGTCCCCCTAATATCAAAGGCAAGAAATAAATAACTTTACCTTCTTTTTTTATCTGTTTATTATATCTATTTTTTTTTCTTTGTAATAAATTTGCATGCATATAGATTCTTTATATTTGTCTTTTATTAACTAGTAACTATGAGCATATTCCTATCATTTACTTTATAAACATTTTCAAAGCTAATAAAGTATAGAAGCTTTTTTACTTGTACAAATCGTAACTATCTATAGTGTGTTCAATGAATTATGTATTATATGAGGAACATAAATATTATTAATATGGATATATCTATTATGTAAAGAATAAGCCTTAGCCAGTATGATTATAAAGTTCAAGAAACCACCAAGTAAATCAGCATTTATAATGGGTGATTTATTGACAATAGAAACCATAGCAACAGTTTTCTTGGTTTACAAAAAAAAAAAGGAGTTTTATTTTTTTTTCTTTTTTTTTTCTTTTTTTCAACAGTCTTTACATATTTAAAGGTATGAATGATTTCTTGTTGGAGCTCGTTTAAAACTAACTTTTTTTTATCTGAATTTCCTTTTTTATTTCATCCGGAAAAGGTAAGCAAATCATCTGAAAAGTAATTTTAATTCATCTAAAAAAAAAAACTAACATCGTCTGAATCCAAAGTGTAAAAGCTGTAAATGATTGTATAGTAAGGTTAGTACTTTAAATTCGGAAATTCAGAAAAAGGAAAATTAGTTTTCAGACGAGTCAGGATTTATGTTTGAGATTCTTACCAGTAAAAATCTAAATTCCTTCTAAAAAAAAAAAAAAGAAGGAAAATCGTGTTCGAGACGGCGATATAATTAAAGATTTACTTGCATCTTGTTAATTCTCGGGGACGACCACGACCGCCGAGCATGTCTTGAGAAACCTCAAAGATATTTTTTGATGCGCTCACATCACGTTGCCACATCATTCCACAACTTGTGCAAGCAAGAGCACTGTGCAATCCGATGATAGCTTCAGTGAAAAACATTTGCTTACATGAATGACACGTCTAAATATTAGCAGTATTATGACATTTAGTTGTAAAATTAAAAATTAATGCAACTTAATAATTTGTACCTTTGAAGTACGGTATTCATCTACATAGGCAACTAGTAAAATCATCAGATCTTTGCCTGCATTTAAGTTGATTCCAAAGTACTCCAGTAAGACCAACTCAAGGTCCACGAAACTTATATATGTTCTTACCGAACATTCCATTACCAAAAGAAATCATGGGTAAACTCTCTTTTTGATAATGAAATTTTCCTGATCTCCAGGATTTGACTTTTCTTCTAAATAAACAATACATTAATATAATAATTATTCTATTGTTTTATTAACACTAATCTTGTGGTTTGTTGTACCTCTTTATCTATAGTATTCTGTTGTATATCTTGTTTTTTTTTCTTTTTTTTCTTCTTCTTTTCCTTTTCTTTCTGTTCTTTGTATTTTTTTCTTTTTCTCCTTTCATGTCTTTTACTACCTGTGTAAGTATAGTATTCTTTGGTAGAGCATCTTCTAATCTGATGGGAACTTTCATCATGACCATAGACAACAGCAAACATCTGTCCTCGATTTAGGTCTATAGCATAAAGAGAAATATCACTTAGCTCTTTACTTGTTATAACATTGCCGAACAATGAAATATCAAAAACTTGTTCATAGCTATCAAAAGAAGCATCATCTTTTGTCTTTGTACTTTGGATAAGAACAACATCAGCGGTAAAACTGGTGGTTTGGATAACATTTGAAAAAAACAGTCTTTTTCTTCTTAGCTGAATCCCGTAAAGTTTCAATACTATAGTCAGTATCTAATAAAAAGCATTGGTTAAGAATGAGTAACATATATAAGAAAGCTAAATGATAATAACTACACGCCTATTTATTTCGAGTTTTTTGAAATCAAAGATTTGATTAAACATTTCTAGTTTTTCTTCATAGGTGCTTAGTAATGTTTTACCAACAAAAACAGCAAGAGTATCTGGATTTATAGATACAAATTACCACTTTAAAGATGGCACAGGGAGTTGATTAGAATAAACGAGGAAAATCTTGGTTTCCATTTTTGTCTTGGTATTTTAATACTTTCTTTTGGTGTTGCTGTCCATGTTTTCGCAGAATTTAGGTTAACATAGGTATGTTGACTCCTAGGGACTTTGACAAGTTTTGAAGGGTAACTGGTTTAGGCATGTTTATGTCTGCTAATTCTTTACAAATGTCATCAATTACAAATTTCTTATTATTGTACATTCTAGGCAGATCGTCTGGCCATGTAGGTGATGTACCTCCACAAATACTCTGGTAGCAGTACATATGAGTAATCTTTTTGAGTATACCTTTATCTGGCTATATCATATATATTTTAAAAACATTCAACATAATATTTAATAAAGAACTATGTACCTTTTCAAATTTCTTTGCAATATTGTGCAAGATATATGATTTCAGTCTTGTCTCGAAGCACTCGACGATATTATTTGCGTAAATCATGGCCATTTCCACACAAACGGCAGTTACATAATGACTATATCCTTTTACTTCTGGAAGTATCTAATAGCTTACATTATATCATGTTGAAAAGTTGCTCCAATTTTCTAAACAATCACTTGGAAGGTGTTTCGGACTTGGATTCTCTCTCTCTCTCTTTTTTTTTTTTTTTTTTTTTTTTTTTTTTTTTTAAAAAAAAAAAAACTAACTACTGTATTATATCATACTAGAAGTTTTGAGAGAAAACCTTTTTGTCAACAGTGTGATCAGGATGGATAATTACATAGTAATTCACGAACAATTGTGCGCGTATCATTATATTATGGACATGTTTGAATACTTTTTTGGACTTTACTGAGGATGACCGTTTTGTATTCTGATCTCAGAATTATGTCTAGTTTTATCTTTCTGATGACAGCAATAGTTTTGTTTCTCAAAAAGACCGTGTACTTCTTCAACCTTTGTTAGTTTATGATTTGGACAATCTTTTGGCCGATAATTTTTATGACCGGTTTAATGACAGTTTTTACACACAGACTGATTTGCTTCTTGTCTGTCATCCACGCGACTCTATTTTTCCTTTTTCTTCAGACGTTTTGATTCATAATCTTCAACCCGCTAATTATATTTATTATCAAACTAATAAACACCATCCAACTGATAAAAAAAAATACATGAATACATTACTTTTAGTTCCAATACCTCTTGCCAGTAGTACCGACAATGCTTGTTAATGTAGTATTTCAATCTGAATGTATACATACAACACACCTTCACTCATCAACAGCTGATAACCTAAAATGACAAATAGCAGCATTCAACTCTTGGAAAAATTATCTATCGAATAACAACTTCTAGCGAATAAGACGCATATACTACTATTAGTTTGATAAACTGCAATAATAATAATAAAAAAAATCTGAGTATGAATCTCTCATCCGTCTGAAAACTAATTTTCTTTTTTTTTACGTTTCATCCAAAAAAGATAAGCAAATCCATCTGAATCATAAGTTTGATTTGTCCAAAAAGAACTAGACAATTTCCGAATTTAAAGTAGAAATACTACAATATCCTTGGCATGAAGTTCAATTATTCAGCAAGAGAAGAGAAATAATATTTTATTTTTAAGACTAATAATTCCTTACGACTTTCAAATACAGTAGTATAGTGGATAAAACGAGAATCGATAATATATCAGATGATATTATTCCTTATTAGGCGCAATAAAGTTAAAGTTTTCGAAAATACAACACATTTACAAGATTTCATGACAAAAATGATTGTACCTGCAGAGACACTAGCAGATAAATTAAAGAATAAAATTGATCTACATAGAGGTTTACTTCCTTGTAAGTAAGCTTGAACATATTACAATATATTTCTCTAACCATACAAGGCCCCTACCACAAAAAAAAATACTATTAAATAATAACGATTATGATCTTGTAAAAGGCTCAAACAAATGAAAAAAAATATGATAGTTAGTAGACTTCATTGAAGGGATACCATTTATTATGATTATGTACATATTGCTTCCATATTTACAATGATGATTGATAGTCTTATCTCATATTCTATTTGTACTTGAAAAAAAATATATATATATGCATATAATGTATATAAATCACACTTGATAATAAATTAGAATCACACAGAAAATATTTATAGAATGTAATACATGTAAATCATTATTGTTAATAAATTAGGATTGCGCGGAAAATAAATAAATAAATGTATGCAGGGACATTTTATTTTATTTTTTTCGATTTTTTTTCTCAATTTTTTTTTTCTCGATTTTTTTTTTCTCGATTTTTTTTTTTTCTCGATTTTTTTTTCCTTTTGTAAATATATGACAATAGATCAGGAAAACGAAAAGAATATAAAACCATCATCTAAATATGCAATTATTCGATGGTTCGGTCTTGATAGATTTGATCCAGAATTAGCAGTAACATCTTTTTGGGTTTCTTCAAAACTATTTTTTTTTATTCGACTTATTTTAGCTTTCTATGCAGCTATCGTTCTTTGGACAGATATTGGTATTACTCATAAAGGTAGCTTTTTTGCTTATTTCACTTCTTTAACATTCATTGGACTCCATGCCTATCAAGTTGTAAGTCTCTTCTTTGACTATTGTATATTAGAATACAATCCATTAATATAAATATTATATTTAGACTACAATTGTACATCATTTTCGTTATCTTTACACAAAAAGAGATATTTCTTTTTTTAATGATCAGCCCAAAATTTTAAATTACCTTTACGTCGTTCTTTATTCTACTATTGTTACCTTCAAGTAAATATATATATATATATATATATATATATATATACATTTGTATTATTTAAATACATGAATATTTATTTATTTTTTATTTACTATTATCAGTATAGTGACTCCTGTTGTCTATTGGTCTTTATTAGCAAAAGGAAATAGTCAAGGTTTAACAATCTAATCATTATAAAACTTAATTCGTATATGTATACTTATATTAAACCTTTTCATATAATATTAGAGGCTACTCTGAATACTTGGATCAATGTATCTGTTCATGGTGTCTCATTCTTTTTGATGATCTTTGAAGTCATTTTAAATCGTATGAAGCTTCCTGTTCGCCATGTTATATTTCCACTTGTAATAATTATATCATATATGCTCATGACATTTATTATATATGCCTGGTAAAATAGATAGCATATAATATATATATATATATATATATATATATATATATATATACATATTGACTTATTTTACGTATTATATATTCCAGTAACGGATTTTGGGTTTATCCCTTCTTGGACTGGAAACAAGGATCAATAGCAGCACTTTGGTATTTTTTAGTAGGCATTATTTGTGTAATTGGATTCTTTATTCAAGTTTTTATTCATTGGCTTCGCGACTTTATTGCCAATAAAATGAAGGAAAGTCTAATTATAGGGTCGATGATACATGTATATGATGATAAACTAGAGGAAGTAATAGCGTGATCCATTTATGTCAAAAATAGTCGCAACATATATAATATTATATTGTCTTTTATATATATATATATATATATATATGTATTTATATACAAATATTTATAATACATTTTAGACTTATACCTATTCTCTTGGGTGTGTTTAGAATCATGCTCATTTATACATTTACTTTATACAAAATTATAGGAATAAAGAAACTATTCTTTTATATTTACGTTTTGTACATACACTTATATATAAAAGGTATAACATGTATACATGTATATATCTACATCCAACCTTGGTTGTTTGAAGTCCATGATGGTTTTGGTGCTGGTATTGATGTCGTTGTTTCTTGTTGAATTGATACTATTGAATTAGCCATGTTGGTAAAATAAGGAATTTGTTGAGGAAATAAATAAGCTGCCCAATCATCTAATTCTATGCTACTTGGTACTGACCAAAATGGATTATCTGGACGATTTCTAAACATAGTTTGATCTCCCACATTTGTTGACGATAAATGAAAATTATTAGAACTATTATCATGAGAAGTATTATTATTATTATTATTATTATTATTAGTAGTAGTAGTAGTAGTAGTAGTAGTAGTAGTAGCAGTAGTAGCAGTAGCAGCAGTAGCAGCAGCATTGTAAGGAGATGGGGTAGCAGTAGTTTGTTGCTGACATATGTTATTAATGGGTGATTCAGTAAAATTAATATCTGTAAGACCAAATAAGAGACTATTAATAGGATTTATTGGAAGCATAAAAGGCTGTTGTTGCTGAAAACTAGTATTCGTATTATATGAAGTTTGGATATCCATTTGTTGATTATGATTTATTGGGGCAGTATATACTGGATTTATATTTAAACCAAATTGCCTTAAAGTATAAGGCTCAGATTCTTGGGATACATTTTGCAAGGGTTGCTGTTGAATTGACTGTTGTTTGATAGAAGGATATAAATCATTTTGTGAAAATTGCTGGCATTGATTCGAACTAGTACTGTTGGCTATTGTAAGAATTTATAGTTAATGAAAAAAAAAATCATAATAATATATAAATTTTATTACCTTGCTGGTTTGTATTCTCATTCTGGAGGCAAGAATACAGTCCATTAATCCAGTCACCATTACCTGTAGAAGTAGGAGTAGAATTAGCACTTATTACTATTTCAGGATCTGAGATAGCAGTAGAAGGTGAATGCGAGTCTGAAGAAGAGACGTTTTGTTGAACATAATGTTGACTGTTTACTTCATTATCTTCAAATGATTTTGATTTAGAGGAACGGATATGAATAGTAGAAGGTTTATGCTTATACGATGTATATAGAAGCTTTTGTTGCTGCTTTGATCTATTATCTTCATCATTCTCTGATTGATGCTGTAATCGATTATCCATACTAATATCGTGAATCTTTGTAAGTTGAGTTAATACATCATAAAGTTTAGCTGCACCTATTGATAATTTTGAAAGTCGTTTAATTACATTACATGCTCTAAATAAATTTGATTTAGCAACATCTGATATAATATCATCTGGATTAGCAGCGTTGTAAATATGAATTAATGATGCGGTAAAAACTGGATAAATAGCAAAATTCCAGGATACAAGCAGGAAATCACGATAATGCATCTTTTCAGCTATATCAACACATCGTGTAGCTGCACTTGTACAAATGCTAAGGGAAGATTGAGATGAACGTGTCTTTTCGCCATTCTTTTCAATAAATGGTCTATGAAGTAATATTAACAGAGTACAATAAGATAAATACATTAAACCTAAACATAATCTGATTAATATATATTTTTTTGTATATGAAAATACTTATAAATAAATATACATGTATAATACCTGACATAGAAAGTAATGGTATATGGCCACGACTATCGAGTCGACGAACATTAATATTGGATATTTGTAAAGCAGGTGGTAAGGCAGAACGCCATTCCGAAAGGGCGTTGTCTAAATATGTAACAATAGCATCACTACCATGCTTTTCGCTATATTTTTTAGCCACAGGAGTATATAAACCTTGTAAGAGTTTACCAAGAATTTTTGATAATTTTGCAAGTTGTACAAAAGGTTGGTAAATGGGTATTTTGCCACTTTTAGCCTTCTGTGCCACATTGTTATCCAAGGAAGGATATCTTGGCTCATCGACATCTGCATTCTCTTCTAAGGCTATATCCATTACCTCTTCCCAATCAGCACTTTCATTTGGATAGATTTCATCGCAATCTTCATCAAAAATCGTTTGTGGTCTACCTGTAGCTGCTGATGACCATTTATCCATAATATAAACAGACCACCATACTCTTCTTCTTGTCTCCTTTTCAGATACTGGAATATCCCAACTTTCACTTGATCTATGAAGACCCAAGTCCTGTGCCATTCGAATTGCCTATTAAAAATAAAAGGTAAGCTAAATAAATCAATGCATATATATTAAAGATGAATACATAAGTAAATAAATTACAGCAGAATTTAACAACCAACTACTTGTTATCTTTTCATCAAAGCTTGCTCTATGATTTTGGGAAATGACAATAGCTTGAATAGTAGATATACAGGGATTATATCTACCTCTAACATAAAAAATTAAATTTTCAAATAATTTTTCAGACCATCCTTCCTTTATCTCTACATGCTGATCTAGAGGTACTTGATCACCAAATAATTTACATGTTTCAATGTATCGTACAGCAGCGCCGTATATGGCATTTAGAAGTGGTGCTGAAGGATATTCACCAATTTGGCCACGATATTGTTTTAAAAACAATTTTTTGTTTATTATTGGTAATCCTGGATGAATATAAGCAAAATATCTTGATATATATATTTATATAAAATGCTTGATTAGCATGTAATTTGTACACAAATATAAAGAGATACATACATCTTCATCAAAGAGTCACTTGTTATTTTATCTATACCGGCAACCTTATATATCCAGTCATTCAAACTTTTTATCGTTTCACCTGGTTTCAACATCCCTAATGATTCTAATAATTTTTGATTTCCATTTTTCCCCGAATTATCATCCTTTTCATATAAAACTAAGCTTTGACCAAATCTTCTTATTTTTATACCAATCTTAGAAGCGACTCGAGCATCTTCAAAATTGATCATCTGAGCTAAGAGAGGATATGGACTCATATCACCAATATAGCGTGTAGTCATTTTAGTACTTATTGAAGATAATTCAACTGCTAATGGTCCAGAATCCACAGTAGGACATTTTTCTTTTTTTTCGGCCATGGTGCCGGACGATAAAGACTGCTGTGACGATGATTCTGCATTACTAAATGCAACGATAGTAGATGGATTAAAACCATCGTTATTTTCCATTGGTACAGATAGCTTTCTCCTTTTTGCAATAGTTGTATCATCATCATTTGTATTACTAACTAAAGTTCCAAGCATTTCTTCCATTCTTTTCAATCGATTTTCTAACACTTCAATATAACTTTATTTTTTTTTTTTTTTTTTGTATTCAAATGAAAGAATATCAAATAAATACATGCATCAATTTATATTTAACTTCAAGTCATTTCAACTTACCCTTTTGGAGGACCACGCTTTTTTGCACTATATTTATCACATAATTTAACAAGAAATTCTTACAATTTTATATATATATATATTTGTGTATAATAATACCTATCATTAAAAGTGCACTCTAATTTTGATGACTTACAACTTCTGCATGTGTTTCCTGGACCACTCGTGTCACATTTTATTTTTTTACGTCTACATGCATCACTAGCAAACAAAAATAAATAATGAATAACTTGATATAAATAAAATAGAGCTTATTATTCACCATGCTCGACTAATGCGAGTTCGACGATTACTATCTTGTTTTTTATCTTGTTCAGATGTTGTTGTTATTTCTTCGGATTGCTGGTTATTTCTACTATTAGAATGTGGATAAATCGGATAACCCAAAGATGGGTATGGATTTGGTTGTAAAGGTCTTAAAGTAATAGACGATGTTTGAAGTTGAGGTATATTATATTGTTGTGAATAAGATGTTTGATTATTTCTAACAAGCTGTTGCCATTTTGAAGGATCTGTCATTATTAGTTCTCTTAAACTAATAAAAAAATAAATAAGAATAATAATAAATTTTAAATACAAATGATATATAAAGACATATGTACATTACTAAATGAAATGAATAATGTTAAACTCTACAAAAAAAATAAAATAAAATAAAATAAAATAAAAATGAATAAAATTATGAATTCTACATCCTCCTGGCTTTAAATTATTTTTTTCTTTTTCTTTTTTTTTTTAAAAAAAGATATTACGTAATTTTTCATTTATTTATTGTATTTGATTAGTCATAAATAAAGGGACCAACTCTTTGTAGCAACCATTAATTGTTTTAATACTAGCGTATTTTATGTATAGTCCATGAAAGCCTCACCATCCTTTTATTTATATATATTTTTAAAGACGTGTAGAATATAGATTCAATATACACTCTTTTTACAAGAGTTCACTAATTTCATTCAAGTTATATGCATATGTACACAGCCTTATACATTAAGTATTGTTATGAGCGATAGTAGTAATGAGTATATAAGACATAGCTGTGACATTTTATATGATACAATATTCCCTATATACCTTCTTCTCATAGCGTTATTAATATCCATCCAAATTAAGGGTCGATATTTTGCTTTATCAGCATTAAAGAATTTAGGTCTTTTAATATAGATATCCATATATATATATATATATATATGTATGTATTAGATAGTTTTATCGTTTATTATAAAAGCTTTAATTATATTTATTCTCTTTCTTATTTAATAAAAGAACAGGTAAGCTTATCATGAGTCTTAAGGCAATAGGTTGGTAGTAGGCTTACATAAGAATTTGATCAAATATGCACCCCGAAAAGATCATTTTATTTATTTACTGAATGATCATCTTATTTGATAATTTATTTATTTTTAACTTTCTCATTTCACTTTTATTTATTTATTTTTTTTATTTTATTTTTTATTTTTTTAAATACATGCATAATGATTAGCCATTCGCCCATTAGTAGATTAAGTGATGACTGTTTAGAACTTATATTTCAAGCTTGTGAAGGTTGTCCTTGGACCTTACGTACAATATCAGAAGTTTGTCGTAAATGGTATGCCATTGTACAGCGTCCATCAGTTGTAAGTATTCTTCATTTAATGTCGAAATTTCATTCTGAAAAGAAAAAAAAAAAAAAAATTAAAATAAAAAAAAAAAACTGCTTAATTTTAACAAAAGTTATTAGTTACGTGTACTACAACTCCATAATTCAACAAACTTTCATGCTGCTTATACCCGTCTTTTAACATCAAATTATAAGATTCCTTGGCTGAAGGCTGTAAGGATATTAATAGTATCAAAATCAGCAGAAAGCAGGCATGCTCATTTAAGATCATTTCCTTTAAAAGTCTTTTCACATATCACTACTCTACAGACATCAAATCTTTGTTTAGCTGAAATTAAGCATTTATTTCAACACATCTTTCTCAGAGTAGAATCTGGGCTCCGTTTTTTAATATGCAAAAATATAGAAACTTGGTGTGACACAGTACGCTTTGATTTTGAATTAATTAAAAGACATCCACATTTACAACAAGTTCAGTTTAGTTTCATGGAAGATGGTCATTCTGGTTTTGCTTCAATTCATAACACACTCTCTTTATCGACCTCTATGGGAACTATTAAACCTGTTATTCGATCCTTTACTTTAGTTAATATTCGAGATGCAGAATACTTTGAACAACGTAATTTGTTAGCTATTATGGAAGAAGTTGAAAATGATCAAGAAGAAATTTATGCAGAACAAGATCTCGAACAACATGAGGGTAAAAAAAATTTATTAATGGAAGGCTGGCGTGATTTAGAACAATCACTTGTTCGAAAATACAGCTTTTTTGCAAGCTTGAATCATTTAGAACATCTTGAATTTGGCTTTTGTTATGCTTGGACACCAAAAATCTGGAGAAATATATTAGGAAAAATATTCTCTCAGAGTCCTCAATTAAAGTCGCTTACTTTATACGGTTGGGACCAGCTAGGGAAATTAGAAAAAATAGGTAGTAAAAGTTCAACTATTCAGCCTACCCGAGTAGCTGCAGAATCGGCTATTGCAGAATGTTTTGAGCTATTGCCTAATTTGATTTCTTTAAAACTGATTGACTTTAGTATTGGTCCTGGATTACTTAGAGCAGCTAAACATATAGCACATTCACTTCGACATCTTGACATCGTATTCGGAAAAAATTTTCTTCGACATATAAATGAGCCTGCAGGTGTTTGGTTATTGTTAGGCCCTTTGAAAGAATTTATTACTTATGCATTCTCAAAAAAGTTACCCACAATAGGTAGCAGCGAAGAAAAAACAATTCGTATTTATTTACATCCAATTCTATTTGATGAAGTTGAAAGTGCTCCATTTTTTTCGGAATCACCTTTACTAAAATCAATACAAGAAAGTATAAATGATCCAACTGTAAAAATTGAATTAATAGAAAATTATCATGCTTAAAATATATAACCATTGAGCACAAGCAGAATAAACATATTGTTAATCATAATTAACAAAAAAAAAAAAAGAAAAAAAAAAAAGAGTTTCACTTTTAGTCTATTATTGAGCATAACCTTCTATAAAATAAACACATACAGCTAGCATTTTTTTTTTTTTTTTCCCTTTTCCTTTTTCAAATAGATGATAACATAAAGTATGTCATTAATAAATCTACCTAACGAAATCTTTATCAAGATTTTAAAAACACTTTCAATTGATGATCAAAAGACGTGCATGCAAGTTTGTCATTCTTGGCATGATCGATTTCAATTAACGGTTATGAAATGTTTATATATAAAATCAAGAAAGCAATTTAAAGAATTTTTTAATAAACTGAAGAGTACACAAAATGAAAATATAACATTAGGACAAGTTATTTTACGATTAGATTTAGACCCTACTGTTGGCATGATTAATTCTGAATTTCATTTATTGCCTCTATATTGTCCATTCCTGGAAATTATTAACTTTAACCCTGAACTTTGGCGCTATTTTACATATGCTAAAGAGAGTATGACATACTGGAGATATATCATACAATACCCCCGTATGGAAAGACTCAAGTTAGCATTCCCAATTCTATACAATAATGGACAAACCTTAACTCATCTTGAATTTGGTTCTGTTATTATAGATCAATTAGCAGAAACCCGTTTGAATATAATTTCACTACTTTCTTACACACCTAATCTATTATCATTAAAGCTGTCCGATGGCATTACTGTTTCACATACTTTGTCTATCTCTGATTTTGAGTCTATTCATACTCTATGTCCCAAGCTTCAAAGTCTGCATTTAGAGTCCTTTGAATTACGTTTAGTTACAAAAGATGTATGTTTAATCGATATCAAGACACTGCCAGTAGCATCTCATCTAAAGAACCTCTCACTTAATAATTTATCTATCAATAGTGAAGAGTTTCTTCAATACTGGGCCCATAAATATTCTAATATCGAAAGTCTTGATATTCAATTAAGGTTACTTGAACCAGAATATTATCATGAAGCTATTTGGCCTGAGAACTCAAGTATGAAAGAATACTTTGCTATGATGGCTTCAAGTTTTGTGAAATTAAGAAAACTAAAAGCGAGATTTGATGACAAATACTTTCCTGGTGATGTGTTCCTTCGAGGAATCAATACGATTGGCCTTCAACTCGAAGAAGTGTCTCTTCATTTTTTTAATTTTGATTATCACCGTCGGAATGCCCATCAATTCAAGATTTTAATAAATAATTCTATTTGTACATTAACAAGCATTAGTATCAGTAATTGGGATAGAAATTGGGAGTACGAAGAAGATATCCTGAGACCCATTCGCTATTGCTCTCAGTTGGTGGATCTGTCCTTGTCGCCTCAATTAGGTACATTAATTGAATTTGATATTGATGTGTTTTTAGATAAGTTTCCTTGTCTCAAGAGACTAGAACTTGCAAATACATATAATCTTTTTATTGAAGATGAAACTAATGCAAATATTAATAATGTACACCACCTTGAAGAGCTTTCATTAAGGCATACAATGGTAAATAATCAACTCTTTGACTATCTATCGATACGTTGTCCCTATCTAAATACATTGCGTATATCCAACTTTACAAAACCCTATGATAATGATATTCAAGTCAAAGTCAATATGCCGCATCATGATTTTAAGTCTATACAAATAAAGGGGCTTCATCTTGGTTTACGAATAGAAGACGCCGGATTTCAATGCAATCATTATTCAACATTATGCTCATTAGAAGAAACAAGCAAGACCGAGCAAAAATTATTAAAACGTAATAATCATGAACTAGTTGGTTTAATGAGCAATAGTAATCATATGAAAAATAAGAAACAAAATCACGCACATGACTTATGGTGTGCTGAACGATGGTATCATCTTTATCAACCAAAGTATAGATCAAATAGTCGAAAATCAAAATACAATAATAATACACCAAGGTTTCAAAGATTAAATAATAGCAGCATTATGAAGATAAAGCAATTGGATATAACACATCAACTATGGGAACAAATTTCATTTGTAGGATCCAGAATTAAATATGAAGACAAAAAACATTGGTATCTAGATATTCCTTACGGTTGGTTCTCTGTACGCTGTAGAAGTGTGAAAGAATTCTCATTTGAAGGAATTACCATATAATATAAATAGGAGGATAAGGGGAGGAGAGAGGGGAGGAAACTCTACTAGTTACATGTATATATATATATATATATATTTGTATATATAACATATCTTATATTATTATAATTAAAAAAGTAATAAAATTCATGAATATTTCAATTCCATACTTCTTTAATTATTGCAGTTCAGTAATTAGAAAAGTGTACAACTAGCTAATATTTGACCAGATCTATATTATAATATATGAACATATAGATTATTTACAGGCTTATCATCTAATGAAATACTACCAATTGATCATTAATTTGAATAAATATTTTGAATTATGTCTTCTATCAAAGAAGATTGTCAAACGATTGTAAGTGCTTGCTTATTAGTATGCTATTTTACAACGTATAATGTTACACTTGTTAATACATTTTCCTTTTAAATTATAGAAAATACTGTTTATGTTAAAAGAAGAAAAAAAAACTAGTAAAGAATAAGAGTAGTAAATATAGATAATGTTTTTTTTATAAATAATAATAATTAATATAAAAAAAAATAACTTCGAGCTATAAAAGTTCTCTCTCTCTCTCTCTCTTCTTTCTTTATCATTATTATAATCACAAAAAGTACTCTATTATAAGTTTGTTATTTCTGTGTGGAATACAATAAAATTAACGAGAAAAGAGCCAAAAAGGAGAATAGATACATATCATGAAAACGATCCTTAAATGCCTTTCTCAGTTTCTTTACCTAGACTTTATGCACACCCTATTCGGTATTGTAGCTGGACAGCCACCATCCCCTTCCTAAATGAAGATTCTAAAATAGAGAAGAAATTGCTAGATATGTTATGCTTCCAATTGTGTTTATAGAAACACAAATTATTCAGTTTCTGAACAAAAATTTTTTTTTCTACCTGTCAATCTTAGCAATGACATTGTATATGAGAATAAGAACATAATTCTATTCTTCAAGTGATGTGAGTCACGCGAATTAAAATTCATGAAGCAGACAGGATATTAACAGAAAAAGATTAAAAAACTAATGTTAATATCTGATAAAGAACATGCGATTTATGCGTTATGAAAATCAAATATATTCGTAAGCTACAAGCAAAAGCTTAAAGACTATTATTTTATTCATGCTTTTATTTATTTATTTTTACAGACTAATCTATAGTAATTTTATTATATGCAGCTAAGAATTCAGTTATAGCTTGCAATGATGTTATAAAAAACTAAAATTGAGAAATATGGAAGTGAATATAGATAAACAGACTATATAAAGTCCTACTAAATAATTGACAAATTTCAGCTTATTCTTATATTAAAACTAATAACGAAAATAAATGAAATAAAATAAAATAAAATAAAATAAAAAAAGCCGAATAATACTGTATATGATATTAGTAGTATCACCTAACTTTTATAATGATAAAAAAAAGAAAAGAAAATTGTAATAGTATTAATGACAAAATATCCACTTACTAAGGCGTTTTAATTATCTCTCGTCTTACATTTTCGAGATTCATCCCACTAGAGGAATTTTCGTACCTTTGAAAATTTGAAGGATTAGAATTTAACAAAAAACCTAAAACCAAGACAGACATTTTCATAACATGTATCTACCATGTTACTTATTCCCTTATCTGGCTTTTTGCGTTTGTTTCATCGTATCATATAGAAATGAAATAACAAGCATACAGTAATAGATTGCATTTTGTCATAATAATAATAAAGTAAAAAGCTAACCAATCAGACCTTCATGATTCAAGGATAATCTAGATGGGAGAAAAGACACATATTAACTTGTCATTTATAATTTCCAAAACCTTCAAGGGATCTTCTTCTTCTGTCATTATTCAAATTTAAAACTACAAACTTGTTGTCCAAATAAAGAGCCTTTGTAAAAGATTCCACAATTGTGCCAAAATAAAAAATAAAAATCTTCTTTAGAGTAGAAGGTTATGTAATCATTTTTATAAGTACAGTTAGTGTTCAGAAGTCTAAAAAAATTGTTTGTGCAAAATAGATATTTATTTATGACATGTACAAAGGCTTTTTGTATTTGTGCAATCTATTTCCTGAGATAGTGTATTATCGGTTAATAAAAAGAAAATCCCCACTTCTATAATATTAGCTTCTACTATAATTTATACGTTGACTCTTCATATATTCTATATTATATAAAATGGATTACTTAGTTCACATTTCTATTATCAACCTAGACTCATTATCCAAACATGTTCCTTCTTTCTATAATTTAGTTGATCTTTGCCTTTACTTTTTTTTTTTTTTTTTTTTTTTTTTTGTCCTATAAGGATTTTTAGTTCCTTTTTACTATTTTTGATCTGACTAAGGCAATTCAGTAATTCTATTAGCTATATACTTATTGGCCAATTTTTAATCGTATTATCGGCTAAACAATTACTTTAGAAAGCTTGGAAAAGAGGACTCTATGTTCCACTTGTATTATGTAAATAAAAATAATGAAAAAAAAAAGAAGAAAAAAGAAAAAAGAAAGGATTAATACTATAGTAATCTCTGTGAATATAAACATAAATGTTTCTATGTAAGTGCTTCGAGTAATTATATGACTTTTATACTTGTGAGTAGCACTTGTCTAGATAGTCTCAATTCTACTGAATATTGATTTACAAACAACATATTGTAACCCTCATTGGTTTTCCGATTGATTCGGGATTCCTGAACTCAGGTTTTCTCCTCCGCCTCTTCTTTTTACATTATTAGGTGATTTTCAACCCCTGTATTATTATCGATTAGGTTATAGAAATCACAATAATATAAATTCGGTGATTATGTAACTGAAATAGTCTTTATCTAGTTCCTTTAACAGCAAGAAGAGTCGTTATGTTTTTTTATATAGTAGCTAGAAAATAGCCTAAATATTACCTATTTTCAAAATCATTCGATATTTTCAAAGATAAATCATCTTCAGTCAGTTTGACGATATAGTATTTGTACATCAAAATCGAAAAAGGAAATAAATGCCTGTATATTTTAGTTTGCAGAAGTATGGTAGTAACGTATACATAAAAAAAAAAAAAAAAAAGCGGAAATAACTTTTTATCAGATGTTATATATAATTACACAATATATAAAAAAACAAAAGTGAACTTTATTATTTGTAATATGTTATCTATACTGTAACGTAAAGACCAGACTAAACTTGTTTTATTATTTTTATTATTATTATTAATTCCGATCTAAAGGTATAAGCCAACTTTATTATAAACATGATTTTCGAATAAATATTAGTTAAATGATAAACCGCTAGTAGCTCAGTTTTAACAATTTATTGTTATACCAAAAAAAAAAAAAATGTAATCATGTCGGTTTATAATGTATGTGGGGTGAATAATTACATTATAATATTGATTATCTGATTTTTGTTTCAAATCATAAATGCGTAAAATTAATAAAACTTGTATGTGTTTATAATCCAAAAAAAAAAGTCAAGACATAGTTTATCAAAATTTTTTGATTATATATTATATATTACATTACATAAAACAAATATCATATTCAAAAATATTTATAATAAAAGAGGAATTATATTTATTTTAATCATAGTAAAAAAAAATACATATATATATATATTAATGGAATATATGTAAGAGGTTAAGTTGTGATAATAAAACGGTAATATAAATTGATTCAGTACACTAGCTTATGATGTATCTAAATCATTAAAATAATATTAATAACATTACAAAATGGAGTGGGGAAAAATATAATAAAATAGTTATTGCAATAAAAAAATTTTTTTTGCAAGGAATTAGTAAGTAAAAAAAAAAAGTGTAGTTCTATGATTTTCTTTTGCTTTAAAGATGTATACAATATATTAAACTTTAATAGGGGAAGTCTCAATAGTTTCGGAGTGATGTTCCTTTAATTCACCATCGTTAACATTGCGAATTTCGCCAGATTCATCAATAAAATGTTGAGCACGATCCATAGCTTCATCACCATCATCCCATTCACCAGCTTCTGCTTTACGAATGGCATCACGTCTTTCCTTATAGAAACTATAGGCAAGGTAACAAATAACAAACAACCAATAAAGACAGTAACTAATAATAGTACCAAGACTAGCAGTATTATTCCAACCAAGAATAGAATTAAAGATTTGCCAACCACCATTGTCATCAGTCTGTAATTCTGGGTCTCCCCAAGAGACATGCCAAACAGCAGTCTTAACTCTGTAGCCAATAACGCCATTACCTTCACCACCAATAACTTTATTCCATGAGTTTTTTTCCAAGAAGCCTACAGCTCTTGCCATCAAACCAGCAGAGACAAGATAAAGGATGACAGTTGAGAATACAAAGAACCAATGAAGTTGAATTAATGATCCTCCGCGGTAGATAAGAAGACCGACTAATAAACCACAAATAATACCCATGATGACAGCAATAGGAATAGATTTAGCTGAAATACCTAGAGATACCTGTAATAAAATTTTTACAAAATTAGGAAAACAAAACAAAAATTGACATAAGCAATCATTTCAACTTACACCACCAATGAAAACAACAGCTTCAAGACCCTCTCTGAGAACGGTAATAAAAGGCAAAATGAAGAAAGAATATTTTTGAAGTTTATCCTTGAATGAAGATTTTTCTGAAGAGGATTTTTCCATGGCTTTGGCCAATTTAACCTTCCATTTTTCTTGCATACGTTCAGTTTTAAGCATAGCAAGACCCATAGCAGTAATCATTATGACAGCAACAAGTGAAAAGACACCTTCCCAGATATCTTCAGAATTTCCCCACAAATCGTTGAGAAGGGTATAGTAAACTGCAATAAAAGCAACACCAATACATATACAAATAAATAGGCCCACAGCAGAACCAATCCAAACATGATTACGAAGACGTTTATATGTAGGTGATTCAGGATTGAACATCTTTTTTAAGAAGGACAAAAGAACTGATACAATGATAGCTGCTTCAGTTGTCTCACGAAAGAGAATGAAGAATATCGGTACATTAAAGTAATCTTGCGACATTTTTTTTTTTTAATTGACAAAAAAAAATCAACAACTAAAAGAAAAGGATCAGATATAGTAAAAATCGCAAAAAAATTAATCCCTTTTTAAGATTTAACTTTTAGATGAGTTTATAAAATAAGTCATTTGAATCGGTACACTAGTTTCCGCTTCTTTACCCCTTGTATTTTTTTTTTATCTGAATATATAATATTCCTATAAAAAGATGTGAATATATTTTTATCAGATGGAACACAATAACACAAAAATGTACTACTACTTTCTCCCGCATCTATCCGGGGACCCGTTGCACACACACAGAGTTACAAACCTAAAAAAACTGTGTTGATCTGTATTTTTTTTTTTATCAGATGGAGTAATAAAGCTGAAAACTCCGAATAACTAAATCAGATAAATTTTCTCACTCAGGTCAACATGGGGTACCCAAAAATTAACAATTTTTTTTCTTTATATAATCTTGATCTGTAATTTGAATTTTTTTTCTTTAAATTTCTTTATTTTTTTTTCTCCTTTCTCTTATTCCTTTGTAAAACGAAAAAGAAGAAAACACCGAAAAGAAATATGCGTTTCCTGGCCATTAGTCTTTTAGTTGCCGTTTCGACAGGACTTGCTCAAGCTGCTCGTGTTGTCTACGATCTTAATATTACATATACTACCGCTAATCCTGATAATCTCTTTGAACGTAGAGTTGTTGGTGTCAACGGAAAATGGCCGTAAGTCTTTATATGATTTATTTAAATTATAATTGGTTTACTTATTTGTTTTTTTTTTAATTTATTTTATAGACCACCTTCTATTGAAGCTAATATACATGATACTTTAGTTATGAATGTCCATAATCAATTAGACACATATACTGCCCTACATACTCATGGTATGTTTCAAAATAATACTGGTTGGATGGATGGCCCTATTGGTGTTACTCAATGGTAAAATGGACTATTTTATTTATTTTATCTCTTTCTGTTATTAACTTTATGTTTAGTCCTATTCCTCCTGGTTCTAAACTTACCTATGAATTTGAACTTACACAACATGGTTCTTACTGGATTCACTCACATTATAGGGTAATTTTTTTTTTTAAAAAAACTTGATATTTTTTTTTAAAAAAAGAAAATTATATTTGTAGGGTCAATATATGGATGGTCTTCGTATGCCATTTGTTATTCACAATACTAATGAAACATATAAATATGATCATGATATAACTATTCCTTTCCAAGGTAATGCATGTGCTTTAGCTAATTTATCTATATTCAAGACCGTTAATTGTTTATCCTATTATTATTCTTTTATATATATATAGATTGGTATCACGATGAAAGTGAAGTCGGAATTGCTACATTTATGAGTGAATGGAATCCTACTGGTGCTGAGCCTGTCCCTCAGTCTGGTTTTTTATTTAATAGTGTCAATGATAGTCTTTCTTTTGAACCAGGAAAAACTTATCGTCTTCGTTTGATTAATATGTCTGGTTTCTCTATGTTTTACTTTAGTATTGATGGTCATGATATGGAAGTAATTGAACTTGATGGTGTCGAAACCGAACGTCATACTGTAAAGTCTGTCTTTTTAACCGCTGCTCAACGTATCTCTGTACTTGTTACTGCCAAAAACACTACTGATACTAACTATTATATGCATGCTGACATGAATACAGATATGTTTGATATTCTTCCTGATGATCTTCTCTATAATCTTACTATTCCACTTTATTATAACAAGAATAGCAACACATTTGCCCCTAGTGAAGATGTAGGTATGGCTAGTACATTTGATGAGATGGCTCTCATTCCTAAGCAAATCGAACGTGCTGAACTCTATGATCAGCTGGTCAATTTGACTTTTGATTTCCAAGTCACCACTGATGGTATTAACCGAGGCATGTTCAACGAAATCCCTTATCTTTCTCCCAAGGTCCCCACTCTCAACACCATGCTTACCTCAGGTAATCTCTCTACTGATGTATCCATTTATGGTCCTCAATCAATGGCCTATATCTTGGATCATATGAATATGGTTCAAGTTGTTGTGAATAACCTTGATGCTGGTGCTCATCCTTTCCATCTTCATGGTCACATATTCCAAATGGTGGGTCGTGGTCCAGGTGTATACACGGGTGATGATAGTGTTGTTGAATGGTTCCTTGATAATCCTTCTCGACGAGATACTATTCTTGTCCCAGCTGAAACATTCGTATTGATTCGTTTTAGAGCCGATAATCCTGGTGCTTGGTTCTTCCATTGTCATATCGAATGGCATTTGGAAACGGGTCTCGCTGCTACCTTTATTGAAGCTCCTGATGTTGCCCAACAACGTATGAAATTACCTCAAGCCTTTAAGGATATTTGCACTACAGGCAATAATCCTTATCGAGGTAATGCTGCTGCTAAAGAAGGATTAGATCTTGAGGGTGTACCCGATGGCATTCGTATGATCTATGATGGTTTTACTCCTAAAGGTGTAGGTGCTATGGCTGGTTGTGTTATTTCTGCTTTACTTGGTATGACTGCCATTGTTTTATATTCTCGTCTTGATCCTTTTAAGGAAGCTCGTGCTATTGCTGCTACTAAAGCTAGCAAGTTCTAAATCAATCAAATATACAAAAAAAAAAAAAAAAAAAACTTATTTTTTTTTCCCCTACGAATTGGATCAATTTTTTTAATATTCCCCCCTTCACCAGAAAAAAAAAATAAGTAATATATTCATTTTTTTTTTTATTTTAGATTTTTTTATTTACATATTCTGTTATATAGTATTATATCATTATTTTATATTATTCATATTTTTCTCTCCCCTCCTCTTTATTTAATTTAGTTTACGTATAATTAATCTATTATCTTTCTATCACTATACTCTCTTGTTTAATTTGTTATATAAAAATCAATAAAAAAAAGAAAACTACTTGTTTTTCTATTATTATATAATGAATAAATAACTATTTTATTTTTAACAAAAAATAAAATATTCCGTTGTCTAAGGGAATTATCGGTATTTATATTATGTAATATCCAGTTAGTCTATGTAAGTTATTATTTTTAGCCAATAAAGGATCACTTAGATTAAACATGTCCAGCCAAATTTGAGTCTAGTCGTTAAAACAGAAGAATCTCCCTTGTCTTACTTACAATCACGGCTTTCCAAGTACTTTTGTTCTTTGTAAATATTTCTCTTCTGCCAGTACTATTCTTTAAAGTTATTTTAGTAGTCTATTAATTAATGTCCATAATATACACAGCTCTTTTTTTTTTTTTTTTTTTTTTTTTTTTTTGAAAAATAAATAAATAAAGCTATTTGATCTTATTAATATTTGCAGAGGAAGAACAAAAATAGTCATTACCAAATAAATACATGTATATGCTTTCTCTTAGGATAATTTTTATAATATATATTTGCCTATAACATGCTTAATTATATTCTGTCCTCATCTATTTATATTTGTATATTCATATTAAATTAGTTAAAAAAAAAAAAGATCTAGAATTGTCTAAATTTCAAGTATCGTACATATAATTAACAAAATTGCTGAGCAATACCCTGGTTATATTAAAGTACTTCAATTTTTGTTAGGTTTATACAATGCCGAAAAAATGAAATTAAAAAAAGGGGGAGTAGGCTGATTCATTTTTTTTTTTTTTTTTAAAAAAAAAAGAAAACAAAAAGAGGGATTACTTTCATTTGGTTTAAACTATCAGGGTTTTCCCGAATTACATAAACAAATAGAAAGAAACCAATCACGTTGAACTGTTCAGGGTCCGTTTAATTATTGTAACTCAATACAAGAATGGAAAGAAAAAAAATCAGGGTTCTCAAGGGTTAAAATTATCTTTTATTTCCCTTTCTGTTTATTTTTCCTTTCCCGAAGCTTATTCATTGGCCCTGAAAAAACGAATATGAAACTATTTATTTTATTTTATTTTATTTTTTATTTTTTTTTTTTTTTTTGTCTTTCCAATCCCTATTTTGTATAAAAAGAAAAATTCAAATTAAGGGATTTTTCTTTTTTCTTTTTTGTTTTACTTTACTCTTTGTTATATTATATTATATTTATTTTATTTTTGCACTCTGCTTTAAATTATAATATAACTTTTTCTTTTTATTTATTTTTTTTTATATCAACAAAAATGACTACAGATAAATTATTTCAAGAACTTGAAAAAGAATTTTTACTTTCAAAAGATCAACTTCAGCCTATTATTGATGGTTTCAAGGCAGAGTATAAACTAGGATTGAAAACACCTTCAAAAGGTTTAGCAACCATGATTCCTTCTTTTGTAACCAAGATGCCCACGGGCAATGAAAAGGGTACCTTCCTTTCTTTAGATTTAGGAGGTACCAACTTACGTATCGCAGCCGTCGAATTAAAAGGTGCTGGTAAAGCAGTCGTTCACGAACTTAAACGTAGTCCTACGGTAGAATTGAAAGCGGGTGAAGGTTCAGTCTTTTTTGACTGGATTGCTGATGCCATTCATGATCTCATCTCTGTTGATGCTAAACATTTGTTTAATGAATCTCAAATCTCTGGTAAAGAAACACTTTCCTTAGGTGTGTGTTGGAGTTTTCCTGTTGAGTAAGTTTTTTTTTATTATTATTATTTTTATTCTAAATTCCTCCTTTTTATTCTCTCTTTATTTATGAACTCTTTTTTTTTGTTTGTTTTAAAAAAAAAAAATAGTCAAACAGCTGTTGATCGTGGTACTATTCTTAGAATGGGAAAAGGGTTTACTCTTAAGAACACAGAAGGTCATGACCTTGCTGACATGTTTCATGAAGCTTTTAGGAGAAAGGTAAATATATACTATTGTATACACATACATTCATACATGTGTATTTATTTATTTATATTTTTTTTGTTTTTTTTTAATTATATGGTTTAGAACTTGAATGTTAAGGTGACTGCCATTTTGAATGATACAGTGGGTACACTTGTTGCTCATGCATATACAAATCCTGCTTGTCGTATTGGCCTTATATTTGCTACAGGAGTGAATGCTGCTTATCCCGAAAAGGTACCTTTGATTACTAAATTAGATGAAACTATTCGCAACGAATACGCCGAGGGTACAGAGATGCTGATTAATACCGAAATTGATATATTTGGCAATGAATCTTATTTACCCTTAACTAAATATGACCTTACCCTCGATCTCTCACATAATCAACCCAAATTCCAACTCTATGAAAAGATGCTATCAGGTGCTTACCTTGGTGAATTAACTCGTTTAATTGCTATTGATTTCATCAAGGCTGGTATTCTGTTTGGAGGTCATGTTCCTGAGGGATTTGATGAACCTTGGTCATTCCCTACCATGTATATGAGTACCTTGGAAAATGACAATGAAATAGAGCGTAAGAAGAGTTTTGAACTCTTGAGTCATTTTAATTGCGTTAATACCCCTACTTTGAATGATATTGCCATCTTAACTCGTATCTGTCGTATTGTCTCTACTCGTGCTGCCTCATTGGCCGCTGTGGCTATTATTTCATTAATAGATCAACAACATCTTTTAGATATGGATCATAATGAAATTGTTATCGGTATTAATGGCTCTACTTATGAGTTCTATCCTCATATGGACTTGCGTGTTCGACGTGCATTGAATGAATGGTACGGTAAAGAAACCAGTGATAAGATTACACTTGAGGTTGCTTCTGAAGGTGGCAGTGTAGGTGGTGCATTAATTGCGATGTTATGCAAGTAATTATCTCAAGTACATATGCGTATTCATTTATATACATACATTACATTACATTACATACAAACAAACAAACAGCTGTATTATTATTACTTTTATTGTTATCTTCATATACAACTTTTTTTTTCTCTCTCTCTCATTATGTATATCATTTAGACATATATAAATAAAACAAGAGACTATATATACATTTATTTATTTATTTATATATTTTATTGTACATTTCGAAAAGTATTAAATAAGCCAAAGTTTCTATGAATTTTAGGCGATGAGGAGAGTTTATTATGCTGTGATTCACCATTTTGGGATGAAACATGAATATTAAAAGAAGAAGAAAAATCTGTAGTGGTGATCCTCTTTTTATCATGATAATAACCAGAACCAACGCGCCATACTTTTATGAAACCCCGAAAATCTGCAGTGACCATGATATGACCTTCAGAAGAGTATGATGTTGTCTCTTCTTGTTGACCATGAAGACTAGGACTTTTTTCTAAATTAGAAAGTACAGTGTGATTGTGGACTACCCCCCTATCCTGTTTCGTTCTTGCTATCTGTTGTCTTGTCTTTGTAGGAGCAAAAATGGCTGTTGTAACAACATAATCATGGGCTTCAAAATACTCAGCTCGATCATGTGTTTTAGAATTATCAGTTTGGTGTCTTTCTTGTCTTTTTTTTGCTAACCATTTCGATATACGAGTCTGTTGATGTAAAGAGGATGTAAGTTTATGAGTTGATAAGACTGGGATTTGTTGATTATCAAAATCTGATAACATATATTTATCATTTCTTGAACCTCCTTGGTTTAAAGATGATATATTAGTTTGTTCTGTATGCCAAATATAAACATGACAATCCTCAGAACCACTTATAACATATTTTCCATCATCACTATCATAGATAGTATGTATATGTTAGTATATATTATATATATGCATATATATAATATATTGTTAGTATTACTAATTTACCTAAAAGTAGCTTTAATTTGGAGTGATGTATTTTCTAATCCTTTATATTTAAAAATCAAACTTTTATCCTTCAAGTTATATAATCTTACTTTGGAATCATTGCTACTGATTAAAATTTTTTCATCTCCTGGTGGCATCCCAGGCATGGCTTCAATACCTGTAATCTTGGGGCCCCTTTTGGTAAGCCTTCGATGATGATGATGATGACCACCATAATTATTCATTACATTGATTTGTGTTATAAACTTTAAGTTTTGTGTTTCAAAGAAATAACAATAACCATCCTGTGAACCTGCAATGACAGTCTTACCATCTAATGTAAATCCAATTGCTGTTGGATATTTATTATCAGGTATTTCATTCCAAAATGCCACCCGTTTTTCTGGTATACTCCAAATTCGAATTCGGCCTTCCATGGACCCAGAAAGAAAATAACGATCATCCTATTATATAATTAACTATTGTTATGTATATAAAAGGAAGAAATGACAAAAAAAAAAAAAAAAAAAAAGAGAGAGAGATAGAATACACATTATATCATACTTTAGGATGAAACTCAACAGAGGTTACAAAATTCAAATGTTTAAATACACATAAACAATCCTTTTGAGATGTATGCCATAGCCTGTAAGTTATATGCATTAATATATAGTAAATACGTTTGGACTCTTCTCTTTTCTCTCTCTCTCTCTCTCTCCTTCTTTTATTATTTCCTTTCTTTTCAAATACCTTACTGTATAATCCATTGAGCTTGATAATAAAAAATTGTTCTAATAAAAATAATATACTTAAACACAAATAATAAAAAAAAAAAAATGCAAATTTATAAGTTATTACCTTTGACCAGGCCAAGTCAAGAATATCAGCTTCATGTCCTGTATACTCCATAAAGGGTGCTTCATCTAGGACGTTGATTGAATGGCCATTATTATTATCATAAGATTCGTCTAACACTTTCCAAAGACAAATAACACAATTTTGTCCGGCAGAAGCTAAATAACAACCATCTTTACTAAACCGAAGTACCCAAATTGCTCCATAAGGATAATTTGAACCAGGCTCAGTCAAGATATCAGACAGTTTACGATGATCATTCATTATGTCATGATGAGAATGTGATGCTGATAGTGTATCATATTTATGATGAGAAGTTGAAATCGTTTGTACTAGCATCAGTTTAGAAAATGCTGGATCATGTCTTTTACGCTTTGTTTTTATCTATGTTGAACATATTAATTTCAATAGATTAGGGGAAAGAAGAAGAAAAGAAAAAAAATACTTTTATATATCTTCCATAATTTTTATGTTCTGGTGATAATGAATCATGGGCTTCTAGTATAAGATTATTATTACAAGTAGTCGAAAAGGAATTTCCTTCTTCTTCTTCTTCTTCTTCCTCCTCCTCTTCCTCATCTTCTTCAGAGAATGAGTTATGATTGGATGAAGTAATACTTATTGTTTCTTCTATATCTTCTTCATGCCATAGTCTTGATGTATTTCTTTCTTCTATTTGTAAATAAATATTGTTCTTTCCTTTTCTATAATGGAATTTTATTAAACATACAAAACAAATTGACAAGTTATTATTTCTTACTCTATAGTTGGTTGATAACCTTATTAATTTAATGTATCACATAAAAAATGTGTAAATATTTACCTTCTTTAATAATCTCTTGTTCAATTAAATTTTTCTTTTCGAAATCTATGCAATAGATAAAGTTATGATTGGCTCCCCCTTATTTTCTCTCTCTCTCTCTCTCTCTTTAACTCTTGTTTAATTACATAATAAAGAGGATTTTTTTATTTGATTTGATATCGACTAGTATAAATCAAACAGAAAGAAAAAGAAATTATTCTCGATAAAATTCAAAATTTAATGTTGTTATTCTATTGTTACATTATTTTCTTCCATGACAAGTTTAGTTTTGTACTGTTGTAATTTATCTTTTGTTGAATTGACCGAGATTGTCATTACAGAAAGGAGAAAATAAAATAAAGATGTTAAAAAGAAAAGGAGAAAGAGAGAGTAAAAAAAAAAAAAAAAAAAACTAGGTCCTTTTTTTTGACGGAGGCATTTTTCTTCTTCTCCTTTTCAAACAATCTATTTATATATAAACAAGCGTGGCACAAGAAGAATTAGTATCTAACGTATTAAATCGGCTTATCACTCGTCGTGCAATAATAAAAAGAAAACTTATGCTTACAATAAGATTGTAATGCTGCCAAATAGATACATTCATATTCACCGTATCTCTTTCGAGATATTAGTCAATAATCATCTCGAACATTGTTTTCTAAATTTATTTTTCATACTGTTGTATTAACGAACAAAATTATCCGAGAACATGTGAAACAATAATCACTTTTTTTCTTTCAATAAATCAAACACATCTATTTTCTTTTTTTAACATGTCTCCCTGGCAAATATATTTATACAAACACCTTCATAAACTTCATCATCACTTCTTTCACTGTGTTGTCATCATTATTAAGACCAAAAAAAAAAAAAAAAAAAAAAAAAAAAAAAAAAAAAATTCTCATATTTCATCGCTTATTAATCGTACCGTCGTAGTTACTCATCACTTGCTCTTTTCCTTCTTTACTCGCTGATTTTTTTTAGTAATAATGTAACCTAAGAAATGCTGATAAATCCACTATTTTGTACTTGCATTAAATTTAATACTAGTTTACCACTACTAAGGCTTATTACAAGCAAAATAATAAGTACTACTACTGTTACTGCAGGAAAGTCGGTCTTTAGAAAATGACAATCACCTTTTACTACTTGCATTTTCAAAAACCGCCACTCATTGAGGGAGTGTGGGTGGAGGAAAGCGGGTTCCAGCAATCATCATTGATATTGTAAAAGATTAACATATCTCTTCAAGTTATATAAAATAATATGAAAAGGAACTAATTTGTTTATACTAATTTGTTTATGATAATTATAACGTAAATGAATAGGTTTTGTGTGACTGTTATATTTCCCTTTTTTTTTTGTAAATCTTTTTTTATTCGTCTCTTCCCCCCCCGCTACTTCTTGTCCTTCTTCCGTTCTCCCCCCCCTTTTTTTTTTCTTTTTACATTCAACCTTTATTTGTCATCCAAAAATGATTAGACAAATTGCACGTACTTCAATCCAGCAAGTAGCAAGACCCACTTTATTTTTAACTAGAACAACTTATATACCTATATTGAGACGTAGAATAGTGTTTTGTAATAAACTTGATCAACGCTCATTTAATACAAGTAGTATACGATGTATGATTAATAATGATAATAATAATGACAAATCATCTTATTCAGTAACGTAAGGAAATCCAAACACATCTCTATAGATCTGCTCTATTCTATTTTATTTATGCCAATATTATAAATAGTACATTAACAACAGACAGATACCATCGTTTATCAGATGAAATATTAGAACATATCATTAGTGTTTTAGAAGACATAAGTGACGAAGTGGATATAAAAGGGTTTGATGTAGAATATAGCGTAAAGTATCTATTTATATAGACATGAAAAAAAAGGTTGAAATATACTTAAAGAGGTCTATTATGATTAGCAAGGTGTGATGACACTATCTCTTGGTGAAAAGGGAACTTATGTGGTCAATAAACAGCCACCCAATCATCAAATTTGGCTATCATCTCCTATTAGGTAAATTGTCTACATCTCTCTCTCTCTCTCATTTGTATTACGTAATCAGTGAACTAAATATGTATCTATTTAAATATTAGCGGTCCACAAAGATATGATTATGACGAAAAGTATCAAAAATGGTTTTATCATCGAGATAATCATACATTAGATGAAGTTTTAAATGCAGAGTTATCGCAAGCGTTAGGAAGGGATGTTAATGTACTTGAAGGATTTGAGCCCGAAGAAAAATAAAAAGTACAATGTATAATTGTTCCTTATTTAAGAAAGGAAAAGGATATATAAAAATCAAGTAGAGTATATAACATACAAATAACACTTGTAATGAATCATCTTTAAAATAGAAGACATTCTCTTGCAAAATAAATAAATAAAATAAACAAGAATTGAAAATGTTTATTATATAAATGCTTTAAATGATTCTCCTTTTATAAGTCTATTATCTTTACTCCAAATGAATAAAATCGTTTTATATACATACATCTGTATATTATACATACATGTTTACACTCTTTTTTTTTATTTTATTTAGATGAATATATGTCAATCTCTGGGACATCATCATTATAAGGCGTAAAAGGGTAATATATGTAATATGTGTAAATATATATATATATATATATACGCATGTGTATTTAAATAATAGTACCCACTTACATTGATTTATTACATAGTTCATTTAACGTAGTCAAAACAGAATCTACATTAGATATATAATAACCTGCCTCTGTACTCCTTTTACCCACTATACAAGTAATCACTTTTAATTGCTTTTGTTTTCCCAAGAATTGAAACATATCCTCATCTGAACGATCATCACCAATAGCCAAGATAAAATCAGGATGTGTCTCTTGAAGAATTCTATTCGCTATGGAGCTTTTGTTGATATCATGAGGGATCACTTCAATCGTTGTATTGCCTGCTACAACATGAACTGCGAAATTCTTATTAACAGAGTCTGCAATATGATTCTGACATTCAGCTGCTTGCCATGATCTAATTATTATTAAGCTAAGTTAAAAGCCATCAACAATGTACATAAATATAAATATAGAACTACTTTACATATATTGAGAATCGAAACATTCAGCATTACGATAATGCTATTATTGAATACGTATACAAATACGTATACATATATTTATATATACATATACATATATCATTAGTAAATATTTCCCATCCATGTAAAATAGATAAACTACTCAGTATTTACCCAAACAATAGATGTATCTTTTGTTTCCATATAAGCACCAGGTGTACGTTCAGTATAATATTGAAAAATCTATTTAAAATAAATAAACCAATGCTGAATAGGATAGTTTTTTTTTTTTTTTTTTTTTTTTTTTTACCTCTTTTATGGTTGGCTTCCATGAAAAATCAACATTATCATAAACTTGTTGCCATTCTTCTCCCAAGGGTTTAATATAATACCCATTTTCAGCACTAATATTTTTTATGTCATTAGTTCATTATAATCTATATAAAGATTAGAATCATTTCTTTACCTTAACCCTAAATTGGGTATAGATCCTAAATCTGTTTCAATATTTAGCTTTGTTCTTCCTGAAATAACATATACAGCATTTCGAGGATCTGCTGTCAGTTTTGTTAATAATTCTAAACTCTTACTCAAGTCTGCAGATCCAGGAGGTTTCCCATGAGGAATTAAAGTACCACCATAATCAAATAGAAACCTATGTATGATAAGAGTTAATTTACACATACATCCACACTCATTTTCTCTTTTAATCCTACAATCTTTTTTTACTCCGTTTACAAGCTTCTACCAATAATTCTGATTCCAATTTAGGGATTTGTATAGAAAATCGACGTCCAGAAGATGTACTATGAATCTTTGAGAGTCTAGTTATGATATTTCTAGCAAAATTCTGAGCAGAGGTTGCTTCGATACTTTTGTATAATTCCTAATATATTCAGTTTATTTTTTTTTTATTTTTCACCATGTAATATTTATTTATACCTTCCATCTTTGTGATTTTTCTTCAGCTTCCATAGATAAAGCCTCATGAATAGCTTCACTTACTTGCTAATAGATACATTATTATTATTATTATTATTATTATTATTATTATTATTATTATTATTATTATTATTTTTCTTCATCTATACTATTATAAGAGTTTACTCTATAATCCCATGGGTTGATTCGAATAGATGCACCAAAGCTTCCATAAGTACCTGTAAACTTTTATTTTAACCCATATATTAATATGTATGTATATATATATATATATATTTGTATACATATACATATATATATATATCTATATGAAATCTCTCTCTCTCTCTCTCTCTCTCTCTCTCTCTCTCTTTCTCTCTTTCTCTCTTTCTCTCTTTCTCTCTTTCTCTCTTTTAATTTAGTTACCTCACTTAAGATTAACGGGTTATGTGTCTCCTTTTGACAAACGATATATTCATGTGAAGTCAAATTCATACCATCTCTTAAAGGAGTTAATAAACAAGCATCAGCACAGGTTAATAAAGCTAAATATTGTGTAAATGAAATATCTTGATGTAAAAAGACAATAGGTTGATAAGAGATGGTACTAAATTTAGAATTAACACGAGATACGACATCCGAGATATGAGCTCTCAATTCATTATGCTCAGAGGTAGAGAGAGCGATCTGAATGAGTATCACCTCTCCACGCCATTCAGGATGTCGTATCAAAAATTCTTCAAAGGCCAGCATCTTTTGACGTACGCCCTTAATCGAATCCAATTTGTCTCGAGCTACAATTAACTTTTTATCTGCATATTTCTCTTTTAACTTGGTAACCCATCGAGATACATTAGGATCCGCTATCTTCTTTTGTAGGGCATGTATATCGATACCAATAGGGTTAATATCCACTGAACAATAATGAGTATCTAAGTGGATACCTGAGGGAGTTGCGTCTACAGAAAGAATACGAGAACATGTTTGAAGAAAATGACGAGCAAAAGAATATGTTTGAAATCCAATACAATCGGATTGTAACATGGCTTGAAGTAATTCTTTTCGAGCTATAAAGTGGCAATAAGTAAATGAAATGAAATAAAATGAAATAAAATGAAATGAAATTCTATATTACGAGGTAAACATCTAAATAATTCAGAACTAGGAAAAGGAATATGAAGAAAGAAGCCTATGATTGCATTAGGGATCTTTTCACGAATCATTCCAGGTAAAAGCATTAAATGATAATCATTTATCCAAACTAATTTTATTAACATTAACTTTTCTTTCCTTTCCTTTCTATTATGTCAACTTACTTAAATCACCTTCCTTATAAATACCAGTAATCGTATTAGCAAATTGTTGATTTAATTCTTTATAAGCTTTATAAGATTCACCTTCCTGAGACATTAAACTATGTGCATCATCTTGCACAACATAATGAAAATAAGGCCAAAGTACCTTTGAGATATATAAGAATACGAGTATTCTAATGTATGTATGTAAAAAAAAAAAAAAAAAAGACTTACTTGTTTACAATATTCATTATAATGACCTTCAAATATGTCATCAGTAGGCATAACAGGATATGTATGATAATCTTCAACAAAGACTTTATAAATGTCTTGTTTTGTCTTTTTAGATAAAGAGTCTATAGGCATCCCCAAGGTACCCACCCAAGTTAAATGATCCAATCGATCTTGAATTGAAAAGAGTGTATTATTTAAACCAATATTACCTATCGAACAAGGTTTAACAGACCAAGTAGGATCTGAAGATACTTTAGCACAACCGTCACTATCTATAATAATAGAAGAACGTTTGCTTCCTGAAGAAGCCCTACTACTCATCGTATTTAAAAAGCTAGATTCATGGTTTCTATCACATAAATCCTCATCACGTACTTGTTTACTACGTGGTTGAACAAGTATTTCAGGTCGAGTAAAGTCAAATAAAGATTCTTCAGCATAATAGTTATTTTTATTAACTTGACTTTCCTTTTGTTGATGCTTTGCTAAACTTTGAATGAGATTCGGAATGGGATTATTCGAATTATGATTAGTTGTCATAATAGAAGAATTAACTACATGCTGAGGTCTCTTTTCTTGAAGTTGAAAGTCAACTGTATACGGTGAGAATAAAGTAGCCACAATCACTCTTTTATCTGTAATTTTAGTCATACCCTAGAAAATGAAATGAAATAAAAAAAAAAATAATAATAAAAAAAAAAAAATTATAAAAAATAAAAAAAAATAAAAAAAAAATAAATAAAAAAAATTCAGTTACAATAAAAAAAAAACAAACAAAGCTTATATCAAAAAAGGAAATTAATATTTCTCATAATAATGTCGCATTATCAGGATTTTATCCAGTTAGAATGATTATTCTGAATTGTAGCAAAGACAAGAAGATGCTTCTCTGCGTGTGTGTGTGTGTGATTGGAATATTATATTATTCAAACAAGTAAGAAGGATACTTTCTTGAACAAAATAGTAGATTTTTATCCCAAATAAATTTCGACTTTTTTTTTTATTGTTGTTGTTGTTTCAAGACAATGAAGACTTGTCTAGAAAATGATGATATATTCCCTTGGGCTGCTTTAAATTTAAGTGTAGTAGATTATACCTCTGTGACTCACTTTTCTTCTTTTTTATAAATCATTTTTCATTCGTGACACAATTTTCTTTTAAATCATGTAGAATAAATATAAAAATGAACTTGAGGATTTCAATGTTAAAGTTGTTATTGTTACCGTAACATGGCGGAAGACGGATTTAAAAGAAAAGAAAAAAAAGAAAAGAAAAGAAAAGAAAAAAAAAAAGACAAGATTAAGTATAAAGGATATTGTGTACTGTTGCTTTTCTTCTAGTCATAATAATAAAGAAAAGGGCAAATCCATCCTATATATTCATCTCTTTAACAATCTTCATTTCTCGCATGTTTAAATTATATAAAAGACATGAGCTCTCATGTGAATAATAAAAACAAACTGTATATACTTTAACCGACTCGTTACCCTAATAAAATTAAAAAAAAAAAAAAAACGCGGGGAAATCGGAGATTAAAGTGAATCCCAAACAATGATTAGTTCATCATAATCACTTACCACTACTCTACTACGTATGATGATGCTACAACTACCACTTTTTTTTTCTCACTAATAAATAACTAAATTTTTTTTTCTTTTCTTTTCTTTTCTTCTCTCTCTCTTTTTTTTTTATTATAAATAAATAAATAAAATATGGTTAAAGTAACTGTTTGTGGCGCTGCTGGTGGTATTGGACAACCTCTTTCTTTACTTTTAAAGCAAAGTGAATACATTACACATTTATCTCTTTATGATATTGTAAATACACCTGGTGTTGCTGCTGATCTTAGGTAGATAGAAGAAATGATGTGTTTAAGAATAATAACTAATGATTTATATAAAAAAGTCATATTAATACTCAGTCCAAGGTAACTGGTCATGTAGGAGCAGCACAACTTGAAGAAGCTATTAAGGATTCTGCTATGGGTATTATACACATATATAATTTTTATTTTATTTTTTATTTCATACTTGTCTTATTATTTACAAATCTATTTTATTTTTCTCAAGTTGTTATTCCTGCTGGTGTCCCTCGTAAACCAGGTATGACTCGTGATGATCTTTTCAAGATTAATGCTGGTATTGTTCGTGACCTTGCTGTTGCTGCTGCCAAATTTGCCCCAAAGGCCATTATGTGTATTATTTCTAATCCTGTAAATTCTACTGTTCCTATTGTTGCAGAAGTTTTCAAACAATTTAATGTATATGATCCTCGAAGGTAATACACACACATATATATTTGTATGTATATGGTTTATTTATCTATATAGAATGATGTTGTTGATATAGAATCTTTGGCGTAACTACACTCGACCTTGTACGTGCTTCTAGATTTGTTTCAGAATTGATAGGTGGAGATGCAAAGTCACTTTATGTACCTGTTGTAGGTGGACACAGTGGTGTTACGATCTTACCTCTATTGTCTCAAGTGAAAGGAATTGAACAGTTAAGTCAAGAACAAATCGAGAAGGTCACTCATCGAATTCAATTTGGTGGTGATGAAGTAGTGAAGGCAAAGGATGGGGCAGGTTCGGCTACGTTATCCATGGCTTATGCAGGTGCACGTTTTGCTTTAAATATGATTGAAGCCATTGTGACTGGTAAAGGAGGTCATCAAATAGAATGTACCTATCTAGATCTTGCCTCGGATCCTGAAGGTGCAAACCAAATCAAGGAATGGATTGGTCATGACCTTGACTTCTTTTCTGTTCCTGTTGAATTAGGTCCTGAAGGTGTCAAGAAGATCTTACCCCTTGGTGAATTAAATTCATTTGAACAAAAATTACTTTCTGCTGCTATTACTGAATTAAAGGGTAACATCATGAAGGGCTCTACTTTTATCACTGAAGACCCTAAATTATAATAAATAAATAAATAAATAAATAAATATATATATATTTATATATATGTATACCAAAAATAAATAAATTGATATACAAAATAAAAATATACATGTATAAAGAGAGGAATATAGATGTGTGTAATTCTATTAATATAGCATTGTAGTAGTATTATTATTATTATTATTATTTTATTATTTTCCATTTAATTTAATAGCATTATTATTATTATGTGTTTCATCGGATATCGATAGTGTCAAGTTATTCGTTGCTTGTGTAAGTGCCTGTATGTTTGTGGTATTTGGACTACATTTTAAACCATACAAATATCCACTAAATAAATAAATAGGAGTGAATAAATCTATCTCTTTTCTTTTCTTTTCTTTACAAAGCCTTACAGGTATTTCTGATCATCAATTTTATCTTCAAAGAACATTTGTCTCATTTTAAAAAATGTAGTACAAGTTAATAAGCTATCACTACCTGCTTGATGTTGAGGTCCAATTCTTGCCACCTAAGCCAAATTGCATATATGAAAATGAGTTTAATAACACATACATACATAAATAAATAAACAAACAAACCTGTAAATCATCTGCAATATCTTGTAAACCACCTTTTAAATTTTTACAACTTTTCATTAAATATTTAATATCATATATACATGGAAAATAGGTTCGAAGTAATTCAAAAAATTCTGTTTCATCAGCAGGCATAACTGAACATGTAAGTACTTTTAATAAATATCCAAAATCATATCCACTAAATATAAATAATGTAAAGAGTTATAGAATGAGCCTTTTCTTTTCTTTTCTTTTCTTTTTACCTATGAAAAGATATCCATTTCACATCATCTAGTAAAACAAAGCCTGAACTAATTAATAATTCTCCAAAATGTTCTACATCTATTCCATATTCTTCATGTTTTTTGAAATCAATTCCTGACTTTGTTAATAATTCAATTGAATCTTGTGCATACATATCATCTCTTAATAAATGTTAAAGATGAATAATTAATTTAGATGAAAATAAAATAAAAAAGCTTACGCTAGACTAAATTTAAAATTAAACTGCCATGTACAAATGTTTGTAGGTAGATTACCATGTTGATCTGCAAACGTAACACCCAACTGAATAATCTTTAACATGTCCACATTACATCTTAATGTTTGATAATGATAATCCGTAGATGTCTTGAAACTGCCAATAGGTCTTGCTACTACACCAGGAAATTCAGTATCCTAACATGAAAGATAACTCAAATTAAAACAAAACAAAAAGGTATTCCTTTTATTATATGTATATCTATTGGGTTCTAACCATAGCTAAATATGGGTAATCTTCAACTAAATCACGTAGATAGGCCATTTCCTCTTCTAAATTTTCTGCCCAAACTTCTTTAATGTATTTTGCATCATTAACTGGCATAGTTTCTAGTCACTATTTTTATATTAAAATAAAAAAGAGAGAAAGAATGAATAAAAAGAGAAAAGAAGAATGAATAATAAAAAGAAAGAAAAAATAATTAAAGAATTAAAAAAAAAAAAAAAAAAAAAAAAAAAAAAAGGAGAGGCAATGATATTCGTGACGAAGCATATTGTAATTTCCTTTTTTTTTTTTTGCGAGTGACTTTTTTAAGAAAAAAAAAAAAAAACTCAGAAGATGCATACAACAACAACAACAGGGCAATTTCCTTCTTTATAATAAAATACAAATAGTTGAATTATAACCTATTTTTTTTTTCTTTATGTACAAAAGAACATAACAATAGAGTTAAGAAATAAAAAGTTTCTCCTCCTTTTTTTTTTAACTTCTTTTTAAAAGCGTAAGAACAGCAGCTGCTTCAACTGCATCTTCACCAACATAAACAGATAATGTTTGTGTATCATATGCCATAAAAGCAGAAGATGTGGATGTAGATGTGGATGTGGATGGATGCATTATTACATTTCTTTTATCAGCAAGTTGATTTTGATGATGTTGTTCCAGTAACGAATTTGGTTCTGAAGAAGTGTCAAGAGGGCTACATGAATCAGATACGGAAGAAGAAGAAGGTGTTGTTATGCTACTACTACTACTGCTTTGATTTTCCCATCTATTGCCATGCCCTGATTCTCTTCTTTTAGGTGTAGGCGCAGCAAATGAATCATGTCCTTTCTTTTTAGTAGCTGGAATATCTTTGTTATTATAAGATATAAATGCATTTGATCTCTTTCTTTTCTTTTCTGTCTTGTTTGTCGTTCTCTTTGTCATCGTGTTTGTTGCAGATGTAATCGTAATATAGTTATTATCACTACCATTTAGAATCTTACCATGTTTCCATTTTACTCCACAAGCATTACATAACGTTCCTGCTCCTTCGGGTCCTCTACGCCACATAGGGGTTGTTTTTGATCCACAATATAGACACTTTTTAATACCATTGTTATTATTATTATTATTTGTTTGTGTTCTATGTGTTTTCACTTTTGCAGTAGAAGTAGTAGTAGTAGAAGAAGAAGGCTTTAATTTTAATTTATCATGTTCTTCTAATCCAATTAAAGAGAATTAAATCTATTTAGTGTATATCCAGAGATTATCTTTTTTTTTTGTGTGTGTGTTTGTTTGTTGCTTTTTTACCTTTATCTAAATACTCTTCATCATTTTCCTTTAGTTGAGTAGATGATGATATATTTGTTTCAATGCACATCATTTCTGATCGATGATGAGTTACTTTTTCATTATGAAATTTCATCTAGAGTTCAAAAAATAAAATGAAAAATATAAATATATAAAAGCGTATATAATAGTTTTTTTTTTTTGTCAACTAACAAGCTCCATCATATTTTGACATAATGTTTCATAGGCAAGCACTATTTGCTTAATAGCAAGAAATAGTTCCGAAGATACATTGGAAATTAACATGTTGTTAACATGAACATTTTCATCAGGTTTATGTAAAGATGAATTCGTGATTGACAATCTGCAACTATTACTACAAACTGCTGCAAACTCTTCTAATTTTGTTTTAAAGGAAGTTTTCCCATCATCATCATCATCATCATCATCATCTTTTCTTTTTAGAATACATTCACATGGTGATTTCCTTGTAAAATGATAGGGGTAGAACGAGAATATAACCTATATTGTTTATTTATTAGTCTCAATATAACAAAGAAAAAAAAAAGGGAGAGAGTGAGAGGAATAGATACCTTGTGTGGGGCAACTGTGGTTAAGCATTCTGTTACCGCATCTTGAGGGAAAATATAAAAGATATGTCCAGGAGATGGCATGGATAGCTTTTTGTTGGTAAAGATGATTTCATATCGAATCAAGCGTTTACTATAATTGTTTTTCTTTGGATCAAGGTCCATTTTTAATGATGTTGTTCCATCACATAACTTTTCGGAATTTGGTATGGTATGCATAGGTTCAGCTTGTTCGGGACTTATTATTATTTCTTCATCTATAATTTCTGATTCAGTCATCTCAAAAAAAGTACAATGGGGAAATGTCTTGGCCCCTAACTGCACAGATGATACGCCCAGTAAGCGATGTTGAAAGCGATGAACATGTCCATCTACAGGATCGATGACATCTTCACTTAGATGTAAAGGTAATTGGTATTGTTGAAATGCATCTAATAAAATCGCACTTCTTTTGGTTTGTGCAATTAAAAATATAAAATATAATAGATGTGAATGGTTTTTTTTTATAAATCCGTCACTTCTTGTTCCTCAAGTCATTTTATTTCAGTAGTTACCCGTTATCTTGATTTGTTCTGGACATTCCTTTTTTTTTTTTGGTTAAAAATAGATGAGGGGAAAATGAAAGAAAAATAAATAAAACAAAAAAGTTGAAGAAATAAATAATAAAAATAAATAAAATAAAATAAATAAAATAAAATAAAACGAAATAAAGCGAAATAAAGCGAAATAAAATAAAATAAAACGAAATAAAACGAAATAAAGCGAAATAAAATAAAATAAAATATATAAATAGATCGATGAGAGATGAAGAAAAACTACAACTGAATTAAAAAGAATCTAAGAGTTTAGAATAAATAAAGTGAAAGACAAAGAATTACGATGATTGTAGTCAATAGTCAAAATGTAAAAGATAAAAGGGAAAAAATTAAAACATAAAAAAAATAAAATAAAATAACACTATCATTTATTATTGGGCCATGGTAGAATAATTAAAATTACATATAATTCTTTTAAAATAAGATAGATTAAATACTTGATGAAGGAAGAATCAAATGATGATTACCCAATGTAAGCATTCTTTAATCCAGCTTTATCGACACAACGAAGAGTAATGAATTTTTGATTACCTTGCATAAAGACCAGAAGTTTGACACTCTATAGTTTTATGTACTAACGTAAAAAAAGAAGGGGGAGGAATCTATGGCCATCGTAGTAGAGTGAATAGAATATTTAATATCGCATAAATTATATGAAACATCCTTTATATATATAAATATAAATAAATATATATATATATATATATAAAAAAAAAAAAAAAAAAAAAAAAAAAAAAAAAAAAAGCACAGGTACTTGTATTTAGCCCTAGCTTTTTTATTATTATTATTAATATTCAAAAAAATATACACATTTGTATTTTGTAGAGCAAAAGTTAAATATTAATATTTCTCATCTTTTTTTTTTTTTACTTTTTGATGATATTCAAAAAGAAGAATTATCAATAGGCTACCTGAAATTATATTTTCAAATTCGGCTATCTGTGCTGATCAGTTTAAAAAAAAAAGGAGATATAATCTTCCTATAGGCTGAATTTCTGATTCAAAAAGTAGTAGTAGTAGTAAATGTTTTAAGAGTTTGTTACAAAGTAGCATTAATGATGGAGGAGGATTTCCTTTCTTCTTTTAAACTATATATATATGTTAAGGTGTGTTATTTGCTACTTAAAGATTTAAATACAAGATCTAAATGAACAGTAGAAATAAAACTGTAGTATCATTTATTAAAAAGTATGTTAATAATAGCCTCATTCGCTATGCTTGCATCATGATGAATGGGCTTCTTCCAATGATGATAATGTTGCAAAATATCTTTTAAACTCTCATCTTTCTCAATGATGCTAGAAAATAAAATAGCTTGTTGAATACAATCCAATGAAGTAGTAGGTGTCAGTAAGAAGGGTATCATTTCCATAAATCCATGATTAGCAGCATACAAAAACGAGGGATTCATTCCATTTAGATCACTTGAGGGATTCCATTTTACCTCGTTACCTAAATAAATGACCATTTCTATCTTCCGTTGTTGTACTGCCAACTCGAAGGCTCTTTGAATATCATCATCTTTACTCTTCATCGTCTTTATTAAATATTTTAAACAATCGAATCTATTCCAGTATACACAGAGACTTAATAATGAGCTCCTCTTTGATTCATATTTATCCTCCCACCATCCATTTCGCTCTTGTGTAAAGGCACCGGCATTTACTAATGCTTGTACTATCCTTTGGCTACCATCATGACTAGCCATGATGATAGCTTCTTCTAAAGGGAATGTAGTAGATGATCCATCATGCTGACCAGAGGAAGACCATATTAGATTGATGGATGTTGGATTATTTCTTTCGCGTTTAACCAGTAGACTACGAATGATCTTTAAACTCTTGTTTCTAATAGCATAATGAAGGGCAAGTCTACCGGATGTATCATACAAATCAACACGTGCTCCTGCTTCCAGGAGAAGACAAGTGGAAGTCTCAAGATGATCATACGCTGTATAATGTAAAGCAGTCCATCCACGTATATCTGTTTGATTTAAATCTAAATCAGGATGCTTTATCAGAGCATCAATACCTGCTGAAAACCCTACTGAAGCAGCGATATGAAGTGGGGTTAATCGGTAGGGTCCCTGTCCCTGATTGATCATATCCATGCCAACTCCCCTTTGCAAAATCCTTTTAAGAGCCTCTAACGATTGACATTGGCATGCCCAACATAATAAATTAATTCCATTATTACTATCATCTTTGATATCATTCGATACATTCAGCTTGTTTTGTTTGATAAGTGTTGTTGTTGTTGACGATAATGATTTATTATGTGTCTTGATTCTTTCGTTTATATCTTGTGTATGATCAAATCTTCTCTTCATTCGACTATGAATCTATCTTAATAATTAGCTTCCTTCCCCCTCCCTTCCCCTAAATTAATTTAGAGTTAAAAAAAAAAAAAGGAAAAGAAAAAGAAATGAAAGAAAAAGAAAAAAAAAAGGATTAAAAGTAGAAATAAACTAGTTAATTAAAGTAGATATCAATTTAAATCAAGTAATAAAAAAAATCTTGGCAGTAGTTGGAAACATAACATGATAGACCAAAGTTATCGCAATAGAATCAGTAGTGGTCGTGAGTCTGCGGTTGCTAGTGATGATATTTATTTGCCAGCAATGTCTTGGCACTGAGCACAAAATAAAACTCAGTCATGGATCACACTATTCTGAGATTAAAAGCAGAGACTACTTACCTACTGTTGTTGTTGTTGTTGTTGTTGTTGTTGTTATGGATATGCAAAAAAAAAAAAAAAAAAAAAAAAAAAAAAAAAAAAAAACAGTCTCATTCTTCGTTAACAACGGATATTCAATAAGTAAAGAATTAGGGCTTTTAGTAGATGACACAAATTTATCGTGAAGCATGATTTATCATCATGAACACACAACAAACTTTATTATTGTTCTCCTATCTTCCCTCTCCTTTTTTTTTTATACCTGAATAACTCTTTGACAGAAAAGATATGTTTATCTTTCCAAAAAAAAAAAATACATACACACGTTTTATCTATGGATTATAATAATGATAAAGAGCTTTATCTATATTAATTACGCATTGTGAAAGAATTTGAAACCTACTCCAATATGATTCCCAATGAATACTAGTAACTTAAAAAGGAAAGGCATGTTTACATAAAGAATACACTATAATAATATGAGTAAAAGGATAAAATAAAAAAAATAAAAAAAAAAACTCCTTGACTTGTTATGACTACTATCATAAAAGAAAGAGTTATATTTATTTATTTATTTATTTTTATTATTCATTTATTTAAGAAGATGGGATCTAAAATTTTAATAAGCTGATAAATAAATTATTATTAATAATGACAGTTGTTGCTTTAGATTTCCCACCCACGTAAGAACAACCCATATGTCCTTAGAGCACATCATATCATATCCTCGACTTTGATTGAAATATCAATAATAACTATAACAAAAAGGCAAAATAATAGACTTGAAAAAAAAAAAGAAAGAAAAAACTCCCTAAATTATGAATCAATCACTTTTTTTTTTATTGTACAAGAGATAGAGATTCAAGTTTTTTTTTTTTTTTTCAGAATAAAATACAAAAAAAAAATAGAAATATAAATACTAATACACGAAATATAAAAAATTAAAATTATAATGTAAAATTGTATATAAGGAAAAAAAATTATTAAATGGTTTTGATGATTATAGCTAGTAATAATAGTGTATGAGTGTGGATGGAGGAGTGAAAGGTTCTTAGGCCTTGTTCTTCTTTCTAAGTTCTTCTTCAATGTTAAGACCATACCAGCCAAGATAACGACCAATTTCATCAATAGACTTTTGCTTGGTTTCGGGAATATAGATTAAGACGAATGCAAAGGCAAACAAAGAAAGACCAGCAAAGATAAGGAAAACATAGGGACCACAAGCGGACAATAAACTAGGGAAGATGAGACCGATGACAAAGTTCATGAGCCAGTTAATAGCCAAGGAACCTGAAGAAGCAGGACCAACGGCATAGGTAGGGAAACATTCACCAATAAGAATATAAGGAATCATACCATAACCAACAGCAAAGGAGGCGACGTAAAGCATGATACAGACGACTTGAAGAGCACTGATGTTGTACTTCATAGAGATAGTCATGATGACACAGAAGATGGTCATACCAACGGTTGAGACCAACAAAAGTGTCTTACGACCCAAACGATCGACAAGAGAAAGACCGATGACGGTAAGGACGACGTTCAAAGCAGAGACACCAATTGTGACATATTTAGCATTGTGATCAAATGAGGCTTCAAAGATAGTGGTAGAGTAATACATGATAGCGTTAATACCAGTCAATTGTTGAAGAGCGTTAATGATGAAAATCTTGATAGTCAACCAAGCCAAGACAGGGATAGCAAAAACTTGGGCAAAACTAAGTTGAAGTTCACCCTCATTATCATTACCACCACCAACAGCATTATTCTCCTTAGCGACAGCATTGTTATCAAAACCAGCAGCAGAATCCTTATCTTCCAAGTTGGCCTTTGTTTCTTCACCACCCTTAGAGAGACCAAGGAGCATATCAGTAAATTCAGCTTCAATATCACCATTACGAAGTTTAAGGAAAGCAGCACGAGCTTCATCCACTCTGTTCATGTTGACTAACCAACGAGGAGATCTAGCACAGAAAGGAAGAACGACCATTTGGACGATAGTAGGAGCAATGGTGATAATAACCACAATACGCCATCCGATAGCAGAATCTAAACCAAGAGAGATAATTTCAATAAGTAAAATACCAATGGTAGTCAAGAGTTGCAGTGTAGACGTAAGAGCACCACGATATTTAGGAGGAGCAATTTCAGAAACGTAAACAGAAACAACACAAGTCATAAAACCAGAACCAATACCAACAAAGATACGTCCAATAGCAAATTGAGCAGATTTAGTAGCAAGAGAAAGTAAGATAGCACCGATAAAGAAGTTAACGTTCATTAAAATCATAGAATCACGACGACCAAACTTATTATAAAGATAACCACTACCCATAGCACCGATAAGACCACCAACAGCAAACATACCAGTAGAAACACCCCTAATATATATATAAATATAAATATATTACAAGTATTAGAATAAGTTTTATTATTATCATTGTATATATATATATATATATATATATATAATATAAATTAACTTACCAAATCCAATCACCCATAGGGATACATTGAGGTAAAGGAGAATGAGGATAATAAGTGATAACACCTTCAGGAACATTAGGACATTTCTTAACAGCTTCACCAGGAATATTCAAAGCGGATGTATTCACACCAGAATTGAAAGCACCTAAAGATGCAATAATAGTACAAAAAACGACGAAAGATCGAAGAGGAGCCTCTCTCGAATCCATATTGAATTTATTATAAAAGGTAAAAGAAAAATAAAATAAAATAAAAAGTTAATAAAAAATAAATTAATATGTAGAAATACAAATAGAATGAAGTAAAAAAAAAAAAAAGGGTAAATGCGTAAAATTCTCATGTCTTTAAATATGTTTTCTCGATCCAATGTCGATTTTTTGCGGACAAATAAAACTGATACCCAACCAAAATTTTCCGTATTTTTCAGTTTTGAAGCAAATTCAATGTATGTCTTTTCCCCTTCAGGGTCTATTAAACAACTTGTAATGGAAAAAAAGAGGGAAACTACCTCCATTACATGATACCAAATAAACTATGTTATTCAAATCTTTATAAACTCTATCTTATTTTCCCTTTCTTTCCTCTTTTTTTTTTCTTTTTTTTTTGCTATTATTTCTTTGATTTAATTATTTTAATGAATTAACACATTATTACTTGAATCAAAGCCCACAAAATAAAATCTTCCGCTGAAATAAATTCAACAACAAAATGCATGTAAACCAATAATAAAAAAAGAACAAGTGCGTCCATATTGCCTTTCTAGGTAATAATTCTATTGTTGACAAATTCGAAACTGGGGGAAGTTTCACATTGTTTCGAAATAAAAAAAATAAAAAAGTCAGAATTATTGGAGTTGTTCTAGCTACAAAAAAAAAAAAAAAAAAAAAAAAAAAAAAAAAAATATGAACCCTTTTTTCTAATTGAGTATGTCCAGGGACTTTATAATGTAAAATGGATAAAAATGGTATAGATTTGTTATGATAATAAAAAAATAAAATAAAATAAAATATACACATATTTTCTATATAAAAAAAAATGACATCCATAATTTATTGTACATTTCAAATAACACATAATCTACGCGAAATTATATACATTCATTTGTTTATTAAAAACTTTGTTTCCTCTTCTACTGCATTATAAAAATATTAAATTATTAATTATAGCAAGTCAAAAAAAAAAAGTAAAAATTTTATTGGTTAAAATGGGTTGTTTCAATGAAAAGCAAATAGAAAAACGTTTACATTAATAATGATTATATTAGAAGCTATTTGTGCCGTTGTAAATAATACTAATAATATAGCAATAGTTTGTATTATTATTGTTATTATAAATCAAGTTTTTGTTGTTTTTTTATATATATATTTTAACTCATATTAAAGAATATATATGCATAAATTACACGTCGTTATTGTAATGTATATTGTATCAGTGGAAGCCTTTTTTTTTATGTATACATCCATTTAAATATGAATTCACGATTTATACTCTTTGTTTGTTCATATCATTCACTTATTTGTTACTTTTATTGGAAAGTAGATTGAAAAATTGACTGATAGTTAATAGGAATATAGACAGTTCCTGAGATGAAAATTTTCCAGTTTTTACCTTCATTAGCAAATTTACAGTAATAAAATGATAATAATAACAATTCTTTTATTCAACTATTTCCCAGTGACTAAAAAAAAAAAAATAGCTTTCACTTTTCCCTCTCCCCTCCCCCCCACTTCAATGTCTTTTTTTGTACATAAAAAAATAAAATAAAACTTTATAATTATTCATTTGTTAATAAAACAAAAATTCATTTTTATTTATTTCCCTTTGTAAAATAAATAAAAAATATCAGCATACATGAATCCTATTATTGTTTTTTTTTTTCTTCAAAGTGATTTTTATTAAGATCATCATATGGGGGCTACATCAAGTCAATCTCATGATTTTGCACTTGAAAAAAAAAAATACTCTATTTAGTTAAATTGTCTTGAATCGGTCATTTCTTTTTTCTAAAAAGAAAAAAAATTGTGGGTTAAATATTAAAAAATGATTGGATGAAACATTTCAACAAGCATATAAACTGCTTACTTTTAGAAAATCATCCGATATAGCGTTATTTTATCCAATCAGCTACTTGATTCTATTTCCTTTTTTTTATTTTATTTCTCTAAACAATAGAACAATTTTTTTTTTACCTTTCCTCTCCTTTGCCTATTTATTAATTAAAATGAAATATAACAAATTAAACAAAAAAGACAAATACAAAAAAAAAAGACAAATACAAAATAATAATATGTTTGATTTTAAATCAATAAAAACGGGAAAGAGTTATGTTTGATTTTTTCGAAATTTATCCGCATTTTCCCAGATTTAATAAAATAATGAAGAGGGGCTCCAACATGTTTAAAGTAAAGCAACCAAAAAAAAAAAAAAAAAAAAAAAAAAAAAAAAAAAAAAAAAAAAAACTTTAGTGTGAAAAATGTTGTTTTTACAATATATGTTGTTCATACAAAAGTATGTATAAAAAAAATTAAGCTTTTTTTATTTTTATTTTAAAAAAACGCTTAGAACAAAATATAATAATCATGTCTGCTGAGTTGAGTTATTATGTTTAACTCTTCATTACAAATCATAAAAACTTAAAGTTATTTTATTTTTTATTTTGTTTTTTATTTTTTTTATTTTTTTATTTTTTTTATTTTTTATTTTTTTTATTTTTTATTTTTTTTATTTTTTTTATTTTTTCGAAAATAGAGAAAACCGGAGTAAAGCGGCGAGTTTTTATTTTATTTTTATACTGTTATTCTTGAGTGATGTACTTGGGCTTTCGGATTGTAAAAAAAAAAAATAACTTTTTTTTTTCCCTTCGAATCCCTTCTTATTATGCTTTTTTCCTTTCTTTTTTTTTCGATAATGTACAAATTCAGGGTTTTAGTAAAAAAAAGGGATCAAACTTTTTACATTACATGCAAAGAACATTTCTTACTTACACAGAATAATAATAAAAAATACGACTTTTCATTTTATTAATATCTGCTGCATAATATTTTGAAATATTTATATATAATTATTATATTTATATCTCATTTAATCCCCCAAAGAAGCGTACGGAATATGAATCTTATTTTGCTCTTATGTAACTTTGCAAAAAGATTAAAATAAATATTCTATTCCCCCCCCTACCACTACCTCCTCCTCCTCCTACGATTATGAAAATTGTTTAAATAAACATAAAGGATATGGCTCTACTTTTATTTTAAGATTTTTTTTTTTTTTTTTTTTGGTCGTAAATATAGTTATGCACAACAAGTAGTATAACTTTATTTAATATGCTTTATTTTTACGACTAAAAAGAAAAAAAAAATAGCGCTACAAAATTGACGAATTTAGATATATGATTGCTTAATATTTTCTGACAGATACTATTATTTAACTTTAATCTTCTTTGGAGCAAAGATATACATCTATATATGTATATATGTATGTATATAGATATATATAAGGGAGGGGAGAGAGGAAAATTATATGCCTTATTTTTTTTTAGTCGACTTTCTTAGCCAATTCTAGTAGTAGTAGTAGAAGAAGAAGAAGAAGAATTAATTCAATGCTTCATTTACAAAGTAGTCATATCCGTATTAAAATGTAAAAGATGACAGACATCAGAAGATGTAGAGTTGCCTTGTATCAACTTGGAAATAGATATTAGTTGGAAGAAAGAGTCTTTCAATAAGAAACTGGTGAAATATCTAGCAAAGGATTATTTCAATAATGTTGTAAATAAAGAATAGTTAAGGTGAATTAAATACCAGATTAATATAGCAAAATGACTTTGCAGCAGTGTTTCCTGCTTTTAAGTTCAGGATAATAATATGTGTTGAGTATATACATATATTTATATATATATTTATTTATAAAAGGTTTAAAAGTCTTTCTGCTTCTTTTTTTCTGTTTGTTGTCTGATGAATGGTCGAGAACGACATTCTATTACTGTTCGATACTAAGTAAGGTCTGACTTGTGTTGATCAGTTGTTAATACTGTCAATTCTGTAAGTATGTTGTGGTGATGGTAGGAGGAGGAGGAAGTAAACTCATGAACAGTATGTTTCCGCAGTTCTCACCTTTAGCTTTTTTTTTGGGGGGAATCAGAATTGTTTCCATCTTCTCGTCATTCATCTTGTTCATATTCAGACAATAATAATATATAAAGAGAGAGGGAGGTTTTTTCTTTAACCGCTATTTTATTGGTTGTAATATATATATATATATATATATATAGTATAACTTGTTATTGTAGTGAATGTCTTATATTATAATTTTTAAGTCTAGGTGATAGTTCATTCTTCTCTAACACTTCTCCTTTCCGTAATAAGTGAATATATCTATCTGTTGTCTGTAGTTTTTCTTTTATGGGGGGGTGCAGAGAAAGAGGAGTGGGGAATAGGACGGGAGAAAATTGTGTTAAATAAATGTATCTAAACTTCCACCAACAATAATAAGTACATCAATTCTGATCATAAACTGGGTTGCCCCTTTATCAGAAGCATTTCTCCTCCTCCTTCCTTGATAATATTACTAGCAGTAGTTTTGTTAGATTAAATATGAATGATGAAATAGGGCAATTATACGATTAAAGTGCATATAGTAGTGTATCATCATGCTGGAATACACTCTCACGCATACTGAATAACATTCAAAAAAAAGAGAACCGTGATGAAGGACATCCTCAACTATTACTCGGAGAAGAAGATATATTTTTCAAAGAATTCGGCTTGGCGTGGTGGGACTTTTAGTTGAAGAGTTCAGATCAGATTGTAAAGTCTATTATGATTGTCAGTTGTCTATATAGATAACCAATTTATAATAATAAAAAAATAAACCATTATTTATTATATAATTAAAGAAGTTATTATTCATATAATAAAACGACTAGTCCATTGTACTTGACAGTACAGTAATATTCATCCAATACTCATTAGCTTCAATGATATATTCATTATCAGAGTATTCGAGCATTGTTATTATTAATAATAATAATTACATTATGTGATAATGAGTATTGTTGGTTATAGCTAGAATATTTACTATCATACATTATTTACTTTGCTAGAAAAAAAAACGTGTTAATCATGTGAAAGCAATGATATGTCTTGTTGACTATTCTATTTCTGTTTTAATGCAAGACAAATCTTAAAAAGAAGGGTATATCACAAAATAATTTCAATAGTATTCATTTATCCTTCAACTCCACATTATCAAAGCCTTTATAGATAGTATTTTTTTTTTATTTTTTTTTATTTAGTTCTGTAATGTTTAAAAAAATATGCATATATCTTGGGAAACCTTTCTCCCTTCCCTTTTATTTTTTTCCATGAGAACTTACATATAAAAAAAAAAAATAAAAAATAAAATTAATATTAATAATAAAATAGCTTTTGCATTTCTTTTCTTTTGGAAATTGATATTAATAGTAATTATTTATTACAAGTGGGTATCTCCATATATAGAAATTTATGCTTTCAAAAAAAAATATATATATATATATATGCATATTTATACATTTATATACATATTTACATATTTGTATATTTATATGTTATTTTAAATATTCGTATTTTATGTGCATAGTACTTTAGTGAAGAAAGGGAAGCTTTTATGGTTACATAAGATACGTTTCAAAAATTATTCATATTACATAAACTGATTACTTAATACATTTTTTTTTTGTTGAAATTCCCTACTTAATGTATTACATAAGATTTTAGAAAATTCCGTTTTAAAAATGTGCCCGATTAACATTTGTATTAAAAAAGAAAGTGTAGTGAGTAAATTTTATTATTCCCTTCTTCATATAGAAGCAAGTTAGCCTCACTTATTATTTCTGTGGCTTTAAATAAAATATATCAGTATTTAATAAGCTTTTACAAAAAAAAAAAAAAAAAAAAAAAAACTTATTTATTATTATGACTATACTATGATTAATTATTTGTATTCTATACTATACACAAAGTTTTATCAAAAAAAAAAAAGGGAAAAAGAGTTGAAATATTTACAGTGAAGAAAAGAGGATTGATGAATAGAAAATAAAAGGGAGAAGAGGTATACAAATATTAAAAAGCAGGGAATTTTGACCTAAATGGGTCACCACGAATACGACCATAAAGATGAGTAGGCTCTTTATATTTTGCAAAACAAGTAGTGTCACCATCATCTTTTACTTTTGGGATATAGGGTGGTTTTATTTTACGTCTCAAGACTTGATCAAAGTTTGTATCAGCAAACCAAGGATGTTCTCTAATTTCTTTACTTGTATAACGGCCTTCAATGTCAGATGTTAATAAGTTTTGTAATAAATCTTTTAAATTAGAACTCATATCTTCAGGCCAATCGACTCTACATTCTAAAATCTTTTGATACAAGTTAACAGGATTTTTATCTACAAAGGGGGCACGTCTAAATAAGAAAGGAAGAAAAAGAAATAGATAGGCACAAATTAATATCTTTTTTTTTTTTTTTTTTTTTTTTTTTTTTTTTTTTTCCTATATAAATTTAAATACTTTACCCAACAACCATTTCAAAAATTAAGACACCTAGACCCCACCAATCAACAGCCTTTGTGTAGCCTTTAGAGAGTATAATTTCTGGTGCTAAATAATCAGGAGTTCCACATACAGTCCAAGTTACATCCTCAATACGTTTAGCAAAACCGAAATCAGTTAATTTGACATGACCACGAGCATCAATCAAAATATTTTCGGGTTTAAGATCTCTGTAGACAATATCATTTTCATGTAAATAAGCAAGAGCTAAAAGGACTTCTGCAGCATAAAATTTAGCTGTTTGTTCTGGAAATTTCTTTTGCTTTCTAAGGATACTAAATAATTCACCACCAGGCACATAATCCATGACCATAAATAAATGTGTATCATCTTGAAATGCGTCCCATAAGGTAACTAAAAAGGGATGTGCAATTTCTCTCAAGATAGTAGGTTCATTATTGATATGCTCAACTTGTTTAAGTCGAACAACATCATATTTATCTAAAGCTTTAATAGCGTAGTGTTTTCCATTGACCTTGCTTTGAGCTAAATGAACACGACCAAATGAGCCAGTACCTACTGTACGTTTCAAGATAAAATCATCTAGTCTTAATTTGCGATGTTGTCGACGACGTTGCTTAATATTATTAGCTCTTGCACGAGGTACAGCATGAGTGCTTACCCGAGTAACATGAACAGGACGAGGAGAGAAATGTGATCTCATAGGTGATCGTGGCTGTGTGTTAGTCGCAGTATAAGTAGGAGTAGGAGCAGTAGCAGTAGCAGTAGTAGCATTAGCATTAGCATTAGCATTAGTTGTAGTTGTAGTTGTAGTTGTAGTAGCAGTAGTTGTTGCTGTTGTTGGTATTGCTGCTGCTGCTGCTGCTGCTGCTGTTGTAGTGTTACTGTTACTGTTAGTGTCAGTAGAGGTATTCATTATGGGGGTAGTAGTGGTGTTATTTGTTATGTCTGAATTTAAGCTATCGTCCTTGTCGTTGCTATTCTTTAGTATCATAGCTGAATCGGGGGATAACGATAATGCAACAGCGGCAAATTCAGCTGTTACTTCAGGTGAAACAACAGAAGTTGCGGTAGTAGTAGTGGTTATTGTTGTAGGCTGAATATTAAAGTAGCTATCAACAGCCTGTTGGTCGTCTACTAATCTTGGTAATGGTGATAATGGTGAAGCTTTAGTTGGTGAGGAAGAAAGATAATCAGGAATTGTAATAGCTTGTTGCCGAATAATTGCTCGTTTATTATTTTGAATAATGGGTATTGAATCTAATTGGTTAAAAAGATACGAATCAGAAAAAAAAATTTTGGTTTTATTTCATTTTCATTTTTTTTTTATACCTTCTTTCCTTTTATCTTTGACAGGTGGAGACTGAGGTGGAGAACTTATTATTGGTGTAATCGTTATTGAATTGGGGATAAAGTGTGAATTAATAGTTGTGGAAGAAGAAGAATTTTCACGAGTATGTGAAGGAGTAATCACATTATTAAATCCACCTAATTTTAAGATATGAATGAGTTGTTCAAGTTATTATTGCATCTTATTGTATTTATACCTGAATAACAACTACCTTCATCACTTGTAATACTACTTGTAATACTAGGTGTCTTTGTTATTGTAGGTGATGATGGGGGCGAATTTGAATTATTTGATTCTTGACTCGTTGTACGCTTATGATGTTTATGTCTTCCTTTTAATGTAGATCTACGAATAAGTTGCACTCCTTTATTAATAAGATCCATTATATATAATTATGTCAAAACTAGATAAAAAAAAATCTATTAAAAAAAATAAATAAAAAAGACACTGCTACATTTATATAATATTTCATTTATTTCAAAGTCACATCAACTACCAAAAAAGAAAAAGGTGCCTGATACAATTTAGAAATTAAAAAACCACTAATGAAGATAAGGCTAAAATATTACGTCGTATTTTTTATATATAACTCCGATAACTATATATGTACTTTTTTTTTTTTTTTTTTTTGAGTCGGGCACACTCATTATTATAATATTTGGTGAAAGAAGTAATATCAGAAAAAATAAAATAAAATAAAATAAAATAAATAAATAAACCCTTATTAATTAATAATATTACACAATAGAATCTTAATATAATCACGGGTTTCTTTTTATTTTTCTTTAAAGCATAGCTTCTTAGTGTAGTAAAATAGAATGATAGAATCTATTTACCCCACAACAGAAGATAAATACATAAAGAATAAGCTTATTATAACAGATAACGCTTTGAAGAAAAAGTTAAACCTTTTTTTTTATTTTTTTTTTATTTATTTATCTGTGCAGTGAAGTTTTGTGTGCAGTGAATGATTGGATACAATGGAATATTATTTTCTATTGCCTCCATGGTAATAAATTAGATTTAAGGTTAATTATTGTAAGTTATTATAATTAACGATCATTGTATATACATATACATATACATATTTACATATTTTTTTTTTGTTCTTGAAGTATTTATTACTACTTTTACAACATCATTTCTCTGTCTAATTTCTAATGAAAAAGTAGTAAATATTCTATACAATACCCATGAAGAATATTATTATAATACAAACGTTATTTTCATCTGGTAAATACTACTTCTTACACCGCATTAGACTCATTTTAACTATGGTATAAAACTCAGTGTCTAATTTTCTTTCGGAGAATACATTATATAACACCGTGTTTTTTCGGATTCTTGGGCCTATTTTTAAAACACATGCAAAAAATATGTATATACACGTATATGTATTTATATAGTCATAGTTTTTTAAATTACACAAAATACTAGAAATAATAAGCTTAGACATCATGATAGAATTATTTTTTTTTTCATTTAAATCTATGTATATCGTAGAAGCCTTTTATCGAATAAGACAATTTTAGAATGTTTGGCCCGTATTGCTGATGATTGAGTCCATAAGTCTAATAGGCCTCAGTGATTTGATAAAGTTAGTTTATCGAATTTCTAAATCAACTCTTATCTAATAATAATTTTTATCAGGACGGAAAAAAAAGAAGAGGAGGAGAACGAATATTGATTATCAGTTGGTGGTAGAATTAGATATGATAAATAAACAACTCTAATTTATACCATCTATCTGTGTTTATTTACAGTATTCGTAATTCAATAATAAATCTTCTCTCATCAAGTAGATTTGTGACAGAAGTTTGGTATGAATTTTACATAGTAATTAGTTATAATAGGCTTTTCAATCATTCTTCTCAGTACGAATTCCTTTGAAAAAAATGTTAGACAATGATTCAAGCCTTCTTTTTTCCTTTGTTAGAATATCTAAATCTATAGAAATACATCATGTATAGAAATATTAATATCAACTTTTGAGTTTATCTACCCTATGACAGAAGGGTATATCTGTATTTATACTTTAGGCAAATGCCTTTGACATAATAATAGCCAGAGAAGGCTATTTAGAGCAATGGCTGTAAGAAGATAGGTTTTACTACATGCGTATTTACGCATGAAAACGAATATCCGAACGATCTAATGCAAACATCATTTGTATTCAACTTTTTAACTTTTTAGTAGGAGTCTATCTTAGCTTAAATTACTTTCTCTAATCAACTTTTGCTTATTGTCGATTTAACTTTTTTTTTTTTTTTTTTTTTTTTTTTTTTTTTTTTTTTTCTTCTTCTTCTTCTTCTTCTTCTTCTTCTTCTTCCTCCTTTTTCTTGTCTAGTCATTTTGACGAGCATAGTTATGTCTAAATTAAGTCTAGAAATTATTAATGTTTAAATGATGGTAGGGTACATACGTATATGCAATTTCTACTATGTTATCATTAAAAAATATCATAAAGTCTCTTTTACAGTTTTCTTTTTTTTTCTTTTATATATACACATATATATATATCACTGTCTATGGATTATAATATAATATAATATAATATATATGTATATCATTCATAACTTTTGGTATTTATTTGGAAAGAGTATATTCTTATCCTAATGTTATGACTTGTTACAATCATTACTATCCATTGTTAGCAGTTTGTTTGTTTGTCTGTAATAATAGTCCCTTTTTTTCAGTTTGCTAATATGATACGAAAGGTTCCTATCTGAAGGCAAATAATCACGGACAAATACAGGATGAATAATTTAACCAGACGTAATATTCTACACCTTATTTCAAGCTAAAAAAAAAAAAAAATATCATAGTATTTTATAATATTCAGAAAGGTTATATGTCTGATGCTTTGAAAATAAAGAAACTTAATATTGGAATTAAGATGGAAGTTTATCTATAATATTCAGAATATAAAGCAGCAATTTGATTTATTTACGCTCTTCTATCTAAATATACAATATAAACACATCGTATTATGATTGCTTCAATAATAGTAGTATAATTAACATGACTGGGTGATATAGAACAAGTTGTTTAGCTATTACTAATTGCAGAATAGATTTTTCAATACTCAGTTTCGTTAGGTTTATTATAATGCAAGAGCAGCTGATTCTATTATTAGTCAGTCAATAAGCCTAAAAAAAAATTCTAATAAATGGCTTTATTAGTTATGCATAGATTGGCACATGGATTAGTGAGAATTGTGCGTGTGTGTTTCTTTTCGCAGTAATCTTTACTTCTATTATAAATAAATAAATAAAAAATATTATTTAGACAAATATTAAATAAGAAAAACATAGTCAAGACACACACACACATACAAAGTACATTCTTGAATAAGCATTATATTATACATGAGCTTGATATAATTAACATTTTATTTATTTATTCATATTATTTATTTATCCTTGTCTTTGGCTAAATATATAGAAATCTACTAAGTATATTATTTTTAAATCAATACTAATAAAAAAAACTTACCGAGGAGCACATCTAATAATATTATCAACTCTTAAAATCATTTCAGCAGCTTCTGAAGCAGATAAAAGTACTTGTTTCTTAAGTTTAAATGACTCAGTAATACCCAATTCTCTAACATCAGACACTGTTCCATTGACCATGTCTAAACCAGCTGTTTTTTTACCTTCATAATGGGCGGCTCTTAATTGAGAGACTAGTTCTGAAGAATCAAAACCTGCATTATCAGCCAATATAGTAGGCATTTGACGAAGTGCTTTTGAGAAAGATTCAGCAGCAATAGCTTTCTTACCAGCTGTCTTTGCTGCTACCTCATCAACAGCCTTAGACATTAACATTTCAGAACATCCACCACCCAAGACAGTACGAGGTTCACAAACTGTTTGTGAGAGAACGGAGAGTGCGTCATGAAGTGATCTTTCTGCTTCATCTAATAATTGTTGAGTGGCACCACGAAGAACGATAGTACAGGCTTCACCAGCTGCAACTCCAGAGAATTTAATCAATTTATCTTCGCCAATAATTACTTCCTCAATCAAATCACAATGTCCTAACTTGACAAGTTCTGGATGATCAAAAGTAGAAGTAATTTCACCTCCTGTCACCAATGCTAAACGTTCAACTCCTTCAAAATCAGCATGCTCAATAGTAGCAATACCTGCATCAGCTAATAATTGTTCAGGCCAGTTATAGATCAATTGACGATTAACGAAACAGTTGATACCGTGTGCCTTAATTTTTTCAACTTTTTCTTTCATCTTGTTACGTTCTGCACGTTCGAGTTCGGCAAGTTTACCTGTAGCATCAACACGTACACGTGCACCAAAGATCTTAATTTTGTCAGTGTCCATAGCTATTATTATCATCAGTATCAAATTTTACATATAATTCTTAAAAAAAAAAATCATCTTACATGTATTAGCAACCAAAATCTTTGCATTTTCAATACGTTTAGGACAATTAACACCAAACTTTTTATCCAAAATAAAGCCTTAAATAAATATAATATTAGATCAACAATAGTGTTTATAAAAAAGGCAATGCCTATTTTCCTTTTCTTTTTACCTTCATCTAAATATGAATCAGTCAATTTTCCTCCGGGCTTTTTAATGATTTGGATATTTTCAAGATTAGTAGAACCCTTAAGACGGAGGACAGCATCGACAGCTAATTTAGAGAAATATTCTTTATCTTGAGACAATACTTTTGAACTAAGTGTTGTCTTTGCAATATTAATCAAATCTTGACGGAAAAGTTCTTTATCTTTGCTATGATCAACAGCACTTGCTTCCAAAGTCTTATATGCAGCAGCAGAAGCAAGACGATAACCTTCAATAATTGTTTGAGGATGAATATGCTGATTGACTAAATGTTCTGCTTCTCTTAAAAGCTCAGCAGCTAGGACACAAACAGATGTTGTACCATCACCTACTTCATCATCTTGCACTTTAGATATATTTACAAGCACTTTTGCAGCTGCATTATCCAATGCAATTGATTTTAAAATAGTTGCACCATCATTAGTAACCAAAATCTCACCATTTGAGGCTGATTGAAGAATTTTGTCCTGGATTAATCAAGTCAATAAAAAGTTTTTTTTTTACGTGATCTAAATTATTTTAAAATTTACCATGCCCTTGGGACCAAGAGTACTTTTAACAAGATCACCTACAGCAATGGCACCAATGAAAGATGACTACATTATTATAAAAAAAAAAACGTTTGAATTAATATAACGCAAATATTTCTCGATGTTTCCATTAGTTACGAAAAAAAATAATAATTTAATTTACCAAACGAGCATTCTCAGCCCTTTCTTCAGTTGCCTGATCTTGAAAAATGTTAACAGGAGCTAAAGACTATTAAGAATAAGTTAGTACATTGATGTTCGCCTATCTTTTTTTTTTCTTGCAGTTCAATTAATTTTACCATTTTATGTGAAGATGATGATAGAATTAAGAGAAGAGAAAAAAAAAAAAAAAAAAATTTACAGCAGCGCTGTCAAAATTAATTTTATTTTATTTTTCCCTTAATAACGCGCTTTTTACTCCATACATACACAATAGCTGTGACGTGGTTCACTCTAGATAAATTTTAAGGGGCAACTTTACCAAAGGCTATTGAACTCTATGAGTTCTTTTTTTTTTTAACTAAGTAGGCTATTGTTGTTGTAAATATAAATATATACACATATAAAAAAAAAATGTATATATTATTCTTTACACACACATATATATATATATAAATAGAGGTGTAAAGTAAGTATTACCATTATATCCAGCTTAGTAAAAAGACATACACGTATAGAAAATGGTACAACACTTAATTGATCAGTCAATTATAAGCAGTAATGATAATAATAATAAAAAATATAAGCTTTACAATTATTTAACTTTATTATTATTATTATTATACAAAATATACGTAAAACAAAACATCTATCTCAGTGCGAACAAACTATTGAATAACATAATATCTATTGACCCAATCACGTACAAAAATGCTTGCCTTAGAATATCTTTTGGCTGACCATTTCCTGAAGAATGCATCATGCATTACAGGCTGTGATAGATAATGTAAAAGGTTTTCCACAACAGGCCGTGTTTCTTCAGGGGAATAACCAGATATTTTAGTAAGATTTGATGTCCATTTACCCTTTGAAAGCATTTTTTTAGCTAGCCATAAGGATGCTGCTGCTAATTTAGAGGGTCGTATACTAAGCAAAGTATGATTTACACAGCCGACTTCTAAGAAATATTTAGCCAAAGTTCTTGTATTAACATCGCAATGTTCATCCTCCGTATAAAGACGTCGTAAGAAATTCATAGGATTTGGAAAACACAGCTGATAGCCTAATACCTCTAATATATAGCGCTCAGCCTTGAGTACATTTTCTTTTGAAACTGCAAAATCCGTTATAAATAAGAAATCTTGCAACGAAGGACAAAATGTTTCCTCGAATTTAGCAGCAATATAAAGTGATGTAACTCCAACTAATTGAAGCTTTCCGAGAGCAACAGTGCGTTGTGAAAGAAATCGATCAATGATATTAACAGCCAAGTAAAGGGTCTCTGGAAGCAAACCAAAAAGGTAATGAATCTCAATAACCCAATCAATTAATACACCACGCATCTTCCATGTGACTTCGGTTTGTTGTTCATCAGCATAATTAGGATCGATATCCTTAGATATTTCGGTATCATAAAAATAACCATATATATCGCTAGCATACTCAACTACAAGCATAGGATCATTCCAATTTGTTCTACTCCAAATTTGTGTAGTTTGAAGCATGGCTAATTTAGCACGATCTTCTTCATCTGCTTCATATCGAATCGTTTCCTCATTTACAGTATAGGCCAAAGGAGGAGCATTAGGGGCAAAAATAGAACTATTTGAAAAGGAATCTCGGTTTCTAAAATGAGAAAATGATGAATTCAACATCTCCTTCCGTTTCTCGTTAGAAAGCGGTCCTAAATTATGCTTATAAGAAAAAGTTGTACTAGAGTCAGCAGTGGTATCGACCTTATTGGTATTGGTATTAGAGGCAAAACTAGTGTTGTTATTATTTTCATTTAAAAACATGTGTCTCATTGATCTTGGGACTGTGATGGGTAAAACTGGGACAATGATCATTGGATCATCTTCATCTTCATCTTCATTTCTTGCATAGCGTGTTTTATTGTCTTCAAAAAAATTGTTTATAATACTGGCTACTTCTTTAGTTTTAACTTCTTCCTCTTTAGATTGGTTACGGGTATCATCTTCTTTTTCTTTGAGTCGATTAGGATTGAATGAAAATTTTTCTCTAAATTCTTTCATCTTCATTTCCTCGTTTTTCTTTTTTTTGTTCAAAATAAGCATGATAACGTTTTATAATACGTATAATTATTATTATTATCTATTTACCTTTGAAAAAGGATTTGCGTTAATACTTTTTGTAGACAAGATAGAGCGATCATAAGTAAGCTTTGAATTAGTGAACGAATTCGAATTAGCCTTCAAAGATCCTATGTTGGTTAATTTTATATTCATCGCAGAAGAAGAATTGTTCGAATCAACATTCTCATTTATTCTTTTGTTATTTTCCTGATTTGATATGTCAACAAAATACACGTTACTATTATTATGAGCAAAATTCTCTTTACCTGTTGAAAGTACTGACTCATCTTAACTATTGATTAAATAATAGTAATAATAATAATAGAGTAATGATAATAATGCCAATTATAAGAATAATAATAATTTTTTTTTCTCTCTCTCTTTAAGAAAAAAAAAAGAAAAAAAAAAGGTAATGGTCGTTTTTAAAATGAAAGGTATTTTATTTCTAATGCGTTAATTAGGTGAACTTCTTCTTATCAATTAAATGAATAAAATATGTTAACCAGATTAGGATCTTTCGGTTAATACAAAAGAGAGGAGAAGAAGAAGAAGAAGAAAGAATGAAAGAGATATAATGAAGTTACTTAGTTACAGAAACCCTTTTTTTTTATTATTTTTCTTTGATTAGTGACGCTTTATTAGTGACTGCTTAAATAAGTTTTCATATTGTTCAAGTAGGAAAATCGCGTTTCAAACACGTTTTTTTTTTTTTTTTTAATAAATGGTATTATACTTAAATTAAGAAGTTTTATTATATGTGTATATTATGCTCTGGATCTATATTTTGAATGCCGTCTTCGTATTAAATCACGTCTTTTCCATAAATCACCATAATTTTCTTCTTCTTCTTCTAACTCTCCATTATCATAATAAAAAGGTGAAGAATTAGCATAAAGAAGGTGGTCATTAACATACTGAGAGTAATGATGACCATTATTGGGATAAGCCATAGTCACTATATTCCTTCTTCTGCTATTTAAATTAGGAGATGTAGAGTATAAATGATTGTTACGCTGATAATGATCATGAAGCTCTTGATGGGTATAATACTCATTATCATTATAATAATTTTCCTCTATTTCATTATCCTCTATTAAGGTTGGACGATAATATATTGATGGTTGTTGCTGTTGTGACTGGGATAAAGTATTTTTATTATTATAGTCCTCTTCCTCTTCATTGTCTACTATTGTTCCTAGTAATTCTTCGTTCTCATCATCCTCTTCTAACAGTAGTTCTTCTTCACTCTCTAAGGGCTCATATATATAAACCTCTGGAGTATCTACAAATGTCACTTTCTTTTTTGGTCTAGATTGATATTGAGAAGGAGGAAGGTGCCTTTGTGGCTGCCATTGTTGTTTCTGTTCGGGTAATGTTGTTTCCTTTCTTTGTTTCATTTGTGAACTAAGAAAGACATTCGTTGTTGGTGACTGTAATTGAACAGGTTTTCGTTTAATTTGTTGCTGAGAAGGAGGAGGAGGAGGGGGAGGAGGAGAAGAGAATTGAGGAGTCATAAGCGTTGGCTGTGGGGATAATATCCTTTGTTGTTGAGCCATATTATTATAAGCAGCAGCAGCAGCATTTACAATAGATTGAGTTGCAGCAAGTACATTCATATAGTTTGGATGACCAAACATCAGAGGTGAAGGGGGCCCTATTATTCCATTAGTAGCAACGGTGGTAGGATAGTGAGGATACATAAATCCGGGATGGTGAAATACATTCTGGTAAGGATTGTTTTGCTGCAGCTGCTGAGGTAAGATATTTGTATAGATATCAATAGTTGAACTAGGTATTGGTTGTATAGGGCATTCAGTACGTTGATTTGGTTTAAATACTCTGCGTATCTGAAATACATTGTCCCAAATCTCTTTTGGCATTCTCTTGAATTTAGAAGCTGGTATATTTTGATTCAACTGTTGATTATTATTATTATTATTATTATTATTATTATTAGGACTGTTATTATTTAATCGAAGATCTAAAACAATTATTTTCACTGACTGATCGGGCCTTTCATCACTTATTTTTGGCAATTGTCCTTCTTTTTTAACTCCCGTCACTGTAAGGGGGAAAATATAAGTTATCATATATGATTACATTCTTTTATCAAAGTATATAATGTTTACCAACAATGACAGGAGGAATGCCACTTGGGGTTGTTGGCCTTCTAATTCTAACAGATGGACTTGGATTAGCTGATGAGCAATGTATATAAAGTAAACCAGGATCATTTGGTCCACAATAAGTTGAAGAATCAATATTGGTTAAATTTGGTGAATTCACTTTGACTAATTGAGCTGCAATTAGCAAACTATAAACGAAAAAAAAAAAAGAGAAAAAAAAAGTTTTAAAAAAAAGAAAGAGTAAAAAAAATAGGACATCCTTTATTTAGACAATATGTTTTTTTTTCCTTGTACATTCTACCTATTTATGGAATAACCGAATTTATTTTATTTTATTTTATTTTATTTATAAAGATACTCTTTTATGATTAAAGTTATTTTTTATTCTATTTTTGCGACCATTAAGTATACAGCTATAAAAGCTGATTTGTTATAGTCGGTCCAAGGAAGTTAATATAGATTAAAGTCCTCTTAAGACGAAGGTAAAAAAAAAAAGAAAGTAAAAGGTGAAGGTAGAGGGAGTATAAATATTTGTATACGTATATCTAGAAGAAAAAAAAACTTTGTAAAAAAGAAGAAAAGGTTCCAAGGAGAAGTAGGATGAGATGGCTATTTGATCAAGAGGGAACCAACATTGGAGAGAGGGAGGAATAGAGGAATGAGCCAGATAGTCAATTTCATGCAAGATAGAATATACAGATAGCCTACGGGTAAACCAAAAGGAGAGACTAAATTAAAGGATTTGGAAGAGTTTGTAGGGGAAATATATTAAGTGGAAAAGGGAAGAGTATCATCATTTGTATGAGGCATTTTCATTCTGCGATGCATATTTAGACAGTGAGTAGAATGGAATCTATTGAATGAAAAGGACAGAGGATGAAGGACGACCATTCGAGACTTTAACAGAATGTCACTTCACGTTTGAAAACAACGTCTTGCTTTAATATAAATTCCTTTTGAAGGGTGCTTAATTAATGCTTCTAAAACTTAAAACCTTTTTTTTGTGCATGTTACCAGATCAACCAAATTTAGATTAGAGAATATGATGTTTGTAATTGAATATTTTAGACTTAGTTTGATATCCGGAGAATGTAGTTATGGCTGCATTTTTCTTCAATTGAATAATTCTGGTCAAGTATACAAGAGTAGACTTAAAAAAAGAATTTTTATAAGAGCTCAAAATCAGAGATCTTTTTGAATGATCTTCTGTAAATATTCGGCTACTATAATTAAATCGTAAGCCAACGTATTATGAACTAAAAAAAAATAAAAAATATGAATTTTTAGCATTAACTAGACTAAATTCCCAGATCCAAAGTGGTACAACCGTTTCCAGAAAAGCAAATATCCAAACTTAATTTCAGCTTTAGGGCTATTTCCTGTTTTCATCACGAACTTGGATGAACAAATCAAAGATACTTTAGAGTACGGCAAAATTATTGAATTATTTACCGGTTCAAACGACTTTTCGTTGTTAGACCCATCAGCAGGGGTTGCCCAAAGGATAGATATACAGATCAAAAAAAGTGGTGACTCTTCCAGAAGAAATTGACAAAACCATGAGAAGGTATAATGGTTTAAGAATTTGTATATTGGAAGAGTCCAAAGATGAATTGTCATTAAATAAGTTAAATATTGGAGTCAAAGACATCAACATGTTTATTACTAGTACTTTACTGCTTTTCCTCTCGATGAAAGCAATATAAACATTGGCCCCAAGTGCTGGGAGGCTTTATTGCAAGACAGTCTAGACGCAACTTCGATGTTTTCAACAGTTAAAAACTGGAAATTTTACAGACAATATGAATATCATTAATAACTATCGACAGTGAATGCTTGTGTTCCATCATCCTTCTACATATTGTATATCTTGATCAAGTTAAAGCAACCAGTAACAATATTCACTTTGTGTGTGCTTCTAGACATTAGATACAACAATTCAGCTGACAATGATAAATATCAGCAGTTTTTTAATTCATTTTTTTTTGAAGAAAAAGGACAAGCTTCTTCCCACACAGGGTCATTCAATGTAAAAAATCGGTTATTTAATTAACAAGTGCAAAGATAAGTTTACAAATAACGACAATTTCAATATCTTGAATATTCTAAGAAACTATAAACGTATAGACACCATGGCACAATTTACTTTATTACATATTAGCAAGACAAATAAAGATATGGCCAGTACGATAGATATTGACGCCAATTAACAAATATGTGTCGGCAGTTGAGAAATAATTGTCGCGACAATATCCATCGTACTGGCTGTATCCAGAATGAATATGTATTTTTTTTTGGAATTGTTTAACCAATGATTTATGAAAGATTACTCTTTTGTGATACTTATCCTTTTATGACTGAAGTATCTGGATGTGATTTATTTAGTTGGAATTGTTTTATTCTCATCTGCTAAAGATCAAGCTTTTATTTAAATAATCCCTTCATTTGTTTTCATTCAACGTAATGTATTTTATGCTTGTAATATCATATTTGTTCGTATTGAAAGCAGATTTATAAAAAATAACCTTTGCAGATCATTAAATCCTATTCCTTTACTTTGTTAAAAGATTAACAATTTCAACAGTCAAGAAAGGATATGTTTTTATTTATGCTAATGATTCACTTAAAAATTAATTATATTTACACTATCATAGTATAAAATTATATGTAGCATATATAACTTATAAAACAAGCTTAGTAGTAATATACTTACATAGTATATTTGTATTTTACAATAAACTATAATATGCATACTTTACGTAATACTACACATATCGATATCGCTATATAACATTTAAACCTACACGAACAAAAAAAAAAAAAAAAAAAATGGACGTATCATGAAAGCCTCAATAGTCAAGTTTATTTTCTAAGCATTGATGCTGAAGAAATATAAGCATTCATAGAAGAAGAGGGTGGATTAAAATTAAACAACATTGTCTGTGGTATATTATGCTTTGGTTTTTCTTCAAAGTCATCTTCGATATGTGCCGCTTCAGCTGCTATGTTCATACGTGCTTTCAATGCTGCACTTCTTTTACTTGAATGTAATTGTATATTTTCTCCTGTTGAATTCATTATAAACTGTTCATCTGTTAGTTGATGGTCAGGTGGAATAGCAAAACCTGTTCGATGAGTCTTTTGTGGCTCCCTATCTGGTAAAACAATCCCTCTTCGAGCTCTTGTGCCTCTTCGTTTACGTCTATTTTATAAGATCATTAGTATAAACTTTTTTCTATCAAAAATCTTACTCTTTTATACCTTGATTCTCTCATAAGATCTTTATCCATCTTATCAATAACTGCATCTGATAATTCAATCATAGAAGGGGTAAACTTTTCAATTGACGAATAATCACGATAAATAGATTTGAGTTGAGGTAAAAAGCTATGTTTAAGTTCATCGTCAATAACAGACGACTTATTGAATTTATAACCAACAAGTAATAATGACTTGATATAAACATGAATTTGTTCTCTAATCGAATGGGCTATAGCAGTCCTATTTCCCTTTCCTTTTTAAAACTACAAATCTATTTTACTCACTTTAACTAACTACTTACTTAAATTCACTGCCTAAACCAAGATCTATTACCAATTTTTCCGCAAATTCTTCTGGTGAATTACGAGGATAGCTGATGTCCCATTCGAATTGATCTATTAATTGCCAGTTGCCCACTGTAATATCTAATTTAATCACTGTTCGTAATTCGATCTGCTTATCATCATTGTTTATTTTATTTTCCATGGCTTCTTCAAACTCGTCTTTTAATATATTTGAAGCGTTTAAATTATAATCTTCAATTTGTTCTTTAATGACTTTTGCAATCTGTTCACTAAAAATATTGACTGGAAGCCTTAAATCCTCACACATTATCTCAGCAAATTGTTCTGGTGTAATCAGTGATTCTTCATAAAGGTATATTTATATAAAGAATAGATTAATATGTATTATATGCATATAAACATACATGTATATATGTGTACAAGTAGTAAATACCGTTAAGATTCCAAGTAAATGTATCTCTTAATTTGTATCCTTCATGTTCTAATTCAATTCGAATTGGAACTAAAACTTCCTCTTTAGATGCTTGTTCATAAATGTCATTATGAGAGCTATAATAGAATCAAGTTATATATATGACTGCATTTACACTGAAGCATATAACTCACAATCTAAAAGGTTCTCTTTTTCCGACGCGATATTTTCTTCTGTCTCCAGGAAAACGTAATTTAGTAATTGTGCCAGTTTCTTCATTACCACAACCTCTATAACCTGGACCAAAAATTACAGTAGGTCCTTGTTGCATACGTGCCTTTCTTTCTAAACTAGCTGATTCAATAAGTTGTTTCTTTGATTGAGCAGTTTCAACATGACGTTTGTGTTGTACATTTAATGCATTTTGATACATTTCATCTCTATGTATATATTGTTCTAAATTTTTTTTTTGAACAATTGTTTTTGCAATTATCGACTTTGCTTCTGTAAGTGGTGGTCGTCGATTATTATCTATTGGAACGACAGGAGGTATAATGGGTTGCGTTTGTAGTTGAGGCTGTGGTTTCAATTGCTGCTGCGATAATGGTATTTGAGGTGGTTGTTGAAATGGTAATCTTTGCGGTAATGTGACAGGCTGTTGAGACATAACTTGTGGCCTCATGATGTCCTTCTGTTGGTTATTCATTAAGTATTGTCTGTTAAAATTTACGCCATTATCCCATTGTTGATAATTCGGTTGATTTTGTTGCATCATCCTTGCTAAACGTTGCTGTTGTAATAACTGCATCTGCTGATGGTACTGAATATTATTTATATTCGGCTGCATTTTTTTTTATAACTTAAACAACAATTATATGAAAGAGCAATAGACACTAACACTTCTTTTACACAATGGTATATATTTTTTTTTTTTAAAAAAAAACATTATCCAATCAAATTGACGTATGTTCAATAATTCTTTTTTTTTCTTTTTTTTTTTCTTTTTTTTTTTCTTCTTCTTCTGCATTTCATGTAATTTTTCTTCTGTTATTCAAGATGTCACAAACAGAAAATGCATTTAAAAATTCACTTCGCAACTTTAAACTATCACGATCAACAAATTCACCTATATCTTTACCTTTAAACTCAAGCTCATCGAATTCTGGCTCGTTTTTTCAATCAATTCGTGATTCAGCATCAAATACTTTCTCAAATGTATCAAACACAATTCAAGGTTATAATCCTCTTCGTAATTCAGATGTAGAAGAAGAAGATCCTTGGTATCAACTTTCCCGTGTAGAGGTAAAAAAGAAAAAAAAAACTAAATCATAAATTACAATAAACAATTTATTATTCTAATAGACATTGGCCTATTTTTATTTTTATTTTTTTATTTAGAGAGTGATTGCTTTTGCTTTATGTCTTGCATTAGGCGTTGGCTGCTTTACTTTGGTAATTTGGACTTTTTTTTTCGAATTTTATAATGGAGTCATAAAAGTTATTAATATAATTTTTAGTCATTTTTCTTTTTACCTTTATTCCCTGGAAAATTTGCTGCCACATTTACATGTATGTCTATTTATATAAATGAATCTGATTATCCATCTTCTAACCTTTTATTTAGTGGGTAGTCTTTTAGTCCTAGTTAGCGTAGCATTATTACGTGGGCCTTGGTCACATATTAAACACATGTTTTCGAAAGAAAGATTACCATTTACATTATCTTATGTGGGTTCAATGGTTTTAACATTATATGCTGCCATAGGCGTAAGTTACACATAACTATTATAATATCTATCTCATATAAATACACAAATTTATTTATGCATATACACATATTTTTCATAGATTCGTGCTATGATCCTAACAGTTATTTTTGCTATCATACAAATTATTGCATTAGTTTGGTAGAGTATTACATGTTAAATACGGATAAAACAACAAAAGATTAATTTATTCAATTATTAGGTATGTTGGATCTTACATCCCTGGAGGTGTTTCAACATTAAGATATGGTACATCTTTTATTGGAAGAAGAGCAGCTTCCATTTTACCACTTTAAAAGATGTTATATATATATATATAAAAGAAGCAGAAAGTAAGAAAGTGATATATATGTATACGTATATATCATTCTCTTTATCATACTAAATATGTTTTATACACACCCTTTACCAGATTATGCATACTATTTTATTATATCTAATAATAATATAATTATATCTGTTCATATTATACACATATATTATAACATGTACGCATATTTATTGTATATACAATATTGTAATTTCTTTTTTGTTTTTTAATGATATATTTGGTAAGCATGTATGTCTACAGCTGTCATCATGTTTAAAATAAATAAATAAAAATACACCATCCTACCCCTTATTTACGTATACTATTATATACTTGAATTTTATTTATTTATAACACTACAAAAGGTATATTTGTATATTTACAAATGCATCTATCTTTATGAATATATATAGATATATACATATTTGTATGTATATATTCACAAAATTAACTATACAAGACAATTATTTCATAAAAGTGGATGTCCTTTGCTTTTTACGTTCATTCTCTGCAGCTTGCTCTTCATCAAACCTAAATAATGCTTTAGCATGTCGCTTTTGTCTACCAACTGGTGCATGCTGTTCCCATTCATGTATTAAACCATCTTGAATTTCTATATCTTGAAGCCAAGCAAGCACCTCTGTTGCTGACTGGCGTTGATCAGGTGAGACCTTTAGGAACTTCAATAATAATTGTCTGCTTAATTCACCTGCTACCTCTCGCTCAAGTGCCCTTTCAATATGATAATCTTGCCCCACTGTTTCACGAAGAGCTTTTAAATCGGTATCTAATATACCATACCATGGCTCAGTTTCGGCAAAGGTCTTCCAAATGATCGTTCCAATTGAATACAGGTCCTCAGCAATTGGGTTTACTAACCAAGGTAAATCTTCTGTATCAATTCGACTCTTGGGTAATGTCTGGATTGAACGATAGAGTTTATAACCATGATCTGGTTTTGATCTTATCCATGGTAATCGACAACACCATTGATCAAGCTCTGCTCGAGTCTTTGGAACAATCTCACCATCATAATCATGACCACTCACGCCGGCAGGAGGTTGTTCTACCCACCAGTGACGATAACTCTTAGCATCCGTAAAGATAGATTTACCAAAATCTATCAAGAAAAGCTCTGCTTTTGAACTTCCATCACGTAACTTTTCATTTGTCTCATTTACCATAAAGTTGACTTCCGAAAGATCTCTGTGTGCTAAACCAATACTATGAATTGTTTCAAGACACTGAAGCATTTGAATAATTAAATCCATTTTTTGATGAGCAGTAAGACGATGATGAGAATGTGCATGTGTATATTGCTTTAATGTCTTTTCATAACGCTCCATACACAGACCAATGATCTCACCATGACTCTCTTGAAGTACTTCCGTAATCTGTCCCATATGTCGTAGCCCTTTCAAACATAATAAACCTACTATTTCTGTTGTTCGTTGTGAGATAGTCATATGTCTAAATGTTTGAACTACTTTTTGTTTATCATGTGAAAGGAAAAAAACATGTTTGAAGAATCCTTCAGCATTTGGAAGCGAAGAGGTACTAACATTATATTTGTTAATATCAACAATGGGAACATTTTTTTCAGTAGAATCTTTTTAATAAAGTTAGTATATTTATTTATTCTAATCATGTTTGTTACACAATTTAACTCCTTTTACTTACATTGCACTACTTTTTCCCATAACCCTTTAGAAGCATTTATATAATATTCTTTATCAAAACTTTGAGTCACTTCATTGTTCCTGATTGCTTGAGATAAATTATTATCATCTTGCTGAAGATATCTTTCAAAAGATTCACTAGGATTGCTGTTTGTCATCTTATTTTCTTCATCTGGTATAAACGGATTTTTGTCATTAAGAAGTGAGGCCACACTTATAGATTTTGAACAACCAGTACTGTTCATATTTGTTTGTTTTCCTTCCTCTTTCTCTTTCTCTTTCTCTTTCTCTTCCTCTTCCTCTTCTTCACTATATTCATATGACGCTGTTTCACTACTTTCATAGCCATGATCAGAATCTTTATTTTTAGTATTAGCATCCATTTGCATATTTTCTGTCTGGTGAGTCGTGTTCTTCTGTTCATGTTCATAAGAAATTATATCTGAACTATTGCATTTATTCAAAACGAGTCGAATAGTTGTTGCTTGTTGTGAGTTATTCATAGGGGAAGTCCCATTATCATTATCATTATCATTACCATTATCATTACCATTACCGTTATCATTACCGTTATCATTACCGTTATCATTACCATTACCATTACCATTATCATCATCAAAAGTGGAGGAAATTCTGATGATATTTTTAGATTCCATTGTTGATTCAGTTGGAGACTTGCGTCTTCGTTTCTTTTCACCAGAATCTTTACTATTATTACTCTGAGAGACAGAACTAGATGGAGAGGATGCTACTGGAGATACTGATTTATTGCCACATTTATTTTCTATTAAAGGTGGCGTTGTAGCAATCTTGATAATAGGTCGCTCTACATTACTTTTACTTGTAGTACTCTTTTGTTGCTTTTGAGGTAAGAGTGATGTTGAGAATTCTTCTTTCTTAATATCTAATGATGTAGCTCGTCGCTTAGATAAGGAGCCATCAATAGACGGAGGTGCTACTGTAGTATTATCGTTAGAGGCTACTACTGTTGCTTTTATTGAATCTCTTGATGAGGATGATACAGGCTCCAAAATAGATCTTACAAAATGTTTAGCAATTTCTTGATTACGTATTTTTTTGGGGTCAGCAGGGGTCTTTGTAGATAAACGAAAGGTATTATAAGCCTTTTTAAAATAACTTCGATCAATATCCGTATTAATAACCGTTTCCACATGATTCACAATTTTTAAAACTTGAAGCTTTAACCACGCTTTAGGACAGAATTCATATTTATGACTTTTATCCATTGTCGATTCATCAAAATTGTGAGTTTCGCCCATGGGTTCACATAGGACTACTGTTGCCCTGAGGCGAAGGAGGTCATTCTTTGTTTGATTTTCCATAGGTTTGATCTGAACGTTATATAAGATGGCCAAAACACCATCAGGATCTGTTCTGGCTTGGTTGAGTAAAGTTCTATTTTTGGCAATATAAAAACGCGGTAAAGGTAACATATATCTTTCGGCGCAATTTGTCTCTATATAACGAAAAAATGATGCGTTCAAACATTCAAATAAAAGACGAACATTATTAAATCCTCTTAATTTTTTTGTTCTCCAATCCTCCTCATTAAATGCTTGAACAAAATACAGATTGCTTTTTTTTTTTTTTTTTTTTTTTTTTTTTTTTTTTGGCAATAAATGTATACATATAAATATAAGTTCCTTTCCTTTTTTTTTTTAAAAAAAAATGTGAACATTAAATATATTACCTTTTTTTCTTTGGTTGAATCTCTTTATACATTGGAAAAGGAGGCATAGTAATATGTACTTTTTCCTCAGGAAGAATAGTATTTACCAGTACATCCTTATCAGTAATTGGTGTTGAAAGATAGAATGGTCTATTAGATATGCATATAAATATATATGTATATATATAAATATAAACAGGTTATTTATATGTTAATAATGTAACATGGAAATATATAACCTACTGTTCACCACCGTTCAGAAATGCAACCAAACTTTCATATCGCTTATATAAATTTTCTGCTTGTTGATAAATTGTATCAAAAGAACGATGAAAAAGTTTTGCGTTATTCCAGATCAGTGAGAGATCTGCTACAAAGTCTTCATAGGTTGCATATTTATTATTAAACAGATTCTGCTCCAAGGTTCTGAAATCCATAGGGTGTTTAATCTCCTTATGATAAATGACGGCTGTAAGAGGGACGGGTATTAGAAAATGAAAACAATCATAGCATGACACTAATTCATCTATAATGAAGACACACTGTCGAAAACTTTTTGGTGCCATCGTAACTCCCTGAACGTGAAGGATATCGCTGACTAAATCTTGAGGTTGCTGCTGTTGTTGTTGTTGTTGTTGTAAATCTGCCATTTCTTTAAGTGGAATGTCTCAGTATATTTTAATAAAAGAAAGCACACCTTTTTTTAAAAGAATAATAATAATAAATGAAGAGAAGTAAAGGTATATATATCTATTTGAAGTATATATATATATATATCAAGTATTACAGCTATTTATTTAAGGCTTGCTTGTTCAAAAGAAAAAAAATATACATATTTATACGGGAAGTCTGATTCGCAAAATACAGTGACTGCAGATTAAAAATAAAAATAAGAAAATCATGATATTAAAAAATAACAGTGTATTCAAGCCAAAGAAGAGATAAATGTATTATGTGTGTAAGCTCTAATAAAGTTAGAAATATAAGGGCTTTACAGTTCAGTAATATTTGTAGCAACTTTGAGTATAGGGAATAGTTGAAAAATAAATAAATCTTTCACTAAAAGATATATTCTTTGATTTAATAAAGGCTGCTATTTGAATGTGAACAAAGTGAATCGTCTTACAAAAAGGAAAAAATAAATAAATAAAATAAAACTAGTATATATTCATAAAGTTACAGTTTGTCGACATAATACAATAGTTACTATGGCAAAGCTGTTGCTCTCACTTTTCTTTTTCCTTTTTTTTTTAAATTCAGCAGACACTTTCTTCATTATATCAGCATTTATGCATCATTATGATTTTTATTTTATTTCATTTTTAATAGTATAAACTTGTTGCAGCAAAATTTATCATCATGTTGAAAGACTTTGTACAGGAGCATTCTTCTTTACCTACTGCAGCTTACCCTATTCGAGGTTTCATTCACTTTCTTCGTCATCCTCGTCGTCATGCAGGCCCCATCTTCATCTCCATTATTAAAGTCATTGCTACAAGCTCATTATTTGTAATCCCACTTTACAAATATGGCTATAGATTTCAGAATTCGTTATTAGTCAAAATCTATAATAGTCTCTTCTTATCTAATGGGTTTTCATCTTCAATAAAATCAAATATCCTAATCAATATTACAAGTCTGCTCCTTTGTTTTATTGAAACATCTGCTATCACCCTACAAATAAGTAGTCATTTTGTTGGAGATATTCGAGCTAGATTATTTGACTCTGTTTTGAAAGAAAGAAATGGTTTACCAACAACAACAAAGTCTAAAGGTGATGACGTAGCTGTTATTTCAGAAAAAGTAAGTGGTATCAACAGCAGTAGCAGCTCTCATCAGCGTAATTTACAACAACATCCTTATCGACATTTTCTTTCTCCTTATAATATTATGATTATGAGTGCTCAACAAGATGATTCATGGTCTATATTCTTTTTAAGATCTGCGTTATTTGTTTTGACTCTACCCTTAAATGTTGTACCTATCTTGGGCCCTTTATCCTTTATCTCAATCCAAGCCTTGTTCCGTGGTGGTATGGCTCATCGACGTTATTTTCAATTATATAACTGGACTCCTGAACAACGTCAACATCGAATTGAAACTTATTTCTGGCAATATCAACGATTTGGACTTGTAGCAACAGTTATGGAAATGATCCCCATTGCTGGATATGTGTTCATGTACACAAATCAAATCGGGTAAGTCATGATATTCATGTAATGAGTTTATATATTTAATCATCATATTTCCCCTTCTTTATCTATTTATATATAATATAAAAGGGCTGCAATGTGGGCTATGGATTTACACGATAAAAAATTACTCGAGCCAAAGAAAGAATAGTTATAAAACAGATTAACAGATATCCAAATAATGTATATAGTGAATATACATATTCTGTTTATCATGAATATATTATAATGTATAAGAATATGGATCTAATTTTTGTATTGAATAAAATTATCAAATTCTGGGGAAAAAAACAGTATTCCTACCAAGAAACCTATTAGTGTACCAGGCTATAATCCATAAACTTATAAGAATAATCTATAAGATAACGTGTAATTATATTTGTTCAGCTTACATCTTTATATTTATTAAGGTACCAGGATTTACAGCCACTTTTCCAGACAGCTCCATTGCATTGTCATTTCATATTTGCACTATAAGCGGTTTGTGCTTCTAGTGTTGGTTCCATAGTGAATAAAGTATTTTTTTTCAGAGCCTATTTTATGCATTTAATAGCATATTTTACTTGACTATATAATATATATATGCTTACTAGAAAGGTTTCCAAGAAACCCATCAACGTCAAACCCTGTGGCTAATACAAGTATATCAACTTCTTGTTGTTCATTTCCTTCAGTATCTATGATCATATTTCCTTTTACTTCACTTCTTTACCAGCTCTAGGTACTACCGTAACATTAGGCTTTGCTAAAGCCTCTAAATAATTTTCTGACTTGGCAATGCATTTACATCCGGGAGGGTAATCGGGAGTGACAGTAGGAATTAAACCAGGGCGATGGGCTCTGTTTAATCTATATGCAGTTGTTTATTTATTTATTTTTTTAAATAAATATAATAAAGTTCGTGCTTATGTAAGACGATAAAAAAAAACAACAACAACAATGATATATTAGCTTAGTTAAGGAATATATCTATGTACCTGAATAAAAATTGCATTATGAAAAAAATCTCATAAAAAAAAAGGGTAAATATTTTAAAAGATACTTTACAAAATGAGGATATTTAAAATGATCTCTTGGAACAATCCATGCTGGAGTTCTTTGATAACTAATCAAGTGTTTAGTCACTGTTCTTAGTCCAGGGATCGCTTTAACAGCACTATAAAAGATATACGATTAAAATGTCTGTATTTAATCATTTATTATATTATCTTGCCCCACTATCAACAACAGCTACTCTCTTATTTGTAGGATCTATAGATGGATCCCATGAGGCTGTATGGACTATCTGTCCAGCAAACTCTTTGAACTGAGGAGGGATCATTGGGGAGGGTACGTAATGAGCCAAGTCCAGCAAAACTATTTACAAAAGTTAGTTATATAAGTTTAACACGTATATTAATATGTACACATATTATATGTACAAATGGTTATAATATTCATTTTTTTTTATTCATTTATAATATTAAAGATGCAAATAGTAGTCACTCGTGTAACATTTCATTATAAAACGATATAAAAGGCACGAATGTTTAATTTCCTTCTTTTTTTTCTTTTTTTTTTCCCTTTTTTTTTCAGAAATGTAGGGAGCCTGTTTTATGCCGGGCTATGAATAGCACTGAAAATCGTCCCGTCTGTATAGTGCCTCCCATGGCTGATGGAAGGTAACACAGGCTCATAGAATGTTTATTGATAATAAGAACGTGACTGCGCTCACTAAAAAATGAAGTTATCAAGTTATTTGGGAAAATTGAGGAAAGATATTCATTTATATTTTTTTTTAATATGCATAAAATTGTTTATTTGTATATTTTCATGATAAATACTCTTGTCCAGTTTCTAAATAACATTTAACTTGTTGATGGCTACAATAATATTATACTTGGGTAGGATAGAGTAGTATATACATATATACTTTATTTGATTCTTTTAGAATTGTAACTAGCCTTGTTACGACGACGCTTTTGTTTATTATTATCATTATTATTAGGTCTGTCATTAGTAGATACAAGGCTAGCTTCATTTGAAGACGCTTGTTCATTACGACGTGCCCAATATTTTCTAATAGAAGAGAGTAGTCATGGAAATTACTAGCAGGCTCGCAAGTAATCATCGCTTTCGCCATAACCTTTTCCATCTGACTTAGTATAAGTAATTACCAGGAGTAATTCTTATGGTTGATTACTACCTCAACTTCATAAGTATCAGTTTCAGTATTGACCGATTTAACTTCACGCGATATCACTTTAATATGGGAAGGAGGTACGTCTCTTGGTAAGAGTGGACCTGTACCATCAACCAATACATAGCTTCCATCTTGAGTTTTTCTTTTTACAGTGTAAACGTTTATAGATGATGGACTTTGTTTTTAAACACCCAGCGTTCAACTATACTATTTGCATGAGGATGATAGCTTGTTACAAGCCGATGGTCGATACCAGAGTGTTCAATATAAAGTCGTACTATTTCATTTACGTATTCTGTACCATTATTGCTTTGGATAATTTTAGATCTTCCCATTAGAGATAGATAGTATATTTCTTATCGTAAGTGTTATTGTTAAGGATAATTTATCAGGGATTGCTCCAAGTACACAAAATCTAGTAAATACACCAACAACTAGAAGGATATAGTTATTTCCTTGTAAAGATATTGTTTTAGGGTCCAGCGGCGTCAATACAAATGTGATCCTATGGAGCATTAGCATAAATTGATTTTAATGAATGATATTCATGTTTTGACAATCGGGACAGTTTTTTACTGTGTTAAAAGTATCTTCTTTAAGCTTTGTTCAATGAATTTATTCACTATGTAAGGCTGTTACCATAGCTTGAGCATTACGATGTCCTTCTAAATGAGTTTTCATAAGTAGATTTAGTCTTTCTTCTAGTGCTGGTGTTATTAAATCAGTAGCGCATCATCACACGAGATGTAAGAATAGATCCATCGTCGTTGACAATTTGTAAAGTAATAATGGTTTTAGGAGTTTTATCCTCCACTAGCATTTTTTTTTTCAGGTCCGAAAAGACGCGATAAAGAATCTGGAAGTATATTGTGAATACCAGATCTGTGAATAATTTTAAAGTCATAATCCAAGATGGTATCAAGCCAATTGATCATCATAGAATTGGCAGTGGGTTGAGTATGGAGGAAAGTAAGAGCCTTATGGTCGGGTATATAAGATAAAAGGAATTCCCCCATAAGAATGGATGAAATTTCTTTAAAGCAAATATGATACCAAGTAATTCTCTTTTTGGTAGTTGAATAATTTCTTTCAGAAGCAGAAAGTGAACGAGCCATAAAATCAATATATCTTGTTTGGTAGTCAATGATCTGATATAGAACAGCGTCAGTAGCAACGTAGAATGGCTGTTGAAGATTGGGATAATGAAGAACTGGAGCCATGTTATACTACTTGTAAAATATCCAATAAAAATAATAAAAAGACAAAAAAACATTAACGAGACGGAACAATAGTTCTAAAGTCAATGATTTTATTTATGAATAATGAATTTAAATTGATGGGGTATTTATAAGAATTGTTAAAGAAGTCTGAGATAAGATATGAGCCAGAAAAGTGTTAGTTACGACCAAATAAGATATGTTAAAGATAGATAATGAAGTGTTAGAAGTTTGAATATTATTTGATAAAGTGGATCAAGAGAGTTTCAAGAGAATCTAGATAGAGTGCCTTGAATAAGTTTATGATTTACATGTTTAATCAAGAAACATGACATTATAAGTCAGTTCATAATATTTATAACTTGTATTTATCCTATCTTTCTCTTTTCCTTTATTCATTCATTGAATAAACTACTTCCTGATAAAAGATAGTTTGATATTTGACATCTTGCAGCAAGATTTAGCAGTTAAAGCGTTGTACGAATTATTTATGATTCTATAGGAGGCAACTAATAATAAAAAGTATGCATACATATACATGCTATTCTCAAATATCATTACTGTAGTATCATTTGCTAAACGTTCTTTTATCTAGTCAACACCAGATAACTAATAACTTGAATCGATTATAATAAAGTCATTAAATCAACAGAATTTATATAAGCAGCAGCAGAAGAAGAAAGGGAAAAGCTCAGCTTAAATAAATAAATAATAATAATAAAAAAAAGGAGAGTGAGAGAGGGAATATCTATCTGAAGTGTAACAAAGATAAATAGGTTTAATTATGCTCTTTCATGGAAAGTATTGCACCTATTAGACCGTTTGTTTATGTGAAAAAAAATTTTTTCTTCTTCCCCTATTTTTATTTCACACCCTCATTTTTGTTTTTTGTTTTTTCTTCTTCTTTTTTATTAAAGTGAAGTTTTGAGGATATTGGTCACTTTAAATCAACAATCTTTAGTGAAGCTTAAAGACATAGGTCACTTTAAATAAAAACAATCTTTAGTGAAGTTCTAATGATGATGGTCACTTTAAATAAACATTCATTAATATTGTTGTGAGGATAATAGTCATTTCTATTGTCCAATATCGAGAGTATGTTTCATTTGTAGTTTTTGCGTCTCTCGTTAAATAAGACTGTGAAAGGAAGCACATAATGATCAACCTCCACGATTGGTTGCTTCTGGAAACAGTAGCCTTTTTTATTATATAATGAAGCTACTGGCTAATTGGATCATTACCCCTTTTTTATTATTATTATTAATTATAAATGAAAAAAAAAATACATATTATCAATAAATAAATATCTATTTTTAAAACTTTTGTATAATAATGAATCTAATCAGTAACGACTTGTAGAAGAAGAGTCATCTAATGATGTTTAGAAAAGAGTCAAAATGAGCTTTGTAGCTGTTTATGTACTTTATTTATTGTCCCTTTTATTTGGTTAATGAGTTTACAGAATGGTATGATTATAAAGCATATTTTGCTTTCTTACCTTAAAAAAAAAAGGAAAGAAGCTGTTTTCATTATAATCATACTTCATGGATATATTTTCTTATATTTTAAATAAAAGATAGCAACGTTAATTTAGCTACTATGATTATATAGAACAACTAGCTCAAAACGCTTTACTTTTTTTTTCGTTTCGATGCTGATATTGGCCTCATAGGTTTAACCGTAATGGGCCAAAACTTAGTGTTAAATATGAACGATCATGATTTTACAGTTTATGTATATAACAGAGCTGCTTTTCAAAATAGATCCTTTTTTTTTTTTTCGTTCCTTTAACTTATTATATTTATCTTATCTTTTACATATATACTTTTATCCTTTTCCTTTTTGTCTCTTAAGAGGGTTTTTCATACTTATATACTATCAGAACTGACTAGGGCAATACAGCAGATGAAAAAATGCTATGTGCTCATTTGGTCATATATGTGACATACTTTTTTTTTTGGTGACATTATTTTGGCAAAATGTGTGTATTTCTTGAGACTATTATTAAAACTAAAATAGAAATGTAAATCTGGGAAAAGTATCTGAAGCTATAGTAATAGTAGTAGAAGAAGAAGAGATATTAGCCATAATATGATATTATGTAAAAATGTCATCAGAGGAAGTCCAATAATCCAATAAGACATTTTTTTTTCGGTATAATTCTTTCTCTCCTTTGATCAAGTTGCTATTATGAAATTAATTGAAACACAAGGATTTTGGATAAACCTAGGCGAATAAAAGTTTTAAATAACTGGATAGAAAATGTGTTAGAGCTTATCCAAAGGATTAGCATTATGAATATTGATAAAACAAAAAAAAAAGAAATCCAAAATGCAGGCTATTAAGTATGGATATAGAGTATCAATGACTTGTAAGAACAAAAATATAAAAAGGAGGAGGGGAGGAGAGGAGAGGGAGAGAGGGTTGAATATTCTTCGTATAGATAAATCTCGGAATAACTTAAAAATGGAACCAGCTATCGGTGATAGATATATTTAACGAATATATGTAAAATCAAAGGATTACCATTATCAATATGAATATCAATTTTCGTTCTGATAGTGAATCAGAAGTGCTGACATGCGATGAAAAGTTGTGAGCATAAATAATAGAATACGACATATTAATCTTGGGTATATTGATTAATATTAACAGTATTTGTCCTCCTAAAGAAGCGATCCGCATATTAAACAAAATAAACTAATCGTTTTTCTTTATAGAATATTATACATTGAGTTGAGCACTATTAGAATGCGAATAATTGGTGTTAATTATACTGGGGCTAAGAAAGTATAATCTGTTTGTTCGTCCAATCAATTAAGTTTACTAAATAAAGTATCCAAACCTTTTCTATATGCTGAAATGGCTTTGTATTCCGTTATTATACTGTGAATCCCTTGAACATGATGAGCTCGAATTGAAATGCTATTATACTGCCAAAGAAAGTTATTCCAAATTACTTTGATTGTTCGTTGGAACAGATAAAGTTACATGTCTCTCTCTCTCTCTCTCTCTCTTTTTTTTTTTTTTTTTTTTTTTTTTTTTTTTTTTTTTTTTTTTTTTTTAGATGATAAGCCAGTCGTATTGTCTGTTTTGTTCCCTCTAGTTAATAGATTGAATTGGCTCTATCAGTGTCCGGGAAATTTCAAGTTCAACAATGCCTTTATCTGTACCTTACTAATCATCAGTGTAGAATGTATTGATGTAAATTGTTTCTTGACATGGTTTGAAGGTGAAAAATCCAGGCTAAAAATCGGAGAAGAATAAGCTTCAAGAATGTTTTTTTTTCTTTGTTTGGTAGCTGATAATAACGATACAGGTAAAGGAATGCTTCTATGTGTAACATAGCTATCAAAAAACGTAAAGATGCTTAATTATAGTGAGGACGTAGATCGATTAAGTATTAAAGTGCAATTTCAAACATTTTACATAAT